TTAGCTGTTGTCCCCTTGGGACGGTTTATTAACGTGATAGGGGAGGTGGGGAGACGCACGAATGGCCGAATCTGTATTCACAGTTAGATAAGTCTCTTGCACAGCGGACTAAGTTGTGGATAAAACTTACCATCCAATGTCCTCTCAAACCATTGTCCAGCAAAGGTTTGCGCGGCCTTAGTGGAGCGATTCTGGAGGTCACGAGCCAAAGCAGTGATGCGCTCACTTCGCACTACAAGCCCCTGAGTTAGCACCTCCATTCAACGGGCCAGAGAAGTTTTAATATTTCTTACTAGGGTTTCGCTTAAATGCCATAGCCGAGCTTTTAAAAATCGAGGTGTTAGTAGCGTCTTTTAACAGCAAGACGGTGACCAGGGAAGTCGAAATCCGCCAAGGACTGTGTAACAACTCACCTGCCGCTATAGGAAAGTATTAGCAACGCTCAAGACGTGGATTAAGTGAGTATATGGTGATAAGGCATTAGTTGACAATAAGGTGTCTTTTTCGGCTGAGGGACTTTGGTAGTAGGGAAACGGGACAAGGGGGATGGGGAGAAAATGGAAGAATAACCACGAACATCTGAGTCTTCTCGAAAGGCTCATCGAGCTCTGGAAAGTTAAATGTCAGCATAGCTCTAATATATATAACTCAAGGAAATTTTTCATTTCTCTTTAGGGCTCCCGGATATGCAAAGGGGGTGGAAGGAAGCCAAAGTACCTTTCATGTGTGCCAAATGCCGGATATCGATTGCGATACGTCTGCCATACTGTTAGTGATTATTTCTTTAGACATTGGAAACGGGAGAAAGGTTCAGGCACAGCCTATCTCCTTAAAAAGATAGAATGGGGAGGGGATTCGTACTGGGCAGTTGCGCCGAAGGCGGAAAGGGCATTGGCAACACGCCTAAAGTCTTGGTCAGCACATGATCAAAACAGTGTCTCGATTGCCCAAGAAGGTGAGATAAGAGACGATGTGGGTCCTTCTCTTGGTTCAGGGCTGGAAGCAGAGGACAGAAACCCATATCTTGAGTAGAGTGTCTGCCAAGTCCACTTACAAGTCGACCTTTCGGGTGTACTATAAAATTCCAATGTCAGTTCTTCCATAAGTCCAAGTCATAAAGGAAGCATACTAGTTGTAGCATTGAGCAGCGAAGCAGGGTTAACATACGGTCTGGGTTGAAACGGTGTAGATGCCGGGGAAGCCGGCCTTCTCACACAACTTCTTGTTGAGCTCGTCAATCTTGTCGCCGTCGTTGTGGAAGATTTCCATGAACGAACTGCATACGCGATCAGTACCTCCATAGCACATCCAAGGGAATTCCGTAGTTTGCTTACGCCTGGGTGCCAGTAGTGCCCACTACAGGATCGAGAGTTAGTCACTGATTTTGTTGATTTCTTTTTTGGACATCATAAGATTCAGGGGTTGCCTCGGAAGGGCATTTGAGGGGACTCACCGGCACCACGGAATCGGAGTTGATCTCGAACATGCTCGATATCCTCGAGATCCATGACCTTTCAAGTTAGCATCCGAACACCAAATTTTTAAACGCCTACCCGATACTTACAAGTTCCTGGATCCACTGGGCAGCACGCTTTCCGACGCTTTTGATGACTACACGTCAGTAATAGAATGCGACGGAAGGAACACTCGAAGCTTCTACAGCTTAGAGGGATCCTATGCCGGCTAAAGCGAAGGGGAAGTCATGCGTACGTGATCGGCTGAGCGGCCTGGAAGTGAGTGAATCTGCGAGGTTGGATGGTTAGAGTCAAAGAATAGTTCGCGTCATGAAGGTTCACTTACCCCAGAGTAGGAAGGTCCTTGTGCTCCAACGCGAAGCTTCGGAGGTTCTGGATCACCTTGGCCAACTTGGGGAGCAAGAGGTCAAGACCGTCTCGAAGCTGGTCGGGGGTTAGTAATTGTGTAATTTGAATTGCCATAGGAGGGAGCAAGGCTTCAGAAATAGGCTGAGGAAAAGAGGTGTTGAGAAACATACGAAAATGAGATCGGCGTTGTCCGTAACGTAGCAACTTTGATGGGTTAGTTCATATGTTGCTTCGCATTACAGTTACATGTACGAACCTGGTTGCACCGTAGTGGATGATACCGGCGGCGGCACTTGAATATCAAAGTCAGTAGTGATCTTTCAGAGATATTTCGGGGTGCGGGCAGCAGTTAATGTGCAAGAAATGCTGTCTATGGCGCAAATCGAGTGAGGAAAATTAGGATGGATGTTACATACGGCGCATCTTGTCCAAAAGCCTATATCCGTATTAGAATCATGATATGTTCACGGGGGGCATCGGATGCTTACATGGACGTGGGCCATGACGTCGTGGCGACGAATCTTCTCCTCGACGCGAGCAACCTCGAAGGCCTCATCCGTCATGGTCAGGTTGGCGCGCATCTGCTCGAGAGCCTCGTCGGTGATCTGCTCAATGCCAAGCTCCTTCTCAGCCTCGGCGAGGAAGAGCCAGAGCTTCCTCCAGGTGGACGCCCTGGTCCGCGAGGAAAACAGGGTGAGCATCTCCTTGGATGCGTAGCGGGACCCCAGCGGGGTTTGGTACGAGTCGAAGCCGGACATGATTGCGGTTGTTTTCGGTGTTCAGTGACTGGAAGATGCGTCAATGGAGGTATTCCAATTGATATATGGTAGAGTGGAATGATACCCGGGCGGATGGAGAAAATTCAGACGTGTGTTCGGGCGATTCCGGCTCAAGTGACGGAGGTGCCTCGACTGTTTTTTTTTATCGTGACAAGCTCTGCTAATGGAATCTCAAGGTGGAGGGGCAGGTGTTGCGGGGGAGGGGTAAAATTTGTGCAGTGGCTGAGAAAACTCTGCGCCACACTAGTGAGTGGGCTGTTGTCTGATGAATTCCGGGTGCATCAAACACCTCAAATGCCTGAATATCAGATCATCAAAAGCTTCTACTTGGATGGTCGAGTGGGCATGGAAATATTGAGATTCCAGATACCAAGGGAATTTCGATTATGCTTCCCTATTATGTCAGCTAAAACTCAACTGAGTGAAAATAAAATCCACACATTGATGTTACGATAAAGACATCTCTTATTGGATTCGTGGCTCCTTGAAGTTATTGTTTGATCTTTCCAATGGATCCATCTTTGATCTACCACGAGCAGGTTACTTCTTGGGAAGTCTTTGTCGAAACGGACCAAGTTCTTCGGGTTGTGCTAACCCGATGATGTCAAGATTGAACATCACTCTGCTCTCCAAGGCTCTTTTCAACACAATTATCCGAGATAGATGGCACAAGATGCCTCAAGAGGGTCAAGCTCGATCGGGATTCTCTACCGGAACGGCTCGCCGACGCCACCTACAGAAGCAGCCCAGCTTCAACTTTTCAACCTGACCCCCGACACTATGAACTCGAGCTACTCTATCAACTCGAGCTACACCGTCACCTCGAGCTGCCCCAGAAGCATCTCTTGCTTCTGACTCTGGTCGTGCCAGGTATTGAATTTTGTAGAGTTTCCATTGAAAATAGCCGCTCAATAATCCACTGTTTTGTCGGCTCTCACCCATCCTCAACGCCCATCGAGAGCACCGCTCGTAGAAAGAAGGTAGCCTGCTTCTAGCAACGAAGCGCCCTTAGAATCCATACAGTCAACAAAGCCCACGAGCACTGGAACTGGATGGTGCCCATTATGCCGCTACCCTATAGAAAGCCAAATTTCATGACATGTCAGACCCGACTTAGAGGGAGCAGGAACCAAAGGCCTCTACGCTTGGAAGCTCGAGTGGCCTACCGTAGCCCACTTGAAGATACCATCGGAGCTGTTTATCTACACTAAAAACACCCGGATGCAATGAAATTTACTTCTTCCATTCATTGGGCAACACATCATGTAGTCCAGTGGTCTTAGTGCATCCACCACAAGTAATCTGCCGAAGAGAAGTCAAAGTAATCTACGCTTAAAATCGAGCAGCGATTGAGTCCCTGAGAAAATAGCAGAAAGAATTGCCCCACAACTAAGAACCATGATTTCTGTTCAAACGTGCTAGTTCAGGTTTAGGTGAGCAAGCTCCAAGCGATGTCTAATCCCCCTAATGAATCGCGTCATCCATCAGGCCAAACAAGGGAAGGCAGAATGATGTAACTATATTTAAAATCTAAGACACCATGATAAAAATACTTTGTGATACAGTGTCTGGATTTTGTCATTGCTGCCGTTGACCGCGAGGTTTATCCCAGGAACAATAACCGGACGCTCGGAAACTACGGCTTGATTGACTGAGACAACATAAACGAAATGACACTCACACAAAAGAAGAAAAACGCACCAATGCATGTACTATGTCATAAATTCAATGGCGCCTTCGTTCCTGGCCTTTACCGGATAGACGGCTCCTCCGTCATTAGGATCTCCGTTCTAGCGACGCCATGTGAGTAGTTCTTCCCTTCGGCAAACACTTCTGACTCCGACGGATTGGCCGCCGGATAAAACAGTCAACGTCAATAGCCGCTGCATTTGGATGGCCAAACATCCAACGGCCCACAGAACTGGACCGCGGATCGAAAGACACTCCTCTCAGTCCTGCTGCCGCTACGTTTGCCGTTGAGCCTGACCCGAACCTACACTCGATCACAAGACTACTGGCTCCGGGAGCATGTCGGCGCTTTTGCGACCCAGTTCAGCGGGATAAAATCCCAATCGAGTGTTAAACAGGTCGCAGTCCAGGTGGTTCGTTCCGCATATGTCTCCACAAAGCCGGGGTCGTCTCCCCCGCACCCCGGATGATCATGTCAAAATGGTTATAGTAACCTGTGGGGTTTGCAATCCCGCACTCTGATGGCGGAGAAACAGGTTGACACTATGGGCGAGGTTTCCCCGAAGGTGCTGACGCCAGGCGAGGAGGATCAGTCGTCGGAGTGGTCCCACATTTCGGTCACTTATATAAAAGCCACTGTCATTAAATGGGGAGGCCATGCTCTCTTGTACACTCTCTCTCAACCAACGTTGTTGCTCTTGCTTCCATTATGAAAGGCCTCCGGTATTTTTCTCTGGCTGTTCTCCCACTGCTCCGTTCAGTCGATGCAGTAACACCCCTTGTCGACTTGGGCTACAGCAAATATAAAGGAAAGGAACTCAGCAATGGTGTCACGCAATGGTTAGGTGTGCGATACGCCGCACCTCCTCTTGGTGACCTTAGGTTCAGTCCTCCTCAAGATCCTACCAGGAACGATACCATCCAGGACGCAAGTAATGTAAGCCACTGCAACTCACAATTGCCGAATCCTTGGTAACATCAAAGGCAGTGGGGTTTCATATGTATCGCAACCGGCAGTGCCGCGAGTAACATCGGCACGACACAATCCGAGGACTGTCTCTTTGTCAACATTTTCGCCCCAAGCGACGCATCTAAAAAATCCAAACTGCCCGTGTTTGTATTTATCCAGGGCGGTGGTTTCAATTCCAACTCTAACGCGTACGCGGACGGATCTGGCCTCATCAATGCGGGAGACATGGATATGGTTGTCGTGACTATGAACTACCGCGTCGGTCCCTACGGCTTCCTTGAAGATGCCGACCAGATAACACCAAATATCGGTCTCCATGACCAACGCAAGGCCCTCAAGTGGGTGCAACAATACATCTCCAAGTTTGGAGGAGACCCTGACCATGTTACGATTGGCGGAGCTTCTGCCGGCGCCGCAAGCGTCGCTCACCATCTCAGTGCATACGGTGGGAAAGATGAAGGCCTCTTCCGTGCAGCAGCGGCCGAGTCGGTCTCTTTTGCCAACATGTTGGCGGTAAAAGACTCCGTCTACTGGTATGAAAATCTCGCCATCCGCTTGGGTTGTGTCGGCAAGAATGCCCTGGCTTGTTTGCGATCGAAGTCGGCATTGGAGATTCAGAAGGCAAACTATAACATTCCCTACCCCGGGGCTCCAGCTGCCCCTATTTACATGTGGACTCCAGTAGTAGATGGAGATCTTGTGCCCGACCTCACGTACAAGCTGTTTGAGGAGGGCAAGTTCATCAAGGTGCCGGCCATCATGGGCGACGATACGGACGGCGGTACCGTGTTCACCCCCAAGAACACGTCGACCTTGGCCGAGAGCGATGCGTTTCTCAAGACACAGTTTGGTTCCTTGACACTGGAACAATTGGACACAATCAACAACCTTTATCCAAACAAAAATGACACTTGTCCAAACTCGGGATGCTACTGGCGACAGGTCAGTGATGCGTATGGCCATTTGAGATATATGTGTCCGGGCATTTACATCTCAAATGCCTTCACCAAATACGGCGTTTCAGACTCGTGGAATTACCTCTACAACGTCGAGGATCCGGACCAAATGGCACAGGGTCTCGGAGTTCCCCACACGGTGGAAGTTAACGCCATCTTCGGCCCAAAGTACGCAGGTGGTACTCCACCCGCTAGCTATGTCGAAGGCGGAGTAAACGCAGACGTGACACCGGTGGTTCAAGGATACTGGTCGAGTTTCATCCGGTCATACAACCCCAACACCTACCGCGATTCTACATCCGTCAAGTGGCAGACTTGGACGGAAAAGCGCAAGCAGCGCATCGTGTTTGAGACCGGCGGTGCGACGAAGGTGGAGAAGATTAGCAAAGACTTGCAGAAGAAGTGTGATTATTTTGCAACTATTGGGCCTAGCATTCGGCAATGAGCGGGGTTTCATGAGACTGACGTGGGAAATGTATACGGGATATTTGGAAGTAATGTTCTGCAAGGCTAAATTTATTCACGTACAATACTTTCGGGACTTGGTCACTAAGTTACAACCGCTTTCGGTATTCAATGAGGAGAAGATCAAGTCTGGAATAGAACTTTGGAAAAGGTGACTGAATTCAGATATGAAATGCCCGGCCTCTTTTAGCCCAGTCCCTCATCATAGCTAGTATCTAAGTCCTCCAGCTATCTTCCAGTCACCAAGTCGGTGTATCCTGGGTCATCTGTCCAGTACCCTTAACCATGTACCTCAATCAAATCCTCGCCATTGTGGACTCTGCCAAAACTTTCTGGTGCGAGGCTTGCCTGGTAAGGAATATTGTCCTCTGGGGCCAACTGCCATCACCAATTCGTGTTTCGGCGGCAGTTACTCAATTCTGAGGTCGGTGAACCGCTGTCCGACGTGCTCGACGCAGTCTCCGAGAGCCTCTCTCCGTTGCAGAGTTAATGCGATGAGACTGTTGAGCATATCGTGAGGAAATTCGACGTCTTGCAGAATCTCGCTCTCGATGAGAAAGTTGGGGACCATCATCGCTCGCAGCGTGAAAATGTTGATGCTGCAAACCGCCACGTTGTCCGGGATTCCCAACGGCTCCCGTTCAACCAAGTAGTGGAGACGACCAACATACAGACACTCAACAAGGAGGGAAGTGGCGTCGACTGAGATGTCCGCTCCGCAGATTTCGGAGAGATGTGATGCAATCACATCCCAGTATTCGGCCTGACCAGCGGGGGAAGGATCCATTGTCACGAGTTCATACTCGCAGGCCCCCATGAGATAGTTGATAAAAGAGTCGAGATAGTCTCGGCCGTGTGGAAGATGCGTAGACAGCGTCACATTGTTCAGTCGATTGTAAACATCACTGGGAAGCCTATGGAGGCTAAGCCCGTTGAGCGAGTTCAGGTATCCGAGAAGGTAAGTAGTATAGGAGAACGGGGTGATTTGAGACATGTCGGCGACGGTGATTTTCAGTTGTCGGTGGTCAGATGTGAGATAATCTCGAGATGTGATATGAAATTGACGAATGTACCAAGGTGAAGGTGTAGATGTCGGAAAGAGTTGTCGAGAGCATTGCAGTGGGAGGATATGTCCTATTTATCTTCAAGCAAATGGTATGATTTATTGTTCTGTTGTTCAACTGTAGTTCACAAACGCAGGAACAGCGAGTTATGAGGTGCTGTTCGATGTTTGTTTTAGCCCGTTTTGGAGATTTTGTTTACACTGTTCTGGGGAACGCGGAGTCTCACGCACCCCAACGGGGTCTGTTTTGAGGGTGAAGTGCAAAACATCGATTAAACAAAGACCTTGATGCAATAATTCAGAGAGATGTTCTGTGTGTATATCATAACTAAATAGACTCATGGGACGGAAGCGATTTGGAAGGGATCCATGTTCACGAGAGGCACAAATGTCTGCCAAGTCTTTTGTTTTCCACGATGAAGTTCGGATGGTCCAACTGGCTTTCAGTGTCAACGACTCATACAGGTGGTGCATTGCTAACGAATCAGTTACGAGTACTACATAGATGAGTGTTGATGAAAGCCGGCGGAAGATAGATAAGCCGATGCACATACGCAGTCGGGTGTGGTTGCACTGAGGCAGCATGGACGTTCAAAAGTGACTCATGGAGCCGGCAACCTTCCTGTCCTTCTTCTTGGATAAATGAACTTCTTACATGCCTCTAGCGGACGAGATTGAGGTCAACTACATTCAAATCACATTGCAATATGTCGAGTTTTCGTGATGAGGGGATTCCCCAGGGCACGAGCTTCATGGTCGGCCAGACACTCATCTTCATTACCATTTGGATAGCGATCGATCGCTATGTGTCGAGACATGGTCCGATTCCTCAGGCCAGGACTTTTACCCGAATCAACAACTGGGCGTACTCCTCAGCGTCTTTTATCCTGCTATTCCTCATTCTCTCGGCCTCCCATGACGAGATATCTCGCCATCTCTACCATGCGTCTAAATTCTACGAGTACCTCGACGTGCTGGGCGTGCGGGCCGGCGGCGGCACCATCGACCTACACTTTGGCTTCCATCACCTGACGATGCCGTATCTTAGCTACGTGCGGGTCGTGCTGCACAGCGACGGGTGGTGGGTGCTGGCGATCCTCAACACGTTGCATCACGGGCTAATGTATGCCTACTTTGGCGGAGCGGGGTTCCTGCGGCAGGCTCTGGAAGCGACGGGGACGATGCAGCTGGTCGTGGGTATTGGAGGCGAGGTTTGGATGCTGTGGGGAAAATGGGGAAAGGAAGATGCAGAGATGTGGCCGCATGCGGTGGGATTAGGATTGCTGAGCGCGTATCTGGTGTTGTGGGTTCGGGATGTGAGGATGAGGAGGCGAGAGCACGTCGTCCGGAATCGTCCATCAATGAAGGAGGAGTAGCAGGAGCCTGTCTGAAACACCCATGCAAAGACTGGAGCTTCCCTTCGATTCGTTTGCTGTGCCAGTTTCGCATGCTATCCTGGCTACAGCTTGAACCGTGGGACCGTGTCCAATGATGCTGATGGCTCTGGTGGCGCATGTAACAAGATGGAGACGTTTGGTTCGCGGCTTGATTAGCGCCAACAATACAACGAGAACAGCAAAATTAAACGCATTACTGGCTGTACACAATTTCATCTGATCTCATCCCATGTCGACTTTTCTAAAGAGAATGTGCTGAACAAACAGTGATTCAGCGCCTTGAACACGCCAACAAGCGTCGTATGTTTCCGATTGGCTGAACCTCGGTTCTTCGGAACGGGCGAGCACAAGGTGGGGGGGCCTTGGAGGAGCTTGGGCGCCGGGAGGACAATGACGAAACAAGCCCGGGCGTAAATTAGTACCTAAGGAGCGGCGCTTACAAAAGCTTCCGAAGAGGGGAGGGGTCTTGAGCTTGCTTTTTCCGAGTCAAAGGGAATTGATTTGAGTCGGTGGGCAGAGAAGTGGGCAGATACAGACGCAGCTAAGATAAGTCGGCTGCATCATTTCAAGATTCCGATTTTTTTTTTAAATATTTTAGTTCTAGTCTTGGGGTCATGTTCAGCTCGCGTGTTCCTTTGACATGTGGGTGTGCAGGTGTCGTCATCGAGGTCATCGTCATTGCCACAACCAGTTTGCCTAGTAGGTTGCGAATGTGCTACAGGGCGCTACCTATTCTGCCACTAAATGCTATAGCACTCAGCTCACAGCTCTCCATAGCCGATCCCAAAGTCGAGACTCGATTCTATTCGGACTGATTCAGCCATAGTCCCTTATCCTCTAATTATTTACTTGGTATAATGTTTCAAGACCTTAGGGTCCTCAGTCTCGGATCCGTTTCCTCCCTTCTCCCCAGCCTCCTCTGATCCATCATGTTCCATCCAGCCTCCTCCGCCCGCAGCCCCCACATTGGAAACCCCTGCTAGGCTGAAGCCCGCCCCTGTAGCGATTAGCCTAGGCGCCGCCTGATACCAGCGCAGTGGCGGGGTTTCCAGTGGACGAACCCGCTGGAACACTCACCTGAACCTCGCTGAAGCACTGCCGTGGCCGCCCATCCCGACGCAGGCCCACCAGAACCCGCCCCGGAGAAAAGACCTACCCACCCAGTCGGAGCTAGGTCTGGCCACATCACCTAACATTCCGTCAATTCCTCGCTCCACAGGCACATTCCACATTCACAGCCTCTCCTCTTCTTCGCAACATCATCATCACCACCACCTTCAGATCCGCACAACCCGCCGCCCTCGACGCTGTGCGCGCGCTCCTTTGTTTCCCTCTCGACCTATTCCCTCACCTGCGCTATCCATCGCCCGCTTTCAACCAGCACCTTCGCTCTCGTATTTGTCGCCTACCATGGCTCCGCCCCCGAACCCGAACCTGCCTCTCAAGGAGAGACTGATTGCCCTCGCCCAGACGCTGCAGTGTGCGTGCCCTTTCCTCTCTTCCAGCGCATTCAAAAGCTCCTCTGCTAACAGCTGCTTTTCCGCATCACAGTCGCTTGGTTCGCTGGGTACGTAATGTCTTTATCGCAGCTTCTCTGAGGCTTCCCCTCCATCCGGGCCACTTGACGGCGCAGTCCGATGGCACCAGCGCACAATGGATGCGAACAGTCACTAACCTCTGTCCCGATAGTCACCTCACACTGATCCTCACCACCATCCGATATGGCTTTTCGTGGCTTCGCATGAACTACTACGGCGGCATGGCCCAGTTCTCCTACCGAACTTCCTTTGTCGCCGCTGCCCTCACATACGGTATCGTCGTCTACAAGACCCAGCGCGCCCGCGCAAAGAGCGGCACCCGCGCGCCCGGTGGTTACATTGGCCTCCTCGCTGATGAGAATGTTCAATACCTTGGTACGACCCTGTCCTGCGCCTCCAAACTCTGCCCCGGCCGTCGCTAACATGTGTCCAGCCATGGCATTGATCTGGCTCTTCTGTCCCCAGTATCCGCTCGCCCTCCTGCCCTACTGCATCTACTCGGTCTTCCACGTCGCCACCTACTCCCGCGCCAACCTCATCCCCACCCTGCTTGCTCCCAAGCCCGCCCCCGAGGCTGACGGCGCCTCGCCCGGTCGCAAGCCCACCGTCGTCAGCCCTCTGGCCGACCAGATCGGTGCCTTTGTCAAGGAATACTATGACGCCTCCATGTCCGTCGTCTCCAGCCTCGAGATCCTCCTCTGGTTCCGCATTCTTCTCTCCGTCATCTTCTTCCAGCGCCGATCCTGGATCCTTATCGCCCTGTACACTGCCTTCCTCCGTGCTCGCTACAGCCAAAGCAGCCACGTCCAGACTTCGTTCTCTCAGCTCGGTGCCCGTGTCGACTCCCTTGTCGGTGCTCAGGGAACTCCCCCCGCCGCCCGTCAGATCTGGGGAACCCTCAAGGATACGGCCAAGCAGTTCCACGATGCGACCGACCTCAGCAAGTACATTAGCACTGGTGCCCCAGCCAAGAAGACCTCATAAAGGCATCGTGCCCCATGCAATTTGGAAACTCTTTTAGTGCGCCGAACCGCATGCATGCCCCGCAAGTTTTCGACCTGAACGAGATACGACAAGACATGTACCATGACACTACGAGTTGGATCCAGGCTGCCATTCCAGCCAAAACTCATTTACGGAGAAGGACGAAGTTGAGGATCAAAGATTGATGGTTGGGGAGACGTAGGCCCGACAAGTGACAACGAGTGATGGGCTCGAGTGTCAAGTGTGAGGGGACGACCTGGAGGAGAGTGGCTGTACTTTTTTTTTATGTTTGGGAGAGCTCTTGTACTGCTGTTCTCATCATCGCTGGAGGGTGTTTGGTGGGTTGGACAGAGGCTCGGCTCTACGCATTTGGGATTGGGGAAATGGGATATGCCTTGTGCGAATGGATGCCCAGGTGTTAGGGACAATGCTGTATCACTCTGGTTTTAATCCAGCCACCTATTTGCTTTCCAATTGAGCCATGTTCCCTAGCCGCCGTGTGACGCTTTGAACTAGGTCTGTTAGATGTTACGCAGTGAAGTTTTCTCAACGGCTCTCAAGTGGGCAGCCGTATGTTCCTAAATGCCAGGTGTCCCCAGGTCCCAGAGTGCTTGTCCATTTCTGTAACAAAAGCAATCCTGAACTTGGTTCTCAAAGTGGTTGCCTATCCATTTTGATTCAACTCGTCATGTCAAGCTTATGGTGGGGCACTACCAAGCCATGACGCATGACGTCGTCCTGCCACCACGGACCACTGACCACTCTCGTCCTTCTTCAACTCTCTCCCAACGACGTCCACGCATTCTCCGCAACAGCATTTCACTTTGAGCTGTCGCAGGGAACCTTTTCGTAACCTCAGGCATACCTCAAGGCATCAGCGTCTAACGGCCATGGCATCGCTGCTGAGACAAATTATCGCAGGTCCCAGAGCTCGTCATCCCGAGGCGGGGCTGGATCTCTGCTACGTGACGGACAATATCATTGCCACGTACGTCTATATCTGATTCTGCCCTTTGTTAGAACCCTTAGAGTTCTCTCGGCTTGAGGCTTTATTCAATTGCTAACGCGACTCGCTGCGTCGTTACAGATCCGGACCCTCGCAGACGTACCCGCAACTGGCATACCGAAATCCGCTCGACCAGCTCGTTACCTTCCTCGACTCGAAACACGGCGACGACTGGGCAATATGGGAGTTCCGTGCAGAAGGCACTGGGTATCCCGATGATGCTGTCTACAATCGCATAAGGCACTACCCGTTTCCTGACCACCACCCGCCGCCGTTCCGGTTGATGCCCATGATCATGGCGAGCATGCGCAACTGGCTACACGGAGGCGACCTGGGGGAGGGAGGGGCCTTACATGAGGGACATGTTTCAACCTCTCCAAACACCACAACTGGAAATTCTACAAGCGATGCGACAACAGAAGAGAAGCGGAAGAAGCGTGTTGTCGTTGTGCACTGCAAGGCTGGGAAAGGAAGAAGCGGCACTGCCAGCTGCAGCTACCTAATCGCCGAAGAGGGCTGGAAAGCCGAAGACGCCCTCGCGCGCTTCACGGAGCGGCGTATGCGGCCCCGGTTTGGTGCGGGCGTATCCATCCCATCTCAGCTCCGCTGGATCAGTTACGTCGACCGCTGGACCCAAGGTGGCAAAAAATACTTGGAACGACCGATTGAGATTGTAGAAATCCACGTCTGGGGTTTGCGCAGCGGAGTGAGAGTCGACGTGGAGGGCTTCGCGGACGAGGGCAAGCGGATAGAAGTGCTCCACACCTTCAAGAAGGAGGAGCGAGTGGTGGTGGACGCAACAAGGCCGGAAGAGACTAGCATTAGTGATGTGATATGGGAGATGGCTGGATACGCAGCCAACAGACCGAAGCAAGAGGCGCCCGATGAAGCGGATTTTGCAGATTCCACAAATCCCAACAAAGAAGAGACGAAGACAGTGGAAGACAGCAAGGACCAAGACAAGACGAAGGCGAAGGCTCTCACACACGCAAAGTCGATCAAGCGGAAAGGCACAGCACTGCTCCATAAGGTCACTACACCGGACACGAAACAACTCGCCGACAAGAACAAGAGCAGACTTGACGCCGTTGCCAGTACTTCTTCTTCCAGGACAGACGTCACCGATTCATCAGATCCTGAGCCTGGAGGCATGGCCGTCATCTTGAAGCCCACCCAACCCATCCGAATCCCCCACAGCGATGTCAACATCTCTGTCGAGCGGCGAAATAAGACACCCAAGAGCATGGGCTTAACTATGGTGACAGCAGTGGCACACGTCTGGTTCAACGCCTTCTTTGAAGGGCAAGGTCCGGAGCAGGATGGTCGACCATCAAACAGCGGCGTGTTTGGTATCGAGTGGGAAGCCATGGATGGCATAAAGGGATCCAGTAGAAAGGGTTCTCGCGCAATGGATCGTATTGCGGTTGTCTGGAGAGTCCCAGGCACCGGCAGTGCGGAAGAGGAACAGGGCGAGGTTGTCATGGAGCCGGCTGAAGGCCAGCCCGTGCCGCAGATGAAAGCAGCGGATTGGGGCGGTGCGAACAAAGACGATCTCGACAAGAATTTGGGTTTGCGCGTGCAAAGTAATCACAGTGTTGATGTGAGCAAGGCCAGTAGCATGAAGAGCGAGGATGGGGACGAAACTGCGAAACAACCCCAGGATGAGGATGGAGGGTCGATAGAAGGTGTCAAGTCGAGTGGGCCAATGGGAGAGGATCTAAAACCGGACGATGAAGGAAGCGAGGGCTTGGAGAAGGACGGGACAGAAACGAAACAGGATTCGGAACTCAAGGTTGGAGAAAAGGGGCCGGGAACACAGGACAAGTCATAGAAGTGTGGATGGTGAGAGGGCTTTCTTTAGCATGTATGATGTACAGTTGGAAGGAATTGCATACTATTTAATGTAGTAGTAATATCATTGAATACAATGCGGCATCGATGGTACTATTGCTGATCTTGAATGCTGCGCAGGGAGAGTTGCGATGTCATCGCGGGGTGGAATGTGCAGAAACAACACGGCGGAGATGCAGAACGGGAATCGGGTTTCTATTGCTTCGACCAACGCCCGGCGAATGAGTCTTTAAGTAGGGCTTGGGTAGCCGAAATTAGAGCCTCATTATTGCTTCAGCCATACTTCAACACCCGTTCATGAGGTTGCTGCGATGGGGCTCACGGGAGGACGTTGTGGCGAAGCGACGGCCCGATGCCCTGCCCCTCAACACCAAGCACCGACATCCGCGTAGGTCTGAGCGCCATCTTGATGCATCAGGAAGTGGATTTCTTATTCCCGGCGAATCTTTGGCTTACCCGATGGCCCGATCCCTGGACCGCGGCGACCGTCTCGGGCTATCACTGTTCGCAATGCGCTTCCTTGCCACCATCGCTGTCCAACACGTCGCTGAGGTGAATGTCCTGACCACAATGTGGGTGAAGCACATCTTCCGCACGACAAGCAAAGAGGAACTATAGGCGAATGCGCAGGACGGCTGTCGCAGATATTACCAGACGATCCGGGATACCACACCGTCAGATCGTTTGTCGCTATTCCGGGGTCATTACAACGGCTAAGTATTTCTTGATGTGAGTCGGTTCGGCAATGGGGTTATTTTCTCCATCAGGCATGTCTAGGCTGTGAATGTTGAGCAACTGAACGTGTGTGAGATCAAGGACTATTGGGAGGTCGAGGCATTAAATGGGTATCAGGATAGAATAAATAAATAGTTTGGCAAACAGATGCCAGGACGTATGTGTGCATCAATAATGTCTCCCTCTTCCTCTGTAGTGGCGTTCTCCTCGATACCCTCCGTATGGGGCGCCACGCCGGTGATCTCCTCGGTCCCTGTGGCCGTGGCCGTGGCCGTGATATCCACCTCCCCTGTGACCGCCTTCACGCTGAGGCGGAGGGATCGGCTCCTCAACCTCGATCTCGTACTCCTCAAACTCTTCGTGGAAATGCTCCCGAACAGTTTCTTGCTCGCTTCGTGCGCTCTCGGGATCAAACACAAACCGCATGGTCCCGTCCTGCCCACGCGCCGTCCGCCGTCCTGATGCGTCTCCAATCATATTTGACGTCGTGACAGGTGAGGTTGCCGAGGCGGGGGTTGAAGGCTGTGGATCTTCTGCTTCGCATCGGGTACAGTGGAACAAGTATCGCGGCTCAAAGGCCTTCTCAAGATCGTTGTTAAGCCGGATCTTGATGTCGATAATCTTGTTGAGGTCGAACTGTGACCCTAGCTCCGTTGACTTGTAATGCTGGGCGTATAGGTCCAGGATGTCAAGCATCGTTTCCATGACGGCGCCGCGGTGGTATTGAGGCTGTTGAGCTGCGAATTCATGGACCTTTTCTACATGCTCCTCTCGCATCAAGGCTGTGAGCTCCACAATGGCCATGACCATGGAGAAAGTCGTGCGCTTTATGGGCACAAAGGTCTTGTACATGTCGATGCACATATCGTAGGCGGTCGCGAAGAACTCTTTGCCATCTTCCTTCCCCAGGATTTTCCGGACAACTTTGACGAGCAACTTCTGAGGGTACCGCGTTCGGAAATCAAACCCGATTGTTTCTAGGATGAGGCGTTCGAGACAGATGATGATTTTTCCCGGCGAGTCGAAGATCTATGCTGGTCAGCGGCTAGTAACAGCAGGCCATTCCGGAATGCGTACCTTATCATCGGGCGTCGTCGCCTTCTCTGGGTTTTTGACATTGTATGCAGCCGCAAGAATCTCCTTAGATTTCTTGATGGTATCTTCTACCTTGCATGCCACAAAAAGAGAAGCCAGAGCGGCATCCTGGTAGTTGTACTCGGCGTCGCGGAAGTTGAGTCGAAACTTGTGGAAGTACGTGCACGCCGTATCGAAAGACCGAACAGGCCTGCTTTCGTCAGTACTGGTCGCCAAAGGGTTTTTGGAACATCTCGCCTGAGAAAAGTCCTCTCCGACAGCTGGGAACTCACAGTTGTAGGTACGCCCTCACATTCTCAATCAGCTGCACACCCTGAAGACGGTAGCTATCCTGTCGAGCCGGGTCGCAACCGTTGTCCTTGAGCATGCGCCGGAGCCTTAGCTCAGTAGTGTATTGGTTGGAGCTGGAGATGAAACCCGGATGAGGCCCGATCTTGGGGACGGTGTCGCCATTGGTCGCGCTTGGAGGTTGATCTGAGACTGAAGGCGCCATGATCTTTTTTTTGCTGACGAAGTTTTGGACGTTCGGGCGGCCGAGAGTTGCCCGACTCGGTCTGTCGACTGCCTTTCCGAGGGCTTTCAATCTCCCAAACTTATCTTCTCGAGTGTATTGGCAATCGGATCTGGTTCTCTGGGCGGCCAGCGCCGTGCGGCCGAGATCGATCGTGATCGTGAGGGCGCTAGAGAGGCGCGGGAAGGCTGCGGCGGTCGGGGCTCGGGGAGTCGTTCGTTCGGGGTCTTTGTTGCGATGCAAATACTCCGGACAATTGAGGCAGCTGGATTTCAGCGCTGAGCAAGCTCTCGTCGTCGTACAGGTCTCGTGGCGGGTTGTGTGTCTGGGTTCAAAGCTGGTTGAGGTTTGGAGAAGCTCACGTTGCGACAAGGCTGAGGCGCAAGTGTGGCGCTTGCTGTGGCGTTCTTTCACCAGCCACACTTTGCGGAACCAATCCATCGACCAATGCGAACCACGCTGGTTCCGTAAATATCAGAACCTTGCAGGTTATAAACATGGCCAGTTTCGTCGAAGAAGGAAAAAATTACATCTTCCAAACAGCCTGAAAATGGCAGACTCATTTTACATAAAACAAACATTGCAGCTGCAATAGCTTTTGTAGCGAAGGATACAGGGTAGGGTCGGACGAACTGACAGACGTTCTTAAAGAGGCTGGACACCTGATACAGAACATTCGGCGTCCTTAAGGATGATACCCACATTAATTATGAAAAGATATCATTCAAACTATAATGCTTGCTATTTCCAACTCGATTCAGACGGTCCAAAACAAGCCCCAACCAAAGGCTTTTTATGCTCCTCGATTGAAACGAGCCCATCCGAAAAGGTTCTTGCCGCCATTGTAAACCGAACGCGACCCGTTCTACACAGCGAGCAGACTCACTCATAATGCTTGTAAGTATTTTTAACTAACCCATTGGAAATGGCGGTATAAATACAAGTCTAAAGCCCTATTCCAGCTTAACCCACTGGGAGCCCGGCTTGAGATCCAGTCACGCCAAATGAAGAGGTTAGGCACGGACAGCCAAGATTAGCGGAAGCAATTATTCAAAGCCTGGCCGAGAAAGCCAGTGGTGGAGCGGAAGAGCTGAGGAAGAGTTTCCCTGAGCGATGTGAACTGCTGGCCGTGCATCAACACTCGGATACTAAACACAGCGGCCGCTGGCAGCCCCACGAAGTTCACAAGGGAGAACAACAACAAATCCAAGTTCTGAGCCTTCCACCATGGCATGCGCATATCAGCTGTTTGCAGGTGCATTGGTCGGGCGACTCGTAACTCAGAGTCATACATAACCTCCTCGATCAGACCGGCGGCGAGGTGCTTCCTTCGAGATGCGGTACGTGCGATATTCTCCATACGCTCGACATTGCGCATGAAGGATTCGTTCGTTTCTTCGTTCAACAACGTAGATATGTGAGCGGCAACTTCTTCAGCTGTAAATGTGTTCTTCTCCAGCTGCAACCCCACCCCTGCTTGCTCCATTCGTACACCGTTGGCAAGCTGGTCGAAAACAAAGCCTAGTACTATCACGGGTATGCCGTGGTACACCGCTTCGTTTGCTGAGGAGCCGCCGGCGTGAGTGATGAAGACTCTAGTGTTTGGGTGGTCCAGTATGGCGCGCTGCGGTGCGAATCTGGGGACCAGGAACTCCGGCACAGCCCCGTCAACCAATTCGCCCAAGGTGAAAGACTTTCCTTTGGCTCTGGAAACGGTTTGCCCGCGATCCAATCTGTCAACATTGGCCTTGTTTAAAGCCCACACTACGCCGTTCACAGAACCAGCATCAAGTGCTTGGACCAACCCGGCGAGTAACTTTTCAAAAGCTGGCTTCGGCAGCACAATATTGGTGCCGAGGGCGACGTAAACAGTCCGGTTGTGAGCCTCAAGGAACCTGGCATGTCGCTCATCAAGGCCAGGATACTCATCTGCTAGGATAGGTCCCACGGCGGCCACGAGCGGTGGCAGGTCCTTAGGAGTCTCGAGGCCAAAGAATGAGTTGACGAGCACAAGATGGTGTGGCCTAGGACCGCCAGGTAACATGGGGTACTTGGCACCATTCTTCCGGCGGAGATTGGTAAACCAGGCCATCCAGGTAACAAAGTGAGGCACCGCCCAAACCACAGCCAGTTCATTGCGCAGTCGTGACCACAGCGAAGCATGCTCCGAGGTCAGAGTCACATCAACCTGGAAGCCAGGTTGGCCGGGAATGTACGGTGCCGGCGCAAGCAGGTACGGCATCTGTGGCCAGACGAGTGCGATGGGGATATCGAACTCGAGCATCATATCTTTGGCAAGGGCCTCGGCGAAGAAGTCGGCGAGGATAAAGTCGGGCCGTGTCTTGGGGTCGATGCAGAGTTCCTTCATACGCTTATACGTCGCAGGCCAGAAAGAGTCCCAGAGGTACTTGGACTTCCACATACGGGAACTTCCAAGCGCGTCCTCTACCTTTAGATCGACCATGCGCTCCCAATGCTCACGGAACTGCTCTTCCGTTGGACCAGGCCCGAGGTTGCAGACGGTCTTGATGAAGCCATAATTCTTGGTCCAGACCTCCTGTCCGTCGTGGGTAGCAAACTGGATTGTGTGTCCCCGATCGGCGAGGACTCGACAGATGTCCAAGACAGGTGCTATTAGCAACTCATGTCAGTGGTCTATTCGTGGTTGCTCAATAATGGTCCATACCGGCGTGTGTAAAACCGCCTGATGTCACTAGTGCCAAAATCGTCCTTTTGGGGGTATCTGGACTCATCATGCGTCTGGGGTAAGAGGTATGTTGAAGCTTGGGAAATTAATTGTCTGCATTGCGAGGGTTATGCGCTATAATGTAAGACTATGCTTCGGGCTTTACCGGCTGCGACATTTTGGTCGTACGAGACCTCACGGTCTCATGATCGAGGACGCAGGGGGATTACCGCGCCGCAAACGAGTAATTACGTATCATATAGGCTGTATCCACCTCGAAGGATTCTTGTTGGAATTTAAAAGCCCATAGGAGGCGGGTTCCTCAAACCCGCGCAGCCGAAGCAGAAATCGGAACTATTTGGATCAACCAGGTTTTGGAGAGTGGCTGCACTACAAATTGAGCTGAAATAGCAGATAAACGAATCTGTCTTTAGATATATCTTGGAAATTAAGGTATTTCTGGCGAGATTCAGTCAACTCTCGGATGATTTCCCAGTCAAATGGATTACCCTGGAAAATTCCACAGATAGCAAGTTTATTCTATGAAGGCTACGGCGTGGAGAACTCTCAGGCTGTTTCGTTCCATTGAAAATGTGTCCCAAGAATTTACCAACAGGCATAAGCTCCAGAATGATATACCTGCAATGACTTCGAGAGCATTAAGTCCCGATCCAGTTTTGGAACCTAAATCCTGGAAGAAGTTCAACTTCTGGAAAGCTCTTGGCTTTGCGATTTGTTCCTCTGGATCTGTCAGTCTCTCCCAATTTCTCATGCACAATTCCACGAAACCTCGCTAACTTTGATCCGGGCCAGTGGGATGGATAGGTTACATCTCTCGCCTAGGCATGACCAGCAGTGGTTCCCTCGGTTCAGTCTGGGGTTGGGTATTCTTACGCTTGCCACTTCTCTAACAGAGTATGCCAGGTAACTATTCGATTCGTTCACCCCCTGGTTCAGCATCGTTGGCCTTTGGCTTGGGTCTTTATCTGCTGGCATGTCTGTCGCAGTCCAAGCACAAGCATACGCCGCCGTTTCTTCGGATTACACACCGGTGACATGGTACAATTTCCTGGTATGCCACACAATGACTAAAGACACACTAGCATCACCACCGATAATAAATATTAGATCAAATTCGGGGGTTTGGCCTGCTGGCTCGTCATGTATATTTTCTCCAACCCCTTTTGCACTGGATGAACCAGTTGAGTACGTCATACTCGCCAAAGCTGAATCGATCCCTGACCGATTTGGACATGTAAACAGTGTCTGACTTGATTGAACTACGACACTGAACTATGCCCTAGTTATTGGGATTCATTTCACCGGTTTTGTGCTAGTAATTGGACTTTTGACCGGCACTACAAAGAACAAGCACGACGCAGAATATGTCTTTACCATTTTTCAGAACCTCACTAGATAGGAAAGTGACTTTGTGTCCTGGTAGGCCAGCCTCCTTTCATCACCCTATGCCCTCTTCTCTCTTTTCACGGCTTGCCACTTTGCGGAAGAGATACCCAATGCCGCCGTAGTGGTACCACGTGCCAGTAAGTCGTTCCGTTTTGAATGGCTTTCTCTGTTCAAAAAGTTCCCAATAATATTGAAGGCTTTTTGCAACGCCATCACCGCTTCCCCCCTGATAATCGCTATCTTATTCTGTATCGGCGACGCCTCCTCAGTCTTGGCGTCTCCAATTGGAACTATGAGCCCGTTGACATAAATCGTGATCAACAGCACAGGCAACGTCGGTGTCTCCGTCTTCCTCCATAATAGATTCCACATCCGGCCAGACCACATCTATCTTCGGATCGTTTACTTAATGTCAGATATGGAGGCTGCATTGCGACAGATGCAGGCCGGAACCCATATTGGATGACTCATTTTCTTCCCATAACCCGGGGATCAGGTCAAGGTTATTTCTCGCGCCCGGGCTGTGAACTTGGCGAGTAATTCCAGCACGCACATAATCACCGGTGGTCTCGGTGGTCTCGGTTGCGCCATCGCACTCCGGATGGTGCAGAAGGGAGCCAAGAATATTGTCTTCGTTTCTCGGAACGCCCAGTCGTATCCTGGTGCCGCTTCGCTTGTCCAGCAGGCCAAAGACGATGGTTGTAATTTGCAAGTTCGCAGTTGCGAGGTGTGGATGAAACAGTCTGCGGGAGCTTCTAGAGGACTGCGCTAGACTACGCTTCCCAAGGTCGCGGGCAAGATGAATTTACATAAACACCTCCCCAACCAGTCTTTCTTCATTATGCTATCGTCCTGTGCTGGCGCCTTCGGTCATTTGTCTCAGGCCAACTACAATGCTGGAAACACATCCGGAATGCCCTTGCTCGACACCGGACCTCAGTCGGCATGCCCGCCGTATCGATCGACCTAGCTGTAGTTAAGTCAGCTGGGTTTGTAGCTGGGGCAGATGCCGCAGAGTGAGCGCATTCCGAAGAGTTTAGGCGAGGATGTCCTCGAAATTGACCACGTCCTGGGGATCATCGAGACTGCCATCCGAGAGCCGTTGCGGGCCTCCTGATGATAGTCAGATCGTCAGCTGCCTGGCTCGTTACGGGTCCATCATTGAAGGCTCAGCAAGTAAGCGAGATCGCCGATTCGCAACGGTGAGGATGTCGGACCGGACTACCGTCTCAGATAGACTAGCAGCAGAGAATACGGCATATGCCACCACTGTGCTGATCCAGACGCTTTCAAGTAGCGGTGTTTCGCTGGTGGATGCGGTGTAGGCGATGATCGCTCAGGCGATCATTGGCAAGCTAGCAGAGATTTTCAATATTGCGATGGCCGAGATCGACGCCACCTTGCCAATGTCGCACTACAGTGTCGACTCGTTGGTCGTAGTAGAGTTGAGAAACCGGCTGGGAAGTGCCGCATATGCCAATGTACCCATCTTCACCATTCTCCAAACCCCCTCACTCACCGAATTTGCCTCATTGGTGGCCTCAACTAGTGAGTTTTTGAAGATAGAGGTGTAAGGAGGGTATGGAGTAAATATACATGTTTAGCTAGAAAAATATCTCAGCGGAATAGAACGGTACGCAAACCCGCTTTGATCCACGGCAAAGCGACTGTGGTCACTGGACTAATGCAAACGTATATTGACTATACTAGGGAGGTTCGGGATAGCAGCTTACCAAATTGCGAGGGTATATGGCTGGACATGTAACCCAAAAAAGCAACAGGGCTAGAGGGGTTGTGGTGGTTTGTATTGCTATTGCTTGAACGAATTCTGGAGAGACTTTTCTATATGCGTTGGATGTTCCTTATCTCCTTCTCTACGGTGGAGCTGTCTCAATTCGGGCCTTTGGCGTGCCTCTAGTGGTGGGCCTGCCCCTTGCAAAAACAAGCATTTCCAGGGAAGATCCAAACAAGGATCATTTGCCACCAACGCGACCGGGCTGACGAAGAAACAGGAGATCGGACAAGGAGTGGTTTCATTTTTTGTTATTGATTTCTATCTAATTTAACACCTTCTAACGCCTGTTCTAATGTGATCCGTTGACAAAGAAACAGCAAGGCCAAGCTTTTTGTTTACGGGGCTTGACCCACGGTTTCGTCGCTGTTCGAGTAAAACGACGCCATGCAAAGACTAATCGAGATGTTAGCTGGTGATCGCATTTCATTGGAAGTATCAACCTCAAGATGGCAGTGGAGGAGGCAAGAGCTTACCTGAATGAATCATGCTGTCGTCCGGAGGCCGTTGCCACCAATTTCGATTCCAGTTCTTCGATGCTGACGCTTGAGCTTTGGGTATATGAAAATGATTGTTCGAGTCGTCTGTGAATCGTGTCGAAGGACTTGGTGTTGGTTTGGCAGGCCCGGTTCCGAGTTTATTTATTCCAGGTCGATTCCGGAGACGGTGGGGACGTGAGAGTCACCAGCGCGAGGCTGGAAAGAAGGGAAAGGATGAGCGGCAGCCAGAGTGGCGCAAGCGATGGCGATGATGGCGGAGGCGTTCATTTTGATGTTGTTGTGAGGAAACGATGTTTATGGATTGAGTTGTAGGTGGGAAAGACTGGGTTTTCGTGTCCGAAATGGTAGAGTATGGAAGAGATGGGATGAAAGATGGAAAGACTGTTTGACCTTGCTCGCAGAGCTTGGGAAGGAATGTTATTTGAGTGATTGTGTTCAGAGTGAGTGGGTTGGATTGGAATGTTTTCGGGTTCGATAGGTGGCCGGAACCTCGCTTTTGACCGCAACGGGCCATCGGGTGAAAGCCACTGTCTCGAACCACTCGTCGTCACCGCAAGGGGCGTCGTCACCAGCTTCGTGTCGTGGGGTAGAAACAGGGGGGATCAGCCATACGTCTCCATCCCCACTTGGGCCGAACGCCTCTAACAGGCTCACAACCCCCTACGCATGCGGGTTTATTGAGGGTCATAGCTGGTGATGTTTGACAGAGAATGATTGACAGAGACTGAAAGATGTGGGCGCCCGACGAATGGAAGTGCCGTCTCACCCGCTCGTGGCAGACTTTGCATTGTTTGTGGTTTGGTCGATCCCGCTGCGTTTACAAATTCTGAAACGCCTCCCCGGACCAGATGATAGCGGCTCTGGCTCTGTGAGCGCGTCGACCCCGGGAGTCGTCCGTCCTAGGAGTAGTCCGTTCTGGCTGTGCTACGCGTACCGACCAGCTTGCCATGCAATCCTAGTGATCATCACGGGGGGAATTAACCCAACAGTAGGCCTCCCGAAGATGCAGGACCCGCCTCGACGGCCCTGCGCTAGATTGCCGGGTCGTCGCCGGGCTAGAGACGTAGGTACTACGCGGCAGAGCGGCGCGGTTGGAGATGATGCAGTGGCGTAGACAGAGGGATGCGTAGGAGGTGAAGGACGAGAGCTCATGGCAGGAATTGGATGAGGCGTCTGGCTGACGATGGTAGATTAAGTCTGACCAAGTCGACTGACATCCCGGGAATGGGGAAGCTTACACAGAAACTCTACGCGTACAGAGCACAGTCGCTCATATCCCTGCCCAGTTGCTCGTCCTTCGTCTTTCCGTATCCACATTGCCATCCGTTCATCGTCTCGCTTATCGTTATCGTATTCACTCATGAAGTAAGAAAGCTTTACGCGGATGTGATCCAGCCCTGCACCATCGAGTTGTGGAGTTGGCTCGTAGACGTCTATCGTGGGTTTAATGCAATATCAATTTCGACCAATAAGCCTGGGAATAGGTAGATATAATAGTAGTAAATTTGATGCGCAACAATTGTTTGATCGTTTTAAGATCAGCTGATCTTTTCTAAGGATGACTCAAAGGCAGGAGGGAGGCTGCAATATAATACACTGTAGAGTGTTGAGAACTGCCCAAATTCACAACCACAGACCTCAGGGCTAAGCAGCGTTCTTGGTTCCATCGCCATTGCTTCACTATGTCGAAATTAACAAAAGAAGGCCTCGCGGCTTTGCTCGCTGGGCTCGGCGCAGATGCGATCCCAGCTGCCGCTGATCTCCCCGCTGTGCACATCCAAAGTCGACCAACCGACATCTATCGTGCGTATGTCGTCGATATCCTGGCAAAAGCAACCGATTGCGAAACCTCACTCATCTGCGACGCCGTACAATCGTCGAATACGCTTCCCCACGGTGACTTTTTATTGACGGTACCCCGTTTGCGAATCAAGGGAAAGAAGCCAGACGAGCTGAGCGCCGAGCTTGCGGCGAGCTTTGATGGACATCCGCTGCTTCAAAAGCCGGTGCCTAGCGGGATCCATCTACCGATCTTCTTCGCTCCACGATCTCTCCCACGACTCCTCCTCCCGTATATTTTCCAGCGAGGCAATTATTACGGACATGACTCGGTCGTTGGCCTCCGCGACCCATCCGCGCCCCATCTCGGCCGCAAGAAGGTCATCGTCGAATTCTCATCGCCCAACATCGCCAAGGAGTTCCATGCGGGGCATCTGCGCAGCACCATCATTGGTGCCTACATCGCGAACCTGTACAAGAGCATGGGCTGGGATGTGGTCAAGGTAAACTATCTCGGCGACTGGGGCAAGCAGTTTGGCCTTCTCGCCGTCGGCTGGGCACGCTTCGGATCCGAGGCAGAGCTGGCTCGCGCGCCCCTCAATCACCTGCTCAGTGTCTACGCTCGTATCAGTGCCCTCTTCAAGCCGGAACAAGACGCCAGCAAGCGCGCCCGTGACCAAGGTCTTGACACCGCCGAGATTGAATCGCAAGGGCTATTCGCCGAGCGCAACGCCTTCTTTTCCCGTGTGGAAAATGGAGACCTGGAGGCAGTTGCGTTGTGGGAGCGCTTTCGCCGCATCAGCGTCCAACAGTACGAGTTGATGTATTCCCGTCTCAACATCGAATTTGATGTGTATTCTGGAGAGTCACAGGTTCAAACTACCTCCATGGAAGCAGTGGAGAATCTCCTTTGGGAGAAGGGTGTGTACGAAGAGAGAAATGGGTCATGGGTGATCGATTTCGAGAAGCACGGCTCTAAAGGCCTTGGCTTTGTTGTCGTGCGTGGACGCACAGGAACCACTACCTACCTCTTGCGAGATGTTGCTGCCGCGATTGAACGAGAGCAACTGTACAAATTCGACAAGATGATCTATGTCGTCTCCACGGAGCAGGACCTTTACTTCAAGCGTCTCTTCAAAACCCTTGAACTCATCGGGCGCGCAGATCTGGCTTCCTGCTTGCAGCACATCAACTTTGGCAAGGTGGAGGGCATGTCTTCGCGACTCGGCAATGCCAAGTTGCTTGGTGACATTCTCGACCAATCCAATGAAGCAATGCACGAAGTGATGCGCCGCAATACCCAGAAATACGCCCAGGTTGTCAATCCGGGGGCGGTTGCTGAAGCTGTAGGCATCTCCGCAGTCATGGTGCAGGACATGTCGGGCAAACGTATCCACAACTACGAGTTCGACATGGCTCGGATGACGTCCTTTGAGGGCGACACTGGTCCTTACTTGCAGTATTGTCACGCCCGTCTAAATTCCATTTTGCGCAGGGCAGAACTCACCAGCGGGGATCTTGCTGCCTACCTGGCTGACAACCCAGTCGCGCTGGAAACAGATCTCGCCGAGAAACAGCATTGCGTCGACCTTTTGCGATTGATGGCCCAGTACCCCGATGTTACCGCCACGGCCCTGGGGAACCTTGAACCATCCACGATATTAACCTACTTGTTTCGTTTGGCACACCAGCTCTCGTCCTGCTATGACGTGTTGCAGGTTGTGGGTGCTGAAGGAGGTCGAAACGTGATGCTTGCCCGTGCGGCCCTTTACGAGGCAGCTCGTCAAGTGTTGGAGAATGGGATCAAGTTGCTTGGGCTGAGCCCTGTCGAGAGGTATGACCCTGTTGCGCTTACTAGTCGCTCCCGTTCTTGGCATGGCCATCTTGCGCTAACCGTTGATCTAGGATGTGATGCTGAACTTCGGCCATGGTAGAGGATTTCTGAATGATTAATGGCGCTTGGTAGGGAGTAGTTCGGGTTATTATGGAGAAATGCGGGTTAGACATGGGAATTTTTAGCGTCTTACATAGTGTTCTCTTTCGTGGGCCAATAATCATGGCCATTGAGACATTGAATACCAATTATTTGCGACATTCGTTGTGACAGAAGATGGAGAAACGCTGGAGGTTTTTTGATCTGAAGAACAGTCTCCCCTACCGCCAGCGTTGTTGTGGCTTGGACCGATGACACTCACTGTCAATCCACTCTGTTTCGACCAGTTTCAGCAGGAACATTAGCGAGCCAATGCCTCAAAAATAAGGAGCATATACCTCTATGTTCTATCGCCTCTACTTAGTGCCGAAGGCGATGCTTAGTGCAAATTCTTAGTGGGCTCAAATATGCATGCGTATTGCCTTGGTCGAAAGCAAGTTTACTACCGTTTTATTTATGTCTTAGACTTATATCTGCTAATTGTAGGTACGAACAGTAAGTACAGAGCACGGCATGAAGCTTGGGGCCCAGATGCAGCCACAGCCAAGCCAAATGCGGAACATCTCCACGCCGGGCTGGCCAATGGGAAACTCCAGAGCTCGGGCTGGTGCCTTGCCACTCGCTCCCGTCGCATTCACCAGCACCGGACGCGGAATGATTGCTGACGCCTAGATTCATCTCCTCAACCATTTCCCCGAGGGCTCTTCAGTTGCACACAAAGTTTCTGTTGCGACTCACATCCCATTTCAACGCATCGCCATGTATTCTTCCTCGCTGCTCCGGCTGGCCGCAGCTGCCCTCGCGCTCGCCGCCCACTCGCATGCGGCCCGCACGGGTGACGACGACGACTTCGACGACACTCCCCTGCCGCTCGTCATCTGGCACGGCCTCGGCGATGCCTTCAACGCCGACGGCATCAGGCAGGTAGGCGCCCTGGCCGACGCGATCCACCCGGGCACCTTTGTGTACACCATCGCCCTCGGCGCCGACGCCAACGCGGACCGCCGGGCCACCTTCTTCGGCAACGTCACCGCCCAGCTCGACTCGGTCTGCGAAGCGCTGGCCGCCCATCCCATCCTCTCCACGGCCCCCGCCGTCGACGCCATCGGCTTCTCCCAGGGCGGCCAGTTCCTGCGCGGCTATGTCGAGCGTTGCAACTTCCCTCCCATCCGCAGTCTGGTCACCTTCGGCAGCCAGCACAACGGCATCTCCGAGTTCCGCGACTGCGGCGACGCCGACTGGCTGTGCAAGGGCGCCATGGCCCTGCTGCGCTTCAACACCTGGAGCAACATGGTCCAGTCGCGCCTCGTCCCTGCCCAGTACTTCCGCGACCCGCAGGACTACGACTCCTACCTGGAGAACTCCAACTTTCTTGCTGACATCAACAACGAGCGCGAGCTCAAGAACGCCCAGTACAAGGAAAACATTGCCAAGTTGACCAACTTTGTCATGTACATGTTCGAGGACGACACCACTGCCATCCCCAAGGAGTCGTCCTGGTTCGAAGAGGTCAATGGCACCGAGATCACCCCTCTGCGTGCCCGCAAGATGTACCAGGAGGACTGGATCGGCCTCCGTGAGCTCGACCGCAAGGGAGGCCTCAAGTTCCGCTCTGTCACCGGCGAGCACATGCAGATTACTGAGCAGGTCCTCAACGACACCATGATCGACTTCTTTGGCCCTTACAAGAGAAGCTTTGATTCTGATGCCACTGCCCCTGATGCCGTCTTCGAGTCTGAGGAGCTGTAGGTTTGTGACTGTATTCATTGTGATTTATATTGGGAATATGCTTTGGAATCGAATTGGAATGTACATGGGAATCATGGGTCAGGCTAGCGTGTAAACACATCATCAATAACAATCTGCAACGCAAAGTCTGCAATTCTATGTATTTTCCACCCTTTCAACGCCCAACACCAATGCCTGATTATGCGAGGTATCAATCCATAGCTTTCTTTGCCACCACCTTCTGCTTTCGAAGCCTGCTCTTGCGGTCCGAAATCTGCTTGTCTAGCTTGTTATCGTCACCCTCGGGCAGCAGCAGCTGCTTCTTGGCCTTCTTCTTGGGCGCGGGCGACTCGGCCTCCGATGTGCCGTCAAGCGACTTCCTCTTCTTGCCAATGTTGGCCTTCTCGGCCGCCTTGATGGCCTTGGTCTCCTCGTCCTCGGCGATGACGTCCTTGTCGTCCAACCAGAGCTCATCGGTCAGCCAGATGGGCAGGGCGGTGGACTCGGGGCCCTTGATATAGATGCTCTTCATGTTCCGCCACTTCTGGGGAACCCACTTCTCGACTAGGGCGGTGGCCACGGCCTCGACGTTGGCGGCCACTTGCTCGGGCGTCCAGTTGGAGTAGCCGACGCGGACGGCGGTGTTGGTTGTGGGGGCCAGGCTGACGAGGGCCGAGCCGAGAGCCTTCTCAACCTCCTTGGCAATGTCGGCGGGTGTGCCGGCGTTGACGGTTCCCTCCGTCTTCGTTCGCTTCGTCCGCTTGCCGTCCACCTTAGGGGCCTTGGCCTGCAGCACCACTGGGATGGGTCGCTTCTGTGTACTCTTGAAGAAGGTCTTGCCGAGGACCTTGGGTAACCGGTTGATGATGCGGTCGTCGCCGAGGAAGACATCGTGCTCCGAAAAGAGCTTCCTCTGTGCCTCGTACTGACCGTACTTGGCCTTGAGCTTGCCAAAGTCGATGACTCGGGTGATGCGCTTGGAGAGCTCGGCGGGGAACTCCTCCGAGGCGACAATTTCCTTGTAGGCACGCTGGGGCTCGGCAGTGATGAGGCAGATGGTAATCGACTCGTCGGTGTTGAGAGAGTGCGGCAGCGCAATCTTGCCGGGCTGGAGGCGGGCCTTGTCGGCGATGTGGCGCTTGGTGGTCAAGGTCAACCAGATGGGGGTCTCGAGCGGCTCATCGTCATCCTCGAGGAGGTTGCGCTTGGTGGCTTCCTCCTGCTTCTGCTTGGACGCCTTCTTGATGTGTGCCAAGAGAGCCTTGGAGGCTTTCAGGGTCTGCGGATTGGTCAGCGACACGGTCGACGAGCTATCACGGCGACAAGACAAACCTGGTCGGGGTTAATTGAGGCCAGGGCAGAGGAGCCAGCGGCAACAACATCTTTTGAGGGCGCCATTGTCGCGATCGCAAAATGTCTGTTGGATGGAGAATCTCGAGATCTTTTGATAGTGGGGGGCTCTTATCAGTGCTGGAAAATCCAAATTTTTTTCTACGGTCGGTGGTTGGGCGACCGGAATATGCAAGCGCCGAGCTCCGGTCTTGGCATTTGCCGCCACTCGGCCGGAGACTTTTGGCCCACTTGTCTCACTGACGGCATCACAAAGGAACCACCTTCGGAGACAAAATATACACAGCATCGTGCGAGTTCAACATCCCTGCAACTTGGTGGCTGATTTTCCGTGTCAAATTGTACCCGGAACCCAAATTTTGTAATACTTGCATTTCGGTGATGGCTCCGACACCACAGGACAAACGGGACACCCATAGGCGGGCCTCGTGTGAGCAATGCAGTGGGTCCCAACCCCCAAACCAACTTGACTACCTACTTTCACCGCTGACTGTAAAAGGACAAAAGAAGTTGAAATGTGACGGAGGGTATCCAGAATGTGGAAGGTGTGTTAATGCCGATGAAACTTGCAAATACTCTGCACGTCGTCCTATGGGCCGCCCCAAGAAACGAAAGGTCCAAGAGGACGAGGATCAGGCCAGTGCCACGACAAATAATGACACCCCTCCGTCATCGGGTGAAAGAGAAACTGTCCATGATTTGAGTGCGGGGATGAACTTTAGCGGGCTTGAGTTGTCACCTCAGGCCGCGTTTGATTCGGGCATCGGTTCAACTGATTGGGGGTATGTCGAATCTCGCCATCACGTCTCCACGGCGACTGTCCTCTAACTATATTCCAGATGTGACACTAGTGTCTCTGTAGACACAGACCCAGCACTCCTATGTATGGGCAACTCATCCGGGAAGCCGTCCTGCTCTTGTCTCGCAAGTCTCTATCTGTCCTTGGAGGAGATGCGGTCCGCAGACATCACCCCGTTTACGTCCGGGCTAGCCCAGCTTCGGACAGTTACTGGGAGAGCGGCAACCATTCTCGAGTGTCAAATCTGCCCGAGCGAGTTCGTTTGGGCCATGCAAAACTCCCAGTTGCTGAACACCCTACTTGTGTCGATTGCGGAGACTTATCGGAGACTTGTTACGTTCATTGAGGAGGAGGCCCAACGGGCGACCAACAACAACGAATCCAAGACATTTTTCATCAGTGAAACTCAGCCGGGAAATCCAGAAATGGAGATGAGAGATGGAAGCTACATTCCTCCCAGCTTTCCTCTCAGTCTCAGTCCCGAGAAGTGGAAGTTGCTCGCAAAGGAAGCCGTGAAGGCGGACGTTTTTGGCTCGCCCCATTCGACTTTCACTTCTTTCGCGAATTTACTGCAGTTGATGGAAGATAGACAGCTCGGATGGCATTCGGGTGCCTTGCCATCGTGCATCAGTGTGGGTCATCACCTTCATCACCATGCGCCCGACAAGGAACCTATGTGTGTGATGCTCGTCAGGCACACGAAAAGTCTCATCAACCAGCTTTCACTTGACAGTTGAGAGTCTCTTTGCCATAAATCGTGGAGTCAGACAGACGGGAATTTTTCAAGGGATAGGCGCAGTTAACACTTCGAGGACGCTCTTCCCCTGAACTATTGGGTGATGTGGGCTAGTCTTTGTCCATTTTTGCTGTGTCCTCATTCAGATGTTTTGAGAGCCACCAAAACGGTAGTCTAACAAGTCGACGTGAAATTTGCCCATTCCCGATCTACAGGCCTGACCAGAGGCGCACTACAACTGCCGAATTTATATGAGCAACAAGTAAAAGGACTGGGATCCTCACGCACCACCGGAGAGGATTGTTTTTAAAATAGGCGTTACTATAATGAAACAATACTCATTACCCTTGACATCTTATTTTCATGAAAAGCAATAGGTAGGGAGATTCGTTGCTCTTAATTTAGAGTGTTATTTTCCTTATTTTTAGTGAAGAACAATGCCTAATGACGTTATGGCTCTTACTTGTTGTTTAGGAGAATGACAATAACCAAGGAGGTCCATTCCTCTATTATTCTGACTGGTGCAAAGTCATCAAACTTCAATTCTCCATCACACCTTCCATTTGACTATCATGGGGGAGGACCAATGTATCTTGGAAACGATGAGACGACGAAACGATGAGACGACGAAACGATGAGACGACGAAATGATGAGACGACGAAATGATGAGACGACGAAACTTGAATTTTAATTCAATAGGTGTGTGTGCGAATAGCAATACTCCCATTTTGAGAGCTCTCGAGACAAAGCTTTTTCAAGTTAGGATCTGCCCCATAGAAAGAGCAGGCACGAGGCGGCCGTGGGTCGGAGGAAATGCGCAACCTCAGACCAGGAAGAGCGATGACGGTCCTCCCCCTGAGAGTCAAATGGAGGGCGTCACTGGGGATCAAATTTCCTATGACTTTGTACAAGTTAGAACAATAAGAACAATCAGAGCAACAGACCTCTTTAGCCATTGTCATTCCCCTCCCCTAAACAAGAGCCATAAACCTCATTAGGCATTATGCTTCATTAAAAATAAGGAAAATAAATGTCAACTCTCAGTATTTCTCATAAAATTCAAGTTTCGTCATCTCATCGTTTCTAAGATGTATTGCCGTTGGTCAACTGCCTCTCGCTTGACGCCATTTCTCTCCATGAATTGTCAATAACCATATCATGAACCCTGTCACAGAAATAAACAGCCCAGAAATCGTACTGAACCAGCCGACCCCAATAGTCTGAATCGCCGGCAAACACACAGCAGTTCCCGCAGCAGCGAAGAGGAATCTTGACAAATAATTCCCAGCCACAACCACAGAGCTCTGCCCCTTGTCTTGCATCACATCGATGCAATACGTGTTGAGACTCGGGATACAAAAGAGCTGCGAAAAACCTTGCAGAAACATGACGATGACCACAAAGGGGATACCCCCAAACCTTTTCTCCACGCTCCATCCATACAGGATCATGCATGCCGGCACTACCACGATCATGACCAGTATTGACGCCTTGAGACGATCCTCTGGAACTCTGCGTCCTCGCTTTTCAATGTTCCGGGCAACCGTATAATCCGACCAGCGGCCGCCGAAAAAGCTGCCAATGAGGTATCCTCCTCCGGGGGCTAAGTAGAAGAGAGCACCCTCGAGTGGTGATGTGAGGTCGAATCGTGGGTTCAAAACGTGTCGGATCGGTGTGAGTAATGAATATTGGTTCCAGATAAGGGCGGAGACTGCCAAAGCGGTGATCCAGAGGTTCGGGTAAATAACCAAGGGTCGAATTACCATCATCGGGTTGACGATGATCCCCAGCTCGATAACAAAGTTCCAGACTCCTCCTTCGGTGCTTATCGGCTTCATTTCGTGGATCGTCTCAGGTAGAAGAAATACCACCAGTACTGTGGCCAAGCATGAGAGCCCAGTCAGGATCCAAAAAATGACCCTCCACGATGTGAACGTGATGACAACTCCACCGAGCAAAGGCGCCATGGTTGGGCCAACCAAGATACCCGATAGAAACCAGCTCAGAGCCCGTCCACGTTCAGTCGGAGGATAAATATCTCCAATGACAACTGAACCCACGACTAGATACGCCGTTCCCTGGAACGCGGTAAGCATGCGGAAGGCGAAAAAGGCAGCCAAGTTGGGTGCCGCCGCTGTCCCGATGCTGCAGAATATGAGCATCACACTGCAGATGAGAAAGATCCAGCGGCGGCCGAAACAGTTGGAAAGCGGGCCCCAGAAGATGGGGCTGATAGCCATGAAGACGAAGAACATGGCATTCGAAATGTTGATGATGACACTGGTGGTTCCAAAAGCCAGGGCAATCTCGGGAATGGCCACGAGGAGGGCTGTCGAGCTGATGGGGGTAACGAACCCGCAAAAGCAAAGAGTGACGACTATCCCAAGTTTTCGCATTGGGCTAAATCGACTGTAGACATCGACTGTCTGGTCTTCCATGACAGTCTGTCCCTCCTCTCGGGCATCGTTGTTCTGGGGTTGGCTTGAGCCTATCGGACCGTCCAACTCCGTCGCTTCAAGTCGGGTTGAAGATCGAGCCTCGACACTCTCACCGCTTCCCTGATGAGCCGATTCTTCGGGCATGGTGGATGAGTCGGTGGTTTAAGTGGCTTCTCTGATGTTTCGAATAGTCCCTATCCGAGTCTTCAGGCCACTTCGGGTGTGATCAAATGTCGGCGGTGGCAATTGCTCAGGTACTTTGAAACTCCCCTGTCGCTGTCAACCATCGCAAAGATTGGGTAGGATGGAAAGAAGAATTCGATAACGCACAGTCAGAATGGAACCGTGACAGGTGCTCCATCCTTATAAAGAAGTATCTGCTCCGTAAATCGCTTAACATCTTCCATTCTGATTTGTTCTTCGGCAAAGCAACGCGATATCGGCGGATTGTGACTATTCCCGTCGGCCAAGATGAAAAAACCACCGAGACTCCACTCAAGTGCTACTCAAGTGGGTAAACTATGTACCGCGCCCTTGTCCGGAAACAAGTCCGGGGATATGTGGGCTCCTGACGTCAACTTATTTAATGTCACTCTCATTGGGTCTCATCATCTTTCACAAAAATGGAGTGCTTTCTGACAACTGGCCCGCATCTTGGCATGGTTGTTACTTTCGCAGTGCATCCCGGTGTCGAATTCTTGATGCGTATCAGCCGCTAGTTAGTTAGGGCTGCCGCAATTCCGAATTAGACGCACGGGGACTTTCTTTTGGATTAGATTTTATTCATACTACTAAGAGAATTTTTACAACATGGCACTGAGATAGACCCAGTTCTAGGTAACGAAGGAGATTAAAGTGGTTGAAAGAATGGTCGAGAGTTCCATATGCCTCCAAACGCCGCATATGCCTCATAGGACGGACTACTACATTTCTTGACACGGGTGGGCTGAGAATACTCACCTGGATCGTACGTCCACTCGCCAGAATAAGAAATCGATTCCCCAAGATACAAGAGTTTAAAATTGAGCTTTTCACGCGTAAGGCTCAGACCCCAGCACCTCAGAATCCAAAGAAGCCAAGACAACTTGTATGATCGTTTCAAGTAGATTATTTATTGTGTATGCTGCAAGCATCAACCCCGGACGTCAAACTTCCTTGATATGGTTGCATAGTTTCCCTCCTTGATATCATCACCAAAAGCTTCATCAAAGCCTACATGAAGACATCTAAGGTTATGACTCGTTAATACACTGCCTGGGTGTATTGTCTTCCGTCTCATCATTCTCAGCCAAGGACTTTTGTGATGTTGGCATCTCTTGGGCAGCTACTTCGTTCGCCGTCATTTCCCCAATAGCTGGACTTACACTAGGTACCGGCGGGACTGAGCCTTCCAACTCGTATTGTGGGCCCCGAGGAATACAGTCGGAGTGGAGTTGAGCCTTTTCGTATTTCGGCTCTTCTTGGGGTGGATCCTCTGGAGGGCCGATGTTCTTCTTCGGCCGTCGCCGACGCCAGAAAAACAAGGCAGCGAGGAGGACTATAATTACGACAACCACTGCAACGACTGGCCCAATTATCACAGCTTCTAGGACTTAGCGAGTGGTCCATGAGAGGCTGCAGTTGTTTTACCTTTGTTGGAATTGGAACCCGAGGGTTTGGGTTCGTCTGCCGAGCTTGTTTGCGAAGGGGCTGATACTGCATGTCAGACACATGATGTAAATGTTAAGCGTTGATGAGACCCTACACGGAGTTTTAGATAGATCTTCGAGACCAGGCTTAACCATTACAGTGTGGACTTTGCCAGTAGGATCGGTATAAATAAGGGGCGTGCAGACTGCGCAAGGGATATCTGAGTTGATTGTTGTTGTCGCTGGTGTAGAAGAATCTACGCCGTCGCAATAGGCTTGAAATTGCCGAAACTCTGGATCAATATAGTCATTGATCGTGTCCTTAGTGGCTTCCGAGTTGTCTTGTATGCAATAAGTGCAAAGCCGAAAGTATGTCATGAATGCAGAGCCCTGAGCACAAAGTGCCGGCGTCTTGCCTTCCGACAGCGCAATTTTGTATGCATTGTCTTTTGGGGTTTAGCATGATACTCTGACGGAAATATACAGTAAGGGAGCAAATGGGGGCCAATCTTACTGCAATCGTCATAGCATGCTGATGGAGTTATGGCTCGAGGAGAAAGAAACAAATTGGGAGGGGATGAGACTGACTCGCCAAGGGAATCGGTATCCCGAAATCGGAGGACATGGCGAACGAAAGCCATGATTACAAAACTCAGGCCTCTAACTTAAAAGAAATACTGAAAGAGAAATGGGAATCCGTAGACTGGTTCGACCCCGCTGAATTTATAATGCTTGACAGCTGATCAGGCTCTGTGTCTCGTCTTGGACCCCAACTTGTGGCTGCATTTGCAGATTGAAAACCAGTAAGGTCGGTGAAATTGGGATGACTGCATGCTGCAGTATTTCAGCTGAAACACCCATGCCCATCCATTCTTGCCAAATTTAGTTCATCCCTATGCCGTGAATCCAACTTGAATAACCTTTTTGTACTCTTGAGTTAATCTTAAGCATAAACTCATCACATATTCCACCCGATTCGTCTCGTATCCAACACATATTTCATTTATCGCCATAGCTTGCACCAAATCTCACTTCATTTGTGATTTCCTAGCCTTCTCTGAGGGCAAGCCACAATGTTTGCTCTCCCCAGTAAGAACATCATCTGCGGCCAAGAAAAAGCCACACCTCGTATTCGCTGCATTAGCCCCCATCTCTGCGTTCTGGCTGTGAATGCCGGTTGACTTGGCAATACTTATGCCCTTTGATCCAAACCCTGTTTAGATGGACTGTCTGGCACATTGATACCTCACCATAATCTAAACTGTGACGTTTCCCAATAGTGGCCTAACTGTCGATATTATTAAACTATGGCAATGTCCGTAGGTATTCTTCTATCTGGCCTATCTCAGCACGATGGTCACCTGGATAATGCACCGATGTTAAACCTCCATCCCTTACGGAAAGAATTTCACATAGCAGACAGAATTGGCAGACTTAATTTAAGCGTTATGACTCTCGTCACGGACGTCAAAGGTGACCGGGGTACGTAGTAAGCCCTTGGGACAAGACTGCGATGGCAATTACGCTGGACCCTGGGACATTGTTGTGTCCCGCCGACTTCCCAGGCGAACCAAGTCTGGATTGTGCATGTGTGAATTGCTTTGGCTCCCAGTCCACGACAGAGACAGCCTACCTGCGTTCCCTTGAAAGAGTCCAACATGAGGCTGAGCATCGAGAGCCTGTGGCTGAACTTCGATCCAAAATGCAGCCGGTGATCAGACGGTCCGTGGCACTGATCGCAGAGGCCTGGATCACTGCTGTCACTCCCGATTCGGCGGGCAATGAATCACTGTCGATTAAATGAAATCACTGCCAATTAGAAAAAATCACTTCCAATTATATAAAATCGCTGCCAATGAGATGTACTCACTTGGGCAATCACTCCCGATCAGAGTAATTGATGCCGTGAATCAAATCACTTTATAAATCCCCTCCCACCGCCACCTTACCCCTTTTCTTCTTTCCTTCAGCCAACACAATTGTACGTGATCGAACCATTTCTTTTCGTCCTTGCACTGTTGCACCACCCTTTCACCTCCATCTTCCCTGCATCGTCCATCCACTCCTGTCTCCTCCCCTTTCCTTGTCAACTGGCCACTCCCCGAAACTTCGTTTCGAAGCCCAGAACTCCCTGACCCAGCCCTTCAACTTCACCTTTGTTTTCCCTTCTTCTTCACTTCACTACCCTTGTCTTGCCTGTTACGAACTGAACTAACATTGGACTTTCGCAGACGTTTTTTTATTCAAACATTTTTTTTTTAAAAAGAAAAGAACAATGGTATGCTCTCCTCTAACTCTTTCTTCATCTTGACACACATACTAACCGTTATACCTAGGCTTCCAATGCTGCGCCCGCTCCCACCGCCGCCACTGCCACTGCTGCTGCTGATGCTGCTGATGCTGCTCCCGCCGCCACTACCGCCGCCACCACCGCCGCTCCTCTCCCGCTCCCGGTCCCGGTCCCTGTTCCCGCTCCCACTCCCACTCCCACTCCAGTTGCCGCAACTCGGGGGCAAGCCAGGAGGCCCCCCTGCCGCTATTGCGGGCGGCGGGGTCACCGGTCCGAGATCTGTTGGCACCAGCGTAAGTAGCTTCGCTCCCAAGCTCCCTTTGTTGGCAATGATACCGTACTAATCCTCTATATAGCCAACACCATAACGGTGTTGTCAGGGGGCTCGGCCCTATGGCCCCCGGGGACGAAAGTTCTGCTGGTAAGTACCCGGGCTCCTATTATATTTATGATTTTCCATACTGACAGTTCGATACTAGGCTCCCGGAACCGACCCTGTGGTGTTGGTCCAGGGGCGGCCGAAGAAGGACAAGAAGAAGAAGAACAAGAAGAAGGGCACTGGGGGCGGAGGGTGCCAGGAGAGGAGGGACTTGGGTCGGGGGCCCGAGCCAGGAGGTGGGGGGAGCAGTGGTGCTCCTCCCACCGGCACTTCAATGCAGGGCGTGAGGGCGTGAGGGCGTGAGGGCATGAGGCCAGTATGTTGTTGTTGTTAAAAAAATCCAACTGCAGTTCTCCGGCCGGTCATCGTGACGTTTCTTGCCTACTTTTTATTTGTGATTTGTGACTCATGGCGTTTCTTAAAGAGGAGGACTACAAAGCCATGCGCGACTCTAACTCGAATCACAGCACCTACCACGACCTTTGAGCTCGCTGCTTTAATTTAATGCCTTGCAAAAATGAGGACCTTGTCTACTCTCTCACCGCCCTCTGTTGCAAAGTCGTGAACACCCAGGTGAAGAAGGACAGTCTTCCCAGAAGGATATCACGTGTCGGCGTTAACTTCTGATCGCAGCGTGGGACGTAGTTGATCAGGTCCTCATAGTAGCGACTAAAGTCAGACTCACAGATATACTGGTCATAGTACATTAAAACAGTATATATGCAAGCTTGTGATTTGATCATGAGGTGAATATTACTTCAAATCAAGTAGAAGGCGGTACTTGGTTACTCAACTGAGACATAGAAATTATTTAGGCATCCGTACCATTTCACAAATCCAGCTATTCTGCGTTGACTTTTAATAAGCGCAGCGTAGACTCGGATATTGAGTTCAAGATATCGGACAATTCTATCTTGGCCTCAGGAGTCTCTGCTGGACCTGGTTTCAGACTCGGCCACCCTTATTTCATCCTGCTTCGGGTGCCCCGTATTTGAAGTCAATGGCAGCTCATCTTCTAATGATATCGACTGCTTAGACCTCCCTCCGTAATTCCTCGAATCCGACTCCACCTTGACTTCGATCTTCGTACGTTTGCGGATGCCTGCTCCACTTCCCAGCACTTCGACCGAAGAGAGGTCTTCTTCCGACTCGCCAACCACCACTTTTGACATCTGAACCAATTTGACAGAATTGCTTTTGGTCCAGGGGTGGTTGTCTGGGTTGTTCCGATTGCCACTCTGGCCATTTGAGGGGTTAGAGTTTGACAGTTCAGGATAGTCCTCATCAGAGTTGCCCCGGCTAGCCAAGCGAGTAATAAGCTTGGCCATCGACATTTCAATATTCAGCTTCACCATATATGTAACAGGATGAAACTGAATAAAAACAGACTGGTTTGGAAGCCACATCAACCCGATAAGCATAGCCTGGTATATTAGTTAGCGATGGAAATCGTGTGTGGTCCATGAGTTTCAGTTCTTACATCCATAGCGATAGATAGGACCATCAGTTTCGCATTGAAAGCCACAAGCGGTTTGTACTTTGTCAAATTATGCTGCTGAACAAGTCGTTTCTCAACAATGTGAAGAAAATACCAGTTCAGGGCAGCATCAAGGATCATGATTAAGAACTTGGAAGTTCTATCCCAGTATCTATTAATCTGGACAAAGCTAGGAGGAGTAAGCATTGGGAATCATGATCCTTGTCAACGTACTTACAGTTCGCTCACTGGTGGGTCGCGATGTGCCGGGATGAAGATGCAGAAGACGGCAATATTAATGCATGTCATGATCATGGCAGTACCCCATTTTATCTTGTCGATGGTGCTTCTGTGTTCAGCGATTATTGCGATGCGATTTATTATGATTTGCATCAGCAGCTGAACCTCGAAAACCCAGAAAAATAGAATGAAGAAGAGAACCGGCACCCTGATTCGTGATTATTAGCATCAGCACACTCAAAGACAGATTGTCATCAAACTTACGAAGACTTGACGACTTCATCTATCCATATCCAGCCGATCACAGTGATGCCCACGTTGGAAATAATCTCGCCCCAGAGCATGTAGATGTAGGCACTACGCAGCGGGTTTCGATTCCGCCTCGTATGTTTGATGGCCTCCCAGGTAGTCAAAAAGCCAAAGCCAATGGTAAAACCAACGGCCATGGCAGCCACCTTGTTATCATGTGCAGATGCAGTCATTGCGACGTGTGTGGCCTACGTCGGACTCGAAATGGGGTTCCCAGAAAAGAGAAAGATATGGGAGGGACCCAGGGCAGCCGAGGTGTAAAAAGGCATGGCTGCAACATACGTCAGGCGAGCTAAGGGATCGGCCGTAATAAGTGTGGCGTATCTGGGACGCCGTAAACTATTGATTGCGAGGAGCATGGTACCAGGCGCCGGTTCTAGACGGACTGAACGCTATAGTGCCATTCGTCCGTCTGTCTCAGGCCCGAGTCATTGCATCGGACCTCCAATGATATCATCAGTAAGATAATGTCCAGTCATGGACGGAATACACTTGATAATAATGGGGTGAATACGGTTACCCCATGTACAAATCCATCTCCCTGTGAGATAAAATCTAGGAGACTGATCCTTATTATGCGTCATGGATCATCTTGTGCGGAGACGACGGGTTGTAAGTGCCTGCAGCTCGTCGCGAGAAGCTTGTTTAGCTTGCTTCCGCTTCCGCAATCCGGGTGGCTTCCGGGTGGAGACTTGCTAATTAAAACCACCCCAGATCAGATGCGGATCCGATCGACTCATCGATCCTACTCGCCTGTGCGACAAAGGGGTGCGGCGCCTGTATTGTCTAACTAAGATCTTTTCGGCACACGCTATCTCATTCCCTTCGTCTCTAGAATTTACCAGGCCGGGGTCAAGCAATGTCTTAGCAATATCTGTTCGCGGCTGAAATCTTCAGCTACTGACTACACTACCAGGTCGACGCGAAATCCCCCATGTTAAGTTTGTATTGGGAAACCTGACTTTGCTCAAAATGTGTTTTACCTTGTACATTTCAAAAAGATGGTCGCTTTTTTGGTTGCCATCAACAGCAAACACTACCTGATCGGCTCGACCTAGTCCTCACATCTCGACACATCTATTTCGTCCGGTGCAAACGACGATCGCTGCCCGTTAGACTAAATCCTGCGCGGAGTTTAGTCCACTGCGCTGCTCGTGGAGGCGCAAACCCTTTCAAACATTCTCTGGGGCGCGTCTCGTCCTGGCGAATTCTGAGAGGAGCCATTGCTAACTCTTACGAGTTTAATGGTTGACTGCGGGCGAATGCAGTCCACTCAAACACGTCATCCACACTGAATGACGTCTCCACGCCAGCCGCAGAGCCGGGATGGCCGCTGGATGCTCCAACAGCCGTGACCAGGCAGCATGCGCCATCCTTCAACAACTACATTGACCTCGTTTGGTTCATGCACCCATCACTGCCAACCCTTTTTATCGGCTAGGAAACGGCTATGGTAATACCGAGAATAACGGAAGATTGGTCCGTCGTCAAAGAGATAACATCGGCTAAAGTAGGTGTATGTTCTACTGGCAAATAGACTGCAGATATGTCAGTAGGTAGACCCTCACGACGCAGGATCGTTGTTTTCCTATCAGCAATCGTAACAGAATCGGGGTTGTTGACAGGAACTAAGTAGCTACAGACTCGAACACAACATGGTTGGAAATGCCAGCAACTGCAATGGCTGCCGTCGAGAACAGCTTTCAACTCACTTTGGATCGGTCCATCTCAGTCAACCCGTATGTCAGTCCTGAAAGTCATACTTGTCCGAATCCTGAATCAACAATGAACTAGACTTCAGATTTATTCAACACCTATTAAAACTAATGGTTGTTCTATCGCTACAATAGTGCTGCTCCGGGAGTGCTACCATTGACTAGGTGTGGACCTCAAAGATCCGGGTTACGAAGGCTAGCGTGGGACGTTTGACAACTTCAATAATATCACGACAGCCGCATAGTATACTCTGCGACCGATCAACTACCCAAGGCAAACAATAGCAGCAGAGCTTTCACTAAAATTTCCAAATTATTGGGCATTCTCATCTCCAAGAGCCACCCGCTGGGCACGACCGGCATCGCGCAGTGCGCAGAGCTGATATGGCACCTACGCGGCTGGACCCAACCGCGCCGTCCTCAAGATTCAGTACTGCCTGCAGCACAACCTATGCCAGACATACGGGTCTCGAAGGGCACACCTAGGCTAATTTTATTGACATAAATAAAGCAATACCCAAATTGGATCAAGCACTACTACATGATAGAACTAGGAATACTATACCGGAATGCCTATACTTATTAACAGTGGACCGGATTTGACCACTACTAGTTGTGGTAGTGATTCTCAGCAGTGGAGCACTGCAGACTAGGTTGAAGGACAAGTGAGCTCAGGACCAGACAGGTTTAACTTTCCCAAGCTGCAAAGCTTGATATTTGGTCACCGTGGAAGCATTGGGGGGGAAATGCTTGAATTGTGGATAAAAGTGTGTTTTTTGACCTGTGCCGGCAACTTGATCACCTTGAGGGAGCAAACAGAAGTTAATTTAGCTCAGGACCAGGAGTGTATCATGGCCGATGACCAGCGCATCAACCGGGAATTCTGTCCTGTTCAAGCAGAACCCCGCCTATCCCCAATGCCCTCATCCGACTCCCTCCCCGTCAGCACCTTTATCGCCACCAGTGCCGTTTGTAGTGCCAAGCCTATTAAAAACAAAAATTGAACTTTAGTGCATTCCCTAAATACTAAAAAATAAAGATCTGAGAGGCTAATTAGGTAGGCATTGAAAACCTCCTACGCACTGTATTACACTCTAGGCCAGTATGTATCTATGCCTTGGGAAGTTGTCAAACTTCCTGCGTCAGCCTTCGTAGAGCAGATATTAGGAAGCAAGGAAAAGCGTGACCCAAAAGAATTGAGAACATGCCTTGAAAGTATTTGTTATGTATATTCCTCCTCTGACCTGCACAAGACGCCTTCGCGGTTAACTTAGGTTTAAAATTGCGCCGGAGGGTGGAGAGGTGAAGGAATGGGAGTGGATCCAAATGTCCAAACTGAACAAGCATCCTCTATGGTACAATTAGCGGTAAGTAAAACGAACAAACATATTATGAAATGAAGCATGCATGTAGGGACTATGGGGATTGATCACGCCAGAAATCGTATCCCCAGATTGATGTTCTCGGAAGTACTCTTGGTGCGCCTTGAAACAGCACCACCCCCGTCCGCGTGGAGACAAATGCAAACTAGTAACAAAAGCCTACTCCAATCCATAGGTGTATTATCATAGCTGCTAGGCGTTTTATCAGCACAGTTGATACGGCTGCAACATCTGGTGTGACACTTCCGAGGTTATCTAAGGGATCCTGAGATTTGCAATGATCCACAACACGAGTTACAAATGGAGCACAGTTATGGCTAGACTCATTTCCTAGTCTGATAGAAATGCGCATGCCATTTCAATGAGTTGGTTTAGTTTCCAGGGTTGTTGAACAGAGACCAGACATAAACTCTTGGATATCGTGATGACGGAAGGCTCTTATACTCAAATTCGAATTGGATCTTCAACAACAACACAAGCAATCAGTTGATCCCCGATGGCGCAATTGGCTAGCGCGTCTGACTGTTAATCAGGAGGTTGATGGTTCGAGCCCATCTCGGGGAGAAGATGTTGCGATTCTCTTTTTGCTGTCTCAACATCTTGATAGAGTGGTTTTGGTTACATATGGCGATTCTTTTTGCTGGAGGTGCGATATCACGTGTGACCTCCTTCCCAATTGACACTGGGACACTAACCAAACACCTACCTTAATCAGAAATGACACTCTTCTTTTTCCCATGACTTCTTGGGGCGGCCAAACTGCACATATAACAAAGTCACGTATGTACGACTGGAGTGTCCGTCAGCCCGGCCGGGCTGCTTTTGAGACTCGTTCTCTTCCATACGAGCACCTACGCTCTCCCTCGCCTGGAACACTCTTCGATGTAGACTGTTCTCTTTCCACGTTAACCCCGGTTTCCCACACTATCCCCAAAGCGATTGGCGATGGCTCCAGGAAATTAGCGACTTGACAATATCCGATCGGCCTTCTTTCAAGAATGATGTCTTTTGTTACCCCACGCAGTTTAGCTAACTCCCTCCACACCCCCGCGCACCTTCATGACCACAAAAACTCGGGAATGGGCACTTCTCACCTCACCCACCACGTAGCCGGCCAATTGCCAATTCACTCACGCACCATAAAAGTGGTCAATAATTGGCACCAGAAATTGTCTCAACGAGTATTTATCTCCATTCTCTCTGTGGTTCGTCGCCATCGCCTCGGCCAAAGGATCATCCATCTACAAAAAGAAGTCGGTCGCTCTCAATAAGAGAGCGAAATGGCAAAAATAGACAGGTGCTCCGGTACAGGGAATCGAACCCTGAGCTCCGCGGAACAAATTCTCTCAAGTTATGAGAGCGCGAAATGTTAGCCATTACACCATACCGGATTGTGATTGGCTGTTGAATGAAGGATGCTGGTGAAAGATCGCATCAAGTTGGGGCGGACACAAGCCTGGCAGTTTTCACTGAGGCAACATACGGGACAATTCATGCATCTTTGGAAGGATAAAAAAACGTAGCCTGTCTCAATTAATTAACCACGGCTGTGATATCCGACTTCCAGTGCTAATATCCCTCTCTTGAATACTAGAATAGCGCTAGATTTCTTCACAACAGTATCTCGAATGCGACAGACAATTTTCAGGAAGCTCTGTATACAACGATCCAGGCTTACTTGCCATCACGTGATTCAGTCACAACAGCTCCTCCAAGTTGATTCGGTCTGGTGGTCTAGCGGTATGATTCTCGCTTAGGGTAAACCCTACAGCTTAGCTTGCGAGAGGTCCCGGGTTCAATCCCCGGCCAGACCCTTCCTTTTTGCCGTAACCCAGCACATTTACACCGAGATTTTGGCGTTGGCTGACGAGGAAGCCGTCGTGGGTGGTGGATGTGCCGTTGTCAAGATGCGGGCGGCGTCGTTGTCAAACCAGCCAGTTCCTCCTTCCTTTTTGCCTCGATACCGCGGGTGCGGTCCGGCTCCACCCGCATCTCGGCCGCTAACCCAATTCTGTCCGAGATTACCCAGAAAGGAAATCGGACCTCCGACACCACCTACTAACCTTCCAACGACCGACAGACAAGCCTGGAACGCAGAGTGAATGTCTACCGCCGAATTTCTCATTTGTGGTGAGAATACAAACACTGGTAGCAAGATGGCCTCCATGGTAATCGCAGTTCTCCCACTTCCCTTCCTGGCCCGGATTTCCAATTTCTTGGTGTGCAGCCACCACATGCTAGTGACGCGCCAGCGGCCAGAGAGATGCAATGGACTATTGGTTAGGCCAACCTCGACAGGTGTTATCAAATAAGTAAGTTTACATGGATGCATTTCCTCTAATCCTACAGCCTATGCAGGTTATGCCGGCGGGCGAACCTACGTCCGGTCACCAAACTCCCAACATCAAGCAACCATTCATTCACACAACAAGGACCCAACTTCCATGAACTGCACATATGGATACCGAATCTGTCCAAGTCTTGACTTGATCAAAAAGAAAGCGACACGTGACTTGGCGCATTGCGGTGGGGATCTCGGGCTAGGGCCCTCCTTTGACGCGGGGCGAAATGCCCACCGAAACACCATCAAAAAGAAAACACTCAAGGATATTCATCCTCCCCGAGATGGGCTCGAACCATCAACCTCCTGATTAACAGTCAGACGCGCTCTTTCTCCCTGTTAGTACGATTCGTAATGTGGGTTGTTCAGATATACACTTACAGCCAATTGCGCCATCGGGGATCTATTAATAGCTTGTGTTGTTGTTGTGGTGGACCGTTGAAAGATGTGTATAAAATGGCTTGGGGGCGATACCTCACCCACCCCTCAGCCGTGGTTCAGAGCAAAGTCCAGAGATATTTGGACGTACTGTTTATGCTTATTATCTTATGATAACGGAGCCTGGTGCTGATGCATCAACGCACAAAGTTGCAACTACAACGCCAACAATACTTACAGCGACACCAGTCATCGAATCATATTGGAGCCTGTCAGGGACTGAATACACAATACGAAGCGATGAGGGCAAATACGCAAGGTAGCTAGAAAATTGTATTGGTGCGGTGACTCTAAGGGTCTCTGGCTCCATCAGCGCTGGAGGCACAGCCGTCCTATTGACACCCTTCTATCGGTTGACAGCTGCCCTTCAGGCTATCCTCGGCTAGGCTCCAGCTATCTTGTGGCGACCTTGGAATGTAGATGACTGACCTCGCTGGAGCCGGCTATTAGGGAGGCTCGGACCCGGCGTTTGCATTCTCCAGCCGTAATTACATTCTGGCATGACAGTGACCCGGAGGGGTCAGAGGGCGCCAACAGCAATTGATGCAGTAGCCGCAACGGCCAAGGGCTCGTTTAACATCATCCAAGCTGGACCACCCGTGTTAACATTTGTGAAGACACAAGCTTATTAGTATGATAATCTAGGCCCTGCCAAAAGCGCATTCCCGGCCAAGCGTTCACCATCATCCATCATCACCACCCACGCCTCGACGTGGACCCTTAAGACAGTCGGGTTCCAGGAGGTTAGAACAGACGAGTCAACCGGACTTGACAGCCGCGCAAGAACTCTCCTCTTCTGGGTCATCATCTGCGTGGTCGGGCGAAGCATCGTGGCGGGGTTGCTCTTCGCGTATGTCCTCCGCTTTGGCGTCCTCTGGCTCCTTCTCAAGCGCCTGCTTAATAGCGTTGGCGCCTTGGTCTACGGTGGCCGTCTTCTTGGTGAAATCGATGCCCCTGCTCATACCAGGTGCAACCTCGAGTAATCCTCTCTCGTTGCCTGGTTGGAGCACCCTCTCCAGGCCCGGCCTTACTCACCAAACCACATCGGAGCATAACATCCTTCTGCCTCCAATCCTGGACTTCCCGACGACGACATATTCATGCTAGCGGCCGACACCCGGCGTTATCAAACTCATCGTAGTGGTGGAGCAGGAGACCAGCTCGGGCCACAGGATAGCCTCCTCGTACGCACGAATCATCTTGGGCATGTTCATTCGGGACCAGAAGATCTTGATATGCTCCATAAGATGATCGGGGTGGTTTTTAGAGACAAGGTGCCTTCAAGCGTCGGCACTAAAGGCACTCCGACGACGTGCTACCTGGAAGAAATCAGACACCGCGACGAGACCAGGGCTAGGTCGACCTACCAGGATCTAGACCACAAATGTGGTCGATGACTCCATGGGCGAGACGGGACGGGGCTACACCGGTTAGACCTCACCGCGAGTTCGAGGCGAGAGACAACTTACACATCACTCAGAAGCGAAGCATTGTAGTCCGCCGGCGGCGCCACCACACGGAGACGCTTTCGACGGGCAGGAGTGCCACTCTCAGACGACATCTAGTCTACGTCAGGCCGAGGCCAAGCCGAGGCACAGAATAGGTGGGGGGGGACAAGACTTGAGGTCTGGTCGAGACTTACCTTAAAGGGAGTGGTGATGGAGCAAAAGAAAATAAGGCTGGAGGGCGGAAGCAGACGAGGATTGTATACCCTGCCGACAGTGAGTCAAGTCCTGGACGAAGCTAGCCGGTCTTCCGGGTATAATTCACAGCTGGTAGGAACTATCTGCGGTAGGGGAGGAGGTAAGGAAGGACTCGAGGCGATCCCGCCTCGATATAGATTGGGCCTACGGAGAGAGTTGGTATGAGTCGACTGAGGAGCTGAAGATATTACAAGGTGAGACTTTGCTTAGCTCCCGTGTGGTTCGCGAAATCAACGTCCTTGAAGAAGTCTCGCGGTTACCAAGTGCGCACCACAACTTCGTATTTTCCTTCTCTACTTACCTAGGTACCCACCAAACAATATTAGTCCTCTAAGCAGCACCGACATTTTGGCCGAGCGTGTGACCATCCCTGAAACATGGATCCTGTGACTCGACGAAGTGGCGAGAAAACCGGCTTCTTCAGTAGAGAGCACCCCGAGGCTGGAGGTTGTAAGCCATTACAGAACTAGATCGATCAATTTACAGTCCAGACATCCCACTGGAAGCTAGGGTAGTGCACCAGTTGCCAGGGATTCGGACATACCAAGCTCAATTGCAAGGCGGCTCCCGCCGAGGTAGGGAAAGGGTACTTAACGATGACGGCTTTCACGCGTTGTCGAAGGCTTTCTGTCGAATTTCGGGTCTTATTAGGCATTTATTTATTTATTTAATATACACTATTTTACCTATATCTAGGCCTATAGAACTCTTGCTAATTTAATCAACAAGGAAAAACCTTCTAGCTTAATAAGCTACAGGATAAAAACCTCGCTGCGATTTCTCTCGGCTACCCCGAGGGGCTGCGTGTTGTCTTCTGGTCTGTACTGGTGACTGCGTCGCCAGCCTTGTCCAGGTTTGCAAGTCTTGCATTTGCCCATCTTTCGGCTCCGGGCCCCCGGGTCGTAGGGGTGCCGGTGGGGGTTTTCTTGCGGGGCCGCAGCGGCCGGGGCTGCGGCCTCTGTCTTCTCTCTCCCTGATGTCGTCTCGATATCGATGCGATTTCTTACTGCTCTGGTGTCTCCCGGCTCCCGATGCGGTGGTCCCCCGGGTTATTAGGTATTAAGAATAAGAATAAGAATAAGACTAATAAGGAAAATAAGAAAAGTAAGGAAAATAAGGAGAATACCTGTAACAATAAGAATCCCAATACTTGATGCATAATTCCTAATCTCATCTGAACCCGGAATCTGATTCCCCCCTCTCCGCCGGGTCACTGGAGTGTTCAACATACTTCGAAGACTGCTCTCGGCTGTTGTTAATGTTGGTGCTGTAATTGCAGCTTCTTGCGTTTATGTGTTGGCATACCGGCCAGCCTCTGGTTGCCTCCTCCTTCCTGGGGTACATTATGCGCAAGTTGGGATAGCATAAAGCGGCGCCGAGTCGGCGCCGCCGAGAACAATGATATTGACCTCGTACTTTACCCAAGGCTTAAACTCCGTCATTTTGTTAGCTAGGTTCAGAAATTCATGGGTAATTGAGCAGTGAAAGAAGCCTCTATAGACATGTCCCGAAACTTATCATGTGTTGACTGTTTTAACTCGAGACAAGGTCTTAGTACACCACTGAGTTTCCAATTTACACAGCTTTCCGACAACTCGCAATTATATAAGGAATTATGTTATTTTACCTTTAGACTCCTAACTCAAGGTTACATTAAACGCACTTTAGCATTTAAGTCCCGTGTTCTTAGTTCAGAAGTAATACGCCTTAACCTAACCCAATACCCAAATCGAAAAGTCAGTCCAGTTACCATATTTATTTTATTAACACATAAGGATTTCTACATAAACAAGCTCTTATTATCCACGCTCTCGAATCTCTTGTTTGCCTTGTGGGGGAGTGGGCCACCAAAAATGCAACTAAATGTGCCCACCAAAAAGAAATCTGAAAACACCTCAAAAAGAAAGGTTTCACTCCCCGAGATGGGCTCGAACCATCAACCTCCTGATTAACAGTCAGACGCGCTCTTCCTCTTCCGTTAGTACGCTTCCTAATGCGGGTCTTGCTGTGTTGAACTTACAGCCAATTGCGCCATCGGGGATGGTTTGTTGTTATTTGATGATGGCAGGCGACGAAAAGAAGATCTAAGAGCCCGGCGTGGGTGCGTCACAATTCCCCCACGCAACGTCATAGGCGCGGTTCATTTCGAGAGACATAATTCACTGTCTCAGAATTCACTCTCTTATATATTTTTCAATGTTCATTTCAATCGTAATAAATCAGACCTATGGGGGTGTCGATATCTCATTTTTGTTGAATGGAATTAATGTTTCTCAATTGTTGTCGGATGGGATGTCGTGCCAATTTACCCCGACTACGATGTGCGGACACTGGAACAACAACTAGATTTCAAAAAACCACGCGCCAAAATCATAGTTTGATTGCATTACAATCATTTTCATCAATAATCATGTCTGATTACTTTTGTGTGTCGTTTCACTAATACTTTGCTGAACCTGTCTTGTTTCCGGTGACCTTACCCTACAGCATATGATCGACTTTACAACTGCAGAACGAAACATGCTCGGTTTCACGAACTTTGATGGAAGCTGCCCTTCCTTAGGTCACGAGAGATTCAGCGGAGAGAGTCATTCGGATTGTCGCAATAACCGCTACGGCAAAAGGGAATGACCACTCCTCTTGCCGGTAGCGTTATTGTGGTCCACATCTCCGTCTGACACGGATGACGGGTGCCCGCCAGACGGCGAGTGTAATCTGCCTTGAGGGTTTATCATAGTACAACAGACATGTCAGTATTCAATTACGTCGATCGACCATCATGGCTGAATCTAAGAGCTGCAGGGTTTCCAACAAGGGAAGTGGCCAAAGTGCACCGCCATGTGATTATCGTACGTCTCCGGCGCTTGATGGCCTCTGGACTAGAACGTTCCTGTGGAAATTCTGCCCTGGAGTACGAAAAGCCTTGCACAATGGCGGCAGGAGGAGGGAAAGGGACGAACCGCATTGATGGGCACCCCTAATGAACTGCACATGTTGTCACCGCCGGCCTCGACGTTGAGGGTAACCGCCGAAAAACAAAGCACTGCCCTGTGAGGGTCTTGTTGGCCCAGAACAAGAGGCTGACGCGAGCTATTTTACTTGGCTTATTCTAAAATTCCACCATGGGGCCAACACAAGAGCATGTTAGTGGCTATGCCACCAACACGCCGGAGGTCATTGCGGCGGAGTATGTCAATCCTGTCATCAGATGAAACCCAGGCAACCTTTAAGAGAAAGTTACACCCGGAGATAACAATCTTGGGAAAGATTGGCAATATTGATGTTGATATTCAGGCCAAGATTTACATTAACTATGCAATAGGGAGATGGGCGTGAGGCGAGGATGAGTGTGGAGCCGGAGAAGTGGAGCCGGAGCCGAGAATGAGGTTATCCGGTCCCGCGGTAACAGTGGGTGCGGCGGTGGCGGAGCAAACTGGAAGGAATCTGTCGTTGGAGATGAGGCGAGACTCAGCCTTCAATTAATGAGAGCGTTAGCCGAGACTATTTGACTGTCTCGTGATTCCAGGGGTGGATGGCACTCCCCACAATGATCAAATATGTGGAGTGGTGATGTTGTCACCAAACCCGACGAATCTTAGGTTCTTGGAGAAATAAACACTAGAGAAATAAACACTAAAGAAATAACAACCATAAATCCCCTAATATTAGAGAGTATGCCAGCCTCGTGCTGACTGCCACAATGTAATGGGGAATTTGTGGCAAAATATTCTCGATCTACATTACAGTTGTGATCCTTGTGGGGTGCAGAAGGCATTGGTATGACAACTGGAAAAAAGTGGAAATTTAGTAAGAACCCACGTCATATTCCCAGGGACAAGGCTGCGCACAAAGGAGGCGAGGTGTAAGCCGTAGTGTTCCATAGCCCAGGCCTGTGCTTGAGAAGCATTCTAGAATTGCGGTGGGCGGACTATGGAGACAGGCTGTGTTTCGGTCACTTCCACATCTAGATCGTTGCGATGAGGGGAGAGAAAATTGTCAGTCGATTGTCGTTGCCAAGCTGGATTCTTCTTGGCCAACGTCGATTGGGATTTTGGGTTGTGCTAGATGGAGGCAGTGCACAAGTCACGCTGCCAGAGCTCCGCAGTTCCGAGGCGACGATAATGCGCCGAGCTCATGATTGGGTGGATGGGACCATGGACGTCGTTTTGGCACACCACCTTCGTAGATCGGACGGAAATTTTGGACGGGTTTGGGGAGCGAGCTAATCGATTGCTGCAGCACTTTTGTCAGGCCTCTCTCGGCAACAGGGCGGGCAAGCGGGTTTCGCGGCATCGTGGGTCGAGGTTGAAAAAGGCTGCGATACCACCGTACCGTGGCCGAAGCGAGCGCACGCGGCGTGTCAAAAGAAGCATCCGTTGCGACGAGTTGCGAGTTGTCGGCATCAATGACTCGGTTGGGCATCGCAAGCAGTTGTACAGTACGTACCTCCGACGATCCGGGGTGACCAGTTGGCTGATGGGCGCTGTTGGCTGGAATGTGGGTTGTCATGAGAGTGCCCAGTCTCTTAGAGCAGTCTCTTAGAGCAGGGGGTGGACGAATCGTCGCCGGATGTCTCCCTAGCCGAGAGAGGACGGCCCCTTGGCGTCATCTGCGAGCAATGGATGGAGGGCTTTTTACGAGGCGGCTTTGAAACGTTGTAGCTGTTTTGCGTGGATTGGATTGGGTGTCTAGGTACCTGGCTGTGGCCACGACGGTCGGGATGAAGCGGAAAGTTGGGCGAGAAGCCTGGGCGAGAAGGCAGGCGGACATGTTATTACGCCGTGTCGCATTCGTCGCATCCCAACGCAATGCTTTGAATCCATCTCGCGATTGGCGAAAAGCCACTCTGGCGCGCTTGCCCACGGGCAGTGACACTTAGTGATGGAATCAATTGTTGGAGCCTGGGCGCCAGCCGTGAGCCGTGCATCCGATGGACGACGCCACCTGCCCAAGAGGTCTGCCCCGCACATACCCCCGTTTTTCGGGGGGAAGGCGCGGCCAATCGCACGCCGACGGCAGGCGGACCTGGGCGAACTTGTTTGTGTTGTGTGTGTTCGATGTGGCCCGTGTGGGCTAGACGTGGGCAAAAGCGTGGGCAAAGCCGCAGTGGGTTGAGTGGCAGCCTCAAAGGATGGGCGATGCGGCAAAGGATGCTGCAATGCCCCAGCCGGCGTGCCAAGTGGAGGGCGGAGGGCGGTGTGGGGCCTGCGTGAAGCTCTTGCCCGCTGCAGGAGCTATCGACAAGGAGCAGCAGCACCAGGGCAGGTGCGACACATGGACCCGTGGACAGCTTTCCTCGCCCAGGGTCGGTGGTGCACTGGTGCCTCTCCAGTCTCCAGTCCCAGTGGTCGGCAGGTGTTCCGGTGCCGTACTTCCTCCAGTACGTCAGTGATTCACCGAATGCATGACCTGGCAACCTGGCTGGTCAGCGCCATCAGATTAAATAGCAATCGATTCCCCCGCCCCGAAACACCAAATATTCCATCCCACACCATCATCACGCTACCGCACTCACCCGCTACATATACAATCGCATGCCGCCAGTCATCCATACTCCTGACGACGGGACTCCTCTGATCAAGCAAACACAATCGAGCGACAACCACTCAACAACCACAGACATGTCGTCCTCCGTCCCCCCGGTCACCGTCAACGGCGACAGCTCCTCCAAGGCGCCCGAGCAGGGCACCGGAGGCTTCCAGACCCAGTCCAAGATGACCGTCATCCCGCCCAAGAAGGAGGATCTCCAGCGCAGCTATGCGACCATCGTCGAGAATGATGCCAACCCCAAGGGCTGGTACGGCACCATGAGTACGTCTTTTGCCTTTTCCCGTCGCCAACTTTCGTCACACATTGCATTTGCAGTTGCATTTGCATTTGCAGTCAAATATACACATACACTAACACTCAACCCACAGTCAATGGTCTCGGAAACGTCGTCGGAACCATGGGTGCTATCCCCTGCTGCATCATCTGCCCCAACCCGTTCAAGAACGTCCAGCAGGGTAATGTTGGCCTCGTTACAAAGTTCGGCCGCTTCTACAAGGCTGTCGATCCCGGCCTGGTCCAGGTCAACCCTCTCAGTGAGCGCCTCATCCAGATCGACGTCAAGATCCAGACCGCAGAGGTCCCCGAGCAGATCTGCATGACCAAGGACAATGTTACCCTGCGTCTCACCTCGGTCATTTACTACCACATTGTTGCACCCCACATCGCCGCCTTCGGCATCAACAATGTCCGCCAGGCTCTCATGGAGCGTACCCAGACCACCCTGCGCCACGTTGTCGGTGCCCGCGTCCTTCAGGATGTCATTGAGCGTCGTGAGGAGATCGCCCAGTCCATTGGCGAGATCATCGAGGATGTTGCTGCCGGTTGGGGTGTTCAGGTTGAGAGCATGCTCATCAAGGACATCATCTTCAGCCAGGAGCTCCAGGAGTCTCTTTCCATGGCCGCCCAGAGCAAGCGTATCGGTGAGAGCAAGATCATTGCTGCCAAGGCCGAGGTACCTTCCATCCATCCCTTCCCCCTCGTGGATTCGATTTCACTTTACAAGTACATGCTAACTCAAAGTCTCCTAGGTTGAATCCGCCAAGTTGATGCGTCAAGCCGCCGACATCCTCAGCTCCGCCCCTGCCATGCAGATCCGCTATCTTGAGGCTATGCAGGCCATGGCCAAGTCGGCCAACAGCAAGGTCATCTTCCTGCCTGGTGCCAACCAGACCATGGGCAACGCCCTCAACGCAGCCATGGCCTCCAACACTACTGGCGAGTCCAGCGGCGGCAATGATAATGCCCTCAATGACTTTGGAGGTCAGGATTCCGGCTTTGAACAAGCCATGCATGCCCGCCTGGTGGAGAACATTTAAACAATGTCGTGAACCTCTATCGGCGCACCGGGCTAACGCTTGAGGTTTTTCCTCGATGGGAATAGGCTGGTCTACTTGATTTCGAAAGCACTCCTCGTTGCTCTTCTCGTCTTCAACAGAAGCGCAGTGTTTTTCCCACATCGACTCCAGAAACTCTCGGGCGCCGGTGCTCCGAACCTGATTATCGTATGCTTTTTTTGTTTTTGCCTCGCCGTTCAGATACCCCACCCGTCGTCAAAACCTCCTAATACCAACCACTCCAACAACACAGTCGTATGTATTTGATTTCAGTCTATTCAAGACATTTTGCGAGGAGGTAGCTCATGATTGAGATGTGTGGATTCGATGGAAACGATGATGATGATGTGCCTCTTTGATGGATACCCAGATTGCTCGAAAGGGCACAGGATTAGGGGGATGGGACGGACGGATACTGCTTAGTGTGCTGGGCATTGATACCCCAAGTCGTTCTTTGAAAAATTACTCTTCTTGTATGAATTGTCGTACAGTGCGCAGTTTGACTGAATTTAATCGTTGCTTCGTCTCGTTGAGAATTTTAACTTGGTCTACGGTATCGACTCGATAAATTGGCCCTGTTTTTTGGACTAAAGCTAAGCTACCTATATAAGGCTTAGACTTCCTAAATCATTAGGTATAAAAGAGCCCGAAGGCAATAAGTGATGGAAGGATTCATGGCCAATTTACCTCAAGTGGAAGGCCATTTCTTTCCATGATGTAATGGCGATGACAGTCACATAGAGCAATTGCGGATGATTTTGAACGTCGAAGACTCGACTTGACTTTTTTTTAGACCTTGCTCCACAAAATACATCATCTGTCTCCCCTTCTCTCCCAAGATTCACATCCAGTCAAATGAGTACATCACAAGACATTCGAACAGAAAGAGATAGGGAGGAGATAAAGCACAAAAAATAAGTGGAAAAAAAATGACCATCCACGCCAATATGCCCCTTCCGCCCAAACGCCAGCCAACCAGGAAAAAGGTGTGGGCAACAGTTAAGCCAGAAGCTGCCATGCCAAAGTCTCTCAGGTATCACATATCTACACATCGGGAACCGTCCAATCGTTCGTTGTGTTGGGAATGGTCCGTCGGGAGTGTCCAGACGAGTAAGAGAAAAGAGGAGGCGGAGCAGGACGAGGCCCAGTCCGCTCCCTTTATCCGTTTCAGCGTCATCGCTGCTTGCGCTGCGACTTTTTCCGCGGGGGCTCCTAGTCCGTGGATTGGCGCTTCTTCTTCTTCTGCTTCTTCTCCTTCTTGGTCTCGGCCTCATCCTCCGAGTCGTCGTGCTTGCGCTTCTTCTTCTTCTCGGGTTCGGTCTTGATGGGGGTGGCCTTCTCCTCAGCCTTGCGAGCCTTCTTCAGTTCCTTCTTGCTGAAGACCTTGGGGGTGCCGTCATCGTTGAGATCGACATCACCGCGCTCGTACTTGCGCTTGAACTTCTTGACCGAGATACCGGCGGCCTCGGCGAGACGCTCGTAGTCAGCCTCGGAGAGCTTCTTGGCCTTGGCAGGGGTGGCAGCAGCCTCGTCGTCACTGTCCTCGTCCTCGGCATCCTTCATCTCCTCGTCGACCTCCTGGATCAGCTTCTTGGACTTCTTGCTCTTCTTGGCAGACTTGGGCTCCTCGTCAGAGACACCATCGGCGTCGGCGTTATATCGGCGAGTCTCCTTCAGGGTGAACTGGCCAGCACCGACAATCTCACCCGAAGGGGTGACGTTGGTGCCCTTGGGAAGAAGGGGCTTGCCCTCGAGCTTTCGGAGCTGGTTCTCCAACTTGATGCGGTTGCTCAGACCGAGGATGGCACGCTCCTCGTCATCGACATCGTCCTCGAACTCGCCGAGAGCATCGACACGGACACCCAGAGCGGCCTTGGCGGATAGCATACGGGCAATCTTTCCCTTGTTTCGTCCAGTAGCCTGGCCAATGAGCGAGGAGTGGTAGATGAGACCGTACTTTGGGGTGTCGTGCTTGGTCTTGAGGGCACGGAACAGCGCCTTCTCGGCACCGAGGATCTGAATGGTAGAGCCGGGAGACTTGGCCAGGCTGATGAGAGAACCAGCGTGGGCAATGAGACGGGCACCAACCAGGTAGCCGATGAGGGCAGTCAGGTTGGGGGCAATGGCGCGCATGCGGCTCTCGAGGTACGAGGACAGCTGAGCTCGGTACTCAGTGTAGGTGATGACCTGGTCAGCCAGGAGCTTGATGTTGTCGAGATCCTCATCGGTGATCTCGGTACCCATGCTGATCTCGGCGGCAGCCTTGATGGCAACCTCGACCTCCTCGGGCAGGACCTCGGAGAGATCGCTGGTAGCAATGTTGGTGCGCATGCCGACAGCGAGGACGACGCGAGCGTAGGCCAGGTTGTCATTGAGGATCTTGGCCATCTCGGGGAAGTGCCAGCCGTACCACTCCTTGGTTCGCATGGCGTAGACGTTGAGCTCCTTGTCGAGATCATCTAGCAGCTTGATGGCCTGAATGATCATGGAGTCGACCTTGTCGGCGGAGAACTTGAGCTTGTGGCGGGACATGGAGTGAGAGAGACCAAGAGCCATGCGGTCAATGTTCTCAACCTCGAGGCCGGGGATCAAGTTAGAGAGGTTGCCTCGAATGCCTCGGAAGAGATCCATGGTGTTGGAGCCTGAGACAGGCTGGAGGTTCAGGTCGGCCATGTTGGAGATGGCCGTGCCCAGCTTCATGTCGGCGACGGCGATCGACGCCTTCTTCTCGGCCTTGAGGTCCTCGAGGAGTCCGGTGAGTAGGTCAGGAATCTTGCCTTCCTTGAGGGCAGCAGCCTCCTCGAGAGCGGTGGCAGCGCTGTCGAACTTGACGAACTTCTTGAGCTTGAGCCTGAGGGACGATAGACGCGTTAGTGGTGTTCATTGCTTACTGTCTTGATCCAAAGAGAGGCACGGGAGAATGTCTCTTCTTCGCGATCCCGACAGTCACTTCTGGCGAGAGAAGAGAAGGAAAAAACCAGTTACTCACATCTCAACGACCTTTTCAGGACGTCCCAGCTCAGCGGCAAGTTCCTCGTTCTTCAGCATCTTCTTGTCCGTAGCCTTAAACAGGCCGTAGCTGCCAATTGTTAGCATTTCATGAACCATCGACCGGGTCGCACCTTCGCTGTGCCTCCGTTCTCGACGGTCGCAACTTACCCTGCCGGCGTCTCGGCAAGCACAAAGAGCGACATCTTGGCTTCGTGTGCTCTTTCCCGTTAGTATCGCACTGTTCGATTGACGTCGTGGTTTCCTCGCGAGGCACAATTCCGTTCGCTGTGCACGCTGCAAAGGAAAGTGCGAGGTGGGCTGGGCGATGGAAAAATTTCAGTTGAAGCTCTAAAGTCTCCACCCAATTTTTTTTGCCTGCTGGTGCTGGTGCACAAAGTGGAGTGCATGCATGGGCCGTCGGATGCCGGTAGTACTATTTATCCGAGCGAACTCTTCCAGGTACGTACCCACTTCGCTGTGGATACTCGGCCACTCACGTGCAAGCGACGTCGACGCAGCTCGTTGTCGTTGTTGCTGCAGGCTTGGGAATGCTAGGCGGCATCTTTTGACGATCCAGCTCCCTCCACCTCCAACGTCCAAGTCCACCCAGCTTACACAATACGTCGCGCATCTTCTCGCCAGCCTCATACGCGTTAGACTCGAGCGAATTCCACATCACTCAGGATGGAGGGCCTTCTTTTCAACGTCAACAATGGGTATGTGGAAGCCTAGGAGAGCTTGCATGATGAAGCATCCATGCAACTAGGAACTGACCTGGCAACAGCTACGTCGAGGGCATTGTGCGAGGCTATCGCAACAGCCTGCTCACCGGCTCGGCCTACAACAACTTGACCCAGTGCGAGACCATTGACGGTACGTTTTGCGCCCGTATTTACCCCTCTCGCTCCCTTGTACTGAGACGTCCAGACCTCAAGCTCCAGCTCGGCCCTGCCTATGGCGACTTCCTCGCATCCCTCCCTCCCAATCCATCTACCTCGAGCCTCGCCGCCAAGACGACTGAGAAGCTCATCTCCGAGTTCCGATACGTCCGTGCCAATGTCGTCGGATCGTTGGCGACCTTCATGGACTACGTCACCTACGGCTACATGATTGACAATGTCGCCCTTCTCATTACTGGCACTCTGCATGAGCGCGACACTCGCGAGCTCCTTGAGCGATGCCACCCTCTCGGCTGGTTCGAGACCATGCCTGTCCTCTGCGTCGCCACCAACATCGAAGAGCTCTACAACAGCGTCCTGATTGAGACGCCTTTGGCGCCTTACTTCAAGGGCAGCCTCAGCCACCAGGATCTCGACGAGCTCAACATCGAGATTGTCCGAAACACCCTCTATAAGAACTACCTGGAGGACTTCTACAACTTCGTCAACACCCACGCTGACATGGCTGGAACCCCCACCGCCGAGGTCATGTCTGAGATCCTCGAGTTCGAGGCTGACCGCCGAGCCATCAACATCACCCTCAACTCCTTCGGTACCGACCTGACCAAGGCGGACCGCAGCAAGCTCTACCCCAGTTTTGGCAAGCTGTACCCCGAGGGAACCCTGATGCTCTCGCGCGCTGAGGACCCCGAGGGTGTCCGTCTGGCCGTCGACGGTGTGCACGACTTCAAGACCTTCTTCGATGCCGTCTCTGTTGGTGGCGGTCCTTCTGGCCCCGGAAACATGGGTGGTGGTAACGCTGACGGAAAGACCCTGGAGGACATGTTCTACCAGAAGGAGATGGAAATCTCCAAGGGTGCCTTCACCAGGCAGTTTACCTATGCCATCGTGTACGGATGGGTGAAGCTCAGAGAGCAGGTTCGTGCCCCTGATTTGATTTTACAATCAATTGGACAACAACTAACAGTTGATAGGAAATTCGCAACATCACCTGGATCGCTGAGTGCATAGCTCAGAACCAGAAGGATCGCATTGGCAACTACATCAGCGTCTTCTGATCTCTCGCATTCTGCAATGACACCCCAAACATGTTTCGATTTTTAGCTTGATTTTGTGTAGTATAGCAACTGAGCTCGTAATGTCACGGAAATGGTCCGACAACTGGCGCAAGGGTGGAGACGGGTAGACGCAAGGCGGCTTAAGCAAGTTCGCTCGTCATTGATGGTGGCTTTGTATTGTACATAGAGAACAGGTATTCTACAGCAGTCCTACAACTCGATCTGGTCCTTGTATGTTGCCTGCGTGAGACCCAACTTCTCAATCATGTTGGTCCAACGCTCACTTCCTCTCTCCTTGCGCTCCATGTACTTGAGGAGCTTCTGCCTCCGGTGCAGCAGCAACCTAAGATTGCGCTTGTTGTGCTTGTCTTTGTAGCCTCGGTTGATCTCGAGGGCCTGGGACACGGTCCGGATCTTTGCCGTCAAGATGGCGATCTGGACCTCGGAGCTCCCCGTATCGGGGCCGGCGCGACCGGGCATGGGCACGGTATTAGGGTTGATAGACTGAGGCTTGGGCTTGAGGACCTTGTCTGTGTTGTGGCGGCCGAACTCGTCGACAATACGTCGCACGTTGGCGTGGAAGCGGTCCTTGCCGCTGCTGTTGCTCATGGCCGTGATGCGCTTCAGAGCCTCAACAGCCTTGGCGTGCCTCTGCTCATGCAGCTTCATCTTATCTCCTTCAGTCCCCGGCTCCATCTGTGACTCGACGACTCCGACCATTGGCTTGGTGAGGGTATAAGCGTGCTTGACAGCCTCCTCCAGCTCCGTCTCAGTCAGGAAATGGTTCCGCAACTCAGGTGCCCACTTCTCCGCCCTCCGCGGGGCCGCAGCCTCAGATTCACTGCCTTCGCTGGACGCAACCGGCTTCGTGGACTGGCCGGCCGAGTCTAGGGACTCGACGAAGGGTGTGAGGTTGCCACGGACAGGGTCGCCTGCGGCCTCATAACGCTCGCGCTGGAGCTCCTCGCGGCGCTGGACATTGGCGGCCTTGCGCTGCTGAGCCTGGGCGTACTTGTAGGGATCCTGCTTGGCGTTGCGTTTCCTCTCGCGGAGGGAGAGGTTGGCCGTCTGGATTTTGGGGAGGAAGTTCGGGGTGGAGGGCTTCGCGGGGCGGAGGCACACTAGAGACAATTGGTCAGTAAGTCGAGGTGTTGGGTCGGTATTGGCGGTCGAGGGCTATCGTACGGTTCAATGAGCCTAAGCGCGGCAGCGCCTGTAGTCTGGGTGGCATGATTGAGGCATCAATCAGCGGATTGATCTACTGAAGACTGATGGATGATGTCCCAGAGCGGACCTCAAAATTTCCCACCGGCCACGGCCCATCTCGACGGATGATGGCACGCGCGGGACCCGAATGGGACTAGTGGTGTCAATCACGTGCAGACAGCCTGGACGTCCCGCATCCTACCGCACTACGACAATCTAGGACTAGCGCCATCAGGGCTCTCCCACCACACACATTTTTGGTAAATTCAGAAGGTCTCGCGAACTTTTGCGACTTCCACGAACATCACGAACTCTCCTTTTCCGCCTCACCCCCCTCAACCGCCAGGAAGAAAATCCGTCAAGATGGCTCCCTCCAACCTGCCTTCGATCTTCAACGCCACCAGCCAGGACATTGAGATGCTCCTGGCTGCTCAGGCTCACCTTGGCAGTAAGAACTTGCAGGTGCACATGGAGTCTTACCTCTGGAAGACCCGTGCCGATGGTGTCAACGTTATCAACGTTGGCAAGACCTGGTATGTTTTGGCAAAATTCGCGCTCTCTTGATCTTGGTGCGCTTCTTTTGCTTTGCGCGACGAACGTATAAACCCGTTTGCAGCTCCTCCAGCCGAAGAGGAAACACCAAGATCAGGATCGCGAAATCCAATGCCCCGCCATACATGGCTAACCGAACTTGCGCTACAGGGAGAAGATTGTCCTGGCCGCCCGCATCATCGCCGCCATTGACAACCCCGCCGATGTCTGTGTCATCTCTGCCCGTCCCTACGGACAGCGTGCCGTCCTCAAGTTCGCTTCCCACACTGGTGCCTCCCCCATCGCCGGTCGCTTCACCCCCGGTAGCTTCACCAACTACATCACCCGCTCTTTCAAGGAGCCCCGTCTGATCGTCGTCACCGACCCCCGCACCGACGCCCAGGCCATCAAGGAGGCTTCCTACGTCAACATCCCCGTCATTGCCCTCTGCGACACTGACTCCCCCACCGAGTACGTCGACGTTGCCATCCCCACCAACAACAAGGGTCGCCACGCCATCGGCTGCATCTGGTGGATGCTCGCCCGTGAGGTCCTCCGCCTCCGTGGCACCATCTACAACCGCGAGACCCCCTGGGACGTCATGGTCGATCTTTACTTCTGTACGTCTCCCTGCTGAGCCTGATATAACGACTTGACTTGCTAACATTCACACCAGACCGTGACCCCGAGGCCGAGGCCGAGGAGAAGGTCGAGGAGGAGAAGGTTGTCGGCGCCGAGGAGGAGGCCGCCCCCGCTGCCATCGAATCTGGTCTCGCTGGTGGTGACTGGGAGGCTCCCGCCGCTGGCTTCGCCGGTGCCGCCACCACTGGCTGGGACGGCGCTGCTGGTGAGGAGTGGGGTGCCTCCGGTACCACCGCTCCCCCTGCCACCACCGAGTGGGCTGCTGCTGCTGAGCCCGCCAAGGAGACCCAGTGGTAGGAAGCTGAGGCCCAAGGCGGTGCTGAAGAAGGCGCACAGTGGTGATGGCGATTGGTCGACATCGGCGGCGTTTCTAGGCTTGCTGACTTTTATCTTGGGGCTAAGGTTCAACTTGGCGGTGCTAATGAGGGAAAGATACTCGCCCCTGGCCCATTGTCCCTCTTTTGTCTCTCTGTGTCGGGCTTCTGACTACGCTTGTTCTCGGATGCTCAGGCTGGGAGGACGGAACTCACCGGAAAGGGGGGGAGGGAAAGCCCTGTATCGCTAAGGGGGTTAGACTTGATCGTCGTCCCGCCTTTGTTCTACGGTTTTGATGCGAGAAGCTACATAGTCGTCCAAACTGGGAGGAAAAAAAGATCCAAAAAGTTGCCATTGAAACCTTTGTCCGCCTTGATTCATTCTCATGTGACTGTATGAATTGCGAAAGACCGTGGACAATGATGATATCGCCATTGCTGGCATATGTCATTGCGTACCGTCAAACTGTCCAGTCGGCTTTGAATACTCGAATTCCCCTTTTCTTCGTGCGTCCCACAGCCATCCTAGCTGATACCTAGTCATCTGGTATTAGTGACCTTGCAGAGTCATTCAAGTGCAATTAACTCTGCCCTGGATCAGAATTTTATTTTTTGTCTAGCTGCAGAACCGATCATTATCGAGGGGAGATGCGGCCCATGAGTTCCAAGCAGAAATGAAGACCGGCGTGTTTCGATTTCACGATGCAGTGACGAAGCAACTTGGGGGATTTCATGTCTGTCTACCCAAAAGATTGGACACCTAAAGGGAACAGCATCCAATGATGTGTAAGTTACGACCTCTATCCTCACCTCATCGGACTAGTTCTTCGTCGTCTTGCCCTTATACATTAACACATCATGAAACATCACGTCAATCATAAGGTACAGCATGATGCAATCAATGATCGAGTCATCGTAAAGGTGGTATCAATTCCTGGGTTCAAAGCCCCTCACTGTCAGTCAATCCCATATCTACTCCAGCCATCCATCCACAATCCCATCCATCCATCCCATTTTATGCTGTTTCCTTCCCATGTCCTTCCTTCCTATCCCATCCATTATACCTCTCCCATCCAACGCTGCACATGGTTCTCAAAACAACCAGTCCCATGATGCTCAAACTCCCAAGAAGGGAATGATAAAAACAAGTCAAAAAGCGCGACGGAGAGCCATCATGAACGGCGCGGAAAGGGGTATGGAACAAAACCAAGTCAAGCCGGAAAAGCCAAGAGGATATAAGGCCGTCAGAATCGAGAAGAAAAAAAACAAGGCCGGCCAAATTTCCCAACTCCTGCTTGTGCCAGATGCTGTGACGATGATGGTGACGATGATGGCATTTATGTTGTATACTGGGACAGACATTGAACCCTGCCTCCCTGTCCTGGCCGTGGTAGTGATATATGTCGTTTGTTGTTGGAGTAATAAATACAAGGAAGCACATCGGCTGTGTATGTGGTATGTATTGTATCCCGTCATGGTGATGAAAACATTAATAGTAGATGAAACGCCGTCGCCGCGGAGAGTCGTAAGATTCATGACGTTGATGCGTCTTCGTCGATGGGGGCTGGCATCGACAGAATGTGCGTGTGGTTTGGTAGTTTGCAAAACGATGCGAATTGCATTGGTAGGGAATTTACTCGAGGCTTTCGGAGTGTCGTCGGATCTCTTCATCGCTGAGGGCGCTCATCCAGAGACAGCGCTCGGTGATGCCCTCGATGGGTTGGAACTTGTACCTCGTGCTCGCCTCTAGCAGGCGAAGCAGGGTCTTGACCACTGCGGCGGCGATGCGGCATCGTTCAAAGTTGATTAGGGGAGGGGTGGTAGGCGAGCCGGCAATCTCCGACGGCCTCTGTGCATTGTATAGCAGGTCGTGGGTGTAGATGCCCACAAAGGGGATGCAGCCCAAGTCTGATCCAACCTCCATCTCAGCTCGAAGATTGTAGAAGTTACGCATGGGCGTCACTAGGTTTTCTAGATCCCTCAGAGTCTTGTGGTCGTGAGGGGGCAGAAGAGCCCAGGTCTTTGTGAGACGAGAGACTTCATTGCTGGAAAGGGCAATGGTGAGCTGGGCGAGGGTCGCAAAGTTGCGGTAGCGCCGGCAGTGAGTCGCGATGTGAATGAACTTGGCGATGCATCGCGCCCTCTCCTCGATATGTTGGGTCATAACGATCTCGGAGATGGCCCATTTGACCATGATGTTGAAACGGGCAATCACCACCTCGACTCCACGGGTGTCTGTGTTGCGCAAAAAGTCAACCCAGGACCGAGAATCATTATTTGTGGCGTTCTTCCAGTTCATGTCGATCAGCTCCTTCCAGTCAATTTCGTTCAGAGCATCCTTCTCAATCAGAGTAAACTGCTGAGCCAGAATTTCCGAGTCAAAAGCCAGGATGAAAGGCAGGTGAGCGTTGTACTTGTTGTTCTCTGCGGGCTCGGGCTTAGGTGCCATCCGAAGGGCTTCGGTTGTTGCGGTCTGGTCATCTGTAGAGCTGATCGAATGGAGGTATGGAGCTGTTGGGGACGTCTCTGGAGTAGGGGGAAGAGGCTTCTGGTTCCATATCTGGGCCTCATGGACTTCAGGCACGTCGAACATCTGGGGTGGCGACATCTCCAGCGCTTGGACGAGGGTCATTGGAGGCGAAGGAGGGCTTCTCCTTGGCGCGGGAGTCAAGGCTGGAGAGCTCAGGGGGTGGGCAGGGAGTTTCACCCTGGGACCGAAGTCGTGCTCAGTGCCAAAGTCGTCGTCGTCAAGTACGTCAACAGACATCTCAGACGATAGATCACTGTCGTCGTTGAGGAAGGACTGGTCTTCTTCCTCTTCCTCCTCGTTGGGGGCGGTCTCACCCGGTCTGATACCCTCAATGCTGTCGGTCTTTGTCACGAACTCATAGGATGGGTGTCGCGAATCAGCTTCATCGTCGTCCAGGAAGCCGAACTTGTTTGGTTTGGGCGTAGTATCGTCCTCAGGTCCCTCAAGGATCGACATATTTGTCCATTCTCGCCCTCCATGCGTGCTTCGGCCTTCGTCCGTTCCACCCCGATCCAAGATGGGGATAGAGGAATACGACTCGTGGGAGGTCTCAGATAGGAAAGACTTGACTTCAGTCAGGGGACGGTGTGGTGTTAGGAAGGTCCCCTGCTGCTCCATCGGCTCATGCTCGTCTAGATCATCCAGGTCGTCCTGATCAGGGTCAAACATGAAAGTTTGCCTCACGGCAAGTTTCTCGCGAGGATCCTTGGTCTCTGGCTCTCCAATAGCGACTCCAATGTCAGCGGGGTCGATTTCTACTCCTTCTTCCTTGGGCTTCTTGTCAAATTTACCCTCGAGCTTCATCAGCGCAGACTCAATGCCGCCATCGTCTTCGTCATCGTCGGGGATCTGTGCGAGCTTCTGCGCCTCGACCTCAAATGATGGTCGCATGACTGGCTTGGATGAATGAGTGCTGAACAACGACAGATCCCGTTTCGGCGGCTTCTTCTCGGCGAGCTGGCCGAGAGAAAAGACTTCCTTGCGTTGCTGTGGGAGGTCGATTGAAACCATCTCCCCATTTGCAAACGAGTCGACCCGAGGACTCGGGACGTAGGAGCTCCGGATGGATTCGGAATAAGTAGTCAAGGATCCAACTGACCGCGACCTCCGCAATGATATGTGGTCCAACTCCCCCACATTCGTCGCTGCCCTCAGATCTCCACCGGGCCGTCGTCGCAGAACACGTAAAGGCTGCGGTATGGGATCTCCATGGTCTTCGTTATTGACCGAGACAGCAGAACAGGTCGTAGCGTCGAAGCTTCGCACCGATGAATGGCCCATGCCACTTCCAAAGGAAAACCGGCGCTTGTTCAACATCGAGTTGAGCGACTGATGAGTCCTGGTTGACTTGTTCCGACGATGTGCTCCTCGGAATGAAACTGGAGGATAGTTGCGAACGCTGCGTTGCGTTGTCGACAAGGAGGTTCGGGTCTGGTCCTCAGATGGGCGAGCGCTGTGACCTGGGGCGAGAGTATCAAGATCAGGCACAAACGGCGGCAGAGGATTCTGTGAGAGGCATGGCTCTAAAACATGCTGGTTCAGCAAATACGAAGACCGTCTTGGTGTACCTCCCATTGAAGGTGCAGGGGGTGTGGTAGGCGGCGTGGGATCGGCGCCGCCGAGCCTGAAGGCGTCTGCAAAAGCATCGACCGAGGGGTGTCCGCTGGTGGTCCCCCGATGCACCGCACCAAATGGGGTCGTGTCGTCCACAATGACAATGGACTTGCTGCCAGCGGTGATTCCCATGTCGCTGCTAGGTCGATGTCTGTGATTATGGTTGAGGCTGTCGAAGGTGCTTGAATCCATGTGCGCAGCCGAGTAGCCGATATCTGCGGGATCGGATGTTGAGTTGGGCAGCACCATCGGGAGCCCACGACGCTCCGCCTCCGCAGCCGCCTCCTCTCGTACAGCATTCTTGAAATCCTCCGCTGCCTCAGCCCCAAGCACGTCTATTCTCACCGGCGGCCGAGCGCTGTTGTATCGGTGTCGGTGTTGTGGGACCACAGCTGTCCCAGGAAGTCGGTTCGTGGTTGCACCACGCGGGCCGATTGGCGCCACGTTGATGAAGCTGCCCTGCGTTGGAGAGACTCCTTGGCCCCTAGTGCTCAAGGCACGTCTCACGCTTCCCAGCAACTTCTTCATACCAAGACCAGACATAGCACCTGCTTGCGCCCTTGCCTTGGCCATTTCTTGGCTATCCGGGTGGAGCGATGTCGTCTGTCTGGCACTGTTGGGAACGTCGTCGGGCCCAACGTCAACAAACGCCTGGGCCGGTGGTAACAAATTCCCTCGGACAAGGCTCCCCGCGTACGGAACGGTCATCAAGAACTCCTGGTCTTTGAATGATACCTTATCGGAACTGTGATCTCGCAGGGAGTCGGTCATACTGTTGTTACGCTTGTGCGTCTGAGGAGTTGGGCGGACGCGTTTACCAACAAGAGCTCGAGGCGTCGTGGCTACCTGCCCCGTCTGGTTGTATACTGAGCTTGTGGTCACCGGGTGAGCACCCAGCGGATGGGGACCAGTAGGATGGGGACCGGTAGGTTGTGTAGACCGCAGAACCTTGTTGGGGAACGAACACGAGACAATGTCGATGCTCGTCATACTAATCGGGGACGTCGGGTTCTGATACTCGGCAGGATCTGGTGTGATTTGCTCCTCTGGAGTGCTGGGTCGATTTTCGAAGACGATCGAATCTCCAACGTGGCCGGCTCGAGAGATATCAGCCACAAAGCTGGTTCGCTCACAGGTGCTCCTCCTCGAGGGGATCATGTTGTCCAGCTGGGGCGCCTCTGCGTCCTCCCGGTCCCAAAATGACGGATCCAGATCCGGGTCTCTGTGGCCAGCGATGCCACCAGGCGCAACGGGAATGCATGCTTCCAGGGAGTCGTCAAATTCGGGACCATCCCAGTAAAGCGCACAAACCCGCCTCCAGCACTTTTTCAATTCTCCGAGAATCTTGAGTTGTACTTTTCGAGATCGGTTGCACTTTGACAGCTCGTCGACGAAGTCGTTCAACAACTCACAGAAGGTCACCCGAAGGTTATAGTCCAGGACGAAATCATCCATGAAATAGTTGAGGATCCAATGCCGCAAGGCAACAAATGTCCGGACTCGAACGACCATACCTGTCTCATCGTCTCGGCCCAGGGCCCATCGGAGTCTCGCAACCAGCATTCGCAACAGATCCACCGATTCTAGGAAGGCGCGAAAGGTCAGGAAGAAATCGGATATCAGCTCATAGTCCAGGAAACTGGGAGAAGTAATCTCTGCGACCAGACGTGGTGGCGTGGCGGCGGTGACGGCACTCGTGACGGGGGAGTACCTGACCAAGGCTCGGTCATCGCAAGCCGGCTTGAAGGTCAAGTTGTCGAACATGGCTGGCTCTATCTTGAGGTTCGACATGTATGACGGATGGACGGTGCGAATCACTCGGGGGGTGGAAGAAATCGGGGTGGTAGACGCGGAGCGAGAGAAGCGCAAAGTCGGTACGGCCAGGGTGCTGGGCCGCCCTGATCCCATTTCTAGGTGAGAGCTGTTGAGCCCGCCCTGGCGATTCAGCAGTGAGGCACTGCTGGAACGGAAGTCCTCGGTGGGAGCGTACGAGGAGCCGCGGATCACAGGAGTGCCCCTGACAGTAAATCGAGGGGTTCCTATACGCCAAGAAGGGATGTTGATGTCGAGAAGGGGTATCGCATTGGGATCAATATCCTCCATCGTGCGGGGCCGGTGGTCGTCACCCGGTTTGGATATCACAATTTTGAAGTCTCCGGTCTCCGAATCCTTAGCGGCCTCGTGGATCGTGGTGTCGGACAAAGCACGGCGATGCTTTGCAGGCCTTCCGGAGTCTTGCGGTTCGAAAAATGTCTGACTGGTGACGAAGGGAGACGCCTCGGGCGTCGATGACCACTGGCTGATGTGCAGCGAGCTGCCCTGGTCCTCAATGGACCTATCGTGACCCAAGGGATCCAAGCCCGCGGTACTCGGCGGGGTGATGGGGAAGACGAACTGAGGTTGGGGGCATCGCTGGTTGGCGGGACGGACAGTCGGTCTAGAGGAAGAGAATGTTAGCTCAGCGTCGACCAGCGCCAGAGTTTCGGGCACCGGCGTGCTGGTGTCTCTCGATCCACGTCAGGGCGGATCACGGGAGCGGACCAACTGAGACCTCTCCCCACAAAACGAGAGAACTGAGCAGGATGACGGAGTGGACTCGGTGGAGATCGATAAGGTTGGTTTGCAGCATACCACAGGCAATTACAAACGACTGCAAACGACGACAGACTAACTTACCTCAGATATATACGGCCATTGTTACCAACGTTGGAGACGGCGAATTGACGGCCCTCGCGACCTGCGGATCCACCATCTGGGGTGATGTCGGATTTGGACAGGTTGTTAGGTTGGTCGGTGTCTGCAACGTTGGTGGGAGATTCCCTGTGGCCTCGCGTGGTAGAAGGTCGTCGCTGGTGGGATCGACGCTCAGTTACAGGAACCAAGGGCCTGGCGGTGGTTGGGGGCATGCGTGTAACAGTCGATCTGACGGGCCTCTTGGGCGTCGGTGCTTCCCTGGGAGCAAAATCTCTTGGGATGGTGGTGGAAACGGCGACGGCCCCGGACCTGGGCGTTGTGGTGGTGGACGTCGGATCCTTGATCGGGGCGCGCGAGGAGACGGGGAAGGCTGGCGGAGCGCTGAGACCAGTCGCTGGCGGCAGCGGGCCGGAGGGTTCCACGAGGGTCGCCATGGGCACGGCCGCTCGAGAGCGTGGTCGTCGTCAGGAGAAGGCAGAGCTGGCGATGCTCAAGGCGACGGGAGCTGGAGGCGAAGGCATCGAGTTAGCAACAGGTGGAGCAGCGGCGGCAGCCGTCGAGGCGCATGTCGTGGAGGTGTTGCAGACGGGAGAGAGGGTGGAGGAGGAGAGAATAAGATAGCCGCGGCGAGACCGAGACCAAGGACGAGTGTTGGCAATGTTTAATTGCCTTCAGCGCCTGGCTTGATTTCCGTCGAGGTCCCCCAGCAAAGGCCCATACGAAGAGCGGGTCTGGACTGGGAAATGGGGATGGAGCAAGGAGGGGGCGATGAAGGACCAAGACGTACAAGACGTGACGACGCCATATAGCGGCCAAACGGGCGATTCCTTTGTGTAAGTATCACGGGGGAGCGGACGACATTCGCAGCGCAGTCGCCTTTGTATCGCGAGTTCGGTGGTGTTGCTGTCGGCGGTGGTGGTGATCGTCGGTAGTGCGGGAGAGAGATGGGACAGGGAGAGGGCGAACGGCCACGGAGCGAGGCGCACGGAAGCAACCAAGGCACCACTACGGTTCGCAGCACAACACAACACGGCGTGGGAGCTCGGAGCCAGGGATGACTGACACTGACACGAGTAACATTGGCAAGGCAGGGAAGACGCACGCAAAGCGAACCCAAGTCAATGAAATGCACAAGGCAGGGCAATCCAAGGCAAAAAGAGAGACACACAGACGCACACACGCAGAGTCAGAGACTTGGCTCGCGCTATTCCGGGGGGAGCGCGAAGAAGTGAGGAAGTGGGGCGACAGAGACTCGACGAGCCAGAGGCGCTAGCAGTAGCTAGGTACCGTTTACCTGGAACTAACGGCAGGTGCGCCAGCCCGCTGGAGACAGTGGGAGTGCTAAAGAAACCTGCTAGGCGTGCTAGGAGAGGTGCTAGGAGCGGTGCTAGAAGAGGTGCTGGGGACCGGTTCGCCCGGAGAGGCCCTCCGCCGTGCCATGTAGCAGGTACCTCGGCGCCACCAGCCACCAGCCCCGTCCCCGCGCTGGCCAGTAAGAGCTGCCGGAACCCAGGGGAGGGGGAGGGTTGCAGCGCGCTCGCAGGCGGGCTGGGTGCTCTCCCGGGCCGGGGTGACGCCTGTCCACGACGCGGCCATTGGTGGAGGCCTGGGTCCACTGGGCCAGTGGCGTCCCCTCTGGCCCTCTCTGCGAACCATGCGCTGTCGAGGCGCACGCCGAGTTGGGATGAAGGATGCGCCGTTGGTTGCAAGAGGGACGGCTGACAGGACGCAACAAAGCGAAACCGAAATTTGATAGGGGACTGCAGAACGAGTATCGAAAAAGAAAGGAAAAAAAGGAGGGAGGCAGCCCTCGGGTCATGTCACGTCACAATTGCCCAGGGAAGTACTTACATCTCCGACCCGACCCATGTGTTTTTCCCTTACCATACCATACCCGCGGGCCGTGGGAAAGTGAGGGCCGGCGATGGGGACAGGATATGGGTCTCGAGGCATGGGCCTTTGGTTGGGTCCCAAAAGCCTGGACGCGATGGCCCAGGGATCTCCCATGTTTGCAATGGCGCCTCCCAATCGCGGAGAATCACAAATCGGACCTCGTACAGTGCTTGCTTGCTTAATTAGGGGGACGGCCTTCCCAGCATCCGACCGGCCAAGAAAGGCACCTCGGCCTGTACAGTTGCCGTACTGTACGCACCATCTCGGCAGCGGAAGCGTCTCAAAGGGCCTAATTTTGGCTGCCCAGGTGGCGACCGACAATGGCTGGGCATCAATCGATCAACGGATCGTCAATCAAGCCAGAGCCTCCTGAAGTGACATGTGCGCCACTCTGCTTTGGTGACCGGGGCATGATGCTGCCAAACCTTCTCGTGCCACCACCGCAGAACAGGGCTGCCAAGTCGTTCCAGAACAACGTCTCGATGACGACGAATCTCTTCGGTCAATGCATGAGCACGAACTTGGGAATGGACAGCCTTTCATGCAGCCATGCAACCATGTAACCATTCCACTTGTCGACAGTCGACTCTGTCCAACCATTTGCACCTCAGCTGCAATCCTGCCCCTCCTCTTTTGGCCTGTTCGTTTTGCTCCGGGTCTCTCTGTCCTGTTCTCCGTTCTCCAGTCCTGTTCTCCAGTGATACATACTGCACTGTACCCACTGCCCATCACATCACATCACCATCGCATGCGCATTGACGATTGCCCCATGCCCCATGCCCGTCATCACACCCGGGGATTGAGCCGCCGCCCAACAGGCTGTAGACGGCCATCTCCAGCGCCTTCAGCCCAGTGCCACGGATTGACAGCCGTTGCCCTTGCAGACGGCAGCGCCTTGCTGTAGGTATAGTACTTGCATATTTTGTCTCACCAGACGGATGCAAAGGAACAACCAAACACCCGCTAATGAACTACTCATCCTACAAATCCGCCGACGACTACTTACCAACCGCATGGCACGCCATCCCACCCAGGGAACCCTCGGCGCCCGTGCCGCCCAGCGAATCACCACCACATGGAGCTCTAGGGTAGCGAGCGTAGAGCGTAGCACTCGAGCTCTCCACCCTCCGACCACTATCACGACTCGTCTCATTCTCGGGACCAACACTTCCACCCTGGAATGCGCCAGAATCGCCGGGCCTCACTGGCTCAAGTGGAGAGGCACGATGCGCAAAACGCTACCATGCCCACATGGCACATGGCACCGTCGCACATGGCACGTCCATCCCGCTTCCCGTCCGTCCGCCCGTCCGCCCGCTCTCAACGCCGGCTCCTTTACGGCCCCTCTACTTAACCAACAAACTTCCTCTCCCGTCGGGTCGCTTGGCGACGACTCCATACAAGTAATACAAGCGCCGGTCTTTGATGCATCCGGTACGGTATCGCCGCCCCGACTTGACAAACGATCTGTTTTCCTGCATGACACTACCACTGATCGCTCCGGAAACCTCTCATCCCACTGCCCCTCACCCAGTTCATGCACCCCCACGAGTCATTCCTAGGCCTGCTGACTTTGGCCCAGCGCGCGTACACGGCCAATGAAGCCCCCTCCGTCAACCAAGTTCCACTCCCCAATGCGGTAATTCTGTCGTTCTACAAAGGCGGTGACGATCGGTTGAAGATCACCGCATTCTACTGTGTCCCCCTCGTGCTCATGCAGCTCGTAGGGTTTCTTCTCGTGTCATGGCTTGGGTCTGTCTAAGTGTTCCTGACTCAATTCTAAGTTTGGCCTCTGGTCGGTGAGACTATCCCCAGCCATGAATCCATTCCTCTACAGATCTAGGGTTTTGTATGGCTGCTTTTGGACGATAGTGACATGCAAAATGAAACCACACCTGTCCTCTGCTTTCTCGCCGGTAGCCTTAAATGGATGTTAAACCGGCCCCTTCCCCGATCTGGCATGCGGCAAACTCGATAAGTTTTTCGATATTCTGTCTATACCTATATGTGGTACACCAACCTAAACCATCACAGTGCGTCGTCATGCCAAGTGTCGTAACAACGTAAATATCATAAAATTCAAGGGCATCACAAATGAATGGCGTCCCGCAATGCCAACGTGATGCATACTTCTTCGTTGATTGTCCATCTTCTATAAAGATGACGCGTCTGATATCCTCCGGCGCTGAACCAGACCGATAAACGTCTTTTCACCCGTCCCCCACCTCTTAGCTGCCATCCATGTCTAATCACCCTAACCTCTCATCTCCTGAATCTTCTCTATGAGTAGATCTGTAAACGTCTCCAGTACATCCTCATTACCTCCAGCCCGTGCCTCAAAGATGCAGTCTTGAATAGTTTTGATGCCAACACCTACTGAATCCGAGCCTGTGCGATTTTGGATAATGCTGATCGCCTGACCCACGTCGGCTGTGTTGAACACCTTGGAATCCTGTAGTACTATCGCCAGCTCCCGCACGTTGGACACGGCGGGGACTGCCACCTTCTTCGCGAAATCCATGTCAATCTCGAGCATCTTCAGTACAGAGAGTTTGGAAGTGGTGACAAAGATCAAAAGACGGTGGCCCTGCATAGCAATGTTAGTTTTGTCAATGGTAATGTATTCGAATCAATCTGACTCACCTTGGGGGGCTTCGACACTAGCAGAGTCGTCAGGGCCTCGAGCATGGTGTTCGAGAAGCGCGGTCCGATTGGGTTCCACCCAATCAAGCGCTCAAAGTCGTCAAGAATCAGAATGCTAGTGGGAGACTTGTAGGCGTCCGCAAATGCCTTGTGTACGAAGTCCTTCCTGGCAAATTCGTCGCGATATCCCACAAGGTCCGCGGGAGTAACCATCTTGACGAACGGGAACCCAGACTGCATGGCAATATGAGCTGCCAGTGCTGTCTTGCCCGAACCCCTGGGTCCGTGGAAAAGCACTGACGTGTTGAACTTGTTCGGGTCATCCTTGATCATGCCTACGACGCGCATCATTTCCTGAATAGTCGGGTCGATATGTTGGCCGTAGCGGGTGATGCCCAAACGGACGGCATCCTCAAGCTCTGCCTCTGAGACACCATAGGCAGGGCGGACCTCGGTCAAGGCGTTCATAAAATCGCCGCGGTTAATCCTCATGTTGACCACATCCTGCTTGACAGCAGCCAACTGACCGACCTCGGTGTGGCGGGAAAAGGCAAATGACGCCGCGGCCTTGACCAGGCCGTTGAGTTCAGCTCCTGAGAAGTTCTTGGTGAGCCCAGCAAGCTCCGCCGGGTCAACATCCTGATCTAGAAGCTTGTTTTCACGCATCTTGGCGGTGTGAATTTTGAGAATCTCTAGACGGCCCTGCTCGTCAGGTAGCGAAATCTCAAGGTGAACCTCGAGACGACCAGGTCGCAGCAACGCATCATCAATCATGTCCTTTCGGTTGGTCATTCCGATCAAAAGGATGTTGTTGAGCTGGTCCACACCATCAAGCTTGGAAAGCAACTGGTTTACCACGCTGTCGCCAACGCCAGTGCCGCCACCTGCCCCTGAGCCTCGCTGTTTGCACACAGCGTCCAGCTCATCGAAGATGATGATGTGAAGGCTGCTCTCATCTCCCTTCTCCTTGTACTCCTTTTCGGCATCCGCGAAAAGCTTTCGGATGTTCTCTTCTGACTGACCAACGTACTTGTTGAGCACTTCGGGACCATTGATGACCTTGGGCGGACGTGCGTTCAACATCTTGCCTATCTGACGGGCAATGAGCGTCTTTCCGGTTCCCGGGGGACCATAGAGCAACATTCCCTTGACGTGAGGAATACCAATCTTGGCAACCAGACCAGGGGGGAACACTCGAGATGCAAATGCTCGACGGAAGATGGTGGCGAACTCGTCACCCAAACCACCAATGCCCATGTCCTCAAACTTGAAGTCGGGGGCTAGAATGGCGTTAGAGTTGGGCTTCGACATGGAAGGCTTGAGTTCGAAGTTGCCCTTCCCATCGCGGTGGAAGGAGACCTTGGTTTGGTTCGTGAGGATTCCACGGGCGTTGGGTTCTGTGTAGAACTGCTTGGCAGAGTCGTCTGATGACATGGCCAGGTCTACGAGACTAACTTTCTTGACAATAATGAGAAGAATGGTACCCGCAACATCCATAAACATCTGCTGGCTGGGAGACAGGACCTGGTTCTGATATGTGTTGATGAACTGCTTGGACAGTTCGTCTTCGTCGAAGGGGGCATGGGGCTTTGGGTTGGCTGAGGCGAAGCCAATCTCGACGTCGAGGGTACCCAGGTAGGGCTTGCTTCCACTCGCGAAGGGGTCGTAGACCTGGGCCATGACTTTGTCTGTGCCGGCAACGCGCATCCACAATCGATGCTGTAAAGACATCGCGATGCGGCCCTGGCAGGACTTCATGAAGTTGGGGATGGGGCGAGCGGTGACGACATATTCAGCAGGGGGATTGCTGGTTCGAATCATGAGGTATAGATCGGAACCGTCGCGGTTTGGAGGGAAGTCTTCGGGGGAAACGGCGTATCTAGTTTAGGCTCCCGTGTTAGATGTGGCCTCAATGATGTCGCAAGAGGATATGGTACTTACACATTGGTATACCTGAGATCGTTTCTGTCGCTAACATCCTCGACGTGTCCAGGTGTCAGCTCGACCTGCCTGCCATGATCAGGCCCCCCAGAAGGCTTCTCGCTGTGTCTCGTCATGCCAGGCGAGCGAGGCTGCTCAGCGTAGCCGCCGCCGCCGCCGTACTGTCCACCTTGCCCGCCCTGAGGCCTGCCTTGCTGTGCTCGGGGGTCGTTGTAGCGGGCGCCGTAGCCTTGCTGTTGCTGCTGGTAAGGATCGCCGCCACCGTATGGTGCCCTCTGGGGAGGTTGTTGTTGGCCTCCGGGGGGTGGCTGTCCTCGGTTCGATCCGGGCATGCCAAACCCACTGAAGGGGGCTCTCGACATTGCGGCGGTGGGGGAGGTTCAGAAGAGGAAGAAGCGGCAGCAAGGGCGTATGGATCCCGTAGTCAGGGAGTAATGATGATCTTGGGCTGGTTGAATGTGCGTCGTGTTGATAGTTGACAAGTCTAAGTTTTGTTGGTGAGAGTGGTCATGCTGGAGCTTCACGTATGCTGACGCCAACGAGGGGCGACGGCCGCAGGGTCTCAGCTGGGTTTCGTAACCTTTAGTGCCTGATTAGGCTTAGCTTAGTGGCTATGTCATCGCCATTCTTGCAGCCTTAGAAGTTAGAAGGGATCGGCCCCGCATTCCGGTCACGGCCAGACCAAGACACAAGCAGAAGCGCCAGACAATGATGATCCATCATGAATTCGGCTTCATGACACCTCAAAGCTTCTTCTATTACTCCCAATACTAAGTCCGCCCCTGTTTTAACCTGGGTCCTAGCTCAGGATGCCACTGTAAGACCCAAACAGCCCTGTACCTTTTCCTGCTCTTCATCACGGCTCACTGACCAAACCATCACAGCCACCTGCTAGGTAAAAAGTCCTGGAACGTCTATAATGCCGACAACATCGCGCGCGTCCGTCGCGACGAGGCCGCCGCCAAAGATGCGGAAGAGGCAGAGGAGCAGCGCATGCAAGAGATTGATGCGCAACGTCGACTAGCCATTCTACGAGGCGAAGCTCCTCCCCCTATCGAAGATGTCGAACCGGCCAAGACCCACGAGTCCCCTGCGGGTAAAACACCAGGCGCCTCACACTCGGGCGGCATGCGACGGAAACGAAAGCGGCCGGATGAAGACGATACCCAATTTGAGCTGCGAATAGCTAGAGAGAAGAACGAATTGGCTGTGACCGCTTTTGAGCCGGAGCGCAAAGCAACAAGCACGGCGCCGATTGTTGATCATGCCGGCCATATCGACCTCTTGGGGGATGCAAAGCTCAGAGCGCATGCCGAGAAGAATGAAGAAGCAGAAAGGGAAGCCAAGAAGAAAAAACAGAGCTTCGAAGATCAATACACGATGCGATTCTCCAATGCCGCGGGAAGGGATGGCATTTCAAACCCGTGGTACTCGCAGTCCGAACCAACCGCACAAGAAGCGCCACTCAAGAACGTCTGGGGTAGGGAGGACCCGCAACGTAGGGAGCGAGATACAAAGCGTATTGTCGCCAGTGACCCGCTGGCGATGATGAAACAGGGTGCGTCCAAGGTTCGGGAGCTGAAGAAGGAGCGCAAGCAATTCCAAGAGGAGCAGGCTGGGCAGTTGAAGCAGCTTCGCCGGGAGGAGCGCCAGCGGGAGAAGCGCCGGAGGGGACATGAAGAAAGTGAAGAGAGGAGGGACAAGGATGGGTCCTCTCGGCGATCAGACTACAGGCATCGCTCAAGGGAGAGGAGGTATCATGACAAGGACAGACATGACAGAGATGAGTCGAAGGATTGGAGAAAGAAAAGACATGGGCACCATGATGACCGGGATGAATCAAGAGACGATAAGAGTAGAGAAAGGAGAAGGGAAAGTGATGAGCGGCACCGAAGACGGGACTCCCGTTCACCCGCGCGAGACGACAGCGGGAGACATCGGAGATACCGATCTAGAGATTGAAGTCGGAGATGCCGGCCCAAAGATTGAAGCCGTGAATAGCTTATCAGATACCCCCAAACTGAAATTCAAGTCTATGAAAATCGATCATGGAATCGAAACAAGTAAAGTGCTGCCCTGGTGTGTACCTAGGCCAAGCTCCTCGGCCGGCGCATGAAACATGACATCCCAACTTGACACACCTATCATCCCATCATCTTAGCCTGTCCGTACGCAGCCATGAATCAAGCCGCGACCCGCGGAAGGCGAATTTCAACGGGCTTCATATCCTTTTCCACCATCGCCACCAACGACGCCGCGCCCAACGCCCCCAGCGCCTTCAGCACGGCGGTGTAGGTCTCGGCACTCAAACCCTCCTCGCGATCGCAGTACACGTCTAGGCCCTCGGATGTGAATAGCGTCGGCGCAAACCACGTCACCGCCCACCGCTCCTTCACGCCCTCGGCCGTCGTCGCCTCGCCCCAGCCCAGAACCTCCCAGTGGCTCGTGATCATCAGCAGCATGCCCTTGCCGCGCCAGTTCCAGCTGCACGCGCTGCCGCCGGGCACTTGCGTGTCGATTCCCGCCACCGACTTGAGCACGCCTTCTTTGTTGGAGGGCTCGTACTCGACGAGGTCGTCAAGCCGCGCGACGCCGTTGTTGTTCGCCGGGAGCCGGTTGTACGTGATGCGGACGTTGCGCGCGGAGCGCCACATGGAGAGGGTTGAGTGCGTGACGGTCCACGTCGTGGCGAGCCATTCCAGTGTCGGTGCGGAGGTCGCAGCCGGCGGAGAGGAGCTGTATTTGGAAGGCAGACTGAGGGTGATGCCCTCGGATGTAGCGGCCATTGTGATGCTTGAGTGTGTTTCTTTTGGAGTTGTGAAGGTTCTTGACGTGGAAGGGTGATCAAACTGGCAGGTGCAGCGATAATAGTGTGGCTTAGTTCGAAAACGATCGACAATGAGACAGGTAACGTTAGCAGATATGCAACTCCGTGGCGCCACATGCTGACTCTGAAACAACAATAATGTGTAAAGATATGCCGGTTTAATTAATTCGGAATATAACCCTGGTTATATGTTCAGCCGGGGGGAATCTCGCGGAGACTCAGAACTTGGCTAAGGGCGTGTTGCGTGTATTGACCTTGAGCTTCAGCTAACATGAGGAGCAACGCCATCAAACCTCAATGCAACCTCGATCTAATCGTATGAACCAACCCTCTAACATTTTATTCTCTTCATTGCCTGCATGCCGTACTTTCCGCTCAAGCTATGTAGCAGCTTGACCGCGCTCGCCTTGAACAGCCACAGTAAGCAACACTCCACTACCTAGAAGGCTTTTTGGCAGGGTTTAATCCTCAGACTGAAGTTGAAGTTTCAACCCCCCGTGAACATTCCCTTGGCGCCTCCTCTTGCGCTTTTCATCTCACGATGTATTGCATATTGGGCACTTAAAGCCATGAGAGATAGATGCGGACGAGGCATCGTTCGCATCGCCACCATGTTGAAGGAACATAGCGGTTCTCGAGCCATTCATTATCGTCGATAGGACCACCCTTATTCGGAATGTCCACTCTGTGGTACTCGCGCAAGTGGTCGCGGAGGCAATCGCGGTGGTTGAAAGGCTCGCCAGAACGAGCACAGCGTGGGTAGTCGCAGCGATAATTACCAACCTGTATCCCCGAGGCATGCGTGTTCCTAAAATGCCTCCGGAGATCAGCGGAACGCTTAAACGGGCCTGCATTTCAAGCGGGCCAGAGACAGGAGAAATGACCGTCACGTCCGGGAATGGTGCCACCATTCAGATCCGGCTGTACATGTTGCCTTGAGGGTTGGCCTTCGCTTCCCACCTCAATATCCGCATGCCGAGGGCTAATTTTACCCAAATTTGACAGGCCATCAGTGGCCGAGGGTGATACTCTGGCTCTTATTCCACTGTCCGCATTCGGCGAGTCCATGGTAGTAAATGGTGACAGGGCATGGTAGCCCAAGGGCTGACCTGCTGAATCCAGAGGTTTCATTTCAGCACTGGGATAGTCTTCAGTTTTGGATACGTTCGTCAACTCTAAGTCTGGCAGAGCGAAGAGCGCTAATCGCTCTTGATGTCGGCCAACATGCTTTCGTATTGCCGAAGCGAGCTCAAGATATCCTCGCAAAGAGGACACGATACGCCCTGTCGGATATCAAGGGGTTGGACATTGAGCGTTATGAGGGTGTCTATCCCAGTCAAGGTTCCTTCAGTAGAGAGGGTCAAGCTGCTGAATGTGTGAAAAATGGTGCCCTTCGGCCTTGTCTCAGATTCAAGGATTGATTTGATGATCAAAAACCCTGTGGGCGATCATTGGAGAGATGCAGACACAGAAGCCAAAATTAGAGCCCGTCTCTGGACAGGATTCGACGTCTTTGAAGCTACCATCAGAGATATCAAGACTGCGGTAGACGATGTGACAACACGCATTGATTCTCAATATGGAACGAATGTCTCGAAGCTCAAGAAGGCAGTTTTTACTTGAGTCGATCAAAATACGCCGATCTCTTGTCAATAATCAGAGAAGGCATATCTAACCTTGAAAATCTAACGGATCGAAAGATTGAACTTGAGCCAGCGAGACGAGTCCGTTCCTGAGTGAAGCTCGTCACCATTCTCCGAGATATGTCCCAAAGCTTATATCAAGCATTGCAATCTAGCTTGAACTGTCCTTGCGAACATGACTTGAGTTTACGACTGGAAATTCGTTCAGATGACGTGCCCTCAAATAACGATAACGAAAGGACAATGGACCACATTGAATTTCAACTCGCGGTGTCATACATGACTCCAACTATCGACCCTAGTAGACGTCTAGTTGACGATCGAAATTGGGAAGAGGTCATGATCAAGGCGGCCACGGCGACCAGAACAACATCGTTTTATTCAGTAATTTCAGCACCTACTACGCAATCAATGAAAGCCCAAGGCAAGCGAAGTATTGGGTTCTCCAGCTTAGCCGCAATTTTATCATCTACCAATACTCAGGCACCAAGACAGATGTCTCCATGGATGTACTTACATCTATGACCACTATTACATTGGGAGTATCCGTTAGGATTGGAAAATTCTGCGACCTACCTGAACCTTTGCGAGAAGATAAGAAGGGCTCATAAAGAGAAAAAAACCGACACCTATGGAACTATTATCGACAAGTCATCCCAAACCACAAGAAGATACGGTGTGTATCCTGTCCCGACTACAAGGGACTAAAATACCCGGACTTGGTCTATTATCTCTTTAGGGGAGGCTCTAGAGGGGAACAAATGTATTTCATCCCTGTCATATCAAGACCGTCTGAGGCTTGCGGTGGACATCTCTTCCAGCATTCTCCAGCTCCACGGAAGTCTTTGGCTTCCAGACACGATCAGCAGCCGCGAAATCTATTTCTTCTGGAAACAAAGCTACCCACTCTACGACAACCCTTTCGTGATGGCGGCCCTTCCGAACAACGGTCTAAGAGGCTCCTAGACCAGGTATGGATGACTAGTTCGAACTATGGGACTGCCGTCATGCGATGTCTTGATGGCGAGTTGCACAGCCATAATCTTAGCTTCCACAACGAAGACTTTTGCCAAGAAGTGCACTCAGGAGGAGTTGTCGCTCTGCTTTTGAAGGATCTTGAAAATTCATCAAGTTGAAGAGCATGAGTGGTTGAAATTCATAGAAAAGTGTCGAAAGCGCTATTTTTTTTTGGAAGTGAGACAGATGAGTGATAATACGAGAGAAAAGCGTTTGCCTACTTGCCTCCCATTGCCTTCCTGGTAGCTGCATCTAGGTTGCGAGATTTGCTCCGCCGACTTTGGCGATAGCAGCGGTAGGACCGCGATGACGGGGTTTGAAGGACACAATTTGAGTGAAATCAATGTTCGATTTGCGTAGTATATCTAGTAACCACTACGGAACGGATGTGGGACAAAAATGCAGATTGGGAGGGTCGGTTGGAGGACGAAGTAAGAAGGGAGTGTGAGAGAAGGGAGGAGGGTAGAAGAAACCTAGTAGTCAGCAGAGCGTAATTCAACAAAGACAATAACACAAGCCACCGTTTCGAATCAAAGAATCTCTACTCATTTAACGTGCTCAAGTTACACAGCATATAGTCAATTCATTCTGGGCTTCAGAGATCAAGTCTGTAGGAGCCGATTAGAAAGACAGAGTTATGAGGGGGACAAAAGCAATAACTTCCGCGACTCTTTATTTAAGTGTTTAAGTCAATCCACGATCCAAATTTGGTCCTGTGGCAAGTCCTCAAGTAATATTTCATGCGACAGCAACATGGGGATCATTACCCAAAACCATTCCCGCATGTCTGGTCCGATTGTCTCCTCGACAGCCGTTTGGAAATCAGGAGATTCATCCCAGTACTCCATTGCTGCCTCTTTCATCCTCGCTTTCATCTCACCCTTGATAGCTTTCCACTCTTCCCCTTCCACATTCCGACCTGGAGCATTCAGGAACGTCAATGTTAAATCCTCGGATGCCAACTGCCTAGCCAAAGTTCTGAAAGCTTCAGCAACAAGGACTTCAGAACTACTGAGGCGGTCTATAACTACAGACCGAAAAGAGTGAACTAGAAGTGCCCCTCCATCCTCTTGATCCGATTGCTTTATGTGTACCAAAAGACTGGTGTGCAAGGCGTTGTTAGACTCTGTGAGGTGATTATCGCCTGAGAGACTGTCATGTATGAGGGCAGCGTCTCCTTCGTCGAGGGCGGAGCAGAGTCGATCCCCCGCTAGTCTATACCACTCATTGAGTTCGTCACCAGAAAATGACTTCATTGACTGTAACCTCAAAAGCTCTGCATCAAATATGCGAAACCAAAAGCCTGAGCTTTCCTGCTTGGCATACAAGTAGGTCTCTTTGGGTTGTATCAATCCTTGCCACGGGTGGAGTGGAAGCCCTAGAGCTAGTGGTCTAGTCCTGATTCTCGCTCCCTGGAAGTGAACACGAAGACCTGCCGGAGTCAGACGACCAAGGTGGGAGGCAGCCTTGTTAGGTGTATGAAACCGGACTGCCCTGCTGTTCGCATCAATCGCAGAATTCGTGATGGAACCAAGTAATGACAGCGGCGCCCACCGGAAGCCGGCCTGTTTCATGGGCCTGTCCTCGGCGAAGATGATCCGCGGAGGAATTCCTCTATATAGTTTCGAAAGTTGCTGCCAGACTAGTGCCATTCGTTCTTCGTGTGACTCTGCTGCAACGATGGGAGCCATATCGAGCGACAAGAGCGTCGCAAGACAAAGCGGTTCGTCGGATGGAACCGTCACACTTCTGAAGTAGAGGGCCCATTGAGTTTCGTAGAGGCTTGATTCCAAAAAATTGCCGGATTCTCTGTCGCAGACTTCATTCTCCTGCCGGCCCCAGAAGTTGTGGACTCTTTGAAGCTTATAGTGCAATTGTTAGCAGCAGATCACACTCGTCAACCTTGGAGTACCACTAACCTCTGCCTCCACGTCATTAGAAATTTGATAAAGACGTGGGTCAGTAGTTGCGGCTTGCTGCAATTGAGCAAAAAGAGTATAATCATGTGCAGCACGGTCTGATAGTTGAAAGCAAAGTGACTTCGATAAGGCTCCCTCTACTGGCTAGTTAGTGACATGAAATAAAATTTTGGACAGACTAAGAGCTTGCCCTGTAGTGTCCATAGTCTCCTCATCCATGAAGAAGTGCCGAAAATTCGGAGCAGTATTTCTACAGGAGATGTATCCGAGCTGTATGACGAGATGGAAGAGTCAAGAACAAGGACATGGGTCGCATTGCGATACACATCTAGGATTCTCTCCAGAGAAATTCTTTTCCCTGATTGCTCTGTAGGACAACACAAAGTGTCAATCCACAGCCGATATTTACTGCCAGGCGAGGCATGTTGGCTTGACACCATGTCCCGTTGAAGGTTTGTGATCAGTTCTTGCAAGCGAACTACTTGGCATTCTTGGATTGCATTGGCATTCGGATTGCCAAGTCCATCAGCCCAAACCTAAGAATGTTAGCGATGTAGAAAGTTTGAATTTGGGGCCACAAACATGTGAGAGCGCCACGTATTCATCTCCTGCCTTGTACTCCTCGACGGTGAGGCTGATATGACCATTCTCGAATTGATTAAAACACAAAATAGGATAAGACTTTGTATGTCGCAGTACTCTCTGTACTTCTTCAATGTCAATTACGTACTCAGAGCATGAACAGCCTGATTGTGCATGGGATAGCTTGTAAGTTGCAAGGTCGATCTGGAACGCTTTGCAAAGGACCTTGGTACATGATGAATGATCTCGGCGAGCCCCTCCCTTGTTGAGCCTTGAAAGAAAAAACATAGTTGTTATTCCTCGATACAGTTGCGTGACTCGTTCTATCTCACTGGGACACCAGCCAAAACCTATCATGTCTGACATGAGCGGCTTGCTGGAGTGGAGGTGTTTCGGACCCCATGCAAGTGAGGTCATATCCGAATCTGGTGGTGCTTCCGTTCCAGATGCAACAGCACGACGTATTAATTGGCCATAGCAAGCTCGAGCTGCCGAGGATACAATTTCCCCTAAACCGGCAATGGAAAGGAGCACCGATTCGTCAAATTCGCTGTGAATAGCTCTCAACATTTGGCAGGTGAGATAGAGGCAGGATTTGATGTGCCCGAGCTGGGCCGCCATGTATCCCTCTCCAGCCATCAAACTGGCCAACCGCGACTCGAGCTTTTCAAAGATCTTTGCTCCGTTGATGTACCGAGCGCCATCTACCTCCATAATAACGTCGCGGTAAACCATGTCATACTGAGCCTCTGCGTGCTCTTGGTCGACTCCGGTAGCTCGTCCAGGACCCTCATTGAGGCCGAGGACTTCAGCAACGAGCCCGAAGTAGAACCATGTGAGGAAAAAGTTCTCGGTCTCTTCCTTTGCGCTTGGATACAGAAGCTCGGTATACGGGATGTGAAGGGCTGCGGTTGGATGTCGCAAGTCATAAGGCACCTTGCCAAGGAGTCCAAGTCGGTCAGCGAATGATAGAAACGGTCCACAGTCCCAACTGACCCTCCCGATAAACGGTGTCATCGGGATCGGGGTCGAAGGGCTGTGAGGGACTGCAAGGATATCCATTTGGTCGGTGATTCAGTTGTCACAAATGGCGCATTGAGGCTGAAGAGCCAAACCGAGTTAAATGGCATCTCTCTGTTACTAAGCAGCAAAAACTGAGACATGACTGGACAACAACTAACTTAGGACTCCCGGGACCAGTTGCGTACAGGACGGATGCCGTCTAGTTTGACGATCCTGAATGATCTTCCTATCTGATTCCTTTAGATTTGAAATTTTATTTTCTGAAATTTCCCCGATCACCTTACGTACCTGTTTGCGATCAGCTTCTGTCCTAGATGGCCATCGTTGGAAAGTCGTTGTGGTGTTTTAGTGGATCTCTATCGACTCATACCGGATCACGGTACGCAGCACATCGCACCTCCTTTCTTATAGCATCTTATCGCACCATTTAGTAGATCACTATTGTAGTCTACAGTTTTAATCTAGAATCTTTTGAACTAATTTCGATATCCTTCGTCACAATTGGGACAACCGTACCCCGAAGCGACCACTCGACGTCTCCCCGAAATGACGACTGCCATCCAGCCTCAGCCACTTCCTAAGCTAGGACCAGTGAGTGAGTTTACCGAAAACGCAAAAACCGTATTGGCAGAGTATCGCGACGTTCATAATTCAGTCACCCAAATATTTACTCCTTTTGCGGCTGGTTTTGAGAATGTGATCAAACTACTCAAGGAAACCTCCAAGTTTTGATGATACGGCGGTATGCTTTACCAGAAAAAGAAGCAAAGGGGGCATCTGGTGAGGTTTCGAGGCTTATGGGAGAGTGCGATACCGATTTCGCGGAAGAAAGGACTTCGTTTTGCTCATCAAAGCGGTCAAAGACAAGGATGAGCCTTTGGACTTTGAAGCATCCAGGTGCTTGAACAAACCGATCAAGGACTTTTCGAGCTGCAGGTATGGTAAGCTTGATGAAGATGAGATCAAACTTTCCCTAAATAGACGAAATGACATCGACAAGTTGAGGCGCCAGTATAATCGCAACGTTGGAGACGATGAAGGAGCCTTATTCTGGCAAGCATTTATAATAACCTCGAGGAGGAAGTCACCTTCTTAACGAACCCAAGCCCTCTTCAAAACTTCAAATGTTTGGAGGATTGGACAGATGGAGGCTGCCGGGGCTTATTCTCTGCCTCAAATGAGGAGTTCGAGGTTCGAGTAGATTTAGTGACGAGATCTCATCGTGTTTGAGAAGAACACGCTTGCATGTAACTCCATGTTCTTCTTCTTTACATATAGTTGGTTGGTGAGAGATGCACCCACACCAATTCCATGAGACATATTAAGTCGAAACCCAGTCAAGACTAAGGAAATAGTCTGAGGGATTGAATCTGAATCACACGCACAAATTGTAGGTCTGACCATTAAGACTACTGGATTTAGAGCCTTTACGTACACCCGACTGAAAAGAATAGAAAGATATCAACAAGAGCTACCACAACAGCTTGGGTTAAGAATAAGGTCCGACAAAAAGTAGACTTAGAACTAAAGAAAGGAAAACGCATATCCCGCCTTGGTTTTGAGTGTAACTGCCACTTTCAGTGGTGCCTCTACTAGCTGTACTGGGACCCGGATATATAACGACTTCAGTGTGCTCGCAGGCATCATCACAATAGATGATGTAATGGGCTGTTGAGGTTCGTCTGGTAGTATCTTCAGAGTCCCGATTAGACAGAGAGGCTCCTTCGAGAAGCTGTACTCGAGTGATTCACCAAGTCATCAACCTTCTCTCTATTTCTCCGAGTGTATAAAAGCCAACATAGTATTACCACAAATGTCAGAGGCACGGCAACAGCGAAATAAATCCAGACACGGATTGTGACTGTCTCCTCAAGATCTGCCTGCCAATCGAAAAATGACATGCTGAAGAAGGACTGTGATTACCTCTAGAGTCAGCAAAGCTCGCGGAAATAGAAAGAAATTGCCTTCTTACGCAGATGAAAGTCGCTGGCAGAAATACCAGAGTCATGACAGCGATGGTTTTCATCGATGAGCTGTCGCGCAAAGCGGCTTTAGCTATCTCGCCTGACTGCCTAGCAAGCTTGATGGTTGCCGCTGTATCGTGCTGGGCAGTAAGATTGTATACCTGGAGCCGAGTTTAGCTTGGATGTCAGGGCCAAGAAATAGGGTCCCCCTACCGCGGAGAACTGGTTCTCTATACGCCTGGGCAAAACGCCGAGATCATACTGTGATGTTTCACTCTGCCTTTGCAGCCGGATTAAAAAGTTTTCGACATTTTGGAAAACATCGCGTTCCAAACAACTGCTGGAGTTGGCTGGCTTGCAATGCCTAATGATGTCGGCGAGAGTGGTCGACAATTTTGTCTCGAATTGCCACCGTCTCTCAAGCTTGACCAGGTCTGAATTACAAGCGTGTAATTCGCGAATGAAAGCTTTGAAGTCCTGATTTGTAGAGTGATCCAGAATCTGGGCTTCCACATTTGCGACCCTTTTTAGTAGCTTCGACAGTGTCCGCGACGTATTTTGAATGTGGACTTGCAGAAGTCTGGAAGGCAGCATAACCAGTAGTAAGTCAGAATCCGCCCACTCCTGGCACAGATGGGGTAATTCCCACTGATCAATGAGAGTTCGCACCATCTGCGGATCCGCCGACACAAGTACGCCTGTGAAGCTGCGGCCACAATCGGAGCCCAAGTGGGATTCCGTGGATGCCCCAAATGAAACCTGTGGCCCGTCACCATCTTTGGGGGTTTGCAAGAAGAATCCTGGACATTTAACAATTAGGTCGGTATGATGGTAGAAAGAAGAACTCAGACCTGTCCTTTCCGGCTCTTGCAACCAAGTCACATTGCCAGCACTACTACCCAATACGGTTTCGAAATCAAGTGCTGGACCTAGATTTGCCTATCGCACATCTTCTGGGGATGTCCAAAACTCGTCTGGGTTTCGATAGAGTCTAGGTTGACGTTAGTTTGACGTGGGTGGTGTTGTACGGAAACCCACAGTATTCGCAAGAAGATGGGACGCCATGTCGTCGATATGAAATCGCTAGAGCCATAGACATTGTAGAAATCATTATGCAGATTAGCGGTTAGACTGCCCGCATCATTTGGAAAGAGATCAAGGATCCCGCTCGCGCGAACTGAGGGATCTGACATCATTGTAGTCAATGAGTAATGACTCAAAGGCGCTACTATGAGCTACTGGAAAGAGCTTGGAGGTCGCGCAGAGAATCTTGGGTCAATATATCTTTGCCGACGAGACCTCTTCCGACAGGGTTATTAGTCTCGATGCAGGTCTGCAGAAATTGTGGCGGACATGGTACAGCAGCCAACAAGACAGCATGCATCCAAGAGCAGGGGTAAATGACAAACTGATGTTCGGGCTGGACAAAATAAGCAAAAAAAAAGGACACTTTCGATGGTAAGAGAGGCGTTGCCGTACCTGATAGGTGAAGCAGTACGGCCTCCCCTAGCGGAATGTGGGACGAATAAAAAAAGTATTCTAACGCCAACAGAAAAGCTATTGAAGCTAGGCGAGGCTTAATCTACACTATGAACTATTTTGACAGATTCACTTGCATTTAAACCGCTCAAAGCTGGGGAAAATACGAGAGTAATCTCCACGGTGACCGATGAGAATCGCTAGGATTGCTGCGAAGACAGGATTTCCTTGAGTCTAACCCAAGCTGTCTGTCTGTGGAAACCGGTGGCGTCTTGGGAAATTACTAGTGTATTAAGGCTGGATGATCGATAGAGACGCCAGGGTTGTTGGCTAGAGGCTGTAGGGCTGAATAAGATAAAAAGGAAAAACAGGTTGAGGCGTTTCTGGAGGAATGACCTTGACCAGTCAATCCAAGCTTTGCCACACACTCTTTTAATTCATTATGTCAGAGATATTCGGTCTCTGGGGATACAGGGGATGTTGGAGTCTTTGCTTTGCTAGGAAGGAGCCCTGAAGAGCTGTTAGATGATCTTTTTCGTAGCCGCAAACACAATAGAGCGCTACGATATTTGCGCTAGCTGTAAGTGTCTCTTCCATAACGCAACTAAATCAAGGACGATTAACTGACACTGAGGTCTGGTTCACTATCCCCATTGACATGGCTCTTCATCGCGCCCGTACCCGCGAAGAGTGCAAGAGCCTTGATCTTGCAAGCATTTACAGCAACCTCGAGGAGGGGTTCAACGCCTAACGAACCCAAACTCGAGATCAAGGGCATCGCGCCCCGACACAAATTCCAGCGATCCGCTCTCTGGCTACAATACAAGATACTATCCCCATCTGTCTTAAGACCCCAGTGCTGCTTGATCCAAGAACGGACAATGCTGACTAAGGGTTGTTCGACGGAGCAAAAGTCTTTGTCACGGATAATTTCTAACCAGCCTTTGTGAACAATCCCGGGAGCCGGCTGTCTGGAATAAGTACCGCCGTGAAATTCTTCAATATGGTGGAAGCCGGGACGAGCCGGAAATGTAGGAGGAGTTTCTTGGTCACCCTGCAAGTCCGAAGGTCTTATTTCAGGGCTTTGAAGAATAGCAGCGGGATGAATGACGTGTTGCCCCAAAGGGGAAAGTTGCTAGAAAGGCTGATGCTGACGATTTCCCCCCATTTACGCCAGTTGCCGGCTGTTGGGAAAGGTAATTCGGTAACTTTAATCACAAAATCAGTGCCTTGGAATGTTTGACGAACGATCATCCCTTATCTTATCGAAACTCAGCAATGTGACCGTCCCAGATGTGTTTCGCAGTTTTCTGCTAAAAACCTTATTACTTTTACTCCTATTACTCTATTAAATTTATTCTATACCCCTCTTCCTAAGGATAATACCCCTGAGGATTCTACTGCTACTCTTGCATAAACTCTACTCAGGCTGCCTAGGCTCAGGCTAAGAAGCAGTACAATTGTCGCGACCTGTGGCATAGCTCCCCCACCAACAGCTAAGCCACACGCCACAGTCCGTAAGGTTGTTGAGGCTCTAACTACCGCACAACGCCACAGGCACCCGGCCCCACCACGCCTGATCCAACCCCGGATTTTCACGAAGGCGCATCCTCCTCTCGTCCATCTCGTCCCTTTGCATCCTTCTCGCTCACCCGCATCCTCGGCTACGCAGACCCTCGCCCTCCCGCGTCGATATTTCCCGCACCCGAGCTCAGAATCAGCCTCCTGCCTCCCTCCCTCCCTGCCCACGCAGCCGAGCCTGTGCCCTCTCGCCGCCATGGACCCCGACTCCGTTGCCGCGACCGACGCCAATGTCGAGGTCGACCACGACGTCAACTCCGACGATGAAGAAGCGCTCATGGCTCAGGCCATGGGATTCGCCTCCTTTGGCGCTCAGCGCCCCAATAAGAAGCGCCGCTATAACCCCGGGGCTGATGCTGCGCTCGGCTCCGAGCCGATACCTTCCGTCACAGGCGCCAACTCCACGGCCCTGGGTCCCGCGCCAACCAACCGCTCCAATGCTGACGAGATTGCCCTCGACGACGATGATGGCGAAGATATCGATGTCCCAGCCCTGGCGCAAGTGCGTCCGGCGAGCTTGCCCCAACGTCCTGCCGCACCACCTGTAGGATTTGCCACCGGCCACCAAGCTCCCTTCCAACCGCGTCGTCATCAAGACTCGCCATCACAGGGCCCCTGGTACGAAGGCTACTACGACCCTTCTACCAACGAAAACCCATGGGACCGTCTTGAGAAGGCTCGAGGCCTGTCGTCTGTCGGCTCTTGGCTTCCGCGAGGTGGCGGCGTTGCTCGTCCGTCGACCACTGGCGCCCCGGCGTGAAGGCATTGAGCCAAGTTCTTGAGAGGGGACACGCGACTTGGGTTGTCTCGCCATACTAAGCTCACCTGAGAATCCGAATTGAGGAAAGAAGCGCGTTTCCTTGGCCTAGTCTCCCTCAATCACCCGACGTGAGGGACCATGGCATCACTTCCAGTGGCATGTCTCTCACGTGGACGGTCACGTGACACATGATCAGGGGTCGACCAACGTCCTGGACACCACGGCCGAACTACCCCATGGCTACAACAACCTTACGGCACATCACATGATGACACACATCGACGGTGGCCTGTACATGGTCTGGAGGGGCGTGGGAAACACTACGGCCACGGCATTGGGGGGTTATCACATCGCCCTGGCTGTCGATGGAGCGCCTTGGCCAAGTCATCAACGGAGGGGAAAACAAGACTCGATTGTTACGAAACCGCCAACTCCTGGGCCCGGCGGAAACATCCGGGCCTCCCAAGACACGCAATCCTGCCAAAGAGAGTAGTGAACCTCCCTATCTCGTCCTGCCCGTTAACCTAAAGGAGCAATATCAACCTGGATACCTCCCCCAAATAGGACAAGCGCCTTCAAATACATGCTTCTCCAGCACGCTCGTGTTTTTCCATCCTCGTCCTCTCCTTGGTCCAGTGGCTCCTAAGGCCCTCTCTCGTCCATCCCCGCACACCCCTCCCCCCGGCTCCTCGAAGACGAACTGGCAAGGCCCCCCCCTTCGGCTGCTCCCGCCTCACACCTCCTCCCACAGGAGTGTCCCCTGCAGTTCTCGGCGCAGACACCGACGCAAGCCATCATGCCCACCATGCCGTCCCCTGGCCCCCCGCAGACGCCAGGGAGGTGGTGTACTTTTAACATCCGCCCCTAGATCATCCCAAGTCATCCAATCATAAGCCATAAGTCGTGAAACAGGCGCCCTCGTTCCCTCCCCCCCTCCTGCCCGTTCTCTCCACACACCCGTTCGTCAGCGGCCTTCTGGCGTGTCAGAGCGGAACCGCCCACACGCCCACCGTCTGAACTCCGATAAAAGCAGCAAGAGATCCCGCCCCAGCGGCCCGCAGCCTTGCCGCGCCTAGTGCCCGGACTTTAACGTCACGTCACCTTCGCCCGCATGAACTCGCTCGTTCATGCATGCCTAGCAAGGGAGGGGGCGTGAAAGCTGCACAAACACAAAAAAAACATCCCCAAAAAACAGAGGCTAAATACAAATCCTGGTATCCGATCAACTTTTGGTTCCTGCAGCGGAACCACGTGGGTATGTGCGATTTTGGTGGGTAGGGGAAAAACGAAACGCGCGCTAGAAGTGAGTTTGTGTCGTCAAATGTTCCGATGCGGCTCAAAATGGAACCCTGGACCCCTAGTTCTCGGGGGATGGGTATCGCGCACGAGCCTTGCTGTACTCCTTGGTGTGCTTGCGCGAGGCCTTGCTCTTCATCGATCTGTAAATTCCCGTATGGTTAGCGCTAGATTCGTAGAAATTGTAATTGGAGCCCAGTTCCCGAAATTGAGTACTGTGTTGTGGCTCCCCGCCAATTTGCGAAAATTGTGGTTGTAACCGCGCGCAAATGGCCAGGAACTGGGTTTGCAGGGACTGTCAAAACACTCACCCAACTTTCTTCTGCGTCCACTCAAGGTCGCTTCGGACCTCGTGAGCGTCGCGCATGCCCTCCTGGAAGCGCTCTCGCGTCTTAGCCAGGCGAGCCTGTGCCTTCTTCTGCAGCTCCAGCAGCTCGCGGTGCTTGGCATTGAGCTTTCCGGATCTGCCCGTTCAGTTAGCAAGATGCCGCCAATCGGACATGGGGAAGAGGCGGCACCCTGCAAAAAACGGGGAACGGCAAACGGCAAATGCGAACAAGTGCGCAGTGAGATTGCAGCCGATCCCTGCGATTGCAAGGGTGCGTTTTGGAGGGAAGAGAGGGGAAGGCGAGGACTTACGTCTGGGCCTGCATCGCCATGCTCCGGTCAAGGGGAATGGGGTCGAAAGAGTTGGCGAAGCGGTCCTGCATGTACTCTTGGAAGTCGACACCGCTGGTGGAGGCGGTGCTGTCGTAGTCGGCGTAGCCACCGGCATAGCCGTTGGAAGTGGCCGAGTATCCGCCATTGCTGTAGGAGGGAATGCCGGAGGCGGAGCTGACTGAGTCTTCACACTCCGGGGGAGAGACGGAGTATTGGCTGTAGGTGGGGTATTGGGAGCCCTTGGTGGGAACCGGCATGGGCATGGAGTAGGCAACGTTGGAGTAGTGGGCAGGCATGATGACCAATTGAAGAGAAACGGTGGGTATCTTGGGCAAGGAGGAGGGTGGGAAGGCTTGAAGATAGTTTGGCAAAGGCCGTGAAGTGTTTGGAGGTCTTGTGGGTTGACTAGAGTCAAGTCAAGTCAAGTCGAGGAGGTAAAGTTGGGAATAGTGACACCGGGTCAAAGAGACTTTGTATGAAGGCCGGAGAAGTCAGGAGTTCAAGTGAGAAGCTTGCTGAAGAGTGATGAGGAAGGAAGAAGAAGAAGATGAATTCAAACTGATCAAGATGCACCCTTTTATAGTTTTCAGAGACCCTCCCCGGTCTACCTGGAGGAGACGGAGGATAACACATCTCGTCACCATTCGCCAGACCGGCGGAGAGTGACCCCGCTCGCGGGAGTGTGGGATTGGCATAGGATAGGACAAGATGATGACATGGCGGAGGAGAAGCAGCGGCTAGACGAAGTCGATCATGGCGGGATGCAAAGGTGTGGGCCATCGTGGACGACATGGAGGGCAACGAGGGCTGGGAAGGCTCGGGAGGCTAGGAGCGGCACCAGCCAGGGCGGCAAACAGAGTCTTTGGATAAAAAAGTACAAACCGGAGAGTACATAGTCGAGAGGACCGGCCGTTGGGAGCCGGGCCAACGAGAGATGGGAATTGGGGACATGGGAACTTTGGACGGGGACAACGGGGACAACGGGGACTGGGACGGGGATTGGGGACGGGGCTAAGAGAGAGAAAGGGGGAGGGTGAAGGTAAAGAAAAACCGTTGAACCAAGTGGGCATGTAGCCGGAGAACGTGGCTGCAAAGACGACTCAGGCATCTGGTTGTCAAGACTCTGTCCGGCTTGTGGGTGTCAGAGAGTTAGTTGGGGGTGCAAGGCGGACGGGCAAGCCTCGCAGCTTAGCAAGGGCATCTGCATATGCCGAGAGGAGCGAGAGGCGCAAGAGCAGTGAAAGTAAGTACCTACCTTAGTGAAAGCACAACCAAAACCGTGGACCGTGCTCTGTGGGTCACGGCCACGGCCACGGCACACGGCGGCGGACGCTCCACGGGTAGGGTTCGGCTTGGCTTGGCTGGTACAAATCTCAAGGGTAAGGGCATAGGTTGCATGAGCGATTGGGTGAAGTTAAAAGTGAGATGGGGGGCGTAGAGAAGAAGAGCCTTGTGTGTGTGTGCGTGTGCGTGTGTATGGTATGTGTGTGGTCAGGATCAGGGCCGGTTGCCAGGGCCCGGGGAAAGCAGAGTAAATCTGGAACGCTGGAACACTAGAACGCTGTAACGCTGCAACGCTGCAACGCTGGGACGCTGGAACACCAGGCTCGCAGGCAGACAGAGCCCCGGGAGCGGAGCCACAGACGCCGACGACAGCCAGACAAACCCCGGCCTTACGAGCGAGAGCGCAGAGATGCTGGTGAGATGCCATGCATATCCGGGCCCATCGACGGACACACGGTGGCTGCACTAGCCGTTGGGTCCAGGTCTCTCTACTGTACAAGCCCACGGCCACCGAAAAAAAAACATGCTGGGTTGTAGAACTGAAAGGCCCAGGGCATCGCAGCAACGTGCAGAATGGAGCAAAGACGCCGTTTTGCCCACGGCACTGCCGTCGTCTAGACCGGCCCTGGAGGCTGCAGGCGGATGCGTGCCATTGTCTTCATTCGCACGTCAAAGGGCGGCGGAGAAGAGGCGAGAGGCGAGAGGCAAGGCGCAAAAGGCCAGACTAGCCTCGGTTTTGGCTCTGACGGTGACGTGAGGGATAATGCCGGAGCGGACTGGGCTGGGTTGCTGCCTTTTCGACGATAGAAGGATGGAATCGACCAAGGGAATCTACCAAACGAACCAACGGGTGAGCCCTGACTGGCTGGATGATCCAGGTTAGATGGACCCAGAGACCACCACGCGCACACCCATTCACGCACGCACGCACGCGCGCACACACACTGCTCGACGTCGGCCGTGTTCCGATGCCGTTGGAGGAGACGTCGTTGTACCTTGTCATCAACGGGACCCGGGGAGGGGCGTCAAAGTGTCAATCGGAGGTCCGTCTTTCCCAAGACCCAAGACCCAAGAGCTCACGGCGCTAAAGACACAGAAAGTCAAAGACAGGGCGACAGGGACAAGGGCGGATGAGGCCTTGGGAGCGAGCATTGGGGCAATGGATCTTTGTTGCCCATGATCCGCCGCCATCTGCATCTCGCCCTGCAACCTGTCTGCACCTTGGGGGATCCATACGGCCAGACTTGCAACAAGCGCGCTGACGCTAACCAAAGCCAAAAAGGCGAAGTGTCCATGGACCCGGAGCCCACGACGGAACCAGAGAAGAGGAACAGTAGGAGAGAAGCAAAAAGCAGCACTGGATTTTATTCCTTGGCTCCGAGAAACCCACACGCCCCCCCCCCTCCGTGGGTGACCGCCCAATCCCGGTTGCTCTTTTTTTTTTCGACGACTTTTCTCGCAACCGGAGACCGAGATAGACATTGAACATGGGCAAGTGGGATTGGTGCTTGTCCGCCCGGGCTGGGGGGTTGGACAGAAGCAGGGCGGCGGATCAGGCAGAGCTGCAGCAAGTCGGGCAATTTGAATTCCTCTTGCCTGCTCGGTCTGTGATGTGTTGATGCGTTGTCAAGATATCTACCAGAGAATGGAGGGATGTGAGGGGGAGGGGAAGGGAAATGGATGTTCCGGGGAACATCCAGCCCAAAGGAGGCAAAGGAGAGACGCCCGGACCCTTGGAGCCATCTGGGGGGCGTGAGGGCGCCGGGCTGCGTGGGAGGGCGTGAAAGGGCGGTTACGTAGGGCACGGTAGCAGGCAGGTCCGGAGCTGCCAACACATGGAGGTGGCAGCAGCCTCACAGCAGAAGAGGTAATGCCAGCGGCAATGGTTGGATGGCGGACAGCCCAGGGGTCGGCAGGAGGACAGGAGGGTGGTCGAGGCACGAGGGAAGGAAGGAGGGCCGCAGGTTTGGCAGGCTGATCAACGGGGCAAGGATGGCGTACGGCGTACAAAACCGCCTGGGAGGGAGGGGCGTGTGAGCGTGCTGCTTGCTGCTTGCTGCTGTTGGATGGTGGGGGGGGGGGGCAAGCAAGATGGGAGAAAGAGGGGTCCCATAGGTAACGTATCGTTGATGCCAATCTGACCGAGATCTTGCGTTGGGGATTTTTTTTTTCTTTTCCGTCGGCTGGGTAGGTACCTCTACGGAGTACGACCAAGTACATCGTACAGCAAGCACAGTGCTCCGTGCCCGTCATGCGAGATGTTTTTTCTTTCCTTTTTCGCTGTCCGGAATTCCTATCGAGGTGATTTCCGCTTTCGGACGTGTATATCCTCAAGGTCAAGGGCATGGAGTACGTGCACGGTTGGATCTGTAGATTCCGCGTCAGGGTGCGCAAGGTCTAATTCCCAGGCCATCTCCACGCTCAACTACACGACGGTAGTTGCGCCAACTAATTATCTTCAGCAATGGCAGTTGGCTCGCAAGCTCACGCCCAGCAGGTCATTCATCCACGGTAGTGTACCAGCTATTCACCTTAGCTGCTGGTCAACCCACCCACCCATCCACCATGATCTCATCCCCATTCCGCCAGAGAACGAGCCACCGCGCCCAGACACAGTGACACGGAGGAAGAGCTAACCAAGCAACCAAGCAACTAAGCTATCCACCCACACCTAACTACTGTACCTACACACGACAGCACCGAAAAATCTCCTTGCTGCTTGGACATCCTTTCGCTTGGGTTGCCTCGCCTGCCCGCCCATCCATCCATCCATTCAACGTCGGCCCCAAACTCCCCTCCCCGTGGAGCTGGCTCCCATTGGCCGTGATAGCGAAGAGGATCTTGCGTACGCACTTGTTCCCCATCTCATTGGGCAAAAATCGGTCGTTCATGGGTCATCCATTTGCTGGAGCTGGCGCTCTCTAGACTCTACCTTTGTTCCAATATTGCCCCTCCCCCGCCCTGCCACTGCCAGTCGCAGCCACCACGCCCAAGATCCACCATCCACCACTCCCACCACCTTCGCTACGGTCCTAACCCTGGCGACCTTCACAGGCAGGGTCTAGGGCTGGGTGTTTGCTGGCTGTTGGCTATGGTAGGACGAGAGGCTAGAGGGGGGCGCAAGGTGCAAGGCGCAAGGAACAAGGAGCAAGGAACAAGGGAGATGTGAGACGCGAGACCTACGATAGCTCCTCCACCACCACAACCACAATTCTCCACCTCCAACGAGATACCGGTAATGCCTTTCGATATATGGCCACTTATCAACTAGTGACGAAACGAAATCTGCCGGACTGGAGGCCAGAAGCACACAACAGAATGAAAAGCCTCTGGGTTTTTGACTTTCCCAACATCATCTTGGATACTACTCCGTCGTCATCACCGCCATCTTTTTCGCGCTCGGAGCTCCCATCCGAGGCTTGGACCCCCTGGTCACCTTGTTTCCCCCGAGCAACGTCGACGTCAGACCGACTTCTCCACCACCAACAAAAAAAATAAAAATATTTTGATTGTCAGAAAGTACAATATAATTTCCCACCGCTAATTCGCGGCTGTGTCCCAGAGGTAACCAACCATTTCATTAGCTAAAATGGCGCTGAATCATCTCATCGATCGATGAGGAGGGGACGAAAAAAAGTGTAAGTGTCCACCAAGGCAGGCATTCCTGTATCCTGGATGATGTATGCTGTGTGCTGTATGCCGTATCATGAATCCTTGCCCTCTCATCATCCATCCCCTTGCTGCTGACAGCGACGATGACCGGCCCGGCCTTTGAAATTGCAGGCAAAAAAAAAACGACGACGTTGCCCGCTGGCAGTTCCCCGTCGTCGTGCAGCTTGCGGCGGAAGGGCGGGCGGCGGGCTGCATGGGCAATCTGCATTACCCCCTGGTTGTCGTGGAGTCCATGTGCTCCATGTGTCCGTGTCTGTCGTCTTCAGCTTCAAGTCTCGATCAGTCTTGATCAAGTCATTTCTGCCGGGCACCCTGTCCTGCGAATCTGCATCTGCTCGCTCAGCCGCCTCCTCCGCGAACCCACCGTGACACCCATACTGTAGACAACTGGACATGTATCTTTTTTCTTCTTCTGTCTTCAAGGTCTGCTCCTGCGGGCTGCTTTCCGCCACGAGGAGTTTTCGACTTGGACCTCTTTCCGGCTTAGTGACGCCTGATAGGATCGATGGCCATGAGCTATCGCCCGCCACCCGGGGAATGCACCTACGATACGGATGCTTGCAGCAGACGCAAAGGCTCTGATACTGTGATTCCCCAGAAAAGGCAGACGATCTGTGCTTTTGTGCTCCGTGCTCTGCACACTAATATATACATACATAGTACGCTGTACGCTGTACGCTGGACGCTGTGCGTTGGTACCTGGAGAAGGGAAATGCTGGGGCCCAGGCATGGGACTCCCGGTCCAAGACGGGATCATCCCAGTCAGCCGCGACCCATTTCCTCGCGATCATCTCGACAGCCTGTCCTCGACGACGATCGATGAGAGCGGAGTCAAGTCCACGCCGGGGACTGACGCATGCTCCGGAAGCTTTCCTGTTGCTCCGTATGGCAAATCGACGGGCACGCACAATGGGATGCTTACACGAGCGAGGTCGCCGAGGCGGAGAAACCACCTTTTGAGGTCTCTGCCCCCAGGTGGCATGACTTGCAACGGCTGCGATTGATGCTGTGCGTCTGGGAGCTAGTGGATGGAGCTTGAGGCCGCCTCACCAGTGAAGCTGGCTGACTGGCTGGCTGTGGACGCAGACGGAGAGATATTGAGGCTGCCCGCGAGCAACGAACGGCTGGGTTTTGCCCTGCCTCGCCGGCCTGCTGAGGACGCGAGATTGTCAGATTCGCCTCGACCGTGCTGCTGGAGCCGAGCCTATGGCCAGCCTCATGGCAGGGGGGCTTGGGCTTACAACTCGTTTGCTGTCTCGACAGAGCTCTGCGTCTTCTTTACTGAGTTTTCAGCCCCGTGTTGCAGCGCAGAGCGGGTGCAGCTCGGTGCAGCAAATTGGCAGCACCCGGTACATTGTACATGAAGCATGGAGCATGGCATGGCATGGCATCGCATTCGCCCGTCTCTCACGCTCACTCACTTCCACTTCCGCCCGCCAACGCTCACAACGCACCGCACAGCGCAACAACGCACAACACACAACACACGCCCCCTTGCAAGGTAGCTAGCTCCGAAATAAGCCTCCCGGTTTCCCAATCGCTCGTACATGGCAGGCAAGCGAGAAAGAAGTGCAGCGATCCTCAGTCTCCGCGTCCTCCATATTTTTTCTTCTTCCAATTTTCCTCCATCCCGACTGCGACGCTACGCCCCCAAGACAGGTTCGATAGAACGAACTCGACGTACACGCCTCCTCCACAACGCACGGACAACTCAGCGCCGGTGCGTTTTGCCCGTTTGCGGCTTTGCGCCCCTCCCCCCTCCCAAAGCCGCAGGCACACACTCGAGGTGCAGGTTGCTGATGGGGCAGTGTCTCATAGGGCAGAATTGCAAGAGCAAAAAATTGTTCGATGCGGGCGGTGGAAGCGGAGGTGGAAGTGGAGGTGGAAGCGGAAGGGGAAAAACGCACACGCAGATGCAAACGCTCTCGCTGCAGGAGACGCGTCTTGTTGGACGGCCGGGCTTGGGTAAGGTAGTGGAGGGTGTGCGTTGTGACGTGCGTTGCGGTGTTTGGTGTGGCGGGGATTGCATTTGGTGTGGGCGGAAGGCCCTGTGTTTGCCAACCACGTATATGAACTGGACAGGACCGGACGTGATAGGACCGGTGTTGATGGGGAAATACGTACCGCATGCGAACCAACTCGTGGCATCGACGTTCGTTGCAGTGATAGTCGACCTGCCATAGTAGGTAGTGTCCGCGTCAACGAGGCGAACAAGAGCGATGGATGAGCGGGGATTATCACACGCAACTAGAAACTGGAAACTGCACACACTCCGTATCAGCGTAGGAACTCTTCGTCGCCATCTCCGGTAGATCGTGACGTAGCCTTTGCCATATCTCCCGTCTACAGAGGAGAACTTGGTCTGAGTCTGTTGGCCTCTCTCTCTTCGTCTCTCTGTTCCCCCGCTCTGATACACTTCGCTGCTCCCTTCACATGTCGACGAATGCTTCTGCCCTGCCTGACCGAGTCACTGTTGCCGCTCCATCATCGATGCTGTCCATGCCAAAGTCCTTGTTGATGCCATCTGCCGTTGCTCCCACTCCTCTTGGTCCCGCTGACAATGCCGTACAACCAAAAACCACTCTCCGGTCTCCCGCCTCCGTGCCATCGCCCGTCGCGAAACACTCCTCCCGTCACACATCGGCACGTCTCAACTAACATGACGCTCCAGCTCCTTGCTCACGGCCACATATACCCTATCCAACTGGTCGAGACACAACACCGACATTTCGTGCCTCGTCCCCAAAAAACCCCCGGGACTCGGGCGGCAGTGTCATTCCTGCTGCTGCCGCCCCTGCTGCTGGCGCTGCCGTGTAAGTCAGGTCGGCATGGCCGGCGGCACAAACGCGACAGGTGACGGACGGACGATGGTTTGGCAGACACGACCAGCCGAGACTTTTGGCCATGTCAAAGCAGGCGGGTTGATTTTGTGCGACATTGTCATCACAACAGCCCCCAAGAGCCCTTCCATGTCCTGTCTGTCCTCTGTAGTCGGAGAATTCCTGACTCCCGCAACGTACCACTTTGTGCCTCCAAATGCAGACCCTAGAATAGCGATACGTCCAGACTCGCTTATCCACCGACCTTGAACCTCCCGCGTCCCCATCCCTGCGCCGTGTGATGCGTGATGTGATGTGATGTGATGACACGGGGGAAACTGGGATCCCGCCATCCAATACGAGCCTCAAAATAACCTCAAGGCCACCGCCACGGATTCACCAAACCCCTATCCTGGCGTTTTCTTCGTCTCCGACGCGCGGGACAAGGGGTCATGGCAGCACAAGCACAAATGCACAGAACGACACAATAGTCTTCGATCCCAAGGAACCGTCATGGAATGAAAATCGAGGAGAGCGTTTCGCCATTTCTACCGACCGTCCGACCGACCATGACCCGTCTACATGCCCATTTCTCATGCCGTAGCCGTCCCAGCCGCCTCTATCCAAACTCAAAACGAGGACTCGCCCATCCTTTCCGACGTGATACTGCATACATTAAGTGTTCGAGGCAAGGTACCCGAAAGATTCTCCCTGATCTCATGAAGAGCACATGCAGCGCCCGATCGTTTGCATCTCCTTGGTTCCGTCCCGTCCGTTCATTTCGCAAAGGTAACCTATGCCATAGTACAAGAAAACACAAGAGTCGCAGAGATGCCGTAGTGTAGGACTCTGTTGACCGTGGCTGAATCCCCTTGTTTCTCAATGCATTCCGATGCGAATGCACGAGATAAAAAGAAGAGATAGCAAGAAAAAAAAAGAAATGAAGTGAAGAGAAGAACAAAAGAAGAAGCAATGGACCCCTCGTGCACAACGCCATGCCAGTCATTCATATGAGCTGCGAGTCAAGCCAGACACCAGCATCGATTCTATCAAGGGGTTGCGTTCTTGTCATCCCATGTGATATCACTCCTTGTTGAAGTGGAGTGCGTCCGCATCCCTTTCCGTCTAAGAAAAGACCTTCAGGAAACCCCAGATGCCAATACCGCTGAGAACGGGAATCGTGAGGTTGTCGTCCCAACCAAAGATGTCCACCACCTCGCTAGCAGAGGCTATGAAGCCGGAGAGCACGCTCATGACGCCAAGGGCCAGAGACCCAGTAATGGTGGCCTGTCCCTCCGAGAGACCGACCGCTTCAGTGATGGCCTTGGGCAGCGAAAGGACGCCCTTGAACATAAAGTCCTCGTCGCCGGGGAAAGGGCCGGTGGTCGGGACGAGCCAGCCGTAGAAAAAGTACGACGTAGCCACGCCGACGAGGAAGGCAGCCGCGGAGCCGGCAAGAGACTTGCCTCGGCGCAGGCGCGGGGTATATCGGCCCCAAAGACGGCCAAAGGTGCTGGCGGCGGTGTCGCACCAGCTGAGGAGCAGGACGCTGATGATGCCAACATCCTTGGGGAAGCCGTAGAGAACGATCCAGGCGCCAAGAAGGTAGAAGATGGTACCGTTCCAGCCTGCATACTCGCTCTCGCGCATCAGAGCCCCGAGGACTTTGACGTAGAAGCGGTTGAAAGGCGCATAACGGTGTCGGAGCCAGTCAACGGTGGTGATGGGAATCAGACCCGACATGAGCCAGGGCGTCACGGCGCTGGGCTGAGTGCCGGTGACGTAGAGCCAGACGACGAAGAAGCCAATAGACACGTGCAGCACCTTTCGCGGTACCTCGTGCTTGTGGACAAAAGTCCTCCAGTGCCTGTGGATTGGGATGAGCCCCAGCGGACTAGGACTCCGGCTGAAGTCGCGCCATGTCCAGCCCATGGGCGTCGACGGCTGTGGCGGGGCGAGATGGCCGTTGGTGGTTTTGGTGGTTGGGGCCTTGCCGTTGGCGACGACTGGTTCCTCCACGATGACCGACTTGGCCACCTTGCTGGCTTTCGCGGCCGTGCTCGTGCGTCTCGTCATTCGCGGTACGGCTCCGGCGCCGATGGGAGATCGACTGCGGGTTCGTGCCCGTCGCAGGTCGGGGCTCTCGGGCTCATCTTCGTCTGATCGCTCTTCGAGGGGCTGCGGCGTAGGTGTCCTCCTCCGGGCGGCGGAGCGGGTTACCGGGCCGGAATAGTCGCGGGCATCTTGCTCGGAGGGCGTGGGACTCGGTGAGATGACGCGGGGCGTCGAGGGGACGTTGTCGGAGCGGAGAGACATGGTGAAGGTGAAGGGCGGGAGCGCCGGGCAGCGGATGGCGCCGAAAACGATGCGCCTGAGGCAGTCGAAGCCTGAGGGCCAGAAGGAGCTTGTTGATAAAGAGTGGAGATGTTTGTCACGGCGCGAGGAGCGCACGTTGGCGGCTTGCGGGTTTAAGAGGGAGGAGTGGTCGTGACGGCGGTGATGACGAAGGGGTGAATTTTCTTGATCTTGAAGGTCGTCGTGGTTGTCGTTGTCGCCGTCCGATTCGTCGCTGCCGTGGCTTTGGGGTTGGTGGCGCAGGCTCGACTCGCCGTGGCTATGCTTGGAGCTTGGGAGAGCGGTGCCCAGGGGGACGTGATTGGGGCCGTGATTGGGTTGGCTCTGGCGGCGCCGGTGGTGTTGATGAAGGAGATTGGAACCCTGGCTGGTGCTGGTGCTCGCGGACGCCGGCGGGCTACGTGGTTCCGGAGGGCTCGGAGTTTGGTGACGGACGAAAGCGTCTATAGGATCCAGATTGAAGGTCGACAGGGATGCAGCGGAGGTCGGATCCCCCGCGGCATGATGCGAAAGATGGGTAGTCGGGAGATGAATGGTGGCAGGGGGTGGCACTCGCGTTCAAGCGGGCACACGACAACAACATACGGTATCGGGTATCAGTTATTGCGCGGCCTTGTGACAGCCGGGACGGGAGGTGAAGTGACTTGGAGGTGGAGGTAGGGGACGTGAAATTAGGTAGGTATGGGTAATAAGGTGTAGCGTGGAGGAGATGGCTTCGGGGACGGCTTTGGGACGGTCTTGGGGACGGGGTACGCCGTGATAGGGCGGCTGCGGCGGTAGCCCGAGGTTTGATAGGGCAAGACGAGAGGGAATGGAGCTGGGCTGATGGGAAATCCGGTCGAAGAAAGAGTCGTGTGACATTTGCAACTGGCAGTTTTTTTTCCTGCTCGCGCATGTCTTGCGTGCAGTTTCGCAGGCGGAAATCTGCTAGTTGGGTTTTCTGCTCGTAGGCCGGGGTCCGGGGAGCAGCCGGACAACTAAACAGCAGATATCTATCTGTGGCGTCGACTTTTCGTCACTGAAGAGGCCCACTAGGGTCCACTGACTGAAGCCACTGGAAGAAGGTAACAGTGGGTCACCGCTGTTTTTGTTTTTTTTCAGCATGTGACTCTGTGTCATTCACAGCTCACGGCATGGATGGCGTCTAAGTTAGCGAGTTAAGTCTTCTCTGCTGGGGCAACCGAGGCATATCCTGACAGTCTCTTTAACCAGTCTTGTGTTCTTACGTTGGATGCTTCGTTGTGAGTCTGTAACGACAACACAGCAAGTCCACGGATGAACAAAAACGAAGACGAAACAACAAATCATGCTGCCGTCTTCGGCAGTCAGCTTCCCTGCTCTCTTCCCTGCTTGCAGCTTCCATCCAGTCTCGTCTCTCCTGTCCCCTGACCTCCCGCCCTCCCAGTATGACCTCCTCCAATACCGGCGAGGCAACCCATCACGTCACCTCTGAATCAACTCGCCATGTCAAGGGACCAGCAGCCAATCTGGTGCTGTGCCGTGCAACGTCACAAGGGCCCCGGACGCTTGGGTACGTACCTGCTAACTCTGGTCAGAGCCAGGACCCACCCAGCCACACCCTGCGCCACAGATAAATCATTTCTCACGTGGTGATAAGATCAAAATTTCTAGAAATGTTTCGCGCAACCAGCATCAAGACAGTCGCCCCTCCATGACAAGAGGCAGACATTGTAGAGACAAGAGGCAGTTGCATTCGTTTCCCTCGATTCTGTAGCGTCTGTCATAATGGCTTCGGGCAAGGTCGAGAAGAAGCGCAGCGCCCGCGCCTGGGACGGTCTCAATCCTCCCCTCGCCGAATGGATCCTCGACGCAGTCTCGACAATGGGCTTCGCCCAGATGACGCCCGTCCAAGCCGCGACCATTCCTCACTTTATGGTCAACAAGGACGTTGTTGTCGAGGTATGACGAATTGCGCCGAACATACAGGATTAAAACTAATCATTAACTGCATTCAGGCCGTTACTGGTAGCGGAAAGACCCTGACCTTCCTCATCCCCCTCATCCAGAAACTTTTGCGCAGCGAGCCCACCAAGAGACACCACGTCGCCGCCATCATTGTCTCTCCCACCCGAGAGCTCGCCGCTCAGATCCATACCGTTCTGCTCTCGCTTCTACAATTCCACGCCCCTTCCGCCGATATCCTACCACAGCTCAAGGAGGACGAGAAGCGCCCGGCCACCACAGCACCCGTCATTGTACCCCAGCTACTAGTCGGTGGTACCACAACGACGGCCCAGGACCTCAGCTTCTTCCTGCGACACAGCCCCAATGTGTTGATATCTTCTCCGGGTCGACTTGTCGAACTTCTCTCGTCGCCACATGTCCATTGTCCGCAGTCCTCGTTCGAGGTCCTGGTTCTCGATGAAGCCGATCGCCTGCTTGATCTAGGCTTCAAACCCGATTTGCAGAAAATTCTATCACACCTTCCCAAACAGCGCCGAACAGGCCTGTTTAGCGCCAGTGTCAGCGAAGCCGTGGGAGAGATTATCCGAGTTGGTCTACGGAATCCAGTCAAGATCGAGGTCAAGGTCAAGATGAAGGATGGCGGTATCCTCGAGGACAGGAGAACTCCCGCGAGTTTGCAAATGGCATACATGATCAAACCCGCAAGCCAAAAACTCCCCGCCTTGGCACAGCTCCTCGAGAGGCTTCCCGTGAGGCCCCAAAGGGCCATCGTCTTCCTCTCCACCTGCGCTGCCGTGGACTACTTCCAGCACATCCTCCCGGAACTGTTGCCTGAAGGGTTTGCGCTAGTGCCTCTACATGGAAAGCACCCTGCCAAGGTGCGAGAAAAGAACTTCAGCCGGTTCCTCACCTCGGTCTCCCCGACGATTCTCTTAACAACAGATTTGGCTGCGCGAGGACTGGATATCCCCCAAGTCGACCTTGTTGTACAAATCGACGTTCCCTCAGACCCCAAAGTCTTCATACACCGCAGTGGCAGAGCTGGACGTGCCGGCCGAAAAGGGTTGGCAGTGGTTATGCTACATCCCGGGCGAGAGGAAGACTACGTGAAATTCTTGGATATCCGTAAAACGCCCATCTCACCTCTGGAGAGACCAGATATCAATGTGTCAGACGAAGATGCTACTACGGCAACCCAAAAGATCCGAGACCTAGTCCGAGAGGACCGAGCTCTCTACGACAAGGCGCAGAAGGCATTCGTGAGCTGGGCTCGAAGCTACGGCGCACACCAAGCAACATCCATCTTCCGAGCCGCCGATCTCGATTGGACCGATCTCGGAAACGCCTGGGGTCTCTTGCGCATGCCTCGAATGCCCGAGTTGAAACTTTGGACTGGGGACAAGATGCTAGGCCAAGAGATCGATTGGGAAACATTTGCCTACAAGGAGAAGGCTCGGGAACAGGCCAGAAAGGTCGCCCTCGAGGTCGAGAAGTCAGGAGAAAAGGTCGAAAAGGAAGATCACCAGCGCAAGCGGAAGAACAACGAGTCGTGGAGCGTCAAGCACGGCAAGGAGGACGAGAGGGTCGAACGTCGGGAGAAGCGGCGCAAGAAGCGCGAAGCGGAGAAGATGTCGGTCATGACGAACGATGAAAAGACCAAACAGCTGGAGCTCAACGAGTTGATCATGGAAGTGCGGAGACAAACCAAGGCCAAGGCGAAGGCCGAAGCTGCGGAGGCGGCAAAGGCTGCAAAAGCAGTAAAGGCGACAAAGGATAGTGAGTTTGAAGGATTCGACGATTAGACAGAATATACCCCGTTGAGTTGGCTATCAAAATTGCGGAACTTCATGCGTGTATCGTGAGATTCGACTGTGGTGGTTTGGCTTAGCGACCCCGGCGGAACTATTTCTGCCCCTCGATATGGGATCTTGTGCTAGTCTCTTGCTTGGTTCAAGCAAATAAAAGAGCTCCATCGTTGGGTATCTCGCGAGGTCGAACAGCTCGCCTCCGGGGCAACACTCCTTCTTGAGCAAAAGTGGCATCACTGCTGGATAAGTGTAATCACAATAGGTCAACAACATAAATAGAAATTCCACCCACAATCTCCCAGGGTACAGATTGCCCAGATCTAATTGCGCAGATACATACGCCAGGGTTGGACCGTTAGAACTAGGATGGTCGCAATGCCAAGACTCCTAGCAATGCCAAGACTCGTATACGCGTATACGGGCGTTCCGAAAACCATGGGCCATTCCGGCGCCATCCGATAAACGCGTATTCGGCCAATACCGAAGTTCTCCCTGTCAGCCATCCACGTTTGAGGCGGGGATTAAGTGGAGGGTGACAGTCTGGATAGGTTCTTGTGTTTGTGCTTGTGAGGTCCGAGGTGCGTTTGCCTAGGGGAGGCGATTTATCAAAAGTATATAAAGCGACGACAAGAGATCGAGTTGAGCGACTTCACTTGAACATGATTTCAGGGAAAGATGCCGGAACGTCAAGTCGGCTGCATCCAGGCAGGCAAATCTCCTCAGTCGCAGGATGATTTCCCGTGAAAACATGTTCTGTCGGAGATGTCGGCGATCTTTTGCAGGTGCGACAGATCAAGCTGCCTCGAACGTGTTTGACGGCAAGCCAGCATTATGTTCTGTTTGTTCGGGAGTAGACCGTGTAAGTCATTCAACATGATACTATTCCACAAATTTCGAAATGATTTCTGTTGCTGAACCAGTCTAGATGCCCGACAAAAGTGTTCAGGTCGCTGCCCAAGTCCTGGCCGATACATTGGCGGTGGTGGTGATCCAGGCCACCTACGGCCGTAACCTGGTTACCCGCCACTGAGGCAGCTGATGCGTCACCTCGAGGGTACTGCAAATGAATGCCGCCGTGGCCATGGACTGGCTTTCGGCTGTTGAATCTATGGCGTCGGAGAAGTATCATCGGAGCTCGGATTTAGAGCAGCGGTGTCGCGGGGAAGTGGTGGTGGTGCAAGTTTGGAAACTATTCACGCCTATTGCTCCAGCAAATGACCATCAGGGAGGTGGCGTTTCACGTCCCTAGCCAAGCCTCATGATCGACTTCCGGGGTGTTTCATGTCGGAATACGAGAAAGTCCGAACGGGCCGTCGCCAGGGCGTCAGTGGCTGTGAATGTGGACAGCTCAGATAGCATGTCTAGGGGACATCGACGGGAGTCTGGAGCATGCGTGGTGACATTCAGGGACGCGCGTCCGTCATTCGAGAGACTAGTATCGCAGGAGAGGTGGAGGGGAAATGAGATACGTCGTCCGTACCAAGACTGATGGTAACCATCCCGTCGGATCGAATAAGCTTGATATTCAGATCTGGCTTGGCTGATGAAACGGCCCAAGCGGGGATGGACAGGCGAATGGGCCGAGGGCGTGGCGGCTCAGCCGCCAAGGGTGACGTACGCCGCAGAAGCATGGCGCACAGGTTGGGATGGTGTGAAGTCAGTTTCGGCAACGGAGAGACGGCTTGGGAAAGTTACGACGTTACGAGAAATAGGTACGGAGTACTTGGTGGGATAATACGATGGTGGGCGGGCGATGAGGCGGGCGTGAGGCGGTCTTCCCCTCGGCGATGGAGAAACTGTTTCAAGGCATTTAACGGGGAAAGGGAAGGCGCCGGGGCCTAGACCGTGGGTCATAGGCGATTGCTAATTCTGGATAGGGCAGAGCAAGGGAAGCGCAAGGGAAAAGACAGAAAGAACGGAAGGAGCAGGGGTCAGGACAGGGGCCAAGGGACGTCTGGACAGGGGATGGAAGCACAATGGCAGGCACCGACTGGAAACCCACCCCGGAGCCCCTCATAGGGCAAGGGGGCACGGCTACGGCGTCTTGCCGAGCCACTGAGCCCTGTTACGACCGAACGAATCACCTCTCGGCGCGCGCAGCAAGAAGCGTGCGAAGTGTGGGAAGGGCATCGGTGGGGCCCTTTCCTCCCCTCCTCGGAACGGCTCCTTCCCTGCTAAGGTAATTACCTATATCCCAACACGAACTCACGCCTACCGACTTCGTCCAAGTTCAGGTACATGACATGGCTGTGTCCCCCAAGTACCAGGCTAACCGCCGTCTACTCTTCTTTTCCAAATCCCCAACTTGGACAAGACATTCGCCGCCGCAGTACGCGACCTCTTTAAGCCGGTGGCCGCCACTCTGCTCCTGCCCTGCAAGCCCGTTCCGAAGTACACAGCCATAGGCCATACACACCATCGCGAGCACACCACCTGCCTGCCTGCCAAGGACACTTAGGAACCGCCCCGGACGCCGCCTCACTCGCTTCAAGGACCATGATCGATCGCCTTTGTTCCTTCTCTCGCTGACCTCGACCTCTCCTGCCACGTCGCCAAAGTGGCCAGCGTCACTCCCCCGAGGAAAACTGCCCCTGCCATGTCGCCGCGTCCCTCGGGCCCCGACGGCTCCGTGTCCGGCGCCGGCTCCCGTCCGGGCTCAAGTGCCACCAACACCGCAAAGTTGCGCAGAGCACATCGCAAGTCGCGCAACGGCTGCTGGGAATGCAAACGTCGCCACATCAAGTGCGACGAGGCCCGTCCGTCCTGCAGCAACTGCGTTGTCAGTGAGCGCACCTGCTCCTTCCCGCACTCGGCATCTCCCTCCGCTTCAGCGTCAACGCCAGCATCCACCTACACATCAACGCATACCTCAGCTACGACTCCCGCTCCCACGGGCATCAACAGTCCTGCTCGGAGTCCTGCTGATAGCACGACCAGTTCCGGAGCCGTCTACCCGTCTCAGTATCCGTTACCATCGGTCTATGGCGCTCGAGGGTTCCCCATCGTTGAGGATGCTTCTCCTCCCACCTTGCCCTCGTTCAACGAGTTCTTCGCCGGCTCTCCCTCGTCATCTCTGCCAGATGCCCCGCCGCAACCCGTCTTCACTGCGAAGCATCTTATTCTCTTCCACCACGTCCAGACGGGCATGATCAACTCCATGAACTTCATGCCGGCCTGTATCAACATCGCCATAGAATGGGCCCAAGAGGCCCCCTACGCTATGGACCAGCTACTCGCCCTCGGCGCCGATCACCTAGCCATGCACTCACCCGAAAACTCCGCTGCCCACCGCCGCGATGCCACGGAGCTCCAGACGCGCGCCTTGATGTGGTTCAACCATGACACCAAGGAGACTAGCGGGTTAAACTCGGACAGACTCACCGTTCCGCGCTTCCTCTTTGCCGGACTCCTCAGCATTAACATGCTCTACGAGACGTTGACCTACTACCGCTCCAGTTACCATGTCTTTATCGATCGGTTCATCGAGTCCACCCACATGCACCGCGGTGTCCGCACCATCATCGGTAACTCGTACGATGTCATCCTCGAGTCCGCACTCCATCCGTTTATTTACAATGTCAAGGTGGCCTCCCTGTCAGATCACCTTGGCTCGGAGTGTGCCGAGCTCGAACGTCTTATTAGTACCTCGGATCTTGCGCCTGCAACTGTCGCCGCATGTAAGAGTGCTTGCCAGGCTCTACAGTGGGCGTTCAACATCCACGCCAGTCTTCCGGATGACGACAATATTCACGCCGCCACTGCGTTCCCTGTCGTGATTTCGGTCGAGTATGTGGACGCACTGCGCAAACACCGCCCCGAGGCCCTCCTCGTTCTCGCTTACTACGGTGTCTTACTACATCGATGTCGCAGGTCGTGGATTATTGGTGATGCGGGCGCGGCTGTTATTCACCTCATTTCAGACTATCTGGGTAGTTTCTGGCAAGAGCCCCTGCGCTGGCCCATGGAGGTGCTGCGTATCGAGCAAGGATGAACGCCAGGAGACATCCTAGAATATCATCGACATTATTTACCCCTCGCAAACGCAAACCAGCAGACTGAGTCGTTCTATGTGGCAGACGGACCCCTGAGCGAAATTTGCCCGGGCCAACAATACACTATGGCACGGAACACGCGATGGAACTGCATCATTTGAACGAAGTTGCAGCCAACGACTTGGAAGACTCAGCCCCAATCCGCCCATGAGACTACCCGAACACTTGGTATCAGCCAGCTCGGGGACATTCCACGCTCATAGATCGCAGCAGTTGCAAGGTGTTTAGCAAGAGAATACAGGCACTTGGGAGGCCACGGTCTCAGGAACACTGTGTAACGCGGGGGAAAAAAACGATACCCAGGGCGCTTCGAGGGCGGGCGAGCACAGCCGCGACGGAAGCCAGGGACTTCAGGGGGCGTTGGAGAATAGGAGCGCAGAAAGGGACACTACGCTCACCTGTCGCCATCGAAATTATTCATCCCTTGAAACAGGCCAGCTCCATACCTGGCCAACAGAGCCAACAGAGTTTGTGCACCTGCATCGAATTATCTTCGAGAAAGAAAGGGAATTACCCCCTGCAGGAACAAAGCCACGAATAAGAATTACCATATCATAAGCCACATTCTCGTATCGCGAGTTGTATCCACCCTAATCTATAGAATACGAGAATGTCACGATGGCGCCTTTGCCTCGGCTCGCAATGACCAAGGCGACTGACCAATGTAATCAATACATTTGATGGATTCTTTGCTACTATTGACTTGTGTCTCTTATTTTCTGGAGACGACTACATAAAAAACCTCTAACCTCCTCGTATCACTCATCCATCCATCCATTCATCCATTCATCCAGCTAGCTTGCTATCCACCCTACCGTCCCGCTATCCATCGATTCTCCCCAGCCCCTGCTTAGTCCGCCTCCATCATTCCCATCACACCGGTTTTTCGTAAACTTGTATTTCGTTCTCTTTCTTTGTTTATTCGTAAAAACTGATTCACCATTCATCAAACCGGTCTCGTCTCTCTCACCTCCCTAGCGGGACCGGCTAGATCGGCCCGGCCAGTTCAACGAAGAGAGGCTTAGATACGAGGTAGGAGAACCGATGTGCGGGAAGAAGAGGCCGGACAGGGGTCGTTCAAGGGAGACCGGCCGTAAAAAAGGGAAAAAGGAGACGCACCCCCGGGATGAGCGGCGAGGACTCGTCTATGGGGTTTGGTATCACTACAGGAAGGAAATCGGTTGAGGAGGAGGATCCAGAGACGGAGCTGTCCAGCGGTTGGGGATGTGGCCAGCCTGGACAGCTTCATGGGAGAGTAACGCTCAAAGATCGTAAAACTCCCAGCCATCCCCGGCCAAGTCCGTGGCCCCAACCGTGGCGGGGGCAGCTGACGAGCTCTCAGCATCCCGTCGAGGCACGAATTCAGTCCGCAGCTCTTCGTTCAGTCAGAGCTCCTCGTCGTCCAGCTCCGAAGGCTTCAGCAGACCGCCGACTTTCTGTCGTCGTTCCATATCGGCAGCCTTGGCATCCCGCTCTTGTTGTTCCTTCTCGACAATAAACAGCTCCGCGTTGTCGCCGGCAAACTCCTTGAGGGAGACGAGGAAGTCACGCAGGTTGAGGCGGAACTTGTCGTACTGAGTGTTAAGAGTGAACAAGCCCTCCACAAAAGAAGTGATTTGAGACCTAAGGTTATTGTGTTAGTATTCGCTCCACATCTTGATGATCGTCATAACGTACGCTTGGAGGTTGGGAAAGGCATTCTGTAGGAGGTTAGCCACAAAGTTGCCCAGGAATTCCCGGTTGCTGGTGCCAGCCTGCGCCTGGTCTGGGGTGTAGATGGGGCCCTGAATCTTGGGCTGGGTGCCATCAGCGGGGTGGATGAAGTAGAAGAGCTTCATGAGCAGCATGGACTGCGTCTTGAAACCAGCCTTGTGATCATTGTCGGTCACGACGAAGAAAACGTCCTGCAGGATGGTGATGAAGAATCGCTGGAAAAAGGCGTTGCCCGTCTGCACGTCGGTCTTCTCGGCGATGTTGTTGACAAGTTCCAAGCACATGTTCAATCCAGCGGCCTCTACGTCTCGGTTGTCGTGCTTGAACGCCCACGAGCAAGAGTCAATAACAAACTTGAACTGGTTGTTATCAAGCTTGAGGAGAGCTGTTGTGTCTGGTTAGCAGATGCGAAAGAACCCAACAGCCACATTAACTTACCAGGGAAGCAGTGCAAGTTGATGGCCCTCAAGAGGTTGAAAAACTCGACTCGGTGTTCGGGGAACTCGGAGAAGTCTTTGTTGATCATCTCCAGAGTGCACTCGAACACATTCTGCATGATAGTAGGGACCTGGTCCTCCATCAAGGCCTTGTTGATGGTTAGTAAACCAATTGCCTGTTTTTAAGTGTTAAGGGTTTCTTACAGAGAGCTTGGTGATAATGGTTGAGCAAGCCTTGAGCACCTCGGCATCTCGGGCTCCGGGTACGTTGCGGTTGTAGTCGACAAGCACCGAATCCAGCAGAGGGGGGACCATCTGGGCGCGAACAGCCTGGAGATCCTCGGCTTTGTCAACATAGACTTCAATGAGCTTCAGAATCTCTTTCTTGATGGTCCGAAGACCTCGGACCTTGGGCATCTTGGTGGCGAGTTCGCCATCTCGGGCCACAGCGTCGGAGATGAGAGTGCTCGTGGCGTTGTACATTTGCAGCATGTCGTGGTAGATGCGGCCAATCTGGGGATAGAAGTAGGATCCCACCGACGAGCAAGCCGACACGTTGGTCTTCATGATGTTGCCAATGACCTTGATAGTCTCAGAATCCTGGAGGATGGAAGGGTTCATCGTCGCCTGCTTGATAATCTCGGCCCAGGCAGCGTTGGGGATGGCCATGAGGTCAGAGAGCAGCCTCTCCTGCTGGTGCTTGTTGCCCTGAGCGGCGACCATGTATCCACAAGCCTCATAAAAGGTGTGAACCTGCTGGGGAGTCAAGTCGCATGTAATCTTACCCATGTTTCTAACAATCTCCTCGATGAATGGCTCCTGCTCGCTAGGCTGGAGGGCAACAAAGTGGCGTCGGCACTGTCGAGCAATCTTGATAAAGGTGTCGCAAGCCATGTCCTGCACACCCTCATGGGACTCGTGCATGAACTCGAACAGCTTGTTGACGACCGTCTTAAGGAACTTCCAGTGGGCCTTGAGGAAGCGGGGGTACTGGCCGACGATGTACATGATGTTACTGGCGACAACAGCCTTGTTGTCCTTGCCGCGCTTCATCTCTGTCAAGCCGAGGAGGTCCTTGATGACGGTAACAAGGAACCTCTTCTCCGTCTCCTCATTCATGGCTAGTGAAATCGAGCCGATGGCCCAGCAGAGGACGTTGCAGTTGTGCCAAGACCACTCAGTTCCATCGACCTGTCGGGCCAATTTCTCGGTCATGATATTCTCGGTGTCAACCACATCCAAGTGAGTCAGGTAGACCAAGCACTCTCGAATCGTCTTGTAAAGCTGCACAGTGTCGCTTTCCTTGACGAACTCTCGAACAATCTCACCCTCGTCGTTCTCGACAATCAGGACTTCTTCTGGGCGGACCATTTTCTCTATCATGACCACTCGCAGGTTGGAGAGAACCTCATTGTACTTGTGTTTCCGTAGGGGGTAGTTCATGAGGAGGGACGGGTTAGGGGCACCACTGCCCGAGACGCCTCCGCCGACGGCCATAAGGGGGTTGACGTCGGTGATGGGGAGCTGTTGCATCTCTTCGTAGAGCTCCTGGACCGATTTGAGCCAGTAGTCGAGGCAAATCTTGAAGATTTCGCGGTCGTCGATCTGCGATATCCTGATGAGGTAGTAGTGGCCGTGGATGAGATAGTCACGGTTGGGGAGGTTTTCAATGAGCTATTCCTCCAGTTAGTTTCAAAAATTGGCTGGTTTGGAGACGGACAAGACCTACGTTCAGATGCATTCCAAAGAAGTTGCAAAGGAAGAGCGCCAAGTTCTGGATAAACTCCTGGTCCTTCGAGTTGCTGCTAGGGTATGTCGATTTCAGGTCCAAAGTGACCGGGATGATGTTAGCAATGGTACTGAGGACCTCGGTAAACATCTTGATGAGTTGCTCGTCGTACGAATTGGGCTGGCCTGGGCCGCCGGTCTGTAGGCCGCCGATCTCAGTAAGGCACTGCATGGTGACGTTCCGGAACTCGGGGGTAGACAGGAAGCGGGTTCGCAGAGTCTCGATGAGTGGGGTCTCGAAAATGTAGCCCAAGGGAATCCAGTTGCAGAAGCGAAGGAGGGTCTCGATGGTAGCCATGATGAGGCTGGGCTGAGTAGCAGTGTTGAGGACCTCTTGGCAGAGGTTGAAGATTTGGGAGAACTCGGCGCACATGGTCTGCTTCATGTTGCGGGTCTTGGTGGAGGTCATCTGCTCGGCAGAGTAGTCAAAGACCTCCTCGGAGAGCAATCGCAGAATGATCATGTTGTTCTCGCAAATGGATAGGTTGGAGTGGCAGGAGGAAATGATCTCGTTGATGAAGGTGGGCCAGTTATGCGGCCACTCCTGCTTGAGGACGGAAACGAGGACGAGGTTAAGCTTGTTGAGCAGAGTCTTTTGTGAGCGCAACGACTCCTCAGTGCTCGAGCACTGAATGATGAACTGGACAATGAAGTTTCGGATTCCTGGAGGCAAAACAATCAGCATCAGCCAAGAGGCATTGCGGTGGTGAGGAGGACGGACCTTGGCACTGCTCCCGAGGGAGGACCTTCCACCTCGTCATGATCACATTGTCCAAAACCTGCAGACCCAAATCTGTCGAACGCTGTCAGTTTCTTATTGATCTCTCGCATGTATTGGTTTGTGGTTGTGGTTTTGACACCAAGGATAGCCGGTCGGCGGGACGGGGAGGCGGGGGTCGACGCACACTTGGTCTGGGGATATTGCGCGTCGGAGAGGATCTTGTCGACCATGAGCCAGGCATCGGGGTCTTCCTTGAACTGCAGACGGAGTCAGTCGGGGTCGTTATTTGAGACTCGAGGTCGGAGGGGTATTTCGTACCTGGTTGAGGGCAGCTTGGGCGGTTTTTTGCTACAACGACGACGGTGACGGGTCAGCTTCTTTGATCTCTGCTCTTTGCGTGGTGTGCATGGCTGGCGCGCGGGGCCACGCAGAAAAAAGAGAGTAGCGGGGAGCAAGAGCACATACCTGCTCACCGCGACCTTCGTAAAAGGAGCGGACCAAAATGTCCAGCTCGTCAATGGAGATGGCCATTCTCGGCGGCGGGCTCGCGCGGGAGCGTTGTGAGGCAGCGGGCGGTTTGGTTGTTGGTGGCGGGCAAGGCGGGGGAGGGAGGAGATGTAGCAAAAGAGCCCCAGCCAGGCAGGGAAGAAGGAACAGCCGAGGGACTTGACGACAGCGGCGGCAGCGGCAGCAGCGCTCGGTCTAAACGCGTAAAAAGAGAGGTGGGAGAGGGCGCGGGTGCGGTTGTGGGAAACCAAACGAGGATGCGAGACACGCGACGGAGGAGGAGAGGGAGGAGGAGGAAGAAAGAGGGTGGATGGGAAGTGCACGACGTCGGTGAGGTGAGGTGAGAAGAGAGGTTCCGAAGAGCGATGGGGAGATATGGTAGGTACCTACCTACAGAAGCCCCGGCGCACCTCAGCAGTGGAGGCCGGATTTAGTGGTGGGATGAGCCCCGCCGCCTCGAGGCATCACCCACCAGGTAGCAGGTAACAACTCAGCACAGTGGTCGTCACAGTGGCCAGTGGCCAGTGGCCGTAGCCCGTAGCGGACAGCTGCCGCCCTGAAACCAAACACCCAACTGAACGCCTAGCGGCGGGAGGGGACATGCGATTGATTTTGTCAGCGGGGCGGAGATGAGGGGCAGTTTCTCGTCACAAGTACCCGAGACCCCGCCCACCACCGTGGTCCCGCGCCGCCAGCAAGCCAGCGACATCTCCCCCGGCAACCCGACACCGCTAATTCAGTCGCCCTACCAAGTAGCCAGCCCGCGGCCCAGCAACCATGACGCTGTGGCCCAGGTACCGGGTACATGTGATGAAAATCGCACCTCTCACTTCCCAGCCTTCTGTGTGTCTGCTGCGTTGTCCATGAAGCAACCGGTTCCCACCCCGCCTCGATCGATCGCAGAGCTCATCTTTAAGTCCGTCTTTGCTTTTGCACGGCTGTCGGCCTCAGGACTTCCGTGCTCTTCAGGTCAGAGAGGGGGTCAGCTGGGTATTCCCATCACACATGACCTGATTTGCCTTCGACTAGCAAGTTCTTTCTTGAATATTCGTGGAGCTTCTTTGACGAAGGAGCCCCTCCCAATGCTTAATGTTAGTTCGCAGTGTCCATCCACCAACTCCAACCACCCGAATGCCGGCCCGTAGCTCTGCAGTAGCTCTGCAGTCGTCAATGATTGAGACATGCACGCAGACACATACATCCACACACTCTTCAAATCAGTTCAACCAGAGCTATCCAATTTTTTTGTATTGTGTTTTCCATCCTGCCCGCCGTTTCTATTCGACAAATTTCAAGATGACTCCTAACCTCTTCTATTCCAAGCGCCCGGTATTTATACCTCGTATCCAGCCTCGGAAAGCGAATCCCGCAGAGCATCCAGAGCCTTGTCGATATCCTTTCGCTCGGGGTTGAGCTGTTCACCGCACGCGTTAGCAACTTCTTCTACAACGACGACCGAAAATACATACCGCGCTGACACCCATGTGTCCGAATCGAATATACCGCGTCGCAATCGCCTTGTGGATACCACCCGCGAACACCACACCCTTGGCGGCCAGCTTGGGTAGGACGTCGGCGATCTGGATAGTCTCGGGCAGGTAGATGGCCGTCATGGCGTGTGCCTGGTCCTCCTTCTTAGTAGCCACAATCTTCAGGCCGAGGTCTGCGACAGCCTTCTTGACTCTGTCCGACACCTCAATGTGCTTCTGGAACTGCTCGGCGAGGGACTTCGACAGGATCTGGGTCAGGGCCGTGTGGAGAGCGTGGATGAGCTGAGGCGAGGGAGTGGCAAAGTACGAGGGCTTCTTGGCCTCATAGTTTTTCATGACTAACATCGGTTAGCAACGGTGGCAAGCTCCAGCTGGTCTCATTTCAAATGGGAGGCTCACTAGGGGTCCAGTTCTTCATGGAGGCGAAGTACGAAGCTGGGGGGGTCTTGCGGTTGTTCAAGGCGTCCATAGCTCGGCTGCTGAAGAAGGAGATGGACAGGCCGGCCGGGCAGCCGATCGCCTTCTGGCTGGCGGTCACCACACCATCCAGACCCCATTCGTCAAAAGCAATCTCCTCGCATGCAACACTGCAGACACCATCGACAACGACGAGAGTCTCGGGGGACACACGGTGAACGGCCGCAGTCAGGTCCTTGAGCTCGCTTAGGACACCGGTCGAGGTGTCAACGTGAGTTACGGTGAGAACCTTGTACTTCTTCTCGGAGAGGGCTTTCTCGATCTGGGGGATCTGGGGTCGGCCGCCGACCTCGCCGTCGATCTTATCCACGTTCGCGCCGTATGTTCGGAGGCAGTCGGCGAAGCCGTCGCCAAAGTAACCAGTGCTGAGGACAAGGGCGTTCTCGCCAGCCTCGAGGAGATTGGCGGCGACCAAGTCCCAGCCCAGGGTGCCGGAGCCGGAGATGACGAAGGGCTGGGCAGCGGGATCGGTCGATTGGAACAGCTGGCGAACCATTGTGAGGGTCTCGCCAAAGGTGTTGACGAAGGCGGGGCCAACATGGCTCTCGCTATAGAACAAGGGCAATCGTCAGCACAGATAGACGACATGGTGACAATCCAATGAAAAAGGATGTCATTACCTGTAGTGGCTCATGGACTGAAGGACGGCATCGTCGAACTCGATGGGCCCAGGAATGAGCAGAGTGGCATGGGGTGGTTGAGACGACATGGTGGACGATGAAGAGTATCGGCGCTGTTGCTGGGGAGAGGACGAGGTCTGGGTGGAAGAAGAGGAAGATAAAGATAAAGAGGAATTCGTCTGCAATAAGTGTCGAGAAACAAGGGATATCCTCCCGGCCGATGCGGCGGCCGAAGCTGATGAGGAGGCGGAGGAGGGGCTGTCGGCGGAGAGGTCCGGCATGCGGGGCTCCATCGTCGATCTAAGCAGGAGGGTGCTGAGGTGTACCTGCCTGCTGCTGCTAACTCTGCCTCTGGCTGCGACGCCGACCACACCACTTGCTGCTGCTGCTGCACGCGTGGCACCTGCCCTGACGCCTCCTGGACGAACCGTTGCTCCCACTCCTACCCCCGAAAAGGCGATCCGCTGCGCAAACGCCAGCTTGAATGGCCACCCCTCTTGCAGAAGGTGGGCAGGTGCGGACGGGCAGTGATGCCGAGTGGCGGGAGCTCCGAGGGGGATGCTACGGGCGGTCTTCCGACTCCGGGGACGTCGGCGTCGGTGCGAAGATGGAACGGGGGACTCGGAAACAGGCCGAGGGATGTGATGTGGCAGTTGGCAGCGAGAAGCAAAAATGTAGCGCACACGCTCTGTTAGGAGAAGGAGAGGAGCAGGATAGAGCAGAACAGGTGGATTCTAGCAAAGAACTCCCGGAATTCCTGGGGCGAGGCAAGTCACGCTGGGACGTCTCGCTGTGATCCTAGTCTCCGTTCCCCACCGCTAATAAACTCCCCTCCCCATCCCCCTCTTCTTCTGGGCAACCATCTCTGGGGTTCTCTGTTGCTACAGCATCGACCGGGGGCCGGTTGCGGCGGGGGAGTTCACTACGAGGGCCCCCACTATGGGGAGATATGCCGTTCGGAGGTTCGTCGGCATCTTGACCCGAAGGCGAGTGAACCTCCGTACGATTGTAATCAGCCCGATAGTCTCTAGGGTGAGATCCGAAGATCAATGATTGATGTTGATTTTCTGAGAATTCGCGAGTGGTAACATGAGAAGGGATATCATTCCAGCCAACCATCTAAACATACAATAGTTTACAATCGCATCGCAACGCCGCTTACCCTAAACACCAAAACCCGTCAGAGGAGCTCCTCTCGGAAGAATCACAAGCATCCCGAGACCCAATCCTTTCAAGCATATTTGACACAGCTTCTTCACCCTTGTATCACGAAATTCCCTTGTAGAAAGAAAGCAGCTTCTCCGCGCCATCTTCCCACTGCACATCATTCTGCAAGTGGTGTCCCGCGCCCTCCACAATCTCCATCCGCACTCCTTCGCTTTCCGGATCCGCCGCCGCTTGATAAAACGCTGCCGTCTCCTGTGTCACCTGTGCATTCATGAGCTTGTCCTGCGAGCCTGCCATCACAAGCAGCTTGGTCCCGCTGGCACCGCCGTTGTGAATGTGTCGCAGAATCGAGCTCGCCGACGCGAACGGCCTCATCATGCTGAACGGCCAGCCGTAGCTCTCATATCGGTTCATGCGGCGCTGGAAGGGAATCACGGCCGAGAGGGGGAAGCTGTCGCCAAAGAAGGCTCGGTGGGTGAGGGCCGGGTGTGAGAGAGGCGAGTTGGAGTGCCAGCCATGGAAAATGAGACGGATTGTGAACCACGGATCGAGCTTGGCCCAGTTCATGTAGACGCCCATCCTGAACGATCCTCATTAGCACATGAAACTCGGTAGGTTCAATCATGTATCGGACTCGGGACTTACGATCCATAGGCCGGCACCGCACCTAACAAGGCCAATCCCTTGACATTTACCCTACCCTCCGACAAGATGCCCTGGCTGAGTCCGCCGCCGCTTGAATGGCCGACAAGTACGACCTCGCTGTTCTCGCGCGCCTGCACCCACTCAATGGCGACGACAAGGTCATCGCTCAGTACGCGACGGGAGGTTGCAAACATCATACGCATGTACGACGGGTACCACGAGTCGCCGTGACCACGTAGGGAGACGGCATAGCAAGGGACCCCGCGGGCGGCGAGATACTGCATGTACTCAGTCCAGACCCAGGCGCCGCCCATGCCGCCATGGCAGAAGAAGACGGGCGGGCCGGTGGCGGGCGTTGAGGGCTTCGCGGAGAGGATCTCAAGTGTGCCCTGGGCAGTGTCGAGCCAGTGTCGCTCGAGACCTTCGGGAATGGGCGAGGGAGGACCCGATGGCCGGCTGTAGTAGAGCCATTGATAGCTGAGGTGAAAGTTACTGAACATTGGAGTGTGGTGATGGATTGGATGAGAGGCAGATGTCGTTGATGAATAGAGGTATGTTGATGTATAGGCACAGGGCGAACAACTCCGCACCTTATATATGAGGTCGATTAATGCTGTGGCCCAGGCAAGTATGTACTACAAGAGCCAGGAAACCCACCCAAGAATAAAAAACACCGCGCTGCAAAGCTCAGTGGTTGCACAGAACAAAGCTCAGCCATCAGCCACCAGCCTCCATGGCGTTCCGATAAATTTCGTCCAACGAGGCGTCGTGGCCCGGGAGAATCAGGGACGCCCTGCCAACGAGGGACTAACAGCAATCACAAGACCGTCAAATCGCGATGCCTAAACAGAATGGGGATGCCAGTGCGAGCCGCCTTGTCTAGGACTAATCAATTCCGGCTTATTTGCGGTTTTGCATAGTTCGCGCGCGGCAGAGATGGAGATGCGTGATCGAAAAAGGAAATCCTGGTCCCGGTATCATGGGCCGTGGCATTCAGCTGAGATGCAAGATTCCGTCACTTTCTCGCAGTGAGTCACGAGTCCTAATTCCCAAGGTATTTTATTCCTCTCCCTACGTCACCGAGCTTCAAATATCGACGGTAGCATCAATGTCTCAATACAGGTGGTATTTTATCCCTTCACTCTAGTCCTGGAACGACGGTTATAATTGACTCACATCAAGTAGCGTGCCTTTGGGGCAGGTAAATGGGGACGCATTAATGCCTTTAACACTAATTCTTCCAAGATCACGCTTTAAAAGCCCCCATGCCTGTCGCACCTGCAAGATCAGCAGAATGCCAACTGCATGCTTTGCCGTTATCATCGATTGAGGTATTGACTTATGCTTTTAGTGGGCACCTAACGAGGAGAAGCATTGCAATGGCACCCATCCTGCCATCTGGAGTCGTTCTGACGAGTAAACCCTCCCATGCTAATGAGACGCATTTGGTCTCAGCGGAGAGTACGTACTATATCCACGAGGTAGGTAGCAGCTTAAACATTGCGCATGCGGTCACTTTGTGGATGTTCAAACCTCAATTCAAGGTCGAGATCAATGGCACTTAAACTAGCCATAATTCATCCGCGCCACTATTGCACAACAAAGACTTCCGAATGAGCAGCATAAAGATGACCTGCAGATGTGAATTTTTTTTCGGCATTTCTGACACTCTACTGTATTACTATTGCTTCTACGATGCACTCTGTGGGCCTATCTTCAATCTTGTCTCCCAAGCTTAAGGACTTTAGTTCCTACCTAAAGGGACCATATTCCTACCTAAAGTGAGTATAAATTTAGCGGCATAATGTATGATCAAATCGCTTGGCAAACACACATATTTCCCTTTGAACTTTGTTTTTGCTGAACTTATCGTAATGTGATTTACACGTACAGCTGTAGGAGCTCCACCTGCAGCTTACAGGGCTGAGTGAGATCCGCCCACCAGGGAGCTCTCGCCCCCGAAAGGTTTTTCCGATCCCGTCCCAGCGACGCCAAAAATTCACACCACCACTACCAAGCTGCCAGCCTCGTCTCGCCGCGCTCCTCCACTACAAACAAGGCTCCCAATCCCAGCCTGACAAGCCCACCAACGCCCCGCCCTCAAGATGAGTGTACGTTTTACTCCCCGAGCTCTGTCCATGGCGCTAAGACTGACAAGAACCCAACAGTTCGTTCCCGTGAACCCCCGCCCTATGCTGCAGGACCTGTACGTCCCACCGCCCTCCCCCGCGACTGTCGACGACTTCGGCGGCGCTTCTCGAGAGATGCCAATGCTAATGCTGACTTGGTGCGTAGTGTCGATAAGGACATCGTCGTTCGTTTGAAGTGGGGCGAGACCGAGTACAAGGGCAGACTGGTCAGCATCGACAGCTACATGAACATCCAGCTGCGAGATACCGAGGAATACATTGACCAGAAGATGACCGGAACCCTTGGCCAGGTCCTCATCCGGTATATACCCCCAGTCCCTTTTTCTTGCTCCAAGCTGCCACCGAAACCCTCGGAGTTCTACCCGGAGTGAAGGAGAGCAGGTTAGGAGTTTCTGAAACTGACGTATTATGACATAGGTGTAACAACGTTCTCTGGATCCGAGGCGCAAACCAGGGCGAGAGCGGCGATGTCAAGATGGAGGGCTGAAAACAAACGACTCACGTGCGAACGACAAACTAGACCATGCGAGCGAAGGCGCTACACTTACGAAAGGAGGAGGCGGATGACCAGCATGGCATTTGGTTCCGGGAGGTCTTTGGAGTCATTGGTCTAGGAAGACTGAGATTGGTTTCGGAACCGGCGTTTATGGCTGTTGGTAGGGGTGCATCAACCGAGCAAAGAGACCCCATGTCGTGTGCTGGTCGGTCGTGATATCGAACATCACATGGAGGAGGAAACACAGTCACAAGCACACACGACTCCCCGTCTACAAACAAAACTTTTCTCTTCGCCCCGCGGCAAAAAAACCCACAAATTTCACATCCAAACCGCACGCCCTACATGAATCCATCTCCTCGTTACGGCTCGTTGGCTCGAAATATTTACATCAGACAGGCTACCTGGCGACTGCTGCACAGGTCCGACGAGCCCACCTTGATGCGTTGCGACTGGCCGACCCAAGTCCAGGCCTCGACGAGCCACTCGTACCACACCCGCGTGTCGTCCGTCTGCCGCCACATGCTGATCTCTAGCTCCGTGTCGGCGGGGAAGTAAAGTGGTTTCTGTGAATGTTGGTGTTAGTGCGTGAACATGTGTGAGAACTTCATGATCTGGTGCTGGGGAGTATGAAGGCAAACTAAGCTAGCATAAGCTTACCTTGAGGGGGAAGAATATGGGGAACCATGAAATCATGTCCTTGCTCTTCTGATCGATGCGCTCCGGGTGCGTGCTGATCTCCACCTTTTGGCCCTCGCTTTCCTTGAGCTGCGACTCGTACAGGGTCGACTCAAAGTAGCCCGCTAGACCGTGTGTGACGCCCCTAGTCCGGCACACAAAGGTGAGGTGACAGTACCGCGAGTTGTGGTCGTTGGCTCCAGCCGCGCCGGACATACTGCCGCCGCCGCCGCCCACCACACCTCCGGATCGCCGAGCCTCGACGGCCGCGAGCGTAGTGTCGGGAATGGGATGCGAGAACTCCCAGGCCTCCTGGAACCGCGGGTGGCCCGGTACCTTCTGGGACACAAAGTCGAGGGCATAGAGCCGGACGACCCAGGGGGTCTCGAAGGCGTTGGGCTCGGTGGGCACGCGCGTGAGAAGGTCGGCGTGAATCTTGGGGTGGGAGATGGGGCTGAAGTGAGCGGTGTAAGAGCTCGGGATGGAGATGCCGTGGGGCTTGGACATGACGTGCTGGATACCGTCAAGACATTCGGGCGACAGCTCGTTGTCGCCAAAGGAGCCGAGCAGCTCTGAGATGAGGATGTCAACCTTGCCGTACACGGGACCCTCGGCGGACTCTGAGATGACAGGCCCCTTCCAAGCGCGCATATCCGTCTTGACAACCTTGACCTTGCCGTTCCAGACCATCTCGTTCTGGCGCAACAAGTACACATATGCGTTGGGGTTCTTCTCCACGGCCCACATGTCGATAGCCACGCCAGCGTCCTCCGCAGCCTTGAGAGCTCGGGTGACGAGAGGGCCACGGCCAGAGCCAGCAACAGCAACGACGACGGCGCCCTCCTTGGACTTGGGCTTGTCGAGCGTCTTCCACTCCGTCAAGGCCTCGTAAACGGCGGCCTCATACTGGTTGTACTTGACAGGGTCGCCTTCAAAGACCTCGTACGTGGCCGACTCAAGGTTGTCTGACAGGGGCTGCAGGGGCGATTGAAGCCAATCCTGGAAGCTAGTCAAGGTAGGACCCTCCAGAAGGGAAAAGGGAGGCTGCTGGGACTCAAGCCATCGGAGGTAGGCGACGTAAGGGTTTGTCTGGCCCTTGGACCTCTTTGATTCTTGTTCCTGAGCCTCAGCAAGGGTGGGAAAATCGTCTGGAGACGGTGTTCCACCGCTATTAAGCAAGGACTGCGCATCGTCCTTGATGTGAGAGACGTCGGGGCCGGCATCGCAGAGCATAATCCATGGGAAATTCTTGAGACGGAGGTACGAGAAAATGAGGTCCTGGTGATGCTTAGACAAGACAGGGAAGCCACTCTTGTTGGTTTGGAAAACCGAGGGACTCAGAGTCAAGTAATGCAGAGGCTCAGCGAACCAGCGGTCCTGGAGGTCCTTTTCAGGCATGACTCGGGGTATTTGCAGCGCTGAGAAATGGCCAGTCAGCAAGCGTAAGAGCGTTAGAGGGGGATGGGAACGCACCAACGAAGAGCCTTGTGTTGTAGTTGCAGACTGTTCGGACATGATGCCACGAATCCCATGCCGTGAAGAGATCAATATCCTTCTCGTCAACCTTGGGGGGCTGCTGAGACTGGAGAGACGAGAGAGTCTTGATCTCAGACTCCTGGCCGGGCTCCCGGTACATGGGCATGTGGACCAGGAAAGTCACCCGGCCACCGATGGCAAGAGCTTCCTCAACGGCGCGAGAGTACTGGGCTAGACCCTGGTTGCCGCCGTCCTTGGAGGCATCCCGCTGGGGCCCGGGGACGACGATGCTCCGGACGCCGCAGAAGTTGGCGTAGTTGACCTCGAGGTTGAGCACCTGGCGGGAGATGCTGGAGACGACAGGGTTGGTGGAACACAGGTCGATCCAGGGACTGATGTACGCCGTGTAAGTGTTGACGGCGGCGCTGGGGAACAGGCCGGTGTCCTTGGGCGTCAGCGGCGGCAGGATGGGATCCTCGCGGGCAGCCGTGGCAATCGTGGTGGGTGAGTTTCCTTCGCCGGCGAGAGTCGCGAGGTGCTGCGCAACGAGGGCGAAGACGCGGTCGCGGAAGTGGTTGTTGGTAATGGGCGTCGTCACAAAGCTCAGCTATCCGCAGTCAATGGCATTGCCCTCGGGCGTCACTGGGTCAGCGACGGGCATGTTGGCTGGCGACTTACACCATAGTTGAGCAGATGGCCGTACTGTAAGTCAGTGAGGGGCGCCTCGCGGGTCGAGTCGTGCTCGCCGATGTGGAACCTGGGCCGCTGGGGGCCCAAGCCTTCAGACATTTCGAAGCCGGATCCGTCAGAAGCCATTGCAGGTATCGCGGCGGATGTTGGTGAGGCTGTGATGGTGGGGAGCCTCACGAAGGCTGAGATTTCCGATGGTGGAGTAAATCACCCCGCCAAATTAACAATTGTGTGATGGACAAGGGAGAGGACACGCAGCTATCGCCCCGCGACAGTCTGAGAATAAATGGCAATAGTGTCGCTGATGAAAAACTGCCAGAATCGACTTGATCAGGCGTCTTGCATGGACACGAACTCAAAGCTTGGGGTTGATGTGAGCTCAATTCGCACAAGACGGACGATTTTCGCGGTGAGTCTCAGAGGAGTGGGAGGACCCCCAAAAATAGGCACAGTGTGCGTCTGCTGCCAGCACTTTGCCAATCCATTCTGCAGTATCGAGAGAAACTGGACAGTACGACTAGGGATGGACTGAAAGAATGGGAGGAATAGATATTGTGCTAGTATACTCAACGTACAGAACCCTCTCTATGCCATATTGCTCCTTCCTAACACAGGTCATACAGTCTGGCATGTTGCAGCCCGCGCACTCCTCGCACTGTGACCCCAAACCCGGGGTGCTTATCGATAAGAAACCCGCCTCCGTCCCGCCAAAATTTTCTGGCAGGCAGACGGGGATGTCAACACAAACCTCAGCCTCGCCGCGCATTCTTCTCCCCCAGTTGGATTCCTGCACCGCCTCGACTCTCCAACACAAGAACAATGTCCGACGTCAAGGGCGGGAAGCGCTCTAGTGCCGACGCCGACGATTCCTCTCGGAAGAAGTCGAGGAAGGAAGACGGCGCCGATGCCAAATCCAACCCGTACCTCGCCCACATGTACGACAACGGCAGCAATGGCAACGACGTGTCGCCCGACTCTCCTCTCGCCGGGATGAAGCGCCATCGGACGACCGCCAAGGAGGCTGAGAAGGCCGAGAACTCAGAGTACAACCCCTTCACTGGCCGCCCGCACTCTCAGAAGTACTTCCAGATTCTCGAGGGCCGTCGCGATCTCCCCGTCCACAAGCAAAGGTTCGTCCTGTCCCTTTCCAGTGCCCGCGCATTTGCGCGCGAACGGCTCAATCCATCGCGGGAAACCTTGCTAACCTCGTATCTCCAGGCAAGAGTTCCTCAAACGGTACCACGAGAGCCAGATCCTTGTCTTTGTCGGTGAGACTGGTTCCGGAAAGACGACCCAGATCCCCCAGTATGTCGTCTACGACGAGCTCCCCCAGAGCACTGGCAAACTCATCGCCTGTACCCAGCCCCGTCGAGTCGCTGCCATGTCCGTGGCCCAGCGTGTTGCCGACGAGATGGACGTTAACCTCGGCGAGGAGGTTGGCTACAGCATCCGTTTCGAGGACATGACCGGCCCCCAGACGATCCTCAAGTACATGACCGATGGTATGTTGCTGCGCGAGGCCATGCACGACCACGAGATGTCGCGCTACAGCTGCATCATTCTTGACGAGGCTCACGAGAGAACCCTGTCAACCGATATTCTCATGGCCCTGCTGAAGCAGATCTCCATACGCCGCTCAGACCTCAAGATCATCATCATGTCCGCTACCCTCGATGCGCAAAAGTTCCAGAAGTACTTCAACGACGCGCCGCTCCTGGCTGTCCCTGGACGAACCCACCCCGTCGAAATCTTCTACACCCCCGAGCCGGAGCGTGACTACGTCGAGGCTGCCATCCGAACCGTCCTGCAGATCCATGCTTCCGAACCCGAAGGCGACATCTTGCTCTTCCTGACTGGTGAGGATGAGATTGAAGATGCTTGCAGAAAAATCAGCCTCGAGGGCGACGAGTTGATACGCGAAGTTGATGCCGGCCCCCTCGCTGTCTACCCCTTGTACGGTACTCTGCCTCCTCACCAGCAGCAGCGCATCTTCGACAAGGCTCCCAAGCCGCTTCGTTCAGGAGGCCGCCCCGGCAGGAAGGTGATTGTGTCGACCAACATTGCCGAGACCAGTTTGACCATTGACGGCATCGTCTACGTGGTGGACCCTGGCTTCAGCAAGCAGAAGATCTATAACCCTCGAATCCGTGTCGAGTCCCTCCTCGTCTCCCCCATCTCCAAGGCCTCGGCCCAGCAGCGTGCTGGTCGTGCTGGTCGTACCAAGCCTGGAAAGTGCTTCCGCCTGTATACTGAGAAGGCCTTCAAGAAGGAGCTCATTGAGCAAACTTACCCCGAGATTCTCCGTTCCAACCTCTCCAATACGGTTCTGGAACTCAAGAAGCTCGGCGTTGAGGATCTCGTCCACTTCGATCTCATGGATCCCCCCGCCCCGGAGACCATGATGCGCGCCCTCGAGGAGCTCAACTACCTCGCCTGTCTCGACGACGATGGTGAGCTCACGACGCTGGGCAGCCTGGCATCGGCGTTCCCCCTGGACCCGGCCCTTGCCGTCATGCTCATCTCGTCGCCCGAGTTCTACTGCTCCAACGAGATCCTGTCCATCACGTCGCTGCTCTCGGTGCCCCAGATTTTCGTGCGCCCAGCCGCCAACCGCAAGCGTGCCGATGAGATGAAGGCGCAGTTCAGCCACCCGGATGGCGACCACCTGACGCTCCTCAACGCCTACCACGCCTTCAAGGGCCAGTCCACCAACGACCCCAATGCGGCCAAGAACTGGTGCCACGAGCACTTCCTGTCGTTCCGTCATCTGTCCAGTGCCGACAACGTCCGAGCCCAGCTGAAGCGCATCATGGACACACATGGCCTCGAGCTAATGTCGACTCCCTTCGAAGACAAGAACTACTACAACAACATCCGCCGCGCTTTGCTCTCCGGCTTCTTCATGCAGGTCGCCATGAAGGAGAGCTCTGGCAAGCTCTACCGCACCGTCAAGGATGACCAGGCCGTTCTCATCCACCCTTCCACGGTGCTCCGCACTGAGTTCGACTGGGTCCTCTACAACGAGTTCGTGCTGACATCGAAGCAATATATCCGAACTTGCACAGGCATTCGACCCGAGTGGTTATTGGTATGTGGCATTTTACTCCTCCCTCTTGCATAGCCCGTTTCCCTCGTTGTCAACATGATAAGTCATCTTGGAACCCAGAATGCGTCTTACTAACATGGCTTACACAGGAAATTGCGCCCACTTACTACGACCTCGACAGCTTCGAGCAGAGTGACATCAAGCGATCCCTAGCGCGAGCTGCTGAGAAGAAGCGCCGCAAGGAGGCGATGAGGACGGAACGATGAGAGGTCCCCCACACCATGCACCCAACGAGCGAGGCCCCCGAAACAAAGCACGGTGATAGAAAGATACCCACACCGCCTCACTCTTGTTGCGCATGCCGTCTTGTCCTGCGGGAGCCTTGATTTTATCTCCCGTGCGGCTCTTATGCACCAACCGGGATGATGGCGGGAAAGGAAAAAGAGAGCACCTCCCAGCCCAACTGCGGATGCACAGATGCACAGTTGCCGACTGGTCGAGTTACGGTCACGGAGTTTCATGTGGCAGCCACTTAATGTTGAATTGTCATTCTCTTTTCCCCGCCTCCCCGATTTCTTTTGGGTTTCGTGGGGGTACGGCATGTTTTGCTTCCTGCGAGGTGAAACAAAACGGAACGATGTCAGCCTGTTTTACTCGTGCGCGTGTATTTGTGTGTGTATGTATGTGTATATGTATGTGCGTATGTGTGTGTATGTGTGCGTATGCACATATGTATGGATGTTTGCATGTATGCGGCAGCGAGGAAAGGGAGAAGAAGCAGGAGATTGCATCAGAGTCGTGAAGTGTAGACGAGGCAGCAATGGGCGGGAGCGGTAGAAGGAGGCTCATATCATACATACATAGCCGTAACTCACCTTAACTGTTAGAGGAAACAAAGACCGATTGAAGAAATAGATCCGACCCACACCCACACCCACACCCTCGATCAGCCCCAGACTTACATGAATCAGAGGCGCCCGCAGGCGGCCACTTTGGGCAATGGCCTCTGTCAGTGGCCTCTGTCAGGACGTGTTGTTCTCTCAGGCGCCGTCGTATCGGCGATTGCGTTGCATGGACGAGGCAAGGTTGTCAGGCTGCCCCGGTCCCCGTGCCGTTCCATTGCCTCCCGCCCTGGCAGGATAAGGGACTCGGGCCGTTGGTGAGGCCCACCACGGTCTGGTAGGGCGGGCTTCTCGGTGAACGGACGGCGGGGACAGGTAGGGGAGGAAAAAGGAAAACAGTAAGAGGGCAACTATGGAGCAGACGTCAACGATGCGTGGAGCGCACCAGGGTTAATAAGGCACCCTTGCATCTTGCGGGCTTGCAGCCGGGGGCGCATCTCCACGACATCCGTTTCGCCACGGCCAAGCCAGAGAGCTCGATGGGAGGGAGGAGGTGAGGAGGTGAGGAGGAGGGCTGTGGAGGGGGTGTATCAAACGAAGAAGCTAGCCCGGGGGGGAGTGAGAGCACTCGGTGACAAGACAAGGGGCCGGGGGACAAGCTGTGGAGGCGGGCAGATCGAAAAAGCAATTCACCTGCGCGGGCAGATATACACTTACATACTTAGACATCCAACTCCCGGGGAGCTGGGTACGGGCAGTGCTCGTCAACACAGCCCCAAAACTCCATGTCCAAGGCATCGAGCGAGACAGCCGGGGCCCGGAGACAGCGCCCGCCCCCCAGACGTACGCAGTATGTAGCCTGGCCGCGTGTGGGGGTCGGCGAGGCCTCGAAGGAGCATTTAGGGCGTTCGGTACATTCGATGCATCTGAGCATTTAGGGCATTTGAGGCACAGCAGAACGCACACGCTGGAGAGCGGCCCTCGCCATCCCCCGCCATCCGAAACGATGAGGCCCGATGGCAGACGTGTGGCGGCGGGGGAGGAGACAGGACGCTGGAGTAGAGTGATGGGGTTGGTGGAGCTCTCCCATGTTTGCGGCAAGGCGACAATGAGGAGACAACAAGGCGAATATCCCAGGTCGAAGTCGGATCGGGAATGGCATCGTCGTCTGCGCAAGACGGGGCTGCACTAGACTCCGTGCATAGTACCGCCGTATGAGAAGCAAACCCCCAGTGACAGCCCAGTTGACGTGTTGCAGATTCTCTCTTGGTTGAGGACAGGGAAGGGCACGTGCAAGAGTTGATCCCGGGAGATGATCCCAGGGAGGAGGCCAGGAAGCGATGGATCGTCGTGGATGCGCAACCGGTGAACTAGAGAACGAGACGAGGCGAACAGGAACGGAGAAATCATGCCCATGATCCGCCGGTCCAAGAAAGATATCGGATAGCATTAGCACAGAGCCGAGGTCGAACAAGGCCTTCCGGCTCTCCCTCGACTCTCTCCACCCCAGGGAAGTGCAGCCCGCAGCCCCAGCCCAGTATCAAGATGACCCCATGCGCAGTAAATGTCGTGGAATCCCCGGAGCCCCGCCAGGGCTTGCGAGGACCGGATGCCAACGAGAACAACGTGATTGTGTCGTGGAACCGGCGCCCCAGTCGCGAGACTTGGCTGGCGGGAAATCCGGCGGCGGATACCGTGGTTGGTCATGGATCAATCGAGACCGAACTCCAGGCGGGTGACTCGGCGTGTAGTTGGAGATATTGCCACGGTCTCGACTTCTTAGTTGGCGAGATAGGTCCATGTGCTGCGGTCGGCTGGATTTGATAAATCGATTCCATCAAGGGGGGTGATAGGCACGGTAGCCCAAAAGCATGTGGTTAGACGACGACGGCACTTCCACCAAGTCTCAACGACCAGTCAAGGTACACACATACACCGAAACCCAGCCCAAGGCGGGTGTGTGGGCGAGAGTGCGTGTGAGTGGGAGGGCAGCAGAGTGAAAGATGCGTTAGTATCCGGGAAGTGGAGGCGCGACGAGAGAATTGCCATTCCTGGAAATCCGGGCAAATAAACCCAAGCAAACCGACTCGTGGCGAAATGACAAGGCAGAGCTAGCTACGAAGTAGACAGACAAGCTCGACAGCCAGGGAAACTGGACAGACAACTGGACAGACAACAAGGGAGCTGTTGTGCTCCCACACATCACATAGAAACACAGCACCCGGAGATACAACAACGACAGCAGCATACACACAACGACGGGTGGGGGAGCTCAAACCAAGCCAAGTACGAGCATTGCCCAGACGAGGGCCCCGTTGAGAGCAAAAAAGATGGGGAACATGGCCGCTGTCGCCCTCTTCGGTGCAGGGCTGTTCCTGGCCACCGAGCATCAAGCCATCGGAGCGCAGGCAGGCCATAGCTCCTGGAAGGTCTTCCCTGCTAGAAAGCTCTATTTGTGGTGGATGATCTTAGGGAAAGGATCACCAGTGTGACCCGCGTGTCGACGGACCCCTGGGCCGGACTCTGGGCGCTGCGCTGCGCTGTGATTGATGGTGCTGCGTCCGTTTGCGCGTCGTTTTGCATCAAGTCGACGTCTGTCTCAAACAACCTCCGGGCGGCCTGCAATGCTCGCCCGCTGCATGGCGGTCCCCCGAGGCGTTTTGTCTGCACTTTGCTAGTCTCTCGTCTCGTCTCGTCTCATCGGCTGCGTGGGCTCATTTTCAGCTTTGGCTTTTGGGAAGCACAAGCCGGAGGCTGGCCGATTGCGGCTCCAATAGCGGCTCCCGACGGAGCCGAAGCCAACGGGACACGCCAAAACGCGGACCGTGATGTTGCGGATGGAGTCTTTCAACAGTTGCTGCCGCAGCTGGGGACTTGAATCCAGCTCGCCTCGATTCCTAGGCGTCTTACCCCCGGTGGATATTCGTATGCCCTGGTCACAAATTGCATCTTTCGGCCGGCATAAGCATCATCAGAATCACAATTGACCACGACCGGGCTCTCGTCTTTGTCCCCCAGAGCCCGGGCTAAGGCAGGTCCAGGGCGGCAGCTCCCATGAGCCCTGGCGGGCGTTGCTAAACCATCAGCCGGCAATTATAAGTCCAGTACGGAGTATACCCACTTCCAGCACGACGCCACGCGCCTGTGGATCCGTCCCTCCCCCTCCTTTTTCGTGATTTATTTGCTTTTTCCCATCGGCTGCTGGCGCTGGTCTCGCTAGCCGGTATCTTTCAGAAGCCTTTTCAGCCTCAACCGCGATTCGATTCTCCACAAGTCCCAATATGAGAGTGGTGCCTTGTCGCAGCCATGGCACGACACATGGGACGACCACGGCAGACGGGCCATTGGCTGCTACCCACTGCTGATAAGTGGCTTCAGGCTTGACGCCGAGTTGCGAGCGGCCCCCCCTCATCAGAATGTCCCAACGCCTCGCCGGTTCTGGCCCCTGTTTGCTAGATGATTGTGATTGTGATTGCCGGCTCAACGCTCGACGCCGTGCAACGGGGAAGGCAAGCAACATCGTATCAGGGAGGGGGTGAAGGGGCGAAGGAGGGGTGGGCGATAATGTGCCAGCTACCAACTCTGCACTTCGCACACTGAGGTGATGGGCAGTGTAGAGTGTGACTGTGTGCTTCCCCAGAGACGCCCTGTCATCCATCGGGCCCCTACCTCACGCCATTCCGCCGGCCGCTACGCCCGTTCGAGCCCTCGGCCCATGGCCCCACGATTGGACAGACGAACCACACGCCGTCGACTTGGTGCTTGCTGTGCGTAGTACGTCGTAGGCTCGCGGCAGCCCATCCGATCGCTTCCTTCGACGCCAGAAAGTTGACACCAGGACGCAGAAGCTCGGGCGGGACGTGTCGCGCCCTCCCACACCCATGTGCGTACCGTGCCGTCTTGTGCTCGTGCTCGTGCTTGTGCTCATGCTCGGCTTGTGCTGCTCGACACAAAGCTGCCCGTCCAGCCACGGCCCTGTAGTATGAAGTTGTCGGCCCTGGACGCCTCCCCATACCCTCAATCCCGTTGTGCCGCGTTACATCGGCCGTAGCAAAGTTGGCTTGCATGTCTTGGTGTAGAGCGTCCAACCATGTCCAGACGCCCAACCGTGCGAGCCGCTGAGAGGCAAGAGCCCCCAAAAAAGTCGTCGTCTCGGGGCTCCTCGGTTTCCCTGGCTGTTCATCGACGACAGACATTTATGGAAGGGCTCATGGAGTCCCACCGGCCCTCTTCCGGACGCACCGCAGGGGCTCCCTGTCTGTCACTGGTGTGTCCCCCCACCGCATCGTTATGCCAGCGGGGGGTTTTTGGCTCAAGCTCGCTGGGGCGCCATCAGTCAATCCCATGAAAAATGGCATTGCGACGTCAACGGCCATTCGCCATCTGGATTAGCTGTCCGAAGACGTCAGCAGTGTCCGAGTCTATGTAAAGGCGACGGCACGCACCTTGATCATGCCAGTCCGTTCCCGCCCTGGAGCTCCGCTCAGCCTGGGGATCCTTGACCTGTTGGCCGTCGGCCTTTCATCAGCGTACTACAAGAACATCGTTCGACCCTTTCCCCAGCCTAGGTCTCTCTTCGTCCTAGTCATCGAATTCAAATCGCTTGCTGCCAGCGGGTAGTTCATATAAGATCCTCTCCTCACCTCTCCAATCCACCTCACCCATTGCCTCACATCTTCCAATTCCTCCTTGATCACCTTTCCGAACCGTCACCATCTTCCTCCAACACAATGAGCGGCGCAGGTGGCTTTTACAAGTACCGATGCAAGTACTTCTATACTCACAACTGCCCAAACTGGGTTTGGGTAAATAACGCGCCGTGCGCTTCATGTCTTGTAAGCTTCGCCATCTTGCTGGGTGCCCCCACCAAATATTTTGCTAACGTGCTGGTGACAAGGCCGATGGGCGGGACAACGAAGAACTTCCTCTGCCCTCCTGGGGTCTTCCCCGAGATATTGTCGTGCCCCGGGTCCTGGATGGCATCCTGCAATACACCGTCATGGAGCTCGTCGCTCCTTCAGAGCCGGGCGACGACTGGACGCTTAGGGATAAAACCAATCGACCACCACCGTCAATCCCTGTGACCAGTGCGATGCCAGTTATACCGGGGATAATGGCACATCACCGGTTTTAAGAACCAGCGAGCCCAGCGAGCCCTTGCGACCACACATGAAGGGGGACCCTCGACGTTTCGCGATCTGACGAGAGCTTGGGAATAATTATCGACAAACGCAAGGACTGGCGAGGGCGAGGGAAAACGGATGGACGGGCAGATGGATAAATGACAATGACAGCGGGGGAAACCAGCAAATTGCAAGCCCTCTCGACGACCAACCGGATGGACGTGCACCATCCTGGGCGTGTACAGTGTACAACTCTGTGTACAAACTCGGGGAATTCTGACGGGGAAAACGCAGCAGACATGGACGGTTGCGATTGCGACGCTAAGTATTGGATGGATCGGGAGATTGGTGGCTGAAGAACGACCACAAGCAAACAACCCGCCAGGAGATACCCATGCGCTTTGAGTTGGCGGCTCTGGAGGACAGGACTCTATTCCGGTCTATTATTTTGGTTGTATTTGAACTCTTGGGATGGCCTTCTGTTTTTCGGCGCGAAACTGTTATTTTTTTAAGTTTAGCTGGCATGGGTTGCTTCTTGCTATTAGGCGGCATGGAGCTGGGAAATTGATTTCTTGACCTCTTACTTGGACTCTTCACCATGGAGACTTTTTTTTTTCTTTTTCTTTTTTTTTTCTTCCGTAGATGCCCGCTTGCGGTGTAGTGCATTGTAGGGACGCTCATCTCAATGCATCGTAGTGCATCGTAGTGCATCGGCGTGCTGTGGCAGGCTTTTGGAACAATGACATGTGATGTGAGGCTCGTGGGACCCTCGTGGGACCGTTGTTGTGGCGGGTTTGGCGAGTCAGTGATCGGTCCAGGGCACACAAGATCAGGTCGAGGCATCAGATCAAGGTGCCAGGCAGGGTTCTGGGTCGGGAGATGTGGCGTGCCACACGATGGCAGCTCGCCTGATGATCCCTGCACGTCTACTTATCGGTCGTCGTCGTGTGTCTCGGTACCTGGGTCCGTCGGACCCACCCGATGGATGGATGGGCTGCCCAAGAACGGTATGCGATTCATCGAGCTGTGATATGGGCAAATGACAAAGATCCCTCGCGCGATGAACGGATGGATAGGATGAAGATGGGGCTGCCCCAGGGAGCCACACGGGATGACGACCAAAAAAGCACCATGGAGCCACCAGGGAACCTTCAAGGAACCTCCGGCGTCCGCGTCCACCACGGCATGGTCCAGCTCAAAGACCGGGGCCGGACGAGCCGTTCGGCGCGTCCAAAGTCGCTGCGCCCCCAGTTCGTCTCCCTTCGCGAAGCCGCTGGTCAAGCGGCTGGCTTTGCTGGAAGCGGACCAGCGTAACGGTTTCCACCCTGCGCCACGCGTCTGCTGGTGTGGTGCCAAACACCCGACGGCCAGGACCCCATCGGAACCGAACCAGTGGTGGAGGAGATGGATAATGCCGATGCTTGATGCTCGTGATGGACAAGATCCGCCTGCAATCCGGCGGCGTAGTTTTACTGGTTCGTTCGGCATCGACGATAGAGGGCCTGCCCGATTCAGGTGAATCTGCGTGGTTGCAGAAACAGTGATAGAACATGGCGTACGGCCTCGGTAACGAAACGAGGGTATCAATTGCAAGCACTATTTTTTCACTAGTTGAACCATGGCGATGATATGATGACGAAGGTTGGCGGCAGTGACGGAAGGGTGTGCTTGTAAAGAAGTGGAAATAGACATTGGCATTGTCAGATTTGTGAATGAGAGGGAGTGCTAGCCATATGGCAAGAGCTCATGTCGTCCAATCAATCCCGAGTGGGGTGTAGACTATCCCGGGCTGACAGCGGGAAAGCCATGGGGGGTTCCTTCCTCTTGGCCACTCCCTGGTCTAGAAGGACGTCCGACCTAGGCAAGTAGGTACGTAGTGCGTCGATACTTGCCGACTTTGGCCATCAGAGCAGCAAAAGCCAAGCTGGACTCCACGGAGTAAGCGCACACTAATGAACTCTTCCGCGGAGTCGTGCCGTATTGCTGTCGGCCCCAAGTGGTTGGCTGCACAAGGGCCGCAAGGGACCTACATACTCGAACCATCAGGGGACCAAGACACACAAAACCCTACTACGTCGTACCTTCTAGTGGTGGAGACTAGTGTCCCGTTCCGCCGCCCTTCGTTCGCCAGCGGTCGATTCTCTGATCTAGTTGGCCTGGTAGCCTGTAACCTTAGGCTCCTCACTGCAAGCCATCCGCCAGCCAGCCGCCAACCGCAAGCCGCCAGCCGCAAGCCGCATCCACGTTGCACGTTCGATGTTCCCACGTTCGATGTTCGTGTGCGCCATCATCGGCCTCCGCCGTAGCCGGACTTCGCTCCCCAACTAAGCGGCCCTGCATTGAACGAGACCCCGTTTGCGATTACTATTACTACATAGCACATACTTGTGCAGGACAAGAAAAAAAAAGGATCGACAAAGTTCCAGCCCTGTACGGAATTTCGTATTGTTGCTGCTGATAAACCACTGCACCCCTCCCAAACCCCTCATGCTTTGCCCTTCGTCTTTGCCATGTACCATTTACCCCATTTCCACCTCAAGCCCATGTCTGTAGGTACCCATACGGCCATGCCCATTGCCAATCTGCCCAGAACCCTGTCATGCCCTGTCGTGCCCTGTACTTCCCTTTCCGGGTCTCTCAGGACCCTGTCCGGCCCCGTCGCCCTCTGCCCTGCGCCCCCGAGCACCTGCATCAGCCCATTCCCCATGGGCTTGTCCCGCCTAGTTCGGGGGTTGCTGTCCCATGGCCACAGAGCAGAAACGCAGTGGCATGGTCCCACGGGGTCATTCGTGACGCTCATTCGTTTTCCTGCCTGGTCCTGCCCGCCAGACCTATTTTTTTTTCCAGAACGGGAATGGAACGACTTCCACCCTGGCGGCCCGGCAAAACACCAGGTTTTGCTTCTCTTGCGATGTCGGCTATCGACGCGGCGCCAGCCACCGCACATGGCCTCCTGGCCTGGCCCAATTCCCAAACCGTACCACTGTGGGCGACCGGTGAGCGGTCAGCAGCGCAAGTCCCCTTTTCCGGAGGGCCCCTGGTGCATTGGTGGTCCCTTTGTGGTTTCTGCGCTTTTACCATCTGCCAAGGGAAGTAGTGCAAGTGGGGAGGACGCACTGGATATGCGTAGGAGAGCAAGAGGATATACGGATACATGCCGGGTGGATCACGGCTTGGGTACACAAAGAGTCCCTTTGCCAACTGTTGCTACGATGCCCTCACTTAGTGGATACTGCAATGCTCTCATGCAGTGGATGACAGAAGAGCCCATACATTGCACATGGCGACATGGCCCTTATCCCTGGACCCGAAGCGCACCTCGGCATTTCGGCGTCTGTGGAATCACCTTCCAGCACCAATCAACATATTTGTAACAAATCTCACGCTGCTTTATTCGTCGTTGCTGGCTTTTTCCTAATCCATTGCCCCGTGATGGCTGATTAAACGAGATGACGGCTTTCAGAGTAATGCCGCCAACAGACCAACAAGCACCGCTACCACAACCGCCCCAAGCCTCGGCACCACACCCCCAGAAGCCGCGCTATCATCGTTCGACAGACCAAACGGCAAACCTTGGTAGTCAAACGTCACGTTTTGCTTGATCGAGCTGTTGTAGCAGTGGCCGTTGGCAATGTCCAGGTTTGTCAAGTCGTCCGGCACCTTGAAAAACATGTATCGGTCTTGCGGAATATCCTTGAAACCCTTCGTGTTGTACGGGAACTTGTCACCGTCGTCCGTTGCGCTCGTGTTCCGTAGAAAGATGCACTGCACTTGCCCAGGGTAGTCCTTGTATAGGGCTGGATAGTCCTTCATGACGTCAGAGTTGCTGGTGTCGGCGACCAGAACGAAACGACGCTTAGGGAACGTCTGAAACACCTTGTCGAGGAGAAACCGTCGGATCGACAACGTCGCCGACGCGTCTGAGAAGTTGAGCGGCCGTGTGTCGAACGAGCCCATCGGGTATGTGTCATAGATGAATTCCATGTAGTTGCGCGTGCCCTGCTCTGGTGTCGTGGTAAGGTAGTGGAAGTGCATCTCTGGTAACGACGTTGACCAATTGGCGTAGATGTCAGGCATGTTCTTCCATGGGGTGAATGCGCGCGCGAACGTGTTGAGCAAGCCCTCCTTGGGTTGATAGATCTTGGTTACCCGGAGGATGTCATCGATATCCGAAATGATGGTGATACCCTCGGGAGGGACGAGATACGCGGTCGCGTTGCCATTGTTGTTTGTCCCTTCCGCATACAAGTTGATGGCCTGGATCCGTGACGTCTCGTTGCCTGGGGTCAAATACCCACCCGGGCCGCTCGTGTTACGCAGTGTCACGAAGGTATCAAAGTCGCCTTCAGCGGTAGTGTTGTGTGGCAACGTGATCTTCTGGGATCCTCCTTTCTACAACGAACGCATTAGCCACTTGTGCCCATAAACACATCGCCGCAACAACCTACCGCGCTGACGAGACTGCTTCCGTTGGCGACGACAAAGTTGGTAACAAAGTCAACTGTCACGCTCTCGTCTTTTTGCTGCACCACGAAGATAGACCGCGTGAGGTTACGAGCCTGGGCCTTCTCCGAGTCGGAGAGCTTATCAACTGACGTGTCAATGAGAAAGACGTTGGCCAGGTCGTCAACCTTGTCCTGGGTGATGTTGGGGAGCTTGTAAACGTTCCCGTGGACTCGCACACTCCACCCGTCATTTGTCCAATTGGCGTATGGGCTATCAACCAGTCAACATTGCTCGTGCCAAGGATCGCATATACGTTGAAGCTCGACTCACGGAATGTTCAACACCTGCGTGGGCTTCGCATCCAAGTCACCATCCGAGATTCCAAGCGTCTTCTCGACAGCCGTGCCTGTAGGAAGGCCATGGAAATCGAGGATGCCCGAGTCGACGAGTGACGAGACTTTGCTCGCAACGTCGCTGATGATCCCGTCGACATAGGTTTCGACGTCGTCGAGCACGTTTCGCTCGATAAGAACCGGGGCAGCTGTAGGCTCCGGTATCCTCACGACCAGCAAGCCGGGAACCGTTGGTTCTGCGACTGGAGCCGGCGCGGGGATGGCTAGAACGGCGGGCACGAGGCCCAGAAGTACGGCTTTTAGCATGGCGATCGATAGAGAACGTTGTGTTAAGGAGGGTCACATCGCACAATGAGAGGGCAGGATGCAAGAAGTAGTTCAATGGGTGTTAAAGTGGCGCCAGTGGGAGGCCTTCCCGTGAAAAGCAAGGAAATGCGCATCACTTCTGTGAGTTGTTGTTGTTGTTTATGTGCTGGCCCGCTTTCAGCTGTGACATCACCACCACAGACATGCAACCGCCACGCTATTGGTCCCCCTCCCTGTACCTCACGCATACCAAGTTTCGCGTTTGGCCTATTTCTACTCAGTACTACCACACATTTGGGAAGTCAATTACTTTAGTTTCGTGGCAATTTCCGCTGCCTTTAAAATTGTCACTTGGATCTTGGTTAGTGTCCAACATGCCTACGAGCTCAAAGGTCCCAGGCTAGTCTAGGGGTTTCAAGTAATCAATGACATCATTAGCGTCTGTTTAACGATGCCGTGAGATCCGCATCTCGATCTAGACCATCACGCATAATACATTACCACCAGTAGTAGGCAACTTGTTGTTCAACGATTCGGCCCTTGTCTGGGCGGGGTACGTTGGAAAAATGTTTGTCAGACTGTGTCGCATTGTGTTGTGGTGGCTGCATGTCGCTCTTTACTCTCCTGCTCAGTATGTTAGTACATTCATCAAGAATTGACAGGAGTAGGGAGACTTATCCCCTGTCCGAGGGGGGTTACCTCCTCCACCATTTCTGGCGAGAAGGCAACCAGGACTGCCTCATCCAATGCGGCCTGTCCGAGAGATCCAAGACAACAACCCAACCTCAACCCCGACTCTCAGGATCCTAAACTTAACCCATAGTCGGGCCCTTGGCAGCACCAGACAAGCACGAAACCTTGACTCCAACTCGAGATGGGTCCCGGTGCTGCTTTGGACGTCAACCGCAGGCGCCGCTTTAGAAAGAGAGAGGATGCCAAGGTGGAGGGTGTTCGCGAGCTGTCAACCCATCATAGCTTGAAGCCTTCGCCGACAGGGCTCTGCTAGAAGTCGACGCAACACCATGAATCCCAGATAATTCGAGACTTGGCCGAGCTGGCTCCTTCTGTTTGATTCGCGCTGCCAACAAGGATTGGTTTTTGTTTCCTCTCCACCGTGCTCGCAAGAGCAGCAAAGGAGGGCATTAACGGGCGGACAAAAGACATCCGTAAAAACCGCCCTATCATCTCAAGCCATCCTTTTCAAGATGAAACCGAGGGACCTGTCAGAACCATTTGGTACCTGACAGTAGGCTGGCGTCCTTCCTAACCGACGGATTGAGACCGACGGCTGGAGGTTAATGCGCTTGGTCAGACCAGACGCCGAGGCGTCACACACCGTTAGCTGTTGCCGGGGTGTGGTCATGGGAGCGATGGAGCCAAGGGAGAGGGCAGATGCGACGAGCATCGATCTGATCACCATTTTGCAGTTCCAAAGGGCCGGGAGCTCTACCGGTTGGCATGGATGGTCAGTTGCTGAGTTTCTTTCTGTGTGTGTCCACGGCATCCCCACTGCACCCGCTGGAACTAACCAGCAGGTGTTTCCGACAGGTGATTGCTCGGGAATGGTTGGAAAGAAATACGCAACTGGCTGTTTGAAGCCATTCCGGGGCACCACTTCTTCACTGCTATGGTGGGATCGAGTTGTCCGGCCAAAAGCCAAGTTTGTTTCAACTTCATCGTCCAGTCTTCCAAGGCTGACCGCATCTCAATCACGGCCCACTCTTGACCAATGTACTGGTTCCAGTGGAAAGGGCTGACGAGCGTCCTCAGGCCAGAGGTTCTTACCATAACGACTCATAGCGCCTATCCTCTCGCGCACCACGAGGGTGACTGGACTGTTTTCCACGCCCGTCCGTCTGCCCAGCGACCGCCGACCGATCGTCCCACTTTTCAGCGGGCGCGTCATGGCCTTTGGTGCTTAGCTGACTTAAAAGGCGCTTTCAACGACGGAGCGCAATACTGAAAACCAGATATCTTCTTAGGGTTAAGTTCCGAAACTCGTTCCCCCGGCTAGGCTGGGCCGTCCCGTCACGGACGACAGTGTAGACCACAATAGAAGCACCTGCGGCATTCAATGAGGTCCTGATACAGGCTCGAGAGCGGCATATTGTGGGTTAACCAGCCTGGGAGGGGGGTCTGCGATAGACATTCCTTGCGGAAAACGAGAGTCGGAGGACTGTGGGGGAGGCGTGACGCGTTGAGAGAATGAAGGAGCTCATGCTGGCCAAGTCGGGAATATCGAGATACCTGATGTGTACGAAAATCGATGAGTCTTCCGGCAAGAGTCGAGTCTCCAGCAACAAACCCAGTCGCTGAACAGAACCGCGTGGTTGTTGGTGATGGTTGAGTTGAGAGCATCCAACCGCGCCGACGCGAAGTAAAGGTAACAGGTACGCGGGACCCACTTTTGAGCGACGCGCGGGTACACGTGACTTATATTCAACCTCCCCACAGTGTAAAATACAGTGTTGCTAGCACATGAAGACGCAGACAGAACTCTGGAGAAGGCACCTGACAAACCTCTCCCAAATTAAACCTCCAGGCTTCAGGAGGGAGTCACCGTAACTATGGCGAGCTCATCCACTTCTCAGAATTCTGCTCCAAAAGTTATTGAAACCATAGTGGAAGCCGGCAAGAAAGCATTTGAGCCCAATCTCGATGCCGCTGCCCGCACTTCCGGGCTTGAAGAATACAACCGAGTCATCGAGAGGTACGCCCACAGGCCGCGAACCAAGCTTATAATTTCCGAAAATACTAACTCAAATAAAGTACGGAGACTTGGGCGCTTCTTCCTGCTCTAAATACCCTGATCAAGCCGAATGTGCTCCCGCCATGGCTCCGCGACCCGTTGCTCCAAACGCTGACCCGTCTCCCGCTGCGGCAGGACGGCGTGCGCGGGACCATGGAGTTTGTATTCTCGGTGCACCCCAGCAACGTCGGCAAGGCCACTGATTCCAGTGCACCGGAGAAACAAGGCGCCAGCATCACCCATGAAGCCGTCGCTGTCGCCACAAGGCTGCTGTCGTCAGTGCCTGCGAGTATGACGCCCCAGGCGTGGTTCAGCGGCATATCAGACCAGCTCCTCCGGCTCATGGATGGAGAGGGCGGTTTGGATCTTTCAAAGACTGCTGCACAAGTCGTTGGGTACGGGATTTTGGGAAGGAAGCAGTTCGGTGCACCGGGTAAGCAGGCACAATGTTACCATTCTCAGTATAAGACTAACACCAGGTTCAGGAACTGCAGGATGGGATGCCTTCGTCCAGCCATTATTAGAAAACCTGAACCCTTCTCTTAACAAGAATGAGGATTCAGCCATGATCAAGGAAGAGAATGAAATCGTTGACCTCAGCCAGGACAAAATCCTCGTCAAAGCCGGACCGCTCAAGACTTCCCTTCAACGCCTAAGTATTCTACTGCTTTCCAACCCATCCCCAGGGCTATGCAAGCGAGTTCTCAGGCCAGTACTACTACAACTTTGGACGCTGGTTTCCTGGTCCAACCCCCTACCCCTCACGGAGCAAGACTTTGTGAACCCCGCCCGAACATTGCTGCAGGCTTATTTGAGACTTTTTGGGAATGCGGATAATGTCATGCCTCTCGTCCAAAACCTCCTCTGCAAAGGTTCACCCGAAACTGCAGAACGACCTTGGAAGTATCGCCTCACAGGGAAGGGTGATATTGAGGTGGTAGAACCACGCGCGTTCGATAAACCTGGTATCGATCTGAACTGGAATGAGCTGGAAGACAAGTCCACGACTTTGGTCAGTCTCGTCACATCGGCTTGCTCGGCCGAGGAAGTCTCGTCTATTTTTCTGAATCTGCTCAGACGCTGGATCCAAACGGCAGGCAAGCAGGAAGATGACACGAAAGTCGACATCCTTATCCAAGACCAAGATCAAACACCAGTGTCTCCAGTCCAGGATCTAGTAGAAGTCACAGTTCTCCAGAAACTGATCGACAAGGCGCCAGAGAAACTGGTCAGCCATTTCGACCAGCTCGTCGAACTCATTTGCCAAGTCTTCAAGGCCGATACCAAGTCAACGCTAGGGGACGATCTCATGGCCGTGGTGCTCAGTTTGCTCAATCTAGTCGTCACGGCACCCACTTTTCAAAAATCACACATCAAGGCGGACGAACTGCAGATAATTGAGACTTCTCTGGACAGACTGAGCAAAGCAGACCGAGCGCAAGTATCGCCGACTGCGAAGAATCTTTCGCTGCTCCTGAAATACCGAGACGAGTTGAATGACCCCGATGAGCCGACTTCAGTGCCAAGTAACCGCCAGATCGAGGATCGAAAGACTTACAACTTGGCGATGAACTATGTCACAGGAGGGGCGGACAACCCACCCCCAGTCGTGTCGGAAGGCCTCAACCTCTTGTCCAGTCTCATCATGGCGGAAAGTCCAATTTTGGATATCCCAGCAATAACTGTGCTTATGTCGAATCTACTTGCGGATAACGAAGACTATATCAACCTACGAGTGATCAAGGTCTTTACCCAGCTGGCCAACAAGCATCCCAAAGCAACTGTCCAAGAGTTACTTGAACACTACCTCGACGCCCAAGAGAAATCATCAACTGATGTCCGGCTTCGATTTGGCGAGGCTCTACTCCAGGTCGTCCAACGGCTCGGAGACACCTTCATGGGTGATGTTGCCCAACAGGTCAGTGAGACATTGCTCTCAATTGCCGGACGGCGTGGATATCGGCCCAAGACCATGGCCAAGCAAGCTCGCGAGGAGAAGCTACATAAGATGAAGAGAAAGGAATCCGACGACGCAGGGGCTAGTGACCTGCTTGACGAAGACGAAGAGATGACCGAGGAGGACAAGGAGAGGAACGACATTTTGGCACAAATTCTACAGGGATGGGAGAGCAAGAGAGGTAGCGAGGACGTACGGATACGAGCATCGGCACTATCTATCTTTGGCACTGCAATCGAGACCAATATCGGCGGAATTGGTCCGACATTAGTCTCTGCCAGCGTTGACCTTTGCATCAGTGTGCTTTCTATGGAACGAGAGATGGAGACGGCGATTCTTCGACGCGCAGCCATTCTGAACGTACTCAGTTTCGTCAGGGCACTGGACGCTGCCAGGGAATCTGGGAGGAGTCTCGGGTTCGGCCTCACGAATGAGAGTCGAGACGACATTTTGAGAACACTCCGCTACGTGGCGGGAACCGACAACGACGGGTTGGTTCAGCAGCATGCCAAGGACGTGATCGAGAGCCTGGAAACTTGGCAGTTGGCAAGCATGATGCCGAGCCAGAACCTGCCGAGCGGCCCGGAATTGACGAGCCTGGCCGGCCTCCACGTAAACCCCAGCGGGACGTTGGTCGACGCGGCTGGGCGGCCACGGCCCAGGATCGAGGAGGTCGAATGAGCGATGGGTTGAGATTCGGGGGATACCCACGCCATCAGTTTATGTCAGACTATTGGCAATCTCGTTACTTGCTCGATCGGATATCATTGCCAGGGTGGGCGATGAGTCTAAATGTCGGTATCCCTGGTCAGTGCAGGTGGGTGTGGTAGCGATCCCATCAAGGATTAGACGAACCCGACGGGTCGGCTTCTTCGCTGGCAGAATCAATCTGTAACGAAAGCGAGCTGGGGACTGCAGATGAGATGAATTCCAACCAGGATTGCCAGCGGTGACCGGAAGGCTTGATTTGAATAGTGGCACGACGAAGTCGCCATGCGTGCAAGTACGAGGTGGAGTTTACGGGAGTGTTGGGGTATCTCGTATGATTACGCAACCTCCACCATCACGGCGAGAACATCACCACCGTTGTGGCTCAGATGAAGCCCGTTGGCCGCGGAGTACTTGTCAGTTGAGAGAACGGCGGTTCAGGCGGATTGCTTGGCAGGCTATACGGTATCGTTCCTGCTGGATGGAGGGGACTGTGAAATGAAATGGCGGGACAATCCTGGAATGGGTGGATATGTGACCAAGGTACACGTAAGTTATCCGTCCAGCTCTATGTCGCGGCAATCGAGGACAAGAAACAGGGCGAGGGCGTTGTGGGCCAGGAAAAGATGGTAAGGGAGCATCGCCATCGTGTAGCTCTAGCGAATACCGGCAGTTGTGGCCACGGACTTGATTCCAGGTCGGGCAATCTAAATAGATGAAGCGGTCGGTATCATGAGTCGAAATCTAAGACGTCGGGTTCCGTTGTTAATAAAGGGTATAACTAGCCTCAAATTGCGCTGTTAATTATGTGCTCCGAGAAGACTACGTACACGTGTTGGCACTTGCGGTGATGAGGATCGAGATCATTTGGTTAATGAGCCATGTTGTTGTGGAGCTTGGAAGTTGCTTGGCAAGCTCATCAAGGCCCTTGAAGATTGACCAAGACCAGGGCGGCAAGCAAAATTGGGATTGGCAACACGAAGCTTGGTAGTGTGGTCGCTGCGAGCATAAAAACGTTGGTGTGTGTGTGGTTGTGTATTGCAAGTGGGGCCGAGGTCGTTATTCTGCGACAGGCACAGACGCCGAGGACAAGGGTTCACACTGAAACGACGAGGACAGGGCAGCAGCCAGGGCCCGGCGGATTCAAGGGGGAAGCGGCCCTGCCGGACGCCGACGGATGGGATGATGCGCGAGTTGATGTGCGAGTTGGTGGCGGGCGCCTGTGATCGTTGTTGTGATGGGCTACGTTTGACCAGTCGGAACGAAATGACGAGCGAAATGAGTGAAGGGGTAGAGCTTGGCTTAGAGGAAGGAAAAAGTACTTCCGTACCTTCCATTTTGATAGAAACCTGCAAGGCCAGAAGTTGGGACGAGAGGAAGGTGCCAAACCTCGGGATCTCTCCCTGCAAGGTGATTTCCCCATCCAGCAACTCCCCAGCAAAATGCAATCAGTGGAATCGCTCTTTGAGTAGCCGGCGTGCACAGGCTGTAAAGGATAGACAGCTTCAATATGCCGGGACATGGAGTTGAATATTATAGTGCTCGGTACGCTGATGGGATGATGGGATGATGAGACGAACCAGACGGATATTGCGAAAGCCAAAAATGACGACAGATCCCGAATGCTAATAAACGCCATGCGCCGCATCAGCGTCTGGTGTCCGCGCCGATCACCTTCTAGCAGCCTGTCTGCCCGTGGTGGCGGAGCCAGCAAGACCAAAGAGGCATTTACCCCAGGAGCACCAGCCCACCAGACGGCCCAGAGGATTTCGGTTGCACGAGGGAGTGGATGCTGGTTGGGATCTGACTCATCTAAGATCGGGAGTAGCGGTTCGCCGTTCCATGGAAAGAATTTGCTGGAGGCGAAAGGACTTTGGTTACGGCCGGCGCTAAATGGGGCAAATGTGAATCGTGGTGTTCATCATCGAGATAGAGCACGACCAGCATAAGCATGGAAGGTTAAGATTGTTGGATCCATGGATTTAGAGATGGCTGGCGCATTCGCAGTATAGTATGGCTCAGGCAAGTCTTGCGAATGGCCGGATCACAATTCCGAGCCTCAGATCTTCACGATTGAATCAGGTTATTTTTGGCATTCATCCCTCAGCCGTTTACTGAAACTCGGTTTGGAGATCAAAACTGATCCGTCTTACTCCCGCCGTCTCGGACCGCCGCAGCATGGGAAACGTAGATCCGACCCACTGTCCTATGGCGCCGATGAGATATCAGATTACTCGCAACCGTAGCAATATCATGGCGTTGAAGGCTGTGCTCTTGGCGGTGTTGCGGTTTGCTGGATCCTGGACGCCACGAACCCCCCTTGGAATCAGTGTCACCACGTTGCTCATGCCGAAATGATGGCGGCTTCACCTCAGTTCACGGCCTCCGATATCACCCCGAAAGGATGGCTGTTGGGTGCACATGGTCGGGTCCAGGCCCGGAGAGTTAATATGGAGGCAATATAGCAGACCCGGATGGATTGAGCTACCGGAAGCTAGACAAGCGATTAACAGGCATTTGATTGGCATTTGACTGATATTATCGTAGTAGCCCTGTAGTTAACGTTGCACCGTTACTATGGAACAGAAGGTCATGGACAAGGCCTTGCCCTACATAGCACGCTTGGCAACGTGAGTATTTTCGAGATTGTTCCAATGTGGACCAGGGAATACGGTGCCAGGATGGGATGGCTGGAGGCCCAATGCTCACCGCCAACCCCGGTGAATACGCGGTTTCCATTGAGGTGGCAGAATACGACAGGTGAGAAAATAGTTTACAAGCGAGACAGCATGAAGTGAGGCAAACAGGCCAACCGGCAAATCAGGTGGTGGCCACATCGCACATGCAATGCACATGTAAGCAACAAGCCTTTATTTTTGTTTCCTCAAACTCGGGTGCTGCTCTGCCGGCGGTCAATCACACACTTCTGCGACCAGATGGCCCTCAACGCCTGGCTGGGCCTTCTCCTCGCTGCGCTGGACGCTGAGCGGGACGCCCGTGCTTATATCCCAAGCCATCAAACAAAGGTGGCTGTGGGCTGCAGGCGTCTTCGGGAGCTCGGGAGCGCTGGAATGCACGTCGATTGGCCCTCGTGGCGTCTCAGGTTCTGTGCGGTACCTGCATAAAGGTGACGTGGTGGCGCTAATAGGCCGCACCTGTGCCCCTGGCGCCCTTGGCTTCGGGTTTTGCCAGTGGGCGCTGGGAGGATCAAGCAACTCAAAAGCAAGTAAGCTGCGTGAAACAGCCAATTGGCGGCTCCCACTGGTGAATGTCGGTGGCGATCAGCAGCATAGAGGCCCTATCATCATCGGTCGATCGATGCTTCTTTGCTCTGAGAGCCTCTGGGGGCGGCGCGGGCAAGCAGGTACCCGCCCAGCACTGCCCAATCCCCTCGTTCGCCCCCCCCCAATCCGAGTGTGCTGTGCTACTACGTGTAGAGGCTTGCCAAGCATGCGAAATTCTCTCCCGTACCTCGTACCCAGCCGTCGTACGCGATGCTTGGCGTTTGCCAGCATCACTCGTAAAGGCGGCAAGCTCTGCCGCGGGTTGTGTATACGTCTCGTTGACCGCCGACCCGTAATACTACTGCGTATTTCGGCTCGATGACAGGCACAAGGCCTTTTCGGGGGAGTTGGAGGCCTGGCGGCCGTCAACACAATTAGATACGGTGTACTTTTGCTGATGAGCGCTGAGGCCTGAAGCTACCACTAGCAAATGGTCAGACAGAAGCGTCCTGGCAGCTTCCAAAGCCCCAAGCCTCCCCCGTCACAGCCCCCCAAGCCCCAGCTACACCCATGACGCTGGCCCCTGAACCAAGCCTGTTTAGGTTAAGCGCCAGGGGCCCCTCACCTTGTTGCTCACCACCCCGGGAGCCAACCCCTTCTTCCAACGTCCTTCATCGACAACCTCCACCCATTCACTCATCCACTCATCCACCACGATCCGCTACCAACGCGGGCCTCAGCAGCACCTGCGAGAAAAAGAATGGTCTCATCATCCATGTCCGGTGTCTGCTTGGTCCCTAGATGGGCCCCTCCCGTCCGCTAAGCTGCCCCACTACACCACACCCGCTGCCGAGCTGACAACCCCATGGCCCATGACAATCCATCGTCAGCATCCATGGCATCCATCCATGAATCCAGGGCAGCCGAGCAGAGCGCACGTACGCACGCCGACACGCATCCTTTCGGCGGGACACCCCAGGCGCCCCAGTGGAGTCGCCGGCCACCCGCTTGATTAAGGGCCCCCCAGGATGTCGTCCTTGCAGAAATCCAAGGGGGTGCTCAGTGGGCCATGGCATCCCACATCCTGGTTCTTGCGCATCAAGGCACAGTCCGGTGTTTGTGGTTGCTGGAGTCTTAATCCTGATTGAGGTCGAGGCCATCAGTCTAAAAACGCCAGCCCGCTCCTACCCAACGCCACTCTTTCTCCGGTTTCTCTTAATATCCAACGCTGTCTGCCTCGACTCCGGCTTTTGCTCTCCAGTCTTGTCTATCACACTCACACTCTCTTTTACCCAGTCTTTGCGACTTGTTCCATTCTTTCCGGCTTCGCCATTACGATCCTTCGAGCATTCTAGCCTTCGGCAACCAGCGTTTCTCACATTCCAACTTTTCCCATTCTTTTAGTGAAGCAAAACTGTGTTCTGCTCGCTGCTCTGTAGAATCGACTTCTACAATACCTTTTACCCGAAACTCCTCGTATAGACGAAACTCCCAAAAGACACCCCAAGCACTCCCCCAAAAACACATTCAAGATGAAGTCTGTTGTTGCAACTCTCGGCATGGTCGCTGCGGCCAACGCCTACTCCTACCCCCGACACATGCACTACCGACGAGACAACGGCACTGACTCTGGCATGACCACCTTGACCGTTGTCACCACTCAGGTTCACACCATCACCAGCTGTGCTCCCACCGTCACCAACTGCCCCGCCCGGGACCAGACCACCGCTCTCGACCAGCTCCCCGAGACCGACAAGACCGTTGTCGTTGTCACCGACACCGTCGTCCTCACCGAGACCGTCTGCCCCGTCTCCGAGGCTGGCGCCATCTCCTCCTCCGTCATTGAGAAGGCCCAGACCGGCGGTATCACCGGAGCTTACACTCTGACCGCCCCTCTCACCACCTCCCTGGGTCCCATCAGCACCGGCTACCCTGCCCCGGCTGTCACCGACTCCGACAACTCCGGTGAGACCAACACCGAGTTGACCACCATTGTCAGCGACTACGTCACCGACAAGGTTGTCACCCTCACCATCGGCACCGGTACCGACGCCGAGGTCACCACCACCACTATCCACAGCACCATCCAGACCACCGTGACCGTCCCCTGCTCCGAGGTCGAGGCTCAGGGCACTGAGGGGAGCAGCAACGGCAAGGGCTCCTCCGTTGAGCCCACCACCACCACCACTGGCACCAAGACCGCCACCGTTACCAAGACCATCGTCGAGGCTGACACCACCGCTACCGCTACCGCCGGCAACAACAGCGGTGCCAACGGCTCTGCTGTCCCCGATAGCTCCGCTGAGGGCACCTGCGCCTGCGGTGACACCACTGTCACCGTCACTGCTCCCGCCTCTACCATCTACGTCACCGTTGGCGGAGACTACACCGGCACTGTCGGCGCCGAGGGCAGCAAGACCGCTGAGGGCTCCAACGGTACCACCGAGACCAGCACCCCTGATGATGAGGATGATGAGGATGACGAGGACTACTGCGACGATGAGGATCTCACCACCACCCTCGAGGCCACCGTCACTGTTGTCCCCTACCCCGTCAACAGCACCTTCACTGGTGGTTACGCCGCTCCCACCGGCTTCGCCCGTCTCGTCCGATAAATGCCTAGCCAGGGTGCATGGCTATGCCTCACCGTTGTACAGCTCAGCTAAGTAACCGCTATGTTGGGCAATCTAGTAGAGGAAGGACCCTCGGGTTTTGGGGAGACTACTCTCCTGGATGTATGACAAACTTTTGCTGCTTCTTCTCCAATTCAATTCAATTCAATGAGAATCATGATCTTGTTCTGTCTTGCCCACACATAACTTGCGCCAATTCTCATGTTTCTCCTTTGTTGCTGGGGCTTGTGGTCGGCGTGAAGGAAAACTCGTTCTGATGGATAGACGTGGGGTTCTGTGATTCGAAGGGGAGGGTTCCTCGGAGGATCCCTCTGTGTCATTGGCTTGGGTTCAATATTTGATCATCTATAAATGTCTTTTTCTGTGTAGATACCTTTCAAATGGTGATGGCTTGGTGTGACTCGCGATGTCTTTCGACGTGACACCTCTTGTGATATGTTCGTAAAATGGAGAGGTAAACAAAGGACGTCTAGTTTCCTGCCAGGTTATTCGGAAAGGATCTTGTTATAAAGTGAGATCGTTGTGGGTTTGTGGTATTATCCTAATGCGCCTGATATCCATTCAATCCATTTCATCCATCCCATCCAGCATTATCCCGCCCAGATCTCGATGTTCTATTCGTTCCATCGTTAACACGTCACGTACAATTCACAGCCATTGCTCGTCCCAGCCTATCCAAGGATCACCTGCCCGTACGCCTCCTGGTCTAGGTATCGCATCAGCACATCCTGCAGCGCCGCCCGTGTCCGTGCCAGCTGCGGCGTGATGCCGTCTCCCTGCTGGAGGTTGCCGCGGATGCTATCAACGTGTCCGGCAAGTTGCAGTGCCAAGGGCTGGAGGTCGGGGTCGGCGAGGGCCTGGGGTATGTGGTTAGCATTGTTGTGGCTGGTAGTTGGGGGAGGTAGTGGTTTACCTTGAAGACATTGCCGGAGGAGTCGCTGGTCGTGATGATGGATCGGTCGCGAGCTTCCTGCGGTGTCGGTCGTGATGTCGGTGCCAAGACGTGCGCTTTCTTCAACAGCTCATTCCGCTCCCTCGTCTGCGCCCTTGCGCTATCCTCAAGCTTCCGCAACGCGTCGTAGTCGTGCTCCAGCTCACGCTCCATCCTCGCTCGCTCGCGCCTCAACAGCTCAACGGCGTGCAGCGCAGGCCCCAGCTGCCGCTCCAAGGCGGCACGGCCATCGAGCACGCTCTCAAAGTCGAGTTCGGCGGCGCGGCCACCGTCGGCGTTCGCAAAGGGCCGGCCGGGCTTGCCACCACCAACCACCGTCGCCGGGGGAAAGGGCATGCCGCGGGCGAGTTTGCGGGAGACGCGGCGGGAGACGAGGTGCAGGGCGGCTTCGGCGTGCTGGCGGCGCTGGCGCGTGGCGGCGGTGCGCTGCAGGATGGGCTGGTGGGCGACGGCGAGGACGGCCGAGGCGGTGGGGATAGAGGCGCCCGAGAGGGGAGACCACTTGGCGGCGATGGTCGAGGAGCGGATGCGACGGGTTTGCGAGGCGACGTGGAGGTAAGGCTTTGGGGGCGACGGGGGGGCGTCGTCGTCGGCGTCCGAGGGGGGAGCGGTTTGACTGGAGCGACGGCGACGACCTTTCGGTTTGGGGGCGGCTTCTTGTTGCTCTTGGTCTGGTTCCTGGTCTTGTTCCTCGCCTCGAGATCGACGAGGTCGAGTTTGCTTGTCCTTCTGTCCTGTCGAGTTCCTCCCCCCTGACGTTCGACGCCGCTTCTTCGGCTGGCTCTCCTCCTGGTTCTCTGCGTCGTCTGCCCTTTCAGGTTGCTTCCCGCCCTTCTTGGACCTCCCGGCCTTGCTGCCCTTGTTATTGGCGTCCTCGTGGGGAAGGTCGCGCAGTGACCGACGGCTCCTTTTTCGCAGCGGCTGTCCCTCCTCCTCCTCCGCTTCCACCTCTGCTTCCTCTTCCTGCTGGGGCTTCTGTGCCGGTTGGGCCCGGCGCCCTCGCTTTTTGCGGGGTGCTTCCTCTGGGGTGGCCTCTGTCTCGGGTTCGGCTTCAGGTTGTGATTTCTCTGCTTGCGCACGTTTGCGACCTCGCTTGCGTTGCGGCCGGGTCTCTTCGGGTAGTTCCTCTTCCTGCGCTTCCCGCTCTGCATCCTCCTCCTCCTCGGGTTCCTGGTCTTCAGGCCGCTCTTCTGTTCCACCCCCCTTCCGTTGATTCTCTAGTGACGGCCGGCCACGTTTCCGCTTGGGCGGCGCAGGCTCTTCCGGTTCGTTTGTTGGCTTTGCGGCGGCTGTCAGTGACGGTCGGCCACGCCCGCGTCGAGGCTTGTCCTCCTCAGGCGGCGCAGGCTCGGGCTCAGGCTCATCGAGACTCTTCTTGGGCCGTCCTCGCTTCTTTGGGCGTGGTTCTTCGACATCGGCTTCATAGTCGTCAGGGCGGTCAAGCGACGCGCTGGTGGTCTTGGACGCGTTTGAGGGCCGGCCGCGTTTGCGCTTTGTGGGTTCTGGGTCTGGCGCCTAAAGAGGGAGTGTTAAATCTTTGCGATCTGAGTGCATATCCCAAGTGGGCAGTATAAATCTTACCATTGTGCGGGTAAGAATGCGCCAGGCGTGAGAATGGCAAAGTTGGGTTGTTGGATGTTGGTGTTGATTGTTTGGCACGCGCTGTGGCTGTGGGGGACGATGTCATTGAGTTTCAGAGCTCGGGTTAATTAGTGCCAAGCCACTGTGGCTCGACCTCTCCAAAGTGGATGGCGGGGCATCCCGTCTCCCTCCCGTCTGGGTCGTCTCCGCTCCGGACCACAGGAATTGCTCCGTCCTGCGAGTATATCGGCTGGTAAAAAGTCTGGCCATGTACTTCGGTATCCAATATTTTCTCCTACTGGAATCAGATCCTTGGTATCTCACATGCCGTCTTGACCAGCGCCGTGTTTCGAATGTCATGGATTGTCCTCCCGGATCACACCAACACCTCCCCCGCATTTGTCCCATCACATAATTCCGGGCTTGCGCACGAGATCACGTCCCGGAATCTAACGGACGGTCGGATCCGGGATGCTTCCCTGATTCTGTGGGTGTCTGCATCAGTGAGCCAGGATCTATCTCATTCTCCAGGTGGTGTCTAGAACTGTGTGCTCCCAAAGTGTTGCTTCAGATCACATGCGCGGTCCGAAGCAAATGAATTAGTGTTGGATCAATCATCCATATTTTGAGAACTCTCAATCTACTTCACAGCTTAAGGCTTCTGAATTGAGTTTTTTTTTTTTCGGAAGAATAAAGTTGATCACCTGTTTCAGTGTCATCGCAAGCCTGCTTGTTTTCACGTGCAAGTCGGCTTGATTGCTGCAGCCACATGTACGTCCAGCGCTCGGGAGACGGGAGAGCTAAAGTCATGAGATCATCTTTATGGCAACATGAGGTGATTTATCCTTGCCTTCGGGACGTGCTTCTCTAGCTTCTGAATCTATGTCATGTTCGATTTGTACCAAATGAATGAGATAAAAAGTACAGACTCAACCCATTTATCATGCCCATATTAGGTCCATGATCCACACCCTTGCCGATCCGATGGCCATCATTTCCTCTCTTTGCGATAAATCTTATCTCAGAATAAGCCCTAGGGCTCGCGATCCGACCCCGATCACCGGTGCTACGCAATGATGGCATGAATGCCATGTGAAATACCCACCCACGCCAGCTACCCTGTAGCACGAATCAGATGCGGGATGACGATATCTGGCCGTTAGGCTACGCCTCGGTACCACACACTGGGTACCAGTACCCTAAAGTACTTGTTTAGTCTCTTGGGTAAGGGGAACATTTTCAACCTCCCTCCACTAAGGTTTGCCCCGGTCATTGATGTCCAGTTGAGGGTGGTCAGAGAGACAGGCCACGAGTTGTTGACTGGCTGGACGACGAATCGAGACAACTGGACAGCATTGGTATATGCACTCGTACACACGACACACCGATAATTCGTGTTTTCGCTTTTGGGTTCCTGTTCTCTTGCCAACTCAGACTTGGCCATCTGGCCATCTGGCAAATTCTGCCCAGAAGAGTCACACACTTCAGAGCATACCAACACCTCGCCCCAAGTCTCACAACGGAGCGAACTCAGCCATTCAGCTGCAGCCGGCGCTGCTGGATCATGTAGGCCGGCATGTACTTGTCAGCCAACTACCGCAGAGCGCCGAGCCCAACGCACAGCACAGCTGCAGTACCCACGCGGGAAAGGAGTCATAAGCCCCAAGCACGGCTCTGATAAGCCAGGCCCCGGGCGACCAGATCCCCAATCGCGGCTCCGGGTTATTGTTCAAATTTTTTCTTGTACCCGCCTCGCTGTGCTTTTGCCTCGTGTGCGTACTCGGGCTGTGCGGGAAGCGAAGGGTAAATACAAACAAGCGAGGAGCATTGCTGCCCAAGCCCGCAGGAGGCGACTCGGTCGATTCGGTGTTGACGCTCCATGCCCCTCCCCGGTCTGGCTCTGGCGGACACCGGATGGATCCGCCCAGGGCCGGCCGGCGCTTGGGAGAGTTTTCTTTTTAACGGCCGCCGTAGTATTTCTGTGCCTGTGCCTTGGATAATTTTTTTTCTATGTTTCGGTCGAAAATGGGCTCCAGTTATTTTGCTGCACGCTGCTGTCTGCCCTCCACTGGTTTGTGACAATTTTTTTTGTTGACGTTGGCAGTGGCGGTGGCCCATTGTGCTGGGACCAACTAGAACTTCTCATCCACCGGCTGATATTCGTGCATTGGCTTGCGTTGAGCTAGCAGGCTCCCCAGGTGAGACAGGCCCAGCCAGGTGAGACAGGCGGACACAAAGACATCGACGTGGACAATCGAGAGTCGCGGCCGTGGGGAGTCGGTTGGGGATGGGAGCGGGCCGGTCCATAATTAGTTTTGCACTTCACGGCGAATGCGGTCAGGCTGAGATGGAGAGAGAGAGACGTTGAGTAACGTCAACTGGACGGAGCCCGACTATAAATGGCGGAGCTGTTGCCGCCTACTGCGGAGGATTTTTTGTTTTCGTGTTTCTCTGGTAGTTTGCGGAGATTCAGACTAACAGGTTGCCAAGGGTTGCTCAGGCTTGCCCTTTTAGCCGCGCCTCAACTCAGTCAGTCAGTCAGTCAGTATAGGACTAGGACTGCTTTTCTTTATCCTTCTATCTTAGATTTGCGACCGAGACCGAGATCTACTAGTCTCATCTCATCTTACCTCATTCCTCACCCGCCGTTGCGTCTTCCCACAAGATTGCAACACACAAAACACCCACCCACACCCACAACACCACGCACCTTTAGCTACTGTACCTTAGACAGACCATTCCCGTCCTCCAGACAGACACAGACTCGTCACCCTCAAACTCCCGAGTCAAGTTCTCCCCCCTCTCTCTCATCTCACCTGCCCACCAAAAAATTGCCGACCCGAGACATCGGAAGCATCTTCAGTTTTTAGCCGTGGGGGTCACTGTCGACTTTCCCCGATTGACCATTTTTGTCTCAGGCCAAGAAGATAGCCCAAGCTCCAGCCCTCCCCAGTCTCTCCTCAGCTCAGCTGCTGTGTCTCTCTCCCCACGTCCGTCTCAGTGTGCATCTTGTCTCACAGGAGCACTTTTTTATTCATTTTTTTGCTTCTTGCTTCTGCACTGCAGCAAGCCCGCCGAAAACCACCAACCCACAGTCTCCACCCAGCGGCGTCCCCTCGCCCCCCTGCTGGACCCGAAGACCGGCCCCGGCCCCGGCGCTACCCTCCGCAGAGGCACCCGCAGACAGCCAGAGACACGCTGCTCGTGTCCCCGTCGTCGTCTTTTTGGACCCGGCATTGGCCAGATCAAAGCCTGAATCAGAATCGTGCTGTCCGCTAGTGGCAGGGCCTTTCCTTGCTTCTCCTTGCAGTGTCGTCGCGTTCCAGTGACCAGAGCAAGCAGTGCGGACTCGGAGCCGTCAAGTGCCCCCCCCCGCCAGGACCAGGACAGGCCGCCAGTGTGAGACTTTGGCCCTTTGACGGAAGAAGAGTGGCATAAAGCCATAACTAAACGCTTCGCTTAGTGTGAACTTCACCCTGGCCGCTTGCCTTTCCTTCCTCCTTTGTCGGTCGGTCGTTATCCCAGAGGTCGCGCTAATACCGTACCATCGCATCGCATCCCAGACCTTAGCTGAGGCGCCCGCCTACCTACAGTGCTCTAGTGCTCTAGCACCACTCTTCTCTCTATCGTACCGTGCCGTACCGGTCCTTGCTGCCCGTTGAGCTGTGCGGGCCTACTACTGCTGCACCTATCAGCCACCTTCCCTCCCTCCTACCTTTCTCAATCGCCGTGCCTGCCTGGGTAGGTACACCATCTCGCCTCCTCCCCTTCGTCACAACTTTTTTTCCTCCCTCCATCCTCTCCTCGTTCTCTCTTCTCTTGTCATCTTCACTTGATCCCCTCTCAAGTGAACGACGACAACGATACGGAACCGACGTCCAATTCCCGTCCCCCACTTCCCCGACGACGACGACATCAGCGTCCCGTTGGGTTGTAGAAGGGGAATTCCCGCCAACCACCGAACAACGGCAACAGCTGCAGCGGCAACAAGCGAGTGAGCCACGAGCCACGAAAAGCAAAAGCCGATCCGCAACTAAGAAGCTCACCCTCAGCCTTTTTTTTGTCGGGCTCCCTGGTTCCCCGCCAAGCGTCCGCGCAGCAATCAACGTCTCTCAGCCACGAGACACATTATCATGATCCCAAACACCCGTCGCATATCATCCTCTCCGTGCTGGAGGTTCCTTCTTTGGGGCTTGACTCCCTGACTATCACCACTGCCATTACAGTAACACCCGCGCAACAACAACGCATCAACGACACTGCAACCGCCGCCCCGACCGCCATTGACGCTCTCACTGCTGTTGCAACTCGCCGTCTCACCCCCCATCGCAGCTTAGGCCGTTGCCGCAATCGAAAGCTGAAAGGAAGCTGACGTTGCACGCCAAAACGCCACCCTCATCCCTTCCTCCCTCCGCCATCCTCCTCCATCCCTCACGCCCTCCACCTTTTTTTCTGGGTCCCCCGTTTCTTTTCCGCGCCCCCCTCCTCCGCCCGCTCGGCGCTCGTCCAGCCCAGCCCAAGCCCAAGCCGGCCGCCTGCCTTTAGCCCAGTCCAGCCCTGACACCAGAGCCAAAACCGCCCGACCCAGAAGACCCCCAAAGGACCCAAGGGACCCAGCAAAGGACCCAGACTCGCCCAAGACCCAATCACCTTCCCCTCCCACCTGGGTGCGTTGCATCCTGCGATGCTCTGCTGGCAGCCCCGCGCAGAATCCTAGCAGAACCGCAGTAGCCAGCAGCAACCAGCAGCAACCTAACGGGTGCACCGAAAACAGCACCGATTTTTTTTTCGATCGGCTTTTTGTGTCTCCCTCTCCTCTTCCCCTTCCTCTCCTCGTGGTACTGTACTGTCCAGTACCTCGCAACCCGCCGACCCTTCGCCCTCACCGCGGCCCTCTGTACCCTCTGTACTTACCCACCGCTGGTTGACCTCCATTACCCCACACCCACGCCAACCATAAGAGCTCGATTGATAAGATCCCGCTCCCGTCTTTGTCTAAGCCGCCCGCCCTTTACTTACGACTCCGATACTTGGCCGGAACCCCATCTAGGACCACAACCGGGAGTTCCCACGATATATACGTTTTTTGTTGTTCCGCTCTCGACGGGTAAAATATAAACAGCACGACAAGCATTACCTCCACTATGCCTAGGAGTAGAACTTTACGGCGTCGGCCGTCGACGCCGGACCTCCATCATGCCCAGGTCCAGCAAGATCAGCATCTCACCGCCGACCCAACCTCGCCACCCGAAACCCCCACCACCTCGCCGCCCGCCTCTCGCAAGCACAGTCTCAAACCTCGCCGCCAGCCTGACTTTCGGGACATTTTCAAGCCACTTAACGAGGACCCTAACATTAAGCCCGTCGGAAATGGTCACCAGTTCAGCTACCAGCCTACCCTTGGCCCGGAGCAATTGAGCCCTCGCTCCTCGTCGTCCTCGTCTGACGACCTCGATGACTCTGATGACGACTCCTCGGAGAGCGCAAGCATCGGCAGCGTGCCCGACGCTCCAGGGCCGGGTCTGGTACCGGACATTGTTGATTCCGAAGACGAGATGGCAGACTCGGAAAGCTCCGAAGACTCCGACGACTCCGACGACTCTGAGGACTCAGAAGATGACTCTGATGTATCTGACGAGGCTGAGACCTCTCACCTGACTGCCGCCACGACAACGGTCATCTGCAACTTCACTCTCGAAGACGTTGACCCGATGGACAGCGAATGCGAAGGCCTCGATATCTTGCAACCTACCGAAATTGAGTCGAATTGCAGCCGGTCCAGATCAAGACACAAAGAAGTGCCCAAGGAACTCGACAAGGACATGATGCAGGATCTTAAAAACCTCAACTGCAGCAACGAGACCTCAGACAACGAAGTTGTTGGAGGCGATGCTGACTACGACTTTGACGAGGAGGCCTTCCTGAGGCGCCGGGAGCAGCTCAGGAAGTTCCGTCGGATGAGCATGGGAAGCAGCTTCGGAAAGCGCACTCACAGCGAGCTGAGCGATTCCGACGACGATGGCGAAGCATTGGACGTCAACGATGTCGGGTCTAGCGCCCGCCGCTTGCGAAGAAAGATGCAACGCACTAGCCTCCTGTTCCATGACCCGCCACCCGCTCGAATCGAGGAGCTCGACGAGCCCGACTCGAGCGAGGACGAGTTTCTTGCGGGACGGGATCTGGCCCGGGAATTGCCTTACTGGGATATGGAAATCATGGAGATGGACTCGAGTTGAACCCGAAATGAAGCCAAGGTCGGCCGCCAGGCTAGACGACCCGGATACGCTGTCCACGAGCCGCGACAGACATGAATAATGATGAAATTACGAGAATGAGAGGAGACCCGGGGTCCCTCTGATGATGATGACGTTTTACCTTAAAAACCTACGAGCCCGACGCTGCCTTTACCGGGCTATTCGACTGGTCAATCACGCTTCAAGGGATCCGACGACGATCCGTGGCATTGCGGGCCTGGTCCAGGCATTGACACTCGCCCCTGACGAGGACATTGACGGGCCAGCCGGATGAGAATGAGCATTTGATTTGGGAGATTGATGTTTGGCATTTGCATAGACGGAGGGCACAGCATCAGGGGCACAGGCAACAATTGGATCACCGCCGACCCTGCATTTTCGTTCGATACCTTATAGACCGTTTCTTTATATGTCAGTCGGATGCTTTTACGAGCGATGGCATCGTTGGAGGACACAAGAATATGCGCATAGTGGGGAAAGTATGCATTGAAGGACTTTGATTGTTGTTGTATTTGGTTTGATTGTTGATGATCTGTCGATTGAAGCTTAGACTAGGATAGACTTGGGTCTCGTGTCCAGTTCTGCTGGGCGAGACCTGACTGGAATTGATTCCAGGAGATTTCAACAATGCACCCGGTTCGACAGAAGTTGCATGATCTGGTCCACTGGGGCTTTGTGGCCCACAGGCGATTGTCCAGTCGTTTGCCAAAAGTGAGGCGGTGACACCGGTGGGTTGGACGGGGGTGGAATGGGGGTGGGTGACCTGGCTAAGGGGATGACAGACATGCATCATGTGCGTGTGCGTCATTGGCATTAGGGAGGCCGGGGAAAGGATCCGGCAATGACCACGTTGCATAGCTTGTATTGTGATGGAGAAACCATTGAGTCTAGGCGTGTAGGTGGGATGGAATATTGGATGCCGCGATGATAGTTGCATAGATGGGGCACTCTCATGCTTCAGCAGCACCTTCTGCTTAGGGAAGTGGGTATTGGGGATGAGAGCATAATACGGGGAGGAGAGAGAGGGGGAAGTGGTTTGTGCACGGGCTAGGGCAAAGGGGAGATTCTCAGCTGTTGTTCGAGATTAGGGAGGGCCATGAAGGAACGAACCATGGGTATCCATGGATGGAAGGTTAGTTAGCGCTGATGGAGATGTCTTCGGGTCGGGTGAGACTCGCGGCAGCATGACATGACGTGATGCAAAAGATAGGCTAATAGTCGGTCTAGGGTAGGTCATCCCGATAAGAGCTCGTTATCTGCTCCGGGGAAGTGGCGGTCTGACCCCACTATAGAGCTTATCGATAACGTCTTGACGATCGCGTGCCGATTGTTTTGGTCGGTTGCTGGAATCGACACTCAAGCACAACAATCATCACCCACAACCACCGACTCTTGCCACAACCAGTTTTCGACGATTGAACTAGTACTTCAATCTCCGGGCTTCTGAGAGCCGCAAAAAGAGACTTCAATACTTTATTCAGCTAGACGACGGCAGTAACAATCCTCAGGCCGGTTGTGCCACGACGCGCTGAGCGACCCCGCCAAAGCCAACTCTCACCATGTCCCTCATTTCAGCACACCTCGAGCAAATAAGCTTCTCATGCCAAGGGATTGATTCCCTCCCGTATGTATTTCAAGATGTTGCTCTAAGAAGATGTTCCCTGGCTAACCTTAACTTGCGCCGCAATAGCTTCCCTCAACCCAAAATCTTCACGAACGCCCTCCTCTCCAACCACGACATCACGTCCCTCATCCGCGACACCGAACCCCACGAGCGCGCTCTCTTCTCCGTGCCTCCTCCCCCACCGCCATCTACGACCCTGAAACCTACAGAGCCTGAGAAGAAGAAGTCATCTCACCGACGTCAAACCGTCTTCAATGTCGCCTCGGGAGAGGTCACAACTGGCCCTCCTACCCGCACCGGCGTCCCGCACAACCCTCGGCGCCACACGGCTGTGTCCGCAGTCCTAGGAGGCCAGATGCACGACCAGCTCCGCCGCGGAGAGCAGGACCGCAAGGGTGATGTGGACGTGAGCGTGCTGCTGCGCGGCGCCGAGAAGCTCTGCGGGGTCTACGAGCTCCCGGGAGCACGCGAGCGCATCAATGCCCTGCGGAGCAAGTATGCGCACGGGAAAAACACCATGGCATACTACGAAGCGCGAGTGTCTGAGCAGGCGGAGCAACTGGCGAGCATGAATCGGGATTGGATGGAAGACGAGGAGGATGAGGAGGATGAAGAGGAGGAGGCCGGGACGTGGACGGAGGAGGACCTGAGGAGGGAGGAGGAGGAGGCGAGGCAGATGGAGCTGAAGAAGAGGGAGCTACAGACAAGGCTGAGGGCGATGGAGAAGGATTTGGGGGGGCTTATGAATATGTGAGTTGCTGAGAAGGATGAATGATGTGAGGATATACCCCTGAACGACGATGAGATGGTTATACGACGGAGAGAATGAGGGTTATGAGCGAATGAACTCTCTCGTTAACCAATACCAAACCAACTGCACTAAACTGCCAATTCTACACGCAATTCTAATATATATCGCTAAGTCTTGTCAACTCACCCTCTTATACCAAACCCCCTCTAATTCCCTCCCAATCCATCCTGGCGGGCAAGAACAAGCTGCTCCAGAAACACGCCTACATCATCCGCCCCCTCGACGACAAATTTGTCGTTGATAATAAACCGCGGGACTCCCCTGATGCCCATGCTGACCGCCTCATCGACCTCCAGCTGAACCTCCTCGAGCCCTTGGTCGCTCTCAATCCACGCCCTGGCCTCGTCCGCATCGATACCCGCCCGTGACGCCGCACCCACGAGGTCATCCGTGCTCGTAATGTCGCCACCACCTTCAAAGTACATCTGCATCGTCTCCTGCGAGACCTTGTGCTGGAGGCCCTCCTCGCCGCGCGGATCCATCCGCCTCGCGAGCGCCGCCAGCCGATGCGCCTCAATCGTGTTGCCGATGCGCGAGTTGAAGTTGAACTGCACGCCCCCGCTCAGCCCCGCGTTGCGCAGCTTGCCCTGAATCTCGGGCACGCGGTCCGCGCCCCAGCGGGATGCCATCTTGGCCGCCAGCGGCTGCGAGACGCGGCGTGGCGCGGCGGGGTCCAGCTGGAAGGCGTGCCAGGCGATGGTGATGGGGGTGGCGGAGGCGCCGGGCACCGTTTTGCGGTAGAGCTCGATGGCGCGGTTAAGGCGTATGAGGCCGAGGTAGCAGAAGGGACAGACTGGGTCGGAGATGGCGGTTATGGCGAGGGAGGCCATTGTGAAGGGGTGGGCGAGTGGTTGGTGATGTCTGGCAGAGTTTTAGATGCGAGTGGCCGATCGGTGACGCAGGACAACAAAAGAAGGAATGATGTTTCTTCGATCTTTGAGTTGATTCTGAGAATATTGACTCCAGGAAAATCCTTCATTTAAAGGCAAACGACACGCGGCGATTGACACCGTTCTAGGTCATCCCGTAATAGTGGGCGGAACTCCGCAAGTTGCTGAGAAATCAGCTCCGTCCCGGGTCCGGGCGATACTCCACATGATGCCCCACCGACGGCGGAGGTGCGGACGCGGATGAACTCAACATGCCGGAATCGCCGATTGTTGAATATGATTCCTGTTTGGTGATTTGCGGTGTATGTGGGAGTTGCTGTTGGCGATCCACCCTCATGACTGGGAACATACGGCTGACGCTAACTAGCATGGCTAGCGGAGGCGGGAATGAATTAATTGTTGTTGCATTTGGCGTATCCATCCTATGGAGATTGCTCTCCGGGTATCATTTCTATAAAATCCAATTCTATGTTCCAACTCTTTAGGTGTCGTTAATCATGGCTGTCCCACGCTGGTCTTCTACGTCTCCGACCATATGGTTCGTGTCTGGACGAAGGCCCCTCTCTCTCTGACCGGCTATTTCTGGGACGGTAGAAATCTCCTTTCATCCTCTGGCGATCTCTGGAGTGTGCGTCATGACGTCCGCTCTCCACGGACCCTGTCTCAGTGGCTGCGTCTCTTTCTATCTCGGGTCTGCTGCTCCTTGCGGTCTCAGAATCGTCGTACTGCACTGCCCGATCCCAATCTTCAAGCTTGGTGTATGGGCTTCGTAGCCAGGCGCGCAACTCATGCAGAAATAATCGTGTGTTGTCTCTCCCTAGGAAATCCGCCAGCATATTTTCGGCCTGGCCCCCACTCCCCATGATGTCGACAGACTTTAAGACGGCAATGGTGTACTCGAGGAGAAACTCGGCGCTGTTGGCTCTTCTCCGCACCTGGGCGGTTCTTGCATTCGTGTCGGGGTGGGCCGTCGTGGAAGGCGCTTCGTCTATGCTGAGGAACGAAAACACTTGTAGTTCTCGGCGAATCCACATCCGGGCGCGTGAAACCAGCTCCTCGTCTTCACGAAAGAGCGCGGGAGTCAACTCTCGGTATCGGGAGACTCGGTTTGAGCCCACGTGTTTGGAGTAGCGGTTGTGGCGGTATACATCGCGACGCTGGGTAACTGCGCGAGAGACGCTCTCGTGTGTGGTGTTGTGAGGTCGGTCGCGGTAAGGGCGTCGCCAGTGAGGCCTATGGAGGTGGTTCCTTGAAGACGAGTACGTTCTTGAATTTTGCGGAGAGGGGCTAGGCGCAGGCTGAGGAACGTCGTAGACTTTGGCGACTGGCTCGTCGAGGGCATGGCGGACTTGGGCGACAGTCGCCTTGCACAGGGGACATTTGGGCGACTGCTCGAGCCAGCTGAGAAGACAGAGATAGTCGAAGTTATGGTGACGGCACGGAAGGGCCTCGCAAGCTTCGCTGACGGCCTCGAGGCAGATTACGCAGCAATCGGCCGAGTCTTGTTGTCGGGTCGAGATCTCGTCGAGGGTGCTCTGGAGGACTCGGCGCTGGAGATCGTCGGTGGAATGGTCGGGGTCTATGGTTGTTACGCAGCCGGCTGTGCACGTGGCGTGCATGGCGCGCATGGACTGCGACCGCGAGGGTGGAGGGAGAGAAATGAGAAGCAGACGAGTGGAAGATGGAGGAGTTGAAGCCTTGGCCTCAGTCGCAGACACAATTTAACAGTCGCACGCGGGGCCTTTGGATGAGTCTTTGAAGACCAGTGGCGTAGCGGTACGTACCTGTGGCGGGAGTGCCGCGCCTCCCCTGCAAGCGCCATAACGGTCCCGCTGCAGACACCTGCACTTAACGCGTCCAAAGCTCCCGCGTCTGACTGTTTAGTCTGCTCTTCGTGTTGAAATCGCGACATTCCCCACTCGAATCTCCCTCTTGTCATATGTCAATCCCGCGACCCCGTCATTGATGCTCCTCTTTTGACGTCGACCTCCAAGCTTTGCCTTTTCCTGGTTCTTGGCCTTCTCCATATTCTCTCCATAACCTCTCCGTCGACCCCCTTGACCGTATACCGCATACCGCAATGGACGACGCAACCAAAGCAGAGTACGACGCCCAATCACAACAACTACGCGCCGACTTGAAGTCGTGGGAAAGCGACTGGGCCAAGACACACAAGGGCCAGAAGCCTGGAAGGGAAGACATCAAGGCCAACCCGGAAATCGGTAGGTGGCATGGTCTAGAGACACCACCCAAGACGCCTTGCGCTGACTCGTCGATGAACAGCTCAGAAGTACAAGCAGTACAACAAGGTCCGCGATATCCTCTCTGGCAAGGTACCACCGTCCGCGAAAGAGGATCCCAAGCCCAGGAAACGCAGGTCCGACGCCCACCTGGCCCAGACACCCACAAAGCGTACCAAACAATTCGAGACTCCTTCTAAGAACCGCAATGTCGACCATGACGAGGGCCTGATGAATTCGCCCGCCATCTCAAGAAAGCTCTTCAGCCCAGCTTCCGTGACATCTCTTGGCCCGACCCCCCAGCGCGATGGACGTGTTCTGGGATTGTTCGATTTGCTGGTGGAAAAGGAGTTGGGAACACCAAGGAGGGATTCTCCCCGAAAAGGGGGTGCCCAACGAAGAATCGACGCAACACCGAGCAAGCGATCCGCCGCTATGGACGATGAATTGACTGCTAGATTGGGTCGGACGCCTATGTCTTCGAGCAAGCGGCAGAGGTTAGACAACTTCATGACGCCACAGAAGAACCGAGACGGGAACTTTGATGCCGTCACGCCAAGTTCAGTGTCAAAACTTCAGTTCGACACGCCCGCTTTTCTCAAACGCCATTCTCTTCCAGCTCTGGATGAGAATAGCGAGTTTGATGCACCAGCACCGTTGAGACTACCACGCAAGTCCATGGTGAAAGGACTGAGTGAGATTGTTGCTAGTCTACGAAAAGTTGAGGAGGATCATCTGGACGACGAGCTGGATGCTCTACGAGAAATTGAGGATGAGGAAAATGGCATATCGAGACCGAAGCCACCGACTATACCGCTACCCAAGGACGATGTGTTGGAGGAGGATAGTCAAGTCAGACAGCTTCCGCTTGGTGGGTTTGACGATGAGGGTCTGTACGACAGTCCGGATGAGGGAGTCATGGGCCGAGATGGAAACTCGAATTCGTTGAGGGTATTCAAGAAGAAGGGACAGAAGCGGACAACGAAGCGCTCCAACATGAAGCCTATACGAATGAGGCGCCCGGAAAACATAGGAGAGGGTGCAGAGGGCGAGGAGGTCGGCGATGAGAACGAGGATCCGATCCCCGAGACGCAGGGAGAGGCTGGCGACGAGGATGGATCGGACTTTGAGAATGCCAAGGCAAAGAAGACTAAAAAGTCTAAGAAGGCCGCGAGCAAGCCAGGACCGGTGAAGAAGGCGGCAAGAAAGGTCAATGAGCTGGCTCATGCAAACTTCCAGCGGCTCAAGCTAAAGAACAATGGATCCAAGGGAGGGCCAGGGTTTGGTAGCAGGTTCCGTCGGCGAAGATGAAGGAGGGAAGAGGGAGAATCTGATTGGGAAGACCCGGCCTTGTGTTGGGCTACGGCTTATGACAAGATGCATTCAAGGCGTTGTGGTGGAATATATAGATAGAAGGTTATGACTATGAGTCTGTGGTAGTGTTTCTTCGATTTTGAACCTTGTAATGGAAGAATACATACTGGAGATGAGACCTAAATGGAGTAAGAGATGCAGCAAGCTGTAGTTGAAGTTGAGCGATCATCCTAGTAATAACGTTGCAAAGTGCAGTGGTTCTTTGCCCCAAACGGATTAGCGCCATGTGGTGTTTTTAGTGTTTTAGTGACGTGCGTCCTGAGCCAGTGCTTCGAGTCCATCAAATTACTCGTTCCCTTTCATTCCACTCGTTCGAGGGCGTCTGCCGCGTCGCATTGCATCACATCGTCAGCGACAAAGGAGGCGTCGCGCGGCGCGTGCCCTCGTTGGAAGCACCTTGTTTTATCCAGCCTTCGTCGAGAGAGCGGCTACCCTTTGAGCTACTTTGTTTGAGTAACCGGGTGTGCATTGTTGTTCCTTTTTTTGCTGGGTTTCCGCCGCCGCCGTCTTACCTGAACGGGACATGTCCCAGCCAGCCTCCTTGTCTTGTTTGTTCCTGTTCCTGGCGTCGATATTCCGAAAGTGGGCGCGTGTGTCGTGGGACACGGGCATTCCACCAGGCTTCTCAAAGGCGATTCTTGGCCTAGTGGTCCAATCTTCTCTTTGAGCTCCTCTATTTTTGGTCCGCTTCTGGTTCTTCATTCTTCAAACAGGGCGCATAGACTTGTTGGACAAGGAAACGGCACACCCTGTTCCCTGCAGTGCGGCGCGAGGTAGCCGTTGCTGGAGGCGCGTTTGTTTGCGGTCCAATATCATTCTCATCTCACCTTACCTCACCTCACCTCACCTCCTCATTATCGCCTGGATTGCGCATTTTCCTATAAGGAACATGCATTGGCGGTAGCATGAGTTTAATCGCAACACACCCTTGTAAGTGACTTGGACCTGTACTGAGCAGCTATTCATCTGACCTCTCAAAGATCATGGACTGGCTGGTCACAGACGACGATCCTTTCCACTCGGTGGAAGGAGATGAGAGCATCTTCGAAAATGAGTTTCAAACCGTCACTCAAAGTGAGCAGGATCTCTTTGCAATCATGCCCCTGTCAATCGGATTCATGGACAATGATGCCCGGGTACTCGACGTTAACCACATCATGCCACATGAGAGCGGCCTCCTGACGGCTGCTCCCTCACTCAGTCCGCCTACCTGTCCGACCTCCTGCATTGATGAGCTGCCCCCGGAAATCAGCGATTATTCCCTCGACCCCCCGGAGTTGTGCCACAGTAAGAGCGTCGAGCCGGGACTTGATCGCCTAGAAACTCCCAACGACTCCGAACCCATCGTCGTGGATGACCCTCCGGACTTCCCCGTGAGCCGCTCTTTGAGCGTACAACTCCCGGAAAGCACCTTGATCATCCCACGCTCGTGTTACGAACCCTTCGAACCCGGCGTCCCGATCAAATCCGAGCGAGAGGCTGTCCGCCTTCTCTGCTGGGCGGCCAAGAAGGCCGGCCAGGATATCGAATCCATCGAGTTCCAGCTCGACAAGTTTGCTATTTACCGAGACCACCCGCAATTCCCAGAGGAGATGCGATCTCTCCATCAACTCGACACCAAGATTGGCCATAGGGATTTCTTTTTCGACGGTCAGCTCAGCGTCGGCAACACGGCCTACTTTGTTAGACGAGTCCCCATCTCGGCGATTCCCATCGGCAACTACGGGGCCCTGTCCAAACACACCGTCCGCGACAAGATCTGGCTCCGTTCTGATTTGAACAGCGATAGTGAGATCTACTATCGCCTTCGCACGCCTGCCTTTGAATACCGCCGATTCTTCAACCCGTTCCTGTGGGTGGCAGACCTGGCCAAGCACTTTGTCGACTTTCTCAAGGTCATGGGCGAGAACCGTCGTAAGGTGACGATTTTTCACTTCCGCTCTACCTTCGGTACGTGGATGGACAAGGTGCACAAAAAGGCCCCTGAGTTTGTCGCTTGGCGCAACCAGTTTCCCCGCGACGACTTCCGTGCCTCCGTCATTGCGAACCGTGATTTTCTGCACAAAGAGGCGATTGGTGTGCTGGGCTACACAAAGACGTATGCCCACACGCTCTGGTTGGAGATCTTGAATCATGGCTGCTACTACAAGCCCTACGAGAACAAGGGGGAGAACAAGACGGAGAACCCTTCTACGGTTGTCACCAAGTATATTTATGACTGTTTCGCCCACCTGCCCTTCGGCGATCGCCTCGAGGCTGTTCCGTTGAGCAAGGAGACCCAGACGCTGCGCAATAAACTAATACAAGAGCGCAACCTTGAACTGCCAGCACCAATCCACGACACGGCTAAGTGCTTGTCCATAGCGGCGACGCAACAGATCCAAGATATCAAGCCCGGTGACACCATCTCCACACAGCGCGACGGAGCTGATTCTGGCACGCGATGGCGACGCGACGTGTCGCACGGCTTCAGCGACGTCGACCGGTGGTTTGCCCTTGTGCAACATGTTCATGTCGACCGCCGAGGCCAGCGCTCCTTCGACGTCATCTGGTACTACCGCGCCGTTGATACCCTTTGTGGCATTATGAAATACCCGTGGAACAACGAGCTCTTCCTCTCGGATCATTGCTCGTGCGGCGAGTCTTCCAAGATTACCGCGAAAGAGGTCCTCGGCGTCCACGATGTCGAATTTGGTGGCACCTCGGCCACGAGCGCCGAGTTATTCTGTCGCCAGACGTACATCCACACCGAGCGCAAATGGATCACGCTGAAGAAGGACCACATGTGTTGCGCGCATACTAAGAAGGCGAGCCGCACACCAAAGTACCAACCGGGCGAGACGCTCCTAGTCATCCTGGATAAATCAACAGGTCGGTCGGAGCCATGCGAGTTCGTGTCCTCATATAGGGAAGAAGGCGCCGAGATATTTAGGTTCCGGCGACTATTGCGGCGCGCCCAGGTTGACCCCAAGGCAAAGGCTGCTCGACGAAATGAGCTCGTCTACAGCCAGCAACTTGTCGAAGTCAAGAAGCGGCGTATCCGGCAGCCGTGCTTTGTACGCTTTTTCGAAACTGGAAAACCGATCCCAACTCCATACGACCGGGACGGAGTTGGTAATTTCTTCTACATCACCCACGAGGAAACTGTTGACCAATATTCCAATGATATCTCGTACACCCCATTGACATCATCCCCCCCTTCTCTCCGACAGGGCTACGACCCGACAGAGGAGATCACCCGACTTCGTGGCCTGGATCTCTTCTGTGGCGGTGGTAACTTTGGACGTGGCCTCGAAGACGGAGGCGGCATCGAGATGCGCTGGGCCAACGACTACGACACCAAGGCTATGCATACATACATGGCCAACGTATCGGCACCCGAGGCCGTCTCGCCGTTTCTCGGATCTATCGACGACCTTCAGCGGCTGGCGATTAAGGGTCGCTTCAGTCGTAGCGTCCCGCGCATTGGGGACGTCGACTTCATTTCCGGAGGCAGTCCATGCCCCGGTTTCTCACACTTGACCAACGACAAAACGACGCTCGCCCAACGCAAGAACCAGTCTCTTGTTGCGGCCTTTGGGTCCTTCATCGACCTCTATCGCCCCCGGTATGGCCTCCTCGAGAACGTCCCGGGCATCGTTCAGAAAAAGGCCAACCGGGATCAAGATGTTTTCAGCCAACTCATCTGCGCCATCGTCGGTCTGGGCTACCAGACTCACTTCTTCTTCCTCGACGCTTCATCCTGCGGCTCCCCGCAGCGTCGTTCTCGCGTCTTCCTCGCGTTTGCCGCCCCCGGCCTCCAACTCCCACGGCGTCCCGACCCGACACACGCACACCCTCCTCTCACCAAGTCGCTCAGTCTGGGCAACTTGCCCACAGGCGAACCTATGGCTGAGCGCGCCATGCCAGACGCTACCCCCTTCGACTTCGTCTCCGCTAGCGCCGCAACGGCCGACCTCCCGCCGGTGTACGACTCCAAGCCGGACATCTGCGTGCCGTTCCCTGACCACCGCATCTCCCTCGGCTTTACGAAGCAGCTGCGCCTCAAAGTCAACTTGATCCCCATCCAACCATGGGGCATGAACTTCGCCCAGGCCTGGTATGGTCCCGATCGCAAGCTTGCAGGCTCCGGCGTCATCACTCCCGTCGAGCGCCTCGTCTTCCCGCCAGACACAGGAAAATCCCTCGGCCGATCCCGTCCCAACTCCAACGCCTACGGCCGCCAGTTTCCCGCGCGCCTAATCGAAACTGTCGTGACGAGCCAGAGCCCCAGCGACGCCAAAAATGGCCGTACGCTGCACTGGCGTGAGAGCCGCGTGCTGACCATCATGGAGGCCCGCCGCGCGCAGGGGTTCCGCGACGACGAGGTTCTGCTGGGATCGCCACCGGACCAGTACCGCATCGTGGGCAACAGTGTCGCGCGTGAGGTTGCTGTTGCCTTGGGCGCTGTGTTCCGCGAGGCGTGGGCTTGCAGTTTGACCGAGGAGCGTCGTGGCTGGGAAGTCGGTGCTACAATCGCCAACACTATGCGCGTTTCTCCTGTCGTTGTCCCTATAGACACCCCCTTCCTCACCCTCTCCGATATCGAACCCTCAACCAAACCGATAATCGAAGATGTATCCTCCGACTCGAGCATTGACACTTGCCCCGACGAGCTCTCCCGCCTCCGAACTTCCCCTAGCCAAACACCTACCCCTAGCATGACATCTGGCCTCACGCCCCCTCCGACATTTCCCCCGTCCCTTTCTATCAGAGGCCCCAAACGGTCGCGCTCCAGTTCCATCGCGGTAGAGATTCGGGCACCCAAGGCGACCAAGAGCAAAGGTGGCGACTCCCCTAGTTTAGCTGCGACGAGGCTATCCGCCTTGAATGGCGGTCTTGTTGACCCAAGCCCTCTGGGACAGTCGGTGATTGTGCTCGATGAAGATTGAGGGGCGTTACTTTGGACTGGATACCCGATAAGATGATGATATTAGACGTGCCATACTTTGGAGATGGACACTGCGCCGAGGAATTGGGAGGAGCTGGCATATTTCTTCAAATAGATCCATCCGTAACCAACGGATATATAATCAAGGAAACATTACACAATTAAGCCAAGGTCATAATTTTCTGGTATTCCCATCACTTAAATTCTCGAATACCAGCTGAGTTGCGCACAGCAACATGCCCCTAATCCTGAGATAATCATTAACAATGCATCTAATATATATCCATATAAAAAAAGTACCTTGAACAAAAATAATTCTTAGCCGTTGTCCCTTATGATAGTAATTTATATTTTTCTCAATTCAGAAAGCAGGCTCTATTTGGAATCCCTCGAGTGACAGGCCTTCCGCTGGCAGAGTCCTTTCCTCTCTTCTTCTGTTCAACGAGCCTCTCGCAGGACCTTCATAGCGCCTTTGCAACAGAACAGGAACAAAGAAGAGTTTGCTCAGTCTACTCAACTTGGCAAGAAGGTAACTCATATGCGTCAGTAAATACTACAAACAACGTTGTTAGTCCCTTTACTTTGCCGATGTTGGCCTGCATCTGGTAGATCTACCCGCGGCAAAAGCAAAAGAACTCGCCCTGGTCTTGAATCCCTAAAGACCAAATAATCCTAGAATAACTGGTACTCTTGTTTATAGTCTTTCTTGAACTCCCCGCTTTCTATTGCCGGGGTTGTGGGTCAATATGCTGCTAGTTTCACCCACCAAAAATGAAGATGGAAATTCCACCAAAAGGAAAGGAATAGCTCCCCCGGGAAGGCTCGAACTTCCGATCTCCCGATTGTCTATTAAATAACAGTCGGACGCCGTAACCAACTAGGCCACAGGGGAGGAATGGTTGTAATTGGTTGGGGTTGGGCAAAGAACTTGAAGTATATATCCCGTCCATCCGGAGAGACGCCCGGAGTTTACGACACACAAGAGGCAGATGAGGTGACGGCTAGCTTCTAAAACAATGAATACGATTTGAATATGACTGAAGATTGTATTTTTGACACTTAGGGGCACTAGATTTACTGGCTTTGCATTTTTTGTCGGTGGGAGACACACTTGGTGCAAACCTCACTCAAGACACAACAGATATGGCCACCGACACCAAGGTGTGGAGCAATAAGTTAAGCGATCTGTACCGAGAGAAGAAATGACATAAATTCATTTGGTAATATTCAATGCGGTGTTCTTGATGAGGGCTGCTGGCAATATGGGAACCATAGTGGTAAGGGCTGCGACGACATTATCGTGCCTCTTCAATGTAGTATTTGTTAGAAGATATAATAGCTCCAAGGACTCAATGGCTAATTAAGGGAACCAGTAATATATAGATATTCAACGTGACTTCTGCAAGGTCTGGTCTCCATTTACATCAGGGACCTTGGGAACAGTATTGTGAGTAAGTGCCGAGTCAGCTGGAAGTTAGAATTGACCCCGAGGCAGGATACAGTTCTCAACCTAGGGCGGGGAACTTGGTTTGTTGGATCCTCGTGGTTGTAGTTTGAAACGAACGTTATAATAACACGTATCCCAAAAGGCTCAATTGGCTTCAAGAATGTCGGCAACAAATAAAAACGTACTAAAGAGTCAATTACTCTCATGCTCTGACGGGAGCATTATCTCAGATCCAAGGACTAGGAGAGCTAGCAGCACCCACCATGTTGCCCAAGCCCACCAACAAAAGATTGGTGCGTGGTGCAGCAGAGCCAACAGAACCAGCCAGACCAGGGATGGAGAAGGGTAATTAGAGGTTTACAGCTACCATTCCGGCTATTTCTTTGTGATTCTTCATCAAATCTAACGTGAAGTGGGTACGTGGGAGGAGATCTTACCAGGAATGTTACGCGAGAAAAAAAAACAGCATTAAATGACGCAAAAAGAAAACGTAGACTTCCACTGTCTCCCCGAGATGGGCTCGAACCATCAACCTCCTGATTAACAGTCAGACGCGCTCTGCCCCTTTTTGTCAGTATGTACGCCTTCGTGAAAGGGTGTCGGTGTAACTCACAGCCAATTGCGCCATCGGGGATCAATTGCCACTTTTGTAGATGTTTTGCATCGACTTCAAATCTGTGTATAAATGCCTTGATTGCAGTTACGACACCGACTAGACAAATAGATTTACATCAAATAGAAAGAGCATTTATCATATTCCGAGGGCTGTCTGTGGACCTTTGAGAAGCCAGAAGCAGTCAAAGAGAGAAGTCGGAGACCCGGCCGGCCCCACTACGGCCCCCACTCCCGACTGGCTCCGGCAAGCTCCGACAGCCGCCGTCATCCGAACGACTGACCCTTATTCTCATGAGACAGAAAAAGAATCGCTATAATTCATAATCCTGTATCTGGATATGAATATCCCTAGATCTACCTGTATTACTATTGGGACAGTGCCCTTTAATGCTCCGTCCAGTCGCTGATATTGTGTTTCCAACTTTACATCAGAATGAAGGCAGCTCGTCCTCAGGTAGACATTGTATCAGGGAAGGGTATATTTTAGCTCAAACGATCACATACGCCTGCATAATCTCGGTTTGATCGGTAGAGGTCATATGTTTACCACGTGGGACCAGCTTCAATACAGCTGCCCACTATCACTACATTAGCGATCGACATTAAATGAGCAAGAGTCATACGATCATAGGATGAGTCGTCAAGATCTTCTAAAATAAGTGTAAAAAAGGAAATCAATTGATAGAACATTAGCTCAGCGTTACTCGAAAAGACTCAGCATAAGAAAAATGTGTCAAGACTGCAAACGTGAGCCGTCTCTTTCTGACCCACTCAAAGTCTCAAACTTTCGAGCTCGTAGCAGTTGATTAGACTCTTGCTAACCATATTTCCACCCTGAGTCATTGAAGCATAGCTCAGCATCCAATACATGTGAGTTTGCCCGGTCTAGCACTTCCCAAGGTAAAGATTGCTCGGGGCCACGACACCAGCCGAAAGTAAGCGTATCGCAAAATTCCTAACGGCTGCTGAAGGGATCTCTTGAAAATTTGTAGTATTTACTGAAGTCCTCAAGTTATTCTATCATTGCTGGTTGTTGCCTGTGCCTTGTCGCCCGACGGCCGTGGCAGAGTGGCCATTCAGTTTTGCAAGGCCAACGTTAGAAGAATGTAACAGAGAAGAATAACAGTCCCCACCTCCAAAAGAATGAGGTCGACTGGCCTAATGGTATGACTGGGTTAACTTGTACTGGCTATTGCCCGTTTCTCCAGTGACGCAATACGGTGTGTGGTCTCGATCCAGGTCCCGGGTTGACTGCTCTTTTTCTTCTTTTTTCGAGGGGATGGGGACTGGAGGGAGTTTTTTTTCCACATAGTTTTTATGTCTGAAAGACGATTGTATGAGATGGAAGTGAAGGGAGAGGTGAAGGCAGTGAGATCTGGCTGTACTTTCTCAGCATCGTTTCACAGTCGCCCCCAAGCTGTGACCGAACCAACAACACCTGGAACACTACCACCGCTTCATGGAGAAGTTCCTCTATTATTCAGGTATAGATACCCTCAAACCGAACGACTACTGCGTCAGCGAAGGGCTTTTGAGTATCACCAGTTACTCTTGGCCGCCGGACGGACTACTGCAATCCCTACTCAAGTCAAATTCCTTCCCTATATAGATGCCTCCATCAATTCACTTGCACACCTACGGTATCGTACATGGCGTGAACATGTCACGCGACCGCTCATTAGCCCTCACAGGTTGGGAACACCGACGAAGTCCCATACGATTCTCACTCTGGCGTCAACTCGGGTGCCAACGATATGGAGACTGAACTTGGTTGCGATATTCACCGCCTGCGTCGACGTCATCCGTATCGTAAAGATGTTGTGGGAGAATGATGACTTGATCCTCATCAAGTTACTTCTTCTAAATATCTAGTCGTAGAACATGCATGTTACCAACGAGGATGCCAGAACCTACTCATGAGGAGAATGACGACAAGACCTTATGGGGCTCTGCCTAGAACCACAACAGCTACGATACCGTTGAGCTCGCCACTTGTCTTGCAAAGCACGACCTAATATTCTTCAGCTAGGTTGCTGCCAACATGTACTGCAAGGATACGTGGTGGGAGAAGTTAATTGCCCCATCCAAGCCGGACAAGCTTCACAAGAATGACATTGACACTTCCGCTCTGCCTGCTAATATTGTTGTTGTTGTCAGCGAGGGTGTAAATTGCTGGCCAGAAATCTCGCCTTCAACTTGAAGTCTAACTTGATCGCAGACATTGCGATTTCAGCGACCATGATAGAGACTGTACTGTGCAGGTGGTTTGAGATCGTCTCGGACTAAGAGGTACGTCTCACCGTGAGCATCCCGGTGCGCTTCAGGCACCGTATCCATTACGTCTGCTGATTTAACAATACCTGCCACTTTCAGCGCAATCACAATCCGGCTTTTAGAGTCCTTACGGAAGCGTTATCTTGATGTCGTCGTGGTCAGCTCAATTGCACCGAGCCCACGCCTTTCGTGACCGATGTAGCTCTCAGTGTCCTATGACCGCATGTGGGGGTGGACGAAGTTCAACCCAGACAATGACAACTGAGCTCCAATATAACTGGACCTGAGTAATAAGAGCCTGATTGTATTCGCGCTTATGTAGGAAGATGCTAAGGGGGGCTGTCACCGAGGTGGGTACTGTAGCGAGAACATTGCAGACACTCACTAAGAGTTGAACAAGTTATCACAAGCCCAGTGTTAGGGCTCGGGGAACAGCTCCCCTTCATATAATGACTCTTGTCAATTTTTTTCTTCAAGCCGACGTAATATTCCGGCGAATATTCGAAGCACAAGGAGTCAAGAACGACATTATGAACGAGGCGCCCACTCCACATCCCACTTTCACTTACACCCTCATCATCAAACACACATCGCGAAACAAATGTGATTCACGACCCCAAAATATGGTTCTATATCTCTAGCAACTGGAAGTACTCCAAGGAGATCATTCCCCGCATTTGGACGCCTATTCCGGATAAAAGCCAGGTTAAGTTCTTGGATTGACTTTGCGTCGCCTGTCACCAACAATTAATAAAACATACCCGATGCCACAACCAGCTGAGAGCATAATCCTCACAAACCAAAGGCTTTCATCTAATTAGGAAAGAGTGTGTTCAAAATACTTTGCTCTGCGGCACGCTCAATGGATGTGTGGGGGTTGCAACACCATACCCTTATATACATTACTTTCGAAAGCCTAACACAACAACAAGCATCGGTCCCCGATGGCGCAATTGGCTGTAAGTTCCACACAACAGGACCCGCATTAAGAAGCGTACTAACGGGAGAGAAAGAGCGCGTCTGACTGTTAATCAGGAGGTTGATGGTTCGAGCCCATCTCGGGGAGTGAGACGTTTCTTTTTGCGCGATTTCTTTTTGGTGTTTTTTGGTGAATTGGGTTACATTGTGGCGGATCAGGATGGGATGTGGGGGCACGCGGAACGTGGAACCCGGGGAATTACCTTTCTGCCTTAGATTGGCCTAGCGTGGAATGTACTACTTGCAGACAGAGCTTCGTGGTACTGCTAATAATGACCTAAGAAAGCCGGCTGTTATTCTTGTTGATATTTCGGTATTTCACCCCCGCCACCTGCCTGTATGTGTACTTAGGTGACACGGCCCAGCGATGTGAAACAAGACTGGGAAATCAAATCTTTCAGTCCGTGATTCAGTCCGTGATTCAGTTTATGATACAGTGTATGACTCAGTTACGATTGTCATGTTTCCTAAGACCGGACTGGAGTAACTTGATCGAGGCCACCACACAGCGTGAGGCGCAGGTAATACCCACAGCAAGCCAAACAAGACTTCTTAAAATGGCATATGGTCGTAGAGATGCAAACCAAGCGCGTGATTTACTTAGTTGACATTATTTCGGGAATCCTGTGGTCAAACACGATGAGTTTGTCGTCCGGAGCAAGACGTGTTAGCAGCACCTTGGCAAAGCCGCGGAACGTGATCACTTTTGGAGAAGGAGATGATCCAATCGACACTAACCACTCTCTGGTAGAACTTAATCGTGCTATGCGCTACAAATTGTTTATAGAGCACGTAATACACAATCCCCGGATGACGAGATGCGCGGATTTGCTCCGCGGTGGGGCGGCGCGCCGGTGCGGAGCCCGACCAAATGGGACCCGCCCGGCCGCTTCATCTCACTTCGTGGGACAGGGATTCTCACCTTATCCTGGACCAACAGAACAGAATATCATGTCACCCGTAATTTTCGCTTCTGTCCCTCCGAGGATCACTTTCTTTCTTTGCTCCAGCATCAGCATGAGCCGTTGATCTTAACTCATGGAGTCGCCCGATCCGCGAGACCAGAGAGTTGCCGTAATTGGCCTCGGTACGTCGCTTTACATAAATGGGACCACCTACTGACTAGCCGGACTAATACAGGGGCCATGGGAATAGTGGCTGTCAAGAACCTTCGAGAAGAAGGGTTTGATGTCACCGGATTTGAGCGGAGCAGTTACGTCGGAGGTCTGTGGCACTTTACCGAGGATGAAGAGACACTGAGCGTCCTTGAGTGTGAGTTGTGATCATGACTCGTTAAATGTGTATTCTGACACGCCCACAGCAACTGTTGTAAATGTCTCCATCGATCGGGTATGGAATTCCCCGGGGGATCCTCCAGGAATGGGATCGCAAACTTACGATGTTAGGGCTGTTACACGGATTTCCCCTTTCAAAAGGGTAAGTCCGCCGATAGGTGTAACGTACCCCAGCTTATCAGACGCACTTCAAGGAACCCCACCCTTTTGCTCTGCTCAGCAAGTCAACCAATACCTCGAGAGCTATGTTGACCATTTCAACCTGCGACCTCACATGCGGCTTAATACTGCAGTTAAGCGTATTGTAAGAGAAGAGTCAAACAAATGGAGACTCGACTTTGAATTCGCACCATCGGAGTATTATGAAAAGGCCGTCATTGCCACGGGACCGCATCATGAGCCCGTGATGCCGACGATCCAAGGCGCAAGATTATTTTCAGGCAGGATAATCCACTCAAAGGCATTTAAGCGGTGGGTCGTTGAGAAATTGCGACGTGATTGAGGGACGACTGACGGTTTCAAGACCAGATTCCTTCGTAGGAGAAAATGTCGTTATTCTTGGACTAGGCAACACTGGAAATGATGTCGCTGAAGAATTGGTCGGCAAGGCTGCCAGCGTTGCCATTGCCCACAACCATGGTGCAGTTGTGGTAAGTTAGATAACCCGAGTTTATTGTCATTCTAACATATTTAGCTGCCTCGCGATATGGACAAGATTACAGGAACAAAGGGGCTTACCTACCGATTCTCACGCCTGGTAGGCTTCCTCGAGACATGGTATCCCTCATACTCCGAGTATTTATTCGACGAGAAAGCAAAGTTCATCATGAACCAGGCGTTTGGGAAAGTAGACCCATCATGGCATCTGGATCCAGCGCCCTCAATCAAGGTTGTCAACCCAGTTGTGTCTGACACACTGATCAACAGACTCAAGACGGGAGATATCCAATCAATTCCTGGCATCAAACAGATTGTTGGACCCAGGAAAGTTGAATTGCAAGACGGAAGAGTCATTGAAGCCGACGCCATCATCTGCTGCACTGGTTACAAGTACGGCTTCAACTTGCTTGACCCGCAAGTAAGCCCTACTGCTGAGAAGTCCTCAGCTTGGCTTGATGCAGCCGGGTCCAAGGGCCGTCCTCTCCCAAGACTGTACCAGAATGTCTTCTCTCTGAAAGAACCTGACTCCCTTGCCTTCCTCGGCTGTGCTTGGTTCGTCACCAGCGCTTTCTCGCTTGCCGATATCGCGAGCATGTGCATCGCACAGGTGTGGGCAGGACACACGAAACTACCGGCTCAGTCAGAAATGGAGAAATGGATGGATCGGCAGGAGAAGCGAATCAGTAGCCTTGCGCAGCGAGGTACAGTCATCCCAGCATCCGTATCAGCGCGAGACTGGTTGATCTGGGCCGACAAGACGGCGGGGATGGGCGTCGAGGAGCATCTTGGCTGGGGCTGGAATGGATGGCTTTTCTGGCTGAAGCATGGAAGCTTGTGGAAGATGCTCATGGATGGGCCGCAAACTGCAGCGGTCTGGAGACTGTTTGATGGGAGACGAAGGAAGTGGGATGGAGCGCGTGCCGAAATTGAGCAGGCGAACGCCACCAACGTCGACGAGGATAAGAACAAGCAAGACTGATGAAGTTGACGATCAATGAATTGTTTGAGTTGGGAGGGGGATGTGCATTTATTAGCATAGCGCAACGTATCTAACGTCTTAATATTGCATGATCGATCTTTATGCTCAGAGAGCCTTGAACTTTACCTGACGCCCTTATTGAGGTCGTCCCAGCTGATGGACGGGGCTCATCTATGGAGAAACGTATCGCACGGAGAGAGATTTCAGGGGCAGTAATGACATTCAAATGGTGAAATGTCGAGTCGGAGTCCTAGTCGACCATAATCAAGTTGAAAACGGCACCCACAGCCTCTTTGTCGGCGTATGTGAGTCCGTAGGTGGGGAGCTATGTGTCGAGAGGATGAAAACATAAAAGTCTGATTATACTTAAACTGATATCAAGATTGTGGTGGTTGTGTCCGAATGATTCTGATGTTCGTAGAGTGACACGCCGTGATAGCTTCACATACCAGTAACTTCCAGACTCATTGAATGAAATCGTATCTCGGAGTAAAAGTCACTAATTCACTTCGAATAATGGAGGCCTCACACTTCCTTGAAGTCCTCCTAACCCTAACCCTAAGGGACAGGTTCGGGAAGGGGGGCAGGTTGTATCTGGCGAGGATTTCATCGATGCCCTTCTTCTGAACAGGCTGGTGCGAGTTCATGAACATTTCCAGGGCATACTGCTTCCTGAATTCGTCCATCAGCGCCTCTATATTTCCCTGGTTGTTGGCCGCAAAGTTCTGGATAACATCGCTCTCCTTCTGGCGCTCAATGTATATATCCATCTGCCCTCCCGGGATGGTTTTCTGCATGTTCGCGAGCTGCTCCTTGACATTTTTGATGATTTGGGCCTGGTCGGGGAAGCGGTGCTTCTCCTTGAGCGACTCGATCAGCGCCAGGTGCGTAGGGTCGTCCATGTGGGGGGCGTCCCTTGCCTCGGGGTCCATATCGTGAATGGCCTTATCAATCGTCTTCCGGAGGTTCGTGGCCTGCATGGCCTGCATGGCCAGCTCGCCTATGTCGAACGCCGCCATACCCGATACTGGTTTGGATAAGGGCGTCTCTCTGAGCCCAAACCATGATCAACTTGCCCGGCTTGGGGCGTTCTCTCCTGTTCATCACCAGCGCGGAAAAGCAGTGGAAATGAGCTTCTTTCCCACGATTCTTTCTTCTCCAGTCTCACTTAGTTCTTCATCACCACGCTGAAGGAGCCAATCCGGCTCCTCTTTCCTCCCTTTGGCGCCTTCTAAGAGTGGCACGATAGGCTGCGTCGTTCTACACGACTGGCGGAAAAATATACTGGCTGCTAGCAACGTTCTGAACTCGGTGGTGATACATAGGCTCTCAATGTTGTCGTGATATGAGTCTTTCATCTTCAGCAAGTGGAATAGGACGGGCTTCTCCTGCCTGTTATTTGTGCAGTAGGTGATCGGCGGGCGTAGCGATCAATAAGCCAGAGGTTCGCGTCCACATCCTGACGCACCGCTCTGGCAACGAGCCCACTGATTCTTCCTAGTCGACCAATGCCCTGAAGCACCACCTTCGCGTTGAGATGCCAGGAAACAAACACACCCTTGGAGCAGTGGGCGTGCATATTCACGCCAGTCGACATGGTATAAATATTTAAGGTCGGCGGCGGCCCGCCAAGCGTTTCCGCAGACACGCATGGCCCGAGAGGTTCTCCATCGACCAAGATCGTCCAAGGGTGTCTTGTGTCTTGGTGATAGGAGAAACGTTCTGGTTCCGCCCAGACCGCGTTAGGTAATTCTAGTACCACGCGGCGGCTGGGACCAACTCCTTGGGAATTTGCAGAAGGTTAGCCGGACATCCGACAAGGGGAACGGGGCATACTTACGGCGCCGCATTTGTTCTTATTGACCTCACAGTACGCGCATCGTGAGGGGAGAGACGGACATCCGCACACCAAATCCTGCGGCAAACACCTCGAGCCCAGAGTCCGCGTCGTTCCAGTCATGGGTGATCTTGGCGTGACTGGCGTTCAAGTCCCAGGATCGGAGGGTACCAACATTATATCCAGCAAGGGTGAGGATAGCAATAACACAACTATTGACTGTTAGTACTTATTCATCTCGTGAGTAGGATTGGAGCCATAGTGTCATGTACGGGTTCATGTATTTCGCACCCTGGCCTCAGTAGCCACAGTCACCGTGGCTCAGAAGCCGGCGGCTGGCGTCTCCGAAACAAGTCTTTGCCGTCTCTCGGATCCAGAGGGTGTCTTGGCACAACCGAGCTAATGCCGTTCAACAGGCCAATTCTCGAGATGAGAGTGCCGGCTGATGAGATTATCTGCTCAAGGTTAGAGAAAGAACCCGTTTCAAGTTCACAACACGGACGTACCAATATATATATTAGAGTTAAATCGTATGTTGGGGTGGCGTTTTTGTCCGGTGTTGGTGGCTGTATCCAGGTCAAGCCTTGAATGAGAATGTCTCAATTTCCTCGCTTCTCCCCATGAGATCCTTGCTCTCTTTGAGTGGGTTTTCGTCAATCAGAGGGGTGTACACGTGACGATCGTCACGCCAGTGTTGTCGTGGATGAGGTACGGGCTGTGGCCGACATGAAGAAACAGTATGAGATGCTTAACTGTCTCCGCCGTGGACGGCAAAGAAGTCAGGGTTAAAACCGATATATAATAAATGCCATGGATAGTCTTGAGTAAGTGGGCGAAACCTCCATTGTCGTGTGTTGTTATATCCTGGATGGTGTAGAGATGAGGGGAGGAGCCGGATTTTATACTTGGGTCTTGGAGTGACATGTCTATCTCGCATGAGGGGGATGTTTGTTGCTGAATGTTGGACTTCGGTTTGCGGAGTATTTAGTGGCTTGACTCAGGCAATACGCAAATATTAGCCCAACAAACATATTGTCAAATAAAGGGTTTATTTTGCTTGCGACATGAACTCCGCGTGCTTTTCAAGACACTACAACTACCACGTAGCTCGTATTCCAATTTGCGTGCACAAACTGTGACGGCCCTTCACACATCCTTCCGCTTGATCCAAACTCTGAACGGTAACGCAGGGTGTGATGACACCGGCCCTTTTGAAATTGGTGGAACGTTCCACTTTCCGCGCCCTACTGGCTTGAAGCTGTACAGTGAGATGATGACAGCAGTGTGGAGGATCATCTTCCTCAGGGTAAACCCTGAGTCATCGCAGAGCGTCAGGCTCCCGTCTTGATATGGGTCAGTACGCATCAATCGCTCGAATAGGATGTGGTGACTTACCATATGGTTTCACAGAGCCTGTGTTTGCTACTTCAATCTTTCCGTTCGCGCCGTCCTGAAGATGTCGTGTTGCTTGCCATTCATGAGGGCTGGGAAAACACTTCGGGTCAGAGTGGTGGATCTCATGCAAGACGTGCGCGTAAGTTCCCTTTTTGAGCACGTAGGTAGGCTGTCCATCTTCCTTGAGAACCACATCCTCTTCGAGCCACTTGGCAGACCAGCCTCCACCATAGAGTCTCACAGTCTCGAGGTAAGTAGCCATGAGCAGCGGGCATTTCGTCATCAACGCGTCCAGATTGATCGTCTCGACTCTAGGTGGGACCCAAACTGATGCTCCAAATTCGTGGCGAGGTTGGACGATGTTGACAAACGGAGCAATCTCATCACGGACCTGCACAAGCAGGACAGGATCTTGGTAGAGTTCAAGGAGAGACCAGGCGGTGAGAGGGGTGGAGCTTGCGTTTAAAGACCAGAGAAGGGCAAGATCGTAGGCAGCGCGGACATCAAGCGATAGCTCGTGCTTGCGGAAGATTTGGATTCGCGACTTGACGAGCTGACTGACATTGTGCAGGTCTTGCCACTTGGGTCCCGGGTTCTCGCCATTCAGAGACTTTTCCCAGGCTTCGTGATACTCCCGCATAATTGAGAGCAGTTGCCGCAGGGGACCTCTTGCTCGCTGACCGCCAACCCATGGAACCCAGACGGGGATATTCCGCGCCAGCGCGATGAACCAGTCGTCAAAAGCCCAGAGTTGCGGCCACACCTCGGGAAAGTTCTCAATAAAATCGGTTCCAAAAACAGATGCGTTGGAAGACCTCGCAATAAACGTCTTTATCAGCTCCATGTAGTCGGCTTCCATGATAATCTCGCTGGGATCTTCCACTCTCTCTGCTCCGGACACCTTTTCCCATTCCATCTGGTCAATGGGGAAAGAATTAAAGGAGACCAGGTCAGCAGCTTGCTCGTTCAGGCCCCGGAGAGCCCCTTCGGTCAAGACATTCAAGTGAGAGTTGGTAAGGAATTCCTTGGTCTTTTCTTGAACCTCGCTGGAGGCCTTGTCGTATGCATCGAGGTCTTTGGTGGAAAGGCCGAAGTTTGATACCATCAAGCGGCGAACGATGGCCCGGTCGTCGGCGATAGCACTTGGCTGTTGAAGAAGGGCGTCCGAGAGGTCTGGTTTGAATATGAAGGTGTGGATATTGCGAAAGACTCGGATGGAAAAGACACCTTCTGGGTACCGGTTCCGCAGCCTCATCAGCGGGTAGATGGGATTGAAGAAGATCCGGGGAAGGTGGCCGAGAAAGGGAGTCCAGTAGGGCGCGAGAGGAGGCGTCTTAGATCCATCCTTGAAGGAAGACGAACCTCCACTGATCAACCTGGTGGTGAGAAGCACGGCGATGAGGGTGACGATGATGCCGAGTGAGGTCGGTTGTTGCAGGGTGCGAATGAGGCCCTCGTCAAGGCCTCCGGGTACGGCCTTGTGATCATCCATCCTGAGGCGCGCAGGCTGGACTCTTTGATTCGATGGATCTCGTTGAAATGAGGCCGTTTATGAAAGAACAGGATGAATTCGAGGCTACATGAGCCTAGACATTGAGAATGTGGCTTGGCGCGCTGCCCCGTTGAGGCGACTTGTCAATGCCACGGATGATTTTTGTGGTGTCAATCCAAGCTGACAATGCGGGCTGCGTTCAGTGGCTATCGGCTTACAGGCAGTAGTGCACTGTAAATTCCAGTTTTTAGCGGTGCTGACGAGTGTGCACTGCCCCGTCAGCGAGGTGGGTATCGCTTCGTGGAGGCTGTGGAACGTGGTCAGTCTGTGTGAATGATGAGGAAGCATTAATTATCCCCCAGGGTACTGCACCGCTGAAAAGATTGACCACTTATTTTGTACTGATTTTCTTGCGTTTAAAAACTCTCAACTTCAAGCGAGAAAGCCCATCGTCCCGAGTTCAGACGTCAAAATGTTGCAGCAAACAAAGCGATGGCGGGGCAGCCATCCGCTTGCTCTGATCTGCTCGCCATCCCTACTTAGTGTCTAATTTTGGACCGTCAATCATCGAACCGGGAAACCGGCTTCCGTTAATACCATGGTTGCGTGGTCTAACGGCTATGACTGCGGATTCTGATTCCGCCAGCGAGGGTTCGACTCCCTCCGCGACCTTTCTTTTTGGGATTTTACCTCTCTATCTACCCAAGTAAAGGCATTCAATTTTGGTTCTGCACACGGCGTTTTCATCTAGTTAAGCCGAGATGAGCAATTCTTTCCTCCGGACTTTCCTTTTGTGGGGAACTTCTGAGCTAGTTTTGATGAGATGTGAGCACCCTTCGATCGACCTCTCATCTGCCTCGACCAAATTAGCCAGGACCTCTCTACCTTGATGGTTGGATGGCGTCACGACCTAGGCTCCCCTGGAGGATTCCGCCCGTCTCCGGCGTTGTTCTGCGTTGGCCATATGATGAAACTGAAGAAACAGGCATCGTTCTGAAAGATATGTCTCGCTTTCGAGGATGACTGCGTCCGTGGTTCGCTCATCATGACAAGTCCCATCCTGGTTTCTTCCTCCGCGGGGCATCCGCGGATACCCGCACGAGAGCAACCTCACCATGCAGATTTGCTAATGGCCAGGCTGCGCATTTACGGACATCATAGGTAATTAAACGGGATAAACAGATGAGGTGACAGATGAGAAATAAGCCACGTGTGACTCAAACTGGCGAAGTTTCCCCTTGACATGGCGCGATCCTATTCAATTGCACCATTGCTGGGCAACTTGTACCATGGCATTCCTGCAACTCGCTTGGTATTGCTATTCATTTTGCAGCAACACCTTGACAGTCATGATAACCCAACCAACTCCAGTCTAGACCAAACCCAATCCTCATCTAAAAAGGCATCAACAATATTATACACGACCTATGCAATTAAGCTTCCATTTGCGGACCGGTGCCGTGAGTGATTATTGCTCCGATTCTCGGCTGCCTCAGGCGTCAAAATCGGTTGCATCATCCCGCTAGAGTCGGCCTGGAACCTTGCGAGCCCCTCTAGCTGCGTCACATCTCCTATAAATAATCCTCCCCTGTTGGCACGCGACTGGAATATCCCTCCTCCCCTCCTCCGGAAACCCGATTACCAGCCATCGCGGGATCTTTGGCGGCACGGCACTGCGCCGTTCTTGTTCTGTTCTGCTCGCAATTCGTTGCCCGTCGCTGCTTGACCGGCAAAGCTCCCGACGCAGCTCCTGACGCAGCTCCCCCGCCATTCCGAACCCCACGCCGTCCACACCACGATGCGACCGCCGAGCTGAACCGCCACCATGCTGCCTCGACTATTGTACCGCTCGCCGCTGGGTTGCGCTCGGTACAGCCTTGCGACGATATACTCGCGCCCGCCGTGGCTGCCCCAGCGACCCGGCACCGTCCACCCGTTCTGGACCTCGGCCGCCGCCCGTAGCGATCAACCTCCGGTGTCCGGTCTCGTCAAAAACGAACCGATCAAGACTCTTCCTGCCAAGGCCAAAGTTGTCGCCGCTTCCAAAACCAAGTCGCCGACCCAAAATGATCCTCTTGCGACAGTGGACAAGTCTGCCTCCGAGCAGCGCAAAGCCGACTGGGCCATCATGAAGGAGATGAGTCGGTACTTGTGGCCCAAGGACAGCCTGGATACCAAGCTGCGCGTTGGTCTGGCCGTCTTCCTGCTGGTTGGCGCAAAAGTCCTAAATGTCCAAGTCCCCTTCTACTTCAAGAGCATCGTCGACTCCATGAACATTGACATCGCTGCTGTCGGAGGTACCGCCACCACGGTAGCGGGTGCCATGATCCTCGCCTATGGTGCCACACGAGTCGGTGCGACTCTGTTCCAGGAGATGCGCAACGCCGTCTTCGCATCTGTCGCTCAAAAAGCCATCCGAAGGGTCGCATGCAACGTCTTTGACCATCTACTGCGCCTAGACCTGTCCTTCCACTTGTCCAAGCAGACTGGTGGCTTGACGAGGGCAATTGAACGCGGTACCAAGGGAATCAGCTTTCTGCTGACGAGCATGGTCTTTCACGTCTTGCCCACTGCGCTCGAGATTGGAATGGTGTGTGGAATTCTCACCTGGCAATATGGTGCGCAGTTTGCAGCCATTACCGTTCTCACCATGGTGAGCTACACTGCATTTACCATCTGGACGACTGCCTGGCGAACCAAGTTCCGGCGACAAGCCAACGCCGCTGATAACAAGGCTTCGACGGTAGCTGTCGACTCTCTCATCAATTACGAGGCCGTCAAGTACTTCAACAACGAAAAGTTCGAGGTCGCGCGCTACGACAAGGCTTTGCAGCAGTACGAGAAGAGTTCCATCAAGGTGGCCACATCCCTGGCCTTCCTCAACAGTGGCCAGAACCTCATCTTCTCCTCCGCGTTGACGGGCATGATGTACCTCGCTGCAAATGGTGTGGCGGCCGGCTCCCTGACGGTGGGTGACCTGGTCATGGTGAACCAGCTCGTATTCCAGCTTTCCGTACCGCTCAACTTCCTTGGCTCCGTCTACCGTGAACTGCGACAGTCTCTTCTTGACATGGAAACTCTCTTCAACTTGCAAAAGGTGAACACTAGCATCAAACAGAAGCCCAACGCCCCGCCCCTTGTGCTCTCCAAGGGAGGAGAAATCAAGTTTGAGAATGTCAATTTTGGGTACCACCCTGACCGCCCAATCCTACAGAACCTGTCATTGACTATCCCCGCTGGCAAGAAGGTCGCCGTGGTTGGCCCGAGTGGATGCGGCAAGTCGACCTTGCTGCGGTTGCTCTTCCGGTCTTACGACGTTCAGGGCGGTCGTATTTTGATCGATGACCAGGATATTCGGGATGTTGACCTTGACTCGCTCCGGAGATCCATCGGTGTTGTCCCCCAAGACACTCCCCTTTTCAACGACACTGTCGAGCACAACATCCGATATGGGTCCATCGACGCGACTCACGAAGAGGTTGTGGCGGCCGCCCAGCGGGCTCGTGTGCACGATATTATCCAACAGTTCCCCGATGGGTACCAGACCAAGGTTGGCGAACGTGGGTTGATGATTTCCGGTGGTGAGAAGCAGAGACTCGCCGTGAGCCGACTATTACTCAAGGACCCGCCGCTGCTCTTCTTTGACGAGGCAACTAGCGCCTTGGATACCCATACTGAGCAGGCTCTGATGGTAAACATCAACGGCATTCTCCGGGAGAAGGGCCGCACCAGCGTGTTCGTGGCACATCGCCTGCGGACGATTTTTGATTCAGACATCATTATTGTCCTCAGCGAGGGCAAGGTTGCGGAGATGGGCAGCCATCGCGAGCTAATTGACACCGCTGGGATCTACGCCCAATTATGGAGTGGTGAGTTATTAACTAACAAGGAACCCGTGGTCATCGCGCTAACTATATGACAGCCCAGGAAACCATGTTCCATAAGCATGAAAATTCCCAGAACGATGGTGAAGAGGAGGAAGAGATTTCAGGGACACAGCGGGAGACAACCGGCCCTCGACAGTAATAGCTGTTTGTCGTGTCATGGGGATCCACGCCACACAACCAAACAAACGTATTAGACAATCAATAGAGTTACGCAATTCTGCTCAACAAGGACCAACTTGTCAAGAGCGGATGTAAATTCAACACGCTGGGTAGATGTGGAGCGGTTCAACCGATGCCTACGAAAATTGCTGCGATTTCGGCCGGCGGACGGAGCCGAATGGGAGAATGAGTCCGTGATGGCCTCGCGATGAGGGCGTGGGTTGCATCGACATGGTTTCCAGCGCGGTTTTCAAGACCTCGAGCCCATCAAGAAGGCAACGTTGCCAGGGCCTCGTGAGCGAACTATACGAAGCATGCAGATTGGTAGGACGACTGTGGGTTTGGCAGGTTGACCGATTGGTCGTTGCGTCGTATCCATCCACTTCATGGCATCCTTCCAGCCTTACGCGAGCTAGTATGTGAGAGCTCGAGATGCCAGGGCTGGCGAAGAAAAATTAAGAGATGGGGACACCTTCTCCACTGGTGATCTGATTAGATTAGATCATCCTTGCGTTATTCGTCAACTACACCCGACCAGTTCCTGTAGGCCATGGCGATCTCTTCCAGCGGCGGCCGACCGCCGACTTCGCCGTGGGTTGTGTCTTGGCTGCTGGTCCGGAGAGTACCTACATAATAGTCCAACTACAGCCGCAATTGGGTTCGACCAACAACCCGTTCTCATCAATTCTACAATTTCGTTTCCGCTCTGGTCACTATAGTGCCGGTTCAGCCATGTCCGGTGAAGACAAGATCGTGCCCACGCCGGCCCAGCCCGAAAGGGTGAACTCGGGCAGCGAGCACCTGAAGCCGCTCTCGAATGTTGGCGATGTCCTCCAGTCCAGAGGCGTCACGCGCATGGAAGCCGTGTACCGCGAGGCCAAGTCGGACCGCAGGACGCTCTGGCTCGTTGGCATCTCGGTGCTGGTCTGCGCGTGGGCGTACTCGCTCGACTCGTCGACGACGTCCTACTACAGCGTCAGCGCGTCGTCCTTCTATGAGCAGCACAGCTCCGTGCTCTCAACGCTTTCCATTGCGACCAACATCATCAGCGCTGTCTCGAAGCCGTTCATCGCCAAGTTCTCCGACATTACGAGCCGTCCGTACACGTATATCCTGTGTATCTTCTTCTACACCTGCGGATACATCATCGCCGCTTGCTCGCGCACCATCTCGGCCTATATCGTCGGAGAAGTCTTTGTCTCCATTGGAAGCTCTGGCCTTGATCTCACCAACGATATTATCGTGGCTGATCTGACCCCGTTGGAGTGGCGAGGGTTTACCAGTTCGATGCTGTCCACCCCCTTCATCATCAACACGTGGTTCGCCGGCAAGATTGTTGCCGCCATCGAGAAAAAGGAAGAAGGCTGGCGCTGGGGTTACGGAATGTTTGCCATCATCATGCCCGTTGCTTTGGGACCTGCCGTCGCCACTCTCATCTATCTTGATCGCCAAGCCAAGAAGCACGGCATCGTGAACATTGCTTCGAGCAATGCTGCTCGCCGGGCCGCCAGGGAGATGGCCGAGGAGCATGGTGAAGAGGGGCCCCACGGTGTCATCGTTACTCGTGCCGCTGATGAGTCCCAGTCGTGGACCGAAAAGCTCAAGCAGAACCTGGAGGAGATTGATGCGTTCGGCTTGTTGCTGCTTGGCTTCGGCTGGTCACTGCTCCTGTTGCCGTTCTCGCTCAAGACCTACGCCGAGAATGGATGGCGTAACCCATCTCTCATTGCCATGATGATCGTCGGTGGCTTGCTGCTCATCGCCTATGTTGTTTACGAGATGAAGTGGGCTCGTGTGCCGAGTGCCCCTCGTCGGCTTGTCTTTAACAGGACTTTCATCATGGCGATTATCATCGATGGGTTCTATATGCGTATGTTGTGAACCATTAATTATCATGGGTGACACTGACTTTTCACAGTTGCTGGAAACATTCGTGGGCTGTACTTTTCCTCGTACACTCTTATCGCCAAGGACTGGACTTACCAGAACTGGGTATGGAGATCAGCTTCTTGGGCAACACAAAGAACTAACACTCGCGTAGGTGTACTACGGCAACACACTGACATTGGCTCTCTGCATCGCAGGTCCCTTAGTCGGTCTGGCCCAGCGATGGACTCATCGATACAGGGCGATCCAAATCGCAGGTCTCTGCGTCAAGATTGTCGGTATGGGCATCTTGCTTGATGGAAGACAGGCCACCAACAGTACCGGCGCCCTCGTCATGTCCATGATCCTGATCGGTTTCGGCGGTTCAATGTCCGTCGTCGGCTCGCGTGTTGCCTCCCAGGCTTCTGTCCCTCACCAGGACGTCGCGCTCGTCATCTCACTCCTCTCGCTGTGGTCCAAGATTGGCAGCGCCGTTGGTAGTGCCATTGTCGCCGTCATCTGGTCCAGCAACATGCCGAACCAGCTCCGTGAGCACCTCCCTGCGTCTGCCAACGAGACAACAGTCCAGACGCTCTTCAGCAGTGTCAAGTCGATCCGTACGCTCTACGAATTCGACGACCCGATGCGCCAGGGCGCCATTGTCGCATACCGCCACACGCTGTACTACTGCCTCGCACCAGCGCTGGGGCTCGCTTTCATCCCGCTCATCGCTGCCTTTTTCCAGACCAACTTCTTCCTGGGCAAGCAGCAGAATGCGGTAACGAACGTAGGCAACGACGGCTTAGCGCTGGAGGAGAAGGACCGCAACCCAGAGCCACTCCCACCGGCCAAGAACAAGAAGGAGGCGTTCCTGAGGTTCTGGGCTGGTGAGCGATAAATCTATCTCGAAATGCCAGGAGATGCCAAGGGAGACTTTGATTTAATGATGGGGAAGGCCCTAATGTCGAATGCTTGTTGTGTCAAGAGGCGTGTAGTGTTGACTACCATCTGCTAGCTAGGCGATCTGGGGAGTTTGGCTGCGTGAGGTCTCTGCTGCCTGAGGCCACAGCTGCCGTACGCGGCCGTGGGCTTCCTTCAATGGGTAGGCTCTCAATATCCGCGTCGATATACAATAGATTGGGCTGTGGTTGACGAAGAAAGAAACCAAATACCAACATTCTCACTTATTACTCTTCGTTTCCAGTATTCTAGTGTTAACGCAGCTATGGATTTGGCATTTCTTCTCCTCAGATGCACTGTCAAATGACTTTGCATTCGACGATTACCACAGGTCAAGTCATGTCGCCTTCAATTAATTATCCAAATTAAATCATATTTTGCTACTCGCACAACGACACCATCCCAAGACTACCAAAACCATGCTGTAGTCTTGATATAAATACTAGATGTAGTATAAAGTCTTCAACTGCATGCCTTCATGGACAGGCAGAGTTATTGGTGCGGGTTGGTCCGACTGTAGGGTAAGTCCCCGGCAACTGCTACTCTGCGAGATGTATTGCGGCGAGTTGTTGTAGGCATGCGTAAACGATATTTGCTATTGCTACTTGAACCGAAAATGAAAACCAATGAAGCCATCTTCTGCGAATGCAATGTGGTGTTAATGAAACCAAATGCCTTGCTATCCATGGCATGCATGTCAGGATACCCCACTCGCATGCCCGCTCTCCGCCAGTTCTATCCACCAAACTCCTTCAACACCAACTCGAGTTCACCAACATCGATAAAACAATGAAAGTCCTGCTTCACTCTCACTTCCCGGCCGGTCATGCATATCCCATGCAGGCCGTCGCACAGGAGCTGGTCCGGCGGGGCCACGACGTCGTATGGCTGACAAGTGCCCGCAACGAAGCGCTCGTCCGCATGACGGGAGCGGCCTTTGTCCCAACCGAGGCCATCGCCGTCGTGGATGCTCCGCTGATGGCTGAGAATGAAACCGGATTGCTTGATGGAATCTACAGCCGCTTGGTGTCTCGCGTAATTGCTCAGGTGAGCGACTATCGCAGAGTGCTGCTCGACTTTGCCGCCGAAGTGCTACTCGTCGACGTTCTGCCGCACGGCGCGAGGGCGCTGTACGAACTTGGCGAGATCCCCGTATATGCGACACTGGGAGTCATTCCAATGTACATGTCGTGCTGGGGCGCTCCGCAGGCAGTGTCGGGAAAGGCTCCTCCATCGTCTACGCTTGGGCTGCTCTGGAATCACCTCCACCACCTCTTCAGCCAGTGGATACTCTTGCCACTGCATCTGCGGCCGGTGATCAACAACCAGAGGAGAGCGTTGGGCCTGGGCAATCTCCCTTACGGAGAGCCCGCGGAGTCTTTCAAATACAGCCCCTTCTTGCACATACAAGCCTCATCGCCGTCCCTGGAGTTTGGCCAACGCCCGAAGCACCCCCAGCAGAGAATACACACCCACCACGTTGGACCCCTTGTCACATCTGTTGTAACTACACCGAACCAGCTTCCGCCATGGTGGAATGAAGCCGTGAACCACCCACGGGTTGTGGGAATCACTCAGGGAACCCTGGCGATGGATCCAACATCGTTGATCGTACCAGCTATCCAAGCTCTGTCTGGCAATCCGGACCTGCTACTCGTGGTCGCTTCACCGCACGAAGATGAAATCCGATTCCGAATTGGAGACTTTCCAAATGTCCGTTTTGCTAGATGGATACCCTACCACTTGTTCCTGCCGCAGCTCTCTCTCCTCATCACAAACGGTGGATATGGAAGCATCACGCAGGCCCTGTCTCACAAAGTCCCACTGATCTGCGCCGGCCAGACCGAGGACAAGAAAGACACAGCTGCCAGAATCAACTGGGCAGGTGCGGGAATAGATTTGAAGACGGACAGCCCTTCAACCGCCCAAATCCGGAATGCCGCAGAGCAGATCTTGGCCGATCGAGGCTACGCGGAAAACGCTGCTCGTCTTGGGGATGAGCTAAACGAGCTTGGGGGGCAGCGTAGGGCTAGTGAGCTCCTGGAGCAGCTTGTTCGATCTTCTAGCGCTCGGAGAACCCTCTAGCAAGAGGAGTTCTTCTAGCTCAAGCCGATACTCGGGACAAGTTTGCAGGATGCTCCAGGATGCAGATCAAGGTTCGGCCGCCGAAGACCCACTGAGTGTTCGGGAGGGAACGGGTGGTCGGCTCCTCTGGAACAAGGACGTAGCAGAAATTAGATTTGGAATTTGGGTTGATGCTAGAGCTTGTATAGATGTACGGCTTCGAGTTTCGAATGGGCGAATTGAAGATGTGCTTATGTTGGGAATAGGAGAGACCACAGCAGCCAGCCCGGCACGAGAACCAAACACAGGCAGTAAACTGATAGAGATGTTTGCTCAAGTCAAATTCATGCCAAGTGTCGATAACGTATCGGGGGGAACCGCTGCTATTCTCATCGATAGCAACAAAGGCTTTCATGGTTTCCGTCCAAGTTCCTGGTTGTGTACTTTTGGCCATCGGACCCTTGAGAGAGCGCTCTCGTTTTCGCGTGAATCGTTCGGGAGGGGGATCGCTTGGTATTCTCGTCGAAAGAGGTATCTTACGGGGGTTGGTACCTGTGCCGAGTCTCGCGTTAGGATCCTGAACGAGATAGGTACGACAGTGGGGTGAGGGGGATTCTGGGCAAACCTTGCTTGGCTTGAGTAGAAGAAAGGCTTGAAGCTCTCTTGGACCAGGGGGATCCAGCGGACCCATTTCGAAGTCGACGGCTTCCTAGTAGAAATTATGGGCTTGTTGGAGTCTGCGTATCTGAAGTGAGGAATACCACAGACCTCCACTACTTGGGCCAAAGCGGGTGTTTCTGGAAGAGTAAGTGCTGGAGTCTTGAACCTTTACGTCTGAACTGGTCTGCAGAAGTTTCGGAGGGTGAACCGCAGTCAAGAGCCATCTCATCCCCAGCGAAAACTATTCCAACGGTTGGAATCAAACTCACCGTCTTTGTTCTTCTCCACCTTTCCCCAGCAAGCTGTGACTCGGTCGGGCGGGTGCGTTAGGTTAGTGTCGGAATGGGAATGTCGAGGATTCTCGGACAGGTGTGCCTCAGCATCTAGGGGAGATGGTATGAACCGAAGAGCTTCGAGGTTCCGTATCGCGATGGATTCTTCCCATTTCGAACTTGGGGTAGTGTGGAATGATGGCTAGGATGCCTTGGTCAGCTAGAGCTTGATCACAACAGATTCTTTCCTTTCGAAGTGCCCCTGGCTCACCCCTTTCCACGTTGATTCATTCATCTTCTTCGTATGCCTTGTGTAGTCTGTAAGTCGACGATGCAGTCGTTTAGGTGTGTCGGAAGTGTCTGTCGAGAGGGTTCGTCGAAATGGGGGCGTCGATGATTTTCGGTCAACCGCGCCTGAGGTCTGGTGAGTAACGTGAGCTTTAGCATTCTGAGAATCAAATACGTACATCAACGATTTGAAGCACCTTGAACAGATGTGCTCCTCTGGGCCTGCTTTTTGGCATCGTGGGATGCCGGAAGGGGGGGGGGGTACCATCGCCATTGAGCTCGCCCAGCATGGATTCAGCCTTTTCGATCTGCGATTCTCCGCGTCAGCTCATCTCCGGTCCACCTCCATGCGACTTGGACCTGGGATTCTATATGATGCGCTGTCGGCTTTCGGATCCATCGTGATGGCTCGTCGTAGCAACGTCAATCGGGGAGGGCGAGGGTGAGGGCAAGTGCGAGGTCGTCGTGATGCTTGGCGGAGCCTGTACGGAGTACACGTTAGAAAACCAGGCTAAATGATGTGGCAGTCCTCCTGAACACAAAGAAGTACTCTCGTAGACCAGCTTTTGTTCCAGCTGTGGGTATGAAGTTATTTAGGGAGGGGGCACTGACCAGAGAGAACAAAGACCACCCAGGATCCCAACCAGTTCGTTTCAGAATCAGACTTGCTAATTTCTGGCTTCTGCCTGTTCTGAAGAACACGTCGAATGTCTGGTGTAATTATGGAACCAGAATGAACCAAAGGAGTAGAGTGCTTTTTGGCGAGGAGGGAGAAGGTGGGAGGTTCTGGAGCAATCGGGAGACGTGAGAGGGGCAAAACACAAGCGTGAGCAGCTGGTTCAAAGCGCGACACCCATCACCGTGTATTGCAGAACCAAAAGAAGGGTTGGACAGACGTGTATTAAAGAGTACGAGGTCTTCAGGGAGAGTCAATCTTCAATACAGATATGGAATCGAGGCGAGCCTGAAGCCTGCCAGCTTGGTCCCAGCTACCGATGGGCCACGAAACACTGTCCCTGCAAACCTGGGGCCAAAACATCACCAGAAACTTGGCCGCAGCCAGGGCGATGAGGTTTCCACAACACGACAAAGAGAACCAAGGAACACAGACGGATGAACCACGAGCAGGATAGTATGAAGCATCACTAGATGAACGTAATCACTGGAACTACGAGAGTGGCATCCATTCTCTCCTTTCCACACGCGTCGGGCCCTCGCAACATCAAAACATCAACATCACAAGAGCATTTCACGCCAGGAGCATTTCACAGCAAAAGCACATCACAACAAAAGTCACCACCACCAAAACAGTTTCTTCTTCAAGCCGGAGCACAAGGCCCCGAACCCAATGAAAAGAGTAAGACCACGAGGGACTTGAGAAAGCAAAAATTAGTTACCGCCGTACAGAGGATGGCAGGGGATGCTATGGGTTAGCCGCAAACCGCAAGAAAGCAACGTGTCGAGAACAAGGGGAGAAAGCAAGGGGAAGAGAGCAAGGTGCCACTTGACGCCTGTGGTGAAAGCAACGCAGAAAAGCAAAAAAAGCAAGCCATCCTCTGTAGGTCCCCCAGCCGTTACCAATGGCTGGGTTCGCAGAGGCTGGTATTCTTGAGCACCAGAACTCTACCGGCTGAACCCGATGATGAAGAAGAAGAGAAAAGGAAGTGGTGGGTTGAAAGAGGGGCGAGATTTAAATACTTGGATCTGAGGCCCTGATTGGCATCGGGATCACTCCCCCGACTAGACCCCTGCCCGGCCGCCGTTTGCTCTGCGGGTCGATCACCCGCGCCATCGATCTTTCATGCAGCCTGACAGGAGTGGAGACGGAGTGATCTACAGGGCAAGATGCGAGCCACAGTTGCCTGCGTGACTGGGCTTGGGTGTTGTGATTGGTATCGTGCGGCGATGTGTGGGCGCCTGGAGCTGGTGCTATTCCCAGGCACCATTATTCCTGTGCACCACAGCAACATGAGGGAAATCTAAATAGCTTCACAGGATACCAGGAAAAGTCTCTCTCTCCGAGTATATTTTTTATTTTGATATTTGATGTTGTGGTGGCGTCCCTGGCGAGTGTCCGTCCCAAGTCTTCCAGTCCCCTGCGCGTCCCGATTTACACTTAGCTCCTCCAGGTGCTCCCACGGTGGGAGCACAAGCAAATGCACAAGTAAATCGCCAAAACACTTGAATTTCTTAAACTTCTCTTGAGTAATAATGAGATGCTGTTCATGAGGCGCCTGCATACTATTTATGTCTATTCCAGGGGCCTAGCTCAGCGAGCACACTCTACACCGTCTCTGAACACCCCGAGCCATTGGAGCACCCGAGCACACTCCCATAACAAATAAAACGCCACTACTGATTGCTCAAACAAATGGAGCAGCACTGTGATTCATTGCCACTCTTCTGAGCGCGTCGTCAGCTGAGTGTCTTAGGGCTAGACCCCGGGCATGCTCATCCCACAGCAGGGCACATCTCGACGAGCAGGTGCCGCACAGAATTATTGTTTGTTCTCCGACGTAGAGGTATTCAAACTGCCCCTCCGAGGTACATTTAATATGTAGAAAAACCAGTGCAGGTACCTCATCTTGGGGAGTGTCCCGTGGTGTTGTTGCGCAGCCCCACCGCCGCGCTGCACCACAGACTACCACGACCACGCACACAATACGGCCACAACCAAAATCAGGCTGCCAGCTGCGAGGCGAGCCGCACAATGCACGCCGAAAAGGGAATTATTTCCCAGATCACTCCGAGGGCCCCACACTGCCCCCCAATTCCTATATAATCTTCGTCTCCCTCCCTTCCTTTCCTCCTTTCCCCTTCCCTTCTTCATCATTATATATTATATTTTTCTGACCGCTCCCCAGCCCAGTCTACCTTCTTGGTATGTCTCGGGTCTTGGGTTGAAGCCCAGGTCACAAACCCGATGATCCATTCCGGGTTGAGTCTCAGTGCACCGATCCGACGATACATTCCGGGTCGGGGCTCAGTTCACCAACCCGATGATCCATTCCGGGTTGAGTCCCAGTGCACCGATCCGACGATACATTCCGGGTCGGGGCTGAGACAGCTCAGGTTTGTCTTTCTCATCCACCAACCTCTCTTCACTCATCATGGCTCACACTTCTTTTCCAGCGCTGGGTTTGTTCCTTGGGTAGTTGATGGTCGGCGTCTTTTGGCGTCGCCATCCTCGGCCCATTGGATCTGGCGTCGTTGAACTCATTGCTCAAAAGGAAGTGTGAGTACTCCATCCGCATTCTGTCCATTCTGCATGCTCACCCAGGTCAGTGGCCATCCTCAGCCCATTGGATCTGCCGTCATCACGGCCGAGTCGAGATGGCCAAGGCAACTGTGAGTACTCCATCCGCATTCTCTCCATTCTGCATGCTTACCCAGATCAGTGGCCATCCTCGGCCCATTGGACCGACCGCGATTGTCGGGTGGAAATGGTCAAGGGAAACTGTGAGTAGTCTATTAGCACTCCCTCTATTCTGCGTACTTACCTAGATCAGTGACCTTTCTCGTCTGGAAACGCTCAGGAGAGCGGACCCTCTTAAGGAGTCGGGCTTCCTCCTGAAGGAGGTGAACTCCCTCCTGCACCCCTACGGTGCAATTTCCAAGGTGGAGAATCTGGAGAAGGAGGTCCAAGACCGCTACTACCTTCCGATCTCGGTGATCGTCGAGTTTGAAATGTGTGACGCTCGCCGAGATGCTCTCGGTGATTGTCGAGTACGAAATGTTCGACGCTCTCGGTGATCGTCGAATTTGAAATGTTCGACGCTCGCCGAGATGTTCTCTCGGTGATCGTCGAATACGAAATGTTCGACGCTCGTCGGGATGTTCTGACAGTGAGTCCTAACCCTGTTCCTCTTGCTCAATTTACCTCGATTCTGACGAGTGTCCAGTCCAGGAGAATCCCAAGAGATTCTTGACCATTCAGAGAGAGAGAGAGAGATTCTTGACCATATAGAGAGAGAGATTCTTGACCATTCAAAGAGATTCTTGACCATTCAGACATTCCTCAGCTTACCGACCCGACACTCGCGCACTCTTCTCGGAGCCGCAACTTGGTAACATGGTCACGTCTACTCTTACTTGGCTTTGGCGGTTCCTGGTCGACATGGATTTCGTGGGTTGCAGGGAAGTGTTGGAACGATCGAGATGGAAATCAATGGCATGGGCGGACTTGTTCTTCTGTATCACACAATGCAAAACCTCACACCCCTCTTGATCACCACATGTTGTACTCGATAAAGTCTCCGTGAACAATGCTCGCTATGAAACCTGGCTGCTCCCAAGCCCACAAAGACGCGCTCACAAAATGGTGTCTCGCGTTGTTGACCAAAACATCTCCCCCTCTCTAGATCCGGTCCTCTAGAACCCATTGCTCCATCACTCCTCAATAACTACCATGCCATCGTTGACCTCGACCAAGTCACCCGCTTCCACAAGCACAGCCGTGCACCTGCCACTCGTCGGGCTCGGAATCTCCACCTCCATCTTACTCGACTCCAAGCACAGCTACGCAAGAAAGGTCAGTTCATGTGTACTCACGTCGGTTAAGTTGGAAATCTTGGCTTACCAGTATATCGCCCTTCTTGACGACATCACCCTTCTTCACTATGACTTTGTAGCACCGACCGGGCATCGCGGCTGTGACACGTTCTCCTTTGACGTCCGGGTCCCCAAAGGCCAGACCGTTCGTGGCGTCGTTGGCTTTGACGACGGGTTGGTATGGGCGACACAAATCCTCGACGAATGGTGCGCTCGCGATGGCTTTGGCTTGGCGGCCAGCCGTGGCAGCGATGTCGTCTTTGTTCTCCTCCAGCCACGCCTCGTACTGCACCAGATCCAACACCCCGTCGCTCACACGAACGAGCTCGTCCTTGGCCTTGGAGTCTAACTCGTCTTCACTGACGTGGTAAAAGGTGATACGATCAAACTGACAAAACATCCAGGGATTCTCGTCGGACTTGCTCGCACTTTCGACCTGTCCACTGCTTCTGCCTTGCTTGGCTGCAACCTGCTGTGAGTCCCAAACATCCACTGTGCGTCCTACTAACTGATATCCTCCCGGGGAATCCGTGGCATAGATGCACATGTACTGTCCGCCAATACCCACAGCGCCCCGAGGCGTAAACGACCGAGATGGGTTGTACTTTGTCCCGAACAAGCGATGCCGAGGATCGAGAGGAATGGCGCAAGGCGAGCCCATGAACACGTCACCGAGACCGAGGACGAGAAACGTCGCATCTTTTAGCAGAGGGGCGATGTCATCGATGCCGTTCAGCTTTTCCAAGAACTCGATATTGCTGGGTAGCCACGGTGCCTCGCTTCGGATCGTCGCTGAGTACCGCTCAACGGCTGCTCGGTTGACGGTGTCATTGAAGGCGAGCGGGAGGTGAAACAGTCGTGACGGGACTTCGGTTGGCATATTGTATGACTTGATGTGCTCGACCAAGCGAGCCACCATGGTCTCGGGAGTCACACCGCATTCATAGACGACGTGGAGGCTGAAGACTCCCGGAGTCAGTTCCTCCACATCAGGGATGGGGTTCTTGTTGTGCTGTTCGCAGAACGCAAAGATTCCAAAGCTTTGTCGCAGGTCAAATGCCGTCGCTTCTCCAAATTCCAGCAACATAGCGCGATCTCCTGCTTGTCGGACAAGGATTTGTTGACCGTCTTGATCAATACGACCGACCACAATCGGATTTTCGGCGAGCGCCCTATCCAGGGACGCTTCGTCTTCTGAAACAGCATCTGGGGTTTGAAGAGGCATGAGCTTCTCGATAGCTTGGTCCAGCTGCTCCTCCACCTTGAGAGCGTCCTGGACACTGACGACGGAGAACTGAATGGTATCTCCTGGTCGGACCTGGCCCATCTTCCACATATCGGCTGACACAATGACGCAGAAAACCACAAATCCTCCGAGACTAGGACCGTCACAGGCCAATACGACGGCCTCGTCACCCGTGAAGCTTACGCTACCGACCGAGTATGGACTATCGTGGATGTTAGACGGATGTAGTCCAGCCTCTCCTCCTGTCTGTCGCGCCCACTCGGGCTGTGGCCCTGTTAGCCGCACCCCTAGGCGGTTGCTGTTATGGTGAACCTTCCACTCGCTCGAGAAGAGCGACTTGAAGCTATCAGAGGTGAAGAAGTCCGGCTCGCCGTGAGGGCCGGGGACGACCCGAATAGTCCATAGAGCTTTCCTCTGACGGTGAATAGGGATTGGAGGAGCAGTTTGAAGAACCCTACTCGAGTCGTCCGAAGAACCAAGAGATTTGATGGGTAGGATATCTCGGACGTGGAGCTTGCGACCTCTGAACCCCCCGAATTTGCCCAGCTCGAAAGTCGATCGACTTCCCATGACGACGGGAACCTGGATACCGCCTTCGACGGCCAGATACACGCGATACCCATACTCTACTGTTCCGATGGCCAGGACCTGGCCCGGTCGGATGCGGATTGCTTGATTCGCTGCCACTGGCTCGTCGTCAACAGTAATGGGAGCATCGCCTCCAGTTACCGCAACAATGGTATCGCAGTGAAACCGTAGCGATGGGCCTTGGAACGTGCACTCAAGTCCAGCAGCGTCCAAAGAGTTGTTGACCAGCCGGTTTGCAAGTCTGAAAGAGAAAGAATCCATCGGACCTGCAGGTGGAACACCCACACTCCAGTAGCCAACCCTTCCGGGATAATCTTGCACGGTGGTAAGAGCTCCGGGTTGGAGGACTTCAAAGGATGGTGACACAATCTGGAACGTGTCCAGAGACTTTGTGGTGTAGTCGGCGGATTCGAACAAAGAGGACGAGACGATCTGGCGCAAATATTCCAGATTCGTCTCCACACCCTCGAGGCGGGTATCAGCAAGTCCCTTTGCCAAGTTCTTCAAAGCCTCGCGACGGTCGGCGCCAGAAGCAATAATTTTGGCCACTAACGGGTCATAGGCAGTTGTGATTTCGGTACCGACCTTGACCCAAGTATCGACCCTGAGGCTCGAGGGAAACTCCAACTCTGTGATACGGCCAGCACAAGGGCGGAAGAATTGAAGAGGACTCTCAGCATACAATCGAACTTCGATCGACGCTCCGCGGAGAGTCAGAGGGCTGGCGGAGGAACCAAAGAGGTGTTCGACCTTGCCGTCGGCAATGTTCAGCATACACTCGACCAAGTCAAGCCCAGTCACGGATTCAGTGACGGGATGCTCAACTTGCAGACGTGTGTTGACCTCGAGGAAGTAGAACTTCTGTGTGTCGATGTCATAAATGAACTCGACAGTGCCCACGTTACGGTACTTTACCGAAGCAGCGAGGCGCACAGCGGCAGCCTTCATCTCTTCCCGCACGTCTTCTGGAACCATGATTGCAGGGCTCTCCTCGACCACCTTCTGGTGCCGGCGCTGCAGAGAGCAATCGCGCTCTCCGGCGGCAATAACACGTCCCGTGCCATCTCCCAAGATTTGGATCTCGATGTGTCGGGCGCGCTGAACAAAGCGCTCCAGGAACACACCTCCGTTTCCAAAATTGGCCGAGGCCTGTCGCTGAACACTTTCAAAGGTCGATCTCAGACTCTCTACGTTCTCGCAGTGGCTTAAGCCGATTCCGCCGCCACCAGCGGTACTCTTCAGCATCAGCGGAAAGCCAATACGCTCACTTTCCTCCAAGGCGTCTTCCAGCGAGGTAAGTAGATTCTCGCTCCCTGGGACAGTTGGAACTCCGGCTTCAGCAGAAATCGCGCGTGCAAGGTGCTTCAATCCTAGGTCGGACATTTGCTTTGACGTTGGACCAACCCACTTCATGCCCGCATCTTCAACAGCGGTGGCGAAATCGGCGTTTTCGGCCAGAAAGCCATAGCCAGGGATGACTGCATCCACGGAGGAAGACTTGGCTAATTCGATGATTTGCGAGATGTTGAGGTAGGTATCAGAGACTGAGCTTCCCTTCAGTCTCAAGGCAACATCGGCATCGCTGACGTGGGACGCTTCAGCATCGGTATCCGAATAGATCGCGACAGCTCGAAGACCCATCTTGTGGATGGTTTTGATGATTCGAACTGCAATCTCGCCTCGGTTGGCAACAAGGACTGTAGAAATTGGTCCTTGTCGTGAGCCATTTGTTAGAGGCTTGGCCAAGTCTTGAAGATGACGGCTGTAGGCCCTCCAGCCACCATGGCTGGTGATGTCAGTGGCATCAACCAGACCCAATGGCTCACACACAAAGCCATGTACCCAAGACGAATCCTTCAATTCAAGAGAACCGATACCCAGAGGGGAAGGGATTGTGGCCATGAAGCTTGCGAGGGCATATTTTGGTAGGTTCCAAACCTCAACTTCGATTTCTTCACCGTTCTCGCCTGACACTCTCTGCAAGCCAGGTTTCTTGGGTCCCGACGTCGAGTTCAGAGCAAATAAACGATAGTTCTTCGATGTTGTTGTCGTACTGAGAAGCTCCGCGCCGCGAGATACGAGGTCCTTGTTGAGAGGAAATCCGGTGAGGTGCGCGCCAACTACTGCGACCGGAACATATCCCGATGGCGTGGTCGATTCAGCCATGGGTGTCTCCCGGCGCTCAACACCAGTAGCTCCCAGAGTCCTCACCTCGTCCGAAAACCACTGGTGGGCCCAGCGAAGAAGCTGAGGTTCCTGCCAATTGTTGGAGATCAACGTAATGCCAAAGGGGAGTCCATCCGGTCTGAATCCAGCAGGTATTGATAATGCTGACCAATCAAGGAAGTTGACAAAATTTGTATACGTTCCGAGATAAGAGTTCTCTTCGATTGGCTTCTGCTCTAGCTCCTCCATCGTCGGAAAAGTCGGGGTAGTGGGGACGAAGATGCCATCAAAGTCCTTGAACGCGAGTTGGATCTGGCGAGTAAGATCCTGTCGGAGATATTCACCCGCAAATACATCGGCTGCCGAAAGAGTTTGAGCTCTGATGACGATGCGTCGCACAACAGGATCCATTGCATCTTCAGGAACACTCTCAATAAAGTCTCTGATCGCTTCGTAACGCTCGGCGACCCAAGGGCCTGAGTAAAGGAGCTCTGCGAGCTGGAACAGCATCTTGAAATCGACAGGAACCAGGTTCCAACCGAGAGCCTTTGCTTTCTCCAGGGCCTCTTCATATGGTTTGGAGTGATCGTCACGGCCGAACCAATCTGGCTTGGAACAGATAGCTAATGACGGGACTGTTCCAGGACTCCTTGTTCCGAAGCCACTCGATACAAGCATCGAAATTGCATCCGGACGCGGGCGGGAATACGAATCCTCAACATCAAAACTCTCGGCCACTGACAATACTGTCTCCGCATCCGCGACATTCAGGGTGAATATTGAAACGCAATCCAAGGTCCTGCAAGCTGGGACTACACCTCGAGCGCTAAGGGCTCCGCGTGTAGGCTTAAGACCGATGACGTTATTGAAGCCCGCTGGGACACGACCGGAACCAGCCGTGTCAGTACCAAAGGAGAATGGCACAGCACCTCGAGCGACGACCACGCCACTTCCGGAGCTGGAGCCACCACTGACTCGAGCAGGGTCGAATGAATTCGGCACCGCACCATAGGGCGACCGTGTGCCGACGAGGCCAGTCGCAAATTGGTCCAGGTTCGTCTTTCCAACGATGATGGCGCCGGCCGCTTTCATGTTCGCGACGACAGGTGCGTCTGAGGGGGCAAGGTCGGAACTGAAAGATGGACATCCGGCGGTTGTAATGAATCCTTCACAGTCGATGTTGTCCTTTGCTGCAAAGGGAACACCGTAAAGTGGGAGAGATTCGGCAGCAGGCCCAAGTGATTGAAGTCGATTCCATTGATCCTCAAGCTGTTGCCTAGTAGCGAGAGAGATCCAGGCTCGAGTAGTTGCATTTGTTTTTTGCTCTGCCTCCACAAGGGAGTAGAGGCGTTCAAGTCCATTGCCGGAAAGTTGTGCATTTTTCCAGTCTGTTATGGTGAGAGGACTCGTGGCGTTATCCCCGTTGGTGTTGGCCATGACTGAGATAAGAGTAGGTATTGTTGTTACTGTTACTTGACGTGGCACGATGATCGCTGAAGTGAACGCTGAACTTATGGCCTCGAAAGACAGGCTTTACAGCAGAAGAAGACGATCCGAAACCAATAGAGAGCTTATAAACTTTGGACGAGTTGATGTGGCTACCGTCCCCCAGTTTCTTTGCGATTGAGCGGAACTATCGAGATCGACGATGTCCCCAGGTTCGAGGGCCTGAGTAATTAGTAGAATCTCACAGTTCCTTGATCAACTGCTGATTACTATATATGCATCCGAAAGACGTCAATAACCAAGACACCTCACCATAGAGTCTAAACAACGCTCATGAAGGAAGGTGCTGTTGCATTCACGAGTTCGGCGGCCGGCGGCCGGTGACATCCAAGATATGGTGGATTGGCCAAGAACGTCGGACGACTGAGAACAAGGTCTGGGCAGCAGGGAGGAGATCAAGTGCCAAGGGCGGAGAGAAATGGATGGACGTGCCCTGGTGCCACCGCGCACCCCACGCGTGAGAACCGGGGTGGAGAATGAGGCGCCCACCAAGCGGTGCAGACGCTTGAAGGACGGAACCGGCGGGTTTTGGCTAACAAAGAGACTCCGTCTCGTGCAACATGTCACAGCGTCAAGGCCACATTTCGTGCATAAATTCAAGGAGGGAAACAGAGTAACCAAACAATACCTCTTAAATGCCAATGTCCCCTTCAGACGGTAAATGAGTACATCTGCGTGGAAGCATCACTCAGAAACTCTGACAGGAACGTAGTCACTGGTAGTGGCTGCAGCCCCCGAAATACGTGCTGGCCAATCAGAGCAATCGGCCGCCGGCGAGACGCAGCGAACAGCCTGATGCACCCCAAGCTTCCCAAGCTTCCCAAGCTTGTAGCCCGCCGGCGACGCGCCTCGATAGCTGGGAACTAATATGGAACACAAGGCGGCTCTGTGCTTATCGTGAGCTTGGCTTGACGTCTGGTGTCACAGGGCGCCTCGTGAGTCTGGGCCGAGTGGAAGGAGGCTCATCGGCCACTGACAACACGCAAGCCGATCCAGTACGTAATGCCCAATGCGCCTTAGATACATCGGGTTAGGGGGCGAGTGGTTAATGTTCCCAGCATGCACAAAAATGAAAGACGAGGTTGCTGAAGGGAAAAAGATAAGGAAAAAAGACAAGGGAATATCGTGCGCTATCTCCAGGTCCAGCCACAATATGGTACCTTCCCATTGACTCCTCGACGCTCCTTCCTCGTCGCCCCCCCTCGTAGCTGCCATTCCCGATATGGCGCCGGTATTTCCGTTTCCCCGGATTCCCGACCCCGCGGGGCGTGTCTGGCCTGTTGGACTCTGTCTCTCTTATCGCGAGCCCGCACCCACAATCTGTAGAAAACGGGCCAGCACACAAGGCTGGAGATAAGCCGGCCCCATACATTTCATTATCCGCGGCGCGAGTCGTGTGCGCGCGTTCGTCTCTCTGTTTGAGCCCGTCAGATGAGCGACTTCGCCTTGCCCTCACTGTGCGCTGTCGTCCAGCGCAGCATTCGGTCCAAGGGTCCGCTTGCCTCCGATCCCTCGCCTACCTGAGGGCGTATCCAAGCCAGCAGATAGGCCGTTGCTCCTTATCGCAGTGCATCTAGCAAATCCCCGCGGGTGGGTCATGTCATCCAATGTTCTCGCAGCCACTCGCTCGTGATTCAGCTTCTGCTGCCTTCATGCCAATGTCAAACGCGCCGGAACCCGGCGGCCATCCGGGAAGCGGCGGCGGCGGCAGCAGCAACACCGGCGGCGGCCCGTCCACAGCGTCATCGTCGGCACGCTCTCGGCCGTGTGACACCTGTCGACTCCGCAAGACGCGCTGCGTGAGAGAGGAGGGCCAGCATCGTTGCGTGCTGTGTACCTTTCACAACCAGCCGTGTACCTTCTTGCGCGGGCCGACTCCCCGTCAGCGTCGCCTGAACCGGGACCGGGATAGACTGGCGTCGTCACGAGATGCTCTCGACGACCTCGGCGGCCGTTCTCAGGACCTGGACTTTGGCGATACAGCCGCCTCGCCGCCGCTGCAGGCCGGCAATGGCGCCGGTCCCTCTGGGGGCTCACCGTCCTCGAGCCGCCAGGGCGATTCGGCCTCGACGCCGGCGAGCGTAGAGAACAACACCATGTCAGGCCAATCGCCTTCTCAGCAGCAGGTGACGGGGTCCAAGGACAAACGGGATGAAGCTCCTCCCCGTCCCAAGATCCTCAGCAACACTCTCGGTCTCGATCTCAAGACCCATGCCGAGTACATCGGCCCTACTGACTACCGCGACCCATTCTTGCTCGACTTACACCGTCCAACCCTCCAATTGAACCAGGACGGGTCTGCTCCCCCATCTCTTGCAACCTTCTCCCGCCGGTTGAACCACAGAACGGTCTTCCTAGTCCATCCCGACGAATCTGCTGCGTCCGAGACCCGCCGCATCGCTGACTTAGATGCCATCGAGGCAACAGTACACCCACTGGGTCGCACTCTGGTGGATCTATACTTCCGCATTGTCCACCCCAGCTTCCCCATATTACATAAAGATGTCTTCATCAGCAAGCATCGCCTGTCACATCGACACTTCGCCCCATCCCTCCTCGCCGCCGTCTATCTTGTTGCTTTGGACTGGCAGTTATATGACAGTGCGCTCGCTGGCCGCGAGGTCGAATCCATCCCAGACCCAGCTGCTCTCGAGGAGTTGGCTGAGCGTACCATGGCTCAAGACATGCGTCGTCCAAAGCTCAGCACTCTGGAAGCCGGACTACTCCTTCTCCAACGCAACCGTCGCATCGTCGAGTCTGGCATCTATACCAACCCCACCTCGAGCCGCATGTTCACGGCGCAGCTCGTCGCCATGGCTCAGGATCTGGGCATACACATTGACTGCAGTTCGTGGTCCATCCCGGCTTGGGAAATCGGACTTCGTCGGCGGTTAGCATGGGCGTTGTACATGCAAGACCGTTGGGGGGCTTGTGTCCACGGCAGACCTTTTCTCATCCAAGATTCCGACTGGGACGTCCAACCATGCTCTTCCTCCGACTACCCCGAGCTCGTGACAACGGACGATGGAAGTCCTGAGAGCAGCAACTCGGTAATCTCGATAGGGTGGGATCTATTTCTCCGTCATATCGAGCTGACTCACATCCTGAGCGACGTCATTCGTACTTTTTACAGCGCAGCAGCAACTCGTACTGGCGGTACCATCGACCAGATGGGTGTCGTAGCTGCTGTTGAGTTGGCAAAGCCCCTCGTCTTCCGGCTACGCGAATGGCAGGCATGTCTGCCTCAACAACTTCAACTTCAAAGCACTAAACTCCGAGAACTCTGCGCCAACGGAGCCCTACACCTCGCCCACGCTTCTATCGAAATTGCTCTCCATCGAGCTCTCGTCCGGATCATGACCCCAGACACGCCAGGTTCTCTCTACGACGTTCTGCGGTCGACTGCTCGAGCTAAATTACAAGGAGCTATTGAGTTACTGGGATCATTACGTCCAGAGCATACGGCTGCCTTCTGGGGAAGCCAGGCAGCATATCAGGCCGCCGAGGTGGGTTCCCTGGCTGGGTTGCTCTGGGTGACAGCAGACTCATTCGATGAGATGGCATGGTGTGCTTCTCGTGTCGACGAGCTTAGATGGGCTCTCAGAGTCCGCGGTGCTGCTGCTCCATTCGCCAGAGAGGCGCTTCGCCTCCTCGAGCGTGATATTGGTGGACTCGGTATGGTAAAATCCAATTCCGATGTCATGTCATGAGCTTGGAGGTCCATTGCTACCGGAATCGGGTTGCATGACAGGGTCCAAGGTTTTGGTTCAGTGACGTTGGACAATTCACAAAAGTAAACCTAACGAAGATGTCAATAATTGTCTCCGTCATATCTCAGACTGTACGACAATCGCAACTACACAACACCCAATACTTATTATGTCGTCAGAGGGGAAGCGCACAAAGTAGTGAAGCAGAGAACACAGCTGAGCCTGTGCTGAAAGCGGAAATGAAGGGCAAGGAGGGGCTCGTATCAAAGAAAAAAGCCTTCCGTACCGCAGCTGTTGCATCGTTAGTATCTAGCACGGCCAGTGCAAGATTGCGGAAGACGCCTAAATATCTCAGAGTAGGTCAGCCACTTTTCCCTCTTGAAGTTTCAGCACTGACAGAAGGACTCAGAATATTCGATCGGTCTCGATCATCACGTTAAATACTCTCACAGCCTACTCACAACCACAATTGGAGGATAACAAATAGAACAACATCCCAGGGATGCAGTGGGGATAATTCAAAATGGATAAAGTGTCTTGGAATCAGTCAGTCGGTGCCGCTCTTTACCGAACTGCATAGAGGTCAGACAAGGTGGTGCACACTTTGGAGCTGATTGCGACGTTCATTTATGGCGGGACAGAAAATCGATGATATCCATGAGGAAATTGCCTTGGGAAGGGGATGTATATACTTACTGGAGGATAATGACGAAATGTCTGGGTGAATCGGTACAAGATGGATATTTGAACCATAATACCCGTAACTTTACTGGATTTTCTCTCATCCGACCTAGAAGTGAGGTAAAAGTTTCGCGAGATTGTTCGTGGAAGAAGAGCAAGTGTAGAAGTCAGCCTCATTTGGAGACTGCGGGGTTCACCGTGATGCTAACAGTGTGCGTAGATGTGGAGTTGCTCAGACTGAGAGGCTAGCATGAAAATGTGTTCTGCGATCACACATCTCCATCTGGTGAACAGGTAGCAGCCATGGCACAACTCAAAGTGCTCATCACAGGCGCGACAGGATACATATAAGTCATCGTCGTGATGCGACGCTGTAGCGGGACCTACTAACTGTCGCAAAGAGGCGGGTCGGTTCTGTCGACACTGCTCGCATCGTCAAACCCACTCATCCAGGACTTGAGCATCACGGCCTTGGTGCGGAAGCAGCAACAGGCAGATGTGCTCGAGGTGAGGGGCGTCAAGCCGGTTGTTTTCCGCGATCTTGACGACGTGGAGCACCTGACGAGCGTCGCCAGCGAGCATGACGTCGTAATCCATACTGCCTCTGGCTTCCATCTTGGGTCGGCCATGGCCTTGATCTCCGGGCTGGGTGCGAGAAATACGGAGACTGGTGCTGGTGTGCATTATATCCATGTATGACAATGATGCGTACCTCTGCTTGACCTACTTGCTGACGGAAATGGAGACTTCTGGGACGTGGAACTTTGCAGATTCCTCACCAGCCAGCCACGGAACCAGCCCCACAGACATCTCCGACAAGAGTGATATATATGCCACTTTGAAGCAACTGGAGGCACAGACACCTTTCTCTCAGCGGACAACACTGCTCGAAGTGGTATCTGCGTCAGAGCGCGAGGGCGTGAATGCGTACATCCTCATGCCGCCCGACATCTACGGCCCTGGGACAGGTCTTTTCAACCAACATACCATGCAACTATTTGACCTCGTCAAAGGTGCACTCGACGCAGGGGGTGCGGAGTATGTGGGCGGAAGCTCAGGAGGGGCGGGTCATGTTCATGTTGAGGACCTTGCTGCTCTGTACGAGATGATTCTCGGGTGCGTGCTCGCTGGGGAAGATGTCCCAGCCGGGCGGGATGGACTCATTTTCACGGAGACGGGGTATCACCACTGGTTGGACGTTTCCAAGATGATCAGTGACGTCGGAGCTCGTTCAGGCCGCTGGACAACGGCAGAGCCTGTGCCCATCACCGTTGAGGATGCCGCGAAGAAGTGGATGGGAGGAGATCTGGACACCCTAAAGAACAGCTTTTGCCTCAGGTGCGCCAATTCAACCGCGGTGCCTTGGAAGAAACTGATAATGAAATAGGAACAGGACTATTCCACAGCGGGCTCTCGAGTTGGGGTGGAAGCCCCAGAAGACGGAGGATGACTGGCAAAATTGGATAGAGCAAACGTTTGAGATGGCTCTGGAGGACGGGGTGTAGAGGTTTCTTTGATGGGCTACCGATCTATGTGGAGTATTTTAAGCTCATATGCCAATCTGTACTTATTCCGGCTTTCCAAGAGGTCGGGAGGCGGATCAGTTGCCGAGAAAGGAAGCTGTAGGAGCTTCTAGTTGGTGCTAGTGCGATACGACGGGATGGCTAAGGCCAGGGAAGGGAATTACCCTCCTAATCCAATTCCCCATGACCATTGCTACCATTCAGATAAAGCAATATCTCATACAGCGCATGCAGCGGACCAAATTCCACCATACAGAATCGCAAATTCACAGAAATACGAAAACGCTTTACAAAGGTTCATCCATATCACAGCCCCCCACCTGAAGCGTGCATGGATCTATTAAGCTCTTGCCCAATCCGATACGCCAAGGCCACCGACTTGCGTTGATTCGCTCGGTCCATTCGGCTCGGGTGCATGATGAACGACTCAAATGGGACCTTCCAGCTTGGGGATGTGCCGTGAAGACGGACGATGAAGAACGTGGTCTAGTTCAGGTGTTCAGTTACGGGGTAATCTGACCTTGTATCGCAGGGTTGTGTTGTCCGTATCAGAGCCAGGCCCAGCCCACGTGGTCAAAGAAGACGGAAGAATAATCACGCTGTCAAAGTTAACCGGATTCAAGGCAAACTACCTGAACAATGAGGCGGCAAGATCGTTTCCCAGGTGATTGAAGTTGCTTAGCATGTTCAGTTTGGCAATAGATTATCAACTCCTCCATGGACAAATACCGAGACTAGCAGGTCCAATTAACAATATCCCCATACAAATCATAGAGCTGACAAACGGTACTTAGAAGTTCTATTCATAAAGAAACGCTACTCCTCTAATAAAGCCCAATTCTCTCAGTCGAACCCCTCTCGACTGCATTAACATCCAGCGAACTTAACACCGCCGTTATCATTTCCTGGCTCGTCCAATAATTATTACGCTTCCGTCATCTTGGCAGCCTCGGGCGCAGTCGTCTCTTGCGGAACCGAATCATCCTCATAAGGCTTTGCGCCCAGGTTGAGCCAACAGCGCCCCGCCATCAGCTCCTCCTTTTCCTTCGACTCCCACAACAGCTCCTTCTGTCCATCGCCGATATGTATCACAGCACGTTCCTAGGGACATGTTAGTTGTATTGGGGTCTAAAATAAGTAGGTTGCAGCTCACCATGCCAAGCGTCAACTCGATAATTCCATCCGCAAAGCTGGTCTCGAAGGTGAATCTGGGCTTCTTCTCGCGAATGGCGAGGAGGACGTTGTCGGACGCAACATCTGCTTGTCGGTACGCGGACCGGCCGTTGGGGTTTGGAGTCTTGGTGTCGGCGACGTCTCCGCAAGCGTAGATGTTGGGGAACTCGTCGTTGTCGATCTGGAGACTGGGCTTAACCTTGATGTGGCCGGACTCTGTGACTGTTTCTGGGGCAAGGTCCTTCAGGATGCCTGACGCAGGCTTCTGGCCAGTGCAATTGATCTACTGATGTTAGTTCCCTCCAAGGACACTACTAGGGTCTGCCCGGAAAATACTTACAAAAAGATCACATTCAATCACTCTGCCGGACCGAAGGGTTACCGTGCCGGCCTCCTTGTCCTCGCCGACGACACGCTCATCCAGAATGACCTCAATTCCCAGCTTCTCAAATCCTTCGCGAGCTGCTTTCTGCAAGCCCTCGCCGAACCGGTGCATGCAGGCCTTGCGGGAGTGAACCAAGACGATGGTTTTTTCTGGGTACATAGATTTGGCGTCCGTCGCGACTTCGACGCCTGCAGCACCGCCTCCGACGACAACGATTTTGTTGGCACCCTCAATGCTCTTCTGCATGGCTTGCAGGCGCTTCATGCTCTCCAGCTTTTCGGTGGCATTGGTTCGCGAAGGAAGGCCCTCTTCCACGGCGGATCCGGTGGCGATGATGAGGTACTCGTATGGGATGTCCTCGCCGCTATCCTGGAGCTTCACATGGGACTTGGTCAACGACGCGACTCGGTCCTTCACCCAGTGGACGGCGCCCTCCGGAGCACCGGCCAGGTTGGGGCCGTATGGGATGAAGGCCTTGTGCTCGTGGCCCTTTGCGACGCAGTATCGGGGGAGAACCCAGGTGAATTGGAAGTGGGAGTTCGGTTCGACGACGACAACCCGATATCGGCTGTTGGGCGGCAGGTTCAGGGCAAGGACTCTGGCGGCCTGGTATCCCGCGAAGTTGGCTCCCACGATGACAATATTGAGATCTCTAGTCTCGGCGGCTTTTATTCCTCCAGACAATAAAGCTACCCATCTCTCTCTGGATCTCGTGATCGCGCGTTGCCATACTCGTCCAAAGTGGGCGAAAGCGTACACCACGACCTTGATGAAGAGAATCGGCTTGTCCAGCATGGCTGCGGATGCGGTGCGGGATGTATAATTGGAGGTTCTTCTGACGGTTGGGTGTCCTGAGGCGGCTCAGCGAGAGAGAAAATAGGCCATTGATGGGATCCGTCGGCCTGATAAGTAATCGGCCAAGATGTAAATACCCGAAGGAATCCACGGAGAGTCCATGGATGATTCCGGGATGTGGACCGGGCTACAAATATAAACCGAGTCCTCGGCCGGCTGATGGGCTAATACGCGTCGGCCAGGCTGCAGCGAGCTTGGGCCATTCATAAGCCGGGTGCTGCATCCATTTCTCGGTCATTGGGAGGCTAATTAGCATGCTAATTGTCACATCTCTTCCATCGTGTGCTCCATAATCGCGCTTCCCACTGAATTTGGCAAGCCGTAACCTGGAGCTGAACCAAGTGTCCAAACCCGCACGCACTGCGGTGCGCATTCCGCCGCAAGATATTCTGTCTCCACGCTGCTGGTAACGGATTTTACCAGGGATCCATCACACAGGGATCTTGTATTCAGCTTCCAGGTCTGCTGCGTCGATCACCTTCGAGTACCGCAGTGGAGGGTGCGGCGCATGCAGAGAATGATGTAGTGTGGGTCTGGGGCTGTTATCAGATGATCTGATAATGCAGCTTCAACCGATCTCGGCCGGTCTAGACGTGGACTCGGACTCGGCGTCACATTTTCGTCTTCAGTGTGACTACTGTCCTGGCCAATCCAATTCCAAGGAGGCACGTGGCTATACGGAGTACGAGGGAACAGCTACCGGTATCTCTCTCTGCCGTGATCGCGAGGATAGTTGGTGTCACAGACCTTGTAGGCTGGCCTTCAATTACCTCGTTCCCATCGGTCCTACCCCCAAGACGACGGGTTTAACCTCCTAAATAATGAATCTTACGGACTTGCCCTCCACAATCTGCTCCGAGAACTTAATATCGGACTCGGCGTTTGCCTCTATTGGCTTATACCCAAAGACCCACTCCGAGGCCGTCATCTCCGTGTCCGTCTCCGTCTCCGTCTCGGACTTGTCGACTTCGGCTTTCTCGGCTTCGGTCTTTTCAATCTCGACCCTTTAAGCCTACGAAGTCGGTATGAAGCTGGCGGATCCACCCCAGGATGTGTCCACCACGATGGGTATAAACTGGGATTGGTATACCGCGGCCGTGGTACAGACTCGCACCGCATCGCCCTGTCGTCGCTAGACTGGACAAAAACGAAGAATCTCTACCGTTCACAGCAAGAAAATTCCAGGGCTCGGTGGATTTTCTTACTTGTATCAAATTCCCGCCCAACGATGTAATTTCCCCGAAAGTCTACTCGCGCAACCATTTTTCTGACTGTTCGGAAGGCCATGTGTGACCTGATGTCCGACTACTAAATGTTGTAGGCGAACTAGCAAAGACATGATGTTGACATCAACGAAATCGAGTCATAGCGATCCTTTTGTCCGGGAAAAGAAGTTTTTCTAATTAAACCATGTTCCAAGTACTGACGCAAGCAACTTGATCATGGCCGCTGAATAATTTGGCTCAGCGCCGTGTTGCTTTGGATGTTGTATCGATAACCAAGGGTCAGGTGGAGATCAAGTCCGACGTCGCGCACCCTGGATTTGGAGCGCTGAATCCTCAAACTCGCATCACCCAAGGCTGTATTCTTCAAACGCCCAACACGACTGTGTTCTCGAGACGACAACAAACATGGATGTGCCTGCAGCTGCAAATGCTCTAGGCACTCTTGGAGCAGTAATCAGTCCCCCATTTCCCCGTCAGATGCCTCAGCTGATTTTCCTTGCGTGATTCCGTAGGTCTGTTGGTCAATCCAGGTTTGTCCCCCAATCAACTAACTTTATTGGACGTCGTCTTTCTAACATTTTTCTTGCTGTAGCTGATTCCTCAGATTGTGGTCAACTATCGCCGGCACAATGCGACGGGTCTTCAGCCGTCAATGATGATGCTCTGGGCCTGGGCAGGCGTGCCGCTCGGTGTCTACAACATCGTCAAGGGCTTCAATGTCGCGCTGCGCATCCAGCCTCAGATCCTGACTCTGCTTAGTCTTATCACCTGGATCCAGTGCTACTATTATGAACGGGTGAGTTGTCACTTGTAGACTGTGTGGGTATCGATGACTGAACAATCGCAATAGAAATGGACAGTGCAGCGATCACTGCTCGTCGTCGGTCCCATCGCTGCTGTCATGGGAGGCATTCAAGCGGGATTGATCATCGCCCTACGCATCCCCGAGTCTCGCGGTACTGAATGGCCCATGATACTCATGGCGGCGCTCTCGGCGGCGCTCCTCGCGGCGGGTGTCCTGCGTCACTACTGGGACATCTATATCCACCGCACCGTGCGCGGCATCTCGTTTATCTTTGTGGCCATTGACGCCGCGGGCGATGTTTTCTCTCTCGTGTCGCTCTTCTTCCAGCCCAAGCTTGATGTGATGGGGGTTGTCATCTACGCGACCGAGTTTGTTCTCTGGTGCGGCGTTTTTGCATGTGGAGGCTACTACAACTTCCTTCCGTGGATCAAGAAGCGGTGGTTCAACCGGACTGCTAAGATGGCGTCTGTCACTGTTGAGGATGAGTCTCCGTCTTCGGATGGTCGAGGCAATGGCGTTACGCTACACGAGATGCCATCGTCGAGCTCCGTGTTCCGCACAGCCTCGGTGAATTCTGCCAACCTCCGTGCTCGGAATGTAGCCCAAGGAGACGATAACATAATGGAATAATTACATGGAAACAATTAAAATTTTTAGGCTAAGTCCTGTCTTGGATTCTGTTCTCAACACCCGGTTTCATTAGTGTGACATCTATGACCGTACCTAGAAGCTAGAATGCGCGGATAGGGGATGCACCAGGATGGCATAATTGCGCCCCGTGTTTAGGCGTCCCCCCCGCAATGACTGCCGGCTAGGGTCGATCTCGGGGCTCGTTCCAGTGAATACGCGCTAAATCCAAGCGCCAAGTTCACTGTACGGGAGCGCTGCCACATTCGCTTAACAGTAAGCTTCCTGGAAACAGGCCACTAGACGAGCAGGTCTCACCCTCGCAAGGCTCCAACTCCTTTCGCAGTCGAACCCACCGACAATCCTGCCATGACGCCCCTCGACAACTCTTGAAGGCGCACCATTTGCTCCTTGTGACACGCGCACGCCGTCTCGCCACTCGCTCTCGCCTTCACCCGCCATCGTGCCATGTTTGCGACACCATGCCGCCCCTCTGGACCCCGGCTGGCATGCCCGGCGCGCGGCGGCTGATGCTCAACAAGCGCTTCAGTCGCATCGCCATCTTCGGCCTTTGCTCCATCGTCGTCATCATCCTGATCTTCTGGCACAGCATCCATGGCAGCTACAACGTTCCCGAGTACTATCCGTTTGCGACCACGAGCTACTTCTTCCCGGTCTCCATCGACCCGGCTGGGAAGACCACAAAGGACCTATGTGCGTCCTTCCCGAACCACGTTCTCGAATCCATCCAGCCGGTCCTGAAGATGGGCCATGGCGAGAATCGAGCCAAGATCGATGCCCAGCTCGACAGTGTGAGCGCTTGCTTTTCCAAGGACGACTTGCTCATCTTCTCCGACCTCGACGAAACAATCCGCGACCACGAAGTCATTGACATTCTCGCCGACTTGCCCGCCGGTTATTACGACGACAATCCCGACTTTGACCACTACATATGGCAAAAGGAGATGCGCGCGAATGGGACCCTGGATGTCGACAAGGAGGCGACCGCGCGCATCAACGGATGGAGGATTGACAAGTACAAGTTCTTGCCCATGATAGAGCGGGCATGGAGGACGAAGCCCAACAAGGACTTTTACTTTTTCCTGGAGACAGACACGTATGTCGATACCCTCCCTCATACGCCGCACAATCATGATCAATGCGCTTGCCGATACGCCACTAACTCTTTCAACAGATACGTCTTTTGGGACAACGTCTTCCGCTTCCTCCACACCTTCGATCCCGATACACCCCTATACATGGGCTCGCCCTCGCCCGGTCGACATGACGTCAGGAAGGACATTAAAACCTGGTTCGCAAACGGAGGACCCGGTTTTGTGCTCAGTCGTGGTGCCATCAAGGCCCTCCTCTCACGCAAGGTCACCTCGTTTGGGCAGTACGTCGAGGCTCCGATCACCGAGAAGTGGCTCCCACTGCTCAAGGAGGACTGCTGCGGCGACAGCGTCGTGGGCTGGGCGCTGTGGAACGCCAGCATTTCACTGCAAGGCTACTGGCCCATGTTCAACCCGCATCCTCTCCACGGGATCCCGTTCAGCGACAGGTACTGGTGTCAGCCGGTGCTGACATTGCATAAGACGCTGCCGCAAGACATGGTTGACGTATGGAAATGGGAGTTTGGACAAAGACAACTAGGAGTAAGTGCTGCTAAAATTGGTACTTTTTTGCCAATGCTAACAGTAACAGCGCCCGCTCCTGTACTCTGACCTTTGGGCTTTCAAACATCCTGGCGACCTTGCTTCTGCCTCTGACTGGGACCAAGGTGACTGGGACAGCTGGATTGCCCCACCTGAAGCCAAGATTGACTCCTTTGATCTATGTAAAAAGTATTGCGAGGATCACGACCAATGTCTAGAGTGGACTTGGAGGGGATTGGACGCGCAACAATGCGTCCTCTCCAAGGCCATTCGATTTGGTGATCCCAGGAAGTCTGAGATCATCCCATACCCCGAGGAAAGGGATGACAAGGGTAACTTATTACCACCGCCCACGGATCGAAAAGACAGGTTCGTCGACTTCAAGTCTGGATGGCTTGGCGATAGAATCGACCAATGGAGGGCCAACAGAAACTGCTCGACGGTCCAGTGGGTGGGACCAAGCATCAAGAGGATATTTTAATGTCATGTACTGAGACGGCCTCGTGCGATTTGCTTGGACAGAAAACTTGTGTAGACATACAGGCGTTGGAAATGCATTGCAAGTAGTACGCGTATTTAATGGGATTTGGACTTTATTTCAACGTCGTCATCACGGCCCTGGACGGACTGGCTTATGGCATAAACTGTATCAGTACTGGAGCATAAATACGAAGGCAGAGATGACAAGCATTATTTCTTTTTTTCGTGTCTATGGTATAATACGTGACGGTGTATGATTAGAAAGGGGAGGCATAATCTAAGGGTCGTACGCAAAGCAATTCCCAACGTTTAATAGCCAACAGATACTTGGTACTCTTAATTTTAACTTTTGCTAGGGAACAATGCCACTTGCTTCTCATGCTGCTTCTTCTATAGGCGGCGGGTATCACTTAGAACACGTAACGGAAGTAGGGGTTCTCCTTGTCTGTCAAGTCCTGGAATGCCAGCTTGGCTCGCTCAGCCTCGTCAACGGGAAGAGCATCTCTCCTCCGGTTCTCGTTGCGCAGGACAAAGTACAGAGTGACTGACGCAAAGATGCAGATGATGTAGCTGTTGAAATTGTTAGAAATGTACACTTCTGGGTATCATGCTTGGTATCTTACCAGATGATCAGACCCAGCCACAGCGCCGGGTAATGCTGGGCCTTTGTCTGCGACCAAACCAACTGCGGTCCAACAATGTTTCCCACGCAGTAAGCCACAAAGATGGTGGCGGCCATGAAGCTCTTCTTGGTGTGGCCTGCCACGTTGGACATGCCGATGGTGATGATCAGGCTGACGGTGCCGCCAAAGAAGCCGGTGATGGAGTAGCCCACGACGGGCGCGGCGGCGCGGTAGCTCCACTCGCTCTTCCAGATGATGGCGCAGCCGGCAATGACGGGCAGACACGTCAGGACGAGCATGAGGATGCGGATGTTGTTGAACCTGGAGCCCAGGTAGCCCGTCAGGAGGATGACGATGAAGCAGAGCCCGCCGAGGGGGAACTGGAAGAGAATCGAAGCGAGCGTCGACCACCCAAACGTGGACACAATCAGGGGTCCGAATCCGCTGACGGCGCCGTTGACGGTGTATGCCGAGGCCATCATCAAGGCGACAAGCCATATCTTGACGTCGCAGACGGCCTCCCGGAGCTGCGACGCCTTGAACGTGGTGCAGCGCACTCCAGTCTGACCATGGCGAAGCCGCTCCACCGCGGCGAAGCGCTCCTCCTTGGTGAGGAACCAGGCGGACACGGGCGAGTTCGGCATGACGAAGCAGAACAGGCCGAAGAGGAACGTCAGGGACCCGGCGAGCAGGTAGATGTACTGCCAGCGACGCAGCCCGCCGGCGGTGATCTGGGCGAAGCCGTAGTTGAGCGAGCCGCCGAGGATGGTGAACAGGCCGGTGGCGGAGAACCACCAGCTCTGGCGCAGGGCCTGCTCGGACTGCGTGTAGAAGCCCGCGACGATGCACATGAAGCCCGTGGGGATGACGCTCTCGACGAAGCCCAGGAAGAAGCGCTGCGCGTACAGCCCGCGGTGCGACGTCACGGCCGCCGTGAGCATGCAGATGCCCGCCCACAGGATCACGACGCCGCCCAGCACGCGGCCGATGTTGAAGCGCTGCAGCGCAAACGTCATTGGGTACAGGCCGGCGAGCATGCCGAAGTAGAACAGCGACGTGGCCCAGCTGAGGCGCCGCGTGTCGACGGCCGGCGGGACTGTGGAGGTGTCGACGATGGTGAGCTCGAGGTCGGCCGTCATGCCGAAGAGCACGGCGGAGCCGAGGATGGCTTTGTCGTAGTATACGAGGCCGTCTGGAAGGGGCGTGAGCGGGATACGAGGAGGATGAGACACACACAGCTACTGACACCCGAAGATCATGGCCGGGATGAGGAACAGATCGATCTTCCGCACGGCGCGAGCTTCCACGACGGGATCGACCGCGTGTTGCTCCTCTCCGACCATGGCGATGGCTTCATCTTTGGCCCCGGTTGGCACTTGCGGCGCGGTGGCCTCGCTGTCTTGGATCATGACGAATTGATTGCGTCTGACGGTTGTAAAATGATTCAAAGCTGTTCCTTGCAGCTCATGAAGAACTGAAAAGTCTGGCTCCAACTAGGTAGTCAGTCATTCCGGATTCCAAAGTCCGGACAGCTGTGGTTGAGCGAGTGGATTTTACGTCATTTAAACGGCCAACAAATAGCTCGCTCGCCGAGCTTCTGCTGCAAACTTCCCAAGCTCGTCCAACGAGGGATAACGGCCTCTAGCTCCCGCCGGCTCGCTTGAGCTCAACCACTCATGAGGCACATGCTGTGCATTGGCGATGTGCGAACCCATGGCTGGTGCGAGGTTTTTCGTAGGTGCCATGTCGGGATGGAGATGGGTTGGCGGGCGCGGGCCAGTCAGGAGAGTCGAGTTTACACACTTGGGGTGTTAGCACGGAAATATGGTGCTGCGATGCGCTGAGGAATGGGCTGGAAGGGTCTGAAAATCGCTCTAGCTTGGGCTTGGGCGTGAGGCAATTCGGGATTGTGCTCCGGAGATGGAGTCAGGAGATGGAGTCAGGAGACAGGAGACAGACTCGCAAGACGAGCACACAAGAAAGAAACCAGTTGCAATGCTGAACAAGGCTTCCACGTAGAAGCAAATGGGACGTAGATGATTACTATCTAAGGGCCCCAGGGATATCAATATCATATCATAACTTGGCCGGTCACAGCCCGGCATTTCGTACACTCATTCTCACAGCTTGGACGGGCTCTCGTTGGGATCCTTGACCTCGACGAGGAGTTTTCCTACAACCACACGCGTTAGTAAACCCGCTGACTAGTCAATCGGTCACCATCTCGTTCACTCACCGGTATTAACGCCCTTGTACAGGTCGACCAATGCCTGCTCGGCCGCCTTCAGGCCGCCCTTGATAATCGTCTCGTTCTTCTTCAGCTTGCCGTCGGCCACCCACTGGGCGATCTCGGCGCGCGCCTTGGGGAAGTCGGCCGCGTGGTCGAAGACGATGAAGCCCTGCAGCTTGATGCGCATCGTGATGATCTGCGCAAAGTTGCGCGGGCCCGTGGGCTTGGCCGCGTTGTACTGGCTGACGGCGCCGCACTCGACGAAGCGCGCGTGCTCCTTTGCGCGCAGGAGGCACATGTCGAGGATATCGCCGCCGACTAGAGGTATTGTGTTAGCGGTTTTGATACCAAGAATATGGTTGACAACTCACCATTGTCAAAGTACACGTCAATGTAGTCGGGCGTCGCCTGCTTGAACTTCTCCTTGAAGTCGTCGGCCTTGTAGTTGAGCGCCACGTCGAAGCCCAGCTCGTCGATGAGCCACTTGCACTTATCGTCACTCCCACAAATACCCACGACGCGCGCGCCCTTGATCTTGGCAATCTGGCCGGCCACGCTGCCCGTCGCGCCCGCGGCGCCCGAGACGACGACGGTCTCGCCGGGCTTGGGGTCGCCGATCTGCGACATGCCCACCCACGCCGTCATGCTGGTCATGCCCAGCGCCGAGAGGAAGTCCTGCGGGCTCTGCGCGCCCGGGTACATCGACGGCGGCTCGAAGCGGCCCTCGGGCAGGATGGCGTACTGCGTCCAGCCGGGGAAGGCCGAGACCAGGTCGCCCTCCTTGGCGAGCTTGCTCTTGGAGGCGAGCACGCGGCAGACGGACGCGCCGCGCATCGTCTCGCCGATCTTGACGGGGGGGAGGTAGGAGCGGACGTCTGGGGCCACGGTTAGCGAGGGCATCGCGGGGTGTCAACGGGTTGGAGCAAGGCCACCTTTGAGCCAGCCTCTCATGGCAGGGTCCAGGGACAGGTACAAGGCCTCGACCAGAATCTGGCCATCCTTCAGCTCGTCTGGCGTCGGCGCCGGGGCGACGTTCTGGCTAAAGGTCTGGCCGGGGATGATGTCGGTGGTGGGCCGCTCGGCGAGCGTGATGCTGAGGTTATCGCGAGCCATGGTGTGTGGTGTAGGTCCGGGGCCGGTATCGGATCTCGGAGGTGTAGAGGGACTGGTTAAACCGCAAAGGAGTGTTTAAACCGTGTCTGAGTTGGTTCGACTTGACGAGTTGCTGCAGCTAGTTGGCAACTTCTGTACTAATTCGCGGCTCTGATGGTAGTTATATGTTGGCGCCTGGTATCGTCAGTGGCTGCATGTAAGTCCGGTCAAACCGCCGCCGCTAAGGTGATCGTCTGTCTGGGTCCTTTTGTACCTCTCCGGCGGCCGCCCTGTCTCTCCGCACCGACGGACACCTCTTCTTCACCGTCTATTTTTCCCTCCTGCTCACACCCAGCCGCGCAAGAAAGGCAACAGCTCCAGCTCCAAGGGCGAATGGCTTCAGCTTCGGGAACCCCGCGCAAGCCTCGCCCGCTCGTCCCACCCTCCGCCGGCGCGCCAACGCCCATCGGGGCAAATCGCCGGCCGGCCTCTGCGCTCGGGGCCGAAGATTGACGCGGGCCAGCGCCTCCGACTGGCTGGAGGCGCTCTCGGGCGTGCGCTTGGGGGGCCGAGGACGGTGGGGAACAACGGAGGGAGTTGTCACTTTGACGCAATACCGAGGCTCGCGGCTGCCAGCTCGTTTGCGGCCAAGCGTGGAACAGTGGCTGGCATTGCATTGACAGTGGGCGGGATACGAAAAAAAATTCCTTGATTGGCAGCCATGCATAGGTAGGTGACCTATTATTAATTCGCCCGACGGATAGATTACTAGGTGCCGAGGCTGTCTCGGACATTGAAACACTCCGATCACGTAACTGCGATGCATCAACTCGGTCCATGTGTGTGTGTGTGTGTGTGTGTGTGTGTACAGATTGCTCATGACTCTGTGATGGTCCTGATCAAGTAAATAATTACGCCAGCATTCCATGTGTCCACTTTTGTATCTATGTGTATGTTCTTGATTCTATGACAGACTTGGTTCAGGAAATAAATGAGCCATCAACAACTGAAAGCCAGGTCAGTCAACTACTGCTGGTGCTTGAGAAAACGTCGCCGGAGGTTTTCTTCGGCTAGCTCGGGCCTAAGTGGGACCTACACGACTCCTCACCAGAGCATTGAGTTTCTAAAGAATAGGTTCACATAGTTAGAGTTTGAATAAAAATAGTAATTGAATACCTAGGTTGTCATTTGAGTATTTGCATGTGTACGTCTGTGTATAGATTGTTCATAATTCTATGATCGACATGATTAAGTAAATAAATAGGCTGGCGTGCCATGTGTGCGCGTACGCTAAACTATGGACAATTTCTATCTGATATAATATAATATGCTGGCAAGACATTAAATGAATGAATAAAATAGTCAAGGACATCAAGACAATTAAATCTTTTCCCGTTTCCCATTTCGCCTCGCAGTTTCCTTCTAGTTCCCTTTCGCTTTTCTTCATTATACCGGGCACGGCGGAGGTGGCGGTTGTTTCTTCATTAGCTTGCTTCTCCTCCTCACACTCTTCTCTCTGATCGTCCCCAGCTTGTTGGTAGCAGTAGACTTGACTCGCTGGAGCATCGTTTCCTCCCTCTCCCATGAAGGGTCAACCACGAATCGCTTGGATTCGTCCTCGCAGTACCGCAGTGGCGATGGTGTTCCAAACTTGAACCGGTGTTCCGTCTGCATCGCGAGTGTGTAGTCTTTCCTCATCTTGCTCTGGTGTGACTGAATCCAGAACATCTGTTCGTGCTCCCGGAGGTAGCGGTTGCCGTGGAAGCTGTGCAGCACCACCTCGCGGGACAGCAAGCCCAGCTTTCGGCGGTATTCCGACTTTTGGTAGAAGCGCTCGCTTAGCCATGTGACGTCTTCAGGGGTGATCTCGTCGGGAAGCTGAGGGGCCTCTGTCTTCATGTGGGCTTCGTCGGTGAACTGCGTCCATGGGCCGACCATGCCAAGGATGGAGATCTGTGCGCGGGCTAATGCCATGGGGTCGTTGGGTGGTACGACTTCTCCGTATCGCTGGTCAGGGTTCTTGACGTCGGTCAAGACGAGCGCTGTGGCGCCGACTTCGGTAGCGACAATGGGGACACCAGCCAGTGCCGCCTCACCAATGGCGAGAGGCAGACCCTCAGAGATGGACGAGTTCATGAACAGCCAGGCATCCTTCAGCACCTCCTTGGGGTTGCCGAAGCCGGCCAGGATGACCTTGCCTCCGAGGTTGTGATCTACGATAAACTTCTCCATCTCCAGCGCGTATGCTGGCTGACGGTCCTTGGCACCGTAGACAACGAGCTTATAGTCAGTAAAGCCGAAGCGGTTGATGATGATATCAGCCGCCTGGATGGCCGCCTTGACGCCCTTGATGACTTGCACGTTGGACAACATGACCACGGTAGGCGTATCAGTACGGATCTTGTCGACGGGTGTAAAGGACTCCATGTTGCTGATACCGTTGACGATGGGGTCAATCTTGCGGCAGAATTGGTTACGGTTGCTGATGGTTCCCTTCTCTGTGCCGATCTCGGCCTCCCACATTCTATAGTCGTTATTAGCCCATGTTCGGTGCATGCAGTAGGGAGTACTTACGGGTTGAATAGCGATGCGCAAGGGGTAATGACATCGGCGTGGAAGTAGGCGAGACGGGTAGCGAGACCCATCCCAGCGAGAAGCATAGACTGCACAGACAGAGGAAGCTCGCTCTGGGCAGCGCTAATGTTAAGACAGCACTCACGCCACAGAATAGCGTGGTCCCAGATACCAAAGTTGGCACCGCGACGGTACTTGAGGACAAGACCGAACAGACTGCTGATACCGTGGTGGGTGCTCTGGAACACCTGGGGACACTCTTCGGGGACGTTGACGGCAAAGATGAAGAAGTAAGCCTTGTAGATGCCCAGGCAAGTTCGGAAGTCAGGGATGCTAGGGCGCTCGATCTCGAAGCACTGAGAGGGGTTGGTAATGTTGGTGTCGTCGTAGTGCGTGAGCCAGGCTGCGACCCAGGCATCCTCAACTTCCTTGGACTGCCAGGTGAAGGCGTAATCCTTGAGCTCGTAGTACTTGGCCATCGACAAGAAAGTGTTGCTGTACTTGATAAGGTCGGCGCGAGAAAGGCGCTTGGTGCGGGCGCCCTTTACAAACTCCATAAGAAGCGGCACGAAAACACCCACAATATCTCGCTGGATGTCAGTATCAGCCACCTTCTCGTCGACCTGCGACTCGAGGATGTTTTCGATGACGCCGTGGTTAGCGGTACCTCCGTCAATACCCCAGAGAGGCAGCAACTTAAGGGACTGGACGTTTTTCTCGATCTGGAAGCGAGGGATACCGTAATCGTTGGCGCATTCAGAAAGGACGTGGTTGCGGATGGTTTTGTGGCCGTTGACCAGATCACGTCGGCAGTTGGAAACTCCACCAGGTGCGACAGGCCAGCATCCAATATCGTTGAAAATGACCGAGACACGCTCGTTGGTATCGTTGAAGCAGTCCTGGGGTCGAGCGGTAACTTGGGTAGCATCATTGCTGAGACCCATAGCGTAAAGATCCGAAGTCTTGATGGTCAGAAGGGACACTTCAGAGATATCCGTCTCGATTTCGATGGCAGCGACAATCTGGACAATATTGGCATCCAAGGCGCGGCGAGCCTCGTCAAGGCGACCGGTGTCTCTAGCCTTCCAGTACTGACGAAGCAGAAACTCTTCACGAAGGACGAGCTCGTCCATCCAGCAGGCTGTGACCGCGTCGAGGGTACCACTCTTAAGCCAGTGGCTCCAGAGCTCAGTGCGGATACGCCAAGTAGGCACACGGCCATACATGCGTGATCTCCACAAGACAATCCAGGAAATCGGGTTCATTGACGAGATAAGAGTGGGGGTAGAACCTGCGTAGCGACGCATCTGGCGGATCTGAAGCGTGCTATGGTAAATGAGCAAGTCATCCGCATCAAAAGACAGATTCTTGGGCCGGGGCATCAAAGAAGACTCATTAGGGAAGATCTCGGGAGAGTTGAGGACAGAAATCTTGATGCCGTTCTCTTCCATAAATGTAGTGATGTCTGGGTCGCGACGGTGGAGGTACTCGTATTGGCTGGTATACGTCTTGTTGCCGATCTTCTTGATGATGAGGCCAATGTTCTTGGACGGAACCCAAGTGTACTCCTCGGTGTTGACAGGATTGCCCCAGAAGACGGAGAGCATGTCATCGGAAGACGCGTGGGCCAGCTTGAAATCGGCGCGGAGGACATCGGCGTTACCCTTGGGGACAGACTTGTAGTGATACTGGAAGACGAACTCGGTCTCACCGAGGGTCCATGTACCTCGCACCACGCGGCCGTACTTGTCATAATAACCAACACTGCGGGAGTCGTCCTTGGCAATAACCTTGCTCATTGGCCAACGCGAGTTGACGCCAGAGTCATACTGGTAGGTGGAGAAGCCGCCACTGGCATCCTCTCTACTCCTGAGGCGAAGTTCATCGTCGTAGGTATCAGTATACAAAGCCTTGCCGTCAGCGGGAGCGTCCTTGAGAGCCCCAGCGAAAACTCGCAGCATCATGGTACCATTTTCGTTGGTGGCAGCGAAACCAGTGATGGTCTTTCGGGGCAGCTCGACGATGACAGAGCTCTTGAGGATCTTGCGTCGCGCGCCCTTCTGTGCAAGACGCGAGATGTTGACCAGAGCAGGGCGGTGGTAGATGAGAATCCAGTAGACCCAGAAGTTCTTCATCTTTCGGCAGCAATTCCATATGAACACGAGGATGTAGACGAAGACGCCTCGTAGAGGCACGTTTCGCAGGCAGTACACAAGCTCTCGCTCCATGTTGGATCCACCACCAGAAATGATGGCAACCCACTTGACAAAGACGAATGGGACCGAGATAATCTTGCTCCAAATGCTCTGGAGGAAGGTCAAGGTCTTGGGAGTTGTGGCGATGACGACAGGTCTCAACTCGGCGGGGGTTTCGGGAACAGTGCCTTGTCCATCGCTGGCGAAAGTGTTGACCTGGCTCAGTCTTTCCTGGCACTTCTGATAGACCTCAAGAATTAGGCTGATATGGAAGTCTTCAGTGTGCAGGTTAACCTTGGACAAAGCCGCCCAGTCGTTGAACACCGAGGACATAGCAACTGGCTCGCCAGAGATGCGGCGCAGAATGGCAACGCGAACGTCTTCGGGGGTCGTCTCCCAATCAGCGTCGACGTTAAAGTCCAAGCACAGATGCTTCATCATCTCCATCTCAGTCTTGAGGACGAGGCGATTCAGGTGCTGGACGTCCTCAAAGGAGAGCTCGAATTCAATACGCTTCGACACACTCTCAGTACCTTGGAGGAAGTGCTCAGCCTGGACGGCCTGGTTGTGTGAAAGTCGGAACTCGGAACGGGCCACATGGTAGAGGATGCACTCGCCGATGACGGTGGACAAGAGAGGTTGCCAGGCGGGGAGAGATAGCTCGGCCTCCTTCATGAAACCGACAGTCAGTTGGAGAACATCGCCTTCGCGCGAGCTAAAGGCACTCAGCTCGCCCAAGCCAGCTCGGCCAAAGTCTTCTCGACTGACGACCTTGACAGTGATCTTGCGATCACTCCACATTTCCAGCGCGGTTCTCATAAGCTTCCTGGACCAGGGCGCGGAGTCGCAGTGCTGGTTGGGGTATTCCAGACTGCGTCCCAACATCTTGGTGATCTTCTTGGACGGGATCTTTCCATCTTCACTCCAAATCTTCATGCCGGAGAAGTTCTTTCGCATATTGGCACTGGGAGCCTTCTCGTGCACTGACTCTTCGGCACTGAGCCTGTGCTGGACAAAGACTTCGGAATCGTCACCGCGAGAGCCGGAGCGCTTGCTAGTGGGCGAGGGAGCGGCCCAGTCCTTCCAGGTCCAAAGAGATGTTCCGAGGGCAGCAAAAACGGCGGCCGTGTTTTGCGCCGCGAGGTCGATGAAAAGGGAGTCTTTAGTGGCGGGAAGCACGTGAAGCACACAACCCGTAATGAACCCGAGGACGGCGGAGCTCATGATGATGGAGATGTGGGTTGTGACATTGGTTGTGAAGCATCTGTTGAACTGGAAAAGGATGGAGCACGTGTAGCCGACGACGTACATGTAATAGAAGACCATTACCTTCCAGCCGTCAACAAATACCCACATAAGGATTGTCGTGATACCAAACACAAACAAGAGCTTGGACATAATGTCGGACAGCGCCTTGACAATGCTAGCACGGCGATAGGCCTCGAATTCCTTGGCGAGGTTCTGAGCATGGTCGAAATTGCGCAGCTTTTCCTTGGAGATGGTGTCACGGAGTCCCCAGTACTTGTACAGAGTCGAGTCAAGAAGCATAGCAGCCACACAAAAGTAGATGATAGCGAGACAGATACCGAAGCGGGCTCGGGGGTCGCGGTAAATGACTTCGTACGGCCCTCCAGCACTCCAGACCATCATGACCCAGCGGTCCATCAGGGCGACCAAGAACAAGCCAAGGGTCTGTCCAACATCATACCTGGCAAGACGGAAAAGAGTGAAGACGTTGTGGTCCTTAAGGCCTCTAACCAGCATGCTTTGTTGGTTCTTTGACTCATTAAGCTGGGTGAACCAAGCTGTGCTGAACGCATCGGGGTGGTCACCATTGGGATTGGTCTTCTTGAACAGCCAGTCGACATAGGGCATGCCCTTTGCAATTCGCCCAATGAAAGGATCCGCAAAGACCCGGGCAACCTTGGCTTCCCGTGTACGGCGTTGGTAAGACTCCAAGACTGCAACGAAGGTCTCGACTGCTAGTGCATCCTGATCCTTGATATCCTCGTCGCACGACTCAGGGGCCAGTCTCGCTGTGTACCACTCGATGATGTCCTTCTGTGCAAATTTGGGAATGTTGTCCATCCAGTTAGACCATTCGTGGCAGAGTCGGCGGTAACGGTACAGCGTGAGAAACACGTAAGTAAACATAATCGGGATGTAGATCTCCAAGTCATGGTTTCTGACAAAGGTAGAAATGAGAGGCGAAAGCAAAAGCAGCGGCATATTCTGAAGGAGGACGCTGCGGCCAGAAGTAATGGGGCTGTTGAGCTGGTGCATGGCGCTCATTATGCCTAGCAGGTTGAAATGAGTTGAAATGCAGACGAGGTAGGCCACAAATACGAAACCAGTGCCGATCGAAAACCGCACGGTGAACATGATCAAGCCGACAATTGAGATCAGGAGAGTTAGGAAAAATCCACCCGAGAGCCTCTGGACATGAAAGTAGACCATGTTGTCATACGCGTAATGAGCAAGGTAGTAGTTTCCAGTGCTGCCCACCCAGCCGGTAACACCAGCCGTCAGCAGGAGTGAGACAAGCAAAGCGTAACCAGCGGCCTCGATATTCTCATTTCCCATGAAGGCAGTCATGAAGAAACCACGTCCAAGAAACGTGAGCAAGAGGACGTCGACGATAGCGGGGACACAGAAAATAGACATGGCACCAGCCTCCGCAAATCGCTTCTTCCACTCCTGCATAATCTCGTGGGGGGTGCGCTTCATCTTGACAGCACCAGGGATGGGTTCCTCTTCCCCCATGATGAGGACGGGGGGTGCGGCATCGGGGCTGAAGTACATGGTCATAATTTCGTCGTTCGGTCGGTCAGCGGCAGTGGGAGGGCGATCTGCAAGGAAACTGCGGTACCGCTGGTAAACAATGTTGCCGAGGTTGCGAGGAAGGAGGCCAAAGTAGATATCGCATTGAGATCCAAGAATCCAAAGCTCAGAAAAGACGGCAGCCTGGTCGGGCTGGGAGAGGAACATGGGGCAGCGATCGGTAGACTCGTTGTAAACCTCCTCAAAAGCGGCTCCTCGGAGGATGCTAAAGAAAATGATGGCGAAGAGCTCGGCGTTGATGTCGACGTAATCACATTCAGACCACGACTTCCATGGGTCATAAGCGCGGAGCAGGGCCTTGGTTAGGGAGTTGAGAGTCTCTCGTTGTCCGAAGAAGAGAGCATCCTCGACGGCCTTTTCGGTGAGCTTGTGCAAGGTAACGAGATCATCGAGGGCAGGGAGTTCCGTCGCGCCTAGTCGGACATAGTGCTCAAGGCGCATTCGAAGAATCTGTTGCATGGAAAGCGAGCCATCGAGCACCTTTTCGGCGCAAGTCAGAGTCCATGATGCCTTGGTGGTCTGGTCGATGAGGTAAGTCCAACAGTACTCCTTCATCGCATCACACATGGGGTGATCCAGGTTAGAAACGCGCAATTTCTGGACGAAAGTGAGAACCTCGGAGTAAGTGGCACTCTCAATGGTGGACCTGATGCACAACGGAATACCAGACTCGTTACTGTCGTTGTTGGCGCGCTCCAAGAGAAGCTCCTGCTCGTAACGTCGCACGCGGGGAGTTCGCTGGTGGGCCAGCCATGTGTGGAGAACAACAGCTGCGTCGCTGGGAGCCTTTTGTGAGACATAGATCTCGACGCATCCCTCGCGAGCCTTTGAGACACCCCAGAAGTGGGCGTCACTGTCTGGGACGCGGAAACCAGTGTCCATGCCCTTGTAAATACGGACTTGATGAGAAACCAGAGAGTTGATGAGGTCGTGAACAGCGGGGTTGCAGCCCTCTTGCTCAGTCATAGCTGAGAGAGTGGCCACCAGGGTCTGCTCTTCGCTGGCCTCAACGGGGTGCAACATGTTCAAATCCTTGAGGTGAGTCTGAGTGTCGACGATAGCTTCGTAGTGCTCTCCGTGAGGTTCGGAGGTGAGTGGGAAACAACCCTTACTCGCCAATGTCCTGCCATCGCTAGACGAGGTCCAGAAGCTACTTCGAGGGGGTGCTAGATCGACATAATCGGGTGACGAGTGTAATTCAGGCTTTTCCTCGGCAATCGCTTGGAGTGCAGCGCCCAGACGTCGAGGTTTCAAAAGTTGAGATGCGCGGGGGATAACACGGTCGAGCTCGTCAAGAGGGAGCGAGGCGAATGTATCGAAAGGCGAGCCGTTGGGAACGTGGGCCCTCCTTGTCTCAGAGACCCACGATTTTTGGAGCTGTCTCACTGTCAGTCATGCTTGTCTCGGGAGGCAATTGAGACATACCTCAATTGTCTCGGCCCGGCGCAAATACTCGAAGCCACTGAGGGTCTGTGTCGCACTCGTGATTGGAACCTTGAGCATGTAATTGGGGTCAACTGGGCCATGCTCGATGACGGCACCGAAGTGCTCAGCCAACTTGACAGCTCTGCGGATTGTTGCGGGGTGAGGCCGACGTGCCCAGCGATCCAGAAAGCCGATGAAGAAATCAGGTCTCTCCTCACGTTCCTTGTGGGCCCGCCCGATGATGTGTCGGAAACGCCGCGCCCTGAAGTAATCTCGTCGTTCGCCATTGGGGAGAATTAGGGCGTTTTCGATGATAAGACCAGAGGCGTAGGTGAGGCAGACGGAGTCGAGGGCTTCGGAGTCGTGCTCGCAGGAGAGAATGACGGGGATTCTAGAGCGATACAGTCGTTCCAGCAGACCGTCCATTTGCTCAGGCTTCTTCGCATTCGAACATGACAGCGCAAAGCCAGCCAAGCTGTTGCGAAGGTAGGTATCGGCGAGAAAGTCGGCGGTGGCCTCGATCTGGGAGGGTTCGAGAGCATCCGAGCCGAACGAGTCGATGTCGACACTGGCCAAGGCCATCTTGGCGATGACACCTTCGTTGTTGGTGGTGCAGATGGAAGATCGTGAGTCTCCATCCTGTCCCGCGACGCTGCCCTTCATGTCCAGAGGCAGGACGACGAGGTCATAGGCTCTTGAGTCGCGGTGAACCGACATCGCCGACGACGCCGTGTCGGACAGGAAGGTGAACGACTTCGTCGGACGAAATGAGTGCATGGGGAGTCCATTATTAGTCGAGGAGGCATCTGAATCGCGGCGTCTTGCGCGGGCTCTGGAATCGAGGTTAGCGAGGCATCGTGAGGTTTTGGGACCAACAAGACTTGCGTTGGTATCTTCCGGGATTGTAATTTACGATACTGCAGATAATAGTAGATGAGGAAGAGAACAAGAGGGACGGCGATGGCCGTAATACCCAACGTGAAGTTTATAAACTGGAACAGGATCGCGAATCTCTCGTTTGCAGGCAGTATACTGCTGCAGTACACCCGAAAGCGTGAGTCCTCGCACTCGGCCCCGAGCGTGTCTCCCCCGACAGGCTGAACGAACGAAGCCATCTTGAGAGGCCGTAGAGGACAAGGAAAAGAAAGTGATCTCGCACAGCAAACGCTGCGAAAGTGTCACTCAACGAAAGACTCGCTGTGGGCGGCAACAAAGAAAGACTTAGAACGGTGAGGACATCCCGCAAACGAGTGAAGAGACGTCAACGGCGTCACTCAGCTAGGTATGCAGCTGACAGCGAACAGAGAACGACAGAAGGTGAATGAGGGCAAGTGCAGTGATGCAGTAGGTCACAGACTACAGACTGACAGCAGGCGAGTTGATGGGCCACCTCAGGGACAGGGACAAGCATCCCAGGCGCCGGGTAGTCAAAGGAGCCCAAGGAGTCAAAGGAACCCGCCCCTCTAAGAGCCAAAGAGGCTAGTGAAATGCAGTACGATATACTTACTACGTACCATATCGGGACGGCGGTTTAGGCTCTTCCGTGACATGTTGGCCGATGTCCACGATGCGCGCTTGGCCTCAGGTGAATCCTTACTGAAACGAGTCAGGGAAGTGCGGCGATTGGGAAGCCCGGACTGTGTGGTGCTGCTAGTGGATCACCGGTGGCCTGGGCAGCGGGCTTGGAGCCAGCCGGTGGGTGGATTTTGGTGCGCCGTCGAAGAGACCCAGCCGAGCCAGGGTCAGGGACATGGGCGAAGCGGAAAATAGATTGGGCTCCCGTACAAAAGAACAACCAGCGCGCCAGCGCCAGCGCCAGCACCAGCGCGCTACTCCGTAGTACGACATCGTAGGTTGTGGGCGCCATTGCGGTGGACCGTGGATCTCGGCCTGGATTCCGAATTATGCAAGCTGAAGACGGATCGATCTCTGGCGTTCTGGAGTCAATCGGGGTAATGGAGAGACCGTAGCGTGGCCGCAACTTCAAACAAGATGGAGACCTGGCGGTGGTGATCGCACGGGACGGGAGGAGTGGTGGATGATCCGCAGACGCCGAGAGGTCTGGACCTGAGGATGCTACCTCCCAGCTGACTGAGGGGCCAAAGTCGCGTTGGCAAGTTGCACTATTGCTGCACAGTCGTCGTCGTACAGCGATGCAGCGATGCAGTAATGCAGCTTACAGCGATGCAGTGTGCAGTGCAGGTCGTGCTTGGTTCCGCTGTGTCGCGGCGGCCGAAAAGGGCCATGAGTCGAGGTGTAACAGCATGCTTGCATGATGCCCCCGCCCAGTCGTCATCGGCGCACGCATAGACGCATGTTGGCGGCTTCCAGCAACGCTGCAGAAGCAGAAGGAGGCGAACACCCAACAGCCACATCCACCCACACATCCACCCACATGTGGGGATCCACAGGGGCAGGAGCCACGGGGGGAAGGAGCCACAGGGGGGAGCCACTTTCTACTCGGGCGCAACTTGCGGCGCTGACGCCACCGAACAACCGTATTCCACACTTCACACTTCACCAACAACCTCACAACAACCCACCGCTAGTACAACCGGAGCGGGTCTCCCCCAAGCAGATCCAGGCACCGGAAACTGCGGGACCGCCGGGGGTCGCTCAGTAATCCGTTCGATTCATCTTAACCAGCACAATATGGGAATAGAGCGCAAAAATCTCCACGCGGTCCCACCGGCCAGGATGCAGGCCCCCTTTATTGGTGGCCCGGTGACATTTCCACGTCCCAACCTCTCGCACCGGGACCGAAAAGGCTCGGCGCTGCGAGGTACTCCGCTGGCGTCGCCTCACTGTCCCCCAGCCGTGTCAGCTACAGCTGGCCCGCAGGCGCCAGCACAGGTGGCTCGTGGGACGACCTGAGGCTGATTCATACTACTCCGACCCGTGGGCGAGGCGTGAGAAACGCCATGGCAAACGCAAACGCAGGAAACAATAGTCTAGTTTAGCTCCCTGTCAGGATCACCGACCGTCACAGGAACGTCAGCCAGCCAGCAGTCAGCCACGACCTGCAATGGCACAATTCCGCCATCTTGAACGTGTTGCAGCCACAGGGCTAGAGTGGTCCGGCCGTCGTTCGAAAAACGAAATTTGATCAAACCCACAAGCGCTCGTTAGGCCCGATTTGCTATATCTTAGCTGTAAGGCATGCCAAGTGTCCGATCGTACCCCGTCCACCACTCCAGCATCTTTTGATTTTCAGCCCTCCACTTGTGGACTTGCATCCTTAAGACTACTCCTGTCCGCGCGTCTCACACTTTCTCTTATCAGGAATTCCTTCAAACCATTCCGCACCACACACACCGGGCTTATCAGACGCCGTTAGGCCCATACACTCGTTACAATGCACAACATGGAGGACGACTTCAACTCCCTCTCCCTCTCCTCATCCTCCTCATCCCTCTCCTTGGGAGGTACTGCTGCTACCACTCCTGAGTCCGACTATGAGAACCCATTCGCCAGCCACATCCGTCTGGAGACTTCCAGCAGCACCTTCATCCTCGTCATTGGTGGTCTGGGCTACATCGGATCACACACCTCTCTTGAGCTCCTGAAGGCCGGATACAATGTCATCATTGTCGACGACCTCAGCAATGCCTTCCACAGCGTCTTTACCCGAGTGAGGACTCTGGCCCAGAACCACTGCAAGCGCAATGGTGTATCGATGCCCCAGCTTCACTTCCACAAGGTCGACTACCGCAGCAAGTCGATGCGTTTCCTCCTGGAATCGTACTCGGATCTCGTCTCTACCGCACCCAGCTCTCCTGGAGGATCTACCGGACTTACACGACAGTCTCGGATTACTGGCGTCATTCACTTTGCCGCCTACAAGTCCGTTAGCGACTCCATCGCCAAGCCTATCCAGTACTACCGCAACAACGTCTGTGGACTCGTCGAGCTCGTCGAGCTCCTCGGCAAGCACAACATCCGCAACTTTGTTTTCTCGTCTTCAGCCACCGTCTACGGAACCAAGGCCGATGAGGGACGCCCCTTGAAGGAAGAGGACCTCGTTCACCATCCGGAGACCTTTGTCGACCAGAACGGCCAACAGCAAACCAGAATGCCCACGGTAGCTGGACTCCTCAGCCCTTACGCGAGATCCAAGTACTTTTGTGAGGCCATCCTTGCTGATATTGCGCTCTCCGATCCCCTTTGGCGCATTGTTGCACTGCGATACTTTAACCCCATCGGATGCGACTCTTCCGGCCTCCTGGGCGAGGACCCCAAGGGTGTGCCTACAAACCTGTTCCCGGTCATCACCCAGGTCCTGACTGGCCAACGAAAGGAGCTTGACATCTTTGGAAGTGACTGGGAAACCAGGGATGGAACCGCAGTCCGGGACTTCATCCATGTCTCCGACTTGGCGCGAGGTCACATCGCTGCTCTCAGCGCAAAAATCCCTGAGCCTTTCCGCACTTTCAACCTGGGGACTGGCAATGGTACCACCGTGCAGGAAGCAGTTGACAGCCTGCAAGCCGCATCCAACCAGACCATCCCAGTCAATATGGCCCCGCGCAGGGCTGGTGACGTTGGAGCATGTGTGGCAGCCAACGAGCGAGCGGTCAAGGAGCTGGGATGGACTGCTACAGAGAGCATCAAGCAGTGCGCCAGCGACTTGTGGAACTTCGTATCCAGGGCTCATGCACAAGAGACGCCGAACCAGGTCTAACGGCGAAAAAGCAAGGGTGCCGTTAACAGTCACAGGCCTCAGGGGGGCCCCGACTGAGGGGTATGCGTTTTAGTGTTTTTCTTTGGTTAGTTGCGGCTTTTCCATTCAGGGAATGGAAATATGGAGTCACGGGTCAAATAATACGTCAACGGAGAAATGGATGGGGTCATGCCAAGGATATGGCGGCCAAAAACAGTGACCTTGGCAGGGGATGATGGGCTGCAGTTTGAAGCCTCCAAAGCCACGAACCGCAACAAAAAAGGTGGGAGGCGGATTCTGCAGCTGCCAAGGCGAAGAGGCGGACCTAGATTATCCAGTAATATCTAATCGTTCACACAAGTTTGGTTGGTTGGCGCTTGTGAAGCAATTAGCAAAAGCTGTCCGACGGTTCGTTGCGGTATTGCGGACCTGCGACGTCCGGCGGTCTGGGCAGGGACGGAAAAAAACACGGGATGAGAAATGAGATTTTATTTTACCACCTTGACGCTGGTCCGTGGTGTGTGCCAAGAGGTTCCATTAAAGTTGGCCTACAGCTTACCACACCATGTGTCCGGTACTGTGTTACTGTACCACTGTACGTGAACAATTTGTATTTGCGATCGCGAAAGCCAGGATAATTCATCGTCGATTAACCTATGTACATAACGTCGATACCCGAATGGATCCCGCGCGCCGGTCCTCCAACCACATGCCTCTGCCAACTCTACCGCCCCTGTCGCCTGACTCTCTAACGCACGGGGGTGCAGGGGCACGCCAGAACTGCCGCTACGGTGGGTGGACCGCTAGAACACCCGTGGACGCCTAAAACAGGCCGGCGTCGTGGTAAGTCTCCTAGCGGGCGCCCCGGGCGGCAAGGGCCAAGGGGGGAGAACCCTGAAGCGAACCACTGGCAGTCGCTGGGCAGTCGCGCGCTGGGGAGTACCGTACGCGGACAAGAGCCCGGCGGCGAGGTGTCCCGTGCAGTAGCGTCGTCAGCCCAGAGATCCGGCCGCGTAGGCCTTGTACGCGGAGCGAGCTTGCAAGTTAGGGGGATTGGGGAGGACCAGATGCCCCAGCCTTCAGAGCCCGGGGGCCGGACTAGAATGCCCGTATTCCATGTGTATATCCGCGGCGGGTGCAATTACCGAAAGCGAGCTGTGTTTCGTCGAAATCGTCTGCTTATGGCATGCTGTTACCAGCCTCCTGCCGTCCTCATCCCCCCACCGTCGCTGTGGCACTCGGTGGCGGACGCATTCAGTCAGCCTTCTTTTCTGACCTTGTTTCCTCCCACATCCCTCCAGCACGCCCGGCAAACCCGTGTTACCCGTCGTCATCCATGCACGATTAAGCTCATTGCTTGGCGACACACACCGGGAGCACCTTGCATGAGACAGCACAGCGGTCTTTTTTTTTTTCTCCATCAGTTCTCCGTCATTTCGCCATCCGAGCTCGTATTGCCCCCCCGAAACCCTGGAAGGACACGAGCTGCTGCACGTCCCGGTGGGGTGGTCTATGTTTGGGTTTTTTTCTATCTTTATCAACGCAGTGCATACCCCGTTCTTTGACAGCTCATCCGGTTGATTCGGACTTCGGCCCTAAAACGAAGGCGGGAGAGAAGGAAAAAAAATTATCATGGGCGAATGCATGAGCACCTCCGTCTTGGCCGCAGATGCCGCAGACCACCACCAGCCCATCGTTCTGGTCCCCCTTTACATCTACCCTCTGCAGGAGGCATGGGAGCCGCTATTCAACTTGGCACTCGCCCTGCCCAACGTCTCATTCGTCACCGTCATCAATCCCTGCAACGGCCCAGGTCCGGATGCGCTGCCAGATGCCAGCTATTGCGACGTCCTGGACAGGCTGAATTCGGTTCCCAACGTCCACTCGCTGGGCTACGTGCATTGCACCTACGGCACACGCCCTCTTGACGCCATCCAGGCTGACATTGACACCTATCGAGCCTGGAACGACAGGTTCCGGATCGACGGGATCTTCTTCGATGAGACGCCCTCGGATCCGAGCACCGGCTTGGACTTCATGATGGCCCTCTCGCATCACACGAGATCGACGTGGCAGCAGTCATTGGACCGCCCGGGCCTGGTCGTCTACAATCCCGGCGTCGTGGTTAGCCGTGCCTTCTTCGACGCCGCCGACTGGATCGTCGTCTTTGAGCAGTCTCACGAGCACTGGTACTCGGCTGAGATCCAGCAGAACCTGCAGGCCGTGCCGACCGAGCTGCGGAAAAAGTCGGTCGCCATCGTGCACTCCCTAGACGACGAGGACGCCACTGAGCTCACCAACGAAATATGCGCTCAGGGCTTCGGCGGGATTCATTTAACGGAAGAGCTTGGCGGTGGTTACACAAAGTGGCCAGTCATGTGGTCTACAGTCGCCCACGCCCTGACCGGGAATTCGGAGTGAGGGGGCGGGCGGGGGCGATAAGATCTTGGATAAATATTGCCGCCGTTGGAGGAGTCAAGCCATGTCAGATCTTTAATACGTAGTGTGATTTTCAATCTTAATTCAATAGTGGCAAGCCATGCACGCCATGCAAGCCCGAAAAGCCCGGGAACAGGCATAGGAAATAAACATCACATCATCAATCTCGCCACAAGACCCCGACATGACCGCGATCGAACGACGCCACCGTCTACCGACCAAAAACCAGCGAGAGCCATTTATTAGCGAAGTGGCTTTTGGGGTGGCTAGCTGACCAGCCGCTCGCTGACTGCATGACGATGCTTGCAACTTAGACGATGAGTTGTTTCCGCGCTTGGCTCACATATCCGATGCACCCCCGACTCCCCGCGTCTGCCATGGCATGCCGCCGGAGTCAATAATTGCTGACGGCGGCGCTTGGCATTTTGCCCGTAGCCGACGCCCGACAGCGACACCGAGCCGCACCGCGCCGCACGGATGCAGGGGCCGCGTACACACGCTGTTGGTGTTTTCCCGTCCCCACACTTTGCCTCTCCGCTAGAAGAAATAACCGGGCATTTTTCAAGGAGAGCGGAGAGCGGAGAGCGGAGAGCAGAAGAGGGGGGGTTGCATGCATGACCAAGCAAGGTGTAATAATCATCATTACAAAGAAACTTTCTCAAAAAATATCCACCGTGCAGACACTGAGTGAAGTGCCCTCACTGTGTGTGCTGTGATGGAGTTGCAGCGAGCCCACACTGCAAGCGAAGAAGAAAAAAAGAAATTTGCCCAGTCTTGCTTACGCCGAGGTATCCAGCTCCGTGGTGTACGTCTCCTTCTGCCCGCAGTATTCCACCCAGCCGTCCAGGTTCAGGTTCTTGATGACGGTGCTGAAGCCTGACGTGCCTGTCGAGTTCCCTGTTTGCGAGCAGATTTCCTTGATCGCCGACGGCGCCACGTCGTCGGGCGTCCCCGCGGGGTACTCGATGTTGAAGACGGGCTTGTCCGCTCTGATGAAGGCGGCAAAGGTCTCGCACTCGGAGTACTCGATGCACTGCTCGTTCACCGAGAAGTGCACGTAGTCGAGGACGTCGGGAATGATGTCCCCGGCGTTCTTGAGACCCGTAGACATGCCGTACGAGCCCGCAGTCTCGGCGAGGAACTTGATAAAATCAACCGCGTCCTCGGCGGTCAAATCCAAGCCGTTGTCGTTTTGCTAGGATGCAGCCACTGTCAGTGAAACTCGACATACAGAACACGAACTCCAACACGAACACCCTCTGCAGTGATCCTCCGGATAATCCTGGTTCCATCAATGGATAGGGGCAAACTTACGAAGCCGTCGACATTGTCAGGATCAATCGCATCGCAACCCTTGCCCGCAGCAAACTCTATCCGCTTCTTCATGATGCTGCGGACGTTGTCGCTGCGCACGTCCACCCAGCGTTCGTCCGGCCATCCATCCATGACCTTGCCCAGGTCCGCTTTTTCGAAGTCGTCTCTGTCGTCCCTCCAGTTTTCCCAGGACCCGGCGCTGAAGTAGCAGATGACCTTCTTCCCGGACGCCTGCAGGGCCTGTATGGTGACGGCATCGTTGTCGTAAACGTCAATGTCGTAAATCCCCACATCGGGTGTGACGACCGCGTCGTCTCCGATCTTGATGGGTTTCAGAAGGACAATCTGCCATGAATCCGCGACAGAGGGCTGCCACAGTGAATTTTTACCGTCGGAAGAATTGCTTCCCTTGTTGTTGAATTTGCCCGTAAGGCTGACGCCCAGAATCACGCCCAGGGGGATGGCGATGACCAGGAAGATGCCCACGACCATGAATTTCTTCCAGAGGGCCCACGGTGGCCTGGGCGACGCTTTACCGGTGCCATCTTCCATAACAGTCGGCCTTGGAGACATCTCCAGGCCTATAGGGTAGGCACCCATATTGGCGGTATCGTGAGGCTCAAGGGCACGGTATCACGATGGGGAGCGCTACACCAAGAGGGCTACGATCTGCCGGCAACATGCGAATGAGGACTGTTTATTGGAATGCAACCTGCCCGGTTCCCGAAAAAGGCATTAGCATCAAGTGCTTAGCACCATTCTTCTCAGCCTGAGAAGGCCACCCAGGCTTTTGGAGAGCCGTCGTCGATCCATACGACGATCCCCAACTGGCCGGGACGGCGCACATGGCATTGGACGCCACTCATCTCCAGAGCGCTGAGGCCATGGGAGAGAAAACTGCGTGCTGTGTGCTCCGTAGTTGCATTCACGCATATCCCTGACTCGCCCTGCCCCTGACGTCTGGGGTCCGAGTGACTCGCCAAGCATATCTGCCAAGGCCGTATTGCCTGATGCGTGAGCCAGACAGGCACGAGCTGAAACTGCCGGCCAGCCACACCGCAGGGGAGCAGGTGGGTGCGGGTATCGACGCTAACTAAGCGCGGCTGCCAAGCGCCCTTAATGTAAGATTGGCTAGATTTAGACACAGGGGCTAGGATGGCCCTGGTTTGAACCATGTCAATACGCCCCACCTTAAATTCAAGGGTAAAAAGAAGTCTTCAACGGAGTGGAGTGTCCTGATCGTATTGTTCAATGCCGAGCCACGAAGAACAGGCCAGGAACAACAGGCTCACGCTGGACGCTGGGGCCGCCTGCAGTCCCGCTGCAGCTGGCTAGTTGAGGCCTACTGCTGATGGCCCCCTTCACAGCCCACAGGCCCCCCTACGGCCCTACCGAACCACCAATCTCTCCGTCTCCCTCCCCTCGCCACTGGGTTTGCAGCCTGCGAGCCGCCTGAAAACCAGTCCTAGCCCGGCGGTTTCGGCCCTCTGCCCGCTGTCTGACGGCTGCCATAGCTCCGTGGCTCATAGGCCCAGCTGCATTTGTGCTGCCCCCTTCCGCTGTCCACGCGTCGCTGGTGCTTCGGCGAGCGCTCCCGTTGGCTCTTTTCCGCCCTATGCTCAATAGTGTGAATGATATGCAACGTTAGTGTACTGCGTAGTAGAACGCCCATTCACTCTAGGTACCGGTCTGGACCGTAATTTGTACCACCGGGCTCTGAGGCGCATCCTGCCAGGCCTGTTTAAAGTCCAGTGAACGTGCTCTCTTGGCCTTTTCTTCCTCACCCACCTTTCGTTCACTCTTTCGACGATTATACGATAGACGGAGGCTCACCCCGGGTCGCTGCCACTATCGTTTTCCGTCTTCTTCTCTCAGTCATTCGTTTGTAGTCCGTACAGGACCCACACGCAGCCATGCGTTATTCCTCCTTCGCCCTCGCGGCTCTTGGCTTCCTGCAGGCTGCTGAAGCCTCAGCCTTGAAGTCGACCGGCAGTGGCCTGAGCACGCCTGAAGAGGTAGCTGCCTCTGTCGAGAACACCGTCCACATCCAGATCATCGACGATGAGACCCTCGACAAGCGGGCGACGACCTACACCACCGTAGGTCTCACCCAGTCGCTCACGGGCTTGACCAAGGGCGCCAAGTACGATGTCACCTACAAGTACTACGCCATGTCGCTCAAGTTGACCAACTCGTGCCAAATCCGAGCCTACTTTGAGGGTGACAACTTTGGCAACTCGGCGTTCAGCAACTATGGCCTTATCCTTACCGCGGGCAGCTATAGCGGCACCTTCACCGCATCTGCCAAGAAGGGAAAACTGGAGTTTGACATGGTCTGCAATAGCGCCAAGGGAAGAGTCTCTCTCGACACTGTCACCTACAAGCTTGCTGCTACTACCACTACTACTTCCAAGTCGACCAGCACGTCCACTACTTCCAAGGTGACCAGCACGTCCACTACTTCCAAGGTGACCAGCACGTCCACTACTTCCAAGGCGACAACCACGTCCACCACCACCAAGGCCACCTCCACCAGCGTTGCAGTTTCGTCCTCCACCACCACGAGCTCGACTACCACTGCTCCTGTCGTGCGTGCTCTCTCCACCAGCACCAGCTCGTCTCAGGTCTCCAGCTCCAGCACTTCTGCGACAAGCAGCTCTGCCTCCGCCTCTGCTTCCGTCGCCGCCGTCGGCAAGGCTACTGTTGATACCACCATCCTCGTCATTGCCCCTAATGCCTACAGTGCCTCTTCCGGCGCGGCTGGTCTCCTGGCCTATGGCATTCCCTACGAGACGCTTATCGTCCCTAAGGAAGGTGTCACTCTGCCTACCTTGAACTCCTCCTCCACCCATGGAAACTATGGTGGTGTTATTGTCATGGATTCCGTTTCGTACGAGTACGACGCTGGTTGGGCTAGCGCTATCACTGATGCTCAGTGGACCCTCATCCATGAATATCAGGTCGAGTTCAATGTCCGCATGGTCCGCATCAACGAGTACCCTGGTACCCAGTTCGGTAAGTAGCAGTCTCCCAAGTGCAACCACTTGATCACTAACGCTCTCGATAGGCACCACCGTCGTCTCTGGTGGCTGCTGTGGCGACAGTGTGTCCCAGTCTATCAGCTTCAGTGACGTCTCCGACTTCCCTACTGCCAACATCAAGGCGTAAGTCCATCCCTGACTACCTATCCCCAGTCAGAACTCGGTACTAACCATCACTAGCGGAGCTGAGCTGTCCACCACTGGTCTTTACCATGTCCCTGCCTCTATCAGCGACACCACCACCACTAAGCAGGTCGCCAAGTTTGGCGTTGCTACTGGTTTCGAGTCTGAGAGTGTTGCCGCCGTCATCAACAACTTCAACGGCCGTGAGCAATTTGTCTGGTTTATTGGTTGGGCCCCTGACTGGTCCCAGACCTCTGCTTTCCTCCAGCACTCTCACGTCCACTGGATGACCCGTGGTCTCTTCCTCGGCAAGCGCAAGGTTCATCTGGGCTGCCAGGTCGACGACGTCCAGCTCAGCACCGAGCTGTACTACCCGGCCGGCGATGAGTTCAAGATTGCAGTTGAGGACCTCGAGGCCCACATCACCTGGCAGAACAACATCAACGCTCGCATGCCTACCGGCTCCGACTTCTGGCTTGAGCTTTGCCACAACGGCAACGGAGACATCATCTCCTCCACTCTGTCTGACGCTGGCGCTACGTCTTGCGACCCCGAGTATGCTGTCTACTATGATCTGGCCAACGCCACCGCCCTCGAGTTCGTTAAGCCTTTGGGAACTGGCGAGGACATCTGGCCCGATGAGTTTGTCGATTACTCTTGGAGCAAGACTTGTGCCGCTCTCGACGACTTTGCTTCCTGGTTCCTGACTGCCGATAACCTCAACCAGTTTGCTCATGTGTCCCACACCTTTGCCCATCTCAGTCTCAACAACGCCACCTACCACGACACCGAGCGCGAGATCAAGTTCAACCAGGACTGGCTGGCCCTGATGGGTATTGATCAGGCCAACCGGTTCTCGCCCCACGGTCTGGTCCCCCCTGCCATCACTGGTATGCATAATGGAGATGCTATTAAGGCTTGGATGGACAACGGCATCACCTTTGTTGTTGGTGACAACACCCGCCCCGTCCTTCGCAACACCAACAGCGTGTACTGGCCGCTGATCAGCACCGTCGCCGACAACGGCTACGCCGGCTTGACCATCGTTCCGCGATTCTCCACCGCTATCTACTACAACTGTGATACTGCCGAGTGCACTACCAGGGAGTGGATCGCCACCTCTGCTGGAAGCGGCGACTATACCAACCTCTTGGCCAACTCCAAGTCGACCAACGTCCGCAACCTCCTCTCGCTTCAGGCTGATCCCTACATGTTCCACCAGGCCAACATGCGTCAGAGTAACGTTGACACCATCACCATTGGTGACCAAACTGGCTCCATGTCCCTGGTCATGTCCTGGACCGAGACTATGGTCCAGGAGCTCCTGCGTCTGACCAGCTGGCCCATCCAGTCCCTGAAGCATGATGACCTTGCTCAGTACTTCATCGACAGGAAGACCCGTGACGCCTGCAGCCCCAAGCTTGCGTACACCTACTCAAGCGACGGCACCAAGATCGAGTCCGTCACGGTGTCCGCCACTGGCAACACTTGCTCCGTCCCCATCCCTGTCACCATCCCCTCCGGCTCCGCTACTGCCTCGGGAGGCTCGCTCACCGCGGATGTTGTCGGTGCTGAGCCCCCTATCCAGTGGGTGACCCTGAGCGGCACTGCCGTGACCCTCACTCTTAGCTCGCCCGTTTCTTTTTAAGTCATCCCCCCTGGTGGGACAAAAGTCTTGTATATGATGGGAACACACATAGCTACGTATTAATTTTTAAACCTTAACATAGCTACTTGGTTATACACAATACCTGCCGCTGACCTTGCCGACCGTTGCTCTGTGAGCGTCTGACAGATTGTGACATGTGGTTAGTGGACGCCTTCGCAACGCCGTACGGGGAGAGCAAGCCGTTCGACGCCTCATCCGGTGAGAGCGGCTAAGCAAAGTTGGCTACGCGTAGTGTTGCGTGTCAAAATCGTTCTAGACCTCCTCATTGAACTCATGACAGCTGTGAAAGCGATGGGAAATACACACTACCCCGTACTTGTCAAAAGTTGTTTGTCGGACCACCGGGCCACGTGGGCCTGGACCAACTTAGACGCCATCAGGTGTAGCGATGTCTCGGTTGGACTGTAGCCGGGCTGTTAGTAGACGTAATGGCGCACAAAACACAACACCATTTCTGCATAAACGGGCGCGTTCCGCTTTTGCGAGCTGAATTAGCACGGATATTTCCGGGTCCGGCTCTTCAACAGGCACTCCGCAAGTCGCCCTAACAAAGTGCCGCTCTAGAGTCTAGGGTAGTTCAGGTGAATGATGGACAAGTCGTCGATGGGTCCAGACCCGTTCCTCAGCTGGACGAGGGAGACCCGATGGCCTTCGGAAATTTAGTGACCCATGTACGGGAGACGCAGATCTTTAGCCTGGGGAAGATGTGGATTAAATTGTTCCTGGTACGATTGTGGCACGATCTGAGCTAAACCGCACTATCGCGACAATCGTCGCGTGCTCCGCCCAGATTTACACGACTACTTTAGTGCTTGGGAATAATTTGGAATACCAACTCAACGTCATTTCGGAGCCAATCCGGCAGTTCAGAAGCCGAGAGGCCTCGTACGTTCAGAAAATTTTTGACCGAGGTAAGTTGACTGATCGAGACTACCAAATCCGACTGCGAAACATGGTCCAAGCTGGATATGTCAAGATGGCGTCCATTGTGACGGTCGAGAAAGTACCCAAGCTTTTCTAGCAGATCTAGCTTTTTCAAGACACAGCTGTTACCTGCAGCTTACAAAAGGTATTGGGAAAGGTAACCAGTTAGACTAAAAACCTTAGTCTGTCTGAGTGTATTGTTAATCTTTGAATGGACTGGGTATATGGTCTGTATTGTTGATACTATTGTTGGTGTTTTTTTCTTACTGTTGAGCTTCTAGTCCCCCCTCTGGGTATGTGTGTACTAGGGCACCCTGACCTCTTGAAAGTACCCAAAAACGAGAATGCTTAACACTGCCGAGCCCGGTTACAAAACTTGGTCCAAGCTAGATACAACAAGATGGTGACTGTTGTGATCGGCACAGAAATGACCCAAAACATGTATCCCTTTCCCTCCCAATTATACACCGGAGCGTGCATGAATCCCTGTATCGCGCAGTTAAGACTCGAGGAATTCTTAAAGGTGGCCGATTTACTCACTGCAACAGCTGTAGCTGGGAGGAACACCATAGTTATCAACGCAATGGCCTTCATCTGCCTCGCATCGTTAATTGCCATGATGGCGTCTTTGCGAGCTAGAGCCAAGTCCTATGAATGCCAAGCCAGCTCATGTTCTGCCCTTGCCTGGACAGAAAAGTCCATGTCAAACCTTCTGAAATGCGAGTGATATATTCCCCTGAATCCCCTCACACCGCATGATCCTTTCCTCGAAAGCCTCTTTTAAACCCCGAATGCACGCGTCGGGACTTAGCAAGAATCCCTCCTCCCCTACCGGCTTGAACACAGGCAATTGGGGGCAAATCTGAAGTATCTTGTCGAATTGGAAGGTCCAGATTTTAAGTTGTGTTTTGAGAGCTCCTACTTTGGTAAACAGCGTGCAAAATTTGTCCTGGTGGCCATCAGCTTGATGGTTTTCGCGATTTGGTTCCTGGCTCCCTCTAATGTTTATCAACTCATCGATCATGTAGTCAACTTGGAGGAACCGCTGGGTTTTTTCGAGTTCCAGAAATGCAAAAATGAGCACAAATGGATTGTCAATATACCCTCTGTTCTTACGGAGTCTGAGTGTCATTTCCTCGACATCTCTTTGAGAGTCGAACCCCAAGAACAGGCCAAAGACTTGCCGGCTTTCGGGAAAATATGTGATACTCATCGCTGTGTAGTTTCTCAGGATGGAGTCGATGCACAGTATGTATACTATTCACAAGGTCAGATAATATGCCCTTCATACAGGACTGTAAATGGGCATTAACCTTCGCACTTCTGGCCTTGGATGGAGCTATGCAACATCTTGAAACTCGTCCGTGGCCGATTGATGGTATCTAGAAATATACCAGGTACATGCATCTGTTGTAAAATCCGCCGAAAACGGTTTCTCGGCACAGGCATGCATGATAGCAAATGGCGATCAAACTTCAAATCGTGCTGGAGCTGGAGTTTACGGGGGCACATCCTGCAGAGCCAATTGTCAGCAGTCAACAAATACGCGCGTGCACATTCCGCTGAGTCTCGCAAAAAGAAGGCGCAGAGGGAACTTACAGCAACGAGAAGGAAGGATTCAATGCGCTGGAAATAGCTTGAACATCCTAGTAAACGAATGTTAGGTTGCGTTTGGCCCAAGACTCAATTGTTGGCGAAGCCCTGCATGGTTCACCATACCTCGATCTCCCATGTGTCCCACTGCTTCTCAGACTGGATTTCGGAATTGTATGGTGAGTTCTGGGCTAGTTAGCTTCATTGAGAAACGACAACGAGAAAGCTCTGTGGTACCGATGATAGACTTGAACTGGTGATTGAGTAGCTGCTCCGATAGACTGTAGGCTCCCTGAGCGAACGGAATGATTTTTCTTTGGGACTGAAGTCGTCCTAAATGCGACTCATCGAAGCGGAGTAATACGGAACCCCTCTCCGTGACGTGGCTTCCCCTGGAGTTCCATCTCGGGGCGATTCAGCAGGAACGGGAGTGTATGCGGGACCAAGGTTTGTATCGACTGGGCTGTCGGTACGCGCTTCTGTATGATCAGAGAGAGAGCCCACATGAAAGTCGTTTCCTCGGATAGCAGCTATCGCTGGAACCGGCGGGGGAGCAGTCTCTTTTTCGGACTCATTTCCTGTGGGTGGATTGGGTTTCAACAACTGCTCTGAGCTGTCCGATAGCTAGATTGGGGTCAGTTAGTTATCAGAAAGTCTTCTACTTCATGCCTATCGTACCTGTTGGGGATTTCCTGCCAGACTAGAGACAGGAGCAGAGAGTAGTCCAGATCCCTGTATCGAAAGAAACTTTGAGAGAGCCATTTTGTTCGGAACGGAGTGTGTCTCACGGAACGGCGAAATACGCAGTTCCTTGTCAAGGGGGGGAGAGGGTGAGACTGACCACCCCTACCGAAGACAGATATGCTGTGGCTTTGCTCACAAGATGACTGAGAGGATACAGGAAGAAGGAGAGGAGTGAATGTGCGGGGAGAGAGTGATGATTAAATAGTAAACAGAGAAACCAAGCGACCGAGAAGGATTGGGTGGCACCGCGGGAGTCCTGGAAGAAGAGAAGTGATTGACGGCGCCGGCCTAGCAGAAGCAATGATGCAAAGCATGCCAGAAGATGCAGATCAACCGGAGGCGTACAGATTGTCACGGCCAACTAAGAGTCCGTGACACTGAAAGTTGCTTAGGCAAACGCATTAGCTGACAGTCATTCAGGGCCTAGTCGATGCCGTTTGGCTTCATGTTTGTCAGTGAGATGGCAAAGCGGGACGTCAGCACATGAGAAGCGATTGTATTGTTTTTGTATTCAGAAGAAAAGACAGGCTCTAAAGAATTGAGTCTCGTGTGTCTCGGTGGCTAATAAACTGTTGAATGGGTTCCCGCCAGCTCACACCTGTTAGCGAGATGACGCCTGTTGGAAGATTCCTATGCTGGCAATCGACAACAAACAGCTTGTGTTTGTTCACTCCACAAGGCCAGTGATTAATGACTTTTGCGGTTGTGCTGTTTGTCACAACATGTGCTGAACTCGTCAGCCAAGTGAATTGGCATAGCCCTTGTCTGTGACAAGGCGCATTAGTTGTACTGTATCCACAAGTGCCGTGAAGGTTGTAGGTACTCAAAATTTTGTTTCCAAAGGACCGGCAGTGCTGTAATTTGATGTTTGGCGAAGGTAGGCAGGAGTCTATGTGTCGGGGAACGTTTGTATCCTCCTGGCTATAATGTCAACTCAGTACATCCAATGCGCCTTAATCGCACGCAGTCTAAAGGGGATGTAACGTCCTTGAATCAAACCGCACTGAACTCCGGGTTGAGAGTTTGTCAGTTTGTCAGTTGCTGTGAGATGAGCGATTCAGTGCGACCGATTAATCTTGGGCCTGAAAACATGGTGACTTGGCTCCAGCATTCTACCTCAGTCACATCTCGCCAGGTGTAGATGAATGTCATGTCGAATAATAATCACTATGGTGAAACGTGCACGTCCGCCTGCATTCAGTTATGGACCAGCGGGGCATAAGTCATAAATACCAGGTTGTGCAATGGAAGCCGTCGATCAATCGCAAACAAGTTGGGGATGAGGCGGCGGCGACTTGTTTCAGCCAGCTCAGCCTGTGACCCTGTGTCGCATCCCATTTATTTTCTTTCCGATTTATCCGGATGTTCGATCCGAGAACCCACTGCACGTGGCCGTCGGAGCATCAGCGAAGCTTGGCGATGCAATTGTCGGAGGAAAACTGGCGACTTGTCGATCCCTTTAAACTTGACACTGGCTGTGGGGTTTGACGATGTGGGAGTGACATGTTGCGATTGTCGAGGGACAACGGCGCATGGACGGGCTCAATGAACAACTGACAGGTTCCAGGGCGACAGCGACTGATTCTTCTTCGGTACCAAGCCGTGTTCCAACGGTGTGAGTTGATCTTTACCGGCGAGGGGGCAGAATCTGGCGACACGAGCGTCTAAATGTCCAGAGCCTAGGGCCATTCAGGTCTCGGCCGTGTAAGAGGCTCAGCCGGGCCCAGACTCGGATAGATTCGCTTCAGGCCTCAGGGGACGGAATCTGGCGATGACAGCTACGACAAGCAGTTCTTGGCCTCTCCAATGCGACGAGAACGCGCCCACAAACGTTCCATTTGCATGGTTTCTTGGGGAGATCGATCGGGCCACGGACGGAACAGGTTTCTCCGCCGGCGCCGGGGTGACGCTGGGATGACCTGTGCTCATCTATCACGACCCCGGCGGCTTGGAGGTGAAACCAGGGTCCGAGTCGACCGACCGCTAATAATCCCTGTCGTCGTCTCTCCACGAAATTGAAAGGAGCGTGTAGCATGTATCAGCCCTACCAAGTGGCCTCAGTTCCTGCATATTCACTCGCCTAACTTCCGAGTTGGTGCTGGCGGTGCAGGATGGGAAATTGATCTCGGATAGCCTGGCAAACCCAAAGTTGCTCAACAAAAGGGCCGTCATGGCCCCCTTCCAAGGCCATCGCCAACTGCTTCCATCAGTGTTTGTTCTCTTCCTCTCTTCGTCGTTCGTCTCTCTCTACCCAGTCGCTCCTTTTGACTTTGCAAGTCTTCGAGATACCCGGTGTCATCTCGATCCATTCATTCATTTGCTTCTTGTATCACTTCTGTCTGCTCCGGCACTCCTCGTCTAGCACCAGGACCATTATCGAAACTTCTACAACTCGACGTTGACTACCGCAACCATGAAGTTCCTCGCCCCCGTTCTCTTTGCCATTCCCGCTGTCATGGGCCGCCACTGCAAGCTTCGTCACTCCCACTCCAGCGCCGTTTCCGTGCCCGTGAGCACCGCCGAGGCCGCAGTTACCACCGCTGTTCTCGCCCCGTCCAGTGTTGCCGCGAAGCCCGAGACTGAGTCCGCTGCCGAGGACCCGGTGACTACTGTCATCTCCGTCTCTGCTCCCAAGACGACTCTGGCCACTGCTGTCATTCCTTCGTCCTCCAGCTCCAAGTCCAGCGCTGCCCCGAGCTCCAGCTCGGCCGCCGCCGGCGAGTCCAGCTCCGGCAACGAGGAGCTCAGCAGCGAGGCCGTCACGGGATCGTCCACCTTCTACGGTGGAAACCTCTCTGGTGGAAACTGCATGTTCACTACCTACACTCTTCCCTCCAACATCTATGGGACTGCTTTCTCTGGAGAGATCTGGGACAGCGCTGCCCACTGTGGTGCTTGCATTGAGGTCACTGGCCCTACTGGCACCATCACTGCCATGGTACGTTTGTCCGTTGCCTGCTTCTAATTACTATAACTAATTATTGTTCAAGATTGTCGACCAGTGCCCCGAGTGCAACGCAGGCCACCTCGATCTTTTCCCCGATGCCTTCACGGCGGTTGGTGGCACTGACGGTATCGTCGACACTTCATACAAGTTTGTCAAGTGCGGCATCACCTCGCCTCTAATTCTACACAACAAGACGGGCACATCTGCTTATTGGTTCTCCATCCAAGTAGTAAACGCCAATGTGCCTGTCAAGAGCGTCGAGGTCAGCACCGATGGTGGCAGCACTTGGAAGTCAACCACTCGCAAGGACTACAACTTCTTCGAGGAGTCCAGCGGTTTTGGCGTCGACACCATGGACATTCGTGTCACTAGCACCACTGGCGAGACCATCAAGGTCAGCAACGTTGGCGTTACCCCTGACGCCCAGTACACTGCGGCTTCCAACTTCTAAGCGCAAGCATAACCCACCGGGAATGAGCAGTATCTGTTAGTACTCTGCCACCACGGCTCCTGAGGCCCCAAGCGCACGTATCGGGCAGCAGGAACTGTCGAATCTACCCTTGGTTCTGATGGAGACTTGGTCTCAGCTCATTATGCCCTTTCTACCGGATTTCCACTTGGATGCCGTCTTCTTCTTCATGTACAAACTTGACAGCAGCCAAATATTATGCCTCGGATTATAAGAGGGCCATTGATGAACCATGAGGTTGATCTCGCGCTTCTAGTGAATTGTTCCTCGTTTGACTGTACCAATTGGTGAATCGATCGTGTGTTCGTGATCTCCATACAGAAGGATGTAGGCGGAAGGGATAAACACTAATCCTTTAGTGATATATTATGTGTTTCCCAATTTTACGTTCACAAATGATATCATCGTGCGGTGTTGTGTATTTGGTACGTGTAATGTGTGGTGTGGTGTAATGTGTAATGTCGCGCGGTGTGTTGTGTTGTGCTGCAAGGAGAATATATTTTATGAAGCTACTGCACAACGTTACCCAAATCGCCCCCTAACCCAACCAATGATGGGACTCAACCAGGAGATTCCATCCACTTTCAGTATCGAGTTCCAGCCTCTCGCACAACACATCATGGACTCCAAAATGGCACGAAGGACAGTAACTCCTCCCGACCAGTTCAAAACCGGGCGGCGGATTGCATTTACCATGACTGAAGGCACTGCTGAGAGTCTACAGAGGGAATACAGATGCGCTTCAGACCTCAGCAAGCCTATCGTCACCACCACAATTCCAGTTGTGGAGGCCTGGCGCAACCTCCGCCCCCTTCAAAGTCCAACGGTGACGGGCGGTGTAGTGTTCGTTTGATGATGTTGGAGACTCGCCGTCGGGGAGTTTCCTATACTTGGCTTGTTTTTCGACAATGATACTGGAACGTCGGGAAGGATTATGTTAATTTGGCACATACATGGACATCCTCTCACCTAAGCCTGGATCATGTGCCTAGGCTGTTTGCGGTTGAAAGTGCTCTTAGGCTAAAGGCTCAGCTTATAATTTAGCCATGCAATGAAATAAAATAAAATAAAATACAACACGAAGCATTATTAGAATGGATAAATACTAAGGGTTAGGATCATTTAATTTCCTCTCATAAATTACTACGTTAGGTACTGTATTAATGATTCTCTTTAAAATGGGGCTTGTGCTTGCGTGCAGATAGCATCATGCATGCGTGCGAATAACATCATTCTCCGGAGAAGCTCCAGCCTCCCCTGATTCAGTGCGGTATTAGTTCAAAAGTAACACCAGATTTAAAGACTTGGTTATTGGTGCAATGTGAACTCACACTTTGTATTGAGCCGGTGAATCGGTGAAATTTGTTGTTCTCTACCCACATCGTTGATCCCACGTGGATCGACCGGATGCTACTTTAAAAATCACCACATGCCATGCAAGCATACGGAACAAAGTGATCTGATAGGCTCGCATAAAGGCAATTCTTCCGAATCGTCGATGGCGGCTGGAACTGCTCGTGGATGTGAGACTGAAAGCTGCGGACTGCACGTGGCGGCACACCACTAGTAACCAACGACGTTCCCACTATGAGGTGACAGTGCATAAATTTGGCGATAAGACCATGCTTGTTTCACTGTTAGTGCTACATATGGTACGGATGCCGTTAACAGAAGTTCTTGAACGCAAGATGCTGGATCCAGAGACAAATGGCCCGGGCCGTCCGGAGCATCAACAGTTGGCCTTCAGAGGCTGGCCGAAGTCATTGTGAAAGCAGTGCTAGAATATTCATTTGGAACAGTAGCAATGTGAGTTGAAAGCTGGAATATTGGAAGCTTTGGAATCCCGTACACTGGCGTCGTCTGATGAGGGGAGGACGGGAGGTCGACTATCCCCACGGGACCCCCAGATATCTCCATGAAAGTACGACCAAACGGTGCTGGATGCGAATCAACCCAAGATTACTCCCCAGGTCCATTTTACCCCGAGCACAACCACCACGGGGAACGAGAAACTAGGCGAAATTCTCAGCCCTTTCCCCACAGCAACACGCGACTGTTGCAGTCCATGACTCTGTCGACACACTGCCGCCTAACAGGTTACCCAATGAGTGTTGTCCGCCTCAGCGAGCCCCCTGTGGATGATTGCGTTTTAATACCCGGGGTTAATTCCCTCGAAACTGACATAATCCGCATCTATAGCGTGAGGCTCATTCATGGTGAAGCCCAAATGCCATCCTGAGCAAGGACATGCTGAGAAGGCAAAGTGGGCCCCGTATCTTCTGGGATGGTGGCTGAGTGGAACACCCCGTTGGACGATCAAAGCCCCAAGAACAATTGATGCGCTCCAATAATGAACCACCGATGCTCGCAAGTTCGCGGCCGAGGTTATTCTGTGACGAAATGTTGATCGATGGTGTCGTTTCGGTGGTAAGGAGACGCCCAGCTCGCGGAACCCGGCACTCGCGGCTCTGTGGTTAGCTCTGGCACAACGCGCGCTTTGGTGTTGGGAGGGTGACATCGCATGAACAGGGAGGCCTGCTTCCGCTGATAATGATATCATTTCTCGGGAATATTGCCCGCCAGAAGCTTCATCGAACAGGTCGGTGATTGGAGCCTCAAGCCACCTCGTGGCCTGACCGGATTCGGAGCAGAATCCATGTTCGCAACTGCGAGCACTCTCGAGTCTTGCACATATCCAGACAGAAATGAGACGCGACTTGCCTTGAGCGTCAGACTTGGAAATCTCCTTGGACCTTGATCCTTGGCCAGTAACACGGATAAAGCCCGAGGCGGGGATCCTGAGGAGCGTCCCCGGTGGATTCCTACAGGCGTCCATCTTAGCCACTTGGTATGAGGCTCGACACGCCACGCCCACACCGGCTGCGTTGCGGCCGCTATCTTAGTGTGGTAGTCAAACTGGGCGATCCTGGGGGCCCCGTCCTCCTCCATTGCGGTGCCCCAGGCGGCTTGCAATGGGACAATGGATGACGCTGAGTCGAGCTGGAGGGCTCCAGTGAACACTGCAATACGATACGTGCGCTTCTAAGACCACTCCACTGACGGCGCGATCCTTGTAGTCGTTCTGAGGCTTCATATCTTTATAAAGATCGAGCATCACGGCCAGAACCTGGGGTTTTGTGACTGGTCAGCACCAATCCTCTCCTATCTTCACCAGAATCTCCGAGAAGTACAGCGAGCGACCTCTTGCTTCGCCATGTATCAAATTTGGAATATTTACGGTACGAAAAGTACCCTCCGTCTCTGTTCATCGACTAACACGACCATGCAGCGCTTGCCGCCATTGGCACCATTGGTGGCATGCTCTTCGGCTTCGACATCAGTTCCATGAGTGCCTGGATCGGCTCGGACCAATACCTCGAGTACTTTAACCATCCTGGATCGACTGAGCAGGGCGGAATCACAGCCTCGATGTCGGCCGGTTCCTTCGTCGGCGCTCTGGTTGCCGGTGTCCTCGCTGATCGACTTGGCCGCCGCAAGGCCCTTATGGTTGCATGCGTTTTCTGGGTCATCGGTGCTGTTGTTCAGTGCTCGGCCCAGAACGTGGGCCACCTCATCGGAGGCCGTATCATCAGCGGTCTCGCGGTTGGAATCACTAGTTCGCAGGTGCTTGTGTATCTTGCTGAGCTGGCTCCGTCTGATATCCGTGGTCGTGTGGTCGGCATTCAGCAATGGTCAATTGAATGGGGTAAGTTGCCACTCTGCCCTGCAGAGATGAAGTGACTGACGATAAAGGTATTCTAATCATGTACTTGATCTCGTATGGATGCTCCATCAACATTGATGGTCCCTCTGCATTCCGCATTGCTTGGGGTATCCAGGCGATCCCGGGCTTCATCCTCTTCATCGGCCTCTTCTTTTTCCCCGAGTCTCCTCGATGGCTTGCATCGCACGACCGCTGGGAGGAGGCCCATTTCAACCTCGCTCACCTCCATGCCGGTGGCGACCTGGACAGCCCTGTTGTCATTGCGGAGATGGAGGAGGTGCGAGAGGCCGTTCGCATCTCCCAAGAGTCCAAGGACATTGGGTACCTGGGTCTGTTTGGTCCTAAAATCTGGAAGCGCACTGTGGTCGGCGTCAGCGTGCAGATTTGGCAGCAACTTTTGTAAGTTTTCACCACTTCTTCAATTTGGGCGTGTGCTAATGTCGGGCAGGGGCGGCAACGTGATGCTTTATTACCTTGTGTACATCTTCAACATGGCTGGAATGGTAAGCATCCAAATATCACCTTTCATAACCCAGAAATACAGTCAACTAATACGATCTACTAGAGCGGCAACGTTGCGCTGACCTCTTCAATCATCCAATACGTCATCTTCCTTGTCACTACCGGAGGAGTGCTGCCATTCATCGATCGCCTTGGCCGAAGATGGCTTCTTATCGGTGGAGCAATCACCTGCGGTGTTCTCCATTTCGCTAGCGGTGCCATTATGGCTTCTTACGGACATGCCGTGGACAGTGTAGACGGTAAGAATACCCTGCCCAAAATCCTGCCCCTAACTGACCAGCTGTAGGAAACGACATTCTGAGGTGGTCCCTCTCCGGCGCTCCGGCCAAGGCTGTTATCGCTCTGGCTTACATCTTCGTTGGCGTCTACGGCCTTACCTGGGCACCAGTTGCTTGGATATACGCTGCTGAGGTGTTCCCGCTCAAGTACCGTGCCAAGGGCGTTGGTCTCGCCGCTGCCGGTAACTGGATGTAAGCGCACTGTTCCCACGGCCCAGATCTTCAGATTAGTTACTGACACATCCAATAGCTTCAACCTCGCGCTGGCGTTCTTTGTGCCCCCAGCTTTCACAAACATCAAGTGGAAGCCATATATGATTTTTGGAACGTTCTGCATTGCCATGACATTCCACGCCTTCTTCACCTACCCGGAAACTTCAAGGAAGACCCTGGAGGAGGTTGATCGCTTGTTTGATAGCAACATACCAGCATGGCGCAGCGCCTCGGCTGGAGGTACTTTCAAGGAGAAGGTTGAGGAGGCTAGGCGAACTGGTGGTCTCAAGGGTGTTGAGGATGACGAGGAGACGGCAGCTCAAGTTGAGACTGCCTGATTCGGCGGCAACCTGGACAGAGCTCAGACGGGGAACCTAGATAGTGATTAGGGGAGGACTGTATAATGCGACTACTTGAAAGAAATTCGCGACCGTGGCTGAATGCAAACTCTAGCCGATTCGAATTGCGGCTCACCATCGAATATTAAGGACGTCACTTATTTTGCAGCTGGCTGGGGATCCGGATTGGCCCCAGAATGCCAGTCTCCCGGTTTCGCTACCAGATGACGTTTCAGGCACGGAACTGTCATAAACCATCCCAACGACATGCCACCTCCGAAAAATTAGCAGTTCCGGTTATCGCAATGATGACTCTGACCGAAAAAATCCGATTAAAACTGTTGGAGAAATGCAACAGCAGCGAATTAAGAGGGGTTCGCACGGATGACGTAAGCCCGATTCCGCACGCAATTGCCCCTCACTAAGCCTAAATAGGCCTTGAAAAAAACTGGTAGCCCCACCGCGGGGAAGCAAGGAGGCGGGAGTGGGGCGAATTTTTGCCGGGGAGTCGAGCTTCAATTGCTGTGAGTCAGAAACGCCAGCTTAAAAAAAACATTCGATTCCCAGACACAACTTCCTGACAGTGCTTCGATCTGCGACCATTCCACCTCCTCGTCCTTTTTAAATCGTCAGATTGGTAAGTACTGTATGAAGTTCTCGCTGTCGAGTCAATTGGCTCCTCGGACCCCTCCTCTTCGTTTTCGTTGTGGGGCGGTGAGCTGGCGCATCCGCAACTCTGCCTCTCGGCGCATCACCACATCTCTACATCACCACCACAACAAACCGAGACCAATTGCTAACAACCACCGGGAAATCCAGTCAATCGCAATCATGTCCTACCCTGCTATCCTCCTCCGCGCCGAGCAGAAGCCGCTCGAGCACCGCTCTTTCTCCCCCGCGGTCATCAAGACCCTTATCGATGCCGGCTACCCCATCTCCGTCGAGCGCTCCTCCACCGACCCCAACTTCAAGCGCATTTTCGAGGATTCTGAGTACGAGGCTGCTGGTGCTACTCTCGTCCCAAGCGGTGTCTGGCCCGATGCTGCCCCCGGCACTATTATTCTTGGCCTGAAGGAGATTCCTGAGGAGGACTTTCCCCTCAAGAATGACCAGTGAGTTCCACCGCCAGGCAACTTGCGCCAGCATGGGCATTGACCACCTCCAGCATCACCTTTGCCCACTGTTACAAGCAGCAAGGTGGGTTTGAGAAGGTTCTCGGTCGATTCCCCCGGGGTGGCTCTACCCTCTACGATTTAGAATTTTTAGTCGACTCCGTTGGTCGTCGCGTGAGCGCATTCGGGTATCACGCAGGCTTCACTGGCGCCGCGCTGGGCATCAAGACCTGGGCATGGCAGTTGACACACCCTGGCGAGAAGCTCCCTGCTGTGGCCACCTTCACCGAGGGTCGTGGGTACTACCTGAACGAAGAGGAGCTCGTTAGCCAGATCCGAGAGGATATCGCCGCCGGCGAGAAGGTCCTTGGACGTAAGCCCACTGCCATGGTCCTCGGGGCGCTTGGCCGTTGCGGCCGTGGTGCTGTCGATCTGTTCATCAAGGCTGGCATTGCCGATGAGAGCATTACCAAGTGGGACTTTAATGAGACGAAGGATCGCGAGGGCCCCTACGAGGAGATTGCCCAGCACGACATCTTCCTCAACGCCGTAAGTACCGAAGTACTGCTTTCTATTTCATAACTAACAACCAGCTAGATCTACCTCTCCAAGCCCATCCCTCCTTTCGTTAACGACGAGCTCCTCGCCAAGGCTGGCCGCAAGCTGAGCGTCGTCACTGATGTCTCCTGCGACACCACCAACCCCCACAACCCTATCCCCATCTACTCCATTAACACCACCTTCGATGAGCCTACTGTGCCCGTTGTGGTTCAGGATGACCAGAACACGGCCCCTCTGTCCGTTATCAGCATCGACCACTTGCCCTCAATGCTGCCCCGCGAGTCCAGCGAGTCTTTCAGTGAGGGTCTCAAGGAGTCCTTGCTGACCTTGAACGAGCGTGCTACATCCCGTGTGTGGGCGGATGCTGAGAAGCTGTTCCAAGAGAAGGTGGCTTTGCTCCCTGAGGCTCTACGCACTAAGGAGATTTAAAAGGTCATGGATTTTATTTGCTTTTAGGGTGGTCGATTGGGTCGGAAATAGAACGCCGAGGAGTTACACAGCCAAGACGGGCAGCATGTTGCAATTCACGATAAAGTTGTCAAACGTTAGCGTTGCACTCTGTGATCGGTGGACCTAATGCTGCGTCATACTGTCGTGTTGGATTCTTTATTATTTTCAGAGATTTATAGATCCATATCTCTCTTTGTCCCCGGGTGGGTTCCCGTGGTAATACGCCTTGACCGATGAATCGCGTCTTGACCTACAAGTTGTGCAAAGCGGTGCTGATACCCGATGCCTTGAGAAGAGCCTTCCAGTCCCACAATGATCACCAGTGGGCCGACCGTGAATTTCCCGCCCACATTCACGACGACACAGGGAGCGACCAACAACCCGGATATAAGGATGGATCCTTGTCCTTTTAGGCAACCAACAACCTCGACTAATTTGCCTGTGGCTTTGACCATTTGGCTGTCTGTCATCTCTTCATCCCCTTAATTCTCATTTCCCGTCAAACTTGGAGATGACCTTTTGCCCTCTTTCGAGTACATAATCTTCACCGATTGAGATTGTCGCGATGGTGTCACACATGAAACCAACTTCCGATGGCAACCTTGCTCCTCGCGCAAAAAAGGCCCGGATCGGAGACCCCCTTGCGTTCCAAAGGATCCGAGTCTTCTGTCAGGGAGATATCGACTCGCTCTATCCACTCATTGTTGCGTACATCGAGCGCCCATCCCTGGCAGATTCGGTCGTGGAGTTTGCCATCGACACTGAAGGATGGCCAAGCTACCACTTCGGCGTTGGGGACACATGCGCCGAGGTATCGTCTCGCCCGGTAGATGACGATGCGCACGCTGCGATTGAGGCATATGTCCGTGACATGGGTCTTGGAGACGAGGCTCTCGGAGTCATGCTGCCGGCATTGGAATGGAAGAAGCGGCAACTGAGGGACGGAGTCGAGGAGTCAAGGGCAGAGAGCAACGCACATGTACGGGACTTTGCGACCACTGCTTCGACGATCCTGCTCTCTCTCTGCACGAACATCACGACGCTGTATTTGGGAAACTTGGGATCGTGGGAGTCACCACTGCAGCTGTACCTGCTGCTAACAGGAATGTATCGTATTCCTCGCCCAGGACTGCGAAAAGTGAAAAAGGTCGAAATCATCGCTGGCGCAACCGACTACACCGACGAGAGACAGTATGCGCTGCTAGACTATCAGACATACTTCAACTACATTTGCCGGCTGCCTGCGCTGGAATCAGTGGTGTTTGACGGAGCTGGTGATTTCGAAGGCAGCACGCAAACGCTACCCAGACGCATGTCAACCATGAAGGAAATCAGCATCACTCATGCCGATATCCCAAGCAGCGCCCTTGCCAAGATCTTGCGGATCCCCAAACATCTGGAGAAACTCACCCTGTCCTTTGGCGGCTTGATGTTTATCGACGGAGGGAGCGCTATGGTCTACCCAAGAACTATCGGTGAACATCTGTCGAGGCACAGGAAAACACTCAAAGTGCTGGATCTTGATATCGACTATTCCCTCGGTGGCCAGCATGAAATGATCGAGGATTCTGACTCCGACCAAGAGGAAGACTCGACTTCTCAAAGGGACCCCTTGAGCTCTCTTGTGCGACGCCTGATCTACCCAGAAAACGCAAGTACGGCTACGGTCTCACCGTGGGATCTTTCGACGACTACCAAGTGATGACGCATCTCAGCATCGGCGTCAAGGCGCTCTTGGGTCCTACGGAAGGCAGTAGCCTAAAGGAACAGCCCCCTTTTCGACTCGTCGACGCGCTCCCCCCAACGCTCGAGTACCTGTGTCTCTACGGGTACGAGAAGGGCGAGGACTCGGATGTGGATGAACATGTGGACGAGTTCATGGAACAAAAGGAGGAGCGCCTGCCGCTGCTGAAGGAGGTCGAAGGTGTGGACGAGAGAATCGAAGATTCGGCGCTGTTGTACAACCAAGATGATGAGGATTCGCTGTGGGAGCGACCAGAGCGCGACTTTGACTGGATCAAGGCGTGAGATTCAGCGGGGATGGCCAGCTGTGGTGTTGTAATGATGTGGGTGCCTCAAATGTCTTTTTGAGTAAGTTGGTCAACACTTTTCAGCACTTTTATTGTTACATTCAAGCGATATGTAGAAATTTCATTGGTTCTTGTGCGATTGGATAACAAGGGGAAGCACAGCAGGGCGCAATGCTTCAATTGGGCCCAAGTCGTCATGTTATTTCTGTGTGCCCACTCGACAAACGCCGCCTACGTATCAATCCAAAGCACCTCCAAGGCTTGGACCGAGCAAATGTCTTAGGCGATTAATAATTCGACCGTGATTAATAAGCTCAGGCTGCGCGTTTCTGACGCGTTGACTCCATGCTCACTCACCTCCGCATCTCATTCTGACTTCCGTACCGATCTGCCTCGCTATGTCCGCTAACCCCGCTGCAAGCTCCCATTGATAAAGTGTCGTAGAGCGCGTCTCGGACTGATCAATTGGCATAATTACTCCCTGGCATTTCAATTTGATCCTTATTTCATCATCCACTCACCATGGCCTCTCTCGCAAAGACTATCGTAGGCACCGGCCTGACATCCGGCCTCGTAAGCTCAGGTCTCGCCCATTCCCCACACTAGCTAACCGGCGGTGTACCAGGGTTTCGAAGCTCTCAAGCAGCTGCTCGAACAGGCCCAGCCTTACAAGATTATCCTCGGTGCTAGAAACACATCTAGCACTCAAGCTGCAATTGATGGCCTCCAATTCGACAAGGCAGCCAACGGCACAACTGTCTTGCCGCTGGATTTGTCAGATCTGAAGGGCGTCAAGTCCTTTGCTGAGCAGACGCTCGCTAAGCTGGGCCAGACTAAGATCGATTACTTGCTGCTGAACGCTGCCATCACCAACAGTGCAGAGAAGCCGGGGCCGAATGGCTCCAAATGGTGCGAGGCGTACATTGTGAACCATCTCTGTAAGGCATACACCTGATTCCCATTCTAGAGTCCTCCATCCTGACCTTGGTGCTATAGCACAACATTACCTTGTTCATCTTCTTCGAGAGAAGCTGGTTGAGTCCAAGTCGCGCATCGTGTTCGTCTCTTCGGGTGCGATCCGTAGCGTGCCCGATACTAGTCAGTACCCATTCTGTTGCTCTCCCATGGCCATCATTTCTCACATTGCGCAGGTGTTCTGGACAACGACCTCAAAGGCGGCTCAGGTGTAGGAGGGCGAACCATCTACCCCGAGTCCAAGTTCACGCAACTTCTGGGTGCTCACTGGTGGCGGCGTCACCTCGCTGGCACGAACGACGTCGTTGCGGTTTCGCCCGGCTTGATCCCTGGCACTGGACTTGGACGGGGCAACGGGATGACTTTAAGTACTGACATGCCGGACGCCAAATCCGTCCCGGAAGGTGAGGTCCCTGAGCGGAGGATGCAAGCGAGGACGATGTCGCTAACTTGATGATAGGCGCACAGAGTATTCTCCGCGCACTTACACGCACCGACATACCCGAGGACCCGGAGCGGATTTTCTTGACGAGTTGGGGTGAGTGGTGGGAGAAGAGCGTGTACGAAAACAGCCTGGATAAGAGCCTCCAGGATAAATGGAGCCCCAGCAAGGAAGAGATTGAGAAGGAGGAAGGTATTTTAGCCTAAAGGGTTGGGCATGGAACCGTACCTGTTGTGATTGTGGATTCACAATTATGGTCGTTTTCGACGTTGATGTCTAGCTGGGTATTTGGGCATATGGGAGTACGATGCCAAGAGCTATGGCTCATTCATCAGCCACAAATACAATTGACTTTCGAAAACAGACTCTTGCTCGAGACTTGCGGTGAAAGGTGGCGTTCGTGTGGTGGTTGTCATGGGAAGATGCCCGCTGACTGCGCCGATGTCGTTTGGATAGGATGTGGGATGTTACCCCAAGCTTACGGGACAATGAATGGCGAATATACGAGAAATACGCGGTAGGGATCTTTGAGTCATGGGGAGTAAGTGCCTTGCAACGGGAATCCGCGTACCCCAGTAGCTATATGCACTCGCCGCAGCGCCTCCCCGGTCAGAGACGGAGCAAAATGCAGAGACGAGGCAGCCTGGGATGCAGGGTGATTGAAGGCGATTCTTCACCGGCTTCAAGGCAGGTTTATTGCACATTGGTAGGCGAAATGTGCTGCGGCCAGTGCCCAAGGTTGAAGGCAGCGGGAACCCGCGCCGAGAGGGGTGGTGTCAGCATCTTAAGGCGCGCAGTCAACAACACAGCTATTGGACGGGTTTTGGGAACGCTGGTCTGCGGGCCGAAAGGATGTGTTTGTCCACGCGCGTTGACGCACAAAGCTGGGTTCGGAGGTGTGGTCGAAGTGACTCGGCGGCTGAGAGATGACTCTGGCGGCGAGCGCGCCGTGGCCCCATCGAGGCGTCGTCTTTTCACGCCTCACGATAGCCCGATAGGCGCGTCGTCATATCGTCAAAGGGAGGAGGTGAGGTCGAAGCTAGGGCGTGCCTTGGTGGCATCTCGGATGAATCTGGGCCCGATCTGGGAGTGTCGTCGTCATCGACTGCTGCAGAGATGAACAAGTGGACCTGGATGGATTAGAACAGCGCCCGGAAAATAGTGACTAATCATGCGGTGGGTTGAGGTTCGGAAAGCAGCCAGCAGATGCATGAGAGAATTAGAGTCATTAACAAAGTTGAAGATGTTCTGGGCTGGTTCGATCTGAAGTCGGCAGTGGATATCGTCTCAATCGTGCCCGTCAGCGGCCTGACAGGGCATTGAAGGGCCCTTGTAGCGCATCCCCGTTTGGCAGTGAAACGGCCCGCCACTCCGCCCGCTGATTGGCTGAACGGCCTCGCACTCGCATTCGCACACCCTCAGAGCACCCACCATCCGCCCGCTAATTGCCACCTGGGACACTGGCACCCATCCCTCTCAGCCCTGTAGCAACTGGCCCCCCAGGCGATCGACGCGCTGGAGCACAGCCCCAGGCCCACTGAACAAAGCCGCAACTCAGCACACACGCACACTCTCTTCTATGGGTCGCGAACTGGCCCTTCACCGCAAAGGGATGCCCAAGCGAGTGCGAGTCTAGACCCGCCGTACATGATTCCATCCACACCAGATTGGGTGCAGGGAGCCAAGGCGTATCAGCGACGAGATGTGAGATGCAAGGCAGTCATTCCTTCTTTTTAAGAGAATGCGAGAAGTGTGTGAGTTTGCTCGGCCCATGGTTGTTGCATCCGTGTACATATATCGTGAAGGGTTTCCCTTCCGCTGGTACGACAACGAGATCTCATCTAGATTACCCCCATTGCCGACACAAACATCGGGAGCATCCATCGGAAGGCCACTGCACGGAAACGACTCACTTCCTTTGATCCTCCTTTGCTTCTTAACTTCTTCATCTTACTTTTCTCTTATTTTTCCGATCGCACAATCCATCGTCCATCGACTAATCCAACCTCCAAACCGCCATCATGTCTTCCGACACACAGCTTCCGCATAACGTCATCGTCTTCGGCCCTGATGGCAACTGTACGCTCGACCTTTGTCCCCTCGAATGGAGCGTCTACAAGTATCAGCCCAGCCTGGCCGCAAACATCACCTTCATCATCCTCTACGCCATCGCCATGGGCGTCCACATCTTCCTCGGCTTCCGCTGGCGGGCGTGGTGGTACATGACCTTTATGATGCTCGGTTGCATCGTTGAGATTATCGGATACATTGGACGCATCATCATGCACTACAATCCCTTCTCGTTCCCGGGCTTCATGATACAGATCGTCTTCGTCACAAGCGGCCCCGTCTTCTACACTGCCGCCATCTACGTAACACTGGCCAAGACGTGAGCATACCGATCCTCCCTCCTCCCGGCTGTGCTAACCATAATCCATAATCCAGCATCCAATACTTGGCTCCCGAAGTTTCCCGTATCAAGCCCAAGCTCATCTGGTGGATCTTTATCCCCGCGGACTTGGTCTGCCTGACACTCCAAGCCGCTGGTGGTGCTTTGTCCACCGTGAGCCAAGGCTCCAGCCAGACCGGTGTCGATATCGCCATGGCTGGCCTCGCCCTCCAGGTGGCCGTGCTCGTCCTATTCTGTGTCCTCATGGGCGACTACATGTTCCGATACGTCCGCTCTAAGCCCGCCAACCCCCTCAGCCGGCGTATGCGAATCTTCTTCGGCTTCTTGAGTGCCGCCGTCATTATGATTCTCGGCCGGTGCGCTTACCGATGCTACGAGCTGAGCGAGGGATACCAAAACTCGACTGTCATCACCGATGAAGGTCTCTTTATTGGTCTAGAGGGAGTGTAAGTTTCTCCTGCATGCTGCCCAAGATTCTCTGCTGACCTTTGGAATAGTCTCATTGTCATCGCCGTCTTCTGCCTTTGCATTGGGCACCCCGGCTTCGTCTTCAACGAGAAGGCCATGCGCCTGAACTCACGCCAGACTTCCGATGAAGATACCACATTTGAGACCAAGTGATTTGATTCGTACGATAAAAGTTGGATACTTTATGTTACTATGCTCGCATAGGACTGCGCACTGGACTTAATTTTGTACGGAAACTTCAAATTTGAAGCTACGATCTGTCTTGATAAGCTATGTACCATAGGCGAGCGAATACCCTTTTATTTATGTGACAGCATCAAAACCCACGGCCGAGCTCAGCGGTTGGGTTCATTCATCTCTCAGTTGTCCAGAAGTTCTTCAGTGTCACCCCCGTTCCCTGATTACTTTAACCCCGTCACAGCTCTACCTTGCCAACAGAATCCCATAGAGCCGCTTCCCGGAGCGATTCCTCACACCCGCACCAGCATGAAGTGTCACAGCTGTCGTGTCCCTTATCTCGGAGAAGTCTGCCACTACCATCACACCGATAACTGTAGGGCTGGGCGTGACACCAACCGTGGCCCCAGGCGCAATTCAGCTCGCAGCGATCCTGCGGTCTCGCAACGATCGCCACCGTCTCCGTCACCGAGGGCACCGTCTCCGTCACCGAGGGTCCCTCCAAACGCGACTGCATCCCGTCATCTTGCCGTCTTGCAACGATCGTCGCCGTCTCCGTCGCTGAAGGCCCCGCCAATTGCGACTGCATCCAGCGACAGGTGCAATTGTCCTCACACACGTTGTGAACCCGGTCTTGGACGAGGTTGGAGGTGGTGTCGCAGCGGTAGTTGTACGGCGGGTCTCGACACCAGATCATGCCTGGGTAACACGATGCCACGTGTAGGATTGGGACTTTCGAGTCATGTATGTTGGAGGAGTTATTCTCGGCTGCCACAAGGGTGAATAAAACTACTCTTTGGTCAGAAAAACAGTCGCAGATGGTGCGAACGGGTGCTCACTGAAAATGAGGCTCTTCATGATGGTGGATGTTGATGGTGGATGTTGATGTCGTAATGAGCGACGAGTGGCGCTGGGGTGGTGATATTATCTTGACGCAGAGTCGATTATCATGGAAAGAGCTGAGCACCAGCTTCTTGGAAACTGGGGCATGCCTTCCATTTATTCGAATGGGAAGTTGGCAAGCACCCGACGCAGCGTTCCGTAACGATGCCGCGACGCACATTCAGTGTTAGGAGCAAGGGCCTAGCACGCCATGCGTTGAAGCTTGCTTGCAACCACTCAATGCTTTCACATAGGACCCGTTCTTTGCGACTATCATCAAAGTTCGTCCGTAGGCCACTTGGGGGCCTCAATGCTGGTTGACGTATTATCAGGAAGGAGTTTCCGGGTTGCCAGTTCTAGAATCCATCGAGCCACCTCAGCTAGAAGCATTCAGATATGCCCAAGCTGTACCAGCCTGCACTACGCGGTGCAATATGGATCAGCCTGGTTTGTTGCCGCGGAGTTAGGTCACAGATGAGAGCCTCCTGATCGTCCACTGTCAAGCCAAGGTGGCTGACAACCAGTGTAACCTCTTCACCTGCAAAGCTGCAGTTGTGCGCCATCAGTGATCAACAGTGGAGGGTTGTTGTGGATGAATTTGGTGACCAGCGTTTGGCCTTGTAAGGAGGTGGTTAGAATGCTTGTAGGACAGTCGCAGAGTTGAGTCAGTCGAGGTGTCGGAAGATGAAGCGTCGTCTCGGAGCTCTGAGGGTGGCCAAGACGCCTCTCCTCCAAGAACAGTTGATGCAGTTTTGGGGTGGAATCTCCAAGCAGACGTATCAACAACAGCACCAGAACGCCCAGGGAAGCCATAGGAAACTGCGCGCCTCTGAGGTGCCAACCGTGCTCGCGGGGGTTCGTTGAGGCTAACATGCCATCCAAGCGTCCGCCGTAACCGAGTTGATCGATCTTTGCAGTCCAGGATCTCCTTCTTCAGCCGCTGCGATTGGGTCTTTGAGTAGGGCCGGTGACCTGAGAAGCCGTCGTTTGCTGACGAGAAGCGCTGTCCATAGCACGAGAACCAGGACGCCGGGGAAAACAGCGCCGATGCACCATGCGGGCGTACACCAAAATGTACCCTTTGCAACCAATATCAGGACTCCAAGGGCATTCAAAAGCCCAGCGAGTCCAAGAAACTCAGCGGCCATTCGGATCTCTCCGTTCTGCATCCCCGGGTCGACGTCTGCAAAGACACGCATGCATTCCGGAACTCGAAGAAGATCCTGGCACTGGCGACCCAATCGGACAACCGTGTCTCGTCGTCCGACAATGTGTTTGTCGATGGCGATCACACAGAGTGTGAGAAAACCTCTCAGGATGATATTGAGGCATAATTCCCCCATGCACTCCTCAGCCATGTTTTCGACGATGAGTTCAGTGCTGGCGCTTCGAGTAGGTGGTTTGCGAGGGCGTGGTTATTGACGAAGAAAAGGAATAACGAAGACGAACAATTTATTAGGGAGGATGGTTTTGGAGAGGGAACCATTGCCAGAATATTGCCTCTACCGAACCTTTTATCTCCAGGCATCACCCAACGGAGATGACTCTCCCAACCTTAAGCATGTACCAAAGGGTTGCTTCCAGTAGGGTTCGCTCAGCCCCCGTCCCTTGGTTTCTTTCTCCGGATATTTTTGCAGGGTGCACAACACGTTATTCAGTCAACACACGATGCTCGACGACTAAGACTTGGCGTGCCGGAGAAATTGCATGGCGAAGAGCCGCAGGTTCCTCACCCAAGCGGCTGCCAGCCAGCCAGGGACGCTGAACTTGCACTAAGCTTCTACCCTAGGTAGGTACCTAAGGGACCCAAGGTACCTACCTAAGGTAAAGAAAAATAAGGTAAGGTAAGTACTTGCCTTAGGTAGGTGAATACCAGCGCACTGTCCCTCCAACCCAGACTGCCCGGGTGGTTTCCAGACCCCAACACCATCACTCTGAGCACCCAGAAGAAGAGGCCGTCCAAACTGTCAACCACGAAGAGCATCAAGCGAACTCCGAAAGCTCCAGCCCACCGTTAGGAGTCCAGTGAAGTTGGGGACACGGATGGGGAAGATGGAACTGCTGAACAGGAGACAAACAAGAGCAACAATCCTCCCCGGAAAGCTCAGCCCCGTCGACAAAGGAAGTCTCGCAAAGGCAAGGTGGAAGAAACCGAAGATGATGAGTTCTATACTGAACCTGGCGAGGAGCTTGAGAAGAAGTTCCATGACGAAAACAAGCAGGCGAGGATCAGGGAGGCAATAGAACTTAAAGGCGGCTACCCAGGTAAGGAGAGATGGCATTTGTGGCTGACTATCGTCCTGGAGTGCTTTAATAGAAGGGGCGCTGTGAGCTGAGTGGCCTTGCCGTGGCCATTCGAGGTCATTGTCTCGGCGTGATAGGGCAGCAGCAAGTTCCAGGCCATCTCCTTCCTCTAACATAAGTTGCTCCAACAGTTCATATCCGCGTTGGTTCAAAATCAGCTCGCCTCCCACCGCTTCGCCTATCGATGATCCAGATCACCGACCGCCGTTCCCGATCCTGATCCCATTTCCACGTTCATCGCGTTCAGCCACTACACGAACCCTGACAGACGCGAGCAAACAAAGCTATGGACGGCAGTGGAGCTCCACAACCTGCGGAAACGGATCACCCTCGCCGAGCAACGACATCAACGTGTCTCCACCAAGTGTTGCAGTTTCCTTCAGGCCATCACAGCTAACAGAATTCCATGGAAAGTTGGGTTGTGCTGGCACGGAGGTGGTTAGTAGAGTGGGATGAAGAATATCTCGGTGGGATGCTCGGACGAGATCTGGTGAGATGATCGACCGCGGCACAATGGGATGAGCTCGGAACTGTGGCTGGACGGTGGGGAGCAATACTGCATAATCTCCACAAGCAGTTGTCGCAATGCATGATGGACATTCCTCTCGGGTCTGACCACGGCAAGGGACCTGCGAGAATGTTGGCAGACTACCCCAGATGTTTGGGCGCCGAATCATCGCCTCTGAGCGTGTTTTCACGTTTGGCGATCGTCCAAACCTCTTCTAGAGGCTCAAGGTGGTAGAGCCAATTCCGATGCCACCCGTGGCACCGATCGAACGCCCGCTGTTGAGGAAAGATATGCGAAAGCATAGAAAGGCGTTATCTAAGTCATCGCTTGGATCCAACTATCCGGACACGAGGGAGGATCCGGCCCGAATACTCGTTAGAATGCGGATGGAATGTTCAGTTGTTAATAGTCAAGTGGAAAAGCCTCATTGTTGAGCGATAAATCGTGCCTCGGGATGTCTTTCGCTGTTCATTTATTATGAATTGGACAATGTTGTCGATGTCAATCTCGCAGCTCATCGCGCCACTGATTTCACTGAGCCGCATTTAACATGAACATTGTTTTCCAAGGATCATGAAGAGGAATCGTTTCATTAGGTATGATCGTTTATGGAAGGAAATATACTCTGTTGAGCCTTTACGCCAAAGAGGTATCCAACGGACCCGTCTGGCTTAACCTGGAACATGCATCAAAACGGTGCCTCCAAAGGGTCAAGGTTGGTGTATGGCGCTTTATGAACTTAGTTCCCATCCCTTTTTCTTTCTTCTTGCATGGCAGGTTCAAATTCTCGTAGAAAAAAGGCTACGTAATCTATTCTAACATCTCCAAAGATGAGTCTGGTTGAATTATGTGTTGTCCTCAATCGCAATATGTATCGCGTTCAGACTCTGCTGGTACTTCTTCGTCTCCGTAATTTCCAGTTCCCTTCATCTCAAACGGATCGCGTTCAAGAACGAGTTGTAAGATGATGCAGAATAACGCAAATCCAAAGCACATTGTCAACAACCCAAGTAACTGGGTAACGAGCCATCCCCAGGCACCGTTGACTGCAACCCAAGCAGGAAATGCAATAAATCCATAGACCCCACCAACGGACATTGGTGTAAGGAAGAATACGGCCAAGACTTTCCATCCCACGAGAGTTCGTCGGAATCGGTAGGCGAGCGCAGTCGCAAGAAAAACGCCCACGGAGTTTGTGGCCATCCACCACCAGGGGAACATATTAAGGACAATAAGTGGCTGGTTTCCGTAGTAGTGGTAGACTCCCATCGGCAGGAGAATCTCTTCGATAATGAGATCAGAGCCCATCATCAGGCCAAGAAACCACCACAGATTTTTGGTTGCTGTCTTCTTCTGCAGGAGCTCGAGCTGAATCTGCATTAAGGAGCCGTATCCAAACCAGATGGGGATCCATGGAGGCATTTCACGACCTATGATATGGAATGAGGCGTTTTTCTCTGTCCACGGATAGTAAATACAACCCAGAACGTCGATAAATGTTTCTGGGAATGCGATCATAGCACCACTAAGTGGTAGAATAAGTGGTAGAAGCGTTCGAGAACGGCGAGCATCCCGGGCTCCAAGAACAACCGCAAGTAGTCCAGTAGCAGTCATCAATACCATGCATATGATGTTGTTGGTTTGGGAATATGTGAGCGTGACCGGAGGGCGAGGTACATCGAAAATGGGGTCTATAGTGAAGTCGACACTCCCCTCTTCAGGTTGTTTGCGAAAATAGGAGCCCACCAAGGCGATGGAGGTGACCAATATTGTCGGAAACAGTGGCTTTTTAATTATGCCTATTAATGTTGTGCTTTTAATCGCTTCCATCGTGAGGAAAGGTAGAAGGAATTGTGTCGGTGAAAATGGAGTAGTATATCAGAACAATGCCATTTGAGAATTAGAATAGATAGGTAGGTAGGTATTTATAATTGATGATTTCACGCAATCCGCCCAAAGCCGTAGTTTCCATTATCTATCTTTCAGGGTCAACACCGAAGAGTTCCGAATGTTTCGATTTGATCATGCCCCCACCGAGCTCGGCGCCGACCTGCTCAACATGGCTACCCGCCAAATTCTAGTCTGGCTCCCTCCCTCGATTGTAATAACAACCCCTTCTTTTGATCCACTGAAATAACGGTGAGATCCGACGTGTTTCGATTTTTGATACGCATCTCCACAGAACTAGGAGCCAAATTCTGCAAGATCCTCTGCATGCCCAGTTCTGCCCTACCTTCGAGGTTTCACTAGTGCTCTGTCGACTTTCTCAAGGGTTATGATACCGAGCTTTTCTCATATGTATCATTCCATCGTACCATTTTCATATAATCAACTGACAGATTGGCAAAAAATGCAAGAAAAAACTCTTGCAATAGGTACAAATTAATTTATAATTTGGGCAACACTGCGGCACCACGTCCAAATCGCCATCATGGCCTCAGCTAGGAGACTAAAGCTACTTTTTACGAAATATTTATAAAAGATGATCTCTTAGGCTCTTTAGTGTCTAGATGTACAGGCGCGCTGAGAGAAGGCAGGGAGGCTGCAGAAAGATGATAGATGGCTCCGGCAATGCATCAAGATCCGCCTGGCCATTGTTCCTCATGTGATGTGAACTCACACATTTGGCGTTTGCGGGATGTAGCATTCACATGCTGTCCCGGCACTCAATCTGATGATTAAAAAGATCGAAAATTGGTTTATTAAGCTGTAGTTAACATTAAGTGCTGGGGAGCAAGTATGTGAGGTCGCTATTCCGGGCGGGGCTTGTGTCGGTCTTCGGGTTGTCTCTGAGCGACAATGTTAGCCGTGAGAAATACGCCGCCCCTCAAACCGTCCGGTGACGACTTCGGGTGGGGAAGATTCAATCCATCAACGTCCGGATTATGACCGGGGATTCGTTGCGGGAATCACGGTCCGATTGTTGGTGGGATTATTTGGGGTGCAATCTTCCCCTCACTTGCCCTTCCCCTCTTCGATTTCAACAAATGAGACTCACCTAAACACCACCAAGCAAAACGTCCAACGGCCATCATGCCCTCCAAGCCGTCTTTCGATTCTCTTCCTCTCCGCAAGGATGGGCCTCATGGCAACGCCTGGGGTCTTTTCGGCGATGACGATGAATGTGGCATGCTCAACCTCCTGACTCCAGAGATTGTCGCAAAAGCTGCGTCGGAGATTCGCGATGGGACGCGCGTGTCCACGGACTGGCCGCTTGATCGTATGTCGAAGCCTTGTTTCGGCCGCGCGCCTTTCGCGCATACCATCAAGACCAAAACTCCCCGTTCTGTCAACGACGACTCGTTGACGTTCAACACGCAGAGCAGCTCTCAATGGGATGGGTTCCGGCACTATGCGTACCAGAAGGAGAAGCTATGGTTCAACGGCAAGACACTTGACGATCTCTTGAAAACCAGCGCTATTGGCACACAAGGTGAGAAGCCTTGCTAACCTCAGGTATGACATCCGCTGACCGATACTAGCATGGGTTGAGAAGGGAGGGATTGTCGGTCGCGGAGTGCTCCTTGATTATGCTGCTTGGGCAGATGCCAAGGGTATAACCCCAGCTCTGTTCGAAACGACCCCAATCCCCGTGTCAACTCTGAAAGAGGTGGCAGCCAGCCAAGGTACGACATTTCAAGAAGGCGATATTCTATTCATCCGCACAGGTTGGGTTCGTGGGTACAACAAGCTCTCCGACAGCGAATGCCAAGCGTTGGCAGACAAAACTTCTCCACCAGCAATCGGAATCGAGTCCTCGGAGGAGACTCTGCGATGGCTATGGGATCAATCCTTTTCAGCCGTTGCGGGTGACCACCCCAGCATGGAGGCATGGCCCTGCCAAAATCCAGATTTCTGGCTGCACGAGTGGCTCCTAGCAGGATGGGGAATGCCCATTGGCGAACTCTTTGACTTGGAGCAGCTGAGTAAAGAATGCAAGAAGCGAAACCGGTGGTCGTTCTTCTTCTCCAGCGTGCCTCTCAAGGTTAGTGGTGTGGCTTGTTTTGGGATTAGAGCGCGGGTAGCTAACGAAGATCAGGTCCCTGGAGGTGTGGCCAGTCCTCCTAATGGAGTGGCTATCTTTTAGCCAGGATTAGACCCATGAATACCTGAAGTCTTCCTGTCGAGACACTGTCAGAACTAGCTTCGGTAAAGTGGTATCTACTCGGACGTTAGGTTGCAGGCGTGGGAGTCCAGGCCATAATTTGACTATCAGGTATTCGAGGATTGATAGAATTAAATCCAAGGTCGAAAAATCACAATATTACTTCTCGTCAGCCATGACAAAAAGAAGCAGCGAGCGTTGGTCTTGAAATCAATAATCGAAGAGTTTTCTGTCGGACCTCGAAAGCAATAGTCATAGAAAGTAGTAGGATGGGAACATCACATGAAGAGGAGAAATAAAAACATGAGAGTGACCAGGAATGAATGCTTTCTCCATGATCAGGGGGGAAGCAAAAATAGTGGAAAGTGCAAAAAAGAAGCACTTCTCAATCATGATATGGTGTTTTATAGGAACAGCCCGATGCGGGGGTCGAACCCGCAACCTTGAGATTGTGTACTCGTAAGAGTCTCACGCTCTACCGATTGAGCTAACCGGGCGTGCTTGCCCGGGCTTATGGCCCGATTGTTGGAGAGGAGGGTCGCTATTTTGCATTGTATATCTCTAACGAAGAGGATCACCAAATATTACCATCCCTGCTTGTACCAGTTCTCATCTTGTTAATTCATGATTTATGAAGGTCAAGATTCTGCTTGTTTGGGGAAATTCTTATCATCCGCTGCCTGCAAGGCTGTTAGAAATGAGAGGCTGGCCTGTCTGGCATGGAAATGATAGAGTGGTTGGCGTCGGTCTCAATAGAGTATTTACGAACGGTAGTCATTGAGGCCATTAAATCTCAGCTAAGAAAAGGAGATAACAACCACCGTGATACGGGGCTTCGTAAAGTTACGACAGCTTAAATACCGCTGGTAGCGTCTGGTGCGTCGTTCAGCATCGTTAGGCATGCAACAACAGAACTTTGCAGGGGAGGACGATTTCGTCGCATTTCGAGAGAAGCTATTGCCTAGAAAATAGGAAGCACGGAGACACATATCAGCCTCGCGAATGGGTGCTTGATTTTGTCATGATCCATCCTGACTGCGGGCACAGCCACTTCCCAATGAATCGCTCCCTGTCCTTGTCGCAACCCTGCAACTTTGAAGCAGTTCCTTAAGCAGCACTGATTTTAGTCACCCTGGTGTATACATACACCTTTATACGAGAATTGGAGGCCAAGGCCCCATGAGATTCAACAAACATAGCATCCAGGCGTATGAAACTTTTCGTTTCGACTTGACTATCAAGCAATTGTCAACATAAATCTGCTGCTATAAGCCCAACCACAAGTAGACAATACCACGAACCACTTTCTTCTAAATCTGCCCCCTTAATTGGCTTCAATGATCATTCTCTTCCGAATTGAATACTTTTTGGTTCCAACCTCAGCCTCAATTCCCTTTGGTCCCCCGAGCAGATGTCAAATTCTTTGACTCAAGCCACTTGATGATTGTCTCGGCCATTTCCATTGGCTTGTCAACCGGCATAAAATGAATCGAATCAAGCTCGACATTGGTCAAATCCGGAACCGCAGTCTTGGCCTCCTGTGTCTCATATAACGCTGCCGGACCCAGAGGATCATTTCTCCCGGAAATATGCAACAAGGGTACTTCAACCTTGTCTGCGGCCGCTGGAAGTTTCTTCTCAGCTTCGTATTGTGTGCCATTCACATACGCCTGGTACCACATGAGAGGGGACACGAGTCCATCGCCCCCGAAGGCTTCCTCCACAGTCTTCAGCATGTTAGGGTCGCGAGTAGTAAATTCCAACAGTGTGCGCCTCTTATCCCCAAGCAGCCAATTGCGAAGCGAATCCTTGTAGCCGAATGTCTCCTTCATAGCCCCGGCATCGCCGTAGCCCGCAGATATGAAGCTCTCTATATGACCCGAGATGAGTGGTGCTGCCTCTGAGCTGGCGAGGAAGGCGTAGTACCAGCCGAGAGGGAATCCAACGAGCTCTTCCCGCTCCTCTGCGATCTGGGTAATATTGATAGGCTCACGGATCGGTGGTTGGTAGTAGTAACCAGACAAGACGACGGCATCGACTTGTTCCGGGTAGTACAGATAGTACCTATGAGCGAGGTAGGATCCCCAATCGTGGCCGATGGGTATGACCCTCGAGACGTTTTCGAAAGTCAAGATTTCGGCAAGATCGCTCGTCATGGCGTCGACACTGAATGAGGACACGTCCCAGGGCTTAGAGGTGCCACCGTAACCGAGAAGGTCCGGTACCAGAATACGAAGGCCAAGGGTCAAGAGGTATGGAATGAGGGCTGCCCATGTCCCCGAAGTTTCTGGAAAGCCATGGAGGAGTAGTAAAGCAGGTTGATCGAAAGCAGCGGTCTCATTACTCGGTGCGCTGGCGTAGTAGGCATATTGGAGTGACCGCGAGTTGATGAGCTGTTTCTGAACTAAAAAGTCCATTTTAGAATCGACTGTATGGCAGGTGCCAAGATAATCGATGAGAGAGAGATCAGGGGAATGCAAAGGAGCGGTCCCAATGTTTGATCGTGTTGTGCCGGACGATGGTTAGGACTCTACCACTGAAAGGGTAAACGAGGGACTTTTATACCACCGACACACGATAAATCATATGATGCCAATTGCTAGGCTTTGGTAATTTAAGTAAGAAATCGGACAGGTTACTCATAGGTCCGGGAGGGAAACTTGTACATAATCCGAATAAGCAATAAAAGGACCCATAACACAAACTAGACATGGTTCCCGGAGGCTTTGTAAAAGGCCAATGTTCAAATAATCAATGAAAGGGCCCACAACACAAAACAGGAGTTTCTCTACTTGGCTAGGCACTCGGAGGCTTTAAGGAAGAAGGGGGGGGCCAACTCCAGAGGCTTTGTCAACCCCTCAGGTAATAGTCAGTGAGATCATCCGGTTGTTCAACGGTAGGCAAGCCCGGAGCAAGTCCGTAGCTAGATAGTCCAGTATGACGTGCTTAGGATGGCCGCTATAATCATACTGACAACCTTCGACTTACAGTCGCTCCCACTTGATGCAGAGCATGTCTCCAGGGTAGGCTTCGGCTGAATCGGCTCGGTCTCCACCTTGAACACACCCTGGAGCTGTCATTTTTCGCGAGCATGTTACCAAACCAGTGCGACTGATAGCGCCCGTGTCCGCTAACAGCAGGGAGTGGGCCACACCCTGGCGCTAAACCCCGCGAACACGGGCTCGTGGGGCTGTGTTCATGACGAGCACCGCCGTAAGCAGCCCGCTGGCAGCTGAAGCTCCAGCAGCGTCATTGCCAACAACCTTCGTGTTTACTCTCCTCTTCTTCTTTGCTTCTCCTCACTCGCGCGCTCCGCGACATGCTCCCTGCGCCGCGTCGCCAACCGCCATGACACATCGTCCACCATGTGAGTTGTCTCCTATCGTCCTCCACCTCTGCAAGCTGACCGTCTCAGGATTGAGCCGTCAATCCGTATCCGCCGAGCCATCCACGCCGACGATGCTCCCCTCCTCCGCCGCATCCTGAAGTCCCACCCCTCGCTCATCCACAACCCCGACCCGTCTCCCTTGGGCCTCTCCAACTCGAACCTTCACCTGGCCGCGTCACTGGGCCACCGCGATATCTGCGCCGTGCTCCTCGACCTCGGCCACGAAGATCCTTGCCCCGCCCTCAACGAGAGCCACCAGACGGCCCTGATGCTCGCGGCTGCCGGCGGCCATACCGAAGTCGTCCACCTGCTGTGCGAGAAGGACAAGAGCTGCATCATCCGCCGGGACATCCGAGGCCGCGATGCCGTCATGGAGGCCAGCCTCGGCGGACACGACACCATCCTCCAGCTGCTCTTGACCTTCGTCCCTGGCGGACCATACGACGCAGTGCGCCGTTCCGACGTCGAGGGCAACACGGCCCTGCACTTTGCCAGTGGAAACGGGAACTTGCTGGTGCTGCGCACGTTGCTAGCCGCGGGCGCCGACGTGGAGAAGCGCAACATCTGGAACTGGACGCCTGCTGCATACAGCGCCACTGTCCAGGCGGAGGTCTATCTTAAGGGACTGGTGTCCGAAGTTGGAAAGCGGCGGCAGTTGAAGCGGGAGGCTGAGGCGTCCAAGAAGGGAGCTGGAGTCCGCGTTGTCGAAACGAATAGCGATGATGAATAAGCCTATCACTGGTTCCACTTGGAAGCTGGGAGAATAGAGGCTGGGCCTGGTTGGGATTGTTTGTCTCCAGCATATCTGAATCACCGCCACCAAATGTTGAGTCGCAGCACAGAGATGACCGGAGTCCGCGTGGTGTCCGCTTGGCCTTCACTCTGGAACACTCTCCCCCAACGCCACACCGCAATCACCACCTTTACCACTCAGTCATGGCTGCAGGGCAGCACTGGACTACCCTTTAACTGATGAACTCATGACATATTTTAGCCTTGCGATGCTGTTTACTCAATCAACTGCTTTCAGAGTTCCTTGTGATCTTTTTGATGGTCCGTTCTGTCATGTTTGTGATTTCGGACCGTGGACGATAACAGGGAATGACTCTTGATTGCGCCGCCGAGTGAGAACTGCTCCGATGTACAGTGATGAGCCGCCACGAGAGACTTCCCGTCAATGATATGTGCTCATGCTGTCGCAAAACATGATCAGCAGCCGCAATCGCCGGTCTGGTGCCAAGCACCGCGTGCCGCGACCGACATGGAAACCTCCAATGCCGTGGGCAATCTTATTCTGCGAGCCCTTCTCGTTACTGCTACTCGCCCGATGATCTAGATCATCCGCTGATGGTGTCTTGAATCACCCTGACATGTGAGGTTCCTGGCGTCGCGTGCGTTCTTCGATGGCGGGAAATCACTGCCCTGGAGGCTCACAAGACTCTGGACCGGACGACAATAATGGAACTACGTCTCTCATGGGGGACTACTTCAACATGTCGTCGCACCTAATCGCTCTGTCCGCTCTGCAAAGGTTCACTCTCACTCCCGGCCGTCAGTCCCCAAAGCACTGCCACGACGAGTTCCTCCGCATTTAAAAGAGCCCACGTTAGCCCGCCGCGAAGTCTTCATGTCCGGCTCGGGCCGCCCAACTTACAGGACAATTGAGGTTGAAGCCGGGGTTCTTCCCCCGCCGGCCACGCGGCTCGTCGTAACTCAGCACTTCCGGGCCTCCCAAGATCCCCCCTTCTGGGCCTGGATCATCGTGGGGGCTTTCTTCGACGAGGAAGACAACATCATCTGGAGCACAGAGGTATTTGCGGGTCACCTCGACATTCAAGTGGAGTCGGACGACGAGAGTGACAGCGACGAGAGCAGCGCGTCAGAGACCCAGGTTGGACAGGACAATAGGGAGGGCCCCTATTCAGCGTCAGGTGGGTTCCTGATTCCGTGATGTTGAAAGCCTTGGCAGTTATCGACTGCTACTTTTCACTATATAACTGATCATGCCTAGCCGTTTATTCTCCTGATCCTGAAGTTTTTGATTACTACGCTCACGAATCTTACGACGACGACGACGACGACCTGTATCATCAACAGCGATACACGATCCAGCAGGACTTCGACCACTTCTCGATAAACTCTTCCCTCACCCCCCCTTTGGCTTGGGATCCGACTCGTCAAGGGCCTGTCCCAGGATACTGGCAAGCTTCGTATAACCCAGCCCTCCGCCGTTGGGTTCATACCTGGCAGCCCTTTTGTTAAGTTCCCTGCCCAGAGCCACTCTCCTTCGTTGAACATTCCCATCACCTTCCTCGCAATGACTAGCGGCTGGAATCCCATCACGGGGCGAGACTCCACGGGCACTCGCCCGGCCTTCGCCCCTGCTGGAGCGCCTCTCCCGATCCAGGGACAAGCCTACATCCCTCACTTCGGAGGTCCCGGCTACAACTTTGGCACCATCCCGCAACAGACAATCCCCCAGTACGTTAGTGGGTTCGGCAGCGTGATGATGCCCTCCAACCCGTTCGCTGCCCCGTCTCCCTACAGCATCCCGGTGCAGGGCGGGATTGGTGGGTTCCAGAATCAGCAAGTCTTCTCCCACCAGCCCAACGGCACGGGCAACATCTTCACTCGACAGCCGCAGCCATGCCCCGTCATCGACCCCGAGATGCCGGCCGCGCAAATGACAAACTCGTCGGGCGGCGTGGGCTGCGAGCCCGGCTACAACTACTTCTTCCCTGCGAGCCATACCAAGGTTCACGTCTTCCGATCGTCACGCCCCCCGTGGCAGCTGCCTGGCAACACCCACCTCCAGTTCAACGCGGCGCACATCCCCTCGAACACGACGCTCGAAGACTTGCTCAAGGGCTACGGCTGCACCAACCCGACGCCGAAGAAGAACCGGTGCTTCGAGTTGGTTAGCGCGGGCAATGGGAAATGGTACAAGGGGTTCAGCTTTGGCGGAGATGACAAGGACATGATGAAGAAGACGTTGGCGGATATCGGATGGGACAAGTCGCGGACGGGCAATGTTGACGAGAAGCCCATCGTCTGCCTTTGGTTCTGCAAGAACTGAGCTGGCTTTCAACAACGATCATGGGACCATTGTCTCGCCTCTGACAAAGGCATTGTTGTTCTTGGGCGTTCTTGGGGAAGGGGGTCTTGGAGGGAGTTTACAGTGGTTTTACTGCGAGGAGTTGAGGGAATGATGGTCTTCGGCTGGGAAAACGGCAGGCTCCTGCGATACTTTGCTATGATACCTTGAGGGATAGCTATCTTGAGATTGAGCATTTTGATTTTAGCCTCTCGACGTGACTCGCGGTACTGCATCGGCGTTCATCTTGCAATTAGTTTGTTCATGTCACCATGTTGCTGCTAGAAAGAGATACAATGTCGCTGAAAAGACACATGGCTGCCCAAAAGTGACCTCATTGTCACATCATTGTAAGTGGGTGGGACCTTTCGGTGAGGCCGAGAGACTGATTCCACTTGCGCATGTTCCACCCAACTCCGCCCGGCCCGTGTGTAGTTCTGGCCTCGCTCAGGAGACTCGATGATGCGGAATGTGTCATCTCTTTAGAAAAAGACGCATTTTGTTTGTGGTTCGTTTCAGTCGAGCAAGTACTGCGAGGTCCTCCTTGCTGACGGCAAGTTGACAGCCGAGATTCGAAAGCTGAATCCCTCGAGTAAGCCACTCCGCCGACCCTGCACAGGGTAACCCGAAAGGTGCATCAATTAGGCACCCGTTTAACGAAATCTGGGGTAGAATTGACTTTCTTATCTTGGGATGGCTGATTCTTTGTGCTCTTACATGACATGACCGCCTCAGACTCCCTAGGGGCTGGCACAAATGCGCCTTGGGCAAAGGCAATGCAAGCAGTAGGCCAAAAGAAGACCTAGAGAATTCAATAGTGCCATTGTTGGGCATATACGCTAAAATAATCACGCATGATAGGAATCGGCGGAGATTGCAGAGAGAGGTGGCTAGACCGGCTGATGAAGAGCTTTTCAAACAAGTTGCGGTTCGCCACCACACGACACTTGCGTGATCGAGACCAATTGGCCTCCCAACCTTCCCAGTTGACAAGGAGTAATTCAAGCCATCGCCAGCAGCAGTCTGAGACCCTGTATCAGAAGTGCTAGGATAGAGGTCATATGAGGCTCAAAATTTTATTTCATTCTTCTCCTTGCAAGGATCGCGGAAGTGGGGAGTTTAGTGGCATGAGGAGAAGGCTGGGTTCGCAACGGCCTCGAACTCGAACTCGAACTCAATTGGGCTTCGGCAATTGACGGTGCAGATGCATGATGTCACCGGGGTATAAATGCACAGGGGGGATGAGCTGATTCCCTTGGTATCGGACTGTGCCAATCAACTCTTCCTATACGTCTGAATTACAAGTTGCAACCCTCACAAGACAACGTCTTGGCTCTGCATCCCGGCCCAGTAGAACTTCTCATGCAGGCTCTTCCCCAACCCGCAACTAACACAATCCCCACAACTCCGCACATTGCCCCCACAAACCCATGCCATGAGCACAGTCCGGCTCTAGGCAGCAGAATAAACAGAATTGGAGAGGTGCAAAATGTCGTTGCCTGGAGGTGGATGAGCAGGGGGCCAGTGGGGTGGGATGCAACGTAGTGCGGCTCTCGACTGGGATCTAGACCGGCCGCCACTGACTAGTGTGGGAGTTTCCGTTTCTTGGAGGTGGAGATGGAGCTGGGAAGTGCCAATGAGCAGAGACATTGGGAATTGTGCGGTGTGAGTTGGGAGGAGCCATTGACGCTCAACTCTCTCTGCGAAATGGTCTAGTGAGAGTGTAGCACGCGGGGTTTAATCCGGGGCTGCATCGTGGTGCCCGCAACCGAGTTAGATTCTCAAGATGCAAGCCAATAGATCCCGGGGAGAATTCAGGAGGGTTACAGTTGGATTGCCAATCGTGGCCGTGCAAGATTCACAACCATAGTAGGGAATCCCAATGGCGAATTGTACATGAATACTGACGTGGATAGTGAGTGGACAATGGCCCTGGATACCCCGGAGCTTCTAGAAAATCAAACTCGCGGCAAGTTGATCCATCTGAATCCTTAATCCTGACTCCATCGTGGAGCGTCGTGTGGGGGTTGCAACCACGCGATAGCGACCAGGGCCCCACTAGCTTACATACGACGGACTAGGGAACACCGCTATGGCTAATACAACACATTCGATGCTCTAGTCTGCGTCAATTGTATGTCCTTCATGATGGTGTCTCGTCTACGTTACGGGCTTCGGTTTGGGGCACCCCGGCTTATCGCCCCAGTCGACCCCAAGGTTCGCCCACCTCGCCACCCATGATCCATCCCTACCGCACCCCGACTACGGCCGAGTGCTTGCGAGGTTTTGGAGGCCGGGGAAAGGTTCAAGGATCAATGAGATACTCCGCCGTTTTCGGATACAAGGTTCGCTGTGTTGTTCTCGTGATTCAACGGCTCGGCGTTGGAAAGGAGATGGTCGGCCAAATAAAAACTTAATGTTATCAATTCTGTTGAAAGCATGTTGATATCGCGGCAAGACGCTCTTGTCCTAGACTGGAAACATCTTAGACAGTAGTGAACACCACGCTGGACTCCTCGCATGAGTTTTCGTTCACCGTGTTGAGCCTCAGGGACTATGACATTGGTGGCTTGTGCAATGCAACCCAACGGGCTCCCTTGATCGGGTGGAGGCAATATGCACAAACGGAGCCGAAGCCGGGCACGCCTTGCTGCAACAGGTCTCATATTACTGATGCTCTGTCCGCGATGGAGGGGGGCGTGTGTAAAGCAAGGAGCCAAGAGGGTTGCTCTCTCTCACCCGCCTTTTCCCCTCCTTTTACTCCAACAAAACAAGGATGCCACCAAGTGAGCTTATTCACTGGAACCAATGGCTTCTCTAGATCACCTTGTCCAAGCCAAGTCTGCCGTTTAGACTCGTCAATCGCGCGTCGTCCAGTGCCAGAAATGACTCAAGCGTCGGATCCGCGAGAGACGTCGGGCGGGCCAAGGACGGCGACGGCGCACGCCAAGTCTGCGATTTTTATTCTGCTGCCTTGAGCTCGCGCTTGCTGAGAAGGGCAATTCGAGGTTCGATCCATGCTGCTCGGCCCCGTCAAGCGCAGTGACGGGCGGGAATAAGTGAAACCCGACGAGATTGCCCAGAGCACGATGATTCAGGGACTGGGCTATGGCAACTTGTTGGAGCGAAAGACTGAGCGCGGGCGGACTCAAGACACATACGGTAATGGGATGTCGATCAGACGTCGACGGAAAGGAATAGACGTGCAGCTAGAAGAGTGTTTGCGTGCGATCAACACTCGGATCTGGAGTCATCGTGTAGTAGGGACGGGAATGATAGTTTAGAGGGCACCGTTCCCGATGCAATACCACCACACCGTCTGCGACTCTACACTTCGAGATAGCGCTGAGCGAGGCCAGTAACAGTAGCACCACAGAGCACACATGTGCCATCCATCTAGACGAAATCGTGCGAGCCTCCCTCGCGCCCCGGGGACTCCTCCTCGCACCCCGGGCCTTGGCTCCATCGGGCCCCCGGTCGCTCGGCGCATGGCCGAACGTCCATTCACAGGGCTCCGAATTCTGCTGCCTGCGCCGGTGGTCCATCTGCTTGTCTAACTGTGGGATTCTCTGGTGTGACCGTTTTTAGCTCGGGCGTCTCAGCTCGATTGTGGCGCGTGAGAGTCGAGATTCCCAGCCCTCATCCGGCGACGGCGCTGAAATGCTCCATGGCCATGACTTGGTCTGTTTTCCCGGCGAAGCGCGGCATCGGACGACACCCAATTTGCCCAATCTTGCCATGAGCGTGAGCAGCATCTCAGGGCTACCCAACCAAGGCCTGCCGCGATGTGCAGAATCCAACCCGCTTTCGTTGTCGGGCGGCTTGCCAAGACAGCCTGGAGAGGCGGCATCTGGCCGCGAAGTACCGGAGCTGCTAACACGATGCGCCTGAGACCAACGCGCGCGGCGGTTAGCGACCGCGAACCCTGGCGCTATCGGCCCGAAAGCTTCGATGTGCCGAGACCAAGCAATCAAGGATTGCGGAGACTTGGGTGGGAGGCCATTTGTGGCGGACATGGGGGTGTGTGTTAGTCTACTATGTATGTGGAGTTGCGAGTGTCGGACGACGTCAGGCCAAGCTCTGGGCGTCTTGACGATCAATGTCATGACCATGGAAGAGCTCGAGAATCAAGTGCCATGATGCTGCCAATGCGGTCAATTGCGGGATCCTAGTGTCCCGCCCACTCGACGGTTGGATAGCTCGCACATCGGGATGGACGCCTTCGAGACACCATGTCTCACACGCCCCCGTCTCTCCTCGTCCAAGACTCCCCCCCGGCGGCCGCAGTTGCCCGTACGGGGGTACGCGATGCAGCTCTCTCGTCATCCGGCAGCGTGGTAATCGACCGCGCACGAGCGAAGCAACCATGTCCGCCGTCTGGATGCGTACAGGGCTGGTGGGACGGTCGCGGATTAGCTTCCTGGCGAGAGCTGGGCGTTTGCAGTCTCCGTCTGGGGCATCATGGGGGATCGTCTCTGGGGCAATTCGGCCGGTGCTCTGGAGACACAAATAGGACCCGTATTCCGCCTTCATTTCCCCAGATTGCTGTTGCTGAAGCATCCTCTTCTCTATTGTTTACTCGAGGCGTCTGATTGCAAAGTTACACAGTGGGCCGCGTCTTGAGACTTAGACACCACCCCCTTGTGTTATCTGGACTATTTCCTCTTTTTTCCCGAAGCCTTGCTTCTCAATTGACGCCCAAAATGGCTGATATTCAGTATGTCAAACTCCTACGAGGCCTCTGTGGCTTTCAATTGCAACTCATCACTTACACCTCTGCAGGAACTCCCCCAAGGCCACCTACTCGGACCACATGGACGAGAAGCCCATGGGCACGGCCGAGCATGCCGACCTGACGACCAATCTTCAGGCCAAGTAAGTGCCCGATTTACCTCCTGGCCATAATCTAGCCGGAAATCTCTGTCTAACACTCTCCAAGAATCAAGAATCCGCTTGAGGGAATCCCCCGCGAGCAGTTGATGCGCGATGTCGAGGCCTGGACCGAGCAGAAGGGTCTGCAGGAGCACGTCGAGATCTTCAAGAAGGGCGCCCTCGTCGCCCAGAACCCGGCCAATGCTCACAACATCGACGGCCCCCAGAAGCTCACCGACCGCGAGCTCGAGGTCCTCGAGCGCGAAGTGACCCATCGCTGGGACATGCCCCGGAAGCTCCTCATGACCATCGCAACCTGCTCCATCGGCGCCGCCGTCCAGGGCTGGGATCAAACTGGCTCCAACGGTGCAAACATCTTCTTCCCCGACGTCTATGGTATTGGTGGCGACAGCACTCGCGACCGTCTCTTGGTTGGTATCGTCAATGCTGGTCCATACATTGGTAGCGCGTAAGTGCTCTCACCACCCGTATCAACCCACCACTTACACGCTGCAGGTTCATCGGTTGCTGGCTCTCTGACCCCATCAACAACTACTTCGGTCGCCGCGGTGTCATCTTCTTTGCTGCTCATTTCTGTATCTGGCCCGTCATCGGATCCGCCTTCAGCCACACCTGGGAACAACAACTCGCCAACCGCCTGCTCATGGGTATCGGAATGGGAGCCAAGGCTTCAACAGTGCCTATATACGCCGCCGAAAATGCCCCTGCCTCGATCCGCGGTGCGCTGGTCATGTCATGGCAAATGTGGACCGCCTTTGGAATCTTCCTCGGAACCGCCTTCAACCTCGCCGTGTACAACGTCGCCGACATCAACTGGCGCCTGATGCTTGGAGCTCCCTTCCTCCCTGCCGTCCCCCTGCTTCTCCTCATCTACACCTGCCCTGAGTCTCCCCGTTGGTACATGAAGAAGGGCCGCTACCCTGATGCTTGGAAGTCCATGCTCCAGCTCCGCCATGATGCCATCCAAGTCGCCCGCGATATGTACTACATCAGCGCCCAGCTTGATATCGAGAACGAGCTCATTGGAAAAACCAACTACGTCAGCCGATTCACCCAGCTTTTCACCATCCCCCGTGTTCGCCGAGCCAACCTTGCCGCCTTCACCGTCATGATTGCCCAGCAGATGTGCGGTATCAACATCATCGCCTTCTACTCGACCACCGTCTTCAAGGATGCCGGCATGTCCGACTTCAAGGCCATGCTTGGATCTTTCGGCTTCGGTCTCGTCAACTGGCTGTTTGCCTTCCCTGCCTTCTGGACCATCGACACTTTTGGCCGACGTACCCTTCTTCTGTTTACCTTCCCTCAGATGACCTGGACCCTCTTGGCTGCTGGTCTCTGTACCCTGATTCCCGAGAGTGCTGGAGATGTCCGCACCGGCCTGGTTTGTCTTTTCGTCTTCATGTTTGGCAGTAAGTACTCGATTGAATCCCCAAAGTGACGCATTCGCTGACCTGGACTCCAGTGTTCTACTCCCCCGGCGAAGGCCCCGTTCCTTTCACCTACAGTGCTGAGGTCTACCCTCTTTCCCACCGAGAGACTGGCATGGGCTTTGCTGTGGCCACTTGCCTCTTCTGGGCTGCTATCCTTAGCACCTCATTCCCCTTCCTGCTCGACAAATTCAGCGTCGTCGGCGCATTCGGTCTCTATGCTGGTTTCAACGTCATCGCCTTCATCATGATCTTCTTCTGGGTCCCTGAGACCAAGCAGCGAACCCTTGAGGAACTCGACTGGGTCTTTGCTGTGCCCGTTCGCCAGTTCGCCAGCTACCAGCTCAAGGTTGCTCTCCCCCACTGGTTCAAGCGCAACATCCTCTGGCAGCGCCACGCCAAGAAGGAGCCTTTGTACCACTTCGAGCATGTTGCCAACCTCACCCCCGGACACTCGGATATTGAGTCTCCTGCCGACAGCGACCGAAAGATGTCGTAAGCAATTCGCGCCTGTGCCTGTGGCTCTCGGTGACGCTGTCTATTACCGCATATTGGATCCCGCCTGGAATTTGATGGCAACGGTATATTGCGGGATTATTTGGACAGAAACTGATACCCACTCGTTAAAGTAATGATATTTAGTTTGGATGTTGGATTGGATTTCGGGAGGCATGTTTGGGCTTGTACGCGTTGATTCAGGAGTGTCTATGGTACGCGGGGTGAGACAGACCTAGCACAATTACATAGCTGTCGATAAGATCTGATGATTAAAAGTCCAGCCCCTTTACGTGAGCGCAGCTTTTACTTGTGCATAATCGACAATTATCTTTCGTCGAAGGTGTGTGCCTGGTAATCTTGAACCTCCAGAACCAAGGACCATTGACGATAAGGAGTCTCGCACCAACTCAAAGGTAGCCGTTAATAGTTTCATGGCGTCTTTATTCTTAAATGATTGAACATTATGTATATGGAGTATCTCAACTATGCTTTGCCTCCTTCGTTTTCTTTTTCCCCTTCCAATGTGTTCTCATCATCCTCACCACTCCCCACGCCAAGAGTCTGTACACTACCACGCACACCGCCAAGATGGCGACATTGATCGCCGGGTCCTCATCCAGATTGTACAACTCCAACACATCCTGCCCCGTTTGGATCGGGCAGTTCCCGTTACTCAACCTCTGGTTGTCGGTGCAGGTGAATTCCACACCGCGTAGAGAGTACGGCGCAACGGCGCGAGCTGCATATCTGATTGGCGAGAGATAGTTGAGCGAAGTGTACAGGGGTGGCATGTCAATGGACAGGATCCCGACCATGGTGTTCGCCACTGAGAGGAAGATGCCCATGATCTGAATGGCGAAGCCGGCGTGGTCGAATAGGGTGTTGAATATTATGCCCAAGCTCTCGCCGCACGACACAATGCCAAAGCATGCAAAGACGGTGACAAAATACATCGTCACGGTCCTCGGCATTCCGATGGCAATGTCACCGAGGACACCAAACACCAGGCAGCTGATAATCTCAAACGGCACCTCGAGAATCGTGTACGATGCCAGAAATGCCTCCACACCGTACACGCCGTCATCGTCTTCGCGGTAAAAGACGTCGCGCTCATTCGGGTAGATGGCAACATTCTGCAACATCCCGACGAAATAAAAGGCTCCAATCTCCTGGATAAAGCCCATGCGGTTTTGCACTGAGTAGTAGTCGTTGTCGAGGGGCGCGAAAAACAGGGCTAGGATGAGGGCTAGGCCAATGACTTGCATGAGGCGGGCGAGAATGAGCTCGGGTTGGCGCCGGGTGTTGATGATGGCGCGGTGGAGGAGCAGTGGGAGGGAAGTTGCCAAAGATGCTCTCTTGCGTACGAGAGCTCCAAGCTCGGCGGGTGTTGAAAGGTTGGCTTTGTTAAATGACCTCCGTGGGGGTTTGGCCACGGGTGGAAGCAGGATGCCTTCAGTCGCCTTTTCGACTTCTGTATCCTTCTCGTCCATCTTTTCTGCTTCCGTTTTTACCACTGGACGGGTTCCAGTTTTCCAGCTCTCGATGAGCTTTTGTACTCGTCCACGGGACTCTGCCTCCCTGTCATCGCGCTGTAGGTCGATGGTGATCATATCCAGCGCAAAGTCGGCCGGGTTCGTGTGGTGTGGGCATTCATAGCCATGGCTCCCGAGGTACTCCAGCATATCTCTGCCAGCACCTGAATACACTTGAGACCCTCCGCGGGCTAGTAGTAGCACGTTGCCGAATTCCTCAAAGAGGTCCGATCGCGCTTGATGGATGGTGAGAATGAGTGTTCGGCCCTCGTTGGCAAGTCCCTGGAGGACTTCCATGATGGAGTTTGCGGTAAAGGCGTCTAGTCCTGATGTAGGCTCGTCAAGCAACAAGATCCGGGGGTCCGTAAGAACCTGAACGGCGATAGACACACGCCGCTTCTCTCCACCAGAAATACCCTTGATCATGTCGTTGCCGATGAGGTTGTCGGCGCAGTCCTTCAGACCCATCTTAAGCAGCACCTCCTCCGCACGGCGGTTCTTCTCGTCTTTGCCCATGAAGGAAGGAAGACGGAGCCCAGCAGCAAATCGCAGGGTCTCGCGGACAGTAAGGGAGGGGAGCAGGGCGTCATCGTCCTGGCACACGTAAGAGCAGACGGACCGAATGACCGAGTCGGAGGGTACGGCGCCGTTGAAAGTAAGCTTCCCCGACGGATGATATCTCGTTCCTATTGAGTTCCGGAGTCGAAGAGCCATGGAATTGAGCAAAGACGTCTTTCCACTCCCCGAAGGTCCCATGATGACGTTCAGAACGCCTGCTTGGAATGTCGCATTGATCGGGTTGAGGATAGTTTTTGTCGGGATTTTCTTCCCCAGCGCAGATGTCTTGTCTAGATTTAATGCAAAGTTGTCGAGTCCCACATCGATGGCGCGGACGTCGGCAATGGATCGCGCCTCCATCTTCTCCTTGCCGGCAGACAGATCGGTGTCGGATACCCGAGCGCGCGCAATGGTCATTTCGACCTTGAAGAAATGAAGCCCAATCGCGGAGAGTACGAGGAAGAAAACGACAAAGGCGAGACAGACGATGATGGGCCTTGTGACCCAGTTCGGTGGGAAGCCGAAGAGGTCCATGATGTACTCGCCAGTGTACTGTTCACATTCCGGATTGTCTCTTCCTCCTGGATAAGGACAGTCGTAGAAGTTGCCCTCGAATTCATTGCCAGCATATGCTCCTAGAACATAGAACTGGTTTCATCAGCAAAGAAAATTGACAGCAGACATACATTGGGCTTACACTATATGTGATCCATTTTATCCAGCGCACGTACACCGGCAGCGTATTGCTCTGAATGAACATGCCGCAGGCCATGCTTTGTATCGTAAAGACCATGTTCGCAATCAGACTCGCCCCGGGAAAGTGCCTCGACGCTGCTACGCAGGTCATGGCGCACGTCACCGCGATGTAGTGGTTTAGGAGTGAGATGGCAAAGAAAATAAAGAACTTTTCAACCTCGCGGTCAAAGCCGGCCATGAAGTAGAGGATGACGGAGAATAGGAAAGGGACAGGGAGGTCCTCGGTCGCTACCCGAGCAATTCTTCGGGAGAGGATGAAGGGAATGGCACCGACGCAATTTTCGGAAGATTCCCGATCGTAGATCTGGATGTCGATGGTCATTCTATAGACCTCAAAGATGAGAATCAAATACCCTTGTAGTCCAGTCGCGGTGTATAGACCACCCTGACGCGACCGGATACCGGCTTGATCTCGACCGAGATCATAGAAGAGATAGCCATTGACTAGGCCCATCAAGATGGCCTCCATGATGGAAGATGCCATGCCGAGTGGATCCCGGTATGTGACTTTAAAGGTGCGGTCTGTGAGGACGAGAAGTTGCCGAGTGAAGCCGGCATGCTGCTGTGCTTGTTTTCCACGCTTCCGGTCGCTATTCTCGTTATTTTCAGGCACAGAGCCAAAAAGCCTCTCGCTTTCCGCGCTCCATGCGCTCTTCAGTCCTTCTACCCTGTCGGTACTCTCCTGCTCCAGCTCTGCGGTCCGGTTGTCGACGGCGGCGATGTCAATGACGAACTCGGCCGGGTTGACGAAAGGCGGCAGCTTAAAGTCCAAGCCGTCAAACCAAGGAACGCAGTCTTTGACCGATCCGGAGTAGACGGGGCTTCCCTTGGTCAGGACGATGAGGTTGTCGAAGAGGTCCCAGATTTCCGATCGCGGTTGGTGGATTGTTGTGATGACGGTCCTGCCTTTTTGTGCTAGCTTCTTCAATGTCTTGACGAGCTGGTATGCGCTGGTCGCATCGAGACCTGTCGTTGGTTCGTCGAGGAAGAGCACCGATGGGTTGGAAAGCATCTGAACGCCGATACTGGTCCGTCTCTTTTCTCCGCCGGAACAGCCGTGGTGTTGTGAACTACCTATGCGGGTGTTTGCGCATTCTTTGAGACCGAGTTCACGGATGACTTCCTCGACGACAATCATTCGTTGCTCGGTCGGAATCGAAGCGGGGAGTCTCAAGTCGGCGGCATATTGAAGCGTCTCCCTAACTGTGAGTGTCGGAAGCAAGATGTCCTGCTGCATCACGTAGGCGTGGCTGACGCTGTGGACTCCGACCATGCCATTGAAGGTTGTGACGCCCTGTTGTTTTAGTCTCGGACTAGTCACCCTCTCCGCCATAGTATTGAGCAGTGTTGTCTTGCCCGAACCACTCCCGCCGATAATCGCTGTCAATGTCCCGGGCTGAATATTGGCATTAACTGAGTGAAGCAGCTTCTTCATTTCGGGCGCCGTGTTAAATTTGGAGGCGAACAGTTGTGGGTAGGTGGATGGCTCCAACCACGACGGCGCAGTGTTGACTGAGACTGCGACGCCCCGGATCTGCACCTCGACAGCTTGGACATCGTCGAGAGAAAGGTGGCCAGCGCCGGAGAGGGATACGCGCCGGTCTTCCATGTATGGGTAGGCGATAGAGTCTGATGGAAGGTCCAGCGAGCTCGTCCTCCCCAGCTTTTCGAGAACAATCGTCTCTGGCGGGTCGACTGGGTTGTGGCTTGCCATGACGGGTATTTGAAGCTTATTATTGAGGCGTTGTAAGTGGGCGATCAACTGCAGAAATCTTGGTGGCTGCTGACTGGCCTATCCATGACCGACCGACTTGCAAGGAAGAGGGCGTTGTTCCGGTTGTCTTTTCGCGGCTATCAATTCGCATGAATTTGTGTGTTTGGTGTGTCTGGCCGACTCTTGTATGTCTCCGAGGATGACAATCTCTGCTGACGCTGCAGCCATAATACAACGCAGCAGAGATACGACAGACGGACTTAGACTCCAGTCGCTTAGCGGTACATGGCCATGGACTCTGCAACCGAGTTGACAGTTGATACACGGGGAGCCGGTTATTTCAGATGATGGCCCCATGCAACGCAGATCCCGAAGCAACTGGCTGCTCTTCACCATCGAGCATGGGTCCAGTTCGCCGTGAGGTTCGTAGGCGAGGTTGAAGTGAGGCGACGCCGGGGTGGTCCGGGTGGACTACTAGCAGGCGGACGCCAACCGACGCGGGGAAAGGCTTGCGAAAAGGTACGTAAACGGACCAGCGCCAAGACGTGATGGATGGAAGCGAAGAAGCCCCGGGCGTCGAATTCGGCCATGATGGTGTGCGGCGTGGTGCGTGTGGTGTGTGGAGAGCTTCCAGATGATGACGTGGATTGGGGATAGCACGAGTTGGGATGGGATAGCGAGGACGGGAAGGCTTGGTCCCGACGGATTAGTGTGGGTGAGAGACAAGCAATAGTGCGGCAACCATTCACGATTTTCTGAGTGTTTCATTTTATTTTTTGTCTATTATCTGATGATGTTTGAGTCGAGGCATACTCATGAAGAATGGAAGATTCGACGTTGATGTGTTGATATCACATTTCAACAGCGTGATATCAACAGCCTCACAACCCCGAAGCGTCACCGGAAAGTGACACGATGCGACAATGACTCTCCGAGCGACCCCCACTTCCAGAGTTTCCTTCTACATAAATTGTCAAAGTAATTCCCGGGATGCATCGCGTCCAGACAAAAGTACAATACAACGTTTCCTCTGCGCGCACGATACGCCCTCCCACCGTCGAACCCCTCGAAACCCCCCCTCTACAGCCCTTCCACGCACGCATGCACACCTCGCGCTCGCTAATCAGAAATGGCGGGCGATCCCTGGAACGCCTCGTTCGTTCGGTTGCGATTAACCCTGTTCCCCCACCGTCGGCTGCGAAACGAGGGCCCCGACAACGCCATGTAACGCTCCCGAGGCGGCATGGGCGCAGGTTCGCTTACAGACGCGACTCGCAGCAATTGGACGCCGTGTTTCTGGACGGGGAATGCGCGGCGTTGTTGACGAGGCCGATGCTCGATGCGAGGTTCAAGGTGCGAGGGTGCTTGTCAATGACGCCTCGGGTCTTTTTCTTCTGGCTCTGCCACGTTGGGATCGACTTGCGAATTGCGGTTTTGCCACCATTCGGATGTAAACCCTTGGGTGTAAACCTCGGATGTACAATTCTCCAACCGAGGCCTGATTTGGACTCCATTTCGCCGCCAAGATCCAACGGCGCTTGTCATGACTTGTCATGGGACCAACAGAGACTCGGCCGCCCCATGCAAGATCTGCATGCCACGCTGCCTAGGTCGCTAGACGATGAAAGGAAACGGTTTCCGCACTAAATTCTTCCACCGATATTTCGGAATTCGCATCTTGCAGTCTAGGGATTGATTACATGACGACTCGTGCACAAATGTACTCCGTATCTAACTACCTATCCATCTCTCGTAATGGCGGGACTGGCGAGCCCTCTTCATTAAAGACTCCACTGCTTGCGGCACAGTTGTCTCCGTCACAGTCGAATCTAGGCATGTCTCGGTGATGACCTCGTAGACTTAGACCCGCTGCAATTTTCTACTATCGCCTGCTCTCATCTCCCCTCTTTGATCTTTGAACCATGTAAGTCATGTGTGTCTGAGTCGCGCGCCGCCGGAGCACGGGAGCATTCACCTCGTTGACCCACCTTTCCTCTCCAACCGCCGTGCTTCTCCTCATTGCATCACCACGTGAGACTTGCGACCTGAGACTTTGACGTGAGACCTGCAATTTGATTTGATACTTTGTCAATCTTTCATCGTGGTATCCAAAACACTCAAATACAATGGTTTTATGCCGCCCTCCCAAGATCCAAAGCCCAAGTGCGCCGCCATTAAATGCTTCCCATCATCTTTCCTCCTCTTCCCTTCGTGCTCTCTCCTTGTTTGCGCCAAGTGGCTGCATCCTACATAACCTCTTCTAATCATCAGCTCTCAAGCCGTTCTCTTCTCCGTAATCGACTCTCCATAGGGCTTCCCGGCGACGAAGCCCGAGTTTGCGGCGCCCAGCTCAAACACCTTGTTTCCACGCAGCCACGTCTCCTTGACGCGGCCGGTGAACTCGTGGCCCTCCCACGGCGAGCATCGGTTCTTCCACCGCATGTCGCCCTGCGCAAACGTCCAGAGCTCGGCGTCGTCGAAAACGCAAATGTCGGCGTCCATACCGGCCTTTAGGGCGCCCTTGCGATGCGACAGGCCGACCTGCGCGGCGGTGGCTTGGCAACAGAGACGCACAATGTCGGTGATGCTGGGGGTCTTTGACGATGCCGATCGCTTCTTCGACGCCGAGTGGAGGATGGGAAGCCCCAAGCCCACGGACGAGATGCCGCCCCAAGCTGCGAAGAAGTCTCCGCGCATCTTGGCGGGCTCTGTGGGTGCCTGCTCACCCGGCATCGTCACGTCGACACCGGAATCCGAGTGCATCATGTGCGGTTGGTTCTGGTCGAGATGCTCAGGGAGCAACTTCAGCTGCGGTGTGCAGGGGGAGTGATCCGATACAACGGTGCGGATGCATGAGTCTTCGGCCACCAGCTCTCCCCACAGGCCGTCCTGGTTGCTCTCCTCACGAATCGGCGGGCAGCACTTGTGTCGGGTATCGCCCATCTCGATCTCTTCGGCCGTCAACCCCAGGTAGTGGAAGCACGTCTCGGCCGTGATATTGATTCCGGCTGCGCGCGCCGCCTTGAGGATCGGAATGCATTGCGTTGCTGAGAGGTGGACGATGTGTAGGTGCAATGATGGCGCCAGGTGGGCGAGACTGAGGATCTCTTCGATGGCGTAGGTCTCGAACGCGGGAGGACGAGATTGGAGGAATGTCTTGTATGCGGTGAGTTCTCCGGTGGGAGCTAGGGGCGCCTCCGAGGCTTGAACGGCGTCGCCGACCGAGGCTGAAATCGGAGGAATCATCTCGGCGTGGAACATGAGCGTGGTCGGGGCATCTTTGAGCTCCTCCATGGCGAGGGCGACATCTCGCGATGAGACTGCTGGGAACTCGTCGACCTAAAGGTCTGTCAGCTATTGCTTCTTGTTGCTCATCAGTCCACAGTTGGAACTCACGCCTGATTCAATCAAGAATCCCTTGAAACCTCTTACGCCGGCCTCAACGAGGGGCTTCAACTCGGCCGCATTTCCGGGAATGACACCGCCGTAGAATCCGACATCAACCCAGCATTGGTTGCGACTTGCGCGCAGCTTCTCCTCAAAGCCATGCAGCGTCGTCGTGGGCGGAATGGCATTTAATGGCATGTCAACCACCGTCGTCACGCCTCCGCTGGCGGCCGCGCGAGTACCGGTCCAAAAGCCCTCCCATTCGGTGCGGCCGGGCTCATTGAGGTGGACATGGGCGTCGACGAGGCCGGGTAGCAGGAGCTTAGGGCTGTGGTCGACGTAGGTGGTGGAAGAAGGGAAGCTTGACTGAGGGAGGATCTCAGGGACCACGGAGATGATCTTGCCGGTGGATGGCGAGACGGAGATGGTAGCCGGCGTCAAGAGGAGCGAGTCATCGGGGAGGGTGATGACGGCCCGGGAGGAGACGAAGACAGTGAGCGCCTCGGTGGTGTGAGGGAGGGAGTTGGCGACGGTCATTGTGAGTGATTGGGGAGGAAGTGGAGTGAAAGAGAGAAAGAGGAGAGAGAATCAGGAGAGGCAACTGATGAACGGGTAAAGACAGTGGCCAACGGAATTATCCAGTCAACCGAACACGATCTCGGAAGTCTCCCAGCTCGATTACCGCGCTTATGCTGCCTTATCTTTATCTCTCGCAAGAGGTCTTGGTAGAGGTGGTGGTGGTGGGGTGGGAGCGATAAGGAGATGGAGGGGAGATGTCCAATGGAATCACCTCGAGTAACAAAGCTGTTGCGTTTTATTTCGTCTCTTGTGTTTACGGATTTCAAGCGAGTGCTTTGCTCAAGAGAGAAGAAAGAGAGAGAGAGAGAGAGAAGGAGAGGGAAAGAAAGTTGAGTCAGTTGTACAAGACCTCAACAAGCAGACGCCAGAGTACCGGCAATTGGGCGTCCCTCATTCTGGGGATGGAGGCTTATCGCCCGCTCACCTGCAGGGTACATCTCGTATCAGTCTTTTGCGGGGGATAACGACGGCGACAATGGCGACGGTGCAGCTCGGCCGAGTTGCAGACCGTCCTGGCTGTTATTCCTCTAACAATTTTTCCCTCCCAGAACCACAAATTCCACCCCTTCTTGACAGATCCCTCAAAAGCCCGAGATTCCGCCAGTCTCCCGGTCCCAGTCGGCACCAAACAAACGACGCCGGCGGCGCCCCAGCGCAGAAAAACCCCTTATCAGCTCCCGGTCCGGCAAAAAAGGACGTCCCGTCGGACTCGGCCGGATGCCGAAAAGAACTAAGCCACACGGCGCGCACCAATCAGCGCGAGGGCTCTTGGGCCGATGCGGCAATATGTGATTCGATCGAGTAACTATCGAGTAATACAGGACGCCCAAGCTGGCACGTTCTCGCGACGCCCGGTTGAGGGCATTCGGACTCGCTGCTGCGATAGGTAGGTCGTTGTCTCGGAGCGGAGATGCAGAGCGAGGATGCGACGCTGGCGCCGGCTGCGAGGACGAACCGGGCTCACGAGATGCGCGTCAGCAGGTTTTGGACTGGTCGCTTGTTGGTCATGGCGGATTCCATTGTTCTGTCGGAGTGGTGAGGCGCAAGGCGGTCAACACGGCGTCCTCGGCAAAGCCATGGTGGTGTTGGGTGAAGAATCGCGCCTCACCACCAAGAACGTTCACATCCACACGGACGCCTGCTCCGCGGAGATGGTTGGATCAGCCCCAGCACACGTCTGCCACATTGCTTCCCCGGCTGACCATCTCTTACGTACTTTACCCCGGACTGCCACAGAACAAGAGCTAGACAGGCGTGGTAAGAGGTGAATGAACTTCATATTCCTATCCGTGACAAAGGTGGGTATCCAGCAGACGCCCCCGTCCTCTCCCCCCATTGCAAGGGTTCGCATTCTTTTCGTATCCGTCTTTTCTATAGTCATCCCCGTCGTCTGCCTTTTTGCCTGTAATGCCCTTTTGCCCTCCGTTCCATGTATGTATAGTATGCATCACCTGCTCCCGCGAATTAATCATGACAAGACAAGCAAATCAACACCCCATACACCAGGCCCGGCAGCCTCTCCTGTGCCCATGACTTCCTCATCATCCGTCTGCTGTAATTTGGTAACAATAGTAGTACACGGGGTGGAAGTGGCTGTTCCGCTTCTCGGGACCACGCCGCCATCCATCATCTATCCATACCTCGCCCGGCTTTACTTCTGGCGCTTGAGCGTCTTCTGGGCCATCTCAATCAATCCGTCCTTGGCCTCGCTCTCCGGGAAGTGCGCAATGGCGTCGATGGCCTTGTCTGCGTAGTCCTGAGCGAGCGCCCGCGTCTGCTCGATGCCGTCGCTCTGGAGCACTAGCTCACGTGCCTGCATCACGCATGTCGGTTAGCATCGTATGTGACTGCCCGTGGAGGTGATTCGTCAACCACGCAACAACTTACCTTTGCAACGTCACCCTCCTGCTCGAACTTGCGACCAACGAGCGCTCCGAGCTCAGGCATCTGCTTCCAAGCAAACAAGAGGGGTGCGGTCGCCAAGCCCAGCTCCAAATCGGCCCCCGCAGGCTTGCCCAGATCCGTTCCGCTCTGCGTATAATCTAGAAGGTCGTCCACCAGCTGGAACGCCAGGCCCAGGTTGCGTCCGTATGAGTATGCCGCCTCGACCGTCACGGCGTCCGAGTTTCCGAGGAGCGCCGCCGCGCGACACGATTTGGAGATGAGACTGGCTGTCTTGAGATATGTCTTTTGGAGGTAATATGTGACCGTCTCCTCCGACCACTTGGGGTTCCGCTCGTCGCGCTCGGTGTTCTTGAGCTGCATGAACTCGCCCTCGACTAGGTTGGCAATGACCGTGGCCAACAACTCGACTACCTCTGGGTTGCGGAGTCTCGCCAGCGCAACTGAAGCTCGACCAAGCAGGAAATCGCCTGCCAGAACGGCCATCTTGTTTCCGAACTCGAGATTGGCGGAGGGGGATCCACGGCGGGAGACGGAGTGGTCGATAACATCGTCGTGGAGCAGAGATGCTGTATGGATCAGCTCCGTAATCTCGGCGAGGCGTCGCTGGCTGGGGAGGATATCCAAATTGGCCTCTGGGACCTCAATGTCGGCGTAGGCGGGCGGCGACATGCCAGCCGAAGGATTGACATCGGCGAGGATCTGGACGGGAGATATGGACGAGTCGATGCCGTGGACGTGGGTGGGGAGGGGAATGGTCGACTTTGGGCACAAGTAGGTGGCGCGGCTCATGAGGAGGACGATCAAGGGTCTAACATGCTTGCCCTCAGCTTGGGTGTAGTACTTGGCAGCGCGGTCGAGTGACGGGTGGCCGGAGCCCAGCAGCTTGCGGATGTTGCCAGTCAGGAACTTCATTTCCTTCGCTACAGTGCGCAGAGGATCGACCGTCATGCCGTCCTTGGCAGCCTTCTTGACGACGTTTCCCACGACATTGGAGGCGACCTGCACAGCGGCAGCCCAGGCCGAATCTCGGCGCGGGCTTGTGTGCAGAGCAGCTCGGTGTATCCTCGTGGGGCCTCGCGAGACTGTCAATTGCCTACACAGCATGCACGCGGGCGCCACCGTAGCGGTCGAGACGGCCGTCCTCGTCGATATCGCCGTCCTCGTCAACATCGAGCCATTTCTGGCCACGGCGCTGCGCAGCACTGAGGCCCCCGGACGGAGCTGCATCGCCGGCAAAAGATTGTGAGCCAGACGGCGGGTCGGGTGGGTGCGTTGGAGGAGCGGCAGGGCGGTGGGAGCCAAGAAGCGGGATCACAGCATTCGAAAAAGAGGAGGCCCGAGGGAGGAGAAGGCGTCGAGGGTCGTGAGGTCGTGTTCGCGTCGCAATGCGAGTCCGTGGCGTTGTGTTGGCTTGTTGAGGGAATCGCTGCAGTCGGCCGTTGCGTCTGATTTTCTCGCCGGCGGGACCGTCACCTGGAAACTTTTCCAATGGGGCACCACGGGCAGAAACCGCCGCTGAGCGCGCACTGAGCGGTTGGTCGCAGCGGGTTGTGGCCTGCTAAAACGAGCAGCTAGTGGGTCAGTCCCGCCAGAACCCGATAAACCCCAGCGGACTGGAACCCTGATTGGGCCGTTACAGGCCTGGTGCGGGGCTTTCGGGGCAACCTTACAGGGCTAGGTACATTCGTGGAAGCGCTGAACACTCTACTGGAGCTTGGGAGTTGAGAGCTTGAGCTGTATTTATACCGAGGGATCATCCGGGGATCGTTTGCGGGTTACGAGATACGAGATGGATGGATATGACTGCGCCGATGCCGAGGAGACATATCAGTGTTTTCTTACAATACGATTAATACAGCGTGTCGACTTTGGATTAAAAACCTCATACTTAAAATAGTATTGGCTTACCGCATGAGATGCTGCCTAGGGAGAATATATGGGAGAATATATTTAGATGCATGAATGAATATGAGATATGGGTTGTGGTCGTATTCCTTGAGCCGTTGCTAACATCTCGCAGGATTCTTGTCACAAATCCGCCTTGTAACACGTTGCCGGAATCCTCCCATGAAACCATGCGGGCGAGGTGGGAGTAGAACCCAGCCCATTGCAAGGAAACATGAACATGCGACTCTATCGCATGCTCGCTCCATGGATGTCAATAATCACATCACAGTCCAGTTTCGAAGCGACAAGCAACATCTTTTCCATGTTACTGAAGCTAACCGCATTCATGGATTCGTCGTGACCTGGGTGACATGCTGGAGTACATACGAAGAACCACGTATGTCGACATTACCAGTCACTGAAAGGAACCTATTTTGCCAGTATCTTGATGCTTTCTACAGACGTTCACATGTCACTCTCCAGGACAATAGTGATGGCGTAGACCGTGCAGACATCCTTGCCCGGCAAGACAGGGCGAACACTTCTATATGCAACCTCACCGCTAGTCTTGCTGATATCAATCATACGACCGAAAACTACACGTTCGAAAAACCCAACTCTGGAACATGTCGACATACATGGACAAAATTCTCCCACGGCGAATAAGCGACTTCGTCACCTGTCACCCTTGCTCACCAGGGTCATATCTACGACTCCACCGTCCGAGTTCAGGTGGTCCTCGATTGGGGGGTGGTTTGTACCTATCAGTTGAGTTAAATTACTATTTCATGGATAATCTTTCGCTTTCATGGCTCTGAGTGGTTGGACGAGCATTGCCGCAAGAACTTAAGACTATGTTTTACAGTTAGGTTCTAGCGAGTCTCAGCTTAGGTCTTTGGGGAAAAGAAACGAGAAGAGATGAACGGTGGCTGCAATAAACAATCGGCGTGTTGGCGTATGGCATAGGGCGGCTTCTTAACGTCGAGAACAGACGACATGAATGCTATGTGTGACGGTCGTCTTCAAAAGTTTCCTTTCATGAGCGAGTGTAGGTCCTAGGGTTTAACTTAGCTCTGGAGCATCATGACACCACTGGCCCCAGGGCCTTGAGCCTACTTCTTTTTAGCGGGCAAACCCCTCGGTGCGCCACGCTGTAACTGTGGAGGAGCTGGCCGTTCCTCTGGAAGAAAATAGTGGATGCCTGCTGCACGCAAACTGTCCGTGCTAGCGGCCAGCTTGCAGCTCTCTCAATTAGAGATCTGCGACAGACAATTACTCCAACAGGCATCGACATTTGCCCCCGAGGTAGCGACGACACCCTATCCTCTGTTCACTCTCCGCAACACAGACAACAACAAAGAAACCACATCGATTCCTCCGATATCAGATCATCACACCGGGCACAAGCTCCGTCGAGCAACCATGGTGCTCCTCACCATGACGCCCTCCATCTTGGAGGTCCTCGCTCTCGAGACGCCAAAACGCCAACAGCCGGCTCAGACAGACGACGAGACGACCGGCTCATCACAAGTCGGCGCAGAAGAACCGTCCCTCAAAAACCCGAGCGTCGGCAATCCCATATCACACAGCCAGATCGTCGACTTGTGGAGGAATCTGAAGTCCCAAGGCGATTCAGCACCCAGTCTCGAGCAGCTCCTTCGCGGTGCCAGCGTCTACGTCCCCCCTCCTCCTCCTAAGCCAGAACCCGTACGTATACCCAATACCTTGCCTCCCGGGCCACAACTAATCAGGGCGTAGTCTCCCCAATACAAAGCCCTTATGGCCCGCCTTCGCCGCGACGAAGAAGCCCGCGCCTACGAACGCATGATGAACCCCCAAGCCCGCGCCGAAAGCTTCCACGACCGTTTCCCCAGCGCCGCCCACGCCTTCGCCGAGGCAAACAAGCCCACGAGTCGAGAAGACATTGGCGATGATGACGTTTCCGTCAGCCAGGCCCACCGAGAAGTCACCCTGATCCTCAACTTCCTCGTGAGCATTGCCGGCGTGGCAGGCACCCTTTGGGTTGTGGCGAGATGGTGGAGTACTCCGTCGCGATTGTTCCTCACACTGGGCGGCAGTATTCTCGTCGCGATTGCGGAGGTTGTGGTGTACAATGGATACATGTGGAGGATGGGCGAGGCGAAGAAGAAGCAAAAGAAGGTCGACGAGAAGAAGGCCGACGAGGTGAAGGAGGTGCTGGAGACGTGGGTGGTCGGTCCAGGTGAGGATGAGAAAGACGAGAAGACAGTATTAATCAAGGAAAAGGACGATGATGCGCAGGATACTGTAAGGAAACGAAACGTGGAAGCGAAGACGGAAACATGATGATACCCATGCCACACAATGGAAATACTTAGACTTGGCATGGCCAATAATTCACGCCAAAATTTGGCTTAATCCGACAAGTGGGTAGGGCATGCCATGATGTCTCATTAATGAGACCGACTGGCTAGGGAGGAATTATTCCACAGCTCTGAGAATGCGCAGTAAGATGCAATCCGTCATGATATTGGATCGAGCATGGGGCAGCTCTAATTGAAATGGGCGGGGCCATGTGATAGCGCGTCCAACGCGTCAAGTCGCGTCGCTTGGTGGGGCTCCCTTGTCTTTGAGTTAGGCATCCCAAGTTCAAAACCATGGACTATCCTCGCACCAGATCATCGCTGTTAAAAGCCTCTCGATAATTGATTCCTTCCGAAAGCCCTTCTTGAGATATTCATCAGTCCACAGATCTAGAACTTTCAACGATTCATCCCACAGGATCTGTCTGCCACCGACCACGATCCGTCTCACCCATTCCGCGACACATCAAAGTTGACTCCTGCGGACTCCGGTCCCATGTCCAACCAAGCATGGCAGTTGATTGACAGACCGGTAACCAAATCCATAATGTACGGCTTCGCCCCTTAGCTTTCCCAACGCGAACCTCAACTCACCAGCCCAGGGCCCAAGCAGGTACCGATTCCCAGTCGCGAACTCGCGGCAAACCACTCCGGACGTACGGCAAACGCGCAGCCGCCACCGATGTTCGAGGTGAAGCGCCTTTGAAGAAAAGACGCACGTCGCAAGTGGAAGGGGAGTCACAGGTCAGGAGCGAAACCTCCGAGGTTCAGGGGGCGGCGCCGCCTCTGCCAAACGGCACCGCAACTGTGGACAAACAAGACACCCCAACCGTCACGACAACCACGAAGCCACAGACCGATATCAAGAAAGGATCAATAATGAGCTTTTTTAAGCCAGTCCCTCAACCGTCATCGTCAGCCTCCAGTCCTCAACCTGAGGAAGTGGAATCCAGAGAAGCTTCACCACCATCGCTCCCGACACTCCCTCCGCAATCATCACGAGCCGAGACAAGACGAAAGCCCCGTATCCTCAAATTTCGGGGAAGTTCCCTGCCACGAATCGACACTGAAGAATTGGACTGCGGCAGTGAGACAGGATCTGGGACGGACACAAAGAAGGAGGAGGAAAGCCTGGCAAGACGGTCTCGAACACGAAACTCAAGGTCGCCCATGCACAGCCGACAGGAGAGCCCAAGGAACGAAACATCAGACGCGGAAAGGTCGAAAAGGTCGAAAGCCAGACCATCACCAACTGTCCAGACCACACTCAACATTTCCTCTCAAGCAGCCTTCTCTGAGTGCAAGGTGTGCAACACGGTCTGGAACCCATTACACCCGGAAGACGTCAAGTTCCATAAGAAGCAGCATGCAGCTGTATTGCGGACGAAGAGAAAGTTGAAGGAAATCGAATTATAGCCTGAGATACTGAGATACCCAATCAAATGAATAATGATCTATATATCGACGACGCCAAAACTTAACACTCTGCAACAAGGCAGGACGTTTCACCATGCCAAATCAGATAAACCAACTCAAACAGTCAAGTATGTCTTTAATTCCCCACTACGAGTGCAGAACTCCGGTAGAAGGTGGGCGAAGCCAACTCCATAAGTAAGCCGTTATTTGGACAGGGATCAGGGTCAGCGTAAGACGGTTGCGGCTGTGTTGCTGGTAGCCAGGACAAATGACGACTTGGACGCGGCTAAGCCATTGCACCTAAGCCTTCGCAATTACAACTGCAACTCTCCAGTTTCATTCCCCAATCGCCAAGAAGAAAAAAATCGCTGCCAACTGAACAAATCCTCAGATCCTCTCTAGGCTTTGAAGCGGGGAATATCCTTAACGGGACACATCATGCCGCGGAAATCGGGCACGGGATGCGTGACATGCCGGTGAGTCCAGCCCTACAAAGCTTCTCGTTCCCCAGAACCTGGAACGCTGAGATTCCAATTTCCTCGGACCAGGATCCGGCGGGTCAAGTGCGACGAGGCAAAACCAAACTGCCAACGCTGCCTCAACTCCAAGCGCCAGTGCGATGGCTATCTTCCAGGCGACTCGACCGTCACCCGGCGCCAGCTCGCAGAGGCGGTGCGCCAACTCGGCGTCATCGGGCCAGTTTCCAAGGCTCTCACGCAGTATCCGGGACAGCGCAGCAGCAGCTCATCGCCCATCGACAACTTGTCCCTGTTCGATGTCTTTCGCAAGTTGACGGCGCCTTCGACGGCGAATTTCCTGCCCTCCAGGTTCTGGACCGGCGAGTTGCTCCAGCTCGCCCACAGCGAGCCCGCCGTGTGGCACGCGACCCTTGCTCTGGGCGCTCTGCACCAGAAGCATGAGCTGGCGAGCCAGGGAATTGGCCGTGACCACCGAGTCGACGTCTTCTCGAAACTGGCAAATCAGAACTACGCGCAGGCTGTCTCGCATGCCCAGGGGCTGAAAGACCCAGGCAAGCTCCTCTCCCTGAGCCTCGCGCTGCTATCCATCACCAACATGATGGGTCGGTGGGGCGAAAGCCAAGTCCACATCATGGCTGGTCATCGTCTGGTGGATCAAACAAAGGGCCACCCCTCGACAAAGGTCGCCGCAGAGATGTTGATGCGTCTTGATCTTCAGGCCATGACCTTTTCGGAATCGAGCGCTCCGTATCCTTACCACGAGGCTCCCGACCTGACCGAAGTCACCAAGTGCATGCGACAGGCGCCGTCTATAGAGAATTACGACCAGGCAGGCACCTCTCTCTTCACCCTGGTTAGGCGGTTCCTGCTCGCCGACGAGGCTGCTTGCCAAGGTACTACTGGCGAGGTGGCCGAGAAGCTCATGATGCGTGACCTCCTCCAGGACCTCGTCGACTGGGAGTTCAAGATGGCCGTCTTCGAGAGGAACAGGTGGACGGGCGAACCGGCTGCCATGTCAATCAGGCTCTACCATACTCTTCTGCGAGTTATGTTGGCTGGGGGGAGATTTGGGCCAGACACGCGATGGGATAATCTCTTGGGTTATTTCGAACGCGCCATCGCCTACGTGGAGGCTATACTGGTAGCTACTGCAACTCCGGAACCTCGTTCACCACTCTCCCTGGAGCCGGGGCTCCTCATCCCCTTATTCCTTTCCGTATCGAAATGCCGACACCCGTTTCTGAGGAGCCGCGCGGTACGGCTGTTGCAGAATTTGAAGAGACAAGAAGGCATGTGGTTTAGCGACGGCACGGCAGCTGTATGTGCCAAAATAATGTCAATAGAGGGCCAGACCATACAAATGGGTGATCTCCCCCCCATACCCCCTCCCCAGGATATCCCCTGGGAAGCGTGGTCGATGGGAGCGGTGCATCCGCAGGCTTCGCTGAGCTGGGAGGGCGTGGAGATTGTGCCTGAGATCATGCGCGTTCGCGAGACGTTGGTGATGGTGACGATTGATGAGAGGCGCGTTGATCTGACCTTTATCATGTGCTCTGGCGATGATATTGGCACATATGGTGAAGCTCGTTTTGAGTCTATTACGTATTGAGCAAGCGAAGCGGAGGATTGAACCAAAGTCTTTGACGATACCCAAATGCGAAGTCTTATTCCTGGCACTCTGTGGTTTACAGCAGATATTCATCAATTAATCTATACTGACTCGGTCGGCTTAATTTAAACATTCTACTTGTCTTATTCAGTCCCATAAGAGTTATCGTGGATAGCCAATCCTGAATCAAACGAACCAACCCTTATCCAACACACCAAAGTATCTACTCATCATAGCCTAGCTAATATAGCGTCCCGCGCCCTTTCAGCTAGCTTGGTCTGTTCAAAGCCAGGTCTGATATTCCTGCAGACCGCATCATTTCTGGGAGACATTGTATTTCCCCTTCGAAAACCTGATCTCACCGTCGTCAAGGTAGAGCCGACCGGACGTAAGCCGCTTTCCGTTCTCCAGGATTCGCGCATCGATGGCCATTCTTCCATCAGGGCACATATGTTCCCTTCCCCTGATTTAGATCAGCAAGATGTCATGAGTAGGAATATGTAATGACTCAACTGGACCTCAACTTCATCGCATCCGCGGAGCTTTGGGTTTCTTGCAAGTTTACCTCTGAGCACACGTTCATGCTCAGGATCTATCGGACTACCCTTTGGGGTAAACCTCCCTGGCCAAGTCGCTGGTGGAGGTTTGCAACAGCAACATAACCCCAAAGAAGGTGGATGAGAGGGAGGCGAGCGAGGTGAGGTGGTCAATGTGGGCGGGATGAATCTGATGTGTGAAATGATAAGGAAGCTCTTGGCATCGGTTCCCAATCGCCGTATTTGAGTCGAAGGGGTGGAAGCGGTTATCAACGTTGAAATAAGGGTCGTTCTACAGATCTTTATCTGTCGCATCCGCATCGAGAGAACGGAAGCGTGGAGTTGAGAAACTGAAAGATGAATGCGTCTGGACATGCTGAAGGAGGTCTGAAATGCTATTGCTTTGTGGATGAGTGTCTTGTCCAGGTAAAGCATTATTAGATGGCGAGAAGCAGTAGAATTTATAGGCATGGGCTGGCTACTCCCAGTGCAAAGGCAAGGTGTCGACCCAAAACACGATAAAAGTGCAGACGCTGTGAGCCATCGCGTCTCTCGTGCCACCGTAGTCACGACATTTTCCGGAATATGTTATTGTTTCAGAAAACGTCCCTCTCTTCTTCCGCTTAGGTCTTTGTTTTCGTTGTGACTGTGGTCGGCTTGACGTGGCTAGGGTAGGAGCCCATGAGACATCGGGTAATCCTATGATAGCTTCATAGTGACACACAATTCCAGGACCCTCAAATGAATGTTCGCTACTCTGAAAGGGTGGGTGTGCTATGATACAAACAATTTAAGGAGTGTTGACATCTTAGTAAAGACCTGAATGGCAGAAACGATACCTGCCCCAAGTCTAGACGTTCACTGCCAATCAAGCTGCTCTTGAACTTGTAAAGTGTCAGCGACAAATCAATACACTCATACACTCAAGCGGGCGCTGGTTTATATGGAGGCTTCAAGAAATTCTCAAGAAGGTCTCTTCTCCTATCAAGCGTTTACAACACCCACTGCAACCCTATCCTACCACCCTACACGAGCAATTGTAACAACTTCCTCCAAGAAGTCCTGTTTTGGTAGGAGGCGCCTGCAGGAGGTAAGTTTGTGATTCATGAAATGGAGGGGGAAGTGATTCTGCCGTGCGGTACGTCGTCGCTGCATACTAGTGACGCCCATACCGGTAGTCGCCAGCGACTGCAGGATGCTTGGTGATGGGGGCCAAATCATCGCCAGCCAGTAGCTGGGGTGGCTGGGGCTCCCCTTGCGACCATTCGTCGCCTATCTGCCTCGCTGGGATGGTTCGCAAGCAACAATTCTGGTGAGTTACAGCTGGCGCAAATAGTATCGGGGTCCTCACGACCGGGCAACACCATGTCTCTTTATAAGACACCAACGGCGAGTAAAGCCCCATCATTCATTAGCACGATTGTCAACCTTCGACAACGAACTATTGCTGCCCCCTTCTGAAACCGAATTCGTACTGTACTTGCAACAAGAAGAGGGGTAATCTGCGCAGCTGAAGTGGAATTCGGGCGTTAAATTCGGAGCTGACCGCTCGGGCTGGTGGTGAGGCTTATGCAGGGCGGCTGCACAACTGAGACATGCTGGGGACTTCCCGTTCTAGATTGCGTGCCCATTTGGTTCATTGTTGTGTCGATCTTCGACACTAGCGACAAATAGAGGCCACCAGGATCAGTTCAAGATCTTTGTGGACATTACTATTGAGTCAGAATGGTCAATGGTGTCAATACCAACACCAAACTGAAGAGTGAGACTCATCTAGATTAATCTGGATTGATTAACGCAAAAAGTGGTCGCGTTGATGAGTAGAAGGCATTCAATCCCGATCGCATCCTATACGTATTTCCTCTCTCTACCAATCAACCAGACATCAATACAATTTACAGCAGTAACTTCTAATCAAACTTGGGAAACCGCTTCCCCGTTGCACACAACCCGACAGCAGTACTGACGCTATGGCCCCTGGAAAGATGGCATTCCCTCTATACATCAAACAGATGCCACCAATATGAACTTTTTTGCCACCGAGATCAAGGCAGTCAACCCAGCAGCGGGCGCATGGTTCACTATAATGTAAATCTACTTGCCAGTCGTGCGAATCGCCACTATCACAATACTCTTAGCTGATGACCTTCAAGAACTGTCCTCGAATGCCCCTCACTGTTGACCTCGCCAAGGACGAAGGCCGGGTCGGTGAATTTATACTCCAGGGAGACAGACTGTTCCAGTCTGGGCTGGACCCCAAGTTCGAGATCAAGTTCGCTATCGACGGCACGGTGCTGAACGGCGTGAGGGCCTCCCGGGCAGGGTGAATGACCATCTTGACTGATCGGGGCAGGTTCTTGCGGCTGGACAATAGCATGATCTCGTTCGTCTTCGATGGGAGCCCGTCAAACGAGCTGATCTTTGCGACGCCCTGTCCGTCCGACCTGGACGGCTACAACATCGTTATGCAATAGCTCGAGAAGGAGAACACGTTTGGAATGTTTATCACGTCGGACAAGACCTTTGCCAAGCAGCCTTGCGGCCTTGCCATTGGAGGTATTTTGACGGGGCACGCAAAGGGAACGCAATGGGCTGCCGAGGCTGTGTGGTAATCCGTGTGGAATGACGGGACACAATAACGCCCGAAGAGATTGGTTGGTGGGATAATTAATAGAAATATAGTGTTTTTACGACCTAATCTCGCATTCTATCAACTCAAACATCGAGGCGAGGGTTCAGTTTGAGACCAATGCTCAACCACTCCAGCGTCGACAATTGAATAAAAGAATCGGACGCAAAAACGTCTACATGCAGCTGACCACGTCCAAGTTCAACGATAAACGGCCGATCACAGCCTCATCCAAGGGTGGAATAGTCGGCGTCCTGCTGCGATTGCTATTCCCCGAAGCATACCTAAATAACTACAATGCAACCCTAGGAGCAAGGGATCTAAATAAGCCTCCTTCGCCTGCCAGACATCCAGGCACTCGTTTGGTCCCTCTCGAGCAATACGAAGAAAGTTATGACACCAGTAAATTAGAGTACTTCCAGGGTCTTCGTATGCGGCGCTTTATTCGCCGGCCCCCTGCAGTCGGCCCGCATGGTCCCGCACGGCGATTATCCGCTGGGGCTGCACGGCGATGTCCGCTTGGTTGCCGTTCGGCGATTATGTCGAGGAGCGTAAGACACGGCTCGCTGGCTGGCTGCACGTTGGTTAGCCGAGTGCCAGCTCATGAGACATGCAGATGAGTAGTAGGATTGAGATCTTCTGTGTTGCTGAGCCGAAAAAGCCTATAAGAGTGACGAAACCTGGGGTTTTATTTACAATGACCACTCACTCATCACCGACAAGCTTCCCTGTGCCACCTCTCCGTGCTCACGACAATCCTTCAAAATGCAGGTCAAATCGCTCCTCTTCTGGTCCCTCTGCTGGGCTTCCACTGCCTCAGCTCTCCCGGCTCCCGTCCAGGGACCGTCTTGCGACTGCACCGGCACGAAGAACGGCGGCAAGGAAGCGAAGTCGTACATTTGCCGCGACTCTCGCCTCGGACCCGCCAAGCTCCCCAGGAAGTTGCCGCTGGGAACGCTGGTGTCCAGCTACGACCGCTTCGGCGGGTTGAAGCCGGGCGAGTTTCTCGCACAATGGACTGATGCGAATGGCAACTATGTCTACCCGCCGCAGAACGGATTCCAACTGGATGCGAAGGGCAATGCCATCAACGGCACCATGGTCCTGGAGCCGGGAACGCTTGTGGATCGCTTTGGGAGCGAGTATGGTAAGTCATGCCCAGTGTTGCAATAGTTGAGAGCATCAATTCCTAACTGGTGTTGCAGGATCGTATATCTCAGCTGCCGCCGCTCCCTACTCTCAGAGGGCTCTCCCCCCTTCCAACCTCGACACCAACCAAGATGCGCCAGAGTACCCCTACAACTACCACATTTACGAGGTCCTCAAGCCGCTCACCGTTGTTGGAGGACCCATCGCGCCGTGGTTCGGACAGCCTGGACTTGGCGCACAGTTTTACACTGGTGGAACTGGAAACATCATGGCTTTGATCGCTGCCGGGTACCTGGAGCGAGAGGACCCTGATGTTTTGATTGCGAAGAGCAAGGGATGCTAAGGGAGAAGAAGCATTTAATACATGTATCATATTGCCAACTCTGACTGTACGACGGGATGGTGTAATTTAATTGATCTTAATAATCCTGGCACCTAACTTATTTCGTACTTCGTACATGCCGCCTGTGAAGGAAGCGAATATCTTCTTGGCTTCTTCAATCGCTGGAAAACGAATACGACGCCTGCGACGCCTTGCAGGGCAGCGCCGTACAGCGAGCCACTAATAGGCCACTAATAGGCCACTGAACTCCCGACGGCACGATCCGCTAGGTGTGACAGCAGTCCCTCCCTACCTCCCTAGGCTGCCGGCTTTCCCCCATTGGAATTTAGCACAGGGTCCCTGCGCCACCAATTCCCCTGTGCCGCGTTGCGCTTTCCACTCACTGCGCGTCCCTTGGCCGCCCTACGTGCCCACCGCTCATTTGCTTTTTTTGCGGGGAAGAATAGATAAGGAGATGCGGATCTGGAGTTTTGGAGCTTCAATTGTCAACCATCTCTCTGCTACAAAAGCCCCAGATCTGCCCTCCGCAACACCCATCCCTGACAAGTTGCCTTGCCTCGACAGCTCAGGCCCCCTGCGGATTCAATTGCCCGTTTCCTGATTCGCCAGCCCCCCGCAGCCTTCGCAATGGACGCTGTTCCCAGCAACGCAACCGGGAGCCTCCCGCTGCACCCATACTTCCCGCTGGATGTCACCCTCGACACTTATGCCGCCAACTCTATGGGTGCGGCCACTCTGGTGGGAATCTTTTCGCTGTGCTGCTGTGGTGTCTTCGCCGTGACACACCTCTTGATCCAGCAGGCTCAGGCGACGATATCGGGGGGAGCCAAGTTGGCCACCATGTGGTTTGCTCTTTGCGGGTGTATCCATTTGTTCTTTGAGGGTATGTTCCCGTCTCTGCGAATGTATTGCTTTCGCTGGCCGTTGCTGACTAGTTGATGCCAGGTTACTTCGCCGTCAACCACCTCGACATGGCCGGCCAGATGGACCTGTTTGGCCAGCTGTGGAAGGAGTACTCCCTGTCCGACTCGCGATACCTGACCCAGGACTCCTTCGTCGTCTGCATGGAAGCTATCACCGCCTTCTTCTGGGGCCCGCTCTCCTTCTACTGCGCCTACTGCATCGTCAAGAACCACCCTCTCCGCCACCCGCTGCAGATGATCATTAGCCTCGGCCAGATCTACGGCGATGTCCTATACTACGCCACGTGCTCTTTCAACAGCATCGTCTACAAGATTGCCTACTGCCGCCCTGAGAGCTTCTACTTCTGGGCGTACTATGTGCTCTGCAACGCCTTCTGGATCGTCATCCCGGGCGTGTTGCTGGTCCAGAGCGTCATGACGTGCTCGCAGGCTATTGCCAGGGTCCAGGCCATGGACGCGTCCAAGAAGCATCTGTGAGGAGTTTTGGGGGGCTGCAATAGATTTGCTATGCTGTGCGGTGGTATCGTAGCAGAATGCTACTAATACAGCAGGAATATAAAATACAGGAGGATTTAGAGGAGTCAAGGGGTTAATCAAGGTAGATGTACTTTTGCATCGCCAAACGCCTATATCCTAATAATATCTATGTAATTGGGTGACAGTCAATCCCGCTCGTGTATTCGTCTAATAGGCTTCGCTTTTATCTAAATTCGGGTCATAGTCATCCCAGTCGCAGCTCTATGATTATCATCTAAAGGAAATGGCAAAAGATTATTTGTTGCGATCAGTTCCCTCCATTCGCAACCAATGTCGTCGCTTTGAGTGCGGGGCCTTAGCATCAGAGTGACAGACTCGCTATAATCCCTGGTCAGCAAGCTCTAGTGGCGAAATCAAGAGTTCTTACCTGGCGGTTTTCAGAAAAGTCAGTGTAGAATTTATTCCAGATCTCTCTCTCGATGCAATCCTCCTTGCCATTAATAGCCTTACAGTCGGGCTGGCTCTCCTCCCTCATGATCTCAGGCATGGGGATCCATGGCTTGGGGATAGGCCAGTCGGAGAAGTGCACAAACTTGGCCTCGTTCAGGATTGCGACAGGGTCCCATTTTTCTTGTTCTGAGCCGAGATAGTCGGCGTGTGAGGTTCGTCGATACTCGGCCGTCAGCATATCGTACGGCCTGTGCGGGAGGATGAGGGCGTTGTCGTAGTACAGCTGGTTGACAATCTCCATATCGTAGTCATTGTCGGTGACGGTGTCCATCTTCTTCACGATGCGGTCGAACTCGACGGTATCTGGCTGGATGAGCATAAGCTGCGACGAAAGAACCCTTTGCACGGGGTCATTGTCCAGCAACCAATATGCCCGAGGCATCGCAACAGGACACGGCGGCAGCAAAAAGAGTTCGTCCATGGGTTGGAGAATTGTTCCATCCGAGTCGAGCGAGAGGACGCGATCATATTGGGTTTGGTTGAAGGCAAGGAGCTTGGTGAATGAGTCGGCCCATGTAGCTGCATGTCCATGTTAACGGGGCAAGGGTGGGAAAATGGCAAGCAAACTCACGGTCGGCACCTTCGCGGTGCTGGATCTCAATTGGCATCAATTTGACCTGATATTCGTCGCGCGACTTGATCAAGAGTCGTCCGGCGTGATGAGCCGACTCGGTCGCCTTCGGGTCGAGCATATAGTGCGGGTACATCATCACACGGTCGGCCTTGCTCCCGAGGCGATGCAGCGTCTCGAATATCATGACAGAATTGCACAGATAGTCAGTGTCAGTGACATATTGCGTATAAGCGAAACGGGACCAGTCTACATCCTGGTCCGAGGGGTCCAGAGACTTGTGACTCGTCGGTTTGGAGCCGGTGCCGTTGGTACTGCTCGTTTTGCTGTTGGCACTGCTCGTTTTGTAGTCGGCATGGTCTTTGGAATAGGATGACGCGGATGCGGACAGTTTTTGTGCCTCGAGCTCTGCCGACGAAGAGAGATCCTCTTGCTGGCTGTCGAGAGCGGCCGCCTGTGTCCGGATTGCCCCTCGACCTGCTCCAGTGGGGGTGGGAACTGTGACTTCACTGTCGTTGTAGTCGACGCTGGCTTTCGGCTTGCCATCAGTCACAGCCTGGGATTGACCGTTCCATGGCTGCGCCTTCGGGTAGCTGTAGTCGTACCTGTTGCTGAAATTGTAGAAAAGGAATATGGAGAGAATCACCGCTACCGCGATCAGCCGAAGTCGGCTCGACACCATCGTGGGGGTTCTCAGACCTACGCGACAGTCGAAGGACGGCGTGTCAAAGCCACCGATCCAGGGTCATGAAAGGCGGTGGGAGAGAAGAGACCGATACATCAAGGGCGAGGTTCACTGGAATGGAGGGTCTGGAGGATTTGCGCGGCATAATACTTCGTATTACATACCTTACCAATTCAGCGCTGAAGCTCCAATGCGGCTTGGCTTGGCTCCTTCAAGGGAAAATCATCGGGAGGTTGCCGCCCGTTCATTGGCCACGTCGCGATGAGCTATCGGTTCCTGCGTCGATAGGACATCTCGTATCGCGGAAGGGAAATTACGACTTCTGGCCCCACGGAGTGATGAGCTGCCGGAAGCGGGATGGCCTCGTCAGCGTGGATCTGACGTGTCTGAGACCAAGCCGCACGGTTTCTCGATTCATCATTGCACCGTCGGCAATGAGGCAGCCTGGAGGTGCAAATGACAAAAGTCCCCTTTGAAGTGTGACAATGGCTCTTTTCATTATTGGTGTTACAACCATAGAGGTGCTGTTGTACAAGTGGTGAGACAGTTTTGAGAGGGAGGCGCGCACGTGTGTCAATGATTGGTCCGTGTACCGACAGTTCGTGTTAAATTATTCTTCCTCGAACACTTCAATAACATTGCTATTTTCTCATTTGAGATTATCACTATATACCTACTTTCCCAGGGCGGTCGTATTTAAGTACCGCGCGACTGCACTTGAAGAAGTCCTTAGTTCATGTGGTGCTCGCCTTCCACCTCCACTTGTGATGACAACCCATTATTCCATACACAAGAGAAAAGTGAGGGGCGAGAGTTGTCTTTGATTCATAATTCGTATTGTTTTGGAACATTTTGCAGTCTACCAGTATGTCACTGCCGGAACCAACTCGCAGAACGACACGTTACTGTCGTTCAGCGCTATCCGTGCAACTGCCATCACATTTTCTCTCAACAGGCACGCTCAGGAAAATGCTCAGTCTCAGTAGAACATGGACGAAAGATTTCTGGTTGTCGGTTGCTCAGGTTGCCCACACGGTAGTTCTCGCCCGAGTGCCTCTTCAGCCGCTCAATTAGATCTTTGCTTGGATGTTCCCGGGCTTGGTAACCACGCCCATACACTTGATCTCAATGTCCGTGTTGGCCGGCAGGGTCTTGACGGCAACGCAGCTGGAAGCAAGAGTTTAATTAGCCCGTCGAAAGACATGCGTCAAGGATTCACAACTTACGTTCGCGCGGGCTTGACATCACCCCAGTAGGTCTCGTATACCTCGTTCATCTTGGCAAAGTCTCCCATGTCGGCGAGGTAAATGTTGACCTCGACGACATCATTGATGCTGGAACCAGACGCATCAAGAACGGCAGAGAGGTTCTGGATGACTCGGTGCTGCGTGACAGGATTCATTAGCATTCTAGCTCTGCCATAGCCTCGTAGCCAGGGTCAGCCTTACTGTGTGAGCCTGGATATCTCCGTCAATGATCTTGCCGGTGGCGGGGTCCTGGGCAATTGAGCCGGAGGTATAGACGAAGCCGTTGGCGACAATGGCCTGGTTGAAGACAGGAAGCGGGGCCGGAGCCTTGTCAGTGAAGGTTGCGATGCGAGACATGTTGTGCTGATGCCGTTAATCTGAGTATTCTTCGATTTTGTTTGAGGAACAATCAAGCTGGAGTTGACGGTGATACTAATATACGCCGACAGAATGCGGGGATGTTTGGGCCTCTGCAGGCAGACTCCGATCTAACGTGCTAGCTCTATTATTCATCAGCATCCTCGGAAGACGGGCGCAGTATTTAACGCATAGAATCGGGTTAAATGCCAATCAAATGTCCTGCTTATCAAACCCAAGACCCTGCGCTGTGACAGCTCTCTTTGCCGGTTTCTCAAGTCCGCACGCAGAGACTCGGAGCTTACTTCTTGAACCGATCGCCCCACACGAGCAAGCTCGCAGTCTCCTTCTGCAATTCGAGGCCCGAGATCGGAGAGCCAGCGATGTGATCGTCGCAAATACGTGACAGGTCTGTGGAAGCTACAAAATAGAGACACTCAAGTCCTCGTGTGTTTTAATGTCCGCTGTATTCCCTAGTCTAGGTATCTGGAAACCAAGCGGATTGATGAATCAGACCTAACGCCGTCGCTATGTTCACATTGCCATTTTCTATTCAAATGGATAACCAACCACACAGGACCTATCATTCGGTCTGTCCGCCAATGCCGCCCTTGATTCCCTCCAGGACTCCAGCCCACTGACCGCCCTGTCGTTGGTTGGACACCTCGGAGAATCGATCGCTGGCAATCTTTCGGATCAACAGCGTGTCCTTGGCCTTCTTATGGCTCTTTCCATTGCCGGTGGTCAAGTACTCTTCGAACCACCCCTCTTCGGCAGAATCAAGAGGCAAGAATGCGAGCTCCGAAGCTCGGTTTGAGAACTCTTCGCCGCCTCGACCCTCTAGAACAGATGCGACCAGTTGTCGGAAGAGCAACTGGCGAGTGTGGGTGGGGTGTGTACGAGAGTAGAACAAGGCTTCTGAAACACTTGTTCGGGCCATCGCATTGAAGAGCAGCTCGAGGGCAGCCGACGTCTGGAGGATCGGTTGGACGGTCTGGAAATAGGACAGTGCCAGGGTATAGTCGTTGCCTTGAGCGCGGCGAACCAGGACGGTGATGATGTCGTCGGCGAAGTCCGGGATGAGGGAAGGATGTGCGATGTACTCGAGCGCTCGCTGAAAGGATACTATCGTCAGCGGCCGCAGTCATTAAATTCGAGGAGTCGCCTTACCGCAAAGTCTTGCTTGTCCATGTACCACAAGCCCTTCATAAAGATCTGGTACTTTTTCGGCATCCCAGAAGCTTCAACAAAGGCCTCTGACACACTCTGGTGGTCGGATGCTTCGTCAAAGTCGAGGAGGACGTAGTAGAAAAGGGAGAATTTGTAATGCATCGACATGTTGGCGTCGCAGATTTGCTGGTGCAATTGCTTGACAGCATTGTCGGTTTTAGGAGGGTAGACCTTGGCTAGAGAAGAGCACTGTCAGCGAACTGCTCCAATTTCCTCAAGGAAGTATAACGCACCCTTGGTAATGCCCACGGCCCTCAACACACGGTCGATGAAGAGAATCCCATCGAAGCTCTTGCGGGAGCTCTCAATCTCGTGCTGCAGCTTGCGATCGTAGGGGTTCGGTAGGCCCGAGGGGAATACATCGTGGAGGTTGGCGTAGTTGAACATGGTGACAGAGAAGCGCCTCAATCTGCAAAAGAATCTCAAAAATGCCGAGATGGTAATGGACAAGCAATGCCCTACCGAATCTTGGAAGCTATCGCGACAAACAGCTTTGGCGCCGGGACTCGCGCGGTCACGTGAAGGCGTGGGGCTTCCTCCGCAGGCTCCCCTGGCGTGGAAGGTACGTATTGTTTACAAACCTTGCGACCGATCGGGACATTTCCAAACAAACGCGGGGCGCAACCACTTTGTGACCGCCCAAACTCCAACACGACACATTCTCAACCAGACATCCCGGTAAGGCACCGGCTTTCACTTCAGGCGGCATTGTCACTTGCGATCAGCAGCTGGCATCTTATCTTTTACCCTTCGTTTTCTTTCTTTGTGTCTCTAGCACCTGCTAGAGCTGCCCGCTACAATGTCAGAGGCTTCACCCACGAGGCCGTCTCGACGCGCCGCAACCAGGCGCACTGCCGTGATCGACTCGGACGACGACGAGGAAATCTCCAACCGCACCAAGGCCCACGACGATGAGGAGGACGACTTCGAGCCGGAGGCACCCAAGAGCCCCCCCAAGCGACAGACCCGCAGCGGGCGCAAGTCATCCGCCCCCGCTCCAGCTACAGCTCCAGCTGCCCGACGAGGCCGTACGCGGAAGACTCCAGCTCCGGCCGCGACGATTGAGCCCAGCGAGGTATTCCATGCTGATACCACCATCAAGCCCGACCCAGACTCTCCCCCGAAGAAGGCATCCCCTCGGAAGCGCAAGAGCGCTGCCCCTCGAAGCTCCATGGCTTCAATCCCCGACCTTGCCCCGCCAACACCCCAGCCAACTGCTTCGCCAGAGTCCTCTCAGATCCAGGCCTCAGCTCTGGCCGACATCACCACTTCCAGTGTGAATACGCAAAATCCCGACGACACCCAGGCGACTATCAAGCCGATTAAGCCCATGGACACCATCATGGAGAAGCCCATGGACATTATGCTCAAGGCCCGGACGATGCCTGCCCCCGTTGTCGAGGACACGACTCCTAAGCCCCGAATTGTTCTCACATACTTGATTCTCAACAACTTCAAGAGTTATGCCGGTAGACAAGAAGTCGGCCCCTTCCACGCATCCTTCTCGTCAGTGGTCGGACCCAACGGTTCTGGCAAGTCCAACGTCATTGACTCGTTGCTCTTCGTCTTCGGTTTCCGCGCCAGCAAGATGCGACAGGGAAAAATCTCCGCCCTCATTCACAATTCTGCCCAACACCCGAACCTCGATCATTGTGAGGTCGCGGTCCACTTCCGGGAAGTAATGGATCAGGTGCGTGCCCTCTTCAGCTAAACGCATAACTTTAAACTGACAAGTGTAGCCTGGTGGTGGCCACGAGGTTATCCCTGACTCCGAACTCATCATCTCCCGAAAGGCTTTCAAGAACAACTCGAGCAAATACTACATCAACGGCAAAGAATCCAACTTTACGACTGTCACAACCTTGCTCCGTGACCGAGGCGTCGACCTTGACCACAAGCGCTTCCTCATTCTCCAGGGTGAAGTCGAGTCAATTGCCCAGATGAAGCCAAAGGCCGGTAACGAACACGAGGATGGTCTGCTTGAGTACCTCGAGGATATCATTGGCACCTCCAAGTACAAGACTCCTATTGAGGAATCCGCCACCGAAGTCGAGACTCTCAACGAGATCTGTATGGAGAAAAGCGGACGAGTACAGCATGTCGAGAAAGAAAAGAACAGCCTGGAGGATAAAAAAGACAAGGCTCTCGCATTCGTTCGGGATGAGAACGAACTAGCGATGAAGCAGTCTGCCCTCTACCAGCTTTTCATTCATGAGTGCAATGACAATCTCACCGTTACCGAGGAGGCAATCAACCAGATGCAGGCCCAGCTGGATGTTGAGCTCGAGAAACATCACGGTGGCCAGCAGGTCATCAAGGAGCTCGAAAAGGCTCACGCCAAGGGGGCCAAGCAGTTTGAATCGCAAGAGAAGGAAACCCAAGCCTTAGTCAAGGAGATGGCCAAGTTTGAGCAAGAGCGCGTCAAGTTCGATGAGAAGCGGAAGTTCCTCGAGGACAAGAAGAAGAAGCTCGAGAAGACCATCAAGAACGCCGAATCAACCTCTGCCGAAGCCGATGAGACTATCCAGCAATGCGGCGATGATATTGAGAGGCGGACCTCAGACATCGCCGACCTGGAGGCACAAGTAGAGGAAGAGGAAGCGGAGCTTACCAAGATCCGTGAAGGTTTGAAGGGCAAGACCCAAGCCTTCTCTGACCAGATCGCCGCCAAGCAAAAGGCCTTGGAGCCATGGATGGAGAAGATTAACCAGAAACAGTCAGCGATCGCTGTCGCGGAGAGCGAGCTGAACATTCTCCAGGAGAAAGCAAACGCTGGCGCTGTCGCTCTGGAAGACCTCGAGGCCAAAATCACCTCGACTGAGCAGGGCAAGGTAGCGAAACTGAAGGAACTTAAATCCTGCGAAGCGGAGAAGGCTGAGCTACTTGAGGAGGCCGAGAAGATGAAGTCTGAACTTGAAGTTCTTTCTGGGCAGGAGCCCAAGATTCGATCCAAGATCTCCAACGCACGACAAAAGGCCGACGAGGCTCGCTCGAGTCTGTCTAATACCCAGACCCGGGGCAACGTCCTTGCAGCGCTCATGCGCATGAAGGAGTCAGGTCGTATTGACGGTTTCGACGGACGACTCGGAAACCTCGGTACCATCGATCAAAAGTTCGATGTCGCCATTTCCACAGCTTGCGGTGCCCTCGACAACTTCGTCACAGAGACGGTCGATGCTGGCCAACAGTGCATCGAATACCTCCGAAAGAACAACTTGGGACGAGGCAACTTCATTTGTCTGGATAAGCTAAGGGTGCGAGACATGTCTCCTATTCAAACCCCTGAGAATGCTCCTCGACTATTCGACCTGGTCAAGGCCAAGGAGGACAAGTTCCGACCTGCCTTTTACCACGCCATGCAAGATACTCTAGTTGCAACTGACCTTGCGCAAGCCAACAGGATTGCGTATGGTGCGAAGCGATGGCGAGTTGTGACCCTCGATGGCGAACTCATTGACAAGTCTGGTACGATGTCCGGTGGTGGAACTACTGTCAAGAGAGGTCTGATGTCCTCGAAGCTTGTTGCAGAAATCACCAAGGAGCAGGTTGCCAAGCTTGAGGGCGACCGTGATGGATGGGAATCCAAGTTCCAAGAGTTCCAGGAGTATCAGCGAGAGTGCGAGACGCGCCTCAAACAACTGAACGTGGAGATTCCTGAGCTCGATACCAAGATGCAGAAGATCGGCCTAGAGATCGACAGCGCGACCCGAAATGTCGCCGATCTTCAGCGACGAATCAAGGAATTGAGCAAGGAGCATCAGCCCTCAGCTTCAGACAACAGCCGTATAGCTGCCTTGCAGAAGGACATTGCCAAGCTCAACAAGGAGATGGAGAAGCTCCATGGCGAAACGTCCAGCGTGGAGGAGGAGATCAAGGCGCTGCAGGACAAGATCATGGAAGTTGGTGGCGAGAAGCTTCGCGCCCAACGTGCCAAGGTCGACTCCATCAAGGAGGAGATTACTTCTTACAATGAGGAGATCTCCACCGCCGAGGTTGGCAAGGCCAAGGCCGAGAAGCAGAAGACGAAGCTCGAGAAGGATCATGCAAAGGCGACAAAGGATCTCGATGCAGCTGCCAGGGATCTTCAAAAGCTGGATGATGACATCAACCACCAAGGCGAAAGGGCTGAGGAACTCCAGAGTCAAGTCGAAGAAGCTGAAGAGGGTCTGGGCTCCAAGAAGAAGGAGCTGAAGTCCTTGAAGGCTGAGTTGGACGAGAAGATGGCCGAGTTGAACGAAACCAGGGCTGTGGAAATTGAGATGCGAAACAAGCTGGAGGAGAATCAGAAGGCTCTGGGCGAGAATCAGAAGCGACTTCGCTATTGGGAGGACAAGCACTCCAAGTTGGTCCTCCAGGACTTGGATGATCTCATCGGCAACTCTACGCCTAGCCAAGTGAAACGGGAGTCCAGGGAGAACACGGCAGGTGATGAAGACGTCGAGATGGGTGATGCTCCAGCTGAAGACGTTGATATGACTGACGCCCCTGTCGAAGAGGAGGATTCTGAGGAAGAAGAGCATTCTAATGGCCAGCCCAATGAATTGCCCAGGTACACTCCTGACGAGCTCGCCGACATGAGCAAGGAAACCCTCAAGGGTGAAATCGCTGCTCTCGAGGAGAAGACCCAAAACGTCAATGTCGACCTCGGCGTCCTTTCAGAGTACCGCCGACGAGTGGAAGAGCATGCTGCTCGGTCCTCAGATCTCCAGTCGGCGATTGTGCAACGAGACTCGGCCAAGAAGCGGTGCGACGACCTGCGCCGCCTCCGACTGGAAGGATTCATGGAAGGATTCAGCGCCATCTCTCTCCGCCTGAAGGAGATGTACCAAATGATCACCATGGGTGGTAACGCTGAGCTGGAGCTTGTGGACAGCTTGGACCCATTTAGCGAGGGCATTTTGTTCAGTGTGATGCCACCGAAGAAGAGCTGGAAGAACATTAGCAACCTTTCTGGTGGTGAGAAGACGTTGAGTAGTTTGGCTCTGGTATTTGCTCTGCATCACTATAAGCCGACTCCCCTGTACGTCATGGACGAGATTGACGCTGCTTTGGATTTCAGAAATGTGAGTATTCCCCTTCCCCTTGCAGTCTTTTCCCGAGACACTCGGCTGCGACCAGTCCAGTGGCTTTCCTTTGAGTCACCATGACACTTCGCTTCTATTGTCCTTGATATGCAAATCACTAACGCAAGATGCAGGTCTCGATCGTTGCCAACTACATCAAGGAGCGTACTAAGAACGCCCAGTTCGTTGTCATCTCGCTCCGAAACAACATGTTTGAGCTCGCGGCGCGACTTGTGGGAGTGTACAAGGTCAACCATATGACCAAGAGTGTAACGATTGAGAACAAGGACTACATTGTGAGGCCACAGAGTCAGCACAAGGCGCAAAACAGTCAAACTACGACAACGTTGGCGCTTCGATAGATGGTACGGGTATGATGATGAACAGGACATCTAATTGTGTATATGACGACGTATATGGATTTGGTGCTGGGCTTGATGGGTAATGACTACCAGGACGGGCGGGTGGCTTCGATAATGATTATCTTGATGATTCTTTTTTGCCTTTGGACTGCTTGATTATCTCATGGCGACTTATGACGGCGCAAGGGGTGGCTGATTGTTGCCATGATGCACATGTACTGTTGCTAGTGAATCTCTCGTCTAACAAGTAGGGGGAGTTGGTTGCCCTGATTCAGCCTGTGCCTTGTTACCCACGGTTCTCTCCTTTCTTGGTCTTGAATTGGTCAATGGCTTATTCATACCACAGTGCCACGGTGCGATAACATCTGGATCAACGGCGGACGACAGAACCAGCAGCCAGTATCAACTCCATCGACATGAACCCCCAACACGGCCAGCCCGACCGAGGTGTACAGATCTCGCGTGACGCATAGATCTCGCATTCTCCCCTGGAGGCGGGGGCTTAGGTCCTTAATATCCCGGCTGTGGCCCAGGGGTCAACGAGGGGGGGTGAGTTGGCAACAAGAGCAACGCCTGCGAGGCGTCAATCGTGGAACCGGGCTCGATTGGGATGTCGCCGTCGAAAGCGAGCCCCTTTTCACAATCAGGGAGGCAGCCAGAAGTGCCGGTGTCCGACTTTCGTGGCGGGTTCCCTCGATGGGCTCTGGCTTACATTCGACGGCACATCTCTCGGCTCATACTACCGTGAGGAATCACTCCGCGTGTTGGTGTCTCTCTGTGCAGTCTCACCCTTCTGTGTCGTAGGTGGTTACGATCTTTCGGACAGATTCGGCAAATACGGCCATCCATGCATCTGCTTCGTCCTATAAGTAATGCCAGCATAGTTGTCTATGAAACTCACCCAGGTTCATTTCTAGGCTGGTTCGCTAAGCTTGCTATCACCCACTCTCGTTCGCCTCTCACTTCAACAGGATGTGGAGGTTTCTGATTCCCTTGCTTCTTCATAGTATCGATGCCCTCCCTGCAGCTCGTGATGTGACGAGCACTTGTCCCCACGACGCTCTTTACACGTCCCTCGTTAGCAGCGGAATCTCATTCTGCTCCAGTGTGATCGGGAATGGGCATTGTGCTGGTGGGGGATACACCACTCCTTCGGCGTATTTGACTTACAACCAGACTCAAATATCTTCCTATGTAAGTTGCGTGGTAGTGCAGACACATTGTAGGAGCCAGAAACTAATAGTTGCAAGTGTCGATGCATTCTGACCAACTCCAGTGTCTCGACTGTAACATCTGGTTCGATTGGGGATACAATTGGTAATCCTACACCTACTATGACGGATAATGCTTCTTCAGCCTCAGACCAGAGATCTGCCTCGACATCAAGACCGCCGGCTGGAAGGCCAGCTCCAGGACGGCCTCCGGATTTCTCTTCTAGCCGCTCTCGCTCAGCAACCACACAATTAGCGTCAAGCACTGCTACCGCATGGAATGAGACCGCTCTTAGCTCTTCAACTTCTGGTCAGGAGACGAAGACGGATCGTTCTGGAATTTTGACGAGCCGTACAGTTGACACCACAGCAAACCGGACCTCCACGGGATCGTCCACGTACCAAAGCGATCAATCAAGCTACTCCACTGGCAACCTATCAACGAATACGTCACCAGGCTCCCAGAGCTCAAGTTTGACTCTTTCGGTCACGGCGAGTCGTTCTTTAAATATCTCTGGAACACTACAGCCTAGCACAGGCATACGAAACGCAACATCAGCACCATCCGGGAGGGTCACTGCACCTGGACGGATTCCACCAGACGGACTCGCTTCCACGTTTTCAGGCTGGAACTCCTCGTTTACTTCATCAATTGGGTCCGTTACTGGATCTGGGATTGACACTGAATCTGGCCCTGGGACTACAACTGGGAGGGCGTCAGAAAATCCATCTGGCTCAGGGGGTACAATCATTCCCGTCCCAACTACCATCCCATTTTCAACGTTAGAGGGCTTCACCTCCACAACGCTCTTGGCAGATTCGACCGCTTCAGCTTCAAATAACTTCTCCACAACATCGGGAAACTCCATCTCCACTACAGCCCCAACAAGACCGGCTTCTCCAAATGGCTCGAATACCGAGTTATTCAACGGCACCAGCTCCCAAGTTGACGGCGCAACATCCACCAGAGCGCCCGAGTTTCCCGCTGCGAACTTCACCCAGGTGACTCGGTCGGGCGCCATCTCCAAAGAAACCTGCTACAGTCTTGCCCGGGATTCTGAAGAGGACCCGACTCGTCGCGCTCTGCTACACAACGCCCAGTTGCGTGAGGAAAATGCAACGATTCCAATCCCGTACATTCAGTCGGTGCAGTTTGACAGTGGCGGGCTAGACCCGTTGTACCTAACTGTGAGAGATGTTGCTGAAGGAACATACTTCATTGATATCTCTAACAAGAACCACATCTCCGTCGTCGATCCTGAGGATAACTCGATGCTACTGGATGCAAACGGCATTCACTTCTCGACGAGGAATTGCACTTACGGTGTCTCTATTGGAATCAATAACATGCTCCAGCAATTGGCAACGCTCGCTGGAGTTCAATGCGCTGCCTCTGAGCAAGAAAAGCGGTCAGAGGACCTGCAGTTCAGACAAGTCCTCAACCTCCACGATCAATGCAGTAATCCGATTGTCAGAACCCTGAGACAGTATCCTCAACTCCGCGTTGGTGACTCTGCATGTACAGATACCAACGTCGACGAGACTACGGGCCGATGGGAGTTTGATTGCACGTTTCCCGGGTCGCTCTCCGGCTCGATGAGGTGCCAGTGGGCGATCAAGAACGATGTGGTAGATTTTCTTACCACTGACCCGTTTGGAGGCTCTTGTCCCGACCTGGCCACTGTCATCACCACTCTTGAGATGACTGGGCAAGATTTTCTGAATGTCGAATCGTTTCGGGAGACTTTGTACAGCCAGAGACTGAATGCAACGCAAAGAGAGGAGGCGGATACAGCTGCAGTCGCCTTTGAGCAACTCTGGGAGGTGCTCAAGCAAATACTGTCCAAGAGTAGGACGGAACCCCCGGGAGACTCGAGCGCTCTAGAAAGGTACATTGAGCTTTACAACACCTACAGGAACCTCGAGAACGACATCTGTGAGGACCTACACGCGGGGGAAATCCCGCTGAGCCTCAGCCTCATTGCCGGGGTGACAAGGATTGATGCCATCACGACACTCAACTGGGCGCCCGAGTCACCCCGATCCTATAACATCACTATTCAGAACCCCTCCGAGATTGCTTGCTGTCCCAGCGGCGCGGTGGCAGCAGACAGCGGTGATACCTGTGCCTACCCAGCCGAAGCCACCATCGTCGACACAGGCTGCATCTGTGGCACGACGGTTGGAGGAGAGTCGGTAGCGTTCGAGTACAGAGAATGCGAAAATTACGTGAGTGAGTGCGACAGTGATAGCGACTGTGTGGATGCTGGACACGCCGGGTTTGTGTGTTTAACTGGGAGTTGTTGTGATGGTGGAGTGTGTGTGGATCCATATGCCTGCTCGCAGAACGGGACGGAGCTGGTCAAGTTTGGCAGTTAGTGTAGGGTAGCTGAGACGGTACTAGCAACTCCAGCCGAAAGTCAGCGTTTTTTGGTGGTTTAAAGTAAATTATCCATTCTCAAGATGGAGTTTTTATTCAAGATGCAATTTATCGTTTTGTTAAAAGGTTGGTGAAGCCTGTGGTGGTGATGAATCTCTCTCAATTGATAATGAGTTCGGACGGCTGATCACGGCAGTGCAAGTTGAAACTGGGGAAAGCCGAACATTCTTCATGAGAACCAAGAAATGTCAGATTCAGCTGCTTACTTTCTGAGATTAGCAAGGAGTAGAACAGGTCAGGCTGAGGATCAAGAGAGAAACTCCATTTATACAAGAGTAGACGTTGGTGCAACCTGTAGTGTGCAAGCCATCCGACAACATTCAGGGTTTTGCTGAAGCCCTTAGGTCATTCTCAGCATCACTTCACCCACACTTTTTGAAGACAAATTTGTCCACTGTTTACTGTTTGCTCTCTGCCCAAGTGGCAATCCACGATTACCCATCGTGCCACATCATGGGCTGGTTAACCTGCTAGGAACACTCTCCTCCGTTGGTCCTACCCTGTGTGTGGCAATCAACTCACCTGTGCGTTCCAGCGTGTCAACTGGGTGGATGAACTTGAACTCATCATATCGCTCGAACGGGCAGAAAACCAGACCAATGTCAGTGGTGTTGATAGCGTCGTCCAATTAATCGAGCTTAGCGTTGCTCACATGGAGCATGCGTTGACTAAACGCGTCCGAAGAGTGTCCCGATCCTTGAGCAGTTCGTAGTAGACTCCGGTAAAGCCTTGCTAAAGTCCGGCCCGAACAGTTGTTCGATGGGAACTCCATCAAGACCAGGTGATACAGGTCCTGGCCGACAAAAAGTAAGATACGCAAGTGTTGTTCCTGCCCGCTGGAGTTCGAAAGTGCTTCTCCAGCGGCTCATGGGCTTCACGTTGGATTTGTGCGCGGGCATCGTACTAGCGAATTTGCTTGTCCATGGAGCTGGTGTAATACTCTGGGCACGAAGAGGTCTTGCCAAGTAACGTCATCTTGACGGACGGGACCATGGCGACCGAAGGACAAATTTGGCTTCTGCTCAGGTCAATTTCGTTCAGCAGTGAACAAGTGGCTCGCAACGGACAGCAGGCCTGGAAGGAGGACCTAATATTGGGGACGTCGCGTGACGATTCGAAGCAATGTCGGAAAATTATGATCAACATCGCTGGAAAGAGGAACATATCACGCCGATTCGAACACATCTCAGTGAGAGTGACAAGTCACCAAGTACGAGAAACCAACAAGAAACGAGACAAATGTGAACAGCCAATGTAGTCCGATTGTAATTTTGGAATCTCCTAGATTCATAATCCCAAGTGCTCATCCCATCCGTTTTTTGAATGCAGACGTTAACATCACATAACCAGACTCCATCCCAATCATCTCCACACCTAAGCCTTAGGGGTGTTGGGGATGATCTTCTTGCCGTCCTTGTTGTAGCGGACGCGAGGGGGAGGGGCACGGTTGCGGCGACCGACAACTGATCGGACACTGCGAATTTGGTCAGCACTTCTGTCGAAACGTACCAAGGGGCCCTCTCGTTTTTGAGAGGCCGGGAGTGTGTTCGCAAGTACGACCAAGGTTCTTCTGAGCACATACGCAACCAAGGCGCAGTCGTCACACTCCCAAGGAGGACAACGTACCGGACAATCTTGCCGTGAATGGCGCAAGAGACGCAGTACTGCAGCTTCAGGTACATCTTGGGTACGGTGTACTCCGCGAAGACGGAGGCATCGGAGATGTCGCCTGCGAGCGAGTTAGACCTGGTTCAAGGGACGGGAAATGCGGTTTGACGTACGAATGGCAGCAGACTCGACCATGTTGCGGATGGTGAAGCGCTTGATGGCCTTATCCTTGGGGGTGCATCGCGAGCAGTTGCTGCATCGGATGGGCTTGACGTGGCCGCGACCCTTCTTGTTGCGGCCGCTAAGAGCATGTTAGAACGGAACGGAGGGAAGCAGTTGGAAGCCGTCGTTGCGAAGGCGCTCGAGATCTCTCGTTGTGCGAGGCATCGTCGGCGGAGGGCAATCGGCAGCGGGGGAGGAGGAATCGTACTTGTTCTTTCTCTTCTTGACCATTTTGACGGATTCTGCTGTTGGTTAATACTTCAGGTCCACGCAAGGAAGAAAGAAAGAAGGAGGGAAAAGGAAAAGGCTCGAAGACTTACTGAAATGTGCGTTGTCAAATGCGTTGCAAGTTGCAAATCCACTCGGAGACTCGTAGGGCAAGTGATTGCAGCAGCAGCCCCACAGCCCTGGAATTTTGGCGAGGGGCAGGGCACACAGAGCGGAAACCCTAGGTCAGGTGACCCCACCCTCAGCCCGCGGCGATTTTCTAAGCCGCGCCACTCCACCAAAAGCCGATTCTCTTCATCCACGCACCATCTGAAGATTGCTTAGGAAGGCAGTAATTTTATTGTCGAGGTACGTCTAAAGATGCTGCAAATCCCCTTCACCATGGCGAGGGCTTCATTGCCTCTCACATGAGAGTCTTTGCAACGCCGTCGCCATTGTCACAATCATCCTCCCCCCATCGCTCTCGCTTTCCCGATGTCGCGAACGCTTCGCTGCGCGAGCGCATCGAAATCCGTCTTCGACCAGAAATCTAACGTCCCCAGCTAGGCAAGATGCAGATCTTCGTCAAGACCCTCACGGGGAAGACGATCACCCTTGAGGTGGAGTCTTCCGACACCATCGACAACGTCAAGTCCAAGATCCAGGACAAGGAGGGCATCCCCCCGGACCAGCAGCGACTTATCTTTGCTGGTAAGCAGCTCGAGGATGGCCGCACTCTGAGCGACTACAACATCCAGAAGGAGAGCACTCTCCACTTGGTGCTCCGCCTCCGTGGTGGTGCCAAGAAGCGCAAGAAGAAGGTCTACACCACCCCCAAGAAGATCAAGCACAAGCGCAAGAAGACCAAGTTGGCCGTCCTCAAGTACTACAAGGTCGACTCCGACGGCAAGATCGAACGACTTCGCCGCGAGTGCCCCAGCGACACCGTGAGTTTCCCCGTCCTTTGGCCAGTGATGAGCAGATGCTAACGACCAACTCAGTGCGGCGCCGGTGTCTTCATGGCTGCCATGCAGGACCGCCAGTACTGTGGCCGATGCCACCTCACCTACGTTTTCGACAAGCAATAAATGCATGACCAGGGGATCTGAATGCGCATGGGATGGCTGGCGGAGTTGGGAACCATGGACTGCCGAAAAAAAGGCGTTGGTGTAGCATAGAGCACATCCGGCTTCTGAATGCATGCTTGATTGAGAAGGACAAACAACTGTTCACTTGCCTCTGTGACCGTGACCTTTGCCTGATTGAACTCAACCGTAATACTTGCCAAGACAATTTGCCCATGATTGTACCCATGACAGCTCACAGAGCCCGACCGGAAGACCAAATGACCAGAAGCAAGCGAATTCTTTTGTTCTCGAAAATAATTCGGTCCAGTCGCCACCCAAACCATCCACCAGCACAATTGGATATTCTCCACAGAACCAGACCCTCTGTCGAATTGCTAGCAGAGCATTATTTTCCCAGCCTTGCGTGAAATCTTTCATTGTGGCCGAAAATTTTCCAACCGCCAAAGCCTTGCCCTCACTCGGCGGGTCACGGGAAGTGGACGACCGGCACCGGGAATACCGGGAGTCGCACATGTGAAATCAAGTCCTGGATCGCAAGCTTCACTCGTTGGTCTACTTGAGCTGTCGTTTATCATCACAAATGTGCATACTGTAACGTTTTTACCAGAGCAATCGATTGACCGACATGTCAGTGTTTAAACGGGTATGATCCCCAGTATGTAAACAGGTACACAAGCAAAATGCCCTCAAACGCCCAAGCCAAAATCCTACAAACTCCTCAAGCAATTGCGCAAGGTCCCTGGGAAGCCAGGTTATCCCGTATCTTCCGCTTCTTTGCCTTGGCTGAGCCTTGCCGCCCAGCTGTGGCACTCGTCGCGTCGGACTCCTGCGCGTGTGAGGCTGAAGAAAAAGAGTCCCCATGCCCCCACTCCGCGCCGGTGCTCTCGTCATAAGCTGCCAGCAGAGTTGCTGTCATAGCCGGGTTCCTTGGCCCTGATTCCTCAAAGGGCATGCCTCCTCGCGCAATGCCTGTCGTAAATGAAGTTTCGCCATCAAGCCATTCCCCGTTCATCCCCATCCCTGTAGCATCGGACTGTTCCCAGACAGCCTTTCCCTCTCCGGGTAGGAGAGGTGCAGGCTCGGAAGCTGCCAAGCAACCGGAGGAGCTCTACTCGTCATCCGCGGCCTTGGACTTTCTCTTCTTCTTCTTCTTCTTTTCGCCGTCGTCAGCCTTGGGGGCCTCCTCCTCCTCCTCGACCTTGCGCTTCTTCTCCTTCTTCTCTTTCTTTTCCTTCTTGTCCTTCTTCTCCTTCTTGGACTTCTTGGCAGACGCGGGCTCGGGGGCATCGGCCATCTCCTCGTCTTCGTCACCACCATCGTCCATGATGTCCATGACACCCTTCTGTAAAGGCATTAGCATCGATTCTATGCATCAGTGAAATCAATAAACGTACCATGACATCAGCGTTCTTAGCGGGCTTCTTGCCAGTGGCGTAGAATTCCAAGCGGTCCTCGACCTGCTGCTTCAGGGCCTCGCCGAATTTGGTGGAGGGCTCCTCAGAGAAGTTGTCGATACGGCTGGCCATACTGCACTTGTTGGCGAGGTATCGGGAGATGCGGCCCTTGTTGCGGACACCGGCCTTGCCGATGAAGCTGCTGTGGTAGATGAGACCGTACTTGGGAGTGTTGCTCTTGGTCTTGAGAGCACGGAACAGAGCCTTCTCGGCACCCAAGATCTGCAGGGTGGAGGCAGGGTACTTGGAAAGGTTGGTCAGGGAACCGGCGTGGGAGATGAGACGAGCGGCAACGGGGGTGCCGATGAGAACCTGCAGGTTAGGAGCGACGTGGTGCATCTTCTTCTCGAGGTAGAGGGAAGTCGACTTGCGGTTCTCGGCCTGCTTGACGACAGCCTGGGCGAAGCCGCTGACAATCTCGAGGTCAGCGGCAGAGATGTCAAGACCCATGGAGACCTTGGCAGCGTCGATGATGGCCTGGGCCTTGTCACCGTCCTCCTCAACGACGGCAGCAATGTCGTGCAGCCTATCATCGTTGAGGCTCTTCTTGTCGCCAATGGCAAGGACGAGCTTGGCGTAGGTCAGGTTGTCGGGGACAATCTTGACCAGCTCGGGGAAGTGCCAGCCGTACCACTCGCGAACGCGCATGAAGAACTGGTTCACGCCCTTGTCCTGGAAGTCGATGGTGGCGCTGGCTTGGATGATGTGGTTGTCGTTGCGGGTGACGCTGAACTTGACCTTGGCGCGGGAGTAGGCGTGTCCCATACCCAGACCGGCCTTCTCGACATCGCCGGACTTGAGGTTGGAGAGCAGCTTGTCGGCGTGCAGGCGAATGCCGCGGATGACGTCCGCGACAATCTCGTTGGTGTCGGCGGTCTCGCACTCGAGGCCGGGGAACTCGGCCTTGATCGCGCCAGCAAGGTTCTTCTCGGAGACACCCAGCACGACCTTGGACTTCTTGCCGCTGGTCTTGGGAAGGTTGAGTTCGAGGACGTTCTTGAGGTAGTCGGAGACGATACCCTCGGAGACGAGGTTGATGTTCTCCAGAGCCTCAACGTGACCCCTGCGCGAAACAGTCAGCGCCTCTATGACATCCAGGCCATACGGGGGAGGAATCCTACCTGAAGGGAGTGAAATTGGCGAGCTGGACCATCTTGCCAAACTTGGCGAGATCATTGCCAGCGGCTTGAGTCTCCTTCAACTTCAGGCCCACGGCATCCTGTTGATGGATCACCTTGAAGAGGGCATAGCCCACGGGCGACTCGTACAGAGCGTAATCGATATGCGACATGTTGTTTCGTCCCAGCCTGGTGCCGCAATTGGAGGGGAGGGGGGGTTCGGTTTACGAGTGGTGATGTCTCGAGACTGAGATTTTCGCACTTTTTTCCAACTGGAAAATTTCTGGCAGCTCGAAAGCTGGCGCACGGGCCGCTACCAGCCGCCTGTGGCTGGTTTGCGAGTCACGTGAGCCCCATCAGCCACGATCAACTGTTCGTCCATCATGGGGCATGACTTTCCGAGTGAACACCAACCAGTGTGCATGTGAATAGCAATACTCTTTATAATTGATTTCATAAAAGAATTCATTGAATCATGCAATCAATTGCTATTCCAAGCCCATTGGACTTATTTCATTCTCTTTTTTAGGATTCTGGAGTCTGTCCTTGGTCAATGCCAATACACTCAGCCGCTCATGCGATCATTCCTTCATCCACCTTGGCCCACCATGGCTCCACTTAACTAGTTCTGAGGGAACCCATTTCGGAGGTTATCATACTTGGTCGCTGGGTACTCAAGGCAGTTATCCTGCCTCATCAGCGCTTGCGGCCCTCCCAGGGTATTTACTACAGTTCCGATCAAGCTGGAGTCTCCCTCCTTGTCGGCGCTGCTCTCCCACCACATGGCGCCGCCCAGGCGGTGCTGCTTGACATACTCGGCCTTGATCCGCGCCATATCGGGGGTATCGTACGAGACCAGCTTTCGCTGCTGTGGGTTGTAGCAGTAGGTCGCACTACAATGACCATCAGAGTGCTCTTGGAAACCCTCCAGTGGCAAGCGCTTGTAGTCGTGCACGCCCTGCTCCCAGCTGCCCTCTCCAATACCCTGGAAGGGACGGCCAGGCCCGTCGGTGTTCTCAAAGGCACGGCCGTAGAGGGGCATGCCGAGGACGATTTTTGACGGGTGGACACCGCTCCGGGTGTAGAATTCGAGAGCGGCCGACGTTGAGAAGGGCGTGGACGCCGGGTTCTCTCGAGAAGGATACAGGTTGGCCTGGTGGCCGCTGACCTGGTCCCACGAGCCAGCGTAGTCGTAGGCCATCAGATTCCAGAAGTCCAAGTACCGGTCCATTCCGCGGATGTCCATCTTCTCATAGTTCTGGGCACCGGCAGGGCACGCCACAGTGATCTCGAAGTGGTGGTTGGGGTTGCTGAGGGTTCGGGCATAGAGATCCAGCTCCTCGCGGACAGCAGCTAGCAGCTCGACAAAGTTCCGGGCCTCGTCGGGATTCTGGGGGTACTCCCAGTCAATGTCGATGCCGTCGAAGCCGAGCGTCTTCAGCAGCTCAACGCTGGACTTGGCGAAGGTCTGTCGGCCCTGCGGTGTGCTGGCGGGACCCTTGAAATTGGAACTGTAGGTCCACCCTCCGATGGACAAGAGAACCTTGAGGTTGCGGTTGCGCCTTTTGAGGAGATTGAGTTGCTTCAGGCAGCCGTAAAGATTAGTGCCGGAGTCGTTCCAGGAGTCTCCCTCCCAGTGGATGTCGGTGTCGGCCCAGGAGTCGGTCAGGTGGCTGTGGGGAAAGGTGAGCGAAGCTTCGGATACCCTGGGAAAGGATACTTACACCTCACCGGTGTCGCTACGGACATTGGCAAAGGAATAGAGAACATGGGTAAGCTTCTCGGCGGGCAGGTCCTGGGGACGGTGCTTGCGGGCGTAGATGGCCCTGAAGACACAGATAAGTTAGCAATGGAGGTGCCTAGCGAAAGGAGCTATCCGCATGAGGAGCTCCAGCTGGGTCGGATGATGTACCAGTTGACGTAGTAGGCAACGGTGCGGAAGCCTTCATATCCTCCACCCATGGTAGCGGTTGGAAGGTGATGGTCGGAAGGAGAGCTGCGGAAGTAGAGGGCTAAGAATAGGGCAACAAGGGCGCCGATGAGGAGAGATGCAAGCTGCGGGACACTTCCAATCCGTGAACCAGGCCGCTGCTGTCGAGGATCCGTGATGGGAAGCTATTTATCGCCGTATCCGTACTGTGTAGAGGGGGGTAGCAGGTAGCTAATGCTGAGAAGAGGGGCCGAAAGGTGGGGACGAGATGGAGGAGCTTGTTGTTCGGAGGATGAATACAGTCAAGACAGAGAATAATAGCCGAGTATAAATGTTTGACTACCACCGGCCTTACTCAGCTCTCGCCTAGACACCGCTTATGAGACCAGGCGGCCTCATTGATGCAGCCCAGCTCCTCCTGGGAGGTTTGCCTCGTCTCATGGGTGGGAAGCGTCGTCATGGACCTGACTGATTGGCGTAGATGCGGGATGGATGCCCCAGCCCAGGCGTGGCGGTGCTCTTTACCAAGGCCGAGGCCAAGCCCCAGCAGCAGCCAAGCAGACAGGCACAAGCACCCCCGAGCAAGTGGCGATGCTGCGGCCTGAAAGCCACATTTCTCAGCTGGAAGAGTGGCGGTAAGAGGGGCATTGAGCTGTCTTGCTGCGTAGTGGTGCAAGACTGAAGGAGAAATCCTGTTTTCAGTCATGTTCCCGAAGAGTAACGCAAGTAGCTTTGTTCCGTTGGAGCAGCCACACTGAACTACGCAATGCTTCAGCGATCCAAGGGTTCCTACATCTGCAGTGGAACCAACGTTCGTTTCTGACATGAGTTACGGATAACCCGGAATGACGCCAAGTTCTCTTTATCCCCAATCACAGTCATGTAGAGAAATCCACAAAGAGGGTCTTTCGTCAGTGGAACTCGCCCAATTTACAGGCGGGTTACTGCACATTGCGCACACCACATTTGTGTTGGTGCCCTCTTGCTTACCCTAGACCAATGGCACGCCTTAAGCTGCCCATCATATATTCGGGCTGATGTCCAATGAGACTGGACAGCGTGTAGCTGAAATACCAAGATTGGGTCAGGGTGTTGTGCACCCCGAGGTGATACCATGTTACAGTCTTGAAAACGCTGTCTGCACGTCATCATTTATCCCGATGTGACCTCTAAAATGGAGATAAGAACTGTTCCATAGGGTATCATAACGCCGATCTCCGCACCCAGGTTCCTAAGTATCAAAACACAAACAAAAAGTCCTCATTCTCCAGGTCTGTAACGTCCCCGAACGCCTTGTCGCCCTGCTGGGTTCCATGTCCATCCTCCTCTAGCGCATCCCCTCTAGATGGATTGTCGGCTTCATTGTCGGCTATCTCCCTGGCACTTCCTTGGTGTTGTGAATTCTCCATGACCTCCATTCGTTCCACCTCTTCCGCCGTCTCAAGACTCATATCAACTACAACTGCGCTCTTCCCTAGGGCGACTCTGCGCCGGCCATGCTGTAGATTGAGCCGTTTGATGTGTAGTGAAGCTCCAACCACAAGGCACATGACCATGACATAGAGTCCTAGATTAACGCGAAGACCAGACGAGTATCCAGGGGCATCCTCTGGAGAATAGAGAAGGGGTCCAACAATGTTTCCGGCTGAGGCGCCGATAAAGACAAGGGCAGACGTTGATTTGCGCTTGGTGTCACCGGCAGTGTTTTGAGCAGACCAGGAATATATAAGGGGTGCTGCGACGATTCTGTTAGGATGAAACGCACATGATGAACAGGGTGTATACTTACTGATTCCAGTGTAAGTGGACAGGCAGAAATACCCAGCCAATAGTACGGCCTTGTTCTCTGTCTCGTGCGTAAAATACAACAAAATGCTGCACCCAACAATTGGGGGGATGCACAAAAGTGCAATGACTGGACCTTTGAGTTTCCAACGCATCGACAAGTACGCGCTCCCCGCAACGGCGATTATATGCGAGAAGCCGATGGGGACATTGAACAGCATGGTCTGGAACGGGTCGGATACGAATGACTGAATGATGAGTGGCCCAAACGTGGAGATGCCATTGGATGGCACTGAGATGCAGAATATCATGGAAACCCAGAACCAGGTTTTGAGATCCAGCAACGTCTCCGAGACATGGGAAGATCTCCACTCGCGTGACATTACACCCATGTGGTTGTTTCGCAGTCGCTCGATTGCGATGACCTTGTCATCATCGCTAAGAAATTTGGCTTCCGTGGGAGAGTCGGGCATCCAGAAGAACATGATGACGGAGACTCCTACCGTGATGGCACCAAAGAAGAGGAAGATGACCTGGCCTAACAGTTAGGGAATAAATATGCAGTGAGACTCTTGTTCGTACCTGATACGGTTTCATGTGGGAATCGATGCTGGCTAGTCCATATGTGATGAGACTACCGAGCTGTGACCATGGCATCCAGTTAGCAGAGTTGTCCACCGACGGCAGGGAGACATGTGCGTACCACCCAAGTTAAACCATTCATGCAGTACCACGATCCAATCCTCATTGTCTGTTCTCTGTGCCCGAGTTAGCGCCGCGAACGGCCCAGTGAGCATATATACACACCTTCTTCTCCACCACATCTGAGTGATGGCAATGAAACTTGGGCCGACACTCGCCTCAAAAGCGCCAAGGAAGAACCGGGCAGCCATTAACTGTGAGAAATTGTGCGCCCAAGTCATACCAACCAGAGTCATTCCCCAACCCAAGACCATGGCGCTGGTCAGCTTGCCAATGGGAAGCTTGACCAGGGCGAGGGCCAGCGGGGGTTGCATCACCAACTGCGCTAGGAACACAATGCTGCCTAGCCACGAGTACTGCGCGCCCTCCAGGTTGGTGTCGTCGATGAGCCCAAAGATCGATGCGTAGGAGAGGGTGGCTTTGTCGAGGGCCTGGAGGAAGTACACGGCGAGCATCAGCGGGAGCAATGCTAGATCGATTCGGCGGAGGATTCGAGCATCGTCCGCGGGGGACACGGAGATGTGCTCGTCAGGGTTGCGACCAAGCTTGATCAGCAGCATGGCTGCAGCATCGCGGTAGGACGCGGGCTCGCCGCCCTTCCTGTTTGAAGCTATTCCCATTTCGCTGTCTGTGTCGTGGTGGTCTTCACCGCTATCGTCATGAGGGACTGGCTGGTATTCGGATGCAAAAACGCGGGGTGGGTGGACGGTCGATGCCGTCGAGGGCGAGCCGAAGAGGTTTCGAAACATTGTCGCCTGCAGGCGTCCTCGCAGGACTGTTCTCCAAGCCCCGATGGGCGAGAGTTTGCGAGGATCCGGTGTTTCGCAGAGTGTATTCTGGCTTTGTTGATGCTGATGGATGAGAGGTGTCAGGTGGACGAATGGGACGCTTGCTTATCATCCATTGGCAATGACGTCGGCGCACGTCCAATAGCTGCTGTGGTGCATGTGAGCGCCCGGCGAACTTCGGCAGGGAGCCGTCAGGCTGAACGCAGTGGGGACTTGGGCAGTTCCAGCGGGGTTCCAGGGGTCTGAGCGGCAGAGAGCCTCAGTGGACCTCAGTAAACTTTAGTGAACCTTAGTGAAGGCAGCGGCCCAGCGCAGGTCGGACATAGGCTCGGCTTCAGACCGGCGTTAGGGCCTACGCGGTGTGGCCGTAGACGTCGGGTGGACTTGCTCACCGATGGCTATGATGCATGTTGCGAGTGCGCTTGGGACGGAGAGTCATGACTTGCCAGTGAATTGTTAGCGAATTATTTACATAGTCTCATCCGTATAGTGGAGGGAGAAAACTCGGGATCTGATTGTGGCTTCTTACTGGCGGGAAACCTAACAAGCTCCCCGAACAGGTCCTGGCGGTAGGCCCCTGGATAGCGCCCAAGACCTCCAGCAAGTCCACTGAAAATAATCCCAGTTCCAGTTAAGACAGTGGAGGCACTGAGATATTGAAATTTGAGACTCTGATAACCAAGCCCTACCATCGTTTGTGCCCAGGTTTCGCAGCGCCTCCCAATCAATTCCTCTTTCATTGAAGGGATTCATTTCTGAAACCTGTCAATCTCCAATACACCGACGAACAGAGAAAATCCAGAAGGGCAGTTTGGAAGTTTGCGTTAGGATCACCCCCTGTTGCGGGCGGACGCAGACCATTCGGCCCTTTGACTGGTTGTGCTACGCACAGCATTGCATCCGTGACATTTTTTCCTCCGATACGTTTATACTGCGTTCCTACGGCGCATCGTGTACTCCGTCAATGAAAAAAAAAACCCCTCGTGTTGAGGAATCCAATCTTTGGTGTGGGCCAAAAGTTCAGGCTCCCTTGCTTGAGTGGTCTTATTGCTCACGTCATCTGGTCCTTCGTGTAAGCCGTTGGTCCTCGTCATGTGTGTGTGAAGCTCACCAGATAGGCAACCTCCGCGGAAAACCCAAATATATATCTTGGCTCCCTATCATTACTGGATGTTGGTTTTGTTAGATGCATCTCAGCCGCAGCCACAGATGTTTGCTCCAACATCATGCATGTGCTTTGCCGCCGCCCCACGATCGTCGTTTAGCGGCATCATGCGAGGGATAGCAGGTTGGCGGTAAAATTGCCTCGATACGCATGCAAACGCTCAGCTAAGAGTGCAATTTGGACTGACCGTTTGTTGCCGGCAATTTCAGAGACTGAGCCGAGTTGATTTCTGAATGTTTAGCTTTTACCGGACACTTTCTCGTTATTAAATGAACTGATGGCTTCACATCAAAAATAGCCAGCGCATCACTCGGCTACTTCAACATCTAGTCTAGTCTGTGTGGATTATATGCAGCCACCTTCCAACCAACTCACAGCCTCATCCATCAAGCGGTCAATACGGGGAAACCAACAGGGAAACCAACGAATCGCAGTTATCACATTGGACAGGGAATTATATATCCACCACCAGGTCGTGTTGATAGCAGATGGCACCCTGTGTCCCGTGGCCCCTTCCAGGCCCTTCCAGGCCGCCGACCCATCCGCCCTTTCGACCGTCCCTAGACTGCAAGGGAGTCTCATTAATATGCTGCGAGTGCGGCTCGGTTTGACTCACGAGGTATGTCCATTGTCGAGTGACACGTGGAGTTCCCACTCGTCTCACATCCCTCAAACATAACAGGTGGGAGCGCTTACAACCAACTGCAGCAGTATGCCCTAGTCATATAACTAGGCTTGTGGCTGCATCCGCGGCCGGGATCCGGGTGGCAATGGGCGTTGGGAGCTGAAAAGACGTTGAAGAGGGTATATAGCAATGCCCCCCCAATGTTTTGTTTCTTGAAAAATCTTCAAATTTCGTATCTGATCGTCTCGAGAGCTGAAGTATTCACCATGGCGTTCCTGAGTTCAGGAGGACCTATGGTTCTCGTTTGCGGCACAGTAATCAGCATCATCATTTTTCTATACCGCTCTCTAATCCGGGTTCGATCGTGTCCTTTACCGAAGATCCCCTACAACGCCAAGGCAGCATCCCGATTCCTCGGAGACATCCCTGATGTCAAGAGCGCCAAGTACAGACGATCATGGATATGGAGCCAACCCAAGATACACGGCTCTCCACTAGTCCAGCTCTTCATCCATCCTTTCGAGAAACCCGCTGTCGTGGTATCCGACTATCGAGAAGTTGTCGACATTTGCTCCCGCCGACTGAAGGAGTTTGATCGAGGGACCCGGAATAAAGAATGCGTGGGCTTAACTGCGCCCAATTTCCACATGACGATGGAATCGAGAGACCCCAGGTTCAGGCTACACAAAGAACTGCTGAGGGATCTGATGACGCCCGCTTTTTTGAACGAGGTAACTTGAGTTGCTGCACACCCTCACACGAGACGACAAGGGTTAACTCACTGACACGACAGATATCTGCCCCTCGATTGTATGAAAGGACAGGAGTCTTGATTAAACTCTGGACACTGAAAGCTGACAAGGGACGAGGACGACCATTCAATGCTAGAGACGATTTATACCTGGCTGCCCTGGACATTATTTCCAGCGCCGCCTTCGGTCTTGATGACGGCAAAGGAACATTGGAGAGGGAGATCTCGCACACACAATCATTCAACCCCAACGAGTTCAAGGGCTTCAACGGCCCTTTGCGTTTCCCCAAGGCACCGACCGACCCCGAGACCGCGTCATTGTTCGATCTCGCAGACATGATAGCCATTGCCCAGGGCAGTCCATTCCCTACATTGAGCCAGCACTTGGCAATGCTAAAGCCCAAGCACGCCAAGGCGTGGTGGTACCGGCGGCGTCTGATCCATCGCCAGACTACCAGGAGCGTGGATAGACTCAAGGAAGGAAGGGGAGAATTCATGCGTGAATGCGCTCTCGATCAGCTCCTGTGGCGAGAGATGAGCGCCGCAAAGAAGGCTGATCGCAAGCCGGACTTTTACTCTCCAATTATAAGAGACGAGGTACGTACTAAACGATGAGCAACTTTCTTCAATCTCTGACATCCCCTAGCTCATTGGCTATCTTCTTGCTGGCCACGATACTACTGCCACTGCTATCGCATGGTGGGTGAAGTACATGGCTCGCCACCAGCGAGTTCAAGACCGCTTACGATTCGAGCTTCGCCAAGCGCATTCCTACGCCGTCGAAGAAGCCCGCTGGCCGAGCATAAGAGAGATTACCTCGACTTCAATTCCATACCTGGACGCTGTCATGGAGGAAACTGTGAGATATGCTGCTGTTGCAACGCTCATTATCCGAACTACCACTTGCGACACCGAGATCCTGGGCTATCCCATCCCGAAGGGGGTCAACGTCATTTTGCCCCTGACAGGTCCGTCGATGAGCGAGCCAGCCATTGGAATTCCTGAATATCTCAGATCAACTGCATCTCAAAATGACAAAGACCGTGTGCCGCCCTGGGGTGACAATGTTGGAGAGTTTGTTCCGGAGCGCTGGCTGAAATGGGAGTGTGGAGCCGAGGGCATCTCAACACAGGTATTCTGTCCAAAAGCCGGCCCAAACCTGGCATTTTCTGCGGGACCGCGTCAATGCTTTGGCAAGAGGTTGGCGTACCTAGAAATGAGGGTGTTGATGACGCTTCTCATTTGGAACTTCAAGTTTGGAGAGTTGGATGAGGAGCTTAACAGTGATGGGATAGTGGAAAGTCTGGTCAACCTCCCAAAGGACTGCTACGTGAAGCTCTCTAAGGTTTAAAAGAACTGTCCAGTAGCCTTCTCACACTTTGGGCCCTATTTGGCAGCATCACAGAGGCGTTAGAGGCGACAGGCTGGAGCCTAGCCCTGATATCCATTGTCTATTTAAGTCAGACAGAGTGGATGGTATGAATTATGAACAAGTTTACATGACGCCTGCATCTGTGATTCTAATTCCCATGAACCTAATCCTGTATACCCATGTACCTTTTGTACAGCGACCTGTGCTGTTCCAAGAGCAGAAGAGTCGCCGCAGTATGCGGCCCAAGTCGTGCGAAACTAGGAACCCACCCTCTGAATACCCAGCGCATACCCTCCGAACGCGTCAACTGCCTTGCCATTACCAGTATCGAAGCTTTCCCTTCTTGGCTCATGGTTCTCGTTTTGATCACGTCAATCGGGCTGCAGATGGTGGTGGCGATCAAGCCCGCAAGAAGAGATGCTAAGAGCTGCGTGGGCACGCTGTCCGTCAACCCGGCATTGGTTATCAAGGCTTGCTTGATCCCGTCGTAAGATCCGAGCTGACAACCAGTCATGGCACCGGCACGAATAGAATTGGGCAAGACGCCGCGGAAGTACCCTGGTATTCCATCTTGCCTGGCAATGCGCACGAGTACATCAACCACGTTGCGATAGTTTTGTCGTTGGTGAGGAGGAAGTGATCTGTCGTTTTGCATGCGGACGTTTGCAATGTCCGCTGGGTTGCCGACCAAAGCACCGCATGCCCCAGAGAAGACAGAAGCAGTCAGGAGAATGCTCATTGAGGTCGGCTCATTGTTGGGTCGCGCCGCTCGCTCCTTGATGGATTCGTAGATTGCGAATCTCGTCGAACCGTAAGTTACTGTTTCCATATCACTTTAGCTATCTAATTGGAGAAAGAACGCTGGTAGGCTTGAAAGGAACCTACATTGCCTGAGCAGACCTGCAGATAACTTTGTCCCGAGTTAGAATCTGACACCAAGAGTGAACAGTGTTACCAAATTACCTACTCCTCGATATAGCCCCGATGCTCCCTCTTTGCGTAAGATCTGAAGCACCGTTTCAAAGACGTTTCTGCGTTCCGATGGTGGTGTAGCTTGAAGGCGAACCTTGACTAAAGACACATTGATTAGCATTAACATCACTCGACCGAATGAGGAGAGAGTACCGAGATCAAGTGGGTGCGAGCAGACTACTGCAAGACAAGATGCTGAACCGCCAAACCATTTAGGATATTGCGTCAACTTTGTAACTGGAGCAATGGAATCTTTGGGAATGGAAACAAGTGCGCCCGTTGGAACTTGACTGAGTTCTGACATGGCGAGGCTGGCTTTAGGTCGTCCAAACGAAGTAGATGTAGATGTTTGCGTTGTATAGGAAGTACATACGAGCTAGCAGCAATTCTAAATGCACTTGTTGCCTTTTGATGTATTGAAGTGATTTGATACCCGTCATTGACAATTCATCATGGGACTACACCGGGTGGATAACTGCTGGAGTCGGCAATATGTGCTTCACTTCTACTAGGCATGCCATATGCAAGGACCACGGGGGAGTTCTATACGGCTCGCAAAGGGAATTCTATGGCTATTTGCTGACATTTGTTTATTATCGGTACAGGTGACGGATTGAGGTGTCGGCAAAGAAACTGCCCGGGTTTTGGCTATCCCCAAGGAGTCTCCCAAGTCGGCTATTTGCTGCTGGCTCTCTTTCTCTGGAGGAAATACAGACTATTTCTGACATCTATGTTATTTATGCTCCGAGATACCAAATCGGAGAGCTCTACTTATGTGCTTGGAAGTTCTAGGAGAGTCCAACCCCCGAAGATGCCATATCGGACGCAGTCCTACATTTCGCATCAACCCTTCATTCAATCAAGACTGAATTAACCATCTCTCTCATTAACTGCGGTATAAACAATGTACAGCTGACTACGGTAATCTAAGCAACTGAATTGAAGCGGCACCCCGGGTCCACGAGATTTCCAAGAAAATCACATTCAGCATAGAGTACACCCACTGGACCACCCAATTTTCCTAACATTTCGTCGCTCCCACTGATTTTATCTGTGTCGCGAAACCGCCCGCCCTTCCCAAGTGACATGGCTGCTGCTCCCTACCGTTTTCAGCCTCTGGCACAATAATAGATGAGAGGATCTCACGTGGGAGAATCTCCATGCTTGGTTGATGACTGCGCTTTGAAGAATATTACAGGCAAGATAGAGGGTGTGAGAGACTTGAAGTAACCACCTTGTTAATTACTGTTTACGTACCTCGCGCTGATGTTTTCTTGATATGCAGACACAGCATACAAGGCTTTCAGCAAGGGTGCCGGCCCAGGCCTTCGAGCAAAACGATCCCCCTTGAGTTTGGGAGATAAACGCATGTGGCTATTTTGCTCATGATAATAATTATTCTCTCGAGTTATTTGTAACTGTCTAGCTAAGACTAAATACGTGTCCTCCCTTGTGACTCGGACTGCATTGACATGGTTCTTCCGAGATGGAATCACCATCTTGCTCAGTGTGAGCCTTCTGTGATGACCTACGAGAGGACATCACAGTATGTGACAGAGCCGAATTATTTAAAAATTTTTAATAGGCGACTCCGAAACGATCCTTCCTGTTTCGCGGTGGTGTGCTGAGAACATCGGCATTGTCGGGACTGTATCCCGATGATGTGTCGGTAAATAAAACGCTTCCGGCTATTGGAAAACGCCAAGTCGGCTTCTTGCCACAACCTCCACAACCACAGGCCCTGAGAACGGCGATGCGCCGCCGACTTCCAGAGTCCTGTAAGTCCCACCAGTGAGTCTCTCGGATTAATAAATGAAGCTTGAGGTTTCATTCTTTGTCGAATCTGAAACATCTCTATTCATCAAATCTCTCCAATCATGTCTGGACCAGCAAACAAGTTCCTGCGACTGAGCCGCCCGGCTCTTGCGTCTGCCAGATCTTCCTGTGTGCAGAGTGCACGAAAGAATGCCTTCTCAACAACCAGCTCAAGGCAACTCATGGGGCTGGCTGGCTTCACAGAAAACCAACTCACAGTTAGAGACGCTGTGAGCCAAGTGTGCCAGGAATTCCCCAACACCTACTGGCAAGAACACGACCAGGAGGAGAAGGACCCCAAAGAGTTCCATGCCGCACTCGCCAAGGACGGATGGTTGGGAATTGCTCTTCCAGAGTCCCTTGGAGGATCGGGCCTGGGTATCTCGGAGGCTACCATCATGATGCAGACCATCACCGAGTCCGGAGCTGGCATGGCTGGAGCACAATCAATCCACGCCAACGTTTATGCGACTCAACCACTCGCAAGATTTGGTTCCAAGGAGCAGCTGGAGACGACTATTCCTAACATTGTCTCTGGAAAGTGGCGTGTGTGCTTTGGTGTGACTGAGCCTAACGCTGGTCTTGATACTCTTCGCCTAGCCACCGCGGCCAAGAAGAACTCGGACGGATCCTACAATGTCACCGGCCAGAAGATCTGGATTACTTGCGCTCAGGTCGCCTCCAAGATGATTCTATTGGCACGAACTACTCCCTTGGATGAGGTCAAGAAACCTAGTGAGGGCCTCTCTCTTTTCTCTATCGACTTGAACCGAGACCAGCCCGGTCTCGACATGAGGAAGATTAAGAAGATGGGCGGCCGTGCTGTCGATGCCAACGAAGTATTTTTCGACAACTACCAGATCCCTGCCGACTCATTGATTGGCGAAGAGGGCAAGGGTTTCAAGATGATCCTCCACGGCATGAACGCCGAGCGATGTCTGCTCGCTGGCGAGGCATTGGGACTTGGATATGCTGCGTTGAAGAAGGCCAGCGACTACGCCCGTGAGCGAGTTGTGTTTCAGCGCCCGATCGGAATGAACCAAGGCATCGCGCACCCCTTGGCCGATGCTTATATGAAGCTGGAGGGCGCTAAGCTGGCGACGTACCACGCTGCCCGACTTTATGATCAGAGCAAAACGGACCCGTCGATTCGCCAGGATGACATTGGCGTTGCTGCAAACAGCGCCAAGTATATGGCCGCCGAGGCTGCATTTACTGCCTGTGAGCGTGCAGTTCTCACGCACGGAGGGATGGGCTACGCCGTAGAGTACGATGTCGAGAGATGGTTCCGGGAGTGCTTGGTACCTCGAATTGCACCTGTCAGCAGGGAGATGATTCTCAACTTTGTGGGCGAGAGGGTGCTTAAGCTCCCGAGAAACTACTGAGATGGTGAGGGCAAGGAGTTAGGGAACACATAGAACACGGGCTTAATATACCAAAAATAGAATAAGTATTTCGCAGCTTGACTGATATACGATTCCTATATCGACTCAGTAAATTGGCCCTGAATCCATCCCCCACTTATTGCCTTCGGGCTTTTTATACCTAATGATTTAGGAAATCTAAGCGTTGTATAGCTTGGTTTTAGTCCATAAAACAGGGCCAATTTATCGAGTCGATACGGTAGTTTGGTTCCTGAAGTCGCTTCACAATCCGTGTTGATGACTAGTACATTGTGAGATTTCGCACTCACAAACCCTGGTGTCCAACATAGAAAATCCACGATAATCAGTGAGAATTACCACAAGTCACTCGCCACTAAGAACACAAGGATTGTCGGCAATCGAGAACGCCTTGTTCATCTTGAACTGTTTCCAGTTCAGCGCAGTGAGACTCCGGAGACTCCGCGTCTTAGTCTCGGTTACTTCTCCCGAAGAAAAGTGGACCGGCCGAAAGAAGATGCCCCGCCCCGAGGGTCTCCCCGACAGAGTGGCCGGCTACTCAACGCATATAAGCGGGACGTGGACGTGGACACTGAAGACTCTCGAGCCGTTTCTGAAGTTGCTGAGCGTCAAGTGCCCGGTCACTTACGCACCAGACTTACACACCACAGCGCTGATTCGCGCCGACGCTGACCCGCCATGTCCCCAGCAGAAGTGCCCCCAGATGCAGAGGGCCAAGAGCCTTCGCAGAGTCCTCCCACTGACGGTATCCCTGCTAAACGGGCTCGGGCGAAGCATGCATGTCGGGAGTGCAATTCTCGAAGGGTGAGGTGCAACGTCACTGAGTCCCACCCTTGTTCCAACTGCCAGACTTCAGGGGCCAAATGCGAAGTGCTGCCGTCTCGGAGGGGGAGGTCAGTATCCTATGAGGTTCGAGGAGTACTCATAGCCCAAGGCAAAAATTGATAATTAGTTTAGGTATCCCCGGAGGTCACGTCGCCAGAACCAATCAGTTCAGGCGAAAGATCCCGGCTTGCCTTCCACTGGAACTGTTGATGATGGGATCACTTTGTCCTCCATCGATTCAATCCAACCTGTTCCAACACTGGGAGGCGACTCGATCACCAGCCCCCTGCTAAATAAAAATGTCTTCGATGCTAGACTTCCTGCGAGAACACCATCGCCCCCAACCGACTCGGCGGCGCCTGGGTCTTTGTTCTTTGGCGAATCCAATTTTCTGACTCTGGTGCCTGGTCGTCCTCGCCAGGGCGATGGACCAAATCAGAATGATGACGCAAACGGGAGCAAGCAAAAGGCTCGCCTTCTGTTTCCCATCACTAGCACGCCCCAGTCAATTCCCGAGGGCGAATCACCTGCCAGCTGTGACCGTGTCAGCTCGGGAACAGCACGATATCTCCGCGACGAAGGCGCCTTGACACTGCCCGATCTGCGCACCTGTGTGCCAGCACTACAGGCTTACTTTACCTGGTTTCATCCTTGCTTTCCTATTCTGGACCGCGCCGAGTTCACGCGTCGACTGGCAAGCTTTGATGTTTCCTATCTTCTCCTCCAGTCGATGCTCTTTATTGGCGCGACTTATTGCGATCATGATACCATTGTCTCCATGGGGTTCCAGGACCGCTCTGAAGCCAAGTCCCTGTTATATACGCGAGCTAGACTCTTGTTCCATGCGGATTGGGAAAAGGATGAAATCACCCTGATCCAATCCCTGTTTCTCATGAGCTTTTGGCGAGGCGGTCCATCGGATGTCAGAGATGTCCGGTATTGGTTGGGCGTGGTCATTGGGGTGGCCGAGTCGTATGGACTCCATAGATCGTAAGTTGCCATCGCTTCAATAGCACCAACAATCACTGGCTAATCGATGTTCCAATAACAGCGCCAAGTTTACAACTCGGGATACCCATCGAGCAAGAATAAGAAGAAGGATATGGTGGTCTATTTATGTGAGAATAAATACTCCTTGCTGCTGTATACTTGCTAATCATAATTAAAAGGTTCGTGAGCGCCAGGCCGCTGCTTCACTCGGTTTGCCTAGCAGGATCCGAGATGATGACTGTGACATTGAGCCGCTCAGTCCCTCGGATCTCGAGTCCGAAGTAGCTAACCACGAGACCTCTCACTTTGGATCCTGCAAGCCAGAGCATATCCAATATGTCATCAAAATGGTGGAAATTGCCAGAATACGTAAGTGGTTATGCCGATACCATCCATCATACGAACCCTAACTGGTGAGCAGTCGGCCAAGTCATCGATGTTCACTTCTCCCCCGGAAGGCCACCATCAACCCTAGAACAAGTTCGGAATCTTGATCAGACTCTCGAGACCTGGAAACAAAGTCTCCCGGATGAGTTGGGCCGCGTAGATGATGGGAATGCCTCGGTGTGGTCACATCTTCTACACCTGGCATACAAGTGCGTTACCCGCCTATTGAGCAGCAAAGAAATCCTGGCTAATGGTTTCAAGTCATATCCGAATTCTCATCCATCGTCATAGCTTCCTGAAACAAAAGAAGGAAGATGACAATGGTCAAATTGCTGTGGCCGCTGCTTCGCGAATTAGCCGAATCGCGGAGGATATGTTGGCGCAGGGGACGCTCCGCTATGGACAGATGCATTTGTGAGTTGCCATCCCATGCGAGCAACGACCGTGAGATGGATATTCTGACTCAATTATTAGGATCACAAGTCTGTTCGCTGCGCTTTGCATTCATGCCATCAGCATCAAAAGAGGCGTTGATGTCACCCGACGGATCGCAGAGCACAGAGCCCAGATGTGTTTACTTGCCCTACAGGAGATCCAGAAATACTGGAGGATCAACAACAACGTGCTTGACTTGTTCCTCCAATACCTCGACGTCTCGATTGCCAAGCGAATCCACGGCACAGGCCAAGTCGAAGGCATGATGCACACCATGCCCATTCTGGAGCCGCAATTGATTGGAGAAAGCCAGGATAATGGCCGCCAGGCTACTCCTGCGCCAGAAGGCGGGGTGCGGTATGACTTCCCGACACCGCAGACACAGGCCCAGACGAAGGCCTTTGAAGACCAATACTTCAATATGCTGTATGGGCCTTGGGAAGGCGATGATGGCGTGGCTGATCTGGGACTGGTTCTCCAAGCCAACGACCCCCTGCAAATGGATTGCCTCAACTTTTTGGGCCGGTCTCTGTAGAGTTAAGTCCGAGTTTCGGGAATGGTTCCCGGTAGTAAACCTTCGGTTTCTTCGGTTACTTGCATCGTTAAATAGCCGAGAGCCAAGTTCCACACCTCCGGATCCCTACTGGGGCCGCTCCAGTGGCGTCAGAAGTTCGCATCCATATTGTCATCGAATGGTTCGGTTACCTGGAGCAATCTGGTTCTATTAATCGTGCGAGGCCGCCTTTGCTTGCGCCCCCAATAAGCTCTAGAGTCAACCGCATCACTGGAAATTGATCAAACATCCTCAGGCCCTAGGGATAAGTATAGTTGATTGGAAAGACATGGCGCAATCCACGACTCTTTGCCAGGCCCGTCGCCGGCTGGTTCATCAATTGGCACGAGCGCAGCGCCGCGGCTTTGTGGCCTCATCCCGATGCTACAAAGCCACCGCCGCTGAGGCCGCCTCTCATCTTCTTGAGAATTTCGCCGAAAAGTCTGTTGTTCGGCGACAGTTTATTGACGGAAACCAGCTCCAGAAGTTGCTGCTTACGCTTGGTCAAACATCCATTCAAGGTGCAGACGTTTCTGAAGTCCCCCCAGTTGCCGGAACGCCAGTACCGCAAGGCTATCACCTTGCTTACTTTACACCCAATGGCACGGAAAAGGAGCTGGGAGCAGATGGTACTGACCGGACATTCAATGCGTCGGCTCCATTCACGCGGCGAATGTGGGCTGGTGGAAAGATGAAGTGGCCAGCTCCGTCCAGCGGTGCCTTGCTTCGCGTTGGAGACGAAGTCGAGGAGCGAACACGCCTTGTCAGTGCTACAGCCAAGAAAAGCCGATCTGCGGGAGAAATGGTCTTAGTCGAGGTGGAAAAAGAATTCTGGGGCCCCAACGGGCTTGCTCTTGTTGATCAGCGGTCCTGGGTCTTTCGACCTGAAATTGACCCCGAGACTGCACCCCCAGCTCCGGAGCCCCTTGCAGATGTTACTCGGGGGCCTTCTTTAACGAAGGACTTTACCAATAATGGCGATGGTGAGATTTAAATTCCTATACTATTGTGTGGTATGCTAATACACCTAGACTTCCTCACTCGAGAGCTTCGATGGTCTCCTACCGGCCTCTTCAGATTCTCGGCCCTCACCTTTAATGGTCATATGATCCACTACAACGAAGGCTGGACCCGGAATGTCGAGGGCCATGCTGGATTGGTAGTCCACGGCCCGCTAAACCTCATCAACCTCCTGAACTACTGGAAGGATGTTCATGGTAATGGCGAAGGCCCAAGCAGTATTTCATACCGGGCAATGGCACCACTATATGCCGGCCAGACGTATCACATCAAAACTTCGGATGTCAGAGATACTGACAATGGCAAAGTGTGGGATGTTGTTGTTGAGAAGGATGGAGTTGTTTGCATGAAGAGCGAGATCTCGAACCAAAATTGATGTACAATCCAGTGATGGCACAACATACAAAGCTACCATGACGCTCTTTGGTGATGTTAAATGAAGAAAGGCCAACCTGATATAGATTACCCAGTATCATATCCCTTGATTTACTACTCAAACACCGTGATATCAATACCACACAGCCGTGCCCGCTCAAGCAGGGCCAATGCTCGTTTCACGATTGGTGCATCAATCATCTTCCCATCCAACTTCCATGCACCTTTTCCCTCTGCCCTAGCAGCCGCATCGCCCTGCTGAACCTTCACCGCCCACCGCAGGATTTCCTCCGATGGGCCAAATGCCTTCTGGACAATCTCAACCTGGAGGGGATGGATGCACTGCTTTCCTGTAAACCCAAGAGCACGACCCTCCAGACTGTCATGTTCGAGAGCTGCCCTTGACTCCCCGTCTGACGGGACGCCTGTAGATACCAGATCGATAACGGAGGGCAAGTTGTGCGCTAATGCTGCAGTGACGATGGAGCTGCGTGCAAAAAGCAGCTCTCGTCGATCGGGAAGTCGTGACAACCCGAGCTCGGTTGCAAAGTCTTCAGCAGCGAATGCAAGGCCCGACAAGCCCGTAGTCGGCGCCGCTCGGCAGATGGAATTGATATCAGAGAGACCTCGGGCGGACTCGATAAGCGCTAGAATGTTGAGAGGGCGAGAGGTGGTTTTATAAGCTGGGGATTCAGAACCATTGACTCTCACTGACCGATGAGGAGCTACATGGCGCACAATATCGGCGACAAAGTGAAGATCCTCAGGGCCCTGGACTTTAGGAATAACAATCGTGTCGAGGTTATCCCCCGATTTCAAGACCTCTGTGAGGTCCTCAAGAGCCAGTCCTGTATCAACGGCGTTGATTCTCACAGCCACCTCCCTCGGAGACCTGGAAATGCTGCTCATCGAAGTATCCGCAAGATGTCGCGCAACGAGCCCTCGTGCCGCAGCCTTGGCATCCGGCGCGACAGAATCTTCAAGATCGTATATCACTGTGTCAATTTTGAGAGCTTGCGTCTTTGCGAGCATCTTCTGGGACGCTCCCGGGACTGGTATGGCTGTTAGTAACTGGGCAACCGGGGATACATTTTCCAATTACCGTAGAGAAGCGCCCGGCGAAGGAGAGATGGAGCGGTCGCCATTATTAGGATTTTTATGATATAGATAAATGATTATTTTCGATGAAAGTTCTCTCACTGATTACAAGAACCTCTTGGTGATATATGGCTTGTTCGGTTAAGACCCCCCAAGGCGTGGCAGGCCAAGTCGGCTATATGCGATTGGGTGTTCCCAACAACGGCCTCAAACACTAGGCATCATGGAAAGAAGAGGGTCCATTATATAATTTCGTTTATAAAGATGATAAACTTGAAGTATAACGGCGAGATACGGAGACCGGTAGAACATGTTCTGATGCCACGAGAAGAAACGGAACTTAGGGTATGGTGACCAAGGTTACTATGTTGATTCGCTATCTAGAATTGCGGCAATGCACACAAATAAACAAAATACAAGCTAGAGCAATGCGATCAATCATTCTTGTACAGAAAATGCATCCTCCAGCAGTTTCTTCTCCTCCACCTCATGTACCTTCTTCCAACCAGCCGCGGGACTCGCACTCGGCGCCCGTCCAGCATACAACAACTTTCTACCCGCAAGGTAGTCCGACTTCCGCAGCACGGCATCCAGGCGGTCGCGGATATAATGCCACGCTCCGCCGTTGTAGTGCTCCTCCTGGGCCCAGACCACGCTCTGGGCGCTGGGGTACTTGTCCAAGTTGGCCTTGACTTCGCGCCAAGGGAAGGGGTGTAGCTCTTCGATTCGCGTAATGGCGGTGTCACGGAGGCCGAGAGTTGCCCGCTGTTTTACCAACGAGGCATAAATCTGACCTGAGCAGAAGATGACGCGGGAGATGTTCTCCGGGCTCTCAATTTCACCGGCCTCATGTGCGGGATCGGCGAGGACAGGCTGGAAGGTAGCAAAGGGATCGGTGAACTCCGAGATATCGGATTTGCAAATGGGATGGCGAAGAAGGGATTTAGAAAAGAAGATAACCAAGGCTGTGTGCGTGTGTTAGCGCTATATTTCCGAGATGTATTTATGCGGCTGTCCACTTACGTTTTCGGAACTCCCTCTTGAGTTGTCGACGGAGCACATGGAAGTAGTTGGCAGGAGATGTCATGTAAACGATCTCCACATTGCAATCCTGATGTGCTCGGTCAATTCTGCTCTCATCAATCGGCCACGTCCGTCCCTCCTCATTGCACATAAGCAAGAAACGCTCCAGTCGAGCAGAGGAGTGCTCGGCACCCTGCCCATCAAAGCCGTGAGGCAGAGACAAAACCAGACCAGACCGGTCAAGCCACTTTGACTCGCCCGCAACGATGAAATTGTCAAGAATGACCTGCGTGTTGTTGGCAAAGTCGCCGAATTGGGCTTCCCACATAACCAGGGGGTTCGGGTCTGCGAGCGTTACTCCGTACTCGAAGCCGAGCGCGCCAAACTCACTGAGAGGCGAGTTGGTAGCTTGGAAACGGGCTTGGTCGGGAGAAAGGTTGCTGAGGGGTGTCCATGTTTCGCCAGTGGCCTGGTTGTGCAGCACCGAGTGTCTCTGGGAGAACGTTCCCCGCTGAACGTCCTGTCCGGTGAGGCGTACTGAATGGCCGTCGAGGCAGAGTGTTCCAAAGGCTAGAGCCTCAGCCGTGGGCCAATCGACAGAGCCTTCTTGGAAACCAGCAAGTCTGCCGGCGAGAATGCGTTTGAGGTTGGGGTGTAGCTCAAATCCCTCTGGTACGCTGCTGACTTTGTTGGCGATGGGCTCTAGGATAGAGTGGTCAACTGCAGTGGGGGTAATGGGAAATTGTTCAGACGCCAGAGTAGTCGGCGAAGGAAGGGATTCCCAGGCAGGGGGAAACTCTTTTCTCTCTGAGATGTATGTCTTGCTGGTCTCAAAGTTCTCGTTTAGACGATCCCAGACCCATTTCTTCTGATCCTCAATCTCGGTAGCAGTGAGTGTGCCCTCGTTCACAAGCTTGTTGACGTACGTTTCCATGGTAGGGGTTTGGCTAGAAACGTTCTTGTACATCATGGGCTGGGTAAAGGTAGGCTGGTCAAATTCGTTGTGGCCGAACTTGCGGTAACAGACGAGGTCGATGACAATGTCTTCTTGGAATTCGGCCCTCCAGTCGGCAGCAAGCTGGCACACAAAGGTGACAGCCTCCACATCGTCAGAATTGACATGGATGATGGGTGCGTTGATGTACTTGGCCAGATCAGAGGCATATGGAGTCGACCGCGAGCACTCCACGTCGGTGGTGAAGCCAATCTGGTTGTTGACGATGACTCTAATGGTACCGCCGACATTGTAATCGTCAAGCCTTGACAACCCGAGTGTCTCATACACAACACCCTGGCCTGAAAAGGCGGCGTCGCCATGCAGCGCAAGGCACATGGTGCGCTTCCGTTCCTTGTCGCCTTGGAGTTCTTGCGTGGCGTATGTAGAGCCGGTTGCCACAGGATCGACAGCCTCGAGGTGCGAAGGGTTGGCCAGGAGAGAGAGGCCGACGCGGCGACCGTCGGGTGTAATACGATGACCGTCGTGGCCAAGGTGGTACTTGGCGTCGCCAGCCATGCCAGGGAGATCGGTCTTTACACGCCCGGCAAACTCAGCGAGAATGGCCTCCCGAGGCTTTCCATAGACCGTCCCCATCATGGTCAGTCTCCCTCGGTGACAGCTGCCGATGATGATGTCTTCAATGCCATGTACATCGGCACTTCGGTCAATGATGGAGGTAATACCCGGGGCCAGTCCCTCAGCACCATCAAGACCGAAACGCTTCTCAGTAGGGAACTTGGTCGCGATGAACCGCTCAAAGCTGGTGCTCCAGATCAAACTATCGAGGATCCGTCGCTTTTCGTCTTGCGAGAACCGGAATGGAGTTGGCACCTCGAGTCGTTTGCGAAGCCACTCGCGTTTCTCGGCCTCGGGAATATGCTGATACTCGACGCCAAAGTTTCCACAGTAGACAGACTCACAAGCGGCAACGATCTCGCGCAGAGTCATCGATTCACGCCCCTCAGCTGCGAATTGGGGCAAAATATCCGGGCCCAGGGCGAATTGGCGATCCATGTCGGTAGTTGTGAAGCCATGGTAGGCAGGATCAAGTTCCCTGGGATGCCCAGCGTGAACGCCTTGGCCATTCTTGCGGAGACCCAAGGGATCAATGTTGGCGATGTGGTGGCCCTGGGACTGATATGCAGAAACAAGTTGGACGACCTTGAGATAATCCTTGACTTGGCTCGTCTGTGTTCCTTGGTTGAGACCAAATCCCGATTTCAAGGCTGGGTCCCGGGATGAGAGGAAGCCTGGTGGTAGCCGAACCGCCTGATCTGGACACTTGGACCTGTCTTCCATGTTTCGGAAGTAAGTGCGCCAGGAGACGTGGACGGAATCCGGGGCGAGTCTCCAGGATTCATACATGGCATCAATATACGAGGCTGCAGAACCCTCAAGGAACGACTCATCTACCGTCTTTGGATTGTTCAGTCAGCTAACGCCCACAACTTCTGTGATATCCTTCTGGAATCAGTTGAACTTACAGGCGTCGAAACAGCTGGTGTCTGTGCCTCAGCTTCCGCCGTCCCATAGCTTCTGTTGCCAGCGACTCTGGGCGAATCCCGAGAAAACCTGCTTGGATTAGAAGTGGTAGAAACACATCGCAGCGGTTTCGCTCTCTGGAGCGCCGCGCGTGCGAAACTTCTGCTGGCCGTAGTGATGGGACGTGCAGTTCGCAACATGGCGACGACGACGAGGATTTTAGAAGTACAGGTTCAATTAACAGAGTGCTTCATCCATTAGGAGCCATGAAGACGCGATGATGATAACGAGCGGACAACAACAATCAGCCACGAGACATGAGTTCGTATGGGGAAGATGATCTAGCGGGATCGGGATACCAAGCCGTTCCGCGGCAATGAGCTGGCGATCCATGGCAATGCCGTGGCACCGACATGAAATCGGCTTCCAGATATGGAGTCCTGCCGTTCTCTGATGCCAACCCGGAACCTGGGTACTCGGCCAAACGTGTAAGTGACGGGATGGAGGCTCGGGTAGAGGCAGGCCACGCTCAGCTAGAAGGCCTAATATCAGCGAATCAGGAGGGCATTTCGGCTGCGACATCCGAGGGCCAAATGGCGCCAAGGAGCTCCACATGGAAGTACCGCCGGTATCTTACTTGTTGATGAAGTAGCCGACTTGCGGGAAATCGACAGTAGACCAGGCAATTGAGATTGCGTTGGAGGAGCTGTGAAATGAGTTACATCCTACGCAATTGACAAGGGTATCCAGATGATTCGGTCGTGTTTCGGGATGGACACGATAGTAGACAACTCATAACTTAGACGGTCAAGCTAACATGGAAATGGGAAGCAAAAACACGATCATCTTCGATTGCATCATCTACCGTTTGTACGAAAAGCGCCGGTCCATGCAACACCCAAAACAATACACTGTTTTCTGTCTAGTTTATGAAGCCATCCAAGCCGTCCCTTTCACGCGCAAATGCTAGAATACAAGGTTTTTTTTTTTTTCAATTGGGGAAGTGGTAGGTGTTGCTTAAACAAGAAGCATTCGAGAGGGGTCCTCGATGTACTTCTTGACGAGGTTCAAGTAGGTGACGGCTTCTCGGCCATCGATTAGACGGTGGTCGTAGGTCAAGCTGATGTACATCATCTGCACAAGGAGTTTAGTTAGTGGCTGATATTCAAGGATATTTCATGTTGGACATACCGGTCGGATTTCGGCCTGGCCGTTGATGGCCATGACGCGCTGTTGGATCCCGTTCATGTTGAAGACGGCGGCCTGGGGGTAGTTGATGAGGGGAGTTCCAAACATGGAACCAAAGATACCAGGGTTGCTGATGGAGAAGTTGCCTCCCTCGAGGTCGTCCAACGTCAGCTTGCCATCGCGAGCCTAGTGCGGACACGTATTAGCTCTTGTCAATCTCAAATATTATTCCCCCTCTGTTTACTTACCTTCTTGGCCATGGTAGCGACGTCCCGCTCCAGCTCGACGATGCTCAGGGCGTTTGTGTTTCTCAACACAGGGGTGACGAGACCCTTGGGCGCGGAAACGGCAATGCTGATGTCGACGTAGTCGCGGTAGGTGATGATCTCCTTCTCGGTGTCGATGGCGGCGTTGATCTGGGGCACCTGCTGGGCAGCAAGGGTGGTGGCCTTGGTGAAAGCTCCCATGTATCCCAGGCGAACGCCATGCTCCTCGGCAACTTCGTCGCGGTACTTGGCGCGCCAGGCCATCAGGTTGGTCATGTCGACTTCCTGCAGGGTGGTGAGCGAGGCGCAGGTGTTCTGCGACTGCTTGAGGCGGCTCGCAATCGTCTTTCGCATACGGGTCATCTTCTCCTGTTTGGCGGCGCATCGTTAGCTCTGGCGGCATAGAGTGGCCACTGCTTGTATGACTTACAACTCGCTCTCCTCGGGAAGGGCCTGCGGATGTCGAGGCAACGGGCTGGGATTGCGCCGGCTGAGCAGCGGGCTTGGTCGCGGGAGCGGGAGTAGCAGGCTTGGGAGCTTCAGGAGCAGGAGTCTTGTCCTCGACCTTGGGCTGGGCGGGTTCGGCGGCCTTGGTCTCCTGCTGAGGAGGAGGAGCGTCTCCCTCGGGCTTCTTGACAGCACCAGCGTCGCCGCCAGTCACAATGCGGGCGAGGTCCTGGCCAACGACAACGGTGTCACCCTCGGCGACGAAGTATTCGGCAATGACGGCCGTCTCAGGGGCGTTGACAGCGACGTCGATCTTGTCCGTCTCGATGCTGGCGATCTCCTCGTCGGCCTCGATCTGCTCGCCGACCTTCTTGGGCAACGAGGCCAGGGTTCCCTCGCTAATGGACTCGGCCATCTGGGGCACCTTGACGATGATGTCTGCATAGCAGGCAGCCGAGCCGCTGAAGAGGCGGCACTGGGTGTCAATTGCGCCGCGCTGGCACAGGAGGGCGCTGTGGGTGAGGGCGGCCACACGCTGCGCCGGCAGCATCTTGGGGGCGGCGCGCGACAGGCTCAACAGGCCGGTCGCGGCCTTCATTCGCACAGCGGACGCCATCTTGGCTACTGGCAGAGGTGGGAGGAAGGGCGGGAGAGGTAGGGAAAGGGGAGAAGAGAGGCAGGTTTAAGCGGGCCAGGTTTGTGGTGAAGGCATCGCACGGGCTGGTGTTGCAGGCTCGAAAATGTGGGAGCTTGATTGGGTAGCGCCAACTTGCCGCTTGGCTGAGACAACACCTGGCAAATATTGGGCAATTCCAGGGCTGTGGTTGTTATAGGAAATCTCCGAATCAAAGAATAGCCTCTTCGGTCTACCGCTTAACCCTCGACAAAAGGCGTCGGAATTGACACGCTGAATGCCGACTCTCGACTCTTGGATGCCGTTGATGCCGTCTCTGTTGCCGAACTCGGCTATCACTTCCGAGCCTTGAATACATCGCTTCCAAGTTACCAAGGCCCAAGAGAAGATCGTACTAAGCAGTTCGTATGGTAGCAAACACCCATCAGCTCCTGCACAGCCTGATGTCGGGATTCTGCCTTTGCTTGTCTAATAAAAGCTCTTATCCAGGTCGTCATGTCCAACTGTTGAACATTCAGGAGCGGCAATGCTCGGTTCAAGCGCAGCCAGTCGGGACATTTTCAAAGCCACTGACCTCAGAGGTGGCTTTCTGTGGCTGGTGCTGGGAGCTTACGCCACATCTGCGTTCTTCGCATTGAGGGAAACGAGACTTGGGCAATAGCTAAGAAAGAAATATGATCGACTATATTACTGAATGGTAAATTGCACAAGTAAGTTGAGTAAAATATTCTGCTTATTAGTGGGATGTGGCCTCGGGAGTATTCTGTGATGCCTTCGCACGAGCCGTTAATTCAACGAGACTATTATTAGTGGGCGTATCCTCAAGATAACTTGGAGGCCAACAAATCAGCAAAGCAACATGTATTCATAAAAGGGTCTATAAAAGTTTTCCATTGCGAGCGTATCCATCTCATTCTTTCTGAAGTATCAGCTACCCGTCTCCAACAAAACCTCAAACTCGGGAGGCATAAGCAGTGCAAAACTCACAAGTACAACCACCAATAGGCTCATATGAAGCTTGAGCTCCAAAATCAACCTGGGGGGACCGATTCATTGCCTCCTCGCCGCGCATCCACAGGTTCCTCCTACTGTCCGGATTGCCGAAAAAGCACATCACGCATTTCGGCTCGTAGAACCCTCCTTCAGGGATAGTCTTGGGAATTTTGTTTACCTTTTCCAAGCTCTCTCCCACAGTAGGCGCGGTTCGACGATCCGGCCGCAAACCGCAGGTCTCACAATTCAGCTGTAGTCGACAGACTGGACATGTCTCATACTCGTGCTGCGTCATACCGTCATCGCAGTCCTCGCAGATAATGTGACCACATGGGTACACGCAACCTTTGCGCACCTCGTCGTTGTTCATTGCTGGCGCTGGAAGGCTGGCGATGCTCACCTCGTTTCTGCACATACCGCAAGTGACCTTGATAGGGCGTTCAGCTGGCTCGAGCCCCATGATGTGGCGGCGAACTGGCGGCCAGAAGGAAAGGTCTTCAGGAGAATGCGCTTGGCCCGAACCTGCATCTGTGGTTTCGTTGGGGGCTTCATGTGAGATAGAAAGTTCCCCAGTAGAAGGCGATCCATTAGACTCCAAATCTGCGTGTTCCATAGAAGTGGATGTACCGCTCTTGTCATCGTTACCTTCTCGGGAAGACAGGTCAAAGGGGGGTCCGGATCTAGGAGTCGTCATTGTGCCTAGCTTGATGGTAGGAAGTTATCGCAAGAAGTTGTTGTGAATCCAAGTCTTTGGTGATTCCAAGTCAAGAAATTATCGGGCTGCGAAGATGGATATACGCTGGAAGATTGAGCATATGTGCCAGTCGTTTGTGAACAGTCAAGAGAGTCCGCGGTCTTCCAAGCCTATTCTGGGAACATATATCCATGATATTGCGGTCAAGACTCGTCATCGCCATATAATCACGAACATGTCTCAACATCGCTTGATCACAATTTCTTACACGAGGAGTGATGAGGTAGTGTCTGCCGGCTCGGTGAGTTTTTATTTGCGTAATCTATGTTCTTTGAACGTAGCGCAGTTCACACTGTCAAAAGAGCCACAAAGTGTCCCATATCGGAGACAAAAGCGGGAACATATAAACTTGTTCAAAGCAACAACATGACAAAAACTTTCGCTGTGAACAATAGGTAAAACCATCATGACCGTCAATCGGCGACGAGCTGGGAGAGTGCTCACGTGGTTGCAAGATCATGCAGTTTACACTTATTGCCCAAAACTCCAATTCACATCGCTGTATAAAAGTATGAAAGTCTATCTTATTTTGTCTATCCTGTTCAAACAAAGGGAATAATAAAAATGCGATGCTTATGCAGCTTGCGCTTCGACGGCAACCAACTTGACGTCGTCCAATTTAACACCCTTCACCTTGACCTCCTCCACCTTCACGACAGCATTACCCTGCTCTAGCCCAGTCTTTTGAGCCTCTAGCAGCTCGGCTTGCTTGTTAATGTAGCTCAAGTAAGTCTGCCATCCGACAGCAATGCAGCCTGTGAAAATGCTGCGGTATTCCATGGGTATATAAGTGAAGCAGAAGGCAGTGAATGGCGGCCAGAACTTGGCCGAGTTGACGACGGACGCGGGAACGCAGTTCTTGATGCGCTCGACGGCTCCACCGATGCCGTCGCCGGAGAGGACGGCCTGGGCGCCGAAGAAGAAAGAGTTGAAGGTTGGGGTGAAGACAATTTGGCTGACGACAATTTTGGTTGAAAGTGTTCGCCACCGGCTTGCGTAATTAAAGTGATTTGAGAGAAAAATGAACCTGGAAACAGTCAGCGCCGCCCGAGGATGGCGCGTATCAAATTGACTCGTACCATTTATAATTGGGAATCGCGACCATGCCACCGATAGCCATGCTTCGGGCAGTTCTCACGGGATCGTACTCTTCGCCTCCAATAGACTGGGCGCTCAGGTCGGCTAGCAGGTAGATGATGACGGCGCTCCAGAACTGCGTCGTATACGGCCTGGCCCTTTGCGATCTTCCGTACGCCTGCGCGGCCGTGGTCAAGGGACCAAGCCGTTGCCAAAGAGGCCGCGGGGCAACGGCAGCGGCGCTGGAAGTTGTAGATACAGGCGTTGACTCGACGGCCTTGGCGCCATCGCGGCTGATGCCCGCGGCTTTCGAAGGCGAGCTCTGCAGTCGGCGCTGGACCTGGAAGACCGGCGGGCGCTGGCCGAGGCCGAGGCCGTTCCTCCGGAGCGAGGCACGGAGCAGCATCGTGGCCATCGTGGGTCACATCAACGGCCGGGTTGGTTGTAGAACGCAAGTCATAGGGGCCGAGGGAGGATACTATCGCGCCCAGCTACGGCGCTGGATGGCGGCCCCGAGGTCGGGCTCGATCGGAAAATCCGATATAAGCCTCGGCGTTGACGGTGTTAGTGTCTCCAGAATTTCGAAGCCTAGCACCCAAAGTAGCCATGAGATTGGCTGTGGCAGGGGATAGGTGGAGATGAGATGGATCTGGTTTCGGCCGGCTAACCTCCAAGACTATGACGCTAGGTACGTAACCACGGTGCCAAGACGTCGGAGAGGTCAACCGACAAATAGATTAGATTAGGCAATTCAAAGCCGACTTCTCCAGGTAGGCCATCCCGAGCCCCATATAGGTCGCTGGTGTATAATATTATGGCCCTAGCCAGATGGTCCAAGATGCTATTGTTCACAACCAAGACAAATGCCTTCGATCAATTCACCAACATGACAACATCAAAACGGCCTCAGTACATCGACACGTAGATATGACGTAGTATCCGAAGCCGGATGTTGATGAGCCGGTTCCCAGGGAGATCACATGCTCTACCTCGTAAGTCATCATCATGGATGCACAGCCAAAGTCTCAGGTAACGAGAGGCTTGAACATCTTTTCGGATATTTGGAGTTCAAGTATTCTCAATTAAACCCTCATTATGTCCAAGATACATACCCATCTCGTTAACATGGCATTTTCTTGATGCCTGTCAACATTGCATAGAGCAGCCAATATTCTCCGACGCACCTCATGTCTCTCACCGGAAAGTGGGGGGCGCCACCGAGCCAACCCTGTTCTTCGAAAGCGTAGGTACACTTAATGCCCGCCGAATTGTTCCAAGATCGTGTGCTATTACCTGCCTCTCAACCCAGACCGACATTCAATCATTCACAGTCTCCACACACTTGAAGGAACCTTTGCAAGACAGCCAGGGTAGACGATGTGCTATCTACGGACAGTTGAGAAAATGGCATGGGGGCTAGCCAGCTACTCTCTAGACCCAGGCAGGGTATGCACGTCTTATCAGTGCATACGCATATCCATACCGTATTCCTTCTGGAGAACCGCGTGATTACATCCCGACGACCATCTTCATTCGCCCGGAATTCGGTGTTCCTTGTTCCTGGCTCAATAAGGAAGCTAAATGTCTCAACCACTCCCTGCAAGGTACGGCATTGTTGGAGAACCCCAGGACTTAAAAGACCAACAATGTCAGCACTTCCCCTCACTTGTATTGTTCCCTTTTCATAGTTCCTTGCGCTTTGAACAAAACGTGGTGATTTCAGTAATCATCCCACTTCGCCATGTCTCAGTATCAATCCGTCGAGCTTTCATCGGAAATGGACGGCGCTTGGGTTAATCTCCCAGATGCCAACAATTCCATCAATGATGAAGCCGAATCCATGCCAGATCGTGTCCAAAGAGTGCGATTCGATCTCAAGGAGCTCCTCAAGTTCTACAGCATCACCATATCTCCGCGGCGCCATGCGAGACTGGCGCAATTCTACTCAGACGAGCTTGGATCGTTGTTCCAGGTTCCCTTCGAGGACCTCTCACAGCAACATAGGGTCGACTTTATCCTGCTGCGAAATTTCCTCAGGCGAGAGCAACGCCAGCTGCATTTAGATGAAAAAGCGCAGAAAGCAGCCGGCTTCCTTTTGCCCTTTGCGCCGCTCATAGTCTCCCTTTGCGAGTCTCGGCAAGATGTCGACCAGATGCAAGGAGACAAGGCGGCCGGGGCACTAGATGCGATCAAGCGCGGCATCTGCCAGACCCAAGATGAAGTGGAAGCGGGCAAATTACACACCAGCAAAACCACTGCGTACAAAGCCACGCAAATCCTTATTGAACTCCGTGGCCATCTCCAGGAACTCTTGCGCTTCTACTCCTCGTACGACCCAATGTTTGACTGGTGGGCGACAAAACCCTGGCAGGAAGCAGACGCGGCCATATCGCAGTACCTTGCTGTCATCCAAACTAAACTGGCGGGGATGCGGCCCGGCGCTGAGGATGAGATCATCGGGGAACCTATTGGAAGAGCCGGACTGCTCGTCGAACTCGAGGCCGAAATGATCCCCTACACACCAGAGGAGTTGATCAAACTCGCGGAAGAAAAGTACAAATGGTGCCAAACGCAGATGATAGCTGCCTCGGAGGAACTGGGATATGAACAAGACTGGAAGAAGGCTTTGGAATACGTAAAAACACGGTCCGTACCTCCCGGCCAGCAAACGCAGCTCGTCATGCAGCTCGCTCGCGAGGGGACGGAGTTTGTTCAAAAGCACGACCTCGTCTCGGTCCCCAAGATCGCCGACGAGACATATCGCATGTTCACCATGTCCGCAGAGCGCCAAAAGGAGAACCCGTTCTTCCTGGGAGGCCCGTCGATCATCGTGTCCTCGCCAACAGCCGACATGTCGCACGAGCTGAAGAAGATGGTCATGAGAGGGAACAACACGCACTTCTCTCGCGCCACGGCCTTCCACGAGCTCATTCCCGGACACAGGCTGCAACTGTACATGGGCAAGCGCCACCACAGCCATCGAACCATGTTCGAAACCCCCTTCTTCGTCGAGGGCTGGGCCATGTACTGGGAGCTCGTGTTCTGGGAGATGGGCAACTTCTTCGTGTCGCCGGAGGACCGCATCGGGACGCTGTTCTGGCGCATGCACCGCTGCGCGCGCATCATCTTTTCCCTCAAGTTCCACCTCGGCGACATGACGCCCCAGGAGTGCGTCGACCTGCTGGTGAACTGGGTAGGCCACGAGCGGTCGAACGCCGAAGCCGAGGTGAGGCGATCCTTCACTGGCGACTACTCGCCCCTGTATCAAGTCGGCTACATGCTTGGCGCGTTGCAGATCTTCGAGCTGCGGAACGAAGCTTTGGGACAGGGGCGGTTCAAGGAGAAGGAGTTCCACGACCAGGTTCTGAAGGCGAATACCATGCCCATTGAGCTGTTGCGGGCACTTCTGCTTGGTCTGGAGCTAAGTCCCGACTACAAAGCCAAATGGAGATTCTACTAGATGTGTAGAGCAGAGTTGTCCCGAGTTAACCTCTCGTTGCCATGCCTCGGGTTGCCATGGATACTTTCGACGGAACGGTTGCTTCATGTTTAGTCTTGGTCTATTCACATTGCACTGCAGTTAAATAAACTACAAGAACCATTCATTCAAGATCCCGCAGGATGTATTAAGTATCGTACACAACAAAGGAAATGTATCATAACGAAGGTATACAACAAACGCCGTCCGTCCATGCCAGTCCATGTATCGTAACAAAGCTTTTAGAACATTTCAACCTCGTCCTCGTCCAACAAGCCCATTCCGCTATCATGGCGCTTCTGGCTGCGTCGCTTTGCCAGCCCCGCGGCCAAGAACCCGCCAGGGCCGCTCCGCCGCACCACCGTCGCCGGGGGCGATCGCGGGCCAGGAGTCGAGTCGGACTTCTTGGGGGTGTTGAGAAAGTCCTGGCTCATCTGTAGAACGCGCTGCAGCTCGCCTTTCATCGAGTCGATGACGGCCTTGGCCTTTGTCCGCTCGTCGTCCATCTTGGTCCGGAGTCCGCCGTTCTCCACGCGGAGTCCCAGCACCGTCTCGTGCGCGACTCGGAGCGATTCGTTGACGCGGTCGATCTCGCCGCGGAGTTCCACGACCCTGGAGTCTCGCATCGCCAGGGAGGCGCCGTGCTTTTGATTCAGGGAAGTCATCTCCTTCGACTTTGCGTCCTGGAGCTCGACCATTTGCTTCTGAAGATCGGCGGATCGCTGCAGCGTGTCGGTCAACTTGGTCTCCAATTCGGCAATGGCATCTTCCTTGCTGCAGAGCACCCGACGGTTCGACTCGAGCTGGGCGTGGCGGGTTGCTTCCGAATCGCGGTTGTCACGCTCCATCTGCTGTACGAGACCCTCCAGCTCCGAAAGATCCCGGACGTAGCCATCCACTGCACCCTTGAGTCTCTCGTTGGCGACTTCCAGCTCTCGTATCCTTGCAATCTTGTCGCCCATGAGCTTCTCAGCTTTGGACATCTCCCCCTTGAGTCCGTCCATGACAGTGACTCGCGCGTCGAGCTGCTGCCTCAAGGACAGTTCGATTTGGTGGTACTCATCGATGGCATCTTCGTCTTCCTTTGCCTTCTTGGCCATGACGCGAAGCCGGGTGAGCATCAGGTCAAGCACCTCAGCACCACGCGACGTCAGAGGCAACGTGATCTCTCCGGGTGTAAGGTATTCCAGCTCTAGGCGAGCGGCGCGGAAGCCAGATGCGAGGGCGATGACCATTTCACTCGCATCTTCTCCCGAGAAGCCCAAGTCTGAGATGGCGGATTTAAGTTGAGTCAGGGCGCAAGTGCGGTCGGACATGGTTTGTAGCAGGGCCTCGATCCGAACCTCGAGATCATCGGGTGGTGATGCCGGCGAGTCGCCATTTGAGTCGGGCGAAAACTGAGAGAGCTTGTCGCCGAGACGGCCACTGAGGGCTTTGTAGGAGTTGAGTGTATCCGTCAGCTTATGCATCTCGAGTTGAAGAGAAGCAACCTCCTCTTCCAACTGTTGCTGCTTGGGGTCTGAGAAAAAAGCCTGAACTCCAACATGAGACATGGGAGTAGGCATGGGCGTGGATCTGGGAGTGGCCTTGCGGAAACACGGCGTTCCGGGGATTGCTGGGCTGGTTGCTGGGGGAGTTGGGAATGAGGATCTAGCTCTTGAAGGCGTGCTGCAGGCAAGCTGAGCCACGGTCTCGTCACCAAACTGGTCCTCGTCCTCGCTCATATCCATGAAGTCGTCTTCAAACGGATCTCTCGCGGCGAGCGTCCAGTTGTACCCGCGGCCTTGTTCGGACTCGGCGACAGATCTTTTGGACAGTTCGTCTTTGAGATCCTCAACCTGCTTCTCCAGGTCCCACATGCGGTCGGTGTCCATGATGATGGTGGCGTTTTGCAGTTCGTAGATTTCCCGGTCTCGGGCCTTGAGCTCGGTCTTGAGACGGTCGATCTCTGCCTTGGTCTGCTGGGCCCTCCGTCGCTTTTCTTGCTGGATGGTGTTCATCTCTTCGCTGAGCCCATTGCGGCGGATGCGACGCTGGACGCGGCCGTCGAGCACCTGACGCAGCGGAAGAAAGTTGACTTCGCCGCTGTGAGGCAGGCTTGAGCTTGCAGAGACAATGGGCTTCCCCGTGCTGCCAACTGGGGCAGAAGAATGGCGGCGCTTTGGGGTAGCAACGGAGACACGGCGGATCATGGGGGTCAAGCCGCTGGATGCGGCGCAGCTGCCGGAGTGGATGCCTGGGTCTGAGAAGCGGACACGACGTTTGGCCCCCTTTCGGGGAGTTTTTGCGACGGCTGGCTGAGGTCTTGCAGCATCCGAGAAGGATTCGGGCGCGGGGAGACTGCGACGCGTCCGCCGGAGGGCGATGGGGAGGTCGAGGTCATCCATGATGGTGGATGACGGCAGATGACGGTCGGGGATATACAAGACAGAGTATAGAAAGCAGCTGCCAACACGGTCACAAAAAAGGCTTTGTGGTTGGACAAAGACAAAGACTGGGCCGCAGGGAGACCTGAGGTGCTGGCGAAAGCAGGTCTTGCGAGAAGATGTATTTATCAAGTCGTTCCGCAGGTAAACATGGATCCAAGGAGACGTGGTCGCGACTCTCGACGCAGGCCGGCCCTGACGCATTGTTTACATATTTCCTATCGCGGTTAGCGGCCGCGGGGCGGGTAGCCGGTGCCGCCACCCCGCGATCGACGGCAGCCAACGGATTTGGGCAAAACATGGGTCTCACCAAACGACGGTCCTCGACGCCCTCGACGCCTTGGTCGCGCCACGGTCACGTTCGGGAATTGAGTGTGGGGCGGCAGTGGATGATTCACGGCGAGGTCGACGCCGTGAATTCCAGCTGGTGTTTGTGGTGGGAGGTGCACTGAAAGCGGACTGCTTGATTCACGCCGTAGACGGGGCTCGCGTTCTGTCCGTCCCATCTCCACCGCAACCCTAGCGTGGAAATAAACAACGAAGCGAGGGAATGTAGGAACTCATGCGCGGCCAGTGCCGAGTTCTAGGCTTTGGGGGGTTCTATGTGCGACCGGTTGGTCATTGGAGGAGCCACGGTTGGCGGGCATGAGCCGGTAGATTGTATCATGATGATCCGGCCATGATGCGCTGCTCTGTATTTGTTTACAACCATTCCCTGGGCGACGGTCCATCTTCGATCAGAACAGAAGCATGTCACACTGAACCAAAGCTCCCTGTCTCTCATATTCTCTTCATTGAATTCATCATTTACTCCCTAATGCAAACCCCACATGGGCATCATGGCCGCCGCGCCGCAGCCGTTGATGGTGTGCAGCTGGGATCTCCCCCGTCAGCCCAAAGCTTTGCGTCCGGTTTTGCTCCACCTCTATTGCATCTGGCGGCCTCAGTTATCGGTCATTAAGGAAAAGGCGTCAGGCTAAGTACATGGTATACAACAAGAGATGCAGCATACTATGTATATCCCAAACCCAGCTGCGTGGGATAAGTCCTCGAGGCTTGAGCACACCCAACAAACCTTATGCACAACGCCGCAGTCTAGGCCCAAGCGTGTGGGCCGGCGTCTCCAATTCTCCAATTCCCCAACTGTGCCAATTCATCCAAATCCAATTCTGCTCTTTGTTGGCCAGCAGCAGCTTGTATGCGGTGTTTTTGCACGATTGCAAGAGTTGCACTCTCAAATTGCACCCAGTTGACACGCAAGCTTCGCGTTACCACCTCACGTAACCACGAAAATGCCAGCTAGGATGGATGACTAATACCCGCGAAACTCTGAGCCCACACCCGTGACTGACTTGCTTGAGTCCCCAAGGTAGGAGTCATGACCATCTCACGATACCACAATAAACACACGCAGTCACCCGACGGACAACGAACAATCCCACGCCTCGGACGGAACTCGTGCAAAAAGGAGACATCGGCTCCCCGCGCTGTGCTCCGCTCCACATTGCATGGAGGATCCACCATGCCCGCGCCTGCGAAACAGCCCCCAAATGGGACAAACGGGACAAACGGGAAGCAGGTCAAGTTTGTGGCCTCGGATCCCAATCGCGGCGGCCTGCCCGTGAAGCGCAAGCAGGTCCAGCACGCCTGCGCTGCGTGTCGCCGAAAGAAGGTATGTGTGAGATTGAGAGGGGTGTGAATGAGATTGAGACGAGTGTAGATGGGATTGAGACGACGGTGGATGGGATTGAGACAAGTCTGGACGAGAAACGTTCGTTAATTGAACTCTTAGAGACGATGCCTCCACGCCGACGATGCCTCTGATGAGCCACCAATCCCCGGCAACGATCCTGCTTCAGTTACAGATGAACCAACCGGCCAGGAATCTCCTGTTCAGCCGTCGTGAGTTGCATCCAACCGCCGCCATCTGCGCCTTGCTCATTTTCATCATAGTCCAACGTCCATAAAGCTGGATCAGACGCGTCCGGTCGACGCCCAAGAACCAAGCGCAACCAACCCATCCGGCTTTCGCTATGAGGAGCCGAATGCTGCGCCTGTCGCCGTTGCCGCAAGGCCACCCAGCATCACCACGCCAAATGCGCAGTCTTCACGGTTTATAGGCGACTTAAACCCGGAAAGCATGTTTGTAGAGGCAACAGGATCCGCCTCAATTCGCGAAACATCCCAGAAAGGAGACGTCGGTATCTGGCTCTCCTCCGCAGAAGGGGCTGCTAGCCAAGGGTCCCAGTTCGTCACGTCACGACCGCCGCCCATCATGGACCAGTTCTTACTCCCCTTTGTAAGGGAACATTGCTTGTCATGTCTTCCCCCAGAGAAGGACTATCGCAAGCTGAAGCATGTTTTCTTGCAAAAGATTCATCCCATTTTCCCCGTCATCCCAGAAGCCGCCCTGGCAGGTTCTTCAGAGAGCCCAAGTGATATTGTCCTGCGGCAATTGGTTTGTCTAGCAGCAGCCCCTGATCCCACCATGGCCCAGCATCTTCGTCTCAAGAATCGTGGGTCCGATGTGATATCCTGTCAGGATTTCATGCAATCCCTCTCCTCGGCTGTTCGGGCTATCCTCGAGACGAGCGTTATCCCTGACAGAGTCCTTCACGTTAGGGCCCTCGTCATGTTGTCGCTCTACACTCAGCCTAGTAGCACTGAAGAAGCCGATCTCCCCGCCCAGCTTGGCGGCCGGGCCATCCATCATATCCAGACTCTCGGCCTACATCTTCTACGTTACGAGTCTGACAATGGGGAGGATTTCGAAACGCTATTTTGTGCAGTCTGGGCCCTGGACAGGATCAATGCCGCGTCTTACGGAAGACCCTGCATAATGCACGAGCGAGATATTGGCGCCAACTTGGACAGGTGCATCAAGAGGCGTCCTCCCTGTTTCCGACTCCTTCTCTCTGTTTGCCAATGGCTTGACCAAGTCATTGAGCTGTATCGCCCAGGGGCAAGCGCCGAGGCATCTGGGCTCGAAAAGATTGCCTATATCGACCTCCCTGTGCTTGAAGCCATGATCGTCAACGCTGATGCCTTGAAGGTCCCAACTTCGCTCATCGGTCAGTCACATCTCACGTATATCCATGGCCCTGCTAACGGTGCATATAGCAACCATTGAAACATTCTACCATGCTGTCATTATTTTATCATGCCGACTTCCTCGGCCTGGCACCCGCACTGCAGCTTCAACTCTTCCTCCTCCATCAGCTAATGCGCGGCGCTCGCTCGCAGCCGAACGAATTGCATGTGCAGTTCAACGGGATAACCTCAGCCCCGTCCCATTCATTCCTTATGCCGTATCCCTCGCTCTCAGTGTCGAATATCGCAAGATGCGGCATAGTCGCCTGCCGATGTTCCGCGCAAGAGCCATGCATGCTTTCAGACGGAATTGCGAGATGTTGAGGGATTTTGGTGACTATTTCTGGAGCGCAAGTGTTGTGGCGGGACTGGGTGAGCGAGTATTGAAAGAGATGGAGAGAGCTGCAACAACTCTCACGAAGGATATCACGCCGCCTCCGCCGGAAACGCCTGGTTCTGATCCATCGTCCCATGCGACAGTACCCCGGCCAAGTGAGCTCCCTGCGGCAGATCCCACGGCATTGAACTCAGCGCAAGGCACCGAGAACCCCGTCGATTTCTCCCTCCTCGATGCCATTTCTGGGCATGATGTCTTTGGTCACATTGATCCAAGTTTTAACTTGAACGCTGTGGAGGATGCCCTAGAAGCAAATCTCGACATTGGACTTCCAATCAACTGGGGCGATTGGGGTCAGTTCACGGCCTGAGGCGACACCGACAAATTTTACTGATCTGGTAATGTCCGTAGTCACGTTTACGTGGCCTCGCAAACAATTCGAGCCGAGTCTCTGAACGCAGTTCGACGCATGTTGTCATCCTTTGATCAAGTTTCACCGCCTGATGGAGTTACCTGACAGGCGAGGATGGACATGCGTGATACCGTTATGTTCTATCACCGCGCATCTCACGAGGATGCAATGAACACATTGTGAAAGGTTCAATCGCGGTATGTAAGCAGAAGGCCATGCCACACGTGTTCAGTCGACTACAAATTGACACTACAAGCGGCAGCCTATTCCTGTTAATGAGACGGGGTGCAACCACATACTCATACCGACCACCTCACGCTACAGAACGTGGTACTTGCTCCATCGTCACATAGCATATGTCCGTTTGAGCGAAATGCGCATGAGAAGGCGAGGCTAAGAAGCTAAGAAGCTCATCGTGCTCAAGCGTCAGGACTTCACATAAAATATATACTAGGGGCGCAGAGACAGAAGCTGAAATAGCTAACTGATCCTTGGCAGGACCAAATCCATGCTTCAATTCCACCAGCGCATAAGTAAACTACGATAATCTAATAATAAGCCATGCCTAGAACCTCAGAGCGTCGGACTCGGTACCAATTTCGTCTTACATACAATCTTCTTGGTCCTGTTGATTTCTCTTCTTCCTGCCGTAGGTGTACAGCAGAGATGAGACTAGTAGATGTGAGAGCTGTTTATGTCGTAGATTTAGTCATCCCTTGCCATCGCAACCTCATAACAAAGCTGAAAACATTAGGTATCAATGCACGTTAATTGGTCCTCGAGTCAGCTTTCATGCGTCGGGGCAACTTAGACGGATAATGACGCTTGGAATGGACCCCTCGCGCGATCTCAGCGAGCCTGAAGCAAACCACCACCCTCGATGGCGCCTCAGCTTCTCGCGTGTTGCCGTTTCTGGACAAGGACATCCACCGGAATGCTTTGAGGCTCGGCAGAGCAGGCATATTGCTGGGCGGCTTTTCAGCAGCTCTGAAGAGAAGGCGGTATGGTCCTCTATTTCGGCACCACCGCCGACTCGTGGGCGGTTGGCAACGACCACTTTTCCCAGCGCTTTGTGAGTGGCGAGTTCAAGGCTCCGGAATGCATCTTGGGCAGAAACATGGTGCTCTGTCCTTGGAATCCGGAATTCTACTTCCTAGAAGCTCGATCGAGGGTTGTGCCAGTGAGCCACCTGTATCAACTCCCGACTCAAGCGATACCGAACAAACTAGTCGCAGGGCTAATAATAAAGAGGCTGTGGATAAAGAGGATGTGGAAACGGCCTCGGTCTCAACGACTCCGCATACCGCTTGTTAGCCGGCTATGACGACGTCGACTACTACTACAACAACCACTTCCAGGTCAGCAGATGCGCCCGCGATGCCACGTCAGTCAGGTTCAAGGCGGGCAACACGTCATATCACGGAAGAAGACGACTAGGTGTGACAGGTGCTGGCAGGATATCAGCAAGGGCGAGACGGCGCGGCACTGCAAGTGCCGGGACAAGGACCTGTGTCAGAAGTGCTGGGGACGAAACAGAGGCATTGTAGGCACGTATCACAAGGACAAGTGTCGATGACAGGAGTAGGCAAAGGCGACGACGACCCGTGGAGTATGACCGATATGGTCGGCGCAATTGGAAATGTTCCATCCTCTGCGGCATAGGCAACAGTTCAAAGTCGACCAGATAGTTGCCGATTCCGTCCAACAAGTAACCCCGTTGAAATCATTCGGGCGTGTACAAATACAACGCGTAGCCGTGCTACCGCAGACCTAGGGTTTTGAAGACGCTAGAGGCTCAATAGATGGCCTCCCGTCCCAATTCAAAGAGCCCATGTTCCAGTCTCCCGTCCGAGATATCCTAGCTCGGAGTTTTGCAGCGACCTCAGAGACGATGCCAGCTCTCAATGGGCATGTCTGTCGCTGACTCGGCCCTTCTCGAGGCTTGGTTCCTGTCCCCCTGTGTGACCTCGTGTTTCAACCGTCGGTTCCGTTAAGGCATTCCGTGTATCATATCTCGCTCGTTTTGTATCGGAAGGTCGTGAGTTGAGTGGTGCGCAATGTGTGCATCATGGAGCCGTTATGTCGTCACTTCCTGGGCGGCTCATGCGGCAGCTCGGTCGGTTTCCCGCGGACCTGGTTCTTCAACTCGTCAAAGAAATGTTTCGCAAAGCGCTGCTTGCGATCGACAGCGCCCGGGTCGGCTGGAACGGCCACAGTCAGCTTCTTTGTCATCGTCGTGCTAGAGGGTGACAAACCTGTCGCCTCGCCGGGAGCCAGCGGCTGGTTTGGATTCCGGCCATGCTGGGCCTCGTGGACCCTTCGGTGGATCTGGCCGACGGCGCGATGGAAGCCGGGCATTCGGAGGATCTGGACGTTGTCAGCGACAGTGGGAGAATGGATGCGATTGCGATTGCCATGGCGTACCGAAGCGACGATCCTGTCCTGCGAATTGTCAGCGATTCTGGGTCAAACAAGCATTTGCAGTGGACGGCGTACCTCGAAGGACTGGACCACACGGAGCGCCCACCAGTAGATGGACATGGCGAGCTCCTCTTGGGATGGCGATGTCGGCAAGTCGAGCTTCCCATGGGCGTGGAGGAGAAGAGAAGGGATTCGTAGAGTATGTAAGCATGGATGGAAATCTTAGCGGGGTGGCAACGGCAACATCCTGTCAATTCCCCGATACGACCTACCCTGGAGAACTTACACCCCGCATCAGCGTCGAGACGTTCACTCACTTCCTAGGCATTACACGACTCAATTTGATCTTTTATGTTTTATTTGTTATCTAAGCATTTTAGGACTGGAAGTCTATCCTCCATATTGTCCCGCTACCATGTAGTAACTTTTGTTTCTTTATCCTCCTCTGCCGCACATCCTCAGTGACATATATCACCTCCATCTCCTTCAGTTTCTTCGCAGGGCATTGTACTCAAGACACGTACTTGCCGATGAAAGGGGTGAGGTAGTCCATCTTGCCAATCTCGACTCCCTCCTTGCGCAGGATGCCGTAGGCGGTGCTGGTGTGGAAGAACAGGTTGGGCATGGCGTAGCCGGTGACGTACTGCTTCATCTGCATCTTGACCTCCTTGCCGGGGCCCAGACCGACGGCGACCTCGGCGCTCTCGCGGGCGTTGAAGGCGTCCCGGTCGACCTTGGCGAGGATCTCGAGCACCTGGGTGATGCGGGCCTGCATGGCGGCAAACGAGTCGAGGTTGCGCTCCATGGTGAGCGGCTCGGTGCCGCAGCCGCGCGCGGCCAGCTTCTGGGCCAGGTCGGTGACGAAGAAGACCTGGAAGCTGAAGGGCAGCATGTCGTCGATCAGCTTGGCGCCGATGAAGGTGGCGCTGTTGGCGTGGGCCTCGGCCTTGGTGAGGATGGCGGACAGGGCGGCGAGGGCATCCTGGGCCTGGGCGATGGAGGCGTCGTAGAGAGTGAAGCTCATGGTGAGTGATGTATGTGGGATAGTGGGATAGAAGGTTCGGATGGTATGGTGCAAGGATGGACTGTAGATTGCGTGATGGTCTGAATCGAGTATAGGGTTCCGAAGAGGCAAACCCCTTGGATATATATATCTCTCTCCGTCTCTCTCTGCGACAACCCCCTCTCTGTCCCGCGATCCACACAAGATCCTCCAGCCTCGAGCATCCACTCTCGGGCCGTCCCCCCGCTTCCCTTTGCACATCCCACTCCTTCACCGCCGACGGTAAATGGGCTGTTTACTAATGCATTTGCTCCAAGCTACTAGATGCTTCCCTGGACCGCTTGCGGCATTAGTAATGTGAGACCGGCCAGCGCTTGTTGACCATATGTCGCTTACTGCGTACGGTGGTTTGTTACGCCGGGCCCCTCTCTTCCTTGGTGGAGCCGGTGAGCCTACGGAACGTCGCCCGCCAGATCCCGACCCTGGGGAAGCTTCCGAGAGGAGGTGAAGAGGCGAGGAAATACGATAAAGACAGGGTAAGTTTTCGTTTAGGGCTCGGAAACGTTGAAGCGGCGGTTTCCTCTTCAGCCTCATCCTTTGGCCGTTGGAGTGATGGCGAACCTCGCAAATAGCTGAAGCCTCGTCCGCTCTGTACCGCCGACAGCCCGAAACAGCCTCAACCAACTCCCCAGGGTCCAGCTGCAGCCTCACCCGGGAGCTGACCAATTCATCCGACTCGCACCGTCATCTTGGAAGCTACCGCGCCGTTGCGTTGCACCACATGGGGGCGTCAAACAGGCCACGGAGTCATGTTGCTCCAGGAATGGACATTCGGAGCACGGCGATTGGAGGAGGCTGGAGTTGATTACCAACCTGGTGAATAAAGCTAACGTAGCCTCAGCACTTTTGCATTGAGCGGGAGCTGACTTGTCCCACTTGTCGAGTCGCAGATCTGAATCGGGAACTGATGATCACATAAGGTAAGGATGATCACATAAGTCAAATTGTCTGTGGTAATTATCCGACACTAGAGCAATCTTGGCTGTAATAGCATTGGCACACCGAATGCGTTTTCCACTGTTTTCCTTAACAAACAATTGACCAGATCCCTTATCTGAGAACGACCCCCTCATCCAGGAATCAATCCCTCACAGACCATTTTGGACGAAGAGACGAGCCATGAAAATGTCACCAAAAGACAAAAGGCAGTCGCAAACCCTGGATCAAAAACCCAACTAGAACCCCAGCGCAGCGTTCGCTCTCTCAATTGCCTCCCGCTGCCAGGACGTCAATCCATCGCGAGCGACCTGCGGATCCACGCCCAGTCCCGCAGCATCGCCTCCGTGGGCCGGCCGACGTGCTGCGACTCGCCTCGCAAGGTCAAGTTTGCCTCGTGAGGAAGACCTGACGTTGAGGGAGCCGACCATGGCGAGGAATCTTTCTGGATAGTTCTGACATTCCGGGACAGCGACAAACTCCAGTGCTTCTCCAAGAGCTAGCTGGAGGTCTGTCTTCCTCTGTGATGTCTTGCATAGAGCTAGGATATTCGGGCAGCCCTATGATAGGGACTCCGCTCCAAGTACTAAACGGCGGCTGATTACTACAGCATCCCACACTGCCACACTGCCACACTGCCGAGCCGACTCCATTTTATGCGTCTTCGCACCTAGACCGGGCGGGAGATGCTGCGTAGCAAGCGCCGTGGCGCCAGAAGCCTGAACTCATTGGGAGCCAGTAGATTGTAGAGGTGCTGGGTGACCAACGCCTCACCTGAACGTTGTGTACTAAACGGAGGTATAAGCCATTCGTTCACCCGCCTTTTTCTCCGTTAATATGACATCGTTGCGCTGCTTGCTGTTACCGGCGAATCTTTGGTCATTGAACATGCCCCAGCTATCACCTCGTCCAAAACGAGCCTGCTTCCTCGTATCATGCTAGCTCCCCATGCTCTCCTTAGGCCATGGCGACCAGCCAGTTTGCCATCCGAGTCTGCCAGAGTGATCGGTGTGTACTCAGGCACCGTCCTCGACTCCTTGGGCTTCTTCATCCCTTGATCATTCACTGCCGTCCAGAAGACAATAGTGGCTGGTTTAGGAAATAGCATGATCAACAAGCCCGCTGCAAAAATGGCTTCAGCTCTGTTGCTTATTGAATAGCCAAAGCTCCTTAGATACTCGGATATGGGTCAGTTTTGCAGATCGGTCATTCGGTTCCAATAGTTGAGTTTCGGAGTCCTATCGGTTGCTTCATCAAGCCCCCATCGTCTAGTCCGTTTTAACGTCTCCCCACTTCCAATCCTCAATCTCCATGAGGCTCTGTACTTGGAGTGCCTTCTTCCATCTAGGCCCCCGAGATGCGATCAACCAAGCGGTCAAGAGCACTACAACGGTGAGTGGACCTGCAATAGCCCAGAAAAACCCCTGCCCGCGGTCGATGTCGCGGATGTCGTTCGTATTCATTCCGAAGTAACTCGTTGCAAAGGATAAAGGGAGGAAAATGACTGTGACGATGGTGAAGACAAAAATTGCCACGTTTTGATCCTCAGCTCTGATACTGATGAACAGGACCGCCTGTTTCCAGTCAATGACGTTTCAACTTGATGACTGTAGTGTCACTTGACATACAGGCGTCTTCTATGTTAAGGGTAAGGACGCTCATACCTGGGCCTGGAGACGCGCTGAAGTTCCCTCTAATCTCTCAATGCTGTTGGTCAGCTGTTCATGTCGACGTCTGACAACACCTTTAAGAGCCTCAAGTATCTGTGCTTTCCTCTCGTCGGTAACATCTGGCGATTTGTTTGTAGCTGGTGTTGATGGGGGATCTCCCGCGTCGGCCGCACGTTCTCTATCGCACTCGAATAAGGACGGCTTCCCCAGTTGCTGCACAACGCGCTCTGCAACCGAAGATACGACATTTATCTGGCTTCGTAGTATGTCCTTCAGAATTAGTAACTCATCTGCCACCGCAGAAATCTGATAGACAAGAGGCTGCGTGGCGGAATCACGCATAATCCGTTCCTAAGCAGCAAAGGTTAGACCGACTCCGACCACCCAAGCGAACAGGCAAGGAATTGCCATTGACTTACCAACCCGGAGATTTTGTTCGCGTACATCTCGCTGATGTCCTGCGAACTTATCGAAAATCGAGTTGGTGAAGAGATAGTGCATATCCGATGCAGACAAGCCAAAGACGGGCTGCTCCCAAAGGCACGGATGCTCCGCAAAAACTCCCCATTCTCGCGTTCTCTGTGTCCTTGATCGCCTTGATTTGCTAGGCGTAGTTGCCCGTCAAGGACGTTCTGAGCCCTGATAAGCCTCTCTTCCAGGGCATCAAGAGTTCCCCCTAATGACGAAAATTTCCGAGGCTGGTATCGGAGCTTAACCGTGTTCGCCTCTTGCTTCTTCATGCCGCGGTTCCAGATGAGCATGAATATCTTTGTCCAAAGACTCTCGTGGTCCAGTTGGCATAAATTCCGACGCCCCAGTTGAAGAACATTCATCCGAAATACAACGACTATCGCCCAGAGCTCCCTCAAAGAATCGAGGATGTCTTCAGGAGGATTCTCCTGTGCCCGCGCCTCTGACTCGATCTCCATCCAACGTTTCGTACGCTCCTTTAGGTCGCAAAGTTGAAGGTCATGGGGCCCAATAAAGCGATACGATCCAAGGCAACACAATGTTATAAGTTTGAGGATAACTGAATTCGAAAACGGATTCTTTCCTCTTTGCTTGCGGTTCTATTTTGGTTTAGTCTGGTTAGTTGCTTCTCTCAAGAAATGTCTTTACTGAGGCTGATTCTTACACTTCGTAACTTGTTGAGAAAGGTCTCAGCCGAGACAAGCCTGGCCATCTCAAGGGATGTACATCCCAATACCTTATTCTCAAAATATCCAAATGCTCTGGAAAATATCCACCCCCCTGGGATGAATGCTGCTGACAAATTGCTCATAACGGTCAAGAAGCCAAAGGCTAAACGTCTCCACGAGACTTTGGAGTATAGGTTCACCTGAGCAGCATTGATGTCGGTACTGGCGTCGCCCCGGAAGCAGTGAGCAATTGCAAATCCCAGTGATGGGGGCCATTGATTGCCGGTGAATTGACCTCGCTCTTCTTTTGCAAGTGGCCAAATGTTGCTCGGCCTGAGGAAAGAGACAGTCAGAAGGTTCTCTATCACGTAATTCTGTCAGCTTCTGGCCCAATGCAATATCTTAAACCAAACGAATTAGGCCAAGATACGTTACACATACTCCTGTTCAGGGCCAGGCACCACATCTCTCTAATGATGACGGAACTCTGACTGACAGGGGCCATGGAATCAGACGATCCCTGGCGATCAGATCCTAGCTGGTCATGACCGAACCTGTAGTGGTATTGTAAAAGTGATTTTGGACGGTGGGCATTTTGATGAGCATTTGGCATGCGGGCTGGCCTCCCAAAGTGTACGGTGGGCATTGATACGAAGGCGGGAAGATCGGATGCTGGTAATTCCTCTTCGGGCTCAGCTAGAAAACCGAGTCCAGCCTCGTGTTGGTCGCTGGAATAGAGAGATACAAACCTTGGATCAAAACTCGGCCCATGGAAGCCTTTGATCTCGTGTCGCCGTTGAAATCTGCGCAATCCAGCTGAGATCTTGTTACGCTCGGTCTCGGGGTAATGTAGTAATAGATCATGTGTAATTTCCTGGAGCATGGTCAGGAACCTTGCCACGAAAACGTCAGAGTGAAAGTGAGGACAAGAGATGCCATTACCATGAACTTCTGGAACTCAAGATAATCGCAGGCATAGTGACTGGTGTCCGAGATACGGATCAGTAATATGTAACGAGTCGCAGTGGGTATGTCTTCAATGGGACCCTACATCCATCTACAGGCGTAGTCCGCTTTCATCTCGGTTTTGAAAAGTGCATCCTTAAGGCTACTAATGTTGCATCGGCTGGCCGAAGGATTTCCCTCAATTGTGTCCAGACCGATATCCATGACTGCAACTTTCATGTCGGCATATTTAAGCCCGTCAAGCGACTCATTACTGGTCTCTTCGCTGAACATGGCGATTTCGGCTGCCTTGAATAGGGACAGTTGTTGATAAAGTCGGCGATTAGCATAAGTTAGGCAGTCGACGATAGCGAAAGTGCAAGTGGTTGGATTTTTATGATATTGAAAAAAAGACTCAGAGCAGCCTTGATCATTTAAATAGCTTTTTTTTGCTAAAAATCAACGTCCACCGCATTTCTGCCCCATGTTGCTTTTCAACCCCCCGCATGGCATCACACTGCGTGATGTCTCATGCCAGCCAATGAAGCTTGTAAATCTGGCTGACCTGCAGATTACGAGCAAAATGTGCATTCAGCTTTACCAGATACCTAGCGGAATTAACCACTAAGCCTGACCACGACGTCATTGTCGGGCACCTACTCGGTCGAACGGTCATCTTAGTCCTGCCATTTAGCGGACGAGGCGATGCTGGCTTCCAAGCTCAGCGAAGATATCTGTCTGCAGAGCCTTGACTCAGGATATGAGAAAACTGGAGGCCTAGATTTTCTCCGAGACGCGCTGGGATGCTGCCAACGGCAAGGAGCAGTAAGATATCGGAATGCAAGCGGCACAGACCGTCCATGTGCTGGCCAACGTGTCCATGCGCTAGGTGTGACGTGTCCGTCCATACGTCGACCCGCCAGCGCGCATCAGGACACATCGATAGGCAGGATGGAGACTATTCACCCGTATGCACTGGAACCTTGGGATGTGGCGGCGGGGTCGCTGCAACACATTCGGGGGTCGTCGCACCGGGTTCGGAGGAAGGGTCAGGGCTAGGCCACAGTGTTATGTATAGAGGGATTTTGGGAAGCTGACGGTATTGATATGTCTCTATTCAAAGGTTTCAGTGCGGGCTACTTGGTAAAAAGCGAAATAAAAAAAATAAGAAGTTTCTTAGATTAATATTAAAGACAATAGCTGGTGCTAGAAGTAAGATATTTGACTAAGATGGTGTGTTGAAAGATAATTTACGGTTCTTAATATACACTATCCGTTAGATCCTTTACGGTCAAATTGATTAATTGAATAGTATTCAAATTGATAATAGTCAGGATGTTGATCACTGCTTATGCCATTCATCCCGGACCTCTGAGGTTTCGTACAGTAATACAGGGCCATCTTCCTAGCCAAACTCATCAAGCTCACATATGAGATAAATTTCTCTCGCCCAGGAAATAATCCCCAGCTAGAACCCCAACACAGCATTCGACCTCTCAATCGCCTCCCGCTGCCCGGGCGTCAACCCGTCGCCGGCGACCTGCGGCTCCAGGCCCAGGGCCCTCCCCCCGGCGGCGCCGGCCCAGCCCCGCAGCATGGCCTCCGTGGGCCGGCCGACGTGCCGCGTCTCGCCCGCGCCGCCGGGGAAGTCCGGCCCCGGCGTCCCCGCGCGGAAGGCCGCCCGCTGCCGCGCCGCGTACGCCGCGTTGGTCTCCGTCGTCGGGCACACGGGGATGTACAGCACGCTCGAGTCGCCCGTGCCGATGTGCACCTTGTCGACCGAGTGGATTGCTGCGGATGCGTTAGTTTATGTCAAGGTGAATGGAGTAAATGCTTAGAGGCAAACTCACTGTCGCAATGCCATGCAACGTAGTCGCCCGGCTTGATCTCGGGCATGTGAACCATCGTCTTATCCAGCTCCAAGTGAGGATGCAGCTCGTCAGTAAACTCCTGTCCCGTGCCGGGCGTCGCCCCCTGAAGCTCGCTCGTCATCTCATCGACGCCAGTGAACCGCCAGTTCTTCTCATCCAGATACCCCGGCGTCCCCGGCGCACCGCCCACGGCCTCGAAGAACGGCCGCAGCAGTAGATACGCCGTCGACAGCTTGACCAGCGGGTTCACCAGCAGCGTGCCCTCGCGCGGGCGCGTGCGGCTCATGCTCATCCAGCCCTGCCACATGCGGAACATGGTGCAGGAGCCCAAGCCGTCGTAGAGGTTGTTGACGGCCTCGACGCGGCCGCTGGCGTCCCACGGGTTGTACTCGTCCCACCGCCCTTCGAAGACGGCGTCGTACACGGCGCCGCGGCCGTAGCCCTCGGGCTCCCAGCGCTCGACGCTGCCGCCGTCCATGTGCGGGCCCAGCGCGAACGCCGCGTCGCCGGGCTGGCGGATGCGCAGCCGGTCGGCGTATATAAGCGGGTGGTCGAGCGAGATGCGCGACGTCGGAGAGGATTTGCTCCAGAGGCTGGACATGAGCTGGCGTTGGACGTGGAGGAAGGATGGGTGCGAGCGGGCCTTGAGCTGCGGTGCGGACCAGTACAGCTCGTAGACCTGAGGGTCGTGTTGCGGGAACGCTGTCCAAGTCAGAGATGTCTTTGACCAAAGGAGTAAGAGCACGATGTGTTACTGACCTCTAGTGGATGGGTTCTTCTTCACATACTCCTCAATCTCCTCCTTGTAAGCCCTGGCCTCGGCCTCCGGGATAACACCCTTGACCACGACGGCACCTCGTTTTTGAATCTCGCCTTTCAAGCCTTCGATGCCAGCCTCGAGATCATTGAACTCGACCTGGGGGACGACGGCAGGCCCCTTGGCAGCGATGATGTCGTTCTCCCTGCGAAGTTCGCGGAGCAGCTTGCCCCAGCTCTGCTTGATGGCGCCCTCGCGCCCTCTTACAAGGTCGCATTTCAATTGCCGGAACCGGTCGGGCAGTGGCGGGCGCTCGACACCGGACAGAGAAACAAAGGCATCCGAAATGTCTCCCTCCTTCTTAGATGACGTCTGCGCGGCGGCGGCAGCTGTGGCCATGGGCCGGCGAAGGCCGCGAGGCGCTTTGATGAGAGAGGATCGCAACATGATATCAACAACAACGGCGGTGCACCAAACGAATGCAATATGAACAGCCAGGTGAAGTTTCGACGACGGGAATAATGGATTGGCCCTGCTCAGCTCATGGGGTCGTCCTCAACGGCTGGCCATCTCCGCCACAACCTTTTATACTGTTGAGGGAGGGTGCGGGACTGCCCAAAACGGAAGTCCGCCTGTCTCAACTCTCCCACACGTTCGGCGATTCGGGCACAAGATCCGCGAGGCTGACCCTCCAGAGCAGGCCGTGTGGGTGTGCTGGACGTCATGCCGTCATTGCATCACTCGCACATGTAAGTGTTGTACTTGGCGATGCCTCAACACCATGTAAGTGCGCACGGGGTTGGAGGCCGGTAGGCGAGAAATACGGCACAGTGCACAGCGAACAGTATTTAGCGGATAATTTTGCTTCATTAACAGATGGATCGCGTCGATAAAGGCGAGGGGCTCTGGCTAACAAGGCGTCGGAAAAGAAGTTACCCAAAAAAAAGCCTGGCAGTCCGTCTGCCGACCTGATCAACACCCCAAAGTCAAAGACAAAGCAGCCCTCAACCCGACATAATGATGGTGCCCATATTATACAAGATACGAAAACACGAACAACACCCTAGCTCCGTCTTGTTTGTACGCCCTCCTCATCCTCAACTCCATCTACCGGCGTGTCTCGGCTCGGTACGTGGCTGGCCGCCTGATCTAGTCGAGATCACTGGCCCTTCGCACCTTTTCTCGCAAGTCGCGGTTCTCCGACTCCAAGCCGCCGAGCCGCTGCCTTGCTGCATGTCTATCCTGATTGCGTCCCTCTCGTTCCATCTTGAGTTTGTATTCCATGTCCCGCAGCCTGAATAGCCACCTGTTGTCGTTGTTGGCTCCCGCTTCGTCCGTCAACGCCATGTCTCTAAGGCCAGCGCTGCTGGGTGAAGGCACGGGTATTCCTGACGACGAAGATGTCCTCGTCATCGTTGAAGTCCTCGTCTTGCTGTGGCTTGAGCGGATGCCCCTGTCTCTGATCTGATCGCCAGGACCGCGGGGAATTGATGGTGACGGTGAGCCGCCGCCTCCTACTGGAACCAGCGCCTCAGGGTTACCCGAGCTTGAATACGCCGCCCTCGCGCGAACGTCGCTTGCCGTGCGCAGCGTCGCGTTCTCGACCTTGAGTTGGCGGTAAGCTTCTTCCATGCGAGCCATGCGGATCTGGGCATCGTGGGAACCCAAAGATCCAGAGGCGACCGAGTTTCTGACCATGGTCTCAAGGCGGTCCAGCTTCTTCGTCCGGACATCCAGATTGTTCTCGAGGGTCTGGTACTCTCGCGACAGGTCTCGCGACACCGCCTTGATCCTAGTCTCGAAAGACGCAACCATGGTCTCTATGGCCTTGACTGCAGCCAGCAGGTTCTTAGAGAACCCGGGCAGTCGGCTGGCAATGACCTCAAGGGACGGCAAGACCTGCCGATCGATGATGGTGTTGCTGCTCGCCCACTCGCGACCACAAAGAGCGCTGAGCTTCTGCCAGAGCATCAGCAGCAACTCGTTCCGCTCCTGCAGCTGTTCGCGGGCCGTCTGCTCCAGTATCGTAATCTTCCTGCGATCCTGGCCCCGCGTAGACTCCAGCTCCGCAATTCGGACATCCTGGCTGCTCGCCGTTCGGGTGAGGTGCTGGTGCGTCCTCTGGAAGGAGTCATACTGCGACTTGGTGTTGCGGTGCCCAACACGCTCTTTCTCGAGAAGCTCGGCAAGCTTGCGGCTTTCCAGAGCGTGGGACTCGAGCAGAGAGTCGCGCTGCTTGATGATGCGGTCCTTCTCGACCAGCGCCGCCTTGCTGGTGTCGAGGTCCCGGACTGTATTCTCCAGCTCGCGTTGGAGCTTGGCGATGGACTGGGACTAGTTAGCGACGTCAAGTTACGAACCCGAAATGACATACCTTGAGAAGAGAAGAGCGGGTGCCATTAAGGTCACCCAAAGCCTCCCTCAAATTGTTCTCCAGCTCCATCAGCCTCTCCTTCCACTCCGTGGCCTCGACTTCTCTAGACGTTAGGTTCTTACGCAGACGTCGTGCTTCATCCTTGGCCGTCGAGGCCTCCCGGTTGAGCTCGTTGACAAACTGCTGCACCTCCTCCTTCTCTCTGTCCGCCACAATCTCCCGTTGGTGTCTCTCCTGTTGCAGGCGATTCTCCAGCTCCTTGATGCGCTCCTTCTCGTCGCGAATACTCTGCTCGGCGTTGGCGAGAGCTGCCTCCAGATCTCCAATGCGAATCTTATCGCCCTCTTGCTCTTCACGCAGGAAGGCAATCTCGCCTTGTGAAGACTCTTGCTGAACAGAGAGCCGTTGGTTCTTGTCGTTGGCTTCCATGAGCTTCTGCTCCAACTCCTCCAGCTCCTTGTTGGACGAGTCAAGCTCTTGCTCCAGCTGCTGAATGCGGCGGAGATGGTTCTCTGAGTCATCTTCGAGTCGGATCAGGGCCTCGCTCATCTTTCGCATCTCTTCCTGCAAGGCGTCGAAATTCTCTGAGCGATCCTGAAGATCCGCCTGGACCCGTTGTATCTCGTCGTTGCGCTGGTCGGCCTCCAACTCTAGGGCATCAATCTCCTCCTGCGCTTCCTTTCGCAGAGCCTCAAACTCATTCTCCATGTCACCCTGGTCACGGAGGGCCTCATCACGCTCGGATTGCAGGGCAACGAGGTCGTTCATGGCGTTGTCCAGATCCTCTTGCAGAGACATTCCTGACTCTTCAGCTTGTCGTTTGCCTTCAATCGCGGTCTCGAAGTCTTCCATGCACGTCTCTAGCTCGCGCTGCAGTTCCTGGTTCTGTAGTTTGACTTCGCTAATCTTGTCTCGCAGCTCGGCAAGCTTATTCTCCAGTTCCTCGCGCTCCGCCGCTTCCTCTTCGACCTGGGTCTGGCGTGTCATGATGCTACCACGAGAATGCGAGCGCTCATGGCCGCCAATCTGTGACGCCGACCGATCGAGAAGGCTGTCGATGGTGGAGGGAGCAGGTCGGCCGCGTCGCTGTGCCATCTTCAGGTCCTCGATCTCCTGGTAAAGACGCTCCTTTTCTCGGTTCCTCGAGGTCAGCATAGACGTTTGCGCACCGACTTCACGACGAAGTTCCGCATTCTCGTGACGCAGCTGCTCGCTCTCCCGACGCAGCTCCTCGACAAGGGTTGTGGCGGTAGTCGAACTGAAGGCAGTGTTGGATCCATCAATGTCGCCGGACAGACCAGAGACAGGGCGGCTCGGTGTGGCATTGATATCCCGTTGTCCGTTCTTCTTGGTGATGTTGTAGATGTTGGTTGTGTGATGTAAGCCGCCCTGGGCGCTTGTCAGGTCCTGCTTGAGCCGGAAGATCTCCTCTCTCATTCTCTTGTTCTCGTCGTCAGACTGTTCTCTGCGGGCCGTCTCCTGCTCCAAGAGGTCCTTCCAAACGTCGGCTTCTTCCTGTCGGCCAAGGCCATCGGTCGTCCTCTCGCCGAGGGATCTCACAATGTCGGCGAGCTTCCGCCTATCCGACTCCTTGTTTAGGCTGTCGGATCGCAGTCTCTCGATTTCGGTAGCGTACTCCTCAACTCGCTCGCGCAGGTAGATTAGCTCCTCCTCCCGCTCCTGCGCTTCCTCATCGTAGAGACGGGCAGTCTGGTCGGTGGACGAAGTGCCACTTCGGGCCGTGCTGGGTCGTTCGTCTTCATCCTTAAGCTGCTTCTCCAACTCCTTGACTCTTCTTCTCAGCATCTTGTTGTCCCGTTGAAACACTGCAAGACCGGTCTTGAGTTCAACATTCTCCGAGATCATCTCTTTGATGCCTTCCTCCGATAGCTTGTCAAGTCGGTCGCTCAGGAACATGACTTTGAGTTTGAGGTCGAAATTTTCCTTGGAGAGCCTCTCGATGGTGCTGCTCTGTTCCTTGAGTGTCAGGTTCTTGCCAGGTCGCCCTGTCGTGCCGCTTACGACAATGGAGGAAGGTTTGCGGGGGGTTTCGAGGCCACCCTTGAACTTGTACTCCTTGGCCAGGGACTCGGGGACTTGCACGTTTCTAACATGGCGAGCAATGACCGTATCCGTAGGCGCGGGGTTGAAGTTCTCCTTGGAAGGCCTGGGAGTCCTAAGCACGTCCAAGTGTCGGGGCCGCTCGGGGCTCTCGACTTCGGGAAGAGGCTCGAGCTGGGCTAGCTGGGGGAGCGAGGCATCGGTGTAGTCGTCGGTGCCAAAGTTGGAGCCCATGCTGCCAATACTGACGGACCTCAGGATCGGGTTGCTGGTGTTTCGCAGCATGCCCATGGCGGGAACGGCGCCGCCAGATTGGAGGGCGTAGTCGGTGCCTAGTCCAACAGTGATGTCGCTGCCGTCGTCAGGGTTCGTCGCAAAGGACGACGTGGAAGATCTCTGGCTGCCAAAGCGACTCCGGAGATACCTGGGCTTCCTTCCGCGTAGAGAGTTCCCTGGGGTGCTGCCAGGGTCCATCCGCTCCGACAACGAGTGCGATCGCGACAGAGAAACGTCGTGGTCTGTGGAAGTGGACAGCAGAGAGGTGTCGTGGGCGTCGTCTTGGTCGTCGTTTTCGTCGTAGTCATGGGAGCGCAGGTCGGGCTGGCTGGCCATGCTCACAGCGCGAGAGATGGTGCGAGCGGCAGCGGCAGCCGTGGGCGATGAGTTGAGGTTCTCGAGAGCAGAAGTACTGGTCGTCGAATCTTCCTCAACATGGCGGCCCAACGGTGCCGGCATGGCTGCCTTAGTGGGCGAGTCGAACAGGTACGTGTCGTCGACCCCGCCGTCACCATTCGTAGATCCAGTAGGGATGGGCGAGAGGGAGGGAAGGAAGCTGGACTCGACATCGCGGAGGTGGCGCTGGACTTCTTCGTCGGTCAGCGAGTCGTCTGGGTAATGGGTCACATCGAGGTTGGCGGGCGAGAGGTAGCTGCTGTCGGCGACAGTCAGGGCGGGAGGGCGCAGCATGGCATTGCTCTGGAGGGCGGGTTGGAGGGTGTTTTGGCGGAATTCGGGTGGGTTGAGCGTCATTGATATGGGCGTGGTTGAAGTTGTCCTCGTTGTCGCTGCGTCAGGGGCAGGCGAACGGGCGGGCGAACGGGCAGGTGCAGGCGCCGCCGCAGGGGTATCACTCGTGTCTCTCGTGTCTGGGGCATGTCTTTCTTGAGCATCAGCGTCCGTGGCCATCGAGGCGTCTGGGGCGGTCTGCGTCGTATTCGCGGAATCGTGGTGGTCGCGCTGTTGGGGAGGAATTTCGGTGGGCGACGTTGAGGATGTCTCAGCTCCAAATACATCCGGTGAGACGCGCCGTGGTGTGGGCGTACGGGTACGCGACCGGGCGCTGGGGCTCGGGGACGGGCGTGGGCTCGGCTTGAGGCCGGCGTCGGGGTCTAGGCTGTCGCTGTGGCCGAAGCCGTAGCCGTGGTCTTGATCACCGTCGGCCATGATGCATGATGCGGATGCGCCTGGGGCAAGGAGCCGCGAATTGCTGGCGGGTTGTTGCGAGGTGTCGTCTGGTGGAGAGGAAAAAAACAGCACGTTGCCTCAGAGGCTCTGGCGGGAAGCCTAAACAGAGCTCCTCTGACGGATCCGGGGTGTGGCCCCCGCCTGTGGTTCCCTGGGAAGGCCCCTGGATAGCGCCCCGAGGCGGCAGTCCAGGTGGTGGTGGTGGTGCTGATGGTGTCGTTAGAGGGGCAGAAGGCGCCCTACGGCCCCTGTAGCCCTGTGCTTAGCGGCGGACCAAGACGGCGGCGGGGCTCCGCTGGCTGTTGTTCTGGAGTCCCGATTGCGTTGCCGTGGACACCCAGATCCGACCGCCATAATCCCTTCACCTGTAACATGCGGCTACCGTTGAGTGTTGCGTGGACGACGCTACCTTGCCTTACGTACTGCTTCTCAACTACTACATAGCATGGACCTCAAGAGCTCCATCTTACGTGGGATACCTGGCTCGCGACAGTTACTGCCGCCGTCATCTACGCGAGTTTTTCAGCAGGCTGGCCCTTGTTGCTCAATTGCGGGATTCCGATTTAAATTGAGAGCCCGCCGATTCATGCAGCTAGAGAAGCGTTTCCAATAAAGAGGTGGAGACTTCATCTCTGAAACAGATGAGGGATCGTATCCGACTTCTCGATGTTCTCCAATGTGTGCACCGAACCAAGGGCGCAGTTGTGCAAATGAGGAATGGAAATAGTGTTGATAGAGCGCTGGTTGTTGTGGTTGCAAGATCAGTGGACCATTCCACGCTGAATCTTATCACTTATCAGTCAGATGGGTGGTATCCGGCCATCATCCCCGCCGGCCCTGCAGATTATCGTACTGCGAGTGCCTTGATTTCGGTTTGATCAGGTCACAACTCAATAAACTGGCATTGGGTGTGATTTCATAACGCATCTTCGCTCAAATCCCTCAAACCGGGAGGGATATGTCAATCATACGACAGTATCATCCCCCGCGATGGCTATATCCTGCTTGGTGTTCTTGGCTCTGCCTGAGACATGGCCAGATCCCTGGTAGCCGGACCCATGCGCAGCATCATGACATCACAGGCACAAGTGCATCTCACGCACATCTCACGCACATGGTCATCGCACGCCAAGCGTAACAAGGAAAGATGTTCATCATTGGTATCCATAACTTGATCATCACTATCCGGGGAATTAATCACCCAACCAAAAACACCCGGTCCGTCCAGTGTATTCGCAACCCTTTAGTTGGAGTACTTGGGGTCGACCTTCTTGCTGTAGGTCCGTCTTGGTTAGCAGGCTACTCTCTTGCTATGCGACCGCGGTAGAGGCTTACCCAGTGAGCTTCTCGAACATGCCTCGGCCGGCGTCGGTGATCTTCTCGGCCGTGTTGGCGTCGACGTTGTGGCCGGACTTCTTGGCAGCCATGCCGAAGGCTGCGGAAGAGTTTGTTAGCGGATGGTCCAACTCCAGGCATGCCACATGGCGATGGCGGATGGCGGCCGAGAGGGCAGAAGCGGTGGGGGAGAAGATCACTCACCCTTGTCAACGTAGTCCTGCTGGGGCTCGTTGGTCTTCTCCTGCTTCTTCTCGCCGGAAACGCTGCTGGCGGCCTTCTTGAGGAAATCCATTGTGATGGTTGTGGTGGGTGGGAGTTGGTTGGTTGGTTGGTTGGCTTTGGTGTAGTAACGGATGAGAGATGGCTTGCCAAGGGGAAAGTAAAAAGAGGGGTATCAATAAAACAAGGGGAATTCAGGGTCCTTCTTATACCCGTCCGTCCAGTCTGGCACAGGGCGTGGTGGAAAGGATGGATAACGCGGCGCATGTCGTCTTTCCCATCCCTATCCCCTCCCCTCCCACCTTGTCCAGCTTAACCTGTGCCAGCTTGCAAGCTCACGGTTAGACCCAAACTCACATCCACCGCACCGTGACCACCCTCCCAAGCCAGCCAACAAGCCTCAGCCAACAAGCGGGTAAGGGACCCTCAGCCGGCCCCGCTACGTCATTCTAGACCCTGTCGCGGGTGCAGTCTGGCCCTTGAACCCGCGTCCGGCAAACGCCGATCGTGGGCGACGTGCTTATCGTGGTCCAGTAGCAGGCTGTTGAGAAGTCACCGGTTGGTACAAGCTTTCGGGTGCAGATACGTGCGGGGGTGGTGAGGTTATTTAGGACGAACCTGATCCAAGGACATTGCGGGAAAGTTACGGGGTGTGTGGGAATTGTGGTGATCTTACACAGCTGACCCTGTTACAGCTCTGTCCTTCACTGTCCTTCACTGTCCTTCAAAGACCGCAAGTCGTGCTCTCACGCAAAGTGCAGTGCAATTAAAAGCACACTTGCATTTCTCCTCCCCTACCCAGCTGAATCCAGACCCTTGACACCAAGCAAGCGGGACAGCGGGGGAGGGGGGCTGTGCGACTTGTCTGAACGACGGCCGGATGGTAGGGGCACCGAGCTGAAAAGAGCAACAACCACAACCCTGCGCCCATCCCACCACGCAGCGTGGCATGGAAGATTGCTTAGATCGCACATGGGCAGCGTAGGGAACCAGAGCAGTTAGACAGCTTGACGGCGCGAGAGGCCGCCTGTTAGTGCGACTATCGTGAATTGGTGCCCCAGTGCCGCCGAGACACCGTACCCGCAGTGCCGAACTGACCGATTCTGGGCCCCAGACCACCGCACACCAGTCCGTCCGACATCCACCATCGTGCAGTCACGTTACGGGAGGCTCGGGGAGGGAGCCAACAATGGAAGAGCGCCAACGGGCGGCGTCACAGGAGGGGCATAGTGGACGACAAGCTTATGACTAGTCCGACAGACTGATCTCATCCGAAGATGTGCTATACATTATTATCAACCTCCATTGCCGGGTCCCAATTCTGGCCCAGTTATCGTAGTTCGGTAGTTCCAGCCATTCTTGTACAAGATTCCTACTCGACTCTTCGCAAATATGCATCCTGCCTCTTGTTCTGGAGGCCAGGCCCTTCCCCCGGGCGCAAAAAACTCCTTGTGATGCTGATTCTAGTATTCCCATTATACAACTCAAATTCGACTCCTTTTCCGCGCTGTAATGCATCATATACTCATATATAAAATAATTCGTCGCCAACCGTCCTCGGATTTGCCGCTCAATCTGATCGTTTCGATACACAAAAAGAGTCGACAGCAAGGTGTGTTGGTTGTGTTCGTGCAGCGTGAGTAGTCGCTTGCCATAGTGGTCATCTCCAGTCTGCTTACGACATGACAAACACCTGGTAAGACATGACCATGACCCAGATCTGGAAAATGACTCCAATTAGAGTCATGGCGAAGACTAACTGCCATGATTGACCTGTTTCGTGTATTCGTTAGCAATTAATTCCACCACGCAGGAAAATAAGGACTTCACGTACAGATGTTCCTCTGTTGTAACCATGCCATCGTCGCCTCGTTTTGTCCTGTGGGGTTCCGACCAAATACCTCAACACTACAGACGCTGTTGATGGAGTTGCTAGGACCAAACAGCTGGATCGCGACAATGACCAAACCGACTAGCCACAGGACGAAGAGCATAAATGCTCCAATCATGACAATTGCCGGCAACAGTCGTCGTTGAGCAATCAACCAGAATATTATGCCAATGAATAAGATGCCAAGCGACGCGACCGTGATGAGGTAGGGGAAGTACCTGCGCAGGAATTCTTGTTAGCTATTTGATCGTGGGAGCTGGGGCACTTTGAGACGACATACCAAGGTACAGGAAGGAGAAGTTGGTTTTGGATTTGGATAAAGGTTGAGAAGACGCCGATGACGGTGCACGAGGCGAGAAGCATGACGAAGATCCAGAAGTTGAGCTGCAGAGGCGGCCAGTTGTAGGTCCGCACATGGCTGGTGATTCGGCTCTCGTCGTACGTCATGGACGAACCGCCGGCAAATGATGATTTGGCGACCATGGTGAATGGAGCGTTGTGCAGGTATATGGGTGGTGGATGGGGATGATGGTGAGGTTGTCGTCAGATCGAAAGCCTGTCGACCAGTCGAGGGGGACGAGGGAGGTGGGAGATGGTGATATAGGTGATTCGGGACGCGAGAGGTGCAACGGCGTGATGTTGAGATTGGGAGTGCCGGAGACTCCAAAAGAACCCGATGAAGGGATCTGTTGCTGTCGAATGGTCCTCGTTCTGTCCTCGTTAAGCGAAAAGCAGTGGATGGTGATGACGTCGCGCTCTGCGGAACCAAAACTCTCCGCAACAAATACAGTGCGTGCTTTAATAAGTTCGCGCGCACCACAACCCAAAGGCCCAAGGCCACTTGAAAGAAAGGGGCGGAAACGTCTGGTGACGATGCCCTCGTTTCAATGCCCAATCCCGCGAAATCGGCCACGTCTGCTGCGTCGGGAGGCGCTCAAGCCCAAGCGCCCCGTTCCACGCAGCCCAAACAAACCGCGTGCCCGCCGATCCGGCTGGGCGGGCGTGCAAATACGGCGAGGGCAACGGCTCGTGACCGCCTCGCTGTCGCTTTTTCGCAGCGCGATGAGCCAACCCGGGCGGGATGCTCTGGGCTTGGGCTGGTAGACTGGGCGGTGATGCCTCTGGTGCGGCCGCTCTGGCTGCGCTTGGGATGTCGGTTCGCAGGTGGAGAACGCGGGTTGCTGTCGTGGCGGCGGTCTTGGCAGCGGGCGGCTGATCGGTTACGCAGCTAGGAGTAGGAGGGAGGAGTCGACGTCGATGATGTCGAGATAAGAAAGTGGTGTTGTATCGGGCGGAATTACGGGCGGGAGGGCGGAGGGCAAAGGTTACAACGGCAAGCCGAAAATGGCGTTGCGAAAAAAGGGAGGGAGGGTTCAATCAAAACACAACAACAGACTCGGAGAAAACGAATCCCTGGCAGAAAAAAAAAGGTGGCTTTTGCCTGTCCATATGAATGTGCATCTCAGGGAGCTCAGGGACGCAATCCCGTTGGAGCTCCAGCGCCATTCGGCCAAATTCGGGGTGGTTGGGTGGTTGGCGGCGCGGCGCGAGGGCCGGTTAAGTGGGCCTACCCGCCCCGTAAATGCGATGGCTGGGGATATTTACAGGGGGGGCGGGGGGGGGGGGGGCAGGCCGGGTGTCGTGGAGGGTTAGGGAAGCTGTCAAACTGTCAAATGATGCGTGGAAGGTAATTGGAAGTTTTGATTGTCGGATCCACGTGCGGAAAGTAATTACCCTGGGCTTCCTGGCGTTTCCAGCCTCATGATGGCCTCGTTTAGGGGGTTAATCAAGGGGCATTTGTGGCGCGGGTCGATATGCCCTCGGTGCTGGAGTAATAGTGGTGTGCTGTCTGTCGGTACTGGGCTACACCTTGTACTTACTGCACCACCAGGTCACCACGATCAAGACAACAAAGTGAGGCTGTCAGAGAGGAAATTCAGGGCGAAACAGGTACACGGTGAAGCAATGCGTCTCATCGAGTGAACAACCAAGTACTTGGCTCCGGATTGCACCACGCTCTCACATTTTCACAAGCCAAGTAAGACAAAAACATCAGGTTTCCTGAGGAATACGCGTCGTTCTATTTTGTTCGAGAGTGATCTCGTTACTCCTATGGGAGTCCTATATTGCGCCGGCCTGTTGATCATTCTTTCAACTCAAGGGTATATAATAATTCCGCATCCATGCCAATCCATAAACTCCGTCACTTGTTCGTCTCCATCTCTTGCTCGTCACCAAATCACTTTCGCGCTTTACAGCAACGTCTCACCGAGGGCGCACCGCACCAGCGAGCAGCCCGCGCGGATCGTCTGCTCGGCCTCTTCGCTGGCCAGCTTGGGGTTCACCTCGACGAGGTCGACGGCCACTAGGTTGCCGGTCTGGTGCACGCTCTCGCAGATGTAGTCACCCTCGCGCAGGGTCAGGCCGCCACGGACGGGAGTGCCGGTGCTGGGAGCCCACATGGGGTCGAGGGCGTCGACATCGAAGGACAGGTGGATGGGGGTGTCGCTTCCAATGTGGGCGAGGGCCATCTCCATGACGCGACCGATACCGTGGCTAAGGTTATTGTCAGTTTCTGGTACAAATGATGTGAATGAATTCCGTGTGGCTTACCGGTCAATGTCAAACATGCTAAAGGCCTTGATGCCGTTCTCCCGGAGGATCTGGCGCTCGGGAAGGTCGACGGATCGCAGACCAATGTAGACAATCTTCTTGACGCTGATGCGCATGTCCTCCTTGACCCAGCCAAAGTACTCCTCGTTCTCCTCCGTGGCCAGGCCAGTCAGGAAGGCCACAGGCATGCCGTGAATGTTACCGCTGTCGCTGCTCTCGGGGGTGTTGATGTCGGTGTGAGCATCGACCCAGATAACGGCAATCTCACGGTTGAGGCGCTCACGGGTAGCCTTGGCAGTACCGGCAATGGTGCCAATGGCAATGCTGTGGTCACCGCCGAGGGTGAGGACCATTCGGCCCTTGGAGGACTGCTCGTAGGTCTGTTCGGCAATAGAGCGGGTGACGGCCGAGGCATGACGAGCCTTCTTCATGCCGCGGAAGTCGGGGTCGGAGGCGGGGATGAGCTCCTTGAATTGCTGGACGGTCTGGTCGCCGAAGATCTTGTAGCCGAGCTCGTTCTTGATCTGCTCCAGGAGACCGGACTCGATAAGGACAGTTGGGCCATCATCGACACCCTCCTTGGTCTGGTGGGGCACAGCAACGTCAGCAAAAGGGTACAGGAATCAAATGGTGGAGGGACCATTGAGGCAAACATACCTGGCCACCGGAGAAGCCTACGGCGACGACGCCAAGCTCATCGGCCTGGGACAGAAAGCGGCTGTGGACAACGCCTGTGTTCATTTTGATGTGTTGGAGTGGGTTGTTGAGGGTGTGGACGTGGGCTTGGTGATGGTCTTCACGTGCCAAAGTAGGAGTGCGTGGTGTTTTGTGGCGGGTTGCGGGTTGCGGGACAAAATGACGTAGCTGTAAGTGGGATATATCTCAGGCAATCTGCAGAGAATGGAAGCTGTGATGAAGAGGAGAGAGAAAACGAGCTGAAGAAAAGTCCCAGAAGAAAGCTTTTATCTTTCCTCCACCTCCCTTTTTTATCTTGCCGTGACATGATGGCTGCAATCGGCCGCCGCCGGCAGAGGGATGGATCATGGAAACCTGGCCTCGTCTGAGTAAGGGACCCGGCACACTGGCGGCGATCCCCACTGGCGGCGGGCGCTGGCGGCTGTGTTGGTCGACTCGGGAAGGTAAGTAAGTACCTGAGGGCAGGAAAGTCTCGTTGTCGGCCGCTCTCGGCGCAGTGCCGTGCGAGGCAGGTACATGGTCTGAATGCGTTGCTCGCCCGCTATCCGGGCGGTTGGATTTTGGTGTGGTAAGAGAAACAGAAGCGCATGCGGGGATTTGCTATCCCTTGCTGTCGCTAACTGTCCGTCATCGGTCATCCGACAGCCGTAGTCCGCTTCCGGCTAGCGGCGCAACACCCCGACGCGCACTCTGGGCTCTTGTTGGCCAGCGCCTGTTCGCCATCTGTCATGGCCTGGTTCGTGCCGCATCTTTCTAGAAGCCCGTCCCGCGGCCCTGGATCTTCCTTTTCCCCTTCTCCATCTTCCCCAACATCCCCATGCCTGACGATATCTAGCCTATCTTTTTCGCCGTGTGCGGTTGCCTCTCCTGCCCTCGCGATGGCTTCACCCGGCCGCCCAGTCGCCCGTTCTGCCACGATGTTGTTCTCTTCACCAGAGCCCCCCCCCCCCCCCCCCCCTCGCCCGCCGGCCATCGAGACGTGGGATGTCAGCGTCGACCGCCGCTCGCAGCCGCGACTAGCCATCCCGCGAGCATCCGCTGTTTATAAGTTAGGTCAATGTTAGGTAATTGCTTCGCTGCCATCACCACTGACCGAGATACCGTGCGACGGCCACCCAGACGGTTATCACGGGGGGCAGCCAACATGGGGAGCCAGAGACGACCTCTACGACGACGATGACGCTCTCCCGTGTCGAGAATCAGTCATGGTTTGCTAATTTTACTTCCTCTGCTCTGGTTTTCCTTGTCTCTTGTACAGCCCGCTCACCAACCCGCCGTGAGGTACATTTCATGCCGAGTCGGAGCTCCGTCATTCACCCGACACATCCCCATGTCACCACACCCGCCGCCTACATCCAAGCGCCCGCACCGCTCATTCTTTGCCCACCACCGCCCCATCCCCAACGAATTATCCGAGCAACCCGCAAGCACAACCCTTTCTCTCGCCAGAATCCGTTTCTGATCGGCTTTATTTCCAAACTAATACACCCCCACGGCCCACGGGCGCTCCAACGTCTACCAGGCCGCTGGCCGCCGGCCGATCTCTGGAGAGTCCGGAACCGCAACCCGGCCCACCCCCACAATTCCAGCATTCTCATTACATACAAGTGAGCTATAGCTCCCGGAGCGACGGGCGTTGAGAGACCGTGCCGGCTGAGCACCGCAGACCGCTCAATCCTCGGCGAATTGACGGCAAATTGATCTCGGGGTTTGTTGCTGTTAGAGGACTTCACGGAGGTGCCGAAGTTGATGCAGGGGCTGCCACATGGTGTAGGCCCACCTGCGTCTATGAGGGAGCGCGCACATAACACTTCTTGATGCAGTACGACTCGAGCACGGTGCATTCTCGGAAGAACCACCAGGCATTGAATATCCACTGCCCTTAACTAGATCCCATCTGCGGAGTAAACCCGCGACATATCGGTGCAGGACCGGAGAAACCAGGCCCATGGACCGGAGATAGGCTGCACACTAGCATCAGTGGTGAGACTGTAAGAGTCATGGTGATGCAGCAAACAACCAGTGATACAAAACTACATGCGTAGACCTCTCCTTTTTTTTCTATCCTATACCAAGATCAACATTCTCACATAGGACACTGTGTAAGCATCGACTCAGATTTAAAGTGGTATATTACGGTCCCTGTACCATATGACTAAAATACACAACATGTTCTGAGATCAGCTCCAGGCTCATCATACGCCGCGGTATGGGATCTATATATACTACATAAAAGGCGGCCCGATGCAATCTCCAAATAAACTGCTCTCAAAGCTTGGGCTTCAGGATTACGCCACTCTCATCCTTGTAAGTTGCAAGGTGGTTCCTCTTGCTGTCTCCTCCGTGTTCAACTTGGGTCGGTCCATCGAATACTGTGCCATCCGCCTTGACTTGGCGGTCCTCAACCTCAACGTAGTCCCTCTGTCCGTGGCCCAGGTACAATTGTCTAGGCCTCCAGATCTTCACGCCCGAGGGGTTGAGCATTTGCTGCCTCCAGTGGGCCAACCAGCCAACACATCGGGGAACAGCGAAGAGGACAGGGTAGAAGCTAAACGCAATAGTTAGCATGGTCGAACCGAAGTCATCGGGTTTGTCTTGTGCAGTGCATTAGTAGCGGGAGGGGAAGCAAGAAACTTACTCGAGAGGGAAGCCCATAGCCTGGTAGATCAAGCCTGAGTAAAAGTCCACATTGGGGTACAGGTTTCGGCTGCGCATAAACTCGCTCTCCCTGGCGTACTTGGCAAGGGTCAGAGCGGTGTCGAGGAGCTGGTTCCGGCCGGTGACCTTGAAGACGTCCTCGGCAAGCTGGCGGATCGCGGTGGAGCGCGGGTCGACGTTCTTGTAGACGCGGTGGCCAAACCCGACCAGGACTCGCTCGCGCTTCTCCACCTTCTCCATAAAGGCGGGAACGTTCTCGGGAGATCCAATCTCCATCAGCATGCGGATGGCGCTTTCGGAGGCGCCGCCGTGGGACGGGCCGTAGAGCGCTGCGCAGCCGGCTGCCACGACGCTGTAAGGGTCCACCAGGGAGCTGCCGACCTGAAGCACCGTCGCCGTGGAGCAGTTGACTTCGTGGTCCGCGTGGATGATGAATAGCGCGTCGAGCGCCTTCTCAAGCACGGGGTGTGGGCGGTACTCGCTGCCAGACAGATGGTCGAGCAGATACAGGAAGTTGCCCGTGTAAGAGAGGCCCTGCGCTGGTCGGTTGAAGGGGCGGCCCTGTCGCATGCGGTAGGACGCCGCCGCAAGAGTGGGAGCCTTGCCAATGATGCGAAGGATCTGCTTGTCGAGGACCTTGAGCGCCTCCAGATCTCCGGACGCGGCGTTGGTGAACAGCTTCTGGCCTTGCAGAGAGGGGTTCGCCTCGGGTGCGAAGGCGCCCATGGTGGCAAACGCAGAGGTCAGCATGGCCATGGGGTGAGAGTCGTAGCGGAAAGACTTGAACATGGCCTCGATGTCGCTGTGGATATAAGTGTGGTGCATGATTTCATCCTGCCAGTTGCTGCTTTGGGTGCTGGTGGGTAGCTCTCCATACATGAGCAAGAATGCCGACTCGAGGAAGTTGCTCTTGTCGACCAGTTGTTGGATGGGATACCCACGGTAGCGGAGGATTCCATCTTGGCCGTTGATGTAGGTGATCTTGCTCTGAACCACGGCCGTGTTCATGTAAGCAGGATCGTAGACCCTGAGGCCTTGGTTCGTCTCATCCTCGGGCCGGTCACCTTGCGGCTCTGCCTTGATCTTCTTGATGTCAGTGGCGAGCACGGAGTTGTGCGTGATGGGCAGCTCATAAGCCTTTCCAGTGCGGTTGTCGATCACCGTCAACGACTGCTTGGGGACGCTCTTGATGGCCATCCTCAAGGCGTGTGAAGGAGACGAGTATGGCAGGAATTAGGAGTCGAAGAAGAGCCGGATAGCTAGTCAATGAAGCCAGAATGCCTGTCTACTCTCTCAGCTTCGTTCTACTTGGATGAGTGAAATAAAGGTAAGCTGTGATATTTGAGAGAGGACGAAAACAATATTACTGCTCGCCGAGGTCATGATGATCATGGGTCGCCGGCATCTGATTGGCATATGATTGGACCGCCGAGGCCGGTCCACATGCCGCGACGAGCTTACCGAAATACCGAGGTCTGTAATGGGGCGGGAACAAATAATTCCGTGCCGTGGACGATGCATCCACACCGACTGGCAGTCTACTTGGGCTGGAACTTACAATGGCTTTTGGCTGAACTTTGGTTGTAATCGAGTAAAGGACTCGGAAAGGATGGTGGCCATGTGCCGGAACAACTGACGTGGTCCAAGCCAGGGATGCGCCGACGACATGGCGTAGTTATTTCCGGGAGCTGCATGCATCGATTCGATCCTGGCCTTTTGTTGCCGATGGCCCGATGCCATTAGTCGCCGACTCCGTAAGATGGGCAATGCCGGGGCGTCATGATAGATAGCTACCCCAGTTCAAACAGAGTTGACGAGCTCGGATCTGCCCGAAACTGGCTTGTGGTGATCTGAACGCCAAGCTCTTAGGTCCACCTCACGTTGAATCTGGAGTTGGGTCGGGCGTCCTTGACCGGTTTCGACGGCTCTTCTTTCCACTGGCCGGCAGTCATTCGCCAATACGAGATGGTCTGTCTTGCAGAAACCGGGGCTTGTACGACCCGTGGGAGTACCGCTGTTACTGATGTCGGGCTCCGTTTCAAAGTGGTTCCTACGGCTCCTGAAACCATACCTTCAACATCAACCACGCCTGCGACAAGCCATAGAATGAGAGGAGGATTCAGAATCCTCTGTATGGCAAAGGAGAGCGATTGGCTTGAGAGATCGAGGCTTAGATGTTTCCAAAGGGACAGTAGGATTCGGGACTTCGGATGCCAAGCCACCAAGGATTAAACGACTGGAGATTTGACATGTCTTGCTTCATCTGGGGGTCTCCATTGTGTTAGAGTGCGCTCCACCCATCCAAACCAGCCTTTTGTCGATCGGAACACCGGAATGCCCTGGGCTGGCTCTTTGTTCCCAATAGTCCCGAGCTTACTGGACACCACAGCCACCACGACAGGGTCATTTGAAGATCTCTTTTGATTAGTCTCGCAAATAGCGGCCGCAAACACCTCGTGGCTGCAAAGAGCGCCTGCAAATGTGCAACGCCCCGCCCGTCAGGAGACGGAAGAAATCAACTCCAGATCGGCCGTGTGTCCCAGGGATTTGACGCCACGGTAGCGTCAGGACCGCCACACCGTTCAGGGGCTCGGGACAAACCCAGTTCCCGTTAGCCTCACTGGATGATGTTTTCAACTATAGAGCTTGGCCGCCAGATGAGAATGAGCAAATACAGGGTATAGAGTCTATTCGTGGCGCAGATTGCATCAACGAATTGATGAGGCATCATGCCATCGGTCAGTTACTCGAGCAGAGCCGGGCCCCTTTCTGCGTGCGCATACACGTGGATACACGGCGACTCGTCATCGAGCCTCGTCAAGAAATTGGGAGTTTCCCTGCCACCGTATTGCAACCATGCCATGCTACCACGCAGACTCCACCACCAAGCCACCCTCCGTTGCGGGGAGTTGACGCTGGCGCTGGGGGACATGTTTCTATTGCAACGCGGCCCTCGAGGTTCCGATTGGAGGTGCGCTGTAGGCGCCCAGCGGGAGAAGAGAGGTGTGCGTGCGATAGAGCCGCCAGCCGTGATGCTTGTGGAGGATCCGCGCATAGGGGCATCGTCAGCAGGGGCGAACCAACCGGGAGCCGACAAAGCAGAGCACTTTGGCGGGCTCAAAGCACATGGATTGTTCAGTGTTTGAGGATTCGATGTTGAATGTTGGATGTTGCAAGCTAGGGGCGCATCTGACACGCGTCGCCCACCCATCATCCATGATTGATCCTGCAGGAGGCATAGCGCACTGTGCAAGTACCGTCTATGGCGTACTGCGTATTGCGTACTGCGTACTGAGCAACTGGCCAGGTCACTACCGTAGGCATACTCAACAGGTTTGAGTATGTGAAAATTAGCGAGACATGTGTAGTAGAAACACTGACACGGAGCGACATGCAGAACAAATCACATTGGCTCCAGCATGCTGTGGCCATTAGAGTAATGTGAGACATCTCTTATGGTTGGTTTGTCCACGCCTCTCCAAGCCCTCTCCAAACTCTCAGTGGTCGTCATTCAGCGCGCAAAGAGTTCCGGTGGCTCTCAGTGTCACCTTTGCATACTTTGCATTGTCATACTCTGCATTGTCCGCTGACTCGTCTATCACGTCACCATCTATTCTTGATGCGCACAACCAGCGGTCTACTGTTACTCTCCACGCACGTAGCATTCATTCATACCCACAACAGCACAGTGCGGCGCCGCCTTCATCCAAACAAGCCTTTACCGCCCCTGTACCGACGGCGCTGAGCCTCCCCCTGCTGCGTACTGGCAGTCTGGCACAGTGCAGTGCTCCACTAAACAGGGTCCCCCCCGGTGCTCCACTAAGGTTGGCTCTAGCGGGCTTCCGTCCAGATGGGCCCCTGTAAGTCCCAAAAATGGCGACGGGCGGGAAGCCTGATGCCACGCACCCGCAGTGCGCGCCGCAACACGCACGGCGGCACCGCAAAGGACAAAGGAGCCAACTTCCATCATCGCTCTCGGGATGATTTTCTGCAACGGGGCTAAATCTCCTTCTCTTCCTCTCCCGATTCCTCCTCCCACATTCTCTTGAGCCTCGCTGTCCTGCTTCTCGTCCTTGTGCCCCTTGTCCTCTGGCATCTTGTTCCTCGTTCTTTGGCGTCGCAAACTGTCTGTCCACTCCTTAATTCGTCCCTCCCGACTCCATCCTCCCGACTCCATCTCTCCATCCCCCGACCCCCCGCGACGTCTCCCGGCTTCATTCCAGCCCGGGACATCTCCTCGACCCTCACAACCGCCAGTAGCCATGAGGTAAAGGATTCGTCACCTCCTCGTCAACCATCTCCCGCTCTCATCAATCTCCGACGACCCTCCGAATCGAGCCTCGTTGCATGTCTTCTGTCGCTGGCGCCAGACATCCACGCACCGCTCGATCTTCGACTGCGAGTCCACGACCAACCACGATCCGATCGATACCGAGATAGACCCCTCTCCTCCTCAAACAAACCTCGCCGCAATGGCCAGGCTACGCTCCCCCGGCTTTCACCCTCGCCGACCGTCGAGCTTCTTCCGCTACATCGTGGTCGCCGCCCTCGTCATATTTGCCTTTTACAGTCTAAGTCGCAAATCACAAGGCGCGTCACAATCGCCTCTCTCCCACGACACGCCAGGTTCCAACCAGCCTCCCAAGAGCGGTCACACCGATCCAAATGCTCGCCCCGAACACCCGCCGGCTAAGGACGAGTCGAGTGGCAAGGGCTCGCACCCCATTGACCAGCTCATCAATAATGCCGAGCAGACTTTCTCTGAGCTCGTGGCCAAGGAGTCCAAGACTCTAGAGGAAGCTGCTCAGGCGTATCGCCAGCGCCGTGGTCGCCACCCTCCGCCCGGATTCGACGAGTGGTTCAAGTTTGCCCAGGAAAACGACGCCGTCATTGTTGAGGACTTCTTCGATCAAGTTTACCACGACCTCGCGCCATTCTGGGGTGTGCCTCCGGATATCATCCGCAAGGAGTCATGGAGCTTCGAGATGAAGATCCACGTCAGGGATCAGACGACGAACACTACTAGCGATTGGTTCTGGACCCTCATCTGGAAGGACATGATCGACTCCATCGTCCATTTGCTGCCCGACATGGACATTGCTCTAAATGCCATGGACGAACCCCGTCTAGTCGTTCCTTGGGAAGACATCAATAAGTACATGGAAACCGCCTCCTCCACCTTTGGCCTACCCGCCCCCAAGGACGTCAAGTCCGTCTTCCAAAAACTCCCCAGGCCCGGCACCGGAGACAAATCCACCAAGATCCCAGCCAAGCATTGGGAGGAGGAGAGTATGTTCTCCTAACTCTAACCCGCATCTTGCCTACTAACCCGTTCGCAGAGCCGTACTGGCCTATTGTCCGTCGTGGTTGCCCCCCCGAGAGCCGTGCTCGCACAGCTGCAATGCAGTCCAACTTTGATCACCAGCCTACTATCGAATCTACCAACGCTCAAGACCACATGTACAAGGGCTACGTCTCCAACTCGTCCCTAGCGACCGACTTGTGCCACCAACCTGACCTCCAAGGCTTGGAAGGCATCATCATCAACCCCATTTCTGTGGCATCCACAAAGGTCCTGTTTCCCATGTTCGGAGGTTCCAAGCTGGGCGTCAACAACGAAATCTTGCTCCCCGCGCCCATCTACTGGAATGAGGAGGAGCGCTTTACAGGCGGCACAAACCGCGGTGGCCCCTGGAAGAAGAAGGGCGATAAGGCTGTCTGGAGAGGCGTGGCTACGGGAGGCCAGAACATGCCCGATAACTGGCGTGGCTTCCACCGTCACCGCTTCATGGCGATGAACAACAGCACCAAGTTGGCGTTGGTCGAATCTGGAAAGGGCAGGCTGGAGAACTTCGCCATGCCGGAAGAGGAGTATCATGTGAGCGCCCATGCCGAGGGAAGGATGAGCGAATGGGTCAGCGAGTGGTCGGACATGGGCTTTATTGAGCTCATGTGTGCATCCCAAACCGACGACGGCACGTGCTGGTACACCGACCTGTATTTCCACCCGGTGGAGGGGCTGAAGATGAAAGAGCAGTTCCGCTACAAGTACGTTCCCGACATCGACGGAAACTCCTTTTCTGGACGCTACCTCGGCTTTCTGCGCTCGACTTCGCTCCCTATCAAGGCGACCCTCTTCCGCGAGTGGCATGACAGCCGTCTCGTGGCGTGGAAGCACTTTGTCCCCATGGACAGCCGATTCGGTGACTTTTACGGCATCATGGAGTATTTCCTAGGCTACAAGGGCCGGAACGGCCACGACGCAGCAGCGGAGAAGATGGCCTTGGATGGCAAAGCGTGGGCGGAGAGGGTGCTCCGCAAGGAGGATATGCAGATCTATGTCCTGCGATTGCTTCTCGAGTATGCGAGGGTGCTGGACGACAACAGAGAGATGCTGGGTTGGGTCGACGACGCGATCAAAGACCCGTCGATAATGGACACTTGGCAGAGCTTCAGAAACTGAGCATGATGTACACGGACCGACAAAGTGTCCTGGAGTAGCAGCATTGGGATTGACGGCGACGGCGTTCTGGCGCGATGGGTTATTATTACATACATACATGTCTACATGTCTTTGCCATTAGCATCGACCGGCCATATGGAGGCCCCCTTGGAAATAGATGGAACAAAAAGCAGTATGGCATTGCGTGCAAGGAAGCATGTAGGCCTGTTTTCGAATTTAATACCATGTACACGACGAGTTGACTCTGCATTGAAAACTTTGAGTGTCTCTTTATTGGATTTGATGTCTACTCAACCATGGAGCTAGACATCTTTAAGGTATGACAGAGTTGGTGTTGTGATGATGCGTCTATTCTATTTCACATGTAGATGTACATTTATACTTACACTAACCGGCCGGGTACTTTCTTGGAGACGAGCGAGGTCAACTCGACTTCACCTCTTGCGGACCACCATCTCTAACTTGTCCCCGGCGCCCCCTGAGCCGACGTCTTGGACTCATCGTCGACGTCATCATGCTCATGATCATCAACCAGGCGCCCAACTAACTGCGCGTACGACGGACGGAACGGCCAGTCGATAAACGCCTCGAGGACCTCCTCCCACTGCTGCGGGTTGAGAGCGCGCGCGCACACCTCGCCCTGGCCGCTCAGCGGGCTGCCGCCGCGCGCATTATCGCGCAGCGATGGACACTGGTCGTATAGCTGGCCGAAGCCCGGCCACACGCCGTCCATGGCCTTGGACGCCGGCAGCAGGCTGTGGGCGAACCAGAACCGCAGCATGATGTCCGACATGTCGCCGGCGCGCGACGTGGTCGGGCCCGTCTGCCGCAGCAGCGGGTGCATGGCCTTGGGCTGGAAGTCGAGCAGCGTGCAGGGGATGTTGGGGAAGAAGTCCTCTGGGTGCACCGCGAGCGGCTCGTACGGCCGCTGGTCCCAGAGCAGCGACGGCGGGCTCTGCCGGAAGAGGTGGTAGTTGTCGCGCACCATGACGAACTCCTTGCGCGTGTTCTTCTTCAGGTCGAGGATCTTGCGGCTCCACGCGGCGTCGCCCTGGATGAACTCGGGCGAGTCGGGCGGCAGCAGCGAGAGGGCCTCGCGCTCCTGGATCAGCGCCAGGTACGTCGAGCTGTCCTCGTGGTCGTATTTTTGGCGGAACCGCAGCTTCTTGAGGCGCGCGAGCAGGTCCGGCGTGGGGCGGGCGTTGTACTCGGCCTCGATCTCCTCCAGCTCGGCGCGGAACGGCCGTTCGAGGCGGGGCTGCTCGACGCCGGCCAGACGCTTCCCGGCGAGCTCTGGCTGGGCCGTCAGGTTCCTGTATGTATACGTCTCGCGGCCGGGCGGCGGCGTCAGACCGGCCGCCTCCATGCGGCGCAGGGTCTGGTATCCGGACTCCATGTTGATCCACTCGTCGCGCAGCTCGTTGCGGTTCTCGATCTCGACGTCCTTGCCGGCGATCTCGTGGATCCACTCGCACGACAGGCTGGCCTCGAAGGCGCTGCGCTTGCGGCGCACGACGGAGCGCGGCAGCAGCTTGCGCTTGCCGTCGTCGTTGACCCAGATGAGCATGCGCACCAGCCCGTACCGCTGGAACAGCGACGCAGTGCGGATGCTGGACATGAACTGGTACATGACCATGGTGCTGACGCAGTCGAACAGCTGGAACGACTTGGGCGGGTACATGCTGAGGTTGACGCTGATGAGGAGCGTGTCGTTGCGCTCCGGCGCGGCGTCCGGGGCGAGGGCCTGCGACATTTCCGCCTGGCCCTTGAGGTGCTCGCGCAGCATCACCGTGAGGTCCTTCCACACGATGCCCGACTTGGGTATAAACACGACGTTGTCCTGCGCTGTGAGGTCCTGCAGGAAGGGCGCATACAGCTCGGCGTCCTTTTCCATCATGATGTGTTTGCGCGGCTGCACCACCTCGTGGAGCTTCCGGCTCCAGACGCCCGCGCCGGGGTTGATGTCGACGAGATCGCAGCCGCGGTGGCGCTGTAGTGAGGGAGCGAGGTATTTCATAATGTCGTCTGCCAACAGAGGTCAGCTGCAGTTCCACATGCCAGCGGCCGATCCCACAGCTCATTCCGAAGACCACATACCGCAAAGACCTTCACTGGTGATATTTATGCGGTTCTTGTCTGCAGTGGGCCCCTTTTTCGTCCTCCTGCCCCTCGTCGGCAACCACAGGCCGATGTCGTTCAGTTTCTCGGCTGTCTCGCCGTGGGGGGTCAGCATGTCGAGCCTGACGGGGGGAGCGTAGCCAACGAAGCGGGATTGGGATGCGACAGCGGCGCGCGCGCGGGTGCGCACAGCCGAGGCGCGGAGCGGCCCCGAGAAGGCGGTTCGCGCATCTTGGAAACGGGCGAACATGAAGAAGAAGGAGAGAAACCCGGTTTCGCAATCACATGGCTGAGGTTTGCGACCGAGAACCGTGAAGCTCAGAAATTCATGGGTTTCTGCCGCAGTTCACCGCTTGATATGGATCTGTACACGGACGACGTCATCGTGCAACTCACACTACCCTAGAGTCTGAGGTGAACAGCTCGCCAACAGCTCAGTTGACTACTTATGGTGGCTTTTGAATGAGAGATAGCTGCGGGCATTGGCCTTAGTTCCTGTCTCTACTTCAGCGACTAAATACTCCTTTAATTGGCCCGCCTTGCCGTCGTGAGCAGCATTTACCCGGACGTGCCTTGTGGTTTGCAAATCCATGAATCGCCTTGTGCTGTTGCGTCCATCATGACACCCGTCAGGTTTATCAGCGCTCTCAACGTCCTTTGCCAGTCTCCTGCTTTCAACGTTGGCGGTCTTCTGTGGAGAAAGTCAGTCGCGGCAAGAGACTAAGAGGTGCGACGGCTTTCGACAACGGGGCTCTCACCTGGGCGACGATCTCCATCCTTGAGCGCCTGGGTCGACGGAGGTTGCACTCGTCTGAGAGACTGACTGCCATCGCCGCGATCCGCTACTCATGGGGGACAACAACATCCTGGCGGTGCATGGGTTGAGTGTCACGTCTAAGTGTCCGGGACCTTGTATCCTGGCTACTCTTGGACGGCCAACTCGGGTGGGCAGTACTATACTTGGTCGTTGGAGCCGACACACGGGCTAGTAAGAAGAGAAAGTGATGCAAAAGGTGTTACTCAATGCGTTTAGAATTGATCCCATCTCAACGTTCTTAGTGCACGATTGCCGTCAACATAGTTTCTTCACAAGAAAACCAGAATTCTAGAGCGCCCTGCATTTCGAAACACGTCCAACCCTGCTCATCGTGATTGTGCTCCTGACTACTAGTTCCCCTTACTATAGTTGTCTGTAACTGACGCCGGGTACCGGGTCGAACACGAACCTGGCGACGGAAGCATAGTTGAACCGGTTTCACATAATCTTCAACAGGGTCGACGTCGACTCGGCATTGCCCAAGTGCCCGTTGCGCGCCGTTTTGATAGTGCAATAAGATCCCCAGGCATAGACCAGTAAGCTTGTCGTAGAAAACCCTCATGCAATCAACCAGATCCAAAGAAGCGAAGGAGAAACAAGCGTTTGAGAATGGAGCATCGTCAATGATTGGGTGGCGAAACGAAGGCATTGGCGAGGGATCTTCTTCCCCGGTGGAATAGACGCCGATAACAGAAACGGGTTGCAGTTCGATTGTGTTATATATCATTGTCATTAAACGTGACTTACTTAGGAGTAAATCCTTTGCTTTTCTGGCAGGAGTAAGTCCGACTGACACGTCGCCAGCTAGTTTCATGCGGAACTGAGAATAATTAGACCTCTCTGGCGTTGCGTACTCTTTTCAGACTTAACTCACAAGTAAGCAGGTACTACCAAAGGAACTACTTTCAGACAGTGACATTCGGGCGCCTAATGCAGTGATATGGTCCTTTTGCGAAAATGGGACATAGACCCACGCAACTGACCGTTGACGTCGGGGAGGGAGGCGTTGATAGGTTGCCAGAGCACAAGGAGCTTTTTGTGTATGGGCATGTATATCCCAAACCTGGCCAATGCAGAAGAAGAGAGTGATGCCGTTAGTCTGACGCAGATCGATTGTTTTAAACTGTGTAGAGTAGCGGATACTGTTTGGATAGAAGCGGCATATCTGCAGGTCGGGGGGAGTTGGCGTATCCCAAGTCTGAATTCCATGACATGTCTTCGGTAGTTCCAAACGCAGCGATCCAAACTGGGCTCTTGAGTTAGTCTGGCTGTATTTGTGATTAGGAAGCATAGGCGTGTTACCTTGAAGTGTGCAACTGCGCCATCAAGAAACTCATGGTTTAGTGTGACGAATACAAAGTCATCGGTCCGCCATCTTCTGAAAGGTGGATTCCCAGGCAGTCTTTCAACCTCTCGAATACCCTGCGAATCAATCGTCAAACGGACAACTGGAAGGTTATGGGCTGTCTCTGTAGTCCGTGGTTGGCCGCTACGTTTCCAAGCCGAGACCTTGTGCAGGGGGATTGATAGGAGGTGATCTGACGAGGGGATTGTCAATCGCTGAATCACCTCAGATGCTGTGTTGAACCGCCAGATGATACTCGTTGCCGAGTACTCGTAAATAATTTGGAGTATTTCTGGAGGAAGTGATCTTATTCTCGGGATGTTGACGTGGTTAAATACTGACGAGACTGATTTGACGACTTTTTCCTCCAGGCGGAATTTGGGAGCGCGACCCCACGGAGTTCGCCAGGCAGTAACAACCCACAAGTAGTCCAAAGATCTGTCTATATTCGAGCGTTGTGCGATAAATTCATAGCATTCAAAATGCACAGTGGACGCCTCCGGTGAAACGGCACATCGGCTACAACCTGGCTTGCGGCATAATAGTATGCCGTCCTTGCTGCTGGGCCGATGCCCGTATCCTGGGAATATGTATGGGCCAAGGCGTTGCGAAAAGGCGGTAGAGTCACCGTTACCGAGGACTTGAGATTTGTCTCAGGTTAGCATTGGGAACTTTGGCCCTGTTTGCGGACTTACGCAATACGAAACGTTCAGTGACTTCCATCGAGCTGCCACAGATGCCGCAATTCGGTCGGAGGCTCACATGACCGGCGCTTCTCGTGAGAGCCGTCATGCTCAACGACTAATTGAGAAACTCTGACAATTAGTAATGATGTTTGTGAGATTTAAAGAATCGTGAAGTTTAGGGCCGTCGAGGGTAGGGAAGCAAACGAAGAGTGAGTGTTAGACACGTTCACGTGCTCGAAAATAGGAGGAAACACGGCGTAAGTGAGCGCCACACCACACCATCCTGTTGCCTAATAAGTGGGTGCTACGGGTAACAGTACATTCTGTACAGGCCGCAAATTTCACCGCTTCGAATGCAAAAGCGGCAGAATCCTTATCATTGGCTCTATCGGAGCGTGGTTTGCGCCGCATTACATACGGATATAAGTAACTGCCTTCTGCATCTACTCGTCGACCTCGGTGAACAGCTCAGTTGACTAGGTACTTAACGTGGCATTTGAATGAGAGAGCTGCAGGCATTGGCCTTAATCCCTGTCTCTACTTGACTCTCCTCCATGGTACCCGTTGTGTTGGATCAGGCTTTCGCAACCTTCGAACCAACTTCTAGCCTCCACCGTAACCTCGCTACGACCATCATCAACCACATAAATACACCTCTCGATCTAAACAGCTTACTCCAAATGTAACACAAACACCCTCGATAAATGGTCAACGGTCGCGCTATCTTATCAACTATGAAGATCACGCTCAGACCCAAGGATCCTCCGACTCCCAAGAAACCAACGTGTATCATCAACTCAATCAACTCATCCGGATGCCAGTAACTCCTCGAGACGCCGCCATGCCAAACATGTAATTTGCTGAGAACTCCTACAAAGACATCATGCACCTTCACTGCCAAATTCATTTGTCCATTCAATTTGCTTTGCAATGTCGTCCTTGGACACCGTCGGGTGTGAGTCGTCCAGCGCCATTTCAAAGTCCTTGAGAGCGACATCCGGAGGCAGCAGCTCGTCCGACTCAACGCTGTCGTATGTCATTTCGATCCGCGCCGAGTCACCAGGTGAACATGGCGTCAACATCCTCTTGCCATCCTTCATGACCTGTTGAGTGTGAGTGGATGCCAACCGAGCATATTCGTATAGGACTTACAGCTTTGAAGTGGGTTGCTTGCAAAATCTTGCGTACTGGTCGCATCAACGCGGACTGTACCACGTTTGCGATATCACTGCCAGAAAAACCGTCCGACTTCTGCGACAAGGCGTTGTAGTCGGTCGCTACCAACGTAGTATCGGTGTCGCCGATAGCAAGCTTGAACATCCTTGCGCGGCCGTTGGGATCTGGCAGACCGATATGAACACGCCTTTGGAATCGTCGTCGGATGGCGGCATCGAGCTGCCACGGGATGTTGGTGGCGCCGAGAACCAGAATACCTTTGCTGTCATTGCCAACACCATCCATCTGAACGAGAATCTCCGTCTTGATACGTCGTGACGCTTCAGACTCGCCCTCGCCTCGGGGTCCACATAGGGCGTCGATTTCGTCAATGAAGATAACAGACGGCTTATTCTCTCGGGCCATGGAGAATAGCGCCTTGACCAATCTAGAGGGAAGATATACGTTAGCAACTTACGGCCATTTGGAGAAGTAGGTCGGATATCCTACCTTTCACTTTCACCCATCCACTTGCTGACCAGATCGGAACTGCTGATGCTGAAGAAAGTACTGTTTGCCTCTGTCGCCACTGCCTTGGCCAGGTAACTCTTTCCGGTTCCTGGGGGTCCGTACAACAAGATGCCCTTCCAGGCTTGCCGCTTGCCCTGGAACAGGTTGGGGAACTTGATGGGCAGGACAACGGCCTCCTTCAACGTCTCCTTGGCTCCCTCCAAGCCAGCAATGTCCTCCCATCTCACATTTGGCCTCTCCTGAAGGATGGCGCCTGAAAGGGCGTTCCTCAACTTCTTGTTATCATCATCCTCCCCGCCAGCGGCCTTGGCCTTGCCACCAGCTGAAGCGCCGTTCGCAGCCACAGGACCTTTACCGCCGCCATTGTCGTCTTGTCCCCCTTCGTCCAACCACTTCTTTAGCTTTTCGGTGCGGTCTAGGTAGACGACCATCTTCTCTCGCATAGTATCCTTCATGACCTTGTTCTTCTCCCACTTGATGGCCTTGACCCAGAGCTCCATTGCGACGATGTAGGCATCAAAGGCGCTCTTGTATTCCTTCTTGTGGTCGAACTCAATCGCCTTCTGCAGCTCGGCGAGCGCACGCTCGCGGAAGTTGATGGACATGGTGAGGAGGCGCCGAGATAAGGCGGGGAGCACGGGCGATGCGGTGGAGGATGGAGTTGGAAATGGCGCGGGCGTAGGCGAGAACACAGCACGCCAAAGGATCGGCTTCGAGGTTCTCCCCAGAAGGGAAAAAGGAGACGAGGGCGAGAGGCGGGCGCGAGGAGTTTGGGCGGCTGGAGGTGAGCGACTCGTCGGGATGGAGGAGGCAGCAGCAATAGTGACAGTTCCCAGGCAGACAGGATTGGCGGGGAAACATGCTTGTAGCGGGGTGCCCACGAGACCATGGATAGCGGGGCATCGCAACTTTGGGCCTTGGTGGACGGGGGCGTTTGATGAGACTCCGAGACTTCTCATCGCCGTGCCTAAAACAGAAAAATCGGAAGCCTAGAGAAACAGGCCACGGAACGGAGGATCTCCGATTCAATTTCACCGAGCCTTCATAATCTCTCACCGGACACCATGGCCGAAGTCCAGGCTCGCCTCCAGGCGCTCTCCGAGGACTACCAGAAGCTCCAGCAAGGCATGTCTCAACACCACCACCTCGCATATGCGGCTATTAACACGGTGCTACAGAGCTTCAAGGTTCTATAGAGGCGCGTCAAAAGCTCGAGGGCCAGAAGCAGGAGAACCTGGGTGTGCAAAAAGTGCGTGCCGTCCATGCTTGATGCCACGCCAATTGCAACCCCGCTAATCCTGAATTAGGAGTTTGACCGACTAGGAGAAGGGGAGACCATCTACAAGATCACAGGCCCTGTGCTGTTGAAGCAGGACAAGTTCGAGGCTGAGGGTACCGTCAAGGGACGGCTGGATTTCATCAGCAGTGAAATGTGAGTGATGTCCTAAGTTGCACTGACTATTCTCGCGAAAGCTGACGACATCTAGCTCGAGATTGGAGAACCAGATCAAGGAGACCCAGGAGAAGCTGGAAAAGAAGAAGGGCGATATCATTCAGCTCCAAGCAAGCGCCCAGGCCGCAGCTGGAAAGGGCAAGGAGGCGGCTAAATAAAAAAGGGGAAAGCGAGATGTCATTATATCATGAGTTGAGTGTATTCTAACGACTGATGACGATGATGCGATCTAGATGACTTGGCTACGACAAAATAGAAAACCGCCAGTCGTAATAAAGGACGCTCCCAAAATCCCAAACGCCTGTGCCGCCACGGCTGTGTTTCGTTTGGTTCAGATATCCCCTGACCCAGATCCCCTGAGTCCCTGGCCCAGATCCCCGACTTAGTTGATCGACATGATGGTAAACCCGAATGGCAGTCCCATGTTCTTGGGGCGCTCGTGCCCAGCATTGGGCGAAAACATAAAGTCCTCCTTGTCGTCTGCCACCAAGGGCTGCGGTGTCGAGGGAGACTCCTCAGCCTCCATGGCGTCTGTGATGGCCTTGGTAAGCTCACTCTTGTGGTCGCATCGCGCGAAGACGGTGCTCTCCTCGATGGAATCTTGCATCAGAGTCCGCTGGTCGCTCTCGGCAAAGAGCTGGGCCTCGCGGTTGAGGAGGCCCTTTGTGATGGGGCGGCCCGTCTCAGCGAGGCGCTGGAAGATGATGGTGGTGGTGGCGATGGCCTGGGCCAGGATGCGGTCCTTCTGGGTCGAGCTGAGGTGGGCGAAGATCTCCGACGTCTCCTGCTCCAGGAAGCCCTGGGTATCAGTGTCGAAGATGGCCTGGAGGATGCGGTGGAGGGTTTCCCGGCTGTTGAGGTCCACCTCCGGGTCAACGGTGAGGTTGAAGGTGGCGGAGATTTTGCTCAGGGCCGAGAAGAGGGCCTCGAGGGGGCATCGGTCGTTGGGGACACAGGCATGACCCTCGTCGATGGTAAAGACTTCAACGGCTGCGTTCACAGCGCCTGCTGATGTGAGCTTGTGCCGTTTCCCATGTTGGGAGTAATTACTTACGGGTGGTGATGTCTCGAGCATCAGTGTTAGTGTCGATCTCGGCGACGGAAATAACAGACTGGTCTTTAATGGCGGACATGGTGATGTGTTGCTGGAATGGACTTGGAGTCTTGATGTTGATGGGAATGTTGAGTAGCAGAGTAGATTATGGAATGCTTTTGTTGTTTGTATTCCCAACGTTCAGGGAGACGGGCTCAGCAGATTTTATCTCAGCGACCGGTCAAGCACCCTGGCTTGCTCATGGCAACAGCTTCCTGGGCGCATTGTGGTCATTGCTTTGTTACCGGGCGGCCTGAACATGGATGGATGGGTCGATGGGCCGATTCTGGCAGTGTTCCGTCTGCCGCCGTGGGGAGTCGTGGGGAGCACAGACACGACATGGTGGCGGTGATTTGACCGCAGGCTGCGTATGGCCGTAGCATCGGGAAGTATACATGTTGATGTCATGAAACGGAGTGGAGGTGAGCGGTAAAAGGGGCAGGGGAGGGGGGGGGAGGAAGAGAGGTGAGGGATGAAGGTGGATATTGGCAGATGGATGGATGCCGGTGCGGCAGATGGAACCAGATATTATGTGTTTATTAACTGACGGATCACTCATGATGATGGTAAACATGGCAGAATATGATATTACGTATCATGGCTTTGGTGTTTTGGCCATCTTGGCGAGACCCAGTCTTGGTGGCAAGCTGGCGACGGAACCGGAAATCTCGCACCGGGGGAGGCGGAACGATGGGGGACGATTGGGGGATGATGGGGGACCTGGGGACGATGACCAGCATGAAAGGCGGTCGGTGCAAGCCGCGATCAAGAAACCGGGCATCAGACATCAGACTCTGGACATCAGACATTAGAGAATCATGGCGTGGCCCATCGATCCAGGCCGGAATTGCATGATGGCCATCTCGAAAACACGCCATATATTCCCCGTCATGCGCTGGGGCGGTGCGCTGCACAATGACTTCAGGCAGTAATTTTACCGTCCCTCCAGCGGGAAAAAGTGAGCCAAGTCGCGCATGGACCCCACGCCGCTCGGCGCCAATGGCAGCGGCCAGACGATAGACCCCGACAATTGCATAATGCCCTCATTTGCTGCATATCTGCTTATGCCGACCTTCGTCATGCCCCGCCATCGCCGCCCCAACCTGCATGACGTTGGAGGGGCAGGAGCGGCAAAGGCTGCCTGACGGACGGGACGGGAACCGTTTGTTCCAGAATCTGGTGGTCGAGACGAGTCGCGTCGCCTCCGTCAAGCTGCCAAACTTCCACCTGATCATTCTCACCACCACGTCGCACCGATTTGCCTCCCGATTACTCACGGCGATGATGGTGACACGCTGCAGCTCATAATCATCAGCAATCACTGTTGACGCCGCCGAAACACTGCTCTCGCCCCTCATCTCCCCGCCCGTCGACTGCGACCCGGGTTCAGCGGTTCAACGCTCTAATCCACCATGGAAACCCGTCTGGCTATGCGGCCGGCTCGGCCTCAGAGCGTCAAGGAGCTCGTTGCCCAGGCCGAAAACTTTAACTTCAACGCAAACATCCCCGTCAAGCATTGGACGCGCGCCGCCGAGACTCTCTACCAGGAGGTATGTACCAGCTTATCGTCTCTCTGCCGCTTCCTCCGCGCACGAGCTAATCACCCCCAACCTTGCTCTAGGCCTCCTTTGCCATTGCCGATGGCGACTATGGTCGAGCATACATGATGCTGTACCGTCACTCCGTGCTGGTGCTCAAGTCGATCCCCTCGCACCCCCAGATCAAAGACCCCGAAAACAGAAAAGCATACCGACCGTTGACCAAGCGAATCGACCGCGTTATCCAGGACCTGGAGGATCTGAAGCCTGAGATCGAGAGCGCAAACCAGGAGTGGGAGCGTATGGCACCTCCCAAAGCCCCCGCCGAGTCCTCAGGCCCTCCGTCCAAATATGCCGAATTCGCAGCACGAGACCCGAGCCTGAGTGGAAACGCCAGAATTCTCGACGCCTTTGAGAACCAAGATTTGGCTGTGGACCTGGCTCAGAAGGAACTAGTGCGAAGGGACACGTTTAGGCGAGCAACGAGACAGGCCGGTATCCCAGACGAGGACCTGTTGTCGCGGCGCATGGGAGGCAGGTGGGATCAGTGGGACGCGAAGGGACGCACTGGTGATGATGACTTGCAAAGACAGATGGAAGCCACCAGACAGGCCCTCGACTCAGCCCAAGAGCGACGACGCGCCGACCAAGAATACCACCCGTCGACATCACAAACCTACAACTACCCCTCCATCTCTCGATCCAAGCCCGTCGAGTTCGACCGGTCATCAGGATATCCCCCAGCGTCTTCCTTGAGTCAACCAACTCGACCACCAAAAGAGCCTGTCCGTCCTCCAAAGGATCTCCAACAACCCCCTTCCTATGATCTCCACCAGCCGCCTTCTTATGCGCCAAACGTGCCGAAAAAGGTCCCGCTTGCCCAATATCAGCCTCTCATCCCTACGCCGCCCCCCACGCAGATCGACCGACCATCGATCCCTCCCAAGCTTGAGGTTGCGCCACCGTCGCTCCCTAAGAAGGAACGACTTACCTTCAAGCCTGGCGCGTATCTGGAGAATGGCGACCCTGTAAGATCACTCTTCCTCCCGAGGAATCTTCGTCAAAAGTTCCTCGACATCGCGGCCGACAACACTCGTCGGGGTCTCGAAATGTGTGGTATCCTCTGCGGAACGCCTATTAATAACGCCCTCTTTGTCCGTTGTCTACTGATCCCAGATCAAATATGCACATCGGACACGTGCGAGACTGAGAATGAGACCACCATGTTTGACTATTGCATCAATGAAGATCTTCTTGTATTGGGATGGATCCACACCCATCCAACGCAGACTTGTTTCATGAGCTCTAGAGACCTGCATACGCAGTCTGGTTACCAGGTCATGATGCCCGAGAGCGTGGCCATTGTCTGCGCCCCGAAATTCAACCCTTCGTGAGTTGAAACATCCTAGTCCCTGCCTTCACTCTACTGACCTCCCTCAGGCACGGCATATTCCGATTAACTCACCCCCCCGGACTGGATCACGTCTTGAACTGTACCCGTACAGAGACGTTCCACCAGCATGCGATTGACAACCTCTACTGCGAAGCTGAGCAGCCTCAGGGGCATGTGTACGAGAGCGACAAGTTGGACTTTTACGTACATGATCTACGAACGAAATGAAGAAACAATTGTGTATTCACATTTATGGTAGAGCAGGGATGGGCGAACCTTGAGATCCCGGTTGCATAGCGCTGGAGTTTCCGTTTCCTGGCGGCAATATGCCGCCACGGGCTATTTCAATGGACTAATGAGGCGATGATGGAAATGGCCTGAGAAATCAGCATCTTGATACTGGTCGTCGTTCAGGCACGACATCCGGTGTATTGCGTGTTTGCTCCGGTACTACCCGGTGCTCCGGTCCTTTATCGGGCTCGGCTTTGAGGTACTGGCTGAGCGTCTCATCAACATGACGTCTCACTCGGCTCTGGTTTGAGGGTAACAGCGAATGGACCATGCCTGATTCATCTCGTATTCAAATGTTGTGTGTTGGCCTGTCTTGTGATCTTACAGTGCAACAGGTGTCTTGCGCACTGCGCCTCGGCATTTGGAATCCACTTGATCCCAGACAAAGCAATGTTACACAGCACTTGAAAAAAACATGTTCTCACTCACGCCATGAATTACTCTAATTATTAGCCCCGCTCGCCGAGTCATTGTTGGGACGAATCTGCTGGCCCTGGAGGTGTTGTCGATGTGCATTAACTATTGGCCATTGACTGGTTAAACGTAGTTGCCATACTAGGGGTATGCCTACCTCAATCTGGGATCCAGCAACCTAGGACCATGCTCAATATGGCATCGTTCGGGGATTTTCCCATTATGGTTCCTATTGTGGTGGTGGGGAAAGAAGCCTAGCCAAGATCGACGCCTTCACGGTACCATGGCTGGGGAATGAGGAGCGGAGATGCACCGATGGCGCGGCTGGACGTCTTCGTTCTTGTCCGCGAAGAGAATAGCAGCAGCAGATGGCAGACTTCAGCCCGCAAGGGAGGTGCTTCACCGTCATAGGGTCCACAAATATTATCACCAGCTGAACTTGTGAGCTCCGCAGGCTACGTGTCTGTGGCTACTGGTTTGGCTCGAGAGGGAGCGAGCGCGCGCCTTGCAGAGGGACGGGACATAGGGCGACCCACGGTTCACCGAGCTGATCACACATACAGTAGTTGGAAGATTGCGCAGTATTGGCATGATGGACGTGGCCTGGTCGACGACATGTCCGAATCGACTCCATTGAGTCGTACGAGGGAAAAGCAAACCTCCTTGTCCTGGCTCGAATAGAAGGGCGGATTTGAGAAATCTGATGTCTTTCGGCAATCTGATGAGTCGGCCCACGGAACGTGTGCAAGGGAATGAGGGAACAACTCAGAGGCCACCCTCACAGACGCCTCACAGCCAAGACTAGCCATTTCAGCTCGCGGCACGAACGCCTCGTTTTCCACGCCGAGAAGCAGCCAGCGTCCAATTGCGGCGCGGGCATTTCCGAGGCAGAAGCGCCCAAGGGACTCGCATGCAGGAAGCACCCTGGGCCATGTCTCAGTTGAGGCCCGGCCGTGTCCATCTCGACCGGGGGCGGGCGGCCGTCTGGACGGGCTGGTAGTGGCGCGCGGGATCGACCAGGCTAATTGCACCGAGTGGGCCAGGCGAGAAGATCAATGTGGACGGGTTGTCAAAGGGCCCAATTGCCGTGCTAGGCGGAGTGGACGACTGCCGGGTTGCTTTTGGCCATGGAATTGCACGAATTGCACCGTGTCACCGGGATGGGGAAGCCCGAGGGCTAGGAGCAACTCAGGCCTGGGTGTCCCCGCCCCAGCCTAACCTTGGCTCAGGTGGTCGTCATCTTAGCCTGGAAGACTGGAGGGCGGCTCGGTCCGTAGTGTTTTCGCTCCCTTCCAATCGCGGAGGTTTGAATCTTGGTGGTGTGGACGGACGTCCGGACGGGACAGGGCCAAGAGGCGGGTTGAAGGGAGGGGGATGATTCCGCTGGGGGAGGCCAATTGTTGACGCCTGAGTGCCGATTGGAGATTATGCTCAGACAGGGGGAATTGGATCATTTCTGGTGTCTGAGATGGACTGAGTATTGGCACACAATGTGTTTCTAGAACGAGCCGACCATCGTGGGTAACTCGCTCCTATGTACGCCCCAGGTTCTCGGCTGGCAGATATACACTCCTCTCTAGCCAAGGCATCTTGACCGCCAGTTGCCGAGAGCATCTCTGGCTCAGGTGTTGACGCACATGATGGCTGATGGAACTAGTCGACAAGCCTGGGGTTGCTTTTCCCGTGGCGTTTAGGTGAATGCAGATCGAACCTTCTTGAGGCCCCCAGACACTCTAGAGACCCTCGTCTTGGACGCCAGCAGGCGCCACATCTCGAGCGAGACGAGCGGACGCACCGGGGACACCCTGGCCCCGTCACACACCTATCGTGGACTCCAATTAGGTCTTCGAACACGGCGTTGGACAGCTTTGGCTGGTGGTGGCCAGCCATGTCTCCTGTCTGATTGGCTTGCAACCATCGTGGAGAGACCAGCAGCCCGCATCCAAGACATGGTGAGGGGGCACCAGTGCATGGGACGGGTGCTCAACAGCCTGCGGTGTGACGGCTGGAAGCACAGTTCACGGCTGGTGTGTTTGGTAGAGCGGCATCATATGCATTATTCAGCTTCGCACGAGCAGGTTGTGGCCGGACGCTTCCAGTCAACAGCGAGAAGACGACGCCAAGCGATGCAGACGGTCAGGCTTTCACAGCGACCTTGACAGATGCAGCCAACGGAGCTCGACACAATGGTCATCTCCCAATGGTCATCGCCCAACACATATCATTTCGTGCTAGACCGACTCCGCAAGCCCGACGCCGTGATTGGTCCCGCCGCAACAGATCAAAGACACCACTATTGAGCCATGGTGTTGATCACGAAAAGCAACCACGGCCGTGCCACGCCAGCCGCCCGTCCAACCACCGCGCCCTCTGCTCCCTTGCGCATCGAAGCGGGTCGGGGACGCGGGAACAGGTGCCATTGACGACGGTGGCCCAAGGTTGAGCGAGCCACTGGCACACGTTAGTGAGATGCCGTGTCTCACACGCCGCCGCGCTAGGTTTGCCTCCTCGCAAGAGGCCATGACGGAGGCAAGCCCATGGCTGCGTGGTCTGGATCTGCATGATAAGACGGACGTCTGCCCCCTCAACTCGGGGTGTATGTGTCACCTCGACTTAACTCTCCCCAACCGCCGTCTCAGAGGAAGCTGTAGACATGATGTCGTCAAACGGGTCGCAAACCAAGAATGGCAGTGCCAACGGCCAGGGAAGCAGCGTGCCCAACGAGAAGTCGCCCGCCACGAGGTCGACGTATATCGCACCCAAGGCGAAGCCGGTGCCCAAGGCCAAGAAGGATGGCGCGCTCGCGAGCTTCAAGAAGCTTCGTCTGGCGTCTAAGCGGCCGCTGCCCACGCAGAGCGGCGATGGCACCTATCTCACCGTGGTGAAGCGACCGGGCCTGAAGGAGGACATCCGCCGTCTTTCCATGAAGGGTATGTACTCTACCTTGCAGGCAACGAGGACACGCTGACAGGACTAGATTTCAAAACTCTCCTCGAGATCGTGTCCCACAAGGTCAAGGGCGAGACCCAGGTCGACGACAAGACCATGATCATGGAGAGGACCATCCAGATCGTCGCCGGGCTTTCGGACCACTCCAAGGTCCAGGAGGCCCTCACCAACAGCTTCATCGACCAGCTGTGGAACTCGCTGGACCACCCGCCGATGCTCTTCATGGGCGACGCGTACCGCTTCCGCCAGCCCGACGGCTCCAACAACGTAAGACCCCCGCTGGATGCATCGCAGGCTATGAGCTAACGTGCGAAGAACCCCTACTATCCCAGGATGGGGGCGGCCAAGACGCCGTATTCGCGGTCCTGCAAGCCCAAGAACCTGCAGCTCGGCGCGCAGCCAGACCCCGAGGCCGTCTATGAGGCCGTCATGGCCAGAGGCGAGTTCAAGGAGAACCCCAACAAGGTCTCCAGCATTCTGTGGTACTGGGCCACCATCATTATCCATGGTGAGTGGGAATCGTCCTGACTTATTCTGCACCCGCTAACTGTGTCAGACCTCTTCTGGACGAACTCTACAGACCCCAACCAGAACGACTCCTCCTCATATCTGGATCTGGCTCCGTTGTATGGCTGCTCCAAGGAGGCCTGCGACTCGGTCCGAACTTTCAAGGGCGGAATGCTCAAGGCCGATTGCTTCGCCGACCGGCGTCTGATTGGGAATCCTCCTGGTGTCTGCATCATCCTCATCATGTTCAACCGCTTCCACAACCACATCGCCGCCAACCTGGCCGATATCAACGAGGGCGGCCGATTCACCAAGCCCTCCAAGGACCTCCCCGAGGAGGCTGCCGCCGTCGCCTGGGCAAAATACGACGAGGAGCTCTTCCAGACTGCGCGCCTGGTCACCTGTGGTCTGTACATCAACATCACCCTGATTGACTACGTCCGCAACATCATCAACCTCAACCGCTGCGACACCACCTGGACGCTCGACCCCAGACAGGAGATGGGCGTCTCCATGGGGACCAAGGAGGGATCCGAAGCCGGAACCGGCAACATCGTCTCCGCCGAGTTCAACCTCTGCTACCGCTGGCACTCGTGCATCTCCGACGCCGACGACAAGTGGATCCAGGACTTTTACAAGGAGCTGCTGGGCGACAACTACGGGCCCATGAACTTCCAGGTCATGATGATGGCCATCAAGAAGTTCGAGATGTCGGTCGCCAAGGACCCCGGCGAGCGTGTCTTTGGCGGCATGAAGCGCGGCCCCGATGGGAAGTTCAACGACGACGAGCTCGTCGAAGCCCTTGCTACTGCCATCGAGCAGCCCGGCGGTGCTTTCGGCGCCCGCAACGTTCCCCGAGTGATGAAGCCCGTCGAGATGCTGGGCATCATTCGAGGCCGCAAGTGGAACCTGGCCGGTCTGAACGAGTTCCGCAAGCACTTCGGCTTGAAGGCCTACGAGACCTTTGAAGATATCAACTCCGATCCCGAAGTCGCAGACTCGCTTCGCCACCTCTACCAGCACCCCGACAACGTCGAGCTGTACCCCGGCATCGTCGCCGAGGAGGCCAAGACCCCGATGGCTCCTGGCGTTGGCATTGCCCCTACTTACACCATCTCCCGTGTCGTCTTGTCCGACGCCGTGGCCCTGGTGCGTGGCGATCGCTACTACACCACCGACTACAACCCTCGCTACCTGACCAACTGGGGCTTCAAGGAGGTCAGCTACGACCTCGACGTAAACCACGGATGTGTCTTCTACAAGCTCTTCCTGCGCGCCTTTCCCAACCACTTCAAGGACAACTCCGTCTATGCCCACTACCCCATGGTCATCCCGTCGGAGAACCACACCATTCTGACGGACCTGAAGCGCGTCGAGCGCTTCAGCTTCGACCGCCCGGTCTTCGCCGCGCCCCCCGTCACCATCACCTCGTTTGGCGGCGCCAAGCACATCCTGACCAAGCAGGACAAGTACCGCGTTTCGTGGCAGGACGGCCTCGGCCACCTCATGGGCGAGGGCGGCCGTGCCTTTGTGCTCTCGGGCGAAGCTGATTTCCAGGCTCAGCAGCAGAAGTGCCTGAGCGTGCTGCTTTCCAAGGAGAACTGGAAGACTTCCGTCCGGTCTTTCTACTCCATGATTGGACAGAGGCTCCTCGCTGAGAAGTCGTACAAGCTGGGCACCAAGACATATGTCGACATTGTCCGCGATGTTGGTAACATGGCTCACACTCATTTCGTCTCGCGGGTGTTCAACCTCCCTCTCAAGACGAATCAGAACCCCAAGGGCGTCTACTCGGAGCAGGAGCTGTATATGGCTCTGGCTGTCGTCTACCTCAGTGTCTTCTGCAGCGTTGACCCCGTCGAGTTGTTCCCTCTCCGCCAGCAGGCCAAGCAGGTGGCTACCCAGTTGGGCAAGGTCATCGAGATGAACGTCAAGCTGGCTACTACCCTAGGCATGAGTGGATTCTTCACTAAGCAGGATAAGAGTGATCCTCTGGCATCGTATGGTGTTAGCTTGGCCAAGTGCCTCAAGAAGGAGGGTCTGAGCACTGATGACATTGTCTGGAGTCAGATCTTGCCTACTGCCGGCGCCATGGTGCCTAATCAGGGACAGGCGGTAAGTTGAATTGTCTCAGGTACACCTTTACTTGCTAACAAGCCATGCTAGTTTGCCCAATCTGTCGACTGGTATCTGTCACCTGCTGGTGAGCAATACCGTGCTGAGCTCCACCGCATTGCTCTGCTGGAGTCTGGCGCCGAGACTGACGCTCTCCTCCTTGGATACGCCATGGAGGGTGTTCGCATGGCCGGTGGTCTGGGCCTTCACCGCGAGGCCGTGTCATCCGATGTCATTGCCGAGGATGACGGCTGCAAGGTGAACATCCAGGCCGGCGACAAGGTCTTCGTCTCCTTCACGTCCGCCGCCAAGAACGCCGCCCACTTCCCCAGCCCCGACGTCGTCGACCCCAAGCGACCTCTGGATTCATACATCCATTCTGGCCTCAGTGCCCACACCGACCTCAGCCGTGAAGTCAGCCACATTGCCCTGACGGAGCTCTTCCGCACCGTCTTCCGCAAGAAGGGCCTGAAGCGCGCGGCTGGACCCCAGGGCGAGATGAAGAAGGTGAACGGCAACACCAGTGTGTATATGAACGAGGAATGGAGCAGCCTGTGGCCGTTCCCTACCGCCATGAAGGTTACGTGGGACGAATAAGTTTGAGAGTTAATGATGAGGGATACCTGGAGGCCGGGGAGGATGCCTCTCTGAGATTGCTTATTGATATCACTGTGCCAATTAATACCACTTTTGTCTTGCGATATATGTTTGTGATTTCTATGTGAGCCTTGTCTACTTCTGTGACTGTTCATTCGTGATCTATGAAGATAGAAGGGTTGAATTGAAAAGTTGAGGCAAAGGGTGCAACAACCCTACTGCTCAGCCATTGCATCTTCTAGTACTGGGTGTAGTGCTAAATGTGTGCTATTATTTGTGACCAATGCATGGCCTTGATCTATTTGATGACGTCAAGTAAAGTCGAAAAGAAACCACATAGATCTCTCCATGTGTCGAGCCGGTGTTAGTTGGTTGGATCTTGGTCGCAAGCCCGAACTTGAGCCATCCACCAATAACTGAACAATCACTTGGACGCTGAGCGATGATGCAATATTAACCTGACATTTAATATTAACATAACCAACTATAGAACCATTATTTTACCGAATTATAACCCCGAAACCCATAACCCATGACAAAGGAGAATACTACAGGGAGCGTATACAAGCATTTCACAGCTGATCATTACACCTTCACACCATTTCCAGTCCAAGTCATCAATACACCAACCACCACTCCCTGGCAGAGTGGATGACATCAAAGCCACCAGCCACAGGGAGTTTGCAAATCGGTCCCTTGTACACCACGGAATCGTTGACGTCTCCCTTCAGCTTCCAATCTCGGGGCGCAAGATACTTGCCATCGAGAGACTTGTCGCCGCCGCTGCTCGCCCACTGGTCGAACGCCGGGACCTCGAGCTGCAGGCCCTTCTTGAGGCGGGTGTACAGGTCGCTGATCTCGCCGATCGACTTGGTCCACTGGCCCTGCATCTGGTGATGGGCCGCCTTTAGCAGCTCCAGATGCAGCCTGGCCTCGCCGGTGAGACGAGTGCGGTCCGGATAGCCGCCGCTGCCGTCGGGCTTGTGGAAGGCTGAGCTGATCTCGCGCAGCACGGCCTCGTGGACGGCCATGGCGTTGGATGGACGGTTCCTGGAAGCGTAGAGACTGGCCAGGAGTCGAGACACATCGAGAGTCTGCTCATCGAGGCGGCTACGACCACGGCGCAAGTTGTAAGAGATGAGCTCGGCCGTGTCGATGGCCTCCCTGACGTGCTTGTTTGCGTACTGCGCGTGCACCAGCATCTTGCCAATGTTGAGCACGACTTCGGGCGACCAGCCACGGGTCTTCTGCACCGCCTCGCGAGACCGCCAGAGACGGGCGAGAACCGTCTCCAGCTCGCCATAGTTGCCCTGGGCGCCAAGGAGGCGGATCAGGCCGGCCACGTCGGCGAAGCGCAGGGTGATGATGTCGATGTTGGCCACGCGGAAGGCATCCAGAACATTCGCCATGATCTCGCGCGACGTCGCCAGCATGCTCTTGTGAAGAGCGTCTTCCTTGGGGAGTCGCGGGTGCGGCACGTCAATGCCCGCCATGAACTCGGCCAGCTTGTAGCCGAGCTGGATGCAGCTGCGCCGGTGGTAGAGCTTCTGCGCGCTGGCGAAGTGGAAGACGCAGTGGGCGACCTGGTGAGCCGAGTGGAAGTCTCCCTCGTCCAGCAGCCGCTTCACGCGGTCGTTGCCAGCCTTGCAGGCGAGAGTTGCAAAGTCCAGCTTGGTTGCGCCGCGGTCCTTGTTGAGCTCGAGCAGCAGTGCTACGTAGAAGATGTGGATGTGCTTGTCGCTGGTGGACTTGAAGTAGACCTCGTACTTCTTCTTGAACATGCCAAAGAGCTTGGCGTCGAGCGTGACGATGAGATGGTGGCGCTTGGTCTCCTCCCAGAAGCACCGCAACTTGGCGCCGCACTCCATGATGATCTCCAGGTTCGTCTCGTGCGTGATGACGCGGGTGTACTCCTCGTACAGAACCGACTCGAAGATGATGTTGGCCATGATCTCCGTGTACGAGGTGACGCACTCCTCGCCGTAGAGCACCTGCTCGAACGCAATCAGGAACACGAAGACGACTTTGCTGACATGGGCGTCTAGCTTCAGCGTGATGTCGGTGCACGGCATGTCTCCTCGGAAGATGATGAGATGGCGGAACTGGCGAAGCAGCTCGTGTCCCTCCTTGACCAGGCCGGCGTGCACGTAGATGGAAGCCAGCGAGATGGCGGCGTGGAAGAGACTCACAGTCACCGTCAGCGTCGTGATGATTTCCGTGACGGAGATCTGCAGCAGCTCAATGATGCGCAGGTGAGCCTCCTTCGTACCGATCTTCTGGTACAGGATGACAATGTCCCTGAGCACCAGCAACGTCGACTCGTGCCAGCAGCCCAACTCGATCTTGAGATGCATGTACGTCTCGATGCAGACCTGGATGGCACGGTCGAGAGGCAGATGCTTGCCGTGTCCGTGTCCGCCCTTGCCCGTGGTGATGATTTGAACGTACATCCTGGACAACCGCTTCTTGACAGTGTGGACAGTCCGCTCAGTCACGGTAGTAGTGGTCGTCTTCGTCGTCGTCGTACGCTTGATGACCTCCTCGTAGATGGTGACCGACTCGTGGTAGTGCTCCTCGTGCTTCTCACACATCTCGGCGAGCGCGATGAGTGCCAGGATAAAGGCCGACGAGTCGCCACCGCAGATGACAGTTACGACCTTCTTGTACTGGACACAGATCTCGTAGAGGACAGAGAACTCGACCTTGGCATGGAACTCCAGCACGTAGACGTACTTCTCGTAGAGCTCGATGATGATCTCCTCGCTAAGAACGCAATCGCTGTGGTGGTGAACGACAGTGTCCCAGAGAACCACGCAGATTTGGCGCAGCTCAATCCACATCTTGCGATGGTGGTAGTGGCGGCAGAGGAACATGGCAGCCTCGAACGCGTCGTGGTGGCAGTGATTGATGCCCTTGTTGAGAATAGTGACAATCTCGAGATAGTACTCGTACGCGTCCTTGTGGCCCAGCATGTGGCAATGGCCTCCGAGCTTGTACAGCATCTTGATGGTTAGGTGGTGGCCGTGGCCGAGGTGCTTGCGGTATCTGCCCAGGACTTCGATGTAGATCTCAATGACCTTTTCGTGGCGGTGGTGCTCCTCGTAGAACTCGACCAGAACACAGATGGCTTCCTCCAGGACCTCATCGTCGAGCTTGCAGGAGGCCAGGCAGGCGTAGTAAATACGCAGGTGGATGTGCTCAGCCTGCTCAAAGAAGCCTCGGCGGTGATGGCAGTGGGCCAGGCGACGGGCTACGAGGATGGTCTCCTTGATCCAATGCTCGCAGAGGGTGATCTTGACGTCGGTAGTGAGAATGGCCTTCCAGGTGATCTCGAGAGTCCTCGTGATGATGATCTCGGCCTGCGCCCAGTTTGCGTTCTTGATGTAGATGGCGATCAGGGCCATGCAGGAAGAGAAGAAGGCGTGGTCAACCGTGGTCTTCTTGCAGCGGGTAAAGTGCCTCTCAAAGATCTCCTTGACAATAGTCTCCGTGACCTCGGTGGTGGTCGTGGTCGTAGTCTTCTCCGTGATGGTGGTCTCCGTGATTTCTTCCACCACCTCGGTGATGATGATGGTGGTTTGCTGAGCCTCGTCATCATCGTGTCGGCCGTGGTCCTTGAACCATCCAAAGACCTTGATGAGGATCGAAATGGTAATGTCCAGTAGCCCGAAGGACCTGCACACAGTTCCAATCTCTCTGATCAGGATGATGAGGGTCTCGACCTCGCAGACGTGGTGCTCGTACTCGGCCCAAAGACAGATGAGAATGGTGGTAGCCTCCTCGATACGCTTCATCTCGCGCAGGAACACGACGTACGCCAGAGCGATCTGGATTCTGGCGATGTGCACTTCCAGGCTGACATTGACACGGGAAATGATGCAGATGCGACGCCAGAGGCTGAGGTAAAGCCTCTCGGCGAGGTAGAACTTGCCGCAGACGACGTACGAACGAGCCAGTCGAATCAGCATGCGAATGCAAAGCTGATCAGTAACCTCGAGCTCTTCGCTAGTCTCGAAGATGAGGTCCTCCAGCTCTCCGATGTTCTCCTCAGCGTCTTGGCCCTTGAGAACAATGTCCAGGTTTCCGAAGAAGGCGCCCATTTCCTTGGCTGGGCCGGAGCCTTTGCCAAATCGAATGATGATGATCTGGTAGAGCTCTTTGTAGATGACCGTGGCGTGGTGCTCTTCATGGATATCAATGTAGAACTTGGCTAGGATCCTGTACCATGAAATCACCTCGTCGCTGGAGGAACCGTGCCTGTGCTTGCAGATCGTGATCATGACACGAATCATCTCCTCACGACAAGTGATGATTTCGGTGCGCTTGGTGATGACAATGGTCTCCGTCCAGGTCAGGAAAAGAGTGGTGCAAGCAGCGACAATGGTGCTGGTGCTGGACAGAATGACCTGACCAAGCTTGACGGCGCGGTAGAAGTAACCAGCTCCGCAAACGGGAGAGTCAGAAATGGTGACATGGACATGGCCGAGAGTGATGAGGGTCTGGAGGACGGTGATGTGCTCCTTGCCGAAGCAAGTCTCTCGGACCTTGAGGGCAAGCTCGTGGAGGTCGAGCATCTCCTGGCCAGCGTGGTGTCGGCGCCAGCATGATCTCTCGAGCAGACCGAACATGAGAGACTCGGGGAAGATCTCGCGGAAGCCCTTGGCGAGCTGGACATGGCCCTTTGAGTCGACGAGACCAGACAGTCGGAAGTGAACCATCCAGTTTCTCATGACATATCCCAAGAAGCGATGCGAGTTGAGGACAGCATCGACAGCCTCGTCCGCAAGCTCCTCGGTCAAGAGCTCCTGGTCCATGTCCAAGTTCAAGCGAGCATACAGAAGCATTCGCAGCGTCAGCTGCAAGTGGGCGTCATTCGCCGACAGCAGCGACTTTCCCAGCAGAGAGTGCATGTGCGCGCGGACGACGGGGCTGCGGAAATGCAGCCGGCCGCCGCGGATGACGACCAAGTCGCCGCACTGCTGGGAGACGATCTTGAAGATGTTGACCGCGGAAGCGGCCATGGCGTGCTTGTGAAGATCAGTGGCGAGAAGCTCGGCGGCCTCGACTACTGAGAAGGGCTCGGAAGTGACGAGCATGAAGGACAGGAGATGCTGCAGGAGCTCGTTGTGCTTCAGGTTCAGCTTGCCCACAACATCGCGGAGGATGGTGGGAACGTCGGGGGAAATGGACCTAGCAGCGGCCCGGAACGATTCACACGATTCTTCCTTGACCAAAAGGCGAGCAGCGTAGAATGCCCACAAGAAGTTGCCGTTGGCCTTGGCCACAAGGTCATCCATGAGCTTCTCGGACTCTTCGAACTCCATTCCGTGGTAACACCCGGAGAGAGTCTGGCGAAGGTGGACTCTGATATCATCGTTGACGTGCGCCTTGGTGATGGAGAGATGCTTGCACTTGTCGCTCAGGTGCGAGATGGGCCGGGAGAAGGTGATGACCCTGGTGCGCGACAGCTTGGACACGCACTCTCGCAGCTTCTTGTGGAAGCCGAGCGCCTTGTCGGCACCGATAGATGTATCATCACAGCCATCAGTCATGATGACGATGGATGCATCGCCATGCTCCGACGCCTTGAGGCTGGAATGAAGAATCTGCCAAAGAGCGTCTTCGAGCTTGCCAGCGTCGTGGCGCTTGGAGTCTTCGCGGAAGGCTCGGACAAGCTCGCCGTAGAGTACAACATCGCCGACGTTGCGCTCGAGCAACTGGAAGAGGATACTCTTCACAAAAGCCATAGAGGTGGCCTCCTTGACCGAGTCATAAGCTGAATCATGTTAGTATTGGAAACCAAAATTGAGGCTGGATACTCACGGAAGTTGTAGGTCAGAACGGCATAAGACCTGTGGTCGAGGGGGCGAGCTAGCCTCTCTTGAACCCATTCAGCGAGCACAGTCTTGCCAACGCCTTTAGAACCAGTGATGCTGAGCACCTGCTCATTGCTGTCAAAGAACTGAACCAAGGTATCCTTGATCCAGCTGCAGGTGTCCTCAGAGCGGTCGAGCTGCTCCAGCACCTCGTCATACACAGTGTTCCTGATGGAAGGCCCAAACGAAGGCTGAAGCTTCTCGGTCAGCCATCTGAGATGGGACCCTTGGTCGCCGAGCCTGTGAGACCAGACGTGGTCGCACAGAGCGTTCTTGGACTGCCAGACATTATCAATCTGGAGGCCAAAGGCGCTATCAAAGCTGATGGTGGTGGTCTGGCCAGCCTTGAGGCCGCTGATTCTGTGCTTGTAGTGCGAAGCGATGTGACCGACGAGGTGGATCATATCACAGAAGATGTCTGCAGCCTTTTGCTTGATGCTCTGGGGCATGCGCTCTAGGTCTCGGATCTGACGGATGTTGGAGAGCAGCAAAGCCAATTCGTAGAGGGCAGTGAAGGTCGGAACGAGGGCCTTGGCCTGTCCATGGCCGATCTGGAGAGAGGACGTCAGTATGCTACGTTGACACAAAAAAACCTGGTAATATGGGAAGGAAACAACATACATCAAGCAAGACTTGGCAGCTTGCCAACGCTGCAGCAGCGGCATCCTGAGACCCAGATGCAAAGGTCTCAATCTTGGCTCCGAAGAACCAGATTTGGAGTCCGAAGAACTGGGCAGTGCTGAGGACGCGGTCCCAGTCACTTCCCCTTCGGGGCATGTTGATTAGGCGCTCATCTGAAATGAATTGGAGATAGGAGCGCAAGTCCATCTCCTTCACGAAGGACGGATTGTAGCCAGGGAGCTTGCAGATGTACTCCACAACATCCCCGGTAACCTTTCTCACTCGCGTGAAGCCATTGAGAGGGGACACAGGGCGGGTAGTCACGGTGAGAGCATCGGCGGGGACTGCTCTGGAGATGGGCGAGGATTGTGAGGATGCCACCGTGGTCTTGGTCTCGCTCTCGACATCGGAGAGCTCCTTGACACTGACGGAGATGGCCACTGACTGGGCCTTGGTGGTGCCATTTGTCAAGCCTGGCGAGGGCTCCGAAAAGCCCTTCTGGATGGTTTCCATGGCTTCTCGAGACGACGAACCGTCCTCGGTGACGTCTGATATGAGGGAGGAAGAATTCGAGTTCTTGCGCTTTCTCCGGACTGTGTTGCGAGAGAAGTTAGTGTTTGATACCACAACATGTAAGGGGGGGTCGGCAATGGAAACGTACTGTGAAAGGTCTTCCGCAGCCCAAGCATACTCGCCTTGGATGCCGAGAAAAGGCAGAGATTTGGACGGAGTTGGAAGGGTATAAATGGTTGAGCAGTTGTCTGGTCGGTACTGTCGGCAGAGAGGAGAAGCCGGGGAGGGCCGCAGGTCATGGGTTATAACTCCACTTCTTGGCAACTAGGCGGGAGATCACACGCAGGGACCTGCATAATGGGCTTGCGGTCCAGGAGCCGATGAGGAGTGGCAAATTCAGTTGTGTCGCGCAGTTCCGTCCGTAACCAGTCTGGAAGGTGAAGCGGCGTGGCATAGTCGTAGCTGAGAACCACCACTGTCTCACAGCCATGGCCTGATTGGGCGTTCACTGGCGAGGCAGGCAGCCACAGGCAGGCCCAGAGTGTGTGATATGAGCGGCATGGTGCAGGCTAACCCAGATGGATGCCAGTGTGCCAGTGTAAATACTATGTATCAGATGTAAGTCAAGTTTCCAATAGTGGCGGATGCATTCTTGATTAACATGGCTGAGCCATCACCACTAGACGGCCCAAGCGGGCTAGCAGCAACCGATAGCTGGGGGCACTATCGGAGTGGATTTGCGGGGCCGCCTGCGGACAGCTGGACCGGTTCAGGGCTCCCTGCAACGCCCTGCAACGCCCTGCAACGCCCTGTAAACTCCTTGCAGCTCCCTGCAGCTCCCTGTGGCTCCCTGTAACGGTGGCTTGGCAGGGCCGCCATTTCTCCCAATTCGGCTCAATAGTCTCTGCTCGACACGCTTGTGGCTGGCTGGACGAGGCGATTCTGGGCTGAGATGGTGGAGAAGCTCGAGGATTTCGATACGGGGGCATCGGGGTCGCTGGGGCACGGCGGCCACTACTGCAGATGGTTCCTGGGACCGAAGCTGTAGGTGTAATGTAAGGGTGCCGCGCATGGCAATAGGGGGGCAATATGGGGATGTCTTGTTGAGAGGACGACGTGCTCCAGTCCGGGATCCATCTGCGATTATTCCTTATCCTCTACTCTACCTATGCTGCGGAACTCGGAACTGTACAGCTGACGCTCGGTCTAGATAGTCTCGATCTTCCCGCCGTATACTTCCAATAGTTTCAGCTAGCCTCGCAACACCCGCCGCGCGTTCCGGTGGAGCGGCTTACTCTCTCCACGGGGGCCTCGAACCTGGACACGTCCGAAAACGTGCGCGATTGATCAATTCGGGTTTCAGCTTTAAATAGGGCGAAGAGTGTAACCCAAAAGGAGGAACTGCCAAGGCACCTCGCGCACGCCTCGGCGCGGGAGGCGTCTTTCCCACGCCCGTGCCAGTTGAGGCGGCCACCAGTAGGAGTATTGGCTCCGGGATTTGCGTACGGCTGAACAATTAAAGAGGAAGCCATGACTATTCAGCTTTGGAAACGGATAATCTCTTCCAGATGTATCCGTAGAGTGTAGAGTTCTGAAGTGGCAGTCTCGCAATGGCACTGTGCACTCAGCGTCCAGCCATGGCCTATACAGTGCAAACTACTCAATACACGGCACTCAGATAAGCTACCTCCCACCAGATGGCGCCAGCTGCCGGCCACCCGCCACATGCTCCACCAAAGCGTATCTCAACTCCAGGCGTTTAATCTCCTCATCTCCTCCACGACCCGGCATGAAGAAGTCCATCGCTTGCGGCGCATGTCGTTCCTCGAAGCGAAAAGTGAATCCCTCCACACCTCACGTGCCCGCCGCCGTCTCGGAGAGGACCCATCGCTAATTGTCGCACTGTAGTGTATTCACTCGGGCGGGCCCCCCTGCAACCGGTGTCGGGATCGCGGCGATGAGTGCATCTTCCCGCCCAAGGGCACGTCCTTCATCTTCCGCCGGCCCAGGACAGAGCGAGGCCGCGATGGCGATGGAGCTGCGCTCGCCGGAGCAATGTCCCAGCTTCACGGGCCGCGACCTGATGAGTGGCTCGAGTCGCGCTCCAAGATCCTGGCAGGCGTGGATCCGTTCGAATATCTGACGGATGAGGTCAAGAACAGCTACCTGCGCTGCTCGTACAAGTGGTCGTTCCACCATATCCCAAACCTCCTCATCGGCATGCGTGAGAAGAACCTGGATCCTTTGCTCATCTGGGCAATGCTAGCAATCACCGTTCGGTACGTGCCATCGGAGTGTCCTGCGAACTCGACGAAATATGCCGCTGACTCCATCCAGATTTTCTCAAGCAGCCCCACCGGGCTACTCCAGCCAAGTCCAGGCGAGCAACACCTTTGCCAACCATGCGCGGACCTTGGTCCTCACTCTGGTGGATCAGCCAACTCTCCAAAGAGCGCAGGTTCTGCTCATGCTCACGGGACATTCCTGGGGAGCTGGAGAGGGCAAACGAGCATGGGTGTACCTTGGAATGGCTGTGAGAATGGCTCAAGTTTTGGGTCTCTTCGAAGAGCCTCCTCCGCCCATGTCTCGTACCCATTTTATCGAGGCTGAGGAGAAGAGGCGGACAGCTTGGACATGCTTCCTCATGGATAGTCTGCTTAGTGGGGGCAAGGGTCGTGACAGGATGCTATCTGCCGAGAAGATGCGCATTCAGCTCCCCTGCCACTCTGACAACTTCAATTTTGGAGAATGTGTAGTCTGCGAGAGGTTGGACGGTTCGCGGCCTGAGAATACGGTACTAGCCACTCATGGAAGCCTCGGAATCGTCGCACACAGCATGAGGGTCGCGGACATCTGGGGAGCCGTCGCCAAATGGGCTTGCACATCCCATGACGCCAACCAACCGCCGTGGCAACCCCAGTCAGAGTTTCAATATCTCCTTTCCCGGCTCAACTTGTGGAAGGAATCATTACCAAAGAGATTACAGTATGACCTCTTCATACTACGGGCACATAGCGTGTCGAATCAGGGCCAGGCATACTGCTATATGCATTGCATTTACTTTATGAGCGTCATCTTTCTCTACCGCTCGTACTTGCCAGAAGTTGAAATGCAAAAGGCCAGGGTTGGAGATCGCGAATGGGACCAATGGTCAACATGGTCAAGTAAGGAGCTGGTGCAGGTTGCTGAACAAGTTTGCGAGATGCTTCAAGAAATACGAGCATTCGGACTCTATTTCCTGCGTGGCCTCGTTCCTTGGATCGGGTTTACCATTTACACGGCTGTTGGGACTTTGCTCTATTTTTACCACTTTCCCAATCCTGGAGACAGCCCGAATCAGATTGAGAACCGCCGCGAGCGGATTGTCGAAGGTCTCCTCTTCCTGAAGGACATGAGACAAGCCTGGCCAATGGCCGATACTTGGGTTTGTTCCATCTTCAATTTTGGGTTTCTCGAAACTGACATTCCGTTCAGCGCGAGAAGATTCAGGCAATGCAGCTTTTCTACAGTAGCATCAAGGCTGAGGGCGACCAGGCCGTCACTCCAAGTGAAAGACGAGAGATGCGCAATGCCATTATTGATTATGGCGCTCTCCAGCCCGATCCTGTCCGCCAACCAGACATTGAAAGCAATGACGATTCTGTAAGATCCAAATCTAATGTGCCTGCCATGGTGGTCGTTGGCTAACAAAGAGTAGATGGCCGACGTCGAGAGTGTCTCTCGATCGGACGAGGTAGAGTTCAACACACAAGGGATAAACTTTATTTCCCCTGCAGATATTGACCTTTTTGATACGAATATGGAATTTGGAAGCACGATGCATGCCGCATTTGCTGATACGACACAGGGGTTTTGGGAGAGCTTTCCCGGAAGCATGGATATTCAAGCTGATCTAACGGTACCACACGAATGAAGTGAAGGGACGAGGCTCACTGAGAGCCAGTGAATACTTGACGATATTTCGATCTATGACGATTTCAACGATTTGTAAAATTATACACTCAGCTCTCTTTTGTTTGGCCAAAGAATAGGTGGCATGACAGCGTCGTGAATAATCACCACCACATTCACCCACCCCGCATCCGACGTCGGTTGGATTTAGGCTAAATTGGCGCGCGGCAGACTTGTTGAATAATGGACATATAACCACGGCATGCGCTCTTGGATCATGGCAACATCTCTACACATTCAAAACTCGGTGGTTGCTACAATGTCGTTGACCAGAAATCCCATCCTCCCAGGGTTCAACCCGGATCCCTCAATCCTAAGAGTTGACGATGACTACTACATCGCTACTTCGACTTTCGAGTGGTACCCCGGTGTGCAGATTCACCATTCTAAAGATTTGGTCAACTGGGACTTGGTTGTGCGCCCGCTAAATCGCAAGAGCCAGCTTGATATGCGTGGTGATCCCGACAGCTGCGGAGTCTGGGCTCCATGTCTCACTCACGATGGTGACAAGTTCTGGCTTGTCTACACAGACGTCAAACGAAAAGACGGGTCGTTCAAAGACGCCCACAATTATATTGTCCATGCCCCTGCCATCACGGGACCTTGGTCCGATCCGATCTATGCCAATTCTTCTGGCTTCGATCCTTCATTATTCCACGACGAGGACGGCCGCAAATGGTTTGTCAACATGCTCTGGGACCATCGCCGACGACCCCTGCTCTTTGCCGGAATCATCTTGCAGGAGTTTGACCCAAAGGCAGAGAAACTCGTTGGACCCAAAAAGAACGTCTACCAGGGAACGGACCTGGCGCTTGTCGAAGGCCCGCATCTCTACAAGCGAAATGGTTGGTACTACCTGTTGACGGCTGAGGGAGGCACAGCATATGAGCACGCGTGCACACTGGCCCGATCTCGCGATATTTGGGGCCCTTATGAAACACATCCGCAGAAACATATCCTGACGGCTAAGGATTCCCCGTTTGCAGCCCTGCAAAAGTCCGGCCATGGAGACATTGTTGAAAGCCCAGACGGCAAGACCTATCTGGTTCATCTGACTGGACGGCCAACGGGCCAGAACCGCCGGTGCGTCCTAGGGCGCGAGACGGCAATTCAAGAAGCATACTGGGGCGACGACGACTGGCTTTACGTCAAGAACGGCCCGGTGCCCAGCCTTTTCGTCAGCCTGCCAGGTACCCGGGATGACGCCTCGTACTGGGCGGAACAGAAGTACACGTTTGAAAACGGGTTGCACAAAGACTTCCAGTGGCTTCGAACACCCGAAACCGAGCGGATATTTTCTTGCGAAGGGGGAAAGTTGTCCTTGATTGGGCGTGAGGCTATTGGGTCTTGGTTCGAGCAAGCGCTGGTGGCACGTCGCCAGGTGCACTTTTCGTACGACGCCGAGACCGTGGTCGACTTCTCGCCGTCGGACGAGCGCCAGTTCGCTGGCCTTACCGCCTACTACTGCCGGTTTAATTTTTTCTACCTGACCGTCACTGCGCACTCTGACGGCCAGCGAGAGTTGCTCATCATGAGCTCCGAAGCCTCCTGGCCCGAAGGCGCTCTTGAGGCCCCAGGGAGCCAGGCGATCCAGATACCAAACGAAGGCAAAGTGAAGTTGGCTCTGGCGATTCGCGGGCAGCGGCTTCAATTTTCTTACGGGCTGGAGGGGGGCGAGATGACGGAGATTGGGCCGGTTTTTGACGCCTCGATAGTCTCGGATGAGTGTGGCGGACATCAGGCGCATGGGAGTTTCACGGGTGCGTTTGTGGGCATGGCTTGCTCTGACCTGAATGGAACGGCGCTCGAGGCTACTTTTGATTACTTCACTTACCGGCCAGCGCATGATGCCACGGATCGGTATGATCCTTGAGTGGTGGACATGTGTTCAGAATGAAGACTGTAAATATTCAGGATATATTTTGGTATTTTACAAAATTGCTAAACTAGAATCGCCACCAACGCCCTGAGGCTGACTTAGTTGATGCCAAAGGCCTCCTTCGCCCGCGTCAAGTACGCTGTTCGCTCGTCGGTGAGGGTTGTCCCGATGCAATCCATGTAGGACTGGAAGCCGGTATCAATGTCCGTAGCGAGCCCTGTGAGAACGCTGGCCTCGCACTGAGTGGTGATGAACCAAGGGCCGCTGCCAAAGTTGTACTCGTCGGGGGTGACGAGAGCCAGGATCTCGTTGAGCTTGTCATCGGAGAGCCCGTCGACCGAGGAGACGTCGGCAACCTTGTCCTTGACGCCGTCCAGCGACTTGGCGTACAGCAGGTTGTAGGCGGCCATCTGCATGTTGGCGGTGCCCTGGCCCGGCCGGCCTGGCGAGACGTTGTGCTTGTAGGCGAAGTCGACGGACTCGAAGGCCATGAGGGCGACGATGGCGGCCATCTGGTTGACGTTGTAGATGCCGTACTTGCACATGGCATTGGCGATCAGCGGCCCGGCCTGCGCGGCGGTGCGGCATTCCGTGTTGGCCGCGTCGCAGCTCTCGGAGCCGGGTGCGATCTCGGCGATGATGGTGGTGGCGTTGAGGCTGCCCAGGGCCACGCCCGCAAAGGCGAGGAGCAGGGGAGAAATGGCAGAGAACTTCATGATTGCAGAAGAAGGTGAGGTATTGAGGATGTGATTTGAAGGGGGTATCGTAAATAGGCGGCGAGGTGACAGTTATATATGTCTTGTCTTGTCCGACCAGGCTGAGCGCTGAATGAAGGTGGCGGTTGCAGGTGTGCAGTGCAGGTGCAGCTTACGCTTGGCACGACAAAGAATGAACAAAGATAGACGCGAGCCAGCCGCAGCGAACAAGGTACAGGGCACAGTGAGTGGCTGAGCGGAGAAGAACAGAAAAAAGAGTGAATGGTACACTGGTCGGTATGCTCCTGGCAGCGAGAATGAAGGGAACGGCAGCGGATGAACTGAAGGCGTGAGAGAGGCAGGGTGGAGAGGCTGGTTCTTAAACCCTTCATTCCCGAGGTAGGCCTCCATCGCCCGCCCATTAGTTTTTTTTTTTCTTTTACCCCTGAACCAAAGCAGAGCCGCACGGCGGAACGACACGAGACGAAACGGCGCGGGGGATAATTGCTAGGTCGTCTTCATGCGATCGCCAATGAAGGCGCATTCTGCTGATCCCCTGAGAAACACAAGCACAGCTGACAACAGGCGGCGGTCGTGGAGGCGGCCAATCACGGCGCGCGGCCCGCTGGGAGGCCACCGACTGTGAAACTGGTTTGCCCGGCCCAGGCTCCAATCGTGTTAGTGCGTGCGGCGGGTTTGTGTGCGCGGCGTTTGTGAATGGCGGGGAGACCGTGTTTCGACTTGTGTTTGTGGTGACAGGCGTCCGCTAGACGGCACGAAACATCCGGACCTGGTGAGTGTCTCCTGAACATGTTGAGCCCCTGGAATGGATTGATCGGGTGGTGTTTTGCGCCTGCGTTCGGATGGGCCGCTGGGTCTATTTCTCGTCGCTTGCCCAGCCCCCAAAAGCGCTGTGATTCTTACGCCCCCAACCATTTATTCTCAGTGGGTCCCGGCTAGCAGACCCAATATAACTGGTCATCAAGCATTTCCTGCGCTGGCCCATCCCGGGAAATCTGCCATTCACGCTGTAGGGTAGCCCGGGCCGTCGGGATGAATTCATCTCGTACTCGTCCTTGAAACATCCGTCATTTATGTCTTGATGCTGTGTAACAATTCACGAATGATGCACATTGCCGCCCAAGGAGATTTGTGTGCCATTCGGCGCAGTAATTGCGGACAATTTGTTGCTGGGTTAATTCTAAGTAGTGTTTGAGTTGTACGAAATACAACTCACTTGTGGAACATCCTCCAAGAGACGTTTTAAGTAACAAAACCACATTTTTACGACTCTTTAATATCAGCAATGTATTAACAATTGGTATTTCCCTAGATATACAAGTCACGCATTCATGTAGTGATGCTTATGATTCGCATTCAGACACCACCTTAATCAAGGCTATTCACTCATTCAAAACTGGTTGATTCAGCGAGGTAGAAACATGGTGAATAGATTCACTGGTTTCAACCGTCAGAGAATACTGTTAATCAAGATTTTCACCAGCTTCTCAATCTGTATAAAGTTCGAGTACCAATCGGTAGGAATCAACACTCACCACCACTCAACATCCCACCATCCAACAGCTTACAACCCAAACTCTACACATCGACTCAGTCACACTTTCTGAACCAATAAAACAACAGCCACCCAAACAGACATAACCCAAAATCCAAGCAAAAATGTCTGACGGACAAGACGGACAGGACGGCAGGCACCCGTTCGACGATTTCGAACCTGGAAAGGCTCCTTACGAGTCAAAGCCCGAACTCATCCCAAGTCTGGGACCCCAACCGAAGAGCGACATGGAGGCTGGCGTAAGCGGCATCCTCAACAAGCTCAACCAGACCACCATCAACGCCCATGCCAAATGGACAATGGTTTCGCAATCTGGGTGCATGACCCTCTGGGCTGCGACCAAGAAGGGAGGCGACGTCACCCTGAAGCCTGTCATCGGCGGCCTCAGGCAGTTTCTGAAGGGACTGTACGCCCTGGAGTGCACCAGTGCCAGCGACAGCATGGTTTGCAAGGGAGTGGAGGTGTGCTTCATGTGGAGATCCGCTCATGAGGGCGATCTCGGCACGTCGACTCCTCCTTGCGAGGAGGAGAATTCGTCGGAGGAGAATTCGTCGGACAAGAAGTCGGACGAGAAGTCGGACAAGAAGCCGGACGAGAAGCCGGACGAGAAGCCGGACGAGAAGTCGGACAAGAAGTCGGACGAGAAGTCGGACAAGAAGTCGGACAAGAAGCCGGAGGTCGAAAAGTAGCGTGGCGATATCATCGCGAATGATGGTGATGCTTTGAGACTCTGGACGCAATGGCTACTCATAGAGTGGAGGTGTGTTTCATGTGGAGATAATCTGATCAGGTCGGCCTCAAAACATGGACTCCCTCTTGCAACGGGTAAAGAAGAGTGGCGCACTTAGGGATCATCTTGATACGCTCGATCAGAGCTATTCAGACCTAACAGTCCGTCTGTTTCTCAGAGCAGTCTCTAGCATTCGCAGTCATCGTCACCTGGTCAAGACTGACCCAAAGACCCTCATTCAGATAGAAATTAAGAAATATTTTTCTTACCACCCTGACCCCTTCTATTCAATGTGATAAAATGGTCGAGATAACCGCTGTGATGCTACTGGCAAGAACAGTTTGAGGTTCTATGATTGACGGTTATGACATGAACATGGATGAATGAATGGATTGAATAATATCAAAACCAAGAATAGTTAAGCCAGGAATTAAATTAGCTACAAAAAGGCATTCGGACATGTATGTCTATTTAGTGCTGCATATAAACTAGTGTCTCACCTTCTTGCAAAGATTCAGTACGGTCCACGGGACCAAGGGCCTGCACAGCTGGCTAGCATCGAAGTTAGACAAGCCTCAAGCACAAGATAGTAGGCGCGACATGTCTTTTTTGTCTACGTTACCCAAGCTGCCTTAGTGAAGAGTAGCCAGTTTGATTGTAAGAACAGTCCGGCTCCGAGAAGTCTAAGAGGCCTTGGTGTTGTGCCTTGTGATCCATTTAGCGATTGGCAGATGGGTAATCAACAATTGATCTCTCGCACCTGTGGATATCACACATGGATGCAGGTGGTCCAAACTCTTCATTGAATCATTTTCTTTCCAGTGATAGTGCTAATGGCCCTTTTTTTGTGAAAACTAAAGCATACCTATCTAGGAGGTTGCACGTAACTGGAAGAGCTTTTGGACATTGTAGGCAGCTGTCTGATATTCAAGATATCGTGACGCCTTGATTTGCAAGTCGATTATACTCATAGCATCACGAACAGAAGCCGTTGCACTGTCGGAGAGGTCTTAGATTATTCCATTACCCGAGATTTATCCAAGTGCTCGAGCAGGTGTTCAAACAGTATTCGCCACCGTATGTAAGCAGGTCATGAAATCCTTGGCCAATGCTGTTTTGAAGGTCCTCATGATTTGAGGCTTCTTCAACAAAGCAAAAGCTTTCTTGAACCTGTGTCGGAAAAGCGAGAGAGATGTCCCAATGGGCATCCATTGCGTTGATAAAAGGCCCATTACAGGAGTAACCGACATATGATCTGAGTAACTCCGCGGGGCTTTAAAAAGGACATAACGGAATATTAATGACAATTATTACTGGATGAAAGTGTGGTGAATGAACACTAAAAAGGCTCCGGGACCATGTATAAGGTTGGATTTCTTAAATTCACTTCGTTGAGCAACACAATGTGACCCAAAGAAACATTTTTGGATTTTTAAGTTGGTCTGATAGTTTTGAGATGCAAATTATTTCTGACCCTCTACTGTTTCGACGATCGATTTGTGAACATCAGTGATGACTGATGTGAGAATCCCACCCTGAAGTCCGTCGTTTGTCCCTGCTAGTAACTTGTCACTATTAGATCAAGGTTTGTTCGAGGAATGTGTGTGTGTGTGTGTGTGTGTGTGTGTGTTTGTGTGGGCTTCGCATGTCGAGGCTCTCGGCTATAAGGTTATCCTTTCGGTCATCCCGGACACATTCCTGTACGGATTCCTGAGGGCTCTATGGTCGACACTCATTTGGCCCTAGTAAGTACAGTGCGTAGAAGTACATGAGCTTAGTTAGGTCCGGGTCTCACAGATCCCCACATCTCGCAACACTCTTTTTGATACATTTCATCCTTGCAAGCCTGCCGTAACAAAATCCTTTGCACTTGCCGAGGATTCAGTACCAATGCTGAGGGAAGGAATGTTCTTCACAGTTGAACTGACGCTCGGGATGCCCTGGGTAGAAAACAAGACTCTGCAGCTGAGTTCTGTCACTGCGAGTATGGTCTTGGCAAGTCCTCTTTGCCGCTCGAAGCTTGTACAGAGGCCCGCTTATTGTTGTGCCCTCGTCTCGTGCGTTCTCCTTCATGATTTAATTGTGTCAACTACTAATTTATGCGGTGATACATAACTGGGAAACTGAGCTTTCAACATCGGTCTGTGCCACCTAATGTGGCAGATTCTACAATGATGGCCAAGTTTTGCTGATATTAATAGGCACCTATCTGCAGAGCACTTTTCTTGGCGGCGTCGACATGGACGACAGCGAATTCAGGAAGCCAGCCATGTGGCTTTCATGATATTGTATTAACGATTTATACCATACTTGGAAGGAATGGAAAAGTCAAGGGCAAGACTGCGGATCTTTTCCGCTAATTGCCATCGTGTCATTCTTGACAAAGGTAGGCAAGGAGTTATTCATTGCGAGAGAGGGTACGAATCTGAAAAATCCAGTACATCACATCAAAGACTGCCCGGCATCGAAAACCCGCGTCGTGTGTGCTGTTCGAGCTAACTGCAGATGGGTTGTCACAAGGACACCCATTCAAAATCGGCTCTCTGAACTCTTCAGTCTCTTTTCACCTTCTTTGTCTCCATTCTTATTGCGAAAAGATTTTTTTTTTTTTCGCAAGGTCATTACAGATCCCTGGCTTAATGGAGATGGGAGAGGGTGCCAGATGTTGGTGAAACTACTGGGGTATGCCATGTTACGGCGGCCAAAAACCAGAATTTCTCTACTAAAGAGACAGGACCATCGGCGATTTCTCAACTTTAGTACCCGGGTACACCATGAGTATGGGATTGCGAAGCGGTGAACTCGTACCATGAATGTTCAGACAGGGTTCAAGAAACGCTCAGAGGGCCTGGTGATGTTGGGTGAGTAGTATCGGAGAAAATGACAATCAAGGGGCGATGCACGCTTTGAGACCGAAATAGGAAACCTGAGATTCTTAGTAGTCCTCAAGTTCAAGGACTTGGGCACGGAGTGGGACTTCGTGGCTGAGGCTTATTCCAAAGTACTGATACGAGTCTTGGCGCTGCAGCCTCTGTTCGGGCTTCACCTGCAATCTTACTAATTGTGTTCTCAGCTCGGGGATATCCTGCCCTCTTCCCAGAGTTAATTCCAAGCAACGCAGTATGGATATCTTGATGAGGAAGATAGCGTGTGAATAATATCAATATTTAGCTTCCTGCGCGCTATCTGAAATCAGAGAGCCATGTGTTGATGCCTCATTGATATTCAGCGAATGCCTAGGTCGTGTTGTCGTATCTGGTATCTCCTGATTTTGAGCTGGAGTAAGACTTGAGCTGACGCGCGTCTTACGCCGAGCCTGCTCTCAAACGACTATGCATGTCTTTCTGAGCCTATTGGTCAGAGTTTCACCGGGATCCTCAACCTGGAGTATGCGACAGGTAGGGCCCAGCCAATGCGGTGGGCTGTGACATGGATATGACGTGCATCGGAGTCTTATCAGAAGTCGTAACGGCAAAATGGAATACGACGATGTTTTATTTCTCTCATTGTCATTTGGATCGAGCGCAGCGGTTTGTGTCGTGTATTTGAAACGACATGGGTGTAGGATTCTTCTGAAGTCGAAACAATATGGCTTACTAGGAATCAAAGCGATGGATTGATCTTGTCGTGTAATCAAGTCTCATCTACATCTTCAATGGGGAAACCCGGTCGCCCAGCTGCCCAGTTGTCGTATCCCGTGGCGGGCGACGTGCCACCATGAAACATATCGCTCACCAATGTTACCCCCCCTTCGACACTTTCACAGGTCTCATCTTTCAGCTGGAGCCGGGCTGGTCCAGACACAGTGCTGACAACGCATATTAACAGTCTCCGGCAATTGCAAGCGATACATAAAGGTTGCCAAGGTGTTCTTGGCGCAGTGGTGAATCTTATGGGATTTGACCGGGGACCACAGTTTGCCCAATCATCTTCACATAATACAGTTTCTTGCAGCACCGGGGAGCTGTCCTGCATACGCTGATGGTGGGATGAGTAAGAATATGATGGTTCTGGGCGAACATCCACATGATGTGGCGTACAGGCAACAAAGCATGCACATGAAATTGCATTTGTTCATGAGGCTGATATTTCCATGTGAAAGCATGTGAAGATGACGTGCAATTAGAAGGATGTGAAAGGGGAATATTAAGCATGCGGGAAAGGAAGGGTTCAGAAAGAGCCGGCATATAAGAGTCGCAGTTCGGTAGTTCCGACTTAAATCTTTCTCATTCGATTGTCCGATATCGAAATTTCGGCCTTCTCTTTACGAAAATTATTCCCCATCACTTTTCATTAGTCCCACCTCCTAAAGAACCTGGCGAGAACATCGTTCAGTTGCTATGGAAGTGAATGGGAACGGACATGTTCTTGGAGGAGAATCCTCCGGCACTGACCTTGACAATGAGTTGAACCATCAACAAACAAATGGTATCTCTTTATTCCCTTGACATAAATGATTTCCCTAACATCTATTTAGGTCGCGATGGAGTCCCCCCAGAACGGCAATTCTGGGAAGTTCCTAACGCGACGCATGAATCTCCCTTCCCTCGACTCTCTCGACCTGTCGAACTCCTTCGCCCGTCCTACGATGTGGTAGTCATCGGATCTGGCTACGGTGGTGGCGTCGCTGCTAGCCGCATGGCTCGAGGTCGCCAATCTGTCTGCATCCTTGAGATGGGGCGGGAGAAATGGCCTGGTGAATTCCCCGAGAGTTTAGACGACGCGATCAAAGAGGTGCATGTCAGCGGAGAGCTTGCACCGGGCGATCGGAGAGGCAAAGAGGGTAAACAAGTGGATAGGGGAAATCCAATTGGGCTGTATCACATGGTAGTCGGCGATGGACAGAATGCATATGTTGGGAATGGGTTGGGAGGAACCAGTCTGTTGAACGCCAACGTGTTTTTAGAGGCGACGCCGAAGGTCCTAGAGATGGAAATTTGGCCCGAAGAATTAAGAGGAAGTCCAGAGTGGGAGAAGTGTAAGCAAGCACTGATTTTCCTTTCCAGCCATCCCATCCCAGGAGATTCTGTCAACCTTCTAACACAATATCTCTAGATTACGATCGTGCTCGCTCTGTTTTACAACCGGCCGAGTACCCGCAAAACTTCCCATCTCTACCCAAATTGAGTCTCCTAGAACGCCAAGCTCGCCTCATGGGGTGGGAGAAGTCCTTCTACCGCGTGCCACAGACGACCAGGTTTGAAGATGGTCCAAACTCTACTGGCGTTTTCATGAAGAAGTCGACTCTCACTGGGATGGACGCAACAGGTATCAATGACGGCTCCAAAATCACGACTCTGGTCACGTACGTCGCCGATGCCTGGAACTGGGGGGCCGAGATATTCTGCGAGTGTGAGGTAAGGTACATTGAGAAGGCCAAGGACCGAGAAGGATGGATAGTCTGGTTTGCTTGGCATGGTGGAAAGAGAAGTGCCTTCGGAGAGATGATGTATGAGGACTTGATGTGGGTGCACGCCAAAGAATTTGTCTTCCTGGGGGCAGGGAGTTTGGGGAGCACTGAGATCTTGCTGAGGAGTAAGCAAATGGGGCTGGATATGAGTGAAGATGTGGGGACAGAGATGAGCGGCAATGGAGATATGCTAGCCTTTGGGTAAGTTGCGTGTTGAGGGGGTGATTATGAGTGGTGTTACTTATCATGGACTGACCTTCATCATTAGGTACAACACAGATTTCGAAGCGAACGCTCTGGGAAGTCCCTACCCACCCCCCGACAATCCAACCGGCCCATGTATCACAGGAGTGATCGACCTGAGAGATACGCAGAACCCACTCGAAGGGTTTGTGATTGAAGATGCGTCTGTCCCTTGGGCCATCGCGCCTTTCATGTTCACTGCTTGGGAACACCTTCCTGGACAAATCCGGGGCACTTCTGCAGGCATATATGATACTCTGGTGAAAACGGCAGCCCGCCTGGGAAGCAAATTCCTGGGGCCGCTGTACAGGGGCGGCAGCGTCCAGAAGACGGCGGTGTACCTGATCATGTCCCACGACAGTAAGTCACGAGAGAAATGGGTGATGCGTTTTGACTTACAACCATGTGCAGGTAGTCAAGGAAGCTTGACGCTCAAGAAAGATAAACCAATCTTGAGATACTCTGGCGTTGGGAGGTCCGACTCTGTGAATCGAATCCACAAGTACCTGCAACGTGCTACCGACTCTGTGGGTGGGACATGGATTCCAAACCCGGCATATTCGCTTCTTGGACAACAAGAAATTACTGTTCATCCAATGTATGACATCATATCCACTCTATTCAGACCTCAGCTAACGACTCCGAAGTGGCGGTGCTCGCATGAGCAAAGATGAGACAGGTGCCTCTGGGGTTGTTAACCACCTGGGAGAGGTATTCAAGGGCAATGGCAGTGAAGTGTATGATGGACTTGTCGTTTGCGACAGCTCTGTCATCCCAGCTGCTGTTGGAGTGAACCCCTTTGCAACAATCACGGCCTTGGCTGAGCGGTCAGTCGAACTTGTTGCGAAGAAGAAGGGTATCGCAATTGATTATGAGACGAGAAACAGTATGTCACTCAACTCATCACGTCAGATAACTCTTATTAATGCTGGCTACAGGACTCCTCGACAAATTTGACGAGCCTCAGTTTCCACTTGAAAGGGATCTGTCGATAGAAGCTGTCGAGGAGACGATTGCCCAGGCGTCTGATCGTCAATCCGCGGGAATTGGATTTACTGAGATCATGGCTGGGTACATCCATACTGGCGAAAACATTGAGGACTTTGAAATTGCGACACGGGCGGCCAAGGGTAGATGCGAGTCAGCGAGATTCTTCTTGAGCGTCAAAACATGGGATATTGAAAACCGTGAGTCGCAGCCTATTAACCGATTCAGGACACCTCGAAGCTAATTGCATTCTAGTCGTCAACAGCACCCTTCACGCTGGTGTTCTCACCGGAACATTCTGTTGTCCTACACTTGGCGGACCATTCATGGTCCATCGAGGCCGTTTCCAGCTCATGAGCCAAGATCCCGGTCGGCCTGACACGCTGAACTTCATCTACGACTTTGACATGGTTTCGCCGTCTGGAAAGATGCTTCATTTCCACGCCTACAAGGTAGTCAGTACCTCCGTGTCCTTCTCGCCTCTCTCATTGTGGGGTGCGACTACGACATTGTACAGCACTATCACCGACCCGAGCAACAATGACAAGGTCGTCGGCCGGGGCACTTTGTACATCTACCCAAAAGACTTTGCATCTGAGATTCAAACCCTGGAACCAAGCGCCCCGACCCTCTTTGGCCGGGCCAGATCGGCCGTCTCATTTTTGAGCTACTTCACCAAACAAGCTAGCAGTCTCTTCTTCTCCCCCCTATCGCCTATGGAGTATCCCACTCCTCACACATTTTCATTCAAGCCGACACCCATCTCTCAAACAGTGCAGGTAAAGGCCTCAGATGGAGTCACATCCACGCTCTGCATGTGGAACCCCAAAGGTAAGAGAACGGAGGATTACGCGCCTGTAATCCTTTTCATCCCTGGAGCATCTGTGGACCACCAGATCTTTGCACTGCCTACAATCGAGAAGAATGCAATCCAGTGGTTCACGGAGAAAGGGTATCGGTGCTACTGCGTGACGCACAGAGTCGGGAGAACAGTAGTTGCTCGCGAGGGACACACCACTTATGACGCGAGACTGGACATCCTTGCGGCGCTGAATAGCATTCGATCGAAATCGCCTGCAGCTATGTCCTCTCTCCCTACTCAGAAGATCTATGTCATTGCGCACTGCGCGGGCTCGGTTGCTCTCTCATCAGGTCTGTTAGACGGCACGATACCCTCTGATTGGCTTGCGGGAATCACTGCCTCTAACGTCTTCATGAACCCTCGATTCGCCAAGGTGAACTACCTGAAGAGTATTCTGCCCATTGGAGCGGATGACATCTATGAAAAGGTTGTGGGGAGTTGGTTTGACTGCTCATCTGGACCCCGTGATGGACTCACTCAAAAGGCTTTGAATCAACTTCTAAGATTCTACCCCGTGGGCGAAGCAGATGAGATCTGTAAGAGCGTCGTGTGCCACAGGAGCTCTCTTGTATTTGGGAGGTAAGTATTTGACTGGGTTCACAGGCAGTTAAATGGTTGACTGACATCTTCTAGACTCTGGTCCCATCCCAAGCTCAACGCTGCCACTCACGCGAACCTCCACCAATTCCTTGGTGGGACAACCATGCGGTCTCTTGGTCACTTGATGGAAATGGGCCAAGCTGACACCGTCATGACAAACGCTCCTGCGTTGGTCAACCTAGTAACACCAGAAAATGTTGCGAGGCTCAAGGGCATTCCCATTCTGTTCTTCTCTGGCGAGAAGAACACTGTCTATGCCCCCGAGGGCACGGACATTAGCTACACTATGTTGTGCAACGCTCATGGGCGACAATGGTATGAGCGTGAAGTCTTCACAGGAAGGGGGCATCTCGATTGCTGGATGGGTAGTGATGCCTGGAAAGACGTCTACCCAAGAGTCGGCAGGCATGTGCAAGCAGTGATGAGTGGAGTCAATCACAAGAAGCAAGTGAAGTAGAAGGTTTGGTAAGGGAAAATTGGGACACTGGGCGAGGGGGATAATGAATGATTTTACATCAATAGCTGAGCTGAAAATATCTTGGGGTTTGGGATGATATATTGGACGAAATTGAAGACTTGCCAGTTCATTATTAGAGCCCCTCTCGCCTAATGCGGTTCCAAGGTGAAAATACGCCTATGGAGATGTGCAGTTCACGAAGCGAAAGTCTAGGATAATTGACGAACCGGAAGAGAGGCCCTAGTGAGAGGACAGTGGGCGTCTAAAGGTTCTCACAATATACTTAATTTACACTGAATGAATCAGTTTTTTAAAAATAATAATAGCTTAATGAATAGGAGGATTTATAAATAGTATATAAAAATAGATAAATAAATAAAATAGAATTATTTATAGAATTGGACATTAAATAAGATCTTTTTCAAAATAAATTAAATTTTATATAGCTTAGGTTATTTTTACGATTAAATACAAAAATAAAAAATAAATATAAACAATTTGCAATAAGATTTCTTCTCCAAGTAGAATTTAATATTTAAAAATTAAATATCTTTTAGGAATTCTTCAAATAGAACTTAGCATCTTAATGTTTTAGATAAAATAGTATGGTAAAAATAACTACTGCAGTTCGCGATTTTAATATTGGCGGAACTTTTGCACGTAACTGTACTACGTAGTAATCCCACGCATCGAAAACACCGTCACGTATTTTTATTAATGCTAGCTTATCCCAATATTTGCTCCCCATGCCATTTATATACTTACTCATTATCGACAGGGTGTGGTATCCAAGCGTCATAACCAATCCAAGCGTGAAAAAATTCCAACAGTGAGGCCAAGGATACCCGGGATAATGGCAATAATAACACTCACGAATGTACTCACCATCACATAACGTGCCCGCTCTTGCTCTAAAACCATATGGCTGGCATTCCACGCTGACTAGGATCTTGCAGCTCCTCAAAGAGGTCCAAAAGACGACTGCCGAAATCCCTATAAGTGATTCCGTCTTCGCCGTCCGGTCGGTAGACCGCAGAACCATGGTGCACGCAGTCCGAGTCTAGCGCGTGCTTTATAACAAAGTTGGGAGGATTCTTTCCGAGTGCGAGTGCGAGTGCGAGTCAAATGGAAAAAGCACATTTTCTACTGAATCCAGGACATCAACCGCGATTTGTCTTGGGACGTTTCTGATAGGAGGGACAGGTTATTACTTCGCGTTAAAAAGTGCTGATGGTTGAGGCTGATTGGAATATTCTCACGCTTGCGGCGCTCACAGGTTTTCTTTTCACACACTTGTGTGGTGGTAATTTTCCACGATTTCTTCTTGGCATCCACCTTCAAGTGATGTTGCAATTTATTAGGCACATGATTGGAAAACCGATGTTGCTTTGCAGACGGGGGCGGTATACTGTCGTTAGAAAAGTACGCATTTGTCAAGGCATCGCGCTTCCAATCTCGATAACTTTGGAGCAGTTGGTTAATCTCAAGAAGGCCTGCATGACTCCCCAATGCCGATTTCTCGTGGGTAATAGCTCCGAGACGCGTTAATAAACGACGTGGCATCTCGGTAAAAGTCAAGAAAGCGTTTCAACCGGGCCAGCACTGCCACGGACAGGTGGGAGATACACACTTTCCGCCACTTCCACAATCCTCAGATATTCCACTGCCAAATTATTTCAGTGAGACCCTGTAGCTCGCTACCTGTAACGTTCTGGAGGGGAAACGGCGATTCAAGTGACTCAATTATCATGTGTCTTTGGATTTCAAGACAACCTGGTGGAGGACAAGTTCCAAGGACGTGAGAAAAAGCAATGGCAAAATGAGTCCTCGCATTATGTACATGATTGAACTTTATTAAGGAACACGTCTACGTACTCTGGGACCTTGAACAGGGTCTCAGTAGTCTTGGCAGAGGCGGAGCCAATGTGAAGGAACTGTCCGATTAGCCGTGGAGCCGAGCACCCCTTGACTACCCCTCGAGGGCCGGCACTTGCTTCGGAAGAACGGCTGCAGCAGTGTGTCCCGAGGCGCATGTTTGGTATTAAGAGGGCATATTAATAAATACGTAGGGCCTTGTTGGGATAACAGCGACAAGGAGTTCAATAAGAGACCTGACAAGGACCCTGACGCAGCGGGGCATACGAACAATTTCTTTTCGCCCGACGCCATACGTAATACAAAAAGCTCGACCCAGTGACTCGGTAAATGAGGAAGGGATTTTCTAGAAGCAGGGATGTTGGATCCTGAACCCAGCAAGAACTCCACAACAAGGGCAATTGGAGGGTGCCCCTTTACCATACGTAGTATCGAATAAATGCCGCGCGTTGCGAACAGACTCTAAACGAAAGTATAAAAGAGACACCAGCACGGATTGCCCGGATGTTAAAAAACCTTAGCAGTTTATGCCAGGAACCCGCAATCCTCCGTTTCATTGCGATGAACTGATTTACTGGAAGTCTAATTTCATGGGCACGTAGACCTAGAGAGTACGAATATATAATTGCCCGAGTCCAGATCAAGGCCTTGGCAAAATCTAGATCAGCTGCCATTCCACTGGTCTCTGTTATTGATGTCGTCGTGACATTCTTTTCGCTCATTTCTCATCTTTCATTCATTGAACTGCCAATCAATTCAAATGCCGCAATTTAACTCCTTTTCGGCCTCGGTTGCAGGCCTGCTGCTGGGCTTGGGGGGAGCCAGCGGAGCCGCCGTGAGCTACCCTTCCAGTCTCGTAGCATCTACGTACTTTGCTGGCTTCCATTCCAATCGCGGATACCCCGTGTCGGACATGTCATGGGATAAGTTCACCGACGTCAAATATGCGTTCGCGTATGTACCTGTTAGTCGAGCGCTGGGAAAGCTACACACTGACTTGGCTGCTACAGGGAGACGACCCCCGACGGAGGCCTGGACCTGTCGCGCGCAGAGCCGGATCAGATCCCAATTTTTGTCGATGCTGCTAAGGAAAATGTTTGTTGTCATGTTTGTGTCCTTGAAGCCTGAGCTGACGGTGCTGTCAAGGGTGTGAAAGCGCTCATTTCCATTGGCGGTTGGACAGGGAGCAGATGGTTCTCTACCAGCTTCGGATCAGCCGAGAACCGAACAGCGTTCGTCAACACCTGTCTTGATCTCGTCCAGGAGCACAACTTAGATGGTCTCGACTTTGAGTAAGTATTGGCGATACTTTCCGTGTATATCAACCACTAATGACATGTTTCTCGCAAAGTTGGGAGTACCCAAACAGGCAAGGTCTTGGCTGCAATGCAATTAACCAGAACGACACTGCCAACTTCCTCTCCTTCCTTGAGGAGCTGCGCGAACAGCCAAAGGGTAAAGACCTCTATCTTACTGCTGCTGGCTCTCTATTTCCATGGAACGATGCGTCGGGGGTCGCGTCGACGGATCTCAAAGGTTTTGCCAGCGTTCTCGACTACGTCATGATCATGGTAGGCCACCACGGACTTGGTTTGTTAAGCAAAAACTAAATTCGCTATAGAACTACGATCTCTACGGCGCGTGGTCTTCAACCGGAGGGCCTAATGCCCCTCTTTCTAGAGCCTGCGACTCTCGGAACAACCAAGGTGCGGCGGACGAGGGTATAGCCAAGTGGCTAGCCACTGGTATTCCCTCATCACAAATTGTTCTAGCCGTCCCTGCCTATGCTCATGGTTTCTCGGTCAACAACACGTCCGCTTTGGGAGCCCACGGCAAGCTCAACCTGTACCCTCCCCAGAACTCGTCGCACCGCTTCCATGGGAGCAGCTGGGACTCCGACCCTCCTGTGGATGACTGCGGCAATGCGCAACCCCCCGGCGGCACGTATACCTTCTGGAGCTTGATCACCGAGGCTGGGTTCCTTACTAAGAATGGTAAACCCGCTCCTGGAATCGCCTACACTTTCGATAACTGCAGCAAGACGGTATGTCAAGACTAAAATTAGCTGGCCCTTCAACATGACTGACTCTCTCTCTAGCCTGCTGTTTACAACAAGACGAGCAACATTTGGGTTTCATATGACGATGCACACTCTTTCAAGGAGAAGGGTAAATTCGTGATCAAAAATGGTCTCGGAGGGTTCGCAACTTACGAAGCTGGCGGCGATTATAACAATATCCTCATCAATGCCATCCGCAAAGCGACTGGCTTAGATTAAGCGCGGGAAGCGATTTCAAGTAGTCCGAGGACACTGCCAAGGACACGCAGGGTAGACGAGTCATAGACTGATTTTGAGTTTCTCCTTCGAAAATAAAAACAAGTTTGCAATCTGGTTATGAGATTAAAAGCCGGAATTTTCAGCTACTATAATTGTATCGTCTTGGGAACAACTTTACCATCAATTTTACTTTCAATTCGATACTCCCTAGCAGGTGAACCTTTTTCTCGGTTTTGTTTATAAGTGGAAATGTCTAGTTCCATTACACGCACCGCTGTCGGACTCGATCACCGACACCATGGTCGACTATTATTCCAAGTGCCGTCGTCGCCACAAAGCACGCCAGAAGCGCCGAATCCTTCCAGTCTGACATCTTGCAACAAAGTCGTTGGAGTCAGTAACTTTCGCAGATTTGACTGTGAACGCCTACAACTATTATGAGAGGAAAAAGCGCCAGAAGCACCAAAACCTCCACAAAAGACGCCAGAGGTCTCGAATTCTCCGAATTTAATTGGCAACGACAATCGGGATGCTATATACGCCACCCAATACCCATCGCCTGAAAATACGCCGATAACATCCAGGTGTTGCGGGGCCACTGAGTTACTAGTAACTAGCTGTCGACAGTAAATGTAATCGACAACTACGACCAGCGCTCGCGACCCTTGAGAGCCCTACCGAGTTTGATAGAAAGGTGGTCGGGGCTACTATATCTGGTCATAACACCATCTATAGGCAAAGTGAAGAACCTCTGCTCAAGCACGTATGTAGCAAGATTCGGGGGAAGAAGTATCACTGCGTTGCAATTAGGGTGATGGTCCTGGGACGCACCGAGGACGACGTGAAGCCTTGGATCGTCGTCCTTTGTCAAAGGCAGCTGTCGAAAAGGTGCAAAGGTTCTCCCACGAGAGCAACGTTAAAGGCTTGTGAAAACTAGATGAATATATTTCAACATCCCTTAAATTTAAAATCACTGGTCAACAGCCGGAGGTCAGGAACGCAGAAATGATATTGATGTCTTCGATGTCGGAGACATAGGCATTTCTCATTGAAACTTACTGTGGATTGGCGATTGCCATTCAACGGCCTTCTAGTATCATAAAACGGTCAACTATCGATAGCTGTACAATATGACGGGGATGTCAATGTTTATGTTTTGTCAGTCGACCATATTCTCGTCAATGATACACCACCAATAGTTGAAGGCAGAGGGTGCATCCAGTGTGTGAAGGAGAACCTGTTGGGTAGATGGATTACAGAACAAGAGCGGGCTCGGAGAACATTTCACAGAGATTCTACCGGGGAATATTTGGTTCAATTGAATGTGGAGTGTTTAGAAAATATATACTAAATGGCTAATTGACCTTAAATGACACCTAAACACGTCTCTTGATACCCAGTCTTCAAATGATAGCAGAGAAGAAGGCTTCAAGCTTGTCGGAAAATAAGCCCTTCTTAAGCCTTGTTCTCGGCTGCCTTGTACTTGGCCTTCAGCTCCTTCTGCATGCGAGCAGCTAGTTTAACATCGAAACCATGCTCAAAGACCTGTCGGACATCCTCCAGAGGAAGACCGTTGGCTTCAGGGAAGAGGAAGAGAACGAAGGTGAAACCGGCACCACAGATGGCTGCATAAAAGCCGAAAGCACCACTGGGGGTCATGCCCTTCATCATGGACAAGAAAGTAGAGGCAATGATGATGTTGCAGCCCCAGCAGGTGACGGTGTTCATCATGGTTCCCAGGGCACGAACCTCGAGGGGGAGGAGCTCGGTTCCAATCCAGGCAATGGTGGCAACACCGGTAGCGAAGCAGGCGACGTAAACGATGATGGTGACGAGAACCAGGATTCCGGCCCAGTTGACGGATGTGGACTCGAGGACAAGGTCTTTAGAAATGGGAATGTAGTGGAAAGCAACAGCGGCAACGGTCAAGCTCAGAGCCTAATAGGGACAATTGTTAGCTTGAACATCGTACGGGTTTCAGTTAGGGATTCTTACCATGCCGGCGACGGTGACGAGGAGAATGATACGGCGTCCCAGCTTGTCAACGAGAACAAGGTTAACGAAACTGAAGCAGAAGTTGGTAGCGCCGACGACGACGGCGACCGCGGTAGGCTTGTTGAAGCCGACAAGGCCAAAGAGGGTAGCAGAGTAGTACATGAGAGTATTGAAACCACCGAGCTGGGAGACTATTCATCGAGTTAGTGTCAAGAGTTTGCGGATTCGCAGGCGTGTGATGCAACGTACTAGCCATAACAGCGCATGCCACAATGAGGGCGCGAAGGTTGGAGGGTACGCAGTGGAGCTGCTTGAACTGCCACCAGAGAGATTTGTCTGCAACGACTTGCGATTCGACCTCGACGGTCCAGACGAGACGGTCCATCTTTGACTTGAGCTGCTCCTCGGTGGCGCTGGAGTAGACCTGGGCAATGACCTTGCGGGCCTCTTCGACCTTGCCGTGGGCAATGAGCTGTCGGGGCGACTCGGGGCACTTGGGGAGGAGGCATGCGAGGATGATGGGAGGGATGCCGCCGATGGCAACCATGATTCTCCAGCCGTGAGCAGCATCGGTCAAGGCGGCGCCGAAGGCGTAGGAAATAAGCTGGCCGAAAGTGACGCTGAGATTGTCAAAGGCAATCATGCGGCCTCGGTATTTCGCAGGAGCAAGTTCACCGATATAGAGAGGCTGTATGTGTTAGAATAGCGTATTTCGTATGGTGGATTGATGGCAGCTTACAATGATCATGGCAGCGGAACCGACACCCAGACCGACGACGAAGCGACCAACCGACATTTGGACAACGGTAAAGGATGCAGCCTGGATGATGGATCCGACGAGGAAGAGGAAGCAGCCGATGTAGATTCCCAGCTTTCGGCCAAACTTGTCGGCGGGCAGACCGGCAATTAGGGCACCGATGAGGGCGCCTCCAGACGTCAAGGATGTGACGAGCTCCTGCTCGTGAGAAGACAATTCGTGGCCGAGATCGTCGCCAATGGTGACCAAGACGGCGGAGATGACACCGGTATCATAACCTGAGCCTCGTTAGGAATGTGTGTTGTGGGGGATGTTGGGGAAGAGATTTACCAAACAGGAAACCGCCCATGGCGACAGTAAAGGTGATGAGCCAGACGGCGCGCGAGGGCTTGGTCTCCTCGATGGAATCATCAAAATCACCGGCGGAGTACTGCTCGACATGTTCGCAGCTCTCGGAGGACTTGCCCATGACGGCGTTTTCCTTGGAGGACGCCTCTTTGTGGTCGTCTACGGCGTGAGACATGGTGGTTGGGGGGAGGGGGAGGACAAGGTGAGAGAGGCACAGACGAAGAATGAATGAATTGAAGAGGGATGCTCGAGACGAGAGAGTCTTGAAAATGAGACCCGAATGCTGCTGCTGCGGAATTGTTGGACGGGGTGGTGGCGGAGGCCAAATATATACTCGGTATTGGGCTGACGACTGGGGAAGGAATCATCACAACGCTGAGTGGGCAGTTTCAGCGGGCAGCCTATTCCACTCGGAGAAAGCGTCCCCATCTTCCCCAGGCCAAAACGACCCAAAGTGACGAGGAATCCCCATGCTGCAGCGCCTGGGAGAGGCCATGATCCATCCGGGGAGCGCTAGACCGGCTTCATTTTTTACGGGGGTGGAGTCGCTCCGGGGTTGGCGCGGGGCGAGGGCCATGCGGGGTAAAGGTAAGGGTCGGTCTGGCGCCGAGTTTGTGCGCTGAATATTACTCTTTGGGATTTAAAAGGAAGACGTGGCCGTTGATTAGCTTCTAGACTGGTGGGAGAAGTCACCCCAGAAATCACCAGTCCCGAGTTTTGAGTCTGTGCTTTTGTTTCTGTGCTGCGGGGAGTCTGTTCGTCACTGTAAAGTGTTGGATCAACTGAATGAAGCCTGGTACAACGTCGCGCGGTGGATAAACATCACTCACTTCAGCCCGGCCTGCATCCCGGTTCTGCGAGCGAGACGCCCTATCGTCGATCAGTTCTTTGTCCAATCCCATTCTAATCCCCTATCGTCTACTGTATTCCCTATATTCCATCACCCATGGCTGGCTCCCTCGCCTCCGCTTGGTCCAGTCCCCTCCCCTCCCTCCTCCCCGTGGCAACCCCCCCGGCCGCCAAAGATGACCGCGAAAGGTAATTTGCGTGATGGCTTCGGCTCAGCTTTCCACCTCATGGATTTTATTCTGACCCGTCTCTGTTAGTTCTGAAGCAGGTCCAGTAGCTGTCCTTCCTCCACCTCCCCCCGCCGTCCAGTATGGGTTTGGGAGCCCGTTAAACACCCACAAGGAGGCCAAGTACTTTATGCACTTCATCCGCAACCTAGCCTCGTGGGTATGCCCGCCCCTCTTTAACCCTGGCATATTGAATTGGAATAACGTCAATTCCTAGTTCGACACATGCGATCCGGCACGCCACTTTGGCATCGAGGTGCCCAAGCGCGCTCATCACCTGCCCCTGCTGGCATACTCCATCCTGGCCTTCTCGGCCCGCCAGCTGAGTTTGACCACGGGCGTCGATGACGGCAGCCACAGCTCATACTATAGCCATGCGCTCCGGATACTCATTCCTATCTTCGACGACCCCAACGAGGCTATGAACGAGAATGTCTTGGCCGGCATCGTGATACTACGTTCGTACGAGGAAATGTTTGGTAATTGCCGACTACTAACATCCAATCACGACCCAATGCTTACGCGAGTTAGAGGGCGACGTCAACACCCACCTCACAGGCAGCTCTCGCCTCCTCAACTCCGAATCCCGATTCATCGCCCGGGGCGGTCTCGGAGAGGCTGCGAGCTGGGTTGTGCTCCGCCAAGACCTCTACGTGTGCTTGACCAGGTCGTTGCCGCTGCGGATTAGTTTGGACGGGTATAAGCACTCGTCGGCGTTCATCGACGCCAACGATCATGCACTCGCGAATCGAGCAGTCTTTATTTGCGGCCGGGCAGTAATGTATGCAATGGGACCAGACTCGACTCTCGATCCCAACGTCTGGGACGAACTGGACAGAGACATGAAGAATTGGTTTCAGTCGACGCCATGGAGATTCCTCTCCCACACAGCGGAGCCATCGGTAATCAACAACGACACCGACACAGCCTTTCCCACCCTCTGGATGCCCCGAAGGGTGCAGGGTATGTTCAGCCTTGCCGTCCCCAAGTCTCCAAAACAAGTCACTTACTCCGAATTTTAGTCCTGGGCTACCAGCATTACTATCTCGCGAGGATGATCCTCGACATGTTCCACCCCAAGCTCTGGAAGCCAAGCTTCGAGGCGTTCCGCAGCCGGGCGATCACACAGGTAAGTCGTTCCGGGTTGGGGCTGACAGCGCGTGCTCACGGCGAGAACTCCAGGACCGCGTGCGCGAGTCTCTGCGCATCCTGCTTGGCTTGACGGTGAGCAACTCGGGCGACGCGACCATCAACTTCACCGCACACCACACACTGCACGCCTGTAAGCCTAGATGCGCCGTTCACTACCCCCGTGGCGCAAGAGCTAACGTCCTGCGCGACTCAGTCGGCGGTTTCCTCAGAGACACGCAGGAGCACGAAGAGGTTCTCCGATTCCTGCAGTACATGACGCAGACGATGGGCTGGCCGACGGTAGGCCTGGCGGACATGCTGCGCGAACAGTGGCACCAGGGAAAACGGAGCCCGGGGAACGCGATCGTTTCTCCGCACGGCCGGGGTGAGAGGGAGCAACAAGCTCCGCGATCTGGGGTCTGGGGATCCGGGGGATGACATGGAAGGGCTTGTACTTGGACTTGTACTACATACTAGATAGTATCTGTAATACACACTACGCAGTACCCTGTACGTAGGCTAATCAAGGACTAATGCACCTGAATCAGGATGCCAACTCCAACTTCCTGCCGAGTGCTACCGCGTGAATCGTGTGGGGGAGCCATCCGGAGATAGTTGCTGAATAGACCAAGACGGATCTCTTCGCCGAATCCATCCTGCAACTAGAAATCGCCCCCTGCTCGTCCTCCCAGCCTTCTCCACACGCTCTCCACCCCCAGCTTCTGGCCGCGCCCCGGGAACAAGTCCGTCTCCAACGCGTGTATATCATGACCTCCAAAGCCCATGCCACCCCGGTATTCGTATCGCCATCGCCCTGCTCGTCGACATCATCCCACCGGCAGAAACAAGGATTTGGCCCGCGTGCTCGGAGCAATCGCCATATTTTAATCGTTGTACTTTGTCGTATTTGCCATCATCATGAACACTCTGTCTCGCGAGGCCACCCTCGACGCCGTCGGCCAGATCCTGGGCCGTCTTGGCCCGACCTCATATCTCGACACCCTTGCCTTGATAACTGTTGGGTTGGTGTCCGGCGCCTACGTCCTGGTCGACCAGATCTGGGGCAAGCCGGACCCTTACAATTACATCTTCTATGAGCGGCCGCAAGAGGCCGATGGCGCTGCGCTCGCAGCTAACCAGACGACTCGCAACATTGCGGACCGCATGGAAGAGCTTGTGAGTGCTTGATTATATCAAATCCTTTGATTTTTCAGACTAATGTTAGTCTAGGGCAAACAAGCGGTCGTCTTCTGGGGCTCGCAGTCCGGCACTGGCGAAGCCTTCGCAAGTCGTCTGGTGCGAGAGCTAGCCCAGCGCTTCCGCCTCGAAGCCATGGCCGCTGACCTCTCCGACTTTGACCCCGAGACCATTGCCCTGATTCCCACGTCCAAGGTCGCCATCTTCATCCTGTCAACCTATGGCGAGGGCGACCCCAGCGACAATGCTGCGCAGTTCTGGGAATGGGCCACCAAGCTCAAGGGGACGCCCCTCCAGCAGCTGAGATACGCCGCCTTTGGGCTGGGAAACAGCAACTACCAGTACTACAACCGCGTTGTCGACTTGGTTGATGAGTCTCTCACCCGCGCTGGTGCCTCGATGCTTCTGCCCGTTGGTCGGGCTGACGACGCTCTTGGCTCCACTGAGGAAGACTTCCTCACCTGGAAGAACGAGTTGTACAACTTCTGCCGCCAAGAGCTTCACCTAGAGGAGCAAGCTGCCAAGTATGAGCCAGCAATTGAAGCTTACCACGACGAGTCGCTCGACATAATCGATCTCTTCCACGGCGAGCCAGCCGCCCACAAGACTGTCAGCGGCGAGAGCTCCATCGGCGCCGTCAAGATCCTCAACTCTTACGAACTCTTCAACTCCACTACTCGAAACTGCCTGCATATGGACATTGACCTGTCCGAGCACCCTGAATGGACTTACAAGACCGGCGATCACCTGGCCATCTGGCCCGTCAACCCCGACCAGGAAGTCGAGCGTCTGATGCGCGTCTTCGGCCTTTCTGAGCGTCGCCATGTGCCTCTGTGCTTCAGATCGCTGGATTCGGCCGTCAGCATCCCTATCCCATCTCCCACCACCATCACAGCCCTTTTCCGCTACTACGTGGAAATCTGCGCCGCTGTGTCTCGCGAGACCGTGGCCAGCCTCATCGAGTTCGCGCCCTCGGAGAAGGCCAAGAAGTTCTTGACGGAGCTTTACTCGTCCAAGGAGGCTTACTCGGCCTTTTTGGCTCGCGAACACGTCACACTTGGAAAGTTGCTTGAGATGGCTGCGGGTCCAGATCAAATCTGGTCCAGCGTGCCGCTGTCCTACCTCGTTGAGACTCTGCCTCGCACTCGACCTCGTTATTACTCTGTTTCCTCTTCCAGCGTTCTCTCCCCCCGAGTCGCAGCCGTCACTGCGCTCGTCTCCAACACGGAACTGTCTGGCGAGACTCCTATTCCAGGTCTTACTACCAACTACCTCTTGGCTCTCTCCGATTTAGTCAACTCGGAATCGCGAACTCATCCTCAGGGGTTCTCCTACGAGCTCGAAGGACCTTCCAAGCAGTTGGAAGGTGCCAAGATCTTTGCCCAACTGCGCCGATCCACATTTAAGCTGCCCGCTCTGCCGTCCACTCCGCTGATTATGGCCGCCGCTGGTACTGGAATTGCTCCATTCCGGGCCTTCATCTCCGAGAGGTTACGCCTCAAGACCATGGGCCGGAAGATCGGAGAAATGGTTCTCTTCTTTGGCTGCCGCCACATCGAAGAGGACTACATCTACCGGACAGAGCTAGAGCAGATGGAGCGAGAGTCCGAGGGCAAGCTCCGCATCGTCACGGCCTTCTCGCGAGTCAACGGCCAGAAGAAGACGTATGTCCAGGACAAGATGCAAGAAATGAGCAGCGACGTCTCGCGACTGCTTGCCGAAGATGCCACGCTGTACATTTGTGGAAGGGCGAGCATGGCCAGAGAGATTGGCAAGACTGTCAGCGCCGTGGTTGGAAAGGATAAGGAGTGGACGCAGTCTCAGGCTCAAGACTGGGCTGCTTCCATGAAGCGCGGACGAAAGTGGCAGGAGGATGTTTGGGGTTAGACATAGATCTTTGTTGCAAATAGAAGATGGTGATGGCCAACACATTGGTGTTTTTGATAGATGAGAATATGGCAGTGACTAATACTTGTGACTTGCGCTAAGCGGGGGATGGCTAGAATGAATTTATTGGTGTTAATAAAAAGAAATATGTACGAGGATGTTATTTTTTTGTTGCCACAAAAAAGCGAGTTGAAGCAAATGTGTGCGTAAGGAACAAGGATGACAAGCGAGCTAGCAAAATAAAACACTCTACAATGTAAAGCCGATAATTTACCTTATGTACTACGATAAAAGAACATGGATGGCGTCATTTCCATGGATCTTTTTATTAAAATAATGCAAGATCACATAAAGGCATGGAAATATTGTTGGGATGGATTTTTTATAGTTTGATACCCTGAACATCAACTCCTGATTTCATTTGATGACCATCCCCATGCCTCTAATAAATGTTTTTGTCTACGAATTCTCATGTTAGTGAATTTAAAAATGACAAGCACATCAAGAAAACTAGCTGACTCACGCAAGTTCTGTTGACAACCCGTACATGTTTGTCGTTTTGACGAGCACATCGAGGAGAGCATGTTGTTGATCTGAGTCGGTGAACCGATCACCAACCACGGAAATGGCCATACATGCAGTTCTAGACTGTTAGGGTAACATTCTATCAGCAGGTGTTTCACGGAACTTACATATGCATTGGGTTAATATCGCTGATGGAATCCGCGATTCCACAGATAATCTCGAGGTCGTTTTTGGTTTGGGCCTATGACGTCATCAACATCGGCTACAAGTCCCAAGTCCCAAAAAGGAAATGTTGGCCGTAGAAAACTCACGTCAATCCAACGGGAGGCTTCTTGTCCCGCTCTGCAGAGCCTTGGAACCCGAGGGTCATGCACCACGAGCAGAATCCTGGCAAGGTGGAAATACTGCAAGCCGGCAGCCACGCAATCGTTCAAGAGCCAGATCTCGGGAAAGACTTCGCGGCCTTGCCGCCGGCGAATCATGACGGGAGTAAAGGACGACGGGTTGGTCATCATCCAGGTGGAGGATGACTCGAGCAGCCTGTCATATGTAGATGTGTTCTTGTCATCTCCGAAGCAGTACTGCACTGTGGCTAATAGCTCGACGAGCATCTTGTTTGCTCTGGCGCGGTCGTCTCTGCTTTCGGTCAGGCGATCGAGTCTGGAGCGGGCGACATCCATGCTTGGTGTGATTTGGTTCAAGACGGCTAGGAACAGTTCCTGTCTTAGCCTCGCCCACAGGACATCATCGTGAGATGTTTCGAGAGGCCTGGATGAAAGAGGGGACACTTGAGGCTTTGAGGTGGTAAACTGGGCAACGGCGGAATCTGAGGCGGTGCCTGAGATGGATGAAAGTGATTAGAAAGCATTTGGAACTTCTGGAAATAAGAGAAGCAATTGTAGGTAGTTGGGCGGATTGGGTTGGCTCTGGGCATAATGATAATAGATGCATGCACGTTCAAGAATTCCTTACCATCCATGTTTAAGATGAAATGATGCAGAAGCAGAGCAACGTCTAGAGTATCATCGTCCATGCCCGCCAAGGCAAGTTGCTCTAAATTCACATCAAGGTTGGCCGACCGCTGTGGCTCCTTCCTGGTAGCATTGGAGTGCCACGCAGACACGGCGAGGATGAGCTCGAGCAGAGGAGAGCTCAGCGTGGCCTGGGACGGTATGCGCTCGGTAAAGTACTTGTTGGGGTCATAGGAATCAAACGCCGGGCCGATGTTCCTCACGTAGTAGCGGAACAGGTCGGCCTTGCCGCGCTCGTTCAGCGGGGCACTCGAGACTTCGAGACGTGGCGACGCGCCGTACTGCAGGATGGAGTAGGGACTCAAGGTGCTGCGGCTCGCAAAGGAGTAGGCGTGGTGGTCGTCGTGGGATTGCTCAGAGAGGTTGTGGCGTAGGGATGGGGGCGTGGTCATGGCCAGGAGGTCTGATCGTTGGGGAGTGTCAAAGGTCAGTCTGGGAGTATCTGCCGGGCGAGAGAAGCCCGCGGCCGAGCTGGATGTGGCCTCATCATCGACGCTTCTCACGGCGAGGGAGTCGATGCCCCAGATGGCAGTTTTCAGCGCCTTTGTTGGGTCTGGAGCCGAGTCTGGAAGATGACCCGAACTCGAGTCCACTCCGCGGGTCGCCGGATGTCTCACGATGGGGATGGGTTCCTCATCATCGTCGTCGTCTTCTTCGTAGCAGCGAGCAACCTCAAGGCTCTGATCGAGAAACTTGAGTTTCTTGCCAGACGTCTTGCACCAGACCTGGCTGTCCGAGAACTCGGGGCGCGTACCCCTGGACACGAGCAAGTCAGCGCTGTGGGATCTGGGCGTGGGGGCAGCAGGATGCTCCGGGCCAGTGCAGGGGGAAGAGACAAAGGAAGAAGACCAAAAGAGAGGACAGAGGAAAGAGAGCCTCACCCGGGATTGGAATTGTGGCGGAACCTAACCCTGAGGCTCCTGTTGCACTGAATTCGTTTCTTGACGCACTGGGCGCAGGGTTTATCGCCGTCACCTGTATGGAGGAGAGATGGTCAGCCAATGGACGTCATGAGAGGGTCAGCGTGCAACCCACACTTGAGATGTCTAAAAGCGAACCGATCATGTGAGCCAGGATCCTCGATCGATGAGAATTGCCTTGTCAGGGTGAAAATGGAAAGTGGACGGTTCGGACTACTCGCCTTGCACGGCAGTTCTCCCCAGAGTTAGCTAGACAAGGGGATGAGGTGGAGACTGGGGTTCAGGGAATACCTCGCATCCAGGGCGTCTTGGACCTGTGGACGGCATGACGCAGAAACCTGCAGTCGCTGCAAATTTCCCTCTATCGTCCAATATCACAGAAATCAACGTAGGATCCTGTGGTGGTGCTCTGCACCGTCGTCTGGGATGCTGGTTGCGGGTCGCTGCAGCGGCCGGGGCGGGGGCTCTCGCAGTTTATATCCCTTTTCGACGCACAGGGAAATGTCTGGTTACAGGGGGCGTTTGATGGGGTTACAGGGGGGTGGGGCCCGTGGAGGTGGGGTTGGTGCGGAGAGAAGGCCTAGAGACGCCCTGGAGGCTAGCGGCTGTTTTAGGGGCAGGGATGGCACTGTCTGGTTCGTTGATGGCATCTCGGAGATGGAGTTGGCGATGCGTCATCCGCATGGCATCCACATAAACCGCCACGAGGACGGGCGAGAGATGCCTCACGATGCGGGGGAGCCCAATTCTTGCCCTTCTCTCCCGTTTTGCTAGCGTCGCTAAATCCTTGCCCAATCTGGCATCCCCATGGCGTCCCGAGAAGGTCCGCTAGCATTGGCTATCTCACTCTGACCATCACCGCATATAAGACGCCAGGCGACTCTTGTTTCTCTACTACCAAGCCATTCACTCTCAGACTCTCTCTCAGACCTCCTCGCTAGGAGCAGCACATAACTATATCTCACAGCTTCGTTGTTGTCTTCATCTGTTTCTGCATCACTTGTCTTTGTCTCTGGCGACCACAGGCCTATCAGCCGCACCTCGCCACCATGGAGTCGGTCGCAACTCTGGGCAATGCCCCATATGCTGCTGCACTTGGCATCTTCCTCATCGGCTACTTTGTGCTTTACCCCGTTGTTGTTTACTTTAGAGATGTCAAGGGTAAGCCACTTACAATCTCACGGAAACTCCTGCTAAGCTATCTCAGGCATGCGTCGTTTCCCCAATATGTCCACCTTCTCCGGCATGTCAGCTCTACCCTTCATGTTCCTCGCCCAGGGCGGAGCTCGCTCTACTCACCTCGCCAAGCTGCACAAGAAGGAACCCATCCTCCGGACCGGCCCCAACTCGCTGTCCTTTGGCAGCGTCAAGGCCATCAAGGACATCTACGGTCACGGCACGCCCTGCATCAAGGACGAGTCGTACATCCTCACCGCCGGCTCGCACTTTAACCTGGCCGACGTCGTCGACAAGCCCGATCACGCCCGGAAGAGAAAGGTCTTGTCGTCGGCCTACGCTCTCAAGAACCTCGAGCGCTGGGAGTACAAGGTTGCCGACAAGGTCGCCCGCATGATTGCTCAGTTCGACAAGCGATCTACCGCTCCTCTGCCCAAGGGAGTCAAATACGCCAGCGCTGAGGACCTCACCGTCGACTTCCGCGCCTGGACAAACTTCTTCTCCCTAGATGCCATCGCCGATATTGGGCTCTCTGAGCGCTTGGGTCTTCTTGACCAGGGCCATGACCGCGTCGTCGCCCAGGAAAAGGACGGGTCTCTCTTCGAGACGAACCTTCGCCAGTGCCTATACCCTACCGCTCGCAAGCAAGCTCATCTCCTCTGGAGCTACCAGAACTACAAGCTGCTCGACAAGATCTCCAACGTCATCCCCTACTACCGAAAGATGTCTGAGTCCAGCCGAGGCTGGGACGCCATTGTCCTGCGCCGCGCTAGCATTCGCCTGGAGCGATACCGTGCCGGTGAGAAGCTCGATGACTTCTTCCACGCTCTGATGGAGGACAAGAACGGCCACCCCCACAACCTCGAATGGGGTGAGATTGTTGCCGAGATCAACATCATGATGAACGCCGGCAGCGTCACCACTGCCATCGCCCTCGCAAACGTCATGTACCAGCTCCTGCTCAACCCTGATATTCTCGCCACCCTGCAAAAGGAGATTGACTCTGTTTTGGAACCGGAAGAAGTTGTTGCTCCCTACGACAAGATCAAGCATCTTCCGTACCTCCGAGCCTGCCTCGACGAATCCCTGCGCCTCTTCCCTCCTACTCCCCAGGGTCTTGCCCGCGAGACCCCTGCCGAAGGGTTGAACATCATGGGCCAATATGTCCCCGGGAAAACCACCGTCGCCGTGTCTTCACTAGTTGCGCACCGCGACGAGTCTGTGTACCCCAACGCCGAAAAGTACATCCCTGAGCGATTCATTGGCGACAAGGGCAAGGAGCTCCAGGCATACTTCCTTTCGTTTTCTGCGGGTGCTAGAGGCTGCATTGGCCGCAACATCTCCTACCTGGAGCAGACCGTGTGTCTTGCCTCTGTGGTCCGCAGATACAACTTTGCCCTTGCTGAGGGCTTTGAGCTGAAGCGGGAGGAGACGATGAACCACATTCTCGGAGAGATGCCCGTCAAGGTCTGGCGGAGGGACCTCGGCGAGGAGAACTGAAAACTGCATAATGACTGATTTGGATAAAACGAGCATGGAAATGGCATGTCATATTCGAAGCGATGAAGAATAAGGGAGGATAGAAAGAACTCCAATCTAGAGTTGGGCAGACTGCCATGTTGAAACAGCACCATCAACAAAGAACCATAATCCCTCACTCTGGAGCCCAGAGTAACATCAAGAGATAGGGGAAAAAAACCGTGACTAACGTAGGTACGGAATAAACCCTGAAGAATTGATGTCAGAATAACATTGGTCCATCCAGGCCGCTTAGATAACCCTAAGCTCCCCGTGACCAGTTCAAACCTGCTAGTCTGGAACCGCTGGATCATGCAGCATGGATATCCCTGGTAAAGTGCATTATCCAATAGATTCCATGGCAAGCTAAGCGCTGCGGCGTTTGTCCATGTGCAGAAAGCCCGCAGGATTGGCCCATAGGGCTCCTCTCGTCCCCGTCTCCTCACTTAGAACGGACTAACTACCGATGCGATGCCAGGTCACAGGGCTCAGTACACGTGATAGACTTGATTTAATCTGTTGAATGGATAATGAACATCTTCCTCGCTGAAGGAATTGCTTTTACACCTAGAACATCCTTCAAAGATCCAACCTTTGCGTCCTCACTACCTAATCTTGCCTACACCAGCACCCGCCTTGCAGACTTTGGCAACCAGTGTCAGTGGTGTTAATTGGTACTTGTAGCTGGTCTTATAGAAGGTTCCGACCTGGGTGATGTTAATTTGGGCCGAGCCCCAGTCATTCTCTGTATAAACGTCAGCTATCTTCTCTCTTCGAATGGAGTAGGGGTATACATACGCGCACCAAGGTTCGCATAACCGTCTAATTCTTCGTCACCGCATACACATGTGTTTGGAGAGTCCATTGGGATCACCAGGCCGTATGTGCTGAGCGCCTCGGTCGTGTTGCCGCGGAACACGTTTCCCTCGACGAGCACCTGGTTGTCGGACCGGCTGTGAATTGCCTGGTACAGGAAGTCTTCGTACAAGTTGTTGTAGATGTGCTGATGGCCGAAACGACCGGCGGGACCGCGAGTGCCCTCGTTTCGCCAATAGTTGTGGTGATACGTCACGTGGAGATGTCCGAAGTCGGTGCCGCGGAGTGTGGCGTCGTTTCCGACAAGCGATGACTTCCAGTGGTCGTGGAAGTAGTTCCACGAGACTGTTATCCAGTCAGATGCGCGAATGATATCGACTTGGCCATCCTAAATATTATTAGCCAACGACTCTGAAGAAGCTCTAGTGTTGGGGAAAACAGTGGTAGCGGAGAAGAAGACCGGGATCGGACTTACATAGTAGTCAGGCCCTTTGGTGATGTCCGAGGTGAACTCGTTGTGGTCAATCCAGACACGAGTGCTGTTGCGGATCGTAATGCAATCATTGTCGAGGATATGGCTGATCTTCAAGTTCTGCACAATGACATTGTCGGTGTTGTAGATGTTCAATCCGTAGCCAGCGATTTGGCTCGACGATCCTATTCCGATGATGGACTTGTTGGGGCCGACGGGGAGGCGCGTGATTAGAGTGATCGTGCCCTTGATCTTGACAATCCTGGGCGTAGTGCCAGACACGGCCGCTACCAGCTGGTCGGCCGTCGAGACATAGACGGTGTGGCCGCCCTGGCCGCCAATGGTCTTGCCGAGGGGATTGTGTTTGGCGTAGCCCTCAATGCCCCAGGTAGCCACGTCCAGGTACGCCTTGGGGAATTCAGAGGCAGAGCTCAGGCTGACAAGGCCGAAGAGGAGGAAAGCTACGTTGAGCTTCATGTTGACAAAAAGATTCGCTGGATTGGCGTGCAAAGGGCCAATTTGCAGCAGTAAGAAATGCGAAGCTCAATCGCCAAAGGTTGGTGGTCTGCTGGAAGTAAGTTTATCAATTGTGCGGCACCGCGTCTGGTATATATACTCAATGGAGCTTCACCTGGAGAGCTTCCGAGGCCGCGGATAGCTCAAGCTCTTTCCCCAGACCCTACGACCTGTCTATTCCCAGATCATGCGGAGAACCCTGCCGGCAACAATAATGGCACCAATACCATCGCTCGACGACGTTGAATTTGCGTTAAGCTCCCTGGGGACGATCACAGGCCCAACGTGCTCGGTGTTTAGCCGAGTAATGCTACTGGTGGAAATGAAAGGCTCCGGTGGACGCGAGCATCCTTATTTTCAGCAGGCAGGTTTGCACATGGTGATCTTGGCGCGCCTGGATGGAGTCGACATGCACATTGCTTTCTTTACCTGACTGGTGGGACGATCAAGAGGCACAGAGACGGGAACAAGACGTCGGGGGTCTCGCAATGGCGACTTTTGAAAGGTGGAAGAAAAATATCGTGATCCTGGTTGTGGCGCGCTGCCCGAGTTAGTACTGATCAACCCGGATAGGACCAAATAGCCGAGAACAGCCGTCATTTCTTCTTGGCTGCGATGTCGAGCTGTGATGAGACCCTTGGAAGATTTGGACGAAATTCCCTCATCAAAAGGGTCTCCCGATGATGCCCGTGACGTCACGCCTGGTGAGAGAGCTGCGGGTGTGTTCGAGTCTGTGATCGGTAGGAGAGACGATGGAGCTGGATCAATTTACTACGCCGCAGCAAGTCTCAGAGCATTAAAGGTGTGCGTGATTTGTCACAGCCAAGGACAGCCAGTTCCCGAAGGAAGTTTCCTGGAAAGGTTGATCCCCCGGCAGCCTCGCAATCTCCCATTTTAGTTCAACGGCCCTCATGAGGGATTCATGGTTACTCAGAACCCAAAACCCCCAACACGCATCAAGGTTATTTCAACCAACCCTTATGTCCTGTACGCATAAAAAGATCCCGACTCGTTTACTTGCTGTCATACCCTAGATAAAACACCGACTGGGCCGTTATTGGGATCAAGATCAAGGGCTTCAACGCCGTCCTCGTTACGATATGAAATGGCAAACAGGGCTTACTATAGGCGTAGTTAATGACATATAGCGCTAGGTACGTCTCAGAAGAGGAGTCTCCAGGTAAAATTGATGTCCAGCTGAACACCTGGTTAGATTACTAACTCGCCGAATATCCTCCGTCTACGAATATCGTCTGTCCCGTCACCGTGGCGCTGGCAGCGCTCGCCAAATACACAGCAACCCCGGCAAAGTCTTCCGGCACACCGTTCCTCCCAATCATTGTTTTCGCCGCGTGCATCTCAACCTTTGAAGCATCACGGAAAACAGGCTCAGTCAGAGGAGTGCTGACTAACCCCGGCGCAATTGCATTGCACAAAACGCCCTTTGGAGACCAGGCTTCTGCTTGCGAGCGCGTCAATGAAAGCAGGCCTCCCTTGGACACGCCATAGGCACCGCTGTTGCCAAAGGCTCGGAATGTCTGCTGGCTGATGATGTTGATGATTCTCCCACTTCCCCGCTCGGCCATGCGCGGACCAAATGCCTGTCCTAGGATGAATGGTGCCGTGAGGTTGACCGCAATCGTGGTATTCCAGACATCTTCAGAAAGGTCATCCATGTGTGGTCGATAGTTCACCCCGGCCGCATTGACTAGGATGTCCGGAGTGCCGTGTGTCGACGTGATTTGCTCAATGGTAGCCTTCAGAGATGCGACGTCGGCGAGATCCGCAGTCACGGCCGACGCTTGCACATTGAACGTTGCGAGATGCTCAATTGTTTCTTGAAGAGGCTGCGGTCGTCGAGCAACAAGGACAAGTCGACAACCAGCGCGACCGAGGGCGACGGCCATTTCACGGCCGATGCCAGAGCTGCCACCAGTGACGACTGCGGTTTGGCCGATGAGCCCGAAAAGAGACTCGAGATAGCCTCCCACAGTGTGTGTACTTCGCGCCATATTAGCCTGTAGGATCTTCAAACTGTCGCAAAGATGGATCTGAGAAAGACGGAAAAAAATAAAGAGGTGACGCATTCTGGCGAGGTTCGGAATAGCGTACAATACAGATATTGATTGGGATCAATCGGCAAGGGTTTCCCCGGACCGAGCTAATGACTCATAATTAGCTGCGTGCTCAACCCCACAAGATACGGTGATGAGGACGATGAAGAACCAGGATATTTGTGTTCGAGCAAAGTAGATGTGATTTTAAGTCAATTCCATTATACTATCTAGCCTCACTACCAACATTCGAATCTACCCATCTCTTTCTAGCTCCCTCTAGAATGGCCGTTGAACTTGGGATTCCTCTCGATCTTTATTGTAATCTCCTCAGTCTTAAGAATCTTGTTCGCCATCATACGGGTCAGCTCAACCTGACTTCCTGTTTGGTCGTGGTGCTCCAAACTTGCCGCAGAAACGTGGCTTTCGTGTGATCCGTCGCGTTTCTGCCAATAGACACCAGTGCTAGTAACTGTCGCGATCCCACCAATCCGGGCTGATATATCCACTGAGGGAACTCTAAAAGCCGACTCTGCATCTCTGCCAGTATTTCCTTGAGAGAAAATGTTGGAGATTTTGCGGAGAAGAGGCCGAAGGGCTGTCATAGCGACGATGATAATCGAGACGCACATTTGAGCCATTGCCCATATGTCTGTCGGGGTTTTGTGTTATTGCATGTAAGTTAATAGACTTGGTAGTACTTACCGACGAGTTGGTCATGTTTGAAATATTGCGTCATTGCAATTCGCGTTATGCTCACTGCAATCGTGATAATACCCAGGGCGAAAATAAGCATGACACTTATTTTCTCCTTTCTGGAGGGAAGTTTCACATCCTTGATCAAAGGAAAGGGAAACATAAAGACTGTGAAAATAATTAGACCGTCAAGAATTACTTGGCATCTTCCGTAGCCGAGAATACATACATAATACTTCCGTAATAAAGCACAACGCCCAATTCAGTCTCATGAGGTCCCCATGCCGATATGTAGTACAAGAATCGGGATCTTGTGACCTTTGTGGGTTCAAGGCGCGTTAGGAGCAAGTTTGCGGCTTGGGTATTAAGGAACTTATAAGGTGGAACTTTACCAGTTGACAGCCACGTTCGGCCCACACCAAAATATGTTGGTGAAGAGAGTCACTAGAGTACTGAGGGCCGTGAAGGTGGTGAGGGCGTAGAGCGTGGCTCGCATTCGGGATTCGGTTGGGGGAACGAGGTTGTAGTAAAAGTTGATGATGCTGAATTTCGGAAAGTAGAGGCCGAGGTAGAAAAAGAAATTACTTGCAAACCGCAACTATGAGAGTCAAAATACGTCTGGTTAGCGAGTGACGTTGGCCAGGATGCCGTATGCAATTGTGTCGGATCCAATTTGGGAAGAAACAAGTAGACTGATTCGAATGCGGAAGCCTACCTTCTCCACGGGTGTCGCCGAATCTCTGAGATTTCCAAGAGCATGGTGTGTATATATCAATGTCTCGCATATTACCACCGCCTGCGCTGCTGCCATACCAAGAAGTAGCCAGTAATCTGAGACGTTGAGGGCGTGCCGTCTCAGTCGCAGTCGAACGTAAATGCGGGCCGCGACAAAAACATAGGCCAGGATGACCAAGGCCCATTCGACAGCCTGGAGATATTAAAATTAGTAAATAAAATGTAATTTGGCGTTCAGTCACTTGTGCTATCCGTTGGAGGGACCAAACTTACAATCGCCGTTCGGCTCGGCAACACCATCTTGAATTCGTATACGAGCAAATGACGATTACGGGCCAAAACCCCGCCCGGGTTAATGTGATGAGGGCCTTGAGACGGATGAAAGAAGGGCTGAAGAAGCGGGGGAATTCCCATCTAGATATACCACTACCCGAAACTTTAGTGACGGAGCCGGCTAGATCTAGCTTCATCTGCCGCTCCCGGTCGACCACCCACATACCAAGGCTCAAGCCACAACTCTGCCTCATGCACTCTCCGGGGTCGACTGTGCAGAAAAGGTGAGTGGCGACTATATACATGGGCCTTTTGACTGACAGAAAAGCTGCACGGCATAGCCCAAGCATTCCATGACCTGCAGCAACGATGTATTCAATCCTGTACGACAGTAAAGATACCCACTCCCTGAACCCCATGGAAGGCTTCCTGCACGATTCAGGGCGACCAAACTCTTCTTGGTGTGGCGTGTCTTACTTTGGCTGGTTGCAACATTCCTGATGCTGTGGCGAAATGATGAACACCACCACGATTGGCCTGAAACACGCCACTCATCCCCGGGATGTGTAGAATAGATGTGTGGCGCCTTGGTCTAGACGGAGGACCTGGTCGAATTTCACCATACTTTAGCCACTTGCCCAAAACAAGCAAGAAGCTGTCAAAGCGTCGACAAGAAACACGAGACCAGGTGCTCGGTTCCATGGGCTCTCTCCGCTGTGGACTGTCGAGGGTTTACAATGGAGTATTCCTATTCGCACACATACCTATTGCTGTTCGCATATATAACCATATTCTTAATCCTACTAAGAATTATATAATATTCTGCTAAAGTAATTTAGAAGAAGGCAGATTCAGCTATAAAATAGGTCGTAAATAACGCGAGGGTGGATTACTTTATTCCTCCCCCAATAATAAGACAGATGGCTGTATTAGCCGGGCTGATGCTTTGGCGAAGAAGCTTGCACCTGTGTGCGAATAGCAATACTCTTATCATATCGGGTGATCATTACGATAGGGCGTTATTAATTCCTCCATGCACGTTACACGCTTATCTCTTAGCCGTGATTTCACCTGGCGAAACCGATCGGAGTATCAACGATTTTAGCTTCAAGCGGTTGGCCGAATATTTCTCTACGATATATCCCCATTTTTGTTAAATAATGTAGGACCAGGCTCCTTCCATCACTTGCATGTTAACTGGGATTATATAACGGGCGACGGCATCGTCATCACGACGTCGTCCACCTACCAACAACATATAGTGTGAGAAGGTCGTTTTTCTTTCCCGGCCGGATTTGAACAGTTCAGTTCATGGTTGCAAGAGAAAAGACTTACTTGGATTGAACTTTGATCTTTTGATTCAATTTTCCAAGACGGAACAATGCCGACTTTGAACAAGGTCATAGCACTGGCAAATTAGGAATAATGCAACAAGGCAAGTTCTTTGTGTGTTTTATGCGACCTTGGAAGTAATTTTACATCTTTGTTTCATTCAATGTTCATATGTTCAGAGATATCAAAGCCGTACAGCAGTTACAAATCATCGTGGAACACAAAGAGCACCACATCTAGTGCTAGGAGATACAGTAACTCATCCAATCGAGCTTTTACGCTTTCAACATTTCCTCAAACTCTGAAGCACATTCTTTGTTTCACCTTGCCTGATACGGGTCGTAAATATCCATCGTCTCGGGAAATCCCGTGTACGTTGCTATAAAGTCTCATGATATTTCCCAAAGCGATATCCAAGAGTCTGTATACACATCCATCACAAACCCTTCAAATCTATTTCGACCTCCCAAGTTCGACAGGAAATACAAAATTCAACCACAGAAACTAGAAGTCGCGAACTATACACACAGACACTCCCCAAGTTTGTGACCAAGCCAAGAAAGATGTCGTCTATTAATCCAATCGATGCCATGGATCTGGACGGCCCGTATGTCTCGGACCAGAAACATCCTGGTTGCATAGATTTTGGTTATTTCCTCCGTTTGAAAGCATTCTTTGAGCACAAGTCGTCTGAGGAGATGTCTGTATTACTAGCGGGGAATATCATGGTTCGCCCCGTCAAACCATTTTCCTACGTACAAACTAGGCAGATTCGAGGTCAGTAATGGACTCGTCGCTTTTATCTTCTTTTTGTGTTCTTATGAAATGCAAGACATAAGGTTTCTCGCAATATATGACATAGAGCTAACCAAATCACAGGCAAATATGGCGTGGATAGATTATCCGAGATGCCCAATGAAATACTCCTCATGATTCTATCGCATGTTCCTTCAATGTCAGATTTCAGAAGGGTCGCAAATCTATCACGGAGATTTCATAATAGGTTTGGTCAAGAATTGTATCTCGAGTTCGGTCGAAAATTCGACTGGCTTCCTCTTTTTGTCGGTGCAATGAGGGGCGATATCAAGCTTTTAGAACGCTGCCTGGGTCATGGTGCTCCAATAGACCAAGTCTGTACCAGCGACCAAGTCTGCTACACCACTCCTTTTTCAACCAGTGATAAGATCGATTGTTGGAACTTGGTGTATCCATTCCATCGTCCCATTCATATGGCCATTACCCACAGGCAACTCGATACTGTACGTTGGCTTCTGGCTCACGATGCTGATCCCGGCCGACCTGGGTACCTCAGAGCCCCAGGGGACTCCTTCTCTACGCCTCTTATGTGGAGCCTGCATGTTTTTGGAGGTCTAGTTACAGCAGACAGCGGGGACATAATACCGATCAATTTCGAGATATTTCGCACTCTACTGGAGGCTGGAGCGGACCCGAACGCCAACGATATTGAATTCGGCTACCCGTTATGCAGACTTTTCTGCTCGTACTTTGCTTACCACCGTTTTAGCTTCGTATACTTTGCGATTCTTTTGAAATATGGAGCGGAATCAAAACAGCTCTGCAGGCATCGTCATGTCGACCATACCTGCAGTCTGGACTCTTCCCACTTCAAATTTCAGCCTAAGCCTAACACGACTTGCAAACAGTATGTCAACCGGGCCCGCGCAAAGTGGTGGCATGAATATTTGATGTTCGTGAAAAAAAGCAAGGGCATCCGGGACCTTTTATCGATTGAGGAGTTTACGTTAGGGCTCCAATGTTTGTCAACTATTCGAGATCTACAAATAATTGCTGAGTCGAAATAAATCTCGTTTCTCTAGTTATCTCTATCGCTAGGTAAAGACTCTGGACTTTCACTTCCAGAAGAGTTCAAGTAATGATTTACAGTACATAAGTGGGCCACAGGGGAGAAAGAGGCATTCTCTTGCGGGGGCTCTTCATCTGAAACTTTGGGCTATCAATTTAACCTGATTAGTTGGTCTTAGAGCGACAGGGAGGCTACTAGAAATAACAAGGATGGACGGTCGAACCTCATCACCAGCCTGGAAAAACCTTGGTTAATCATTAGCTTTTTGCTTTTTACTTGTATCATCCGTTGGTGAAGTGCATGATGAGACGGTACTGAGAGTGACATTTTCACGTGCCTGTATTGACTGCTCCGCGTATCTCTGTAATGCCTTTAGTAGAAATCTTAAGTGATTATATGTAAATCACATGGTAGAGATAGATGCACGGGATCGGAGGTGAACAGCAGGAAACCAATTATTTGAGCATTACAGTATCTACTCCTCTCCCTATGAGGAAACTCAATAATTGCATCTCCTGCTTTTTGGTTGTGCATGTCAAATTGCCACGGTCCACATTCGGGGTTCAAAGCTCATTCGTTTCAATCTAAAAGCTTTAAGCAACAGTTTCGTCAAGCTGTTGTATCTTTTAGCATTGGGTGCAGTGCTAAATGTCTTCTCCTGTTGTTTGTAAACATTGTACCGTAGAAACTCAGTTACCTCACACAAGTAGCGGCCCCCATAAAAGCATAGGGCGACAGATGAGATTGACTGCTACGTTACCGCCTCAGAGGCTCTTGGCTGCCAGGTGCTTGACCTAGTTTGTCCTCACAGTGACTTAGAGGTGGGGGCATTGCAGTGAAGGGAAGACAAATTAGGTTTAAGTGCCGTAGCAAACAGTAAATACAATAACAACTTGCGCTTTATAGTTTACCCAAACTCCATTCAAACTCCCAGTGTGTATCCATTCTTCCTGGGTCCTTATTTCTTCGTCCTCCGTCCTCCCGACCAGACAACGTCCATCTCTCCACCTCGATTGTCCCACACCTCATCGGCCCGTCAGTACAGGATGTCATAGACATTGAACGCATTTACTATGTCCAGTGGATTGATGGTATCCCATATCGTAGGGGATTGAACCGCTAAGTCCATCAGCCGCTTAGCGGCAAGCTTCTGCCCCCTCGTAGCGGGCCACTGGACGCCGAAGGATCGAAACTGCTGCGAGGCCTGGTGGAAGGCTGGGTCGTTCGCGAAAGCTGTGATTAGTGCCTCAGCAACACGAATAACGGCGTCGTCGGATGAAGTGTCGCCATCTAATTTAAGTTCGTTCCACGGGAGAGTCAACACTCTGGTAGCGAAATCCTTCTTTGAAGAGTGTATACGGTCAGAACGATCTTTTTGACAACGGTTGAAGACAGGAGGGATAATACCATCATAGCTCGGGTCGGAAGTGTCGGTTGCGGGTAAAAGCGCTGGTTGTCCAGCCCTTTGTTAAACATCGCTCGACTCAAAACTTGAAGGTGCGTTCCGATCTCGTTGATCAGGGCAAGAGTGACAGGCCGGCTGAGGTCTCTAACATAGGGATGCCGAGCCATCCCCTGTCTTAGGACCTGCCCAGTATTGTATCTATCCGATCGATACGACATTGTAAAAGAGACGCAGGTTGTATTGGCGAATGCTGAAAATGGAGAAAAATGATGTTGGTGAACGGAAAATGGAGGTAGATGGTCTGGTGAGTGTTGAAAGTGGAGGCAGACGGTTGGTGAATGCTGAAAATGGAGGTAGACGGTTGATGAGTGCTGAAAGTGGAGGTAGACGGTTGGTGAATGCTGAAAATGGAGAAAGATGGTCTAGTGAGTGCTGAAAATGGGAGTAGATGTGTTGGTGAATACTGAAAATCAAGTATGAAGATTGGGAATGGGATGCTCTTTTATTTAAAAACCGGCCACCAGAAGATCAAAAATGGATGCAAATACCCCAGCGCTGGACAATTCAGTCTCACGAATTGACAGTCTTCCAGCAACATGACTCCATCTTGGCAGAGAAATTACTGGCAGGGGTGTTTCCCAAGTAGACGGTGAGTTGCGGAACCCTCACCTGAGCGGCGCCAAGGGGTTCGGCCATTCTGGGACCCAATGTGTCATGCAACTTGTTATTGATCATAAAAATAGGACTCTGAAACGGAAGCCCGTGAACGATGGGCGACTACCTGAAATCATGTCGCAGTTCAGCTGGTCTTGAAGAACAAAGAACCCGTGCCTTGATAGGATAGCTTCGCGGAGGCGCAGCATCCGCTTGTGCCATCTCGCGGGCTTGTTGTTTCAGTCGCAGGTGAACTAGAATATGTTGGTTGAGAAGAAGGTCTTCAGTATAATGACTGATCAAAACCGTGCCGGTGATGTCCGAATGGTGGTCTAAAATGGATTGCTGGCGTTGACAGCGCGAGGAGGCGCCAGGGGGCCGTGACTCTGGGCCACCCGGGATTCTAGAAAAGTCCCGACTGAACCCTGGCAGGTCCCGGAATAGCCTCTCGTTTCATGGGTTGACTCATGGTAGGCAAACCGGTGAGGGGAGGATGATGGGATGAGTCCTGGCAGTTGGGCCGATCAGTAGAGGATCATGGGGATCATGAGAAGATGATTGGCAGATGGAGATTGTCATCCCAGCAGCGCAGCCCTGTGCAATTGCCCGCAGAGACAGTGGTGATGAGCGGCAGGGGTCTATTCCAGCCTCAACTGCACTCCACGTTCCAGAGTCCATGTGTCCAACCGCCCGTGGGGTCGCCCCGAGCCTCCTGGGTCTGAGGTGCGGGAGTGTGATGGCTCAACCTGCATGGCACTTCTAACGCCAGCACTTACGCAAGCTCTCCTACGACCGTGTGTAGGGCAAATTAGTGATTCCAGTAAGAATGAACGTCAGAAGCGAAGTGAGTGGATGCCCATGTGCCCTGCCTGTTTCTTTGTATGATGGTGATTCTTGGCGATGACAGTACCAAAAAAGGAACTGCAAATCAAGCCCAACAGCGCCCTCTAGCTGCCATCGGATCGGGCCATGACCACTACCGCTGTAGTTGGCGGCGGTGGTGCAGCATCCGCGGGTTCCCCTGTGTCCTCTGCCACTCATGGGCACGAATCAGTCGGGGAGTCGGAGAATTATTAGGAGTTCCCACTAATCTAGCGCTTACCTGCAGGGTTACAGGGCTCTCTTTAGATCGTCACAGGGGGTCGGAGGGGGAGGGGGAGGGGGAGAGGGGGATCCGGATGCAGGGCTCGCAGCAGGCAGGTTGGGCAAACAGGGCGAGATGCCACAAGCCATGACGTCTATGTGTCCAAGATCGACGGACGAGTTGCCCGGCTCCGATGGATCTGTAGCGGAAGCAGACCAACGTGCGTGATTCAATCCCTAAAAAGCAAAGAGTGGTGGAAATGGGATACGAACGTGGCACACTCTCATTTGGGACAACACTCACAGCCGCCCGAAGCGAGAGATTCACCACAACACCACAGAGTCTGTAATAACACTTCTGTCGAAGGAAATGACTGTAATAGACCCCACGAAAGCCCTATGAATGGTGAGTAAGGAATTTCCGTTGTTGATGCAGGCAGGGACTGAGCTGCGAGCTTTGCAGAGCTTGGGGTGGGGGCCGCAGCTGTGGGGAGAGACCCAAGCTGCCGGCTCATCGTGCAGTGACCTTCAGGGATCTTCAGGGACCTTCAGGGACAATATCCCCACGTGCGCGCCTCTGTTTCACCCCACAGGGATAGCCCCTGGAGGCTCCCGGAAGGCCCTGGGGATGGGTGGAACTGTTTGGTGCCCGGCTGTCACTACCAGTCACTATCACCCGGAAGACCCAGCGTAGGTAGGTAGGTATGCTTGGCAAGGCCTACGAGCTCACAGCAAATCTCAGCAAGGCAGGCCAACGAACTCACAGCAAATCTCAACAAGGCAAGCTGGCGATATGCCAGGCCTGTGGGTGCCCTCTATTACTTCCAGATGATGGACACTCCCACGCTGGGCGACTTTGCCCACGAGTTCATGGCGCGTGCCCAAGGCCAAATGCTAATTGAACCTGTGTCGATGAGCTCACGAAGCTCTCCTGGGAGCTTCCAGCTGCGACCAACCCCTCCAGCTAAAGCAGCCCGCCAGTCAATCAACCTTCAATAAGCTCACTGTGCTATTCCCTCTTCAGGGACCCTGCGCGCCTTAGCCTACAGCGCCTAAATGACTAGCAGCGTTTTAGCTTGGGGGGTCCCTGTCGCGGCAATGTTAGCGCCAATTCGGGCGGTAATTTGGCGGCTATTTGGTGACATCCTCCCCCACCAAAGATTTGGAATACGAGCTGCTTCTGCCACAGCACAGTGGAAGTCCCTGCACACAGTGAAGTCAACCTGAGGCTCTGGTTTTGTGCTTGCATATTTCTCGCAGCTCAAGCTCGTCCACAGTGGCTCCGGGGATGCTACCCATACCTACCCTAGATACTGAGTTTTTACAGTGTCTAGGTACAGGGTACCGTCTGAAAATCTAGCCACTTCTCTCCAGAGATGCTCCTCAATAAGAATCAGTAGCCAGGCAGACATATTGCATCAAAATCTGTCAATACAATAAACTACTTTACTGGAATTAATTAATAATATTAAAGTCTGGCTTCAAAAAATAGCCAAAAAGTAAGAAGTCCCCGTAGCTAATATTAAAGTCAACTTTAAATAAGCCGTTAGCAGTATAGGCCTGTTTTTGACGTCACATTACACCGCTTTACACTGTCTTTTCTAAACGCCAAAGTGCACATATGGAACCCAGTACATTGGCCCACCTTCTTCTTCGTCGTCTGCATCCAAAACAGCGTCTCGTGTCGCTCTGTCATCCCGTTGATCTGCATCTCGAGAGCCTCCCGTCGTATCTTGCACTGAGGAGATGGCTAATTTTGCCACAAGCTCACATTCAATCTTGTCCATAGTGTTCAACCACCGATCCCTGAGCTTGAGTGCGGCGTGATGAAGTCCTCTACAGACCGACTCGTCTGTCACGCCCTGGTCCTCCTTCATGCCTTGGTATGCGAACTTGGCCATGTCGACGCAGGTCTTATCGTTTACCTCCCAAAATGTGCCAATGACATGGCGGAATCCGGCAAGCTGGCAGGCGCTAATGAGGTGCATGCTCTCGTCAATAAACCTTTCATCCTCTACTTTGCCTGTCCCACAAGCGGACAGGTAGGCGAGGAACGGCGGATTGGCTTGGAGATTCAAGTCGATGAGAGACGCGACGGTGAACGGATCGCTTGTTCCATCTTCCAACAACAGCTGACTCCTCGATGGATCCGTATGGTTCGTGTGGCAGTGACCCGCAAAGTGGAAGATCTTGCAATTCGGCAGATACCGGACGATGTCTTGCTTGCGACGACCTGGCTCAATGGGTTCAATCCCCATTGACTCGCAGAGCTGGTGCAGCTCCTTGACCTCGTCCAACGTGAACGAAAGTGGTGTTGGAACTCCGGGCGTATCCTTGAGAGCAACAAGCAGAGCCTGGGCTGGCTCGTATGAGGCGACCCGTTGACGGCGACCGTGTATGATGGCTTTGACAGAGGCGCTGTATGATGACATGACTCTATCCATCACCGTGTCATAACCACCTTTGGCGTGGATTCCTGCAGCGTGAAGAGGGAACTTGGTCAAGGCTCCTGTTGGAATCCACCAAACATGCGGCCATCTTTGCCCTGCATCGTCACCAGTCGGAGACTGTGTGAAACGCAGCGCGTCCAGCACGGGACTTGCGAGCGTATCCCACAGCCACTTAAGCGTTCTCGGCTTCCCGAGATCACCCAACTGCGCCTTTTCTCGAATCTCCCGGCTAAGGAGGTTTTCCAACGGCAACGCCCGTATCTGGTGCTCTTCGATGAGGATTGCATCGCACCGATACTGGCTGACATTGACGACAACCAAGGGGCCCTTCTTTGCCGCAGCTCGCATCTCTTGCTCGCTTGGCGCAAGCAGGAAGTCCTCGAATCCGGGACAGCTGCGGATCTCGACGAGGAGATCATCCAGCGCGCCGTTGGCTTCGTGGCGCACATTGGCTTGGCTCTGCCACGACGGTTGGGAGTAGCCCTGAATGTCGGAGCGGCTTGGTCCCTGGAGAATCATTGGCTCCGAGGATCTCATGTGCTCGTTCATCGACGAGACTATCCCTTGGCTGGGGTCTCGCTGCGATGGTACTTGTCGGATCGGGCTGGGTGGCGCAGGAGTGTCGAGTTGTTGGCGGAGCGCCAGATATCGCTTCCCAAGGTCAGGGTGACTGCTAACGAGCTCGTCGACATCCGCGCGAATGTCGTTCAGAGACCCCGAGATGATGCCACGGCCAAGCTCGAGGAGCTGCACGGCGTCAAACGGGTCCTTGTTCGCATTCAACGCGATGGCTGCAGCATCCGAAGCCAAGCCCGCCACTCCAGAAAGCCAGTGTTGCTTGTCCGAATTCTCCAGAGATCTCGGGGCGAGTAGCGGAACAAGCCGGATCAGCGTCTTTGCAGCTTCGTAGCCATGCTCCCAGTCGTGCGCTTCTGCCAAAATCCCCAGCAGAAACCTCCCGGCCGACAGGCGATCCTGGATCGGGGCTGATGAGTGGTTGAGACCTGTGCGGAAAGACTCGATTGCAGTCTGCATGTCTTCTGCCTTCTGAGTCGTCTGATATCTAGTATAGAGCGCGGAACCATAAGTGCGCAATCGGATCGCTAGGGTTGGATGATCTGGTGGGGTTCTCTCCAAGGTCTCTTGATACAAATCAATCGCAGCGCCGAGGTCGGTCATTTTCCTCGACTGCGTGTACCTCTCGTGGTATGCAACTCCAAGGTTGTTTCGGAGAGATATCCACCGCGGATTGTCCGCTCGCGACTTCTGCAAAATCTCATGGAGTGCTCGCATTGCATCGTGGAGGTCCTCGGATATGCCTGTAAGCTTGGGCTCTTCACAGGCTTGGTACAATTCAATCGCCTTGTCGAGGTGTGCAGTGTCGCCTGTTTGCCTATATTTATCTACCCAGCCAAGTCCCAGTAGCTGAACCCAGGACGGGAAGAACGGGTTGGCGGACGCAGTTTTATCGACGGCTTGTTGGTATATCTCAATTGCCTCGTCAAGGTCTGACAGCGACCCTGTCCTTCTGTACCTGTCATGTATTGCTGCGCCTAGATCAATGAGACGAACTTCCCGACGCGGATTTTCTGTGGGCGTCAAGTCGACTGCTTCTTGGACCAGTGGAATTGTGGCATTCAGGTCTGCCAGATTCCCTATTCTTGCGTACCTGTCAGCATACCCGGCTCCCACCTCATGAAGGAGGGCTGCGCGTTCTTCCCCGTCTCCGGGAGTCTGATCGAGAGCATTCTGAAAGGCCTTGATGGCCATACTCAAGTCTGCTGTGTCGCCTGTTTGCTTAAATCTGTCTCGGTATCCTCCTCCGACATCACGAAATCTCGCCGCTCGGCTGGGATTGCCTTCTGGTGCCTCGTCGGCCGATTGCAGATACAATTTAATTGCTCTTGCTATATCGGAAGCAGTGCCTAACTTGACATAACGAGCCTGGAATCCTGCGGCAAGGTCTCGTAATCGAATCGAGCGGTCTGGGTGACCCAAAGGCAGTCGATCGAGATATTCTTCATAGATCGGGATTGATTTATCCATATCAGAACTATCATATACTCTTTGAAATCTATCTCCCAACGCAGCACCAAGACTCAGAAGTCGAGGTGCTCGATGGGCGTCATCTGTTGGTGTTGAGTCGACAGACTCCTGCATCAGTTGAATTGCGGTATTTAAGTCCGTTTCCGCCAAGGTTCTGCGATACTTGTCTGCATACGCTGCACCAAGATCGCAGAGGCACGAAGCCCTTTCGTTTTCTGACGGCGTATTTTCGAGGCATTCGTGATACAGGGGAATCGCCTTGTTCAAGTGCTCGATGCCGCCGAATTTCAGGCACCTGTTGTGATGAGCAGCCGCCAGGTCCCGAAGCCGAGATGCTCTGTTTTCATGATGGAGCGGCGTTAGGTTGAGGGATTGCTCGAAAAGCTCGACAGCTCTGTCTAAATCGGCAAGAGTTCTAGATCTGTCATATCTCTCCCCGTATGCTGCTCCGAGATGATGGAGTTGAGCTGCCTGATCAACGAAGTCTGGTGTTGGTTTTGCAAGTAAGTTCTTCGAAGTTTGTATGAAGTTGTTCACATCTTCAATGTTGGGTAGTGTTTCTCCGTCGACGCCAGCAAATCGAAGACCCAGTCGAGGTGGTTCATCAGGTGTGCGGTCGACGTTCATGTTGTTCGCCTCGCACCGGACGCAGGTCGGCGCTCTAGGAGAACAAGTATGTTAGCAAATTTATACCAGTGGGCTGACACAACCTGAAACAGTGGGCCTGGTGTTGTGGTCGATCGCCTGATAGTTGTGCTGAAAGTGAGAGTTGTGAGTTGTTTTCAAAACACCGTCAATCTTTCTTTAGACGCTGTCATATTACTCTCACTTGGAACCTAGCTTGTAAAGCCTCAGGCATGAATGCAGTTTCGCGAAGTCTTCTTGGCCAATGAAGACTCTCGTAAGCTTACAAACCCACTTCCTCCCTTCCTTCTAATCATTCGATTTTCCTGCCCCGGCTGAGTAGGCGTCAAGTGTGCTACCCTGTACCTGCGACCAAGACAAATGCTGAGGAGAATGGCCGCAATGTTCCACAGCACGTTTAGATTAGTAGACTGGTCTAGTTTTTGTTATTTAGCTACTTGTGCCGACTTTCTTTTGCCTAATTAATGTTCTAATCTTTGAATAAACTGTGCTAGAATAGGTAGACAGCAAATCCAGTTCCAAGGAACTATAGCACATCACAACGGGCAATCATTGACTTGTAGTTAATGGAAAGGGAAGAGAAGATGGTCTCGAGATTCCGCAATATGTGACGGATCAATATCTTGCGTGTTTAAAACACAAATACTTGATCCTCGAGTTTACTGACCAGTCGGGCCTTCTCGAACCCAAGGCTCACGGCTGCTTTCTTCATAGCAGCGACCATCGGTGGAGGGCCGCAAAAGAGGATTTTGATATCGCGAGCCGGTTCAGGCAACCACATCTATCAAAGTAAGTCGCCTCTCCTTACAATAGATATGAAATCGGCGTACCTTCATCATTTCAGGTGTCACAAAGCCAATGCCTCCCTTCCAGCCTGTTGGGGCCTGGTTGAGTACGTAGTGAACATGGATGCAAGGGTCTTGCAGCGCTAGGGCATCCAAATCCTCCTTCAGAAGAATATCCTCGGCAGTGACATTTGCAAAGATCAAGTCCACTTCCGTCTTGTCTCCATTGCAGCGCCCACGTTGAATCGCTCGCATCACCTGCATCATCGGGGTAATCCCCGTGCCTCCAGCAATCATGCCAAAGCGTCGAACCATGTTGGGCGAGTACATAAAGGCACCCTTCGGTCCGCGCACACGAATTCGCTGGCCAATTTTAAGAGATGCAAAGTGCTGTGATATGTTGCCCTGTGGGTAGGATTTGACCAGGAGCTCAAAGTACCCACGAACTTCATCCCCCGTCAAGGGAGTATACGAGCGCACAATTTCCTTCACTGAGCCGTCTGGTTGTCGGATGAAGGCGCCCACAGACATGTGTTGGCCAATGGGGAGGCCGAGGACAGCATCTGTAGTAGGGAGATGGAAGCGATACCTGGCATTTGAACGTTAGTATTGATGGTGCTTCAGAGTAGAATTGGCATCACCTGGCAACATTGTGAGAAATGATAGTTTTCTCCTTCAACTCGAACTCTTGAAAGATATCCGGCCGTAGAACCGTCTTTTGCTCAGCTACTTCATTTGCTTCAATTTAACGAGGGTTAGTCCGACGTCATGACAGTTTATCTAGGTGAATGGCTCGGACAATTCTTACTGAACCAGAACATGAAACATCCAAGCACCACCCCAACTGCAACAACGTAGGGATTTATCATGTTTCAGAATGGTGGGTTCTTGAATGCGGCGAGGAAACGACGATATCGTCAAATTACCAAGTATGTTGGCGAATTTATCGCTGGTGACTGGTAACCTCAAGGGTGGTCTCTATTTGCCGGTCGCACTCGGAATTGACGTCGAGGTTGGCGATGCAATGGAATGCTGCTAACGAAGGGATTGGAGTTAGTCAAAGTCAATGACAGCGACCTTTAGCAACAGTATTAATACCATTGAAGCGCAAAATCGTCCCCATAGTCGGGCAATTTCCCTACTTGTTTGGTGTTAGTGACGATCAACACGACAGAGCGAGCTAGAACCAAGTCGAATCGCGTCTGTCCCCGGACCTTTCATCCGAGCCCCGCATCTTGGAGCTTATCGAGGTCGAACTTTGGACAATCAACTGGCTTGATGGAGTTTAGCTTGTGGTGATAGCTCATACCCGGTATCTTGCTCCACACAGTGGATGCCGAAGCTCCGAATCGGGTGCGAATACCCTGCGTCTGTGAACTACCGGTAGTGAAGGAGGAACGAGTCAGACGGAGGGGCCGCTTTTGATGCCCCCGTAGTACTTGCCCTTTCTTGAGGATCCCGTGGCGCCTGGTAAATAGTGCGAAGCACCCCGCTCCGCCAGCTCCGTTCACCTTGCACTCACCGTTCCTCAATTCAATTGCTCGGTGTCAGTTCACATCAATCTCTATCATCTTCCGAGACCTCTTGGATGGATGGTCCTATAACCATGGCGGCCACCAGTGCGCTGTGTTTTGCACTGGTGAGCGCTGTCGTGTACCTTCTCCTGGGATCGGCCAAGCAGCACGGAGACGAGATGAAAATCACACAGGTTAGCTCTTCGAATTAGGAATTGAGTCGGAATGAGACCACTGAAGCAATACAATAGCTCTACGTGTATCCCGTCAAAGGAATACGAGGATGTGCACTGAAGAAGGCGCTCATCGGCCCGTACGGGGTTGTCGGAGATAGGACTTTCTGTCTGCAAAAGGTCCAACGCGATGATGAAGGAGTGAAATACGATACCATGTTGATTGGCTACCACTTACAGATGGCTCTGTTTGCCGCTACATCGGTCGATTACGCAAAGGGACAGGTGGTAGTGGCGTGGAATGGACGAGGGACCGATTTCGATGTGGCAAAAGACATCACGACCCCAGACACCATTTCCTTCCCCCTGAAGCCATCCACGACTGGGTGCGAGAAGATGGAGGTGAATCTTCATGGTAGCAAAACATTGGCGTACGACATGGGCCAAGATTTGGCGACCTGGTTCGCAGACCGCCTTGGGTTTGAAGTGAGGCTTGTCTTCATAGGAGACGGTTCACGGCCAGTACTCGGATCCTTGGCGCCCAATAGCCCAGCCGGTCTGAAGCGAGCGAGGCTGATCAACCGAATCCGATCCTTTTTTCCATTCCTAGCCTACCCAGGAGAACGACTTGCTTTCAACGACATTGCACACTACCTCGTAGTCACTGAGGAGTCAAATAACGACGTGTCATCTCGGTTGGAAGACGGGTGCAAGATGGACGTGACCAAATTCCGACCGAATATTGTCGTCAAGGGCGCATCGGCGGCATATGTCGAGGACTTTTGGGGCGAATTGACCTTTGCAGGTGGCCTCAAGATGCCCCTTACCGCAAACTGCTATCGCTGCCAAAGTATCACCGTCGATTACGAGACCGGCGCTACGGCGACCGACGACCGAGGTATGGCGTGGAAAAAGTTAAACAAGAACCGAAGAGTCGATAAGGGTGCGAAATACAGTCCTGTGTTTGGGCGATATGGATACTGCTTCGGTGCTGCCACTGGTAAGACACTGGAGATTGGGCAGGGAGTTGGTGTCACGCATGTTAATTCTAACAGAACGACTTTTGGTGAGTCCCAGCAAATTCTCTCTTATTTCTTGCTCCTTGCTTCTTTTGCTGATATTGGCTCTAGATTGGCCGCACCTCACCAGCTTCGGAACCTCGCAGAAGAAGTGAGTGTGTCGACTGCGACGGAGATAACGAGTATTCGCGACAGCCAGGGTTAAAGCTCAGTGTATCCTATGAATTGTGGTATAAAAATAAAACACAAGACATTAGATCCGTTTTCTAGATGATGGGCATCTTTATCTTGCATAACGCGACAACGCGTGATGGGGGCCCGTAGAAGTGTAGACACTCCGGAACTAGTTACGAATGACAACACAAAGCCATTTATAACCCCAGGCACTAATAGATAATGTCCCCATTTACTACGCAGTGTGAAAAACATTGGAGAATTCTTGCGCAGCGTCTACCGGCGTGGGACGAGCACAGGCTAGCCTCATGTTAACATCGGAGTCTGCGTCTGGACCAGATGAGGAGCCAGGGACTTTACGATGAGGGAAAGGGTCATTAGCTCCGGTAAAATGACGCAAAATGACCTTGCTTCGACATGTGAGGTATATTCGTACAAATGTGGCCATCCTTTTGCCTGCATTTGGGCGGCGTCCCATGATCCAGGTTGGATTTCAACGATCTGGCCTGGGGGTTATTTGGTCAATTTGGAACCAATTGATCTGGTTCAATACTAACAGGGCGACACATAGCAATTTACATTTAAAACTGTTTTTCTTCATGACACTCTCCCCTCTTAGGTAATGTCACGGTCCATCCTCGCATATACTGGACCTGCACCATGACGTTCTAGGTAACTAGATTGACCACGAAATTTCTTGGCGAGAGTCGATCAACAGGCAATTTTAAGCCAACGCCTCAATGAAAGGAATACTACCTTCATTACCATAGATATAAATTAGACACCTAGATATGCACATCGCCATTGGAGAGATCATCCACAGCAGACAGCTTCATCATTAACTCCCACCTCCTTTTCTACAGTTCCACCTCACGAAAATGGCGGCTCAATTCTTCAACTACCCTGGCACTGAGACCAACGCCACCGAATACCACTATTCCCAAGCCGTTAAACTGGGCAACGTCGTGAAGACTTCGGGACAAGGCGGCTGGGATGAACAAGGCAACATTATTCCTGTTTTGGACAAGCAAATAGAAGCGGCCTTCGACAATGTTCTCAAGGCTCTCAAGGCAGTAGATGCTTCGCTATCATTTGACAGCATCTACTCCATTCGTTCGTACCATCTAGACATGGACTCAAGCTTCGATACCATGACGTCAACCTTCAAGCGGATCTTTCCTAACCACCGACCAACGTGGACATGCATCCAAATCGGAAAGCTGGGGCTGGAGGGTATGCAGGTGGAAATTGAGGTCGAGGCATTGATTGGATGAAGGAGGCATGCCAGGATGGGCCAGGGGTGGTGGACTTGAGCTGTGGCCCTGGGTTAAGGGTTGAAGCTCCACCAGGGCGGCCGGCCTATGGGATCACGTCAGTTGTACATTATTCCTAGTCTATCTCGCCGGCATTTGCCCCAGATTTACCCTGATAGCTGCATCTGAACTTGTTCCGAATCCGTCATTAGTGTAAGCCGAGTGGCATGGGACGGATGAAGGTTCGTGGAGTCATCGGCCGGGATATCTCTGGCATGCCCCCCTGCCCGACCTCGTGGGATATCTGTGGGGAGAGCTGCGTACTGTTCATGGCCGTGCTCTTGGTACCGTAAGATAGTCATCTAGATGGTCGATTTACTTTCCAATCGGGGTAGACTGATTGAAGTCACTCTACACCAATGGCGTGTCTTTCACTTGACCTGAAAGATGTCTGTATTGGCAATATATAACCAGATAGGGGGTCAAGGCAATCTCAATCCTTGATCCCATCAAATTTCACCTTACTTTAATTTCCCAGCACCTTCACCATGTCTAAACTATTTACCCTCGAGGATGTCGCCAAGCAATCTACAGACAAGGGAGGTCTCATTGTCATCGACAAACTCGTCTACGACATCACAAACTACATGTCCCAACACCCGTAAGTGCTGTCAATATTAGCTGGGAATTCATACATGCTAAAGAACATTTTCATTTACGTAGTGGTGGAGACGATATTCTGGTAGAGGTGCTTGGCCAAGATGCAAGTGAGGGGTTCCACGAAGTGGGCCACAGCGCCGAGGCGATGGAAGCGCTGAAGGAGCTCAAAGTTGGAGAACTGGACACGACGCCTGTGGTACGGGTAAAGGAGATGAAGGTTCTCAATTTGAGAGGTTTTTCGCTGACTCAATCACAAAAGATTACCACCAAATCCTTGCAAAAGTCGTCTTTTTCCGTGGCGCAATTGTTTTCTGCAGCGGGGGTTGTGGCATTGTCACTGGGAGCCATGTTTCTGCGACACCACGTCCAGAACCCATTTAGTCAAGCAAAAGAGTAAAAGGAGTCGAGAATCGAGGTAATCCAGTTAAATACAATTGAAACATCGTCTGCGGCCTCTTCTCTTGCTTATTTGAGCCTGCCCCAAGAACCTCGTGAACAAGACCGCTGTGGCATCGCGGTATCTCGCATCAACCTTCTTCTCCGGGATCAACACCCCCGCACACGCAAGACATTGGCGCCAGGCTAAACGACCCCTGTTTGTCGTAGTGGATGCGAGCGCAGTGCATTAGCGGTTGGCCCAATTTCTTTCCGGATCTGGAAGGATTCGTGGCGACGTGGCAGTGCGGATTGCCGAGACACGCATGCGCGGGCCGAAGCCGAAGGCCTTCTCACGCCGTGATAGGAATGAGAAAACGAGAGGCCTATCGATATGCCGAAAGCGGCGTCCCACGTGGATAATCTCTGGCATATTAAGTAGCACCGGGCCGCCTTGGAACCGGGAATCCTACATCATCGTTCACTCTTACGCTCCCCGCATTCACCGCGCAAGACTTCAATCATGTCTCTCCAGGTCGACCTCACGGCCCCAAACGGGCGCAAGATCACGCTGCCCACCGGCCTGTTCATCAACAACGAGTTTGTCGCGTCAAGCTCAGGGAAGAAGATCACCACCATCAACCCCAGGTATGTACCTCCACGATTCAGACGTCTCCAATTGAAGTCACTAACCATTCTCATAGCGATGAAACCGAAATCACCCAAGTCGAAGCTGCCTCCGCCGCCGATGTCGATACTGCAGTCAAGGCCGCCCGCGCCGCATTCAACTCTCCCGCGTGGGCTGAAATTTCAAACACCGAACGCGGCGCGCTCATGTTCAAGTTCGCCGACCTCATCGAGCAGAACAAGGAGACCCTCGCCACTCTGGAGACTTGGGACAACGGAAAGCCGTATGCGGTTGCTCTGGAAGAGGATCTTGGCGAGGTCCTCATGACTCTCCGATACTACGCCGGATGGGCCGACAAGATCCACGGCCAGACCATCCCCACCACCCCTCAAAAGTTCGCCTACACTCTCAAGCAGCCCCTGGGTGTGTGCGGTCAGATTATCCCCTGGAACTATCCCCTTGCCATGGCCGCGTGGAAGCTGGGTCCCGCGCTGGCTTGCGGCAACACGGTTGTGATGAAGCCTGCCGAGCAGACGCCGCTCTCGATCCTGTTCCTCGCCACACTCATCCCCAAGGCGGGCTTCCCTCCGGGCGTCATCAACATCGTCAACGGCTTTGGAAGGGAGGCTGGCGAGGCCCTCGTTTCCCACACCGACGTCGATAAGATTGCCTTTACTGGATCTACCATTACCGGCCGAGCAGTCATGAAGTCAGCCAGCATCAACCTCAAGAACATTACCCTCGAGACCGGCGGCAAGTCGCCCCTGTTGGTATTCAAGGATGCAGACCTCGACCAAGCCGCCAAATGGGGCCATGTCGGCATTATGAGCAACCAGGGCCAGATTTGCACCGCCACCTCCCGCATCTTGGTCCAGCAGGAAGTGTTTGACGAGTACGTGACTCGCTTCCAGAAGATCGTCTCTGAGCACAAGGTCGGAAACCCCTTTGACGAGGATACTTTCCAAGGACCCCAGGTTACCAAGGCTCAGTATGAGAGAATCTTGAGCTACATTGACGCTGGAAAGAGTGAGGGCGCCAAGCTCGTCACTGGCGGAGTCGCCCATAAGAACGTCGGCGGCAAGGGCTTCTATGTCGAGCCCACTGTCTTCTCAGATGTCAAGGAGGACATGAAGATCTTCCAAGAAGAGGTCTTTGGACCTTTTGTCTCCATCACTCCCTTCACAACAGAGGCAGAGGCCATCCGACTTGCCAACAGCACCTCATACGGTCTCGGCTCTGCAGTCTTTACTCGGGACATTGAGCGGGCGCACCGCGTCGCTGGTAGACTAGAGGCCGGCATGGTTTGGATTAACAGCTCTAACGACTCTGACGTAAGGGTTCCGTTTGGTGGAGTTAAGCAGAGTGGTATTGGCAGGGAGCTTGGAGAGGCTGGTCTTGCGGCTTACACCCAGACCAAGGCTGTTCACGTCAACATGGGGCTTATGTTGTGATTAAGATTAAACAAGGGTCACCCAAATATGAATCAAATTGTCGTCAATTTCCATGGCATTCAGAATATCAAACTATTGAAATCGTGCAGTCGTAAGATAGAATCCTTTGTGTGGCCATTCTGTGATATGCAGCAACCTACGGTTGTTTGACAGTAGGACGCCCATAGTCACATACCCAAAACGCCCACTTAACTTATTTGTTTTACAGCTATTTTTGAGACCCAAGAAACCAGCAGAGTTGGCGTTATAGAATGATGGCTTCAGGATTTAATTCGGCAAACATTTCTGCCCATGTCACATTGGGAACATCCATCTTCCATATCCCTTCCAGCGCTACACTCAGCGATTGGATGGATGCAAAACGGATCTCATCGTGTATGATGCTCACCATGTTACGGACCCCTTTTTGTTGCTTGGGGGATTGTGCATGGGCACCCGCGATACAGAGCGGCAGGAGGATGCAGTTCAAGACCTTTGACGGCCGTTTGATTCCAAAGATGCAATCCAGGCATGATTGGGTGTGTTGTTGGACGAGGGGGTGGTGGATGGCAAGGCCGCAGATGGCCCTGTACAGATAGATGAGGGCGCCGTGTTGAAAAGCTCGTATCAAGGCATAGGCGTGAGTTGCCTCTAGGTCTTTCTCACCGGGGTCTTCGGGGTCAGCCAACGGGCTATCGAGGTCTTCCACAGCGAGCGGCGCATACAAGGGTTGCAGGGCAGCTTCAAACTGCCGGATTCGAGAAATCGAGAACTCTTCTTGCATGGTGCTTGTGGCATCGAGGTAAAAGGCCATGCTGGCGAGTTCGCGGAACACGGCCGAGAGGGAGTGCCGTCCGAAGGAGTCTTGACCCCACCAGACCGGGCCGTTGTCGATGGATTCCCAGACGGTTGGAGGAAACGCCGGCGGGCGGCCCTTGAGTATTGCTGATCCGAGGTCGGCCGACAGGAACTCGGTGAGCAGCAAGTGCAGCGGATCCTGTCCGGTGTCGAGGGCTGCTGTGATGCCGCCGAGCCGGTCGACTATGGCGAGGACTCCGTCACGATGGCTGGATGTGGACGCCGATGCTTCAACACACTCGAGGAAGCCATCGTGGAAATACAGGAGCAGCACGGCGAACAGCAGCGTCTGCAGCGGGCCGTCGCCCTTGGCACAGAAGCCGTCCACCTCGACCCGCAGCGCCGCGAGGCATTCGAGCCGCTTCACGTTCAAGATGCTGCGGCTGTTGCGGCCGTCCTGCAGCCAGCGATGGGCATCGGCCAGCACGCACGTCGCCAGCAGCACCACGCGATGCTCCAGCGCCACCAAGATGGGCGCGGTACATGGCTCCGCGGCCGTCGTCATCAGCGGCCAGAAGCGGCCGTGGAAGTAGTCGAGCGCGCGCTTCTCGTAGACGGCCAGCGACGCCGCGAGCTGCTCGTCGCGGTTGATGGCGCGGTACATGGGCGGCACGGCGACGGCGGGCCGCGTGCTCCAGCGGATCAGGCGCGTGTTGTAGTCGCATGTTGCGCCGACGAGGCCGCATCGCATGCACACGGGCTTGGTGAGGTCGCACTTGATGCGGCGCTTCTTGCAGGGCCAGCAGGAGCCTTCGACGACGCGCACTCGAGGCTTGCCCATGGTGACAGGGTTGTATACGGGCGGGAGGTTGATTGATGGATGGATAGATGGGTTGTAAGGCGGAAGTAAGTGGAGCAAGGGGACCTGATGGATAGCATGAGTCTGGGGTCTTGGTCGTTATCATGACCGAGCATAGAGCTGTCTAGTCTAGATTCCAAGCCTCTAGGCCTCTAAGCTATCCAGGGTTGGCCTTCCAAAGACTAACGCCTTGCTTATGAACCTGTCCATATACTAGAGTCAATCATCCACGAAGATATGACGTACCAGCCCTGTAGATTGGCTGAGTTGCGAGGCCACGGCGCTGTCCAGGATGCACCGGCAATGCGGGGATAGTGGCATTTCCCGCAGCGCCCGCTTCCTCGCACTAGATGCCCTCGCAACCATCTTATCGAGGGTCCACTTAAGTTGGGCAATCAAGTTCCCATATTGGGACTAGGTCCTTTTGATAGCAGGGCTCTCCACGGCAGTTCAGCCCCTCACGGAGCTGCGGACTCGGTCTCGAAGCCGCTTGTCGGAGCATTTCCGGCTCCGCGAGTCGAGCAACTCCGGATCCTCCAATAATGAGCTTCTCAACCACAATCAAACTCGTGTAGAGCCATCAAGGTCGGTGTTTAGGACTCAGACTCGGGACCGAGAGATCTAGGGAAACGGCCACAATCGGCCATCGTCGTCACCAAGTTCAATTCCAGCTCCGGCCGCGAATCTTCGGTCTCAAGCACGTAAAAATTGAAACATCATCGTGGTGAGGCGTAAATAAGTGTTCAATACTGGGAAATAATAACCCGCATTGCCATTGATATACTAGCTAGTTGCCTCCATCCTCTGCGTCGGCAAAACATCCGCATCGTGCCGAATCCATTTATGGCAGATAATTCAATTAAATACCAAGTGTAAATTAACGAACGGTCAATGGGCAGTCGCTCCGTAACTTTCAACCAGCCTCCAGTACGAAGCTGCCGACGATCGCCGAAGAGATTTGCCAAAGATGATCATGAAGATGCAGAAGCACCAAAACACCGTCCCCAAGATGGCAATCAGAATAAAGGCATTTCGAAGACCGAGATTGGTGATGATGGGAACGACAGCGTAGCTGAAAGCAAAGCCTAATGCTTGTTAGTCTTGAATAATTTCGCTTGGCCAGAAAAACTCACCCATCAGGTTGCGAATCAAAATGGCCGAAACCAACCCTTCTCCAGCCATCTCCTTGTAGCTGTCGAGAATGTATGTGAGTGCGAGACTCGAACCAATCGGCAGTGTGACAGAAATAAGACCCAGGCCAAACACAATTCCAACCCAGTGGATGCTGTATGAAGCTCCTACGCCGTAGAGGAGACAACCGGCAGGATGAGCAACAATGGCAACTACGCACACGTAAAGGCGGTGCTCGGGCTCCATGATACCTCCATTGCGGCGAGCAAGCTTAAGAGTCACAATATCAGACAACCACCCCGAAAGGAAACAGCCAATACTGACGCCAATGAAGCAGGCGAGGTATGCGAGACCAATCGTGTTGGCGCTGAAGTTGTAAGGCGCGTTGCTGAGAATCAGCGCCAGAGAACCGCCAACGACATTGTACCAGGACAGGATTCCGCCCACGAGGATTCCGGCAAAGACCATGCCAGGATACCTGTACAGTTGGAAGGGAAGGAAGAAGAGCTTGAAGGTATTCGGCTGGCGCGGATCGCGAAGGCCCCACATCTTCATCTTCTCGCTGCGCGTCTTTGTCTTTTCCGAGGATAGATCCACAGAGTTGTTCTCGATCGATCTCGTCACTGAGGCTTGGTCGGGGGAAGATGACGTGGACTTGGTCTCATCGGGAAAATCCATTTGAATCTTCTTCTCCATCGCGCTCAGGTCGCCGGCGGGGTTTGCCTCCGCGATGCCGATGATTTCGGGCTGCGCGGTGGGTCGATAGTACATGGTCTCCTCGAAGAAGAAGAAGGTGACGATTGCGGTGCCGCCTCCAATGATGGCCATGATGTACTGGATCCAACGCCACCCCAGGGCCTCAGCAACGAATCCCGACGCCACCGGAGCGAGGAAAGCAGCGCCCCAGAGCGTCCAGCAGTACAAGCCCATGTAGAAGCCTCGGTCGTGGGTGTAGAAGACGTCGCCGATGATGACCTCGATCAACGTCTCCATGGGGGAGGAAACAACGCCCACGATGATTCTGTTGGCGTAGAACTCGCCCTTCGTCTTGACATAGGCCGACCAGAGAGTAACAAGCGTGGTTAGCACAATGGACACAACCAAGACCGGGCGTCGTCCATAGTTCAATGCCAAGCATTGGGTAAGCAGAGTGCCCCAGCCGAGGAAAAGATACATGAGGCCGTTGCCGGTGCTGAGGTCTGCCACCGAGATGCCAGTATCAGCCTCGATCAGCACATAGGCTGGAGACAGGCCGGAGATCATGGCCGCGGCAAAGAAACACCAGGACATGGCGCAAAAGACGTTTTGCATCTTTCGCGGCTGGGTCCATCGCAGAGGATCATCCGGGTGGTCGCTTGGCTGGGGGACAAGGACAATATCATGGTGGTCTTTTCCGTGCTTGACGTTGAGGATGCCTTCGGCGTCAACCAGCTGCACGGTTCCGGGGACTGGAACGTTGAGCGGCATCTTGAGAGGGTGACTGAGAAATTAATGATGCAGTTTTCACCATGTAATTATGTATGCGTGATTGAAGCTGAAAGAGGGAGCTGCGAGACAGTTGTGATGTTGGTTGAAAGGGCCAAACTGTGGACTATTAAATGTTTCAATCCGCACAACCCGTCCCAGTCTCCCGGATACAACCCCAACCGGTTCCCATGGATGCGGCCAGCCAAGACGCCGCTACTTCGCCGTCGCCCTTCTCCGCGTGACAAAGTTTCGTGGTTAAACTTGATCCGGTAAGCGGATAGGCAAGCTTGGGTCTTGCGGCGTAGTCTGGCCAGTGCTTAACCCATGAGGCCGTCCAAGACTGTGGGGTAATGGCTACTGTGCTTTGCCTCACCGATTAGAATGTATCCCTGTTCGCAAGGATATCTAGTCGTATCGGTAGTTTACGCTACGGACAGACAAGGTCCCTGGGATAGATTGTGGAGTACCAACCCTAAGCATGGACAAGCCCTCCTCTATCAGGACGCGTGCTTGGGCGCTGTCTATCTTGTATCTGCGCCCTTGCGACCATCCTACATGACTCGATCCTAGGATGACAATCTTGGTCCACGCTATGTCCACTTTAGGCATCCAGATGGTCAACTCTAAGTACACCATGGCAATTGGATCCACCCTCGATAAGACCCGAGCTAGCATCTGGTGCACCCTTTGCCAAACACCAATCGAGGCCTTGGTTCATACGGAACTTAGAGATACTAACGATGCGTGATAGACGCACTAGGAGCAGCCTGTTTGGTCAAGATTTAATACTGTGTTCGATGAGAAATTGGTCTTTGAGATGGACGTCTAGATTGGTCAAATTATGTTCCTTTTTGGACAAGGTGTTCCTACTACGTTAAACTTCCCCATCACATCTGCAATTGACAACTGTTGACGTAATGAACCTTTGTGAATTAGTCAATTGAATAAGGATCGAAATTGAACTGGTTCAACCCCCCGATTTCCTGACTTATGAGCGCTCTGGATTAAGTGCTCTGGACTAAAGGAGTGATGGCATGAAGCTTGACGCGAAAAGTACTACAGGATAGTAATGGGTCTCCCACCAAGCACCCTCTCCGATTTGTGGTGGATGGAGTGACGAGATTGGATTTAATCATGCGGTTTTTTTATCAATTACAAATGTACTGCTGCGAAACGGGTCAATTGGTGAGCATGACTACTCCTAGCATCGGCTATTTGGGGCCGCTTAAGCGAGGTCAGTGAAGCGTCAGCTCGGGGCCAAGATTGCCATCTCCAGCAGGGTCCTGAAAGAGTTATCAGATCTACCCAGCAAGGAATGACTTGATGAGTTCCACTTGGAATCTTTAATTTGTCCAAGTCTCTCATGCCAATAGGAGGTGCTCGCTGCGACAAGGATGGCTCATCAATTCGAATGAACCCATGCTCGTACCAAATAACAAAATTACAAGTCTAAAGCGCGAAATAAGATTATAAATAATTCATTCAAATACACAGGCTGCGAGAGACAGCTCCCCTATGAAACTGTGGCAGATACCCCCCTTCTCTCCTGAACCATCACCAGAGGCGACTAATCACCGTTAAATTATTTAGACTCCTCCACTGTGTTCTGGGGCAACATGAATCCAGAAAAGAAACTGTCGATTGACCCGTAGTCATCAATCTTACCGACGTACGAAATGTACTGATCCGGTCGAAGAACAACAACACACCCTTCGTCACGGCTAATGCCGAAATTTTGGTACAGCTGCCCGTGGCCCTCATGGTATGACTCGTCGTCGACAAAGACCTTGTTATAATCCCAACCCTCAACCTCATCATACGGCCGAAGAACGTCGGGAAAGTCAAAGATGTCCACGTCGGCTCGCTTCGCCGCATGGACGGTGAGCACCTCGATGACTGAATCATAGCGCGAACCAGCGGGCCTGAAGCGGTTGAGGAATGACGAGGGGCCGGACATGGCTTCGCAGAGGCTGTTCATTCTGTCCTTTTGGGCTGTCTTGCTGACGTCTCCTGGAAAGAGGATTACTCGCCAAGTGCCATTGCTCCGAAGTAGCTCCTGAAGCTGCCATGGACGAGCATCGGACTGATTCAATACTTTGACGCTTGGAATTCTTTGGCCAATGTTGAGTTCAGTCGCAAGAGGGTGAGATCTGGCGACATCACCCGCCGCGTTCACTGGTGCATCCGGCTTGGAAACGATTGCACTCTTGTCGTAATCAACGGCTATTCCAGAGTTAGCATGAAGTCGTGGAACCAACAATGCATCGTACCAATTCCACTTGCGAATAGATTTCCCTTCTGGAAAGCATTCTTGAACTCCTCCATGCTAATGCCTTCCTCGTCCATGATGTCTCTAGCTGGACGACCAGAAAAGAGGCGAGAAAACTTGTGATCGAAGTTGATGAGGGCGTGCGCGATGGCCTTGCGCTCACTCTCGTACGTCTTGAGGATTGACCGATCTGCAACACCTTTGACGACATTCGCGAGTTTCCAACCAAGGTTGTATGCTATAAGTCAAGCTGTCAGCAATTTCGTCCCCAAAGCGCTGGGATCTGGGAGTAGGAGAAGGGAGCTCACAGTCTTGCATGCTGACATTCATTCCTTGACCAGCCTTGGGACTGTCCAGTCGTTTTGTTAGCGTTACCTGTTATCAAACGCAATCTTCAATGCTTTAACGAACCTGTGGGTGTGCACAGCATCACCAGCTAAGAAGACTCTGTCGTGCACGCCAAAACTGGAGCCCACACGTTGGCCAATTTGATACGCCGTCCACCAATCCAGCTTGCGGTAATCAAGCTTGTACGGAGCAATGATACGCTGGGCGGACTCCAAGATGACCTCTGGCGTGATCCCTGAACGATCGGTGCGAGAATCTTGCTCGCCAATCTTTTCCGTCGTGGTAAGCTGGATATACAAGCGCACCAGTTTGTTTTCGCGCGGGATGACCATGATGCTTCCGGAACTGGCCGAGTGGATGGCACAGCGCATGCGGATATCGGGGAAGTCGGTAATGGGGACGATGTCAAGTACTCCCCAGATGTAGTCTGTCGACTCACCTTCGAGCTTGAGGCCGATCTCCTTCCGCACCCATGAATGAGCGCCGTCGGCACCAACGACGTACTTGGCCTTGACGACTTCGGTAGTATTGGCCTTCTCGTTGAGCTCAGCGGCTTTGAGTAGGTCTGCGGTATCATCGGCTGCGAGGTTGCTGCGGAAAAGGCCATCCTGCACCGAGGAGCCATTGGACATGGTGGCAGTCTGCTTCGGCGTCGACTCCTCCTCGCCGAGATGTCGGAGTTGGACGGTGACAGGATAAGCATCTGGATCCTCGACAGTGGCAGTGTCAATTTCCAGGCTGGTGGGCAAAACGCCGCGCTCAACAGAGACAGCTCCCTCGCTGAAGTCCTTCATGGCATCGAGAAAGAAACGTTCGATTCGGCCTTGGTGCAACACGACCTGCTGGAAGCGGCTGATTCCGGGAATAGTATCGGCGATGCGTGAAGACCGTTGAATGACACCATCCTTGTCGGGGTTCCAGAGGCAAATCTCCAGCATGTGGTTTGACTCGATCCAGGCTCGATGGCCAAAGCCAAATGAGTCAAATATCTCCAAAGTACGGCATTGCAGACCGTCGGCCTGACCGTTGAAGATCTAATCCAAAATGAGCGGCTGGGTGGTTCCGATTAAAGGCATCCAAAACTCACCTTGGTGCCTCTCTTGTCGACAATTCGAGTCTTAACGCCACACTTTGCCAACCACGTCGCCATCATCAACCCAGCCGGGCCGGCTCCAACGATGAGCACGTCAACATGATCCGCCGCCTTGCCCTGCATGGTGGTAGTCTTTAGGATGTGAGATTTTGGCTGGTTATTAATTGCCGCTGTCTGCTTTGCGTTCTCGAGAGTAGACACGAGTGACATATGTTGGGACAGCTGATCTCTCAGATCATTTATACTCTGGAGGAAGTATCAGGAGTTTGGAGAGAGATGTGAATTCCACGATTGCTAGGCCAGTTTTGGCAATCCTCGGCTCGGGAAGCGGGCAGAGATGGTGATACACTACCGACAACGTGGCAAACCTGTGGAGCGATTTATAAATGCTGATGATGCCATTGGGTAGCATCACTTGCGGGGTATGGGGTAGGTCTCTGAATGGAGGCCATGGGGCAGCGGCTGGGCTTCTGAGAGGTTCGGAAGCCACCACGGATGGCGGGTTTCTCCCCGAAAGATGGGATACTTCATGACTCGTAAGCACTTGTCAGCGGGGATCGTCACAATGGCCCCTAATCGGTCCTAGTGTAAACTGAGCTCCGTCAATCCGTCGTCCGCAGGAGATGCTCAGTGCCCGTTGACTAGTTGCATCCCTCGTTGGTCACAGGTGAAAGATCCAATCCCGGATTGTCATAGTGAATCCCAGACTCGGCATATCCCAGTCCATGTGAAGATAAATCTTGAGACCCAGTGAATATAGAAACGTTGAATCACGGACTAACGGAGGAAATACCCCTGTCACCTCCTCCCCTCCCCACGGGGTAAGGTGGGTCAGATTCGTGAGAACGATGCCCCATTGTCCAGCGCCACGCTCAAAAAGCTGTGAAGATTGGTATCGGGTATCGGGAGGGGCAAATCATCGGCTCCGAGTCCCCGACAGAGATGTGGAAGGATTATGTGTCGGATCCCGGCTGTAAGGCGTCGGGTCACATCCTACCAGATGTGTTTGGTGACGATGAAGGAGCCGGTGGCGACTAACCGCATACAGTTCGTTCAGTCGATGTCACTGGTGAGATCTGTCTCCCTGGCGTATGGGGTACCGGTTACCGGCTCAGGGTAGGACGGAATCAATCCATGGGCGTTCCCTACCGTTTGTCTCGGCTGACGCAGGGGAAGTCCATCGAGGATCGACCCAAAGAGGCTTCTGCCTTCAGATGTAAAGCTTCCTCACGCATTATGAATGGGACACCAACATTCTCCATGTTCAGTTTGGTCCACAGGAGGCGATGTAAGTGTATGTCGACCCATTGTGATAATTACAGTGCGCTGGCAGTGTTTGGACCATACCAATGTATTTGGCATCGTCATCGAATCAGCCTGTCAAATTGCTGGCACATCGAATTGACCCGCTCCAATCTGATCTCAAGGCAAGATGCCAATGGTCGTGCGACATGGCGGCTGCTCTCCCTCACGTATGCTTGAGTCTCATGGCTTCCATTAAATAAATGAACCTGCAAATGAGTTCAATCAATACATGCTAACCAAATGCTCCCACTACCCCGCAAGACCAGGTCTATCCACTGGAGCGCTTTTACTGTGGTTAATAATGTAACCTTGACGCAAAGGCTGTGCTTGCGACTTTAAATTAACACCCAAAACGGCTCGAAGGCCGTCTAATGCACCCAAGAACTCTTCTAGAAAAACCACGCAGTCACCAGCTTAGGCAATCGTGTCCAAAATGGTCTGTCGAAAGTCTATAATACAATCTGCGCATCCTGCCGCTCCTATCATCATTGTTGCAGGCCTGCGGCACAGCTCATTGCAGCGGCAACATAGCACAAGCACGTGGGAATGGTTCGGAATGCTTGCGATCATGCGGGGTATTAGGCCTATGACCGATCCGGGCGGTTCAAGCTCCGGGGGCTTTCAGTCGTATCATGCTGATCACTCGATTGTGGATCTGTTTTCGGTCTCGAAGAAAGAGTTTATTGGAGCGGTTGCAAGGCACCATCGGCTAATTGAGAACATCCCCGTACTTCGCACCTCGTAATATTCAATCCCTGGCCTTAAAGTGCCGTTCCCTCTAGGACTACTTCGCTTGCGAGTTTCTGTGAGAGCTCAATTGTACCGGAAAGTTGAAGATTGAATTGGTTCATATTCGACAGAATGCGCAATGTTTCCAAGACTAGGTTGCATTTTACCGATGAAAAAGACCCATTGCGGGACTACTTCGGCTTGAAAACCCCCATGTGATGAAGTCATGTATATCTCTCATGGCCAGAGGGTGTGGGGTAACGAACTAGTCAGGGTATCAAGACGCAATAAGAAATTCAATATGATCTTCATTCAATACCCTCGTGACGTATTTTCGGTGAATAAACTCTCTTCGGCTGGAGAGTCGTATTGCTCCACCCGAAATCCAGTTTGCCGCAGGCTGAATATGAGGGGAGACTGGGGTATTCTCCACGAATCACCCTCTCTCTGGGTATTGTTTGTTTTCCTATAAATAATGATAATGTCTTACCCCGGAGTTTAGTGATTCTCTTTAACCCTACTTCCCTGGTATTCCTCGATCTTTCTGCCACCATAAACATGGCGAACTATGCGTGGCTCCTAGTTGCGCTTCACGCCTTTGTGGCTGATGCAGCTACGAAGCGGTCCCCAACTCCACCCATGGGATGGAATAGTTATAATAAATATAGCTGTTCACCCACCGAGGATATCATCAAGGATAACGCACAAGGGCTTATTGACCTCGGCCTGGCTGATCTCGGCTATCTTTCCGTCACCACAGATTGTGGATGGCCCGCAAAGGACCGGGACTCTGAAGGTAGGATGCAATGGAATAAAGATTTATTCCCCTCCGGAGGCAAGGCTCTTGGCGATTTCATTCATGGGCTTGGTCTGAAATTTGGTCTTTACTCTGGCGCTGGATACCTTCAATGCGGCTCCACCGACTTGCCAGCATCTCTTGGTGAGTAAAACCACGCCTGGGAATTGAACACCTCTAATTATTGGTATAGGCTATGAAGAGATCGACGCAGAATCCTTTGCTGAGTGGGGAGGTGACACCCTAAAGTGAGTATCTGGAATACGTGCATCGAGTACCTCAACTAACGAACAAGGTACGACAATTGCTATTCCACTTCAAGCACCGTGATGGTCGACTCCGACTCTGCCGAAGCGCAGTCGCCAGCTCGTTTTCAGAAGATGGCAGCGTCCTTGGACCAAGTGGATCGAGACATAGCATATTACATCTGCCAGTGGGGCATTGGATATGACGTTGGCGAATGGTAATGCCGTCTCCTGTCCTCGAAGAATTCTACTAACGTTTTAGGGCCTCTGCTATTGGAAACTCTTGGAGAATTAGCAACGATATCTACGGAGCCTGGCGTAGTATCTGGCGTATTACCAACGAAGCCCTTCGATATTACAAGGTCACAACAGTCGGGGCGTTCCCTGACTTGGATATGCTTCTGTGAGTGATACCATGGTACATACAGAACTAATGCTAATCAAACGCTTAGCGTTGGTCTCGGTGCACTATCTTATGAAGAGGAACGTTTCCACTTTGGCATGTGGGCAATTCATAAGTCTCCTTTGATTCTTGGTGCTGTGATGCACAGTGGAAACATCCCCGCCGAATCTTTCAAGACTTTGTCCAACAAGGAAGTCATTGCAATCAACCAGGACTCACTTGCCAAGCAAGCAGAGCTGATTCTTCGCTCTACGGAAGAGGAATGGGATCTCTGGGCAGGCGAGCTGTCGGGATCACGTATGGTTGTCGGCATTTCCAACTGGAGAAACAATTCGCAGACTGTCGAAGTTGACCTGGGTCTTCTCGGGGTGGCGAAAGCTAATGCCAGGGATCCTTGGGCCGGCAGCGACATTGGATCTGTGTCTGGTGTGAAGACTGTCAATTTGGCTGCACACGAGATGAGGCTGTGGGTTTTGTCCAACATCCAGAGCACCACGCCTCCTCAGTCTGCGGGATACTACTCCGCTGTTGGTGCGACTCTCAAAGGTTCCGCCGCCCTCTCAAAGTGTAGCAGCAGTGAATGTCTACCCACGAACCAAAAGGTTGTTAACCTTGGATCTGGCGCGAGCGCGACCTTCAACTCGGTCAAGGCCACTGGCAGCGGTACAAAGCTTGTTGCAGTGGACTACATCAACTACGAGTATGCCTTCACTACAGCCTGGGGCTGGGGCTCCAACACTCGAAACATGACAATTTCCGTTAATGGAGGGGCCGCAAAGAGGTGGGCGTTCCCAGTTTCTGGCGGCGACTGGTACGAGACTGGACGGATGACAATTGAGGTGGACGGCTTTGTGGATGGAAAGGCGAATAGTCTTACATTTGTTGTTCATACCGGAGATCAGTGGGCTCCAGACCTGGTCGGACTGGAGATTTTTGAATAAGTTGCTTTGAAGACTGATCTAGACTCTACGCAGCGGAAGTTGAGCGTGTTACATATTGGGATGTCCTCTCTAAAGCTGCACTGATGATGAAGAATGATCTAATCTCTCCAAGATCTCTGCAAACCGCCGGATATACGATGATATTCTCTCGCTACTGTCTGAAGCCGTACTGTCACCATCGTTACTGTCCAACAAGGTCGCTGCAACTTTTCGAATTTGTATTACCGGTATATTGTCAGTAAAACATTTGTGTAAAAAGGAATTGTGGCAAAGGATGTCTTACAAGTGAATATCAGTTTCGTTCTAACGTCTGTGGCAGCGTGGAGTCTAATATTTCCAAAAGACTTTGGGAGATTGATTCCCGAAGAATCCATTGGTCAGTTTGTACTTGGAATATTCTCAGTCATTGAAGTAGTGGTAGGGCCACCTGGAGTATCCTTTGATGCCGTTGGCGCCATTCCTTCTAGCTTAGTCGCCAGTTGAGAGTTTAACATATTCTCAATCAGAGTGCTCTGTCGGTATATGCAGGTGGTAAAGCATTGTTCGTACTACACCGAAGTATTGAGATTCCAACTGCTGGAATTTGGCATCTGGCGATGGAGGGAATCTGGGTTCATTTGGCGGAGATTTAAGATTCCGGCTGAACCTAGCCGAAAGAACACAAATACAGTGCCAATTGCAAACATAGTATCTCGCGCAGGCGCCGAAACGATCCAGGTATACATCCCACCATCTCATGTTGCTCAGTTGGAGCAACCGGTGAAAACCTTGGCTAGATTCGCAAAATTCAAGCTCGAGCTAAGAGGCGAATAATTGCTGAAACTGTATTTAGCAAAGAGACTTCTTTTTATTAGAGTAAGAATCCGTGCAAGTAGAAGGTTGTTATATATCGTTAAAAAGTATTAGTTGCTACTAGTTTCAATTCTAAGAGTATTATTAGAAGAATATCTCTTAATATCTATTAGAAGTTTACTATTAACCTATAAAAATATTACTACTAGAAAAAAAAAGTTAAATAAAAAATTATAATATTAATAAAAGATAAATTTTAAAAAAATTCTTTAAAATAAAGCTATTAATTTTAAAACTTAATTTTAATTTCTCTAAGTTTATTTTACTATAATAAAAAGATTCTCTTCTTATTTACAGCTATATTTTCTTTTTATTCTTAAAAAACTCTAGCTAATAATTAACTAACTTAAGTATTCTTAACTACTACTAACACTCTTTTTATAAAATTCATTTTTTATCTTATGATATTACAGTTTTATAAAAATAATTCTTATTTAAGAATATTAAACAAAAAGAAATGCACACCGTAACTGCAGATTGTATTAAAGTAAAAGTAGTTAAAGAGCTATACTAGGGTAGGTTATGCCGCAATCCTTCAAAATACCTCATTACAAACAGCAGTTCACAATGCAAGTAGACGGGCCCAACGAAGGTTATTGAACTGTTTTGCTTTGGTTTTACAATACTGGGATTCGAATCTCGAATCTCAGGAATGCGGTTCAGGGCTTTGGTGATGCCCCGTATCACCTCTTACCGAACCGGCCAACCGCATCATGTGGTGTGCACTCGTATGATGACGGTTTTTAATATGACATATATTCAACACGCAGGGGAAAGACTTAGCTGCCGAGTTCCATTGTCACCTTGAAACGATGAAATTGTCGTGAATCAAATGATTTAGACTAGCTAAGCGATAAAACCTTTGAATCTGGACTGAGGATTGTGTTATTGTGGTCACGAACAAATTGAGCTTCGGCCAACCAAACGCGCCAGATAGTAGCAGCACTTCCTCTGGCAGTGACATGAAATAGAGTAGACCTTAATTACTCGTTTTAGGTCTCATTTGAAGTACTTGTCCATTGCTGATAACAGTCCTCTCTTTTCTCAGCCCACGTCAGCGGAGCAGCTTGCCTTCATTGCCGTCTCTCGACTACAGGTCTGCTATTTCATCGACTGAAGGAGCAGTAGTACAACTAACTCTCTCGAATGAAGTATCTCAAGAGAGGGGAGTCGTACCGACTTTTCCCTCGGGGTCAGGGTTCAAACTGGCAGCTGCCTCTAGAATCTCCACGATTCTTGAGTGTCCATTTCGAGCAGCCACTGACAGTGCCGTGAAATATTTCTTATCCCTCGCGTCAATGTCGAGACCCTTCACCCGTACCAAAAGCTTCACAATTTCCACATATCCTCGCCTAACAGCCCACAGCAGAGGTGTCTCACCGCGTCGATCCCGTGCGTTGGCATCTACACCCACTGTCTTGAGCAGTAATCGTACAGTGTCTACATGTCCGTTCTTCACAGCCCACAAGAGCGCCGTGCGGCCTTTTCGGTCTTTTGAGTTCTCCTTAGCACGCCCAGTCGCGAGCAGAATCTCTGCAACGGCCAGGTGGTTGGTTTCAGCAGCGCGTGAGAGTGGTGTGCGCTGGAACCCATCTTTCAATCCAGGATTCGCGCCCTCTTCCGCGAGTAATAACTTCATAATGTCGTCTCTACCGTACTGCGCAGCTGTCGATACAGCTGTTTGGCCGTGTTTCTCTTGCCACGAATTGACGTCGAATTCTTTCGACTCGATTAATAGCTTAGCCCGGCTCACATTGCCTTCCTCGATCGCCCATATGAGGGGCGTCTGTCCTTCTTGATACTCAAATTCCTGCTCATGGGCTGATTGATTGGACTCTTCATCGTTCCCCAGCGAGTTGATACCATGAAAAAGTTCTTTCACTACACCAGGATGGCCGTTCGCTAAAGCAACGAAAATTGGGTATCCGAACCGTCCTCCTTTGCAGTTGAACTTTGGATCCAGACGAAGATGTGTCCGTACGAGTACTGTTAAATTGTACTCTGCGAGAACGTACAGTAGAGGAGGGGGGTTGTCTTGATTCCTCCCAAAAAGGTTTCTGATCATCCCCCAGTTTTCAAAGTTCTCTTGCGAGAACTTTTTCAAGAAGCAATCTTGTGGTATCGTATATGCGGCAGCATTGGCGTGGTGGAGAATGTAATGGTTTGCGTATTGAAGGAATGGAAACCTACGCCCTGGCTTTTGCCCCGAAATTTGCATCCGTTTCCCAAATGTATCTTCCAAAGTGTTGACTGTGAGGTAGTTGTAGCAACACTCCTTCAGTTGATTATGGCTGAAGGGCTCGAAATTTAGCGCATGTTCGGGCCATACCTCTTTGACACCCCCGTGTGCGATGAGAAAGTCTCGTACTGACTCGTGGATGAACTGGACCGTTTCGGGCTTCGATCTAGTAACCAGAGCAAGGCCTTTGGAGCTGCTTGTCACATACCGCTGCATGGAATCTTCCGAGATAAGTTCGCGATCCCATTCACCCAAGTTTTCTGGCGCTGGAGCCAATCCAGCGGCAAGTGCGAAGTAAAACTCCTGAACAGTAAGGGGCCGCTTTGCAAAGAGAAGCCATTGAATGCAAAGGAGTAAGTCGTCCATGTATTCGTCGTCCCGAGTCATCATACCTTTGAATAAGTCGCTCAGTTTTGAAGGTAACTCCTGCAGTCTTTTCTGGACCGCGAAAATTCGGCCGCGACGGTATTCTTTGTTGAGAATCTTGACGACAAGAACAACCCACATGAAGATACCTTCTGCCTTCCGGAGTATTTCGCGCTTGATCTCCTCAGCGTTTTCTCCAGACCCAGTGTCGAGTTCGGATTGTACATATTTCTCGATGTCCTTTATATGACCCTGTTGGTCGTCCAGTGAAAGCTTCAGGCCAAACGAAATATCTGCAAAGGGATAGTGGCGACTAGAGAAACAAACAGAGAATATTGAATCTTTGTCCGCAGCCAATTTTCCCCAGTGCAAAAAGTCACTGATCATCTTTCGAACATCATCTTCTTCGCTTTCGTCAAGTGCATCAATGAAACAAATCAAACGGTGGTGCCCAAGGTTTGTAACAGCAGTCTCAAAGAGCTCCCGCAGCTCCTTAAGCGACCAAGGAGACTGTGATCTCTTTCCCCAAGACCCCTGTTTCATTAGGAGCCCCTGCAGTTCCGGTCGTCCTTTTAGAAGCTGGAATAGTATAGACCGGTACATGCCAGTCGTTGATTTCTCCAAGTCAACTCCTCTGGCATTGAAGAAGAAGGAAGTGACAGTAGTATCGGGATCAGCATCGCTCTTTGCGTTTGCAAAAGCGTACTTGATCAACGTTGATTTGCCGGCTCCTGGCTTCCCATTTATCCACAAGCCACGGTCTTCATTGGCATTTTCAAGACTGAGCCAGTCTTTGTAGCCTTGGTGGTCGAGGAGCCATTTGCAGGTACTCTCATGGGCTTCGTCGATTGTCTCTTGGCGGGAGTCGATTTCCTCGAATTCCAATGAATCCATGAAACTGCTGACGCCACTCTGCAATGAGACTGGTTCTACAAAAGTATTAGCTGGATCAGATACTCATAGATTTCGAGCCTTACCTTTCCCACGCCAACCGTCATCAATCGGATCACTTTCATCCTGAGGCGTTGGGATTAGGGACAGTAGCTCCTTCGCGTACGCTGCAGCCGTTGCGGCGGCGTAATTCTGCCAAGCTTTGTTTTTATGTGAATCTGAGTAGTCACATATTCCACGGATGACTAGAGACGGGAAGCTATGCATGATTCCCGCCGCCTCCATTTCAAAGCATAGAATGCTGTGTTGTCTTGCTAGCTCGTCTCTGGTTCGACCATGCTTCATAACCTGATTGGCTGATGCAATCCGTCCGTAATGAATTTTAGGGCGAGTATCAGCTCGATTTAGTCTATTTAACACCTTAGACTGATCACATTCCTCGCAGTTCTTAATCGACCGATCATGATCGTATGAACTGTCGAACAAGCGGTCTTTGTGACGGGGATAAGCATACATAGCCATATCCGCAGAGTTTCCGATCATCTGAGAAACAAGAGAGGATGTGTTGTTGGAAGTCTGCTCCGGTTTCCCGCTGGTCTTGGAAGTAGCCGTCAAAAGATGCGGTGGGGGCTTAATAAAATCTCCGGTTCGCTGGAAATGACCATCTTCGACCGTCTTCCCAAGGTCGTACTGCAAGATATCGGAGCTTACCACGACATCGCCAAGGCGAATATCAATCTGACCAGGTACCCCTCCGCCAACTCCCACTAAGAGCCGGATGTGAAGGCGAGAAAAGCTTCGATTCATATTGGTCGCTACGATTGCGGCACTGTTTGTCCCATAATTCCCCAATGGCAGACACGCCATCACAATATTATGGGAGCCACTGCTCCCTAGAATATACTCGTTTTCGTCATTTGGATCGGTCGGGAGGGGTTCGTGAATATCATCCAGAATAGCCTGTGCCGCCGTAAATTCGAGAGGGAGCGCCGAGATCCACCCAACACGATAGGCTTCGGGTGTGAGCTTCTTCCGGACACTACTCTGTCTGTGAGAGATCGCCGGCATTGCTTTTTTAGTTGGGGTGTCGGCTTCAAGCACTCGGTGGGCTGTGTTGTAACGCAACGTAGTCTAGTCTAGACTCTCCGTTGAAACATGGCGCAGTTTATTAGCAAAGCGGCGTGCGTGTTTCTCGTCCTGGTCCCTCAGAATTTCACGTGATACCTACAAATCTCAGTCACGTAGCCCAGTACATGTAATAACGAGGATACGTTTGATTAGTAGGCATGCAGGCGAACTTTTAGGGGCCAAATACGCTACTAAGGGGGCCTCAAAAGCGGCTCCCGTCTGACTCGTTTCTCCTAGACGGGGACCGTTGATTAGGAAAAGCGTGGGAAAATAATTTGAGATACATGACCGTACACGTTAAAGAGCATACAGACCAATGTACCATTGAATTCATTCGGTCAATATGTTTCTTTAGGTCAACATCCATGTATGTACCCATGTCAATCATTATAAGCGAGTGGCTTATTTCCTCGTACAATCTACTGCGAAGGAGGAACGAGTCAGACGGGGCCGCTTTTGAGGCCCCCTTCGTATTGCAATTGAAGCTCGAATGATAGCGTTATTACTGCTTTGTATTTGTCAGGAGATATGGACTACAAATACACTACCGGCAAGAGGATTAATCGTTCCCTTTTGCCGTAGCGACATTGCGACAATATTACTTCGTTGTGTGCCATTGATCCATCCCGCAAGATCGTTCACGATTGATTCTCAAAATGGGACGTCATAATGCAGCCCAGCAGCCCTTTGTCGATTTGACTACGTCATGAATGCAGAAAGCGTATTGGCAAGAACAGGCTCGAACCCGACAATACTCTTCGCAGCAAAGGTGCTTGCCCACAGCTTTCGCTTCGGATTTGTCCCTGGTCTTGGTGAGAGTCCGATGGACACCAGCACCAACGTCATAAAAGCCTTCTTTCATAAAAATGGCACCATGACCGTACATTTAGTTGGGCGCCCGCAGGTCAAGGGTGAAGATATAGTTCGGGGCAATTCGGACGTGCGAATCGAGGACAATGGAAACCGAAACACTTCCGGGTCAGAGCCTAATAAGAGCAGAGGGCCAAACCGCCTGCCGCAAAACCAAAGCTTCGGTAATCCTTCTTGCTTAGACAATAAGGATCAATCTGAGCACTTCACCTTTGAAAGCATTTGGACACCACGCTTTATTGGAGGTTCGAATCCAGAGGCCAGACTCTTTGACGAAACCACTACGCCGAAAGTCGCCGAACACGCAACTAGAGACGAAGTAGGTTTATGGATTCAGCCTCGGTCCCGCAGCAACTGTACCCTCTCTGCCGATGGCTGCTCTCCAACATATTCGCTCGAGAGCAAATTTGAGGAGCTTATTTCAACAGTCTCCAACCTCATCTCCGAAGAAGAAACCATCACGGTTCCTTCGGATATCCATTTTGCTGACGTCCATCCTATCACGCCACTCCTGAACGAGAAAGAACGCCAAAAATTCTTTAGAGTCTAAAACATTTCACCTGCTCTGGTCCATGTCCTCTGTCTCGTTGCCGCCAAAGCCCATACGGTCCGGGCTCACCTCCGTCACTTAGTGGCCAACTGTATTCCTCTATCGTCTTATCCTTTTCCGACTCGTTAAATGTCAAGAAAATCGCACTAGTCCGGGTCTTAGTCACTTCTTTCTCGCCACGGCCACCCTGGCCCACCGATTAAAAGTATTAAAGCATTGCTTTCGCCCATAGCGGCGGGATTTCAGCAACTCTCTGCGTGCAATCATTTCATTCTCTTCCTATCGCCGTGTACGCCGCCTCTTTCGTATCACCCATCTATTGCCAGCAATTGCGTTATAGTCGCGACCAAGAGGGCGCACGTAAGGACTTCAAAACTGCCCGTAGCATACTTCAGTCATTGTGAGTCAATTGGGCGGCGGCGCCTGACGCCACGGCGTCGTTGGCGCAAGGATCTCAGTACAGTTGGGAAAATTGCACAGCTGCGATCTTCTTCACATTCACGGCTTAGTGGATGGGGAGCTAGCTCGGACTATCTCAAGGGATTCGATCATTTTGGAGGTATGGATGATATTTCTTAAGTGTATCTTAATGCTAAAGATCTCATAAACTTTGAGAGCTTTTCTTTGCTTGAGTTTGACCCACAATGAGCGTGTCTTGGGATGCTCGTATTGCAAGTCGTACCAATCGCGCAGCGAGTCTAGATAGGAAATCACCGACTTGTCGCTGTCTTAGAGTCCGGAGCATGGCTAACCTATCTTAAAAGAGTAATCGCCGGTGGTAGAAGGTGAGCAAGAGTGGGCTAATCAGATTCAGCTTGTCGCGGGGGATAGGCCAGTGATCGGCCTGGGACATGGATTCAGATCCTCCAGGGCGCAGCGCTTATTATCAGCATGTCAGCAACATCTTCTGCCTAAAGCGCTCCTCAGATCACGCAAGATATTTCCTGCTTTCTATCAAGGGATTAATACACTGGCAGGTACGGTGTTCCATCAAAATACATCTCCCGCCTGGCATCATCGGATTGGTACGGTCGACAACTATCGAGAAACATCGAGAAACATCGACATGATGTTTCGGCGACTGAGCGCCCTGTACGCGACGGCGTCTCTCTGTCTCGCTGCCACCGCCGCCGTTGTACCGCCGTCAGATCAGAAACCCATCGTGACGCCAGATGAGCTGCCCGAAAACGCTCCCGACCATGTCGTCGTTGTTGACAATAGTGCTGCAGCAGCCAAGATAATGCTGTTTCCCGCCTCCCGAACGTATCCGGACGACCTGAAGGACATGGGCAAAACACTGCCGGGCTGTTCAGAGGAGGACGACGTTGAGGTGATCCACCTCGACACAGACGTGTGCTTGTCGGGCGAGTACTACATGCGGGATAATGTCAAGGTCCTCGAATCGCCAAGCTGCGCGAATAGCTCCCGCCCAACCTTCATGTTCTACCAGAGCAGAGGCTGTACTGGTTCACTCCGCCATACGATGCAGAACATCGACGAGCTGACAGGAAGCTGCCTCTGGTCTGAAGAAGCCATCTCCGTCCCGTCATACTACTGGTCGCTGATATACCGATGCGACGACGAAGTTGATGGCGCTGCTCACCACCAGGACGCCAATCCGGCCGTCCTCTACCAGAACGTCGCTGGTGCGCCAGGCAGCGTGCGATACCACCACGGGACCACGACTCCCTGCCATGACGAATTTGCAAATATAAGACCCGCAACCGAACTCGAGCCCGGTGACTGCCGTTGGCCTTGGAGTCCCTGGAGCTTGGAGTCCATTGAGATCGTCTCCCCCGCCGTTTGCAACAACGGCACTCGAGCGCAAGTCATACTATATGAAGACATTGGAAAACCTGGGTTGGACTACATGTGTAACGGGGGAGATATTACACTGGAAAATTCAATCCTGGACGTTGATGATTGGATGCTTGACACCTGCATCAATATGTCTCGGGTGAAGCGCCAAAACGGTGGCTTTAGCAAGGCTCTGGGAGTCATGTTCAACTGCGATGGGATGCGCATTAAGGGGCAGCAGCAAGAACAAAAGGAGGCAATCTCCGAGACGTCGATCCCGCGAGGACCTAGGACATCACACAACGAGTGCCCAACCTTAGCTGGTCACTGGCAGTGGAAGGATCCTGTTCGCCCCAAAACATTCATTTATCCCCAGCCAATGGCTTGCATGACACTCCCGCAGGGTCACCATCTTCGCATTCACGAACAGCCGACTTGTCCTGATGGCACCGAAGGTCGGCTCGCTACATGGCAGGAGCCTGGTTGTGCGGGCTGGCCAAAGACGATCCAAGGCGTCGATACCCTGAACTGCGAGAGGAGCTGGAATTTGCGATCTGAGACGAGCTACATGATTTGGTGCGGCCCCGAGGGGTTGACAGCCGAAGAGCGGAATCTCAAGGGCGAGGATGACAGGGCCGTTGTTTCGAGAGATGAGTGTCCCCGGGTGAACATGGAGCCGGGTTGGGTAGTCGCGGGTCGTGATCACGGAGCCACAATCCGGCGTATGGATGCGGACCAAGATTGCATCAACGTTTGGAAAGATGATCAGCTCAAGGTGTACGCGAACGCCAAGTGCCCAAGCGGGAAGGATGCCAAGTTGGTCAAGTACAGTGACTCTCGTTGTGGTTGGGAATCGGCTGAGACCGTCGATGTAGCGAGCCTGATCGATACCTGCACACAGGTTTGCGAAGGAGTGGGCCGCAATAGTTGCGGCATCAAGTTCTCGTGTGATGATCAGTGAAAGGTATCGATAGAACTGGTATTTCGTGGTGGCCCAGCGTGATTTGTTTATGGTATTGAAGGCGGGGATCTGATAGCCTAATCTTGGAAAGAATGTTAGCTAGAGGCCTTGCTCTGATATTCAGCATTAGTTGAATGATTTAATGTGATTATGCTTTGCGCTTTAGAATCAGGCGCAACCAAGTGATGGTTTAGGGTAAAGTTGCCAAAACCAGCGGCAGTTTGCTGTAATGAGGAAAAGAAAGGGGGGCCGGAATCGCTTGAATGAAAGCCTAGCACTCGACATCCAGTAAGATTCTAGAACGAGTATACAGGGACGCTTATGTTACATTTGCTTTCTTATCTTGCCATGTGCTTATTTTTAAGCTTCATGCTCGGTGTCATCAGGCTTACCACGAAGGACTGGGATTACACCCCGTCTCCAGCCAAGCTAGGAATAAGGAATATCAATTGCAATACTGCCGACATAATTAGGAAATAAAATAAACCGTCACTAGCAAACAAGCAAAGCATGCAATACGATGGAGTCATACATACCGACCTCGGGTCGGCAAGAGAATGCGACAGGTGGGTCCCTGAAGGGCTCGAATAGTAGCTAGCGCTTCCGATGTCCTGCGGCGTTGCGGTTCGCAATTAGTCTGAAGGGGAAAGTATGGCATAATAAAGGGCGGTTAGCTCATTTAGCTGCAGCCGTGAGCCTCATTTGTCAGATGCTAGTCTCATCGCCATGTGCTCAGCTTCTGACAATACCCCTTGTTGTAGAGTATGTCTCCCCAGGCCTGCCAAGGATCAGAGCACAGTAAGCCACCGACAAGCAGGAAGAAAGTGATGAGGGCAAAAAAACCAAACTGCATCACAAGGACCTTGTATAAGATCCTTCGATCCTTACACATCTACGATTCCGGCCCTCGTGCAACTCCGCGCATTGAATAAACAATGACCAAGCCCCGTGGGGGTAGTTGATCTCAAATCTCGCCATGTCCAGCCACCATGGGGCCTTCACCCTGGCAAGGAATTTGGCGGAAAAATCTTAGCTTGCTAGAAAAGGCTGGTCCAGGTGGCATTCCAAAAGAAACGGCAGCAGGGGTATTGCAGGGAGGTTGTGCAATAAAGCCAGGGATCCCGAGTGCTCAACAAAGTCGCATCACGGTACTACGTAGTACGTGGCGGCACCCAGATCTAGAGCGCCGCAATTTATGGACAATCATCCGGCTGGTTCGCAAGCATTCCCTGTCCGAGGTGGAGTTGTCCTCCAAGCGATTAAAACATCGAGTCAGGCGCACGAGGACAGACCGCTACAGCAGCATATGACGCACCCACTCGCCGCGTCTCGGGGTTGTATTGTCTTCAGATTTCTCCATTAGTCATGGCATATTGGCCACTCCGTTGTAGCAGTGTAGCAGCGGTGCCTTCATCCTGCTCAGGTCATGACCGGAGTTGGAATCGGACGGATCCGAGTCATTTGACAGACCCACGTGGATATCGCGCGCTCCGGCAGTCCCCTACTTATCTTGCTATCGGCGACGTTACATCATGGCCCACTGCGGATGCAGGCAACGGCTTTTATCAACGCAAGAGCCGCACTAGGCACGCATATTTTCCACTGCCGGTGCGACGTCAAGTACCGTTGTCGGCCAATGGCGCGTCTCGGACGACAATTGTCCAGGAGACGTTCGAGTTGACGATTGTGGTTTTCCAGGCTTCAGTCTTGTAATTGCTGAACAGGATGGCTATCAACTGTCTGCGGCTGCAAAAACCTTACTGCCATCTTCTTCAGGGACTTGTCAGGTTCATACCGGCGTCTCCACTAGCGATATTCAACAAAATACGGGCAAACTCTTCCCCCCCGAGTTTGCCCCCCGAGGAGATCTACGGTCACGGCTTCCTGTGACCAGAAGAATCCTTCTTCCGGTTTCAACTCGTCATATTGCGCTATTTTAACCTGGTCCGTGAGAGAAGTTTGCTCCACGGCTGATCCTGCGCTGGCTGGTCAGCGCTGCCGTGACGGAGGCCATCCCCACATAGTCCAAATAGCCCGAGAAACCACCGTGCCGTGTAGCCGGCTCACGGCGCGCTCTCGTACGGGGGTGCCAGAATCATCACGGAGATAGCCACCGGACTTCCAGGCCCGCGTCGACAGCCAACAAGAGCCGTCGCGTATTTGCCTCACTTGCTGGTTAAGCCCACCGGTGCTATTGGCGCGTCACGCCCCCGGCCAGAGGACATGGCCTCAACGGTCCCATGGGGCTCCGCATAACTCATGTCCGGAGAGAGCGGACGCAGAGTGCGGAGCAGAACCTTATATGAGCATCCCCGCGACCTCTGGATGCCGTCCAGGACGCCAGCTTTACCTCTCTTCTCTTCTCTGGGAAACCGCCAAAAAAACCACCGGAGCAATGGAGACCGCCAAGTATCTCGGAGTCAGCGGCGCCGCCCTGAGCAGACTGCAGCTCGCGCTGATTGTCGCCCCTGCCTTTACGCTCTTCGGCTACAACCAGGCCGGCATCGGTGGCCTTCTGAGCGAGGAGGATTGGGTCAAGACGTTCCCCGAGATCGACGTCGTCAACGCCGTGGGAGCTGAGAAGAGCAGAAAGTCGACGCTCCAAGGCTTCGTTGTTGCGACCTTTGTCATTGGCGCCCTCATCGGCTCCCTGTCGTGTTCCTACACTGGCGACAAGTTCGGCCGCCGCAATGTCATCTTCTTCGCGGCCATCTGCTCGCTGATCGGCGAGACTATCGAGGCTTCCTCTTTCAGCCTTGCCCAGTTCATCGTCGGCAGAGTCATCATCGGTCTCGGTGTTGGCCAGCTCAGCTCCATCGTCCCCGTCTGGATGAGTGAGACATCCGCCGCCGCAAACCGTGGTCGTCACGTCGTCTTGACCGGACTGTTCATGTGCCTGGGCTACACCCTCGAGTCATGGATTGACCTGGCCTTCTTCGAGTTCAAGCACGGCCCCGTTACGTGGCGCCCTCCCGTCGCCCTCGGCATCGTTTTCTCCATTATCGTCATGGCCTCTGTCTACGCTCTCCCCGAAAGTCCCCGTTGGCTCGTTCTCAAGAGCCACTCGGAGGAGGCTCGCCACGTCATCTCCGCCCTCCGAGGACTTCCTGGAGACTCGCTGGAGGTTCAGGCTGAGCTTGCCGGAATCGAGCACTCCCTCGAGGAGACAAGCAAGGGTGGAGCTAAGCTGCGTGATATGCTCAAGATGGGCGATGACAAGCTTCTCTATCGCTTCTGTCTCTGCATCCTTTTGCAATTCTTCCAGCAAATGTCTGGCAGCAACCTAGTCAGCGTTTACGCCACCGTCCTTTTCCAGAACAACCTTGGCATGAGCAGTGAGATGTCCCGTATCCTCTCTGGAGGTGCCCTGACCTGGAAGTTCTTGTCCTCTTTCCTGGCATTCTTCACCATTGATCGCTTCGGACGTCGAGCTGTATTCATCATCAGCGGTGTCGGCATGTCTGCTTGCATGGCTGCTCTTGCCATTACCACCTCGTTTGGTCCCGACAACAGGGCTGCTATGATTGCTGCTGGCTGCTTCATCTACCTTTACAACACCTGGGTTCCCATTGGTTTCCTCGGTGCCAACTTCCTGTACTGCACAGAGGTCGCGCCTATTCGCCTCCGAATGGCCATGTCTTCTATCTCGACAGCTAACCACTGGCTTTGGTATGTGAACCAAACCCCTCTTCCAACGAGTATAGTACTAATGCGTCTCATAGGAACTTTGTTGTTGTCATGGTCACTCCTGTGGCAATCGAAAACATTGGCTGGAGATATTACATTGTTTTCAGTGTTATTGCGGCTTGTATTCCCCTCTCGGTGTACTTCCTTTTCCCTGAGACCATGGGCCGGAACTTGGAGGAGATTGAGATGATGTTCAAGGACTCTCCATCGGTGTGGGGCACTGTCAGGTTCGCAAAGAACCGACCCATCGCGATGCCTCAAGAGTTCCTTGCCAAGGACAAGGCCGCCCACCTGGAGGGTCCCCTGGAGTCTGACGACTGAAGCTAAAATTACGAAGAAGTGAAACGGCCAAAAATCAACGGCGTTTGAAGCATTTATGTCATGTTATGGGCCCATGGGGTATTTCAGAAGCATTAGCGGTATCAAAATTTACAATACTGGTTAGCCTTGATGACTTATTAGTGTCCCTCCCGCGAATAGTGCAACTCAATCCCCTTCACCTTGGCGCATTCGATGACTTTATAGTATGCTGGAATGTTGTAGGGATTGAAACCTTGGCCGATTCTAAGCAAGCTATGATCGCGCATATAATCACGCCATACCAAAATTACCAGCCATCGGCTGCGGGGGCTGCAGTGTAGAGTGGGATGCAAGGGGGATGGATCAATACCTTTTGCATCTTACTGTATGTCAAGAAAGGTGCAGCTGATTCTAACGTAAGAGATTAGCCAAACTTGGCGCCCATCATAGCGTCCTGGGTTCTAGAGCCCATATTAAACAATGTTCTACCTCTCAAATGACCTTCTCGAATTATTCTTTGTCATGCAGTGCCAACTTCGCCAGGTCCAGACACTTTTTTATGAGCTTGGCGTTTTCTGCATTGGGAAAATCGGCTCCACCTTCCCTCCCAGGTTCGGTTCGAGCTTCCCTCCCAGTTCATCTCGCGATAGCTTCAACCCAGAAGCTCGCGAGCGAATTGTGGCTGTTCAATGTCGACGAATGCAATGTGCGGTAAAGCGCCTTCCGTATTTTGGCATTAGTCTTATCAGCCAAGACATGGTTGAACCTGGATATAAAGAGGGCTATCATCCTACCTCAACACCACGATCCTGTTCCTTTCCCACCTCCAAGTCATTCTTACCTTTACGTTCCGTCATCATTCATTCCCTCCTGGGGCAGCATACTGAGCAGTCAGAATGAACACTTCAACATCACTCAGCTTGGTGGAGGCTACCGTCGCCCAGTTGAGGCAGGCTCTTGATGCCCAAGCCCTGACCAGCGTGGAGTTGGTCTCACTTTATCTGCACCGCATCGGAAAGTACGATTGCCGCGGCCCGTCTCTCAACGCGATCTGCGTTCTCAACCCATACGTATTCGAAGAAGCGCAAGCATCCGATGACTATCGCGCGTCGGGCCGTTCGCCTCGGCCTCTCGAAGGCATTCCCTATACCGTCAAGGATAGCTTCAGTGTCAAGGGCCTGACAGTCGCAGCAGGCTCGCCAGCCTTTGCCAACCTTGTGGCTTCATCTGACGCCGCCATTGTTGAATCTCTTCGAAATGCGGGAGCAATCCTTCTCGGAAAGACAAACATGCCTCCGATGGCAGATGGAGGCCCTCAAAGGGGGCTTTACGGGAGAGCCGAAAGCCCATACAACTCCGTGTACGGAACCACCGCCTATGCATCAGGGTCTTCCAACGGCAGTGGAACCTCGACTACGACCAGTTTCGCCGCATTTGGCTTTGGTGGAGAGACGGTCACATCCGGCAGATCCCCTGCATCGAACAATGCTCTAATAGGCTACTCCCCTTCACGAGGTGTCATCCCCGGTCGAGGTCAATGGCCTCTCTACCCAATGTGCGATGTCATCGTCCCTCATACACGGTCGATGAGAGACTTGTTTGAGGTTCTCAACGTCATCGTGGCTGACGATAAGAATGCCGTACCAGGCCTGGACTTCTGGCGTAATCAGCCCTTTACTCCGGTTCCCAAATGTTCCGAGGTGCGCCCTACCAACTACCACAGCCTTGAGGATCGCACCTCTCTGCAAGGGAAGCGCATCGCAGTTCCTAAGTGTTATCTTGGCGTTCAGGGAGCGCAGCCAGCTACAGTTTGCACAGACTCGGTGCTGGAACTCTGGAACCAAGCCCGGGTCGACCTCGAATCCCTCGGAGCGACTGTGGTAGAAACAGATTTCCCCCTCATGGAGCAGTATGCGAAAAAGGACTTCCCTGGACAGAGCTCCAATGTGCCTGGCATATCCAGTGAATGGGTCAGCTTGGAACGCTGCGAGATGATCGCCTTGGCCTGGGACGACTTCCTACGTGCTAACGGTGACGAACAATACCCCAACTTGCTCGCTGCCGACCCAGACCGAATCCACCCTCTGGTCGCTCCAATGGACGATCCATCACTACATTCCGAGGCCCAGAACCAAGTCCGGTATTCGGACATGTTTGAGGCTGTGCGACTCCGCAAAAACGACATATACACTCTCCCCGGATGTGAGCAGGCGGTTAACGCCCTCGAAGATATGCGAAAACAGCTCTACGAGGATTGGATGGACAACAACGGTTTTGACATGATGGTGTTTCCTACAAACGGAGATGTTCCCTATGCTGACGCCGATGAGAACCGCGAGTCGATGCTTCACGCCCTCCAGGAAGGAATCAAGTATTCCAACGGCGGTCGAGCACTCAAGCACCTTGGCGTTCCTTGCATAACTGTTCCAATGGGTACCATGAAGGACAAAAAGATTCCAGTTGGGCTCAACTTCTGCTCCAAAGCCTGGGAAGACGAGAACTTGCTCCGGTGGGCCTTTGCGTACGAAGCAGGCTCGCAGAAACGAACGATACCCCCGCTCACTCCGGCCCTACCCTCCGATCAAATCCTCTTCACCGATCCTCAACCATTCGCCTCAAGAAAATCCGCCCCATTCCTAGAGATTGAGAACAACAGCTATGAAAGAGAGCAGTCCGCCGATGACGAAATCCGCATCGTATCAGCGTCGGGCAGCGTGGGAGTTGCCGATTCGGCAATCCAACTGACTACCGTCATAGCTTTTGTGAATGGTGATCCATTTGAGGGTATTACGGTGAAGGATGGCAAATGGTCATTCCAGGGCCGCCTACAGCGACCGAAAAGGATGGAAAGGTTTCCCACATTGACCACAGTACCAAAGGATCAGTTTATGGTGGTTATTGTAGCAAAGGCCTCCAATGGGAGGTCTGCGGCCAAGCTGTTGATGATTGACTAGAGCTGGATGCGTCCTTGGCAATGCGAGATACGTTGAGAATTATAAACCAAACTTCAAACAAATGACCAAATATCGACCCATCTAGAATAATTTGGAATGTTTTATGCATTTTTTAAATATCGAGACATTCGTCCCGCCAGAACAGGCTCGGCTGCTCTCTCCGATGGCAGTGAAGGACGGTGAAGGTTTTCGGCCACTTTCGACCTTTCGATGGACAGCGCCAGAGGTCAGGAACCCTCGGCCTAACTTGCACAATTATCGTTTGGAAATCTTCAGCGAGATTATTTTTTGACTCGACATTACGTTATTCCGGTTCTTCTATTGGCAGTCCATAATGCCAACAAATCCTTCATTGAACCGAGCGCCAACCGCGGTTTTTACCTTCCCTTTCCGGCCGTTCGGTTCGACATTCCCTCCCTGGCTGTTGCCGGTTCGACATTCCTCCCTCGGAGCGTGGCAAGCCAACAAATTCTTGGATGAACGAATATCCTGAGTACTGTCAAATGACAGCGTTCATTAAACGCCAAGGGATCAAATATTTTGTAGTTTATTTCCTGGCCTTGAACCTTCTACTAGGGGAATCGTCAAACTAAGAGAGCACAGATGCCCATATCGACCATGGCAAGTCTGGGGGTCCAAAGTGAATCCCTGTGTCGATTCCAGCAGTGTTGTATGATCCGTAGCACAGTCTTACAGTTGCTAAAGGCCGAGTCCGATTGTGTGAGAATTCCCTCAAGTATATTCTCGAAAAATGGTTGTTGATGTGGTCTAGCGAGACACCCGACGACACACATCGACCACGTCAAGCCTCGCAATGACACATCCTTTGGTAAGTTTTCAATAGCATCGATGACTTTCGCTATTGCATCATCTTGGTCTGTTGTGATTATATCTGAGGCTCCGGGGATGGTGTATAGTTGCACGAGAGCTGTAGTGGCGAAGATTCGTGTTACCAAGCGAGACTTTCGTGTTGATATAGTCTAGAGGATGACAGGTTAGATATGATGAGTTTGAGGTTTCACTCCAAACTTACCTCTGGTTCCAAATCCAGCGCATCAAGGCCATAGTGAATCCTGGCTTCTAGGGCCTCGATGTTGGAATGAAGTGCTTCAGGTTCGTAGGAATTCCCCTCAGCGCCCAGGCTTGCAATATCACCTATTATAATCATCATCCAATTTTGACATCCCATCACCCGCGACATGTCCACTTCCTGGACATTGAGCCATTGACGATACGGTGTCCTAGGTTGAGAGCCTGTCGACGTGCAGGCTAAAATGTCAAACCAAAGCAAATTTGCTACCTGAAATCTCTGGGCAATGGCTATTCCACCAACTAGCTCAGAGTCTGCTCCCTTTAATTCCGCTGGCTGGAGTTGGAGTTCGGAAGGCGTTGGTTCGGCCAAAATCGAGCCTAGAGCACTGACATGCGGCTCCCAGTTGCTTGTTCCCCCCTGGAATACCTGTCCTTCAATTAGCCTTGCAACAGTTGACAGTGGCATTCAACATACTTGGAAGCTGATTAAAGCTAGCCCTCCCGCCATAAATTCTACCCACTCCTCCCGGTTGCTTGCAAATCCCTCAACTTCACGCCGGGACAAGACCTGGCGGAGTTCCTGCAATGCCTTTGTGTGATATTGAATCAGCTCTGACTCTTGGCTTTCGGCTCGGTAATGCGACACAATATGCTGATGCAGCGCGGACAGCGTAAGCGCAGCCTGGCGCAGGGGAGCACTCTTGGTGAGAAGCCAGAACAGCCACCCTCGTCCTCCAAGATCCGGATCGTCCACATAATAGGGATATTGGAGTGGGAAGATGTAGTCTAGGTAGTGAACAATATGCTGCGCTTCCCTAAAGCTCGTGTTTTCGGACGGGGCTGGTTCCACTCGTTCCAAGGCCGGTTCAGGGTCAACTGTTGGTGTCTGCGATACTCTAGCCTCGCTCACACGCGATGTGGGAGCGACATGAGGCGGAGATGATCGGTTTTGAAGTCGTCGAATGCGCCGGAAATTCTCCTTGACGGTGCGTTTGATGTTCTGCAACTCTGAATCGAGCCTTCGGGGATCATTCATCCAGGCTGGTGGTTTAGACTCGTAGCCATAACACGGAATCCCACGACTGCTGCACTCCTTGCAGGTGGGAAACAGCTCGTCGCACTTCCGGTGACGGATCCTGCAAGTCCAGCAACCGATGCGTCCCCGATTCACGTACGGCGGCATCGTGAATGAATTGATTCAGGGGTGAACATGATCCAAATTGACCAGCATCAACCACGGCCAGTAAGATGCAGAAAAGGAGGAAGAAGCGGAGGGAGTGGGGAAGCCTGCAATCCACTTTATACAGAAGGAATTTAGACTAGCCACGTTGTTGCAAGTGCTGCTACCCTACACTAATTATTTTATCGCGTGATTCTAGAGTTGAGCAACGGCGAACTGATATTCCCACGTTCAAATTTCGGTGGATTCAATACCTACAACTGACTGTTACAGTGCATGTATGTGATTCATGACGCAAGTCTACCTTGGCGAACAAGAACCCCAAATTTCTTGACCCATGCGCGCCGTTAAGCTGCATTGTAATCAATCTCAAAACTAAACACTGAGTCGTAGTGTAGTGCCCAATATCCATCCCATATTAACTTTGTGATAGGTCCGGTCTTACCACCATTGACAGGCTTGTCATCCAAAGTTGTGATGGGCATAATGCCACCAGCAGTCGTGCACATGAAAATCTCATCGCAATTGTAAGCCAGGTCTACCGGTACAAATTCCACGTGGACTTTGATGTTGTTGGCTTTGGCTACGTCAAAGACGCTCTGTCGCGTTACGCCCTGGAGAACTCCACGATCGGGCGTGAAGAGAGCGCCGTCTTTGACAAGAATGATGTTGAATCCAGACCCCTCTGTAAGATTGGCATCTCCATCTGTAAGAAATGGATAAGTGGCGCCGCGGTCGGAGGCCTCAAAGAGACCGCGAACCAGGTCTCCCCATTGCAAGTTCTTCACAGTGGGATCCATAGACCCAGGGGGGACTCGTCGTACCGTCCTCGCAATGATGGCGCTACCGCCGACTGACTGTATCTCAGGCTCCATTAGCCAAACATAGGGCTGGATGAACATGTAGAGATTGTTGATGATTTCTTCGGGCTTGGAGCCACGGACACCCTTGAGCCCGCGCGTCACGATCAACTCAACATAGGCGTCCCGAATGCCGCTCTTGACTACCATGCCGACTAATATTTTCTTGACTTCATCCCGAGGCAGGGGGAGCTTCAGTCGCAACTTTGTGCAACTGGCTTCCAACCGAGTAATGTGGTCGTCGAGTCGGAAAAAACGACCGTCCCAGACTGCAGGCACGTCGTAGGTCAAGTCGCTGCGCATGAAGCCTTGGTCGAGAAGCGGAATGCGAGCCTCGGCGAGAGGAGCAAGCTCGCCCTCGATCCAGGCGATGCCCTTGGCGAAGCGGTTATTGCTCGCCTCCAGGACGGCCTGGCGTGCGGCGTAGCCGGCAAATATCTTCTCCATGGTGGCCATATCGAGACTGATAAGACGATGGAAGAGAAAGTCGAAACTTAGTTTGATTGGATGTGGTGCTTGAGAGTAGCTAGTGCTACGAGATTTTGATGGTCTTGCTTATGTACGGTTGTAGAGGATTATCGGTGATCTTGGGACACATGACCGTTAATATACTCATCGGAGCGGGCGTGGTGTTTTTACCTGATGAGGTAATTAATTCCGAGGAAGAGAATTTGGCTGATTTGCCATCGTCGTAGGTCTTGGCTGTCAGCGTCAGTGGGAGCCTGAGCCAGATTTCAATCACTCTGAGCAAGTGGCTAACATCCTCTGGCCTCATGGAGCGTCGACAGGTTCACTTCCTATCAACGAAGCTTTCAAACATATTGGACTGAAGATTGGGAAGGTAGCAGTCCTCAAAGATACACGGCGTTGATCTTGCCGAAATCGGTTCTAGCCTGAAGATTATCTCACATGCGGGGACGTTCCTTATCATGCATTCTGCAACCGACGTTTCCTGATTACGGCATGATTGTTGACTGGCTGAATGAGTTAGACTCGGGAGATGACCCGATACCTCGTGTGGCCCTTGCATCTAGTCAGTATCTCTAAGAGAGAATCAGCATACGAACAACACAAGGAGGGAGGAGGAGAGATTGTTGTTGGCGATGGCGCATTTTATTAGACTATATAGGGAGATGAAGGATGAAGAAGAAATAGACCAATGAACCTTCACGTAAAGGGGAGACATTAGAATTTTTATTCTGGAATACAATGACGTAAATAGGTAAAGGAGAAGTATTAGAGGACGGGAGGCCCTAGCGCAGAATAAACGCATTATATCTTCGAAAAGTCCATCTAACGGTTTTAACCACACCCAAATTCATTACTCAGTTGCCGTCCGAACAGCCTCGATGATCTTCCCGACAGCCGACGGATCAGACAGAGTGGAGATATCCCCCAGTTGATCCTCCTCAGCGGCCAAAATCTTTCTCAAGATGCGGCGCATGATCTTTCCAGAGCGAGTCTTGGGCAAATCAGGCACTACATAGATCCCTTTTGGAGTGGCGAAGGGACCAATTGATTTTCGAACTTGTTGAACTAGTTCTTTGTGTAAGCTGTGATTTCCTTGGGAGCCGTCCTTCAAGGTCAAGAAAGCTTTCGATGCTTGGCCTGTGAGCTCATCAGGTGTAGCAACCACCGCTGCTTCGGAGACTGCGGGATGTTCAATGAATGCGGCCTCTATCTCGGCCGTTGACAGGCGGTGCCCGCTCACGTTGATGATGTCGTCCATGCGGCCACGAATCCAGAAGAACCCGTCATCATCACGACTGGCGCCGTCACCAGTATACTTCAGGAGTGTTAGAAACATCCAGGGAGAGCAGAAGGTCTGAGAGAACTGACGTAGTATCCCTTGAAGGGCTTGAGATATGTGTCGATGTATCGATCGTGAGCACCCCACACTGTTCGTGCCATGCTAGGCCACGGCTGCTTGAATGCAAGGACGCCCTCAACATTGCTGTGATCAATCTCGCTGCCAGAAACCGGATCTAGAATAACCGGCTCAATGCCAAAGAAGGGAAGAGAGGCAGAACCAGGTTTCATCAGTGTGATACCGGCAAGAGGAGTGATAACATTGCATCCTGTCTCTGTCTGCCAATAAGTCTATTCGTGTTAGTAAGGGAATGGATTTTTAGTTTAGGTACATGCATGATCTTTGAACTTACATCGACGACATGTGCTTCCTTCTTCCCCACAATGTCGAAGTACCACTTCCAAATCTCAGGTGCAATCGGCTCACCAACAGAACCCAGAACTCGCAGATGACTCATGGTGCCCGTGACATACTCATCGCCAGCTCGTTTCAAGTAGCGAAGCGCGGTTGGAGCAACATAGAAATGCGTGATTTGGTGTTTCTCGATAATATCCCAATAACGGGATGGCGTCGGGTGGACCGGCGTTCCTTCAAAACGACCGTTGTGATACCAAGAAGCAATGGTGCGTACACCACATAGGTATGCCCTGTGATCCATCCGACATCGCAGCTGCAAAAGAACCGGTCGGCGTCGTGAATGTCAAAGACGTATTTTCCTGTGGAAGCGGCCCCGACAAGATAGCCGCCGGTAGAATGCACGATGCCCTTTGGTTTGCCCGTTGATCCGGATGTATATAGAAGAAACAGCGGATCTTCCGAGTCCATTTCCTCTGGCTGAATGTACCCAGGCCATTTCTGAACTTCTTGATGCCACCAATGATCTCTTCCAGATACCCAAGAAACTTGTGCACCCGTGTGTTGAAGAACCAAGACGTGGGATACGGCAGAGCATTGAGAAAGCGCTTTGTCGACGATCGCTTTGATGCTAATCGTTTTGCCTCCTCGCTTGCCTTGGTCCGCAGTGAGAACGACCTTGCATCTTGCATCCAGGATGCGGTCCCTCACGGAATCGGCAGAAAACCCGGCAAAAATGACAGAATGAATTGCACCGATGCGAGCGCAGGCGAGCAAAGCAATGACCACCTCCGGAACCATGGGCAGATAAACAGCAATAATGTCACCTTTCTGCACACCCATTCGCTTGAGTACATGGCAGAGCTTGCATACCTCTCGCAGCAGATCACCATAGGTTAGAGTTCGGCCAGAGTTGATTTCATCAGCCTCAAAGATGAGTGCCACCCTGTCGGGATCTTCAAATGCATGGCGGTCGATGCAGTTGAACGAAGCATTGAGTTTGCCTCCCAAGAACCAAGCATTGTCTCCATGAGTGAAACCCCCATTGTGCACCCTGTCGAAGTCTTTAGACCAAGATACGAGCTCACGGGCTTGTTTACCCCAAAACTCTCGGGGGTTGTTGATTGATTCTTGGTATAGCTGCTTGTAGTTTTCGAAACCTGGGCATGTTAGTCATGTTGGGTTTCACGTCACGAGGATTTTCGGGATTCTTACTTTCCAAATGTGGTTTGCTGGGATGCTCTGCCGGGATTGGTAAGTAAACGTCGCGTGGAATAAAGTAACGTGAGCTTGTACGTACTAGCCAGCATTCCTTCAGGGGTGCCTACATGACAGGGGATGGTCAGTTGATGCGATGAGACAACCGAGGCATGTGATGTGTTGACTCACTGAAAACGGGAATCCCATTCGAATCATTCATTTCCGTAGATTCGGTCGAATTGGCCGGATTGATAGGTGCGTGATTAGAAGCTAGTGAAGAAAAATGAGGCAGACAATAGATAGCTGTGATGTTTGGCGGACGATGCGACAGGCGTCGAGCGACGGTTCTGCGTGGACTAGAAAGGGTCAATAAATGGATAAACACGGAAACTTTTGAAAAGATTAGGTTGGATAAGCGGTGCTGCAGTACAGGAGGCAAGGCTCAGGGGTCTTGGGCTGCATAATAAGGTGAGCAGTACCGGGGCGATGGCCCACGGTGCCACACCGAGCAGCCAGGGGCAAATGGGGTGACGGAATCCGTCGTTCGGCGATGTGATGTTGTACCTTCAGCAGGCTAGACTGCCAGTCGGGCGTGATGCATGCTCCTATTTCTCATTTGTATTGCGCATTGCCATCGCCTGCTGACGCTTTTCCAAGCCTGATTCTGCCTCGTCTAAGTGGTGAGGTGGAGGGATGTTGTGGGGCTGTTGTCAGATGTTGAGCGAAAATGAACCCACTGGCCTGCGTTTTAGGAGACACGGTCAATCAACCCCCGATATCGGGACATCCGGTGGTCTGGTTAACGGCTCTGTATTCGATGACTGCGTGTCGCGTAGTACACAGCTGACGTTGGGAATCGGAGGCCGAATTTGTGACGTCTGCACAGCTTGGCGGAAGGAATTGACCCAACCAAAATTCCAAAGGCCCTTGTGTTCCCGGCAGAAGACCTCATGATTGCGAAGAAACATCAGCTGTTCTGAAGGCGAACGGGAACCGAATGCAATCTTCTCTCCGCCAGTGCAGGGGATAGCGCAGCGGGCTTCTAAACGATTTATTTCCGGGTATGGAACTTTGACCTCTAGTCTGACAAGCCTAAGCTGTAGTCATAAATATTGCGACATGTATTTTACTCTGATTTGCAGACTGCCACTCAGGAAACCCATTATATTCTGGCCATGTTCTCCTATCACATCTAAACGGAAACACATTGAAACACAGCACGAATGCGAAGGTTAAATTAACGAGCAAAATGGGGCAGGAAACAGCATGACAACATCATGAGGGCTCTTCGGCTTATTTGTGGACTGCGCGCGATTCAAATTTGTGAAATTGACCTATTGCAATATCTTCCAAGTTTTAGAGTTAACTACGCGGTTATTGCTCCGCCACTACCTAGCCGCTTTTCTGCTTTGTCCGAGAAAGCATGTGAAGCCATGTGTTAAAGCCCCTTCGTAGTTAAACCAATTGTCTGAGAGTCTGGCGGTGGTGTGTTCAGCATCTGTCGTGGTCCCATAGGAGTAGACGACTCCCTTGGTTTCGATGCTGAAGTGAGCGGAGATTGCCAGTTTTCCGTATGTATTGCTGCCGGTGCCGGCACGATCATACGACACGAAGAATTTGCTTTGTCCCATAAACCGGAATCGTTCAGAATCTCCAGGAGCGAGTCCCAATCTGATGGAACCATGTTGAGAGATTCTCCAGCAAGAAAATCCGTGTCTTGCGAGTTGTGTGACGAAAATTCCAAATCGGAAGCTGAATAGTTTGGTTGTTGAGGATCTGAGAGATCGGGTCTGACCTTATCTCGGCTACCTGCTTGAGAGTAACAGTGCACGTCGGTGATTCTGTGAGCCTTATATTGGTGCCTGGATAGGAAATCACTGCAGCAGAACCTTGACGAGCACTGCCAGCAGTAGAAGTAAATCATTTCCGCTAGCTTTGGATCGTCCTCTGGTAAGCAGTGATGACTGGAAAGACGACTAGAAACCCCTTGAGCGGCTGAAACACCCATCTGGAATTGCTCAGGCATTTTAGCTAATATCAGCAAACCTTCTTCAAAGTTGAGCCAATTTGGGATTAGAATGGGTCGGTTGGTCCATTATCAGCAAAGATATTTGTGCCGGAAAGTGGGCGGTCAGACCCCGAGTGCCGATATTGATGCCGATGTTGATACCCATGTACGCCACCCCGAGGCACCCCGCTTTGTTCCGAGGTCTTAGCGCTACTCTATGGCACCTCGTCGCATTTTACAATATTTCCCTATATCTGGCCGCCATAAGAGACTTGTCACTGCGGGAAATTAATAATTTGGTCCTTTATTGCAAATAGTGTACCCTAGGCTGGCCAATCATCATCCAAACACCATGAAAAAATGTTCTCAACTTAGGTAGCTTTGAAAAGGGCTGGGTTATCACTCCGAACTCAATTGCAAAGAAGATGGACAGATTGAAATAAAAAATAAATGCATTCCAATATACCATGAGACTTAAGCTGTTATCCTTCATGCTATACAACCTTCTTCAGATGGGGTGTTTAATGACGTATTTCTGCATACTCACCTGGTCAACAAGAATCAAAGCCCTCATCTGCAATTTATTTATGGAGGACCGTGGATGATGGCTGGCCGCGGGAAACAACTGCATCTGGCCGTCAGGCAAGAACAGGTGCTTAGATGATTCATAAAAGCCGAGAATTACGCATGCCCCCCATGGCCGTGGAGAACCGGGATAATTTGCCTCTGGCATATACCAGTAGCGAACATATCTGTTGCCACGTGAAGTGTCGTCACTTGCCGTCCCGCAGACGTAGACTAGCCAAAGCTAAGAAGAGCCTCCCTAGTCCTGAAAATGGACAAGGCTGTTAGATATGCCGTCCCTAATCAAGGTTCCTCCGGAATTGCCTAGCCCGGGACAGATATCCCGAGACAGATGTGGGGGGCATGGAACTCACGGAACGCAGCATTTACGGAGAGAAATTAATCTAACCGAAATCCACCAGCAATTCTCCGCTTGTGGACCTCACTCCTGATCTTCAGACTTGCAGGCATCTGTCATGATCTGGTCCCGCGACGACGCAAAGTGTAGTGTCTACCCTCTTTCGTCGTCCTTCCCCACAAAGAATGCCGAGAATGCCGCAAGTCAGTTACCTGGACCATCGGAGTTGAGAGCCCCGGAGATTTCTTGTTCACCGTTAAGAGGCATCGGCACAGCTACTAGTCTAACGTATCATTCAATTTACTTTACTCTCTTTATTTCGTTCTATTTTTTGGAAGTCTTTTTTGAGAGAAGTATAGGTATGTGCTCCTTGATTCAGAATGCTGATTGCTTGATTGTTTATTCTGTGATTGCCACTCCAAGTGGGCTGTTATCCTGTGAGGCCATTCGATTATGATCTCCACCTGCAATCACAAACCTGCTTGTTGGTAGCCATACTTATTTGCTCCAAATACATGATACCTGTATTTTACCATGGAGTTAAGTTGCGGGAAAGCGATTAATTCACATTAACGCTGTGATGGTACATAGACGTGAAAGTCAGCCCTCAATCAGAGAAATAACGATTGCTCAATTCGCCCTGCCTTTGATTCGGTAATAGAACCGTCCAATAGTAATATGCCCGAGTGCAGTAATGCCGCAGGCCCAGGTAAAGTTAGCGAAGATGATCTCTCATAGCATCGTCCGAGTAGCGCGTGGAGTGGAGCAGCTCAACTCACATTGAAGTGCTAAAGTTGCAGTGCAAAAAATCAGACCCAAATCGGGTCGTGACGGTGCCGGTGACGAAAATGAATTTTATTGCCAAATTTTAATGTTATTCCCCTTCGGGCAGCAAAAATAATATTAAACCTGGGAATGTGGACCCGACGAAAAGACGCTGAGTTATAAAGAGTCCCTCAATATCACGATTCTGCCCTAAGCTTAGATCAATAAAGTTGCCAAGAAAAGACCCCTGCGATTGCCCGTTTACCTTAAAAAAAAACAAGGCTGCAATTGTCACTCGATGGAGGGTGACGGTGACGGTGACCGCCCTTCGCAACGAGAAGTCCATTATCTGAAAGTTGACTACGCCGATATTGGGGGCGTGGGCCAGGCGTTCAAGCAGGCTGGCGTTGACACTGTGATCTGTGCAATTGGCGTTGTCACTCCGGAAACAAACCAAGCCCAGCTCAATCTCATACAAGCAGCGGAACAATCAGAGCCAACGCGAAGATTTGTCATCAGTGGCTTTGATATGCAGCATTTGAAAGAGATAAGTCAAATTCTAGTAGCAGAATGACTGGTACTAATTACGGACATTTGGCACATCGAAATTAGTCCATTTGCCCGGTACACGTTTGAAGCTATCGAAAGCCTTGATAAGATCAGCCTTGAGTATACTCGCATCGTGAATGGCTGGTTTCTGGATTATTATGGTATGCCGTGTTGGAAATCTCACCCCCACCCATGGATCAACACCATGAACATGGAGAAGAAATGGGCAGCCATTCCTGAGATGGATCTGCAAATGCGACTTTTATTACAACTCAGGACATGTCCAAGTTTGTCGCTCACTTAATGGATGTCGGCGAGTGGCCTGCGGTCAGCTTTATCGCCTCTGAGACATTGTCATTCAATCAACTCGTAGCGATGCCGGAGAAAGCGCGAGGTGAGTGACAGGCCCAATAACTGTTTGAATGAAGTTAATTAGGCACAGGATGAAAATTTCAGGTTGCGTATGACAGCTTGGACAAGCTGAAGTCGGGGTCGATTTCTTTCTTTCAAGAGTTCCCTCATATCAACTTCGTCGAGAACCCTGAAGCCTTTTTCGCAACGATTCACTACCAAGATGGATTAGAGCGATATCGTATTGTGAATGTGGAAAGCTTGACTGACAGGGTTTCTAGAAATCAAGATGACCAGCGCAGCAGAGGTAATGGAATCGTCTTGGACAGGGAAATAGAAAGTTTTCAATGGCTTGAGACGTACGTTCTGAAGCCTTGACCTATCTATGTGGGTTGAATTGACAATCAAAGCTACATATTTCGGACTATAAAGGCGAGTTGATGCTGCGATATGTGTCTCGATGTATTCAAGTATCTGCTGTTGTTGAGATTATCTCCTTCACTACCATCCAGGCGAATGTCATGTTCCATGCCAGCTTCATCGCGGAATCTCAGCCCAGGTCTGTGCAAGGTCTCTTCCGAGTCCAGATTCAATGTTTAGGCATGACGTATTCCTTTCGTTTAGTACATGGCGTTGTGTTTGTTCAGGCAGTAGACATCAAAGAATGATTGCTTATAAGGATTTTACCGACGTGCTGATATGTTTGTTTTGGGTGCTTCAATCCAAGGACTTGACGCAGACATCTTCACCCTTCCGGCTCCTAGTCAACGTCTCGGCGTTGTACGTACGAATGAATGTTATGATTCTCGGACCATTGGCCCTCCAGATCTGGATCTCCGAGCTGGCGTGCAGCCTAGCGCTCAAGAGAAATGTGCCGTTAAGTGACAGCGCCAGGGGCTCCGCGAAATTAATCAATCCGAGCTTGGTATCGATAAAACCAGCGATGAGAACACGATTGTTGGGGCCCAGGACCAGGGCCTACGGGTTGGGTTTCCTTTGAAAAAGCCATGGTGCGTGACGCATAGCAAATGCTATGTAAAACAAGACCAGGAAAGACACTTCCGAGCGGTAAGGCTTTACACGTCTGATCATATGTGAGAAAACTCTCTGCGTTCTTCCCATAAAGAGAGGCTCTTCGCCCCAGACTTAGAGACAACGATAAAGGACGTCGGATAATCGCAGACTTTCGACAGTCTCCGGATGCTCCAAGGGCTTTAGCTTTGACTAAATACAAAGCTAAATAAAGAAAAGGCCAACATTAAGTCTAGGCCTTGAGCTATAGACGCCTCTGACGAAAGAAAGAAAAAATTGTATTCCTAACATGTGATAATCCTGACATGTGACAAACGGTCCTAATTCCGCGCCTCATACAACTTGCTGCAGACCGCGACGGTAATCGCTTTTGGCTTCATCTATTTCTTTCCATTCATTTTCTTGGTCTTTGAGTCTTCCAGACTGTCAAACTGGTTCAAAGGTCTGAGCTAAACTTAGGTAAGCCAGTCCTGCTATGATACTCGAAAAATCCTACATTGCGAGACTGGATACTTACCATTTGCCTTTTGTTACAGTCTTGGCCGCCATGGTAACGACGTAAAATCGGTTCATTGTAAGTTGTCCTTGGTTTCTTGTAGATAGATCTGCTACTCGACTGTAGAGATGAATCACGGATGGGGAAAGCGCATTTGGTATGGCCTTGGCAGACCTCGTTGGGTTTAACAGCGCGAGAAGCCCGCACTTTGATATGCTCGAGATAGCACCTTGATACAAATCTCAGGTCCAGCTTAACTTAAATCAGGTCCAGCTCCCTAACATTCTGGCCTATTTCATATGTCCATCCATTACCAATATACTCATGTGTCTGTAATGTACCGCATCAACGCGTCACTTACGTGCATGTAGCGATCCTTAGATAAACGGGCTAAGGATCGACAAAAGTAAAGTTCAGCACTCGTACTGGCTCCAGCCTTTAAAAGAACTGCGCCGGCCCTGTCTGACAGTCCCCGCCTCGTATAAGCTTGACGTGAAAGACACCAGCGGGCCTGCTGCGAGTGCTGGTAAAATATGAACTTAAATTATATATAAATGTTCCGCTGCGATTGCGATATGGCAAGGCGGGAATAGCAGAAATAAATATGCCAGGACGCTCTGCTAGCATCCGTGACAGTTATTGCACCTTGCCATAGCGCAAGGAACCCTACACTCGGTATTCACACTAAACCCCCAGCTCTGCATGAGATCGACTCGACTCTCCATTTTTCATGGGCTCCTTTTCTGATGTGATGTGGGTCGTATTGCCACTACCCATTCCCGTCTCATCAGCACTTGTAGGAACCAGCTCGCCGTGGATGTAACCTTGCTCCGGGTCGTGGGCCTCGCATGGCCCGAAAACATACGCCGCTTCGCCGTGAATGCTGTCATCGCCGAGGATGAGTTGCTCTTCCGTCATACGCAGTGGAATACGCAGCACGTGCTTGATGAATAGTAGAATAAGCGACGTCCAGACAAGATTCCAGCCAATGACGAAACATGCGCCGGCCATTTGGTATCCAAGTTGCATGCCGTTGCCAGCAACTGCTCCTCCGGGATTCGTCAGTCCAAAGGCGGCACAGCCCTCTTTGGTGGCCCATAGACCAGTTCCGAAGCCGCCGACGAAGCCGGCAACCATGTGTGTGTGCGTGACTCCAAGAGTATCATCGAAATTTCGCTCGAAGGCTGGGAACTTCTTGGCAACAATGTTCATAGTGAACCACGGAATGGAGCCAGAACCTAGGCCAAGCAGAATTGCTCCCCAACCAGCAACAACACCCGCGGCTGGCGTGATGGCAACCAGGCCTGTAATCATGCCCTGGATTGCCCCGATAACCGATGGCTTCTTGAAGTAGAGAGTGTCGCAAGCGGTCCATGTCAGGAGGGAGATGGCAGTGCACAGGTTCGTGTTAAGCACGGCAACACCAGCGTCAGCGCTTGCAGCGTAAGGATCACCACCGTTGAAGCCGTTCCAGCCGACCCAAAGAATACCAGCACCGACGAGTGTACTTAAGATGTTGTTTGGTCGTGTGTCCTCGCGGTCCTTGGCCAATCGCGGTCCAATCCAGTAACTTCCGATGAACCCGGCCGTTCCGCTCGAGAGATGAATCACATAGCCACCGGAGTAGTCGATGACGCCGAGGTCGAAGAGGAAGCCTCCTCCCCAGAGGGAAAACGCGCCAACCGTGTAGGAGAGCGTCAACCATAGCGGGACGAAAACCATCCAAGCGTAAAAGTTCATGCGTCCGAGAAAGGCGCCTGCCATGATGACCAGGGTGATTGCCGCGAAGACAAACTGGAAGTAGATCATGGTCGCCAGGGGAAACTGCTGCCCAACACCGATCGCAGGTAGGTAAGACTGCTCGAGCATTGTGTTGATGCCTAGCACATTATTCGGCTTGCCAACGAAGGGAAGCATTTTCTCGCCGAACGAAGCCTTGTAACCCCACAGAACCCAGCAGACGAGGACGGAGGCGAAAGCATAGAGGGCCATGAAAGCACTGTTGATGGCCCACTTCTTCTTCATAATGCCAGCGTAGAGCACGACGAGACCGGGGACAGATTGTAAGGCTACGAGAGACGCCGCAGTGAGCTGCCACGCATTGTCACCTATAGAAAAACGCGTCAGCCGTACATTCGAATGATACAAGTGATGTATGTGCCATGAGAAGTCGCGGGAGCAACTTGATTACATCGGGTCGAAAGAGGATTCACTCACCACTCCCGACACCAGACGCTGGGTCTGGCGTCCACCACGTTGTCGTGTTATCGGACATGGTCTATGCTGCCCGCTATGATTCGTAAATGATTAAAGAGGGAATTATTTTAACTTGATTTCGCTCGGCGCCTTTCACAATTGGTGAGGGCGTAGAGGCTTTATACTAGGGAAGCAGGAGGGGGACAATATGAGCTCCGGCCGAAAGGGAGACGGAAGACCCTTATATTGGAGCGCGTACAAGCAGAAGCAAGGGTAGCTCGGGAGGCCTGGAGAAAGGATCGGATGTCGGCCATGCTTATCTCGTTGCCCAAGAGGAGACAGCTCCAAGTATTGAGACACCAATTCAAATGTGGGAGCTCTAAAGTGGGTATAGATTGGTACAGATGGGGGACGTGGGGAGAGAAGTGTCCAGGACAAGGCGGAGGGACTGATGGTGTGCTCTAAACCTGATGGACATGAGGGGGTTCGCACCAGCATGCAATGGACGTCTCTTTGCTTGAGGCTTTCGCCTAGTACCATACCTTGATTTGATGCTTTTCCATTAGCAAAGGTGAGTGGTCAACGTACACAGCTCTCCCAAAACTCCTTCCAGCTCATGGTGGTACAAGGCTGATGCCACCCACTGCATCTTATCGAGCTCTGCGGTTGACTTCTCGCCGCGCGATGCTGGAACTTAATTCTCGTAGGACGTTGGCCAATCCCCGCGTCGTGATTAGCTCCACGGATCTTACTCGCCCGCGACGGAAAAGACGGAACGAAGAGTCTGGCGTCGCATATCTTATCGCCGTCAGGTCATGTCACAAGAGGATTCTTGAACGGCTGGTCAATTCCTTCGGATCAAACTAGCCGTAAATACCCCAGTCCGGGCCGTCAACCTGCGGAAATGGGTGTGGCTTACGATGTGTAGATGTCATGCAAGGCACTGCCTCTGTGCTTGCAGACGTTGGCGCTTCCACAAGCGATATCTGATAATCTGTTAAATAATTCTAGTTTGTCATACAGGTGATTGTCTTATCTTTAGGCCATTTCCTTCTGTTTTGGGAACGTCGGTTCACGTTGGATGCCAGCACATGAAATTGTGCTTCCGGGACCATGGTGAAGCCACGATCCGTCAATTGGCAGCTTTGCAGTCCTACAATCTCTAATTCTTTGGCAAATGCCACTAGCATGTCATTTTCACGAGTAGAAATGTAGAATAGTTCTTAATATGTCTTATTTAGGGACAATTTTCCCCGTGCTTGTACGCGTCAACCGATATATTTACACCTTTTTGATGAAATGTCGTTCGCCCTTGGACATCGCCAAGACCTGGACTCTGGGGAAGTTCTTGGCATGCTTCAAAATGGCGCTGCTAGACCCAATCCCAGCTGATCATTTGTGGGCCATGTACCGGATCTCCGGCACCAGCCTTTACGAAAGGGCTGCCTGTCCTGGTATTCTTAGACCGGAATGCCATCCCCCAACACGAGTCTTATCTTCGGTTTGTGCAGGTGTGGAAGATTGGACTAATGAGGTGTGTTTCTCTTATCTGTGGCTGGTGTGGCGCCGTTTAATACCCTGCTCACCCACGCTCGTTGTGAACACGGGCATTGCTTACCCGGTGTTAGTGGCATTCCAATGTCTGGTGTAATTCTTCGTCACTCTAGAGCCAGTCCTTTCGAGTTCTAACTAATGGGCTCCCGGAACGGAAGCTGGACTGCACATCGCATGCACGTGCAATGATGTGATTACAGTAACCAAGCCTCCCCCGATGCCACCTCTCAGCCCAACCCCGCAAAATTCAAGAATAGGTCTATGGCATGAATACCCTCTCCAGTGTATCGGCGTGGTCATCGTGATGAGACGCTGATGGATATAATAATTGGTAACGGAGTACGGAGCAGACCAATGGATCTAGCAAGTTGCAGGTGTCGAGAAGAAAAAGTAGAGAGCATATCCGTGGCAGCATTCCTCGTGCCGGTGACCCGCTTTTTTCCCACGGACAAATATTCCACGGAAAGAGCTCTTGGCGCCGTATTCCACGGACAGTTAACAGGTTGATATCCTTGTGTAAACTCGATTATCAATCATGTGGCCTTCACTATATATATCTCGTCTTGAATAATCCTCAGATAACAAGTAGTTTTATTCAAAAACCTTGATACTACTTGTCAAAATGACTACCAACGCTATCGTGATCCTCCCGGAAGAGAAGGTCGCTGGGATCAGAGTGGTCCCCATGCCCAAGATCCGAGATGATTGGATTCTTGTTAAAACAAAAGCTGTGGCTCTCAATCCAACGGATTGGAAACACATCGACTTTGGTTATGCCAATGCGGGGTCCAGAATCGGATGTGATTACGCTGGCGTTGTGGAGGAGGTTGGAAGCAATGTCACAAACTTCAAAAAGGGCGACCGGGTCGCTGGTTTGTGTCATGGAGGGTGAGTGTTTGATATATGAGTTTACATGCGCCTCTAGAAACTTGCTAATGATTGATGCTGTGCCAGTCATCGTACCGACCACGAAACAGGCGCCTTTGGAGAGTACCTACTCGCAAAAGCTTGTGTTCAAATAAAGATCTCAGACAATGTGGATTTTGAGCATGCGGCGACGATTCCCGTAGCTTTCTTTACTTGTGTAAGGCAACGGATTGAGCGAGCGGCATATAGACCCAACGACTGACAAACAAACCAGGGACTTGGGCTCTATAAATCACTTCAACTTCCCATGCCTACAGACCCGGCTAAGAAACCATTCCCTGTCCTGATACATGGTGGTAGCACTGCCACAGGAATGTGGGGGATTCAGTTCGCAAAGGCCTCTGGCCTTACTGTGGTCGCCACGGCTTCACCACACAATTTCGATTACCTCAAATGGCTTGGCGCCGATGCGGTTTTCGACTACCGGTCACCAACCTGTGGCACCGACATCAGGGCCTTCACTAAAAACAAGCTAAGACATGCTTGGGACTGTGCTGGTGGTGGTGAAGTCATCTGTGGAGAGGCTTTGAGCGATGCCGAGCCCAGCAAGTATGGCGGCCTCAACGCCAGCAACCCCACGAATGCAGACATTTTGAAGAATGCGAATCCACTGGTGGATGGTTCGTTTTTCGTTTTAGCATACAATGTGCTCAATGAGCCGTATGAATGGCGAAATGCTATGATACAGCCACCTGTAGACCAGATGGAGTTTGCGCAGATGTTCAAGGAAGTGGCCCGAGATCTTCTCGACAAAGGACATCTGAAGTTCATCAACATCAGTTTGAACAAAGGGGGGAGTGGCCTAGAGGGAATCTTGAAGGGATTGGATGAAATGCGCATGGGAAAGGTCAGCGGTCAGAAGCTGGTGTACACATTGTGAGGCCAAGAGAGCAGCACCGATGAGTGGTGTCGCTATGTATGCACGGTCTAAATCTCTAGCAGGTTATATTTACTAGTTGGTGATTTCTTCGCCATCGTTGCATAAATCCTGTTCTCTTAATGCTTAAAAATTTGTCATGCCGTTACATCTAGTCGTCCACAACTGTGTGTTCCTGTTAGGCTCACCCGTTGTCCACTGTCGCATAAATACTGCCAGTCGTTCTTTCGCCCAGAGACAATGACAGTGCAGAGTCCCTACACTAATGCACTTTTTTTGGAGGGAGTAAATAGGGTTCAAGATGCACATGCATGTGCGAATGCACGAGCGTTCTGGAATGTCACAATTTGACCCGTCCGTGGACTGGGTCACTTCAGGAAGTCTGTATCCGTGGATTTAGCGTCCGTGGAATGTAATGCCGTGGAGTTTAAAGTAGATCCCAGCCATAAATTACTTGTCGTATGATCCGTCTTGTTTGCCTTTTCATAGCTAATTACATCCTTTAGCCGACCCTCGATCACCATTGAGTCTAGGCTTTCCACGGCAAAGCCCATAAAGTAGGTAGGCTCACTCGTCCCAACTACATTCTAGAAGGGACAAACGCCGGAAGCGCTAACACCAAACAATAGCAACAACTTACTTGCGAAGAGCCCTGCTCTCCTGTAGTAATGTCGCACGATTATGAGTTCGAGGGATGGCTTGGCCACGGCGAGACAGCTGCCGAAGGCCAAATGGAATGGGGAACTTTCGAACCGAAGAAGCGGCAAGAGAACGACGTCGATATCCAAGTCACACATTGTGGTGTTTGCGGAACCGACATCCACGTTCTTCGCTCTGACTGGAGTCCTACTCCTTACCGTAAGCCATGAACGCCGCCACTGCTCGATATATGCGTGAGGAATTAATTGGCTAATTATCAATTTGCAGCCTGTTGTGTCGGCCACGAACTAGTGGGCAAAGCCGTACGTGTCGGCAGTCTCGTGAAGAACATCAAAGTCGGTGACCGCGTGGGCGTGGGTCCGCAGGCTCAAAGTTGTGAGCGGCCCGATTGCTACGAATGCTCCTCTGGTCAAATGAACTATTGCCCCCTTGCTGTGGCCACTTACGGGGCGGTTTATCCTGATGGCAAGGGCAAGTCTTACGGAGGCTTCGGCAACTATAACCGAACCAACAGTAGCTTTGTTTTCAAAATACCCGACGGGCTAGCATCTGAGGACGCGGCACCTATGCTATGCGCTGGTATCACGATGTATGCGCCATTGAAGAAGTACGGGTGCAGACCGGGCAAGAAAGTCGGTATTGTTGGCATCGGTGGTCTCGGGCATTTTGGTATCTTGTTTGCCAAGGCCCTCGAGGCTGACAGAGTGATTGCTATCTCGCGGAAGTTATCTAAGCGAGAAGATGCGCTTGCTCTTGGAGCCGACAAGTATATTGCGACAGAGGAAGATGGTGACTGGAGGGCCGAGAATCGCCGGTCTCTAGACGTCATTGTTCTGACTGCTTCAAGTCCCGACATGCCCATCAACCAGTACCTGGAATTGCTCAAATGCGGGGGGACTCTTGTCCAACTTGGGTTTGTCTCTTCTCCCTTTACTTTCCGTATCAGCTAACCGTGACGGCATCGCAGCGCTCATGCCGGCGGTGAGTTTCCGCCGTTTGGCGCGTTGACTCTCCTGTTCAATGGGTTAAACATTGCAGGGGGAATCAACGGTTCCCCAGAGGAGATGAGGGACAAGCTGGATCTGGCTGCGAAGAAACAAATTAAGCCGTGGATTCAAACGATGCCTATGGAGGACGCAAACCAAGCTCTTGTTGATTTGGAGGCTGGGAAGCCACGATATCGACTTGTCTTGGTTAATAGCAAGAATGCATCGGAGTATTGATTCTATTGCTATGGAAAGACGGGTATCTTATGAAATCCGGGATGATATGACATATGCACAGCCAGTCTGTGGGAATTTTATCAAGCTACATGCGCCATGTCCACAGTAAGCTTGGCCTATGACAATACTGGTCTCCCTTCAAGCCTTCTCACGACGGGACCTAGTAATCTGAGCCTCGAAACGAAAGGATCATCCCCCTGTCGTTAGGCAGGGAATAATGGCCTTGCCACTCTGACATCGATTTTACGATTTGTCATCATCCCCGCTCCCAAGATACATGGCGTGAACCGAGTGCGAGTTGCTACAATCCACCACAGATACTCCTGCTATTCGAAAATACAAGGGCCTGTGTGTGCTTAATCGACCCTGAGTTCACCATGTCCTCAAGCACTGAGAGGCAGCTCCGAAGCCGACGGAAGAAAGGTGACAGGCCAAATACCGCCTTGCCACTCATTCCATCCCCATGCTGACCGTGTTGATAGCTTGCGACCTTTGCTTCACTAAAAAGATCAAATGCGACTCACGCGAGCCTCGATGCTCTAATTGCTTGCTTTACAAGGCAGAATGCCGCCGGACAATCTCTCGGCACAGGGCTAACCCACCCAATCCGAGACCTGCGGCCAGACGCACCGCAAATGCGCAACCGTGTGTCCATGACCATCGCGACTCATCCGAAGCTCATGAGCTTACATAAGTCACAGGAATAGTGAATCATTGAGTTCCGACCTAGTAACTTTCGATAATTCACTCCAAGTTGTTACAGAAAATACGAACATGGCACACGCCCAAACACCTGACACATCCATATCGCTCAGAGATGGTTTAAACAACACCAGCGATGCCACCAATGCTCGATTTGGTGCAGACGACTCATGGAAATTCGACCCTATCACTCCGAGGTTACATTATGGCCCTCCCGATAAACATCTTTCACTACCATCGCTTGATGTATGTCGCCCACGCTTGACTGCCTCGGTCATGTTCAGTAGCATACTAACTCGACCAGGAAATTATGCCCATGATCGATCATTATTTCAACTGTATCAACCCATCGATTCCTCTTTTCAATCAATCATCCTTCATGAGGATGGTCGTCAAGTGGTTTAGTTTTGGTTCCAAGCGTGACACGGCCTCGTGGGCAGCGATTCTCGTGGTCGTGGGCCTGGGTCTGCAATCACCTATTCCTGGTCATGATTCCCGTTTTGGATCCTTCGAGATCAAAGATTGGACTGATTACTGCATGCGTAACGCGCAATCGGCTGTTTCTGAGCTCGTGGTGAGAGATGAAGACTTGCTGGGGGTCCAGGTCTTGGTGGCGCTGGCCATGCTGTTCCGGAATGCTTTCGACATCAGGCCATCAGGTATTCTTCTTGGTATGGCTGTGAGATTAGCCCATCGAATGCAGCTACATTTCGAAAATTCAGTACAATCCTTCACGGCAGACGAGGCTTTAGAGAGGTCAAACGTATTCTGGATCACTTACATGGTTGATAAGGTAAGTCAAACCCTTAGCTGACCACAATCCAGGCTGAACAGATACAGGACTTTAGTCTCAAAACAAAAGTGCCGTCCATGCTATTAGACGCTGACATCAGTATCCCATTCGACGCTCACTCATCATCGAACAAAACTGGCATTATCTGGTCATCAGACGGCCGTAGTCAGCTCAACATATTCCACCATCGCTTGGAACTTGCCCGCATCGAAGGCAAGGTCTATGATCTCCTATATTCGAGTCAATCCATGAAACTCGACACTCTGGAGCGCCAAAGCCGAGTTGAAATCCTGAAAAAGACGCTAGATCATTGGTATGGGCGTATTCCGCCGGCCTTCGCGATCGAAAATGTCTCGACCGCTATAGGAGATGCGGAACTGCTTCAGCTAACTCATTTATACCATATCTATCTCTCATGCCTGGTTTCTATACATGGAATTTGGAGCAGGAAGGCAGAATGGATGCGAAGGATCGGCTCATTGGGCAGAGCTGCAATTGAGGATTTTGCAACGGCTGTATACGGACCAAAGGTTGCTACATGCATTGAAACACAGGATCCACCTCATCTGGATGCGTGGAATCACTGCGTGCATGTCAGTCGAAGTTCTTTGAGGTTGTTCCACGAGACACCTCTAACACCGTGCTTGATATGGTAAGACTTTACTAAAATGTGCACAGAGCGAAGTCTAACAATCGTCACAGGCAAAACGGCTGCGCTCACTTCTCCAGCCTCATCATCATTCTCTCCAACATGCTCAATCAGCCAGCGCAGGGGTCTGAATCTCAAGATTTGCAGCTAGTCATGGCATCGATGGACCTTTACGATCGGCACCTCGAGGGCACCGACTCTCCAATATATGGGTCGATACGGCTCGTCATCGAGGATTTGCGCAAAAGCGTCGCTAAGATGGTGGACGCTGATCACCTAGAGCACCCTACTAGATCACAAGCCACAGCTACCCCGATGGTCGTGGGAAAAGAGCCGTATGTGTTCTCCGAAGATGTCGTGCCGGAGTTCGAGTATCACGCCGAACAGCTGAGCATCCTTGAGTTTGACGACATATTGGCTCCTTATGTTGGAGAAGACGGAGTTATTTCATTTCTCAACGACTGCACATGAGACCAAGGCTATAATAAGATTTTTATTTTAGTTAATTATTTTTCTTCATAATTCATAAATTCTTCTATTCGGTGAGCTTTTATTATGTTTTAAAGGCCTAACTCACATAGTGTTAATTAGTTATTACGTTGAAACGTTTGCACGCCCATTATAGCTGGAGCGACATGCGCCGTTGAAAAGAAGATTTTTGGTTGAAAACAGTGGACAAGAATTTCTTCGTTGCAATAAATAACTTGAGGATAATTTTAATGACACAATAAACGAAGAGGCATTTAACTCTGGCTCTTAAATGTCCAGGGATTGACTTTGAAGATAATCCGAAACTCCTTTTGATTATGTAAGGTGCGAGAAGGGCGAGTCAACACTTCAATCTAAACCACGTGGGGTTTCGCTTCCAGGTCTCTGATTTTCCACCCATCGCAGCTCCAAGACGGCCTCTCACCTCTGAACGGAAGATAAAGCGGAGATTACAACTGCTACGCTCCCGGCCTGGCGCCATAATGCCACTGGATTCCGGTGAAAGGTCTGCAGGTGGCTCGTAGACACAACCTGACTGGCTGTTTGGGATTTTTTGTCTTTGTTCCCCTGCATCAGTGGGCGGTGCAAGCACGAAAGGGGCTGCTGCATTCCGACTGGCGGCCGAGACAGACACCGACCACCAGATAAAGACGGATATATAACTCATCTCTGGCCATGGCGGCGAGCAAAGAAGATGAGCTGGGGTGGAAGAGGCCCAAACGGAACGCGTCTGTTTGTCTCTTGATTGTGTGTATTTGCCTCGGCATCCAAGCTTTCGAAATGCTGCGACACATTCTAGTCGGCTACCTGTTCGCAGGCCTGTCAAACCAAGCTCCCCTCTCCCGATTCAACCAGTCAGCGCCTCTCAAGTTCAAATCCGATGGCACGTTCCAGCTGTCCATCTTTGAGGACCTGCACTTTGGCGAAAGTGCGATTCCCGGTTGCGCTACTCTCTCCGTTATATTCCCAGCTGATACAAGTAGATGCATGGGACGCATGGGGTCCTCAGCAGGATATCAATTCCGTCCAAGTCTTGAACAAGGTGCTTGACTTTGATAGACCCGATCTGGTAGTCCTAAACGGCGATTTAATTACCGGGGAAAACACCTACCTGGAGAATAGCACCGACTATCTCGACATGATTGTCGGCCCTATGGTAGAACGCGGGTTGACCTGGGCCTCGACCTATGGTAACCACGATTACCAGGTCAATGTGACAGGAAAGACCATCCTTGAGCGCGAGCGCCGATGGCCGAATGCGCGGACTACCCAGATGGTCTTTGGCCGCGAGGCTGGCGTGTCAAATTATTACCTCCCTGTCTACCCTTCGAATTGCACTGAAACTGCCAAGTGTGCGCCGGAGCTGCTGCTCTGGTTCTTTGACAGTCGCGGTGGCTTCTATTTCCAGGAGTGGAACGACGATGGCTCGAAAGTAGGCCAGCCGAACTGGGTTGATAGCAGCGTGGTCAATTGGTTCCGGCAAACGAACCAGGCCTTGGTCACGCAGCACGGAAAAGCCATCCCTTCCTTGGCCTTTGTGCATATCCCAACCTACGCATCCCTCATGCTACAGACCAAATCCGGCATCGACGGCAACCGCCAGCCCGGTATCAACGACGACTATCCCCTCGCGCCACAGGCTCAAGGTTGGTGCTCTGATGGCCGCAACGATGGCAGCTGCTCGTACGGCGGGCAGGACACTGCATTCATGCAGGCTATAACCGAGACGACAGGTTTGATGGCGCTCTTCTCCGGCCACGACCATGGAGACACGTGGTGCTACAAGTGGGACTCTCTCGTCCCCGGGATGACGGTCAAGGGTAATGGCATCAACATGTGCTTCGGTCAGCATTCTGGTTATGGCGGCTACGGGAACTGGATCCGCGGCGCGCGACAAGTCCTCGTCTCGGAATCCAAGCTCAAAGATTTAGCTGTCGATACGTGGATCCGACTGGAGTCAGGCAACACTGTTGGATCGGTGTCACTGAATTCAACGTATAACCGGGACCACTACCCAGAGACGCCGAATGATAAGACATCCTGCCCTACTTGTAAGTATAGAATTATCACGTCACGGCCTGGTACGAAGCGCTAATTTAAGCTAGGTTGATCTGCGCTCTCTTCGAGTCTTTCACGGTTTCTCTCCCGACTATGTAGATCAAGGGGAGATATCATTTCAGCTTTACAGACATTGAGACTATAGGTCTTGAATCGTTTTTTCCGACGTATTTAGCTTTTTTAGCCTTACTCAATATTATCACATAGATCAAAGCCATACAGTATTCTCAAATAGTAGAGATAAACAGTAAGTGCTACATTCAGCACGAGAAGAAACAGTAGCTGAATAATAAGGTTGTTGTATACTGGCCTTTGCCTGAAGCTTCAATTCGACCCTTCTGACTTCAACCCTGCTTTCTGCAGTCACCGATCTTGCTGTCTGCAGTCAACGACCTTGAGGTAGGAACCTTATTCCGAGCAATAAGATTAAGAGAGACTGAAGTCTCCCGTCGTCAAGAGACCAACTTCCCTTCCAATAATCCAACAACCATCCAATTTCGTTAACTTTTATCATGACAACTACTATTACCCGCCCTATCCTATAAAACTCTGCTAATATAAGATCAGGATATATATTTTGATACACTATATCATGTGTGTGTGTAAGGTATTCCTGATATCCTCTTCCGTTATCAGTAGAATCTTGTAGAGTAACACGGATGGTTTTGATACATATACTACACTTCTTGTATATGATAGAGAGAAAACACTGAATCGTTTCCATCTGAGTTGGGGGTATCCCTCAGGAACAAGTCCACTTTTCCAGGCCAGTTGATTTTAGGTCTAGGGTAACCTTCTTTCCGCCATTGTTTCCGCCTCCGTACCGACGAATTGGGATAGAATCAAGCAATAGGTTAAATTGAGACTTATTACGGGCTTATATACTCATGGAATGGAATACAACATGTCGAAACTCTGCCTTCATTTGTCCCACCTAAACCCGGTGGAATTAGGTAAACATCACAACATGCAGTCCCCTGTGTTCGGAACCGTAGATCCCAGAACCTACAACACTAAGACGTCCTGTAACCACGAAAAAGACCAAAGGTTTTATTTTTCACCAATCAATTCAATTCGTATGTGCTTTTTTTAGAGTACAGTGTTTGGCAATCTATGCCGTAAAAGTCATTTGCTCAAGGCCGCACTGCAAGCCTTGCTACAAAATCTATGATACAAGAAAGTTTAAAGCCTATTACCGCAAATCCATCTCTTCGTTGAACGTCCATCAACTCCCTAAGAAGGGCAACCCGAAGAAGGGTAGTTGCAGCTGCCGCCAGAGCTTCCTCCGGTAATGCTGACACCAGTGTAAGTGAAGTCAGAGCACGAGTCAGAGCCGCAAAGGACGTAGTAGTTGTACGCGCTTCCGGTGGTAGTACCGGTGACATCCTCAAAAGTAATGTCAGAGATGGTGACGCCGTTGGTAGGCTCGCCAGTGGGACCGCCGTTGAGGTAGTCCTGCTGCACGTCAATGCCGTACTTGGTGATTCCGGACATGGTGACGTTGCGGTAGGTGATGTTTGTGACGGAGCCAGTCTCGCCACTGTTGCTCTTGATGCGGGCGCCGTTCTGGCTGTCAACGATCTGGGCATTGGCAAAGGTCACAGTGTCGACGGTGTTGTTGCTCTTTCCGCCAATGGAGCCAATGCTCAGGCCGTGTCCACCATAGCAGTAGATGCCATCGATGACAATGTTGGAACCGGAAGTCACGGCGACACAGTCGTCCTGGTTGTGCACCCAGATGTTGGACATGGTGACGGTGTCAGAAGCGGAGATGTCGAAACCATCGGAGTTGTGGGCAGCGGCCTCTCCATCACTGCTGTCGTTCGCCTCGTCACCAGCGGAGTTATCCAGAGTGATGTCGCTAACCTCCATGTCGTAGTTGTACTGCATGTAGAAGCAGTGGACAGGCCAGTTCTTGATGTTCAGGCCGGTGACCTTGGCGTTGTTGGTGTGCTTGACGACGATGAAGTGGTTGGGCTTATCGCCTCCGCCGTTGGAGCCCTGGCCATCCCAGTAGGCAGCGCCGTTGCCCTCAATGACGTGATCGGAGGTTCCAGTGATGGTGATGTCATCACCAGAGATGACGATGGGGTCAAAGTCGGAGTCGACGGTGGTTCCGAAGGTGGTGGTTCCCGAGAAGGTGACAACAGCGCCGGTCTGGAGGCTCTCGAGATCTAGGGTCGAAGAAGCGGGCATGGAGAGGTTGTCGAGGACAATGTTGGTGCAGCTGGCGACGGCCGAGGAAAGCTGCGCGTACTCGGTGACGGTGCAGGCAGTGGCATCTACGACGGCGGTGGTGTCGGCAACAGCAGCGGCCGAAGTTTCAACGGCGGCGGCAGAAGTCTCGACGGCAGCGATAGAAGTCTCAACAGCAGCGACGGAGGTTTCAACAACAGCAGCTGGGGTGGTTGAAGTGACAAAAGTAACGAGCGTCGAAGGCACGGCTGGCAAAGAAACCGGAGTCGAGATGGAAGCAGGCTCGTTCACGGGGGTGACAACTGAGGTGGCAACGGCAACAGGAGTCGAAACAGCAGCAGTAGGAGCCTCGACGGCAGCTCCAACATAGCAAGAGCAGGCGCTCGACAGGTGGCCGATGCTACCATCACAGGCAGACAGGAAGCCAGTCGGGACAGCGTCGGTGGCGGTGACTACGGCAGCGGTGAAAGTAGCACAAAAGCTTGCGGCATCGGCCGAAGAGGAAACAAATGATCCAGCACAGGCATGGGTGCGCCAGTTAGAGCAGCCCAGAACAGACGGCACAGCCGCTGAGACGAGGTAGCAAGCCTTCATGGTGAAAAAGAGAGGTAAAAAGAAGGAATGCGGTAAGGCGAAAGAATGTGAATGAACGAATGAATGGCAAACGAAAGAACCAGAAACGACAATACTGAAGAACAAACAAAAGCCGTTTCCGTCTCGAGACGATGATATCAGTTATATCAACCCATCAGCTCTCGATGAAGCTGCACGGAACTCGGCACCGGAGCTCCACTATTTGTTCCGGGATACCGGCTCGAGCGGGATGGCGACCATGGGGCAATGGGCCCAAAACCGCGTTTTCACTGCCCCTTGGCATCATTTCCCTCTGTTCATCTGTTTCAAGGCGTGCGGCGCGTGTCCCACGATGGCGATGGCGATGGCGCTTGTGCTAGCCGGGCTTTAATAACCCACGAATAACGGTCTAGTTTACACGTTCCATTGGGCATTCTGGAGAGATCGTCTGCGTGGCCGATGCAGGTCCGTCGCTTCCAGACTGTGGGGCGGCGTGGTGCTACGCTGTTCAGGGTATAGACACCGCTGCGTCCGCGTACAGGCCGATTCAATGACGCGGCGTTGCTTTTAAACAGAGGGTATTGTGGTCAATGGGGATTAGCTTAGAGGGCGTATCGAGGGTAGACCTGGGTCGAAGTCAAGGTTGCGTCAGCAATTGAGGAGATCATGATCAAAGGAGCGACCACAAATATCTTCCTCGAGCCTAGTGAGATGATCTGATTGATAGAGGATTCATCTCGTGGTTGGTTACTGTACGGATGCTATCTCGACATCCCCTAAGCTTCCTGCCATCTCCACAAGTGGTGCATATTCTGCTTCCTGTGCAGCTTGCAATACCCACTCTGCCCCCTCAACTTTACTTATCCTGCAGGAACGGCGTGATGTATGTACACAAGCTCCCTTCTCCTGACGTTCTTGACATCCATCCGTATTAGCGTCGATATTAAGCGTTCGTCGCGTGTGGTGAACAAGCTTTTCATGCCGTGCTCATGTGGAGCTCACTGGGAGTACGTACTCTCCTGGTGCCAATCGACGCCGCCTTTTCCGCGTACAGACTGTTTTAATTACTAACACTACGTTGAAACATGGCGGGAAGGTAGCTTGTGGATTGGTGGAAGAGCTTCTTAGGCCGAAGCTAAGGTGACGAAACCTGAAGCTAATTTAAGTCAAGGGTTGGTCTTGAAAAAATCAAAGTGACGTAGGAGAGACACATTGGATTCCTTCGTCGCGCCTGTAGGATGAAGAGCCCTCGTTAATACGAATTATGATGAGCTATATGTTTCTATGCTTAAACTTGCCTACAAAAGATGGGAAGAGGAGTAGGGTAGATGGCGGTTCGGAATTATACAGGATGAGGCTGTATAAATGTATTTTTTTGAAAAGACACCGAGTGCACATGTCGAGAGCTGTACTGTCAAGCCTTCTCCAAAAAAACGTGACGGTCGCAAACGTGTCTAGGGAGGCTCTGTAATCAAGGAGATGGTAACGAAGGACCTCTGATGACACAGCGGGTTGTAGCTCCAAGGTCAACGAGATTCTGAATGGTACAGGACAATTCAGGCAAAAATCACAGAAATGCCCGCCAGTTCGAGTAGAGTTAAGCTTAGCTAGCTAGTGGACTGCTTAAGGAGTAGTCTACTTCGTATGCTTAAGCCAAAAAAAAAAACCCTCACGTCTCGGCCGCCTTCCGACTCTGACAAAGATACATCAAGGGAGCGCATTATAAATCTATCTACGCAAATGCCAAAGAATTTAATTTCTGGGGTCGAAGGACTATATTTGGAAATGCCAGCGTTCTCTGTCAGCATGGAAATAGCTGCCAAAGGGGGCTGTGAAAAACGTGTCGTGAAGTTAGTCAGCACTTTAATTCACGGCTAGTGACACTCTGGTATGTCCTTTCCCTACGGCTGTTCAGCTTCTTAATTAACCTGGTGCTTGCTTCTATTAACCTGGCGCTTGCTCCTACTAACCAAAATAGATTTCAGCTTAAATTTTGTATGCACATGATATCACCCACCTACGTACGCCAGACCGTGGCATCTCAGTTCCAATCACGGTAAGACGAAGAAGTCTAGACGAGACACGCACCCCTCTCGGCACTGAGATGCCGGCCAAGCCGCCTTCTTTCTGACAGGTGCATAATATCAGCTATGGCAAAATTAAGGCTATCCAATAACCTTGTTTGCATGTTAGAGGCCTCCTCGGCGACCACTGTTAGAACCGGATTGTCGGGGCTCAGCCTTAGCCAAGTTGCTTGCTGTAAGCGTAAGCGATTGGGCCACGGTCAGCTTACGCTCCTTCGGATTTGTGTTCCTCACAGAAGACCCGCAAATCAATCCGCTTAAATTAAACAAAAAAGCGACTAGGCTGTACTGGGTCTACTCCAAGTTGTGAGTCCCAAGCATTTGTCACGGCGAGCCAGCTTGAACTCGGTGGTGTTCTGCATTCCTCTTCACGGACTGTGTTCATTATGTCAACCAGTAAATGTCGAAATAGCTTGTGGCTGAACTAAATATTTAGTTTGCAAAGGGCGTTTTGCAAGGCCAGGATCACCTATTACTTTTTCAGCAGCCTTATCCAAGAAAAGCGGCTGAGGTCCCCGATCTTAGCACACTCTCAGGCCCCGCCTGCAACACTGCTAGTTCTCCTTCATATTTGTCAGTGCAGCGCCCCCAAATTCTATTGCTACCTCGTGGGCATCTAACGGCATCGCGAGAAGCTATCTCGGTGGTCCCGGGCAGCCTTGCTGTGGCGGCCCCAGTGTGATGCTTACTGCTATCGCCTCAACGCCTCTGGAGTTCATGTCAGACACTTAAATCTCACTCGCGGGATTGACAGCACCCGACAGACGCTATGAGTTCTTACCATCGTCTAGTCTAAGTCATGTTGAGAGTCGAGCAAAGTTGCGTATATAAACAATTGCATATCCTTTCCTTTGCAGTCCTCCAACAGATCACAGATCCACACAATCACCTCCCTCTTCCGCACTGTTCTTTCTTATCTCTTTACTTTGTCGATTACTCTTTTCGCAAGCATGTTTACCAAGCTTTTTACTCCCGCGGTGGCCTCACTGGCTGGCCTCTCGAGCCTCATCGGAGTTGTCACTGCTCGACCATTCCAGGCTGTCCCCGAGTCCCTTGTGGCTCGTGATACCGCCATGGCGGTCCTGTCTCCCATGACCAACTGGGGCGGTATTGGTGCCGATCCAAATGCCGAGCTGTATGACTATGATGTCTTTTACTGGTCCAATGGAAGTAAGGATAATTTAAATCACTTGTTCATGCTACGAATTACTAATAATCACTAGATGTCGTGGCAAACTTGACCTGCTCCGGTGGCAAAAACCACAAGATGCTTAATGTTGCCCGAATGGGCGATAATGTCCAGGCATTGGACTGCTCGAACCCCGGAGAGCTGACCATGACCTTCAAGGACATGGGGGCAAAGGAGTCCGCCAAAGAGGATTGGAAGTGGGTTGATGAGAAGAAAGCCCACACCATGGTCTTGGTTGTCGATGGAGGCGAATGCGGCGGGCCCGACGGCAGAAAGCAGTACGCAATCTCCAGCATCAACTATGATAGCTCCAATCCCACGGCCACCTTTTGCAGCAAACCAACTGCCTGGGACGACTTTGTCGAAGACTACACCCTGAGAGTCAAATCCGGAGCTTTCGATGAAGACGACAAGAGTTTGGCGAAACGAATTGGCGGCAGCGGCTCCATCAGCATCGCCAATGACTTTTCCAAGAACCTGTTCTCTCAAGACTTCGGCGGTGTTACGCTCAGCGTGGACTGCGCCCACTGCGCTACCACTGGATCCATCGACTTTGACTTCCAAATTGGCCTTTTTGATGGCCTCACCGGATCCATCGTTGCTAGGAACGGGCTCGGTGCCAGCGTTGGCCTCGGAGTCACGGCTTCTGGAGAACTCACCTCCCCCGTCGATATCGCCTCCATCAGACTCCTCAACCTCCCCCTGACTCCCATTTCAATTGCCGGAGTTGCTACTTTTGGTCCTGAGATCAATGTTGACGCCGTTGCCGGTCTCTCGGCGGTCTCTGGTCAGGTTTCAGCTGACTTTGGCGTCGCCATGGTTATCCCCGACGGCACTACCCTCCGCGTTGGAGGTGACTCCGACGCCATCAACCCGCAGTTCAACAAGATTGGTCCCACCATTAGCGCCTCAGTCCAGGTCACCGCCAGCCTGGGCCCTGTCGTCACCTTCGACATTGCTGCCACGGTCTTCGGCAAGGGTCTCGTTGCTGGTCTCGGCCTCGCCGCCCCCAAGCTCGATGCTACACTGACTGCTTCGGCTTCAAGTGCTGGCGGCGTGTGCGGTAATAGCAATGCCATTGCTGGTGTGGAGCTTGATGTCAACGTTGGCGTTGAGCTCAACATCTTTGGCGGCTTCGGATCTGCCGCTGACCAGCCCAACGCGAAGAACATTTTCAGCACCAGCACCCCTATCTTTGATGACTGCCTCGTTCTTACCACTGGAAACAACCAGGGCAACATCAACGGAAACGATGGCATTCGCCCCAAGGTCGGATCTGTTACCTATAGCGATGGCTCTCAGTCTGACCTCTTCAATTCTGGAGCAAACTCCGATGATACTCCTATCAACCCATTGTCTGACACCCAGGACATCCGCACCATCACCATCGATAGCAACACCGGACTTGCTTCGTGTGCTATTACCACAGCTTTCGACGCCACCAGTGGATGCGTGGGTGATTTCTTGTTCAATGTCGATGCCGGAACTTCGTAAGCATACCCCTTCATTTCAAGCTGGCAAAAAATTGATGCTAACTACTATGATAGAGCCGATATTCCATCAGACTTGGCCAAGAATGTTCTCTGCATGAGGTGCCCTAATGTGGTGTAAATGGTATATTGAAATAGTTTAAACTGGTGCCCGATATTTCATTCATGGTAGATAGCATTACCCAAGATATAGTTTTTCATTTGATATTTAATCTATTACAGTTTAAGTTTGGCTTCAAACAAGTTGCAGCAGAGTGAAGCAACAACTCATCATCACTGTACTAGTGTGGTAAATCGTTGTAATGTCCCCATGCTGCCTGGCTCCACCCTGTGAACCGAATCCCCGTTTGCGCCTTCAAGTCTCAAGGTTAGAGTCAAAGTTGAAATTGATGCTAGTTTGAAGCGGGACTGAGGAGTGTATCCCAGTTATATCAAATACGCTATAAGACTATGAATACTCCAAAAGAAAGAAATACAAAAGAAACTTAATAAGTATGTTAAAAGAGGCTCAGAGATGATTGGGAAAGTATACTTTAAGGGAATTAAGGAAAGCCACCATATGAAGAAAACAGTAACCTTTACCCGTTTTTGAAGTAATATAGGAGTAGACCGATTTTCAAACCATAATTCTATAAAAACCAAAGCATCTGACAACAAGTGATACAACCAGACCAAAGGGCAATGTTCTGGAAAATGTCACCAACCCAATCCCAATTAAAAAACAAAAACAGTACACCTATAATTCCGCCAATACTTATAGCACTTACCATAAGTTGCATAACGGCTGCCACTAGCAGCTTGACAGGCTTAACACCGACTGAGGTATGCTGGCTGGACAGATAAAAGATAGACAAGATGACAAGAAGTACGTAGGCGATAAACAAAACAGGAAGCCTTTTTGCTTCGAAAGGGTCAATGAGAAATTGATCTGTTTGCGTTTTGAGAATCGCAAGGAAAACCAAAAAGTAAAGAGAAGACGATATCCACTTCTGCAACTTTAACTTTGATAGCCATAAACACAATAATGCCCACAGAAGCTGAAAGACAGGTTGAAAGACAAAGAATTCAAGTGCTAATGAGGATGCAAGTGAACTTGGTTTACCCAAGCCGAAAGTAACAAGAAATATACCAAAGTGGAAATATGACCAGGCCGCGAGAAAGACCACACCTTGAAAAGAACCGGAGTTTTCATATTGAACTCTAGTTGCATTCACAGAGAGGCCCTGGTGAGATTCGGAATGTATGTCATTCGGTTGGGAGTCAACTGAATCACTAATTAGATGCAATCAATCTAGATAGAAACTTAACGAGTAGAAAGTGTGTGAGAGCACAATAAGACACATATGAATGCTATATTGGAATGGTGTCCGAACGATAAGATGCGAGATGCAGCATTCGTAGATGTTTTGGTTTGGATGGATGCGGGTGAGGACTTACTTTGTGTGTATTCAATCCCTTCCGTTCTACCATGTGTGTTGACAGTATGCATCTCTGCGAGCTCATGATTCACCTGATAAACGCCTTCGATGTAGTTAGCAGACCTCTTGAGAAATAGGATCAGTCAGATCATAAATGCTTCGGCCGCTAAATCAAACACAATTCGTCTTGACTAAAGATACCATACCAGAGTTGGACTCAGACTGGTTTCGACCTGCGAAATAGTCCATGATATGTACCACGATCGACAACAGTGGTGCGATGAGTAACACTAAGGGAAGTACTTGGCCAAATGTCCAAGTGTTTTCGCCACCGGGACTGTGACCTCGAGTCGAGAAGATCTTGTTGGTTTCCCATGCCGTAGAAAACACCAGCCATAACACCTATCTACCGACGCTGTTAGTTGGAGAATACATTGTGTAAATTTCGTTGAGCTCACCTCTGAAAATAGGGAAGTGAGAAGATCCAGTTGTACGTGGAGGACCTGGAACGCGGCGATTGAAATAGGTTCCAGGGTAATACTGAGCATTATCCTTAGTACTGACTGGCTAAGGTTAGGATTCCAATTCTCTAAACGAGATGTTGACTTTTCCTTAAGTGTAGAGGCCATTCCACGCAGGCTATTTACGAGACCAGACCGCATCTTAGCTAAACGAATCAAGTATCCGTAAATCAAGAGGAGTACAGAAATCAGCATGGACTGAAATGCAAACGTGTCTATATCCACACTTGGTCTATAAGAACAGACTGCGTAGTTATTGGCTGTGTTAACCAATCCGTATTTTTTGTCCTGCTGATCATAGCCGTTTGCCCATGTAAAGTGTGACGTTGGGATCATGGCTACAATCAACAAGATCAACACAATGAGCATTGCTACTACTCTCCAGGTTTTCTCAGTTGGGTGATTAATAAGGTAGTGCCGTAGAAATGTTAGTGCCGCAAGGTGTGTGACTGAGGCAAACCAGGCGAGGTGAACGATAATTTGCCAATGATATTCAGATAGCCGACATTGAAGGGCAGTATAGCCACTCACTAGAATAGCTATACTTGTGAAAATCTGGATGTCTGCAAACATCAAAATACACTGCGAATGATAACCATCCAGAATAAAAAAAATGAAGCTGTGACTATCGACCTTGTTGAGCATAGACTCAAGCTGGCTTGCCCGAGAGCCAGAAAATCTTGACGAGATGTCTTGCAAGGAAGTCCCCCTGCGGAAGGTGTTAAGAAATGCGCGGTCAACTGGATTCGGGTGTTGGGTTTCAGTCGTCATATCATTCATCGGGCGAAAAGGATCCAAGTTTGGGTTGTGGAAGACGAGATAGAATATCGTGAGGAAGGTGACTAGCATAAAGGAAGTAATTAAAAAGCTGGAGATGACCTGTATTTCCTTCACGTTAGTTTATAAATTCGAGTATATATTCGGTGTCTCACTTACACCTAGGCCTGCGATGTCACCATACGGCTCGAGCTCTCCTGGTGTTTCATCGCACGAGTATGCGCATACGTCTTGACTGTTGGCCATTGTGCGCTGAGCAAAGGTAGTACCGACGAGAATTATTTGATAGCCAGTAGCGCAAATCAACACGAATTGGAGATTTTGTGCAAGTGACAGGCGGATTTGGGTTGGTATTGAATCAGATCGACTAAGTGACGGCAGACGTTGAGACACAGACGAGGTAGATTGAGGGAATAAATTGAACAAAATGCGTGGTCAACTCGAACTGAGATGCGGGGGAATGTAAGGCTGGGTCTCAACCCTACCGAAGACTTACATGACTTACTGCGATTGTACGTCTCAAATTCGCCCATCAAGTTGGTAGATGAGGACGAGGCTGGGTACACAGCATGAGAGGAACCGGACAGGAATAATGTATCTCCGTTCACTCTGGACAGGATCACCGAAACGCCGTTATAGTTTAGCGCCGGACAAAACAGAAATGAACACCCAACTTATCAACTTATCGTTAGCAGATGCACAGACAGTCGTCGAACAGGCATCTGTTAAGGTCAACCTGAAACTGAACCAGACTATTAATGTACAGCAAGATAGATCTAAGACTAATATCTCCTAATCGAACGGCCTGCGCTGCCCCGTCGGGCTCAGGAACGAGCCGCCCGCGAGGTTCTGGAACCACTCGGCCGAAGTCATGATGTGTGTCCCGCCCGAATTCTCGCACTCGGTCTTCCCAAAGCATGGGGATGTGCCGCTGATGTATTCGATTCGCTCCTGTACAAAGCGTCCATCCCGATGCGGTTCCTGCACTACGCCCCCGTGCCGAACCCATACCATCTGAAATTTGGAGGTAAGTTGCTTCTCCTGGTGAATGATTGCCATGTCTCCTCGCCCTCATTGCGTGGATACCAACCTTCCGCTCTCCGTATTAGTTGCCGACCATACCGACTTTGGATGCGTGACCATCCTACTCCAGGATCCCAACACGACGGGCCTGGAGGTTTTCTATCCACGCACGGAGTCCTGGGTGCCTGTTCCAGTGGCTGAAGACGCCTATGTCATCAATATGGGCGACATGATGCAGAAGTACACGGGCGGTTACTATCGCAGCGCTCGCCAGCGCGTACAAACCAACCGCCACGCCCACCGCCACATCGTCGCCTTCTTCCTCAACGGGAATCTCAAGCTTAATATCACGGCCTTAGACGGATCTGGGGTCGAGACGGTGGTTGGCGAGCACATCCGGAGCCGCCTGATCGAGACTATGGGGGAGACTGGGAAGCAGCTTCAGCGCGAGACTCTCACCGCCGTGGGTGTCTGATTTGACTCCAAGAGACATATTAAATACAATATCTGTAATTTTCATGTTTAATTTCCGTCAAGTTGTAAGCTGGAAAACGGCTGAACTAGGTGTGGGCGTAACTCTCTACCAGAGGAAGTTCTAATTCACTTTAACTGTACTGCAGCAAACCCAATTATAGTCACCACGCTCTACCATTCTAACTGGCAAAATACTCATCTGTCAGCACAATATGCATTCAAAATTTTGAACTCCTCCCTTTCCAGGTCGGCACACACTGCATATGCCGTCCACTATTGTACGCCCTTTGAGACAATGCTCGGGCACTCGCGATCGCCGACTGGAGGCATTCACCGTGACACTACATCTGGACGCTTCAAAGTTATCTCCGTATCGGCTTTTTCATACATGCAGGAGATTGACCCATCTCAAAATCACCGAACTGAAGGTCTCGAAGATTCGGCCCTGCAGTCTTACCGTGTAGTATTGGAAGTCTGAACCGAAGGCGGAATGAATAATTGCATATGATGCCCCATGACCTAAAAAGAAGACCCGGGTTTTCGATTCATAATGTCAGCGGATCCTGCGCAGGTATTTCTGACAAGTTCGATCCTGTACTTACACAGGGCGGGTAGTATCCCGGGGAATTGATAAGTCGAATGAAAGCGCCCAGGCCAAGCGTGGGAGCGTTAAGTCCGCATACAGAATGCCAGGACATTTTTTCGGAGAATTTCCCACGGCAATCGATGCGCGGATTTGCATGAGCAAAAATGCTATCTCCGGTAAGCCGTCAGCCGCCCTTCTGGAAAGTACTTGCTGCCCAACTTGGCGCGAACGGTTCTTTGCTGCTGGCAAGGATTCTGGAAAGGGCAAAAAGCGAACCGGGGAAAGCCTGTGTCGGTATCATGGGCCACATAAATATCCGGCTACTTTCCGAGAATAACGACCGCCGCTGGTTTCTTGCGCAGTCGCGGGAGGAACTCGGGGCGGCTGCTGAAGCCGCCTGTTAGACTATACCCCCAATGCAAGCAAAGCATTACCTACTGATCAAAGTGGCCTGGATTGGTTATATATTGTACCCAGAAGCTGTAGCCCGATATATGTAAGGGTTAGATCTCATCTCAGGCCGGATACACAAGGAGATAAAACGGGAAACGTTCCACCGACCATCGCCTCGGACTTTCACAATGCGCTCCTTCGTCTCGGCCGCAGTCCTCGGCCTTTTGGCCTGCACCCCTGCCCTCTCGGAGCAGATCGTCTTCAACGGCCAGCCGGAAGCCGACGATGGGGTCTGGCAGGCCAACATCGGTGCCGTGTTCAACTCGGACATCTTCGCAAACTACGGTGCCGCCAGTGAAAAGCCTGGCTGATCGCCGGGTTCCCCGATGCCATCCTCCTGCAAGGCGTAGCCGCCCTACCCTGGAAACCCACCACTGTGCTCATCTCGGACCAGTGCGTCCTGCGTGGGCGGTACGAGCAGGTGGACTGGAAGCCATCCCGGGGCCAGATCTGGCGCCTCGACACGCTGACGGGCGAGAAGGAGGTCGTCATGGGCAACTACACCGCCATGGACAACACGTACCTACGAGGCCCGGGCGTCGGCATCAACGGCATCAAGATCCGCGGCAATACCCTCTTCTGGGTCAACCAGGACACCGGCGGCGTCTACAGCTTCGAAATCGACGAGGCTGGCTACCCCGTGCCGCGCGACGCGGAGCCCAAGGTCCTCGCCGACGTAGACACCTCGTGGAACGACTTCGACATTGGCCCTGGCGACATCGACACGATCTGGGTCACGTCCTTCTTCCACACCGTCATGGCCATTTCGCCCAACAACGGCACCGCCATCCCTATCGGCGGCCGAGGCACCACCGATCCTGAAGTCTACGCCGGGCCGACTTCTGCCGCTTTCGGAAAGACAAAGCATGATTCCCACATCCTGTACGTTGTGGGGAATATGGAGAAAATCTATGATCACTTCAGCGGCATCTCCCTGAAGGGCTGGGTTCGCGCCGTTGACACGACGGGCTTTCACTTCTGAGAACGCAGAAGCCTCTCAGGGAATATTTGACCAAAGCCCGCAAAGTCTTCTACCCTGTGATAACTTGACGGGACCTTGGAAGAGCGCTACCACAAAGTTATATCTCACATTTGTTATATTTCTCCCGCTTTGAAACCCCGGGATCAATAGACCTAGTATGTGAGGCGCTAACATCTCTGTTCACCTTTTGACGCCAGACTCGCACTATTTGGTTGGTATTGAGAAAGCATCGAAATAGTGTCAAGAGGACTGCTGATACTCCTGCGCTGCACCAAATAGGCTGGATAACCCTGAAATAAACCGAGGAAGACACGCTTTCTGTACACCTGGGACTAATGTATGCGAACCCCATTAAGTGCAGCTGTGTAGGCAGATGATCAAATGGCTTTTCAATTAAGCTTCTAATACTTTCCGTACGTACAAAATGATAAGCCAAGGAAGGATGATGAATAACGACAAGTGAGGGTATACAAAATATTTGGCGATAACCAATCTCAATCTCCACATGTCCATTAGTCGGCTCTTTTCATTCCACCATTGCTGACTATTATCTGCTATACCCTGCCGGATAATAACCTTGTTGGCTTTCCATCTCATGTGAGTACATTCGAGGTGACGACGGCAGTTCTGCATGTTCGGCATACGGCGACGGTGTCCCGGACAATTCAAGCGGCGTATTTCTCAGGTATGTTGGTGGAGGCGACGAGCCCCAGGATCCCGTGTTGCTGTGCCGGTGTTCCTGGGTCCACGCAACGGCGGCAGTTCCGTTAAATTCATATGGATCGGCAGGAGTGTATTCATAGCCTGCTGGCCGAGTGTTGATTGGCACGACGGGCTTCGGGCTCTGAGTCTCCGTTACGACAGGCTGAACTTGAACGTCGCTGTTGGGTCTAGATACCACAGGAGGTTCACCTGCAGTGCTATTGCGACGACGATACCACCAGACAGCAGCTAGAAGCAAGACAACGCCGACGACGCCCCCGACAGCTGCACCAACAATTGTTCCAGTGGATGGGCCGTCCGAGTTCGAGCCTGTCGACTCGCTCAATGCCGTAGCGCCAGGGTCGGAGGCCGAGGCTTCAACATGTTTGGTCTCCGTTTCGGTGATCGTAACCATTTCCTCGGCCTTGGCATAGTGCGTCTTTGTGACCTCGTCAATCTCCACTGATGTAGCCCACTCCGTGTGCCACTCGGTCTCAGTTGTTGTGTCCGTGACCGTGGCAGTTGCCGACTCGGTCACCCAGTCCGTCTCCGTAACGGTATCACGTCGATGAACTTCAATCCCGCGGCGAAGTAGTACTTCCGCAAGGGAATTGAGGCTTGGAGCGGGCCTAACGTAGAATATTTGCGCCGGAGCCATTGTGCATTTCGTGGTCTGGCTCGTATACGAAGCTTCGAGCCATTGCGTCTTCCGGGGGTACGCGAACACAAATCGCTTCGATCGCTCGGTTGCAGAGTCCGCAGAGTCCGTGATGGTTTTTGTCGTGGTAATGGTCGTCGTTCCCGTGTTCACGTCGGATAATGTGACATGGATTGTTGAGTCTGAAGTGCTCGTGGTCTCTTCGGTCGTCGTTGCGTCTTCGGAAACCGTCTCCCAATTGGTTTCGGTTTCCCATGCGGTCGTAGTTGATGTTTCCGTGACCCTGTGAGATCCAAGTCTCTTGTTAGCAATGGTAGTTTAATCTTGGTTGCGTTAGATGTAAGGGGAACAAGAATACTGACGTTTGATCTTTACATATTAGATTGGTGTTGTCACAGGCCTGGTCAGGATTGCAGCACTGCCAATAAGTAGTCAACAGGAGGCCTTGCTCGAGTAAACAAACTCCGCGTGAACCTTGGTTCAGGATGGGCATACAAAACTTTGGGCACCGCTTGGTAGACAGCAAGTTGTCCCTATATCGCAACACGATCTGCTACCATCGGCGCAGCATGCCGAATCCGATGGACAGCACCAGCCGTTGTCCACTGAACCACAGCATCGATAGCCAGCATTACAAGTGCCGCCACCGGTCCATGAGCAACCTTCCTGCCGTCGGACGATCTCCAAGTCGAATATGGCTGCCTGGGAAGCCAATGGAGGATGTCTCGGGCTGTTCTGGTGGGCAATTGAGGCCCAGTGTTGGATGAATACCTTGACTTCATCTTGGTCTGTCGTGTTGAGCTCTCGCGCACTCCGTTCGAGATTTCGATGCTCGATCCAGCTTGACGAACCCATAGTGCAACGGGTCAATAGGGCAAAAAGGATAGCGAAACAATTGACACAAGCCATATCGAGTGATGAAGAGGAGATTAAGCACAACTTTAGTCTCAGAGATAAAAAGCATAAGATTAAGAGGACGCTGGTGGCGTTCGGATCCCTACTTCCCCTCTCTGTCCTCCCTGTAAATTTCCCACTCTCTTAAATGTGACATTCACCCCGTGCATGAGGCTGAAAACGGCTGGGTTGTAATACGTTAGACACTTGATTAATATGGTCTTGGCAGGGATAGTATTGGTTGCTAGTTATGCGCACACACGTACCAAACTGCAAAGAATCCTACGAACTCCGAGACTGCCTCTGATCGGCACCATGAGTGACAACAACTGGGATTTTTATTGCAGGTGACCGACGTACGGTATGCCTTATCGCGAGATTTTGTCCAGTCGTCACCCTCCTCTTCCTTCCTTCTGCCGCGCCCCCCACACTATTCTCGGATACGATCAACGTTGCGTCTCTAATGTGAATTTCTACAGCCTGATCCAAGTGTTCCCCTCTTCTTCGAATGTCTTCAGCTCTCAGCCTCAACTGCGGCTGTGACTTGAGAGGCTTCATCTGCCGAAGGTAAAAAAGCAAGGAGCATACTCCATAGATCGAGTGTTTGGGCCAAAGAGCCCGAGATATTGCGACTGCTACAGAAAACCGCGTAGTGCTACTCCGGTTGCGCTCTAACTTCCTTCCGAACTTGCCGCCGGGCTAGAGTGAGGCCATTTAAATGCACCAAAGGCCTCCTGCAGGCTTCGTAGGCTGGCATCTCCAAGCCATAAGCCCTACTGCAAGCGCCACAAATGCAACACCAACTGTTATCTTGTCACCTCCCCGCTTCACAGGTCACATGGGGATTATAAATCTATGCAGGGATGTGCTCGGATGGAGTTGAAAGAGACCCCAACTTGAGTTGTGTCGTGGTAGCTGAGGCCATTGATTTTAATTAGGAGGGAGGGCCTCCGATCAAGGATAGCTTGTTGCATAACGAGGTCACCAACGATTTCTGGTAGAGAGCTGTGAGGTGATGACTCCATTAACCAAGCGGTTCAGTAGATGAAACTCGTCGTCTCAATTGAACAACTAATTTGCAGTGCCAGTCTTTTGAGAGTATACAAGGCACTGCTGGGGGGGAAATGGCAACTTTACAAACACATGTCCGTCTTGGGCTATTGTCATCAACGTAGTCTGTGTTTAGCGGCTTATCCTCACGTCAAAATATTGACACACGTTCATATGAGGTGCACCAAAGAAGGAGTACTTTTTAATTCAAATATAGGGCAAACCTTTTAGCGTATACATCACTCAAAAACTTAAAAACACTAAATTGCAGTCTGGAATTCAAATCCAACGGTCATGATAATTCATCATCAACTAAGATTGCTTAGCCAAGATGCCAGCCTTACATCCACCATCAAGAAGGCTAAGATTCCACCTCGAATACCGGGCCTTCATTCTTTTAAATAGGTCCTCTTCGCTCGCTGCCATACCAAGCTCTTCTTCAAAGCCCTTGATATATTCCTTGGTACTATTTAACATAGAAGCGGCCAAAAACTCATTGGGCTCCGACATAGGCATGAATGTGTGCCCTGGCACAATTACTTTCGGCTTCAAGACGGCAATCTGCGACAGCGCTTGATTCCATTGGTTCCGTTTCTCTTGCGTAGAGGCCTCACCTAGCCATTGATGGCAATCTCCGTTGTAGACAATGTCCCCTGCAACAACGAGACCAAGCTCTGGCACATGGACGAACGAATTGGCGTGAGTATCTCCGTGCGGAACGTCGAATAATTGGAGGGCATGTCCATCTAGATCAAGATCGTTGGACGATGGGAGAGAAACGAAATCAGCCTTTGTCAACGGCACCCCAGTGCCAGGCTCAGTTGTAGGGAATGTCTGCCTCCAAAGCCCGTCATAGATATGTGGTGAATATTGCTGTGCAACCCCTTCAACGACAGTCTTGGTGCCAATGGCCGTAATGCCAGGGAAGGTGTTTTGCAAGACTGGGATTCCCAAGAAATGGTCACCGTGGGCGTGTGAAATGATGAAGTGCTTCAAAGTGCAGCCATTCGGCAACGTTGACTTAATCCATGTCGCTAGCTCAGTTGTCGCAGCGATAGTGGCTGGACAATCCACAATCACTGCAGTGACGGGTGTGTATATGAGAGTACAAGATAGTGGGGACCAAAAGCCTGAATCCTCCGATGATGGATCAGGGGAGCTGGTGGCGGACGCGATGGGGGGGCATGTGTAAATGGCGAACTGGATCGCCATGTTGAAGTAAAGTACCTGCGATGCCAGACCAGGACGCGAAATTTACATTGCCAGTTGGCTCACCCAAATATATAATTTGTCTCGCTTTCTTTGCTTATGAAAGAACTCCGGTGGAATCAGTGCAACTTTTCCGGTTGAGATGGTGCTTAAATCTCACTGCTTTAAGCAAAGGTTGTGGCGTGCAAATTGGACCAGTGAATCCGCTCCATACACCGACTTTTCGCCACCTACGTGTCGATGACGGGAACTTATGTGGATTTTCCGAATTTTAACGTAAGAAAGTCGAAGATGAGGATTAGAATGCGTATCTACATGCATTAGATTACCATCTCGATTGGGTTGCCTTCTCGCTCATGAATCATGATCAATACTGGCACCAGCTTAATGACACTATGTACCCGCACCATATTCAAGGTAAATAACATGAAGGTACGTACTTTATACGACAATAGGGTGTACGGCTTCCATAAAAGTGGTTTAGATAGTGGAGCCAATGGAAACATTTGACTGATAAACTATCACAGCCCAGCCACCAAGCGAAAGGTTTTCGGTCACTAAACTAACGCAGGAGTCACCCGATGCCACTACCAATAGGTGTGGGGCATCTAAATACTAACTACTCAAATGAAGTTTTGCTTGCCAACTTCAAAGGCCAAGATGCCGCCATGGGCAGCGTTTATAACATCGTCCCATAGATGCCTTGGCCACTCAGAAAGTCATTGTTCAGCCAAGTCCAGCAGCATTCTGGCTGAATACTAAGAACAAAGTTCCTTAGAATGCATAGGGTCCTAGGCAATGAAGAAGATGGCTTCGTTGTGTGCTTAAAGCAACCGAATCGAGATTAATTTGGACACGAAGCCATAAACTCCCCGAAATGCCACACATATTCACAACCTTCCCTTGACAACGGTAGGATATAAATTTGAACTGTATCGAGCACATAGGCCCGTGTCGTTGATTCAGATCAGACTACAGTACATCAAAACAAATGCATAGGTAACATGAGCCCTATTCTGGCAACGCATCTGCACATTCCTTCATTAATACCAATTGGTCGCTTAGGCCTCAACCTTGACACCAAGTTTTCCGCATGCAGTTTGGATGGCAGCTTCATCCCACTCCGGGGCCTCCTCTGGTAGGATAAAACTGGTGTATGAGGATCCAGCGGTCTGGATCAGCTCCTCGATACCGCGGCCATTTGTGAAGGAGATGACTCTCACATATCGACTGGCAAATTCCAAAGTAAATGATTGTCCAGCGGACAACACGACGGTCTGTCCCTCTCGGACAGTGTTCCAGTCCTCCTCTCCCTTAGTCTTGACCTTCAACAGACCCTCCATAACACAAAAGCAGTGGTCAACCGTGGGGAAGTTGAGCCACTTGGCCAGAGGGGAGCTGGTATAAACATTTGACGACTCGATGCTTGAGATTGCGAATTTTTCGCTGCATTGAGAGGCGTTGATAAATGGGCGCGACATGACACCACCGAGGAGCCACCTAGGTCCGGTGTTGGCACGGAGGAAATAAGGCTCCAGAGGTCCGGGCAGTGTGTTTTCAGAGTCGAGCCACTCGCCAACCTCTGGTGGTTGGTAGTCTCGCTTGAAATGGACGTCGAAGCGGTCCTTGGCCGCCATAACCTTGGGGATCAAAAGAGCTTTCAGATCACGATCATCATTCTCTGGTACAATGACGCCCGAGTACGTCTCGGCGACATATCTAAAAAAGTCAACCCAGTCGCCAGGCGCAACGAGACCAAGAGTCTCGGTATGGGGGCCCAGGAGCTCAGGGTTGTGGATAATTTTCTACCATGGTCAGCCAGTTTCTGGGTTTATTTATAGAGCAGAACTCACAGGGGGAACATATGCGAAATCGCCGGGTCCCAAAATGCGGCATTTGTCACCGTTCCATAGCTTGAGGAAGCCTTTGGTAACGAGGAACACGTCGTGGGCTTCGTCATGCCAGTGGAAGCCAGGGGCGTCAGATAGCACAGCGCCGCTCGAGAAGACGGCGATGCCGCCATTGGTCTGCTTAGATGATGCTAGGATTCGGAAGGCGCCCTTGCTTCCAGGGATTGTGAGGCGCTCGCCCTCGAGTTGGTCGATAATGTAGTTTACCCTCGCATCGGGGGGCGTCTTTTGAACGGGGATGCTCATGATGAAGATGCTGGATGAGTCGAACTGAGGTCAAGGGTTGACAATGAGATGACTCAAGTGATAGCGGAGAGGAGAGATATTTAGTTAATTTTATGGTATGTCGTGAAAGAGAAGGACGTGATGGACGCTAGCTAGTCGATATAAGTACTAAATGTCTCGGCTATACTTTGCGACAATGGAACAATCGATGACACGCTCGGCAAGTGGGGTGAAGCCAAATCCAAGAGGCCATGAGATCGGATATCCCGAAGCAATTGCCGCTGTGGGTTCGGATCTTCCGCCCCACAGAGCCAACAAATGCAACAAAAGATCCCCCGCAGTCAATGCGATGCGGAGGCGGGAGCTGGGATTGCGAACAGGGCAGTCGAGCGTGTTGTTCAAATCCATACTCCGTTTGTATCTCCAGCTGCAAGAATCGCGCGGCACCATGGCAAACCTCGACTCGTTCCGCGGCGTCTACAAGGTCGTCGACAAGCAAGACATTGATGTCGACATTTACCTTCCCCAGGAGGAGAGACATGGAAGCAGCTCACAAAACCCCGTTAGTACGTAGACGATTCTGAACGCTCTGAGTGAATCAACTAACAATTTTTGGTCTAGTTATTGACATCCATGGCGGAGCTTTCATGCTGGGATCCTTCAAGATGGTCAATATGGACCAGATTGATGACTGTCTCACCCGAAAATGGATCGTCCTTGTTCCCAACCATCGTTTGTGCCCGCAGGTCAATCTTCTCGAAGGTCCAATGCAGGATTGTCGCGACCTTCTGGCTTGGGTGCATGACGGCGGGTTGAAGGCAGCCATCACTTCTCACACAGATATTCCCTACGCACTGGATTTGGATCATGTGTTTGCGTTTGGCACATCATCTGGAGGCACATTAGCACTTAGCCTGGTGGGTCTACCGCCGAATTGGCATCGTGCGAACGTTCAATGAGAATATGGATTGACTGAATGGTCTAGGGCTTTGGCGTCCCTCGCCCGGTGGCAGGCATTTTCGACATGTACGGGCCATGCAACTTTGCGGACGCTTTCTGGAAGACGACATTGACAGAAATTAAATCAAAACTGCCCACCGATCTGTCTGAAGATTTCATCAACCAAGTCTTCACTGAAGATCCGGTACCCATTGAGGGAGGCGTGTCGCTGGAGGGTCAGCGGGTGGGAGGTCCCAACTTCAGCGATCCGCGCCAGGCGTTTGCCTTTACGCAAATTGCCAACGGCAGAGTGATGGATGCCATTTTCCCGTCGGGAGATTGGGATAAGGTCGACCCGATTAGAAACATCTCCAGCAGTTTCCCGCCGACATTTATTGTTCACGGCGATGAGGATAAAATGGTACCCCAGTATCTCAGCGAAGGGTTGCTCTCAGCACTGTCTGAAAATGGCGTCAAGTGCGGAATGAGAGGAATCCCTGATGAAGGGCATACATTTGCGGCCAAAATGAAAGTTGGCTCACAGACGTGGAACCTTCAGCGGGAAGGATTCGACTTTCTAGAGAGCCTGATTTAATTGACGAGGAAGCCATACGAGTCAACTTACCCTAGACACTCCATAAAGAAAATACCTTCGCCTCTTACCACAGATCTGTATCGCATGCACTACTCAATTCAGAGGGACAGATTCTAGATAAAAATACTCATACGTACTTTATGGCAAGGTAAATCGTCACAGCATGCTGAATTGAAGTACCGGTATCAACGTGACCGCGGGGAGTGAAGCTCGGATTTAAATCGCCGAGGTGACACACTGATGCATGAATGACCGCGCCTCATCTTTAGCTTCATGCCGGAAGGGCCGAATGTCGGCTTCCCCCGTTCGGGACCGAGTCAGTCTGCCAGAGAAGTCAATCAACTGACTCAATTGGTGTCTCTGGGCAAGAAAGCCCACGTGCCATACGCACCCCACGTCTTCCCAGCTTGAACATCACGGACGAGATTTCTTGTGAGCAGAGTCTGGAAGCTCCAATTGGCCACTGCGTCCAAAGAGCCGCTTAGTCACACGCATCGAGCCTCCGGAAAAGCCGGAATGTGGAGATGGTCCCGAGTCTTCCGAGCTGCCCCAGGAGTTTGGCTACCCCGCAAACACGACATGGCTTGTGATGGCGATTTGAGGGGGATAAAAGGGCCTGGACGAGGGATGCGTGGATGTTTGGAGATTGCCCCTGTATGAAACATGTCTCCAGCTGCGAGACCGGGAGGCGAAGAGATGATCATCGGGTGTGGATCGTGAGGAGGATCGTGAGAATCTCAAGACGCTAAATGGAGCGCTGCGGAGGAGTGATTGTCGTAGAACTGAACATGGCGATCGACCTGAATAGTCTCTCGAAGCGGGCAATCCTCACGGTGAAGTTTCTGTATTGATGCCAGAGCTGAGTCCCCTTCGAAGCATACTTATCCCCAATCCCACCCACCACATGCTAGATCCTGCAATTCCACGTCTCTGTGACTCGCCACACAGCATATTCGTTCTCACTAAAACCCCCGCAGTATCCACCGAGGACAGCGTTAAGACCGCATTTCCCCGCATTGAATAGCGCCGGTGTGGCCGTCTCGCACCCGTTGATAAATCCTTTCCCATCCATTTCTCGTGCCTGTAGACCAATTGGCAAATCCCAGCGTCTGGCGCATCTTTCTGCACCTCTGCATCTTCGAGGAAACAAAATCATGGATCGTCCTGGCGAGATACAGAAGCCCCGGGCGAAAACACGCCGCCCTCGCGCCGTCCTCGCGTGCGAGCTCTGTCGGATAAAGAAGAACAAATGCGACGAAGCACACCCGTGCAGCTATTGTCGACGTAACATAACCTCCCGGTGACGATTGGACTCGCGTAGCTAATTTATCTAGAACGCAACGTTGAGTGCACGTACCGAGGCTCCAATGGCTCCATCCTCAAGCGAAGATTCACTCCCGAGTAAGCATATTGGCGACCATCATTGCCTCTCTGTAGCCTGCTTACCTCTTTACCACAGATATGTACGCCAACTCGAAGAACAGGTCAAGACGCTGCAGTCTTCGTCGGATACGCCCAGTGTGATGCCAGCTCCCACGCCCGGAGCCGTCTTGACTCCCGGCGCCTTCTCCGATCCATCATCGCCAAAGGCCTCCCCGAGCGTCGACCCATCTCTACAGGGCTCCGTCGGCCAGAGCAGAGACTGGGGCTATCAGGTGCCGTCGCCCAGCTGCAGCTCGAAGCAGAGCGCCCAGGAGTTCTCCGCCGTCAATATGCACACCCGAAGCGTCGAGTTCTACGGCAGCTCGTCGTCCGTCGCGCTGCTCTCGCGAGTCCAGAGAAATGAGGATCGCGACGTGTTTCTACCTGCGAAGGAGCAAGAGAGCGGGTCAATCGTGTCAAATCTTCATAACCCGCGATTCTCACCTGGCATGATGGACGGCATTCAACAATCCATCAACTCCGACCCTGCGCCGTCGACTCCCGGCGTGTCGATCCATTACCACAAATGTAGCGTCTTTATCCACGCCTTTTTCTCTTCAAATCATTACATACACCCGATCTTAGACAAGCACCGATTTCTGAAAAAGTGCGAACAGCTCTGGTCGGAGACGGATGCGTCACAAAATAGCAGCTTCATCGCGCTGTACTATAGCATTTTATCACTCGGCGCCCTCATCAGTGTCCGGGAAGAAGAGCCAATTGACGGCATATCTAACCGGCAATGGAGTCGCAAGTTCTTCGACGAGTCACTGAGCCATTGCTATCGCCTCGGCATGGTTACTGATTTAGAAATGGTCCAGTGCTATTTCTTTCTCGTAAGCCGCCATTTTCCCCCAACCACAGGATACTTGCTTACGTCAATTAATAGGCCAAGATTTGTCAAAACGAGTTGAATCCACACTGTAAGTCTGACCGCTCAACAATCCCATTGTTGAGTTGCTAACAAAGGCAGGGGCATACATGTATGTAGGACAGGCCGTGAGGACAGCACTAGCTATAGGAATCAACCGAGAGCCTCCAGCTCATTTGCAACGAGATGTTGAATCACTCAAGGCCGAGTCACGAACGTGGTGGTGAGTGCTGTATTCATCTGCGAAACTGAGTACATTCTGACCTTTGTGTTCAACAGGGGACTCTATTCGCTCGAAATGTACACACCCACCCCTCCCACTAAGGAAGACAAGACTGACCATTGCAGGGAAATGTCTTTTGCCATGGGAAGACCTGATACACTGGGCTCAGACCTTTATCACAACCGCCGCCTCCCTGTCACATATGAGACCCAAGACTCATCCACGCTTCCACAACAACAGGCACTCATGGAGCCGCCACATTGCGCCATCATCAAATACATGGTGGATTTCTCACGAATAACCAGGGCTCTTTGCCTCGGTATTTATCTGTCCGACCTCTCACTGCCAGAGCTATTGGCACGGGCCAACCAACTCGAGCAAGACCTCAATCGATGGGTGGACAGCGTTCCTGAAGCCATTCGTCCATCTCGAACTTTTTCCCGCAAGACGTCATTGAAGAGCGTTAAAGATGCGCAGTACGCCAAAAGGCAACGGCTCGTACTGACAATACGTAAGACAAACCTGCCCAAGTACGTGAATGAAAACTGAGCAACGTAGGATACCATAACCTGAGGATTCTGATGTTTGGATCCCTTCTGATTAACTCATCACCCGGGGAACGTGCATCTGTGTCTGCGTCTGAGGGCATTCAAAAGTGCCTCGACTCCGCAAAGCAGACTATCGACATCATCTACCATATATACCAACATCACGATTTCTTTCGTACCTGGTATGTCTACTATACCTGGAAACTAAAAAATCGGCCCTTTCCATGGGGCTCTTGATCTTGAACCCCATTAACATAGTTTCAGGTTTTACAATATTACCTACATATCGTTCGCCACGTCCATCATCCTAGTGTACCTCGGCCAGGGCGCGTCCGACAGCGAAGTACAATCTCTATCTGGTTTTATAGAGATGGCCATCGAGATTCTCGACACAATGGATGAGTGCGTGGTTGCCACCAAGGCCGCGGCGATTATCCAACATGCATTGGCGCAAGCTCAAGACAAATCTGCGTCCCGCATCAACGACGGTGCGAGGCGTGACGGAGCGCTTCCATTCAATCACCAGTGGGGGCCTTTAACACTAATTGACGAGGTGTTTGATGCGAATTTGATGTTTGAAACAGGAGTGTGGGACGATCCCGAGGCTTTGCTGCGATTTTTGGGAGACCCAGGGCCCGGGGATCACATTGACGATGGAATTGGAGAACCCCAATTAGTTGGGCAATGATCAATGCGGAATATGATGAACAATTTCAGTGTAATGAGTATGAACCAATTGTAATTGGCGGATCAAGAGATACCCGTACCGAGAAGTTGCGAGACCCGCTGACATCTATGATTTTGTGATATGTATGACATACTGGTGATATGGGATTTGGCAAAACACTCCGCTAACATGGAGTGCAGCTGAGGCTTAGCAGTTTCATTTTGAGTGGAATTAAGACCAATAGAGGTGCGGGTGACTATCCATTTGTTCACTAAAACGTGTTCCTATTGACATAAATAATTGATCCGAGAGGCTATCAGCAGCCTGGAATTGAGATCCTAGAGCACTGGGACTGTCTGTCCTCAAAGCACCAGAAAGCGCCACATCGACTATCCACAGCATATTGCAAAGCTACTGCATAGACCTATTTATTTCAGTTCTTTATCCTTCTCCTTCTCCTCTAGGTGGGTGGACTCGGCCTGAATCTGCTCGACCTTTTCGTTGAGTATCTCCTCGTTCTCCTCCTCTTCGATGGCATGCTTGTACAAGCCCTTCTTGATGTCACGCTGCCACAGCAGGTAGCCGGTCATGAAAAGAGTGACCCAAGCAACACAAAGGCAGATACTGGCAGTGAATCCTCTCTTCCACTGAGGACCCTCGGTGATGGGAAATACAACGACGTTGTACCAGGTGAAGAAAGACCAGCCAACAGTCATCTGTAGAAAACACGCAAGTAGTTAGCTTACTAATTCTCGCCTCTAGTAACGGCCTAGAGAACCATGAAGCCGAAGGAGATTACTTACCATGGCACCAGTGGTGAAGCTCTTCGCTTCGTTATCATCCTTCATGATAAGATGGATGAAAGGGAAGAGTATTGGGGTAACGCAAGAGTTCAGGCCCAAAAGAAACCAGGTTGCGAACTTCAAGCCATCGGGGATATACCAGATTCGAAGGCAGATATTGGAGAAGATCAAAATGCTACCGGAGAAGATGATTGGCATCCATATCGGGTATACCCTGCGAGGGAGTTAGTCGGCCGTCTTGCGTCAAAAGCTGCCACCTCAGGGACCCAGTGGAGAAGAAGGGGACTGAGACTTACATGACGAATTGCGGGATGATACTTCCACATAAAATGGCTACAGCTTGGGTGCCAGTGGGTAGGATGTTGATCAACTCGACAGAATACTTTCCAGTGTCCTTGACCCAGATACCCATCTGGCCAGTAACCCACGTAGTGCACTGGAAGCTACCAGGTAAGAGCCATTAGTATAAATGCATTTTCGGGATACGCCCGAGACAACTTACCAGACGTAGGTAATCACGGCAAAGTAGAAATGCCAGTGGGTGAAGACACGCTTGAGCATACGCTTGCCGATCTTGGAGCTTTTTCTGACGCCATCGTCTTGCATGCGCGCAAGGGCGAGCTTTTGCTCCTCCTCCTTGAGCCACCAGATGCGAGGGCTGGTGGGCAGACCTGGAAAGAGGAAGAAACCGGCAATGGCAATGGGGAGGCTGATGATGCCATCCACAATGAACACCCAACGCCTGGGAGACGTGAAGTGTCAGATTAAAATGCCCGAGCAAAAGGAGCGAAAACTTACCATCCTTGCATGCCAAGCTTTCCATCAAGACCAGCGTGGGCCGCAGCCTGCATATAGCCAGCGAACATGGCACCAATATTGCTGGAGACGTACCAGACACCAGCACGCTTGAACACTTCATCGGCCCGATACCAAGACGCGAGGATGTAGAGCGAACCAGTGGCGGCAGGCGTCTCGAAAAGGCCCATGAGGAATCGCATACCGTAAATCATCTCACTGCTGTTGTTGCGGCTTTGGACAAATGTGATGATGGACCACAGGGTCTCGCAGATCGGGAGGTACCATCGTGACAGCTTGGGGCGGGAGATGATCATCATGGAGGGAATCTCGAGGACGAGATAGCCAATGTTGTAAAAGGTGCTGAACAAGTTGTACTCGATTCCCTCAATGTTCAGGTCCTCCTTCATTCCCGAGTTGTAAGCATTGCTGATGTTGGACTGATCGAGCCATTTGATGAAGACTAAGCATGTTAGATTGGTGGAGTTTGGACAATCCTCGCCGTTCAGGAAACCTACATAGCAAGCAACTGTTTCTCTGTTAGCATACCGTCTAATCTGAAGGGGGATCTGGCTTGACTAGCTCGCCGTGAAACGTACATGAGAGGAAGAATGATACGGTCTTGTTTCTTGAGAAGGGCGATTTCCTGCTTGCTGTAGTGGCTGGGGTACCAGTCGAAGACGTAGAGCCAGGCGAGTCGGAAATCCCTCTTGGGCGGCTTGGAAGCTGAGCTCACCACGACGCCGTTCTTGATGACCTGCTCCCGGCCAATGTTCGTATCGTCTGCGATCGTCGATTGCGGTTGGGTCTCCTGTGTTGGGACTCGGGCAGTTTGGATGGCGATGTCATCGTTCGTCTTGGGCGCTTCAGTCGCCATCTTGACACTTCTCCACGGGTGCTAGGTCGCGAGGGATGAGTCTTCCCTTCTTCTTTTGACGCGAAAAAAATGAAACTGACTCAAGATTTTAGGTCGGTGATGATCGCTAACGGTCCAAGAAGGAAGCCAGCAGTGGGACGAGATGGTGCGTTAATAAAGATTGATCTTCAAAACCTCGTTGCTCGCGTCTGCGGGCTCCATAGCTCTCGTCCGGGGTGATGCAACGCTCCAGCGCGATACGACGTACGAGAGTCTTCCCCGCGCTCCCCCGCAATCCCTAGTCACGCTGTAGCTGGAGTACCATCCTGGCGATGCCAAGGCTGTCTAGAACTGTTTTGGGCGGCCTGCTTGGGATCGCTGTTCGGGGAAACGGTCTCGGAGGATTGACCGCGGAGGAATTATGGTGGGCCTCGGGGGATGTTCACTCCGCGTCTTAACCCACTCCAAATTCCTACTCTAGCCAGCAGAAATACCCCTGGTTGTAATATTCTCAGAGAATGTTTGTTCTCCCCCTTCCTGTAGAGTCCTTGAGATAGGTTCCCGAGGCGATGCTCTACTGTTATGTACTCTAGGACTGCGACTTCCCGCCAATTGGAAGTATTAGGTCCCTATTTAGGGGATACCTGGAAGACAAATCGCCGTTGTATTTTAAAATAAGTTTAATCTAATATGTCCTCAATTTCAGGAGTCGAAAAGCTCATTGTTGTACCGGGCTGTGCTCCAATTCGCTCACAAATAAACCCAACTTAATCCTTAGAAACACCAAGCCTGGATAAAGTCGAATTTAAATCCAAGGTTTCAACAAGCCTTTGGATTAAATCGCCGAATTCTCAAGCATCCGCATCATTATTGCCGCTTGCAACACCTCCCGAATATGGCAGTAAGGTAGCAATCCTAGCAGCGTCAAGCGAGCTCCATTTCGCTTTGAGCTTGACGACTCGTGCCAAAGTCAGGCATGATGTAGCTGGCCGCAACATTCGGGTCGTTGATCCCTTGCTTCAGTCCTAGCTCCGTCGTGAAGCCAGCCATGACGGTGCACTGCGCAACAGAGAAAGTCGCTGGAATGTTAATGTGCGTAAGGTACTTGTTGTGCCTAGTATGGTGGCGATGCGAGATGATCTTGCCTGCATCGATTAGCGAGCCCCCTCCGATGGAGATGATCGTGTCGATGGTCTTGTTTGTCTTAGACGCGAGAGTAGTCGCCTGATCGAACCCAGACACTGGAGCGTCTTGCTTGATGCCATGAGATGTTTCTGCATGGTTTTTCGGTGTCAGGATAGACTCGATATGCTTATCAAGGGCGTTTTGGCGAGAGAGCTGCCAGTAATGGTGAGGACATTGGAGTCTTCTGATGGCAAGCAAGAGAGTAAATATAGATCAACCGTCTTGGTGCCGACAAAGAGTCCTTTGATGTTCATAAGCTTATAGCTGCCTTCCATAAACCCCAATAGACAGGCCATCTTGAACAGGTGCGTTTGAAGCAAGGGTGGTTCTGGTACTGGTAGCGTAGATGATTGTTTATGTCCGACTTATGCTCCCGACCAGTGCTCCTTACGTTCATTGAGAACATCCGCCGTATCGCGAGTTGAGCAGGTTGGCCAGCTGCATCGGGAATATTGCCGATGTGTCATAAGTAGTGGATGGCCTTATCGGTACAACACGCTCTGCAATCGAGTTTATCATCAACCAAACTAGCGCGCAAAAGATACGTGTGTACGTTTCATCTGGGCCGTGGCTAGCACGTTATCGGAAAACAGATCAAGACTGAATTGAGCGGAATATGGTTTCCTGATATTGATAAAAGGTGGCTGAGTCAGAAGCAACGCCGTGGGAGTCCACTATCTATCCTCGGTCCAATCTCAGGACCCAGATAGAAGAGCTCATCGCTTTTCCTCCGGCTACTAACCCCGAGTTTAATACTCCTTGGCTGTGGAAGCTTGTCGATTTCTGGTCAGGGGTGCCATGATGACCTGATGTTGAGGCTCAATTCGCCCATTGACAGTCGCGCAGCGATTTCGGATCGGCTGTCATAACCCGCACCGACGGATGATAAGCGGATCGGGAATATGGCCGCCGAACCCTCATATCTACTCGTGTGAGTCTTGTCAGCATGTTAGAGTTTAATGCTGGATTGTAGACTGGATGCTGCGACCGAATACACTGATTGGAGAAGATTGTGATGTTCGTGGACAAATCATGTTGACAAATTGCATGTGCTGATTAATTAAGAATATGACTAATGTAAGAGCAGTGAATACCCCGCTTTCACCATGTTTCATCTCTTAAAAGCCTAAAAGCGTGAGAGCCCAATGTTAAAGATATGGCGTGCTGGCAATATCGCCATTCCGATAACCTAGCACGGAAATACAACACCAATCCGCTTGTCGATATAAATTCTAACTCGCGGTAAAAAGAAAACCTAATAACCCATCTTTCGCAATCTTTAGACATGTCGCCTCCGCTCTCACTGTTGTTGACTGGTGCAAGTGGTTTTGTGTAATAAAGGAGCAATAATACCTTGGTGAAGGATTTGTTGGCTAACAGATTCCAAGGGGCGGCACCGTGCTTTCACAACTACTGAATTCCTCGAACGAGATTATCAATTCCCTCTCTATCACCACTCTCGTTCGTGAGGAAAGTCAGGCCAACGTTCTACAGAAAAATGGCATCAAATCGGTCATTTTACCAAGGGGTTTAGATGACACGGAGGGGCTTACGAAACTTGCAAGCCAGTTTGATGTCGTTTTGCACACTGCCACAGGCTTCCACCCCGAGTCGGCAAAGGCATTAATTGCCGGCTTAGCAATGCGTGGAAGTAGAGGTGACTTTGAACCGGTTTTCATTCAGGTAAGAAGACTGAAAGTACCATTGCGTGGCGAGAGAAATATCCAAGTGCTGACTCCTTGTACAAAGCTTTCGGGGACTACCAACTTGTCTGTCGGGGATGTCACCGGACACGGGGGCAAATGCCTCACATTCTCTGACAATGATGAGGGGATTTTCGAATACGAGCTTGAACGCGAAGCTCTGAGAAAATACAGCCAGCGTACCACGGATGTCACCGTGGTCGAGACGGGCGAAAGGTTGAGCATCAGGACGTACATTATCATGCCACCTTTAGTTTGGGGACGAGGCACTGGGTACTTCAACACTGGATCACAACAGATCCCGATGCTAATTCGAAACGCCATTTCTGCGGGCAGGTCTGAATATGTGGCCCCAGGCACTTCCGCCATAGGACACGTTCACGTACTTGACCTTGCAACTCTGGTCGAGGCGGTGATAGCTCGAGCAGTAGTCGATCCTTCACTTCCAGCAGGACGAAAAGGGTACTTCTTCGCCGGAACTGGGCGCCACTCTTGGAAAGAAGTAGCAGACCGTATTGCTGAAGTTGGGTTTAAGCTTCATGTATTGAAGGATGCAGAGGCAACCCCGATTAATCTCACAGACGCAGCTGCCAAATTCTGGAATGGTGACGAGATCCACACTGAGCGCATCCAGGCTTCTTCGTACGCTGATTCATCCTCCCTTGAAGCCTATTTGAACTCTTTACTAACCTGACCGAAGATCACAGACACGAGCTGAGAAGGGATATGAGCTTGGCTGGCAGCCGACGAAAACAGAGGATGAGTGGCAGGCTTGCATACATGAAGCGTTCCAGATGGTCTTGGATGACACGTCAAATTGATACGCCATGTTATGAAAGCTGATTAAATAATTAGCATCGAGTGGACCACCAATACATCGAATGTGATTCCCATTACATATAGATACACAGCAAGAAGTCAACTTTCGGATGAATTAAGATAATGTAGTTGTGCTGGAAACATACCCTCTAGTAGTAAATCAAATTCCGCGGGGGATGGCGGGTCCGATTCAATCCATGGAAACAGAAGGCGCATAAAATAAAGTCGTTCAAAAAAGAAAGAAGTATTTGCAACAAATATGACATACAAATACAATTCATTTCCTCGTGTATCTTGGAATTGTAAATTTAAATGTCCAGTATTTCCCTATTTTGCGACAGTCTCTGGGTCATGAGCAACAACCTCAATTTCAACCCGCATATCATCCTCTCCAAGTCGTGGCACACCGACACAGGTCCAAATCGGCTGATGATCCGGCATATATTTCCTGAAATTCCTGACCATAGCGGCCAAAGCCTCGTCGTTGATGGGAACGTGGTACGAGTACACACGGAACACTTGCGACCATCCTTTGCCACCAGCATCTTTAAGATTGAGTTCGACATTCTTGAATGCCTGGTCGATTTGCTCATTGATCTCCTTGTAAAATTCGCCATTCACGGGGTTCCATCCTCCTAGATTTCGTTAGTTCTGGACCATGTGGCGTACACGGTAAGGGAATTGAGTACATACCTTGGCCCGCACATTCAATCCGATCGCCAATTCGCACAGCTTGACTGTAGTGAAACTTGCGCACATTCTCAACGCCAACTCCTTCATAGGCGTAGTACTTGAGATGGGACATTTTCGCGGGTATAAGACAGCTCAAATCAGGCGATCTTTTATCTTTAAGTGGCGAAGAAAGGTTCTTTGGATTCTGTGAAGCTTGAATGGAGTGTGCAGATGCGAAGTTTTACACAGAGAAAGAATTTGATGCACTAAATAACCCCAAGTGAGTCGTCGCCTGATATAGGAGAAGAGGCATTCTTCCCATTTTCAAGATCGAGTCATGACATCTACGAATTTTGATATTATTCATCCTCTTGCTTAGAAATACGAGGACGTGGATCAGCCACGAGCGAACGAAATGCCAGACGCGTAATCGACAGCATCAAGTCCGGGGCATATCACGGCGGAATTCCAGATCCGCCGCTAACAATTTAGAGCAATCATAGCGGCATCTCCGCTTCCGCCGCTAAACAGTTCTCGCCCACTCTGGGGAAACTTAGATTGTTCGAGACGGACGAGCAGATTGGGGAGGATTGCGTATCAGGGCGGCATCTCGGCCGTCGCCACTTCAACCCATGTTGGGGACTTGGTGGGGGAACTCTTCCTATCATCAATCTAACCTCATTTCTGATTCAATTTGATGCAAGCTTTCCCATTATCAATACACAACATTCATAAAGTGGCAAACTCAGAGATAGTAGGTGCTTTCGCGGGGGTCACCAATTGTCATTGACCTGTTCCAAGAATACTATTGCCACTCATCGAACTATCGACCCTTCCTCGTTGGTGATTAGAGGCACACCTAACTGTGCATATCAGTGCCTGAAACCAACTCCCGTTTGATCCTGGTCTCTAGTACACGCGGCGGCTGGCATGGCTCCATTAACACTTGAGTGCTTATCGACAAAGTTTGGGGTGACACCCTGGATATTAAGAGGCCTTCAGAGACTTTCAAAGAGGCCTTTGATAAGGCCGCTGGGGAAGATAAGGATCAATAATTTGGCGGGCACGCTATTGAAGGCTTGAGATATAAAGCGTCCCGTGAGCATGACGGCTAATGATTTCCCGTAATCAATCACTCAAAGCCAGGTACGATAAACCTGCCTCTAAGCATGGCGAAGCACGAAAAAGAATCGCCCGAGGTGCCCGACTTGGAGAAGTCTGAGTTTCCCAGAAATCCCAGCTCTGCTTCGGTCGATGAAGGTGATGCTACTCACCTGTCCAAGAACCCCATTGCTTGGGTTCGCGGTAAATTGACGGGCTCTGTTGAAGCTCGAGGCATCGATCCCGTGCCTGTAGAGGAGAGATCCGATAAGAATGGACTATCCCTGTTCGCCGTTTGGTTCACTGCGAATTGTTCGCTTTTACCGTGAGTCTACATCTACGTCAGGTAGAGAATTCGTCAATCTGCTAACACCGTCCAGCATCACTACAGGCATATCAGGCCCACTGGTTTTTGGAATTGGTCTCCCAATCTCGTCGCTGATAGTTGTTCTGACGTCTCTCGTCTTCATGATTCCTGTGGCTTGGATTGGCACAATAGGTCCCAAAACAGGGATGCGCCAAATTGTTCAGACTCGCTACTACTTTGGGTACGTTTGTATTTCTCCGGTTTGCTCTGTCTAACATATTGTAAAGCTTTGATCTGGTCCTCATTGTCGCCATTTTACAACTTGCAACGCTGACTGGATATACTATCATCACATCCATTGTCAGTGGTCAAACCCTGACGGCGCTCTCGGAAGGGTCTTTGAGCTTGGCGGTTGGTATTGTTCTTACCGTCATCGTCGCACTTTTTGTTTCCTTTATGGGATATACCTTTCTGCACTACTTTGAACAATATTCCTGGATCCCTTCAATGGTAGCCCTCATCGTCACCGTTGGGGTTGGGGGTAAGAGTCTTCGAGCGCAAACCGAGCCAACCACACCCTCTGTGCAAGCTATCATGTCGTTTATATCTCTCTGCGCCAGCCTATGTATTTCTTGGGCGGCTATTGTCTCTGACTATTCGGTTTACATCAGCCCAGATGTTTCACGGTAAGCACTTTGGTACCACCACCTATCGCTAACGGCGCTAATTAATGTTCAGATATCGGACATTTACGTTCGTCTACGCTGGTTACTGCATTCCTTCAATCCTTTTGATGGTTCTCGGAGCAGCGATCGGGGGCGCAGTGCCGAGTAACCCCTCTTGGGTTGAGGCCAACGACGCATATTCTGTCGGCGGCGTCATGTATGCCATGGTGTCATCGTCAGGCAATTTCGGCAAATTCATCGCGGTATTACTGGCCTTTTCCGTCATGGGTAACACTGCGTGCTCACTTTACTCGATATCTTTGAGCATGCAATCACTTCATTCGATTCTGGTTCGCGTACCTCGCTACATCTTCACCCTCGTCATCTCAGCCATCGTCATCCCGGTAGCGATTGTCGCTGCTGCCAATTTCTACGCTTCTCTAACAAACTTTCTCGGCGTAATTGGGTATTGGACATCCATATATGTGGGAATATCTCTAACTGAACACTACTACTTCCGCAAAGGAGACTATGGTAGCTATGAAATGCTTGATTGGAACATGAGACAGAAGCTCCCGGTTGGTATTGCAGCGCTTACAACCAGCGCACTAAGTGTTGGCTTGATTATTCCTTCTATGAGCACCGCTTGGTATGTAGGACCAATTGCCATTCGAACTGGTGATATTGGTGTTGAGATTGGAATGGTATTGGGTTGTCTCCTGTATATTCCATTAAGGACCTTAGAGCGTCGCATTATAGGGAGATAAGTCTGTTTGTTTCTTTCTCCAGTACCCTTTACAGTTAAGAACGAGTTTGTACACTCTGTTAGGCACGTCCCAGGGAGTGAGTGGCAAAAATATACTGATTAGATGTTACTGTTATCCTAGGATGCTGAAAACAGATGGACTGTGTTCAAATATCTCGTACAGTTAATCTGTACTGTTACTATTGTAAAGTTAATACATTGTAATATATATAGTTAACTTAATAAAAACAAACTACGGTTTAGATAGTTACTTTTTACTATTTTTGGTGCATACTTATTAATTCTCAGTTAATATCCAAACTTATTAATTATTATCAGAAAGTAAGGTATAAGGTTGTTTTTGTCTGAGGCATGTGTGTGTGTAGGCCTCACTTGCTGAGGCCCCCGGAAGGTTACCTTCAGACGCATTCCTGGAGGGATTCCTAAGAGCTCTACAGTCTTACCTATTTCGCCCTAATAAGTACGTAGAATTGCTAGGTCCGGAGTCTCGGAGATCCCCGTTACACACAATTCACTCTCTTCCATCCATATCCTCCTTTGCAAGCTCCCTTACCAGAGAGCCTGGGAGGCACCGCCGAACATCAACATCATCCACATCATCTGGCCTTTATCATCTGATTTTACCGGTTCCATCAGAATGTCTTTCTAGATTTAGTCTTAGTCAGGGTTTAATAGCTAATGCCACCCCTTCTCTAGCGGAGAGAAGGCGGCCTCAGGCTTCGGCTCCCTGTGAAGGACAGGGCCCACTTTCATCACGTGGCACAGTGCTGTCATCCCACACACTGTGGGATCACACTGTACCACAAGGGTCCTTGAAGGCAGCCTTTAGGGCTTCCCTTCTAACTCTAAACAATTAAAAAGCAAAGTCAAGTAATTCAACTTCACATCCCTGACGGTGATGACCTCCTTTTGCCCCTTTGGGTAATCCATTTCCACTCTCCCGGTATAGGGTAGGCTTAGTCACCCCCGCATCTTGTCTTTTTGTTGTTCCTCAGATTGTGTCTCCGCATTCTTGCTTCACAAAGTCGTCTTCCAATTCGATGCATTTGACTCCATCTCTTTACCACCGCCACAGCCGCCCACAAAGGAACGAAAAATGATGCGCCGTAGCACTCTCCGATCACGACTGGGGTGCTCTAGGTGCAAGCAAAGACGCGTGCGCTGCGACCAGAATCATCCAGTGTGCAACAACTGCTTGCGAATGAGTCTTGACTGTACCTATGAAACTCCGCCACCTCGTAAGAGGAAAGGAATGCAGAGTGGCCGGAGCGATGCATCAGGGCGTGGTATCTCAATTGAGAGCTCATCAGGTCAAGAGTTCGTCGTTGGTTCAATTCCCCAAGATGACGAGGCTACGTCCTCATCAGCTGCCTCATTTCTCGGTCCCAGTCTCGCCAACCAGAACGAGTGTCGAAACACTTGGGATCAACCAGAATTCCTTTCTGGCGTGGACCCATCCATCTGTCCAGCCGACTTCAATATCCTCTATGACATGTCGTACATGGAGCAACCGTTCCCGAGCTTCTCCTTCTCAGACTTGGACCTCAGCAACCATGGGCCTTCTCAATCTAGTCCGACTGAGACGCTTCTGCAGGACGAATCTATGAGGCTAAGCATTGGAGAGGCGTCTTGCGGATCCCGTCGTGACGGAGATGTGGGAGGATATTTTCCAGGGTCCCTCGAAGACGGCCACGACGTGGCGTCAGCTACGTCGCCACCAGTTCAACCGAATATCAGAACTTTCCTGCAATCATATTTCTGTAGTGACGTATCGCCCCCAGCATCTCTTCTTTCCATGGACCGCTCGGGATGGCACAGGTTACGAAATCACCTACTTCGCGCCGCGATGAAAAATGAGTCCGCAAACCATGCCATTCTTGCCATCTCGGAGCTCTACGCTGAACAAAATACAATTTCAAACCCTCGACTAGGCGATAGACCTCACCAACTTGACGCGCTTCAATTGCACGAGCTGGCATGCCAGGAGCTCAGTGTTGATGTCCAGCCCGTTGGGTTTGATGCTGAAACCCAAAACGCTCTACTTGTCACAATCTTCTGCTTGGCGTGGTTCCAGGTGAGTAATTACTCCCGTAGGAAGCATAGCAAGTACTATTGATCAGTCAGACTGTGTGCGATGATAATTACGCTAGCCAGGCACGTTTTCCCCAAGACATGGCCAAAACCGTCATCACCAGTACGGGAAAGTGGTACCCCAGTCGAGATTGATCCTGAAGTGCCTTAATTCTATTGATGCAAAAACATCACATATGGGAGGCAGACAACTACTATGCCCTGCCTCTCTTGATGTCGCATTTGAACACCGTTTCGAGTGCGAGAATCAAGCGGAGGACGAGGCTGACGATGAAAGCGATGTCTATGTCCCTCCTGAAACTTCAACCACCAACCAAGGGCCGCAGAGAATTAGTTATGTTTCGACCTCGAGTCCCTGGGCGACATCCACCAGGGCTGGGCTGTCTACTCTGCCTCGGATCATAAAAATGAACGTTTTCAACGCTATTCTTCAACCTGGACTCGAGTTTCACATTGTCTCCCAGTGCTACAGCCGACGGATTTCCTCTTACGAAAGCCACCATCGCACAAGGGGTACGGCAGAAGACGAGTATGAGGTTGTAACGGCATGCAAGCAGCTCGAGCTCGAGCTGAACGACCTGTGGAGGCGACGACCTCGAGTGCTGGAAATAACTCTGGCCGAGTTGTCGGAAATCGTCTGTGAGGATGTCGCACGGTCGGCAATTAGTCTCTTTTGCGTCTACGTCGTAACGTTTTGGGCACACTTTGTATACATACATCGGACGGCGTGGTGGGACTTGCCCCTCTCAAATACTGCCAAGCACGCATTAGACATCATGTGGCGGACAATGCGTCGGGCAACCAACCAGCCTGAGGAATTTCCAGTTGAGAGGCCTTTAGAGCCAGATTCTTCTGAGGCCGGACATATGCTCCACCCCGGCGTAATGTGGGCACTGATGCTCTTCGGCTCTGAGTGTCAACACGTCTATCAGCAAGAATGGGCAGTGGACCAGATTAGGTTGATTGGAACAGGTCCCTCGAGACCATCTGGCATATCGGGCAGCTCATCGCCGGAAATCCGCGCTCAGAATGCACTCCGGGCGTCGACTCTGCTTCAGGAGCTGATCCGACGTCAAACGCAGTCTCACAAACGCCTTCACTGGGAGCAGTTATCAATTGAGCTATTTGCATGTCACTTTTTAATAATATAAGAAAGGTGGCGTAGGTGAGTGTCCGGATTGTTCCGGTGAACGAGATGTCTCCGCAGAACGTATCCAATCCGGTGCAGCCACTCATTCTATTCGAGGGATTTGGGCCAGGATTATTATTGCTTGATGATAGATCTATTACTGTCAATTTGATTTGATTAGATGGATAGTGTTCAAAGCAGTGATGATAATGTTGATGATTACTTGGTCTAGGCATCTCGACCAGCTGGAAGAGGGGTTATGTATTAGACCCCTTTCAGACTAAGGTCAAGATATCAATCTATCAGAGGTTTCATAATACAGGGTCGATTTTCAACACTTGACTAAACACTAAATATGCGGTTCACTGGGCCACGCGGACAGCTTTTTTTTATTTGTTCTTTCTTTTTTGGTCTTTGGCCCATGACTGCGTCTTACGCCGCCACTTGTTGTTCACTCAGCATTTGTCGAAGTCAGTTATCGGCCGCCAGTCGCTACAGCTGCTCGATTATCTTTTATTAGCAATCCAATTTAATTCGAGATTAATGCGACTCCTCAATGGGAAGTCCCTCCGTCTCCAATTCTTCGTCGGCTCTGAGATCCCCTTCTTATGCCATCCTATCACACACCTAGGGAGATGAGGGAAATATGTTCACTGGTACACACCTAAGCAGCGTAACCTCCTTCTCTTCGTGTAGTTGAGGTTGCCTATAGTTTCGAACCCGAAAGCCGATTATTTGGGTGATGTCTTAGTGCGACGGCTTGAAGCCCAAATGTTTTTGGTGTATCACCAAAAATGCAGATTGTCAGTATGTGGAGGAAAGGCCAAAGAAGTGTGTGAAATATTCGCTCGGATTCGCTGTGATTAAACTAACATTCATGGCCTCAGGAGAAAACACGACGCCGATTATATCGTTGGCTTAGAAACTCAAGTTGAGCTGCTGAGAGAGGAGCTTTTCCGATTAAAGAATCCTGGCTCCGACCCGAAGACGAATCTGACTTCAGATGTGAGCATTGGATTTGATGTTAGCGATTCGGCCAATGTCCCAAGTCTTCCACAAGAACTGCCACTTCCCCAGGACGGGTCAACTGCCATTAGCGATGTAAGCTCGCTCATGTGGCGACTGACTATCGACGACGGCGGTGGTACCACTCTAGTTGGGCCTTCTGGAAACTTTTGCTTTCCAGTCACACAGCATCAGTCACCTAATGATGATCGGGGGGTCACTATACCTAAAGATGCTGCCATTCATAGGCAACCTTGGATATCGGAACATGCTACGACGAAGAACATCCACCAGCTTATCAATACCTTTTTCCAATTCATCAACCCCGTTCAACAGTTTATCAGCAACGATATGTTTACGGTTATAGTGGGAGCATCATCTCCACCACTTAACTTCCTCAGATGTGCCGTGTTGGCAGCTGGTGCGCTATTCTCTGATGACTCAGAAAGCAAGGCTCTCGGTCTTGATGCGGCTTCCTATGTTGAGGCTGAAGCTTTAGGCATCTCCCGTCAATATCTCTGCCCAGAAATAGTCCAAGGTCTGTCGATCATGTGCTGGAGAGAGCTGTGGTTGGATAATGGAAATATGGTTTGGATGTATAATTGTAAGTGTACAATCTCTAATATTTGCGTTGCGTCCGCATCAGCTAACAGTTATGCCAAGCCATGGCAGCGAGCTTGGCGTTGCACCTTGGACTAACTGTGAGCTCTTTGAAGAACTTAAGTGAGGACTCGGTGGGAGGCAAAAACAACGCCAAGACTCCAGAGTCCATATCACTCCGTCTAAGGGCGCTGTGGGCCGCTTTGTTTCTGGATAGGTCTGTGTATATGCCAACCTATTATCTGCATTGGGCTCACTTCTCATAGGATAACAACTTCTCTACTGGGTCGAAATTGCGTAACGCCATCGCATCGTGTTAAAGTTCCAGCCTTCCTCGAGGTTGCAAGATCGCTACCAAGTCTGGATGAGATTGTCTTTGATCACCACTGCAGGCTATGGTTCCTGCATGACCAACACATGGAACTAATGTATTACTCACCCACTCCGCCCTATCGTATGTTGAGTATTGCTAACAAGTTGGGAGATATTCTTTCGACTTTGACGCGATCGACGGTACAAAGCGTCTTCAAATGCTCATCGAAGCCAGAGAACAACTCTTTTCTTTCTATCGCTCGCTGGAGGAACCATTGCAGTTCCACAAAGCCAAGAGTCCACCGACTGTCATCTTTCTTCACATGTCATACAACATGTCACAAATGTTGATACATCGCCCATACCTGAATGAGCCACCACAGAGTAACGCACATCGCCTGTCCATCAGGTCAATAGCCACCGCAGCCTCTGCCATGGTTCGCCTGATTCGAGCCTACGAAAAGATTCAATCTCTCGACAAAGTCCCACCTTTCGTGGTGCACAGCATCCATACGGCCGCCATCACACTCCTCTTGACTGCGACCTCAACAAGCCCCGCAATTCGCAGTCAGTCCATAAACCGTTTCCGGGTGTGCTTACTAGCATTAGAAGCCATGAGAATGAGGTGGCCAAGAGCGAAACAAGCAGTTTTGAGTTTGCAACAGCTCGCTCAACGTTGGCGGATAGCCATCGCGTTACCAATGCGATCCAGCAACCCTCTAGATCCCCGAGGCTCAGAAGTTGCTAGAAGTGGTCATGATGTATCAAAAACCAGTGATAGAACTTGGCATCAACGTGAGGCCGTTCAGACCACTCCTGCATTCGGCCAAGACACTGGTCTGGTGCTTTCTTATTCTGCCAATTCCGTCCCGGAGTTTGTTAACAGTCTTAATCTTTCTGGCCAGAGCTCCACTTGGGTGTCACTTGACAATACCGACTTTGTTGACGATTTTTCTGACTGGTCAAACTTGGACGTTGCTGGCATATTTGGCGATCAAATTATTGGAAATGGTGCACAGAATGTCTTCGGGGACTTCTTTTTGGACACTACATCTAGCTAGCAAATAGAGGACCGCTATTTAACCAAGCCTGGTAACTTGGGTTTGTTTTGCAAGCTATATTCCCGAAACTTAAATTATAACACATGTAGTATTCTATTCAACCCCAACGCTCCATTTTCCCAGGCTGTCCAACTTTATTTGTGGTCTTCGATTCCAAAACTGGTTGATTTGCGATTGCTGTAGGTTCAAAGACGATGCTGCGAATACTCCTGATACCACGACTTGATTTAGCCTTTCTCTTTTCTCAGCACTTTCTACCGTAGCTGTGGAATCCATTTCAAAGCAATGCTTTATGGATGGAATAAAGGTTCTTTGTGAGATCAAGTTGGTGTTTGGATCTGCCTCGATAAGAAACCCTTTGCTGCTCGCTCGCGGCAGGATGGCCCCTCCAAGTTTGGGGTTTGAGCAGATTTCAGGACTGGTCAAATCTATGATGCCGCTTGCTCCAGCTTTTGACATCACCAAAGTACTTGACTGGGCTTTCCACGACCCAACACAGGAATCTTTTGATGGAGGGGCGGGTAGTTGAGGGACATGATATCCAGCTGAGGTGAGTGCCGAGATTGCAAAGGATGCATCGATGACCTGAACATTTGTGCACCACGGTACGTCCGCTGACGACTCCAGGCCTCGTACTTCATGTACCCGGATGTGCCAGCCCGGGAAGTGTTGCACCACTGGGATGAGAGTGGTCTCGATCTCGAGGTTAAGGTAGGTGAACGGTTTCCACACACTCACAAGCGATGGCACTGTCTCCTGTATCCCCTGCCCCATATCGAGGGACAAGGGTTCAATTCGAACGTTGAATGGCTTCCATCGGACTCTCCATGTCTCGCCATCATCAAGACTCAAGCTCAATGTGCTATCGGGGGCCATTTGATGCAAGGATGGACCGGTTGGTACGCTAAAGGCAAACGCCGACGAGTACGCAAGCTTTCCATACTTGGCTTCTCTCGCTTTGAAACTTTTTGTAGTCATTTGGCCTGAAGATAAGAGGAAATGGTGCTCTGGAGAAGTGCATAGAATGTGTCTCGGGGGCCAGTTAACTTGTACCAGGCTCAACGCCTGTGCCTGTAGCTGTTTGGGGATAGTGAGAGCTGCCATTGGATGTGGTTGCTCCTCGCAAGTCCAAAATGGATGAGATTCAGGGACGCCAAGAACCACAAAGCTCTTGAGGCACCAATACACGGATTGCGGCGAGTTATAGTCCTCGGAGAGGTACATGTTGGGATACGTAAAGCCAATAGTTAGAGTGCCGTCTGAGTTGAATATGTCCGGATGCTTGGCCCACCATCGAAGATGTCGCAAAAGCATTCCCTTGACGGATCCAGGGCTATCCATTGGGGCGGGGAGTTGAATATCTGCCAGGGCAACGGCGGCCCAGAAGGCAGCAAAGGCAAACCTGTATGTCATGCTGCGTCCGTGAGGGATTGCGGCGCCTGCAAGGGGTCAGATGACGTCCTATGAGAACATACGTAGAGGTAGCAATGTCCATACCATTGACATCAAAATATCGCCAAAATCGGGTCGAAAATTCCCTTGCCTGCTGGCGATACCGCTCGACCCTCTCCTCATCTCCCTGTGCGAAACATACGTAGAGTAGCTGAGCAAATTGTATTGCAAAGCTGCCAGAGTAGTAGTCGGCCTGCTTCCTTTCGTCTCCCCACACTCCATCCGAGGACCATCCTTCTCCAAGATAGAACTGATCGAGAAGAGCAAAATCTTGGTCGGTTCTTTGTTTGAGCTCACTGTGTGGTACCCCAAGTACCTTGGATAAGGCCAGATTGACGAGGACTCGGAACCAACGCCAATTGTTCTTTGGCATGGCGTGGTGGTTGATCTGTAAAAGCCAGTTCTTGAGGTTCTCCCCCGAGTCTTCACTCAGCATGGCTGTCACGTCTTCTGGTGCGGTCAGAAGTGCAAAGGCAATCGACTCCATCTCAACCATGCGCTGGTCGCAAGGTCCAACATCGCCCCAAAAATCGGCACTTCCGGGATCAACACCAGCCTGAAGCCCACTCAGCCATGATCCGAAACCTAAAGCACCCGAAGTTGAATTCTCAAGAATAGCAGTGATCGCCCAAAGAGGACGTGCAAATCCCTCAAGTTGGGCGGCAACATCGTCAAAAGCCGCAAAGGTGGATGGTCTGATCTTCACACGGGCACCGGTCGATGACCTGTATGGAATAAGTGGTTGTATCAACGCTGTAGCTGCGCGAGAGAGGTCGGAGCGAGATTGGAACGGATTATCCGTAAAGCCAGTAAGTCCAGCCATGAGGGAAGGGATGGTAGAACCAATCGGTTGATCTAGTCTATTCGAGCAAGACGATGAATGCTCAAGACAATAATGATAATTATATCGGAAAGCGGGGTTCCAGGTTAAAAACAATATCTAACAACTGGATAAGTAACACTCTCGGCCACTTGCTGAACCGGGTCTCGGCGAAGGGGAAAGATCGCTTGTGGTGTCAAGACGAAGAACATCTGTGGTGACTTTGCGTCTGGGTCGCTGCGGAAATCGGGACGAGGATAACGGGCTCGGGGTAACATCAGCTCCGACCAATAGAATCCATAAACAGGTGTGAAGATATTTATCCGGTGAATATATCACGGACAACGGCCTAATCTTGGCCCGAGGCGAGCTTGCTCTGGCCATTTGACCAGGAAATGACGAAACGATCCACCGACAAATGCCCATGTGAAAACATTGGGATAAAGTGAACAATCCGCCCCTTCAATTTAGCCAATTTCCATAAAGTCCACCGGCATTTATTTACGCCATTTTTTGCCGCCTTAAAGCTGGGTTTGGATCCAAACTCGCAAGCACAAGCGCCCAATTCAAAATGGACCCAGCCATCACCACGAACCCTGCTTCGTCCAATCCAAGCATAGCATCAGAATCTGTACAACAAGATCCGAGCCCAAATCGGAGTCGAACTGCGAGTGATACATCCTGGTCTGATGATGCAAGCCGCCCTGAAGCATATCATCCGGATCTTCGAATCGAACCTCTCCGGGGCATGCTCTCGGAGTTGTTTAGCGAAAACATAGCCGCCAAGGTTTGCAGAACCGGTACCAAGTATTTGCATACAAACAGTGGCTCAACTGGGTTACTAGAAATACCGCATGCGTTCCCAGAAATAGTGCCACAAGAAGGGCCGTCAGCTGGTCAATGGGAGCTACGCGACGCGGATTTCTGGACCTGTGGCTTCTTTCCCGGGACATTATACTGTCTCTTGGAAAGAAGCATAAAGTATCCGCATATGATGGGACTGGACGGCCCAGAGCCAAAGCAGAGTCTTGTCAAGCTTCGCGCACAGCTTGAATCGCTAAGCAAAACCTGGTCATGGCCGCTGCACGGCATGGCAAAACGAACCGACACACATGACATCGGCTTCATCATAATGCCTGCTCTAAGAAGAGAATGGGAATTGACAGGCGATGAGCGGAGCCTGCAGTCCATTGTTCAAGCAGCTAGAAGCTTGGCTACGAGATACGTTCCTTCAGCCGGAGCTATCCGCAGCTGGGATTGTCTCCTAAAGAAAGACATTACGGTTACAGACATGAACGAGAATCTCCTCGTCATAATCGACAGTCTGTGCAACCTAGATTTGTTATTCTACGCGTCGGCACACAGCGGAGATGGCACTCTCAGCTCAGTGGCAGCTAGCCATGCTCGCACCATGCTCAAGACGCACTTGCGGCCAGAGTCATCGACAAGTCTTACCAAAGGTAGATATAGAGGTCAGCTTTATTCCACCTGCCACGTTGCAAACCTCGACCCAGCTTCCGGTGCACTCCAGTGGCGTCGCACTGCCCAGGGATATTCCGACGATTCGACTTGGGCTCGGGGTCAAGCCTGGGCCATCCTTGGCTATGCGCAGACTTATATGTGGACTAAGGATAGAGACTTTTTAGAGGCGTCTTGCGGCGCCGCTGAGTATTTCCTTCAACGACTGGAGAATTCTCCGCAAAGTGTGGAGATGGCCACACGCTCCCAAGATCCGGACTGCGATAAAGAGCTCAACAAATCCTTCCAAAGGGGAAGATTTGCTCCTCTTTGGGATTTTGATGCACCAGTCAACGATGAAAACCCGCTCCGGGATTCTTCTGCGGGTGCTATTGCAGCCAATGGCATGCTTATCCTCTCTCAGGCATTGAATGGGATGCATGATACGAAGCTGGCGAGGCGATTCCGGGAGGCCGCCCTCAATATCGCGCACGACGTCCTTGACGTGAGTTTGGCAGAGGAGACTGCACAGTTCTGTAACAGTGGAAATGACGTTCTTGCAATTGAGGATGTCAAACCTGGACGTACCTTTGAGGCTTTGCTTAAGAATGGGACTGCAAACAACAACGAAAATGCACGGAGGCGGTACTTTGATCATGGTTTGGTATACGGCGACTATTACATGGTGGAGTTTGGCAATCGTCTGTTGGACCTCGGGTTAATATAGATATAAGAGACTCAGACACCCAACCCCAAGGCTGGGTTCCGTGATTTTGCTTGTTGAAACAACGTTGTCATTGTGATTAAGGTAAATCCATCACCTAATATAGCTAAGCGATTCACCAACCTCCTCCCTCATATTCTGCCACAAACATCCCATCATCATAACTAATGATTCGATCCATATCTGCAAATTGTTGATCAAGCAACATTTGCGATATTGCCGTCAAGTCGCCGGTACTCACACTGCCTCTGTGATATGAGTCAGGCTGAATCAGGTTGGGAATATTATTCGATTGCATGGGAGCTGTGATCTGAACTGGATACGAGCTGGGCGTCATCGTAGTCGCTATGCTTTGAGGTGCAAACATGACCTGCTGAGTGCTCGTTCGCGAATTGTTGGGATTCCCTGCATCTCCATTTGAGAACATCATTGTCGATTTCAGTCCGTCGTGTGATGACTGATGGGCTGGAAGCACACTTTGGCCATTGCTTTGGTTTAGTGTCGAAGCACCAATCGGCGACTGCGAGTTCGTATTTGAATGCTTTACCTCTGTCGTATAACCAGGCACATTAATGGAAAACGACTCATCCTGGGCGCATCGAGAGTGTAGCTCAATCAGGAATGAAGCGTATTTCGCAGCCAGATTGTTTTGGAGGCATTGGGCGTCGTGGGTTCCTGCCCACCGTCTCGACATGGCTTTGAGGCTCTCAACCAGGAGCCAAAACTCGGCTGTGAGGCCCACCACGGAGCCGTTTCGCCAATGCAAAAGAAGCACCCGGGCAGCAATGTAAACGCAGAATGAAAATTGGCTGCTCAGTATGGATTTCGAAGGAGCGTGGTTTAGATAACGGTCTGTAATGGTTGCAATCTCGATCGCGGCAGCCTGACAAGTGTCAATGCTGCAGAGGCTTGGCAAGCGAGTCTTGAAAGGCCAGTCTGGAGGGGGAAATGCAATTGGTTGGTGGAGAAGGATCATAGATGCGTTGTGTATAACGTGTGCAAGAGTTAGGTTGGGGTCCATCCGTGATGGCGAGTCTTGTGCGGTATTGACTTTCCATTTCTGCGGGAGGAGCATTTTCCAGTGAACAAGGCGGAGGTCAAGCTCCTTAAATCGAGTGAGCCAATCGCTGAGGTCTTTCTGGTCTCTGATATTGACCTTCTGTTGTAAAAAGTAACTTGTCACACGGCTTAAGGACTCGGTTGCCTCGATGCAATAAGCGAAAGCTCCAATGGTTGACATGTCAACATGCGTCCCCACGACGTCCGGTGACGTGCCCGCCTCGGAAGGAGTCTGCCCTTCGTCCTCGCCAGTTGCCTGCAGTGGAACAGGATGTGTTGGGAAAAAGCCAATGGGGTTTCCAATGCGGCCGGCTGACTTATCCCAGATGCCAAAGTATGGTGTGGTCACGGGAGTTTCCTTGCGCCAAGTGATTCCATCACAAGGCAGGCGACGATTGACATCGTCCGAAGTGAGACTCGTATTCCAACCCATACTCACAGAGCAGAAACGGTCAAGGGAAAAGACGTTCCAGAACACCCTTCGTCGTTCCTCAGCTTCTGTCCAGTCCTTCGCTGGGGATAAGGACTTGTAGGGTTGTGAGAAGGACGGCCGCTCAGCTTCGTCGTGCTCTACTGTGAGTTGAAGGTACTCGGCCATACGGGTAAGCGATCCAACCAATGGCCAAGCTTGAGACGCCTGCCCGTTTCCAATCTAGTAGGTGTGTCAGTCTTCAATGCGAGATCTTTTGGTGGGGAGACGTACATCATTGAAGGCAATGATGAGGAGTGCTTGTAAATTTTCCACCGAGAGATGCTTCATAGCTTTCGATACTACCCAGTCTCGGTAGTTCTCTGAATCTTCTGCTGACCGTAGAAGAGAGTTGGATATCTCTTCGTCTTCAATATATCTCGAGGCGACAAGTATCATCGATTTCAGGACAAGATGTAGCTTGCCCCGTTCCTCGTCATCGTCCAACCGTCTTCGGAAGCGACCTTCGTGAATTATTGGGATCCAGGGATGCACATGATTGAAGTATGACTTAAGTGCCTCTTCCAACTCTCTTTCGTCGGCTGAATGGGAGATGTCGTTGACAAGAATACGTTGTTCACAGGCTCGATCGTCATTGAGCCTGCGTCTCTTCGCTGAAGCTCCATTTTGTTCCCGTCGAGGGGTGGATTGCGCAGGAGAAGACGGCGTGGCATTGAACTTCTGAAGTTCGGTAGCAAGTAACGATAAAATACTACGAGTGCTTGGATCCTGGGCCTGTTGGCGGGGCGCTTCTGCTTCCGCTTGGAGGCAATCAAGCGAAGTCTGCTGTCTCGCAACAGACCTTTCTAGGGTGTCTACACGGGGCTAGTTGTCAGATAGGGAAGAACACAGGAGGATATCAAAATGCTTACCGAGTCTTCTATGGAGATTCTCTATTGCTCCAGTCTTCATTCCTGGCTTTCCCCTCTTCGCTTCATAGACGCAATCGCTTCCGGTCTTGCGACAATGCTGGCAGCTGGGAGCTTCTCTCGAGCAGCGAAGCTTGCGCCTTCGACATGAGTTGCAAGCGAGGCCCCCCTCCGGAATTCGGGACATGTCATCGGCATAAGCGGATTGGTCTGGACTGTCCTCTTCCATTATGCGATTACCGTTCAAACAAGTGTCGAATAGCAATCGTAATCGCAATCGCAATACGGGCGGAGTGTGTTGAAATATGGGTCCGAGTCTCCTCATCCGCACCGCGCTGGAATTACCCCGAAAAGCCGAGACCCCGCAAACCGTCTCATATTACCGCGGATAACATGACTGGGGTGCCTCGATTAGGTCGAGAATACTGTAGTTTTTTTTTAATGTCAGTAGGTAATTTGTTTCTCCCTCCACCCGGCTGTGGGAAGAATCGTATCTGGATTCTTGTTGTCCCATAAACCCAAGACCTTTTTTTTCCCTTGCGTTGTCATCAAATTTGTGTACTCAACGTTATGTTCCTTAAAATCATACAGTATTCTCATGTACACAAACAAAAGTATTCAAAATCCTCACGCTTTATTCCTGATGTCGCAAAGTGGGAAAATGGGCGTCCAGCAGATCCAAATATATATTGTGGAGGCATGAAGCTGCGAAATTGGAGTCTCCTCGCCCCTCCTATTTGAATATCTACCTGCTCATCTTGTTGTCTTTACTGATCCCTCAAAACCAATGGAATCCCATTAACAACCTGAACTGCTGCAAATTGGTACTCGCAGTACCTTAATCTGTCTTACGTACACTGCAAGCTATCCTATGAATTTGCGTAGAAACATATTTAGATCTCTGTAGGGTAGTCTGCGTTCATAGAGCAGGCCGTCAGCTGCTTCATCAACTTGTTTGCAACGAACTAGTTGCACTAACCGGAGACGCCACCCACAAGCGGTCTACTCAAAAGAGGCTCGAGGAACGAAGTTAAAAACGAAAATCGGCTAACGCAACTTGAGCAAATTTTGGTATATTGAGCTAACATGAAATTTGAATGAAGTAGTATATCAGCAGCTTGGTCATCGTGACGTCATCCCAAGCTCAACTGTGAGGTGTGATTGGCATGTCGAGACTATGAAAACTTAATAGCAACCCGGGCGGAGTCATGTTACTGGCACTCATTTTCCAAAAAGCCCACGGTTAGAACCATCGTGGTCGGTTATTTGATTTCAAGGAATACAGAATCTACAGTACTCTCTCTCCTCCTGAATCTTGAACATGGCGACGTGCCCGGTTCGGTTCCAATTTTCCTGCAACAACATCCCCGAAGGCCTGAATTTTACTCACGAGATTCCAAAGAGTCTTGTCAGACCTCTATCCCATTCCCGGCAAAATGATTCATACAACTATCGTTTCCAATGTGCAGTGCTGCCTTTTTTGAAAACATACGAACCGGCTTGTCGTGCAGCGTCCAATCCGTTTTGCGGAATTTGCGGATCGCCCATCGCGACCGTTCTGCAGACGCCTATGTCCTTTCTTTACAACGAGGGTGATCCCTACGTTGGGGTTCTTGTCAGCAGCGTGTGTGGCAAAGGCGAATGCGAAAGCCGGACGTGACAAGCCATCCAGGAGGAGATGCTTGAAATTGGGGCAGGCGCCGAGGCTCGGGTGGAAGCTATAGTTTGTGCGGTGTGCGGAAAGATGGAAGGGATCAAGAAGTGCGGGCGGTGTAAGGCTGTGGCATACTGTGGCAAAGACCACCAGAAGGCAGACTGGAAAATGCACAGAAGCACGTGTGTATCCCGGGACAAAGAAAGTAACTGAGCAAGGGAGTCACCATCCAAGAGTCGCCTTGTAACATTGAGAGGTATAGCTTAGTACAGGATAGTAGGGCGAAAGGGATAAATAAATTGAACTATCGCCAAGGTGCAAAGCACGACATTAGACAGAGTGGCCTTCGAACTTGGGGGAACGAGGACAACGAACATCGACGGCGAGGCGGTTCCCACACAAGGCAACCCGTATAGCTTGTACATGCAACCATGGCGGTGTAGATAAATGGCAGGCATCAAACTCCTGTCCAAGGTGCAAGAGAGACTCTGTGGGCAACAGGGTGCCAGACAACATAGTGGCAGGCGAGGAGAGGCCAGAGCAGCTGTATATCCAGTACCGCAGGGTTCAATGTGTTGAAATACACAAGATTTCTCAGTAGATCGTAGTGTATATGCGTTTGGCCTTAAATATTCATAAACAACGATTGATGTACGAGCTAGATGATGCAGATTTCCTCCTCTTCACGACCACTAAAACAGGTCTCAGCGCCTTCAAAATTTCCACCTTCAAATACAAACATCCCCAAATTGTACTGATTCATATCTGTCGCTAAACCGCTCACGATGATTATTATTTGTTGTTTCCCATTTTTTATTATGGCTCTGAATTCATCTATAATCTAGGATAGCCCTGCCTCAGTTACAAGCTGAGTCCTAATACCGCATTTGGGATATATAAATTTCAACCAAACTATCTACTTATGAGCGTATACGCCCATATGACCCTCCTGTTATACCGTCCAATCTCCGTCGTTCAATCCGTAGTGCCTGCCTGCCAAATGCGGGCTCTGCAGGCGACTTCTTCCCAACCTAATGCTAGTTATGCTTCTAGATGCTTAATAAAGTCGCCATATCTACCTCGTCATTTGAGGCAGCATCGTTTAACCATGGATAATCAAATATGCTAGAGTCCACCCCTTCATCCTGTTGCAGAAGCAAAGTAGCCACATCCATCCCAACATTACCGGAGGTAGTGTCTTCAAGCCACGAGGCATTAAAACCGCCTGAGTCTACCCCTTCTCGTGTAACCTCGTGTAGTGACCCGGGGGACTTGGTGGCCGTATTAGGTTTTGCCAGGGGTCGAGAGTCTAGGCCGATGGATTTCTCGATAGGGGAGTCGAGAAGTCTTCCATGAAGTGTAAGCTGGAAAATATACTGGAATCTTTCTTCGTAAGTCCGCCCTGGGGAGGTAGTCCGCGCGGCCTTGAGCGAATCTAATTCTGTTAGCTACTTGGACTGATGTCGGAATACTACCATTTAAAATGTAACTCACTGGCAACGTGATGGCCTATGAAATTCATCACATTAGAATGAGGTTCCAAATTTGTAAATTGAGAGAAACAACGAACCTATGGGCCAGTATTGGCCGACTTGACCTAGGAATAAGACTAAGAGGTCGAGATGCTCCGATGTTCGGGATGAGGGGGATTCGGGATATGGTCCCGAAGCGTGATCCATAGTGAGGACGGAGCCGGCGAGAAATATTATGTATGAACACATGGGATCAACTGCGTTGAAGTAGTCGGGGTTCCAATTTTGAACTACCTGAACCACCTCGTTTGCTTTAGACAAGGTGCGATCCCATAGCCCTTGGAGCTCAGGTTGTCCCTTAGACGGGCTCCTTGTATTCACCTCGGCGGCGGAAATTGCAAGCAGTAAACATGCGCTATATATTGCGGCAGGATCAGTATAATTCTTTTTTCAGTGCAGAGAAATGGTTGGGAGGTCCGAAAAGACTTACCATTGCCAAACAAGCAACATGTCCAATCGATGTCGATGCTCAACCTCCGTCTCTTCAGTAGCAAAATTGCGAATAGGATTGAAGACCCAGGGGGGCAAGGAGAATGTTGTAGCTGCGCAGTCGCTCTCAAGTTCTTGCAACCGTGTCCGCCATGCTAGGCCTTGGCCGCGTCGTGAAAGATGGCGGAGGTTGGTGACGGATCTCATCAGAAAGCAGGCGCCGAGATACAGGTTTCTGCTACGGCAAGACTGGTTGGAAAATATCATACTCATGGATTCCCAGTGCTTCATGCCGGATAATGGGACACACTGTCGATCGACGGCTCGGAGTTCCCGCTCTTTTGGCATTTTCGCCGTCTCGGAGCTGGGTATCATGGGCAGAGTCATGCGACCCTCCGCATTTGTAGCAAAAGCATGCGATATTGCTCTGGGGCTCCTGTGGTTAGCTAAGGATTCCAACTGGTTCGTACGCTTCCCTCTGGATCAGACTTACGCGACAGCACTGCAACATGTATCAAGCGAGTAGATGCACCACCACACGCTCCGCCATTCTTCTGCATCGTAATCCAACGCCGTCCCATCGCCAAATGCTTCGGGGGAAGTATCACTTTCACCACCGTCGCTACCGCCTCTCACATCGTCGGAACCGTCGTCGTTCTCCTTCTCGAAGCATAGGGTGTGATAGAGATCGGCCATGCGTGAAAGCCTTGCAATCTCAGCTACCGTGTCCCAGGTAACAGATGCAGACATATCGTGCACGCATAAAAGGATGGACGCTTTGATCTCGTCCATGCTGAGGCGTTCGCCCCGGTAAAGGGTCGCGGCGCGCTTGGCAAAATCTCCAGGGGAAAGTGTGCCATTGACGAATCCTGGCTTAGCAAAGCGCGACGAGACGGCGTAAATGGCCATTTTGAGCCGCGGAGGTATCTCCAAGATGCCATATTTCGGCTGCCCAGGCGGGGATTTTCGGAGGAGAGGGTAAACCGGCTGGATATGCTGTATGTACAGGTCGAGTCTGTGGCAAACCGTTAGACCATGTCGTGATGTGGGCATGATCAACTTACAAGTATTCTTCCACCTCAGGGCTCAATTTTGGGCTGTCAAAAGTAGCGTCGCTCAGCATACGACCCGGAGAAAAGCCCAAAGATGGAAAATTTAGTGAGGGCATCTCAAAGTCGCCATTTACTAGAGTTGATTCCATGGGGTAGCCGACGAACCGGCTGAGATCCGATACAGCTCGCTCGTTGTCCATCAGACGATGCAGAAAAGGAGGAAGGGAAGACTCCTGGCCGACAAGGATGGATGTTTGAGCATCTGACAACCAGGAAAGACTGGCCTCCGGCGTGGGTCTGCTTGCCGACAAGAATCGTTTGGGAGGACCTAAACGCAAGGAACGAGTCAGTTGGAGGCGCCAACAAGAAGAGTCACGGCGTCGATTTACCGGGCTTCCTCCTCAATTTGCTGTAGGTGCAATCCAAGTGCCGGAGTTGACAAGTCCTACAAGCCGGATGCCCCATGTCACCTAGGGAAACGGCCCGAGAGTCAGCAAGCGAAACGGGAATGGCGGTGACGAGTGCGAGCAAGGGGCCACACATTTTGTTTTCTTGCTGAAGCATCGAGAGTGGGTTAGCCGTCGGGTCCACATTAATCAATCTGCTTCATATCTGCTTCGCAATGACGTACATTCTGCAATGATCACAAACCCGCAACTTGGCCGGTTTAGCTGTCTGAGATCTCGTAGATAGGCTGGCCGCCGGAGAGCCAGCCTCGGCGTGGGAGGGACCTAGCGGCCGAGAGGACATGGCTGTAATGTTCGAGGGAGTACGCGTAAATCGTAAATACCCAACGTTTACGGACTTCGGGCGTGATTTCGATGGCAGGGCGCTGTAGATGTTAAAATCGACCATGTACAACCCTGAGACTCGGGAGAACGGGATGAATTGAAATGAGGACCAGATCCAATCCTGGAGCGAGGACATGCTTAGTTATACTAGCAGATCAAGTGGCAGATTCCCCTTGCTCCGGCATAGCCGCTGTGCGGGGTCACTGGGGTCCGCGAGACCGCCATTCGTTGCATATTTGCCGCTTGCACTGGGTTCAACACCATGCTATATGGGGAACAGTGTAGGTGTTACCCGTCGCCCGCAATGGAATACCCCAGACTCATCTACCCCAGATTCCATCAGGTGTGGCTTATCTGCCTCTAGAGAGTCTGACAAGATTGAGAGCAGCGATATCTGGGAGGAGATATGACTCGGAACGCGGTCTATCTGATGCAATACTGAACACCCCCATTTGAAGATACTACTGCGTACATCAGCCTTCGCGTATCTTTTCACCAACGCATTCTTCCTGCCCAATCTGGGGACGCGATTTAAACCGTACGAGAAGCCCCGTCTGCTTGGCGAACCAATACGTCTTCACTTGCCACTCCGGCTTGCTCGATGCCCACTCCAGGTCGAACGCCCGCAGGATCTGAGGCACAAACTTCCCGACCTCCATAATTGAAATGTTCTTCCCGATGCACGTTCTAGCGCCCGCTCCGAACTAGTGACTGCGTGAGTATTTTTGAACTTCCCGTTGCTCACTGAGCGCGGCTGGCCCTCTCACGGGCAGCAGGTGATGGGCAGGGGATGGATTCATTGCACTTACAGTTAGCAGGTTGCGATCCATCTGCTTAATTTTCTCCTCGTCGCAAATCCAGCGCTCTGGCCGAAATTGGTCTGCATCGTCGCCAAAGATGTCGCGATTGCGATGGATGACGGCCGCGTTCACGCCCACGACGGTTCCCGCTGGGAGATGTGTTCCACACAAGTTAGTTCCGCCCTGCGGGACTACTCGTTCGAGAGGATACGAGACGCCGGGATGCATGCGCAATGCCTCCTTCATGCAGAGCTGCCTATTTATTCGCATCAGCAGCTATACAGGCAATCGCTTCAGTGGTGAGACATACAGATATTCCAGCTGGAGGCTCTCGGCATACGTGATGACAGGCGAGAGTTTGCCTAATTTGTGAGCCTCGTCAATCTCCCGTTGGAGAGTCTGATACACGCGCTTGTCTTGGATTATATAGTAGAAGACGGCTCGTAGGGAAATAGCAGTGGTATCGCTTCCAGCCAACCTGTGCGGAAATCGTAAGCAAAACTGGTCTTGATCGCAATTAGGGTGTACCTGTATACAAGTTATTCATCAAGTGATTCATGAGCTCTCGAGTGCCCATTTGGACTCCAGTAGAGAGCTGCTGCTTTCGGAAGTATGCTAAAAAATCGGCCCTGTCGGCAGCGGGGGCTTTGGAGTCGTAGTCCTCGATTTGCTCCAAGACCATCTACCCAAATATTTAGTCATTTGCACTCCTGTCACTCTGAAACGCCATAAAGACATGTTTGCTGTCACTTACATCTGTGACGATGGTGATAGGGTCTTTGAACCCTGGTAGCACCTTGGCCAGGAACCGTCTGAATGTGATGTTGCCGAGAAGGCCCCAATGAAGCGACGGCACTTGTCCGACCAGGCCAGCGTACCAGAGACCCGTCTCGATCCCATGGATGACATCGTTGACGTCTTTGCGATTTTTCATGAATCCAAAGCGCCGAGAAAAGGTAATAGCTCCAATAACATCAAATGCATACCATTGAACCCAGGCTCCTAGATCGATGACTTGCCCTTCTAGTTCCTGCATGCTGGTGATGAACATCTCGCTGCAGGGGTCAACCAGATACTCCAATGTTCGAATGGAGGTCATGGAGAATTTCTGAGCCACCGGGCGCTTTAGCGCTTTGTGCTCCTCTGGATCCATCGTGGAAAACAAGCTGTGCATCAACTTGTCATCGTGTATCACGGCGAGAGTGTTGTAGAATGCAGACTACAAGTGACAAAGCCGTTCCATGTGGTTAATAAATTATTTTTTGGGCTTTATAAAGATTTGGCAAGGCCACGGACATACCTTGACGAACTTGCTGCCGATGGCGTAGATGGAAGGGATAACGGCAGGGTCGGATATATCGACCACATTCGGTGCAGTCCGTACAATCGGGCCGTACTTGTCGTGAAGTTTTCGGTAATTTATGTGAGCATTCCCCTCCCATACAAACCCAACGCGCCAAAACGGATTAAACTTGGCAATCCACGGGCCTGGGATCTCCCGCAAGCCTCGTTGAAGAGCGGTGCTAATTAAACTGACGATACAGCACCCCGCAAGGGCAAGCCCAAGAAACATGAGTTTTTCGTTATTCAGTTCCATGTTGGTGGTGTAGGCAGGTTAGATTCCTTTGTTATAATATCCAGAGATCTTAGGGCGATGCTCGGACTGAAGCTAAGTGAGTGGTAAATAACATCTCTGTTGGCAGGATTATTTATGATTCTGGATAAGTGACATGTATCCGGGGAAACGATTAGCGCCTTCTTTCCCCAATTTCCCCAGAAAATGCCACCGGCTTCTCGTTCCGTCCGGATATCCGACGATGCAAGTGCGGAGGCATCACCAGACCAGAACTCGGACGAACCCATCGGAGGTTCTTCCGCCACCACCGGGAGGACCGTTCGGATCGACACGGCGGATTCCTCCAACGCCTCCAGACAATATGGAGTCATAAATTATGAGTCCTGCCGAGGAATAGATCTTCAAATTGAATAAGTAAACTGTATCATTTGGAATAGTCATCACTCAAAGCACACGCATAGAATTTCTTCATCAACAGCAACCATGACAACTATGCGACTCCCCGAGATCCACAACAACCCGTCCAAGATCCAGCTTGAACGCGTTGCCCATGTGTACTTTGAGCACGTCGATCTTGAGGCATTCGACAAATTTGCCAATGACTTCGGACTGGTCGAGGCATACCGCGGCGAGGATGTGATCCTCTACCGCGGCTATGGCAAAGACCCGTACTGCTACGTCGCTCGAAAGTCCAAAACTGGAACCCAGAGTTTCCAAGGAGGAGCCTTTGTGGCCCAAACACAAGATGATTTTGACAAAGCTGCCGCCATGGATGGGGCGGTCCTTTCGGACTTGTCGCCATTCCCAGGAGGCGGGCGCAAAGTCAGCTTGCCAACGCCCCTGGGGTTCACATTCCACATTGTGTACGGCCAGGAAGAGAGGCCCGTGGCAGAGAGTGTTCCCTCTGCACAAGTCGAAAGCCTAGGGCCTCTCAATGGCAGCTTAACCAAGCGCAGAATGGGTGAGTGTTGCGGGTCTTACTGCATCCAACATGTTTGTTAACCATGCGCTTCCAGGTCAGTTTCAACGTTTTCATCCTGGCCCTGCTATGATCCATAAACTCGGTCACTTTGGATACATTGTGGGCAGCTGGGACGAGGAGACCCATTGGTACACAGAAAACTTCAACTTTGTCCCCTCTGACGTCCAGCATGATCCAACCAACGAAGACGTGGATGTGATTACCTTTCTCCATCTGGACTTGGGAGAGCGATTCTCTGACCATCACTCTTTGTTTCTCTCCCGCGCACCGCCCGGGGCCCACGACCGTATGCACCACACCTCCTTCGAGGTGGAGGATTTTGATACGCAGCTACTTAGCCACCACTGGCTCGGGGACAGAGGTTACAAGTCCGTGTGGGGAGTGGGCAGACATATTTTGGGATCGCAGATCTTCGATTACTGGAGAGATCCCAGTGGGTTTACGATTGAACACTACGCCGACGGGGATCTTGTGAACATCCACGTTCCCACAAAGCGAACCAAGGCAGGGCCGTTGTCGGTCTGGGGTCCAGAGCTGCCTGCAGATATGACCGAGGATGGAACAAAAGGGACCGCTGCCTGAGATCAATACGGTCTTGCAATTTGAGCTTGGCTGCTGTGCAATTTGTAACTAGGAATCACCACCGGATACTTTACATAAAATACTATACACGTCTACACTCATAGAATTTTTTCTTTCCGTGCTCGACTACGCTCATGAGAAGTAGCACAAAATGCCATGAGCCCACAGATACCGAGAGAGAAGGTTGAGTACAACCGAATTGTGGTGGCAATGAATGAACCAGTGTCAACCTACACCAGCTCCACACGTACGAAGTGCATCTCTCGGCAATCTGAGTGGTCCCGGAGGAACTCTGCAGCAGCCGCAACGAACTAGTAGAAGTTCCTCCGGTAGCTTAATCCGCGAGCCAATCAGCGGGGCCATATATGACAGTCCGGAGCATCTAAGACCGGGGTATCCTGGGCAGTAGTGCATGTGGAGAAACGTTGGAGACGGCGCATTCTTTAGCGGCGGCGTACGTTGCAGGGAACCTCGTGATCCCGGAATTCCCAACCTCGGAACAATCCTTGGATAGGCCGCACTCAGCAGATGAAGCTGGTTTGGTACGGTAAACGGGCTTAAGTATAGGAGAAAACTTGTGCTCTTACCATAACCGGTCAGGATCTAAATCGAATAAGCCACCACTTAGAAGTCACAACATCTCGAGTTGCTTCTTATCCCACCTTTTTGAACATGACTTCTTGGAACCATTTGATACGATTTGTTGGAAGCAATGGCAATATCTATTTTGCCTCGCCGCCGAATCTGGAGAGTGTGTCGAAATTAATTGGCCTTACAGTTGATGGGTATACGTCCTTTCCGGAGTTTCTGAAGGGTGATGGGAGCTCGCCAGTTGTAGTCCAGAAGGTAAGTGTGAATTTCTCACTCAAGAAGTGGAAAATGATATTCTTCAGCATGATGTCACAACTTTTCCTGACTGAAATTTGTAGCTTCTTGCTCCAGTGCCCTACGAGGGAGATATTATCTGTATCGGTGTCAACTATCGCGAGCATGCCGCGGAGGCCGAGGTATGTGAACAAGGAGACTTGTATGTGTTGCGGAAGAACATGGTGTTGATGATGTGGTAGCTCACCGTCCCCCTTGATCCGGTTATGTGGTACAAGCCGAAAAGGGCTCTTAATGGACCGGGCGACATCCTCATTCCGAAAGCGGCAGCCAATAGCTTTCTCGACTTCGAGGTAAGGATCGCTACCCGTTGTTTTTATAAATGGAAATGACTTTAAAATTTCAACGAATAATACCCTGACATACCACAGGGAGAGCTCACCATCGTTTTGTCCAAGGACACGAGGGATGTTAGTGCCGAAGAGGCAGCCGACTACATCCTTGGATATACCGTTGGCAACGATCTGACTGCCCGAATGTTCCAAGACCCGAAGCGTGCAGGGGGCCAGTTTACACGCTGCAAAGCTTTTGATGGATTCGCCCCTCTGGGACCAGTCTTGACGAGTGCAGCTACTTTTGGCAGCTTAGATGACAAACGAATTCTCACCAAAGTCAACGGGAAGGTGTTCCAGGACAGTGCCATCGATTTGATCCACGGCCCATCAACTTTGATCAGTTTTCTTTCACAGGGTAAGTTTTCTAGAAGTAAGCGGCTTCGTAGACATTCTTGCTAACTGTTTCGGAATTGAGGAACAACATTGCCTGCAGGTACCGTGGTTATGACAGGGTCTCCGCCAGGCATCGGGTATTTTCAGACTCCCAAGTATAGCTTGAAGAACGAAGATACCGTTGAGATTGAAATCGCGTCAATGACCTTAACAAATAAGATGATTTTTGAGTAGAGATATATACACTGGGACATAGGAACGCCTACAGATATTTTCTGCAGCAACAATAGACTTTTCTACTTTATCAATCAGAGCTTCGTTACTGAATTGGATAATTTGGCGTTGTTAAAAAACCAATCTATGGAGCAAAGAGAAGCCTATATACGGGTGGCCTTTTCAACAGAACCTAGGCTGGAAATTGCGCTTTGCCGTCCGGAATGTGACATAGCTTCCCATATTGCGAAACCAAAATGCGGTAGCAACGGCGAGTAACTTTTGGCAATTTCAAAGCTACTATATCCTACGCCCTACTAATCTAACATAACGTCTTGCATATTAAGGGAGATTTGAAGTTGCTGAATCTGATTCTTTGAATGGATAGTCAGTCTTTCTGCTTCCCACAAGTACATTCGTGGTTGCTAAGGTCGCAGGTGAGAGCTTTAGACCATTTGCGAGTTTTTTCTAGGTTTACTCAATTTCATCGGATGTTGCAAGGTATGTAGTAGCTGCAAATAATAAGAGCACACATTTAACACTACACGCGATACCAAAAATACAATGGTATATGTAGTAAGATGTCACGAGAGCTAAGGTATGTAAACAGAACTGACATATAAACAATAACAACACAAATTGAATGCAAAATACAGTAATACGTCAAAGAAATCCACCCGAGGGAGGGTTTGCCTCGCCTCCCATCCCTTCAACTAGTTATTCCCCAACCTGTCCGAGACCTGCCGCAGCTGTTCCAAGAGCTGAGCCGGCGTCTGTGCCTGCGAAAAGATTATGGAATCCTGGCGCATCAACACGTAATTCGTTGTTGCTTGGAACCTCCCCTTGAAAGCAGCTTGGTCGTATAATGGAAGCAGACGCAGTCCAGCTCCGGCCAGGTGCTCGGCTGTGCCCGGCATTAGTTTAGTTGTTGACAACGCTGACTTCAAGTCGCAGGTCGACGGCTCATCTTTGCACAGCTCAAAGATCTCATCTGATAGGATGTAAGGAGGTAGGTTCGCCTTCCTGAGTGCAATTTTGATATCAGAGGCTTCCTGCTCAGTGGGGTGTTGTAAGACCAGAAGTGTAAGAATGGCTGTTGACTTCCAGAATGCGTGGTCGGAAAGGAAGACAGAGCCGTCAGCGGCCTTGAAGCATACTTGGGCAGCTTTCAAACCTCCACCTTGGTTCTCCAGGAAGAAGCCGCCGTCTACTCCAAGAAACCCGGTCGAGCCAAGAAGGCGATTCCGGATGAGCGAGTCTCGGAGAGATGGCACAAATTCCAGAATGCTGCTCACCATATTTATCATGGTGATAAACGCGGAAGACTTGCTCAACAAGATGTTGCCATTTTCCGCGGTCATCATGCTTGCATCGTCGACTCCCTTTCGGCGCTCTCGTGACCAGCAGTCCAACAGGCTCTCTTGGTTTAGCACCAGTTGTTTGCGTGCTTTTTGGTTGCAGAGCAGTGCCAAACGCCATGATAAGGCAAATGCGTCCTGTACGCCGTTGGCGATTCCCTGAGCTCCGAAAGGAGGGAAGACGTGGGCCGCGTCGCCGATCAAAATGATGTTGTTGTGAAACCATTTGTTAACCACCTTCTGTGTGAAGCTATTTTGCGTAAGAAATCCAGTTAAATATTGATTTCTAAATCCGAGTACTCACTTGGCTGGGGCGCACCGCAAAACTTCAATACAGTCCCATGGAAATTGAACCGGGCTTTTTACAGTCATGCCCTTGCGGCTTGGGATTTTGTCAACATGTCTCTTCGCTTGGCATGTGTATGCTGGAAAGAAATTACTCACGAAAACCTCGATGCGGGGAGTACCAGGTGCGGCATTAACTGTTCTTCCAAATGCTTCTCGAGATCGTCCGGCACGTAATTTGGAGGTAGTTCATATTCATATCTGGCGAGCAGCTGGTTAATTCCACAGATACTCGTCATTTTTCAGGACAGGAGTTTTAAAGAACCTCCAGTATTTGCCCTCCTTCGGGCCGAAACGCCCTGTTGCGACAGGCATTGTTGGGTGATTACAAAAGCTGGCAGTGATATTAGTCCCATTGATTCTCTTGACTATGGATCCGTTACAGGGAATTGTACTCACTGCCAACCACCGGGCCAAAAGATGTCCCATAGCTCCTCCGGTTGGTAGCCAATTTTCCACAGCGGGAAACTCGGGTGCGATGTAGGCGTAGGCAGGTTGATGCGTACATTTGCCGCAATCCAGGTCGCCTCGTATTTGTACCTGTTTTCCAGTTAGCGCTCTCCTAGAATTAGACAGGGATTCCCGCACAATCCTGTCACCTGCTCAATGCCTTTGTCTTCGAGGTATTCCTTGCGAACGATTCCACGCTTGCCGTCGGCACCAACTAGGTAGGACCCTTTGAGCTCTGCTGTTGACCCGTCTTTGCGTTTGTAGGTAGCTTGCACGCCGGTTCCGAGTTCATTAATACCCGTTACTGTGCATTCCAATCTCAGTTCGGCGTATTTAGAGGCCTCAACGAGTGCCCGGAACTCTTTTTCTGCTGGTGCGTTAGCAATTCAACCGCCACCCAAGTGTTGTTTGAGGTGGTACCTAATCTTGGCTGAAGAATAACTGAAGCAGGGGGCAATGCCTGTGCGCCCCAGTCGCGTTCCTGATCAATGGTGAGAAACGGTTTGGAAGTGAAAGTCTCCCGGTGAAAGTGAATCTCGGTCAGAACTGTGAGACACGTATTAGCCAAGAGAATATTCCGCTAATGATGTCGTGCTAGCCAACTCACTCTGCCCGATTTCCTTCATTTTAGCGTGATTGACACCAAGGAGTTCGACGATGCGGTGGACTTCCCCGGCGAGCGCAATTGCACGCGGGTCTTCACTAATCTCCAGTTCTTTCTCCAGGATGATGGACTACACAATCGTTAACCACAGAAGCCTAATTTCCAAGGAGTATGAAGTCCGACCTTGATATTCTGATGATTGAGTGCGAGTGCGAGAGCCAGACCTGACGGCCCTGCACCAACAATGATGACATCTGTTTCTTCCATCTTCAGTTATGACACTCGGGTAAGGAAGTAAGTCAATGAACCAAATAATTGATGCCCTCTGGTAGCGTTTATTGCTCTGTATGGCCTCTTAACAAGTTGAGACGCCATCATGTTCCTCTTTTGTTTTCATAGCCCTCGCCTCCCTCGTGATACATTTTGGTGTAGTCCAAGCAACACGCGAGCTGCCTCTCTGATCCTCCGTAAACGTGCCACCCTTCACGGAGAGATTTCGCTTCCACCGAGCAAGGATTCGTAGCGTCCGGGAGAGCTGCAGCTTGCGGGGAAGCTCGGAGGAACTAGACATAGGAATGGTTTAGGCTCGGCGGAACTAAAACAGCCCTAAGCCGAGGTTTCGACCCACGCGGACTCTAGACGGCCCCGTACCTTTTCGCAATTGCTCCATTTCACATTGCTCCTCAGATGGTGGCGTATGATACGGAAATTTGAGTAGTGACAGATTCACCGGACCGCGGTAGTAGGACGCCAGCCGCTGAGAATACCGAGGCCGGACTTGACGGCTTTGGCGAAATTGTCCAGTGAGAAACGACAAATTTAAAGACTTGACCTTGGCTGATTAGTCGCAGAAATAAATACGAAAAGAAGTCGTTTAACGCCGCCCAAGAAGCCCAAACGACAGGACAAGACAGTACGACGCCTCACTTCAAGCAATTCCCATCGCGGTCCAGCTGGTTTCTCTTACCTCCTTGAACATGAGCGTCTGGGCACATTCCAGCCCTCACCTCACGCGCCTTGATGCGTTCAGAAGACATGTGAACATCAAATATGACCTAGCGTTGGAAAATTACGCCCAGCTACACCAATGGTCTGTTCGAAGCCTCGAGTTGTTTTACCAAGAGCTGTGGCTTTTCTGCGGTCTGGTCACCTCCCAACCTCCATCTCAAGTCGCCATTGGTATCGAAAAGATGTGGCCTAGGCCGCAGTGGTTCCCAGATGCCCGGATGAATTTCACAGAGAATTTGCTGTCCGTTGGAATGAGTGCACACCCGGACAAGATAGCAGTATCGGCTTGTCGAGAGGCTGGGACTCAGTGGAAACATTTGACATGGAGGGAGTTGCAGCTTGAGGTTGCTCGATACGCGAGCGCTTTACAGCATGCTGACGTGAAGGAAGGGGACCGCGTGGCAAGTAAGTAAAAGATCACCGTCCTCGCCACCGCCGTATTTTCCGTGCTCAAGCTCACGATAATAGCCGTGGCTACAAACTCCTTGGAAACGTTGTTGATCTTACTTGCTGCTGGTACTATTGGCGCCATCTTCTCCTCTACCTCTCCAGACATGGGGACGAAGGGCATTGTCGAGAGGTACACACAAGTTCAGCCGAAGATTCTCTTCGTTGATTCCGAGATCCTATATGGAGGAAAGAAGCGCGATTTGCGGGGGAAAATGCAGTCTTCTGTCGAGAAATTGAGAAAAGGGGTCAAGCAGCTTGCGAATGTTGTCGTCATCAATGGACCGCTCTGGGATGATGACAAGCTGTAAGTTTTTATGCCATGCCTGGTTGCACGCATCCCAAAGCGAAGACTGACCCTAATGAAACAGGCTCCCACTTGATAGCTTTCTTCGCGTTCCTACAGAACCGCTCGAGTTCACGCAAGTAGGGTTTGACCATCCTATCTACATTCTCTATTCGTGGGTATATCTGGTCACCTCAGTAGATGAGAAGTAGCTAACAACGTCAGGTCTGGTACCACGGGTCCACCGAAGTGTAAGTAGTAGATTCCCTTGTCATCAAAGTGGACGATTATTCATCTTCTGCTAAAGTCAACTGACCGACTAACACCATACTAGGCATCTGTCACTCTGGAGGTGGAGCGCTGCTCAAGCACAAGATTGACCTCGCCTTGGGATTGGACCTCGGAATAGACTCGACATATTACCAGTATACTACGGTAAGTTGTCATCATTCTATTCTAAGTTGAATAATTCTCACACCAACATCGCATAGACTGGGTGGATGATGTGGAATCTATTGGTTGGCGCTCTCAGTGTCGGGTCAAGAATAATTCTATATGATGGGAACCCGATGGAGCCTTCTCCATCTTTCCAGCTCCGTTTGCTAGAGGAGCAAGGGTATGTCGCCCCTAAGACTACTTGTTCTGTTCATCTGATGCCGTTGGCATATAGCTAATCACAAGTGTGTAAAGGGTTACGCACTGGGGTACCAGCCCAAAGTTTCTCAACGCAATCATGCACGACCTCAAAGGCTCACTGCCTCCACTAACGAGCTTACAAGCCACTCTTACGTCTGGGTCAGCACTTTCTACCGAGACGTTCGAATGGTTCTATAATACTTTTCCAAAACGGGTGGCGCTCCAAAACGGCTCTGGCGGGACAGATATGCTTGGTGGTAGTGAGTAACCAGGCTGGACTGTCGTAGTGTATTTGCTAATATTTATGCGCAGTCGTCGGCGGCAACAACTTAGTACCCATAAGTGGGAGTGAGCTTGCAGTTGCCACTCTAGGGATGGATGTACAGATATGGGACGAAAGCGGTCAAAATGTCGACGCAACAGGAGAAAGAGGAGAGCTTGTCATCACAACACCTTTCCCGAGCATGCCTGTGACCTTCTGGGGCGACGGTGGCCTTGAAAAGTACCGCAAGGCGTATTTTGATACGTTTCCAGGGATTTGGTGCCATGGTGACTTTATGTCGCAGAATCCCAAGACAAAAGGCTACCTCATCCACGGTCGTAGTGATGGCGTCCTCAACCCAGGAGGTAAGAACCCATTTCCCATCGTCCCAGTGACAGTATACTAACAAACCTCTAGGCGTCCGGTTTGGCTCAGCTGAGATATATAATGTTGTCGAGAAGTTCGCCGAACTTGAGGATTTTGTCGCCGTCGGGCAGAGACGCCCAATTGACAAGGATGAGCAAGTGCTACTTTTCGTCAAAATGAGAAATGATGCCATCCTCGGGACACCACTGCTCTCCAAGATCCGCGACGCCATAAGGACAATGCTCAGTCCCAGACACGTTCCATCGCACATTTTCCAGGTTCAAAACCTTCCTTACACAATGAATGGTAAAAGAATCGAGAATGCCATCAAGAGCGTGGTTTGCGGGGAGAAAGTGAAGAACACTGGTTCCATTATAAACCCAGAGTGTTTAAAGGAGTACGAGCAGTATGCAAAGTTGCCAGCATGTGGTTTGGTAGCTAAGCTATAGGGCAAACGCATTCCGGGGATGTAGATGGGTCGGATTCGGTTGCTCTGCAGCCATTTCCCATAGCGACAGCATATTTTCAAGTAGATTTAGATTTAGGTAAGGACTAATCGAGTATCATGGTTTGCTACGACAGATTTCCAATGCAAATTCTCACAACCGGGCACTTCCCTCGCACGCCACACCTCCACAACAAGGTCATGTGCGGTAGAGAACATTCCAATACCACTACTCTGCGCATTGTTGAGCAGCCATATTGATAATTCCTCCCTGAGTTCGACACTGTTCGTCTCGCAACCCGCAATGAAAGCAGGCCAGCATATCCCGGGTGACGTATCGCCGTACTCTTGCTTCTGCGATTCGTAACGAAACAACGATTTCGCTGTCTTTTCAACGTAGTGTTGAAGCACCAGCAAGCCCATGTCGCACACATGGCGATAGAAATAGATGATGAGTGCAGAGTGAAGTGCTTCAGTCAAGTCAAATAGCAGCGCTGTCCGGCGTTCGACCTCTTCTTCTCCGCCTTGCCTGCTGGATGTTGAGCTTGGGGCGTCTTGACCTTGGCCTTGTCCTTTGAGAAGATGCGGATTTTCGAAAGACATGATTGTGTCATCTAGCTCTTTAATCCTCAATGACATCTGAGGAGTCAAGCCAGAAGTATATCTGAGCTCAGCCACTTCATTTCCGAGAGCTGTAGTCTGCCAGACCAGATGAAAGAGATTTTGCGGGATACCGTAGATCTTTTCCAGCATACTGGCGACCTCGATGTCATGTGGCAAGATTGATGTACTCGTCTCGGGCGCTGGTTTGTCTCCTTGTGGAAATGGTAGGTCTTTTCTGGGATCGTGTTTCCACATTGAGGAATAACGACCGGCTTCATTCCCCGACCCAGCATCCATCGGATTGCATGGATTTCTGATGTTCGAGCTGGGATGTGCGCATTCTTCAAATACTCTCATATAGACGTACATGGCATGCAGGATGATGACCTTCTTGGACTTTTGCGCCTTCTGAATGCCATATGCATTTATCAAGCGGCCGGCATCAAGAAGAAAATATCTTGCTTCTTGCATCTCTCCTGCGAAAACCTACCGAAAGGTTAGTATTAGTGGAAAGAATGTCGGGAAAGACTTACGCAAGCCGTCACTAGGTTGAGAAAAGCCATGAGCATTTCCTTGTACTTGGCCACTTTAGTGGTCCCAGACCTCTTTTGAAGACATGCTTGGAGCCGCTTCTTTGCAAGTCGGAAGCATTGGCTTCCAAGCACTGCCAAATCTTCACCAGCTCCAGGAATCGCAGCCAGTTTGTGGTGTAGGTGGTAGGCGCTTGTTGACAGGACAGACAAAAGGACAGAGACTCTCGCATCATTTGATCGTCCCATCATGTACAGATCGCTGAAAGCTGCCAGGGCGCATTTTAGATGCAGCAATACCCACGGTGGTTTGTCGTGCTTCAGAGGTGTGAGACTGTTGACAAGGTCCATTTCATAATTTCTCAACAGAAGCTGAACTTGGTTTATCGAAAGCGACATTGTGCCGTCTAGGACGATTTCTAGCTGTGATGGCTCTTTCAGAAATGTTGCGTTGACAAGCCCCGCTGCATGGGACGATTCTCCCTCGGGTTTTGAGTCGTCTGGGTGCTGGACAGCTTCCTCTGATTCTCCTTCAATCTCATTTTGATTGATGTCTGACAGAGTTGCACCTGGAAGCCCAACCAAGTCCTCAAAGAAGGGGTACGTCGGCCATTGCGGAGACAGCGGTTCAAATAAATCCCCCAAGTCTCCCCAGTTGTCCGGAGCCGAATTAGACGAACTGAGGAGGTCTTCTCCATTTGGGTATAACGTGGAAGAAAGAATGGACCCCAAATCCGAGGGTTGAAGCGTCGCGTTTGTGTCACTTCTTGACGCAGCTGGCGTTGATGGTGACTCCGGCAGCGAGTATGACGCTGGGGCATGAAATGCACCAAATGGTCCAACTTTGACAGAAGCACTCCGACCTCTAAGACCCTGAGACGCTTCATCGACTTGGCTGAGGATACTATCTATGTTTTGCTCCGCTACTTGGTTTAGCAAAATGCCACACTCGTGGACACGCTGTTCATCTAGTCCGGACGTCAGTCTACAGCTTGGAGGAAATGCATCGTGTTGACTTACCACTAAAAATACAATGCCGTCGAAGCACATTTCCCGTTGAATGAGCATCTTGTCGGTCACCATTATCCTGGCGAGACAGCCATATCAAGTCATTGGACGTCTCCTGCGCCTTGCAGTCCAAGTTGGAGCGCCGACAAGCAGCGCATCGTGGAATCTGGCGACTGCATCGAATCTTTCGAGCTCGACAGGCCCCACACGCCTTCTTGCGCAGCTCCATGTCTCTCAAACAGCCATGGGGCCTGGCCAGTCGCGACAAGTCGGTAGGTATGTTGCGATGCGGTTTCTGGAGTCGCTGCTAGACTCGGCCTCCAACTTCCTCTTGTGTCTATTTATCTTCATCGAGCAGCTTATCAATCCCCGCACTTGGGCTACCTCGTGTCCCCCTCAACGCCTATTACCGGCCTTATCCACCGTTGCAGCCATCCGAATCAGGTAATCTTATCCCATCGTGAAGCGCTAGGTCGTTTAGAACCAAGCTTGCATCGTACATGCCGACTACGAGCATCACACTGCCGAATCAGGGCCCCGCCATTCCATGTGTTGGTTTCCCACTGGCTTAAGAAGCCATTGGTGTTCTTCCCTCGAGACAAGACAGACGCCCTATCAATCCCCCATCCTTCACAACGCATTATCACCGCTTCTCAAGTGCACAAGACCTGGTCATGGGACAACGAGAGCCGACAAAAAAGGAAGTCCTCCTGCTTGGAAGCGGGGGAGTGGGCACCATCGGCGCCCTAAATCTTGAAGTCGGAGGACAAGCGAGTGTAACGGCGGTGCTAAGGTCGAATTTCAAGGCTGTTACAGACAACGGCTTCAGCATCACATCCTGCGATCACGGAAACGTCACTGGATGGAGGCCTTCTCATAGTATGTACTATTCCGGAAGATATTGGCATCTGCTCACAATCTCGGCAGTCGTTGGCCGCGTGCCAACCACCACCGAACAACAATTTGATTACATTGTCGTGACCACCAAAAACGTCCCCGATTGCCCTCCTACTGTCACAGACTTGATAGGCCCTGCCGTGATCCCTGGTCGTACAGTAATTGTACTGATACAAAACGGGCTCAACATTGAAACTCCAATTTTTGAGAGATTTCCCGACAATATTTGCCTGTCGGGCGTCAGCATGATCGGCTCCCATGAGGTCGCCCATGGCGTCATCGAGCATGAATACCCTGATGAACTGATTCTAGGCGCATTTCACAATCCTCGCTTAGATGAGAAAACAGAAGAAGCAGCTGCCAGGGAATTCATTGAGATGTACTCTGCCGGCGGGAAGACGGCGTGTACATTTGCCGAAAACGTACCCTACAGCCGATGGCGCAAGCTTATCTACAACGCATGCTTGAACTCTACATGCGCTGTAACCGGCTTGGACACAGGACGCATCAGAATGGCCAATGACACTGTCGCGGCCTTGGTCAGACCGGCTATGGAGGAGATTCGAGCGGCCGCAGCCGCCGCTGGTGTGCAATTGGAAGCAGACATCTGCGATACAATGATTAATCTGGACCCGTTGACAATGTATCTGTCACCAAGTATGCTGGTTGATGTCCAGAAGGTACGATGCTCTTTTCAACGATTGGTCGATGTATCTAACGTAGCGCAGGGCCATTTCACTGAGGTAGAAAACCTCGTCGGAGAGCCGCTACGGACAGGCACGGCATTGGGAGTAGCTATGCCGACTCTGTCGGTTCTTTACAGCTTGCTTAAGGCGATGCAGTGGCGCACAATGGAGAAAAGAGGACTGGTCACTATCCCGCCGAGGACGGAAAGTTAACGGGCTATGCAAAAAACACTTGTTCATAGTGCAGGTTTATTTGTAAAGAAGTGATTACTCTCAAATAGCCCGTTCGATGTGAATGCCCTTGAACATTTACTGTTACCCGCCATCAGCTACCTTGAAACTCATTCACTTCAACGATTGTATTCAATCTAGTCTGGCTCAACTACATCATCTCGATCCTACACGAATATCTCTCGCGGTACCACTAAGACTCTCCCCAACCTCGTACGGCTACTCGATTTTCTACAATCTCATTGTTGGTAATTTCAAGATACTTTTCTTGCTGTTCAAGGACTTCCTTGACCCGCTTGACATCCGTCTGTTTGCCGGCTCGATGGTTCTCTTCCATTTCATTGAGCATGCTCTTCAAACGTTCCTGTAAAACTTCGACCCTGTACTTTGTCCATTGGTAGTACAGCTCCGATGGCTCTGAAATGGGCCTGATCGAAGTAAGAACGGAATCGTCCTTGATGATAGGGTCACGAGGCCTGAATGATGTGATCATGGTTATGCGCTCTCTACCGCCAAGTGCGGCCAATGCCTGATGCTGGACGTATCTGCCCTGAAGAACAACGGCAGATCCCTAGATATTTATTAGTATATGGAAGCTATGGCGAGATGGATGCTTACCATTTGCGGTCCACGGACTTTGAGAATCTCTCCGGTGCCGCTTTTGAGCGCGGTTTCGCCGCCCATCATCTCCGAAGCGTCACTCATCATAACGACACATACGAAAGGATAGCTATCGTAGTGCCATTTGGTCACGGATAGGTTTTCGTCGCCCGTCTTCTCTACCTCTGAGCCATCTTTGACTGGGCCCTGGACAGCGATGTTGATATTGCCAATTTCGTACTCGATGTTGGGGATGAGGTCTATGCCGGCGATCTTCGAGATGATGGACAAGGTCTGTGGGTTCTTCCAAGCTTGGGTCATGAAGGGCGCATATCTTGATTAATATTTAATTAAGAGCATCTTGGCATTAGGCAAGGCATCAACTCACTTTGGGCAGTGGCCTCGCAACTGGCAGGCTGCAAATTCCGTGCTGTACAGACAATTCTTCCAGACTTCGGTCGTGAAAATCTCATCTCTCATGATACCAATCGCCTCTTCGCTGAAGAGAGGGAAGGGGTGCGAGCAGGCAACGTGGGAGATGCCAGCATCTTCGGGTAAGGCAACGTCAGCCAAAGACAATATCCTGGGCTCCTCTGAGAATGACAGGTGCTTTTCCGGGCTGAAGATGGCCTGCGCTGCGGGTCGCGAGGGCCTCAGTTGATCTTTGAGAATGGGCTTCAACTTCAGCTGCGGAACCGGAATGGGAGAAAGGACTTCGGTCATTGTGGCTGTCGATATATGCTGGTAGAAGAAAGGTTGGATAAACAGTTTTGGGCAGTGTGCTCCTGAGAATTGCAGCTCGGTGGTGGCTCTATCCTCAAAATTTGCGCTCACATTTCTTAATATATATACATTATCAGCATAGGAAGCTATCATATGTCACCACAGCGTAGGGCAAGTATATTCCGCTGAGTGTGTGCCATTGTCGACCAGCTGTCATCCTGTAAGCTTCTGGGTGGATACCAACAAGTGATAGTTGGATGTACTATGAACCCAGGAACTTTCACATAGCTGGATATCACTAGACGGCACATGACTGCCTTGGAATGGTTGTCGTGGATGATAACCGAGTGCCGAGGATCCCACCACCACCCAAAAGCCAAGAACCAAGCGAGCACGTCGAGGTCGGAAACTGCCTGCCTTCGGGTCGCGATCGCCCCGTGCTATCTAGTGTTTGATAAGCGTGTATCTTGATAGGCTGCACTAAGGCCAGTGGCTTCTCGCCAATGTGACAAGATTACGCAACTGTTCGGCCGACACCTGCCAGAATGGGACCGCTATCTGTGCTATTACTGCGAGACTAACTGAATACAAGCCATTTAAGCGGCCACGTGAGCCTCATTTCTGCATAGATGCTGAATTTACTGCCTCGTTATTCTTGTCTCAGATTCTAAGCAGTGGTATTCCCGTTACAACTTGGGTTCTGCTATATTTCTCTGTCGATTTTACGCCCCAATTTCTTGTAATCATCTGCCACTCGGCAGTCCAACCCCGCAATCTAACCAAAAATGAATGGGCATCCACCGCCGATTGACCCCTCCTACGAACCGTCAGTCTCTATCGCCTCACTTTCAGCAAATGCGCCAATCGAAGATATCCTCACCATCCTCGAAAGAGATGGCGGTGTGATTCTGACTGATTTCGTGTCGCTGGAGGACCTGGAAGCTATTGATGTTGACGTCAAAGCGCATCAGAAGGACGTTAAATCGACTGAGAACAGTGCGTTGCACATCATCCCCAAGGAAACGCTCGCAGTTCCAGGATTAGTGGGCAAATCACCCACTGTGGCCAAGATCTGCGAGTTCCCAGTACTGGATAATCTCCGAACATCTATTCTCAAGGATAGTTTCAGCGTTATCCGAGAGGACTTTGTCGAGGATAACTCTATTGACCCACTTTTGAGTATCAGCATCACCCTTCACATCGGATACGGCGCTCCGAGACAGAGGCTACACAGAGATGACAACGTCCATGGCATCCGGCATGGGGACAAGTTCGACCTCTCCAAAGCAAGTCAATTCGCCTGCTTGATTGCGGGGACCAAGACGACTCGCCAGAATGGTGCGACCATGTTCATCCCGGGGTCTCACAAGTGGGACGACAACCGAACTCCACAGCTCAATGAGATATGCTTTGCTGGTAAGTCACAGTGCGCAGTTATCCTCTGAACATAAATAGCTAAGTCGTATCAAATTTTCAGAAATGGAGCAAGGGTCTGCCCTCATATTTCTAGCCTCTTGTTATCACGGCGGTGGACATAACTCTGTCCCAGGCGAGGTACGCAAGATCCATGGGCTGTTCTTTGTGAGGGGGACTATGCGCACGGAGGAGAATCAATTCTTGGCGATCCCACACAGCAAAGCACTCACAATGAGCGACAAAATGCTGTCCCTTCTTGGATATAAGAAACCTTCTACTGTGTTGGGTATTGTGGAGAATAATGACCCGGCACTGAACTTGCCAGCCGTTCTGAAAATGGCGAGTGCGTGATGAAGTAATGGCTCCGGAATAGTGCACAAACGATAGTTTATTGGAGTCAATGTATCACACAAATTATCTAATCTCTATCTATCTAGATGGCTCGCAGGATGGTTCGTTATGGGGGATACCAGGCAGGACTGCTGGATATACACGACCGAGCGTAGCCTCGAATGATGAGAAGCTCATCCCAAGCTCGTCCCCGACACAAACTATTTTGTGCACTGCACTGAACATAACGTACTCGCAATGTTTGTTCATCAACTCCTCAAGACCACTACCACCAACGAGTATTTTTCCACCCCTCATGACGAGCTGGATGTTTTCTTCCGGGCCATAAACTGCTGCCGCAAAGGGATCACTCAGCTTCTTGCCCGAGAACACGGCGATATCAGCCAACTTTCCCACCTCGAGCGAGCCTAATTCGTGTTCAAACCCAGCCACCTTGGCGGCATTGATGGTCATCATTTCCCACAGCGTCTTGGAATCTAGAACCTGGCCAAAACTGAGCTTAGTTGCCGAGAAGCCACAAGCCGCTTCTCTTCCCATTGTCGCAGATCCAGATGGCAGCCAATCCGTACCGAGGGCCACTGTGATGCCGGCCTTTAGAAGATAAGAAACGTCGAGGGTTTTCCCGTAGAGGAATATGTTGCTCCGAGGAGACCAAACAACCATGGCCTTGCGCGCAGCCACAAGATCAAAATCGGTTTCTGAAAGCCCGAGGGCATGAACAAGAGCGAAGTTGGGTGACACGATATCAGTGCTGAGACCGCCACCCTTTGGAAGAGGTACAACGTCATATCGCTCGTCGGATAGACACTGGAATTCGTTCCTGGCTTCGACATCGACTCCTTCCGCAACGTGTGCGATGTATCGGTGAAGTTTCGCGGCTTTTTGTCCATCTATCGCTTTTGGCCCATAATCACAGTCCCCAGACCGAATAATACCTTCGACGTCGTCAAGGGGAAAGACAGCCCAGGTATCTGCTGTCTCACCAAGACCATCTTCCAATCCCTGGGCAAAGTCAAGGTTTCGAGCAAGACCCGGGGCCATATGCCCGCCGACAATGGAAGTAGTCCCGGAGAAGAGGTGCCTCAATTCACCCCATTTGGTAGCATCCGACATGCTTCCGTTGACTTCAACAGGCTGGATCGCGTGTCCTCGTAGGCCGACTCTCCAGTCGTGGCGATGATTGTAGAGTTCGCCTGTGCTGTGAAGCGGGTTCACCGTCGAGTATTCGATGTGCTCATGCGTATTGATAAATCCAGGCGATATGACGGAGTCCCGGCACTCGATGATCGTCGCATGCTGATCAAGCTCGCAGGTGGCAGGATCGTGGCCAACGCGCATGATTTTCCCCGATTGGATTAAGACGCATCCATTTAAGACGGGGCCGTCGGCCGTCAAAAGCGTACCTCGGAGAAGGATGTGACCAGAATGGCCATTTGACAGGATGTTGCAGCCACCATCAACATCTGTATCAGCGTCGGGATCTGGGGTGCGAAAGTACATAAAGAGACCCAAAAACATCAATACCGATGATACTAATAGTGTCCTCCGGCTAACTGCCAAGCGACGAGAGGATAGAAGGCGCATAGTCGCGAGATGGACAGAAAGGCGGCTCTCGATGTTGACGTAGTGACACGTATCGGGACAGCGTCTGTCCTTGAGCGATATTATTCCAAGAAAGACAGACTAGACTTCCATAGTCAAGCAGAACAGATAAGCCAAAGCTCAATAGGCAGAATATACTTCCGTGGGCGTCACGATAGATTGTGAACGCCTGTATGCGCTGAGTTGAGTTGAACTTCCACGCGCAGCCGAGTCCTCAATCAAAACCCTGGAGAGATTGTTTCAGGGGTCGAGTGGGTCCTCGACGAAATAGGCCAATGAATGACCACAATAGCATCAGGTCCTCATTTTTGGGTTAGTTTTGTCCCTGGCAACTTACCCTATACTCTTTCTTTCCTCCTGCCAGTGTATTGACGGAATTGTATCCTAGTATCAAGCTGTGAGCTCGTTTTGTATTTTATCTTCTGTATTATCGCATCAATATTTAAACAATCAAGAGAGGACCGGGGCGAGACCGAAGCGGCGCACCTGCCAAACCAACCAGGTCTCATTCGGAGTAAGAAAAAAAGTGAAAACTTGGACAACTGGAAACATGCGAGCTTGAGTTAGTACTCTCATATCATAGTCTTTGAACCCGGGGTTACCGAAATACAGCTGAGATGTGATGTCAGCCCAGAGAGGGGCGGACGGGAACGTCTTTGTCAGAGTGGGATTTAACAGTGTTCCAGCCCTGGAACGAATACCAGTAAAATGGAAGCTCAACACGACCATGGCCATCGTGGATACCAATATTAATTCTCCTCAATATTTTTATCCACTTTGCTACCAGTAAAAAGTAATGATATTTAGGCTAGTAAATAAGAAGATCAGGATGTTGAATTACGTATATAATCTCTAGACCTATGGTGTACAAGGCTAATCATTTAATTCCCAAAGTGCGGTCACGTTGCAAATACCTACCGCCTGTCCGAGGTTAAGCTGACATACTATGTAATCGTCTGCCCATCGACTACTACCCTGAGAAGACAGGGGGCAATATTGATTACCAATGCTCGACCATGTCAGATCGGGGATGAGACTGTTAGGCCCTGTAAAGAGCCAAGGATAATGCTGGTTGGTCTCACAGGATGGCAACAACACTATGTATCACCGCTCTCGACCCTAGCTAGGCTTGATGATACATCATAATACAGATAACCGGCATCAAATGCGTCGTGGCTGAAAGAGCAAGTTTCATAGGCTGGCAGAAGTAATCGTTTTCACGGCTGACTCGCCTTAGCTCAAAGAAGAAAGAGGGAACAAGAATAAGACCAGCAAAGTCCGCGATGTTTCCATACGACGGATCGGCAGACGTATTAGGAAGGCACGAAAACCAGCACGACAGGGGTTATTGAATTAGCTCATTCCTTCTGCCTCTACCAGTATAGCGCAAAACCCCCCGCAATGGGATGGCTTGGTTTAGCCACATGTCATGCAACGAGAGAATCCTTTGGACGGCATTGAAACATTACGAGAGTCTTGGCTCTAAAACGGGCCGATCAACGTTGCATGCGCAGGATCGTATGGACAAAGTCATAAAGGAGCTGATCTTCCGCTGGGTATTTGATTCTTTTGTCTTATTGTCATTGACGCACGATCACTTTAAGCTTGTCACCATGCAAGGCACTCTCATCAACATCGCCGCTGTTCTCAGCGCTTTGAGCGCCGTTCAGGGTCACCCTCTCACTGTTACTCAGCGCGATGTCATCTCAGCCTTGCCACGGTCCGCCGACGATATCGACATCAAGTTCCAGCCAATTCTTGACTTTGACTCGGACGGATGCTACGTCACAGCCGCCATTTCTCCTGATGGGACCACCAATCCTGGCCGTGGCGCAACTGGCACGCCTCAGGGCCAGTGTCGCGATCCTCCCCAGCTGGAGAACAGCAATGCGTATTCGCGCAGACGCTGCAACAACGGCTACTGTGCCATCATGTACGAACACTACTTTGAGAAGGACCAGGCGCTGGGCGGGAGCTTTCTCGGCGGCCATCGTCATGACTGGGAGAACATTGTTGTTTTCACCCAGGGTGATAACGTCGTTCGTGTTGCGCCCTCGTGCCACGGCGGCTACGACCAAGCCAGCAACTCATTCCCGCTGACGGGCTCTCGACCGTACATTGTCTACCACAAGGATGGGGCCAGCACGCACTGTTTCCGCTTCGCCAACAACAATGACATTGCCAGTCCCGAGAACCCCAAGGGCTGGTTTACTCCGCCGCTGATTAGCTGGGACCGTTGGTCTGACGTGAACCTTCGCAATAAGATGCTTTCCACGTGGAATGGCGGTGTCGGGCCCAAGTTGGATGACGAGTTTGGCAATTCTCTCCAGGCTGCTGCTGGTAATGGTGTTCCTGGGTTTGATCCCTTCGTTGATAACTGAGTGGCGTCCGGTTGGTTGAGGAGGATGTGAACAGAGTAGGATCGACTCATCGTACTACAATTGATGTTTTAGCCATTGGCTGTACATTTCGTACGGAACAGAGAGTCACAGTGTCATAATATTCCCGGTGTTTCTAAAGTTCCTTTCGCAAGCCAGATGTGGAGAGGAACATTTAGGACGAAATGCTTGGTAGGAAATAAAAGTTAGCTTCCGGTGGTACTACCGGCTGCAAACCAACTTCCAGTAGTGAGCCCAGTTGTGTTTATTTTACTGCCGCTCCGTTGACCTTAAATTATTTCATAGGTGAGTATGGAGGATGATGACCAGCCGCAGCCATTACTATGGAGAAATTAGCCAGGGCGGTCACCGAGGTTTTCGCTAATGCAATGCATCGCGGCGATCCGGAATCGTGCCGCCCATTGGCAATGCAGAGTTGCATCATGTGCGGGAATGGCTCCAGCACCAGCCAAGTTTTATCAGACAATCCCCGGACGTGCCGGGAGATCCATGCCGAATTTGTTCCATGATAGTCCGATCTGTTTTCAGCTGCCAAGAGTCTCGCTAATGATTGCCCGATCTTGCCGAATTCGTCGGATCGTTACTTACGGCAATAGGCAGCTCAGAAATGATCGACCAAGTTCACTGGCGATGGATGTTTTTAAAATCCCGTCGGGATCCTTCTCAAATACTTTATTTTGTGCTCTAAATTACAGTCGTCTTTTACTACTCGACGCACAACCTGTCAATCTTATCAGCATCATGAAGGTTGGTCTTCCACTCTCACACTGTTGCTGAACTCTGGCGTGCTAATTACTCCCGCAGTTCTCGTACATTCTCGCCATCTTTACGGCCACCGCCGTCAACGCCCAGCAAAAACTATCCCAGGCTGAGGCGCAGTCACGTCTACAAGCTGCTGGCATTTCCTCCGTCTCTACCGGTGGCTGCACAAACCGCAACACTGCCACTTGCACTTCGTATGACCAGGTTAACGCTGCGACTGTTGCTGGTGCTATTACTCTGAAGAATGCGTGTGGCTGCACCGTCACCATCTCCGGCGGCACTGAGACTGGTCACGCGAGCGGCACCTACTCTCACTGGAACGGCTACAAGTTCGATTTCCGCAAGAATTCCGGCCTGAATTCCTATGTCACGAACACCTTTACAAAAATCGCGGATCGTGGCGATGGCTATCCCCAGTGGAAGGCGGCTTCTGGCAACATTTACTGCGTAGGTTGCGATTCACCATGCGTGTCTGAAGACAGCAGCTGACAAATTAATATAGGATGAGGGCAATCACTGGGATGTTACTTTCTTTACTGATGGAAACTAAATGATAATGTTTGGCTGGGTGGAATGATGCGCTAATGGCTGTTCCATGTTCAGCATGTTTGCCTCAGTGAAGTCAGGCTCCGGATTTTTCTAAACTAGGAAAGTCCAAGGGACTGCCTTGTGCGTACATATAACTGAGCATCGTACAAGCTGCTAGGCTGCCGACTGGTATAGAGGTCCAGGACGTCGAAGACCCGCGGCCTCTCGGTGTCTTGGGGGTGCTTCGGAAATGAATATTAGGTGACTTCATTAGCATGGAGTCTATACCTTGGTCTGTATCGAATTTATGACGACTCGTTTTCGAAACATTTCATGGCAAACGCCCGATGCACGTCCTTGGCGAAGCTCTTGACTCAGTGTGCGCAGCGCATTCGGTGTCAGAATAGTCCGCTACCCTATGAACTGACTTGGAACACGCGGCTATGCTAAAAGACCCTCGGGAAGGAAGAGGAATGTTCCTTGATCTTCATTCGGTTTGAAATGGGTATGAAATAAACATGCGCAAGGTTCTCTTGTTGTTCATTTATTCAGTTTGAACAGGCTTCGAAATAAAGGTGCACAAAGGTTTAGCCCAACCTGTGGCCGTCTTCAACAAAGACATTCAAACATCCCATAATGTTTCCAATGTGGGGCTCCCTCACATACTTAAACAGAGATATCTCTCCTCTTTTTCTCTTTTGCTTCCCATCATCATTCACCAGGCAACAGAATCCCTCCTTTTCGCACTATTAATTACATCACATCAATCGCATTCGTACCACACAGACGGCACTCTACTATCCACATCATGGCAACAAATCATCAAGCCGCTGCCAAGTCTAGTATTGCCGAACCTCGGCGTATAACTCTACAAAACCTCATCCTAGCCGAATACCAATCTCCCGGCAAGGACCCGATCTTCGAGTACGACAATTGGGACAAGGAGACGCAGCGCAATGTCTTCCGTGACCTGTGGTGGGAATTTGCCGCTTTTCTTCGACTTCCTGCCGCAGATCGGAGACTGCCGAACTGCGGTCGAATCCGACGTACCATCGGAATGGCACACTTCTCAGAGATCGATGGCTTTGTTAATGCGTATGAAATCAGGGACCGCTTCCGGCGAGCGTGGGCGACTCCACGTCCGTATTTGGAAAATGAGCTTGCGAATGATGATTCGGTAACCTGGTATTCCTGTGACCTCCACAAAACACCTAGCGGACTAAGAGTTATAGCAGACCGTCGCAATCGCCACCACATCCCCAAGTATTGCCGTCCGGAAACCCTGATCTCGTCGCAGCTCCTGCTCTACCGGCTCATGGCTGTGTTTGACATGCCTATCGCATCAGACCAGGACACGGTTGATGACGACGGTGTCTGGGCGTATACATTGCATTGGAATCGGCACAACGAAAAGAGTGACACTGACAAGATAAGTGAGCTCGTCTTTCGGGACAGCAAGGGTACTTTCCATGTCCATTTTTCCGGGTCTGAGAAGGCTAGCAAGTCGGCTCTTGAGATGCTTGACTGGCTGGTTAGTGACAATGTGCCGTATCTCTATGACGGCTTGTTGGTAGGAAATCAAGCTCAGTCTCTGTAGGCTGGGCTATCTCTACAGTTAGAAGGGGCAAAAAGATGATTGTAGTTCATAGGATTATTTGAAAAATAGACGGCATTGAATGCTACTTCTTTCCTCCCGGAAACATGGTCTCATGATTTTATCCCATCGTGTATGACCCTGTGGTATATTAATTTAATCAGCTGAAATCTTCGTCATCAATCGCTACCGAATCCCCTTTCTTAAATTTGGACTGCATCTCAACGTTCACTCCCAATTCACCATTGTAGCTACCTCCCGTCCATAATGAGTATCACAAAGGGCAAATATAGCTCGCTGAGCCAGCCCAAGACCGAGCCCCTGGCTCTGAGCATGTAGATGTTCAAAAAAGACGTAGACCAATCTGTCGAAAGCGCGCCTGACAGATTAAAGAATGAAGATAGTGCACATGGAATCTATGTAGAGGATGTTATCAATCTAGATCAAATCATGGTGGCTCTGGCGCCGTTGCTGCTCTGGGCAGTTTCTGGCGTTGTCGTGATGGACCTAGCAACCTGCATGTCAGACGTCACCGAACGTCTCAAGAACAGCACTATCGCGCCTGATGACGCCATCTTCTTCCATAATAACACCGGCTACATGTCCCATCTGGAGAAGGCCCAGCTCTCACCATCCAAGGCTGCAAGAAGACTTGCCCGCGGCTCGACTTCGACATGTACGAGGACTTGATACGATGTAACATCGGAGAGAATGATGGGCTGCTTCATAAAACTCCCGCGATCCAGCCTTGCAGAGGTAGCACAGACAGGGAGCACAGGTTCAAATCGGAAAAAGCCTGGTGACATCATAGTGATTGTGAAAGTGACACTCATGCATTGGCTCTCCTACCAGGGTGATGAGGCGTACGGTGCAGAACCCTCTGGACCGGATAGCTTTTCATGAGCGGGCGCACTTGTAGATGATTGAGAAATATGGCTTGTTTCAGGTCAAGTCCTATCTTTGGCTAATGACCTGTAATAGCCTAAAAGATCTGTCAGTCTTCACACAAAGCACTGAGGCTGTTGCTAACATCAACTACATTGCCAGCCGGTCGTGCCGAGCCTGGCTCCCTGTGACATCCTTGCGCATATCCTTGCGGGCTGCTCTACCGAGATAGAGGGCTGACGCCTCTTCTTACCCGGTAATCACCACGCGTTGTGAACACAGCGACCAGATTAGTGGCGTTAGCCTCAAGCGCTAAGACGCCAAGCTCCGGTTTCCCCGGTAGCTCAGCTCGAAGTTCTAGGCCGCAGAGGGTAAAGCCGCACATTCTCAGCTTCCCTAGCTTGTATTGGGAACTCTAGTTTACTCAGTAAGATCGAGGTAGAAGAAGTCTCCCATACATACCTGTGCTAAGCCACCCCGTTCCCGCTGCCAATAGTCAGAGCTCCTCCACAAGGCTACTCACGCGGGCTTTTTCGTGGGAATGATGGAGATGTGGAGGGAATTCACATGTTCGACTTTAGATGCCAAGTGTGCCGTCTGGATGCAAGAGACCCTAAATCATTCCCCCCTTCCTTGGACACAACTAACAAGGGGCGTGCTCGACCTTTATCTTTTAACCGCACCTTGGGTCCAGATAAAGTCCTGGCTCATGCTGCGTCTCCTCGAACGCCACTAATCCTCTACATCATTCCCGTAATGTTGTGGCCTTTGAACCTGACCTTAGCGCCCTGGAGCTGGCCACTGGAATATCCTAGTCCAAGACATGGCGTACTGAAACTTCTCCGTGGGCTTGAAGCAGGGCTCCTCACTGGAGCGTTTAGGCGGCTTCAAGATGACCATCGGCCCGTCTAGAGCCCTGGCTATCTCCTGTGTGCATTCACTCCGCATGGGACGCCGAAATCACATAGATATGGACATCCCACCAACTTTCAATTCCACGAAGCTTGATCCATGTTCAGTGAGATAGCCTCCTTGCCTACCGACAATCGCACCTCTTTTCAACAAGCATGCACCTTCGGCTCCGCAATCTACATCGCACTGGCGCTACCGCCGAGGTCACTTTTTCATGTTTCTTGACACAGATAAGACCAGCACAGCCATCTTCATCAGCGTGACAGTGACCTTTGGGATTGCCAGCGTTTTCGCTGCTGGCCGTCTCATCAGCCGCTTCGGCATCGTGAAGCGTCATGGCTGGGACGACTATACCTTTATAGTAGCATGGGTGAGCTGCACACATGCATGCGCTCACAGACGGCGACTGACCTATTAACCACCAGATCCTCGCGTTCGGGGTATCATTCGCGGTCGACTTCGGCGCGTCCAAGGGTTTCGGTCTCTACGATGACAGCGATCATCGCGACCAGGAGACTCGGGTCCTGGGTACGCAGTACGCGGCCATCGTCATGTTTATTCCGGCCCTGACGGCCGCCAAAATCTCCATCCTCTTGTTGTATCTCGATATCGCGAGGCAGTCGCAGAAGTTTCTTCGCGTCGGATCCTACGTCACTCTTGCGATTGTAGCAGTCGGAGGTGCAGTCTTGACTCTCATCACGGCTTTCCGCTGCCGTCCTGTACAGGCAGCGTACAACCTCACCACGCAAAACTCCAGCTGCATTCCGTTTCAGACCATCTGGCTGACCGCGTGGCCTATCAACATCGCTACCGACCTCGCCATCCTTGTTTTGCCCATACCCGCGTTGACGACACTGCCCCTCACGCCGCTGCGGAAGAGTGCAGTGATCCTCTCATTTATCTTGGGCGTCATCTTCATCGGTGTCATCGATGTGGCACGGATCTACAGTCTTCAACTGGCTGTCATCAATTCTGGGAGGGAGATCGACGCGCTCCCGTCCAGCCCCGGCGTGCCCGTCAATGCTGGCATTGCGCTTATGTGGTCAGCGGTCGAGGTGAATGCGGCCATCATCGGTGCTTCTATCCCAACTCTGCCCCCGGTGATGAAGCGATTGACGCCATCCAATCCATTGCGTCTTGAGCCTCGTAGCAGCGCGCGAGCGTTCGTGCGGTTGTTTTCATCGCAAAGAGAGTCCGAGAACGCGCCAAGCATCAATGAGTTAACCATTCAGAATAGCCAGGGAACTGGTTGTGGTTGCGGGATGACTCAAGTGTCGACAGCTCCGGTGCTCGCAAGGAACCAGGAACCACAGATGAATAGCGGAGCAACCATCAACACAGCGTATACAGAAACCATGCCACAACGACCATGGGCATCTGACTCACCCCGAGAGCGCCAACACAGCGTCTACTTTGGCTTTATCAACATGGCACGGCCCAAGTGTATAGTCGACATGTGTGGATCCGAATCTGCCAAGTACTGCGCCATGATTAACATACTCCTTTTCCTGAACGGATTTACCTACGTTATGCTGTTTTCCATCAACGGGAGCCTTCCGATTGTCAAAACCCGCCCGCAAGCCGTGGGTATGTCATCAGCCTCTTACATCGGCGCTGGAATCTTCAGCCCAAGTATAGGATATGTGATTCTGCGCCACTTTGGATTCAAAGCAACCATTGCGACCTCCTTGGCCATCTGGTGCGTCGGAACACTGATATTCTGGCCTTGCGCGGCTGTCGGTTCATATCCAGGCTTCATTGTCTGCAACGTTCTGGTCGGATTCAGCCTGGGCATCATGGAAATGGCTGCAGATACCTTCAATAGCCTCTGCGGTCTACCAGAATACGCCGTGGTCCGAGTCCTTCTTGGTACGGGGGTGGAAGGGATTGGAGGGGCGTTGAGTTCAGTCCTCACGGCCAAAGTCCTCTCTATCGATGCGGACGACAGCCACAACTTGATGGCGCTTCAGTGGGCTTATCTCGGCATTGCCCTGTTCACTGTCTTACTTGGCCTCTTCTACTGGCACGTACCGCTCCCTCAGATAACGGATTCGGAGCTGCGGGCTCGACCGGACATTCTGTGGATAGACCCTTCCAAGAAGCACTTGGGGGTATTCCCTATCATCTTCACCTCTTTGGGAGTGGCTGTCCTGTCCGGCTTCTGTTCTGCGGGGGCCTTGGCGAGTCTGCGAAACTTCATTGGTGATGCCCTCTCCATCGTGTCGACCAAGACCCAAACAACCCCAAAGTTTGCCATCTCAGATTTCCAAACCGGTCTTTCGGTCGTCTATGCCGTTGGAAATTTTCTCTTTGCCTTCCTGTGCCTTTTTATTTCCCCAGCCGTCCTCCTGCTTATGGCGTATGGGTGTGGCATCACGCTCGCCGTGCTGATCTTCGCAGATCAATTCCCATCAGCCGCCAGTCTCCAAGTGATAACTTTAGCGCTTTCAATCATCGAGGGACCGATCCCTAACCTAGTCATCGCCATTGGTCTCCGAGGCCTCGGCTGGTGGACCGGTCTCGCATGCTGCCTGCTGGTCAGCGGCTGTAGCCTCGGAGCATGCATCTGGCCGTGGGTTATGTTGGCAGTTTCAAGCAGGAATTCGGCACAATACACATTCTGTGTTGTCATTGCTCTCTTTGTGGCAGGCAGTATTTTTCCCGTTTACCTCAACCTAATCCGCTCCTCCCATGACCGAGAACGACCGCCAGCCTGGGCGGCGATTAGGAAAGTAGTCCTGCGGCATTTCTGTCAGCCGCAGGTGTGAGAAGTGCGACCAAGGGTTTAATAGAAAATTTTCAGGCTAACAGGGCCGATGGAAGGAGGTCAAATGGTTGCGTCGACGCAAGGTAGCTAAAAGCTATTTCGCGTGCGCTATATCTTCGAGGCTCGAAGTAGGTGCCGACACAACTTAGAGAGGCCCTTTGGAGCAGCGCTCCTAAGATTCTGGCCAATTTTTTAGACTAATACAGTTTACAGACTATTAGTCTGCACATATGAAATTCAAGTTAACTACCGCTTGAGAGTAGGTATTAGATCTCACAATTTGTTAGGCGAATCGATCGATAAGAAGATCTGGTCTCAGCCGGGGTATCGACAGTTCGTCAACCTGACACCATATCCACCGCTCCAGTTTTACACTACTGGAAATTATTTTTGCCTGCGATAGACGCGATCGTTTAAAAGTTGTCGGGAAGATGTTAGTTGGGGATACAAATGTCCTCATTGGCGTCTACACGATTGTTGCTGTATTGCGCGAGCTTGCACACTGCGTTGATTTAACGTTCCGAGGGTGCATTTAGTCATCGTGGCAGCATTGGGTAACAAATGCTTGAATTGTGGATAAAACTGTGTTTTTTCGACCTTGTGCCGGCAACTTGCTCACCTTGAGGGAGCAGACAGAAGTTAGATTAGTTCCGAGGGTGCATTATTGATACCATGGCCCTGGACCTGGCCAGACCCTCATCGGATCATTACAGCAGGCAAATCCGCCTTAGCATACTATAACTACCCCATGGAAGTGACCTCACAAGATTATCACAACAATCTCGACGGAAAGCAGGTTATTGTACTGGTTTCCGCTGGTACGTTCATCTCCTACAATGCCGCGTTGCATTCGACCAACCACCGTAGTATGCGTCGGATCGGACTCCGCCAACAATTCAAAATGGATAGTACTTGTCAAGTACTGTCTACGCAAAAAGACTGCGGAAAAAAACGAACATGGAGGCCGTGTATGTAGGCGTGTGATGATTGAGCCCCGAATCATGGGACTCAAACCACGACAGGTGCTGCACAACCGAAGTCCTAAACATCTCAGGCTTCCAGGGATCCACCAGCATGCCCACTGGAGTGTCTCTCTGGTGGTGTAACTCAAAGATGGCCTGTGTCAGCACGGCCAGACCACAGGATAGATTGCATTAATCGGATGTGATCCTCTTTTCTTTTCACACCGCCTAGCTAGCCCTAAGTTGTTCGTGGAGAGGGGCCGGGTGTAGGCAACAGGCTGGGCCATGCATCATTTTTGGCCCCCATTCAATTGTATCCCTGTCGATATCCAATGATCCCCTGCCCAAAGTTCCGTGAACAAATTCACACATAAAGAACGCTACGCTGCGAGATTTCTATCGTCCAGTTTCCCAACTTCGGAGCAATAAATGCAGATATCCGCGTCTTGACGGCCGCTGGATCACCACACGCCAGACAGACATTAATCATTGAGCTTCCTCTCCGCGGCAATCTATAGGCATTCTATCGAAGCACCTCCAATATCTGCGGCAACAAACAATCACTCCGTGCCTTGGCCCTGGACGACTCACCCGGGTCGATCAAGCTCAAGATGGAGCAAGGAAAGGCAAGGTTCAGGTAAGTCTAGGTCACGACTCTGAACCCAAGTTCCTGAACGCCGACGTGAACCATGTAGAGTTTACCTCGTTGGGTTTCCAACAGCCGTGCCTGACCCAGGGACTGTCCCGGTAGTGGAAATGATACGCCATATCCTGCCCGAAGCCTCTGTCGTTTGTCATGATATCTTCCGCTGTGATGTGGATATTCCTCTTAAACGCCGGGACGAGGACGATGCAGACGAGCTGAGTGCTCACTCCAATAATGATCAAACACTTTCCACGCCCAAGCTGGACGGGCAACCGGGGCCTGGCGACGTGGAAGCCGAGCAGCCCAGCGCAAACACCGCCCTGAATCACGAGAAGACTCTTGGCGATATGACCGATGATGACCTCACCAGAGTCATTGGCACGGATGTCATGGTCTACCTCGATGATTTGGCAACTGTTTCAAGTGTCGCAATCGGTGGCTTCTTCACACCGGGCTGGATCGACAGCGAAGCATATTCTCTTCTCGAGCGAATCCAGAAGGAAACCCCCGACCAGAATACCGGCCACCCGAGCAAGGTGCTCCTTGCAGGGTATGGTTTTGGTGGCATTGTGGTCAAACAGGTACGAAACGAGCCTCACACCTAGTTCGGAGGACAGCCATCTTCCTCATCATGGACCTTATGCTGACATGATCAGGCTATTGTCAATGCCAACGCGAACCCAATGTTCTATGACGTCGCGTACAACGCCATCTCCTTGGTGTTCTTCGCCATGCCGCATCAACCAACCGATCAACAGACCTGGGAGGAACTACTCTTGGGGTTGATCAGGTCAACAACTGAACGCTCCAGTTATAGAGGCCGTCTATCTGGAATACTCCCAGAACTCATCGAGTCCGTGTCGCATCTCTCACAAGCCTTTTTCCGAGTTGAGACCAAGTATGACATAAAAAACATAGTTCCCGACGATGATGCTGCAATGGAAACATCACTCAGCAAGAAATCCTGGACAACAGTGCAGTGGCCAGATCATGATCTTGCGGTCTGTAATGCGGAAGACGTTTCCAAGATGAAGCTTCTCCGATCCCATTTCGCACCATCTTGCATGCTGTCAGACGCGCCTCTAGGTAATAAACCTCTCCATGCAACGCTTATTATCTCCCTCTAACTCTTCACAGGAATGTTGACGCCTGAAGAGTACACGACCTACTTTCACACGCTGCAGGCGCTCTCTCCATCCCGGCGGATCGTCGACGAAAGCAGGACATTGGACGAACCGGACGACTTCAACATCTTGAAAGATATTTACGGCTCGCTTCTTCGCCGCATCCCTGTTGACTATGTTTGCGGGAGCTCCATCCAGGTGGTTGCCCCCAAGGGATACGGAAAGTCCGCCATCGTGAAGCTCATATCCCAGCACATCCGACGAGAGTCATCCGTTGTTGTGATCGAAAACTTCCCCAACCCCTTGGAAAACCACCCTACGACCTTCTATGGGGTAATCATATCCTTCATCCACCAGATCATCTCACAAAAGCCATCGCTCTTCCGCCCTGTCCGGAATTTGATGACCGAGATGCTGCGCCAGAGCGTGTGGACAGAGCAAGCCGTCAAGGATTTGCTCTCTGCTATATTCCTACACTCTCGCGATGTGAATTTCCTCATCGTCGTTTACAATCTCGAATCCCCTTTGTGGCCGGCCGAGGTACGCGAATGGTGGTCAGGGATTCCAGCGTTGCTTGAGGACTCTTTTGGTTGCACATGTACTTTCCTCATCAGCAACGACCAGGCCGTCAAGACCTTCAGCAACCAAAGGGTTTACCACATCGACCTACAGAGGAATTTCGCGGAGCACAAAGAAGCCTTCATCAGTGCCAAGACGAACCAGCTTCTCGATGATGTCTATGGTTTGACTTGGCGTAGAGATGAACGCGCGAGGGAAGTCAAGCAAATAGTCATTTCAAAGGCTAAGACATTTGGGGGCTCTTTCAGAGAGATCAGTGCACTCCTCGTCCATCTACTTCAGGGGCTCTCCCGGGTTGCTCCACAAGCCATTCGTCAGACCATTTCGCGAGGTCCCCAAACGACCGAGGAACTGTACAATTCTCAGGCCAGGCTGCTCAAAGAAAAGGATCCACGAGTATACTCTTGGGCGACAACTACATTGTCGTGGGTTGGGCTTTCCGTGCGGCAACTACACGTCCAGGAGCTTGCTGCTGCCGTGGCTATCCACTTGGACCAAAGAGACATCTCCGAAATTGGCAATGGTATTTTTATGCACATGGAAAGAGACATTTGCAGTTATACGAATGGCCTCGTGGCCGTGGAAAATGGATACGCTCGGATTCCTTGCCCGTCTGTGAGGGCAGCCTTGGACCAAGATCCGGATCTGAAAACGAGTATGCTCGACGATTACTCTCTCGCGAAGATTTGTCTGCATTATCTCAAGATTGTCCTCGGCAATGACCAGGAAGACTTTTGGGAGAAATGTCTCTCCTCTGTCTCCCCTACACAGAAAACGAAAGAGACGCGTATCCCAGAGCTGGAGTTCCTAGATTATGCGACCCGATACTGGCCGACTCATTGCCTCCGGGTGAAGCAGCACAACGAGCTCCTCGAGAACGATGTCGTCGACTTCCTTCAGTCCAAGGTCGCCGAGAGGTGGTTTCAACTGTACTTGCTCTGCTACGGTTTGCCACCAAACCTACTCAGTAGGGAGCGAGACGACACAGCTGAGAACGACGGAACTGATGACTTCGAGCCAGATTCTCCTGGAAGCGGCGGATCCGAGGAGATGTTAGTGAAGATAGGCACGCAACAATCAGCGGTGAAGATGGCCAGCTTCCTTGGACTCGCACCTGTCGTCCCTACTCTCTTGGGGCAAGCCAGGAATTTCGATGAAGCCAAGACCACCCGCCTCCGACGCGGCTGTTTGGACCATGAAGTAGCGATTCTGAACAATGGTTCCAAGTTCTATCTGGACTGCGTAATTTTGAACGATGATGTCTCCGCGGTTGCGGCATTGCTTGAAGCGGACGAAGCATGCGTGACAAAACACTTTCCTCTTCATCTGGCTTCGTTGGCAGGTAGCTCAAAGATGGTCTGGGTACTTCTCGAGACGCTCGAGGACACAACGGCAGTCGACAGGGATTGCCGAACTGCACTGCACATGGCAGCTATCAGCGGCAGGGTCGATGTGATTCAGATGCTTGTGGGCGAGGATGGGAATTCCGAGCTGGCCAAGAAGATCGACTCTCGCGATGCCAATTTCGAGACCCCTTTACTTCTCGCAACGCGAATGGGAAATATCGACGCAGTTCGTTTCCTAGCAGGCTTAGGTGAGGGTCGGGGCATCTCCATCGGTGACATGATGGACAAAACTCCCGCGCATCACGCCGTGCTACACTGTCCGGACGTCCTCGACACCTTCTTTACCTATGATCCCAACGCGCTTTTTGCAAGGGATCGTGACGGCTCGACTCTACTGCACATTGCTGCGCGTTGCCGTTCAGTTTATGCAGTATGCATCATCTTGCAGGCGGCCAAGGACCCTGAACATTGCATCACAGCGGTCCGAGCCGAAGACACTCAAGGGAAATCGCCGCTCGACTATGCATCGGAAAACGGGTTCAGCGACGTGGTAGGCATCATGGTTAACAACATGAGAGGAGCCGTCGGCGCGGACGCTCTGATCCAAGCCTCGGCCCTGCTTGCTGCAGAGTATGGACATCTGGCTCTCCTTGAGACGCTGTCTGAGTGGACGAGTGGGATCAAAAACCGGCTTCTTTCTGCCGCAGTGAACGGCGGTCATCTCCTCGTGGTCAAGCATCTTCTGGACGGAGGGGCCTTCCTCGATGGAGAAGAAGACGCAGATATGGAGAAGCTTATTGCTCTTGGTGCCAAAATCAACCTGGGCGACTCCTGGGCAAAGGAAGTTGCATCGGGTAACTTGCGCGGACGTCGTGGCGAGACGAGGCTTTTCACAGCGAGTCATGACGGTGATGTAGAAGCTGTCAAGAAGTTTCTCAAGCGTGGCGCAGACCCCAACATCTGTCGAGATGACGGTTGGTCTCCTCTTCACGCAGCAGCCGACAACTGGGAGATCTGTGAGGCTTTGGTGGCGAATGGCGCCAAGATCGACTATCAACTTGAAGACGGCCTGTGGACGCCACTTCAATTCGCGGCCTCATGGGGTTGCAAGTCCACTGTTGAGTTCTTCCTTCAACACGGGGCCGACACCAGCCATGAAAATGTGCATGGCAGCACCCCTCTGCACTTGGCTGTGGCGAAGAGTTACTGTGACATCGTGCAAGTCATGGTGGACCACGAAGGCGACAATGCGATCAACTTGGACAATCAAGGGGCTTGGGGTGAGGGTCCTATCCACATGGCAACGGAAAAGAGCGCCGAGTGCGTGCGGAAGCTTCTCAAGAAAGGAGTCAACGCCAAAGCCAAGACAGTTAGAGAGAATATATCGTGCCTGGTTCTAGCCCTCCAAGCGGGAATGGGCGACACATTCGCTATCCTCCTTGGCGACCAAGAATCCGGAGCCCCCGAACCCCACTGGGATCATGAAGACCTGGTCTCAGCCTACTGGGTGGCAATTCAGACGGTGGATCGGAACCTGAAGAGCCTCAAACTTCTGGTGAACAAGGAGCCGTGGCTACTAGACGAAGTTTCGGCAGAGGGGTACAATGGACTGGAGACTTACATGCGCAGCGAGAGACCAAAATATCCAAAATATGAAGAGCAATCGATTTCCATCGCATTCCTCGATTTCGGCTTCAATCCGTTTACGAGGAGGGGAAAGGACCTGAAATCGGCGTTCGAACTTGGATTCATATCAAGGCGTGAGGCAAACATGGCATTCATGGAGCGTTGCATCACAGATTTGCCCAAAGATATCCGAGCCTCGGGTATGGACTTCCGAGAGTTGCGAATCGCCACTGAATTGAATGACAAGGGTGCCTGGGAAGCCCTCAAGTCGCTGAGAGAGGACGTTGGGGGCGAGACTGACCAGGATGACTGGAACATCGACCATTTTCTCTATCAATCGGAACCAAGGTTGGCTTTTGCCGACTGGAAGGGAAGCGCCATCGAACGGAATACTCGCAGCCCGATGTATCTTGTTCATCCTCAATCCTGGTGGTGGCTAAACCAGGACTATAAAACTCGCGTCAAGATTCTTGACAATGGTCTCGGGGCCACATTCGAGAGTGAGTTCATTCTTTCCGCTCCCTGCAATCTGAACAACTTCGCGCTGACTCGTGGCTTGTAGCCGGCTTCAATAACGAATGCAACACCCCGATGTGTCTCAGGGCTGATTCGGCCTTTCCCCCGAGAAAACAGGGCTTAACCTATTTCGAGATCACGATACAGGAGATAGATACCTTCGAGTCCACGCCACCAGACATCGCCATTGGCTTGGCTGGCGAGTTCACTAACCAGCTACGATCGCAGCCCGGGTGGAACGCGTGGTCCTTGGGCTACCATGGGGATGACGGTAGAATCTTCGAGGAGGCAACACAAGGGAAATACCCCACAGGACGAAAGTTTGGTCCAGGCAATACTGTGGGCTGCGGAATCGATTACGACACTGACCAGTACTTTTTCACCTTGGACGGAGAAGTCATCTGTATGCCTAAGAATCCCCCCGGAACTATTGCCTTGATGAGAACCCAGCTAACAGGTGATGCAGTCAGGGCTTCCTCCAACATTGTGTACCGGAAGATGTACCCTTGTGTCGGCCAGATGTCCGGATGCGCGAGGATCCAGGCAAATTTTGGAGAAACTGCCTTCGTTTGGAGCGGCGCCGAAGCTCTTTTTCCAGGCGGAATAAACCCCGAGAGAGCGAAGCTACTAGTAGGACGGACGGAAATGGACGCGGATCGAGGACGGGACAGCAGAGATTGGGCTAGATTTCGGTTACTCTCTTCCGGCCTTGGAAGACCTGCCCAAAGGCCGAGACGAAACTCGACCTAAATTCTCCTGACAAGCCGGTATCACCTGATTTGGATGCGTAAGGTAGGCTCGCTCAGAATTCCCGCCAGGCCAATCTGTCAATGGAAACGACGCGGCCCATGCTGCAGGCATAGATGTAATGGCTCTATTAGTTCTGAAATAAAGGTCACTTGACAGATGCGACATTTTATGACGAGCGCGATTGAAGCAGACTGATGGCAAGTTCGTGGTATCATTAGACCCTCTTCATCTGATGCAGAATCGAATGTCCTCGTCCTCTGTGTTCCGGGATTGGGCATGGCACAGTTCACTCAACTGTGCAAAGTGCAACGAGAAACAGATTACTAGTCATTCACTTGTGGTCGCATATTAGGCAAAGCATTCTAAGAGAAAAAGCAGAACATTGTAAACTTCGATCACTATGGCACGTGTCGTATAGAATTATCATATTCCAAAGTGCGGTTAAGTTGCATGATATTTGATCACTTTACCTAAGTGTTGGAAAGTGACCCTATTACGTACCTTTCACTCAGGCTTCTTACCCCAAATGAAGTAAACCGGGAGGTAGAGATGAATCGATCGGTCCTTGAGCTCCGACTTAGCCTGAGCCATCATGACCTGGATCTCCTCCTGGCTCCAACCAAGAACGGCTCCAAAGAGCTTGGGTGTGTACGAATCGATAGCTTGCGCCGATTGCACAAGCTGGCATTTGCCAATCTCCTTGAGCGCTGGATCCTTGGGCCAAGGGCCAATCGGAATCTGCACCATATGGTCAGTGGCTAGAGCTTGTAGATTGCAGGTAAAACATGATTACCTTGCGAACTTCCTCATGAACATCTTCGAAGCCCACCTTCTCCATCACCTCCTTCCATAAGTGCGCGCAGTCGATCGGCTTTCCAAACTTGCTGCTGCTCTCGAGGATCTTCTCGGCCCAGCTCTGAAGAGTCGTGGCCTTGTCGGCGGTGCCGTCATCGGACATGAAGCAACCGCGCTGGGCCTGCAGCTCAAAGTATCCCCCCGGAGTCAGGCTTTTGAGCGCTTGCCGGAACAGCTTCTCAGGATTCGAGATGCAGCCTTCAAGTTCGCGTGCGTGGATGAAGTCGAATGGGTTCTTGTAAACCCAATCATCCTCGAAGTCGTCGATTTCGAAGACGCAGTTTGGCGGAGTCCTGCATCGTACTTGTTAATTGTTTTGATTCTAGGTGTAGTAGTAGTGAGAGCCTCAGTACCAGTCGGGCTGAATGGGACTGAGATCTGTCCCGACAACTTCTGCTGACGAGTATATACTAAAAGCCCAAGTATTAGCAACGGCCCGCAATGACGCATTCACGAGACACGCTCACTCCGCAAAATCAATCGCCCAGATACCAGTGCCGGTACCTAAATCGAGTACGCGTTGAGGCTTATCGCGAATTGGGGCGAGGTGAAGTTTCCCTCGAAGGACGAGGCTGTAGATGTGATGGATGAGATCCATCCTGTTTTGTTCTTCGTCATCGTTTGGCTACCGACAACGTCCGTCAGACTGGTAGTCGATTTATCATAAGAATAATCAGGGTTCTGACCACTAGGTAAGTGCCTTCACGAAACGCATGATAGCGGCGTCCGTTCTAGCAAAGCCATCAGAAAAGGTGACTTAACCATACTTCTCGTATTTTAACCAACATCATATCTATTGATGCCTTTCGTTAGAGTCAATTGCAACTACGCTTGGATATCTACTCACCTGTAGTTGTATATACTTGACTTGAGAGACGACAGAAAGCTGGAAGATTGTTCCCTAGAGATGATTGTGAGCGAAGAGCGTAGTGCGAGAGGTGGTCAGGCTAACGTGGTGTCGATCGTAGAGTCACTCTCAATACCATCATCCTTTTGAGCGATATTAGCACCAATCACGGAAGCGGCTCTGATATGAGTAACCAACATCAACTTCGAGCTGGTTCTCAGTCTGCACAGCCTCTGGGCGAGTTGCAGGCTCCTCCGTTTTCTGACCTGCCTGCTGAGCTGTTTCGACGGCCATTTTTACGTGAGTTCATAGGATGTAGAAAAGAGGGGAGTCTCGAAATTTTATGAATCATCTGTTTCTTTTCATCGGGTGTGTGACCCTGTCCTCTCCACATTTCGTCATACGACGTTTGCGATTGCTCGACCAACACATTGCAAGTTGAGCCAATTGGATCGTGAGCCGCTTCAATTGTCCGCATCCCTGCAGATGGGGCTTGGTGTCCACGGGAGCTAATCAAGTTGATCGATTGTCCCGTGCTCCAGGTGCTTTGAGCAGGGGTGCACCCTTGTCTGCAGGTGGTAGTAATGATCCATGCCGTCCGACCAGACTTACGTGGCAGCAGGCAATGCCTAGCCTGTGTGGAGGTAACAAACAAAGAGGAGATACTCTTGGCGAACTGACGAGTCCCCTACTAACGAGGCCTTGGTCTTATGTCTCCACTCAATACGCCGAGTTCCAATAGATGGGGTAGGTTGTTTGTTGGACGAATAATGACAAACTCGTCGCATAATGCAGATTGATGGATACGTCAATGCGCGGCTGCTGCTTTCAATACTGATATCTCTCATGTGCCTTTCAAGGTAAATAAAGACAGCCGATAGGTCCTTGTTAAACTGAACCCTGGAACTGATCTCTATTAGGATTATGGACTAATGTTACGACCCTGAGAATAATCTCTCTGTTTGTCTGGCTGTTTTTAACTTGAGTATCTATTCATCACTGTTTTCAAATAGTCTAACAATTGTCCGAAACCCGTGGAACCAGAATTCAATAGTTCCCTTGACCGGAAAAGATTTCCAGATTGTTTTTCCATCATGGGCCTTGTGCCTTTTGTAGTCGTCATCGGAGAAAAATCTCACTCTCATTCGTGTCGGCAGTCGAGGAGGTCGGATGGGTTCTTTTGGGCGGTACTCATTTTCAGCCAAGCAAATTTGCGAGGGATTTACGACTGTGGTGACAGGGTCTAGGCCAAACCGACACTGTCCTATAGCTCGCTGGGACCCATTGGCGTATTCCAATATGATTCCTTGGCAAAACTTGTCATCTTTATCCTCGAACGTGTGTACCCGAGTGACGCCCTCCAACGGAGCTGAAGAGAAGTATGCTCGTTCGAAAGGCGGCTCTCCTCGCGGTCTGATGTGTCTGAACTGAAACGGGCGCTTTTTCGACGAATGCGTCCCTAGTAAGTTGTAAGTTGGCGATTGCAGCGCTGTTAAGTACTTTGCCGATGGGTGGATATAATGTGAGCAGTAATATGAGGGGTCATCGGAGTCTTGCCGGTAGCTTATGAGTGTAGGGTTGGGCCCATTGCCGAGGACAACATCTCTTCCTTCCGAAACAGGGAGCAAACCGAGAGCTATATCACCTGAAAGGGTCGTACGGAACTACCACTGTTAGATAATTGTAGATTAGGGAAAACTGCGTCGAAATACCTACAAGGTAACTGGAAGCATTTGAGCTCTTTGTAAACTCTCTGGACGGAGGTATCCGAGCCCCAAAGGTTTCAATCGAATCACCGGGAGGGAGTGGGAGGTACCCCCAAATAATACTTCGCTCATGAAGCTTGTATATTCTGTCGAAGATCTCCTTGGGATCTGGTCCTCTTTTCGTGTGTGCATGTATACCGTGTATAACTTGGTCATGTCCAATAAAAAAGGTTATTCCGGTGCAATTCTGAGTGTCGACAGTCGTCATTCTTGTGAAGGACAATCCGGTCCACTTGTGAATACCATAACAGTTCATCAAGTTGGGCGGGCATGGCCTATCCCAAACGTTCAAGTTTGTTCGTCGCGGGGTGTTTAGATGAGCTAGCCCAAACTACCAAATGTTAGTGCATATCCTGGAGGTCTGACAAGGGTGATACAAGCCTTGAAATCAACAGTAATGTTGCCCAAACGTTTCTCAGGCTCAACCACATATGCTAGTGCATTAGATGAACCAGTCTGGTGATTGGGTCTCTCCCTCAGTCGTTCAATCTTGCTCAGGCCCTGTGAATCGATTGTGAGGCGAATGGTACCTCTAGAACGGTCTGTTAAGACAGTCGGAAGACCTCCCCTCTCCCAAAAGCTTATTTCGCGCAGTGAAAGCGAGCGCAACTGGGTATCAGCTTTTGAGAACATCTTAAATCGCTCTAGGAGTGAAGCATATTGCCATATCGTCCCCAGCCGCGAGTAATCATGAATCAACAAGGCAACCTCTAGCGGGACAGATGATATGTGCTGCATATCCTTGAATTTTGCCAGCATGTATATGCCTCTTGGAACATTAGTTCGCGGATCGAGATGGAGAGAGGAGACAGCGGACCAGGGCCGGGTCCAGCTTGCCAATGTGTACAAGCGATCGAGCTTGTCGTGATAAGCAGATTTCTTCATGAACTTCATGAAGAGGTCGAAGCAGCCAGTGTGGACATTGACGCTCTTTGGCAAGGGGTCGAGCCGGTTATAACGCCACAACCCCAACCCGCGAACCGACTTACTGCCGTGGTCGTGGAGAAACACCCCTCGCTGGGCTGTACTCTCCTTGCTTTCGGGCTGTGGAAACGGAACCGCAAATTCGAGAAAAAAGCTCGAAGATTTTTTATCCCGGATGACTAATGGTAGAAAAGAGAATCAGCATGCCGTGCCATCCCCCGACTGGGATATTGCATTGAAGAGGTGGGTTCATAGCATACCAAAGACGCATTTGTCGCCCACTGAAATGTCAAAGCCGCAAGCACCACACTGCTGCAGTGTGCGGACTACCATCGGGGACTTCTTGCACGCCTTTCTGGAACATTTCAACTTCGTTATCGGCATTGTTGGGTTCGACCCGTAGGCGTTGAGCAGCTCGGGGACCTTAAGCGATTTGCTGGCAGCTTCGGTCCTTTGTGAGGGCGTTGTGGAGGAGTTGGAGTGTGGTCAGAAGATAAACTGAGTATAATAAACCACAGGGCAGGCCCTCGCCTTTATATTACGTGTGCCAACGGGTGTTACCTTGATGGTTCACCCCTATGATCCAGTTCAAAGGGGTGTAGTAGTTTGTCCAAACCCTATTTTGTTTTCCCTCTACGAGTAGTAAAACAAGACATGACCAACATGTCTCGGTAAGACGCATACAAGTGCGACAACCAGCACTAGGCCGACAAACGGTCCAAAAATGATGGACCCATGAACCTTTTGTGACACCTTCCGTCTCTAGCGGCGATGCTAAGGACTTCCTGCACTACATCAGTTTTCTAACTTTCGGTCAATCGGTCAGTCTGGGGGTGAGTCAGTTGGCTAGACCTTGAGTTCGTGAATTGTCAGTTAGGCTTTCGGTGAGCATTTGGCCACGGAGACAATCATGTTAAAGACCAGGCACGTATCTCCGGACGTATTATCTAAGATGACCGTGTTTCTGGACGAATTAAGCAAAATTGGTTAGAGTTTGAGTGATATTTCCTGATGTAAACTGTATGACGCATGATGAATATAGAGGCTAGAAGCTGCAGCCCTCACTCCATAGACCGCTCGTTGTCAGGTTTGCAAATGTACAGCCTACAATGATTTTAAATCTTTGCTCGGAACTTATTTTGATATTTCAGTTGGAATCACTTCTCTCTTCAAGACAATTTGAATCTATCCGCCTCAGGATACCGAAGAACTAACCCGCAGGTTGAGCTGGTCCACTGCGTTCGCGTCACGGCATGCTGCATTAAGTAGCCATAGAAACATCGTTACATTACCTAAATCCTGTTTCTTTGCCTTGACTCTTACTGTGGATCCTCACGATTTCCCACATTCTGGGCAGAACCACCAAAATAGCAAAGACAAATTGAGCATATGGTTGGACTGGGCACAAGCTAATTCCTCCTGGTCTTCGTTTGAGTTTCTACAATACGTCAATCAAAATAAAATGAATCGTTTCGGCTCATCAAACCGTAGGGGATTCAGCCCTTTCTGTCGGAGTTGACGCCTCCAGTTTGGCCATGAGAGATTGGGAGTTTAGGCTCTGACTTTTTCTATCTTACAAACATATGGCACTTCGTCTTGAAGAAACAGATATTTATGGCCCCTGGCAGCCGCTAATCCATGGGCAGGGGTCTGGTACAGAGGTTCATGACCCCGACGACTTGCGGCCTCCTAGGGTCTGAGGTGGCGATTTGGAAATGAAACGCCTGCTTCTGGTCTCCAATGATCGCCACAGACGTCTCACGATAGCCCCAGATCGTGACGACTCATAATCTGCCTCTGGCGGGATGGTAAAGCCCTGGCCGTTATCTTGAGACTGAAGTATCTGTTCAAGAATCCAACGCGACCAGACTGTATCGGGATGGGCAGCACCGAGGGCTTGGGTCTGTAGTTCCAGCGTCTCGTGGAGTATTGCTTCGGCCTCCTTATATCTTCCCTGCCGATATAGCACCTCTAATAGGGAAGCATGGGACCAGAGTGTGTCGGGATGGTCGGCACCGAGGGCTTGGGTCTGTAGTTCTAGCGTCTTGCGGATTATTGCTTCAGCCTCCTGGTATCTTCCCTGATCGCATAGCAGTCGCCCAATGAAAGAATTAGACCTGAGAGTATCGGGATGATCAGGGCCCATTATCTGGGTCTGTAGTTCGAGCACCTTACGGTGCACTGACTCAGCCTCCCCATGCCTCCCTTGTTCAGCCAACACAGTGCCTAGATGGGCACCTGACATGAGTGTGTCTTGGTGGTTGGCACCGAGCACTTCGGTCCGAAGCGTTAGCGTCTGCAAGTGCAACGCTTCGGCCTCCTTAAGCTTTCGCTGTCTGCGTAGCACACTCGCAAGGTTATGGTTCGACGTCATTGTATCGGGGTGGCGAGCACCGAGTATTTGGGTCCGTAGCGCTAGCGTCTCACCGTCTAGTGCCTCCGCCTCCTGGTATCTCCCTTGTCCAAACAGTGCATTCGCAAGATTACCTTTTGAACTGATCGCGCTGGGATGATCAACCCCGAGAGTTTGGGCATATAGCACCAACGACTCGCGATACAACGTTTCAGCCTCCCGATACCTTGCTTGCTCAAGAAATGCAGTCGCGACATTGTGAAGGAGGCATGCCTTTGCATGGTCATCCGCTGCATATTGTCTGGACTCCAAGGCTATCAGAGCATGCGGCATATACCTTATCCAGACGGTTCGGTTCTCGTATACTGCGAAAGGAAACTCTGTGTTGAGTTTTCGAATCAGCTCTGTGGCAAACCACTGTAGCTCCGGTTTCTCAGTCAACCAGTTTCGCATCGCCAGTCGGACAAGTCGATGCATGTCGTAAGACTCTTGGCCTTCGCGTTCGCTGATGAATGCATACGTTTTCAACAAACCGAGTGCCTCATCCATCTTCAATATATTGTCCCACGTAGGGAGGAGATTCCGCGGGATATCTTTCTCAGCGAGAAATGATAAGTATTTGAGGTATTGGATTGATAGAGGGTTGTCCCGGGAGATGAGGTGGAATGATACCAACCAAGTCGTTGCAACTGGATTTTGGATGTTTCCATACCGGCCGTGATCGTCGAAATCCTTGCTCAGAAGCTCGACCAGATTCGCATCACTGGACCGACAAAGCTCAAGATAGCGGGTGGTTGTTGTTTGAGTCTGATCCATGTAGGCAGATGCCTGTTTGATGGCAAGCGGGAGATCCGTCAACACTTCGAGCAGTTCCGCAGTGCTTTTGGTATCCCTTGTCTGCTCCACTGTCAAATGTTGGTGTAAGAGCTTGACAGCTTCAACTCTGCTCATTTGGGCTAGGGGAACACGATTCGCATTTCGGATAGCAAGCTTGTGGACAACGTTGTGGCTGCGTGTCGTAATCAAAATGGAGCCTTTAGGGTTAGAGGGGAGATAGCCAGCTAGATGCGACTGGCCAAAAAGGAGACTCGAGTCATCGATGTTATCAATGACTAAGAGCCAACTGGTAGCATCTTCACGATCCAGTGCAGCCTTGGTGAGTGTCATGATGTTGGCTTGGTCTCTGTCGAGCCCTTCAACCTTGAGACTTTTGCCGATGTCCAGGTAGGCATTCTCGATGCTAGCCTTATCCATGGCGGGAACCCAGAAGACCGAGCAGTCTTGGTGTTGTTGGCGGACTCGAAAGGCAGCTTCGAGGGCGATCTGAGTTTTCCCAACACCCCCCAAACCTTGTATGGAGGTTCTTTGGCAGACACCCTCATCTGCAGCTGGAGGTACGATCATGAGAAGCTGCTCCAGAATAACTTCCCGTCCAACGAAGTCTTGGTTGCGTTCGAAGGGAACAACCCATTTGGGTACAGAGATCACGACAGGAGGAGGCACAACTAGGAGTGGATCAGCCTTCGGAATCATTCTTAATATTTGCATTCTTCAAAAGTTACATACTTGTCATTGAAAGTGTTTCGATATTGAGGTGGAAGTCGGGATAAGGCCCTGTAGGAAGCTTCCAAGGCAACATCTGAGGTCGTCCTTCGGAGCTACCCATCTCGACCGAGTGAGAAGTAGAAACCTGGACCAAGGCAGTAGAGTCATCTTGGCCAGGAACTGCCTTAGATGCCAACAATGACGTGACCACTGCATCAATGTGGGAGGATATTGTATCCTGTTGCATATATCCTGTCGTGTACGTGCGGACATCGCCGAGATTTTCCCACTCCTCCAGCTTGATACCGGACAGACCACGATCAACGTTGAACCGAAAGTAGGTACCTTTGATCTCTCGGAATCGCTTTTGAACCTTTTCTGCTGTCGTGTCAGATTCTGTGGCCATTTTGGTGAGTGCGGATATCAACTTCGTAGGGCTTGTTTTCGGAGACGCGGGGAATTGAATGGCGCGAGCAAGGCCGGTTCCTATGCTAACGACGCAGGCAACCTTTCTTCCAGGAAAGATTCGGCTCGCCTCTTCAAGCACCTGTTCGATAGGATTGTTGTACCCTAATCCGCCATCCACGAACGTCTCCTGCTCCCCTTCATCCCCGATCGCGATAGAGTCGAAGTATGTAGGCGCTGCAGAAGTCGCCCGGCTTGCCTCCCAAACTGTGCAATCAAACGTCGGATTGTTGCGGACATTATACGTTCGGAATAGTCTGGGACCGGATCGAGCTCGAACGTCCTGTTGTGGCACAGCGCAGACGAAGCTAAGAATAGCGACATTAGTGGAAGTTCGTCGAGAAAGTCGAGGAGTACGTACGCTTTGCAGGCGGGTCTTGAAGGATCAATCATTCTCTCCTCCCCAGAGCTACCCACTGATTGTTCTCGAAGAAGTTGCTTCACCGCTTCTTCCAACCTTTGACCATCGAATTTGTTCTTTTTAACGTATCTCGGAACAGAGAAGACGTCCTTTGCAATTCGGACATATGCTTTCCTGGCCTCAGGAACCGACAGGCGTAGCCGTCCCAGTAATAGGGCGATCAGGCTGCAATAGCGCACGAGTCAGCCATGGAAAGAGGTACGTCGGCAAGGTCTTACCCTCCTGTAGATGTCCCGCCGATAAGATCGAAGAAGTCAACCGGTAGAGGGTCGTCGGCCATGTTCAAATCGTGCTTGACGCGCCGCATGATCTCTTCGAGGATTATAAGCTCGGAGAGCCCGCGGATGCCCCCGCCATCTGCCTAATGTGAGCGACACCAGCTAATGACCAAGTTTGTTGTAGAAGTTTACCTAGGGCGAGTAGACATAGGGGTCTATCGCTCATTTCGCTGTGTCTCTTGTGTGCCACGGATCTTGCTGAACTCGAGTCCTGTCAACGAGGTGGAGGATTGCGAGATCGAGAGAGGGACGGAGATATGAAAGAGAAAGAAACAGCGGGGAATCCAAGTTGTTTAGTAAGAGTAAGACACTCCTTGGCGACCCACCGAAAGAGTGCTCATTGGGACTTGAAATAGATGTGCTGGCTTCAGCCGCACGAGGCTGGCGGCTATATGCACCAGTGAATGGTCACGAACGGCCGTCAGATTATGTCAGATAAGCCAGGACATGCAGCCACGAGAGAAAACAACGAGGGAACCCCGCATTAAAAGTGATATACCATTCTCAGGTTTTACGAAGCAGGGCGAGTGTTTTGCTGCCAGCACTGGTGCTAACACTATACTGCTATCTTCACGTAACGCATCCCTTCATAAATCCAATATGAGCGTTTGAGAAGCTTACAGTGAACTATATCATCCACCCAGAGAACTTGATAGGTTCAGGATCTGAACGGAGGTATGAGGAACGTGCATGATGATGTGTGGGTTGAGGGATGCCATTTGACTGTTATTTAGTTTTGGAGCAAATTTGAGTGCGATGCTGATATAACCGGGCCTTGAAAGCAACCGAGATAACAACTAGCACCCAGTTTTAAATCGGTGCAGTGTAACTGAGATTAGGTTCTCTACAACAGTTCAGGCGTGACCCATACGAACTCGGTGAGTTCTAGGTCTACGGCCACAGGCTCTGCTTTTCCCAGTTTTGTCCATCAGCCGCTCGCACATATTGTAGCCTCTCGTGGAGCCGATCTTTCTTTCCCTGCCAAAACTCCACAACATCAGGCGCAACCGCATAGACCTTCCAACCTGGCATGTGATGATCTGGGGACTTTTCCAGAGTCGCCTGTGCATCAGCAAGGCTCTTGGCAAGTTCAGCTGGTCCGTTAAGCACCTGGCTTTGCTTCGAAGCCATGGCGCTGATCTTGGATCCTGCCGGGCGGGCGGTGAAATCTTGAATGCAATCTGCTTCAGGCAATTGCACGGCTTTTCCCCGGAGGCGAACTTGGCGAGCAAGCTGAGGCCAGTAGAAAGTGAGTGCGACGTGTTGATTCTTTTCAATCTGCTGTCCCTTGGGACTGCCGGCTTTGATTGCGAAATGCCAACCGCGATGGTCAATGTTCTTGAGAATCAGAACGCGGGCATCTGGGCAACCATTCTCGTCAACAGTGGAAAGAGTCATTGCGTGAGGCTCCGTGACACCTTCAGAAATGGCGTTATCCAACCAGACTTCGAACGCCTCTTGCGGAGTGTCGGGGAGAGCGTCCAGGTGTGCATCCTGGGATGAACCTTGCAGCACAGCAAGATTGCGGAGCTTAGTCCTGAGTGAATCGGAAGTATTCCCCATGTTGTAGATACGTAAAGTTGGTTTGATTGGCCCTGGACGCACGTTAGTTGGCGTTGTCCTTGGAACGAAGGATCGCAAGCCGAGTTGCAGCGCAGGAGAGTGTAAGTGAATTAAGACAAAAATGTCATGCATTCTACACGTACAATCAGGAGAGGGAACCTAAGTAACAAATTTGACTTGTTGCTACTGTGATTTTAGCTGCCTAGAAAACTGAGGAGTTTGATGGTTTGGCCGCGCCCTTTTGTAACAGACGACGACCGCCGATCGGCACGAAAACGAAAGTGAGTCACACGAATGACCTCATTCAACAGCACCAGGACCCGGCATAGGCTTCATCTAGATCTTCAACAAGTAGCACAGTAGGATCTAAATGAGTCACTATGGAGGATCAATTATATTTGACCGGTCCAGATTGTGTATACCGAGGTCTCGCACGATGGGTCACCTGCTTACAGTTTTACCATAGATTGGTGATTTTCTGTTGTTCTTCCCTCATCCAACATTTAAGTTACATGAAACTGTTCAATAGATCTTGTACTGCTATCCGGTCTTCGCCCTCATTCTCTGCCTCCTTTGCCACTTGAGTTGCCGTCTTGCCATTCTCATCTCTAGCATTGGGATCAACGCCATGTTCGAGCAAAATCTTCACCACCCCGACGTATCCTCGCTTGGCCGCTAGATGAAGCGCAAAGCCAGCCTTCAAGGGGTAAGGATCATTTGCGTGATCAGATCCTCTGGTAAGGAGATGCTGGGTCATGATTTCATTGTTTCGGGTCGCGGCAGCCGCAAGTGCGCCCGACTGTTCAAGTTTCGCACCATGCTTCAGTAGCAAATCAACAACCTCGGTGTTTGTTTTGTAGAACGCTGCTACCATTGCAAGTGGGGTTATCATCATGCAGCCAGGATCCTGATTAGGATCAGCCCCGGCCTCGAGCAGAAACTTGAGGAAGTCAAGAGGCTTCTGGGCCATACAGGCTACTACAAGAGGAGTGCCACGTCTGTCAAACTGCATGTTGATGATTGAAGGATCTCGGGAGAGTAGCATCGAAAAGAGTGATGTTGAGTCCGCATATATTGCCGCACGGACTGCCTCTTCCTCGATTGAATGAGGCGGGTGATTGCAGAGCATGAACTCGACGACGGACACCCGATTATTCCAGGCTGCAGCCGCAAGTACGCGTTGGATGGCCTCTTCAGTGAGGGACTCTCCAGTCGCAATACACTGCTGGATCTGTTCGAGGTCGCCCTCAGAAGCGGCCTCGATAAGGCGGTCGTGTGTTTCTGGTTCTGGGTTCATAATAAAATTGTGTTGATGTTTATTGGAGAAGTTTGATGAAATGTGTCAAAGCGAGAAGGATTCAGAATTGCTCCTGTACAGCCTCAGTGCAGCCTGAATCAGCTGACGTATGGACCAGGCCTAGTTGCGCCCATCACTGCCTAAAACCCACTCAAGATCATCGCTACAGGTTTCATATCATTTTTTTTAACGATCATTGTCGCATTTTCCCATAAAGTTGTTATGCTCACAAATCGGGTTCTAGACCAACAAATCAACCATACATAAATTGAATCAGGACTCTGAGATCTCTCCATCAAGGCCCAGCCCCTCAACCATCTGCTCCAGAATACGTCCAAGAAATCTCTCCATATATCGCGTATCATGCCAGTTCGAACCGAAGGATGCAACAACAGTGGACTTTCCCTCCCACGTACCCAGGAATAGGCCTACACCAGGTCCGATGGACTCTGCGGCAACCCAGGCGTCAGAGACTAGCAGCGCGCCGTGCTTTGGGGCAATGACAGAATCAATGTTCCCGATGGAAGAAAGTGAAACTGATGAGAAAGACGGCGCCGCATTATCGTCTTGTTTAGGCGAATTGGGTTCTAGTTCAGCCTGAGATGAGGTCTCTTTCGCAGCGCTCTTCGACGAAGGTGTAATCGACGCCCACACCGAAGGACTCACAGCGATAAGGTCTGAAAGTGAGGCAGACTCCGAACCCCGAGCAGAGGCGAAGAAGTCTCGGACTTGGTCGGTCACTGTCGCGAACTCCTTCATCCTCGTCTCTCTCTCTTGCTCCGCACCAGAGGTAGGCACGACGACATCAACGGAGATACCCTCGACCGAGAGCATATGATATACAGCTGCAGCATATGCTCCGGTATTAAATGGCGGGCTGCATGCATTGCGCAAGTTGATGAGTGCTTGGTTGAAGTATCGCATCGGCATCGCTTGGTCACTTCGGGGCTGCAGATCTCGCAACGCAAGAATAAGGGCAGCTGAAAAGGCATGAGTGACGCTCACGCCACGAGCCTTGCACTCTGAGAGCACTTGCGCACTCAGGCTATTGGAGAGTGACAGAGGCAGGTATTGTCGCTTCCCAGCTGTACCTTTCTCAGCGCTATGCGGTAATCCAAGTAGAGGCATGTTTGTTTGGAGTGAGGCGTTCCTGTTCTTGATCGCATCAAAGTAGCGAAGCTGCTCTGCCGTTGGGGTCTGTGGCAAAGAAGCCGCAGTGCGCAGGGGAGGTGAGAGATTCCTGGCTTCATTGCCGAATACGGGCATCATGTAGGCATCTTCCAGTTCGTATGCTTTTGCAGCGTAAGCCAAGAGCTGCTGCAAAAGATGGAGGATGCCGATACCGTCGGTGATTTCATGAGGACAGCGCAAGAGGAGGGTGCGTTTTAGGTGACGATTGCTTTCGATGTCGGTGGTCGAGGGTCTCAAGATAAAAAGTGTAGATCGTTGGAATAAAATAGGGTCGTCATTGAGCCACTCGATGCCCGTCATGTCGGATTCAATCGTGACGAGAGTCGACGCCAGCCTTTGTTGCTGCTCGCCAACAGTATCTCGGTCGGGGCTCGGCAAGGGTGAATAGAACCTCGTCCACTTGTCGGTTTCCTTGTCGTAGTCGGTCCAGGATGCAAGCGAAGGGTGCTCGTAGCGTAGAGTAATCCAGGCCTTTCGTATGGCAGATTCGATCCGATCGTTGGCCTCTTCGTTGGTGACACCATCAACAACAGAGGCTTGGATATTCACGCACGCCGTGACTGGGAAGCAGCCAGCGCCTGCGTCTCTGGTGAGCTTGGCAACAGACGAGTAAAATAGTTCGACTTCGTCAATATCCCGCTCCCACAATCCAGAGGTGGTATACTTCCACTGGAACCGGTCATCCACGCCTTCATTGCCTCGAGGGATTGTCATCTTCGTCATTTTCGCCAAAATGTGTGGTGTTGGAGAGAGAATCGTGGTGTCTACGAATCCCTGGCAGATGTAATAGGAAGGTCGCCACGCCAAGCTCAAAAGTGCGCCAACTTGGTTCCCCGCCAGTCGAGTCAGCATTATTTATAACAGTCCCGATTTGGAAAGTATCCCCCGAAAGTACCACCATGTAACTGTGCCTCAGCCCACAAGATGATCTTGGACCGAGATCCTGAAGTTTCGTGTGACGATTGTTTTTATCCAAAATCGCGTGGCATAGGATAAGCGGGATGGGTTTGTCTTTTAATTCGGTAAGGTCACGACATCACAGGAAGCAATGGACATTTACAAGTCTTGACACATTTGGCAGCATATTAACAGTGACAAATCTATGCCCCTGTTGTTTGTAACTGCTGAATGGCTTTGATCAATCCATGCTATTACTGAGTAACCCTAACGAAAGAAACATCCCATCCCCTCATTAATTGTGAATTCCAAGCTGGCAATCGTCCTTAACATGGCCCTCACGAAAGCATGCCCCGCACCACGCTTCATCCGGTGAGTGGGCATACGGACAATCTTTCCCACGGTGACTGATGTCTCGTGTGCACATTCTCGTTTTCCAATACTTGAAGTTCAAGTTTGGCCACTTCTGAAACATGTCCTTTTCCTCGTTGGTATGTCTGGAGCCACAGTCGCCTCTCTTCTGGCAGCGGATGCCGTAGGAACATCGCTGCGTTTTGAGTATGTCGCGGCGATTGCGTCTCTCCTGGTTGGATCGAGACACTGCTTCCCAGCCACCGCTGTCGTCAGGGTCGTGGGAGATTTGGATGTCTTCATTTTCCTTGTGTCCACCTTGTAGTTTCGCAGTCTCCCAAGGTCTAGGCTCGGGATCCGCGGTGCTGGGAAGCTCCGCTTTGCGTCCGGCAGGCTCGTTCACTTTTTCAGCTGTGGCAGAGGTAGCATATTCGCCAGGGCCATCTACCAAGGGCTCATATATGTTCCCAGTTTCGAAAATAGCCGTGCTGATGTTTTGGAAACGAGCTGCGTATTCAGGCCATGCCAACACCGTCAAACTTTCCTTGAACAGCCCTCTTGTCTGCAATATTATTGCCTCCATGTTTGGCACTCTCGGAAACTCCACGAAAAGCTCCGTTCCCGTTTGGGGTTGACTGGCGTAGAACAAGCGACCCAACTGCATAAGCTGCCCTTTGACGGATGAATACAGGTTATTCTGGTCCGGGTCAGCAAACTCGCAGAGCACAAGTGTTTGGCTAGGCTTGGGCCATTTAGCCTGTCGCGTGGAGCTGCAACTAGTGAAGGAGATCTGGTCGAATATCTCATCAACGTAGTATATCGACATCAGGTCGCTGGTGGAATTCATTTTGATCAACTCCTTGGAGAGCGCCGACTTCAAGGCCCAGAGCTCCACTCGAATGCCACTCTCCAGTACTTTCGAGACCGGCGGGCATATATCACGGTCTCCGGTGATGACGACAAACGTCGTGTCGGCTTTTTCCTGCTTGAACTGCGGGTCGTACTGGGCTCTGATTGTGAGTTCGGTGGCTTTGTAGCTCAGATCCGTTGCGATGGAGTTGTCCACCTCCTTCTCTTTCCCGTGGGCGCGGTCGTGGACCTTGACGTCGAACTTGTGTTTCTCAGCCGCTTTCCACACCAAGTCATTCGGCGGTGGGCGCGATCCGTAGAGAATCGAAGGGCCGAGGCTACGGCGTTTGCAGATCGTGTCGACTAGTTTGCCAAGGTTTATTCTGAGGCGCGGGTCGCGGTCGCTATCTGCGAGTTTGGGGATGCGACTATTGCCCGAGGCGGCCAATTTTTGCGCCTCGATCCAAAGGTTGGAGTCATCGACGAAGAAGAGGCAGGTTTCGGTTGGTTCGTCACTCATTATGGTGGTGTCTGTCGAGTAAGTCTAGCAGCTTGTTAGATTAGAGTAGTGAACGGGAGTAAAGATTAACCACGAGGCGAGGATGAGCAGGAGAGAGTTTGATAACACGTCCGAAGGGCTGGCATACCTAGTAGAGGATGTGAGAAACTGCTGTCCTGAGCTTTGAGGAAGCTCAACGTCTCATGACCTAATTAAGGAAACGTTGCTCTAACAAGGACGTGAATTAGATTGGTTACGGCTAGCAAACACGGAGAATAATCACACCGAAATGACTTCACCCAGTTGTGCTACCAGAACCACTTAAATTCGAAACCTGTGCAACATTTCAATTCGGTTCAGCTGACAGTGCGTTTAGAGATAGTCTCGCGATGGCTGACGTATTTTGAGGCTTCACAATGTCTCAAAGATCATTGGACTTTGGGGCCATGACAGCTGCTGGCCGCTACTTCAGCTACAGCTGTCGCATCGGGGCACATGATTATTCAACTTGCCCATTGTATTAACTATCCACTTGAAAGATATTCTAAATAAATCAAGCCTTGATCACATCTCCTTTCTCGCTCTTGTAACTGTCTGCCGGGGCGTCCCCGACATCTTGACCAATGACAACATCAACCTTCCCCTTGAGATCATTGGTAGGGTCGTCAAACAAAGCCCCAAGCTCTTCCAGCGTGTATCCTTTTGTCTCCGGGAATGTAAGATAGATAATGATGGTGCCCAGTACCAGAACTCCAAGATAGAAAATGAAGTAATAGTAGCCAATGCGGTCCAGGGCGATCGGGTTGACGTACTGGTTCACCGTCAGAGCCGCCTGACTCACCACGATCTGCAGCGCGAGACCGCGATTTCGGATGCTGTATGGCAAAATCTCGGGTGTGTAGCAGTAAAGCAGCGGGTTGCAAGCCAGGTTGAACGCAGCGTTGTACAGAAAGAGAAATACGACCGTCGTGTACGCTGCGGCCTGAGAGCCACGATTGGCGTACATGGCGCTTGAGATGGTCAGGGGCACGTTGGCGCAGATCATGCCGATGAAACTGGCAAGCCATAGTGGCCGTCGTCCAACCTTGTCGGCCAGCAAAGCACCAACGACGGCGCAGATGAGATTCCAGATAGCCATGCCGCCGTTGATACCAGTCTGCTGGGTTGTGCCGGTGATGCCGATGCTGTTGAGAATGGGCGAAAAGTAATACGAGATGACACCCTGGCCATTCCACAGCGTGAGGACAGCGACTGAGATGACAATACCGAAGCGTTTCCGGTTGGCCTTGATGGCAAATACATTGCTCCAAGCTGCAATATGAGCCTCTCGCTCCTCAATGAGGGCTTGGCTAATCTCTTCCATCTCGACCTTGACAATATCGGCGTTATGGTCGCCGTTAGCGTGATACGTCACCAAGATTTCCTTTGCTTCGTCATAGCGACCCTTTGAGCAGAGCCATCGAGGCGACTCTGGCATGAAGGTCACAGCAGTCATGACAAATAGCGGAAAGCAAGTCTGTACGATGGATGGGATTCTCCAGGACCAGTTGTTGTCGAGGTGTCCGGTACCGAATGAAAGCCACGAGGCAATGATGGATCCCACATACCACAGGACATTGAACTGGTGCGAAATATGTTAGCAATCCGCAGTTATATCTGAATGCTTCATCCTCACCATTGATGCCATCTTGCCGCGAAGGCGAGGATGGCTAAGCTCGTTCAGCAGGCTGGGGCCCGCGCAGGTCGTGAAGCTGATTCCAAAGCCCAAGATAAAACGGCCACCGATGAACACATTTCGGTTCGGGGCGGCTGATTGCAAGGCAGAACCAATGATGCATAGCAGGGATCCAAACTGAATAGTTGGGCGACGTCCAAACTTATCAGCGGGGTAGGCCACAACCAATGCTCCTGCGAAGCCTCCAACAAAGACGAGGGCAGTGATGAGACCAAGAATTCCAGGGGTTGGGTTGCCCATAGCTGAGAACAAGTTAATAAGTTGCTCATGAGATTGTGTGGTGCACATGGGCATGGCACCAGAGTTAGTTGTTCGGGCCAATGTCTCACCTTTCTGCCAAGGATCCATGGCCTGGAAAGTACCAACAATGACTTCGTCATATCCAACAGTCATTTGGGAGACAAGCATCCACGATTGCCAGAAAACCAGCTTTCGGAGACCCCCATCTCGCCACCACGGTCCATCGGGGTTGGCGATGGTAGCGGCGGCCGCAGCCATGCTCCCATTGGGGAGACCCATGATGAACAATGTAATAATCTTCTGAGAGATGGATGGGAGTAAGGCTGAAGCTCAAGAGGCACTGGAGGTCTGGATCTGGTGATCTAAACGTCAAAGCAGGAAGTTCCATGCCAATATATACAACATTTGGAAATGACTAGTGCTATCTGCTTATCAAGTCCGTTGGTTGGCTGGAACAATGAGATGTGGATATGACTCGTCTCATCGGCCGAGTCACGGCCGACTTTCGCTCAGTGTGGGGAAACTTCCCATCACATAGCTCGACTATGAACCAATGCAGGCAAGCTCAAGCAATGAGATAACACTCTGGGGCGCGCTAGACCTCGCGTGAGATCACGACTTGTCGGGAATTTTCCCCTCGGTTTACACATCTTTGGGATTGCACAATCCATATTATTGAGGGGATGTACACGCGGAACCCCCACCTGGTGTTCTTGGATCGCTTGGGGGTGGAGTTGCACCGGTTTCTATAAAGATGGCTGCTCCCCCGGAGTCAGGCCACGGACTGTACGCCCGTTGTAACTGGAATAGCAGTCCTCAGATATCATGACTATTTCCAAAACACTTCCTTCTCGCCCCGAGTACGCCGGCGTCTTGCCAGCGGACTTTCTCCATGGTTACGCGTACGTAAACCCGACACTGGCTTGCATCGTTGCTAACAATCGAACTAGGTCAGCAGCGTACCAAGTTGAGGGTGCTACCTCCAAGGGTGGTCGCGGACCGTCTAATTGGGATGAGATGTTGAAAGACTACCCGGACAATGGCGATGATGCCTGTCGCTCTTACGACCTCTGGAAAGACGACGTACAGCTTCTCAAACAGTTCGGTGCCAAATCTTACCGGTTTTCGGTTTCATGGCCGCGCATCAAACCACTCGGTAAGTCAATGACTCCCTGGTTGAAGAAGGCACGGAACTTCAATTTAGTTATAGCCATACTAACCTGTACAAGGCACCAAGGACTCACCCGTCAATGAGGAAGGTGTTGCGTATTATAACAACCTGGTATGCATTTGCTTCTCTAGCCTGTGGATGACGACACTGACTTTGTTAGATTGACGGTTTATTAGCAGTCGGAGTCGAGCCGACCATCACGTTACATCACTATGACACCCCCCTAGCCTTGGACGAACGGGACCGAGGTTTCGCTGCTGTTGATGCAACAGAGCTGATTGAGGACTTCGTTGCGTACGCGAAAGTGTGTTTCGAGAGGTTTGGTGACAGGGTCAAGAGGTGGTTGACAATTAACGAGGTGAGTTGAGACCATTTCGGTTAATCCCTTGTGCCATGAAGGACATATAGCTGAAGAATGGGTAGCCTTGGATCTTTTGCTCTCTGGGAGCTGAAGGTATCGTCAAAGATTATACCCGGGCCGACTTTTTCAGGCAAGTATTTGGATCACAGCTATACAAATATGGAAAATCTAACCGTGCGAGTACAGAGTTGGCCACAACACCTTGCTTGTTCATGGGCACACTGCGCATCTGTACCGTAAAGAATTCCAAAAGGTGCAGGGCGGACAGATTGGCATTGCACTGGTAAGAACGCCAAGGTCCGTTCATCAAATACTATATCTAATTTCCCACCACAGAACTACGACTGGGCGGAGCCAGTTAATAATTCCCCCGAGGCGATAGAAGCTGCCATGATTTCGGAAGAACGGTCCCTTGGCTGGTTTGCAATGCCCATTTGTAAGTTTGTTTCTTCACCTGACCAAAAGCGCACGTACTAAACCTCGTAGTCAAGGGAATACCAACGAAGTCGTGGGATCACTACGGTGATGCATTCCCACGCCTTACGGCGGATGAATTGAGCTTGTTAAAAGGCTCGGCAGATTTGTAACCATGCCCCATTCCCGCCTCTGCAGTCTCTTCTAATCAGTTCACAGTTTCTCCATAAATCACTACGGCACAATGTACACTACTGGTAAACAGCTGGCACCAAATACTGCCACAGATTTCCGAGAGTTGGATGATATCCAGAAAACAGTCTACAGAGATGGCGTTTTAATTGGCAGACGGGGAGAGAATGGCCATCCACACACTGGTAATTATTACCAGAATCCACCTTGCAAGGCCTCGATGTTAACGCTGGGTAGTCCCATGGGGTTTCGGAAAGCTCCTTGTTCACTGCTGGGAGGTCTATGCCAAAGACCTGAACATCCCCGTCATTGTGTACGAAAATGGCTACGCTGTGGAACACGAAGCATCAGCGCCATTGAATGAGATTGTCGACGATAAATACCGCCAAGAGTTTTACGACCAGTACATTCAGGCAATGTGCGACGCGGTCAAGAATCACGGCGTTTGGGTGAGTGGCTACCACTGCTGGAGCTTGCTTGAGTAAGTCAAAAATATTCTTCCAGAAAATACAGTGACTGATATGATGGCGTAGCAACCTTGAATGGAACAATGGATACACTCCTCGCTTTGGAGTAACGTATATCGATCGTGAGAATGGTTTCAAAAGAGTTCCGAAAGATTCTTCGAAGACGGTTGCGGCTATTTGGAAGCACGTCGTGCGCAAGCAAATGTAGGGCCATTTTATTGTAGATATACAGCAAGCTCTGGATGGATGCAACATGTAGTTAAAGGAGCAATTGATCATTGATGAACTTTCGGGTTTGGGTTTGGCTTAAAGACCCCTAAGAAGTGCTCAATGTTGCCCTGAAAAGTCATAAATGAGCAGTGTACCTAGAGAGAGGTTTTGGCGAGTACTAAGTCATCCTGCTCCAATCTCGAAGTTGATGCGACCCCTAAATTTCAGCAGCTTAAACGAAGCACAAGAGTCGCAAAAATGCTTATAGAATAAATTAAATCGTATTTTACATCATTGTTGGGTGTGGAAGCCATTGCTGTTGAAGACGGCCGGCTCCGAAGGCGACTACCCTAGACTAAAAAAGGCACGACCCAATATTCTCGCCACTAGATTTTGGGGTGTCCCCTCTTGAACTCACTTTTGACACGACCTCGCTCTCAGCTACGAATTCTTCCAGGACAATCGCTCCAAGGTGATGTAAGTTTCACCTTCAATTCGTATCATCATGTCGTCACCAATTCGCTCCACACAACGTGCTCCGAGAGCCTGCGCCGCTTGCTACAAGGCGAAGGTGAAATGCGACAAGACGATACCCTGCAGTCGATGTGTTGGCCGCGGAATCGCCCAAGACTGTCGGCGGGAAGTTGTTCGTGTTCAAGGTCAGATTCATGGCGCGATAGCGACTTCTCCAAAGCTCAGCTGGGATGACTTGCTCCATGAAAACCACCGCTTGCGTGCAATCATCACGAGTCTTCCGAACCAAGATCGAGAGGCTCAGCCAGACACAGAGGCTCCTCTATTAAATCCATTCGGCGCCGAGGGCGAAGATTTTGAGACGCAGCTTTTTACAGCTGTTGACCACTCCTCTACGCCGAGAACTGTGTCAAGCACGGCAGCTATTGTGATGCCCTCTAGGGAGAGCAGCGATAAAATCCTGGCGCATGCATTCGAGTGGACGTTTTGGCATCACTTTAGTTTACTCGTCCCGGAATTCAAAGCCGAACACGATACATTTTGGGACAGCTATTCCGAGACTCAATCACTAGAAGCAGCACAGCCTCTCTGGTTGGCTATTTACTTTAGTGTCTTGGCCTCCGAGTTGCTGTTTCTGAGCGACGACGACTTGATCAGTTTCGACCTTCCAAACATGGAATATGCCAGTCTGTTGAAGAACTGGTACGACTCGGCCCTCTACTTTCTCGACAAAGCCGATTTCGTGCAGAACCTAGATATCCGCTCTATCCAGGCCATCTCTATCCTTGGCCTCGTTTTCCCAAGCGTGGGGGACTCACAGCGCCACCGCGCTTTGTGGTCTCTTGCGGTACGGCACGCCCAGGATCTGAAGTTGGGAACCGACAGCGCTCATCAGGACGAGTCGTATGTTGAGCAGCAAAAACGGAGACGGCTCTGGTGGACACTTGTCATCTGCGAGTGGTTGCCCGTCCCGCACCGGAGTCCATGCATTAATGACAATGATTTTGACTGCGAGATTCCAGATGAGATCGATGATGCCGAAATTTGCGATGTCGCCATTCTCGGCGGTAAATCAAGGCTACCAAAGAGCAAGCCGCGGCCAGTCCAATACCACATCGCCATGATCAAGCTGGCAAAGATATACTACCAGATCAGATTCCGGCTTCGCATCCGCAGGTGGCAAGCCGCTGAGATCGCAGAGTTCGTATTCACAGCGGACGAGCAGTTGGCCCTATTGATATCCAATCTGCCGTCCCACCTTCAATTTGACGAGAAGCAGTCGGAAGTGTCGATCGGGAGGGATTGTCGACTTCCTTGGATTCCTTGGCAGCGGAACAGCATCACAAAAGCCCTTTTGTATTACCGCATGGTCATCGGCCGACTGCTTCAGGCACATTGGCTAGATGGGTCCATCAGCGGCACTAGGACCCGGGCTATATGTATCTCTTCAGCCCAAGGATTGGTCAATACCACGCGAGGAGAAAGCGTGGACCCTTCAAAGATGCGACCTTGGTACGTAATTGGTCTTCTATATTTACTACATATCTCTAATATTTCTCTACCGCAGGGCCGTTGCAGTGACTATCTATGCCGCTGTCATCACACTCATACTCGAGTCGTCCATCAGCAACACAGACTACGACACCGAAGTACAGCACGGGCTGGATTTTCTTCGATTGATAGAGCCTCACAACTCCATTTCAATGCATAGCATACGAATCATCGAAGGTCTGCTCCACAATAGCGCGGTGAGCTCTGGGAAGTAGGGGTGGTTAGTGGGAGGATTGGCAAGAAGTTCATGTGCCATCGTCATCGAAGGAGAAATGAATCTATGTTAAGTTTAATTTGTAGAATGTGTAAACCCTTGTTTATATTAATATTACAACCCTAGCTTATCAGATCAGCCGTGGCGCCCTTCTCCATTCTGCCAGTGGCATAGATCCTGCATCAAGAGGTTAGGGTGCCCTAGTGCACACGTACTCAGAGGGTGGACTAGAAGCTCGACGGTGAAAAAAGAAAACACCAACAATAGTATCAATAATATACTCTATGTACGCAACTATCAGCGCCTCCCGTTGGAGTGCGAATTCTGGCTTTGGTATGACTACCTAGTTAGAGTGACAAAAGACAATATAAGTAGCTAAGATAGGCAACAAGGACAATCAGCACTCTCAAACCCATCGGATCAAAAGATTCATTCAAATACTACAAGCTCGGGCCAAAATGCTAATACTTGAGCAAGGCAATAAGGCTTCCAATACACCTCACCGTATTCAAAATCTCCACGCCAAGCTCCAAGATTGACTGATTGGGGTTGAACCAATAGTCCAAATACAAGACGGAGCTTCCTGTTGAAGGCAGCCTGTCTTACAAAATAACTCTATCCATAATACAAACAAAGTCTCTGCCCTTATTTTATCACCAAGGACTAATGATCGCCAACATAGTCCTTAATGTCGTGAGCGCCCGTCCTCCTTCTCCTTTTCCTTCTCCTTCTCTTCCAGGTACTCAGCAATTCTCCTATGCTTGTAATGTTTGGCCACCGAAAGTGGTGTTCGTCCCTGGTCATCCTTGGACTTAATATTAGCCCCCTTCTCGACAAGCAGTCGAACAACAGCAAAATGAGTCTTGTCCGGTCTCCTAGCTGCCAAAATCAGCGGCGAAGCCCCCTTTTGATCCTTGAGCTCGAGATCGGCTCCCTTCTCGATCAGGCATCGAGCAATATTCACGTGTCCCCATCGCGCTGCCACCGTCAGAGCTGTTTTTCCGTATGTATCCTTGTGATCAACCATATTGTCATACTTGAGTAACAACTCGGTTAGCTCCTCATGTCCCTGCCGAACTGCAAAGATTAGAGGCGTTCTCCCATGCTTATCGGTTTTACCTGGCGAGGCATCTCGCTCTAGTAACAGTCGAGCGGTATCCAGATCTTCCTGTTCCACAGCCGAAATAAGAGGAGTCGGCCGATATTGGCTTTCACATTCGAAATCCGCGCCGTTGTTGAGTAGTAACCCAGCGGCACGCTCATGTCCGCCGCTATTTGCCAACATCAGCGGAGTTGAACCGTCTGGGCTTCGACACTCCGTATCGGCATTGTTGTCGAGCAACAGCTGAACGACGGCATCGTGACCGCCTCTAGCTGCCAACAGCAGCGGAGTTAAACGGTCTTGGTCTCGACACTCGGTATCAGCGTCGTTCTCGAGTAACACCAGAACAATGTCTTCGTATCCGCCTTTAGCTGCCATCAGTAGCGGAGTTGGCATATTCGGGCCTTGACAGTTAATAGCAGCGCCCCTTTCGACTAACAGCCGAACAGTGGCAGTGTGCCCTCCTTTAGCAGCCAGAATGAGTGGTGTGTTTCCGTTGTTATCGACAGGTTCAGTACCAGCTCCCTTCTCAAGCAGCAGCCCAACAAGATCAGCACGACCAAGCTCAGCGGCAGTCGCCAGTGGCGTTCGAACACCAGACGGATAGAACTGGATATCAGCCCGGGCTTCCAGAAGATGATGGAATATGGCGTCGTGTCCTCCCCTAATGGCTGCTGTGAGGGGTGTCTGGCTATTGACAACAGGTTCGGTGTCGACACCGAAGTCAATCAACACCTTGGCAACGGATTTGTGGGCGCCTCCGATGGCCCACCACAGAGGCGTCCGATTAGATTTGTCCGGTCTATCGGCGTGTACCTGTTTACTCTCCAATAATAACTTAACAATTTTGTCATATCCATTGCGGGAGGCCCATGACAGCGGAGTCATCTGATCCATCTCCACGAGATCCAAGGCAGCCCCTTGGTCAATCAAGGACTTCATGCGAGACTCATAGCCCAGTTCTGCGCAATGTGAAACTGCCGATCTCCCGACGTCATCTAGACTGTCCAGGTTCGCATTCATCTCAGAAAGTTCGGCAATAACCTCACTCCAGTCATTGCGGACGGCCAATGGGAATGCTTGCTGTGAATCTGGCGAATTCAACAAGTCGGAGGTCATGAAACAGAGATGGTATAGTGTCTCTGTCCGGTCTCTGTCTGAAATTGCTTGCACTAGTTGCTGTTGTACACTCTTTGTATCGTCTGAGGTTGATTCGATAGTCCTGGATCGTTGACTAATCCTTTGAGCTACCTCCCGATAGGAATCAAGAATCTCCTTGACTTCTGGGTTGGTCTTGCCCATACTGTCGTATGTCCTGGTCATCCACTCAATACCATTGTTTCCCATCTTTCGACTGGACTGTTGATTCAGTGCGTGACGATAAAGTTCACCTAGCTCGCGCAAGGCGTCTGTAGATAGTTGTCCGGGATCTTCTGAAGACGAACCAAAACTTGCACAACACCATCGCAGTAAGATTTCGGCACGTCCCCATTTTGACTTCTGGCGATAATAACTTGTCGCTTTGGTGAGAACTGACAAGATTTCCTCGGAACTGGGAGAGGGAAGCTGTTCTTTCAATGCGGGTATGATGGACAATAGTAAGTCGGAAGGAGATCCCAAATTGTTCTCCACAAAAGCCTCTTCGATGATGCTAATCGTTGTGTTTCGTAGCCGTAGCGTGTCGGCTCGCTCAACGATAGTCGTCTTGCCAATGGCATCGCTACTTAGGAAACCAGCCAATGACACCAGGAGTGCCGTGAAAAGCTCTTGCGCGCAAAGATCAAGTAGTGAAGTTTTTGGAAGCACCGGAGCAAGCTGAACCCGAATGCTGACAGCGTTGCTGCTCGAGCCATTTGCGGTTCTGTAGACATGGTTCCATCCACAAAATCGCTGCCATGTGGAATTCATTATATTCTTTTGGGTTGAGACAGTTTCCCAATGTTCCTTGTCGCCATCCATGGGCTGCCAAAGAGTGCCGAGGCCATTGAGATGTTGCTTATCGAGGGTGAGAGTGGCTTTGGAAAATTGTACGGCGTTGGTGCCCAGCCACAAGTCCATTTCGCCTTGTATGTTGCCAGCTTTGTCATTCCAGATAGGATCATCCGCAAAGCCAGCTGAAACAATCCTTGCTCGCAATAGTTTTTCTGCTGGTGAGACGGTATGGGCGGAATGGTCATCGGTTGGCCTGAGACGCTCATCAGAAACCAAAGTCCACATCCAGAGACCCAGAATTGCCTCGATTCTTGCAGAATCTACACGCCAGCTCGCCTGAGAAGATTCAATCGGTGCCCCAAGAGTGACGTTGACTTGATGCTCTGGGGCAGGTGAATCCTGCTCCTCGGTAGTGGCGCGAATGCGGAGTACAATATCTTGTTGGCGTCTGGGAAAGAGTCCTGCTACAGCTTGGCAAAGTGCAGCAGAAAGTTTGTTTGCTTTAACGCGGACTTTGACAAACTCGTCCTTCCACAGCTGATATTCGGTGTCGTTGATATTGGTCAATGTGAAGTGCCCAGTCAAGTGGGCAAGCCGCACTCGGATTCGAAGTAGGTCTTCAAAACTGTGCTGGCCAGTGCTGCCAGCGCCGATTGTGAGAGAAGAATTAGTCTCGGGTAATGTCTTCGCACTTCGAGATGAGCTTGACGTCCGTCCTGCGGTTTCGTCAACGTCAACGTCGGCTCGTCCGTCCTGACCAGTAACGTGCCAACAGGACCAGGACCCGGCAATCCTGAATGCCAGCCAGTCCAGCTCGTGACCTGCCACTAGGTCTGGCATTTTCGCAAACTCGTTTCCATTCCTGTCAAGTCTTTGCATACGGAGACATCCACGCAGAATGGACATAACGATGGTGATCCCCACCTGAGCGAGGGAAATCCAAGCGCTCAGCCCGCGGAGTCCGATAAATTGTACAATGTAGCCAGCCAATACAAAGAATACAGCAACATACGTGTACTTCTCGAACTTCTCCTTGAATATCTTTCTTGACGACATCCATACCTGGAGAGGACCCTTTTCTGGGTTTTCAAGATGTGCGAAAGGATCGAAGCTTTGATCCCCGATGACTTGGGGACCAGGCTGCAGCCAGAGAATCCGGGACTGCGACGATTTGGTGAGAGAAGTGCGTTTCAAGAGACGTTCATGAGTTGTCTGGCCGATGAGGGCCGCGCAGAACCCCATTCCGAGGCACATAAAACATGTACCGGCAATGAACATAATCGCGGCAGAATTTCCTGGTGAGGCATCTTGTTGCTCATCGGGAGTCCAATTGAGAACCCAGACGCCAACGCCAGCCATCACGAGAACACTCACTTGGAGGATGATTCCCGTCGCAGCGATGACCATGAAAACCCAGGGTGGCCGCTTTACGATACCGATGTTGAGAGAGAGATTCGGGTTTGGAGAAAATCTGGTTGCTGAGTCGGTTTGTCTCCTCTTAACTTCGTCCCAATCTGGACTCCCAGAGTTTTTGTAATGATGACTGAAATAATCCCGAGACAGATATAAGCCTGCCCTGTCGTTCTCGGACTCAGAAGCTGGCGTTTGCAAGCCCTCCTGGCGCGGAACATGGATGAGCTCCAAAATACTCGGCCGACCCAGAACGCGTGTGATGCCGCCTCTATTGAACAGCTCGCACACATCTCTGCTTGTAGACGTGCACAATTCTGCCTCAACTATGCCATCCCCTTCCTGAGATCTGCCAATGAAGGCGCGAAGAGCTGAATGGCCGCAGACTCTAATGACAGAGATGATCGCGGTCATAATCCCGACTGGTGCCATGGCGAAGATGACGTAGTCCAAGGAAGATGTGCTCTCACTGAGATATTGCTTGGTCATAGAGTCACCAAACAGAGCAAGAAGAGGACCCAGGTCAGTGAAGAGATTGTTGGAGAAATCGGCGAGGTCGTCGGCTTTCGCCCCCACGAAAGCGAAGGCAAAAAGGACCAAGAGCCAGCGTTTGGCCATGGTGAAACGTTGATGTGGTCAGAAGCGAATATTTGAGGAATTGAGATGACAAGTTTGGTTTATGGAAGAGATAGAAGGGCAAATATTTACCAGATAATATAGCCTTCAATATCCAGCGATGATGGCATCGTAATCAGGCTGTGCTAGTGTCACAACACAACGACACAAGCGCCAGCCTTATGCGCAAATGTCACATCTCGACGCCTCTCGTCCAGAATTCAGTTGTGGCGGCCAATTAAGCGACATCTGGTCCACAATCGCCGTATTCCGCGTCAAGAGGAACATGAACCACTGGAGATGTGCAGATCTATTTGCATGAACGAGTTCAGGTGTTCGGCAATTGTTCTTGGCATTTCTCAGCTGAATGCCACGAGCCCCATTTCAGCGCCTAAATACGGCTGACACTCAGCTGAAATGGCCAACTACATAACGAGTCACTCTCAAGGGCGTCTCAATTGTCTCAGATTCTTTGCGCGAGGCGTTGCGATTGGCCGACTTCAAACGACCCCCACGCAGCCCAGTGCAGCCGAGCTATTCTAATACATGATTTGTTTTCGTGCCGCTGAATGAGGTAAGTTTTAGGTTGATTGGGTGTCCTCTCGCAAAGCGGACGAGATAAGTTACTGAGATGACAAAGACTGCGTTTAAGGATCGCAGGCGAACAAACAGGAGAAGCGATGAGAGACGAAGGCTCCACACCACCCCCAACATACCTAGGCATATTACTGAGCCGTTGACCACGAATAGGCTGCGTAGACGCGGCGTCAGTATGTAATGAATCTCTAAATGGCTCATTCACTACGCTTTGTGTGGTGGTGTAGTTGTCTGCTGTTTAGAATCAGGGGATCCATAATTCTTGTGTACTGTTAGAGGTTTACCAGAAGGATTTTAAGAAACTTGCTTGATATGAGGATATATAATTGGGATCTGTGATCACAACAGTGGGGTGGCGTTCTACAGCTCAACGTCTCGATCAGCTGGCTTTAGCTCAAGCTCCGGCATCTTCAGCCTTATCTTAAAGAGCTCAGCGTGAAACAGCAGCGACTGTTGTGGGCACAGAAATATATTTAGGCGTACTGGAATCTCGCCTTCGAGCTCTTTGTTATTTGAAGCATCCCAAAAGGTACATTACAATCATCAGAGAATAAACAAAGATCCAGACTTTCCAGACATATCTTTCCCGAGTAGTCCACGGTGACAGAGAAGTCACGCTATCACCATGGGTAATTGTGTACGTACAAGCGCAACGCGAGTTCGGAACCACCCCTTATGCGCAGTGTTTTTCGATGAAGAACGACAGTTTCTGGAGCGTCTCATCGACAGACCAGAATATCATTGGAAAGTAATAGGAATAGAAATTGAATTGTGATATCATTACAATGATTTTTAACAATCTAGCAGAATTCCACCCGATGTTGACACACCCTGTATCGCAAGCTTTCTAGATGTTGCAATACCCACAGGAGCTTGCTCACGAGTCGTGGCACACTTCTCCGGGGCTAAGCCCATAGATTTTAAGAAATTGACCGTTTGTAGCCACTCGGCTTGTTTGCGCGACTCGCTCCAGTCTAGCTCATCCGCCATGATATCAATGACGCGTGGAAGTGCCTTGAGAGCCCCTTCAACATCGAGAAAAGACAATCGTGTCCGCCGTGAAATGATATCTTGGACTGTGCAAGCTGACTCGGATCGGACTCCGTGCTGAATCTCAGCTTCCAAAATGGGGAATGATGGTAACAGGCGCGTGTATTGCGATGGAGAGTTGGCGAGAATGGACCAGGCGCGATCTCCATAGTTGGTGGCAAGGTGATGGGCAACATCGACATCGATGCGGTGAAGTTCCATTAACTGTGACGCCAACGCTGGTGAATAACCGTGGGCGCCGACGACAGGGAGTTTTTCTGTAGAGCAATTGCCATTGGTAGTGAATTGTGGGAGATGCGCACCGCTGATGTCGGGAAGAGTAGTGGCCTGAGATGTCAGATTGAAGGTCTTGGTAGCTTCATCAACAGTCTCTTCAGCCATTCGGCGATAGGTAGTCCACTTTCCTCCGGCGCAGGTGAGTAGTCCGGAGGGAGAGACAGTGATGAGATGGCTACGAACAAGGGACTCTGTATTCTTGGCTCGAGGATCCATGATCAGAGGTCGGATGCCTAATTGTTGTTAGAAATTATCACGCTGAGGGCGAAAAAGCACTCACCCGACCAGGTTGCAAGGACATCAGACCTCGTGAGAACTGAATCCGGCGACAGTAACTTGCTGACCTCTTTCAAGACAAAGTCCACTTCGTCATCTCGCGCAGCCGGATTTCGCTCAATCTCACAAGGGTTGTCAGTTGTCCCTGCAAGAGTGCGTCCCTCCCAGGGAAGAATGAAGATGACTCGTCCATCTGAAGACGCGTGTAGCATGCCCATTTTGTTAGGGCACAATGACTTGGGAAGTATGATATGGGCTCCAGAGGACGGAGCCACCAAATCCTTCCGAGACGGGTCGTCCATATGCTCAATGGCATCTGCGAATGGTCCGGTGGCATTGATAACCCCCTTTGCTCGGACGGTGAATTCCTCGCTGGAAGAAGCCAGAGTGTCGCGCATCTTCGCACCGTGAATCTTGCCGTTCGAGTCCTTTTCCAGACCCGTAACCTCGACATAGTTGAGGACCGTAGCACCGTAGAGCGATGCAGTCATTGCTAGTGAAATGTTCATTCTCGAGTCATTATGCTGACCGTCATGATACACCACGGCGCCAACTAGACTGTCGCGACGCAGCATAGGAAATTGAGCGACCGCTTTGCTCTTGCTCAACAAATACGAACGTTCAAGACCTCGAGATCCAGCGAGGAGGTCGTAGACGAACGTGCCGGCGTACACGTACGGAGCCTGCCACCAATGTTGCATTGGCAACAGAATAGGCAATGAGCTAGAAAGATGTGGCGCAATTTCTAGAAAAGCCTTGCGCTCGTGCAAAGCCTCCATGACTAGCTGCAGTTGGGAGTAATCCAGGTTCCAGACGGCCTTTTCGAGGTAGCGGACGCCGCCGTGGACTAGCTTCGTGCTTTTGGAGCTGGTGCCAGAGGAGAAGTCGTCGCGCTCGACGAGAGCGACTTTGAGGCCGCGAGTGACGGCATCGAGAGCAATTCCGGTTCCTGTTGCGCCGCCGCCAATGACGAGAAGGTCATACTCCTCCTGAGTGTCGGTCGACCCATTGCGGCGTAGGTCGGCGAGCTGCTGAGCCCGAGACTTGGGCGTGGGAAATGAAGGCGGCTGGATCTTGCCATTGTGATCGCGTTGGATAGCTGCAAGTGGCATCTTGACGGGCTCGTTGCCGCTGCGAGATCTGTAGGCAATGCCGACTCCGGTTACCGTGGCGAGAACTGCCGCAGAGGCGACCAGTGGCCGCCTGATACTGGCGAGCCGGGACGACATGCTCGGTTGGGCTGGACCTTGCCAGAGGTTGTTACATTCAAAGGAGGCTCTTCGCCTTGTTGAGATTTCCAGCGTTGACGACTTCTTAAAACGAGACTAAACGGACATGAGGGAAATAACGCCGTCTGTGATTCTAATCAAGGACTGCGGAGAAACAAATGACACACGTGCGGTCGACTACAGGACCAGAAAAGTCAGTATCTGGATGGAGTAGTGACGCAACAGTCCCATAATCGTTTCAATCCAACGTCGTCTGGCCCACAGAGTGCCACGAAGGACCGCATGGCCTCGTGCTTCTCTTTGCACCTCAATGCTACCGGGACAATACGGATACGCCCCACAATGCGTGTCACGGAGACTCCAATTGCCGCATGGTTGAGCCGGAGCGTGTTTTCCCTCGAGACAAGGCATTGGATCTGGCCCGGCTGACGTGGTTTACGATGCTCAACCAGGACGATGCTATACGCAACTCGCAACAACCCCAGCCGGCGCTTATGCATCTCGGGTCTCCACCACCGAGATCTGCAGCTCGGTGTCGGTAGAGCGAACCGAAGCGGCACGAACCACGCCCCTCCGCATCTCGGCCGACGCCAGCGACGCTATTCCCGCCACCAGCCCCTCCCCAGCAAAAAGCCAAGATGTAGGTTGCATCTGGGCTTACGGGGTGTCTACTAATCGGACCGTTTGAGCCCCTCAGGTGACTGGCGCATGGCAGGCAGCAGTTTGATAAACCCTGAGAGATCCCCTTTTGGCTCGCCTTATTCCCGGTTGGCAACTCCTCCTCACTCTGGTTTTAGCCGCCGCCAACCAGTCTGGGCTTTAGCTTGGCGGCAGATGGGAGATGGTGTGCCGAGGCTTGTTCTGAGGGGCACAGGTGACCTCCGGCAATGGTTTGATACTGACCCTTGCCCAGCACCATGTGTGAAGAAAAGTGGGATTTGTTTAATTGACAAAAGATAACCATGTGTCAGATACGGAAAAGCCCGCGAGAACCTAACCTACAGTGCTTTTTCTCGCCGCAGTTGGCCTGAATTGCACAGCTCGGGACGGCCGGAAACGGTGAGGCGTCTCGTGTGCAATGATACTCAGGATACGCCACCCCGTGTGCTGAGTTTTCCCATGCAGCCGTGTAATTAAGGTAAGACATGTCGAATGTTCTTGTCAGAATGCTTGTCAGAATGCCAATTTCATCCTCCACGAGACCCTTATTAAGGCGTCGCATCATCTCCACCAAGCTGATGAATTTTCCCACTAACACGGTTCTAGAATCTGGCAGGTGGAGCTGGATGGATACATATTAGCGACAGCCGACGCGAACCGACCGTTCCCTTGCAAGTCATGTTCTTAATAAAGCTTCTTTTGATTTAATCCACTATTAGATCTCACAATCTGGATACAATGCGGCTTCTTCCAAGATGGATCTGCATGAATTCGATATTGAGATAAGTTCCGTATGTTCCTTGTAGCTAGACTGGTTCCTTTTAATCCTCATCCGTGCATAAGCAACCTGCTTGTCGGATGGGCCTCTGTTGCCATAGTTCCATTATCCGTGCCATTTTGGTAGAGCAATTAGACGTGAGAGTCAAATCTCTTCTTGTACGTGTTCGACCACACATCCCGTCGAGGCTTGAACAACCGCGCGAAGCCGAGATAAGGTGTGTTCACGGGGCTTTCGCCGGTATACATGAGGACATCGTAGAGGAAGCCTCCAAAGGCGGTTCCGCAGAATGGTGCCACCATCGGGATCTTTGGAACGACGTTAGCCAATGTCAAAACAAGCATAGGGATTTAACTTACCCAGAAGTAATAACCTCCAGCAGACCACACCCCGTGACCGTATCCAATCATGTACGAAACAAGACGGGGCCCAAAGTCACGAGCCAGGTTGATGGCGTAGCCGGTCTCCCAGCCGAAGCACGCGCCAATGCCGAAGATCAGGAAGAACAGACACAATGGAAGGAGAGGTCCGGCGCCAATGTTGCCGTTGTCGACCAGGGCGAAAATCACAAACTGCAGGATGGTGCTGGCGACGAACTCGGAAAAGAACATTCCTGTGCGCGTCATGAAGGCGGCGGGATACGTGCAGAAGATACCCGCGCTGGAGGTGTTCAGTCCCACGGTCCGGATGCCGCTGCCTCCCTCGAACATGTCAATGGCGGACTTGTAGTTTGCATAGACAATCGCAGCTCCCGTCATGGCACCGAGGAGTTGGCCAATGAAGTAGACGGGGAACTTCCGCCACGGGAGACCGCGGTAGAGGCAGTTGGCGAGCGTCACTGCTGGGTTGAGGTGGCCGCCCGACTTGCCACCGCAGTAGACTCCAAGCATCACTCCCAGACTGAGACACCAAAGTTAGCTGTGAAGCCCAATTGGAGATGACCGATAAAGAATGCTTACCCCCAGCCCCAGGAGATGCTCTGGTAATCACCCTTCGTACCACTGCTCAGCACAACCTGGGCAACGACGCCATCGCCAAACAATATCAAGGTCATGGTGCCCAGGAACTCGGAGAAGCCATCCTGGCAGACCTCGCGGATCCTGCTCCAGGCCAACTGCTCCCCGACCGACGACGGCGGCATCGACTCGCTGGAGACCTCTTCGTGTTCCTGGATCTTGGGGCTCCCCATCTCGATCTTCTGGACGGTGGTTGCCTTTTCGATGGACGAGTCTGACATTGAAGCGGGAAGAACGGAGATGGGCATTTGATGAGATGAGTTGTGGCGTGGTATCTCGACTCTCGACTCTCGGGGACAAGGGAGCATTTATGTTCTGTTACGCAACGATGTCGTCCCGCTAATGCGTCGCAATGGCAGTGAGGGGGTCTCTCGAGGCCTGTCGGTGCTCGCCCAGCCTGCGCTGCTCCGATGCTTCCTCCTCTCCTCTCCTCTCACCAGCCAACACGGCGTCCTCCAGGCCGGATCTGGCTAGGAACAGCCGGAACTCCTCTGGGGCGAATTCGTTCCCATCCCAGTGCCATCGAACGATGCAAGGGGGGAGCGGGCTCGGTGTTGACGGTATCGTGGGAACGAGTTGCGATGCATCCTCGGTCTGCGGAACCGAATACATGGCACGCGGACTGAAGAGCTGGCCGAGGCTGGTGTGTCAACCAACATCTCCTCCATCCTTGGGTCAGATCAAACCCCGAACACTCCGGATTTTCTCCACATCTTACAACCCGGGGGAAGAGAACTATTGCCAACCGGCCGAGAAGAGGAGAGAGATGCCCGCCCTCCTCGTTCCGGACGGTGGGTCGCAGCGGTGTTAGTCTGAGGCGTCAGCAATGCAACTCGGTACGCCCACCCCGAATGCAAAGCCTCAATGGGCATATGACAACCGTTGAAGGATTGTCACATGGGGTAAAGACGTCTCCAATGAGGTAAAAGCCCGGAATACAGGGTCTCGGTCTAGGCCCCCAGAACTCTGCAACCCCACAATCCGGGGATGGGGAACTCGTTTGGCTGGGATCAGCTTCTCCGAGCTCTACCCCGCGAAGGCAGCTCGGCCGACAGGGAGAGCTTGAGCTTGAGCATGGTGAAGGTACAAATATTATGAGGGCCCAATTGCTTGGAGTCCAGCTACGCCTCGATACGCTCACGCTCGATCCTCCATCTTCTCTATCGCGAGCTCTTCAATTGCTTCCCCAGTGCTTCAATCCTTTCTGCTTCCTTGTCTTACACCTGCGCAATGCCTTCTGCAAACGGGACCTCTACTCTCGCCTTCATTGGCGCCATTGACCAGGGCACCACCAGCTCGCGGTTTTTGATTTTCAACACCAGCGGAGAGGTTGTCGTCACACATCAGCTTGAGTTTAAGCAAATCTACCCGCACCCTGGGTGAGTACTGGTCTACACATTGCCATTGGTGCAAGAGCTGACCGTCGGCGATAGATGGCACGAGCATGATCCCGAGGAGATCGTGTCCTCGGTCGAGACGTGCATCGATGGCGCGGTGACGGAATTCGAGACCCAAGGCCACTCCCGCAGCCAGATCAAGGCCGTGGGCATCACAAACCAGCGAGAGACGACCGTCGTCTGGGACAGGACCACGGGAAAAGCCTTGCACAATGCCATTGTATGGACAGATACTCGATCTCAGGATCTTGTGCGTCGAATGAAGCGCCGTCTTGGTGCCGGCGAGCTCACCTCCCGCTGCGGCCTCCCCCTCTCCACATACCCCTCGGCCAGCAAGCTCCTGTGGATGTTGGAGAACGTGCCAGAGGTCAAAGACGCCTATGAGCGTGGTGTTTTGGCGTTTGGCACCATCGACACTTGGTTGACGTACAAGCTCAACGGCGGCCCGGCGCGCGATGTGTACGTCTCGGATCCCACCAACGCATCGCGAACCATGTTCATGAACCTGGAGACGCTCGACTACGACGAGGACCTCATTGACTGGTTCCGCCTCGACCGAAGCAAGGTCTTCCTGCCCAAGATCGTGCGGTCTTCCGACACCAAGGCATATGGATCCCTGGCCAGCACCCTGCTAGAGGGCACCAAGATTACCGGCTGCTTGGGCGACCAGTCGGCGGCTCTGGTGGGCCAAATGGGCTTCACTCCCGGCCGAGCAAAGAACACTTACGGAACCGGATGCTTCCTGTTGTACAACGTGGGGAAGAAGCCCGTAGCATCGACCCACGGGCTGCTAACAACCGTTGCATTCGACTTTGGCGAGGACAAGATCATGTACGCCCTGGAAGGTAGTATTGCCGTTGCAGGCTCCAGCGTCAAGTTCCTCGTCGATAACCTCCGCTTCGTCGAGTCCTCTTCTAAGATCAGCGCCCTCGCCGAAACTGTCGAGGATAATGGTGGGTGCACCTTCGTCACCGCCTTCAGCGGCCTCTACGCGCCCTACTGGATTGACAACGCTCGAGGAACCATCTTTGGCATCACGGCCTACACGCAGCGCGGCCACATTGCGCGGGCGACTCTCGAGGCCACGTGCTTCCAGACCAAGGCCATCCTGTCCTCGATGGAAAAGGACAGCGGCCACGCGCTGACCGAGCTGGCCGTCGACGGCGGCATGTGCAACTCGGATCTGATTATGCAGGTACGTGTCTCATGTGGATCATCGTAACATGTCGAGTGAAAGCAGTTAAATACATACACACAGGTGTGTGTGTGAGTGGCGTAGAACCTGGAGCTAACGGCCTTCTAGACGCAGTCGGATCTCATCGGAATCCCTGTCCTCCGCCCGGCAATGCGCGAAACAACAGCCCTTGGCGCTGCCATCGCTGCCGGATTTGCTGTAGGGATCTGGAACGACTTTGACGAGCTGGCGCATGTGAATACGGAGGGCCGGACCGTCTTCAAGCCCTCCATCACCAACGACGAGGCGGCCGAGCGCTTTGCGCAATGGGACAAGGCCGTCCAGATGAGCCAGGGCTGGTTGAGCTGAGAGAGCTGAGATTGAGCTGTGGCGCCCGCTGAGGCATTTATTTAGTGCTCTCGTGTATTCAATATCGCGCGTCGTCTGACTGTTGATTTCTTCTGGGTGGAGTTTTCTGTCAACTTGGGTAGTCAATTCCTCATTGTAGTCTGTACTCTGTACCAGGCCGAAATAACTATGGCTCTGCTTCCCCGTATTGCTCCCATATTGCTCCCGTAACATCCGCCACGGCTCCGAGGCGCATCTTTTCTCTCTTAATCTCTTGAGCGAGCGTCCCGAGGCACCGGCGATTTGCAGCTTCTAGCTTGCCGCTTGCAGGGTACCGTCGGGTCCGTCTCATTACGTATATCCGCCGCATCCACGCCATTGCTGACGGAGCCGGCCGCACCCATGCTAGCTGGTTCCTTGTTGGTTGTTGGTTGGCTGTAGATGAAGCATACGGGACACACTCGCGGGGGCTATGCCGAGCGTTCCCAGTGGCAATTCCTCTGCAATTGCACTGCTGGTGGAGATGAAGTGGAGAGCCAAGATGCAGTCTGCCACCTGCCTTTGCAGGAGTTGCATTTCCGCTTCGCCCCTTGCACCAACGTCAGCTCATCCAACCCCCCTCGTGCTACGTAGTAACGCCCGCAGCGCGAGGTGACATCGGGATGCGGCGTAGCGGAGAACCCACGTTTTGGCACTCCTTTGAGGAACCCCAGGGGGCCCCAAATGCCCCAAGGGGAAGCCAGAGAAAGACAGGGGGAAGCCAGGGAAAGCCAAGAAAGGCCAAGGGAAGCCATCCTGGAAAACTGGAAACCCGCCGGTCGAGCGGGCACTCCGAGCGCACACCGAGGCCCTCCCGACCTGTTTCCCATCAGCAATTGCCTCTGAGAGATGTCGTCTTCCCCAGAGTTACCCCACACGCCCGTCAACACGGGGGGTGATCTTCTCCCCAGCGAGCTGGACAGGATCCGCGACTCGCCTCGCACTGAAGAAGTCGGTCCGGCCCCATATCCCACATGAATAGCACGACAATCTGCCCATCAACGAGGGGGGATATGTGGAGGTCTCGCGACCATGGGACAGACATGCCACCGGCGAACGCACACTCGGTGCTGATGGCCGAGGAGGAAGCCAACTCGGCCTTTAGCCAGGACGACGCCTCGAGCGGTGACGACGCCCTGGCCGACTCGGCGACGGCCCCGAGGAAGCGGAGGAGAGAGACGCACCAGAAGACTTCGTGAGCGCCCCCAGCTACTCGCCGCCTGCAATATATGCCCTCTACTAACCCGTCCCGAAGATGCGAGCTGTGCAAGGCGCGCAAGGTCAAATGCGACCGCGCCGAGCCCGCCTGCTCGTGGTGCGCCCGGCACAACCGGACATGCATCTATCTCGAGCGCCAGAAGCTGGGCACGCGCGTCGGCTTCAATCTCGAGCTCGAGGCCAAGGTCAACCGCATCGACGCCCTCTTGCAGGCGCTGGGCCGCCGTGTAGAGGTCCATATCGCCCACGACCATGAGGTGGCTGCCCAGCAGCTGTCACCGTCCATCAGCAACAATAGTCCTGCGCAGATGGACGCTTATCAATCGAATGAAACTCAACTTGGCCAACCGAGTCTTTTGAGAGCCGCGCAGACGCCCCAGGCGAGGATACAGAGCTACCCAAGCCCGAGCTGGCGGGTGGACAATGGCCAAGAAAGGCTTGCACAGCGGGACACGCCATCGGGTCGAACCCAGATGAACTCGTTGGTCAGCGGTTCTTCTGCTCTGACAATAGCAAGCCCGGAAAGACCAGGAACACAGAGCTTGTCGTCGTTACGGTCTCCAAACCCAGACCTGCCGCCTCACTACATGCTCTACACCCTCGTCGACCTGTACTTCAAACACTGCAACACCTGGTGCCCCATTCTTGACCGGAAAACGACGTTTGAAACCATATTTGGACCGTCATCACTCGAGGAATCCGACCAAATCCTGCTCTGTGCCATCGTAGCGACAACACTGAGGTTCTACAAAGACCAACGGCTCACGCCCGAAATGAAGGCTCACTACCACAGAGTATCTCGACACCGAGTGCAGATCTACGCCATGGAAAACATCAGCATCCCGGCACTAAGAGCCCTGGTAATAGTCTGCCTGGACGAACTAGGCACCTCCAACGGCCCTCGCGGGTGGAATCTCCTCTCGCTGCTTGTCCAGAACGTAAGACAACTCGACCTGTGTAAAGAAGCCAGTGTGTACTTGAAAGCAGACTCTCGAGAAACACCACACACCGGCTCCCTCCGCAGAGTGGCGGCCGGCGAGCCAGAATCCTGGATCGAGGACGAGGGCCGCCGGCGTCTCTGTTGGGTCGTGTATCTGCTGGATCGATATGCTACCGTCGCTACAACCACGTTTGATTTTATGCTCGAGGACATGAAGATGAAGCGGATTCTTCCCTGTTCGTACGACTTGTTTTCTAGGAATCTGCCCGTCGAAACCCAGTCAGCGAATTCTTATACCGGACAACAAGACTCCACCACATACCTCACAACCTCGCCAGAGAACCTCGGAAGCTTCTCCTATCATTGCGCGATCCTGCGCATTCTCAGCAAGGTCCACGACTTTCTCAAAACCCCAATCGACATCACATCCTCCGCAGACATGGCGAACTGGCGAAACACGTATAGATCGCTCGACGATTCCCTCAACGCCTGGTTGCAAAACCTGCCCAGCGAGTACAGCAAAATCTCAGCCCTCTGCCACTCAGACCCAGCAAGTCGTGTTGCGAATTGGTTCATGCTGCATAGCGCCTACGTCACCTGTGTTGTTCGACTACATTCATCTGCTGCATATCCTGCTGTTCGCTCTCACATCCTCGTTCCGTCCCATTATGCCATGCAAAAGTGTTTATCAGCTGTCCAGAGCCTCGGCGATATCGCTCAGGATGTTCTGGAAGCAAATGGCCTAGACCTCCTCGGTCCGCCGTTTGCCTTTTCGCTCTGGGTAGCTGCGAGACTGCTCCTAGTCCACGCAGCAACGGTTGGGTCATTGGTAGACCCTCGGATTGTCTTCTTCATCGACACTCTTCGTCACGTCGGCCAGCACTGGGAGGTGGCCAATAATTACGCCAAGATTCTCGACCGAGTAGTTCAGAGAGAGCGGCAAAGTGATATGAGTTTCGCCGCCATGCGAAGGTGTGTTTTTTCATTATCTTTTTTGCCATTTTTTTTTTGAGCGATGTTAACCTCTTGCTAGAAGCGCCTACGATTTAGTGACCCTCACATCTGCGACCCGACAGTCTGGCGTTCAGCAGACATCTACACAAGTCACATCGCTCAGCGAGCTGGATAACATCGACGTATTTGACTTCTTCAACTGCCCCAAGGTTCTAGAGTCGGTTTCTATAGCCTCAGGGGGTCACATTAATATTCTGCCGACTCGATCAATGAACGAACTAAGCGGAGACGTGACAAGAGCAGCCACCACTGTGGCCAATCTTGAGTCCGACTGGTTGGGATTTAGCGCGCCTTTTAATTAAGAGCGTTGCTATTGTATACCTCTTACTACTATTTATATAACCTTTATTACATGACCCCAATCTTTTGCCCTATATTTCGTATATGCGACTGCGCTTGAATCGAATGCGAAGTCATCGAATTGAATGGCAAAGCTCAGGCTAGATAGCCAAGTTAGGAAACGGCCGATGAATTCGGGCTAGTTGAAGACAACATGCCGAGTGAACCGGAATCATGAGCCTTAGTGCTGACTTCTCAGCTAGCTGTCCATACAAACCCTTGTCGTTGAGGTGGTAAGCTGATCTCACGTCGATCCTTCGTCGCCATTCCTACAAAAGCGATCAATTGCCAAGGTTATCGCGCGGTGAAATTTAAATGTTCGCTGCTTGCTTTATTCCTCCTGAAGATGGCGACCTCTCATAGCCCGACGAGCCAGACAGTGGCCATCATTGGTGCCGGTAAGTGCCCAGCGCATTGCGAGAGATGAGGAGGAGGCCAGAAGCTAAGCACAATCATCTAGGTCCTACTGGTCTGTCCATGCTTAAAACGCTCCGCGCAGATGGATTCGATGCCACAATCTTTGAGAGACGGAGTCGAGTCGGCGGATTGTGGTCGTATACAGAGGATGAAACGATGACGACAGCTTTGCCGAGTATGCCCTCTCCATCAAAGATCCGAGAGATGACTGATCGACGTCACCAGATACCACAGCGAATATCAGCAAGTATACCTGCGGCTTCACAGACTACCCTATGCCAGATCGTGCGTTTTCTGCCCTATGCACCACCCGGTTTTCTATGGCTGTCCCCGCCACTAATTTAGGACAGACTATCCTCCATTTCTAAGTCAAGGCCAATTTCAAGAGTTTCTCGAGTCGTACAGCACACACTTTGGTCTTCAAGATCACATAGTATTTCGAACAAGCGTGACAGAGGTTGAAAGGAATGCAGAGAATTCGAAGTGGTGTCTCAAAATGACGACGGAAGAAAAAGCTGTTACCAGAGAGTTCGACAAAGTGGTTTGTTGCCACGGTTATCAAACCCAAGCCAAGGCACCAAAATTTCCAGGCCAAGAGGAATTCCAAGGCCGAGTCATGCATGCGCAACAGTTCCGAAGGTAGGTTGACTGGCATTTTGCTCTGGCTCTCGCTGATCGTAACAGACCCACAGACTTCGAGGGTCAGAACGTTATCTTCGTGGGAATGAGTTCCTCGGCGAGTGATGTTGTCCCCTTGGTCGTCCAGAATGCTGCCAAGGTCTACGTCTCCCATCGTCGCGGTACTTGGATTTTCGGGCGCTGGCGCAATGGGCTTCCTACAGACCTCCTGGTCAATTACACCCGTCGCCAGATGGGATATGTCATGCAAAGCTGGTTTCCAGACTTGTCTGCGAAGCTGAGTAAGATGGCAACGACATTTCTGATGAAGAAGTACGGGGACCTTGATCCATCGTGGCGTCTACTTGACGATGCGCCACCGCTTTCTCTCAATTTGACAGCATGTATGGACACGATGCTGGACCTTCTTCGGGAAGGGAAGATCACCTCTATGCACGGCGTCGAATCTTTCCTTGGGGGTAAGAAAGTCAAGTTTATGGATGGCACTGTCCTTGACGATATTGATACGGTTATTTTTTGCACCGGGTATCGTGCCGACTTCAGCATTCTCCCGTTTGTCGAGCACAGCACCCCGGAGAAGGACGCTCAAGGCAATGCTTTTGGCGGAGCTCCGATTCCTCGTCTCTACATGAACATATTTCCGCCACGGCATGCAGAAAGCATGGCAATTCTAATCGCGTCGACTTACGGCAAGAATAACGGATTCTCCTTCGCCGATGTCATCTCTATGGCCATCAGCAATATTTGGCGGGGAGTCAGCGCAGACATGATTCCCTCGGTGCCCGAAATGGAGCGCGCCATTGACGCGCACCACAAATGGATCGCAGGCCGTTGGGTCAAGGAGAACACAACTGACGTCTGCGCTGTCAAGCAATGGGAATTCCAAAAGTTCTTACACGAGGCTGCGGGCACAGGACTGGAGAATCTGGGATGGGGGTGGCAAGGGTGGTGGACGTGGGTGAGGGACCCGAAGATGAGCTATTTGATGCGTCACGGCGTGGAAACTGCGTATGCTTTTCGATACTTTGAGACTGGGAAGAGAGCTGTGTGGCCCGGTGCACGGGAGGCGATTATTCACACGAATGAGTTGGTCAAGAAGCTTAGAGCAGAGAAATTGGCTGAGACTAGGACGGAATAAGGAATTTCATCCACGTACGTAGGGTAAGATGCGGGATGGAATAACTTTTTCTTCGACAACTAATCATTCTGACTAGGCCGTACATGATGAAGCATGGTTAAGCTAGCTGAATAAATTTGACGATGCTTCACTAGACAAGTTGCCTGTACGGATCGGTTCGGTTCGGTTCGGTCTGTTTAGATACCACTCACTTGTTCTAAATGAGTATATAATGGCTAGAGAAGTACAAATCTCTCTAGCTAAACACAGAGAATATTAATTCATTCTCTCTATAATGATTCCGCGTCTTGCATGTCTTGTTAGCGTCCTCAGTGGCCTGTATAGCCATGGTGTTTCTTCCGCGGCCACTACCGATTCAAACCATCCCTCACGCATCGTTGAGATTGATGGCATTGATACAAGCAATGTCACTGTATTCAATTGCCCACCAGGCACACGGGGTGATGCGAGCCTCGAATCCATCCAATTGGCAATGGACGACTTTGCCTATACGTTCTACACTGAGAAGAACGTTAAGGCTGCCTTTAAACAGTATGTCGCCAGCAATTATGTCCAGCACAACCCTGGCATAGTCGATGGAAGGGATGCTGCCATTAAGGCACTGGAGCCTCTGTTTGGAAGCAGCGAACATGGGTTTAACGTGAGTCGAGATGAGTTACACTCAAATCTCTGTGTGCACTTACTTATCCCATATAGATTGCCCGAGTCATGGTGGGGAAAGAGTACACGACTATCCATATCGAGGCAACCAACAAGGGCGGGCCATCTTATAATGTGTTTGATGTCTATAGAACGAAGGGTACATGCATCGTTGAACACTGGGATTGCTTGGAGGAGATTTCTAACAAAACAGTATCGCCCCACCCGTACTTTTAAGAGAGGCTTGCAGTTGGGGTCAAGGTCGCTTTTATATGTCAATACACCTTTCCCGTTGACTAGTTTTCGAAACTAAACCTCAATCAAAATCTCTCAAACTCTTTCCAAAGATCAGTTACAGGTGCCGACGGACAGACTTGGATTGTACTCTTAATCAATCTTCCCGGACTTATACCTAGTCTATCGAGCATCTTGTAAACACTACTGTCGGTAGACCCGGTTTTCAGCAAGGATTATCTTTCTGAAAAGCTTAGCAAATTAACTTCCGCTTAGAGTAGATGCTTGTTGGTTGATCTCTTGTCCATCTCGATCTACTCCCCGTCCCAATTAATATTATGGGACGGCTTCAGGCATCTCCCCAGTTCCATTTTTCATGGTCCACTTAGTTTGCAAATATTCTGGGCCTCTCGTGTTTGGCGTCACACCTCAGCTGATAAGCGCGAGGAGTGATCGTCCTTCCTGCATAGATCTCCACCAAAGCTCGCTCGTAGGATCTATCAGACCCACGAGCTTCTTCGGTACTACTGTATGCCACACCCAGGGGTTACGATCGGGAGGGAGTGGACTGAGTACAGATGTACCCGCTCTAAGACCCTGCCTGCATCGTGCCAAATACCTGGTTGTATTTTGCGGGGACGGTGGGACTAAGATTGCGATTCTTTATTTAATAGGGTAGATCTCCGCTCTGCACATGCTGCAAGACAAAGAGTGTAACTACTCGGCTGCTTGAGTATGTGCTGCCCTCGGACACGGTATGACGGGCCGTGAAATAGCACCACCAAAGGCCTCCTCCCCAACCTGCTTGACCCATTGCACCCCACTCAATGTATACCGCGCCACTATAGATATGGTGTTGGCCACCACAGCTTTCTGAGACAATGGGTCTCGGATCGTGAGTCATGAAGTCAATTCATACTGCAGTGCCACCAGGTCCTCTTCCGATCTAACAATTTCCTCTACAAATGCCAGAGAAGACTCGGGCTTCTCCTCATAGCATTCCACGCCAACAATTCAGCCTATTGACGACACCCTCACTTAAAATACAATGGTGGTTGCAGAAACTGCCCCTGTTTCTTTCTAACTACGGTCATGAACGTTGTTTCTAGTCTCCAGGATAACTCTAATACAAGCAGGGGAGTGGTATGGAACACGAGTCCTACGCAATACCCGATACGAGGATGGCACTCCTGCCAAGGTTGACCAATTCCTCGGTATTAATTCCAAGTCGCCAGCAGCGGTCGGCGCAAAGCTTGCCGGCATAATCACCCGTTCTTGGTCATTGGTTACGCCTGAGATCACGAACCAAGGTGATGCACACGGCCAGACGCTCCATGGTATCTAGCAATTGTGGACAATGAAACCATCTGGAAACTCCTTCAATATGTGCTTTACTCAATTTCATGCAACAGGTTTTCATACACGGTAGTGGGCTAGGAGTCTCCAAGAACTAGACATAGTAGGAGATTAATGTCTATCTAGACATCCCAATCCACCAACAGTCATGCCACTACTATAGTAGGACGTCAAGATAGTCAATGCACCCAAAATGCCTCGTTCATGGTAGACTACACAATGGACATGGTGCCTGATTAGAATTTTATTAGTTTGCCCCATATCAATTTTTCTGTTGCGGGGCGACATGTATGAAACTACACTATGAAATGTCGGATGGGATGTCTGTGACAAGAACTGACGCTTTCAGCGCGACACTACTAAGCAGAGCTATCGTGAGTCAACTGAAGCGTCACCCCCTTCTCGGTGTGGGCATCAGCGACAGACAGAGTTACGGTGGTAGCTCGAGAGCTGACGTTCGTGTTCGACGAGACGTTACTTTCGGAAGCGACCTTGACAGAGCTGACATTAGTCGAAGGATCATGCCAGAATACCATTGTGTATTCCGTGCCAATAATCTCTGACAAATCTCCATATCCATTCCAAGGGGCCTTGATTGTCAGAGTGCGAACAAAGCTGATAGGAGAGTCGCCAACGGCAACCATGGTCGTTTTCTATTGCCGCAGGTTAGTCATTAAATAGATACGAAGTGAATGTCCAACATCAACTTGCCTGCTCAATGAGAACATGACAGTACTTGTCTGCGGCTTTGCTGTCTCCGAAAGCTTTCTTAGTCCCGTTAGACTGCAAGTTCAGACTCGGAACATGCGACGATGGGGCGCTGTCTCTCGAGATTCCATCATCGAGGTACATGCTGTACGACTACGGATTGTTAGCTGGCCATCAACAAAGGCATAGTCATCTCATCGCTTACGTTGTTCTTTCCTGGATACACATGTACGGTGATAGGGTTAGGATCCTGCTTGGGGAGAGACGGATCCGGGATGTAATCCCTGACCTGGATCTTCGGGATGATGCCGCCTGTGGCTCGAGTCAGCTGGCGAGTCCTACTAATAGTTGTTGCAACATACCCTCTCTGATATACATGGGCGTGATGTACGGAAGTTGAGTATCCTGATCGCTGATAAGACAGCTATACTCGATCCGGCTCCCGCCATCGGCGGCGGGAGAAAGCGCGGCGCCGAGTGCTTCGTCTGGTCGCAAATTCATGGGGAACCATTTGTCTGGGTATGGTAAGTAGAGCTTGCGAGTCTGTCTCTTGCTCTCAGGCGTCAGAGCCGGCGCTACCAGCAAGTCATTCCTGACCATGTACTGGCTTCGGGTGAAACGTTGGTTCTAAGGATGTTAGGTAAGATGTCGGTCGATGCACGAGGAGAACTTACGTCTGCAGAGAAGAGTGTTCTGTCAACGTCATCCGTAATCACCTATCAAATCACAGGGTCAGTCAATGTTTAATCGCGGCCGTGTGGTTGGAATCCTACCATCGCTCGAGCAATAGGCAACCCCGTGATGATGTTCTCAAACATTGCATCATACATAAGCTGCATCAAGCTGTAGCGAAGTCGGATGTAGTACCGACAAACTGGAAGAACAGCGCGGTAGATCATGGCTTCCCTTCCTTGGAAGCTGTCCTTGTTATCGTCGTAGTGCTTCTGATACGCATATGGCTCTTGGAATAGCTTGCCATCTTTTCTCATCTGACCCTTTCTGGGACCGTCGACCCAGAAGCGCTTCTTCGTATAATGGTTCCTGGTGGATTATCATGAGTCGAGCTTGCAGAAAGCAAGGAGACAGAATTCTTACCTGAACCATGGCAGAAGGGAGTAAGCACAGTACCAGCGGATGATCAGTTCAGGGTTGGCATAGTCATGCTCGGCCTCCATAAACTCGAATCCACCGACATCTTGTCCTGAAATCGTGATTCCAGACATGCCGAGGGCGAGGACTTGTGCGACCGAGATATCAAGGAACTCCCATGTCGATGCGTTATCTCCCGTCCAGAGGCCGGCATAACGATGGCTTCCGATAAAACTTCCTCGTCCGATGATGAAGTTGCGCCGGTTCTCTCGCCAAGCCAACTCTGGGCTGAGCTCAGAAAGGCGGTTCAGGCCGTGGTAGGTGGCCTTGTGCAGGTTGTAGCTGTACAGTGACCAAATCTCAATCGCTTTCCTCTGCTTGGCTCGGTTAGGGTCGCCAGACCAGCCGTCAGAGTCAAGCAAAAGTCGGAATGGCAAACTAAACACCAACGTTAGCTTCAGTCTCAGATTCTTTCGAATCGTCTAACTCACGATTTCATATCTCCGTACTGTTCCGCAATGCAGGGGGACGTCATATCCTGCCAGACGAAATCAAGACCGCATTCAAAGAGATACTTGTACTGCTTCGCCCACCACTTGCGGACTTCCTTGTTGTTCAGATTCGGGTAGTGGCCTGGGTGTCCATTTCCCCAACCGTAGAACACTCCGCCGTGGAATGGTTGCTTGGTGTTGAACACTTGCGAAAAGTCGTAATTATCCGGTTCGAAGTAGTCAGGTCTGGCAGAAATCGGGGCCTGGAAGTACTGCGATCCAGTGCCGAATTCCAAGTACCGTTGCTGGTGTGGGTACGGGGCCGAAGGATCTATGTCGCGATTGTCTGCCACAAAGTACCCGTTCTGGAGTCCTTCGTTCAGAGTGCTGTACTCAGCTGATGGAGTGCTGTTGATGTAAGGAGTGATGTTGGTGGAGCATTTGACACCTTTTTCCCTCAGTGTCTTGAACATGTTGACCGGGTCAGGAAAGTGAAGATCTCTCTTGTCGATGGTAAAGGTGCGGTAGTCGTCCTGCATGTCCACGTCGATATGCATGCCGTCAATTGGAAAGTTGCATTTGCGATATTCGTCGATGGCTTCGACGACGGAATCTTGGTTGTCGTAGCCATAGCAGCCCTGGTGATATCCCAGCACGTATCGGGGCTTGAGTTTGGGCTGGCCGACAATGGACGTATACAGCTGGACGAGATCTTGCATGCTATCACCTGCAACGACCATGCAGTGGAAACTGTTGAACCTGGTTGCAACGCGCATGGCATTTTGCTCCTTCATGCCCACGTCGATGCAGACGTGTGAGTAGTTGTCAATGAAGGTCGCGATCTGGGATCTGTATCCAGGATGCGAGTCTACCTCGATCCAAAACGGCTCCGAGTGGTAGAGCGGCTCGCGGTCATCAAGGGGCCCTTTACCGTAGACGTTTTGATACCGCATGTTGTCATAATCTGGGAAGAAATTAGTCCATGTCCTCAGGGTAAGTCATTGCCCACATACTGAAGTAATTCATGTACGTCTTTTTCTTGAAGAGATTTTTGCCGCCTTGTTCTCCGAAGCCCATGTAGTCAGCGGTGGCCGATTTCTCCACGGACAGAATGGTCGCGTTGTCTCGGTACTGGAGACCTCTTGGCTTCGTTTTCCAAACCACTGCAGCTTCGGCACCCTTGGATGTTGTGAGATGCAGCTTCTCAATTGTACTGGAGTCAAAACTCTGCATCTGGGGCAATTTCTCTGCTAGGACTTGGTTTTCCAAGACTCGAACAGCAGTGATTTGGAACGGGTCCCGCTGCACCCAAAGTTGAAGCTCGACCTTCCTCTTGTCCGTGTTAGGATTCATAACGGACTGGAGGATGTAGTACTTCGGGTCCTCGACCAGCTCCACAGCCCAATTGATTCCTTGAGCGGCATCGAGGGTGCTGATGAGAGTGCTGAGGGTGTCCAAGACGATTGTGCGACTAGCGGTGTGAGCGGTCGCCTCGGCAGGATACTGACAGCGAGACTTACCTGTTGTAATCGGTGAAATCAGATCCCTTCTGGTTATGCGGATCAAAGCGAATCCTCCAGACTCTTGGACGCATGAATTGAATCAAGAGGAGTGACCCGTCATTGAAGCGGAAGATGGTTCCATGGCTGCACGCGGGGTTCTTGGTGCCATCGTCCAAGAGCTGATCGGCCGCCTTGTAGGAGACCGTTGCAGGCTGGTTCACATTCGCAGACGGCGCATCCAAACCTTGGAAAAAGTCATCCGCCTTGATAAACAAGTACGGATCTCGAAGCTTTGTCGCCTCGAACTCATTCATGGTGATTGATGCAGTGCTGGGAGCGGTCTGACTGAGGGGTAAGGATCTGAGTGAGCTGCGTGGCACCTAGTGACTTATATATGGAAATCGTGACTTTGTGTTACCCACCACCGTTGGCCGGAGGATCAGGATAGTCCGGATAGTCCGGGTCAAGGTCCCCACCGCTCTTCTTAGCTCTGTCTGAATAGTTGCGGGGAGTTGCGGGGAAGAGGAATGAGGACGATCCCGTTCATTCCAAGCACGAGTCAGTAATTGCATAGGTGGATTCTATACGAATGCGCGTTGACAAGGCGCCAGACGCAACCTAATAATTTAACACATTCGCAAAGTCTAGGGGAAGCCATAAACGTATAAATGACGCGTCTCTCATTTACCCTCAAGCCACAGATCGTCATTGTTTTCAGCCAACGCATACTTTCACTGGCGCATCTCCAATTGCATTCATGTGGGAATGTGTGAGAATGCCATTTCCAAGCCCATGGCCATTTTGAGGAGATCCAACACCCAGAATGGCATAATTCTATTCAAAATGACCCGGGACCTCCCGATTACCGTGTCCGTAGCTCTTCGAGTGACTGACCTGGAATGTTTCCAGGGCCTTGCATCGGCTCTACACCGCCAGGAAGAAAGCCTAGAGTTCGCAGGGGAGTCTTGGGTTCATGACTTTCGGCCCTACGGTTTTGGCTTGTTTATATTAAATGAATTGCAACTCTATCGATTGGAGGATGCACTTGCGTCCTAAAGGAGAATGATCGACGGAACATGTTAGCAGAAAGCATAGTGTCTTGGAATGCAAACGCTATCGATCTCGCCTCGCCTATTGCTCGATCTCTACTTCCAGAGAAAGTATCCGGAATACAGAAGATTATTTTCGGTGGAGCGGCAATACATGTCAGAGATGTAAAGCCCTGATGGGAGATCACGCAGATTGTCGGTCTCTATGGACCATGGGAATGCACGCCAGACAGTAAGATCAATTGCAACCCACCAAGTACTAATAAGACTGCCACGTAGGAAAGGGACCCTCCTCCACAGTCATGACAGCCTAGATAGCGCCGTTGCTATCAATACTGCAACTTGGTTAACCAGAACTGCATTTATTTATTATTCTTCCTGTCTCTAACCAGTAGCAATTATAGAAAAATCTACTTTATCTAGGGTAGGAAATGTGTAGGTCTAGCCGAGGTCAGCGCGATCCCAACTATGTCTTGTCAGATAAAGCTTCCCTCCTCGAGACCTCGCGATGCTGCAAGATCGACTCCTAAGCCGACTCATGCCTAAACAGAACTAAATTACACTCTTGTCAAATCGATGAGCCAATGGTCTTCCATAGCGTCCCCATCTATGATTCCGTGGGCATAAGCTTCTCCAATTAGCCACAGTTTGCCGTGTACATCTGGACGAAGAATATATGGAACATGTGCCCCAATGAGAACGTAGAGAAGCCCCCCTGGTGCCATTTCGCAAGGTCCAATCCCGATGTGGCCTTTTGATGTGTAGAACGGCCGTTTGCCATTGGCAAAATTCGGGAAATTATGGGTGTCATTCCCTAGCCCCAACGAGACAAACGTTTGTTTATCCACGGTGCTCAAAGACATATTTTTCAATGAGTTGTGTGCTTTTCAAAATTCCTTTCACTCAATGCTTGATCTCTTGATCTGCCACTGCAATGTGCCAGACAGCCTTGAGGCGATCTAGCTCGTCAGTGGTTGAATCGAGGTAAAACCATTTTCTTAGGTCTTGCAGTCACCTTGGGAAAGATTGTTCTTCCCAGGTAGTATCCATGCACGCACTCCACTTTATTCAAAAACTTGGCATGCAAGAGTAAGGACATTGGAGGCGTTTGCATAAACCCGTAGGAGACGCTTATATTAGGATTGTCTCCGGAAGCGCTGAAAGTGGGCTGTAGCACGGCTGTGACGGGCACTACTTTTCGATCCATTGCGCTTTGCTGAAGGGGCACCCTCTGAAGTATGTTGGTGAAATCAAGATCCCAGGAGGGAAGATCTGGAATGTTTTTGTCGACTTTGCAGAGCGAAAGCATGTCGAAAATCCCGTTGCTGACTATTGATACTGTGGTCTCAAGAAACACCTCATTCCAGGATTTCTGATAATCTGGACGGAGACCTATTTTCGGCAGCCGGACATAGCCAACGTATCACAACGGTGCTTGCGTGTAAATTCTATGCATTTGCTGCACTTTCTGTCTTTTTTTTCCCACTGCATCGTCCTGGTCAACAGAAAGAGAGTCGATCCGGAGTGTCAGCGGCGCATATTCTGGCGTCAGATGAATAAGCGCAGCTTCAATACTGTTCGTGACGTGGAGAACAGTGTCGCCGACGAAAAAATCGCTTGAATGACCCCATGTGTAAGAAAGCCCGAAAGAAGGAGGCGGTTGATCCGAGGAGACATGGGAGTTGGTAAAGGCGACACGGACATTCTTGGCAACAATCAAGTTAAATATAGATTCCCACAGTGGACTATTCGTCTTAGGCCCATCTTTTATCTACATCAGCGACCAGCCTGCTCCAATAACTCTTTCAAGTCTGATTCATTAGCTATAGATTTTAACTATTAATTAATATGTTAAACTGCTAAATTTATTTAAGCTCCAATTGCCGAATAACTAGTATTAATACACAGATTTACACTGAAAATATACTTGATAGCCTTTATTAGAGCGTTATTCAATGAGCCTCCGGACGGTATTAAAATATCCCACTAATTATCCTAACAGATTTGAAGTTAAAGATATCTTTAAAACCCTGTCCTCTCTAGTTGTATTCTCCTTACTGTCACTATTCAGTAGTGTTCACCAGTCTATAAACCCACTCGGCAATTTGAAAAAGTCAGTAGAATTGCATATATTACAAACAGATTGATCGCAAAGTGTAGAATCTCGGGAGTAGCGTTCAAGATTTCTGTTTCCGGGATTTGGCTCAAGCTCGACAAGCCTGTTGTGATCCGCAACTTGAAGGGCAAAGAAATAGGAAACGCGAATCTTTCGCAATCTATTCTCTTTGGCCAATATCCGAATCACTTATGGACCGTAATTATGACTAACATACTAGATTGCTCTGACGTGTGCGCTCGGGTCTTGTGATGATTGTGCTATTTCCGTTGCCGTGGCCGACTTCGTGCCGTCTTTGCCGCCGCCGCCGCCCTCGCGATAAGGTCGCGGAAAAATTGCCTATTTGAGCTGTGGGATACCTCTGATTAGCCCCCGATGCTCCGTATCAAACGATTGATGGCAAGATACATATTTAAATAGTCCTTGGCGGTATCAAGATGCTTGGTATATCAATGTTATTTGCGACTCCTCGAGTCTTGTATCTGCCGACTCTCTTGTCATTGCAAATCCACTTTCACGTAAACACCGGTGGATGATATATTTTCTTCTCGTGGCCCTCCTCCCCGTCTTTCTTTTTTGGACAACCATATTAAGATGATTGAAACACCGGATCCCTCGAACCCAATAGCAATGCCATCCTCTACCGAGAAAGTAGCCTTAGACGGCAGTCACGGGACGAAAGATGCGCTCGTACATAGATACAGTCGTCTATCCGTCATAGCCTTTGCCTTCACGACAACCAACTCATGGCTGGCCTTCGGGTCGGGCATTGCCGTACCCTTGATATCTGGGGGAGGGCCTGCTCTCATCTACGGGCTCATTGTCAGTGGTATCGTCATGGCGACCATTGGCGCGGGCTTCGCCGAGCTTGCCTCCGCGTTTCCGTCAGCAGGTGGCCAATATCATATCGTCTACATGGTGTTTCCGCCAAAGCATCGTCGCAGTGCCGCGTTCGTTACCGCCTGGATGAGTATCTTGTCAACAGCGCTTGGGCTGGCCTCGTGCAACTTCTTCGTGGCAAGTTCAATCGCCGACCTGGCTGCCCTATGGAACCCGGGATATGAGCCCCAGGCATGGCAGATCTACCTTCTACACGTCCTCCTTTGCGTCATTGGCTTTATCGCCACATCTCACTTCCCCGGTGCGATTGGTCGCGTCGGCATCGCCATTTTCTGGCTCTCTCTCGTCGGTTTTGCGGCTTCCATTGCATCTGTTTTAGCAGTCAGCCCAGAGAAGCAACCGGCTTCATTTGTGTTCAAGGACTATCCCAATACGAGCGGGTGGTCGGATGGCTTCGCATTTGTACTTGGCGTCACCGGCTGCCTCTGGGCTTACAGTGGTGTTGACGGGCCAACTCATCTAGCAGAAGAGGTGCAGAATCCAAACCGCAACGTGCCTATCGCTATTGGATTGACCATCAGCTTGGGGTTTATTACCGTTGTCGTATGGAATATCGCGCTGCTCTTTGCCATAACCGACCTCGAGGCGATTGTCGCGTCTGGTGTCCCGATCATCGAGGTCTATCGCCAGTCGCTGAACTCAAAGGTCGGCACAACAATCTTCACCATTTACTATATGGTCATGTTTTACGACATAGTTCTTAACCTTTTCATCTTTGGTGGGAGAATTGCCTGGTCTCTCGCACGAGATGGAGGTGTTCCCTACCACCGATTCTTCACGCAACTCGACCACGCAAGCCCTGTTCGGGCGACCGCCATGATCCTTGGCATGGAGATTATTGTTGGGATTTTGTTCGTGGCCTCATCGACTGCATACAACAGTTTTATTGGTCTCACTCTCTTTGCCCTCAATATCACTGTTGCTCTTCCTCAAGCAGCTCTGCTCTTCCGCGGGCGGGATTGCCTCCCACGTCGAGCATTTTCTCTTGGCAAGTTTGGTTATGTCGTGAATGGGCTTTCCACAGCGTTTGTCATTCTGTTCTCTGTCACATTCTGTTTTCCAACCTCTATTCCTGTTGCTCCCTCCTCAATGAACTACTTGGTCGTGGTCATGGCCGGCGGGTGGATCCTGATTGCAATTTTCTGGTGGGCTGGGCTACGACGATCTTTTACTGGGCCTACTGTGACTATCGATGCCCTGGCACCGAGCGACACAAGTGAAGCCAAGGACGAGGAGGAGCCAAAATATTGATGGATAAGAGTTAGATCTGGCGCGTCCCATGTAATTGTTACCTGTCTTATCGGGGCTTGTCTCGTTGGGCACAAAGTTTACTTAACACTTGAACAAATCGTTAAAAGTTGAGTATCGCTATTTGCACACATAACAATATTCAGAATTCTACTAATGAGTATCCAAAATCATCCTAGAGGTGTTAAGAAGATACTTTTTCTAAAAACTAATATTTAGTCTTTATTGTTTTTAGTAATAATATTTTATCTTACTTATTTAGTCTGATTAATAACAAAAACAGACATTTAGTCCTACCTTCGACTACCTTATGCATCAGGCATATGGATACCTGAGTTAATTTAACGCTTTAGTAAAGAAACTGGAGCCTGTGCGCAAATAGCGATACTCTCAAAATTATGTTTTAGTTTATTCATAAGGTATAAAAGCAGTAGTACACTTTACAATATTGCAGCAGAAAGGCATTAGTGGAAGCTTCAACTCTGGACAGTAGGCAAAGATTGGTTTCATTCAGCACATGCAAAAGCATTATTTGCATCTCCCGTTCTTCACACAACTCTTTACTCGTTTTACGGTAGTGGTTGTTCAATATTTATGTTTGCCCCAGCTCACATAGGAAAATGTGGTTACAATGCCTGTATACGGTAGCAACAGAGGACTTATATCTTGTATCTATTTAGCGCCATCTAATTTCATGATGTACTTCCCTTGAAGCTGTAAAATGTCAGTTCAAACTCTGTATCAGGATGGGGATGAAGGTCTTACCTGACCAAGGGCCATTTTTTCCATCAGCCCTTCCAAATCATCGAGCCTAGCCCAGATGATCTTGGGAATGACAACCCGCCGCTTGACAAACTCCAGAGCCTCTAGAATGTCAGTCCTTGTGCCCACGGACGAACCAACGATCTTCCATCCATTGTCAATCATCCAAAGCGGGTGAAAGTTCACCTTGGCATCTTCTGGGAGAATAGAGATGCACATCAGTGTTCCAAAAGGACCGAGCATATCGATGGCCTTTTGGTAGGCTGCTGATGCGGTAGCAGTGACTACTACAGCCTTGGCACCATGTCCTCCAGTCAGTTCCTTCACCTGTTTACCCGCGTCCTCGCCTTGAGTGACATCGATGTAGTGCTCTGCACCCTGTGACTTGCAGTAGGCTGCTTTGGCCTCACCAGCATCCACTGCTATAACGCGATATCCCATAGCATGGCCAAAAGAAACGGCAAACGCCCCAACTCCACCGCCTGCACCAGAAACAACGACCCATTGTCCAGGAGTCAGATGGCACCCCTTGAGCGCCTTGTACGCGGTAACGCCGCCGCATAGGATCGGGGCAATTTCCTCGTCCGGCAACTCATCAAAACTCGGGGGAATGCGGGCTAAATATCTGAGCGGCACCAGCGTGTACTCGGCAAAGGTGCCATCGTATGCTTTACCGGAGTGAAGCGCCTCTGCACATCGTGTTTCTCCCTCGTGGGCCAGGTCCACACAGAAGTCACAATTGCCACAAATATCTCGGGTCCAAGCCACGCCAACTCGCTGGCCAACTTGGACAGATGGGTCGAGGGCGGAGACGTTAGAGCCAAGGGTAACGATACGACCGACACCCTCGTGTCCTAGGATATTGCCAACGGGCCCCATATGACCCAAGGCCATGCCGTAGTCAGATCCACAGAGGCCGGTCACGGAGAGACGTACGAGCACTTCGTTGGGACCAGGGATTGGACGGGGTACATCTTGGACTGAGAATGTGGGTTTCGCGTCAGGGACCTGCGGAGACTGTACGTTTATCATTGCAATTAGCTTAATCCTGTTGTAGTTTGACAAAAGAATGAGTGTAGGTCAGGGCAACGAACCGTCAAGACTGCAGCTTTATGTAATTCGGCAGACGTCATAACTGCGTTGTTGGAGGATTCCGTTTAATACTTGTTGTTTGATGTCTTTTTGCGGTCCTGCTTATTGGAGATCTTCTGCGTTGAGGCGATAAAGAACTCCGACTCTTGTTAAAGTGATCACCAAGCTTGACTCGTCAGTTAAAGCTCGGGGGCGAACCCGACATTTTGATGATCAAGTTCGACCATGATGCAGACTTGCGGCATCTTTACTTAATCGGTAAAAGATTCCACATCTGCAACTTCATCAGCCTGCCAAGAGATACTGAGAGTCATGCAGCGCGGGGTTCCGCACCATCCAACGCCCTTGTCTCCTTGGCCGTTTCGATTCTAATCTTGCATCCAAACCATGTGATGTGCTCCTCCGTACTCCCCCGTGATTCATCAACCGTCATTCCCCGCTGTCTGTGGCACCACATCGTGTGGGTTGAATGTCGGGGAACTAGAGACTAGGCCGAGGAGAGAGATGTTTCCGCAAACTTGCAAGGGATCGATCGAGACTAGGCGGATGTGGAAGTTTTACCGCAGAGCAGCGATAGCAAGATAGGACAATCTGAGCGCATTCTCGCAAACGGCGGGGGAGTAGAAGCCAGAGGAAGAAAAGATGCATTATCAATATCCCGCCACCGGGCTCCCTATAGTTTATTAATTAGGCCTAAATGCGAATGAAGTAATACGATAGCGACGACATAGGGCTTTCAAATCATCACCTCAATCTCGGAGTTCTAAGTCATGCTAGTAATCCACATCTGGATCAAACTCCTCATCGCTAGCTTCTTCGATGGGAGCCTCAACCTCGTTACTAGACCCCGCGTCTCCTTCATCACCTTCCTGATCCTCTAAACTAGTCTGTTCCTCCTTTGAAGATGAACTGTCATCTGGCTCGCTGTGTAAGGAACTAGGTTCCTCCTCGTAGAGAGGGCCAATATCCTCAAAGCCATGGTCTGGATCATGCATGTCGGCTCGGCTGCCATAGCACTTGAAGCACAAAGACACGTCGTCGGAGCACTCGATGCACTTCCATTGTATGCCAATGATCCGCTGCATAACTGTTAGTCTTCCAGTTCATCTTGTAGCGAGGGATTGTTTGTTACGTACCACCCAGCAGCTCCAGCAGGTGGCGTCCTTTTGGTGCCCAACCTTGCTCACATGGAAGTGGGCGTTCCACTCCTCCTTCTGGCCATCAGGCTTGGTTCTAGTGAGCTCACTTGGGATCAAGGTTGGTAGTATTGCCCCGATCCCGCCATTGAACCGAGCGAGCTTCAAGGCCGACCACTCCGGTTTGGCATCGTAGCCACGGCCTCGAGCCCATAAGCTAGCATCCAAATTGAGAAGATGCGTAATGGATGTGGAATTACCAGAGCGGGCTGCCCACAGCAGAGGAGTCCAACCGTCACCGTCTTCCACGTCCACGCTCACCTTGGCCTTGCTCATCTTGCGAAGGAGATACGCCAGGCAGTCTCCGGGTTTTGCTGATGCCGCGTAGTGAATAGGCATGCGGCCGAACTTATCCTTGGCGCTGAGATCGGCTCCGGCTTTAGCTAGGGCACGTATGTAGTCATCCTGCTGAGCCATGGATGCAAAGTGAACTGCTTGACGGCCCTGGTGGTCGCTCACCTCGACAGAAGCCTTGCGCCGGATGAGGAACCTGAACACTTTGGTGCGAGGTTCTGGGTGAGATGAGTTCAATGCCTCCGCTGCTCTAATAATGGGATATGCGAGCTTCCCCCCGAGTTTGTTGATATTCACCTTGGCTTCATCGACGAGGTACCGCACCATCTCGGCAGAAGACGAGACCGAGTTGATGCCCAGCGCCGTGTATAATAGCGACGCGCCATACTCGACATCGACCAGGTCTGGGTCTGCGCCTGAGCTTATCAGCAGCTTGACGGTGGTTAAGAAGCCATGAGAACAGGCCAGATGCAGGATGCTCCCAAAGAGCGGACTAAACAAGTTTACGCTGGCGCCTTGCTCGATGAGATACTTGGCTACACCGTCGTTTCCCTTGCTCACCGCCATCGCTAGAGGAGTATAATTATCGTCGTTCGGCTTGTCCAAGGGTGATCCTGCTTCAACCAATAGCTTGACGACAGAAACAGGCGTGTGCTTCTCAACCTTGTGCAGGAGCGTACTGCCATCTTTGTCGACGTAGTGAACCTCGATTCCATTGGGGGCGGATAACAGCAGCTTGATGCATTCTTCGACATCACTCACGTCCCCAGACGAGTCATGTACGACACGGAGCAAGATGCTGGCAGAGTCGTCGCCGTCTTTGTTCCGGAACCTGGCATTGGCGCCGCCGTCTAGGAGGAGTTTGACGCACTTGGGAGCGCGATCGATGCAGGCTATCTGGAGAGCTGTGAAGCCAATTCGGTCAGGGAGCGTACTCTCGTCGTTCATGACAAGGTCCACGGTGGGCCCAGGATCGATGGCTAGAAGAGCCACAATGGATTCTGGTTGATTGCTTGCGACCATGTGAAGAATGGTCCCGTGTGCGCTGTGGCTGTCGATATCAATGCCTCGCTTGACCAGCTCAGGTAACAGCTCAGGCATATTCCAGGCCGCATGCAGCGCGTTCCATCCGTCGCCGGCGGTCCAAACAACCTGGCAGTTTTTCTCGAGCAAGAACTGCGCAATCTCCAGGTTCCCATGGTAGGCGGCCGTGAACAAGGGAGGATCCGAGCCTGGATCGTCTCCGCTGAAGTCGATATCGGCTCCCTTGTCGAAGAGGAACCGGACCATGTCAATGTTGCCTTCGCTGGTTGCTCGTGCCAAAGGCGTCTTGGAAAAGTGACCTCTCAGATCAACAAAGTTGATCTCGGCCCCGTGTTCAATCAGTAGGGACACGAGCTCAGTGTTGCCGGTGCACACGGCTCTGATCATGAGCATGTCTTCGTCCACAGGCTGAATGTTTAGATCGGCCTTGGGCTCGTTCTCAAGAAGCCTGCGGACTAGGTCGATACGGTTGCCAGCAACGGCGCAATACAGCGCAGTGCCTCCATCCCAGAGAACGTTCGGATCGGCACCGTGAGCCAGTAACGCCTCAACGCATCCCATCGAGCCCATGCCAGCTGCAATAACCAACGGGGGCCTCGAGAGTAAGGGAGCTCCTTTGCTTCTGTCGCCGCCTTCGCAGTCTGTCTTGCCGTCGATCAAAACGCCGACTACTTTGTGTCTGTTCCAGTTCACGGCGATGCTTACGAGCCCTGTCTTGCCATTTATTTCTGTTTCCGGTTTGTCGACGCTTGCGCCCTTCTGTATGAGCAAGTCCACCATGGCAGGATTACCAGATCGAACGGCAACCACAATAGCAGTGTCCTTATCATTATCGCATATGGTCAAGTCAGGTTTGGGCTCTGAGTCTAGCAGCAACTTCATGCTAGAGACCTGTCGCCACCAGGCGGCAACCGTAACTGCTGGCGCTCCCCAGTACGTGCTAGTTTTGTCAATGTTGCAGCCGGAGCGAAGAAAGACGGCGAGCAGGCTGTCAAGACCAGAGGCAACGGCTCGGTACATGATGTTGTCGGGCCATGGAAATGTTCTGGCATCTGGTATCTTGTCGACAAGGAAGTCGATGGCACCACCCTTGCCATAGGCAGCAGCCCAGAATAAGGCATTTGCAAGCTCTTTCTCATCTAGAGTCACTTGTCTTATGAGCTTTTCGACAAGTTCTTTGTTCCCAGCCCTGGCTGCCTCTGCAATAGCATACCAGCAAGTCTTCTCAAACAAGGGCTCATCCTTCTCTGAGCTGCACTGCTCCTCAACCAAGTCCTCCAGCCCCAGCATGGCATATATAGGCAACGGTGAGAGGTAGGACTGGTGTATCCGCGTAAATGGATTCGAAAGCGTATAAAAGGGGACCTCCCACGCTGCCCGAGCCTTCTTGCAAGCAAACAGCTCACGTACAAGGCCCCTAGGCTTGAATCGTCCACTTGACCGGTAGTGGTGGGACCAAAAGCGGACGGCATACTCAGCCATACTCGTGCGTTGATGAGCAATGATGGCTGCATCTTGTAGCTCCCCCCAGCACCCTCCTTCAAGTTGCTCCAGAGACAACATAGCCAGGTTGTCTTGCGCACCCTCGAGCCAAAAGTAACGCAAGCATGTCTCGGCGATGCTGCTGTGAATCTTATCTGCTCGCTCCTCCGCACTCCCTTCGATGCCCATCTCGGGAAGATCGTAGAGAGAGGGGTGACAGAACTTGAAATCCCGACCTCGGACAGTGATGAGTCCCCCAAATGCCTTCTCGATCCAAGTTACCAACTCTAAAGGATCAAGATCATCAAGCACTGGCTCCTCTCCATGACAATCATGAACCGCAAGCGCTTCGGCTAGTGACTCTGGCGTCCAAGGCTCTGCCGCGTGTTTTATCCAGTTGAAGCAGTTTTTGGCCCGGGACTGGCCCTCGGCCGGCAAAGAATCGACGAAAACTTGAATCATGCCCTCCGTGGTGACTGATGAGAGCTTGTTAATGGTGTCGGCAATTTGAGAGATGGATCGTCCTCGCCTGTAATGCTCAAGCCAGCTTAGAACAGCGTGTGCTAGATGCGGCGCATGAGAGTATCCCGCCAGGACTTCATCAAGCTGTGATCTAAAGGCCTCGTAAATTGGGCGTCTCGCCACAAGACCATCCAAAGCTGACCGGAGCTTCGTCGCCTGTGAATCGTTGATGATTGTCTTGTCCAGTGTAGGGCACTCCTCAAGATTGACGGCTGCATCGCTCGGGAACGAATCCACTCCCAACCCATCTCTACCACAAGTAGAGAAAATGAATCGGAAGTCCTTACAACCGTAGCTTTGCTCCTCTAGGATCCGTTCCAAGAACCACTTCCTTTGGCTCGCAGGGCACTGATCAAAGCAACCGATGAATAGCGTCATCTGGCATCTTGTCTCTATAGTGCCGAAGCTGCTGTATAGGTGATACAGATCTTCCAATGAGCAGGATCTCGTATCACTGATGAATTTGAGCTCGGAGGAAATTATTTCATTCATGCCGGGCCTGCGGTCGCAGAAATGCCAGGCGAGGATGTTGATGAAATAGAGTAACATGGACGAAATATTGTTGTATCGAGAGTCTGTCTCGTCAAACTCAAAGTAGGCAACGCTCCCCTCGGGAACTCTTTCAGAGCCGGAAACTCGAGTGGCAGCAACACGATCATAATCGAGATACAGACGTCGCGAGAGGTCGACAATATCCAGGGAATGATTCCCGTTGACGTGTACGTGAAGGAGTCGGGGGCTAGTGGTCGGCTTGTTGAGTTGCTTGTATGCTTCATGTTCGTAGATCCAGCTCACGACTGGGTGTTTCGGCATCTTCACATCGAAGTGTGTGTCCAGAGGGCGCGTTGGGGGACATAAGGATAGTAGGCGTCCTTGTTCCTGAATCGTGGTGTAGTTGACGTTGATATCTAAGCAGCCGCTGGTTACGAGACGGCTCGGGGTACTCCTTGAGTGTCATGGGTCAAATGTACTTACACAATCCGCTGTTGTTCAACATACCCAACACCTTTTCGATCCACCAGTCCGATGACTCGGCCCGCACTAGGTCCAGGTGGTCAGTTTCATCCCATCGGATGGCCGTGACTGCTTCGAGCGGATGGCTAGACCGATGCACGAATGGTAGGAACGGAGTCACTGGGCCCGGGAAGTCGTCGTCTCCATCTCCAGCTCCGACTTCTTCCCCGTCCTGGATTGCATTTTCTTCTTTAATGTTACGGCCCTTGTCGGCGACTATGTTGAAGATGGTTGTCCGAACTAGGTGCTTGGTTGTTGGAAATTCCTGGTTGACTCTGTTCACCTGATGCGCCAGATTCTTTACCTTCCTCAACACATTGCTCCGGATATTAGGGCCTGGCAGGAGAATAAGCTTGTGCAGCTGGTCCTCTAGTGAACTCATGGAGTGAGTTCGGTGAGGCGTTCCTAGAAAAACCTGGCTGTGTCAGCAATCAAGAAGATCGCATCTTAAATCATGGGCTCTTACGATAGCAGTGGTGAGTATGGCTATTTTTCCGTATTTCTTGGGTGAAGCCGAGGCCAGTGACAGTGCCTGATATTGTTAGAAGATACAATCGTTGATAGCTCGTCACTACTACCTCTTTTACGATTGTACCGCCGAGGTCGTGACAAATCCAGATCACTGGGCGGTGAGTTTCGGTCTGCCGTCGTGTCAACAAAATGCCGAGTTTCAGTAGCTGTTCTTGGACATACATCCTCTAGCTTTTCACGAAGCTTGGCGTACTCAGTAGCCAGTGTTTGAGCATGAAAACGGATCCCGTCTGGTCTGTAGATTGTAGAGTTCCCATCAATAGCATATGCATAGTCGATCTGTCTTATGTCCTCCGATGCGAAGAGCTGTTTCTTCACCCACCATTCGTTCTTTTTGTTGATCCAGGCAGTGTTGCGGTCGTCACGTAAGCCATGAACAGTGATAACGCTAACCTCTTGGTGAGTTCTTTATTATAGCTACACAGGGAAGTCAAAGGCTATGTGCTTACTCGTAGTCATCATACTGCGAACCGGACCAGCCATGTTGACCATTGATGGTAAGACCAAGTTCTCGCGTTGTTGGACCAGGATCTAGCGGTGATTCTGGCGCAGGGGCAGCAAAGAGATCACTTGTCGAGGCTATCGAGGCGCCATCCGAATCACTGGCGTCGTCATTTGACGTTATCAAGCCCGTGTCGGCACTTTGGAGCCCTTTTCCTGGCGATACTGAAGCTTTAGCGTTTGCGACATCGTCTTCCATCGTCGCTTCAACTTCAGTTGAGTTCGCAAGACGCTTTGAGGCTTACTGCGAGGGCAGACGGCGATGCAATGGCGAGGTTCAAGTTCGAACGTCGGATGACTACTCTTCGTATTGCGTACGATGTGGTTGGGGGCGGTGATATGACTGGGGGCACAGTGAAGAGGGGCCACAACCCTAGTTACTATGGCATCATATCATTGGTTCTGGAGTGAGCGATGCAGCTAGATCCTTGTTAGGCAGTTCCAATATTGTTCAGCTGCCCAGTGCCGCTTTCTTATAAACACTGTCAATACTAGGATGCTGACTCTTCAGCCTCGTTCCTGGAAAGAGATGCGTGGCTGAATACTTTGAAGGACTTTGAGCATTTCCGACGTGGGACGAATGCAGGGATTGAAGATTGTGATTGTGATTTCCCACCAACAGTGATAATCTTTTCCGTTGGGGCCGTGAGGCTAGTCGGAGTGGAATTGCACCGACCGTGATGAACAAACACGGCGGACAAAGAACTGGCCTTCTATATATGACCAACACAGATAATGGGGGTTTCAATTCAAGACCAAGCTGGGCAGCGATACCATCGCATCTATCTGGCATGATGGTCTACCATTTCCATGCTCATACCACAATACTCGTCAACGTCCACGCTTCCCAACTCATCGTCTCCGTATGTAACGCTTCTGCTTGGTCGAGTCCCCTTTTCCCGCGGGTTTGGTTGCGCAATGATGGAGTCATCTTTGGGAATCTATCTCCTTAAAGAGGCTCCCTGCCACAGTCTTCATAATGTATTCGCTGGTTTTTGGGGGCCAAAACCATCCCTGTCCCTACATGTCGCGTGCACTGTGTAGTTTGCATGGTTTCAGTCTCACCACCGTAATCACTTGGTTCAGGGACAGGGGTGATTAAAATACCGCATCACCAGACATGTCCGCAATTCGCAGGGCTGGGAGCTGCATGATCCCGTGCAGCCCTATTGTTGGCGGGTCATATTCCTCACGTCGCCTCTTCGCGTTCACATGCGGCTTGGGAAACGACCGAAAGCTCAGTCGACATCACATCCTACCCAATGGCGCCAGAATGGGACTCCGATGGTGCTTTCGAAGACGACTTTGACCCCGAGTCATTAGACGATATCCAAGCGGAACGAGAAGAGAACTACGAAGAGCGCTTCAGGATAGCAGGTAAAGCAATCAAAAGAAGAAAGAACTTCTCTCAAGACGACGTCGAGGACTTCCTTGCCGAGTTTGGCGACATTGCTGGCAAGTCGTCGGCCAAGGTATCAGGAAATCTGCTCCATACACTGGTCGAAATAGTCAAGCACAGCGACGATGTCGAATCAGAGAACGTTGAACTCCTCGTTCGGAGACTTGTTGGAAAGTATCCCGATCTCCTCGTGTACCCAAACAAAGATGGACACAACCCCGTGTACATGGCTGTCAGGGCCTCAAATCACCAGCTTATCAGCTGCATGATATCTGCTTGCGAGGAACGCCAAATGCAAGACGCTATTGGTCCGGACGCTATGCAATGCCTGGACGATGCCCTTTGTATGAAGGCCCAGGAGGGAAAAACGAGCCTTCATATCGCGCTCAAGGAGAACTTCAACGCTGAAACAGCCAGGATGATGATCGAAAACGCTAGCGATGAGGCATTGGGAATTCAAGACGACCTAGGCAAAACGCCAATGCATTATGCAGTGTCCTTTTCGCAGTGCACCAGCATTAGAGCTGATCTCATCTCCCTGTTTATCCAGCGAGACTTGAGCGCCATTCAAAGCAAGCCGAGGCCCGAGACGACCTTTCTCGACTTGGCCGACAAGAGCAACTGCTCGGTGTTTCGGGAACATCAAAGGACCAGGACCATAGTCACCAAAAGGTTCAACGAATGGGCGGCAAAGAAAGCTCAATCGGCAAATTCGGATGAAGCTGGCGAAGCCGCAGCGGGCGATCGACCTGCCAAGGGTACCAAGGAAGCCCCCCAGCCTCGCATTAACGAGAGGGATACTTCCCATGCGGTAGCCAAACCTGACAGCAATGAGATTGCGAACAACAATCATGTTGAACCTGAGATCGAAGAGAAGACGACCGATCACGAGAAGCTGCGCCAGAGGAAGAAGGCAGAAGAGGCGATCCGCCTGAGAGAAGCAGCCAGGGAAGCAGCAGAAGCGGCAGGCCGAGATGCCCGAGGCGATCATGCCAAGTTGGCTACTCGACTCATACCCCCAGTTCGACAGATAGAACCTGCGCCTAATACTCCGATAAAACGCATCAACTCAGCACGCATCGATGGAAAGCCAAGCCACAGCAGGCCGCCTGCAAGGCCTTCGCAACTATCTCGGAAGAGCACCACCGCTGACAAGGGCAACATGACGGTGTGGAACAAGAACTCGGAAGACATCCTACTCAACCTCAAACTACACTACATGAGGACGAGGAGCACCGAGATGGCCATATCCTTCCTGTACGGACTGAATATGAGTGGTGAGCCTGAGAACCCATGCAATGTGTGACTTGTTGCTAATGTTCCATTCCCAGATGTGCAAATCGGCTTCGACTATGACCGCCTTCCACGCCGAATCTTCTGGAACGACTTCATCAAGCGGTTCGGCGCAGACGGGAAGTCTGGTCTCAAGTTCGACAGCGTGCTCAACTACGTCAACTTCCCGCACGTCGAAGTGCGCCTCAAGGGCCGCTTGGCTGATAACGAACGCGATGCTGAGCTGCAATCTGGAGGAGACCAGCTAGGGGCTCTAGGACGCAAAGATATGACATACTTCTTCGATTGGCTTTACAAGAAAGGAGTGCGCCATATCATCAGATTGTCCGTCCAAGACCCCGGAGACTCGGGCGAGAAGGTCCATAGTGAGTGGGCTATTCAGCAAGCCCTCGAACGGTTCGTTGTCGAGCGCCTCGATTGGCAGAAGACTGACCTGGACCCGGAGACTATCCTGCACGTGAGTAGCAAAGCTCTGGAGGTGGAGGCTCCAACAAGTGAGGATCCCAAGCATATTGAAAGGCTTCCAAACAGGCAGATAAAGGAATTATGTTTGAGGTGGAGTGGTAGCAATATTGTGCTTCGAGCCTGGAGTGAGCCAGAAGGGTTGCCAAATCTAACTACACTTGAAAGGATCTATCTTTTCAAGCCACCCTTGGACAAGGTAAGTCGATGCTAAGGTTTAGTTGCGTTCATCAGCTAACCGGACAAGATGCTTGACGGTCCCCGGTGGATCAACCAGAAAGTTCTCGAATTCCAAGAGAGACTCAACAAGAATGCCAAAAGAACAGAGGGTACACAGTTTGAATCAAGCGAACAAGGCAGTCAGGTACCCCTGGAGCCCCGTCGGATCGAGGTCATAACTCGAGATGTAGGGACCGATGACCAACGCAAAACGGCATCTCGCGGCGTCCTCCTTTCCACAACCTCTGCGCCGGTAAAGGGCGTCAATTCTCATAGGTGGCTAGACTCTACATCCAGGTTTGCGAGTGAGATGATGTCCTTCTGGGAGAATACCCTCAAGGACTTTAAGGAGGCAAGGAGGGGCCGAGGCACACCAGAGCGTGTGGAGGACGACGTCGTCATAGCGCTCATTGACGACGGGATAGATATGTTTGATGCATCGCTATCTAATCATGTTCTCGAAGGGAAGAGCTTCGACTACCATGATGGCAAAGTGCGGCCTCCATTCTCATCAGCAAGAGGTCATGGTACGGTCATGGCCAGCATGATCTTGCGCATATGCCCTATGGCCAAGGTCTATCCGATAAGACTTCGAACATATGAAGGTCCTGATGGGAAGAGCCAGATTGATAGGAAGTATGCGGCCATGGTAAGATGATGAATGCCTAAGAGCAGGTAAAGGGAGTCAACTCGGATTGCTAACAAGAGTTTTAGGCTGTTCAAGCTGCACTTGATAAGAAGGTAACCATTATTTCCATGTCGTGGACGCTCCCGATGCCGAAGGGAAGCAATGACACTAAAGATACATGTAAGCTTTTTACTTCGCTTAGCAACCCCGGTGTATTGCTTTATAGGTCTCAGTACCCGACTCTGAATGAGGCCGCAAGGAATCTTGTTTAACATGGAAGGATATTTGTCTTCAGTCAATGCTAACCCGACAACTCTAGTACACACCGTTCTACAAAAGGCTGTAGACGCCAAGGTCCTCATGTTCTGCTCATCGCCCGATGAGGGCAAGTTCTCTATACTCGACTATCCTAGCGGCCCCTGGCCCGATGATTTCTTCCGCATCGGTGCTGCGCGTGCTGATGGCACTGTATTTGAGTGGACGCAGGACGATGGCATCACATTTGTGCTACCCGGCGTCGACGTGGTCAAGGACCAGGTGGGCAACAGCTCCTTCGACATGCCCTCATCCGGAGGCGTTACGAACCGCGTCGTGGACTTCAAGTACGAGACGGGCTCCAGCGTGGCCACGGCCCTGGCAGCTGGACTTGCAGCCATGATCATCTATTGCGTCAAGGCGAGCATCCTGGCGGTCAAGACTGCGAACCAGGACACGGGACCGATCGTAGGCATCGCAATCCCGGACAACGGCGGCGACCTAGTAGCGAAGCCTGACGCGATGCGAGCAGCGTTTCGGAGCCTGGGCAAGAAGACTCACAACAACTTCATACAGGTCTGGGAGGAACTAGACAAGATCAGTGATATGCTGGAGCGTGCGCGAGCCCGGGGCTCTAGCCCAGAGGCCAAGCTGGCCTGTGTCAAGCGGTTTGTCGAGTTCGGGGTGAAGCTTGCTAAGGGTCACTAGACTTGGAAGAAAGCCATGAGTTGTTGACGATGGCAGTGAGATGGAGTTTGCCATTAATCTCCTTAGTGCCAAGCAAAACTAGATAGCATGGCGAGCTGTGGCCTCTACGAGAAGTCGGAAGTGTGATGCTGTATACGGCGTGTTCTCTTGCCTTCAAGTATTTCTAAATCTTAATGATTTGTTTCTGCCTGATTGATTTATTGACTTATTATCTCAGCTACTGTTTCTTCTGGTGCCGGGTGTAGCATTCACTGTTCGTCTTGACTGTTTGAGAATACAGTATAGCTTTCATCTATTTGATGATATTAAGTAAAGCTCAAAAAGAAAACATGAGCAAGCCTTTGTCATTGTTGCCTCATTAATCAGAGCTATGAATATAATTAACAAGCGTTTGGAAAGCTCTATCGAGATTTTCACTTCGGAGAATCAAGTCATATACCCCCGGAACGCGAGCATATACTAGCTCAGCTTCCTTCACTTCCTCGGTAACGTGAGGATTACCCAGCTCCGCCATTAGTCGCCTCAGGGGCTCGTAGATTCTTGTAGTTTCCATCCCTGAATAGCTTGCCCTCAGACGGGCCTCAGAGACGTCAAGACTTGGCGGTATGATGAATACGTATCGAGCATCGAATCCAGGGATGGCCTTTAGCTGCTCAACGCCACGCATATCGACTTCCATAACCACTATGCGCCCCGTTGCTGACCCCGCCGCAATGGTTTGCCTCGATACCCCCAAGGAGTGGTCACCGTACGTATTATATGTGGCGAATTCGCCGCTGGAGGTCATGTTGAGGAATTCATCGGAGGATATGTGGTAGTGACTATTCGAGCTGGTTTGTCCGTCGGGCGGTCTGGACATGGTATGGTGTGGGGCGATCGCAAAGGAGTCAGGTAAGAAGTCCCAGAGCTTGCGCATGAGGGCATCCTTCTCTAGTACTGAAGGGCCGCATAGAATCAGAGGCCGTAAGTCTCGAGGCGACGCTGATGAAGGCATGTGGTCAACAGATCTATCTATAGTAGCATTCGCCGATGAGAAACGTACCATTTGCAGTCGACACAGCATTTAAGGTGCGCTCCATACTGTCGAATACGTTGAACCACTTCAGAGCCGGCTTGGCTTGAACATGAAGAGAACGTCGATGGGTTAATGTAAAGGTGAATAAGAGCCAGGTCGGGGACTCGCTCTCACCTATATACTTACTCAATTACAGCGAAGAGTTTTAGATGCGTGATAGCCGAGTCATACTTGTTTGTTGAGGAAAGGTGAAAAACTTGCTAAAAGTCTATCAGATATAGCTGGAACCTACTGTCAGAAACGCATCATGGAAAGTTTAAATCCATGGGGGTCAGTCAACAAGGTTGTAGAGACGATATTGAGCTAGAACATGGTGTCAAGATTAGAACGTGTCTTGTTACAATATTGATCTCAACATGTGGGGAGCACTGTGATGTCTCAGCGCACTGTGACCATGTCCGGCCTCAGATTGTCATAGCTGTTAGAGACGTGTTGCGCAAAGCATGTCTTCGTCAAAACCAAAATCTTCAAACATACAACAAGATGTCCAATTTTCCAACACAGCTCCATTTGTGCAATTTACTTTTGCTTCAAGGTGGTTTTGTTGTGAACAAAAGTTGTAACGGCTCATAACGTGTCCAAGATCAACAATTCTTTTACACAACCAAGTTGAAAAGCTTGACATTTGGTCATCGTGGCAGCATTGGGTAACAAATGCTTGAATTGTGGATAAAACTGTGTTTTTTTGACCTTGTGCCGGCAACTTGCTCACCTTGAGGGAGCAGACAGAAGTTAGATTAGTTTTTCACAACTTGCCTGTACCAAACCAGGAGCTCATGGCTGCGGAACGAATAGCCCATAGCAGACACATTTGCTACAGGTGGCAGGATGGCAAGCAAATTCTACATTTCACAATGCAAAGCTCCGAGCCTTTGCGGCTGGCCTTTTCGCCTACCGTACCGCTTGCAAACTCAGCGCCAGCGATGCGTTTTCGTCAGCTGGGAGAATGAACTAGCAGACTGCGGACAAGGAAGCAAAGGATCTTACTTGGTGCCACGCAATGGAGCTGGTGGTAGAGACATACGAGTGCCATCACCATATGATCTTAGCGATGCTCCTGCCTCATATAAAACCAAGCTTCGGGGCTTATCTTTGCGGTTTTCGGTGCAATAAGCAGGTGAAGAACAGGCGGGGTAGGTCACGGTTGTGGCTGCTCGGTTTAACCTCGGTTATGACACTAGTCCGAGTACTGTGGAGTCGAGAAGAGACGACTCAGCACCATCCAAACTGTGACACCTGAGGCTCCCAACAATTTCAACTTTACAAGTTCAACTTGAATGTGTTTGATTCAAGCCCCGTAGAGTCCAATATGACTCAAATTGAACTTAGAAGTTTGGACACGTTAATTCAATTCAAGTTAATCTATTTTTCGATTTTTCATAAGTTTAATCAGTGCTCTTATCATTCTCTCAAGTTACCTTTTTTGCCTTTTCCAATTTGCTATAGGGTACGCAGATGACTAAGCCCAAAGCCAGTAAACCTTGGGCATTTACAGCGCCTTTGCTACGCGTAGCCCCACAATTGCAGCCTGAGCCCTCCATCTAAGAGTGCTATGGCAACGTACCTAGAGGCAAATGTAGCCCAGAAATATCACCACTGTACGATGGACCTTCTGAAGCAACTGAGCATAGAAAACACATACTCACATTTTCGACTGCTGGCTTACTGAAGGCATCATCAAGTAATTCGATTTAATCTGGACCCTCCTTTATTTCAAGCCTGAAGGTCTTGAATTCAATTTCCATCTGAATGTAGATCAGCTTGAATTGTTGGGAGCTTTGGTGACACGAGCTGTTGTACAGTGGATATTTTAGTCCCGCACTTCTCCTACATTCTCCCTTCATTCCCCACTTAAATCGTCATATGTGTCTTCACCGCCTTGATACCACTTCGTCGTCTTTTCCAAGATTCCCATCTAATCGACTTACTTACCAGTAATTCATTTCTGATTGCGGTTAAAATTCACAATCCGGTTCAAAGCAACAACGAGCAATAATCCACAATGCCAGCCTCCGCTCAAGCAGCCATGGATGTCAGCGAGTTCGAGAAGACGCTCCTCCAACTGCGATGTTTCGACACCATGTTTCTGGTCGACGATTCGGAGCATATGCAGCCTTACTGGCCCGAAATCAAGACACTGATAGAGCGCATTGCACCCATTTGCGCCAAGCATGATCCGGATGGAGTGGACCTGTACTTTGTCAATCACCGACCTGGAGGCGTCTTGGCCAAGCTGCCCGGAGTGCAGTCCATCCGAAAGTCGGGCTACACGCACATCGGCGGCTTCGTCGGCAACATGCTCTTGACGAGCAAGGGAAAGCAGGTCGGTGCCATCTTCGACAGCGTCAAGCCGGCTGGCAAGTGCAACATGGGCGCCAGGCTCGGCGGCTTGCTCAAGTGGTACTGCGATAAGTTTACTGCGGGAGAGGAGAAGGCGGCTCTCAACATTGTCGTGATCACAGCCGGCCAGTTCGACGACGATATCAAATCACCCCTGATCCAGGCCGCCAGGACTCTCGATGAGGCCAAGGCACCGATTCATCAGGCTGGCGTCCAGCTCTTCCGCGTTGGGGGCCCGAATCTTGCACGACAGAAGACTCTGCAGCATCTCGATGACGAGCTGCACAAGGAGGCTAAAACGCGAGACATTGTCGACACAGTGACGTGGAGTGGACACGGCACATCCATGCCGGACGATGAGCTGCTCAAGGTCGTATTAGGCGCTGTTATCAAGAAGATCGATATCCGTGCCTCTGAGTTGCACTTGGACGACTTGGCTCCGAGTGCACGCGCCGAGCGGGAGTATGATGAAGAAAATCAAATCTAACGTGCGGAACACTGCCTTACGCACTTTGAGACATTACTTGTATTCTATTCAGTTACATCAACGAAAAGTTGTCATGTGTATTTCGAAGAATGCAGGCCATGTCAATTTTCCCTTGGTCCCTCGGATCTTAGTGAATGGAGAGTTCTAATCAGAAGCTATGCAAACTGTGATGGATCTCAAGTCTTATCATCCATTTATTGAAATAATGAGCTCCTGGTGCTAACAGAACTTCCTGATGAATAAAAGCCTCCAGTCTGTTCCTCAAGAGCAAGAAATGCTTCAATCCTGACTATCGCCTGAGATTTACTAACCCCAACACAGCATCTTAAGACCCATTCACCTAGCCTCTCGACGTGTGACAACCGAGAACAAATATTCAAGAATGACAGAACCAAAAAGAGCGCTTAGTTGACAAACTCAAATGCGTAGGCTGTGTACTGGTTGTCCGGAGTAACAAAGAAAGTAATCTTCAGATTCGTTAGCTATGCAGCCGAAAAGATAGAAAAGACTCAACCCGAGCTCCTTACCTGATCGTTGGATACGGTATGTTCAACAACACCCAGGTCGGTTGGAGCAGGTCCCTCCAAATTCCATTCAACGTGGTTGAATCGCTTCGTGCGAATTTTGACAGTGCCACCGGAGATGCCAACGGCACTCAGACCCTTGACCGTCACGTCGTAGGTCCGGACTCCAAACGTAGGTCTCAGGCCAGTAAGAAGCTTGACAGAATCCTTAGAGCTCCCTCGCGTGGCGTAGACTTCAAAGACTCCGTCTCCTGAGGAGGTAGTAGCCACGCGGTTCCCCGTCATGGATTTGGAATAGTAGTTGTACACCCACCACTGCGCCGCACGGAAGTAGTTGGATCCTGAAAAGTTGACCAGGCCAGCCATGCCGTTGTGAAGATTGTTTTCGCCCATCCCCCAATGAGCTCGCAGGCCTCCAATATTTTGTCTCTCGAAGTTGGCCAGGTACCACACGCTACCTGCGTTGGTCTGGTCGCCTCCCGCCGTTGCGCCGTACTCGTTGACAATGACCTTCTTGTAAGGGATGCTGCGGGAGCTGAGCATGGACTTGAATGTGTCTTGGGAGCCGCTGACGGTGAAATCAAGGCTGAGGAGGTGATAGGAGTAGAGATCAGGAACAGTGTTGGTCGACTTGACGTGGTCCAACCATCGAGTCCAGAAAGTGTTGCCGGTGGTGGGAGGAACAGAAATGGATGGTCCAGTGACAGGAAGAGACGACAGCTCCGACCTAGATATTTGTGTTAGCCTCCAGTACACAGCGGTTTCCAGTTGCAATATAACATACTTGAAGCGATTGTACATGCGTGTCCAGGTGTTGAGGTACTGCTGGTAATCGGCATTCCAGAAAAGAGTCGAGTCAGGTTCGTTCCAGAGGTCAAGCTCCAGTCCGGCCTGCATGTTGTTGTTCTTGATAAAGGCAATGACCTGCGTCAGGAAGTCGTCCAAGGCGGCCCAGCTGCCGCCATCACCGGGGTACTTGAAGGTTGAGCTTTGAACACTGTCCGCTCCCCAGAGATCGTGAACGAGCAACTGGAAACGAGCGCCAGAAGCGCGGCATGTCCGGTAGTTGGAAAGGAACGACATTAAACGACCCTATAACGCCGTTAGAGGTTGTTGTGGTCTAATATTGGGAACTATCTTACCTGCAGCTGGCCATTGGCGTATCCGAGACTCGGCGAGGGCAGCTGAGCGCCTCCGGCACGGCAGTAGTTGAAGCCAGAACCAGCGCGGAGTTCATTCGGAATAGCCGTGTTGGCGGATCCATCAGCGTTGTCGGGAAACCCATAGATGAAACCATCGCCCAGATTCTGAGGAGTGCCTTGTGTTACTGCCAAGTTCACAGTGGCCGTGCCTGAAGCACGCTTCTCAATAGTTTCACTGGCGCGCTCATTGATCGTACTCTCACCGGGAATAGCAGCGCCAGCAACCAAAGCGACACAGCCCAGGATAGATGCAACTCTCATTTTGAAGAGATCTTCGTAGAGATTGACTGGTGAGCTAATGTGTCAAGGAAAGCCCTGTATGGTATTTGTCCCAAGATTCAGTAAACAGTCCCGTGAAGTCGTCTGACTTTATACTACATGGATTTGCGCTCGGAGGCAGCTGCGCCGAACTTACGGGGTAAGGCTGGGGTAAGTCCGGGGTAGCAAGAATGTTTCTCCCATCGTGATTGGAAGGAACTAGTTAGGGTTTTGCGGTTAACTTGAAGGTTGATTTCTCCGTGATGAAGTGATCCGGTGGGATTTGCGGTGGGTTGTGAGTGGGAGTTCCGGTGGGCCTCCGGTGGGATCTGGGGTTCCCGGTGGGTTAGAGTGGCATCATCCTCCGCGGGAAGCTGATATACCGTCCGCGTTTATTAGCGTTAATTTAGTCAAAATCAGGCAATGATCAAAAAGTCGGTGGAGCATATTGGCTGACGAAGGGAAGGGAAACTTTAGAGACCCAGGTGGCTATCGCTGGGTGTGATATGCAGGAAGTTCTTAATGGCCTCCTCTAAATCATCGAAGAACAGACGAATCAGACAGATTTCCCTCTCTCTAGAGCCGTTGTATTCTCCAGATAATCTCAAAGAGATAAATAAAGTGAAAGAAGCAACTGAGACCCTGTGAAACTATATCGCTACCGCGAGAACCAATCTTTGTAGGGCATGGCATGGCATGACATACAATATTCCCATGTAGTACACTCTTAAAAACACTTTGAACCAATCACAAGTTTCCGGAGTGGCGATACATGTAGACCTGTACCAATATGTAGCTAGAGCACAAGAATATTCTGCTAGTACATCCACATCATCCATAATGTTGAAACAAACACGCTGCCCTGTCGCTTGCTGCACTTCTACTCCTTAAACCACGCGTTCTTGATGTACTCGGCCTTCAATCTCGGCAGCAGCCTGAGTGCATTACCCGCACGTATCAACTCAATCTCCTGCGGCGTATACATGCCACTTTTCTCCGGCCCGTACATCTCATCAAGCGTCGACACGACATCATCCTTGCCTGTAAAAGGCCAGTCACTACCTGTCAACACGTTCTCAGCGCGGATGCCCAAGCTCTTTAGCATAACTGTTTGCATAGCCGTGCCCTGCGAGCACTCTATGTAGATGTTGCCACCGCCGAAGATGCGCTGCAGCGTCTGTCCGTCGTTGTTGTTCGCGATGCGGTTCACCTGCTTTGCACCTGGTCCGCCGACGCCGACGAGCTTGGAGCCCGACAGCGTGCGGATGCAGCGCTGAAAGAGGTACGGGAATGAGCCGCCGTTGTGGCTAAAGATCCACTTAATGTTGGGATATTTTGTGAATGTGCCCTGATCAACCATGGACATCAGGCAGCGTGCCGTCTCGGTTGGGAACTCGATCATCTGCCAACCGTAGACCTTTGGATCTAGCGGCGGCATTACCGTCTCGTTGGGATGCACAAACAGCACCACGCCACGGCGGTCGCACTCGGACATGATCGGGTCGTAGGACGGGTCCCCGCCTGAACGCGCAGGCCCGCACCGCTAGCTTGCACGATGAAGCTGAAGACATCGCTGAAGACGAAGACGGTGGTGAGCCATCGGGGAGCAATCATGGAGCATGACTGACCGCCGACAGCACGGATGACTCTGCTGAGCGTCATGTAAAGCGATGCGGCAAACAGAATCGGGGCAAGCAGGAGCAGGGTGGATTGCAGGACATGGGGGATCAGCTTCCCAGTCTTGTCGTGTGCCAGGGCTCTGCCGACATAGCCCACTGTTTCAACTATCAACTGGGGTTAGCAAACTTAATAAAAACTCAAAGACAATCTAGAACTTACAACCACCGCCGACGACAAACGGGATGCAGAACCACGTCCTGTGTCGAACTAGCTTGAAGGCGTGTCCAGCCGTCAACAGACCGAACAGGGCGATGAAGACGACGGCAGCTGGAAACGAGGGAATGTAGTGCCACAGATAGTGACCATTATACATCTCAAGTTTGGCCATTTTCGGGAAGAGCGGATGTTATTCCTCAAGTGGGTGCTGTTGATTTGTGGGGTATAGATGCTGAGAGGAGTGTTTGAGATAGAAGACTGCTGAAGAAGCGAAGGCTGGTGATAAAAAGATACAAACCACCATCGACGAACAGCAGACATGTTTAAATATCTAAATTCCCAACACCCACCTTCCATCCATTCTGATGCGAACGGTTAACACGGCACCGAAAATGCAGGCTGAAGTCGACGCAGCAGCAGCACTAACAAAACGCACGGCGAGATACGATTGCGGGAGCGAGACCGCGACGCAACAAAGTTTGGTGCCTGAGCCCACAGCAAATTGAACCACTCCCGCGGACGGAAATTGATCGACAGCGCCAATGGGATTCTAGAACGAGGCTGCGGTTTTTTGCACTGACTCCCCACAAGTGAATTCATTGTGTGCTCGAATTTCGTGCCCCTACGTCATGAGGGATGTGTTGACTGAGTCTCAAAAGATATGGGGACGAACCCAGGGCTGTGGTAGTGCTACATGGGATGAGCCGATGGTCAGTGAATCGATAGCTGGTCGCACACTTTTGCAGAGCCGAGATGCCCAATACTGCTCTATTAATACATGGGAGGAGGCCCTAAGAGCCTTTCGTCACCTCGTTCCTCGTTCCTTAAGGCAATGGTGTAACACCCTATCAATTCCCTACTTTAAATCCCAGGTTTTCCGTCACTTTGGTATATCCCACGCGAGGGGCTGGGTGTGGTGGGGTCATTTGGTGTATCGGGTTTTTTTTTTTTGGGAACAGCCTGCCGGGTCCCCAAGAGATGGGAGACGGGAGACTTGGAGCATAAAAGTGAAGGTATCGCGGCATTAAGAAAATGGCCTGGGAAGTTCCCAGCCCTAAATCCAGCAGGACCGGCAATTGGTCAAGGACGACGCGGCCCCACTGAAGGTCCTTTCGCCAACGTCATCCCTTTCGATCTCAGCCCCATCTCCAACTTCTTTCGCTGACCGGAGACTGAGATCGACAAAAATTGAGATCAAGGCCAAAGAAACCGACATCATGGCAGAATCCCCAGTCCAAGAGACATTCGTTGTCAATAGGGAGGAACTTGCCACTCAGAACAAACAGCGTCCGGCATGTACGGAATGCCAGCGTAGGAAGCAAAAGGTATTCCCCTCAATACAACGCAGTCCAGGGCAGACGTGGTCCACATGACCAGACATCGAACCCGCCCCCAGATGAGAACAGACTGACACTCGGCAGTGCAACCGCGAATGGCCCTGTGTCCACTGTTTGAAGCGCAAGGTCGCCGACCAGTGCCGCTTCAACCACGTCGAGTCCGCCGAAAAGGCGGCTTTTAACGTCAAGAAAAAGCGGCACCTCAGTGACGAAAGTGAGAGCCCTGGCACTGTCAATGGGACTGGCGCTGGCACTGGCCACGGCGGATCTGTCGGTCGGGGCGAGACTTTGACGCAAGAAGAAGCGTCTGGCTTCAAGGAACTGGGCTACATGCCCTCCCATCGTCTCTACCGCCTAGCCCTGAATGACGACGTAGGTCCTCCTCGAGTCGAATCGTATGAGAAGCTTCCCCTGACCTAACATCAGGAAGCCGAAGGCGGCCAGAAGTACAATGGCGACCCATCCAGAACCGTGTTGGCTCAGTTGACACGAGCCCTCACGGCTCTTCCCCCGCGGCCCTACACCGGTATGACATCGATATGAATATTTGACCTGTTGACCATACTGATCCTCCCCAGACATCCTCGTTCAGACTTTCAAGGACAATGTCAACTTCCACTACTACATCCTCTACCCACCCGCCTTCCTCGATCAGTACCGCTGCTGGTGGGCCGACCGTATCGCCAAAAAGCCCCTGGATCTGTCCTGGACGTGCCTGCTGCTCATCGTCTGCGCCTGTACCGCCCAGTATCTCGACGCGGAGACGCAAGAGCAGCTCGAGTCTGACCTAGGTGAGACGCCTCAGAACCTGACGAATCGCTACCAGGCAGCCGCCCTGGAGCTTGGCAGCGTCGTGCCCTCCAGCGACAAGAACTTGGAGTACGTCCAGTATCTACTGCACATGTGCTACTGGTACAAGTCGGAGGCTCGCTTTGTTGAGTGTTGGCACACGCTCAACTCTGCTATTCGTGAGGCCCAGGAACTGGGTAAATTTCCCGATATTCTCGGCGTAAGATGGCTTGCTGACATTTTTGGCCAGGTATTCACCGCGAGGAGGTCACCAGTCTTCTTCCCGAGTTTGATCGGGAGATGAGGAGACGTGTTTGGTGCATCCTAGACACTTGGGACTGGTACGTCGTGGCCGTTGGTTTACAGCATTTCCGTCCTTCGTACTAATTTGCCCAGGCAAATCTCCGGCTGTCTCGCTCGTCCCATGATCATCGACAGGGACGAGTGCGACGTCGAGCTGCCCAGCCTCGCCCTGGAAAAGGACTGGCCGTCGCCCATCCTGCACATGAAGCTCCAGTCGAAGCTCATCGGCCAGCTGTCAAAGAAATACGGCAAGGCCGTAAATCTCATGGTCGCCACGCCTGCAGGCGCCCAAGAGTATCGCCAACACCTCGAAAATTGGCGCGCAACCTTCCCACCTCGATACGACGGCGACAAGCCCGACAACTCGATGGACAAGGACCACCCGTGGCTAATACTGCACCGCCACTACCTCCAAACCATGTCCTTGCTCATGACCCTCGACCCTTTCAAGTCCTTCCTCACCCGGACGCCCGCGAAAGACGCATCACAGGCCTGGATGGAGGCCCGCAGAACTGGTATCGACTACTGTTTAAAGCTGATGAGCGCCCTCAGCGACTTCTTCACGCACCTTTACCCCCGAGACGCCAAGTTCCACTTTATCCTCTTCTGCATCTTCGACGTCTCGGCAATCCTGTGTTCTGCCGTCCTTCACGACGAAGAGGGCGACCTCCCCCGCCGCAGCGAGGTGTACGAGAGCATCACTTTGGCAGCCGACATACTCTCCCAGCTCAACAGCGTCACCAAGTCGGCCAGAACCTGTCACGCGGTGCTCCAGAAGCTCAAGGCCAGACTACCGGACCGAAGACTACCCAGGAGAAAGCTGTCTAACCCGCCACCCATGGCGCCCCCAATGGCGTACCCAACGAAGAAACCGAAGCAGGATGCTCAGCCGACGCCACTTAACCCTACCTCGAATACTAGCGCGAGCAGTGTGCCGGTTGAGACGCTCTCAGTTAAATCTTCCAGCAGCACGGCCGTGGCCCCTTCAGCCAGCGATGTTGACCCTTTGCAAAGCATCGAATCTGCGACTCCTCCAACCGCAACAATCAGCAATAGCGGCGATGGTAGCATTCCAGATGTCACCAGTGGACCTCATGTCGCCGAAGGTCATCAACTCCCCAGCAATTTCCATCTTCCCCAAACGGCTGAAAACCCCACCAATTCCTACTGCACCAGCCTCCCGCCTCAACCCGATTACACCCAGAACAACGACATGGACGCAGCCAACGTCGATGCCAACCCCGTCCAACAACACGATTTCGGCATCAACCCCGCCGACTTCTACATCCCCCAACCCGTTGCACCCCAAGACTTTGCCGCTTCCTCCACGCCTCACAGCAGTAACTTTGAGGACCTAGGCTTCGGCAACATCACCCAGAGCGACTTTGGCGACTTTGGCGAGATGTGGAGATGGTCCCAGCTGGATCTCACCTACACTCCGCAGTTCATGTGCCAGAACTCGCCACAGCAACCAGGCAAGGGCCAGGGTCAAGGCCGGGATCAGCAGCAGTGACATCTTTGGGCATCGCATCGAATGTGATCTTATTATGTTTCATTTCGGAGAACCTGACGTTTCGGAAAATAGCAAGGTCTACAAGGCCCTTTTGGCTGGTATCTCATGGATCATTGTGAATTCAGGGATGTACGTTAATAAACATGTCAATTTCCCGGTGTCCCTTGCGAACTCGGTTGGCATTTCTGAGAGACACCTCTCCGTCAACATGTCTGGCTCAATAATGGGGCGAGCTCATCTCTGGGCTCCTCTTCCGCCGGGTCTCAATCGTCCCAATACTCACAACGGGACCACCAACGCCAGTGCTAACGGAGCCCAGGTGATAACAACCTCCGCCGAATGTTGATGAAAGGTTACTAAGAACACGTAGACTTCTCGGTGCACGTAGACTTCGAATGGGCGCATTAGAGGCCGCTGTCGAGCAAATCTCCGACAACCTGGAGAACCAAACAGAGGCCATGAAGCACAATTGATAGACATCTGCGACAGTCTCGTGTGGTTTTCCACATGTAAGTCATAAATTTGAAGAGTGACAAGGCACTTAACTTGGTGTCGAGTGCGACCCTGGCCACATACCGACATGGACCTCAGCAACACATGAAAAGATGACCCGGAGTCTTCGTACTAATGGTAGTGTAGTACCGGTTTGAACAGTCATATAATCATCTTATATAGCTTTTTATTCTACAAGCAGCAGCTCCAGCCAGGACCCCATTGCAATTCATCACACCCTTTTTTACTCATGCCCAATTGGCTTGGGGGCTTTTTGCCAGGCGATGTGAGCCGAAGAAGCGACCAAGGGCGGAGCGACACCCGTCTCCTTCGGGTCATCCTTGATAAAGTTCATCGGAAAACCAAGATCGAACTGCTTGACGCTTTCAATAAGTTGAATTTGCTCGTCGGTCAAGTGGATGCTCAGCGCCTTGATGTTATCCTGCAAATATTCGACCTTCCTGCCCCCAACCATTGGGAAGACATTCCTCGTCTTCTGCATGACGTACGCGAGGGCAATCTGTTGGATACTCTCGGTTCCATGTTCGGCAGCGACCTTCTCGAGAGCCTCACTTGCCTTGCGCTCATCTTCGCTCTGCTCAGAACCGAACATTGACCGGAGACCCTCGCCGGCCCTCTTGCGCGCCTCGAGTTGCTTCGAGGTCTGCAACTTGCCTCCGCCAAGTACGTCCCAGGGACAGAGAGCCATGCCGAATTGGCGCGCCATGGGGATGATGTCACGTTCAAAGTCGCGAATTAGAATGTTCCAACGGCCCTGGTAGACAGAGAAGGGCGTCTTTCCATGGGCTCGTGCGTAAGTATTGGCGGCCGACACAACCCAAGCCGGAGTATCAGAGACGCCTAAATAGAGGACCTTGCCTTGCTCGACGAGAATGTGAAGGGCATCCATCAACTCTTCGATCGAAGTAGTCCAGTCCCACCAATGGACGTAGAGGAGGTCGATATAGCTGGTTTGCAGCTTACGCAAGGAATCGTGAACCGAAAGAAAAAGCGACTTCTTATGGTTCCCCGAGTAATTCACCGTCTTTCCCGTGCCTAACTCCCACACGCGGTATTGCGAGGTGAATTTGGTCGCCACAAACATGAGATCGCGGTTGTGCCGAGCAGCCATCCACTCGCCAATAAACTTTTCGGACTCCTCGTTTTGATAGTTATTGGCCGTGTCAATGAAGTTCCCGCCCGCGTCGTGGAAGGCGTCGAGGAGCTTGAAGGATTGCTTCTGGTCCATGGAACCCATGACGTCGGACCAGGCGGAGCCAATCGACATGGCGCCAAGGCAGAGGGGCGAAACACGGACACCGGCGGTGCTGGAGAGGACGCGATAACGACCGAGCTCAGTCTCGGGTTCCGGGGCGGGCTGGAACACTGAAGACATCGTGGTGACGTTTGCAGCTTTGTTATGTAAGGGATGCAGAAAAGCGCAGGGAGTTGACTGGTAGTAACAATTTGCCAAATGTAAATTGAATCCGGAATGGATGTGGAGGAACGATGGCACAACTAGTAGCTTGAAGCCGATTCTACGGGCCTTTTATACCTAGACGAACAACTATGAGATCATAGTGAGCCAGCTCGAAGCCTCGGCTCACCTCCGACTGTGGAAGCGCACTGCGGTGTCCAAGAGCTAATTTCATCTCATGAGCCTTAAGTCCGCGTAGCTGCCTCGGAGTTTGTGGGTATCTCCATAAGCCCCAATGCTGGTAGACATACCCTTGTAAGCCTTCATGGAAGCATCTGAGCCATTAGGTCCGTTTTTAGTAACGGACTGATGTTCTAGTGAACTGAGGACATCTGCAGCCAGCTCTACTGGACCTGGGACTCGTTTATTATGATTTAGACATCGTCTAAGATTGATTAATTATTAATCGCTCCTGAATCGATCTTTTCCTTAAATCTAATCGTATCCTCTTCTCTGAAATGCCAATGCGTACTCAAAGTCGATAGGGACGGACCAGATAATCAGCGTAGCTATAAGAACACCAGCCCGAAAGAATGGCCTGAAGTTCGAGCTAGGAGCTTTCGAAACCGTGAACATAGAAGATCGTTTCCATTCAGTAAACTACCCTTAACTAGGGACAATATTTATTCATTCCATATTACGCCTTCATTGCGTTCTCAATACTTTGCCACCCCTCACAGATGCTTATCGAAGAACCAGAGCACAGTCTTATAGCCGCGGGTATACTACTCCTTGACGCGGGCGTCCTCGAGGTCAGCGCGGGCGGCCATCCATCCGTGGACCTGGTCCTTGAATGTCTCAACATACTTGGGGCCCTGGAGGGTTTCCTCGAACTTCCTGACAGCGTCTTCGGGCTCCTCCATGGACGCCAGTAGGATTAGGGGCATCCGAATGCCCTCGGCGTCCTTGGGGTCGACCATAGCCGGGTGGATGTCGGCGCCGACCTTGCCGCCCCAGCAGTACTAGAACACACATGCATGTCATGTTAGTCTTACACCCTCATATGGGGAGTCTAGCCAAGAACTGGAAACTCACGCCGATAATGGCCGATTCCATTATCTCGGGATGGTTAGCACTCAGCTGGACTCAATTCTAAGCTGTCTCCCTGAGTAGGGAGAAGAAGATGAGATGAACGAACAGGACGTGAAGCCACCAATCTCCTCGTAGGAGCCCTTGGCGTCGTAGCCCTTAGAGATGACGTGCGGGATGTTACAGCAGGCCTCGTTGTGGCCGTGCTGCGCGGGCATAGTCGATATCTTGGCGGCTTAGGCCTATGAGGACAAAGAGCGGGGGCTGGTTTGGGTGTACGGGTGAAGCTCCAGATGGACTGAAGCGGCGGTCAGAGGTTTGTGGCGACTATTGGAACCCCAGTTTAAGGTCTTCTCGCTCCCTTAAACCGCCACTGACAATCCCCTGACGACGACACTCAGTGGTCACCGCGTGGTCTGAGACAAAGAGTGATGTCACCATGAGCCCATCTTTCTCCTTTTGGGTTTCGTGCGGGGGATTATCGTTTGCTGAATCGGCCCTCCACGATTTTCGGCCCCACAAAGGTATCGCCCGACGATTTTCGGGCCCTTTCGGGACATGGACTTTACGGGCTATTCAGAAAAACCCCCAGTTCTAAAGATTTTTAGCGCCTTAACGTAGCGTACTCGCACCTATTGGATCTGACTTTTCTGTGGGCCGGCACCTCCGTCACTGCTAACGACTCAAGCAACATCATGGATGGCATAGTTGCCGCAGGGCGCGCCCAACAGTTTGGCTGTCGACTATCCCAACGCTCTCCGGAGTTAGGAAATAGGCAGAAGATAGCCTGAATGGGAGGACTGAGCAGCTCCGCCGGTACATCGACATGTGAGTTCCTTAATGCTGAATTTTAACCTTGCAGTGCCCCAAAGCGGCAAGATCCCTGCGAGCTAGAGCATCGTGTAGCAAGGCATATGGGAAAGTTTAGGCCATGACGTCCTTGGTGTGATGCAGCGATACGCTTTCTCATGCTTCTCCTCTTCTGTCGTGTTCAGCTAATTCGGAGTTAAGCAATGTTCGGATCCCGGATCTTCGTTCAGTCCAAGTATAAGAACACGAGTGTCATTCACTGTTCCGTCAAAATTGTACCTCAAATCATACAACTTACTTTTTCTAGTCAATCCTCTAAAGAATTCATTCTTAATAACCAATTCATCTACCTCTCTACGTCAAGAAAGATGGTTGTAAGGCTTCATATCACTTCAATAGGATCCATGACCTGACTCTAGTAAATAGTCCGACACTGTTACGGCGTTCGTCGACCCCTTTGCGCAGCTTTTTGCGCACAGCTTGCGCTCGCCCATTTTGCGCTATCCTTCTGAGGAAGGACTAGAGTTCGAGGAAGTCTGGTTCCCGTCTCTTGATGGCGTGGTCCTTGAAGGCTGGTTTATTCCCTGCAAGGGTTCAGATAAACTCATCATTGCCAATCACCCGATGCCTTGCAATCGCTACGGCTATGCTGGCCATCTACCTGGATTCACCCTATTCGGCGGCTTCGAGTGCAGCTTCATCAAGGATTACAAGCATTTGCACGATTCCGGATACAACGTACTCTGCTACGATCTGCGTAACCACGGACGCAGTGGTACCGGATCAGGCGGAGTTGTCGGCTGTGGCCAACTGGAGTGCCGCGATGTGGTCGGTTCCATCTTATATGCTCGCTCCCGTCCGGATACAAAGGGCATGGCAATTGGGCTACTCAGCCGTTGCCTTGGAGCCAACTCGACCATCATTGCCATCTCGAGGTATCCGCAATATTTCACTGATATCAAAGCCCTTCTCGCCCTGCAGCCAGTGTCAGCCCGAGCTTTCATTGGTAAAGGAGCTGAGAATGCTGGTGTTGATAAAGAGGAGGCATTGAAGGAATTTGACACCAACATCTTCCATCGCACTGGTTTACATCTCGACGAATTATCCCCCATCCCACATGCCAAAGACGTCAAGATACCCACACTTGTTGCACAGGTACATCGAGACTTGTCCACATATCCCGAAGACGTTCAGGAAATCTATGATAAGCTTGGGGCTAAAGAGAAGGAGTTGTTCTGGATTGAAGGGACTACTAGGCGGTTTGACGGCTACAATTACTTTGGCTCTCATCCAGAGAGAATGCTTGGTTGGTTCAAGAAGCACTTTTAGCTCGTTCCAAATAGTGAGAGGCCGTAGAGTAGTGGGAGTTTTTGCAACATGTGTCCTCACGGTTATGAAATCCAGTTCTAAGGCCTCGATAGTTCTTCATGATGTTACCTGGTGTTCTCTGAGATTAGAAACCTATGCAGAAAAGTCTAATCTAAATCACTTGTAATTGTGACGCGATGTCATTTAATATCTGTGTTGTGGCGTCGGAGTTTCATCGTGTAATCGCCTTGATGAAAGTGTTGTCTAGTGAGTGATATCATATTCTTTTGAGATCTGAGCAACTGCGGTAGGAGGCACTGAGCTGTAGGCGGCCGGGAGCAAAGCTAAAATTAAGGCAGTGAACAGGAAGGGAGTGCTTTACTGTTTAGGGATTGACTTCAAATTAGCTAGTCTTAGACCGCAAAATATGCCTGCGGACACGAGAACCCCTCAGTATATAGATAGCTCTTCAGATCGTTCGATGGCAAGATATTCACGGATAGGTCGTCGGTTGTGCACGGTATGCAACACGACAAAATCTTAGGCCAGCTCCGAAAAACAGAGTCCGCCTCAATCGAGATGGTTAATGACCCATAAACCGTTAATACAGGCTTGTTTCTGAATCCGGATGTCAGAATAAGAGGGGCCGAAAGAAGCCCGAAAATCGTCGGGTCATCCCGACAAACTTCGGGCGAGAACCCTGTTTCGCACCAACCGCTCTTTAGTCCATACCGGGGTTAGCGGAGATATCCGACCGGAATTCATCAAGGAGCTGGTTTAAATATGGAAAGAAGGAATACGTTATTCGTAGAACACCAGGCTTTTTCCCTAGCTCATCACCAAACCCGTTTTATTACTTCCAGAATGACTTCCATCTCTATTTCCAAAGGCTCGCTTACTTTAGCTGGGCTACTCTACAAACCTATCACGACAGCCTCGAGCAAAACCCGAGCCGTCATCATCGTTCACCCGGGTGGTGGCGTCAAAGAGCAGACTGCCGCGCTTTACGCCACGAAGCTCGCTGAACAGGGGTTCACCGCCGTTTGCTATGATGCGTCTTTCCAAGGCGAAAGCGGTGGCGAGCCGCATTTTCTCGAAGACCCTGCCGAGAGGGTAAGCGATGTCTGGTTCGTCGTTGATTACCTACAGCAACAAGATTTTGTCGATCCCGACAAGATTGTCGTCGTTGGCATCTGTGCTGGGGGTGGCTACGCGGTGGCTGCCGCAAAAGCAGACCATCGCCTGAAGGCTGTAGCAACTGTGTCCATGGTAAACATTGGTGCCAGTGGTGAGTATTCCAGACAAGGCCTAGCTTAACGACTTTTAGTTGATATGCTCTCTAGCGCGATTGGGCTGGTATGGCAAGGAGCAGGCTTCCCAACACATCAACAGTCTGGAACAAGCCGCTGCGCAGCTCACTGCTGAGGCTGGCGGAGCAGACAGAGTGTGCGCCCCGTACGTTCCACCTCAGATAGACAGTACTACTCCGGCAGACCTGTGTGAGGCAAACGACTACTATCTCACCTCACGGGCTCAGCACCCTCGGGCTGAAAACAAAATGCTTTTCAAGAGCTTCCCTCGCATGCTTGTCTTCGATGCCTTCCATCTAACCGACATTTTCCTCACGCAGCCAACCTTGCTGATTGCAGGAGAGAGCGCGGGCTCGTTGTGGCATTCTCTTGAGCTGGATCAAAAGATTAGAGGCAAGGCGAAGAAGGTTATTCTGCCCAATTGCGCACACATGGATTTGTACGACAAGCTTGATTTTGTCGATACGGCAGTCACTGAGATTGCTCAGTTCTTCAAAATTAGCCTTGTATAATAGACCTACAATGTTAGCTACCGTAGCCATGTTGTTTAGGGCGGGCATGCAAAAGAGAACGCTCGTGGAGGAACACCCAAATCGACTGACGTCGCAGCTCGTGCTCGCACTACGCGGCCTTCACATGGGGGACGAGGACGTTATCGAGGCCCTCTTGGCCAAGGGTCTCCCCACCTCGCTACACACCATCAAGCTTCGCGTCGCTACGTTTCATAGTGGTAGACGAAAAATATTCAGTGTTGAAGAAACGATCGATCGCGTTGTGACAAGCCCGAGCATACTAGGTCTTCTTCGGTTAAATATCGTCCTTCCTCCTCCATATACTATCGCTCAGTTCTTCCCAGCGGAGGGCCAAGTTATGGACGGATGCAGACATTGCCCGCCTGGTCGATGAGTCCCAGAGGTCTTAGTTAAGGGCTTTCGTCTTCAGTGCTGAGAACTAAGGGATCCAGTCGTCGCTGGTAGCTAGCTTGATAGGGGTAGCTGAGGTCATCGTCTCTGAGGGGTCGGCGAATAGTCAGCGATCCGGGTGAGAGAGGTGTGCGAATAGTAAGGGCACGTAGCACGTATCCTGTTGCATCTAGCAGATGGATAGGATCATATGTGTGAGAAGCTCTTGCTATTCTTCCTATCTAATTGAGGTCTGCTAGGTCAGTCTTATAGATGAAGATGACCTCGGATGACCTCGGACGGCCGAGAGGCTCCGGATGGTCCGGAGTCTTTGGCTTTAGCTAGCTACAGGAAAAATCAAGGAAAGCTAGGACTATCATGAGATCGGTGACGAGGCCGGTGGCGATGGTGTTACAGTGGTGTGATGCTGTAGATATCCGATATCCCGATACATGTGACATATCCAACTGTTAATTGTTAAATAGCTAGCTGCGACAAAAGCGTAAGGTTGCCTCACTTATATACCAGTACAGCAGGCTATTCTAGACCATAGGCCTCCAATTTAACAATATCATTTCATGTATATTTTCCAGTCATATCATATTCAATACTAATATAGTTTCGAAAATTACATAAGTAACTAGATATTACAGTCTAAATTATTTCTTAATTATAACCAAAATCCCCCATACTATAGAAACCTTATTTAGAACTTAATAGTTAATAGATAGAGCTTAAATTATTAATCTCTTCTTTATTAGTCCTTAAAATTATTTAGTTTTTTTTTTTTAGCTTTACTTAATATCATCAGATAAATCAAGCCATACAGTAATCTCAAACAGTAGGAATAAACAATAAGGGCTACACCCAGCACCAGAAGAAACAGTAGCTGAACAATAAGGTTGTTGCCCACCGGTCTCTGCCTGAAGCTTCTATTTAACTCCTCTGACTTCAATCCTATTGTCTGTAGTTAACAACCTTGCTATCTGCAGTCAATAACCTTGAGATAGTAACCTTATTCCGAGCAAAGGGATATAAGGGAGACGTCTCCCATTATCAAGGGGCCAACTTCCCTTCTAACACAGGGTGTTAGGTCGGGTCGTGGGAGTTTTCAGTGTATTTATTAAGGTTAGACTGGGTCGAAAAAGTTAGATAGGATTCCAGCAGAGAAGAAAAAAGCAGCTTAAAACCCAAAACTTGGGCCTTGGTAACTGTGACGTGCGCGTAACGAAAATGCAGTAAATTCAAACACTAGGTTCCCTTATCAAGGGAATACTAGGCTAGTATAACCTTTAAAAAGTAATATTAGTTTAATTTAGTATACTAAAATAATTTAAAAGTTACCTAACGTACATGATAAGCGAGTGCACAATACAAGCGAGTGCACAATTTTTCTTCTAACCGCCCTCTTCCCTCTTTTAACTCCATTTTTTCAACCACGCATTATGTCGTCAATAAGCAATGAGGCAAATATCAATCTTGCCCTTCAAGCCCTTCAGAAAGACCCTCAATTAACTCCCTACCGCGCCTCAAAGATCTATAAGATCTCTCGCCATACTCTACTACGCCAACGCGCCGGCATTACTTCGCGACGCAATACTATGCCCAATTCGCGTAAACTATCTGATCTAGAGGAACAGACTCTTCTTGAGTATATTCTTGACCTAGATTCGCGAGGGTTTCCCCCGCGACTGAGCGGTGTGGAAGAAATGGCCAACCGATTGCTCGCCGACCGCGACGCGTTACCTGTCGGCAAGCGCTGGGCTTCTAACTTCGTCAGGCGACAACCAGAGCTTAAGATGCGTTTTTTTCGTAAATATGACTATCAGAGGGCTAAATGCGAAGATCCAACCATTATTCGCAATTGGTTCCGGCTTGTGGAGAATACAATCGCGAAATATGATATCGACCTAGCCGATATCTACAACTTTGATGAGACCGGCTTTATGATAGGCATAATCGCAAGCGGAATGGTTGTTACAGGCGCAGAAAGGCGTGGAAACCCGAAATCAGTTCAGCCTGGAAACCGGGAATGGGTCACGGTCATTCAGGCGATTAATGCAGAAGGCTGGGCGATCCAGCCATTTATCGTGGTTGCAGGCCAATATCACCTCGCTAACTGGTACCAAGAAAGCAACCTCCCGGGCGATTGGGCTATTGCAACGACTCAAAATGGCTGGACTGACAATAAGATGGGTCTTGAGTGGCTTAAGCATTTTGATCAGTATATAAAGGATCGATTGATCGGTCGCTATCGTCTTCTAATCCTCGATGGGCACGAAAGTCACCACTCCGTCGACTTTGAGAAATATTGTGAGGAGAATCAGATTATTACGCTTTGTATGCCGCCTCATTCGTCTCACCTACTTCAGCCTCTTGATGTCGGGTGCTTTGGGCCGCTTAAAACAGCCTATGGTCGAGCAATTGAGCAATTGATCAGATGCTCTATAACCCACGTTTCGAAGACCGAGTTCTTCCCAGCCTTCTACGCTGCCCACGCAGCCGCTATGACAAGGAGTAATATTGAAGGAGGTTTTCGAGGAGCTGGACTTGTTCCCCTAAACCCAGAAAATGTCATATCGAAGCTTGATGTGCAGCTACGGACTCCAACACCGGCTGTAGAGGAGGTCGGCCTCCCCGACCCTTGGGTCTCGAAGACCCCAAAGACAGTGCTTGAGGCCAGTTCGCAGTCTGAATATCTTGAAAGACGAATGAGAAGGCATCAGAGCAGCTCTCCAGCATCAATTCTCGAGGCGCTTAAGTCACTTTCAAAGGGAACAAAGGCAATAATGCATCAGAATGCTCTATTAAAAGCTGAGAACCAGATCCTTCGATAGGCAAATGAGACTCTTAGCAAGCGGCGCAGAGCAAAGAAAACCCGCCTATGTAAAGGAGGGAAGATGACTTTAGATGAGGGCAGGGGTGAGATAGATCAGAGAGACGTTGATGCACAGGTAGCAGCTGAATCGTTGAGAAGTAGTGGTCGAGGGAGGTCAGCGATACCGAGGGAAAGGCGCTGTGGAACTTGTGGAAAGGCCGGTCATAATGTAAGGACCTGTCAGACTATAATTAAGACCTCTGAGGAAGAGCATAGCGATTAGTTTTAATTGATTGATTGTATTGTTGTGGTTTTATTGAGGTTTGAATCTTAGAGGTTAGGAAAAATTGTGCACTTGCTTGTATTGTGCACTCGCTTATCATATACGTTATATTATATATAAAAAGATATAAATAAATTAAATTAAATTTATTTTCTAAAAAAATTAAAAAAGAGGAAAAAAAGAATTATATTATAGAGAAATTATAAACTTTAAATATTTTTTAAGCCTATATTAAGCAAACTAGTGGGCTATATTTTGATGCTTTATAAGATAGATGCAGGCCGACACAACCCGAAATTCTAAGCTGTCCCTGAGCTCTCCCTGAGCTCTCCCCGAGCCGTCCCCGAGCCGTCCCTGAGACGTCTTGATTAGGATTTAGACGCTAACCAAATCGAGAAATTTTGCACTGCAAGTTTGGGAACGTAGAACAGCTACTGACGATTCCTAATTGGGCTGCATTGCCTGGGGGGTTCCATCAAGTTGGGCGGGGATCAACGAAGAAAGGGGGATGAGAGGTCCTTCGTAATCCTGTCCTCGAACACTACACTAGGGAACGTCGCCGATTTATATGGGGTTTTTAGAGCCGGAATTTCCGAATCTTGTTCGCTGTTAAATGGTAGAGTAACTGTGGAAATATAAATCTTAGGATAATTGGAACCTTGACAAAGCAATTCGAGAGATTAAAGCTAGTCAGACAGGAAATACAGATCAGCCTAATTTACCATCCCACTCACCTCCCAGAGCGCTTAATCTTTTTAATTGTGTTAACTGCCACCCGTCTTGACCATAATCCACCACTTTGCCTTCTCCATTCAATCGCACTCTACCCTATTACTCTACCGTCGGCTCCTTCTCTGTCGACAATCATCTTGATTAACACTACTGTGTTTATTTATTAGCTAGGGCTAAATTTGCCTGATACAAAAATAGCCTGTAATGAAAATGCATAACATTTGCATTGTCGTAGTAGCTTGATTGCTCTCCCCTTCGAAATGAGGGGGAATCTTCCCGGCCCCCCAACTCCACATACCGGAGTTCCCGTGCCACTAGAGGAACAAGTTTGCGGGGTCATGCATACAACTCCTTTTCGGTGCGTGATGATTGGCAAATCCAGGATTCTCGCTCTCGGCCTTGTAATCGAGCCCTGCACTCCGGACGCCACAAAGATTCGTAACATCATATCGCAAGCCGTTGAGAGGTTCATTTGGCTTAAATGCGGAGCAGCCTACTCCCCCGCACATCCCCAGAGCCGAGGCGTTCCGGGGGTGGAGTTATAAGACCAACTCTGTGCCCTCATGGGGAACGCTTATTAACATCCCGGCCCCTCCTCATTCCCGACACAGTCTCCCCTTCGCTTTGGGACCTTTACTCTGCTGTATTTGCAATTCCGGTGGCTTGCGTGCTCAGTATCACTCGGAGAAGCCCTTCTTTCTCTCGGAGTGCTATTAATTGACACTGACGCCATGGGTGATGATGAGCTATCCATATTCCAGTGTGGGTTATGCAAGCGCAACTTCAAGCGCCTGGATCACCTAGCACGCCATGTCCGTTCACGTCCGCTCTCTTCGCCCTTTCCGCCGGTACACAGCTTGATTACGGAAGATATGGATTGCTAACATAGCTTCCAGATACTCAATCAAGACCGTATAAGTGTCACATCTGCCCCAAGGCTTTCACAAGAACGTGCGTGGTACATGCTTCCTCAACTTGTCTCGAGCGGAGCGTAGAGCTGAACCCATTTGTGTCGCACTAGAGATCTTCTGAGAAGACACGTTGCGAGTCACGAATCTCAAACAAACTCACCAAATGAAGATACCCCAAGCTCCCACCGCGGTCTGTCTTCACGGGTAACACAGGCATGTCGAGCCTGCGCTTCCCATCACTTAAGGTGCTCCGAGGAGAAGCCATGTCGGCGTTGCAAGAAGAGGGGGATCAGGTGTATTTGGAACAATCCATTGGACCAGGATGACCCTTGCATTTCTCTTGATTGTGATCATCAATCTGAAGAACCGCCAGATGCTCAGAGTGCAGACCTGGGATTCCCAAATAACCTGACCTTGCCCTTGCTGCTTCTCGTGGAGCGAGGTACAAGTAGTCCGACCCAGGACGTCATTAATGCCCTGCCAGATTTGGGTGAATATTCCTGATCAAAACGAAAAACTTGGGCTTATCACTAACTGACCAACTAGATCCTTCGTTGAAATTTGACGTTGAGCAGTTCACATTCGAGTTTCCCGACCCAAACCTCCTCTCCGGAAGTTAGCCTTACCATGGTCTAGTCGATCTGGACATAAACGCTAGTATGGAACTAGACGACGTTGACGTCCAATTCTTGAACAACTACAACTCCAACATTCCTTTTGAATTCGACAGTATATCTCAGCCAGAAAGGAGCGCCGCGCACTCAACACCTAGCCCCCTCAGTACCGAAGCCTTCGAAACGTTGTACTGGCGCTTCCGACCAAATAAAAAGGATTGCCAGGGAAGCGAGGAGCGGTATCTATCAATGCCTTCAAACGGTCATACATCACCAGAGTCACGAGTCCACCTTGAGAAACGAGTAACCTGCAGTGAGCTTGGAATGGCTGCACGAGACAAGATCCTCGCCATGGTGGTTAAGTGCTGTCGTCCAGAGAACTCATTTCGGGCTGCCTCATCTTTTCCGTCCGTCAAACTGCTCGATACACTGTTGCAATATTATTTGACATCTCCCGTCGCAAGTGCAGCCTCATTTCTGCACCTAGCAACCTTTGATCCAAATACAAGGCGACCCGAGTTGGTGGCCATCATGGCTGCTGCCGGGGCTGCCTTGACATCCGATCCTGCCCTCACAAAGCTTGGCTACGCCATTCAAGAATGTGTTAGAGTGGCCGTTATAAGACTTGTGAGTATCATAGACAAACCAACCCCTCTTCTTCACCATTGCTGACCAGTCCGAGTGGGAGGAGGACAACACTATGGCCAGGGATCTAGAGCTATCGCAAGCATTCCTCCTTACCCTCGAGATAGGCCTTTGGAGTGGGCATAGTCGAAAGGTCGAGATTGCAGAGGGCCTCCTACAACCATTATTGACCATGCTTCGTCGTGATGGGAAGTTGAAGCGCTCGGCCTATCCTGAGATCACCATGAGCCACGACCTTGAAGGTGCAGCCCTCGAGCGAACCTGGCTCGCGTGGGTTGAGTCCGAGTCATACAAAAGGCTCTCTTTTAGACTCTTGTCACATGATGCCAGTTGCTCCATGGCTTTGCTAGCCAATCCCCTAATATCGTATGCGGAATTCTCTGCCCCTCTTCCATTGTCGGAGGAGATCTGGTCCTCCGACTCGGCCGAGCATTGGAAAGCAGCCTGGTTGAGTCGAACCAACGGCCGGATATTCAACATTGGCGATTTTCTGACCGATCCAGAGACCCTGATCATGCACCGCGATACCGTTGACGTGATGGCGGCTAGCTTTGCCATGGTATCGTGCTCTTGGAGTCTTTGCCGGGAGTTTATTCAACTCAACTCCCTTCAGCGATCGCGCAAACATCAGTGGAACGCACTGGTCATGTCGTCGAGGCATGAGGAGCTCTCAAGATTGGTCGACAATATTCGAACGGTTGCCAGCCTCCACCTCACTCCGGCTACCAAGGTCACCATGCGGCTTGAACTCGTGCTGTTGCATCTCCACATGCAATTTGAAGACATACAAATTTTTGCTGGACTCGAGGGGCCAGACCAAGCTCGTTCTATGCAGCCTTTCATATGCGAATGGGCTCAATCCGAGTCTGCAAGAAGATCTGTTTACCACGCCGCTCAGATCATCAGAGGAGCCAGGGAGCTTTCGCGAGCTTCGGTCGATCCCATCACAGCCATCATGCTCTACCACGCGAGCCTGGCTTTTCTGGCTTATGGGCTCCTCGCAAAACCCCAGGTGGATAATTGGGGGACCTCATCGACGGCTCCAGATTCTGCCGAAGAGATATTTCTGGATCAGCCAGAAGACCTCACCATGCGCAGATTCCTTCAGCATGGACACGGCAGCCCGTGTATTCGTTCCACTGGTTCTGGGACTGTGCACTTGGCAGATCCCAAAAGCATTATGAGGGTCGTGATTGACATTCTCCGATCTAACTATGACAACCGCCCAAAACCTCATCTTACTGAAAAACTCATACAACTAATGACGGGTCTAGAAGAATCATTAGCTGGGGTGACTTGTTAATTGTGTTTTTATACGACGACAATACAATTATATGCCTGAATCATTCATCTACACCATACAACTTGGTCTAGTTCGTACGAGTGAGATGCTGTGATAATTGGATGTTATCTACGGAGTCGCACGGCTAGGCTAGATTTAAAACAGGCACCAAACCCTGAATCTGCTGTCAACTAAATAGAGATATTAGATGGATGCCAGAAATAGCTATGTGGAAAGACTCACCTTTTCCTAACCATTCTAACCAGGTAAGCCCCGGCTCACGGTCCCTGATCTCCCATATATGACGCAAGGCGCCAATCAAATCACCGCGGTTGTAGAAAAGTCCTTTGCGCACACGGAGTCTTCTGACTATCGCGGCTCTCATTGACGAATCTACGGCCTCACACCCGGCGGTGAAGAGTGGGAAGATGATCGCATACGATGTACGAGAGTCTTGGTCGATGTTTCCGATTTTCCCAACAACGATACCCACGTGATGGCGTATTAGTGTTGCCGTAGAAGGCATGCCCTTAAGCCGTGCGTATAATAGGATGACTGCTGCAGAATGCATTGACTCGTTGAGGGACCCAAGCTCAATAGGATCTGCACTCCTGCTGTGTGAAGTCACGAAATCGCGGGTTCGAGCGCTCCGCAGTGAAGCCTCTACTACCTCGACCTGTGCGTTTAAATTCGGATCCGACAGCTCGAGTTGGCCGGTTGCAGCCCATTTTGACTGCTGCAGCTCGAGAAGCTGACCTAGTCTGAGAAGCGGGTTGATTAGACGTGGTGAAAAGGCCAAGACGGGATGGCTGGTCCAGTTCTGAAAGTCGGCGCAGAAATTTTGACCGATTTCTTCCTCGTCCATTTCAAGCATATCGTAGGTGTTGTGCCAATATTCTGGTCTGGCTTGTCGCAAGGAGCAGAGGGTCGCTATCCTACTCCACCGCAGGAGAGCCAGGATAAGACGAGCTGGTATGGAAGGAACACGCTTGCGCTGTCGAAGATTGTTGAGAAAGGTCCCCGCAAGGCTCCATGCTACCTCAAGATGGGTTTCTCTCTGCTCTGGCCCGTAAAGATGTAGAAATAGACCGACAGTAATCTTGGCAAGGAGCTTCTCGTCATTTGACTCCAAGCCCATAGCATGGGGGACGACAGCCAGCGAGGCCTCTCTGGCAGTTTCTCTCATGAGCGGAAGGAATTTCTGATCCTGAGTTGAAGCCTGATATTGAAACGCACTGAAGTAGAAGATTGCAGCCCGCAAGTCATCGTCGAAGAGAGCCATGCGAGGCAAGGTAACGACGAATGGATCCTGGAAGTCTTGCATATGAGCAAAGTGCTTTGGGTCCAGGCACAAGAATCCGTTTCTGGTGACATGAAGAAAGTGCTGCCAGAGAAATCGACGAGGTGCAGACACGAGCATGTCAGCGGGCCATGGCATCGGGCAGTATAACATTGCTGGTACTTCTGATGCCGCAGGCTGCCATACATTATCGACACGGGACACCATAGTCCCGGGGTCAAATACCCCGACACTGAGATCGGTGGGAGTATTTGGCTCATAGAGGAATGGGGTGTCTAAGTTTGTGATCGTGGCCGCGTCGTATGCGTCATTATTAATGTAGTTGGAGGTTGTATCTTGGTTCCCTTGCTGCATGACCTGAAGAGCTTCCGAGCAGGGAGTCAGCGGCACTTGGGGCAGCTCCTCCAGCCACGACGCATCGTTGAAGATGCCACCTTGGAGAGGAATTCTGGGACTAGGTTGATCCAGTGTGATTTGCCTAGCATCCATTAGAGAATCGATGCCTAAACTCGTAGCTGTCATGGGTGGTTCAGACGGTAGCCGGGATATCACGGAGCCTTCTTCCTGGTCCGGTATGGTCTCGACGCGTCCCACCACGTTGGCAGGGGTTGAAGATCCGATTTGAGAATACTGGGCGTGAGATGCTGGCGTATCAACAAGTTCATGAAACCAGGCCGCATCATCAAAGAGGCCACTTTCAAGGGCGATAGTAGGGCTGGGTCGATCTAGTGACATTTGCCGGTTGTGTATCGGAAGCTCGATCGCTACATCCGGGGTGGCGATAGCTGCATCCGGAGTCGCGACGGGTGGTTCGGAGGGTGTCTGGGAGACCACTGGGTCCTTTTCCCGCTCTGATTTGTTCCTGGATCTTTCACCCTCGCTTTGTTGGGCGGCAGACTGGATGCGCGAGCCGCGAGAGCCAGGGATGCTCCAGGCCTTGAATGTCTGCGGTTGGCAGGCGACGTTGCGCTTTAGGCATTGCGAGCACTGTGGGTGTTTATGATCACACTATGGACGGTGTTTATTGTAAGTATCCATTTGACGCTTTGGACGATCTATGCGATGGAGCTTCGGACTTACTTTCCGTTTCTTACGGGAGCATTGAAGGCATGCACCGCTGCTACGTTGGGCTCGATTTGGAGGCATTGGAAACGTCACACGTGGCCCCAACACGGCTTTTGTGTCGTTTAGTGATTCAGGGGGTTAAGATATCTGAGGCAAATGGATGTGCAGCGGGGAGTCGTAGCACAGCGTGGTTTGGACGTATCCAAGGTGCTCCGTATGTGGGCTTGAGGTTACGCATCGGGAGAGAAGCCATTGAAAGCGCGACGTCAGTCAGAAGTTGAGTTGCAATCAAGCGGGGGCATTACATAATCTCGCCTTAGCTCATGCTAGCGTGCCAGAGAAGTCCAGATAAGAGTTTCCTTGTACGGGGAGGATTGATTGGTATTATTGTTGGTAAATCTATTTCAATACTTGATTACAAGAAAATTGAATTGAGCAAAATATCTTCTCTTCGTACATAATCTCAAATGATTATTTTTCAAAACAGCAAGCTTGAATATGCAGACAAACTAACCTCTAGTAGTTAGCACCAAACCACGCCCCTATCTTAACCTGACCCTTTACTGACATGACCTGATTCTCTCTACTATCCGGTGGGTTGATTTATTTAACCCAGCCTACTGAGCTCACTTAATACAGTCAATTAAAATGGGTTGAATGAGCCATTAAATGTTGTCTGACCCGGTATGACAGAGCCTTGACAGTAGCAGCTAAGCCCGTAAAAGCTGCTACAGCTTGTTACGGTCGGGTGGTTCTAGCGCCTTTTAACCCCTATGGCCTAGGCTCTTACAGGTCGAAGAGCCCTATTGGTAGTACTCAAAGTTCAAATGCCGAACTAACTTACCCTATAGTAACCTCAAAATAAACCAACCTATTTTTTTTATGAAGAGGGCAATTCTTTAATCTCAATTAGCTGAGATATAAAATGCTATATGTTCTATTCCAATTATCTCACAGTCTAATCTACTGTGCCTTTTGATACTCGGTTTTATCCTACATATATGCCCGTTTGCTTACAATTCGATTCCAGCGTTGATTTCAAGAGTTTAGTATATTACCCGGGAGAAGGGACGAACTCCATGTTGCTATAATTTCATTTTAGTTACATTATCTGATAAGATAGCCTTATTGTGAGCATGAATCCGGCACACGGAAGAGTTAATCGGGGGTTCAGATTGCATAGTCCGACCGATACCTACCCTCGTAATACGCGTACAAGTCAGTGGTTGACTCCCACTTGCTTTTGATGTTAAAACCGGCACATAGCGAGGTTTCATTATAGTTTCCCGTCACATGGTAGAGCTGTTGTTAAAACCTACGTTGTACAGGGTAATTCCATCAGATGGTCGGCTCAGAGACAGTTTGTGTACCAACTCAGCACAGTTGGTTCAGAGCCTGTGGAAAATGGAAGTGAACAACGCCACGGCATGAACTACTATAAGCATTGGGACAGGCTTAAAAATGTTCTCTTATTGTTTGCAACTACTTGGTCTTTAATCTACCTAATGATATTAGATAAGGCCAATAAAGAAACGAAAACAAGAAGAAAAGACCAACCAAGTCAGCCAAGGATACTCGAATTCCACTAGCTCTGGAAAATTGTAATCATCTCCACCACTCCATAACCTGTTTTCTGCCCAAAGAAACGCCCAGAAGCGGTGGCATATCCAGCATAGACGGTATCAGCAAGCTGCTTCGATCCGTATATCTCCTGGTCGGGGAGCACAGACTTGACCACTAGGCGATCTCCATTCTCAAACTTCAAGGTCCAGCTGAGGGGATATGTGATGTTGGTTTTGGGAGACGTCCAAGTGTTGTCCATGTTTGCCGTCATCTCCAAAGCGACAATGTACTGGGACTCTTCTCCAATGCGAACCGTAGCGAACCGGTAGGTGGTGGCAGAAAGCTGGGGAATATCGTAAACCCATATACTGGCTTTGACTGACGACCCGGGAAAGTGAAGCTCAAACCAGGTCCAGTTCTGAGGAGCACCGCCGCCCTTCTGATGATCGTACCAGGTAAAAGACTTCGAAGGGTTGACTTTGATAACCTTATCTCCCACCGTGATAGTTCCTTTGGTCTTGCAGGCTGGAAGAGACCACTGCGTGGTGTTGGAGTAACCCTGTCCGAAGGTGAAGGCTCCCCCACCGGCGTTCAAGATGACCTTTGAAGAGGCTTCTAAAGTAAAGCTGAATGCGTAATCCTTTGTTGATACATGGTTGTACATGGCTGAAATCCTGTCCTCGGAGTTTGATCCAATGCCGCAGTTGGTCAGGCGAACATCGAGCGAGTTTGAAGTGCGCTCGGATGCATCCAGTAATTCAGCATAGTCGACATGGCTCCAGTATTTCAGCGTGTCCAGCTCAAGAACCGACGACTTACAAACAGCCCCAAGGATGTGCATGACAGCCAGGTACTGTTTACCGGTGGTTGAAGTGAGAAACGTGCTTGTCCAGTAGGAGCCGCCTACCTGATCCTCTGAGAGATCGTATCGAGCAGGCACACGGGACTAGTTTAAAAGTTAGATTTGGATTGCAGGAATGAGTAACGTCTAATTCTTACATTGATGTAAGTCGAATGATGGTCGGCTTGAAAGTTGACAAGGCTGCGGTGGACGTCGAAGGCGGTGCAAACAGTGACCAAGGCTAACAAAAAGAGGGAATGGACCATGTTGATTGTTTATTCTTAAAAATCAGGTTAGATTTGGCAATGGGACTCTGACAAATGATAAGAGGTCGTCGTCGAATATACATATAGCCATCTGAAGCATTACCCGCGAAAGTTGACCATCGTCGTCAATTTACTTGCTTGACATCTCGGGACTGCAAAGTCAACCGAGACCCTCCGGTCGGAGCACAAGGCAAAATCACCCCCATCCTCCGGGTCAGTGCTTTCGGCGGCTTGTTACTGAAGCTCCGCGTTTGATCTGATTGCGCTGAATCAGCGGAGGATTTTGCACATTGCACTAAGACAGGGGTGGCATCGTTGAGCCCTACGGTCCACCACAGGGGCCATTGAAAGAGGCCGCCAGCAAATCCGTGCCCTTTTCCCAGGCAGAAATTAGAGGATGAGGCTCACCCTGCACAAGTCACCGACTAGGACGAATTGAAAGCAAAGTCGGAGGTCGGTGGCGGCGAGTTGAGCCCTCTAACCCCCGAGTCGGGGCTCGGCTACTATCTAAGAACCGAAGCACCGGCGACCGGATTTCACTGTCGAAGTAGCTAATTTCCATTGGTCTCAGAACCCACTGTGGCTTGTCGTCCAACTGGCTATCTCGTTTAGCCGCATCGCAGCAGGGGCGTCACATTCCTGCGCTCCACTCGAACACGGCCTCAATGCGACGCTGACCGTAGCTCTTAGGGCGTTGGCTTGGATTACAGACACCACAGTTGCCTACCGTACAGAGCCAGTACGGGTTTCGGCGACGAAACAACAGGTTAACAACCAGGCCGCGTCAACAGGCGGAGGCTGAGAGGCCATGTTAACAAGACCAGATCTGTCAGTGTATATAACATCCCACACTCCTCAAGTCCTCTCCTGTATCATCACACAGCCCTCAGATTACTAACAAGAGTCTTCTACGTCGCCCAAAATGGCCGGAGCCCCCGAGAAATACCAGTACGACCCGTCTCTCGCCGCTGCGGCCCTGTTCGCAGCATTGTTTGGGATATCCACTGCTGGCCATTTGTTCCAACTCATCCAAACCAGAACATGGTACTTCATCGCCTTCTTCCTCGGTTCACTGTGTAAGTCGACTTCCAGATCCCATCAAGATTCACACCATCTGATGCCCTATTTTTAGTTGAGGTGGTGGGCTACGCCGCACGAGCTGTCAATGCTTCCGAAAACCCCGACTACTCAACGGTTCCATTCATCATACAGACGCTTCTCCCGCTGCTGGGCCCGGCTCTCTTTGCCGCCTCCATTTACATGATATTGGGTCGGATCATCCGGGTTTTGGATGGAGAGCATCTCTCGCTTATTTCGACCAAGTGGTTGACCAAGATTTTCGTCTTTGGAGACATCTTCTCCTTCGCCATCCAGTGCATTGGTAAGTAGCTACGTTTCCCCCAAGCATATCGTTTGCACATGAACTGTGCTAATAGTTTGAAGGTGGTGGAGTTCTCGCTGGCGCAGATAGCAAAAGCGCTCTGGACCGCGGCCAGAACATCATCCTTGTCGGCTTGGCGATTCAAATCATCTTCTTCGGATGCTTCATTGCGGTGATATCCGTCTTTCACTATCGGGTTCTCAAGAACCCTACGCGAACCAGTGTCACTACCCACCTGCCCTGGGGACAGTTTATCTATGTTCTCTACTTCACCTCTCTTCTCATTATGGTTCGATCTATCTTTAGGGTTGCGGAATTTGCTGGGGGTGAGGGCAGCGCGCTTCAAACTTCCGAGGCCTACTTGTACTGTCTGGACACGGTGCTCATGTTCAGTTGTTGTGTGGCGTTCAATGTGTGGCATCCCAGTCGGGTGGTTTCGGCCCATGGACAGAAGGGTTATGGGGACGTCGAGCTTGGGAGTTCGGCTACTTAATATACTCCACTAATACCCTGAAGGAGGTTGCAAGTAGTCACCCATTGCAATAGCTTAATCGTGGGTTCAAGTTGGAGAAATGTATATGGAGGTTTCTCTTTTTCTTTGTTTTTCTTATGGTGCTGGAGGACTGGAGGCAAGGTGAATTTAGCTAATAGACAAGGAATGGGCTTCACAGGCATAAACTGCCGTTAATATGCTCAAGTTAACCCACGATCCAGTGAACTCGTGAAATATTTGTGATACCTGGTTCTGATCTTTTTTCCCAAGGTGTGTCATTTCGGGATGGAGTCGTCATTCAGATGTGATGATGATGATGATTTTATTCACGCCATACGGGTACAAAGTCGCGCAAATCAATCGACCATGTGGATATGTGGTCAATAAAAGAGTATTGAGATTACGGCAAGTTATTATACAATGTTTTACACTTGGTTTCTGGCTTTCCATGTGAGTTGGCTACTGGCGATCTCTCCGGAAGTTGCACACTTCCTTCCCGTCCTTCTCATATCTCAATATACCATGTATTAACCTTCTCTCTCCGGCATCTCCGGCATGTTCCAATCTGGCAGCGCTGCGTTCAGAGACATTGAGAATTCGTGATCCCATGGCATCGCTGGATTATGCCCCCCCGGAGGTAAGATTGGATCCCCGGGTTGGGGTGGCATGCCAAATGGCGTGCCAAGGGGCATATCGAACGGCACGTCGAATGGCACATCGAAAGACATTTCCGGAGGCATGTGGAATGCCTCATCGGAAGGTTTGTTTCCCCCTGGAAATATGCTTTGAAGTTTCTGTATGTACTCCGGGGGACTTGCGTAGTTCCCGTGACTCGCGCCCAACACCGCTTGCCGTAATCCCCAAGCCTTCAAGAGGAAGTTTGCGAGTGTGAGATTGGATTCTGGCGAAGCATAGAATAGATCTGGGTGGTACTCATACACTAATGGTATTTGCTTCCAAGCCTTCTCCACGAGCGTACCGGACGTCCGAAGGCAAAGCTGCGCAACCATGAAGAGGAAGATGTCGTGCTGGAAGTGCATCCGCATGAACCAGAGGAAGCCAGTACTTGGGACTGATTGGTAAAGGCTGACAGAATGCTCAACTGCGGTAATGGCAAGCTTGAAGAGGTTGTCTTTTGGCGTGTTTACCTCGACACCCCACTCGGGTTGATCGTGGGCCTGTCGCAACATGTGTTGGATCTTGTTGCAGACGGCGAGCTTCATCTGTATTGCCAGTTCATGGATTGGCCCGGCGGAAGGGTCGGAATACTTTTCCATGATGTCGTCAAGAGACGTTTCGATTGTTTCGGTGAGCTTCTTAAACTCGGCCGATTGATCCTGAAAATGCGTGCCGGAGCCAACAGCGCTGATCTCACTGCTGAGGACAATCGCGTGTAGATTGGGCCACCGGATGAGGAATTCTCCCATTTTGTACATTATTAAACACACAATCATCTCGGTTGGGCCTCTTCGGTCCTCAAAATATGCCGTTGCGTTGGGGAGAAGATCAGCGTCATTGAGATTCTTTATCATTTTGCAATCGCCTACTCGTGGGAGCAGTGTCGGACTCAAGCCCGACGCCATGGCAGACAGAGCATCGAGCATGACGATCTGCCACCAAATGCGTCTTCTCATTTCTGTCTCGAATGGAGAAAGCCCGAGGAGCTCGCCATCTCTGTGCAGCCCCATTTTCTGGGCAATGCGTATGCAGACGCCGTTCAAGACCCAAGTGGGATGCGATTTGGGGCGACTTTGGAGAGAGATCTACCAAGGTTAGTCATTATCAAACGAATTAAGATGCCCATTTTGCAATACCAGATGTAAAACTAATGCCTGAAGGGTCGTCAAGTCGTGAGACTTGAGAAACTCGACGCGGAGGAGGGTTATCCTGACTCCAGCAGAAAAGCGTCCAAGGGCAGCGTCTTTCGAGCTACCCAGAATGGATGAGCATTCACTCTCGGTGAGAGAAATGGTAGCCATGCTATAGATGGAGAACAATAGCGCCTCGACGTTCTTGGGCAAGTTTTGCGAACCACTCGTGGCCTCGACGAGATGCGGCTGAAGCGTCGGCGCATGTATCAGTTTTGTCAACGGATTGACTCGATCCAGATATACCTGCCAGAGGGAGAAGACTTGACCGGGCGAGGGTCGCAGTTTTTCCACGTCGATTTCTGGTGACAAGCCATTTCCAAACAGCAGGTATTCGTTATAGTCCGGCGTCACTTGGGACGGAGACCCTTCTTGTGAATCGCCACCAAGGTCATCCATATCCGTGAGCTCTCGCATTGCTCGCAGCTGCACCGAGATTAGCAGGGCGCCGAAGCATGGCGGGACTGGAAGCTACCTCTTCGTACACCTTGGTCCACAAGAAGCCGTCTGTGAACCGCGTACCGCCATCTTCAACAATGAGCTTCCCAGTGGGCTCCCAGTTCAAATCACGGGGTCCAGGCTGTGGTGTTAGTGAAGGATGTGGGATATCAGAAGTTGCATCCGATTCCGGGCGTTCCAACTTGGCATTCGCATTTGCGTACTCGGCCAAGAGCTGTTCACACCGCGCCAACCTGTTCTGCAGCTCGACCTTGGGCCGCCTTCTCTTTCGCGGCGGTGGAGGTGCACTTGCAACGCACTCTGCATTTGCCTGGACCATTTCACGAGTGAGCACAGGTGCAAGTATGCCTGAACGATGGTAGGGGAGGCGAACCTTGGTGCAGTTGGAACAGGGAAAATTCCTGTCGCATTTGACCTTCCGGCGTTGGCAGAGGACGCAAGCCTGGCCCCGCGGAAGCCTCGCGGGAGAGATGTCTGTCGAAGCCGACATGGGTTCTTTCAAGGGCATCACGGAATGCTCCAGGTCAAATATTTGCGGTTTCTGGGAGATGCGGAGACGCTTGTCCGTTATATCTTGCTCCAGTTCAGGGGAAGTTACAGCCTAACTACTACGTACACAGCCCTGTCTATTTAGCGGCGAAACACGAGCTTCTAAGTGACGTAAGCAGTTGATGTGAGGTCCTGGTATGTGGAACTAATTGGGTCTAGCGAATTGGCACAGCCACGGGAGTAAGATTACTTTCCAGCTGGACTGGGTTTCATGGCTTGACATGACTGGGACAGTTCTAACACACCATGTTTCTTATCTGATTGTTGTTATCAACGTGGCCTTGTACGAAGTACAGTACTCTGAACGCCTCAGGTGTGACTTGGAATAGGCATTGGCCCACTATTCCGTGGCCGATGGTAGGGTCGTATACGAAGTCCCACAAATGATCAAAGGGCACATACTTATTAGCAAATGGGCACTGGCTGCGAGGAGGGCTTTGGTAAGAAACGGGTCTGTAGATGACGATACATCATACTGAAGGCAGTCTTGTGAACCAAATCGAAATCGCCTCAGAATAGCTAGGTAGCTGGCGCTTTACTTGCACTCAAGATCCTTTCGACCTCCTCTTGGTGCGACGAGAAGTTGTCGATCAAGTCATCCCACATCTTGGGCTCATGTTCGTGCTTCTTGTCACTGTTCCAAGCCCAATCCGTAATCGTGAACTGCCGGCAGCTCTCGAACATGAATGCGATGGCGCCCTTGGAGATTTGGGTCTCGGGAGGCGGCTGCGCAGATGCTGCCTTGAATTCCTACATCCGAGTCAATAATTGTGTGCTTCAGGACGGTGAAGCGACTTACCTGATAGGCCACGCCGTGTGGCACCATGCCGCACTCAAACGAGATACCGCCGGGTTGAAACTCATCCGACCGTCCACCGTACTCGCCGTAAATCAACCCCATCAGCTCCGAGGCTGCATTGCGATGATAGTAGGGGGGTCTATATGTGTGTGAAGCCACATCCCATCGTGGCGAGAAGATGAGGAAATCTGCAAGTGGCGCGGCTGGGTCTCGGGACTTTGCTGTCAGGACGCAAAAGATGGACGGGTCGATATGGTCCACAGAGATTGACCCGACGTTGACGAATTTTGTCAAATCGTACTTGTAGGGCACGTAGTTCCCGTGCCAGGCAACTACATCAAAGGGGCAGTGGTTCTGCGTGCTCTTGAAGAATTGCCCTCCCATCTTATAGACGATTTCCCAGGGGTCGTCGCGTGTTATCTCGTATTTCGCCTTCGGATGCAGGAAATCACGAGCATTAGCAAGGCCATTAGCACCCAATGGGCCTAACTCTGGCAGCTCGAAGTTGGCGCCCCAAATTTCCAGGATGTAACCTCTCGTTGGGCCTTCGACGGAGACTCTGAAGCGCTGGCCCCGCTGGATCACGCAGATTTCGCCGGGTTGGACGTAGAGAGGCCCAAATTCGGTCTGGATATCCAGCGCACCCTGTTGCGGCATGATCAAAAAGTCACCGTCCGAGTTTACAAAGGCTCGTTTGTCCATGCTCTTTGTTGCGGTGAAGATATGAGTGGCAATCCCTTCTCGCAAGGTGGGATCGCCAGACCCGGCGACGGTACGAAGTCCAGATACGAAATCCGAACCTTCCGAAATGTCGAATGGAAGCTAGCAAGGCAATCACATAAATCAGATAGAGTAAGACAGACTCCTTGGGAGACGGATATACTTACCCAGGCGAGCTGTGTTGGGGACAGTTTAACACGAGGATTGAGGGGCAAGAAGCAACTCTCTGTCCCTTCAATCGGAGGCAGGTCAGTCTGCACCGCAAAATGTCAGCGGGAGGAGGCATTACATCCAAGAGCCTTAGTTAGAACTCACGAATCCCTGGTGGGCGACTGCGGGTCGTGCTCGGTAGAGCCACGCCTTCTTGTTCATGTGGCGCGGCGCAACAAACGCAGAAGCCGTCATTTGCTCCGTGTAAAGCCCGAATCTCGTACATCTCGGGTTGTTCTGGCCTCGAGGAATCGTCCCCGGGACTGCTTCGGACTCGAAATGATTGTTGAAGCCGGGTAGATACTCATACGGGTCGTTCTTCCTCACCGCAAACGAAGGAACGGCGCCATCTTTCTGAGTCTCGGCCCAGTGAAAGATGTTTTGGTACTCGTCTGGACGGGAAAGCGGAGGCATGGTCAAGGCGAGCGTGTCAATTGTGATGTAGAGTGGCAACAGACTAGTCTTTCTTTCCGCTAACGATCTTCACTTAAATAAGAAGCTGCAATTTTCCCTCAACCGCCTCATCCGAGGCTCGTTTTGATGACGTACCGTAGATCCGATTGTGGGGCGTAACGCGGGGTTGAGGCCATCCGTCGGTAGTTATATCCCGGTCCACAGGTGAATTGCCGAGCTAGAGGAGCTCTGAATTAAATAGACGTGATGGCTTCATTTTTGACCGAAGACTTCAACTTCTTGACTCTGTCTTCAAATAACTGCTAGTAGCTCATATCAAGCTGAGTTTCAGCTCGAACGTACATAGGCTAGCCATGCATAGTGAATGTTTATTCACCGCGAGGGAGGTTCAGCTCTCGCTTTTTGCCTGTTTGACAGATGCTCCCTCATTCGTCACTCGAAACAAGTGGAGATTGAACCGATTGATCCCAGGCTAAAAGCTATTCGGCCAATTGACCCCCTGACTCTCACCCTGTACAGGATGAGAGTCGGCCTATGCTTCGTTTCGGATGGATAAAACCGAGCGTTCCGTACATAGGCAGAGCTGGCTTCCCCCCCCCCCCCCCCTGTTTGTCTAGGCTCTTCGACGATGGGAATTGTACTATGTAGATCAAGTCTCTCCGAGAAGCGTATACGTCAGTTCCTATCAACACACTTGGCCCCTTCATCAATGTGCAGAAGATGCGCTTAGATTTCTTGGCGATTAGACAGGTCCCCAATACCCACAGTCATCCGTTCATTCTTGTCACCTAAACCATGGTTCATCCGACTTTATTGACATCTATTTTCATCCGAGTGTTGCAAAACTGTGGCTGTTGGGGCTAGAAGTTGAGCACTTAGTGGTTAGACAGCATCCGCCGTCCACTTCTTTAAACACCAGGTTTTCCAATGAAAAAGAATTCTGCCACATATCTGCAGTGGGTTTCCGTATAATTAATGAGAACTTGAGCGAGAACACGTAGAAATTGGAGTGCATTGAATGTGCCTCGCTATCATGGTTCCGACAGCGCCGACCCCGCGGCTGGTAGGCCGGGAATCTTGACATGACATTTTCCGGGGTAATGTATCGGGATGAAGACGTACCAATTGAATGAACGATAAAGTAAGCCGACTGAACAGTGAATAAACTTAATATCTTTACATGATTTGAATATCCAAATTTGCCAACTTCAATACCTGTCACCTCAACAACGAAGACACAGAAGAGATGGCCGAATCTTCTAACCTTGCGAACGAATCCGGATACACCGATGGTCTAAAGTCGGGCGATCAAGTAAAGTATCCTCAGACTCCCTTTTTTCAGGGACCCCTGAAGCCATCTCGGATCGAATGCGATGTAGTCGAACTGGAGACGAGTGGCTGCGTCCCAAAAGACATCAACGGAACCTTCTTCCGTGTCCAGCCTGATCCACGCTTCCCGCCTATGTATGAGGAAGATGTCAATTTCAGTGGTGACGGCATGGTCAGCGCAATCAACTTCCGTAACGGCCATGTCGACTTCAAGCAGCGCTATGTCCACACGGATCGGTTCCAGGCAGAATCGAAGCATCGGAAAGCCTTGTTTGGCAAATACCGCAACCCTTACACAGACAATGAAATGGTCAAGGGAGTCATCCGAACGGTATCAAACACGAACGTCTACTTCTGGCGCGGTGTATTGCTGGCCTCAAAAGAGGACGGGCCGCCCTTTGCGATGGATTCCTCCACCCTTGAGACAATTGGGCGTTACGATTTCGAAGGTCAAATGAAGGCACCCTGCTTCACTGCGCATCCAAAGATCGATCCAGATACGGGAGAGATGATTGCATTTGCCTACGAAGCGGGAGGCGATGGCCAAGATGCCTCATGCGACATCGTGGTGTGGACGTTTGAACCTATCCATGGAAAGAAGACGGAGGAGACCTGGTACAAGGCTCCGTTTTGTGGCATGATCCATGATTGTGCACTCACCAAAAACTATCTCATCCTGCCAATGACGCCATTGAAGAGTGATCTCGACCGCCTCAAGAATGGTGGCAATCACTGGTCTTGGGACCCAGAAGAGGATCAGTACTACGGCATAGTGCCGCGTCGAGGAGGAAAGCCGGATGATATCATTTGGCTACGGGCAAAGAATGGTGAGCCACTGGTGCACATTCAATACAACGGACGTGACGCTGACTGAGAACGATGCAGGTTTCCATGGGCATGTTGCTGGAGCCTATGAGGACGAAAACGGCCATATCGTGTGCGACTTGACAGTCGCAGATGGCAATGTTTTCTTCTGGTGGCCTCCAACGAACGTTGGGCCACACATCTCGCAGGCTGGTGCACGCCAGAAGCTCATCTCTGACACGTATCGTTGGGTGTTCGACCCAAAGAGCCCAACGAATACACACGTTGAACCATTCAAACTGTACGGCATCAACGGAGAATTTTCCCGCATCGACGACCGATTCGTCACAAAATACTACAGCCACTTCTGGCAGCTCCAGATGGACCCGACACGGCGCTACGACGTGGAGAAATGCGGCCCGCCAGCTGGTGGATTGTGGAACGTCATCGGACATTATAACTGGGAGACTGGTATCAAAGATGAATACTACTACGGACCTACGTGTACCTTCCAAGAGCCTGTCTTCATTCCCAAGGCCGGATCGACAATCGAGGGCGAGGGTTATCTCGTGGCGCTGTTGAACCATCTGGATGTCCAACGCAACGACATTTTAATCTTTGACGCGCTGAATCTCTCGCAAGGACCGATTGCTTCAGTTCACTTACCACTCCGACTTCGTATGGGGCTTCACGGGAATTTTGTGGACCAGAATGAGATTGATGAATGGAGCCGAAGGAGAAGCGAAGCCGGGGACGTGGGTCCAGTGAAGGTGGCCGAGAAAGCCGTGTAGCTAGAATGCAACCAGGCAGCTAGGATCACGTAGTAAATGTACAAGCAGTTTGACACTAAGATTCTATTGAATTACACCGTCAGGGCTAACATGTAGTGCACCACTAGAATTCGTGACCTTTTATGCATCTAAGTCCATATACTGTTGGGTTATGGACCTGATTAACGCTGGCTACAGTAATATTAGGTGTAGACTATACTTTTGGCTCAGCTGGTTAATCGAACATAGACTGCAATCTGACAGATTCCATTACCTGAAATACCTGTGTCCAAATAGTTCGGTTTAGTTGCCACATGTTAGTTCTGACAGATATGCCCCAACCCCCGCACTTTCCCATGACGTGGTTTACTCTATCGCCCACTACCTAGGTACAAGAGGCGGCAAGATGTCTCCGACGAAGATGCTCTAATCTTCATATTGTCTTTTCGGCTCGATAACCCCGACTACTTTGAACTTCGCTCTCCGCACTAGTCCTAATGTCGAGGTGGAGAAGCCTGTCGGCATTTGAACTACGCCGTACCACCAGCCATAAATGACAACCCCCGCAGTGGCCCGTCGAATGAGACTCAGCATCCAGCTTTGTTCAATATTTGTAAGCGCTTTGTCGAGATGGAAGACGCAATCGCCGATTTGAAACAGACCATTGACACCCTTCGTAATGAAGTGGTACGATTGAGCGGTCAGTACCCTAACTGGACAATCGATGAGTCTGGAATGGAACGTCAGCTGATACGTTTAACAAGACCAAGAAGAGATCCGCAAATTACAGTACAAATACGGATATTATTTGGATAAATGCCTTTACCATGAAGTAAGTTGTGTCAAGCCACTCTAGACCATCAATATGACTAATGCTAAATGTCTGCTTCATTAATTAGGTTGCCGAACTTTTCTCTGATAGTCCTGAAACCTTCGTTCAGTTCCTAGGTGGACGTTATCTGACCAAGGAGGGTGTTCGGAGGTTATACGTCGGGAGATTTGCATCTGCATTTGCTGCCGGTCGAAACGGCCCTGTTCATGGATTTCTGCTGGACCATCCGCAGATGCAGGGCGTTGTTGACGTTGACTATTCCTCTGCGAGTGACAACCCAACCCGCACAGGCGCCCGCGCAAAAGGTCGCTTCCGCTCTTTGATGCAGGCTGGTGTTCACATCAGCCAGGCCGAGAAGCATCCCCGTGGCTTTTGCCAATGGTTCGAGGGCGGTATTTACGAGAACGAGTACATCAAGGACGAGGATGGCCAGTGGCGCTTCTTACATCTGCGCTATTTCCCATTCTGGCACGGCGATGTCGAGCACGGATGGGGATACAAAGTGTCCGGCTTCGTGCCGTTTCCTACCAGGACTTTCCCCGACGATCCAAACGGTCCTGACATGGTTGTCGCGCCGGAACAACGGATGCTCTGGCCTGATACCCGCGTGGTGCCTTTCCACTATGACCATCCCATTACAAAACAACCAGTTAAAGACGAGGACATGCAGGCACCGGCGTTTGGAGAGGATCCGGCGAGCTCTCTTCCTGCTCTGACTCTCTGAGAGGCCGTGCGTTTTATAGTAGTCTTGGTACATTAAATTGCAGTTGAATTATTTATAAGTTATAAGAACCTTCCTTCATGAGCCACTGTTTGTTCTGGTACTGGGTGTAGTGCTGAATGTGCCTCATTGACTGTGACTGCTGCTGGCTTTGATCTATCTGATGGGGTTGAGTAAAGCAAAAGTAGGAGGAAAAAACAAATGCTTGAATTGTGGATAAAACTGTGTTTTTTTGACCTTGTGCCGGCAACTTGCTCACCTTGAGGGAGCAGACAGAGGTTAGATTAGATTAGATTAGTAGGAGGAAAAAAGTTATAAGAAACAGAGGCAGTATCATATCTGGAGTGTGTAAAAGGTGACAATGCGTTGAGTAAATCTAGCACCGAGAGGTTGGGTCCAGAATGATGGAAGTGCACATAGTAATCTGTTGGCATATCTAACCATTTTAGTCCTTTGACTATGGCTCTAATGGGAGCTTGAACAACCTAATTGCATTCTCCCTGCCCACAAGTTGTTTCTGTTCCAAGGGCAAATCAATCCCTTTCCACCAAGTCTGCGCCTCTTCGATTGTATCGTATGGGTAATCTGTATCCTCGGTTAGTTCGTGAAAGATGTTAGTACGACAAATTGATGTGGACTTTCATACCAATTGCAAACAAGCACCTGTCTACCCCAACCTGGCCGAGACAGAACTTCAATCCATCAGTCGAGAAGTTCCCTGAAGTGGTAATAGAGACGTTGTGAGTGAAGTAGTAACTGTAGTCTTGCTTCGATGGCCGTGTTGCTTTTTTGACGGGCTTGTTGTACCAATGGTCTGCTCGCCAAAGATTGAACGGAATACTAAACGCGATGTTAAATAACGACCAAGCATGCCATATAGAGACCAGAATATCGAAGTATTCTTCAGTAAAACGTACCCTTCCCCTAGATGTCCAGCCACGATCTGAGCCCGAGGAAACAGGTCGAATATTCCACTGGAGCACAGCGCATAAATGTGAAAACTGAGGTCCAAATGAAACTGGACTGCAGCGCCGATCAAATGCTTTCTCGGTCCATACTTTCCATCCGGCTGAAGTTCAGGCGCTGGTGGGTACCGTGGATGCATATAGACGGGAACGTCGAGCTCTTCGACAGTTTTCCAGAAAACATGGTACTCATCGCCGTCGTAGTACTTCGTTCCCGCACCGTTAGGACCGCTGCTCTGGAAGTCATTGAGCAATGCGCCGAACATGCCCAGCTCCTTGACAGCTCGCCTTAGTTCAATAGCGGCCTCGGTGGCATCATGCATGGATAAAGCTGCCAGGCCGCCAAAACGGCTCGGATTGCGGGCCACTTCACGAGCGAGCCAGTCATTTGATGTGACGGCGAGCTTGTTTGCCCTTGTGGCATCTGGTTCGCCCTGGCAGCCTGGCGATGTTATTGACAGTAACATGTAGTCGACGCCTTCAGCATCCATGCGTTGAAGACGTTGATCATGAATGTCAGCAAGCTTCTGGGTAAGAGCGTGGTGAGAGGATTGACCCGATGCATTGCTTGGAGCGTAGAGCGCCCCCGTCTCGGCTAGCCAGGCAATGTCGTCAGGATTGACTACTGCTTCCTCTATCGCCACTGTACCCTTTGAAGTCATGGTGAGTTTATTTTGCGTGAATGAGAACAATGATTGTATCAATACAAGTTCTGCGGCAAGTGTGCAACCTACAACACTCGGAACATTTTAAAGAACGTGATGTCTTCATAGATGCTCTAGTGTTGCTGGATACGGAATGGCACCAAAATGCCAGAGGGTCACAAAACAATTCCCATCGGCTTCATGTACCCGATGCGGCCGACAGGAACCCATCGGTAAAACGGATCCCGCCTGAGTCTTCAGCTCCGCATCCTGAGGGACGAGATCTTGGCCATAAGCGGCTTAGGACTAGCAACTGTATTCATCCACACGTTGCGACAGCCAACGCCTTAAATACATTAAAATTTACATACATGGTGAGATTAAGCACGCTTTCCTACCAATCATAGAATCTGCCGCATGTTTCAACTTCATGATGATTATTCAACACATTGGGTTCCCGGTCCCCCTCAACCTAGATCAGCTCTCTTGTGTAAAATAAGCCTGAATCGAGTCATCCAGCACGTCGGAAAGCATGTCCTGCAACTGCGGTATATGTAAATCGGGAAACGAAGCACTGCAATATCGTCGATGATTAGCTATCTTCAACCTGATTATTCATGAAAGAGTGACACTTACGATTCACCGTTCTGCGCAAAGTCCAAGAACACGAGATCGGGTTGTTGAGAATTTGAACTGTCAATCCTGTTCTCGCTGTTCAAGATACCGTATTCTTCCAATTGAGCGGTTACCTCCGGCAGTGCATGCTTCGTCCAGAAGATCTGCTCCATTCCCTGGAGAGTGTGTAAACAAGCCTCAGCATTGAGCTTGTGCGTAGGGGGGTCTGAAGCGACCAGTGCAAGAAGGAAAACTTGCATGTCTTCAAGAATGCATCCGCAGTCGAAGACAACCAGACTGGTTAATAGCCCTCGTTCTCTCAGAAAAGAAATAATCGAGAGAGAATTTTGTGCAGCGTCTACACACATGTTTCCGAATTCATTGAACCACTTCTGTTTTGGACTTTCACCGAGTTTCTGTGCATGCAGTACCTTGTAGAGTAGGAAGGGACGTGTTGCGAAAATAATGGCACTCCAGTATCGCAGATGAAGCACAGCTACTGAGCGCTCGTGAAAGGTTGCAACTTTGTCATAGTATCGAAGATGAGAAGGCATTGCTGAATAGAACTCCCGAAGACCACGGATGGCCGCTGAAACGGATGAGATTGAGAGTCGAGGTGAATTCGAAGTAGGCTTCTGGTACATCAATTTGCTTAGGCCATGTCTTAGGTGAGCCAGCCTGCACGAGGTTTCAAGATAATCCAGTGGCATATTTGAGCCGGGGCCCAGGGTCTGTTGTATTGTCAGAAATTATCTTGGAGGTATCATGATGCCTTCACCTACATGCTCTGAGGGAGTTCTCGGAACGCTGGAAAGAATCCCTTCATAAATTGCAGGTGGGTTTCCGTAGCAAAGAGCTGTATCAAGATCTAGAAGATACAAGCTGCAAAACAGCCGCACGCTGACTTGCTCTTGGAGGTCATGACTGGACTCAACAGTGTCCCGAGCATGTAAGCCGAGGGTGAATGCAATCCTCGCGGCAGAACCGACGTATATGTATGCTGTGTTTCCAAACATGGAACAAGATAATGACAATCCCTGGTGTTGTTAACATTTGGACCTAGACTGCTCTTGAGTTTAACAGTGCTGGGATCGAGACTTACCAGGAGACACAGCGCACGTAGACTATCAATGTCCGCGTCATCACACAGTGTAGGCACAAGAGCCTTCGCCAACGTAAGATACGTAACAGAAGGTCGCATAGAGGTATTCGACCATTCGCCGTGAGTCTCACTTTCACAAGTCAACGCCAATATGGAATAAAGGCTGCACAAGGTAGCAGGAGTTGCAGCTGTGGCGTCGCCAGCATAGATCCGGTCAAGAGTAGCATGCAGTTGCTCAGCCGAGAAAAACCAATAGACCGAATGGACGTCGCGAAAGAAGCGGTCGATGCAACGATTACAGAGCTCCCTATAGGGAAGGTTGATCTGTCGAGGGGTATATTTGACACCCAGTGAAGATTCTGGGGTTGGTGGTGGAACGATTTCAGTAGCCGTGAGTGGTGCGAGGATCTGGCTTTTCGGTGTATCCGGCAACCGGGGACGTTTAAGAGATCGAACTGCTGAGTGAAAGAGATATGATGAACTCTCACCAACATATCCTCAAGAATTGTGAGCCAATTGCCAACTGGCATGCGATCTTGGTATGACTCACTCTGAACACCTCTAGAGTCCACCCTCAACCGCCCTACATCACTGTAAACACCATTGATTTCTTCAGCAATGATGGCGCCCTCGTTGGCCGAAGGTTCTTCCACCGGAGAACTAGGACTAGGGATGGCACAAGACGGAGACACAACAACATCAGTCGTCGATGGCGTAGGCGGGTTCTCGGTGACGTTGTTGCCCAAGTCAGAGACGTAGGCCTTTAGTGTCTGAAGGTTCAGTTCCGTGTTTGGCATCAAATGCTCGATAATCTGCGTCATGCATCGGAATTCCTCCTCGGAGACTCTGTAATACGGACGCTGTCTCCTCCGAGATGGGTCCAAGTGGCATGGAGCGTCGATGCTGGCACAGAATTGGCACGGTCCGGGAACTGAGACTGGACTTCAGCTACGCCTCAGTGCGAGTGGTAAGAACATCAACATACTCGGATCCACACACTTGCATATCGTTAATAATCTACGGATAGCTGGAGAACTGCCGAGAGCGCTCACCTTTGTTTTCCGATTTTTACATCTATCGCAACTCATTGCTGCACGCCTGCGGCGCTCATTCGTGGTCCTCGGTGTCGACATGGTGATCTTGGCGGCTGGTCTCGAATCTCTGCTGCATTATCGGATGTTAGGGCCCATGGAGCCGAATGAGCTGAGCGGCAAGGGCACTATTCATGGGCCTTGAAATGGGCCCTACATCTTCATATCCCGAACTCAACTGCCGCGATTCAGTCTCTCCGCTTCGCTTTCGCGGGGGTGGCGCACATCTATAACCTCTTCCCCGCGCTGCGGGATGGATCTAGTTTGCCACCCCTGCGCACTCGCTTATTACCAAGCATATACCAAGCATCGTTCGTGGTCCTATGAACAGCTGCATTCCGCTTGTCCAATCTGGCTGCATTCCACTCGTCAAATCTGTCTCCACCTCCGCTTGAAACCCGATCGAGACCTCCAACATGGGCGATTCACTCCTGACGTCGGGTGCTCCCAAACTGGTGCAGCCACGAATGCTCATAGCCGGCAAGGTATGGTGAATTTTTATTTATTTTCTATTTACACTCACTCAAATGAGATATGTGACTGACAACTTCATTCGTGTCTTAGTTGGTTGAGGCGTCGGATAAAGCTACCTTCCCGTTGTTCAATCCCGCCACCGGCGCAAAAGTTGCGGATGGTATGTCATATCATGGCTTGAAGTAATAAATCACACTCAAGCTCACAATTTGCTCGCTTCTAGTCCCCGAAGCCACCGAAGAGGATGTCAACACCGCTGTGGCAGCGGCAAAGGCTGCGTTCCCAGCTTGGTCGGCCCTGGACCCAGCCAAACGCGGCGCGTGCCTGAAGAAACTGGCAGCTCTGATTCGGGAACATCACGATGAACTGGCCTTGCTTGAGGCTACCTCTGCAGGCCGGCCGATATCTGGATACATCGATGGACCTGCTGCTGCCGGGCACTTTGAGCATTACGCAGAGGCTTGGCCCTCGATTCAGGGCCAGGCAAGTCTCAACACGCCTGGCTATGTCACCATGACGCTTCGACAGCCATACGGAGTCGCAGCGGCGATTATTCCTTGGAATGTTCCTCTTTTATTCTTCGCGGGCAAGACAGCCCCTGCTTTGATTACTGGCAATACCGTCGTACTCAAATCCAGCGAGAAAGCTCCACTTGCGGCAGCAAAAGTCGGCGAGTTGATCGTCAAAGCCGGTTTCCCTCCAGGCGTCTTCAACGTCATCTCAGGCCACGGTTTGCCTTCAGGCGCTGCGCTTTCAGAGCATATGGACGTAAGTGTATTGAGCTTTACGGGATCTGGACGTACCGGCCGAGCGATCCAGGAGGCGGCAGCCAGGACAAACCTGAAAAAGGTCATTCTCGAGCTAGGTGGCAAGTCGCCTGCTATCGTTTTCGACGATGCAGACGTTGAAAAGGCTGCCGAAGAGACAATGCACAGTATCCAGTGGAACAGCGGTCAAGTTTGTATGGCAAACTCTCGAATTTACGTGCAAGAGGGCATCGCCACAGCATTCCTGGAAACGTTCAAGCGCAAGTTCGCAGCTGCCAGAGCGGGCGATCCGACAGTTAAGGACACCAACCATGGACCACAGGCGGATGAGACTCAATACAAATTTGTCTTGTCATATATCGAGGAAGGAAAGAAGTCTGGGTCAATTGCATTGGGCGGCGGTGGAAACTTGCAAAGTACTGGCGGGTATTTCATCGAGCCAACCATCTTTGTGGAAACTCCAGAGAATGCCCGCATAATGAAAGAAGAGGTCTTCGGGCCAGTTGTCAATATCAATGTCATCAAGACGGAAGAAGAGGCCATCGAGAAGGCCAACGATACGGACTTCGGCCTCTACTCGGCTGTTTACACCAAGAACATCGATCGAGCAATGAGAGTCGCCAAAGCGCTCAACTCTGGGTACGTGGGAATAAATTGCACGAGCCCCCAGACAGCAAGGGACTTGCCATTTGGAGGGTACAAATTGTCTGGGCAGGGAAGAGAGGGATGGTTGCACAGTATGGACAATTTTCTCGAAACAAAGAGCGTGATGATGAAGGTAGAGATGCAGTGAGGTCTAAATTGTTTAGTTAATTGTTACAAAATTTTCATTACATCACCTTTGGTGTCATATTTTATTCTATTGCGTCTGCAATGGTGATTTCGGAGATGAAGGCCAGGAGTCGATGGATCTTTCCCCTGTGCATTATTTGTGTTCACCGCCACAGTCAAAGCCGATGTGATATACAAGTAGCATTTCAGTGTACAGCCACAAATGAGTTTAGATAAAGTGTGAGTAATGAAATTAATTCCAATATAAACTTTCATGATTTGTCTAAGGAACTGCTGCTGTACGGCTGACCTCGGACGAAAGCAACGCATTTTCGGTCTTGTGTTCAACAGGTTCGACATATGATTTGAAAATGCCCTCGAACATTTCCTCGGCATATTTTTCACCGTCGAATTTATGGATCCAATCTTCTCTTGGAAACCCGATGCTTTCAGGGTTCTCCTTCACCTTGGACCAGTCTGTGCTATGCCACAGGTCTCGAGTTGTTTCTCCAGTCTTTTGTACTGCTCTCACACGATCATACCTGCATTCATTTGATTAGAATGTGAAGTCAAACCAAGCTCCATCAAAGCATGCGGAGCTCTTACCGGACTTCTTGGTGTGTCCTAAGCGCAGCAGGAATCTGAGATTTCCCCGCGCGTTTCAAGCATACAGCAATTGACACTCCGTCCTCCATGGCCTGGGTCGCTCCCTGGGCGCTAGTTGGGAGAAATGGGTGAGCAGAATCACCAAGCAAAGAAATCCTGCCGTGCTTGCTGATCCAAGTTGGTAGAGGGTCGCGGTAGACGAGCTTCCAATCGACCAATGATGGCGTTTTCTCGACAATGGCTCTGCAGACGGGATCCCAGTCTTTAAGAACCTCAAGCACTTCTTCAATCTTTCCCGGGAAGGACCACGATTCGTCAATGTCGTGGTCATCTTTGTGAGTTAGAACCCAGCAGCAGTCTTTGCCTCCTTTGATGGTAGAGAATAGAAAGTGCACGTCTGGGCCAATCCAGCCGTTAAACGTGTCACCATTCTCGCAGAATTCCTTAGTCTGGGGGTCGGCAATCATGTCCTTGTTGGAGAACCTATGAACCTCCTCATTAGTCAAATGTCGAAAGAGAAAAGGCTTTCAGTTCTTACCATGCTCGCCAAACAGCATAACCGCTGCTCTTGGGCTTGTCCTCGTATCCGAGGACGAGCTCCCTCGCTTTTGATCGAACACCGTCGGCGGCAATAACGACATCACCCAGAACCTAGAAGCGTTCTGTCAGCAGAGAACATCGCGGCTGAGAAGGCTATCGGGCTAACCTTTTGGCCGTCCTTGAGCACTATTCCAGCAGAGGTCTCATCCTCAAAATATTCCGAAACGCGCTGGCCCAAATGAATTGGGATACCCAAGTCGTCTCGCGCATACTTGAAAATCACCTCATGGAGCTCACCCCTGTGCCCATTGAGCACCGGCGCGTCCGGACTCGGAGGAGGCCTCTTCTGATGGTAGACGACTTCTCCGGTGTCCCACTTGTGAATTCGGAAACCGTATTCTTGGATGTCAATGCACAACGGCCGAAGTCTAGCGACAACTTCACCGTCTCCCCAACGATGGAAAATCCGACCAGCATTTGAACCAAACGAGATGATGTCCCCGAGAACCTTCAGTTCTGGAAAGGACTCGTAAATTTCTACATCGTGTCCCTGTCGGTGGCATTCGATGGCTGCGGTCAAGCCGCCGAACCCAGCGCCGACAACGATGACTTTGATGCCCGAGTTAGATGTGTACATAATGTCGGGATCCTTGTGCTCTGAATGTTGATCTAACGCTGTACATTCCCACGGAACGTGCTCGGGGTAAATAGACAGATATGATCTGCAATCTCGGGGGATGGAAATTACCCGGAATTCGATATCCTCCGCATTTTAGCGAACACCGCGGTATTGATTCGTCCTCTGCCGGAAGACCCGCCACTCGGATGCATCATTCCGACAACCAGAACCGAGGTGTCAGAGTACCCGCAACGCTACGAAATACGAGTAATAATAATAATGCAAATCTTCTACAGGTACATGTTTATCGGGTGGTGTTTAGGCGTATCTTGTTTCGACAGAAGGCAAGAAAACTGACAATATGACATCTCATCCAGAGTTCAATGCCAAAACTACAGGCACAACGGTTGCAGCGGCGTTCGGCAAGGAGATCAAGGGCAAGAATGGTTTGTAACACTATCTGCTTCAAATATGGCACATTTCTGACAACAGGCGTCTAGTTGTAATCACTGGTGTTAGCCCTTCTGGCATAGGTGCACCCACGGCTCTGGCATTCGCTTCACAGACGCCCGCCACGTTAATCCTCGCCTCACGAACACAGACGAAACTCGATGCGGTGGCTGCTGATATCAAGGCCAAGTACCCACATGTCTTGGTCAAACTTGTCGAGCTGGACCTTTCATCTGTCGAGTCTATCACGAGTTGCGCTGCAGAAATCACCTCGACCATCGACCGACTGGATATTCTCATCAATAATGCCGGGATTACCTTGCAGACCCGTGATACAGTCTACACTCCTGGGGGGATAAAAGTTGATCTTCAGTTTTTTACAAACCACGTCGGTCCATTTCTCTTGACGGACCTTCTCCTGCCTTTACTCCTCGCAAGTGAAGGATCTCGGATCGTCAATGTTAGTAGTCATGGGCATCGTCTCTCGCCAATACGCTTCAGCGACTATGCATTAGAAGGCGATCTATATGATGGTGTGCCGGAGGATGAGCGTCCCCCAACTGGCCTGGCCCCTGGCTTCCTCCAAGCGACAGATGGGTATCACGGATTTATTGGCTACGGCCAAAGCAAGACGGCAAATATCCTGCACGCCTCAGAGCTGAAACGACGCTTCCAGAAGAAAGGTGCCAACGTGCTCGCCTTGTCGGTTCACCCAGGGACAATCGACACGGGGCTATCTCGCAATTTGGACGAGCAAGGAAGAAGCACACTAGACGGTACTGCCCCAGCGGGAGTATGGAAATCAATAGACCAGGGAGCTGCGACGACCATTGTTGCTGCATTTGATCCGAAATTGGCAGATGGTGGCGATGCCGTGGATGAGACATGCCTGTACCTGGCGGACTGTCAACTCGCGAACGAGAAGCTGGCGCCGCATGCAAGAGACGCGAAATGTGCACAGAGACTATGGGACCAGACAGAGAAGATGCTGGGCATTGTATCCGCGCTTTGAGATAGTGATTTGATAGCGTAATGCATTCGTCAACACATATTATTCGCGAATTATCATGGATAGCACGCCAACCCGTCTCGATTGTAGTCAATTGTGAAAGGTATTCAAGCCTCGCGTCGTAAGCGAGGAGATTCGCTAATCCTGCCTGGATTGAGTCTTGAAGGACGGGTTTTTCACTAGTTATCTCCACTCCAAACCCAGGTGGCTGGTGATGGTATGTGATACGCGTCATGAGTCCTAGCTAGACGCGTCGGCAACAGCGATATCAGGGTGGCTGGTAGATTCGGGCTGTGATTGTTACCCTTGTTACCATAGACCACATTGCACTTCGGTTCGCGGTGAGGCTTGTCCTAGAGCCCCATATTCGGAGCCCAAAACCCGTGTGAACAGGTCCATTATCCCGAATACCGAACTATGGTACTATAGCACTGCTTCCGGAATAGTGCTTTGTTTTGCCAAGACGACAAATTACCGAGGCCTACTACGCCCGGCTCATCGCGTCTATCACGCTTCTGATTCGTTGATCTCGCGCTCCCGGCTCTTCGCCTCTTCGAGATATCGGATCTATTGACCCTAGCGTGGCTCCTCATGCACCCCGCATGTTACTGCTACGTCTGCGCTGTCACACCGGCTTCATTTCTCCACTTCCCCACGGGGTACCACGTAGACATCAGGTGACAGGCATCGAATACTACCTTCAATCGACTTGGGATTTGTGGGTATGTAAGGGAGGTCAAGAACCGTCAATCCTCGATCTGGATGCAAAAGGAGACACAGACCTCCTTCTCTGGAAGAAATTTGATCTCTATCAACAATCTTCATCATGGCAGTGGGAAAAGAGGACACCATTCGCGCCAATTGGCGGTGCTTCATCGCCTGTGGCATTATCGTTCTCTCCCCGTTCCAGTATGGCCTTGACTTTGGCTTGATCGGCGGTTTGCAAGCCATGCCTGGCTTCTTGAAGGTATGTTTGTCCCTATGAGTTTTGATGATATTCCGAATTGGCGGGCTCACAAAACCTCTTGCTGGACAGATTTTCGGTTATCGAGATCCAGAGACAGCGATTGGTTGGAACATCAATACTACTCGCCAGCAACTAATCGCCTCGTTCATGACCCTCGGCGCCTTCATCAGCTCCAGCCTTGCGGGTTTTGTCGCCGCCAAAGTTGGTCGGAAATGGTGTTTATGGTTCGCGTGCCTGCTATGTGCAGCAGCCAACATTATCATGATGACCACAACACACATTGGCCCTCTCTATGCAGGCCGTCTACTCATTGGTTTGGCAAACGGGTACTTCATGACCTTTTCTCAGCTATACATCCAAGAGAGTAGCCCGGCCAAATACCGCGGTTTATTTCTCAGCTTCTTTCAGTTCTGCACTTCATTCGTTAGTATTTACCCAACGGCTCTATAATTTTATTTACTCATTTATTGCGCGCAGGGCACACTCATCGGCACCATCATTGACTGGACGACTGCGAAGCGACCGGACAAGTCTGCCTACCTGATCCCATTGGGCATCATCTACGTGGTCCCCACCATTCTATTCATTTCTATGTTCTTCATCCCGGAGTCGCCTCGCTGGCTCATCTTGCAGGGCCGGTTCGACGAAGCCCACAAGTCTCTAAAGTGGCTGAGACCTGACGATGCAAATGTTGAAGAGGAGCTCGCTGAAATTCGACTGGCCATTGATAACGAACGTGAATCGGCCAGCAGTGTAGGGTTCATGGATATGTTCCGCCACCCCGTTGATAGAAGGCGAACTATGCTCTCTGTTGGTGCTGTGGTATTGCAAGCTGCTTCCGGATCCATGTTCATCATTGGTAGGCTTCCATTTGAACCCCAAATAAGAATTGGGTTGCTAACCCCGATTTCCAGCCTATAAAGCATATTTCTTTGCCATGGCCCAGGTCGAAGACCCTTTCGCGATGAGCAATGTCCTCAGCACTGCGGGCCTAGTTGCCATCATCATCAACGCTCTAATCGTCGTCCGATATGGCAGGCGACGCGTTCTTTTGACCAGTGGTCTCCTTATCTCCGGCTTTTTCCAGTTGATCATCGCAATTGTCTATGACAAAAACCCGGGGGAAATAGTCACAGGAAAGGTCCTTGTCGCACTCTCCTGCCTATATATGACAAGTTACAACGTAAGTCAGCCAGCCAAAGCACGCTTCTGTACAGGAACTAAGATTCAATAGGGAATGATTGCTTCATACTCCTGGCTAGTCGGTGGCGAGATTCCATCTCAACGCCTTCGCAGTCATACCTTCGGTCTTGCCGCAGCGGTTGGGTTCCTCGGTGCATGGCTGATCACGTTCACTGCCCCTTATTTCATCAACCCAAGTTCTCTCAATTGGGGTCCCAGATATGGTTATATCTGGTTCCCTTCTTGTATCATCGCCGCGGCATGGGTGTACTTCTTCTTGCCTGAAGTCAAGGGTCGAACGTTAGAGGAGATTGATCAAATGGTATGCTTCCAATGGTTTGTCCCGTGGATGAGAGTTCAATACAGCTAACGCAAATGTTTTCTTAGTTCAATGCGAAGTTGCCCGCGCGAAAATTCCGGACCTACCAATGTGTTCGTCAAACTGACGTCACGAATAAGGAGAAATCAAGTGTTGAGGTAGTAATTACCGAGTCTGAGCGGGTATAAAGTCTTCAGTAGTTGCGCGGTGTATTCTATAGCCCACTTCAGCATTACTATTGCCTACTCAATAGCAAAGACTGCAAACCGAAGCACGCACGTTCCCACACTGACATGGTCAAAGGCTGATTCTCTATACCTCATATAGTCGATCTGATCCGTCTTGAGCTCCATTCTCGCAATCCAATGGATGCCTAATTGAGTTCTACAAGACCTTGCATCTTATACTCAAGCTAGAGAGCTAAAATGTCCCTTTGCCTGCGCAAACCCATTGGTGCTCGATTGGACGTAGTTGTAGAAGGAGCATCTATAGCATTATAATAGTAGTATCGCAGGGCTACATCAGGACTCGTCTATATACATCAGTAATTAAATATTGAACCTGTTTACTGTTGAGTCCTTCAAACCTCGGCAATAACGGCGACGCGGTTTAATTCTGCGAATGAAAGTGTTTTACTTGTGGAACATCTAGTTATATCGCTGTATTGCGGCGTGTTTAAGTTACCCTGTAGTCCGACATATTTCTTCGGTCCAGACTTGACCCACAACCCAGCTCAGCGGCTATACACGCCGTCGGCAGTCACTTTCCATGGTAATAAGGGAGAGATAATCTACTACAATTTAGCTCAGTCTTAATTAATTTACCGTTCGCTTAGTATATTCCACGAGCATCGCATGCCGGTCGCTTCTGCCGATAGAATGACGAACGCTGCCCAGACAGTGGCACCAGGTAACTACACGGATTACTTCCCCGCTGAGTAGTGGACTGAGCAAAACTTGGCAGGGGTCGAATAAAACATTCATACAAAAGGACAATGATCCGCCAATCGACCTAAGAACACTCGCAATGAGCTGCCAAGACTTGAACAGCCGGTGTACCCAGTAAAAAGCGGTGATGGATGATTAGCGTGTTTTCATGTTGCGAGCGTCGTTTCAAGAATGCCCCGTAAATACCGATTCGAAGGCCATGTAATTTAAGCGAAAGAGCAAGGGGTATTCGCAATCGAAAGCTTCAATGATCAGGAAGCGAAGGAGAAGAATGCAAAGCAAAGCAGGTGCTTTTGTTGCACAGTTAGCCATGACGCCCAATTCATAAAAGCCTGGTAGCGTACAGTAAAAAATATGAATAGAGACAAGAATAACGTTAGCCTTTAAGCTTAAGATTAGAGCGCGCGTGAAATTCATCACTGAAGGATGTGTAACAAGGGGTAACGCAAGCGAGCTGGGAACCTGGGATTCGCCAGGGTGGTGGACGAGGTGGCCCCTTGCCGATTTAAACGCCTTGTCGTTCGCTTGACGACTGAAATGGAGTAGAAAATATGCATCTCGACAAAAGTACAACGACACGGGGGACTGGTTGGAGGAAAATCGTCCACCACAGTTTGGCTGGTTTGTTGGATTCGAGATATAAAGGCGACTTGCCCATCACTCCCATCTCTAGAATTCAACCTCAAGCAACTCATCACTTTCACTTCTAAGAGCTAGCCTCTGCCATTCGTTCTGCATTCATATTCTAAGTATTCCAGTCAACTCGTTTCAATCGCTTCAATTCTCGCACTTACTTCAGCCGTCACCCGTCGCAAATAGCAATCATGAAGACCTCTCACGTCATCCCCGCCGTTTTCGGCCTCATCTCCTCTGTCCACGCCCACTACACGTTCGATCAGCTCGTCGTCAACGATGCCATGGAGGGCTCCGCCAACACCTACATCAGGAAGCATCAGAACAGCTACATGCCCACCAAGTTCATCAACCCTCCCGAGGGCTCCATCACCCCTCTCGATGCGGACTTCACCTGCAACAAGGGAGCTGTTGCTGCCTCCAGCGTCTACACTGTCAAGGCCGGTGACAAGATTGGCCTGAAGCAGGCCTACGGAGGTACTGGCATGCTTCACCCTGGCCCATCTCAAGTCTACATCAGCGCCGCTGATGATGCCACTACCTACGACGGCACTGGAGACTGGTACAAGATCCACCAGTCCCTCCTCTGCACCGCCGGAAATGCCGAGTCGCTTCGCTCTTCCGCCTGGTGCAGTTATGGCGAGGACCGAGTCTGGTTCACCGTGCCCTCCACCATCCCCAACGGACAGTACCTCGTCCGTGGTGAACACATCGGACTTCACGGTGCCCATGTTGGCGAGGCCGAGTTCTTCTACGCCTGCGCTCAGATTGAGGTTACCGGAAACAGCGCCACCAGCATCCCCGGTTCTGCTGTCGCGATTCCTGGTGTGTACCAGTCCACTGATGCGGCTGTCAACTTCAGTGTCTGGGGAACATCCACTTCCTACGACGTTATTCCCGGCCCCGATGTTATCCCTGGCGGCACCATTCGCGGCAGCGCGGATGGATCCTCTGGTGATGTCTCTGAGACTGTCTCGGGCGGCTCCAGCTCCAGCTCGGATGATTCATCCAGCGCCATCTCTAGTGCCATCTCAACTCCCACCGTGACCCCTGTTGCCAGCGCTGTCGAGACTCCGTACTCCGCAGTTACTGCTTCAGCTGCCCCTGCCTGTGGAAGCTTCCAGTCCCGACGGGCCAAGGCTCGCAAGGTTCGCAAGGCTTAAGGTCTTATAGATTGATGGCAAATGGCGGGTCATTCTATGAATCAAGGGAACCTTGATTTGCATGTCAAGTTGGCCTCGATTGAAAAGCATTTGTCTGTTTATATCGCGCTGATGGGACTTGTCCCATGCTGCGGTTGGGCTCGGTCCAATTTTGGACTTGGATACGGTTGTATCGCGAAATCTTTCTGTTCTATATTTTGCTACGGGTATAGCATTACATATTTATAAAATCAAGTTGCTTATGGAAACATCTGACCTAATCCAATTTTTCTGTGAAGTAAAATACTCTCTGCTGTCGGTTTTAGGATTCCGAGTACATCTCGTAGTAATCCTTGCAAACAATTATCTTAAACCAACCTAAGTAAACCAGTTGTGTGTATTTCTAAAACTCAAACATCTTCGATGCTGGTAGAACCATTACACATCAATCATATTAGTTGTAAATGCACATCTGTCAACAAAGGTCCTGGAGGTCCTGGCCCCATTTCAGAAAATTGAGCGTGCCAATCTGGAGTACCATTTTACAAGTGCTGCAATAGCGCAGCCTCACTCGGTCGCACTAACACTAATGACTCTACTCGGCCATTTAATACAACGCCCACCCGCCTACCAGGCACAAATAATCCAACACCCATATACCAAGGACAAACAGCACAACACCACCCACACTCATTAGCCACAACTCTGCACAAATTGCAATAGGATAAGCCCACGCCACAGTTGTGTGTGTGTACTGTAAGTCTAGTCCTATATTAGCAGTCTACCCCCATGACCCTCACGATAAAGTAAAGATAAACTAGCAGACTAATGGCTCGGCATGCAGGAAGCTTTTCAGCTGAACATGATTAACCACTAATACAAGATATTTGTTCGTATTGATTGGCTTTATTTTAAGCCACACCTGACTTTGCTCCACGTGCCTACCCCTAAGCAGACGTGGCTGGCACCACCTGGTCATCTCTATTTTCTAACCCTAAATTGCCGTCAAATTGCTTCGCCGATAATGGGGACATCCCATTGAATGCGCCTTATTAATTAGGCGCAAAAAACACATCTTGTCATATATAACGCAGCTGGTCAGCCCTATAGACACCCCGGCTTCTTTTCCCCTCCAGATTTTAGATGACGCGCGATACGAGATGCTCTTCGACGACAACATCGAGGTCTTCCAAGGCGTTTGGACAGACTGGGAAAATGGAGGTGCTAAGATTTTAACCGCGTCACCACGGAACTCACAGCTTCTCGCGTCTTTTCTTTCACTCTTCATTACATTTACTGGCACACGTCTGTGGCATCTCGTGGCTTTTTGCTTGCATCAGTTCAGAGATGATAACGGCTCAAAGGACGGGCTTCATCATCAGCGACAGGTCATCCTACGGAACAGCGCCAACGCGACCGGCACAGTATGGCCACTAATTCAACAGGCTTGGGCTTGGCGCGGCCTGGCGCGGAAGAATTTGCAGCGTTCTTTGGCGTGGATATTTCTGGTATTGGGATACGCTATCAGCTCAGGCGTCATTGCAGTCTTCACCGCATCCGAGATTGCCTTGAACGGCGAGACGAGGCGACTTATCCGACCGCCCTCTGATCATGGAGCCTTCGATAGCAGTAACTGCGGTTTTCTCACCACGAGAGACGGCTACACCAACGATGAAGATGCACTGATTGTAAAACTCTACGATATCAACCAGGCTGCCACGTATGCCCGCGAGTGTTATAATGGCACCAGTCGTGGAATTGAGGTCAATTGCAAGCTCTTTACGCAACCATCGATTCCTTGGAAGAGCAGGACAAATGCGCCCTGCCCCTTCGATGCCGAGGTTTGTAGGCCAAATGTCTCTGCCTTCGAAGCGGATACGGGCTTGATCAATGCGAGGTCATATTTCGGAATCAATGGTCCCGATTCGGATATTCTTCAATATCGCAAGCTGGTCACTTGCACTCCCTTGGCCGTCGACGATCGCTATGTCACCACCATTCGTGGTCCCTCACCAACCTGCGTTTTGGGCAAGCCTCTGTCAAGTTATAAGCACACTGACCTTAGAAGTTCGGACACTCTATTTTCGTATCACTACGGGCGGTACGGGCCGGAAATGGAAGCAGAAAACAATGTGACAGCTCAGCAAATCAGGAGAGATTTTAACTTGGGTTTCAACAAAACAACTGTTCCAGCTGTTCGAATGATGGGAGATGGAGTACCCTATCACGTTGAGTAAGTGCTCACGCCTCTGCACGTGGCTCATCAGACAGCAAAACTCATATCTTCCAGGACGAGATACTCCATTGCAAGCCGGGGTTCGGATCGGGGTTGGAACCCAATCAAGGAGCTCAGCAGAACAGACGCAGACCTGTCTCTGATCCTCATCGCTCCAAATGACATGCACTCATTCGATGACATTGACGACCCAGTATTCGCAGCTCATGCCAGAGGGTCAATCTGGCCGGTAGGCTCCGGAAGGACGCGCTTTGATAACCCATTGAGCCCGATCGGCTGTACCACGCAGTTTCAAATGTGCAACCCTGTGAACACACGCTGCACCAACTTGTCCTCCATCATCGATCTATTTCCAATCCATCCTGAAAGTCCCATAGACTACGACCTCGATGTGCCGGCTGAGTGGGCCATCGCTCTTGACCTGAATAAACGCCAACGCAGTGTTGCCATGCGGCTATTCCGCGCCTCGTCCATCTTGGACGACGCGGTCCAAGGACGCGGTCAGATGGCTCTCCTGGCGAGCCAGTTTGCCTTTGGAACGTACCAGACTCCGCTTTCGAAGAATCACTGGCACAATGAAGTTTCGTCCTGGTTTAATGTGACCCTGGCGTTGGAACAGCTCCGCATGCAAGAGTTTGCAATCCCGCGTCGAGAGCGTTACATGACGGCGGCGCATAAGCAAATGCGAGAGCTACCGCCTGGAACCGCGTGGATGTGTAAGACGCAGATGACGTCTATATCTAACGGGACTGTCAATTTTCGTCACCGTGGGCTGCTGGCGGTGCTGGTTGTTGGTTCAGTTATTATTCTAGTGAGCTTTGTTCATGAGGATACAGTCTGGTGGGTACGACGACGTCTCCAGCTCGGTACGAACCACCTTCATTCGCGCCATCTATGGATTCACGATGGATTACTTCAGCTTCAGCGGATGGCTTTACAGAGGTCTTTAAATGGCAGCTGGTCGTCTAAGGAGGAGTATGTGCCTGTAACTGCGAAGGGCGAGCTTTTCCATCGGTATGGCGATAGCGACTTGGAGACACCTCTTATTACGACACAGGCAGATAATGCATAAAGGAATGTTAAGTAATTAAAGAAAGGCCCTCCTTTGAGATACACGAAGTCCCATTTCACCGTTGTCTCCTGCGATCACCGCGGATACTCCAAGAGTCTCCTCGTTAGCAGCCACCACTTTACCAATCGTCTGTACCAATCGTCCTCAGACTGACACCGATGATGCGGAGCGACTGATTCTACAGCTGTCTTCAGATGCAAAGGGCGTGGTTTTAGGTAGTTCTTCAGGAAACGTCGCCGGGCAACAGTTGTTGGCCCTACATCCAGAGTCCGTGAGCAAGATGAGTTGATACAGCTACGAATGTGACCCTGATGCAGGCTGTCACGAGCCACCTTTCCCGCTGTGTTAGGGTAATAGAAATGCAAAAGGAAAAGGCGGAAGATAATACGATGGGATAGAAGCAAGCATCTTGGAATTGAAATTAGTCCACGACTTGCAGCACACTCTTTGTGTGGTGAAACCAAAACTGGAGATTTCCCTTCACCTGACAGCATTCCCATTCACGAGCTGCCTCTTCATTATGTCCATGTTTCAGGTCTGTGGTGAATTCTGCGATAAACCCTTCTTCCGGAAACCTCTCGCCTGGTCGCTGGTGGGTGATCGGATAGTGGCATAGGTGCGTAGGTGCAGTGCAGTATTGCGTGGGATCTACTCCCAGTCTGCATTGTCCTAGGGCCCGCCGCGTCCCGTCGTTGTACTTGATTAATATCCCCATGCAGAAGCCAGTTTCCTCATCATAGAACACCGTCGTGGAAAATACGGCTTCCAGCGATCCGGAAGAGAAGAAGGTAAACCTGGATGGAGGATTACCCATCGGGGTGAAGAGTGTTATCTGCACATTCCCCCCCACTCTAGGGCAAACGCCATAATCAGAGATTCCGAAACTAGGAACGCTATAAATGAGTGTGCAGTCTGGGCTCGTAGCAGATACAAAGTCCGTTGTCTGTGCGTGATGATGCCTACCAATAGCAAGATCTCCCGAACGGGCAAAACGAAACTTATTTGTCAGTTTACTTCTATCAATTCCGACACCGTTGGAACTTACCAGGAAGGTAGCTGTTGCTCGCGAATATAGATCATCCATTTTCGTTTTCATTCGGACACCAAACGCAGTGATCCCATCGTCAGAGGAGAGAGGCACATACAGCCAAAGAGCAGACCCCTGAGCTCGATATGAAAGGCGCTCAAATGTCTTAGAGGCGCATGGCGCTTTTGAAGTATGCGTATGAATTGCTACAGTGACAATACCGCAGACGAATAATGTGATACCTGTGCTGTAGCGCATCTCTATGGTTTTGATGATCCCGGGAGGTCGACTGCTAGGTGGAGAGACGAGACATTCTTCCCAATTCGGCGGCGCTGGAGTATCCCACATTTTCAAATCGGTCGAACTGACGTTTTTCAAATGAGCCAAGCCGTACTAAACAACATCAGTTGGATGACCTTGAAGCCTTAAAACGGATACAAACCTTGAAACTGGCTACGACTCTGGCGAAGCACTCTGCCTTCTCAACCACGAATGCCTCAGTCTCAGCTTGTACCCCCCGCCTTTCTGGTAGTGCTTCAAGGCGTTCGATAATCTTAAGCCCCTGATAATCGATCGTGAGGCGGATGAACGGCTCGGTCACGGCCTCTCGGATCGTCGGAGATGTCCCCCGATCCCACGCATAGATCATACAAAGCGGGAGAGAAACCATCCCATCATCGTTGGCCGCTGACAATCGGCGAGCGAGACTGAGAACCGACGTATACCGCAATATCATGGCATTACTCACTGACTCCCATATGATTCGAGCTGGTATGTTTGGCAGTGCCAACAGCTGAGGAAGATGGCCGACAGCAGCCACACAATCAATGCCGGTATCGATATCAAGATCAGGTGGCAATAGTAGAGGTTTCGCCTCAGACCACGGATATCTCCATGTTGATGCAACCCATAGCCGGTCCATTATGTCCTCTGCTCGACATTCCTTCGCAAACAAGTTGTAGCAATCCGGGTGGACGGTGGTGGTTTCACCAACCCTGGCGCACCTGTAACATTCATTCGGCTTGCCAAATAACTGGCCCATCGGCTACTCGATTACATGACCAATATCCTCGGGCGGAAATGTCAGTGAATCCTGCGTTCCGTAGATAACGGTAGCGGGGCGGGAAAGAACTGTGTATTAGTTCTCAAGTCAGCTTGGGTTTCCGGTCGTGTTGGGAGACATGACCATACACGAGACAAATCGGTCACCGATTTTAAACGCGAAGCCACACGCTCCACAGTGAGGGTGGACGCGGAAGTGTTCTGGTCCATTCGTTGGCATCATGTTTGACTGTCATCAGGATCAGGATTGCCACACCCGGGTCTTGACAGCGAAGTGATAGGATATACACATTGGCGGTGACAATCGGCAGAAAGAATATCATGTGACTATCCTCTAACATCTCAATGTGGCTGGCAACTTGCCTCTCAGCGCAAATCAACGTTGCAGTAGATAAGTCGCTCCATGTGTCCGAATCCTGGATTTAATCCCTTCTACCAGCTTGCTTCGGACCATAAAATATCTCAAGATTTAGCGAGAGAACGTGACTTTGCAAGCTCCATAATTTAAACCTTACTAAATGTTCGGCTAGATGCCTTAGATCGTAGCTTAATACCTCATTTGACCTACAACAGACTACTTAATGGTCGTTATTAGACTCCCTAGATTAGAAGAAGTAGCCAGTATATGGCAATCTCTACAGATTTTCTTTCTCAAGGAAGCTCGAGAGGAAATTCAGCTTCTGTCTTTCTGATTCATCCTCTAGATTCCAAGAGAATCCAAGATCATATCGGAGTCCGGATCTATAATACGAATATAACAGGTTACCGTTGACAAGAGCTTTTCGAATGAAATTTGCCATATTGAAAATTGGTTGTGATGGGATGAGTATCAGAAGGGAAGTTGGTCCCTTGACGATAGGAGATATCAGTCTCCCTTATATCCTATTACTCGGAATAAGATTACTATCTTAAGGTTATTAACTGCAGATAGCAAGATTGTTAACTGCAGATAGTAAGGTTATTAACTGCAAATAATAGGATTAAAGTTAGAGGGGTTAAATAGAAGCTTCAGGCAGAGACTGGTGGGTAATAACCTTATTATTTAGCTACTATTTTTTCTGGTGCTAGATATAGTACTTATTGTTTATTCCTACTGTTTGAGATTACTGTATAGCTTTGATCTATCTGATAATATTAAGTAAAGCTAAAAAAAAAAAAAAAAAAAACCAAATATGGCAATCTCTTGATTCCTGAATTTGAATAACCTCACTTTCAGATCTACCTAGACAATTTCCATATTCATGGCATGCTTCCTTGTCCACTCACGGGCTGTTTGGTAATATTCATGCCGGTCGTTTTTCCAAAGTTCTGAAGCTCGCAGATTGAAAGGATCCCCCTCAGGTTGCCGCTCTAGAATTGCGTAAATTTCATCCATACCTTTTTCCTTATTTGTTAATGCAGTACTATTTGTGCATTAGTTCCTTCGAAGCACTTACACTTCAAAATGCTCAAAGTAGACCTCCAGTACACAGTCTTCGCAGAGCCCCCATCTTCCAAGCCAGTCCTTTTGTAGCGTTGATCTGAAACCCACACTCCAGTAGACATATCTCCCGTACTTTCCACAAGAGGATGGAATCTTGGCGTGATGAAATAGATATTTGGCGGGCCGTTTGGGTAGTCCGGCGGGATGATGATTTCGAGGTAGAAAGCTCCTCCTCTGTAGCCTGAGCTTTCCTGAACGACTCTACGTTAGATCGGTCCTTGCGCGCTTGAACAATAATAGAGTGAAAGGGGATCTCGAGGGCTCTCACTGGACCTGCAATCACAGCACGGAACTTTCCAACCTGGTTTCAAAGTCAGCCACCTTGAATACATAATTGTACAGAATTACGGTTGGAAATTCTTACATCTTTTGTTGGGATCATTCGCACATGCGTAGGGCTGTCTCGTTCCCAGACTTCGATCTCTTTGGAAATTCTCTTGACTGCCCGGTAGGGGAGGATTATATCAAGTTCAGGTCGAACAACGGGCGGAAGTACACGTGGACTTGGTGTCTGAAGCATCAAAGAATTTCCATTGTCATCGTGTGAATCTGAAGATTGGACGGCGCCATGGGCAAGCATAAATTCAACAACCCGTTGATCTCCGTAATATTGAGCACCATCCAAAGCTGTTCTTCCCCAGACGTCGGTTCTGCTCAGACCTACGCCGGTATCCGTGAAGACGGAAACTATTTTCAGATGCCCATGGCGGGCCGCATGGTGGAGTGGGTAGGCGCCGTCAAGGTTTGCGCTATCCAGATCTGCCTCTCGATTTAGGAGCAGGCTCACAGTTGCGGTATGGCCCAGAGCGCAAGCCTTGAGGATAGGGGTCTCGCCGAAGAAGTTTTGAGCGTTTAGGGGACACCCCAGATCTAGCAGCACTTTGCAGCAATCCTGAAATCCTCTTGCGGCTGCGATGTGGAGCGGCCCGTTTCCGTCATTATCGCGGGATTCCAGTGCTGATCCAAGCTTAAACAGCTCTTTGATGATACCGGGAAAATTTCGATCCGCAGCGATGTGCATAGCGGTTTCCCCGTGAGACGTCTTTGCATGAACAAGGTTAGAATCCTGAGAGACAAGCAGTCGTATGACGTTGATGTTTCCTTGAGCCACGGCGCTGTGCATCGGGGTCCAGTTGAGATCTGTGCCGTGACTTGGGTTTGTCCCTGAAGTGAGGAGAAACCTTACAATGTTCTCCCTACCATTGCTAATGGCCTCAAACAGGGCCGTTCGTCCGCCATGAGAAGCGCTGTCCAGTTTCGCATGGTATTTGAGAAGCAATTGAACGGCCTCCAATAGTCCGCGACGACTAGCTTCATGTAGAGGAATGTCATCTTTAGAATAGCCAGTAGCTCCATCCGGGAGAGCTCCGTGGGATAGAAGAATTCACATAATGTCAAGTGAACCAGCTTCGACAGCGGCGGTAAGGGCTGTTGCGCCATGTGAGTTTGTTTCATTCACAGTCGATTCATCAAGGAATAATGTACACTCTGGCTGGAGGTCAAGCCGGGAAGCAAACCAGAGCGCAGGAGCTTGAGCTGGTGCAGTAAAACTGTACTTGTCATGTCTGCTCTCTGGTAGCAGATATGCTTGTATACAGCTCTCCCTGTATGCCTTTTCCGTAAAGACCCTGACGTGAAGATCCCCATGCTTCACTTCATTGCGAGTTGACTTTCTAGTGTGCGTTGCCCATGACTTAGCAGCATAAGTCGGACCACCCATTAGCTGACCGACCCCTTACCTGACCGCCCCACTTACATAACAACTAAAATCGCAATTCAACTTCACTTATAGATAAAATAACAACTAAAAGACCTAATTGGTCTATTTCAACTGATTTTTAATAAACTAACTAATAAAATTTCTAAATATTAAAAAATCAACTAATTAGAATAAAGAAAAAATAAGCTATTTTGAATCTTTAACCTTAGGCGTTTTTATTTGCCTTCTTGCCCTCTTAACATTTCGGATATCTTGAAATAGCCTATTTGGGTCTTTATAAACCCGTTCTCTTTTTCTAGTCTTTAATTAGCTTGAATTTTAATCTTGGGCTTTAATTTTTTCTTCTAATTAGGTAATTTAAAACTGGAGCCTATTAAATCCCTTACTAATAGTCTGTAATAGCTATCTTATAGTTAGGCTAGCTAGTATTTCCTTCTTATAAGAATGGACTAATAAAGTAATATCTTTTAAATTGCTAGAAGTTATAAAAGAAATAATTTTAGACTTTTAATTTATTTTTTAGAGAAATAGGAGTTTTTAATTAGACTGTAATTATATTATTAGGGTTATAAATAATAAATTTACTATTTATTAGCTTTAATATATTAATTAGCTATAATCTAGCTTCTTTTTAATTTAATAAGATATTTTTAGTAGTAAGAATCTTCTTTTTTATCTTAAAATAGTAAGTAAGAAAGTCTTTCTTTTTAGTTAGGCTAATATTAGTAAGGGAATTGGCTAGTATTAAGGTAGCTTAATATATAGCTTTAAGTAGCTTAAAGACTAATATATTAAAAGGCTAAAGAATATAGCTTATATAAGATAGTAAATAAAGTAAATAGACTCTATTAGTTATATAAATATATATAAAATCAGGTATTATATATAATTTATATTTATTTAAAATAAGAAGCCTTTTTTTATTAATTTAGGCTAGCTTAAAGCCTAGAAGGAAGACTTTCTATAATTAAGTAAGGCTAATTTTATTATTAATTTAGCTCTTTTTAAATAATATAAATTTCTAATTAATTAGAAAGTTTAATTTCTCTAGAAACTATTAGTATTAAATATATTTACCTTTAAAAATAATTAATAAATTAAGATACCTTTCTATTATAAAAATAGCCTTAAGAATAATTATCTAATTAAGATTATATAGCTATTTCTTAATTATTAATTAAAGCTTTAATTAGTTAACTATAAATCTATTAATTTTAAGTTCTTAAAAGACTTTAATTTTATTAAAATTCTAATAGTTATATAGAGGAATTAATTTAACTTCTAGTTAATCTAATAAATTATAGAACCTACAAATAGCAGCTAGATTAACTCTATTTATTCTTTTCTAATTAATTTTCTTTTCTTTAAGTATTTTTATTTACTAGTTATAATATAAAAAGCTAGTTATCTAGTACTTTCTAAGTTATTAATTAATATTACTTTTACCTAATAAGAAAGTTACTAACTTCTAAATCTAGCTATAAGTTAATACCATTCCGAGCTTATCTTATAAGATAAGCCAATTACAGAGCTGGTCTTTCTGGTTTTTAGAAAGTATCTGACGCTATTCGTAGGCTTCGTTGCGGCTTGGGACGCTATTGAGCTTAGTCCGTAGGGTTAAATAAGGAATAACATACTTATTGGCTGCTTTTCGTATTGATAGACTATTTTTTACATCCTGAATAGCTAGTTGGAGGTCTTCTTCGGTGTATTTAGGTATGAAAATAATAAAAATAAGGTTAAATTGACTAATTGAGTGTTATTGAAGGAAGAAATGCGTGTGGCTAGAGGCGCGTTGTGGTTGACGCGTTGTAAGTGGGGCGGTCAGGTAAGGGGTCGGTCAGCTAATGGGTGGTCCGACTTAGAGCAAGAATGGGTGAGAATCGAGGCGCAGGCTCATCTCGTCATCGTCAAGGCATCGCCCCGTAGGAAACTCATCAAATAGAAGGTATGTCTGACATGCCTGTGCTAGATCCCCGTGAATCTGTCCCAAAGGGCGGAGAGGCTGCGACGCGAGGTGCTCTTGGAAGGTGTGGTGAACAAATCTCACCACACTACTACCCTCATCAACAGTGATGATGCCATCGCAAGCCAAAATAATGGCGTCGATATTTACCAAGTACTTCTCCTCTTGGCAAGAATCGCCAGGCTCAAGCGAAAGTGCGCATTGGAGCTCATTAATGTGCAGAGGACGAGTAGCACAAAGCACCCAGTCCACGAGGCCTTTTGCGTAAGTTGCCATCTTGGACGAACTAATGCGGTCAAGGAATTCAGAATATATCGCATCAATATCTTTGGGAAGCGATTCGAGTGCTCGAACAATATTGCGACCTTGACGGGTACCGAGAGTATCCATCAGAAGACGAGCCATCAAGAACCTATTATTGTTAATAAACTGCTGCAAATGGCAGACTTAAAACTCACATCTCCTTCGAGCGTTCCTGTATGGCAGAAATGATCTTGCCGCGAAGAGTCTCGTCCCTGGAGACGTGCCACAACAGATTACTGTCTGAGTCAATTCGAGATGACGTATACTTTCGAACATCTTCAGGATCTGGTTTTATTTCACCCTTCTGGAAGCCGGTGAAATATTTTGCCTCGGGTGCCTGTCTTGATGTGACAATGAGATTCGCATTTTGACATCTGGTGAGATGTTCTAGAAGGTCATTCCCAGAGTAGCTGAGTTCGTTTATAGCATCCACTATCACGTATATCGTGGTATAGCTGGATGCTACCTCTTCGAAGACCCGAATTGCGTCTTTAAGAGTGGGCCGTCCTCCGTTGGAGGATTTCTCATCGTATATACCCCGGACGATATCAGTCAACGCTGGTTCAGAAGCCAGCTGCCTCCATACAGCACCAATAAAATTGGGCGTGGTCTGGTTTTCTCGGTCTTGGTAGCTGCAGAATATGGCGGCAACACCAATGTCTGGTGTTTCAGCGAACTCCGCTCGTAGCTTGCGAAACAAAACTGCTCTGGAAGGGTCAACATCAATACCATAGCTCTTACAAACAATAACATACGATTGCATGGTTTTTCCAGAACCCGCTTCAACATGTTAATAACTTTGCGCCATGGAAAAAGGAGGAAAAGCTCACGTATGCCGGTGCACCAGAGCCTCGGAGTTGTCCCGTCAATCCATGAGCGCACAGGTGTCGACTCTATGAATGATGTGCACGTGTCTTCTTCGTGGGTAACCAAGATGTCGCCCATGGCAATGAAGAAGTTTAGTGGCGAGAAGAACAAATGCACTTTCTCCAAAAGGACAGCTCGCACCCAGTCAGCAGGTATCAGGCAGAGGCTTTTAGCCAGGGCTCACCATCCGAACGTGACACCAACTCTTTTGTGTCTTGCTCCAAGTTTCTCGTCCTCTTGGGAAGTGATTGAAGGGCTTCTGTATCCTTCTTGATTTCGAGAGTAATTGTCCTAGACACATAGTCAGTCTGTGGATTTTGAGACCGAAAGACAGACTCGAAGCTTACTGCAAGTCCGTCAATAGAAGGAATTGGACCTATGAAAAAAGCCGATGGATGCTGAGCATCATATCGGCACAATCCTTCTTGTCAAATGGCCATTTCAAAGCTTTTAGAATTTTGTGCCTTTTCGACTGTCAAGCAGGAACGGCTCTTTTAAGTCATCGAGCACGTTGTTGACTTGCTCCAGAAGGCCACCGGAGTCACCCAAAGACTTCGTGCCAGGAGATTTTCCGTCATTTCGCTGTTTTGCGGCATCGACTAGTGGCTGTAGCATTTGCATGAGGATTGCAAGGCTTTTGACTTCAGACTCTAGTCGCCTTCGCTCCTTGTCACTGTCAGCAACACCTTTGGCGTATTTGAGCACAACGATGCCAGCCTCAACAGCGGCAATGACGGTTGTTGCCGCCGAGATGCCGTCCATATTGACAGACCGGTCTTCCGGGTGAGACTAATGCCGATTTCGTGTAGTCGTTGACAACTGGATATACACTCTTTGGAGCTTAGGTTGATGTTATGGAAATGCCTCATGCCACCCCAAGGCGCGGGGTTTCTCGACACATATGCATGTCAGATATGAGGCTGTGTCCCGATTCACTTCATTCGCCGCCTGAGTGCGCCCACTGACTAAGCACCTCTCAAGAGAGAGAAACTGGGTTGTATTCTGTGACACCCTGCTTGTATTTTCACAATTTTACAGTGTTCTACTGTGTCAGCGTTTCATTTCAAGGTTCGCCGCTTCTTGCTGTCTCGTTCCACGATTTTACACATGTCTTTCATGCCACTCCTCTTGTTTGCCAGGGGTTATCACTCATCTCTTTGGCAACCTGAGCTTCGGCGTGTTCATCCTCTGCCTTGCTCCAGTCCAAATATGTCATCATCTGCTCCTCCGTCGATTCTCTGGATCCTGTCGAAGTGACACTTCGCTTGGACATCTGCTTCAAGTACCGGTTGAATGTATCACATGCGTCCGGTGTAAGATAGGATGATGGTTTTACCTCGCAACTAATGGATGCACTGCAACATCGTATAAGCTTAATTCTCACGCCTTAGCCCGTCCCCGCCGTTAGTGCTTCAGTAATCTGAGTTTCTCTGCATTAGAATGGAGCCTGAAGAGTTTGTTGGGTGCTACATTATAAGCTTAGACACATAATCCTAACTCTAAACCGAGGCTATCTGCCATAGTAGCGCTCGAAAATGCATCCCTACAGCCCGTATTCCAGAATGAGCGTAGCAATGCATATTTCCCCAACCGTCAAAAGAGGATCCTGAGCAAAGGCCTTCCGTCACTATTGCGTCATCCTTCAGGCTCGTGCAGGAGCAGCAGCATTCCCTCCTTCATGCGAACCAGGACATCCTATTGCTGGAGGTGACTGAAAGCTGTTGGGGAAGTTTATGGATGGGATGTGAATATACCGTCTGTGGGCGCATATAAGGATACTGTTGTTCCTCCTATAGAGCAGACTTCTGAAGTTCTGATACCGTCTTAGCTCTATTAGGAGTGCCCCAAGCGCGTCCGTTCCATCAGCAAAAGCTCCAAGAAAGCCTTGATTGACCGCAACAGCAGCCTCCACCATATACCGCAGATCACGATGAAGAAGACTGATAGAGACGCTGTGATTGAGCATGCAACACAGATGAAGCGTCTTGTTCATGACCCAAACAGCTTCGTCACCGAGCTCTTGGTCCAGCAGCAGCAATATTACTGCATTGAATGGCTTTGCCACTTTGATGTCCTCTCGCGCATCCCGCTACCTCCAGATGCATTGCCCTACGCTGAGGTTGCGGCAAGGGCCAATGTGCCCGTGTCGACTCTGCGATCTGTGGCCCGCATGGCTATGACTGTGGGCTTCCTCTGCGAGACGAAGGATGGCCATCTTTCCCACAGCCCGCTCTCGGCTTCGTTCGTCGAGAATGTCCACCTGCGAACGGAACTGTTGCAAATGTTCAGCAAGACGGTCCCACTCATGGCCGGACTGACACCGGCAACGGAGAAATGGGGAGATACCACGGCGCCAAACGAGACGGCGTACAACCTCGTCCACAAGACTGATCTGCCATTCTTCCAGCACCTCGAGTCTCGGCCCGACCTCAGCGACGGCTTCAGCGCCTACATGAAGAGCCGCGCCGTGTCGCATACCGGATTAAGTGCCGAGCATTTGCTGGATGCCTTCGACTGGAAGTCTCTGGGAGAGGCGACTGTCGTCGACGTAAGTCTCGATATGGTTGACAAGAGTTGATCTCCGAGAACGTACTAACAGTGACCAGGTTGGCGGGAGCAGTGGTTCCACTGCAACCATGCTTGCCACAACGCATCCGAAGCTCAAACTAGTCGTCCAAGATCTTCCCGGCCCCATCAGCAATGCCAGGTCTCAGGTCCTAAAGCTCTCAGAGGACGTCAAGAGTCGGATCAGCATCATGGAGTACGACTTTTTCACTCCGCAGCCAGTCAGGGGGGCCGATATCTACCTTCTGCGGACCATCCTCCACGACTGGCCGGATACCGACGCCGTCAAGATCCTGCGACGCATTGTGGAGGCCATGGGACCGTCTAGCAGGCTTCTCATCATGGACGTGGTCCTGCCGAAGCCGGGCTCGGGGCCGACAACCTTCGAGGCGACTTTGCGGCAGAGAGACCTCACCATGATCCAGGCGTTTAATGCAAAGGAGCGCGAGGCCGACGAATGGAGCGCGCTCCTGACCCAAGTTGAGTCCCGCCTGATCATCCACGCGATTGAGCGACCGGAAGGAAGTGAGCTTTCTGTCATTGAGGCGAGGCTAGGTAGCAGCAACGGAGTAGAATCGGCGACTGGTGCAAACGAGCACACCTAGGTAATTAGGGTCACGACGTAAAACGTTGATCATGATTGTGCACGTTTTTGGGACAAGAGATTAGCATTACGAAACACGGCCCCTGTATGCCTGCGTGTCTGTGTGCTGCCAGTAGCTGTGAGCTACTGTATCGCAAACTTGACTGTCACGAACCTCACTTGTACGGTTGCACATTAGATGAGGTCTAGATGAGGTCCACGTAAAATGCAAACGGCCAATCTCAAATCCTTAAACCACGCATCATACAAATCACTTGCGATTAAGCTTGACCTTCCGTACGCAAAAAGGCCGCCATCAAGAGACCTTGAAATCGTACAAGAGGATATCACTGCTTTCTTTTGTCGTGGAGATCCTTATCAAAAGATCGTAGACCAAATTAGCGAGCCTCTCGACGACGAGGTCACCGACAGATCAGCCTTCGAACCCAAACTACCTACCCTACACCATCATCCTTTTTCTCCGCCGCTGAACAATGTTGTGACATCGTTATATCTTATCTCTCTCGCATTACATATAAATGAATATTTCGTTCATAGGCAACGTCAAATCATATCTCAACTCAATCGTGTATCCCATGCTCAACACTCGTCTGGATAGTTTGATAAAACCAGTTAGATCCCACTCGTTTCCTTTATCCGTTTATTCATCAAGGTTTATCTTGTCTTTAATTACTAGGCATGTCACTATCTACCTAGTCACTTCTACCAGGGCCCGGTGACGGCTTACTAGTCTAACAAGAACAAAGCATGATAATTATTTAACTGCTAGGACTGAGGCAGGAATCCACTGGCAACCTGAGCTGCACCAAGGATGACTTGAACCACGGTCAAAAATAAAATGATTGACCCAAAGCTAACTCTGCGTTAGCCAACTGAGAAATTATGAAATTTCGGGCAGAACTTACAGGAACGTCCAGTACTGGACTGTATCGCGACTATCCCGGAAAAGAACCCAAAAGTTCCATGGTCTGGTTTGCTGCAAATGGGCATCAAGTACTGAAATGCGTGGCCATAATTGCTTGAACTCCGTCTGGTCCCACTGTGTGGCATTTCTCTTCATGAGAGTCTCAAGAGTTGGGTCGTACTTGAACTGATAGCGCGCTGGATCCTTGCCTCTTGGAGGGTTCAGGGCCCGGAGCACTCGCTTCCGGAGTCGATATGAACCACAATGTAAACACCAACACAAATAGCAAAATCCCCTGATTTTTGCGAGTTTAGTATGTAAATATGAGGGTGTAATGGGATTAAATAGGGTGGCGTAAGAGGATTCGATTTCGTCAATCAGTTCCGTAGAAATGCCCATGTCTGCAAGGATACTCGCTGCATCTCCTTGGAGCGCACATGGGAGGGCAAAAAGGTCCAAGTAATTAGTCTCCCCGTGCTTGGATAAAAGTAGGTGTCGCGAGATGTTGGTCGTCCATGTGAATTTGATGCCCCCGAGTCTCGAGAGCCTGACAGCATTGAGTTTCTTTGGATTGACTGAGAGAGATTCAAGCAAGCCAACTGAATCATGCAGGCCGAATGGTTCCATTATTCTATCGGTTGAAGAATCTGGGAGGGAATTTAGTTCAGATCCGTTGATCTCGTATGCGTTTGGTAGCAAGCCACTTTGACTCAAAAGCCTAGGGACTGGTTCGTTGAGAGCCTTTTGTTCAGAATAGCCATGCTTCTGTCTAACGCAATATGCAAAGACTACTCGCCGCTGGTCACGTCGCGTGGGGATGAAATACGAGTGCATTAGCAACCAAGCCCCAAGGATGCGAAGTACGGCTTCCGTCACGCCTGTGATCCGTGCTCCTGAGCCGGCAACGGTGTCTTTGAAGTAGGCGTGGGTTTGGCTGTTAACAAGACCGTCTATGTATGCTTGTATGCGAGGCTGGGCAGTTTGGGAAGTGGATGGAACTGGAACCGGATCAGAAAGTTGCTCTGGCCGTGTTGAACAACAATTCATATCAGCAACAGTAGGGATACCCATACTAATGCTCGTATTGGATTGTGATATGGATGGCTGGTCGCTTCGACCGGCCGCATGTCCGACTTTGACGTACCGTGGAAGTGGTGAACCACATCGATAAAAAGGTGCAGAAAGTCATTCCACTCTCCTTGATAGGTCCAAGCCGACTCAATATAGTGCATATACGCCTCTGCGGACTCGCCCTCGGCAATTCCAAGCGCTGAAAGCAGCCCGGCTCGAGTCCCGTCTCTCTCCGGCGTCATGGGAAGCAGTTGTATTGGCTCGAGCGGAGGCATGTGTGATGCCGGCTGAATCTCAAAACGAGGCTCCGAGCCTCGTGAACAGAAACTGCTGACGTGCATCACGTGGTCGGTCTGCATGGGTTCGCTATTGGTCTGATGCATCATATGCGCCGTGAGCCTATGGCCGCACAGTGAATGAGTGATTTAATCATCACGAGTTCCCGGTCCTCGCAACATCCACCCCATATCAGAGGAAATAGGTGCTCGCAGCTTTAGTTGCGGCCGGTCTAATTCCGCCATGGCAAAGCGTCTATCAGATACGCCCGTCACTCTGCACAAGCCTTGGGGATATCTGAAGCAGTCCTCCCCAAGCTTTCCACACCTGACGCTTGGCGGTGTTCAATCAAGTGCCCATTCATCACGAAAAACGGGTCAGGCATACATTGAGCCGAAATCCTCGAGCCTCAGGTCTTGGCCGGACGATGTGGAAGACCTTGCGACTGTAGACGGGGACTACAGGGGGTGCCTTATAGTATCTGGTGGGTCTGGACACTCATCTTCAACAGACGGACACAAGACTAAATAACACTGGCAGACACTAATGTCGACGGACGAAGAGTCTCAAAGAGACACTGCCTTTTATTTCCCATTCGCAAGGACGGTCATATCGTCGTCATCCTGCAGAACGTGTCCACCAACGGCTTCCTTATCAAACTCAATGGCGAATGGCTCGGGTTCCCTACAATGCGACAGCTCGATGATGGAGACGTCATTACTGTATCTTCTGACATTCGGCTCCGGTTCTCAGCAGGACAAAATCCCCCTTACACTTTTAGGAAAAGATATTCTCGCCTCGATCTGTTAGGAAAAGGCCATTTCGCAAGAGTTCGCCGGTGCCGCTCAGGTGGGCGCGACTTTGCAGCCAGATTTCTAAGGACCCGTCAAGATACGCCGCTGGACGAAAAGGCGAACCTAATACTCTTGGGAATCCAACATCCGAATATAGTGGCGATTCGAGAAGTATTTCACGAAGGTGACCGGATGATTTATGTCATGGAACTTATGGGAGGGAACTCGCTGTTCAACCTCCTCACGTCAAAGCAGATGTTAGCGGAGACGGAAGGTCGCACGATATTTCGACAAGTTTTCAGTGCTATCCAATTTCTTGTAGGATGGACAATGACCCCCTCTGCGTATCCTATTGCTAAAGATCGCAGCATTCACGCAATATCGTGCATCGAGACATCAAACCCGAAAGTATCCTCATGGCTAGTACGACCGGTCTTCAGGCAAAACTTGGCTGCTTCAACTTTGCCACGTATATGTCTCCTGGCAGTAACCTCGAGACGTTATGCGGAGACCCGAGATTCCTAGCTCCCGAGATGCTTCGAGATTCGAAGCATCGGCGCTACGGCAACGCAGTGGACATATGGTCCATGGGAGTCACTATGTACATTTGCCTCTGTGGCTTCGCCCCGTTCTCTGACGAACTTTACTCAAAAGATTTTCCCTATACATTGGAACGGCAAATTGAGGAAAGCAAATTTTACTATCCGTCACCGTATTGGGACTCAGCCAGCGACCCAGTCCGTAGGTCATCTGAGCCTCCTTGTGTCAGATTACCTACTCACACTGACAGTTGATCTAATTGATTGTATGCTTTGCGTTGACGCGAAGAAAAGACTCACAATAGAACAATGCTTGGCGCATCCTTGGCTTGTGTCCGACGATGATTCCTTTGCTTTCGAGACACCCCTCGAACATTTCGCCGATTCCAAGCTTCGACCCCCTCCGGCGCCCCTGCTGAGAAACATCTCGATCCCCGACAGGTCACTGGAACCAAAATTTATGGAGATGGCAGCAGAGTTTAAGGAGATAGCAGCAGAGTTCCTGGAGAATCATCGCCCCAGAAAGGGGCTCTCTATTCGTGAGGCTTCGGACGCGTTCGCTGAGAACAACAGGATTTCGGGTATCAATACAGAATACGACGAGAACATTTACACAATCGCCATTGACAAGAACCACCCCCAGTACCGGAAGCGGTTGGCTACTGCGGAAAAGAAGGCCAGAGAAATTGAGCGCGCTGCGCATACCGCCGTCCAAGTTGCCGAAGAGACGCATGCTGAATCATCCGCAAAACTAGATGAGCTGCCCGAAGAGGTTCAGGATGACTTGATATTCAATGATATGGGTGTTCAGGGCTCCAGTTGGACTTTCACGGAAGGGGAAACAACCTCCGAGCACGAGATACCGTTGAAGATTGATGGGCACCCCGTTGTCATCCCAATTCGCTATTACTATCCCCTGATGGCCATCTCGTCGCCACCACCAGATCCACATCCCCGGATCATTTCACCTCTTGACCCGCTGCCAGACGACACGATTTCAGAGATATTCGTGACCTTCACAGAAGCTGTCGGATTCTATCTCCTGGTCAATGGTTATCTGCAAATCATTGTCCCCGAAGACTTTGACTACGAGAGCAGCATTTCAAGCCTGCCGGATGAGTTTGGTGGTCTGAAAGTTAGCTTCATTCCTCAATCTCTCTATCCAACTGCAGGTGAGCCGGTGGCAACGGCAACACCCTCTTCCACTACACAGTCTGGTTCCGGCATGACCGGTGGAAGTTCAACAACAGCGACAGAAGAACCGTCAAATCAACCTCCAGCAACGAGAAACCTGCCAATCAGAAGATCAACGTCAACGATCCCGGAAGATACCGCTAATCAGGGGATAACTGCCAATTTCAAGGGTTCCCTAGGCAGTACTATTCGAGCTGTGGTGAAGGGCGGCAAATCTAAGACTCTGTTCGAGGGAAAGATCGGTGTTTTGGTTACTCCAGTCGCAGGCGATAACAGGAAATTCGCGACCGTACCGACGCATGTCTTTACAAGTGCATGCAACGTCTCAAAGATGAGCTCGACGGAAATCGCAGACTGGATTGACATGGTGAGCGTTCAATCTACAAGTACCTCGACCGATGTAAGTATGATCAGGCTACACGATATTTTATCATATCCGTTGCGCTTAGTTAACTCGTCTTTACAGTTAGGAAATTTAGTGCAGGTTTTTGATCCTTGCCCTCAATCCTTTCCCATCGGATTTACCTCCGATGTTAGCCTTATCGATGTTAGCCAGATTCCAGCTACACGGGTTCGCTCCACCGCAAAGGGTGGACTTCCAATAATGCAGTGGTTGGATCAAGATAGCTGGAAGACGATCCAATACAACTCCAGCAACCTATTTCTCCTAGATGGCGAGCCTAGAGAGGCAAAAAGCATCGGTATTGTAGACAGTCGTTGCCAGGTAAGAAACTATTTGAGGCGGTTCTTCGCCTCCCCTTGGTTTTGTATAGGCATTCTTTTACAGCGTTCTTGCTAACTGAGCCGTTTGAGATCGTCGGCCAAGGCATATTCCTTAACCACCAAAATGCAAAACGTCGCTCGATTTTCAGTACTTGGTCCAGACCCTCAACAGATCCTAAGGATGATGTTAAGACCTGGGTAAGGTTGGTGGCCAAGTCAATATTGTACCGCGTACGCCAGAATTTGCATGTCAGAGGCGGTGAGAGTGGCACCCCAGTTTGTGTCCTAGACAGTGGTGAGGAGAATAATGTTGCACCAATTGCCAAGGTGGCTGGATTTGCATCGTTTGTGCAAAGGGTGTCGGATGTGCAGAGATATGACCTAGAAGGAGATAAACTGTACAAAAGGTTGGAGGAGGGAAGGGTGGCGTTTTATGGTGCTTTCCAGGTTCCAAAGGAGTTACAAGATGAGTATCGTATTATCTGAATATTGCCACTGGGGGTGGAATAATGTTCTTCACCATTATCACTAGAACTCATAAAAGAACTACACTGCATTTTTCTGAACAGTAAACTAGCGAGCTCAAATCGCAAGTATCCATTAGGGCTTCTTAGGCTATTCCGGTTTCAGGAAATACCCGAAATAAATCAGGATATCCTGAATCTCACTGGCTTTCGACTTCTTAACCACCAACGTCCAGTCATCACCTTTGAGTTCAAACTTCATCCCCGAGAGGTTAAACACCGTCTTGCCGCCAAGCGGCGTTCTTCCAAAGGAAGGAGTTTCACCCAACGCCTTGATGGTAACTTGGTCCTTCAGAGCCTTGTCCGCCTCCAAATTTCCACTGACAACAACTGACAGACTCTCGACCATGACAGTCTTTCCGCGGGCCCAGAGCGGCAGTCGGGAGATCAAAGCGTCCTTTAGTTCTATCGACCCCGTGGATTCGGTCCCAGGCTGATTGAGAGCTCCACGGAGCGGATACCATTCATTGGAGAGCTCATTCTTCACATCCAAAAGCCCCCACAGCCCCTCAGATGCACCGAGCTGCTCCGCCTGGGACCGTATGGAAGATGACGCGAGAGTTGCAGCACGCTTCAACATGGGGCCACCATCCACCGCTGTGTATCTGAGCTGTAGAACCACGTCCGAAATGGAGTTGTAGTCGAACTGGCGGACGGCGAGTGGCGGTAGCTCGAGCTTCCACGAGCTGATGGCACCGGCTCCCTCGAAAGGCTGGAACTTTTGCGAATCCTCGCGGAAACTGAGCTCGAACGTGCCGCTGTCTTGCATCCCTGAGCTGATGGCAATTTGGGAAATGGGCACTGAATCGTTGCGGAAGTCTCCATTGGACATGGAGCCCTGGAGGTATCTCTCTGCATCTGACGCGGCGGCGTTGACACGATAGCGATGCTCCGTGAGTGACAGTGTAGCCGCCAGGGTCGTATACGGACCGATGACGCATGGAATAGACACGCTGACAGACCGAAGTCGCCGCATGTAGTGGCCGGGGAAGTCAAAGTCAAAGAGCATCTCGGGAAGAGTAAAGGTGGTCGATCCCATCTCTCGTAGAGTGATGAGAGCCAACGGGTCCAGCTGGCGCAGCGACACAGTTTTGGTGAGCTCAAAGTCGTACGAGGGCTTCAGCAGGTAAGCAGACTCCAGCTGTCGCAAACTCATCTGTAGCTGCTGCGCGGCGAGCAATCCATCATGTCCGCTGTCCCAATATCCTCCGGGACGGAGACCGACAAGTGGCGAAGGCCCCTTTTCAAACCGGAAAGCCCTCTCTGCTCGGCGGCACAGATCCGCAGTCAAGTTGTACAAGTCGTAATGCATGGCGCGCAGTGAGTTTTCCATCCGTGTGTAGAGCTTCTCACTTGTGTACTTGGACCGGTACCAAAGTTCAGTCTCGACGGCGTTGCTGATGTCCATGGTTTGGATCTCCACCTCCTTTGCGTGAATGTCGAGTCGTTTCTTGTGAATCTCTATTTGCTTGTCGATCGCCTTGATTTCCTGACCCTTCAGATTGGCTTGCATTCGCCGCTCCTGAAGTTGCCGAGTCAAATTGCCGTAGCGAGCAGCCTGCGAGCCAACCTCGGATGCAATAATGGACAGAATCTTAATGGTCTTCATCGCTCCGGAGACAGCCTCAGCTACGTTGCCCGCGTCGGCTTTGACCGATACACCACAGCCCATGGTTTGCATATTGGCGGTGACGTTAGGAATCGCACGCAACTGATGCGCTTGGTAATGTTTCCCAGGCTGTCAACGACTATAGGCTTTCACAGCCCACTCTAGTCACAGACGCCAATGGAAACCGAACTGGGCTGGGCTTCAACGCAATCGGTGACAGGACGGCTATTTCGAGGATGGGGAAGGAGGGAGAGAATGTTGGAGACACGCTGGACTCAGACGTCCCCATGGTTGTTTCGTCTGAGACAATAATGGCCTTTATGAAACGTCCAAGCAAAGAATCTGCGGCCAGGCTTCTTGGAGGTTGGAGCACGCGTTCGATTTCGTGGCACCGAACTTTTGGCGATGGTGATCGTCAACTCCCACCGTTCCAAATCGAGCTGGTACGTGTTGAACATGTCCATCAAGATGTGGAAGAGTCTGTCCCGGCAGACATCGCTGTGAAATTCACCTACTTCGGAGTCAACGGGAACGTCATCCAGACATTTACAATCGACTCTTGGGATGGGGAACAGCCACAATGGTGCATTGGCGACTGCAGCGTCTACGACATGGACGGTAATGTTGTCAAGTCCTACCACCCGTTCTTCAGCTCGGATCATATCTACAAACCACATCTCGAGATTGAAGCTCCGGCCCTAATCAGCTTTGTTGATGCTCTGGGTCGCCAGGTTGGGATTCTCAACCCAGACCATACGTGGTCCAAGACGGCTTTCACAGCATGGTCCAAAGCAGAGTCGCATGCTGGGCACACTCTTTCCACTGTCGATCCAGCGACGGATTTGGATGTTGGAGTGTACTTTTGCTCCCTCAATACAGACACCTTTCTTCCGTCGTGGATGGAGATAAAGCGCCGCGGAGATCAACAAGACCAAGTGGCGGTGGCCAGGTCTGCCGATATCGCTGGTGGAGGTCCCATCGTATCTCACTTCGACTCTCAGCAAAGGGAGATTCTCCGCGTTGAGACTCTCAACGGTAAGACGAGGACACATAGATCTGTGTACAACTACAGCGGGCAAATAGTCCATGAAATTGATACCATGGGGCGCTTGGTACAGAAGAGCCAATACGATCGGCTGGGTCGCCTCATCGCTCTTGAGAACATGGACGCAGGAGGAGAGTTCAGCGTGTACGACTGTCTCGGTCAGCCAGTGCTTCTCTGTGACAGCCGCGGGGTGTCAAAACTCATGAAGTATGATGAATTACAGAGGCCGGTCCAAATACGTGTGCGGCCAGGAGCCGGCGAGAGCGAGTAATTGTGGTCCGAGACGAAGTATGGAGAGGGGGAAGCGGAAGCCGAGAGTGGTAATCTTCGTGGAAGGGCTATTCGTGTTCGTGATCAAGCTGGCTCTCGAGGGACTGGGCGTTATGACTTCAAGGGAAACCCTCTCTCGACGACAACACAGCTGGCCGCAGAGTACAAGACGACAATCGACTGGTCCAAAGATGTTGAGTTGGAGCCGACTGTTTACGCGTCAAGGGCTTCATATGATGCATGGATAGAGTCCGCCTATCTACAGACGCGTTAGGCAGACAAACCCACCGGACCTATGACACTTCCGGAGGGTTGGTTGGATTGAAATCAAGGATTTCGGAAGACAAAAGCTGGACAGCACACGTCATCGAAACTACCTACACCGCAGATGGACTCCCCAGCATGATCAAACATGGCAACAACTCCACCACAAGATATACGTACGACCTCAACACGCGCTGCATTCTTGAAAAGAAGACGCAACGTGGTGACGGGACTATACTGGAAGACCATTCGTATACTTATGACATCCTCAACCGTGTTGTAAGTACGACCGACAGCGCTCAACAGACAGTCTTCTTCAGAAACAATCGCATCACGCCCACCAAAGAGTCCTGGTACGATGGTTGGGGGCGACTGGTCAAAGCAGCGGGTAGGGAAATGCTCTCTGGAAACGGAATCAGTTCGAGCTTAAAGGCAAGCAAACCCGGAAACCCGCTCGCAAAGATGGGATTGTCTGCCGCCAATGGCCAACAGTTGGTTGCATACACCGAGACGTATGAGTACGATGACGCAGATAACATCCTGGCCATGCAACACCAAGTCTCGGATGAATCTACAGCTGGATGGCGTCGCACTTACACGTATGAGGAGCCGAGCTTGATTGACCCGAATACCACGGGGAACCGACTCAGCAGCACGAAAATGTCCGGCTGCGAGGAGAAGTACGGCTACGACGGACCGAAGCTTGAAGACGGCATGAATGGTGCCGGAGTTGTCGGTTGCATAACGTCAATGCCAGGCTTCAGTCGACTGGACTGGGACTGCAACAGGAAGCTCAGGTCAACTGCCCGCCAATCGGCCAAACACGGTGTTCCAGAAACAACTTGGTTCGTTTACGATAGTGATGGGAATCGGGTGCGCAAGGTTACAGAGCGAGCTACATTGACGACTGGTGGATCCAACACCAAGTTAAAACAGAAGCTCTTTCTGGACGGGGCGGAGATATTCCAGAGATATGGCGGAGACGGAATCAGTGTCCAGTCTACGACTATCACCTCTCGGATCAATGGTTCCGCCAGCGGAGACGCCCCTCTGGTTATGATTGAGACGGAAGCCAACAAGCAAGACGCGCCAGAGCTGATACGCTACAGCCTGAGCCTCAGCCTTGAGGTTGACGACCAGGCCCGTGTCGTCTCATACGAAGAGTACTCGCCCTTCGGGACGTCAACTCTCGCAGCATGTCGAAGTGGAATCGAAGCTCCGAGCAGCTATCGATTTGCTTCATACCGCCGCGATTCTGAGACGGGCTTCTACCACTGCGGCGCGCGCTACTCCCTGCCGCAACTGGGACGGTGGGCGTCTCCAGACCCTCTCAACACCGTCGACGGGCCTAATACGTACTGCTACTGCGCCAACGATCCAGTCAACTGGGTTGATCCTGAGGGCACGATGTATCACCTGAGTACCGGGATAAAAATGCGCCGAATGGAAGACAAGGCATTTTATAACCGAAGTGGTATAACAATGAACAGACTGCAAAGGAATACCAGAAATGCCGGCCCAGAGCTCCAGTATGTGTTGACGGTCCCTACTATTCACCCTCGATTCTATGCTGACTTCCCGTGTTAGGAATCCTCCAGTCGGCCAACGCGCACAGAATTTCATGAACGAGGCCGCTCAGCCTTCGAAAATTCTCCAACCTCCTCTTGAAAAGATACCAGATAAGACCGATGAGACAAAAGTGGACCAGCCGCTCGTGAGAGTCATCAGCAAGAAGCAATCCGAACTTGGCAAGTATTTTTTCAAGCAGATTAATGCAACCGAGATGCTCTTTTATCGCTACATGCCACTCGATGAAAATGGAAAGCCAACGGCACAGCCTTGGAGCGCGGATACATTCGGTCAATTTGATCAACTAGATGGATATTTCGATGTTAACACCAAATGGGACGACACTACTGAGATGTTCATCATCGCCGCCGAAAGTATCTACTCGAAGATGATTGAACTCGGAGGTCGAGATGCCGCTGCAGCCACAATCCTAGACTCGGGCAAGAGATTGGACGATGTGGGAGCAAGGACAACGAAGTCAAACTGGCTCATTCGTGTAAATGCCATCCTAGCCCTGGGCGATAAAGTCTTTGACGCCTTGGAGGGAGACAGGGGCAACCTGGTCCATCCTAAGGATGTTGCAGAACCCACCCAACCTGGAAAGAAAGTACCATTAGAGCCCGAGCATTTACTGTAACAGAATAATTCAGGCCCTTGAACAGCGCGTGGCAGCGGCATGATGATAAACAAATGTTCATTTTGCCGCACTTGAGTGTCAGCATTGATCAAGCCGTGAAGGCGAGTCGGCGGGTAAATATTGGTAGCGTTTCTCCGAGTTCCTGCAATACATCATCTACCGACGAATATGAATGGATTCCTAACCAGTTTCATTCAAAGGGAGAAGATTTTCGACCATCAATTCGTGTCAGTGTACGGATAAGCAGTGCCTAGGTTCATTGTCTGCCTGCCTTTACGTTGCTCTTGAATGAATTTTTGCTTGGCCATGTCATACGCGCACCACGATAATTTGGTCTGCCAATCCTGTTTTTAGGCTTTCAGCTCATGTGCAATTCCTTCTACATGCGAGGCGTGGCATGGGACTTACAAAGAACATTGTGAAGATTGCACTACATTGATGCATATTTAATTGAACAGGATCCTGTTCTTCGTCACGGTGCCATGGTGTCCGGTCAATGATCTGAGAACGAAGCCAAGTCTCATCGGGTAAATCGGAATAAAATCTTGCGTCCTTTCTATCAGCCGACTTTCGTCAACACCGGCGTGGCGGGATTGGGTAGATGACATTTCAGAGGTGATTACGAAGGTTACTCCCCGTCCGAAATCCATGACTTACTTGGGCGTTCGGGACCGAATTTGGAGAGTAAAAATATAGAAAGAAAGCTTGGTGGAGCTAGTTAAAGCCTCAATTTCTCAGTGCCAGATGCTCTCGGACAATGCATTCATTAATATTGGCGCAAAGTCTGCGGCAGTAATTCCTAGGGAAATGATGCCCGCCTACCGTAATGGATTGGGATTTTTAACAAGCGAGGGACACTTTCAGCACGTTCTATCCCACATAGATCGCGGCTACACATACACAGGATACAATCTGTAAAAATAGCAGAATTTGGAAGGTATTTCTATTAATTCGCTACTGCAGTACCACCGCGAGGTGACATCGATAAACAACAAAGAGCGGGGTCATACCAGGCAACGATATTCCACATCACACCACTATTCACAAGATCGCTTTCTTTCCAAATTCCACACCCAGCTCATATATCTTCTTGTACACAATCACTAGCTGCGAATTTTCTTTCGTTTGTGCAATCCGTTTCTGCCGCTGGATTCGAAGCAAACGCGTTCCGAACGACACCACGCCCACCCGCATTGAAGGCCCAAAATGTCAACCTCTGCTACTGCGGCGACCGTCTTCAGACTTGTCTTCAACGTCCCTGAGTCGCACGTTGCAGCCTGCAAGGCGGCTATCTTTGCGGCTGGTGCAGGTCGCTATCCTAAAGGAACCTATACTGAATGTTGCTGGACCACCCTGGGGACCGGCCAGTTCCGGCCAGGCGATGCAGCCAATCCAACTATTGGAGTAGTGGGCGAGTTGGAGTATGTTCCCGAGGTGCGGGTTGAAGCTCCATGTGTTGGGAGAGAGGTTGCCAAAAAGGCAGTTGAGGCACTGAAGAGGTAGGTTTGTGTTTTATTCACTTGTTATCAGAACGTCAGTTCACGGTATCATATGCATCGTGCGTCGGAAGACTCTCAGCTAATAGCTTTCAGTGCTCACCCCTACGAAGAGCCTTCATATCAGGTGTACAAGGTGGAAGACTTTTAAGCTGGCAAATAAGGTGGATTTTATGAGTTATAAATGTGGATCTGTTGTGGTAACTGCTGTATCTGTATCTAGACAACAGATTCTTCTCGTCCCCAGTCACCAAATCCTCAGTTGGTATTGAGTAAACCTAAGCAACTGCCACGTTCTCCTCTGATTTCTTTCCCTCGTAGTCAGGAAGCTTTTTGAAAGGAATCACCAAGGCTATAATGACAGTCAATACGGAGCCAGCCAGAGAAAATGCAAAGACGCTTTTAATGCCAACCATATAGGCATCGAGCACAGCAGCTAGATCTCCACCTTCGAAGACATGCTGAATTTCCGATGCACCAGTATTAATAACCTTGACAGTGTCGATGTTCGGCGCAGTTGTTGAGAGGGTTTGCAGCATGCGGTTGGCAAAGAGCGACTGCGCCACGGTAATGAAGTAGGCGCCACTGATGGATTGACACACTGGCCTTGAGTTAGGCATAGTCCACAGGTAGGGGTATATAAATTGTCATGAAACACTCACTCAGCATGATACCAGTGGAATTTGCCACATTTTCGGGCGTGGAAAAACCCTGCACTGCGGTCATCGGGATCTGATTCCCGAGACCCAGACCAAACCCAAAGAGAACCTGAGGACCGATGTACCGAGCTTGAGAGGAGTCTACATCCATGGTATAAAGCAGAGTCGCGCCGGCTGTCATCAGGTGTGCACTGAGCAGCTGGTAGGGCTGCAAGTGGCGTGTCTTCCCAATGGCCGCTCCACTAACTATAGCTCCCAAAGCGAAGAATGCCAGGAACGGAATGCTGTTGACACCGCTCATAATGGCGGACTGGCCGTGTATCGACTGAAAGTAGATTGGAAGGTAGAATATGACCTGGAAATCAGCGCCATTTGAGCTTGACGTGAAACCATTAGCCACACGGTAGGCAACATAAACAATGCATAGCTGGGAACTTACATGTAAGAGTACAAGGCATTGGCCCAAGTCACACGCGGTTTCAGAAGCGTCAACGGAACCATGGCGCGCTCTCCCTGGAGCCACTCGACGGCGAAAAAGGCCATGGTCAAGGAAATGCAAAGGACCAAGGTGGCAATGACAGAGCCTTCGTCCCATGCCTTAGTCTGGCCGCCCCACTGGAGGGCCAAGGTCAAGCAAACAAGCGAGGCAAGCAATAAGCTGAAACCCGGGAGGTCAAGTTGTAAGATGATCTCTTTCAATGTAGCAGGGGAAGGCTTTATATGCTTCGGCACCTGCAAGAAGAGTAGCAACAGGGCGACGACGGGGCCTCCAAGTGGCAGGTTGATCCAGAAACACCATCGCCAGGATACTGCGCTCGTGAAAGCGCCGCCGATGACCGGCCCGAGAATCGTCGATATCATAAAGACGCCCATCCAGCTACCGATCAGCACAGGTCGTCTCTTAGGCTCTGCAACGTAGTTGATAACAAGGACAGAGCCGCTGAGAGTACCGGAGCCACCCAGGCCTTGAAAGGCTCGACCGACAATGACGGCCGTGCTATTCGGAGCCGCACCGCCTACAATGCTCCCGCCCAAATAGAATGCGACAGAGGCAAGGTAGGCAAACTTGACGTCGACGTACTTGTATAGCTTCCCCCACATTGGCGAGGAGGCACCGGCGAGGAGGAACGTGGCACTTCCGTACCATCCGACGTCGTCGAGGCGGTGGAACTCATCGGTGATGCCGGGAATTGCTGTGGCGATGATGCCAATCTCCAGGGCGGCGAGGAGCGTGCTCATGAAGATGGTGAACATGATGAGGAACAGCCGGAAGCCTGTGACGTACTCGGGCTCGCCATCGGCAGGCAAAGCTGGGACGCCATGTTGCTTGTCTTGAATGCTGTTGGCTAGAGAGTGCTTGTCGTCGATGGTTGACTCTGTACGATCACTCGCTTCCAATTCTTCTTTTTTGTTGCTCTCAATATCTGGAGTCTGGGCCGACATGTTTCTTCACTGTTCTGGGTTTCCGTATGTTTTCGGGTGAGGGTGAGGGTCTGTCAACGGATTGTAATAAAAAGCAAGACGAACTTATTTGTACCAAGGAAAAATCAAGGAATGGCCCATGGATCATCCAATATTAAAGAAAGTAAAATAACCAAGAAGGACCAAGACGCGTTTGTCAGCTGTAGTTTGGTTCATCATATCGAATGTCCTCAGACACGGTCGAATGGACTCAACCGGGGGTACATCTTGACTTGATGCTTATCTCTGGCCTTAGGAATGGATTCGACCGCCGCAACATCCTAGCAGCCTCGATGATGACAGGTTATTATTGGTTGATGGGCCCACACACGGACAAGCGTCCTTCAAATCCATGTCCAAGTCATTTTCGTCCGCCGTGTTTACGGTCGAATTTCGAATCGTCCGTTGCTTTGTCAGCTGGATGCCACCTCAAAAAGCTCTTGACTTCTTCCTCGACCGTATTGTGTCTGGGATTGTTCCGCCGTAGGCCTTGTTCCATTCAACCCACGCAATGTCTTCTCCGCGCGCAGTCTCGGCTCGCCAGCGCAAGCCTGCGGTCGAGGATACAGAGGCTCGCGCCCAATCCGAGACGAAGCGGAGGAAGATCCGGAAGGGAACCCACAGCTGCTGGGAGTGTAAGCGGCGGAAGATGAAGTGCATCTTTGACCCACTCGTGAATGGCTCCTGTAACGGCTGTCGGCGACGGGGATCCAAATGTGTCGGTGAGGAGTTTTCTGAGGAGGTCTCACCGCACTTGGACAAGACAGATCGCGTTATGAGGGTTGAAACTCTGGTTGATCAATTGATTCAGCAGACTGGGGGTAACGGTACAACTTCCGACAGACGAACACCCATGACGCCAAGCGAAGATGGTAGAAGAACGGACCCTGTCCTTCTCACTCCCGCCTCAATGGACTCGGAGTCACTGCCATTTCTAGCCTTCTATAAATCCTCCAATGTCCGTATTCGAGATTCCGGTATCCCGTGCTTATCACTGACGGCTTGGATAGGATCGCACAATCAAAACGGGAAGCCCTCCAGCTGATTCCGAACTGAACAATCCCCAATCTGCTGGCTTTGCTCAAGCCCCGCAAGGGAAATACGAGAAGCTGTCTCAGTTTCTGCATAAATCACTACCCTCGCGAGAGTATACGGAGAAGATCCTCAAAGCCAACCACCGCCATTCCGTTCTCGCCTATGAAATATTGTCAATTTCATACACTACCCTGGAGCAGACCGGCCTGAAAACGCCCGACACTCTGCTAGACATACCCGGACGGAATATCCATCCTGTTCTGATAGCGAGGTATATGCTCCAGCTAGCCATCTTCCTGCAGCATCTCAGCCCGGATCTCCACGAGGATATGGAAGGGTTATCGGAACCGCCGCGCGCAACCATGCAACGACTGGCAGATCTCGCCATCAGTCTTGTCACGACAAATGAAGACCTTCTTGGCAGTATCGAAGGCCTCGAGTGCGTCATGATCGAGAGCATGTATCAGGCGAATATCGGGAACCTCCGACGCAGTTGGGTAGCAGGTCGGAGAGCGATGGGTATTGCACAGCTAATGGGCCTCAACCGATCGGATCGCGCACAGTACAAGGTGCTTGATCCTAAGTCGAAGCATCGCCCGCAACACATGTGGTTCCGGATTCTCTTTTTAGACCACCACCTAAGTCTCATGTTAGGCCTTCCTCAGGGTTCCCTCGATCGCGGTGTAGCTTCAGATGCGATGCTTGCCAATGACACTCCTCTAGGACGCCTTGAGCGAATACACTGCGCTCTTGCTTCCCGGATCCTAGAGCGTAACGAATCCAACATCAGCTCCCATCACCTCACCGTAACGCGAACCCTCGACGTGGAGCTACAGAGAGCGGCCAGAAGCCTCCCCAGCAAGTGGTGGCTAGCACCAGACCTAGCAACGGCCTCGCTCGACTCGCAAGCTCTATTCTGGGAAATGCAGCGCCTCTTCGCGCAGGTTCTACACTATAACCTTTTGAACCAGCTCCATCTGCCTTATATGCTTCGCTCCTCGTCGACCGAGCGCAAATACGAGTACTCCCGCATTACTTGCGTGAATGCCTCGCGGGAAGTGCTGTCGCGATTCATCACACTGCGCAGTTTCAACCGAATCGCCTTCAGCTGTCGCATGGTCGACTTCCTGGCTCTCATGGCCGCCATGACGTTGCTGCTCGCCCACCTAGACAGTCACCGTTCTTCAGGAGCTGAGAACCTCCTGGCTCACCAGTATCTTAGCGATCGCGCCATGATCGAACAGGCGCAGGAAAATATGAAGGAGATTAATCGCCTCAACTCAGATGCGCTGAGTGCACAGAGCGCCGACCTGCTGCGTCGGCTGCTGGCCATCGAGATTGACACGGCGGATGACGATTCAAGTCAAGGCGGGAGAGTCAGTGTGCAGGAAGCAGGGGCCGAGACGACATTGCCAGGCCAGGATGACGATGGTATTGTGAGCGTACACATTCCTTACTTTGGCATTATCAAGATTGCTCGCGAGGGCGTGAGCAGGGAGGTTCCCAACGTCCACGTTACTGCAGCAACTAATCGCCAAACTCAGCCGCCGGTAGTGGGCAAGCCCGGTCCAAACAGCGCGGAAACATTGCGTGCAGAGCCTGCGGTGTGTCTCTCTGGGTTACCTGGACCCGGTGGAAGTGGAAATACTGAGGGAATGAGGCCCGTTATTCAGTGCTACAGCTATCTTGAGGCACCTTCAATCGTGTCGCCAAACGTGTCAGATACACACGAGGCTCTCGCGCAGGGAGCGGAGGCTTCAATCCCGTCCACTGACGTCATCGACGGTGCTTCACAATTCGGGCCGCAGCTCCAGAATGGCCTCTCTGAACTTCTCTTACAACATGGCGATTGTCCCGGATTGACTGCCGGAGGGGAAGACTGGGCCTTCCAGGGTGTTGACATGGCCTTCTTCGATAGCCTGATGAGGAGCACGGGAAGTGAGGGGAATAAAGGTGCCGAGTGGACAAGGTGACGCGAGTAAGCTTGAGCAGTAAGACATGAAGCAAAAACGGGCGAAGCGCAGCACAAAGGACCAGCCAAGAGATGGCGGTAAGAGCTGAAGACAGAGAATAAGCGGGAAGGGTGCGATGCAAGGGCGCAGTGTCTCAACAGCACACGCATTGTCAGAGTGAGATGAATGTTAGACTACAAGGCACGATGTCAGCCTGCTGTCTTACTACGAGGCGGTCAGGCTGTCGAAGACACAGCAGCCGACTCTTGGTCTCACAGCCCGTAGCAATGAGACAGACGAGCCCTTTACGAGAGTGGGAGTTGGGCGGCGAGATTTAAGAATTGCCGCATGAGGCTTGTCACGGTTCATGCGAGACATTCGTTCTCGCGGGGCTTTCTCAGGTCGCCGAGATGGGCCGTAGTGCAAGGGAGAACGAGTACATCTGTCCCTTCAATGCAACCCACTCCCCAAAGCATCCAAATGGGATCTAACAGCCGAGGAGGCGTTGCCTAGGCTGCGGTCAGATGATCCGTCAGATGGCCGGTCAGAATACAGCCGACATGGCGCCATACTGCGCAGCAGCAATGTTTCTCGTTTTTACTTTTCCCATCCTTTTGGCTTTCGTCCCGACCTGCGCCGAGACACTCCAAGAGATGATCTGATCATCATGATTGGCTGCACCGGTCCGGCCGGGAAAATGGCTCTCCAGATGGGGGCTAGTCATACGAGGTGGCTTTCGTTGCTGCGTCAACGTGATGCTGGGAATACGAGGATGTGTGTCTACACGCCGTATATAAAACTCCCCCTCGGTGCGAGTGGCTGATTGACTGTCGTATCACCCATCTCTATTGCTGCAATTAATTCGCTACTGCAACCTTTGTCCATTATGTTCCCCAGTACCCTCTCGACGGCTGTTTTGGCCCTTGCCCCCATCTTGGTGTCGGCGCAGACATACACAGCATGCAACCCGCTTCTCACAAGTACGACGCTCCCCTCCACGTTGCAGCCGCAATTGAAGTCACACTGAAGAATTGTAATACTGACCAAGCACCATTAATAGGCTGCCCCGCGGACCCAGCTTTCGGTAAGGATACAGTACACTGCGACTTCACTAAAGGACCATGCAGCGAATTCAGCCCCCTCGCGGGTACGACACTCGAGTACACCCCCAACGGTGCTGCGTTTACCATTGCGACCCTCGGCCAAGCGCCGACGGTTGCGACTGGCAAATACATTCTGTTTGGTCGCGTGGACATCGAAGTACAGGCCGCCGCCGGCCAAGGAATCATTACGAGCGCAGTTCTGCAGTCGGATGATCTGGACGAGGTATGTGGCCATTTGTATCTTGTACGCCTGAAGCAACATAGCTAACGTTTCACGCCAGATTGACTGGGAGTGGATTGGAGGCGACAATACGCAGGTGCAGTCTAACTACTTCAGCAAAGGCGACACCACGACCTACGACCGGGGTCAATTCCACCCCGTGGAGAACCCTGTCGGCTCTTTCCACGTCTACTCCATCGAGTGGACATCCAAGGCTGTCAACTGGATCATCGGAGACCAGGTTGTTCGCACCTTGACCTACGATGAGGCCAAAGGCGGTACTGCATTCCCCCAGACTCCAATGCAAATCAAGCTTGGCACGTGGGTGGGCGGCAGCCCGTCTGCCGCTCCTGGAACAGTCATCTGGGCTGGAGGTCTTACCGACTTCTCCCAGGGTCCGTTCACCGGCTATTACAAGAGCATCTCCGTGGTTGACTACGCTGGTAGTGACTATCCCACTACCAAGAGTGTTACGCAGTACATCTACGGCGACCGCTCTGGTACCTACCAGAGTATTCAACTTGTCTAAGATGAATGTTAGTACATCTAGACTTTACGGTTTTATTTTGTTTTGGCTACTACAGGGCTGCATGGATGGGGAATTTTTACGACACTGGGAATTACATGGTATGAGGGCAATGATTTGGGTTTGGATGTAATAAGGAAATGTTTATGATTAAAAGAGAATTAATGCACCACTTCAACGAAAAGAATATTAAAGAGGGGGAATCAGTCGATATCGTGCGGTCCCTAGCAACCAAGCATCATGGACTTTTTTCTGAACTTAATACTTCCCCTTGCCTCTACTTTCGTGACTATTTTGAAGAGCTATCCGAAAGCCTTCACTCGTTCGCTTTACCTCTGGTGGGCGAAAAGCACCCATCCGCACGGGATAGTGTAGGGTAAATTAATGCTTACCCGAAGAAGCTCTAATTGGTTCCCCATTCTCAAGCTGAAGGGTCGAACATTCTAGACGCCACGATGTTACAGAGATGCCTGAGAATATTGGAGACGCGGGGTACAAGGGCAACAATGGGAGCCCTGGAACAAGGTTATAAAGAGACGAGCTTACGGGAGATCAGGTGTGCAGCAAGTCACGTATCACTGGGCGAAAGAATCTTCTGAAACGGTGATGCAAATCCGAGTTTCATCTCCTGCGATGCCTCGTATCGCTCTGTCAATCAAACTGCCAAGCGCACATGCCATTGACCATATAACGGTCCATATTACCAGACAAATTAAAGTTTGCAAAAGTACAATATATGCGTAATTCGATTTATAAGATCTTCATCCCTTGGCAGCTGCTCTGCTTCGAATCTCGTCTCGTTCGACACACGAAGTGAAGCAGATCTGGGGTTTAGCGCCAATCTTGCAGGGTTGGTAGGGGTGTTTTGTGGACCTTTTCCAGGGGATTTTGTGTTATTTTACGATTCTAGAATAAAGACCCTGTAAGCGACGAATGTAACATTGCAAAACAACCCGTAGTGCAACCCGTTTGGAAGCTGAGACAAGCTGGGCGACAGATGAACTGGAGCCGTCAATCATCGCGACCGAACTTCAACAGTATAAATATCGGACACTCCTCTACCCTTTAATCCATTCTTCTTATACAATACATCCCCATTACCAATCTTCCTTCCATTCTACGAATAATTCTTTTTTATACATCTGCTGTGCGGATTTCCAGATTCTTTAACATCACAATGAAGTTCTCCCCTATTGTCTTTATTAGCCTCGCTACCGGCGTCTTCGCCCAGAATGGGTAAGTTGCGGTACCCTTTTACAGTTTCCCCTGTTGCGCAGCGGATTGCAATTCTATGCTCAGCTCCCTTTCACTGGCGCCTCGCCTGAGCTCCCGTACTAATACGACAACGTAACAGCTGCGGTTTCCCTGACGGACCCGACTGTGTGTCCCTCGGCACTGGCGCCAATGGACTGGAGCAATTCGCCGATGACGGCTGCTGTCTGTTGCCCATTCGCTGTGGTAATGGCGACGGCGGCGAGAGGTGTGAGCGCGTGAGCACTGGGACCGCGAACAACAATAACAACAATGCAAACAACAATGCCAACAACAACGCCAACAACAACAATGCCAACACTGGCAATACCAATAACTTCAACTTTGGTGGCCGACGCGCAAAGAAGCTCAGGATTTAGATGTCACATGAGATAGTGGCAGCTGATGTGAGCAGTTAGCAAAGAAATAACGAAAGTGGCTGCGGAGATGGTGGAAACCCACTGTGGTCACGGTGGAAAATGTATCTGCTGGTTCATACTCTAGCTATGCACACTTGCCTTTGTCAACATTTCATGAGAAGTTGCAATATGTGAATATCTCACGGGGGCTTGATAGCGGTCATAACTAGCATGCATGATTTTGGGTTGGAAACACAAGTAGCGACATTATATGACAATCGAACAATTCACGACTCCACGAGAAGTAATATTCCGTCCCGGGACCCACCATCTGGTAGTAACGAGAACCACAGTGTCTTATTTAGTAAACACTCCACATTAAGAAACAATTCTTATGAACTAATCTACTACAACTCCAGAATAAGAATGATGACTAGGGCAGACTAATCGACAGCCAATAGATTGACAACGCACCTGCAATGCTATGCTGGGTGAGACGGACTACAAAGATACCTGAAAGTCTGGCTGGCGGAGAGGCCGAAAACATCAAGAGCCAGCAGACTGTCTCCCATGCCAGACTCACAACGGCTTCTGAGCTGTGACAATGTGGAATGGTATGTATCCGTGCTGGTTGCTGGTCATCAAGGTTTTTCGTACCCCGACCAGGTAGAGCTCTACCTCCTCCGGCGTCCACTTCAAACCCCGTGTCAAAGGTCCCATTGCAATACCGTGAAGGCCGTCGTAAATTACGCTCCTGTTGTACAGTCCGATCGTCTTCATCCTTGGGTCCCTCGGCCACACGCCCAGCGGCACCTTCAATACCTTTTCCTCAACATTGACGAACCCGGCGTCTTCAACGTTTTGCTTGTTCTTTCGCATTCCCAGCAAGTCGACGTTGAACGCCGCCAGTCCCTTTTTGATGTTGTCGAGGAAGTTGAGGACTTTATTATTGTCCTGCACCGTGCCGTCGTCGCATTCTAGAACGAACCGCAATTCTTGGAGTTCGATCCAGCCACCTGGTTTAAGCACCCTATAGTCCAGTCACGTTATTGAGGGTCCTTTCACCACGCTTGTTTTCCTCATATGTAGCCACTCGTGCAAGGAATCAACTTACCTGTATGCCTGTGACACCAACTTTGGCCAATCACGAATAGAAGACGTCATGTGTCGAATATGAATGTAATCAAAGGTCTCTGGAGGGTGAAGCCACTCTGCCTCGGCATCGTCAACCAAGAAACGAACGTTAGGCGGCACCCACGAGGGCTGAATGGGGCTTAAATCGATTCCTAGCACCTCTGCCTCTGGGTATAGGTCTCCCACTACGAGTAGAAAGTTAGCATGTGTCTACACCTTCCAGGCAAGCCTAGTTCGCCTTCAGGAAGAAGTGGACAAGTCGCTCACTATCAACAGCCCAAATGCCCGTGCCGGTTCCAATGTCAAGAACCTGCTGCGGATTCTTGAGCGGCGCAAAATGAAGCTTCTTGTTGCACAGATTTATAATCATGGCATGCTTCATGTTCTCGCGCTCCTGCTCCGGCTCATCGTTGGGGAACTGATATCGTCCCTCCTGAAACGAGTGATAGCGCCGGCTGTTCTCGAAGGCGTAGTCGCGCACGCTGCTGGAGATGGATGTCGAGGCGCGAGAATCTGCGTCTGTGTCATATCCGGCATCACTGGAGGTCTCGCCAACAGGGTCAGTGTCGGGCTCAATAGTGTCGGCTACGAATGTCGTTGTTGGATTCTCTCCCGCTCTTGGAGATGTTGATGTTGGCTTTGGCGGAGACTTGGGCGAGGATCCTCTGGGCGACACATCGCTAGCGGGCTTGGCAGCCGGTGAAGGGGTGTCTTCTGCCATTATCGGTACTTAACGTCTCCAGCTGGAGTCCGGTCCGTGATAAGTTCCTAGTCGGACAGATCATAACTTAGCTGGGTTAAGAAAATATCTCAACTGAGGGGCGTGATCCATATTGTGGGGCGATAGAGGGCCAATCTAACGGTTGGTGGAATTAGTCCGACGTGTGGAGTCTTGTCTTTGCTGGCTGATTTGGTAGAATGAATGTCGTTTACGCGATATAAATGTACAGCTACAACATTCCAAATCGCGGATTGACTAACCACACAACTAAGTACTATTATCACTTTTCAGACAATCCACTGCCAATAGTTATGTCCGGGCTCTTCCCCAGCGATACGCTCCCTAGTATTAGTGGTGTGAAACAGGATAGTAATTCTTAAACGCCCAGGGTTATCGGATCATGGTTGCGCCATTTAGAAAGTGAGGGGTAATAGAGGCAAGGATTAAATGTGCTCTCAACTGTTTTGTAGATCACGACTTTCTGTTGCTACAAGAACTCAATTCCTCCATCGTAGGGAATACATGTGCAACTATCTGACGAGCCTGCTAGAGTCTCCATTGCGAATCGTTAGCCCCCTCAGCTGAAACGACGATGTCCTCTACCAATGTCCCAACCACGGCTCCAGCTCCCGCTGCTACGCCCATCACAACACTGACGCATCAGCCTGAGCTAGTTGCCGCACTGGACCCAGAGGTGGGAGTTCATGTGCAAATGTCTAATAATACCCGAAGGCCAACTAAATCCCATTCTCTAATAGGACGAGAAAGACCAATCCGATGGCTCTTCGGCCGTGGGCGACGATTTGTACGATGAACGCTCGACGAGTCAATTTATCGTGCCAAAGTTAACTCACTCAATAGCGCAAGCTCAACCGCCTCTATCACAAGCAGTATTCTCGAGTATCGCACCATTCAAGGACGGACATACCACAGTGACCGACACCCAACCGAGTACTTTACTCCCAACGATGAGAAACAGCGTGACTCGGTTGATATTAGGTGAGTTTGTGCTTAGCGGAATCGCCCGTCATGTCTTACTGACCCGCCTATCAGCCACCACTCTCTCACGTTGCTCATTGGCGGCAAGCTCTTTCTTGCGCCTATTGACCAGAATGTTCGGGTGGGTTAGCATCACTACAGTATTCTATCAGTTCTGACGCCCAATTGTACAGAAAGTCTTAGATGTCGGCACTGGAACAGGTAGAAGTTTCGTTCTTGCTTGCTGAATAATTGCTGATCTAGATTTCTCAACAGGAATTTGGGCAATGTACAAACCCCCTTCCCTGCTTCTCTCGAAAGGAATTATTTTCTATTGTGATCTGACCACTTATAATCCTGTGCTAGTGATTTTGCAGATGAATTTCCACAGGCCGAAGTCATCGGTTCTGATCTATCACCTATTCAGTCCGCATGGGTTCCCCCGAATGTCAAGTTTGAGATAGACGACGCAACCCTCCCTTGGTCTTGGGCAGACAATAGTTTCGATTTTATCCACATTCGTTACCTTTTCGGCGCCATCCGCGATTGGAGTGCCCTCTTCAAACAGGCTTACCGCTGTTGCGCTCCAGGAGGTTGGGTTCAGTCATGCGAGGCCGACGTCGAGATCCGAAGCGATGACGGTACTACGGATGATGTTCCTGTCTTGAAGACTTGGGCAAGAATCTATGCAGAAGGCGGGCAGAAGTTGGGAACCCCGTTCTATGTCCAAAGACAAGGATTGCAGGAGAAGGGTTTTCAAGAGGCTGGGTTCACAGATATTACAAGTGTGGACTATAAGGCATGTCCTTCTACATCATGCTACAAAACCTTCAGAGTACTCATTGCTAATATGATGCACTCAGCTTCCGGTAAGCGCGTGGCCCAAGGATCCTAATCTCGCCGAGGTTGGCCAATACGTCAACATGACTCTGGAAAATGACATCGAAGGTTGGTTTTCCTCTTAGAGTTCGCATCATGGTAACTTATGACAATAGGATATACTCTCATGCTGTGGCACAATGTTCTTCAATGGCCTAAAGATGAGTACCCGGATTTTCTGATGGAATTCCGTCGCCGTGTGTTGCGCAATCGCAAGGTTCATGGATACATGTCAGTGCGTTATGTGTATGGTCGCAAGCCAGAATAGGAACAGTGCTACGGATCCTATACTCTAGAAATACCATCAATAGGCTTATAATGCGATACTATATCATTCTTGAGCGTATAAATAATCTGATGGTTTATTCGTTACCACTTAAACGGCCGCTTATTCACCACTTTTCCAACATCGCTTGCCACAAGCCTTTCAATGGCAATACCAGGATGGTAATCATTGAACCACAACTAATATTTGTCAGTTTTTTGTTCTGTACCCGGCGGCGATATACATACACAGGATACACCGTCTTCGTTGTAACAGGTTGCATTCGGTGCGCCATATGCCTTAGGGTTCTTGATTGCCCGATTGAAAGCCAATGAGGTATCGATAATCTTAGCCGTTATATCGCGGTTGGCGGCCTGGAAGGAGTGGAAGCCGGAAGACAGCAGTTTGTTGTAGAGTTTAATAGATGAGACAAGAAGCCCATTCGATGCCGCATCTTGCTGCAGCATCAACGGTGTCAAGTTGGTCGCTGAGAGAATTAGCCAGGAACGCGAGTGTAAATATTGCCGGTCATGGGGCTTACGAGGAACGCTCAACAAGGCAAATTTCCGCAGCCCGGCGTCGTAGAGCTGTTGAAGTAGCTCGAAATACCTGGCCACGTCTTTTTTCAAGATGTCTGTAGAGTTTTCTCGATAATAGGAATTTCCTACGTCATTAACTCCGATCCAGACCCCCACCAATGCATTGGACTTGGTCCACGGCACATTCTTCGGCTGTTTGTCAATGAAGTCTAAAAAGATCTTGACTTGATCGTCCATACAGACAACTGTGTCTATATATGGCACTACAATGTCGGCGTCGACGGTGGCACCGCCATATGCAAAGTTGTATGCGAGAGTAAGAGAAGAGTTGAACTCAGTCGCTAGACTGCCAACCCAGTTTATGCCACCGGATGCAGTCCATCCCGGGAGAGGGGGATTGCCTAATGGATTTGACGCTGATGGCGCTTCGCCGTTGATATTAAACCCGGTTTGAGAGTACGAGTCGCCGCTACTATAAGTTAGCTGCATACAGCCCGTGGGAATGTCACCTGGAACCAACAATGTGAAGAGGTACTTGGGAGTTGAGGCAGCCAAAACTGGTGTCTGCAACAAGGCGCTTGCTACTGCTAAGGCAAGAAATTTCGGCATCATGTTGAATTTGGAACCGTGGAGATGGGACTGATTTCAACAAATCTGTGCAGTGTAAAAAGCCAAGACAGTAGGGACCGTAATTATTATACTATTCGTTCCAATACCGATTAAGAAGCTAGAATGACATCCAACCCACCCGTCTGGACCAGCGGAGTTATTACCTTCCGCAGCAATTGCGGAACCTGGAGCCGCGCTACCGATGAAGTTGCAAAGTCAATATCCGCAGGGATTGGAGCAGAGTTCTAGATGGGTAATGAGGGGCGAACCATGCTACGAAGAGGCTTGGATTATGAGGGGAAATCGGATGTCATATTCAATTGGTCGTAACTTCACCGAGGCCGAATAGGCTAAGAAGGGTGCATCGTGTTAATGAGTATTGCACCCCATGACCTGGGACGGAATACCTTAATACTGACGGGTGAAAACGTTCCGTCGCCTGTTTTGGAAGTTTTACGGGCCTTCAGGGACTAAATGGCTCGTCTTTGTCAAGGGGCCCGCTAACCAACTCCCTTGGCAACTGGGCATTCATTAATTAAGAGACCCCGCGCTGGGAAAAATCGTCGGATCATCTCGGCAGCATCGGACCGGATTCCGCAATGGGAGATTCTCCTCACCAAGCTACTGGGTCGATCACTCCTGAATTACCCCGGAAGAAGATCTTCCGCAATCGTTTCCAGAAAGACGAGATGAACTGTTTACACCAACGACGATTGTTTTACGCGAATCTCGCCATTGCGGCAGGTAGGACAGGTTATAAATACGGCATCGTGAGGAGATCGGGTTCCATAACCAATTGAGCTCACCTTCACACGACTTCACCTGATCGTCACAATCAGCTCGACCAAATGAAACTGAATATTGCCGTACTCCTTTGGTCTGCTGGTTTGCTGCTCGGGTCCGAGGCGTATCCTCAGCAGGCGAAACATGTCCCGAAAGACTTTGTGACCGTCAAGGGACAAAAGTTCCAACTGAACGGAAAGGACTTTTACTTTGCTGGCTCCAATGCCTACTACTTTCCATTCTCAGGAGTAAAGCCACCTCACCACCTGAATTGACGTCCTTGGACGATGCTAATTGTGGACCAGACCCAAGCAGACGTGGAGAAAGGGCTCACGGCGGCCAAGAAGGCAGGGCTGAATGTCTTCCGTACCTGGGGTTTCAATGACAAAAACGCAACCACCGATCCAAATGGTCTTCCGCAATATGGGTCGGAAGGTGCAGGCGAGACAGGCGTTTACTTCCAGGTTTGGGATAACGGCAAATCGACAATCAACGTTAAGCCTTTCGACAAAGTAGTCAATGCCGCATCCAATACTGGCATGAAGTTGATTGTTGCTCTGACCAACAATTGGGCTGATTACGGTGGTATGGACGTTTACACGGTAAACCTTGGTGGAAAATATCACGACGATGTTGGTTAAACTATCACTCACTTGTCCTTGGAGAATACTAATAGGGCATGCCAGTTCTACCGACTCCCCCAGATCAAGAAAGCTTACAAGCGCTATGTCAAGGCCATGGTTACTCGCTACAAGCATTCATCAGCAATCATGGCCTGGGAGCTGGCAAATGAGCCTCGATGCGGTGCCGACGGGGTTCGCAACCTCCCACGCAGTGCAAACTGCACTCCGGAGCTTCTGACTGAATGGACCGAGGAAATGAGTGCTTACATTAAGAGCCTCGACCCGAACCATCTCGTCACCTGGGGCGGCGAAGGTGGCTTCAACCGCGAATCAGACGACTGGGCCTACAACGGCAGCGATGGCGGTGACTTCGACCACGAGCTCACATTGTCCAACATTGATTTCGGCGTATTCCATACATACCCAGACTGGTGGAGCAAGACAGTCGAGTGGTCGAACCAATGGATTCGCGACCACGCTGCGTCGGGTGCTAAAGCGAAAAAGCCCGTCGTTCATGAGGAGTACGGATGGCTTACACCGGAGGCACGCCTAGAGTATCTCGGCACCACCAGGAATGAGTCGAGAACGGAAGTTATTGGTGAGTGGCAGCGGATCCAGGTGGAGACGAAGATGCCAGATATGTACTGGCAGTACGGATATTCCGGATATTCGTATGGACGGAATCACAATGATGGGTTTACGATTTATCTCGACGATGCAGAGGCAAAAACGCTTGTATATCAACATGCCAAGGCAATGAATCGCCTTAACAAGAAATAGTCTTAATTATAGCGTTGTTGGATTTTATACAACCAATTATTATGAGCATAAAATCTTTCCCCTATCAAGAGATTAGGGTGCCTTAGTACACATACCCAGAGGAAGGACTAGAAGCTCAGCAGTAAAAGTAAAAACACCAACAATAGTATCAACAAGACAGACTATATGCCCAATCTATTCAAAGGTCAACAGTTACTCAAACAGACTAAGGTTTCTAGTCCAACTGGTTACCTTTCCCAATACCTCCATAAGCTGCTGGAACAGCTGCATCTTGAGAAAGCTAGATCTTGGAAAATCTTCCCCCTATATCTGACGTTACATTTCGTCTAGTAGCGTAGCGTTCCTTCAACATAACTCGGGGCGAACCCACCTGCAGCCCACTGTTATTCTGGCACGTATGTCTTTCACAGTCCCTGCGCAAAGGACTGGCTGATCGAGGCAGCAGGCATTTTGCGATCCTGACCGCATGTATACGAGCGACGGGCTTGAGAAATTCCCAATGCTTAATATTAGATGACGAGATTTGAGGAAGTCAGAGGGAAATGGATGACAAACGAATAGGCGGTTTGCTCTGACGTGTCTACCGGGCCGTAGAGCCTACCCTATTTTTATTTTTATTTTTTTTAGCTTTACTCAATATCATCAGATAGATCAAAGCCATACAGTATTCTCAAACAGTAGAGAGCAACAGTAAGTGCTACACCTAGCACTAGAAGAAACAGTAGCTGAACAATAAGGAGAGCCTACCCTATACCTTGACGATTTTGTGCCAACTTATGGATACAACAGGGCTTGTCAAAACAATGTAAATTCCTACATTCAATCAGACTGGCGCACCATTTTGTCCCAACTACGCATTGTAGCGACTTGGTGCCAGCAGGGCTTCAATGAAATTGTTATTATCATCGTTACGCTCCGTCGGGAGCGGACGAACAAACTACCCTCCACAAATTGAAAACCAGACATTCTAGGTGACATGTTCAATTAGTTAGTAACTTCTCAGCATCAGGATATCTAAGAACAGAATTAAATCATTTTAACTAAGCCATAACTAGCAAATACTTGCCACTTCCCCCCGGCACGCGTCGGATAATCACGGTGTAAATTGCTCCAACTTCCACCCGTTTCCATAAGTCAGGCGCGGAGCAGCGCCAACGCGGACATGTGCTTCTTGGTTTTCGTACCTGATTCACTTTGGGTAATTCATTCGTGATGTGGACTTACGGGTCTTACCCCTGACTGAGTGTGACTACCCCAACGGCCAAGTGTAGACAGAGGTTATTCCCAGCACTTAGGACATCTGTTATGATCCTAGTTCGTGGAGAGCTTACATAACACGCGTGTTCGCTTCCAGAGTTACATAGGAGTTAACCCAATTCTACGTGTGATTGGACGCCACGAGTCCTGTGTAACCTCGGATGTCTTCGAAAGAACACTCTATTACCTTAAGCCCTACCGATCTGGAGTCTTAGCTCCGTGCCTGAAATTGAACATCAGGCACCATGTATGAGCGGGCTGAACCTCATCTCGCGACTCTCTACACCGAGTACTTAAGTGCCAATACTGCAGCATTGTCTGAGAGGAGATGGAAGGACTCCACCACGCGGCCTCATGCCGCTCAAGTCTCCATACATCCTGGATTGTGACCAATAAACCCACCATCCACTGAAGAATCCAGCATTAGCCTCGCAGCAAGTTGTCAAGTGATACCGAGGTTGAACTCACCTCTGACTCGGGACAAGTTCGCACCGATCTTTACCGACCCCGTGGGCTCGCCGAGTTACCATCAGGGGAGACTGGGGAAGGTGGATGCCGGGGCTGGGGAAATCTGGGACATCACCTGGAGTGTCTCTCCACATCCTTGGAGTTTGGATCACGCTCCCGCATTGGACCCTGGATCTTCTGCTCGACAGTCGGTTTATTGTAGGCCGAGCCGGTATCGCCACCTCCTGCTTCTCACACCGCGTCAATGGATCCGATCTTTTAATACAGTCCGGTGCCCAGCTCCACAACATTAACTTTTGGACAATTCTTTGTAAGCCTCTGGCCATTCTTTTCCCACTATTTCTGAATCGTCATCTTCAATATCTACACGCGACGATGGGGAAGCTAGTTACTATCGTCTCCGCCATCTTCTTGGCAACTGGAGGTGAGTCTGCCTCTGAGAAATTGCTCGTCAAAACCCATACTAAACAATCCTAGGCTTCCTATTCGGATATGATAGCGGCATTATCTCATCGACTCTGGCTCAGAAACACCTCCTCGCCTACTTCGGCGGGGGGATAACCGACTCTGAAGCTGGCAGAATTGTGTCCTCCTTCACTGGCGGAGCTATTCTGGGATGTCTTGCAGTATCCTTCTTGGCGGATTGGATTGGTCGGCGAATGACAGTCTTTACTGGGTCTGTGATTGCTGTTCTGGGCTCGGCCATCCAAACAGGTGCTACATCCATCGCCATGCTCATTGCTGGCCGCTTAATTGCTGGATTTGCGATCGGAATTCTCAGCGCTGTGGTCCCAATGTACTGTTCGGAAATCGCCCAGGCAGAGATTCGTGGTGCTCTTTCGGGTCTCCTTCAGTGGGTGCTTAGCTGGGGCTTCTTTGTCGCACAGTGGCTGGGTTATGGATGCTCTCACGTTGACGGTCACTTCCAGTGGCGATTCCCTCTCGCGTTCCAGGTCCTGCCTGCTCTTATCATGTGTGGCGGCATTTGGTTTCTCCAAGAGTCGCCGCGTTGGTTGATCGAGAAGGAGAGATACGAAGAGGCTCGCCAGGTGCTCTCGAAGCTCCACGGCGATGGGAATAACCAGGACATCTTGGAACTGGAATTCCAAGAGATCCGTGACACCATCGTTGCTGACCGCTCACTCGACATCGTACCATGGAAAGCCATCTTCACACGCGCCACTTGGCGCCGCCGTCTCCTGCTCGGCTGCGGTGTGCAAGCATTCGGCCAGTTCTCTGGCGTAAATGTCATCAACTACTACGGACCTCGCATCTACGAGTCACTCGGCATTAGCAACCAGACCTCGCTCATGATCAATCATCGGCATCAGCGGCTCTTTTTCCATTGTATACTGCACAATCGGACTCTGGGCTCTGGAGCGCGTTGGAAGAGTCAAGCCTCTCATCTTCAGTGCGACTGGCTGTGGCCTGTCCCTTGTCGTCAATGCCGCTCTGTCGAGCTATCTCCCTTCAGACGATAACAACCAACTCAGAGCAATGGTGGCCATGATCTTCTGCTTCTCTTTCTTTTTCACCATGACCGGAATTATTTCCTGGGTGTATCCAGCAGAACTCTTCCCGATCGAAATCCGAGCCAAGGGAAATAGTATCGCTACCTTTGTCAACTGGTCCTTGAACCTGGTTTTCGCCCAAGTGTCTCCAATCGCCTTCACCGCTATGGGCTTTCGATACTTTTTTATATTCTTTGTCTTCAACATTATCGCCGCCTTGTCATACATCTTCCTCTACCCCGAGACTTCGGGTCGAACTCTTGAGCAGATGGATGAACTCTTTGGTGTACGTCATTCCCCAAACTTAACCCGTTCGAGTCTAACTTCCGCAGGACCAAATCGTACCGCATGCTATGAAGGAACCTGAAGCAGCGGCTAAGGTCATGGCAAGCACCCTCGAGGACACCCACCAGGATGAAAAGAAAACCGAGGTCTAAGCAGGGGAATGTCGATGACGTCGTGATTAGTTCCGAAAGTATTCGATTCTACGAGATGAAACCTGCTGTTGACTTTAGTTTTTTTTTATGTAGTGGAGCGCTCCGTGGACAGAAATCTCCCTTTGCTTCAGTATTCGCAAGCCAAAATGAATGAATACACTAAGGGTGGTATATTCTGTAGAGTCGCTGTTGTAACTTTAATTGCTTTTCGCCCTAGCTTCATATTTTAGTACCACTTTTTCCAACCGTCATAAATCTACTACGGAAATGACGTAGATCGTAGAATAAGGATCAAAAGAGGCCCTAAGGCATCTACTTGCAAGCTCGTACGCCGGCTAAGATAAGCTAGTCTCAATCGTAAAACTAAACACACGACAGCCACCTTTGTCTTGTATCCGTATTGTCCAGCTTGTGAGAAATTACATAAACACACTAGCATTGTATTGTTAAGGTCACCATAAATCATGATATCGTATGAGACACCGCGGCGGGTTTCCGCAATACAACATGAACGAACAAACTTCAGCTTAGATACTACGCTATCCAGGGACAAAGACGCAGTCATCCCACCTACGGCTTTAATCACCGTGAGGGCGGGGTCATAGATGCAAGAGGGTGACTTCCAATGTGGGTACGATGAATCATGAGCCAGGTATTATAGCCACTAATCCCAAGGCAGATCTACATCGTAATAGTCTCGGGTTGAGTAACCACGATCTAAACCAGGGGTCACCGGGCATTCACAAACATTCGGTCAAACAAGTAATGATACCCCGTCTTCACAGGCTTAGGTTTACCCCAGGTATCCCCGGACCCCGCATCATTGGGTAGTTAGCGTCTTGCATGTTCTTCAACAATGGTGGAATATTATGATCAAGGTGTTCGGCCTCGGGACTAGCTCCCTGTGGACAGGGAATAAATGTTCTTGGTCCTCGGGTCCAAATAGACCGAATTCATACGAGCCCTAGTCACCCCCTAATGTTCAGCTCCGTGATTCTAGCCAGTGCAAAGATGATTCCGCAGGCCATGTGAAGATCATCTACTTAAAGCCAGCCATGGGCCGTCCCATCTTCACTCACCACGCCTTGCTTCCCTATCAACGTCCATAAACCACCTGGCTTACATTCAAGATGCGGTCTCTACTTTCCAATGTTGTCTTTTCGTCCACCCTGGCCGTGTCTCTATCTGGACTCGGCGCTACAGCGGCGCCTTCTACTGGAAGTAACTACACGGCGGCTGACATTCCCCGTCTTGTTGATCAAAAGTTATCTCAGATGACTTTTCTTGAAAAGCTGGCACAAACAAGAAACTACGGTGGAATTCTTTGGTCTGACCTTAACTATGACCGAACGGGTTTTGAAGAGTTCAATTTGGGCAATGGGGGTGGCTCAATCTGTAAGTTTCTATATAGCTTCTCATCTTAATTCAAGACTAACAATACGAAGCCTTTGGAGATCGATCAATCCCAGCCTACCGGGCCACAGAAATCCTCAGTGGCTTGATCGAGGGGCTCCTCGATGATAAGAAGCACGGCAGGCTTGGGATCCCCGTCATCAATGTCGCAGACTCGGTGAACGGCATCACCTTGGCTAATGGCACTTTATTCCCGGCCTCAATCAGCATGGGACAATCTTGGAATATCGAGCTGTTCTCTGAAGTCGTCAATGTGATTTCCGTCGAGAATCGCGCTATTGGCATCCACTGGGTCCTCAGCCCAGAACTTGATCTCGCACGCGAGCCCAGGTACGGCAGGGTGGGGGAAATGTACGGAGAAGATTCGTACCACGTTGGCCAATATGGCATCGCATACGTGGACCACATGCAATCCGCTGACAAGAACGGCTTTGTCCGCGTCGCAACTTGCATCAAGCATTGGATCTATGGTAGTGGCCTCGGTGGTATCAATGAGGCACCCATTCCTGGCGGTCTGAATGACTTCTGGAATGTTTACATTACACCATACTTGGCCGTCCTCGAAAACTCGAAGCCCTTGAGCCTCATGCCATCCTACTCCTCCTACGACCACGTTCCAATGCATTCCAATGTCGAACTCACCCGGGACGTCATTCGAGACACTCTCGGGTTTGATGGCGTCATCATTTCCGACTGGGCTGGCATTACCCAGCTCCACACGACCCAGCTTACGGCCGTGGACATGGAAGTTGCTGGCATGAAGGCAATCAATATCACCATTGACCATGAGATCGGGCCGCCTGCGCTCTCTGGGATGGAAGCTCTTACCGAAATGTCTTCGAACGATGATCTTGTCAACAAAGTTACCGAAGCAGCTCGCCGGATGCTGTATTTGAAGTACATCACACGAACTTTCGAGGAACCTACCCCGGATCTATCTAAGATCAACTCGACGCTTCGGAAGAAAGATCATATGAACACCAATCTCAAGATGACAAGAGAATCCATGGTTCTTCTAAAGAATGATGGTATCCTACCCTTGTCCAAGGATGCCTTGACGAAGGTCGCCGTCATCGGCCCAATGGGTGATGTCATAAACCCTGGCCACTATGCCGGCAGCGACTACAAGTTTGGTTCGACGATTCTGGATGGCGTTCGCAAAATCTCCGAAGACGTGACCTTTTCTATGGGTTGCTTCAGAACCAACTATACCAACTTCGAAAAGATGAAGGCCGAGGCTGTGACGGCCGCCAAGGAAGCAAAAGTCGCCATTCTCACGCTAGGTGCTGCGTCCGTCAACCTTGATTCAAATAAGTACGACCGCACCGATGGCGAAGGCTATGACCATGCAGATCTGGACTTCCCAGGGCCCCAAGTTGACCTCCTCGAAGCCATTGTAGAGACTGGAACTCCCGTGGTTGTAATCGCCAGTGGAGGACAGGTCTTTACCATGGAATATGCAGCGGAAAATGCGGGAGCCATCATTCACCTCTTCCTGCAAGGCGAGCTTGGAGGCGATGTCGTTGCCGAGATCTTGTCGGGTGAGACCAATCCAAGCGGCAAGCTGAGCGTTTCTATTCCTCGATTATCTTCAGCTGTGCCTGTGTACTACAACTACTTGCCCATGGAGCGCAAGGTTCCTGCACAGATGGATTTCGACTGGCAATTCCCCCTGATTAACCGAACTGCCCGCTATCCCTTTGGCTTCGGCTTGAGCTATACCACGTTCTCCATCTCCGACGTCAATGTCTCAGAAGACGTGGCTGTTGACGGGGAGATCACTGTCAGCGCTGTCTTGAAGAATACTGGTGACCGGACGGGCAAGGAAGTCGTCCAGGTATACTTCAGCCAAGCCTATCCCGCCATTGAGAGGCCTATCAAGAATCTAATTCGATTCTCCAAGGTGGAGCTGAAGAGCGGTGCATCTAAGACCGTCTCATTCAAGATTCCTGTCTCAGAGCTTGGGTACTACGTCAACGGTCAAAGGAGGGTTGACGCAGACACCTATACGTTCTTTGTGGGGTCCAGCTCTGACGACGCTGATCTAACTACAGCTGCGGTGACCGTAAAATAGCCAAACTCTGTTAGTTAGCGGCCGGTACATCTCTTAGTCTAGAGTCTTGGCGGATCATGGAAAAGGGAGCGGCAGGGTTGCATCGAACAGTGAAACAACGGGCTGGGGAGTTACTTTTCATGGCTAACGGTTTAACACCTTTGGCAGCTTGAACCTGTACCAGTAGAACACGCCAATCTCGTCTCAATTTCCTCATTCCAATAAAATCACCCTGCGAATCAATATAAATCTTCACTCTATATGCACAAGGAACGTTTTGTCATCCTTTCGTACTGAAGTACTGCGTGGTGCAATTAGACCAGTGCAGGACCACAAATACAAGGAGCTAGCCTGCACGTACATAGTTTCTGACTGGGGAAGCACAATCGAATTTCTCCCACTGTTTACCTTGACTCAGAATAAGACCTAACGTAAATTTGATGAATTGGTCTTTCCGGATTAATTGCTTATTTGCTGAGAAAATAGTATTGTCGTAGCAAATAGATGGGGCTGATAAGGCCATGATTCTGAAGCTAATGCAGCATCCCTGTATACGCGTGTTCGCTAATAGACCGTACTACCCAGTTTTGGTTACTGTCAACTTGGCTTCTGCACTCCACAGAGAATTCGGGGATTCCTGCACTTTTAGATATAGCAATAGGAATCTCTCTCCGAGCCTGCCCATTGTCCCGCATTCTCGCCTTGTTTATTGACGGCCTAGATTGACGCTAGGTCTGACTTGTGTCATGCTCGCGCCATGAATACAGCATACAGTACGAGTCTCTTCAAGCCAGATCGTTGTATGACTAGCCGACCATAGGCCAAAAGCCAAGGAGACTACGTAATCCTCGGCTGTCGAGAAGCCGAATGTGCTGCCAAGGGCAATGCTTTGGAGCTTCTTATCTCGCTTGTGTTACAATAAACCACCGCTCATCAGCTGACCACAAGGGGAGCAATGGCCCTGGAAAAGGTGTGCCGATCCATCCAGCCCTGGCCCTTACAATTAATGACTGAGCAAATTCGGGATGTCATTCGAGCAAACCCCGGGGAAGAAAATGCCGAGATGGACAGTGCTGATGTCGACCAAGGGCGTCCGCTCTTCAGGGGGTCCGGACTGGCCATGTCCATTCTGCCTCAGCCCCAAGACGGCCAGGTATGGGAAGGAGCTTGTGGAGGATGGATAGACCAAAGAGAATGCCGTTTCTGTCAGTGTTTGTAACGTATGAGGACATATAAAACGTATACCAAGGTCTTGAAAGACTCCTGAACGTAGTTGTAAAACCAGTCTACCATTCTAGTCTCTCACCACAGCATTGGGTAGTTCCATGAAGCGATGCCACTGCTGCCCAAGTTGGGCTGCGATGATTCGAATCATTGCCTTTCCTCCACTACCAATAATCCAGAATTCCCGACATCGATGGAGTAATACCCCATAATGCGCCAGAATGACAAGAGCTTCCGGCGCCTTTTGCCTCAACAGTTCGTCATACCTCGGGGGGACATTGACGGGAAACGCTATCGCGGCGTGAACTCGCCTGTTCCCTCGTGCGGAGAATATTTCGAACAGACGAAAGGCATTTTTGAGCCACTTTGTTGCACTCCGACATGTGTCGAGAGATGCTGGAGGCAGGATAGACTCCATTAGCATTTCTTCGATTGCGTCGCACGCGTGACCCGAGCTCGTCAATTTACTCCCGTCTGGGCTGATATGCTCCTCACTCACGAAGAATGCTGGCCCTTTTGAACTTGAGATGACGTGCCAGAATTCTTTGCAAATAACGCCGACACCTTGTTGGAGATTGAGGTAATCCCCAAACTTGCCCAAGAAGGCGTCAAAGTCGTTCTCAATGGTCGAAAGGGTGTCATGGAGCACGTAGAGGCCCAGGAGAGCGGAGAAGACAAAACGAGGGATGCAGTTTTGCTCGGACAATTCCATCGTCACAGGATTGTGAAGAGATAGGGCTCGAACCTGCAGCTCGACGGCCATTCGCGAGTACTTTCCGTGTTTAGAAGGATCATGTACACTCAAATGTAACGCAGACAGAGCGAGGAATTCGTCCATCAAATATTGAGAAGTGAGCGCCAGGTCGCAAATACTAGAGACCAAAGCGTCTGAACTTTCGTCGCACATCATGAAATGTGCGCTCTCAGATTCTGCATGCCGAAGTAAGACCATGTGCTCTAGGGCATAGACTTGGTTCTCTTCTCGCCGTGGCTCCCCACTAGGGACAGGTTCCAAGACATGCGGAGGAGCTGCAACACCGACTGTCCAAACGGCTTCCGGATTATTTGAGACAGAGGATGTACCGCCTGGTTGACCTGTAGGCCTTAGCGGTTGCTCGAGATAGGAGCACTGCCGCTGGGTAGTAGCGCAGAGAACGCAGACTGGGCGTGTCTCGTCGCACTTTTGGTGCCGCTCCTTGCACTGCACACAGCCATCGCGGGACTTTTTGTGAGCCCGGCGTGGCTTAAACTCCATTAAACCAGGAATCGGTCTGGTGAAAAAATCGCACAGGACAGGGATGGTGGTGCTTTGTCGGCCTTTTGAGATGCGAGTGAGACGGAGCCGATTTGAGTGAGACGGAGCCGATTTGAGGGAGACGGAAAAGACTGGAGGCTGTGTGATGGTGACTGAGCACCCTGGAGTTTTAATGACAGCTAGGCATTCATGCAGCTAGCTAAGGCGCTACTTAGGGCAGCAGGGGACATGGTTTTCTTTTTCCCTTCTTCAATTAGTACGCCTTTTGTAGTACCTTATCCATTGATCCGAGTTGTCACAGCAGCTTTTACCAATATCTTTACATTTTTAGAATGCACATAGAAGCACTGCATTTAGTGTTCACAGCTGTTGCGTCCACTTCGCCTCCCTCGAGTCCAGCTCGACTTGCTCATTTCCTCTCATTTTGCCACTGGCACGATCTCATCTATTTCTTGCGCGTAGCCTGCACTAGGGTGTATTACCAATCAAGGAAGCAAAAAGATTCCGGCTGTATCTTGCGGGGTGTATAAAGACGATATTCATGTCATGCACTATCAATTATTAGCCCGTATTTTAGATCAATCGCCCCATCAATAGATTTAGCGTTGTACTCGGGATTAGATACCCAGACCGGCTTGCGCAGTCCAGACACTACCAGGCCATACATACTGAACTCATATCTTCAATCAATAAATGAAAAATTTAAGGGATATCTTTGTCTTGGAATTTCCTTGATAGAAGTTCCATTAAGCAAGACGGAGACCCCCATGAGTCTCTACCTAGAATGGCTGGAACTCACCAGGCTCACGAGACCTCTCGCTGCCTCAGGCAGCATATCTGAATTAATTTAACTAGCTGACAGCCGTAAGCATCGATTTCTAAGCAATTTCATGATCTGAATACACCACCCACAAGACCAAGAGATTCGAGACTGAAGATACCATCGCCACATCCATCCCCGTGTCCTGCTTTACCTAATACGGAGTGCCAAGATATTTCATCCAACTCACAAGGCGAATTATCCCCGCCGCGTCCTTCTGTTTCAGTAGTAGAAGATATTTACTCGTCTACACCCCGCACACACGTCAAGACTGATTAGAATCACGAAAAGGTTACGAAAAGGTTCTCTGACGTCTTGGGAGCTTGAGGAGCAGACGGAGACTGCAAAGCCTGATGGAGGAACCGTGGAGAGCCTCCCCTGGACGACAAAGACAAGAAGCCGTCGGCAGGTCTGCTGATGCACAGACGGCTCCATCTACTGGCGGGTTCAAATTCGTGAATTTGTCTAATCCGGAAAGTCTCTATACGGATGAGGGTATTAGAACGGAAATTCGTCGACATGTGATGAAAGATATTGGCCAACAACGGAGACGACGCCGACCAAAAGCAAAATCTTCAAAAGCCACTCCTGCTTCTGATCAACCCCCGGCCGAGGGCACGTCATCAACTCGGAGCGAAAATAGGAAGGGTATTTTACCAAGCCAATCCCTGGTGCCGCTTGGCTGTCTCCCCATTGAAGCCAATGCTCGTGTCCGAGAGCTACTCCATTTTAGTACGTTGTTCTACTTGCTCTCTCAATGTTTCTCTGATAAGATGAATTAATTGGTCTCACATTTCTATACTTACCAGATAATGCGTCCTCTCACATCTATCAACCGCTAAACAAAGTTTGGTTTCAGCTTGCATTGACAGATGCGGGTGCTCTCCATGTAACCCTTGGGAATACGGCTACCTTCTTAGCAAAGCTCAAGGGGGATGATAACCCAATGAAGAACCCGGAGATAATAAACCACTTTTCCAGCTCAGTCATGCTTTTGAGGCGACGACTTACTAGCCCTACCGAAAGTGTGAGAGAAGGGACGATCACCAATATTTTAGCTCATGTCTGCTTCAGCGTATGTTTCTACCCGCAAGGCCTCTTATTGCAGTAAATAACCGTGCTATATAGATACGACATGGCGACTGGGACAGCTGGAGTGTCCACATGTATGGTTTAAGACTCATCTCAAATTTGCGGGGTGGATTAGTCGATCTAGAGCATCCCATGCCCACTCTTATTCTTTTGTAAGCACCCATCCTGTTTAGAGGTTCAAATATGTCACTGACGGCGTCTTGAAAGTTACGACATAGCTGGGAGCATGGTCTTCGATTCCTTCCCTCGCTTTCCACTTCCTCCAGATATCCTCGCTGGACGAACGCGATCGATTCGCGATGTGCCGTACAGACTACGGGCATTGCTTGTTCAGATAGAACAGATGCCTCCCTACATATCGATCGTAGGCGACGCCTTGCAAATGTTATCTTCCATTGCGGATGTGATCAACCGCGGTAGCCACTCTGCATTATTCTGGGAAAAGGACATCGATGCCATCACCTTACTCGGCCCTTGCATCCACTTCTTGCTATCCATGCCTAGGCTACCAAATGATTTTGACACCCTACCTCAGGCTAGTGATCTCATAATGAGAGAGATCCTGCGACTGGTTGGTCTGTTGATCATGTCGAGGCTGAAAGCGATGTTCGGCTTACCTTCGAGTGAGCGAGCAGCCATTCAGGCCAAATTAAGCGACCTAGTTGCTCGACATGCGACAAGTCTTGAAGAAAGACACTTCGAATTGAAAGTCTGGGCTCTTGTCACAGCTGCCTTGTTGCAGAGCCGCGGCGAAAGAGGTGTTTATGTACATGAGATCCAGGGAGTGGTGAGTGGGATGGTCAATCAATCCCCAAGAGAAGTGATTGAACTTGCCGAGGAGATGATTTGGATCAACATTCTGGAATCCCCCAATGTTGAAAGCCTACTACAAGAGGTCAATTTGTTTGCATTTGGCGATGATGGTGTTTGAAACAACTGGGCAGTGGGCGACAAGAATCACCAAAGCTAGCTGAAAGTGCACACAATGATAATACTTTGGTAAACAGAACCTAAGCTACACGGATGTGAAGAAGTCTTGAACCAAGCTGATCCTATCCTCCATTGATACCACCACTGACAGAGATGAACTGGCCAGTGATCCAGCGACTCTTCTCACTGGTCAAGAGGAGTACAGCATCTGCAATGTCCTCAACCGTTCCGACTCTTTCTTCGGCTCGAGTCAACGAGATGAGGTAGTCCTTCACAGGCTCAACTTCGGGCACTGGTGGCAGCGAGTCCGTCAAAACGGGACCGGGAGCGACAGTGTTAACAGTGATATTCTTGCCATCACGACCAACCTGTGCCGTAAATGTTAGCTAAACCTTGTGCTGAAAACGTGGGAGGTGGTCTCCGTACCTCGCGGGCCAAAGTGAAAGTCAACTGGTCCATGGCAGCCTTTGCGGTGGCATAGATAGGCATTTGGACGAAACCCAGCTTGGAACTGACGCTTCCAATGTTGATGATGCGTCCACCTTGCGGGATATAAGGATAAGCAGCTTGGAGGAGCAGAATAGGGCCGACAACTGCAACCTCGAACGATCGCATGATATCCTCAGGCTTGCTGGTAAGAATTGTTCCGTAGGCAACAAAGGATGCACAGTTCACTAAGGAGAGATTAAATGAGCATGGAATCCAACACTTGGTATTGGGGAAACACTGTACTTACCAAGGATGTCAATGTGATCAACGCCAAAAGCCTTGAGCGTCTCGTCCACGATCTTCTTGCTTCCCTCGGCAGTAGACACATCGGCTCTCACGACGTGAACTCGCCCCTTGCCGACAGCCGATTCAATCGTAGAGACGACATCGGCAGCGCGGGAAGCAGAAGACTCGGAGACATAGTTGATGGTGACATGAGCGCCAGCACGAGCCAGAGCGAGTGCAATGCCAGCGCCAATACCGTTCTCTCGGCCAGAGCCAGTGATGATAGCCACCTTGTTGGGGAGGGATAGATCAGATGCCGACATTTTGATGATTGGGTGGAGTAATAATGATTGCTTTGAGTGTGTTTATGATTGTAGATTGCTGTTGTAGTGTGTTGTGGTGTTGTGATGTTGTGAGTGCCAGATGGAAATCACGGCAGAGGGTATGCTCTTTATAGAAGTTGGCTTCCGATTGAATCCTTAAAAAGTACAGATTATTAATTCTAAAAGTCTCCCGTCTTACAAATCTGAATGATACGCCGATTGTAGAGAAAATGATATCAAATCTCAGCATCGCGCGGAGCAATGAGGAAGATACGTCATGCTTGTTCCTAAATGGGATATTGGTGTTGAAGAGGCCTAACCCAAAATGGATGCTGGTCCCCCCTGTCATTCTATCTCAGCCCAACACTAATAGAGTATAGCTTCATCTAAGGGTGCGCTGGGCCAATTGGGAGGAAGCCCGGCCCGCTCGGTTTGACATGTGGTTTTGTTTTGCTTACGGAGAAACTCGATTGTCACCAGAATCTCATCTTGTCGTGTTGCTTTGGCCTGATTCTAAGTCATTTCTTGTCATAGTGGCGCAAAATGGAAACGCGTGAATTACAAATCGTCTCACCGGCTTGATACCCGTTCATGCTGCAAGTATAAGTAGGCCGTGTCGAATAGCCTTGGAAAAATACTCTATCTTCACACAGCCCAAGCACTCTAAGAACACCCATATTTACTCTCGTCCTCATTAGCCGAACACCAAATCTCCTCAAAATTATCCAACTCTTCACTCGCAAAACAAGCCAAAAACACAACATGTCACAGCTAATTGTTGTTCTGGGAATCACCGGCGTACAGGTAAGCCCAAATTCTTCACGTTATTAAACACAAGCTGTACCGCACCTGAGTACTTTTCCCTTGCTGATGCGACCGCCTACAGGGAAGCTCTGTTGCCGACACGTATCTTCACTCTGCGGGTTGGAAAGTTCGTGGCGTGACTCGCAATCCTGAGTCTGCAAGTGCCAAGGAGTGGGCGGCCAAAGGTGCCGAGATCGTCCGAGGCGATGTCAACGATGTCAAGTCTCTGAAGAGAGCATTCGTCGGTGCCAACATCATCTTCGGTGTTACGGATTTCTGGACCATCTTCAAAGACCCCGAGAGCAACAACAAGAAACGTCCTGGCCAAGAACTCGTTGAATACTGCTACGAGGTCGAGCTGCAGCAAGGCAAGAACATCGCTGATGCGGCGGCCACCGTCCCTGGCCTCTCTCGATACGTCTTCAGCTCCATGGCCCATGCGACGAAATCGAGCGGCGGAAAATACAATACGCTTTTCCACATGGATTCCAAGGCCGAAGCAGCCTCGTATGCCCAAAGCCTGCCATTGCTCCGTGGCAAGTTCTCGCAGATCCAGGCACCTATTTACTTCCAGCTGCCCTGGCAGTGGGGACTACCTACGACCCCACAGAAGGTATGCAGAGTTCACAACTTCTAGACACCGTCGCATCGCTTGCGGTAACACCGAGGCTAACAGTGGTACAGCAAACTGATAGAACCTGGCGCATGAGGGGCGTTGGCCCAGGCGACAAGGGAATTCCGTTTGGAGATGTCCAGAAAGACTTTGGGCCATCTGTCAAAGCAGTTGCCGAGGCCGAGCCCAACGTGAACCTGTTTGCAGTCGGAGAATACGTGTCCTGGGCAGACTACCTGAGAATCTTCTGCGAGACTCAAGGTCTGAAGTACGGTGGCTATGACGAACTCTCGTATGACGATTTCTGCAAGTTACTTCCCGGAGGTCTTGGTCATGAGTTCAGTCACAATGTTCTGTTTGCTCATGAATTTGGGTACGAAGGAACAGACCCATCAGTTATTAAACCAGAGAAGGTACGTACTACTCCGGGTCATTCTAAGATCAAAGCACTAACATTTGTATAGCTAAATCTCAAGATGACTTCTCTCCGTGAGTACTGTCAGAGTACTGACTTTTCTGCGATCTTGTAAGGAATAACAAGAGAAGTAGGGCAGAGGATCTTGGATTTCATGACTGTTGGTTTAATTCATAGTATAGCCTAATAAAACCGTCTATACAATAAATTTCGCTTTCCCTCCTGACCAGATATCAACCCATGACTACAACAAGACGGGTTTGAAAGAGCGGGATACTTCGTTTAGACTTTCTGTCGTACGGTGATGATTCAAAAATACCCATGTTAAATATTTTCCCACATACCACATGAGGTATTGCGTAATGATCAGCAAGCTCAGTTATATTTCCGAACATGAATTAAAAAGATTGTGATCAACTTATACGATGATAATTAAGAATGGTTCAAATTGATGCACTAGTGTAGGGTAGCTGTCTGTTCACTTGCCGAGAGCACCACAGCGCAGTGTTTTGAGATATTTAAGAGGATAAATGCCGAGAAACGCAGCAGGGATATCATGGAAATAAAGAATAAGTATTAGTACCAGGTACAGCTGGAGCTGGCGTCTACGGTTGAGTCCTTACACTCCCTCTTTCTGTCGGGCCAGGCATTAATCATCAAGAATGCCTACTCGGTTGGAGCGAACTGAATTCCCTGAGAGCGCAATTGGGGACTTGATAGAAGAAGACGCCGGCTTCCTCAAGAAACATTCGGAAGCAGTGGATTGGAAAGAAGCTGCCAAAGAAGAATGTCCCGGTCTGGTGTTGCAAAAGCCAAATTAGGAGCGCTTAAGCTTATTCCGGCAGGGGCTCATAAAGACGCTGGCTTGTAAACGTTGACGGTAGATTTCCCTTTGAAACCTGCTAGCAAGTTGGAATTGATTGGGGCTACAAGGAAGACAAAAGCATAATTGTTTTAATTTCTGATCTTGACGAGGTCTTCACTGTGTTAGCGAGGGGATGCAAACGATGAGGCCCACCCACCTGTAACCTGTTTCAGCCGAATGGCCTCCGCGCATGGAATCGCGTTTCTCCGCCTATCCAGCAGGGGACTGGTAAATTAATCCGAGAACTTCTAACCGCTTCTGATCAATTCATCACCAACTACCCACTGGCAGGCCTCGTTACCTTGCACCGAGCCATCCGACTGGACCTTTGGCGGTTAAGGGCATGGAAGCGAACGGTACACGATGCTTCGAGCCGGGTGTTGAGTGCTCGTACAAAATGCTGCCAGATGCCGCTATGTTGGCGTGATGTTTCGTCCCATCCATTCATTCATTCTTTCATTCACTCATTTTTCTCTTCATCCAGCTGGCCTGTACACGTAGTCGATCTCGACGATCTTTACACCATTTACTCTCGCTTTCACAATGAAGTCATTCGCTGCTATCGCTTCCTTCGTCGGCCTGGCTGCCGCTGAGATCCTTTGGGATGGCCGCTTCAACGATCTCACGTCGGCCACCGACCTCGACAAATGGAGCTGGTCCAACCAGGTCGGGCCTTACCAGTACTACATCCACGGCGACGGCGAGGTCACCGAGTATGTGAATCTCGCGGCCGCCAACGCCAATCCCGCTGATGGCGGCTCGTCGAAGGGTGCCAAGATCTCCTTGACGGACACTGCCTACTGGAACGGCCAGACCATGCGCCGCACCGAGCTGATCCCCCAGACGAGCGCCGCCATCGCCGCCGGCAAGGTCTTTTACCACTTCAGCATCAAGCGCGAGGCTGAGAACGCGCCGTCTCTGGCCCGCGAGCACCAGATCGCCTTCTTCGAGTCGCACTTCACCGAGCTGAAGAGCGGCCTCATCTCCGGCGCCAGCGGCACCGAGGACACGAGCCTCCAGTGGTTCGTCGGAGGCACCTCCAAGTGGGAGGTGGAGTGGGAGGCCGGCGTCTGGCACAACATCGCCTACGAGATCGACTTCTCCGGCGAGACGGTCGGTCTCTGGCACTCGACTGGCGGCAGTGACCTGAAGCAGGTTGTTGCTCCCATCACCGCCAGCACGAGCAGCAACGGAGCTGACTGGCACGTCGGTGTCCTGGAGCTCCCCAACGGTGACGCCGACACCAACGAGGACTTTTACTTCTCCGGCGTCTACATCGAGGACGGCGACATCACCGCCTCCTTTTCTGGGGGCTCTGCCGGCGGCGATGACACTTCAGCTAGCTCTTCGGCTGTTGCCTCGGTGGCTACCAGCGCAACAAAGGCCGCGACAACTGCCCCGGTTGCCACTACTAAGGCTGCTGTCGCGACGACCACGAAGGCTGCTATCGCGACCACTTCGCTTGCGGCTGATGTCACCACGCTGCTGACCAAGACGACATCTGCTGCCCCCGAGGTTTCTACTGCCCAGACGACTTCCATCGCACAGACATCTTCGGCCGCGCCGGTGATCCCGGTTGCTGAGACGACCTCTACTCCCGTCGAAGTCGCTCCCACTCAGACATCTGCATTGGCCGTGGAGACACCCACGCAGACTTCTCGATGCAAGCTCACGCGCCGCTCGCGCCACCGTCGCTCGATTCGCTCTCAGTAGGTGGCTGATGAGCCACCGTCCCCCGATGGATGATGGGGGTGAATTAGAACTAGCCAAGACGGGAGGTTACTGCTATTTCAGCGTACATATTTCTACATCAAAACGTATATAGCATTACCTTAAGTGAAGACGGAAATAGCATGATTCATTTTAGAAAGACTCGTTCACTGTTTAATGAGCCATTGGGTCACAATTATGACTGTCATTCCCCACCCAAGCCCCCGTATCTGTCTCGTTTGGCAAGTCATGTCGAACAACAGTTGCTTACAATCCATTACTAGAATGGACGTCTCATGCACGTCGCAGATGCGTTTTATCAAGTTTTAAACCATTTCTTCCCCTCTATTCTTTGTAAAGAATTTCCTTTAATGATCTTTCAATTTTGTAAACTCAGGCAATTAAACGCTTTATGCAAGCTGCCCTCACTACTCGACTTTACTACAATTATCGCACCGCCATGTTTAAGCTACATTGCCCCACAGCAATTAGCAGTCAACAAATGAGTCAATTGACGTCCACTTTGAATTCAATCCCGGTCACTGGTTGGGGTACGTATTTAAACTATAGGGTATCCCCCCGTGCTACAAACACTTCGCATTGGCGGCCGCAGCAAGCTACAAAACAAAGTAGGAGGAGTAGTTTCCGAAAGTCTAAATCCCTTGGGAGTTCTGCGAAATAAAGCCTACAAGCAAGGAAGCATTCTGTTGTGCTTCTTGCCGGACTGCAGGTCGTGACCAGTAATCAATAAAAGAAAACAACCCACCGCAACACCTCTCACTTTAAGAGACAATGGTGAGCAACTAGTGGGCAGTTTGTGATCGCGCCAAACTGAGTGGACCATTCTGAAATAGTATTCGCTAGAATTAGTATCTACGCTTCACCTCCTTTGACGCCCTGTCTACTTCAAGATTATGAGTGACCATGGACACTCCAGTCGATTTCGTAGCCAGGTTTTTGAAAGCCAGGTCGCTTCAGCCCTAAAATGAGCCAAGCATACGACATTGGGCACGCGAAGGCTGACTGACGGTATTTCTGGCGGTTCCATGACATGTTTGTCACCAAGGTCTTATGGCTTGACGAACAAGTGGTAAGAATCGTTTCTTGAAAAACTTCGAGGATTATTGGTCCTCATTATTCTACAATATTCCGATGAGAGTCCAAAGGGACCTTGTCGGCAGCATTGCGAAAGGTGGTTTGTTGGAAAGCGAAAGATGGAGATTTTAACGTGGACTGGCGGCTCCCTGGCTCGAGATAGGTAGCTTCGGGATGATCTTTCCCAGCGGGCATTCAGGCTCTTTTTTTTTAAAACCGGGCTGTCAGCTTAGCCATGTAGTTACTCATGCATACTATTAATATATCGAATGGCGTCTCACCTGTGATTTTGAACTTGCCACCTGCAAGGTCGGATAATGAATGGTGTCTGGAGCTGCTGAGGCAGAATTGATGAGCTCAGGCTAGCCAGGTTCGGCTTCGGACAAACACTGTAGCTCAGGGCCTGCTGTCGCTGGATGGACATTACCAATTGCTGAATATCAGTGATCGTATGACCCCAAAACCGATCTCGTACATTTCTCCTCCCTTGCTTGGAGCTGAACTTGCCTGAGTTGGGCCGAGCTGAGAAGACTGTGTACGCCATTCTGAGCCGAGGTCCCCAGATTTGGCCGGGACGTGCTGCGGACCAAAATTGGAACCAACAAAGCCTATTATCTCTAAATAGTAAGTCTAAAGACCTACTTTGTTGAATTCTTTGTGCAGGGGGAAGATATTTATATCTCAGGATGTAAATGATGTAGTTATGATGCATTCCAAAGCATGTACTCTGGGATACCTTTTTCGCGGAATATTAAATACTGTTATGTGTCCTTGGGGATAAAACAAATGAAGATACCACCGCGATGCACTTGTTGTGTTTCTGAAGCTCAGCCTCTGCCGGTCTATCCGTAAGCTAAGCTAAGTTGGTGTTGAGCTTGGGGGCTGTTGAGGCTAACATTCGGATGAGACGCCCGACTGGCTGGGGGGACCTAGAATTATTGAAAGCCTAAGCTGAAATGGACCAATGAAGCTGTGAGTGGCAGATAGGTGCAGATTTCTTGTATTTGTGGCGTTCTCCGTTGTCTCGTTGATCATGCCTCAACGGATAACATTGCCGTGTCAGAATGGGTTTAGTCAGAGCGACTTTTGGTCATATATTAGACAGTGCTGGCACTCGTTAACGCCCCAAGTGTCGTAGTTCACACATGTCGAACCACCATGTCGAATTCCGACCCGCCGCCCCTAACTGACACCTTCACCGTGCCCTCAACATGCTATCAGTCTACCTTCGGCGCTCAAATCACTACAGAAACTGCGAACGGTATCTACTTTCTCCTTGGTGATCCCAATTCAGCTGGAGATTGCCTGCCGTCCGCGGTTGGGACTTCAACCGTCTCCTATTTTTCCCCTGGTCTCTACTGTCCCCACGACTGGACAACAGCCTGCAGTAGAACATCAGATGGCCAGGCGATTGCAACCTGCTGCCCACCTGGCAGCTATGTCTGCGAGCTGCAGTCTACCTTTGCAGATCTGTATTACTGGATCACCTTGTATCCGTGTATCTCGTACGTTGGAGACGCAGCCGTAACGGCAACCAGTGTGCCCGTTATCATCACAAGCCCGACATCACATACCATTTACTATACCTTGGCTCCAAATGATGCTGTCAACGCTCCTGGGGTCGAATTAAGGGTAGATATATCGGCCAATACTGCATCTGCTACCACGAGCTCTGGGGTCACCGCCGGCTCTGTTATCGCCACCAACTCTGTTATCACCACCACCTCTGTTGCCAGCAAGCATAAGGACTCGACAAAGGCATTGGCGATTGGACTAGGCGTACCACTGGGTATTATCGGAGCTGCCGTAATTGGAGCAGCAATCTGGTTCTTTCGAAGAAGGAAGAAGGGAGATAAGAGTCAGAACGTAGTTGATACGGGAGAGACCAAAATGGCAGAGGCGGATGGCAAGGCTCTTAAACCGACTGTGGAAATTGACGGGATAACAGCGGGGACAAGGGTACATGAGTTGGATATTTCGCAGGCTAGGGCAGAGCTTCCAGTATAGAGGGCTATAATTTAATCAACTTTTTTATTAATTAGCTACGTCAGTTTTCTAAGTTTGGAGAATGATTTTTCCCTAAAGAAGTTTAATATTAACTTTAGAAAATATATTAACTAACTAGCTTTCTAAGTTAAGTAAAAATCAGGAATATTTAATAAAAACCTCAAATTAAAATTAGTAGTTATAGTTAAAAGAGTTTTAGTATTAACTTAAATATATTAAACAACTGTTAGTTAGAAGAGGGGTCTAATAACCCCTCTTCCAGCTGATCCGGATGACCGGAACAAGCAAGCATCAACATCATCATCACTACATTGATCCCTATCCATTTAATCGAATTGTCCGTAACGGATCCAACAACAAACACAAGAAGATCACCAGAAGATGAATATATTCACCACCCTCATCATCACTACATTGACCCTGAATGGTGAACTCGAACGTCCTCTTGACTGGTTAATAAAAGAGGGACCGCGTATCCAACAGAGCCCTGTTAGATTGACGCCTGAGTGCGAATAAGAGGGAATTTGCCCTCTGTTATAACGATAGGCTTGTGACGATAAATGGCCTGACCAAATGTGTCCTTGGACCGTGACAGGATCACGGTTGTCTCAGGATCACAGCTGTCCCAGGGCCAGAACCGCCACATTTTTCCTCGGACCTCATCTATCCCAGGACCGTAGCTATCCGGGACCATAGCTATCCCGGAACACGCCTTCAATGATTAGAACGCAGGCTTAAGCATGGCTGTTAGAAGACTGCGAGGAAACATTGTACTCAATTAAGCACCAGTGCTCTTAGGCCTATGTATGCGCTCGGATTGTATCAAATATTTGCAATACTCTCGCCCACCAAGCTAAATCTCTCCATCATCTAAGGACCCACCAAGGCATTTACAATCGTCGTGCTTTTGGATGTGATTGGCTGGCTCAGAACGTCCCATCGAAGTGATGTCCGCCAATGAGATCGCAAGGCACACTTGTGCTGATGCGATTCAGCCTTTCCGAAAATCGCATCGTCTGACTCCCAACCGCTCAGCCTGATATTGGCCCTGAACCAAAAAGCCCTCGCATATCCGTGCGCTGGCCGTCGAGGCAAAAACTGCAATATTGCCGACGCCTCAACGTCCACAACATTGGTGCTTTGATCTAGCAACCATGACAAGGACCAGCCAGGACTCATAAAAGCTTTTTGAACGGCCCCCTCTCCGGGCTTCCATTTTCCCAGTTCTTGTTTCTTGCCCTCTTGCAAAGTGAGATTCGGGAGCCTTGACCCCCGTCTAGCTCGGGAAGATTATTGCAACACCAACAGATCTCCGGATCGTGCGCTATCGCAGATCTCGAGTACGTGGCGGGTGCGCATCACCAGTTTTGACGATAACTACACTGTTGGCTGCTGCTCATTTCGAATGTCCATGTTAATTCCGGACGGGACGCATCCGGTCCCGCCGTGGGTCAACGGTCGCATCCGGCCTCAACGAACGGAGGTGCTGCAACGCCTGTATGACCGATGGCGAGACTCGGTGGAATGTCAGACTTTCGAGAGCTTCTTGCAACTTAACCAGGATAGGGCGATGCTGCAAGTGCCGTCCTTGCAACGCTCTCTCGCACAGCGAAGCGGCGGGTCTTCTTCATCGACTCGTTTAGCTTCCTCGGCACCTGAGGACTACGAGTTTGGCGAGCACGACAAGAAACCTCAACGCCGGGGTCCTCTTTCAAAAACAAAGAGGGAGAAGACAGCCTTCATTCGCAGGCTTGGAGCGTGCGTATCATGTCGCGGAAGGAAAGTTGCGGTAGGTCATTCAGCAGTCCACTGGCCGGGGATCCTCGACTAAAATCCCGATAGTGCCTCCATTGGGATCTTACAGAGTTTGAAGAGTGCTATCAGTCGTCAAAGCATGGCGATGAAATACACTTAAATGGAGTCGACGAGCTCAGCCCTCTGTCACATGGAGATGAACTTCTGGATCCGGAGCATCACAGCCCACTCGCACCAATATCGCAGTTACAAATGGATGTCGGCCTTGCGGGCCTGCCACAATCTTCTTCTATCAGCCCTATCAGCCCCATCAACCTCATGACACCTACCAGGCCTGCGCTCCATTCCATGTGCGCTCCTCTCCCCTCCAACATCACAACCATGGGCTTCCACGACTCTTTCGGCGACGATGCCTGGGCTTCCTGGTCCACAGGACCCCGAATCTCATATGACCGGTCGTCCCTCGATCGACCGAGCCTACATCTTCCCGACTCCGCTCGTCAGCGCCTCGACCGACTTTCAATGAATCCAGCAAGGAATGAGGGGGGCCAGGGTTCCAACCCCGTGCCCGCAAAGCCTACTCCAACAGGGCGCGGAAGGCTAGCTAGCAGACACGAAGAGGTTGATCCTAATGAGTTCGTCGACGAGGAGCCCCAGCCAGAACTGAAGCAGCCGCGACGACATCTCCTGACACTGAAGATCCCGAAGGGCAAGAACTTCAGCGAGCCTTCCTCTGCCATCACTGACAATGGAGAATCTCGTCCATCGACAGCTTCTTCAGAGGAGTCCTGGCACACCGGCAAGATGCCCCCCACAGACTCCGGATACGCATCTGCACCTAATCTGGATCGGTATTCGCACGCAAAATCCTCGACTGCGCAAGCCCGGAGCCCTGCCTCTAACAAATCTCCAGCCGCAATGAACGACATTGATATCGACGATACCAGAACTCTGTACTCAGCTGGGACTACCGCTGCGCCTTCGCGAGTGCAGATTGCCGAGATTTGCAGTGACATCTATAGCAAACTGAGCGACTGCCTCAACGCCAAGACATGGCCCATCGTAGCCAAGGTGCTTCCTGACCTGGTTAAGGCTTTCGCTGTCAAGCTGGGAAGCGACTCTACTGCGCAAGTCAACCAAGACGTAATGTATTTCGTTCATAAGCGACACAAGTGAGTTTTTGGCGCAATGAAACCATTGTGTTATATCGTCTAATCAAGTCTATTAGAGAAGTAGTTGCCCGAATTGAAGCGATGTTTCGTCATGACATTGACGACCAACCAGAGGATCGCCGAGATATTCCCGAAGGAATGCCCCTGCTTGACAAGATGGCCATGTGGCAAAGCAAGGTTGGCGAAGACCACACACATGCAACCGAAAGCGATGATTGCTTCAAAGGAGTCAAGGACTACGAATCCGACCCCATTGAAGAGATCAATCTGCCCGAGTACCACAAGGTCATATTTGACAGCGAGGCCTACAAGTGGTTCCTTACCAGTTTTAGGAAGGAAGTTATTCTGCAGTGGGGAGCGTCGCACTCACGCATCATGACGGAGAGTATTCGCTGCAAACTTCTTGAGAAGCTCCCGACTGGAACCATCAGCTGGCGACATGCTCCTAGCTCTCATGAAGTTACTTTCGTTCTTCATTGGCACCAAAACATGCAATTGCGCCTCGGGCGTGAAAATATTGAGCTGCCGTCATGGCCAGCTCACTCATTTTCAAGTTTTGTTGTTCTGACGGGTTCACCGGAGGAGGCGCAGGCACTTACCATGAAGCAGTACATGAATCAGACATGGCCGACTAATGGTTTGCAAATATTCAATCTTCTACAAGAGGCGATTTCCAGCCCCAATAGTCTGTATTCCGGTAAGGCAGCTCATCCACTTGCTCCTGGTGTGCCTCATACTGATGCGTCCCACGTACCTAGCCGGGTCGCCGCCTAATGCACCAATTGTCGCAAGAGTATTTGGCTCTAAACTCACGGTTACAGCCGCTGGACCGGCGTACTTCATCGCGGAATGCGGTGAACAGCTCGCTTGGCTAGCGTCTGCTCTTGCAAGCAGTACTCGAGATGTCATCGCTCACTGCACGCCCTCCGTCGCAAATTTCGATATTCGGGCTACGCCTCCACCAAACTCGACATACCGTGGTAAATGCGATGTTATACTCGAAATCACTCATGTGGCTAGTTTAGATGGCTCTAGACCAAGGGAACAGAATTCTTGGGAAGCTGTGGTTAGGGGGAATAACCTTATCAAAGGGTATCCTATCTCTCGGCGACCAGAGGGATTCCCAGGCCTAGAACTTTCCTTGGACATTCTCTTGTATTTGATGCAGGCTAAGGAGGTTTGTATCTCTGGCGGACACGTCTTGATCAGAGGGCCAGAGAGGACGCTGAAATTGGTGAAGCAGACTGACAAGGTCTGTCTTTGGCATCCTCTTGACACTGTCACCCGGGGCTGTTTCTGTAATCAGCTTCCCACTAGAGTCGATATTTCGAATCTAGAGACGGATCGCCACGTTCTAGGGAGTTGCGAGCGCCAGGATGCTCGACCTGAAAGTGAGTCTTTGGAGCTCCTGTTTCAAATGAGTTGTTTCTAACCGTACAAAAACATAGACGCTGACAGAGTCTCCACGATCGCCGGCTCATCTGAAGATATGGTTCCCGAAGATTATGGCGTCGCCGGGATAAGTCATCTAGACGCAGCAGGGAGTGAGTCTCAGCGTCTCGCAGCGTTTCGCCGGAACGAGGCAGACTCCGTCCTTCACGGCAGTCGAAGTGGAGAGATGGTTCGGAGATGGTCGACGAGCCGTGGAGTCGAATATCCAATCTCGGAAGATTGCCTACCCACCTCTCAGATGGGTCTCTCAGAAAGCAATGGAGATTTTCCATCAGTGGTAGCATCAGAATCGGGTGATGACTCTTTCGACACAGACCAGCTTTCAATATCGGATTCTTCCGAGGACATTAAACCCCTGGATGCCAACGAGCCGTTATACCCCATTCTAAACCATGTGCTCCATCAACTTCTTTCCGGATTTCGAAGTTGGACACAACATCCGTCGTGTGCCAGCGGAAGTGGTTCAGGATCTGGCACGTCGGCAAGTGCACTGGGACTGTCAAGCAGCAGTGCTGGAGGTACTCCTAGTCAGAGTCGTCCAAAGAGAAAACGAGGGAAAGACGACAGTGATGACGCCGATCAAAATGGGTTCCGAAGACCGCCGAAAAAGAAAAGCAATTGCGATCCTGGTGATGCTTCGAAGAAGTCGTTTGCATGCCCTTACTTGAAGAAAGACCCCATCAAACACGGCAGCTGCTGTGCGAAGAAGCTGAGCAGGATTCGAGACGTGAAGCAGCATCTCGCCAGGCGACACACGCCCGAGCGGTATTGCCAGCGCTGCTTAGAAACCACCTTTGCGGATGAGCAAAGTCTGCAGGTGCACATCGATCTGCGAATATGTCTCAGCCGGGATCCCTCTATGCTAGAAGGGATATCGTACTATCAACACCGGCAGCTTTCGAGAAAATCTGACTCGAGTCTCGGCGAAGAGGGCCAATGGTTTGCAATTTGGGAGATTCTTTTCTCCGGACGCATGAAACCAAGCTCACCGTATATAGACGCTGGTTTTTCGGTGGAGATGCGTCTCTTCCGTGAATACAGTTATAGCCGCGGCCCAGCCATGGTCAGAGAACAGATCGAGTTGAGCACGGATTTCTTGAGACAGGACATTACAGAAGCACAGCGACTGGCCTTGGATCGAGTAATTGCCGAGGGCATCAGCCGCCTGTTTGAGGATTGGCGGTCGGCTCAACCTGCCGGCTCACTATCTTCAAGGCATCAGAGTAACTATTTCCAGCGAACAGGACAAGGAACACCGATGACCTCCGTTGCGGATAGTGGTGTGGCAATGGGGAGTCAATTCTCCTCCTCTGGAGAAGTCAGGTCTCAAGGGGGAATCACTCAATCTTCGAGCATGCTGGAGTTGACCTTTCCGCCAACGGCAACTACGACGGGAGTGGAAATTCAAGCTTCTTCAACAGCGCAAGACGTCGCCGTGGAATTATCTCAAAACCATGAACAGGATTGGCTTGCCCTCCTTTCAAATCCAGACAACTTGGAATACCACCTCGGCGCCGGAAACGAGCATAACTTTGATCATGCGTTCAATCCTGGGGTGCTTGATTTCGATCCGCCACAAACGAGTCTTGGAGGAGTTGGTTATTATTCTCAGCCAGGTGAAAATAAGGGACCAGATATGGAGAGCCGACGAGACCTATATTTGCTATGACTGGCAGTTGAGTGGACACAGCGGTAGCTTCCTTCTTGATATAAAAATGTGTACAATAATTGTTAACTTTACCCTTCAGCATCTAAAGGGCCATTGCGGGGCTGTTCAGCTAGTCAATGCGCTGATGCTTAAGGGGAGAAACTTAAGATGGAGTTTGCTATTACCCGGCGTGCTTATATGATTTCATCCCTGGGCGTAAGTCAGCATCCACATATATCACCGGACCCTGAGCTGGCTGAACCAGCTGGAAGATTCTTCACCCCCATGATTCCTACCACACCTCGCTTGGCATGACCATGTCGGCGTTGCCGTGACCCATCGGCCTTTCCGTGCGGTTGGCCTGCCAGACCGGCACTATAAGAGTTAGTTTTGTGAATATCAATCTGTACCTTAGCTGTAGCGTCCTTCTTTAACCTTTCTGCTGGCTAAGAATAGGAGCTACTAATAGTAAGATATACTTTCTACTCTATACCTTCTTAATATTTAATTTATATTAATATCTTTAAAGTTATTAATTCTTTTTTTATTATATTTAATTTACTTTTAATTTTAATTAGTATATTTTAAAATAAATCTTCTTTAAAATATATCTTATTTAAGTTTTTTTTTTTAAACTTTACTTATTATTATTAAATAAATTAAAGTTATATAATAATTTTAAATAGTAAAAATAAGATTTAGGTTCTTATTTTTATTCTGTAAATAAGTCTATATTATTTTAGGTTATTTATTAATATTAAATAAAACTTAAAGAAATAAATATTACTCTTTACATAACTCCAAATCTCTAATGGTAGATTTTTAATAGTAAAGCCCCTGTAAGATATTGACTGTACAGGCCGGAGAATATAATAAACAATAAGTGAATTCAATGGCTATTTACACAACATAAAGGCCTGCTATAGTTCTAGCAGCTATTCTGCAGCTGTTACTGCAAGTGTAACATTGGCCTCGCTGTGATGCTGTCCCAGACCTTCCTTCCAACCCCTCCGCAGCCGCGTAATCTCTACGACGACGTGCAGAATCGCTCAATATCCCTTCTTCAATCTCTCATTACGGCAGGATCCGCTTCATGCTTTGATTGGGGAAGACAGGCACATTACCGGCCGCAGCAGTCGGGAGAATTGGGTCACCCGACTGAGTTTGTGCGATTGGAGATTTGGGGTTATGCGAATAGTAATACTTGAAGAAACAGCTTTATACTCTATAATTTATTTACTAGTAGAAAGATGTCCACTAGAAGCCCACTTAACCTGGTTCGTTTGATCTAACTTAAACTTTAAAAATACAAATTCCTCCTTTTTCTTGAACGATGTAAAACAGATCAGCCAGCGAAAGTCCAACACTGAGACTTATATATAGGGGCATTGACATTGAACAGTGTGTTGCTGTAGAGGGTTCCAATATAAGCAATGACGTCCATATTGAAGGTGCTGGCGAACCAGGCGCCATTGGGGCAGGTAGCCGTGTCCGGCTTAGTGAAGGTGACACCCGACTCGCTGGTGTAGGCAAAATCAAGGTCAGCAGAGAAGGCGTTGATAATCTGGGGTTTAACTTCAAAGCCCGAGGTCAGGTCGATAGCGCCCTTGAAGACACGGATACCGAGAGCAAGGTTAAGATCGAGGTAGGGATTGAGCTGCAGCGACACCTCGGCGCTGACATCGGAGGAGACAGAGGTCTCTGGCTTCCAGCCGCTGGTAGAGGACTTGTCAGAGTCGAGGAGGTCGAGGTGGACCTGGCCGTTGAGAATCTCGCTGTGGAGGCCGAGGGAAGCGTCGACGTTGCCTGACGCGGCGAACTCGACACCGAGACCGAACTCAGCGATGGGGCCGACGTCGAGAATACCGGGGATAGTAAAGGCGGAGACAGAAGCAGAAAGGGGTTGATAGTTGAAGATGTCGGATGAGTAGGAAGCAGAGACAGCTGCAGAGACATTGACGTTTACGAGACCGGAGTAGTCGACGTCAAGGTACATCTTGCTGGGCTTGAACTTGAGGAAGTTGAAACGAAAGCCGCCCTTGATTCGGATGTTGCTCTCGAAATTGGCCTGATCGATGACGATCTTGAGGCTCTCTGTGTCGATGAGGGTTCCATGAATCTCGCCGCTAACTGATGCCTTGAGGTCACGTTTGGCAGGAGTCGACGTAGTGTCGAATTCGACAACGGCGTCTTCACTTTGCTCGTCAAAGGCAGAGCGCTTGCCAGCGGCAGTGGCAGTCAAAGAGGCGTCGTCGAAGGTCAGGCCAGAGACGTTGTAGAAACCACGCTCATCGGCGGTGTTACAACCGCCATCGGGAGAGTACGTGATAACAATAAAGTCGGATGTGGGCCACGCGGCAGAGGAGGCTTTGAGGGAAGCAGCATCGCTGAAGGTCATAGATACACCGGCATCGGTGCACTCGACGGAGGCGATTCCAGCGACTTCCTCCAGCACAACGGCAGGCTGCTTCATGACAGCGTCAACGTAGGCCGTCATGTCGTCGGCACCATACCCGAGGAAGATCGCCTTGGCCGGCGTCAGAGTATCTTGTCTGACCTCGAGGCCGGAGGCAAGACTGGACTTGAGAGCCTGGGGGCGAGAGATGGGCTTTAAGACAACTGGAGTGTCAGTCTGGCCGTCCGTCTGTCGGGCCTCCAGACTGTTGAGACGGCTGGATTCGAGTCCATCAGGTCGGTGGATGGGACGAAGAATAACCTTGCTGTCATCGCTGGGTAATGCAGCTGCGGAAGTGTACCCGGCGAGGGCGACGATTGAAAGGAGGAAAGAAGGAGAGGTCTTCATGTCTGCTGAAGATGTATTATTTGAGCGAGAGGCAAGCAGAGCTGAAATGATAATCAACGGAAGTGAGTGACGGTGTTTTGGAGAACGAAAGAAGGTGGTAAGGAAAAGACTGATGGATGCTTCTGGATATGGAGCAAGATGAGGATTGGGTGCCGAAGCGTTGACCCTTTATAGACAATCATCGCGATATGTTTCCTAGGTACGGAGTCGTGCATCCAACTGGTGACCAAGCATTGACACCGCAATGCCAGAACCGGACTGCCCGTGGCATCGTCAGGGAGAACTGGCGATTCTTTCCTTGTGCTGCGCCTCACGTCCAGTGGTAAGGTGTGAATGGAAACGGGGTTGACGATGGAAAGGGCCGACCCCTGTCAACCGCGTTCATGCCGTAGCTTGGAGATGGGCTATGTGATGACAAAGGGGTAGCGACAAGTGTCCGGTAGTCATCACGGGCTCCCGCATGAAAAGGGAGTCTGAAGAGTACGCAAATACTCAGTTGTCAACATCTGCTCATCTAGTGCTCAATTGGGTCTAAAGCTACTGAGGTAGAAACTCCTATGCAAGTCTGTCGTTGAATGAGGCTCTGAGACAGCGCTGTTCGGGCCATCATCCGACTTCACGACCCCTGACGGCCCACGCGACTGACATTAGGTTCTCGTCTCTGTCTTGGCAGCTTCAGGCGAGTCATTCGTCCATCGCCACCCCCGCCATCCCGGCTGATTTGTCCAAGCTCCAATACGAGAAACTGGGGGCAAGTTGAGATCTGAAACCTTGGCGTCTGAAGGGGATCGCATTGCCCGAGCGCCAATACGGATCTGGCCGTTCTTATTACCCAGTTGGGAGAACACTGCCGTGGGTTACTTAACTGAAATGGGAAAAGTCCGGATTCGTCTTAACTCGAACATGACAGGAGTGAACTTTCTTCGGCAATGCCGATATACGGTATTGAGTATTAAGCTCCAGATGTAAAGCTGGCCCATTCACCGTGTCATGGATTTAAGGTCTTTGGGTAAAACAGGGGAAATTGAAGCTGTTTTAGGATTTTCCCCACCAAGGACATCTGTTCTAGCCTCTGGTCCCTGCATATACTCGGCAATGCATGGTTTTCTGAAGCATTTGATCGGACGACAATCCATGATGTCGAATGCACTTTTCAGTCACGTTGCAACAACGCAATTTTAGCTACCAAAAATTCTGGTGTTCGACATGTAGATGAATCTATTGGCCCGAATATGGCTGGTCCTCATGGCACATCGACTAAACCAGTGCGCATCTGTGTCGATATTGGACAGGCTCGAAAAGTGCTGGAGGATTGGTGAAAGTACCACTGGGCTTCGCAGGGAAAGTGTAATCACTCTTAGACTTGCTAGACGTGCCTAGAACGGGTGGATGTGGTGGCGCAAAGCTGGAAACTCGCCAGCCGTGAGTACAGTTCGCAAGACGCTGGACTTGTCAACGAAACCAACCTACGAAAGCGATACGGAGTTGCCTTCCCTTAAAATAAGAACACAGGATGCGACACTTTGTACTATGCACGCAGTCCAGCCTATCTGATTCACCCCTGGCCGACAGCAGTCCTATTTTGCAGTTTAGGGGTGTGGCGGCGGCAGTGACACCAACGGTCTAGTTTTGAGACACTACACACTGTGGCGTATGCAATGATGCCCAACTGTTGCCTCGTTACAGTCCAGGCTGAAGCCGCAGTCAAGGTGCATCATGTACGTTATCAGCTTTGCATTGTGGAGTGTTCTATTTGGCTGACGGACTGGCCAGCCACCTCGCGCGACCAATGCCACAGGGCAAGATCTCTTGGAAGGCAGATTTTTAGGTCGATAGCCGTGAGTTACACTCTGGGTTTATTGTGTCCAGTTAGATTGAGCTTAAGAATACTGGGTGAAAGTCGGAGATCCACGCAAGCTGGTAGAATGCTGAACAAAAAAGGATCGAAGGGACATGCATCTTAATCATGCATCAATTGCCAGCAGATGGATGTATTTTGAGTCGAATTGTGAAGGGGCATGACCCACCGAGTTCCATCCGGTCGCAGTATCGTGGATCAGCACCACCTGCAACCTTGCAGTTTTATCCTTGCTGTGAGCTCTGAATAGCCAACAAAGTTACTTGTGGCTTGTCTTATCTTTTCCGGGCTCAAAAGTGCACCCCTATTTTCTTAATCACGTCATATATTTCAAACCCCGCTCCAATCGTCGTTCAGAGGATCCCTTGGTGGCGTCCTCCTGCTCTATAAAAAGACCAGGCTGTGGAAAATGCTGTCTTCCAAGTGGGAAAACATGCAGATCAGCACCAAGCTTTCCCAACTCAGAACATCATGCATAATTGTTCCCCACACAATCTCAGCCGTATATGCATAGCTGAAATGTGATGTGTCTAGATGCTGGTGGACCTTGCAAGCTACGGCGCGCCAGGTGGGCTGGATCTGAGGCCATTAAGCAAGGTCAGCTGCCATGGTATGCGGCTTTAAATGGAATCTGCCTCAGTTGTATTTAAGATTGAATGGTAGTAGCTATTATCTTCCACTATCACGACTGGCCCATTCTTCCGATGTGGAAAAAACTAGGAGATGGTTGGCGGCGTACCGCTCTGCTCAACACCATCCTCACATGCACCCTCACGGCTTTTGGGGTCATTTTGCTTTCTTACAGCATCTCAAAGTCTGGGAGCCTCAGCACCAACTTCATCATTACCGAAGGGAGCTGCAAAAAGACCAAATCGGTAAACACGTGGCTGCACCTGCTCCTCAACGCTTGCTCCACGGGCATACTGGCTTCGTCGAATTTCTTCATGCAGGTGTTGAGCTCGCCGACACGAGCCGAAGTTGATAGGGCACACCGGGATAATTTTGCTTTGAAGATTGGCGTGCAATCGATGAGAAATCTTTGGCGAGGCTCCGGGGTCAAACTCACCTGTTGGACGCTCTTCTTTTTGGGCTCATTTCCGCTTCATGTGATATTCAACAGCGCCATCTTTCCCACTGAATACATGAGCCCCGATTGGAACCTGACAATTGCGGCAGAGGGTTTCATAAGTGGCGCGCCATATTTCGGACCCGGCGCAGGTGTGTGGCCACCAAAGAGCAAAAGCGATCAGTCCTTACTTAATGTTACGGGATATGGACACAACGAAGACCTGTACGACTACTTCAAACCCACCAGTGAGGTTTCCAGGAGGATCGAGTTTGCGGCCAACCATGCTCAAGATTGGAGACGACTAGAGGTTGCGGATTGTCTGTCCCAATATCAATACTGCAACGGACGCGTCGACTTCCGTGACGTCGTTATGGTCGTCAAGGCCAAGAACTGGTCAGCCATGGTATCAAATGACACCAGTCTTGGCTGGGATCGAAGCAGTGTTTTCGTCCTAAGAAACTCATCCGACAAGGCCCTCCAGGATCTGTGGGACAAGAATGTTCCTCCAAATTCAACAAACTCTCTTTGGTTCGCTACCAGTTGCAATACCCTTCCCCTCCTGGATGGAGGTCGATTTGGGTCTTGCGTGCAGAGCTGCGGCGATGCTCTGGGTAACCCGGGGGTAATGCCTGACTCTCTGCAAATGAAATCAAAACCCGCCAGATCAATCCCCTCAAGCTACAGATTCGGGTTTTTGGATCTGACTTGGACAGAGGGAGATAGGCCTGACGTCGTTGATGAAAACGCGGTAGTACTTGATCTGCAATATTGCCTGGTGCAACAATTCTCACCTACCTGCAAAGTTTGCGTATCGAATACTCTGCTTATGATCGTCGTCACAGCTGCTGCTCTGAAGGCTATCCTCTGCGTGGCTGCCTTACGCTGCCTATCCGAAGAACATCCCTTGGTCGTGCCTGGTGATGCCATCGCATCTTTCATCCGCTCCCCAGATAGATTCACTATTGGGAGGTGTACACTGGACAGAGAACTCGAGGGTACAACGAAAGATGGAAGATACCCAATGTTGGCTGGACCGTCGCACTGGTACACCCAGGACCGGAAATGGTCACAGGCTATCGAGGGCATGGTTCTGGCCAGGACCTACGCCTTTCTCCTTCTCATCTTCATCTTCCTCGCTGCGATGCTATATGCGTCACTGACTTTGCATCCAATCAGTTAACAGAGCTTGACACATGACGTGGCCAATGGAATTCTCCACGTTTCTGGAGCGACCCCTGCTGAGTTCATACCGGCCGTTGTAAAGGGAAACATGCCACAACTACTTCTGTCAATGTTCTACTTCGACTATAACTCGCTGTTTACTCGTCTTTGCGCTGAGAAGGAGTGGAGTTCATACGGAAGAGACTATCGTCCACTTCGAGTGACTCAACCGCGGGGGCAGCAACTATCGGCCTATAGACTGCAATTGCCGTATCGATACAGCGTTCCCTTGATCTCCATATCAATTTTGCTACACTGGCTAGTTTCAAACGCGTTGTACGTGTTTGTGGCCGAAGGCGGTAAGTCTTCTGTGTTGATTGAAGGTGTGTCCACCATGTTTGGCGTTGACTGGTTATTAGGATACTTCAAACCCCCACTCCAGGATCACGCCATATCATTGAAAACTGGACTCGATGATGACGCTTTTGTCGGCATTGGCTGGTCTGCTCCAGCATTGCTGGCGCTCTTAGCGGCTGTTTCCATGATGGCTGTCATTGCCTTGATACTGATGAGTAGGCATATTAAAAGCCCAATGCCTCTTGCGGGGAATAACTCACTGGTCTTGTCTGCGGCCTGTCACGTCCGTATAATTCAGAACGTGGGTACGTTCGGTTCTGAGGGACATGCCTTAGGGGTAAGGAAGTACCACTCGGTACCCACAGAAGAGGTCGATTCGTTCATTGATGATCAGGACACCACTCAGAGAAACAGTACATCAGGTTCACTTGAGATGGTGAATTTACTTCCAACTGAATCTAGGGAATTTGATTACACAGTCGACTCCAATGACTCTTGTGTTCTGAAGCCACGGATCCTGGACGAAGAGCAATACCTGCTTCGGGTCTCACAAAGCCCAGTTCGTTGGGGAGAAGTTACCACGAAGGAAAGTAGGAATTGGCAGTATACTAACGTGAAGGAGACAATAGCACACTTGAGTTTTGGTACAAGGCAACACCATGTTAAGGAGCCGGTAAATGGGAAGTTGTATACATAGAATTATTTAATAATAACCCTATGCAGAAACATAGGCCTTTTTATTAGAGACAATGTTTTCATAAATTAACCTCGCACTTATGGGGCGGTCAATAACAGCATCGATATATCCTTCATGACATTCATATAAATCCACACGTATTAAACCCTTTGTTTCTTGCATCATATTGACTCAACTCTTGAGCTTATCATTGTAGCCTGATATCCAATTCGTAAGAGCTACCTGTCTTCAAACAGAACACGGCACTTGCATCCAAATAGCTCTTGAATACTCTTCTTGACCATCTTGCCTAAGAAATGGTTCATTTCCATCCCTAGAGCTTGCCCCATCATTGCGCATCCGATAATCAGTCGCCAGCAATATTTCAAATATTTGTCTAGCTCGACACGGTTTTCCGGATGTAAAGGGTGATCTGGGACTGGAAGGCGCCGTTGCGGAGAGTATGAAGCCCTTTCAAGAATGGAGTTAGACAGTTCCACTGGGAGACCCTTTTGGCACAAGACCCATCTAACATGTGATACATCGCCGGAACTCGGTTGGAATGCAACAGGCTTCTCAAAGGCTAATAATTCACTATAGGACATTAGTCCATATGGGTAGTAACTCAGTCTCTGATATCGACCCTCGAGAAGGTGACCCCAGCGTCCCATGTCGCGAGGTTCGGGGTGATTGCTGAACTGGCCGTTTTCGATACCAAAGAATTGTCGATGCGGATAAGTGGGAACATCAGACGCTGTCCAGCCAGATTTGGTGCAACGATGAACGACGTACTGATAGACCTTGGCGGAGGTGTAGTCGTTAATGGTAGCTCCCGCCTTGTCCCAAGTTTCCGGGAAGCAGTGCAAGACGTTGAGAAGAATGTAGCTGTACATGGCGAGCCTACAGATCTCGCCCCATCCGGCGTCTGCAATCTCGCATTGACATATCGATCGTTCCCACCAGCGGCTTAAGTCGACACGTGGACCAGCGCAGATGCGAAGAAGCGTCTCCATTTCCCCGTAGAGCAGCAACGTCTTGACAATTTCGACGCTAAAAAAGCCATCTCCGTTACAGGTGAAGAAGTTGTAGCAGGGGTTGTTCGAGTATTGTTCCTGGAAAGCAGACTGTTTTCTCCGTTTGAGTGGCAGAGGGCATTGGCATACTGTCGCCTCATCGTCATGCTGGCATAGCTCCTTTCTCTGTGGGTGTTGAACGGGTCCGAACTCGTCTTCCGAGGTGTGATCGAGGCGCCATCGGTAGACGGTCGCTTCAATCTTCTTGGCCACAAGATCGGTCAAGATGATGTCGTCTTTTTCCGGGTTGGGATCCGCGACACATGACTCGGCATACTTGGCACCATCACAACGTGCGTGATCCAGAACGTTGGCGACGAAAGCATTGGTGAAGTAGGTCAGCTTCTTGACGACGTCTGGCTGCTTGCGTACATGGAAGTTCTTAGCATCATGTTGGCAAGGATTGACTTTCTTCAGTTGAAGGGTTGCGGCCAAGACATTCCAGGGTATATTGTGTGCTTGGTGCGCCATTTGTTATGTTGGTGTCAGATTGAGGCACTCCAGAAGTTCACTGCGGCTCAACGCTTACATCGAGTCAAAACCAGAGTCACGTGTTTGGATGAATGATAAATTTCTGTGCATGGTGAAAACTTCTCATTTGTTAACGCAGTGGTCGCTTCAAATCGCATGTGGCCTTCCGTAACGTAGCATCACTGATAGTATATCCGACCATCCCACATCAATGGTACAAAGAATTTCTCACTTTTGACGATGCTCTAATAAGATGCTCAATGACTTCTATTGAATAGAGGACTGTAAGTAGCTTGTAGCTTAAATAAAGGATAGCTACCTAAAATAGCTACCAGCCGAATACGTCTTTAGTCGGGTAGCGGTTTTTGAACGACTATAGACACTCTCTATCACTACAACTAAAAGAGGGCTCGAATCTAGAGTAGTAACCATTTTCTAGGTAGCTTCCTGGGATCTCTGGCACTCCTCGCATCCATCGCCGTAGAGTCCTGGGTAGCTCACCGCTCTTGAGCTGACTGGTGATACAAGTGAACTAAGCAGCTGTTTTTCGTATCGGAATGAAGTGGGCCTATATCCGGGGACCTTTGGTCGGCGGCCATCGGTAAGCCCGTGGCATTCGCCGAACTTCTTGCCAATAGACACTGCCTGGACTATCCGCATGGGTACATGGTCGGCGAGGTGCGGGGAGGCAGTAAACGCTAAGGGAAATGCACTTTAGGAGGCGGGATTAATATGACCATTTTGGTGATAGTATATTGAAACCACCTTCCTTCTTGAGACAGGAAGACAAGATATTTTTGGCAGGTTGATACACCTCATAAATTCTTCAATTTATACAAGGACGGGCATATTTGGCCGATATAAATAAGTTACATCACCGATAATGTCCACGGATCGTACAAGGGTTTCAATTGCCGATGATTACTTCTGGGATCTTTATGGAACTATTCGTGCAGGAGCTCGATTGATCCACCCGGTATCGCCGTCTACATAAGATGCAGGTCGGCGCGCTTATGTCATTTCTTAGCAGCCTTTGGCTGGGTAAATCAAAAGTTCTGGTTGAAAAGTCTAAGCCCTCTTGTTTGCCGGTATACAAAATGCACAGCATCGTCGCTTTGTTTCTACTTTTCACTGATTTTCAATCTTCTGCGTTGTCATTGTCCTACCCTTTGCTTTGCCCGTGGTCCGCAGACCGCAAACGACAGCCGGCGAGCAGTGCCTTTGTCTTCTAACGATTTCAATTTGGCCAACGGTTCAAGGAAAGATGATTCAAGCTTCTCAAGGAATACAAGTCTCCAATCTAAATCCAGACGGTAAGAATGGATTCTATCCCGATCAGGGAAAAGGAGCCATTTGACATCCTGAAAACAGACGGATCGGATCAAAATGCTCAGCTCCCCGATGACCAACTCCTCCAAAAGCGGTTCGCTCCAGTGGATGACGAAGAATCCCTCGAATCATCGAATCCTGTGTCGGAAATAGGCGAGAAGTGGAACAGTCCTGGTGAGAATATAGGTAGGCTCGCCTTTGCCTTTCTATCCTTTATAGTTGCGGGTATGAGCGACGCAGTTGTTGGGGTATAGTTACTTTGTGGCCAAATGCACTTGACCAATGGCTAACCAACGTGTCTAGGCGTTGCTTCCCTCCGTAAGTCAAATGTCTGTTAACCATGCGAACTATTACTCATATTGGTACAGATCGAGTCCTACTATAAGCTTGACTATTCCACCATCTCCCTCGTCTTTCTCACTCCATTCTTCGGCTACTCAATCGCCGCATTCATGTGTTCTCGAATCCACATGAGATGGGGCCAGCGTGGGATTGCTATTCTGGCACCAATTTGTCATGTTGTGACATTTGTTGTACTTGCTGTCCATCCGCCGTTTCCCGTATTGATTGTGGGCAACGCGTTTAGTGGATTTGGAAATGGTCTTACAGACGCCTGCTTTCCGGCTTGGGTTGGGGGGATGCATAGAGGCAGCACACTCCAAGGATTTTTAACCGCTTGTTACTCGATCGGAGCCCTTTGCGCACCTTTAGTGGCTGCTGTGATGATTTCCAGAGCTAGCCTGCCTTGGTATACTTTCTACTATATTATGGTAATAGCCCATCGCTGTCGTTTTAATTCCACTAACTTTGACCTTGTAGGTTGGGCTATCTGTTTTGGAGCTCTGTGGCCTGGTGGTGTGCTTCTGGAGATGCGACGGCCCCTCATATCGAGCTTCGCAACCGCAAAATACATCTGGTTCGTCGAGTTTTGGTCTAAGAGCCGTGATCAAGAACAAGGTTGCATGGATTATCGCATTGTTCTTTTTTGTCGATACTGGAGTGATGAGTATAGAACTTCCACAAGTCCCATGTGCGACATAACACGGAAATAACTGACTTCAGAGTTTAGCTGGCATCGGTGGCTGGACCGTCACGTATATGCTGCGCGTCCGCGGCGCATCCCCGTACGCCTCTGGCCTGTCCTTGTCTGGATATTGGCTTGGCATGGCTCTAGGAAGAGCGATCTTGGGCTTTGTCAATGAAAAGTTTGGCATTAGAATATGCACTGCCATCTATCTATGCATCTGCATTGGCATCGAACTCATTCTCTGGTTGATACCAAATTTCGAAGTGTCAGCTGTTTCCGTGGCTCTTCTCGGTTTCTTTCTTGGGCCAATGTATCCGGGAGGGGTCATGATGGCCACGGAGCTGCTTCCAAAGAGTATGCATGTGAGCGCCATTGGGTTTGCTATTGCGATTGGGGGTATTGGTGGCACCGTTTTCCCATACGCAATTGGCGCCGTGGCTTCTCACACCAATGTTTCGGTTCTTCAACCAATCATTCTGAGCCTCCTTGTGTTGGAGACTATGGTCTGGTTCTGTTTGCCAGGCTTTGCGAGACAGATTAAGCGAATGATTTTGCAGACTAGATTTGAAAAGATATAGATGGGAATGTTGTACGTCCAATATAGATTAAAGATTATACTAGAAGGCTCGGAAAACTCTGGAGGGTTTCGTTATGATGCTTGAAGGGTCCATGATGATGTTTTAGAGCCAGTTCCAAGGTTGCCGTCGCGTCCTTACAGACGTTGCCAAAATACAAGGCCAAGGAACCAAAGTTCGGTTCGCTGTTGTAGTCCTCGTAAAAGTCAGAGGCGAAAATAGTGCTATATCGCTACTGGCATTGGAAAAACAACAACTTAATAACGGCACCGAGAAAGCAACCACTGGAAAATTAGAGTTGAATACAGGAAAGCCCAAATCATCTTCTTAAACCACTACTTCTGCGCAGCATTTTCATTCTCCTTTTCAATCCGATCCAATACCTCCATCGTGTGATCCCAGATTCTCTTGCTTGTATCCTCCTTGCGAAGCTTTTCATATCTGATGCCTTTTGCCGCATCCGCCCTTTGTCCAACGCCATATGATCCGCCGCCAGCCTCTTCCTTCGTGCTCAAAGTCGCTTTAGCACTGTCGACTGTTCCCTTGGCCGGGAAATTCGAGGTTGCGAGATAGACCATCACTTGTCCACAGTCATCTGACGACGTCATGTACAGCCAAGCCAAGGGTTTCACAATCTTCCACACGAATTTAAACCAGGTAGGCATGTCAGAGCTGGTGAATCCAGGCCCATCAACCAGACCCGGGTAGATGTGCGTCAGACTTAGCTTCCCAGCATATTTATCGGCAAGCTCTTCGAAGACAAAAGTCTTCATGAAACAGGTATGCTTACGCACGCTGCTAACTCCGTAGGTTGAATCAGGTGGGCAACCGACGGGCCAATCCCCTACTGAAGTCCCGTCCTCGAATCCACCTGCGTAGACCGAGATGACGTGGCCGGGCAACGGGGATGCAGTCAGAAGAGGCATGAGTTGCATGATGAACCTGATCCTCGAGTAATAGGTTGTTGAAATGAAGGAGTCCAGACCTTCCGGGGTGGCTAGGGCATATATAGTCAGTATCTCGAACACGAGGCTGGGATATGAGATCTCGTCACCCACTGTTGCGCTCCTTCAGGATAGGATAGCAGTACGTCATATAAAGCAGATCCAACTGAACTGGTCCACCATGAAAAGGATCCTCAGTCTCCTGCCTGATGATCTCTGCAGAGCAACGGTCGACTTCACTGATTAGTGCAAGGTCATTTGCCTTCACAAAGCGCCAGTCCGAGCCAGGGCTGGTCTTTTGTGCTTCGGACATGACGGACTCGGCGCGCGTGGCATTGCGGCCAATGATATACACGCGCAGCTTCGACCCATGTTGTGCAAAAGTGGTCGCCAGTGCATTGGCAATGTATGCGCCAATTCCGGTTGTGCCGCCAGGAAGAGCGACGACCAGAGGCGATCCTTTGGGCAGCTGGGATATAGCAACACGAATCTCTTTGATGCTGGGCATGTTGGTCGTGGCGTCTCAAGATGTTGGATATGCTGGTGATGTGGTTCGAGCGATACGGGTGGAAGTACGAGAAAGTGAATCGGCGATGGCACTTGATCTGATTGCAATTGATGAAGAAGCAGAGACAGAACTTAAAGCTGTACGATACGATGCAGCCTCTACAAAGTGGCCATGTCCAGCTTATTTATTCTGCACATAGCCCTTGGCATTTGAGCTCACAAGTGGTGACGTTCTCCTACAAGTTTAGTGGGAAATACAAGGGAATGTCGGTGCCGCTGCCCACGAGAGACAACCAATAAGGAGGTAATACGTATACGAGGAAAGGTTAGTGTGTTTCCAACCCGCAGCCTATTCCGTTAATAACACGTCATCACAAGGTCGTCAGCGAGCGAATTTTGCAGGTGTTAAGAAGCTGCAGGGGAATATCGGCACAGGAACATAATCGCCGGGCTTAAGACCGACCGAAATCCGTATGAGCAACGGAAATCGCCCAGCATTGACGGATGGGATATATCCGTTATTGGCTGACGTGCAAATGAGACTAAAATCTCACAATTCCGTTCATGTCATGTGAAGAGGACGGGATGGGAACAAAACAATGCGTTACTCTTCCCTACCGATCTGGTGCACGTAAAGATTTAAAATCGGCATGTCCTTCGGCCTGTCTCAAGGCATAGCCTGCGATATGTAGAAGTGACCCAGACATCCCTAATCCAAATCACCACGCGATGCACAGCGCAGGATGGCATTAAAGATACTCCAGCAGAAATAACGAGATTGTTAAACACAGTACATAATGTGAAGAATAAATACAACGGGATAATCAATAACGGTGTTGAAGGTAAATGGCGGTTCCTCTCTCCAGAGTCGTGTTAACATAAATCACACCGACTGTGAATACTACCAATTGCATCTTCGGCTCTCTTCTTGTCAACCATGTTGCGGGACCATGACCAAGAAGGATCCGTTACGACGTGTCCGGAGTCCCATGCACCAACCAGCAGCCTCTGATGCATCATGGTATCTATCAATCCACCAACACCCCCGCTCATCTCTGATTCGTTTTTGAAGTCTTTCAATTGCGGCCATCGAGGGAACAGTTTCTTCTGCCTCTCTTCGTCGTCTTTCCGGCGGGCAAGTTTGCAGTTGGGGTCTTGACCAAGTCCAACCTGCTCAAGCGTCCTTGGAGTTCCACAGCGGTCCGCGATAATCGCCTCTGCCAACTCAACAACTTGGTCGTCTGCGTTGATTTCCCAACTGCCATCGTTGTGGTGTCCTTCACAATCAAGCCCATGTCTGCAGAGTCGCCAGCTTGTTGCAGTGTGTTGGTGAAACACATGAAAAGCGCGCAGGGCAAGATTCCAGAGATAGATGCTGGCACCTGGACAGGTGAACTTCAATCGGCGATTTGCCGCGCCAGTCTTTCTTGACTTGCATTCCGCACACAAGCCAGTCGATTCGGGAAAGGGGACGTACGCAGACGCAATGTCTACCTGGCGAAGGTAAGGATGGACTTTCGGTGGATCGAGATACCTGAAGATGTACATTAGAATTTCTGGGGGAAAGCCAGCTTCTGCAAGTGCTCGCTTCGCAAGACGGTAACTCTTGTCAGTGGAGATGGGCGCAGTAATATGGTGAGCGTCCAAAATGAACTGCCTGGAGCGACGAAGAATATCGATGTGGCGCCAAGTCTCATGATCATTTTGTTCCGCATCAACCGTGTGAAACTCCATCCCGTTGCGAATCGGCCCATCTGGCGCGAGTTGCTTGAAGATAAGTTTCTCTGTATTGGACATGTCTGGGCTGAGATCCTGGAGGTCTTTTGGCAGAGGAAGCCAATTCTGGTTTTTGACATTTTTCGAAAATAGGTAGGATCGATCCTTAATACCACCAAGAGCTGCGAGCTCTGCTGGTGTCAGCGCCTGAGCGAGCTCGCTCCTTCGAGCCATTTCTTCCTGGACATTGGGGAGTCCGGGTGAGTGATGGTACAGCAGTGTGTAATCTCCAAATACCCAACAGTAATCCTCGCTTTTGTTGCTTGCAGCCCACATTCTCCGCAGCGGTTCAAACAGAGCGTCGTCCAAAGCAGTGCAGAGCTCGTATAAGGGCACAGTCGTGGTACGAGCCTTGCTTTTGATGAATTTCCTTTCTAGGGCACCCTCGCTTGAGATGGCTTCCGCTAAATAAACAAACATGCGTGCAGTGATGAAGTCGCCAGAAGGTAGCTTGGAGAGTGTTGTGATGGGCTCGAGGAAACTGCGGTATGCGTCGAGAATCGTCTTGTTAGGCGTACGAGGGTGGCCGCGATGCTCACAGATGCGGATAAGTGAGTCGTGCAATTTGCGCAATATAATTTTTGTGGTTGTAGACGCAGTTTCTTCCGTTCTGTTATCGATTTTTGCAACCAGCTCGTCGATTTCTGCTGTCACGGCCTCGTTTGCTTCAGCGATATCTTTGAGGAACTTCTTGTGAGATGCCATGGCTCTGACTGTCGCGGCTCGAGTCTCAATTGACAAAGCCGAATGGTGGTGAGTGAGGAAATGATCTTGATGGTATGAGCAAGTTGTCTTAAATCCGAGGTGGGTTCTCTTTGATACCGTGAATATGACCCCAACAAATACCAAGATAGGGGCATGAATGCCTAGAATCGTGGATTATCTTTCCTCCGAGACAGGGGCAGTGGAATGACTGTCGCGTAAATGGCTTAATTAAGAGATTGCGTCGGGCATTTCCATGTTGGTCGTTTCCAACATTTACTCCACTAATCAGAGATCAGGAATCCCACTTTAAGTGACCGTAGTAAATGCAACCCTACCAGATCAGTTCACAGGAATTCTCTCGATTGATTCGACGAAGAACGAGGTTCTTGGTCTCTTGACACAGGAAACAATCTTGCACGGTCCCACGAACCCGCCTACCTACTAAGGAGCTTACCCAGAATGAAGTAGCCCGTGAGGTCCAATGCTAAGAGCTTTTATCGGATGGTACCCTCAACAAGATCAAGAAGAAGGGAGTCACTAAGCCTTTAAGCAGGTATCTCGGAATATCAAGACAACCACACCTAGGAAAGTCTTGAATAAATTTTAGGTAAGTAAAATAAAATAAATCTTAGCTAAATCGTTTTGACTCAGGAATAATAAAGCTCAAAATAAATCCTTAGAATTTATTATCTATTAGTATAGTAATTATTACTTGTATAGCTTTTACCGTAGTAAGTTTGAGGGCAGTGGCCAGCTTCCGGGGGCCGTAAGGGTGTTTGACTCATCTGTTGTCTCTATTCGCCTGCCATCTCGTGGTCGAACTCTGTCCGTTTTTCTTGTCGGTAAAGTATGTAGCACCCTTGTGGAATCGAAACTTTTGCGCGCATGGTATATCTAACTTCTGTCTGCTCCCTCAAGGTGAGTAAGTTGCCGCCACAAGGTCAAAAAAAAGCCTTTCTTTCCACAATTCAAGCATTTCCTACCCAACGTTGCCACGATGACCAAATATCAAACTCTTCAACTTAGAAAGGTTAGAAACTGTATGAATATATAAGTAGTTGGTTCAAGAAGCTGAGCCCCGACTCTTTCCCTCCCTCACACATCAGTACAGCACATATTTCCTTGACCTCCACCCGCCTTTCCCTCAGCCATAGCAAGATTGGTGGTGTCACCTATCAACAGGTTCTGTCCTCCTCCGCCGCTGCCAACATGAATTTCTCGCAGGCGTTCGAGGCCACCACTCTCGACTCCTTCGTCACAGGTCAAGTGCGAAAGAAGATGGACGCTATGGCTGATGTTCTCAAGGCCGAACTTGATGCCGCCCAGGGGCACATCCGCGTCCTCAATGTCCTATACCATAAAGGAGATATCGGCATCACCACCGACGAGTTCGAGGAGAATCTGGAGAACTTAGAGACAAAGATTGTTCTCTGCCAAGTCAACCTAGCTGTGCTTCAACGCCACAAGAACCAATTTATCGGCGAATATATCGATGATATGGGAACACAATTCGACGGTCGTAGGATCGATGATGCCGTCTATATCGACCGACTTATCAGCCGGTACCGGACACCCGATAACGCGAAGCTGACCATCTTCAAGTCCCGCGATGCTGCAGCACAAGAACGATTCCGAAACGATGTATTCTCAGAATATGATGCAAATTTCGGTGAGCATAAATGGTGCTGCATTTCTGGATACACCGAGGATTCCTGTGATGTTGTCGCAGCTCATATCGTGCCGTACAATATGGGCGAAGTTAATGCCGAGTACCTCTTCGGAAAGTCCGACCCATCCATGAAGAACGGCCACATCATGAGCTCTCATAATGGCATTCCGATGTTGAAAAGATACGAGGAAATGTTCGACGATGGCCGTATGACTCTGGTCCCGGTTCCCGGCACAACCAAGATCCGGGTTGTTGTTTTTTCCGCTTTAGACCCCAACCCCACTGGTACCGCGAAGCAGCTCCATGGCAAGGAACTGTCTTTCAGGAACGATTTTCGCCCGTCTAATCGCTATCTTTACTACCATTACGCAATCTCCCTACTACGACGACAAAGACATGCAGCCCCTGGGTGGTGGAGAACCTTTGGCCTCTATGGGCGTCACACCACTTGGGCGACCCCGGGTCAGTTTTTACGGCAATCTAGCATGTTAACCCTAGCTCGAGATATCGGCCATCTTCCTCCGGAGGAAGCAAACTTCTTTATGTCCCCTCAGGGGCTTCCAGAATCTGAGGCTCCCGAATTTGACGGCCCTGACGATGCGCAGAAAGACCTTGAGATCGCCGCTGCAATCAACATGAAGCGGGGCCCATTTGGCCTGAGAACCCCGTTTATTAGAGAGCGTAGGGGATCTGATGAGGTGTGGAAATTGGACTCTCATATTTCAGAGGAATTTGCAGGCTATTGCAACCCAACAGAGTAAAAATTAATTAAATAAAATAAGAATAAATTCTTTTAGTTTATGTTCTAAGATATCTTATAAAATAAGGATATTTTATTTCATTTTATCTATTAATAAATATTATTTATAATCTTTATATTTAATAAACTTTTACCTACCCTAATGGGTCTTTATTTTTATATTTGGGGATCCATAGGTACCCGTGGAAAGTTTTAGGGCTTATTATTGGTGCCCACGGGCTGCCGAAATTTCATATGGCTAAGGTACCGAATTTTACGCTCTAGAAGTGATGATGGTGGTGTTGTAGAGAGTGCCGCGGACTTATTGTGTACTCGCTGAAGGAATTAGTCTAGTTTTCTATCACCATAGGTGCTAGGCTACTCCCTCGCACTTCTTGTTATCAGGCGATGTGAAGATGTGGGATGTTAATAAAATTGAACTACGAGTGATGGCAGCGACAACTCATACTAGAGTCGCTCTATTCCTCCTTTGTGTTCTCCGAGTCCGGCTTACGGGCATAAACGTAGCACAGGTTTAGGTATGCATGGTAACACTTGTTATTCAAGGCTTTGCGCATGTTCATTAGGCAAACTTGGTATTCGTCCTTGGGCCAGCCCATAATGTCATGCCACAGAATCAAGGTGTACCCTAACGACCGGTTAGCATGCGAGCCAGACGTGCAACAATCTGAAGGAGCACAAGGTAACTCAGAACCCTTCTCCGCGAAGCTCCTACCTTCAAGATCATTTTCCAGTGTTGACTTGAGAAACTGTCCAGTTTCACTAAGCTTGGCGTCCTTAGTCCACCCACCCACAGGAACCTGGTCAATGTCAGATATCGACATCAATTCAACAGCCGCTTTGAACCATACCTTGAAGTTCACTTGCTCTATGTCAACGAAGCCTGCCGCTTCAGCTGCTTTCAATTGCAAACCATCCTTGACGACATGAAAGCTACGGCCCATCCTTTTCCCTCCTTCTAGCACCAGCTTGTTCATCATCTGAATTGCTTCATCGTTGTCGATTGTCCCGTCATCGCTGTAAAACGAGGGATCAATTTCGCAGGATTGGATGTAGCCGCCTGGCTTGCAGGAGCGGAACGCTTCCCGGAACAACGCGTTCCAGTCGGCAATGGCGCCAAAGAGATAGCGCATGTGAACGAAGTCGAAAGAATTCTCTGGCCAAGTCCAAGTCTCTGCTGCATCCTCGAGCTCAAATTTGACATTTGGTGGAACCCAGCTCGGCTGAATGGGCGACAAGTCTGTGCCAATGACCTCGGCACTGGGGAACTCGTCGGCAAAATCGCTAACATCTTGTAAGCGAAGTTCTCCTACTGTCTGGGCGTTGGTCTTACATTGCCCAGATACCAGTTCCCGTGCCTACATCCAAGACTTTCTAAAGGAAATTAGCTAGGGAATTTGCACCCTAATTCAGGGCTGTGTGCTTGCCTTAATATCTGGCTTCAAAGGCGCCAGGAAGAGCTTTCCATTGAGAAGTAGTGTAAGGTAGTGATGGCTACTCAGATGTCAGGGATATGCCTAGCTGGAGGTCGATGTGGCCATACGTGATGTCGACAGATTCACTCTGCTGCTCATCGTTCGGTGCAAAGTATTGGGTAGCGAACTTTTCGCTGTGATAGGTGCGCCCTTGAACTTCCCGATACTGGAGAATGCTCGAGCTAATTGATGCCGTTGAGCTCGCACTGCCAGATCATGTCAGTATCAGCAGATGGATACCGTGATACAAGCTACTTGCGCGTCACTGCCAAGCGCAGAGTCATCGTCTCCATCCGCTTCGTCCGCCTGAAATTGGGTGCTTAGCAACACAACCCTAGTCGGCACAGAATCTCTCGATAATAATCACCTGCAAATCGATGGGATCCAATCTTGTCCCAGTGGCAGGTTCCAATCCCTGGGTGTCACCTCCCGTGAAATTCCTCGGTGGAGTAGACGCAGCTCCCATTTTCCAAAATTTGTATTATGTGAGTGAATAATGGTGGTAATGAGTGATCAAAGATGGATGGGAACCAGAGGCAGAAAGACATCGCATTTTACTTGAGGAGCGGTAGGGTTCATCACACCACTGTGGAGATTCAAACGAGCGGGCACGTATTAAATTCGACCCACCACGCTGGCCTTGTCGATTTCAAACTGGAAAGACAACAGCTTGTACGTGTTGGTTCGATCCAGCATTCCGATTACTGTACTTCTCTCCTGCAGCCGGGGGACGTTTCCATATTCCGATTAGTTCATATCCCTGCTGCGTAGAATGTCGCCAAGTTCCCGGGTAATTCAGAAAGCCCGCCGATTCCGATCGATTTACTGGGTGAACCACGGAAGAAAGTCAGTGGAAGGACTCGATAGATATCTATAGTTGAATATAGACTTAAAAAGCAAGCAACTACAAGTTAAAGTTTGACAACAGCCGTCGAGAGTAGGGAGCCACCCAGTAAAACGATGCTGCTGGTTCGGTTTGTCAACGGATATTTACAAGGATGTGAAGCGCTTATGTGCGTGATTCTTTCAGTGCCCCCTGAAGCTGCAAGGATTTGTGGCTATATCAGGCAAACGGGCCGAGCATCCTGGCCGTGTGATCCCAAGCTCGCAACATGCGGCCCGGTTCAACTGATAAGTGTTCGAAATTGTTCATCAGTGACTTGTTATCAGTAACGACGCAAGTCTCATATGTGTTCCCTTCACACGTGATGCCGTGGTTCGGTTCCAACTCATCTCACCACGTCTACAATGCTCACCGACTATAATTAAGGGTTGAACAAGTCTCACTAACACGTGCTAAAGCCCAAGAGCCTGGCCTTGCTGTTATTCTGTTTTTCGAGTTTTCCAACTTAGCTATCTAACCCTATATGAGTGACTGCTGATGGATCGCCTTTTTGTATTCATCCGAAAAGATAAGATGTTGAGCAAATAGCCTAATTCACAACCCAGGCAATTACCTCCTTCCCCATCGCTACTGGTGTCGCACGTTGGACAACGGGGAAGCCGAAACAATCCCCCAAATACCCCTGAGCACTGGGGATTCAAGCAATTGAGTCCAAATTGTAGGATAAGCCGCCGAGAAATGGTTGCTTCACTGATGCCAGTAGTTCCCAACGTCTCGGATGTCGGAAATAAGAGCCGGTGGATTATCGACACCCGCGAAGTGCCCGCCAAAATCATGATCTAGGGTAAAACGAATATTAGTCCGTCCTTGCTTTTCTCTCTTCAAATTTCTCTCGGGGCTGTAGGAATTAATGCTAGAGAAATGCGATAAAGTGACTTACCTTGCCATCGGACCAGGTTCCCCACCTTTTCCACTATAGCTCGCGGGAAAAATGCATTGTTGTACTTGAAATTGCTATAGAGCATTGGGGCATCTGTAGGCGCTTTGGTGTATTCTGGTCTAAACCCATTCGAGTTTGAAGAATAGATAAAAACAGATGAAAGAAATGACTCGGTGAGGAAGTAAAGCGACGTGAATCGTAGTATCTCTTTGTGGGTGAGTACAGAGGGCGCTGTTCCCGCCCGTGGATCGGACCCTGTAGGAGCATTAGGATGGTCTCTTTTACCGCTGGAGTCTTTGGGGGTGATGGGACCTACAGTCGATAATCTGCTGAGCAATCCACGCCAACTGGCCGATCGGGTTATCCTGCAATGCCAGTCCGATTGTGGTGGGCTATTGTTTTGGTTTGAGAATGTTAGTCACTGGAGGTGTAGCAGCTTTCTTGGTGTCCATTACCTTCGTAGTCTGGATGAAGAAGTAGGAATTTCCAGTTGTATTCCATCCTACGAATCGATCCTCCTGGAATTGCTCATCCGGAGTGAGGGTAATGCCATTTGCTGCGAGCTGATTAGGCAGCATGGGGAAGAAGGGGATCATAGAAAAGTGTGCTGCACGAGTGGCTGCGGTGTACTGCTCGTACAGGGTGTAGCCGATCACACAGCCCCAATCGGTACCGTGGATAGAGAAGGTCTTGTAGCCCAATATATCGGTCATGAGTGCATGGAAAATCCGAGCCGTGTCCGCAGTGGTCCAACTTGGCGGTGGTGTCTGGGAAAAGGCGTATCCAGGGAGTGAGGGGATGATGATGTCGAATGAGACGTCTTTGCCGGTTGAGGTTTTCGCTGCCTGTGTGAGAGGCTTAACCACAGGCAGAAACTCCAAGAATGAACCTGGCCAGCCGTGCAAGAGCAAAAGTGGGATCGCGTCCGGTTCGCCAGACCGTTCATGAATGAAATGAATCTTCAAACCTTCGATGGTTGTGGTGAAATGGTTGTAGCTTTATTTGTTGTGAGCAGCATTCTACATCATTGGAAGGCTATGCCATTCGGTACTTACCTATTCATTTCTTCTTCCTCCGCTTTCCAGTCAAAATCATCAATCCATTCACTCTGCAGCTGCTTCAGAACGTCCAGGTCGATGCCGGCCGAGGCTCCAAGTTGGGAATACACGGACTTCTCAGGCAACTTGGTGTTCTTCACCAGATCGAGCATTCGCGGCACATTCTTGGACAGGTCGACCTTGAAAGGCTCGATGCGGTCAGAACCCGCGAGAGTATTAGTGAGACTCATGTTGGGGAGAGGGCGAGGATGCGGACACTTCTGCTTGAAGGGGTGGATGAGTTTCGGATTTTGAAGGTCGCATCGGCTTGTATTTATATCTAGGTACGCTGTTGCCTTGAGGAACGGCTGAGATGTATGGGACCGCACTGAATTCTGGGGTGGGAGTCGCTCGTACTTCGTATGATCTTTGGAGTGCTCTCGCTCAACACAATGAGAGGTGTGCTCCACTCTGTGTCTACTAGTGTATGAGGTTTTACCCACTTTGAGGGCCAACAGTTTTACGAGAGGGCACTCAGTGAGATGGACCCTGGCATATTCCTTTGGGTGTGGTAAGACGATACCGAGGTAACGAGCAGGGGGTCGAGCCAACCAACCAGAGTAAAGCAAATCAAAGGTACATTTGGTTTAACATGGAGGTAGAAGTCCCAACAATTTCGGATTTACACCGAGCTGCATTGCACTGCTCACAGCAGTATGGTGACTGCTTCATCTTCGGCCTCTACAGCACTGGTGAATATAGTGTCCGAGAATTAGTAACATCAAGGCGATTGACATATGTACAAGTAAATCTCAATCGTACTAGTCTCTACTGCAACGTCGTAGAGAGATAGATTCATCAAACTCTAAGACACAGGCACATCAATGCCATAATCGCAACTCAAGCCGAGTGCATAACAGACAACTGGCAAATCATCACTTGCAGATCCCAACCAAACTTTGTAGTCTCCACCTGGGTCTGGCACAACCCAGTCCTGAGCACTCACATCCCAGATGCTCAAGTCTTTCCTTGTCAACGTCACCTCCACCCTCTCACTCTTTCCAGGCGCCAGCTCGGCCGTCTTCTCAAAATCCCGCAACTGGATGACGGGTGTGTCATACGCAATATCCCCCGGATACTGGAGATATGCTTGAACTGACGCCTTCCCGGAATATTTACTGCCGGTGTTGGTCACAAGCACAGAAACGGTGTACGCTTCGTCCCAGAGCGCTGGATTGCCACCTTGCGCACCGCCCGCGGGAGGAGGATTAGTCCTCTGTGTGGTGGTGTAGCCGTCTGGATATGGGTACTTTGAAGTCGTGGCCTTGGCAGCAGCATCCTTCGCGTCCGACTCAGAAAGCCAAGAGTACAGGTACCGCCAAATAGTTGAGAAGCTCTGTGGTTTGACTGCCTCGCTGTAGGCTGGAATCGCCTCAGAATAGTCCAAGACCTGGCCTTTCGCCGGTCGCGTGGGAGGATATTTGCTCAACGTTGTAATCTTCTTGATGGTAGCGTTCGTGTATGAGAATGTCGTGTAGCTGAGCCCATGGCCAAATGCATACCGAGGTTTGATCTGTTCTTTGTTGAGCCAGCGATAGTCAATGTACATCCTCTCAGAGTAGACGTCCTGAGGAGGATCGATGAAGGCAGAGTCAATCAGATCGGTGACGCTGTCCGGCATGTCATCCTCAGCATATGTGATGCTGTACGGCAAATGTCCACAGGGAGACGCAGTGCCAAATAACACATTCGTGAGAGAGTCTCCGGCTTCTTGGCCAGGCAGATGGGCAATGAGCACTGACTTGACCGACGCAAGACTGATCCATTCTTCGAGCACAAGAGGGCCGACAGTGTGGGCGATAACAACAACGTTGCTATACTTGGCCGCCGCAGCCTTGACAAGAGCGTCCCCATCATGCCATGCATTCAGCCGCGAGGCATCTCTGTCGCCATGGTTATTCTCAACGGTATACTGGTTCTCTCCAGCATCAGAAGTAATGAAGACGATGGCGACATCGTTGCTGGAAGGGCTTGGAACAGTGGGAAACTTGTCGGTGTTGTAAAACGTGACGTTTTGAGCCTTCTCTTTGATGGAGGTGATTGGGTCGTCCAGATACATGTAATCGACTGTACCGGACCCCCAGCCTTGGCCAAGAGTGCCTTTGTTGCAGTTTCGATCGTAGCAAGCATTGGCACCGTCTGAATTCGTCTGAGCTCCGGTACCAAAGACCTTCAATGGGCGACTTGTAGAAAGTGGTAGCAAGCTTCCATCATTCTTGAGCATGGTAATGGCGTCTTGTGCGATCTGTCTTGCAATCTTGTCGTGGTCTGCCTGCACCTGGACAAACTTGTTGACGACTCCCGAGGGAGATGATGGCCAAGCTGCTGGATAAAGCGCGCCTGTAGCCTCTTTCGTGTTCGTGTCGAAATTGACCTCTGGGTAGCCTTGATCTTGGCCGAAATGATACCAGGTGGCCACGATGCGAGTGGCCATGTCGTTGAGCCTCTCCATTGGGACAGAGCCATTCAGCGTAGCACGAGTCAATTCATACATCCAGAGCGAGTTGCCGAAGAGAGGAATGATTGTATCGCCAGGCATGCTCATGTCCATACCCGAAATCGCCGACTGGACCCCTGTGATCTGCGAGAGCCAGTCGGTCATTACGAAGCCCTGGAAACCGAGCTCGTCCTTCAAGAGGTGGCTGATGAGGTATGAATGCTCGCTGCACATGGTACCGTTGACCTAGATCAATCTTATAAGCTATGTTTTTGATTGTGCTCGGATTAAAGCAACGTACTCGGTTGTAGGCAGTCATAGCAGCGCCGACACCCGCTCGAACGGCCTCGGCAAATGGCCATAGATAAAGCTCATGCAGCGTTCGATCATCTAAGCTTAGATCAGTATCACAAAATTACCAGCTCAAGGGAAGAATCTTACCAATATTCGCCGAGTACGCCGGCGAGAAAAGGTCTGTGGTTTGCCGACGGTACATCTCCTGCTCGTTCCCTATCAAGTGCTTGATAGTCGCGATGACTCCCTGCTCTTGAACTCCTTTGATGGTTTCTCGAGCTCCAACGCCCTGCAGCACGGGATCTGCTCCGAAGCCTTCCCAATTACGACCGCCCTTGGGTTTCCGGCCAATTGGACCTACCGCTGGGCCGAGCCAAACGTTGACACCCTTGCCGCGCGCTTCTTTACCGATCGCGACGCCACGTTCGTACATGAGTGTCTTGTCAAATGTGGCACCGACAGTGATTCCATCCGGAAAGACGGTGACGTTGTCGGTCAGCCGAACGCCGTTGGCGGCATCGTTGAGGCAGAGCTGGGGAAACCCAACTCGCTCGGCAGAACCGCTATTTCCGTTGCAATGTCTTGCTTATTGTCAGCTTAAGTCTTAGGAAATGAGTCCTCAGACGTACCCTGAGCCAAGTTAGCAAAATAACCTAGCTCTATTTGAGATGATGCATACCCATGAGAAGCCCGGTTCCGGCAGTAATGTTGGTTTTCTCAGCAAGAGTCATCGAGTCGACAAGTTTCTTAGCTTTTGTGTAGCTGCTTGCCCACTCGCTAACCCAACCTCCGTAGGGTGCGGGATAATAGGGCAAAGCATTGTATCCCGGTGTGGTTGCTCTTTTGGCATTGGGAGCTGCGAAGCCGAATGCTAGGAAATGGAGCAACAACCAAGTGGTTTTTTTATATGCCATTTCACTTCTCGTAGTTACCTTGTCGTATGTAAATACCGAGATTGATGATGGGTAAACCAAAATTTGGGGGGAAGCTACGACAGTACGGCCGTAGTTAAGTAAATTGGCTGCAATTATACATTGAACATCACAATATAACAATCCACGATAGTGATATCCAAGCCTCGCACATCAATCGCCAATTGGGAAATCACTCCGATTGGGGTGGATGAGGTCATGTGGTGGTCGGCAATGATCAGCATGACTTTTTTTCGGCTGTAGCGACCTAAAGTGGCTTGTCACCCGATGCATGAAATCAAGTTTATCGCACAAATGGCCGAGGTAATGACCGCTTAGTCCAAAGCATATTACTTCGCGACATCACGGGTATTGAGAAATAAAATGCTGATATTGGAAATGAGGAAGGTTGCGGAGGTGGGATTCAATCAAATCTAATATGTCAATAGGCTATTCCGTCGTTCAAGTCTTGATACTAGCAAGTCGCCGTGTGCAATCCATACTCTGTTCTTGTGTGTGGGTGCCGCGCGTGTGTGTGATGTGGTATGCAGCATGTGAATATTCGGTATATCTGATTATACTGAGTCTCCAATAACGGCTTTTACTGGCGCGCGATTGTAACCGAGATACTACGAGGAGTTTAGCTTCCACGTTGTTTAGCGGCGATGTTACCAATACGGTGAACCTAAGCTCTGGATTCCGCAATTGTCCAACCGATCTCCCAGCGCCGGCTCTCAAGTCACAATTGAGTGGGTACATCTGTGTGTTACTCTCTAAAATTCAATCTGGTGACCAATATTTGTACTCTTTGGGGAAACATGTTTCCCTCCGAAGTTGGCTCTTTTTGGGTTAGGGCAGTTTTGACGATGTGTTAAGCTGCAGAGATAGCTGGATATCAGCCATTTCATATCATTCTCAAGCCATTGGCGCAGATTACTAGAAAGACCTAGGAGCTTCCCCATATGGCACAACGTGCAGAATTTCGGCCCCTTTTCGTCCCGGGCAGAGGGCTACCTTCCAGGAAGTTGCAGATTCTATCTTTGGTCAGGGATCATCGATAGCTACTGTGTTTCTCATACGACGCTGGTGTTCCCCTCGTGAGTAGATTACATTATGGTTGGAAGGTGGAATCACAATGCGCGTGGATGATTCGGGTAGAAATTCTGTATGCACGACTGCACACCCTTCTTGACCGAGCAGGGATCAACAAATATGTCAATTGCGGCACAGAAGAATGTCACATTTGAGAGATGACCTTATCGTTCGCTATAAGTGGCGGTTGATTAGTTCCGCAACTCCCTCGCTCGTACTCGGAGAACAACCCATGGGACGTTCTCGCTTTTATTCCTCACGCGGCTCTCCATTTCAATTCCTGCCTGGGCTTCAACACCGAGTGCTTTTACACCATGCCTTTCGAGGCTGTCGTCTTCGCCCGCGTGAGTAAAACCCAGAAAGGTGGATGGTGACCTGCTCACCTACCTTACCTACCTAGGTATGGTTCATTAATTCGCCTGGGACCTCCATCGTGTAGCATGGGGAGCGACTTGCTGTGTGCCAGCGAAGGTCTTAGAGCTGCTGCACAAAATGGCTCTTCTCAACGTCTCTAAGAATAAAGATGCCACTGTGCAAAGTGCGATATGGGGTTCCGGGAGGGTAATCTGTAGCTATAGTCGCGTGCTAATAACCATTGAGCTTCTCAGTTGCCAACCAGACTCGACGGAATTCACATTAGCATATAACAGCTTTGAAAGTTTTGATATTACTGAATCATCTTGGACCGACATTGGGGTCTGGGGTATCTTGCGGATAATAATTCCTCAAGGACTCCTGGAGACTGTGTGTATAGAGTTGATATTCTCCCTCAGCTTGAAACGCGGCGATTTGGAGGTCACTATAGTATTTTAAATAGTAGTCATGGAGAGGTAGCTAGAGAATAAAATAATCTATACCGTTACTGAGTTTCGGGATTGGGGTGCGTCGGAGCATCTGGCTTTCAGTTCACCATAGCTTTCTCCTTGTGTGGTCATTTCGCAGTACTATAGGAGGTTATTCACGCACGAGCTAGCTGGTAGTGCATCAATTTATCATTCTATTATTACACTTAGCCATAAGACTGCAGGTAGTGCTTATCGCGATGAATCTCTTGTTTTCTATAACATACGACGTTGCCTATATAAATCTGAAGATAATCCAATCGCCAGCTGTTGCCTTCTGTACTCAATGGCCGACCATGGCCTGGTTAGCGGGGGCGTATCTATTTCCAATCGGCTTGGCAGAATCGATAATTTTTCGCAGTTCTTCCTTTTCCTCCGGAGTGAAATCGATGTCCCTAGATCCCCAATTCTCCTCCAAACGGTGAGCCTTGGTCGTACCAGGGATAGAAATCAGGCCCTGAGACGCTACCCAGGCCAATGCAACCTGGGCCAACGTGCAGCCCTTTCGAGTAGCGATTTTCTTGATCTCTTCCACGATAGCTCGATTCTTGTAGAAGTTCTCGCCTTGGAATTTTGGTACTGTAGGCCAAGGGTTTAGCGCAATTCAGGTCAGAATCTTTATTAGCGGATCAACGTACCCGTTCGGCGGAAATCGTCCGGTGCAAAGTCATCAGGCGTCTTGAAGGGGAAATCATCAACTAGCCACCCATGACCCAAAGGGCTGAAGGCAATAAAAGCAATGTTGAGTTCTTTCGCAGTATCGATCAAGTCATCCGTCTCATGGAGAGTCTCGAAGGCCGAGTATTCTGCTTGAATGGCATCAATCCTAGCGACTACGATTAACGTTAGGAAGCCATTTTTGGTATGAGGAGGGATAGGAATTACTTGAGTTGGCCTTTCTGAGGGTCGCCGCAGAGCACTCCGAGAGACCAATGTACTTTGTTTTTCCGGCCTTTCGGATCTCATCCATGACGGGAATAGACACCTCAAGCGGGGTATCTGTCATATTGTGTGAGCTCAAGGTTGTCTATGATGGCTAGGACATGGTACGTACTGGGATCAATGCGGTGGAGATAGTAAAGGTCAGGAGTGAAGCCTAGTCGCTCAATAGTCCCGTCAATGTATTCTCTGATATGGGAAGGTGAGTTGGTGACTTTGCGCTCTGGGCCGAAGACGTCGAAAGCGCATTTCGAAGCGACTACCGACGGGAAGAGTTGTCAGTAGAGTACTTAAGTGAAGGAATTGCATAGAATGACTGACTAAAAATCTTGTCTCGAACGTTGTGCTTTCGGATGAACTCTCCGAGAAGCTTTTCGTTGACTCCGGCTTGATAGGCAACCTTGACCCAAATATCAGTCTCTCCATAGCTCAGATGAATGCTCAGATGGCTGGTTACTCACAGCAGTATCCCAAAAAGTGCATCCTAGCTCGATGGCTTTCAGGAGCACGGGCTCGGCCTCCTCGAGACTGAGATTGCTTCCCAAACCAAAGCTGATGCCCATGGCACCAAATCCTGGGGTTGGGACTTGAATGTCACCGAAGGGGAGTGTCTTGACCATGATTTCTGAGTTAGAAGTGAAGGGGCTAAAGTGTTTCTTTTTCTGTGTCTATTCTGTAGAAAAATGGATTTGAGAAACGCAGGGATCCCCTCTTTATACGTATCGCTCGAGACTTATTTTCACTTTCTCGAGTCAACTTCCCTCTCAAATCGGAGTCAAGCAATGGACTTAAGCTTAGCCCCGCGCTTGCGGTCTTATGCTTTTATGAACTCTACACGGCGAAACGTACCCAATTATTCTGGAACCTCGACCACTTTGCCTTGCTGGATGTGGTGGGTCAGGCCAACAGCCACCGAAACTGTGCTAATGGCAGTCAAGACTAGACTGGATATTGCCTAGTAGAGCGTCATCCAGTTGCATTAGCGAGAAAGTTCACAGAGGAAGAATCCCGATTGGCGTCGAGTGTGGGACTGTAGATAGGAAGCTGTGGGTCGAGCTGGAAAAGACGCCATAATAAAGACGAGCTGCCCCCACCATCGCTCGTGGAGGGCGTCATCCAGTTGCATGTCGTGCACATCAAGAGCCGCAGCTGTTTACTATAATCTTTCAGGGCTCATTTGAATCCGATGCCGTCATGGATGCGCCAGATGAACAAGGAAAGGCCCAGGAAATCGTCGTCAGCGATTGGACGCAGCTCGCAGAGATGCGGGACCCTGGTGACAACTGGACTGGGGTAACGGATACAGCCGAGAGGAAAAAGAGGCAAAATCGCCTGAATCAAAGAGCCATTCGTTAGTCTTCCCTGCAAAATTTAGACACTAGGTGTTCATCACTGACGTGCTGCCTTCTTCATTGGCTACAGGGAGGAGGCGAAAGCTTCAGCAGAATGATCCAGCTGGGGGATCACAAGCCCAACCGTGTGGTGTCAGCTTTCCTGCAGGTGCTATAGAAACGCACATGGTTGGTGAGAGGCTGCTACACGCTACTGAGCAGGGCAACAGCAGTGTAACAGCAAACGACTGGCATATAGAGCAAGCGGGCCCTCTCCTTATGGCTTGCCCCCAAAGGCTAGCCAGCCTTCGCCATCATATGCGGATGGCGTACGAGGACTACACCCTGAGTGCTCCCAGGCCCGCATTCCTGCAGGTGCTGATCAGGATAAACGTTTTAAATGCGATGGCAAGCAACGCCATGGCTCTAGGGCTTCCAGTGGAAGGGCTTTGTCATGATGAGTTTATCTCGCCATTCAACTTCTACGGCCCTCGCCTCCCCGACTCCATCGACCCGCTGGCCAAATTACCGGACAGCCTCCGCCCGACAGCAGTACAAATGACGATACCGCATCATCCGTGGATCGACACCTTCCCCATCCCTCGTCTACGGGACAATGTGCTTCGTGGAATACTGGCTGAGGACCTGGACGAGGATGATCTCTGCAAAGACCTTCTGCGCGTGGAAGACGAGAAGATGGCTGACGAGAAGCCTTCCCTTATCATCTGGGGCGACCCATGGGATGTTCGAGGTTGGGAAGCCAGCGTCGCTTTCTTGAAGAAGTGGGGTTGGCTTTTGGCAGGGTGCCCGGAGCTTCTCGTATCTACCAACTACTGGCGTGCGCAGAGAGGCGAGAAGAGGCTCAACTTTGGGAGTTGGTGAACCATAGCTTAAGACTACACTCCCCCATTCAATTGCACGAGTCTTGATATTCGTGCCTTGCACGTATATACAGTATGCATGCGGATGAGTTCCGATGAAGTCCTACTATTCTCATCGTCACACCATTCGCCCCATCTCAAGAAGGTGACCGGTGACTCCCTATTACCAAGTAGTATACCTATCTCGAAAGCCTGCCTTGTGCCAGATATGGGAAGTAGTGCTTTTCATAGATTGGTCAGATAGATTGACCAGAGAAGGGAATCATCACTCTGCTTCAAATGTGAAAAACGCAACAGAAATCATCTTGATTCAATTTGATGTTCAACTTTTGCACTATATAGGCCAACAATTTATTTCTTGGCTGAGACACGGCCCAAGTCGGCAAGAGCCTCAATACGCTTGAATTTCGCATCTTGAATGACGCCTGTGACAAAATGTTAGCTTAGTGATGCTGATGGATTGTCCCAGTGGTATCTTACCAGCGTCGGCGTCACTGGAAAAGTGTCCGCTCCACTCGATATAGGTGCTGCCCTCGAACTCCCCTGACGTGACTGAATGGCAGCGAATAGTGCTCATAGCACTAGTATAGGTGAGTTCGGGCTGCGAAGAGATGATACTATAGGTAATATAGTGATTGATGGTCTAGAAATAAATCAGCTGTCAGCTTGGTACAGTCCGTTGTGGACAATAACGGAAAGGAAGCCTTGCACTGTGTTCCTCCTGCTTCACATCCACCACGCTTCCATCCTTGAAGGTCCACTTGACAATGTCGGTGTCGGGGCTGGCGCCCTTGACCCATTCCGACTTTTCCAGGGCGGACCAGAAGTTGGCAAAGTCCTGGAGCTTGATGTGGTGCCAGACGTGGGAGAGGGGAGCCTTGATGACGGCACTTTCGAGGACCGAGGTGGCGGTGGGAATTGCTGACGGGGCCGACATGGTGATGGTACGTATTTACTGTTGATGGTATTGATTTACTGTCGATAATGTCGGGATGGAGTACAGTTGATGGTCCAATCTTTAGCACAAGAGGTTGAGATTAACAAGATTCAGATCTTGGACAGAGACACGCACCGGACGAGGAGCAGCGGGGAAGCTTGTAGTCTGACGTCATGAATGCTCATAGTGCAAAGACCTTGGTGAGAATACCTGTGGCGTTTTGGTATCACTGCTTCTGGGATAGTGAGACAGCTTGTTTTGAGGCATGACGATGCCGATCCCCCGCATCTAAAACTCAATTATCATTGAGTGTATAGGGTAGGCCAGCACGCACTTGTAACTCCAACGAGATTCTCGATGAGTCGACAATAAGTTCATTTTTCAAATACGGCACTTGGCAAAAATATTTATAGATATAATAGTCCTCGGACAAGTCAGGTGTGAATGTGCTAACTCTGAGGCTAGGACATTGCAGGAGACGATCCATCGTTGATGGTAACCCCCAATTCCTCCTTTCTCGACTTTGAAGTATCCCAAGCTTTATTTGAAAGGCCTTTGGGCTCTTTTAATCAAGATAACCTCCATATTTGCGTTGAGGGGCCTCCCATTATTGATTTCCTGGGCCATCCTCTTATCCTAGAAACTCATCCCCTCATCTCCCAACGCTCCTCCACTTGTGCGAGACCAACAAGGCATAATTCGGTCATTCCTCAACCTTTTTCCCTTTTGAGCCATCCCCATGCAAAGTCGGCTGTGTCTGCTTTTATTTCGGAAATCTAGCTCCTGCTTTAGTTAGCTGGTCTGTTTGTTCGTTTCCTTCAATATCTTGATCTTCCGGGACCCACTGGATCTAGGTCCGGACCGCAGCAGCTTCCGTTCGGCCCTTTGATTCGTCTGAATAGATAATCAAGTAGTAATCTGGGACTGTTTCCAGCCGGTCTTGAAAGGTCTAAGATCAATTTCTAAAATGACTCGCCCCCCGCGCTGTCAAGTGTGGGTGATGAACGCAAGCTGTTGGGTAGCGTATGGCACATTCAATCCAAGGGATGACCACTCAATCCAGTGGGGATCCTGGATCTGTTGATTGTGTCAGCTCACACCCCCTCTGACTCAGGTCAGGATATCTATCTATCAGAAGTTTCGTATTACCAAGTTATAATTGAACGCAAGCTACTAAATATAGTCCCAGATCTCGTTCACGGTCGCCTCTGCTCTGGTCACGCGCTTCTTCCCACTTTCTCTTCAAGTGCACTCGAGCTCCATGGCATGGCTTCGCCGTATGAGCCTCCCTGGTACCTCCCCCTCTTCTGTACACTCCTGAGACGAGCTGGACTTGGCGGGATATGGACTCCGTTGCTACATGGCAGCCAACCAATAATGCCGTCCAGTCTGTGGATCGCTCAGCTCACTGCCCTCTCACCACCAACCTCGGTGCCTCTCGTTTTGAAGCTTTCAATGATTCATGTATGTTCGCATAGCCCCGAAATTACGTATCGACGCGTGTCGGTGGTACATCTCGCGCCACAGTAGCAGTGCTGGCATGCAGAAAACAGTCAGGTTTGACCATGTGAGTTAGGTGCATGGCCTAGTGCTATTCCGCCGAGATAATTCGGCCCAACGCTGTCTTAATCCGAGAACGAAATGGATTCCCGCTCTATTTCCATGAGAATGTGAATACAGGCAGCAGTCCATGCTGAAATGAGTTATTTCCAAGATGAGAACATAATATGTGAAATGGAGTGCGTAGAGTGAAACTACCTCTCATGAATTCAGCATCATTTACAATGCCGATTATCTGAGATAATATTTATGTATCCCTGATCAGAAACTTTTTTTTTTGGAGATATCTTCGGTGAATACTTATTGCCACACTGTAGCTGTCAATGTGAACAATCTTGACGTTTCCATTACCGGTCGCATCACTGGTCACCCGATTCTGCGGTAACGTGATATTATTTCAGCGGGCAGATGCGTTCCACAGCAGCCTAGAACGATGATGCAGCATGCAGCCACCGATGGACGCGTCGACTGACACTGAACACTACTGCGAGAAGATCAGCTGCCCTCGCTAGTTGGTATTTTTCGCATCCAAGAAAGCCCACGAGGGTTGGAAAGCTTAATCCATTACTTGATCCGCTTGTGCAGGTACTAATGATAGTGATGTAGAATAGTCAGGAGTACAAGTATTCAGTACATGCGGCCTTTAATGCTTGCAAGTAAATACATATCTCGTTGCTAATAGCGAGAGCTCCCGGCCCTGACTCAAGGCACGGGGGCTTTCTGGTGGAGGCTTTATGCAAGTTTAGCTGGAATCAAGCTTTCTGCCGGCTACAGTTAGAGTCCTGCCACTTAGCGTGCAGCTTACTAGTGTAAGGGACGCGCGTTCTTATGCTTGATCCAGTTAGCTACTTGGAATGTTTACGTGCTTCTCAGTCAGTCAGTAATTCCATTATGCTTGATGGTCGGAGGTCCGAGGCCAAGTCCGAGTTAGATCTCGTATCGGTACATTGCACCACCTTGGGCGGGGATGCCCCAGGAGATTTCGAACCATTAGCGTCTCTGGAAACGCACCACGTTTTAAACTACACTGGAGAAATGGATGGAGAGCTAATACTTGGGATTGAGGGTTGATGGTGACGTCCTTTCTCTTGCTTCTGAGGGTCAGCTCCTTGCCCGAGTGATGAAGCCCTTGGCATGGGTCTGAGCACACAAGCTGGAGTACAGAGCCAAATACAGTTGCGCGGCTGCCTTGGGTAGAATCCTGGCGTGCCATGGCGCTCCTCGTGTACTGTACAAGTTCCATTCTGCGTCGTCTGTGGAGACACGAGAAGCGAGGCTTTGAGGCGCAGCTCGGGTAGCGCTTCCATACAGGTCGGGGCTAACGGCGAGATGCCCAAACCCGAGCCTTATTCAATCTATAAAGTGGAATTCAGCCAGCTTTCACTGGCACATCCCTCTCCCTGGCATGCAAGGTAGTGACCTGGCACGCATATTAGTGTGTCTTGGCACTCAGATCTGATTCTTGGCACTCAGATCCGAGTATTGACTCTATTTACACGATGACGTTTGGCTGGAAACCTCTCGGCCAGTCGCCCGCTGAACCCGCCGACTTCGACACGCCACGCGATGAAGAACGCCTCGGATGCGAAGTTCCCTACCGACAGTTCCCGAGGCTGAGAAGGATTGCGCTCTGGCTGCTCTTGACCGACTTGGTGCTCGTCGCGCTGCTGCTCCATACCCTCGATCCCCTCATTACCCTGCTGCGAAGGAACGAAGAGCTCTTTGGGGCGCGACTCGCCCTATCTGGCACCGATAACCCAAAAGACTCGAATCACCAAGACAAACCCAAGATACCACGAATCCTACACCAAACCTGCGCCAATGAGACTATTCCAGAGAAGTGGGTTGATTCGCAACAGAGTTGCAAGGAAGCCTATTCCGACTTCGAATACAAGGTATGCTCACGTCGGAGATTCTTCCCTGCCACAGCTTGCCTCTGATCGCTAATTGTTTTAGCTCTGGACTGATCAGTTTGCTCGCGAGTTTATATATGTCGCATACCCCTGGTTCTTGGAAACCTGGGATAACTACGATTTCCCGATCCAGCGTGCCGACTCCATTCGCTATTTTGTCCTCCACCATTACGGTGGAATATATCTCGACATGGATACCCTGTGCAACGAGACCTTTCCTCTACACCAAGTCGAATCTGCAGCGGAACACCAGGCTATCCTCAAATCGACTCTGCCTACTGGCGTAACCAACGATTTTATGATATCATCAGCGGGGCACCCGGCTTTTGCAGCGGCCATTGCCAAATTACCAACCTATTACAATAAAACACGATTATGGGCTCGACTGCTGCCCTACGGCGCCATCATGATATCTTCTGGACCGTTCTTCCTGACCATGATGGTAATGGACTACTTGATGAAGCAACCCTTGCTGTCCCCGCCAACAGTGCAGGTTGTCAATCAGACCCAATTAGCACCGTACATCACCGATCTCGAAAGTTGTACTTGGCATCAGGAAGACGCTCAACTTCTCATGTGGCTGGGAGAACGACCATGGGCTTGGTTCAGCTTGGGGGGAATAGGGCTTGTCGCTGGAATTTACCTCACTAATTGTGCGCTAATGAGTGTCTGGAAAACCCTCACTCAAAAGGCTTCAACTGTTAATTATAATACAAAAAGTGCCAAGTTAGTATAGGAGAGGCAACGGCAAAGGACTGCTCGTTTAATCGCGGTTTAGAATAGCGCAGGTAATGATGAATGATTTCAGAGTTCTTTAACCTCTTATTCGCAATCTGGGCTCGTGGGGCCCTGACAGTGTCGTGTCCAGGACCATTTCTTCTTGGGAAAAATATGAGGTTAACCAGCCTATGAATCCAACCTGGGGCAAATGACAGATCAACATCTGCGGTGGACGATTACTTTCATGCTCCAAGACTCTCCATGCCTGTGTTCCGAGTTGGAGATATATTTTGTATTAGTAAAGAAGGTGCAAACGCCTTCCGAGGCATCAAAATATTGTAACCCATAGGCAATGAAATAAGTCCTGCAGTTAATTTCCGAATAACCGGAGAGCAAGAAAAGAATTCTACTGGAAAGAAAGTGACACTCCGTCGGCGCTTAGTGGTAGATATGAGTGAGTGGTTCGGGCGAATTGTTCTTCCGTGAACGGATCGCCGGAGAAATAATTATCTCCGTGTGCAGGGCTTCCATCATCAGCCGCGTCACAAGATACGGCGTGAGAAGATCTCAAAGTCCGGAACAGGTTTTTACCGAGTGATGGTCATCTACAATATGTGGGAGCCTGAGAAATATAAATTTGGGAGTCGCGTCGAGGTCTTGTTTTGGTCGGTGATGCTCTCATATAGCGTCAGCTGGCATCGTGAAGACGCGTCCACCACGTAGATTAGTTGTGTCTTTACAGCACAAGACGCCAGAAATTGTCGGTAAAATCACCGCCAGATCGCACCGATGTCAAACTCCGGCCTCCGCGTCCGCGATGTTGGGGCGTTGGGCGATGCCGACATGCCGTACACGCTATCGTCAGTTGCGCCAGATGGCCTGATCCGTTGCCGTTCGTTACGAGGAGGGCAAAAGTCCCAACAGACTCATGGCGTGACAAAACGAACAGCTATAATAGCCTCTCTCGCAGTGCTGGCAGCCTCCGCCAAGATTTCTTTTGCCGCAGTCCAGCCAGTGTGAATCAACGGCTGATATCCCGAAACCCGGTACCGGGTACCGCCAAGTCGTCGAAGTCATGTCAACAACGAGATCAGATCATACTTAAGCCAACGATCAACGACTGCAACCCAAAGTGTATAGAGTCACGCAATAGCCTGACATCGCCATGTCGTCCCAATCAACCCAAGGGGCGAACAGCACTTCAATTCCCTCCACCCTACTTACATCAGTATGTACATTTCGCTCGTGCTGCACAAATGCAAAAGCTAACCAACAAGGGACCTCCATATTTTCCCCTGTTTGCTATTCTTGGCGAGCATCCCACTGTCAAAGTTGATGACCCTATTGGTGCCATCATTCTGTTCTTCTTCATCGTCGCCGCTATCTTCAATGTCACCATTTACTTGCGCAACGCGTTCCGATCACACCACTTCTTCACGTCGTTTTTGCTGTTTATCTTTTGCATGGCTCGCGTCATTGCCAATATACTGCGCATTTCCTGGGCCTCACGCCTGTACAACGTCAAAATCATCATTGCCTACCAGGTATTTCTCAACGCCGGAGTCGTGATGCTCTTTGTCATCAATCTCTTTCTTACTCAACGCCTCTTTCGCGCCTACCACCCGCATATTGGATGGAGCAAACCAATGACGATAGGTTTCAAGGTACTCTACGCCAGTATCACTGCTGACATCACCATGGTCATTGTCGCACTCGTGTACAGTTTCTTCACCCGCGATCTTGCCAAGCTCTCCAAGGTGCGCGATGTTCAACGGACTGGTGCCACATACTTCGCCGTGGTTGCATTTCTACCCTTACCTATCACCGCCCTCTGCGTTTTACTTCCGCGCAAAGGTGACATTGAAAAGTTTGGTCAAGGGCGAATGCGCACGAAGGTGCGATTGATCGTCTTTGCAGCGGTGTTGCTGTCTATAGGCGCTGGATTCCGGGCTGGTATCGCTCTAATGGGGCCACGCCTCTCAACAAACCCAGCTTGGTACCATCGCAAGGCCTGCTTCTATGTTTTCACCTACGCAATAGAGCTTGTCGTTGTTTACACATACATACTATTCCGGATAGACCGCCGCTTCCACGTTCCCGATGGCAGCAGTGGTCCAGGTCATTACTCGGCGAGCGTTGGATCCACTACCTTCAATCCCGAGCTCTCTAGTGTCAACACCGAGGTTCCGGTAACGGGGAATGGGGAACAATCACAGGCGAAGCAAGTGCGGAGTGATGAGGAATTAGAATCGAAGGCGTGCTGAGGTTCGGAGCTTAATGGCTAGACACTTGTGCTTTATTAGTCCCATACGGAACCTTTAGACCGGATGATAAAGATGTTTCAGGTTCAATGTTATTTACCCGAATCTGGAAGTCAACTTGTATAAGTTGCGCCCGGATTGCTTTCCCGCTTCACTTGATGACTTGTTGGTGAAACCGTGCGAAATGAAGTGCATCTTTGGATTAGAGACCGCCGGCCTTGCCTTACACTATAACATGCACGTTTGCGCCACAAGAAAGACAGTCCCTGGATATAAAGCCCCTCAGATGATCTTGTTTCATCGGATTACATTAGATAGGAGAACGCTTGCTTATTCAGAGTATTATCTTGGCAGTACAGATTCGTACTAAGTGGCATTGACGAGTCGACGAGAACGATCTGTAACGGTGCATGATACTCCATCATATTTGTTCTAGTTCAAGAAACTTATTTTTGCACAAGGACTGAGATCTGAAAAGTTCCCATATTTTCATACTTAATTGTAGACCCGGACAGGCTCAGCAGCTAAATTCATTCCCGACAACAAAACCCCAACGTTCACTTCGCCTCAGCTGCCTCGGCACGAAGGAGTTGCTCGTACGTGTCCTTCACAGTCTCTGCCAATGTCCTATACTTCAGGCCCAGCACTCGGGTCGCTTTACTTCCATCTACCGTGTAGGTATCCTCAACAACTCCTGTTTGACCGACAGGCATCCTGGACCTCAGCTCGGGAATCTGCTCCCTAGCTGCATCCACAGCACTCTGGTAGTTGAAGTTCTGACCAACCCAGAACCTTTGTCCGCCGGCTTCTGGAACCTCGAAGCCAAGAACATGGGCCGCTGCCACTTCGCGCGCATCAGCGAACCCGCCGAAATCAAACGGAGGGACCTCGGTTGCTCCTATGATGCCGTAAAGAAGCTGAAGCGATTCGCTGAGGCCCTTTGTGTTGGTCAGCTCGGTCACATAGGGGCCGAATATCCAAGGAGGAGTAATGGTGACCAAGTCAAACTTGGGCTCATTCTTGGCGACCCAATCCCATGCGGCCTTTTCAGCCAGAGCCTTGGATGCGCAGTATGCCACCACTCCATCGGCGACGGCGGCTTCCTCAAATGTGACCGGATTCCAATCCTTCTCGTCATAAACATAGCCCGGGCGCTTCCCCTTTCCCAGGTCGCATACAGAGGCATGGCTTGAGGTGATGACGACGCGACGAACAGAAGGACCCCATTGTTTGGCAGCCTCGAGAATGGCGACGGATCCGTGAATGGCGGGTTCCAGCAAATCCTTGACATTGTCTTCGGGCTTCAGGACGAATGGTGAGGCCGAGTGAAGGATGCCCACGACGCCTTCCAAGTGGTGCTCGTAGGATTTGGCGTCGGTCATGTCGGGCACAATGGCGGTCGAAAGCTGCGCCTTGTACTGGGGAAATTGATCGATGATTTTCTTTGCGGATGACTCGCTTCGGGCAGTCGCTCGAACGTTGTAGCCCTTATCTAGAGCTGTCCCGACAAGATGGCCACCTAAATAGCCACTCGCGCCAGTGATGAGAAGAGTACCGGAAGTCATGTTGGTATGTGTTGAGTGTGAATTGGTTCTTCGATGGATAAGACTGTGAGTGGAAAGCAAGATGTTAGAAAGACTGACAACGGCGGAAGCACTTGGGCGGCTTTATAGTCTTCCAGACAACGCCACTCCGCACGCCACTCCAGTTACTCATTGCGACTCTCGCCGGGACTGAACCCTGCTGAAGAAGCTTCGTGACGCCCGTACGCCAGCGAAAAAGCCATCACTGCGCTGTAAGACTGCATAATTAGTCAACCTTGGTCCGCGTTGCGACCCTCTGCTGACGGATATCGAAAAAGCTAGGCCTAAAAGAAAAAAGATGGTGGGGTTTCGGGGATAAACGGTCGATAAAGAGCCACTTTTGCTCGCTGATAACGCCGAAGGAGATATTTTATGACGCCATAGTGCATATCGTCTTATCGCCGAAACTGCTCTCGGTTGGGTTTGCCTGGCTAACGGATGAGGTTAAAGCTTAGTTCGAGGTTGATAAGCGGAGAAGATTAGATGGAAGCGGGATGTTAAGGAATGGAGGGCGCCAATGAGAGGATGGGGGGGACAGGTTCATTCTTGGAATTTACAATGTGACTGAGACCGAAGAAAGTACTCTTGAATCTTTTCCAGCTTCATACCTCAGGGCTGGCTAGGAGAAGAGGAGCCCTGGTGTTCTCTTGATGGGAACAGGTGCGTGCAATGTTAGGTTTTGTGAGCCGCTTGACACATTCATCATATCTGTGAAGAAAATCCTCGAATTTATTCTGTGGAGGATGGATCATCTTTATTTGAGCTCCGCTCCGTGACGGAAGACAGAGGGGGCCTCCTATGTATCCGTGAATGTCACAACCACCCAACTCGGTCATCACATTACCGCGCATCTGCACCCCTTGTCTGCTTAGTTCCGTGTCCAGAAATACCACCATAAGATCGAGTCGAGTCAAATTGCTATAATTCAATATCCGCAAAAATCATGCTCTTGCTAGCGGGGCATGCGTTTTCGGAAGGGCTCTAGCACACATTTCCACCATTGCAGCTCCCCTCGCATTCATAGTGGCCGCCAAGATTGGCGTCGTTGCCGTAGATGTCATAGCCCTGAAACCAGCCATTAAGTACCTCGTGGAGGTAGTCCAAGTTCTGCGGTGAACCGTGTTGCCGTCCCTCACTGGAGCAAGGATAGTCGACCGTGATGCCCTGGCCGTCATTCAGTCCGGTGAAATCCTGAGCTGTGAACCAGCCGTTGTAAGAACCGAGTGCCCGAATGGCATTTCCGTTGGCATTGTCGAGAGCATTCTTCAAAACGTTTGCTCCGCAGTCGACATTATCCTGGATAGGGTACTGGCAGGAACTTTGACCGTTCTGGCAATTGCTAGGGTCACATTGCATTAGACCAGGCGTAGGACCACCAGCGTCTGCATTGCAGGAGGACTCTTGCATAGCGATAAAGGCGAGAATGGCAGGATCGATGCCATATTTCTCGCCAGAGCTCTGGAAGAACTCATCGTACTGCCGACAACCTTGACCAACGCCGTTGTAATAATCGTCGAGCGAGATGTGTGTGAGACTGTTGATGTCGAGAAAGGGCGGATTCCAACCATCGGCATCGAGGCCTGTGTTGAGCCACGCTTCAGAGCCATTAGGCCCACATGCGCCATTGCCACCTTGTGTGGTATCACAAGCGCCTTGGGCGTCAGGGTTGGTCTCAGCCATAGTGAGGTTAATGGCCAGGGCGGAAGCGGCCGCGAGGTAACGGTTAAGAGAAGGCATCTTTCTGTCGATCGGTTGTGACTTTGGTTTCTGGGTTTACAAGTTCGAGTGCTTACAGTGGTGATTTATATATTTTAACCATCAGTTATAATGTGTTGGCTTTTCATCCATGCGGCTGACTGAATCCCACAACGCCGTAAAATTTGGAAGGTGACAGTGCTGACTTTCCAGGGGTCGAAACGGCCCGAAATAAAAGGGAAACAAAACAAATACACAGGGTATGATTTTCTCTTTTCAGGCTAGTAAATGGATCGCAGAGTTGGCGGCATTGAAAACCTGATTGCCGATCTAATTGCCCTGGCTAGAGCAAGTAGACTCGGGGAATCCGGGAGGGAGCAGCCTTTGCAAGGTGAGTAGCGATACAAAGCGAGCACCAACTTGGTGCCATGATCTCCAAGGCCCCCAAAGCAGTGTTCTCTATACTAGATAATTTTGTGAAAGCATTGTAGGTCATCGACAAGTGGGCAATGTGTAGATTATCAGACCATTGCGACCATAACCTGCCGATATTTTCCTCCACACCAATGCGTTCTAGATGCTACCTTGGTGCGCAGATGTCAATTCCATCTTGTTAACCCCGTCTCGCGAGGACGTCGATCATTATACTAACTTAGGTACCAAAATGGCGTGGGATGAGCTAAGAACCGCTCAGCCACTTCCATAGCATACCACTCCGTAATGATGTTCATGGCACGGGCCCAGAAATCGCAATTTCCTTGTTAAAGTGTTTATACGGAGACGGCTGATGTTTGGGCTTGTGGACCCGAAGCTCACATCAGCAGGATTAAAAGCATTAAAGGGATCAATTTCCTTTGCGACATGCGCTTACGGTATTAATTGGCAAATCAAAAGTCCCATGTTTCACCGCGACGTCTGGAGGATTCAACCCGCAGCTAGTGTGTTTCGCCGATCTTTTAGACGAAGCTACATTCACGGTGCCTCTTTTCGTCTACCTCGTTCCATGATGCAACTTGAATGGTGCAGGGTCCGGGAGAGGGATCTGAAATCTCAAGCCGCTGGGAGATGCCGCTGCCAGAGGCTCAGGACCCATGCAGCTTTGTTACATGAAGCGCCGACTACATATTATTGGGTTGTGGCCGATATCTTGACCGAGACGGTAGTATCCCAGATGCAACATCCTAAAAACGCTAAGTGCTGAGTTGCATCAGTAATATAATTAAATGAAGTATTTTCTTGGGGGGAGATGCACTTCGTGCGGTCAGGGCCGGAGACAGAGAGGGTCTTGGATACCCTGCAGTGCGAGCTGACAGGAGGGCCTTGAGCTGAGACCAGCTGGGGAATTGGATTGAATGAAGGTTGGAAGCACTTGATCATACGCCTTGGAATGGAACAGGGCAAAATGAGTGTCAATGAAATGATATGAGCTGCGGCGACAGCTTGCCTAGGCACACAACATAAGACAGGTTTCGTCTCTAAAGTCCAAAAAATTCAAGAAGAGAAAAAGCATGCCCTTTTAGTCACTTGGAAGGGGCAGTTCCTTTAACCAGTAGCTAGCTCGTCAGACTAGCCCTGCTGTCATGAAACTCCAGTGCATCAGTCAGCACAATCACAGCACCAGCGTTCAACCAAAGATTAACCACACCGTCGATCACCGATGGTATCGAGGGTTCTATGGTACGAGGCCGGGTATGTACAGCTAGTTGTTTTCGTCATCAGTATCATCGCCTTCATCGCTGTTATCACTGTCGTCGCCGTCATCGCTGTCATCGCTGTCATCATCTTCGTCCTCGTCCTCATCGCCCCATCCATCAATTGTCACCAATTCCGCCTCCGCAAAATGGATCACCCCATGACCAGATCCCAGTAGCTTGAACGCCGCCGAGCCAATCATGTCAAGTCTCTTGACCAGTTCTCCTGCCGTATCTCTCTTCTTTGCATCCTTTCGCAGGCAGGCCTTTGCGGCATGCACAAGAGGTGCCGGCACGAGCGAATCCTTTGCGATCAGGTCGCACCCCATTTCCAGCACCTCGGCCATGACGCGGCCGATGGCGTACATGTCGGATTCTTTGCTCATGTAGCGGCCCGACTTCGACTTAACTTCGGGGGCGCGAAAGTTAGCGTTGCCGTACATGTTACTCGATTGGGACAACGTCTCAAGCGTTCGACTGTCACCGAGATCGATGATCACCAATTGATCGCTCGATAACACGGTGGGGCTTTGAAAATACGTCTCTTCTCTTATCATAACGTTTTCCATGTGGATGTCGCTGCCCGTGGGCGAGTGCCATAGGTCGTTAGTCCAGTCATAAGCTAAAATGAGGATAGGGGGGTTGGGGTGCATAGTTGTGGATTTCCGGGGCAAATTGGAAGGAGAACTCCTAAAACAAACTCACCGGTGGACAATATCCATATCATGAATCGTTTCAATGCTGGCGGCAAGGTCCTCAAGGCGGGTGGTTATGATGTCCCAGGGCCGCTCGCTTTTCTCCAGGGTATCATACAAGTACTGCTCCAGACCGTGTTTAGCGTATTCGATCACAAGATAGACGCTATCTTGCCCATCAGCAGAATGCTTAGACAAGGGGTGATCCGAAGGCACTCTAGTGAGGCCGTGGAGAACGCTCAGGCAGGATGTCCCCTTGAGCGAAACTAGAAGTGAGAGTTCTAACTAGCCGGGGCGTCAGCGGAATGAATCTCCAAATAAATAAAAAAGCCTGAGTTATATACCTCTCGAAATAGCGCCTGCTCAGATCTTGATTCCAATGTCTTTTGCTTTGGTGGCCATATCCTCTTCAGGACCACCTCGAACTTCTTGGGCGACATCGATATGTCGATTTTGCCAGGACAGGTCCACGTGGCGCGATATACGTCGAGATTCCGACCGCCCAGTGGGGTTGTCGCTTCCAAGCTTATATCGGCGAAGTTGATGGCGTCCACGAGGCCGCAATACCTTTCCAGCCACTCTGCGTTCGCAGAGTTGTACGTACCTTGGAGAATATCTGCTAGCTGGAGAGTTTGTCCGTGGCGTTTCTGGTCAACTATCCGTCTGAAATGTGCCCGGGCTGCATTGATTCCGAACTCTGACGCAAGATTTCGGAACTTCCTTCCGGGAATCGTCTCGAGGAGATACCATGTCCCGTTATCCGGGTCAGCCGTCACGGCACAGTCGTTCTGCATTGTCTTAGTGATCAGCGCGCGTATGAGAGGCAAGGGGAACGACTAAAATCATATACGGTAATGGAGAGAGCAGCGGGTGTTTCGTACCCAAAGAGACTCTAATTCGAGCTGGCCGTATATCCCAGAAAGCTCGGATGCAATGAAGACGACCGAGTCCTCCTTTTTATACCCGGGAAACTCAAAGCTATTCTCAACGCAGTATTTGAAGACCTCTTCCTCAGTAAAGAGGTGGTGGTCCAGGAGGAGCTGTCTGTCGGTGTTCCACAGGAGCTCAGAGCCGGGAGCGACGATGCCAGAGTAGGCCATCTCACGGAAGGGGATAAACTCGAGCCACATGCCAGGGTCCTCCCAAGTAGTGGGAAACTACAGTTTTTCAAGTTAATTTTGAGTGTTCAACGTTCAATGCAGCCAACCACATATCATGAGTAGCGTGTCGATGGGGAGAGACTTACTGTGAACGACAAATATAACTCCTCGTGGTCTGCCGCAGTAGCATGGCGTATTTGTCGCCTACATTCCATAGCTGCCATTCTCGTCAGGCTCCATATCTGAAAAACTCGGTAGGTGCGTGCCGAGATTTTGCTGGTGTCGTCAGAACCTGGCGCTGCCTCATGCACGGCACCTTCTGTCGGCGATCCGAGCTCGTCGTAGGGGGGTAAGGGGTTCGAGGACAGCACCCTCAGGAGTCTCTCGAGAGCCATATCGGGAGTTGAGGCATCATTGCCGATGACGAGTTTGGACTTCAGTGTGGCCCTGGCCATCTTGGTATCGGAGCGGCTGTGGGACATAGGTTGATGTTGATGGTGAGGAATCACCATGGGCTGCACTGTCTCGAAGAACGCAGAGTAGGAAGAGGAGGCCTCGGCGGTATCGTTGCTGCCCCCTCCGATACGGCCATGGCCATCGTGAGCCATAGTTCCAGGTCTCTCAGCCAGCGTCTTAATATCGGAGACGGGCTCAGCACCAACGTTCAACTCATCGTGAGGGTTCGGAGCCGATGTGGTGAGCTCCGCCTCCGGAGCGGCGACCCAAGGGTCGTTGCTGCCGCCAAGGACTATGTTGAGTCCCATGGTTGTAAGCAACAACTCTCGAGGATCTGCAGCTGAGCCGTTGTGGATAGTGTACCGTCGGCACCTGTCTGGCAATGACTCTCCGTCCGACAAGCCGCGCCAGGCGGGTCGAAGGCAGTGCATGGCGCGAGAGGCAATAATCCAGAATTTCTGGTCCTTGGCCGGTCGGATGATCGCGCTCTCGGCGATGCAAGGATCGAATTTTGCGTGTGTTAATTGCGCCTCGAGGTTTGGGTTGTCCCGATGCAATTGAGACAGGCGAGAGTGGCACGCTTGGCCGGTTTCCCAGCGAGACATCCACCGACACACAAGTACCCACACGGCTTCGGAGTCCAGGCGAAGCCTCCTGGGATTACTTTTGAGCCTCTCCCCTAAATCTTCACGCAACTTGTTGACCCAGCACCAATTGTCGAAAATCTTGGATAGCTCATCATCGGCTGCTGAACTGGGCTTCGGCTGCCCGCCATCTTCCAGAAAAGTCTTTTGGAAGTCGGTTAACAGTGTTTTCTCCCAGCGATCTAGAGATACTTTGATCGATACTTTCATTATTACAGGCCGGGTTCGGGTCCAGATGACAGGTTTTGAATCAGGTACTCAACTCGTCAGGTTTTCATTGACTTAGAAATCGAACATAAATCATTGGGATCGCCTGTATGGGCTATATAACAAAGGCGGGAGACGTGGATGTAACCGTCGGGAATGTGGGTTGAAAGTTGAAAGCGCAGAGCCTCATGGCTTCGTAATCAGTCCAGCCCTCTTACCAAGATTGGCAAAATGGGGAGAGAAGGGTGGTTGTGTCTTCCGTTCCATTGGCGGAGTCTTTCTGGCAAAGGGTCCAGCTGACAACCCTCCATGGTTTGTGCCAGGTCACGGTGCATCTCTTGCCACGTTAGCCGTTTTTACTGGTCGCCGAGTGAGGCTCTGAGACTGGTTTATCTTGGTCAACCACATGCGGAGTGGGCGGCAGCATATCATCAAGGAAGCAACACAGGGTAGAGTAAATCGCAGCGGAACTGTTCCTCTTCACCGGCCTTGCTTCCGCCAAGCTAAACAAACGAATCCATTTCAGCGTCATAGCTGAGAGGATCCTCTATCTAACTCCAGGAGCTTCAAAGGTAAACTGTGACTGTGGCCAGACATGCAGCAGGTGGGGTTGGGTGTCGGCATCACTGCGGTCGCCTTCGAGACGGGTCGCCTCGTGAAGGAGATTGGCAAGATGATTAGAGATTTCCGCGGCAACCGGGCTCGAGACCGCTGCGCGAAGCTCCAGGTCGAGGCCGAAAAGCTCAATAGACTGCTCCACATCATGCCAGGGGCTGTGAACAACTCGGTCGGTATCGCCAACGAGGCCCAGTCCTGCATGGCGGACATCAAAGACTACACGGACCGCATGGCTAACAGCGGCATGCTCGACGACGCAGTGGAAGTTTGGTGGCAGAGGAGATACGACATCATTCTCGCCCGGACTAGACGGGTAAGTGAGGCTCTCACGGTCGGGCTGTTAGCACGAACAGACTTCAATCCCCTGGGCCGGCTCGGGACGGATGGCAGGGTACGCCCAGTCTCGCCCATCACCATCGCAGATCCGACCGTCATAACATTCGATGATGCGCGCTCGACAGGGTACGGCATCATTGAGGGCCACGGCCATGTCGTCTTCCGCCGGCTCAAGGACAGCCAATACAGCCTGGAAGCGCTTGACCTGTACCAGCGGCTCCAAGAGCGCAGCTACGTGCAGCAACTACGGGGGCTCACCGAGGTCGAGGGCCAGGTCTACGTCGTCATGCAAGACTGCTCGTCGCACAAAACCCTCAACAAGTTGTGTGCCGAGGAGAAGTTGCCGCTCGACCTGCCGTCGAGGATCGAGATCGCCTGGCACCTCGCCAGGACGTTCGCCTGGCACCACCGCTCCTACATACTCGTCAAGGCCGCGAGCGACGAATCCATATTCATGAAGCGCGCGAACCAGACCTTTATACCCATTTTAACCGGTCTCGAGCACATGCGTAGCGTAAGTACCTCCGAAAATTCAGAAACAAAAGACTCAGGGTGACCTTTTTAGCTTTACGAGCTATCAACCGGCTTGAGATTTGACTGTAGATATGAGGCCCCCGAGTATGACACCAAGGAGACGGAGCATACGCTATACACGGATAGATGGTGGTTAGGATTCCCAAGCGGCCCTCTACCCTTTCCTGTCATCTTTTACTTTACTGACGAAGCGAGAATACAGCCTTGGGATCCTAGTCTGGCAGGTCATCTGCGAACGCTTCCCTCATGGGATAAAATATCCCGTCGATTTCGATAACCAGGATGACACTCAGAAAATTCGTGATCGCCTCAAAAAAAACATAGAACCGGGTGAATTCCCGGCAGGGCCAGCCCTGCCGTCTGAACTCGTCAGTGAGCTGAGAGCGTGCTGGAACACCAATCCTGAGGAGCGCCCGACGCCTACGAGGGTAGCAAGCGTGCTCTCTGACACCCTTTTGCGCCTGAAACGAAACCGCGACGAGCTGCTTGCCCTAACGCAGCAACCCGATCCAGATATGCTAGGGGAGGGATCATCTGAAGCCGCAAGGAGACAGGTCGCGTCGCGCGTGAATCAGGAAAGGAAAGCTCATTCCGCCAGAGAGAAGCAGGAGAGAAAAGCCAGGCGCAAGAAGAAGAATAAGTTAAAAGACAACAGACAGCCAAATGGCAAGGTGAGCGAGGAGGTCATTAGCACTGCACTATCACCACCACTACTAACGCCACGTTAGGAGAAAATACCCGCGGACATCATCAAACCGCTACTCCGGGCAACAGATGCCGAGTGCGCATATCTCGTCGGCGCTAGTATCTGGTGGGACCTGCTCGATGAGAAGACACTTAAACTCCTAGCCAGCTCCCGCGTCTCCGACTACCTAACCACGACCACCAGCGGTAAGTTGAACCAGATTTTGGTTATATTTACCTCTACTGACGCATCAGCAACTAAATAGGTCAGAGAGCAGAGTTATCCTTGACCTTCCTCCACCAGGCTGTGCGGGGCGGATGCGTGGATGGATATTTGGAGATGCACAAGGCGTACGCGCTCTTGTCGGAACTGTGCATGGAGAATCACACGAAGGCACTTGAGGCAAAAGGTTCCCAGTCTGCCGACCTCACAGACTAAGGCAGGAGCTGTATTGTCTCCGGGTTCCTGGAGAATCTATTTACCCCGTTTTAATTTACTTCGTTTTGTCTTGTTCATCATCACTTCCTGATACTGCATATACTCCTCATTATACAAACAGCAGAAATAATGCTATATAGCCAGTATTCATGAATGACTTGCTTACAGCCAATAAGGGTTTATCATCGTCAAGCCGGCCGTTGCGACTGCCATGGGTCCGGATGGCTCTGCAACCCGGATGAAGACGTAGTGATGGCCTACCATGAACCTAGCAAACTATATCTTGGGATGAATGCTGAAAATGGAGTCGTGCTTATTACGAGGCGGAAGGCTGGATTCATCCTGTCGAAATCCCGCTTTTCTGAATCCAAGGTACCGATTTGTGCTCAAAATCCTCTTCCAAGGCTATCTTGAAGCACTGGACGGCGTTTTCTATGACGAACAGAAACCTATACGTAACAGCGTGGATGACCGAGGACGAGTGACTATAATGCTGGTGGTCAATGAATTACAGAGGTTAGCGCTGATACCGACCGTGTTTGAGATGTACTGCGCGTCCTTGACTATAGAATTAATGACAATGAAACAAGCTCTAGGTGACTGGTTTCCAAATCAATTCCTCACAACTACTGCCTCTTTAATAAAGAGTCCATTGACGGCAACCTTGACTAGGAACTTAGCCACACTAGTAACAGTCACACTGTCGGATACACCCATTCTATCCCCCGAGCTGCCTAGCGTTTCCACGTCCGTCTTTGTGTCGTTCGGCTTCTTCAGATCGTCGAATTCGAGCCTCACAGCCCTTACAAGAGTCCAATCCATCTTGGTCAGGCGAATCTCCTCATCTACGAGGCTATGATCCTGGAGCGCGTACTTGATGTTGGTCCAGCCCATGAATGCCTTGCTCAGCCACGGTAGTTTAGCCCATGAATCCCCGACTCCTGCCGTGGACATGACAACAACGCGATGAATGCCAGCCTGCTCCAGAACTTTGCAAACGGTGGCGCACGAGTCGGCCAGGAAGCGAGGAGGTGAGAGCTGAGCTGCGAAAGGGCTGTCGGACTTGCGGACCGTGTTCAATGTGATGATGGCTGCAGAAGGTGATAGACCTGGCGCTGCGGCGAGAGCGCCACGGATGTCGTCTTCCGATAGCGGTGACCCAGTGACGACGGTGAGGCCAGGACGAGTGGTGAGGCTACTAGAGGTACGGACGAGTGCTATGGCTGTATGACCTTGAGAGAGTAATTCAGACACAACGTGCTTGCCGGTCCGTCCAGTGGCGCCGAGTAGGAGGAAATGCATGGCTTTTGACGATGAGAGGAGCCGTTGAGTACTCGTCTGCTTGATATTATGGAGAGATGCAGAGGCTTCGTTACGAAAGGGCGATGGGGTTGCGGATTCATTTATGAAGTTGACCACCGCGGTGGGTGGGTTCAGAGACAGAGACAGAGCCAGCTGCTGATTGGTTCGTTCGCTCCGTATACTGCAATTAGAAGCGGCATGCAATCTTATACAGGGAAGCTGACCGACACATCATTTCTCTCTTTCTACCTAGTGGCGCACTAGACAGTGCCACCGGCTGGTCCGGCTCGGTGTTCGAGGTTGGTTGGGTCGCGAGCAAAGTGAGAAAGTGTGAGGTGCAAGCCGTATATTCGCAGCTAGTACGCAAGGAAGGATATCGCCAAATCTACCTCCCCTTCTCATTTTTGGATTCCCTTCCACTAACACCATCATAACCAGCGCTTGAGCTACTGCTGCTGCTATGGACATTCCCGGGTTGCTGCTCCGGGTGTTGTTTCCCGACTGCACGTTTTAGAAGCCCTGACTCTTTCATCCAAATTGTTGGCTACGCCCTGCAACCTTTCGTTCTCAGTCTGCAGCTTGGTATCTAAGTCTGGCGAGGAGTACAGTGCCCCCAAGAGTACAATTTTCAGTATCAGATGGAAGCAGCGCATGAAAGACACTGAAATAGGCTCAGGACCCGGAGGTCTGGTTTCCATCTGAACGAGTTCAAGATGACTGAGCCACGATTCCAAGGAGTCCAACAGAGCTGCTTTCTCGCATACTAGTCGAAGAGCGTTTCCTACCGATTCGACTTGCGACACCTTGGCGAGGAATTCAAGCGTCGATTCAGCGATCCTTACAAGCTTTGTCCTCATGTTGGGCGCAATGTTGCGAAGATCGCGGGACTCGACAGGTTGTTGATACGGCGAAATCACACATGCAGACAACGTCGTCCCGCTTACATCGGCTGCTGCTGAGGGTTCTGCGAACTTGCATGGTGCGGCAAACATCTTGATGACGAAGATGTCGAAGAAGGCCAGTTGGCTATGGTGAGCTGGCATCAATCTATGCGCGGCAAGAAAATATGGCCTTGCCCGGTACTCGTGCGTGATGGTGAGTCCTCGAATGATATGCAAGGCCATTGCAGCAAAATTACCGCGCACTTGCTCAATACTGATCAAGACCTGACAGCAAAGTAATGCTGACTTCAACCCGTCTGAGCTCGGAGACGACAGCTTGGACGCAAGACCCCTCAAAGCCATACTGTATTGCTGGAGGCCGTAATTGTAGTTCGGGGTCTGCTGCGCGACAGACGCTGGAACGTCTCCGGACGTCTCGAGATCTTGCCGAAGAGCTCTGAGAGATGAGACTGCATGCCGTATAGGCGGATCAGTCAAGCTGGCTTGAAGGACTTGTCTGGCTTCGTCGCCACAACCCAGTTTTACGTCGAACAGGGTTTTGGTTGAGAAATAACGATTGAGAAGGTCGATGTCCTGAGGGGCGATCTTAGTTGAGATGGGCCGGATGGATTGTAAACCAGCGACAGCGTTTGGCTTGATGCCGCCAGCATGAGCGTTCTTAACGGGTTGGCTGGCAAAAAATCTAAATGGAGACTCGTAGCCGTCGCATGTACGACCGGCGTTGACACATTTTTGGCAAAACGGCTTGTTCTCGTCGCATTTGACTTTTCTGATTCTATTGCTGATTGAGTACAATGACTGTAGATGACCTCCTGTCTGAATTCACTCTCTTGAGGTGCAGACCGGGGATGGGGATCATGCGCTATAACTGACCTGCAGGTTGCACAACCGGTTTTCACCTTCGGTTTACCTTGGACATTCCGTTTGCGGGTGACAAGGCTTGTGGCCATGGTTGGGCTGGAGGTGGGACACTTTGGAGGAACCCACGGACGAGACGAAGAGCCGGAGCAAGCAAGAAATCCCAGCAGACGAATCAAATGATGCAGCTTGACTCATCCCCGGGATCATGAGGAAGCGGAGTGGGAATGGGAGTCGTAGTCGCCTTCGCCTCATGTCGCCGCGTCTTGTTGAGAAGACGCGAGAGCCGAAGTGTTCCAGCTATTTACTAACCCATTTTGTCTAGGTCTCAGCCTCCACCGGCGTCAGCACTAGCTGGATTAAGAAGCAAGAGCGAACCGACCAATTATACGCGTGGAAGCGTACCCCATACTGCTGTTGGCAGGGTTCATCCTTGCACCGTCATTCAGAGCCCCATTGTCTCCTTCAGCTTATATACCGAGCGGCTGGCCCCTTCACTCTCGAAATGAGTACTTGTACTTTACTTCATGTCGAGATTCATAAACAGCTCAAGGTTTGTATCTAAACTACCGCACAGCTCCAAAATGCCGGCCTTTACTCTGTATGGCGCTCGCGGTTCGACCAACACCGATCGTGTCCGCCTGACTCTCGCCGAGGGTGGCTTTACGGACTACGAACTCGTCATTCTCAACCTTCAAAAAGGGGAGCAAAAGGTAGATGAACATTTTCTCTTCTCTCTTGGAAACCCATGCGGCTTCTCTTCTCATTCATCAAATATTTGTTCCCCTGCTAACGCCGCTGCACCTAGTCCAAAGAACACAGGAACCGTCACCCGTGGGGTAAAATACCCGCCATCACTTTCCCCGACGGCTTCACTCTTTACGAGAGTCGCCCAATCTGCAAATACCTCGCGAGAAAGTACTCATTCCCACTTCTCCCGCCGGACTCCAACGTCGAAGCTATGGCGCAGTTTGAGCAGGCGCAGTCGGAAGAAATGCTCTATTTCGCAGATCCTGCAGGCCGGATCGCATTTGAGAAATTTGCAAAGAAATTCATGGGGCTGCCTCCCAACGAGGCCGTTGTCTCAGAAGCGCTGCGGTCAGTCGAGGCGTTTTTTGACGTCGCAGAGCGTCTCTTGCAACGCAAGGATTACATGGCTGGAAATGACTTCACGCTCGCGGATATTTACTACATTCCGCTGATCCAAAGACTTTTCGCATGCGGGTACGGAGATCTCGTCGTCAGTCGCAAGGCTGTGAGTGCTTGGTGGGATCGTGTCATGAATCGGCCAGCGATACAGAGCTTGTTGGCCGCCGACAAGGAGGCTGCGGCTGCTGCTGGTAGATAGAACAGAAACCAGTGGAATAGTTAGACCGGGCAAATTGAGGCGCGCATCGCATTTTTGCGCCAAAATAGATAATCTGTTTCAATGTGTACAGTACGTTCCACTCGCGTTCGCCAGCGCTTCCTACCTTGGGATAGGGACGTACTTTGAGAGAGCCCAGGCTGAAGTCGTGATGAGATACCATTTAAAGCTTTTACTGGGGCCCTCAGTTACCTATATTTCGACATGGTTCGTTAATCGACTGCCGTTGGCTAGCTGGGTCATTTTAATTCCGGGGCTTGGCTTGCTCTCGTGGTCTCCATTCAATTAGTCGCCAGTCCTTAAAGGCATCCGATACGTAAGATGCTCAGGGTGGACTACAGTTACTCACCAAAACTAGGTATGAGTAGTCAATGATGACATTATGCGAGTCTGCGTACCAGACCACCCATCCTCCAGTACTATGGTCGCATTTCGGATAGCTTCGAGATCGGCGTACTCGATACAGGTTGTATGAGGCGCACAACTGGAGTTTTGACATATCAATGTGTGCAGATTAATGAGAGGGAGAACTTACACGGAGCAGCACCCAAAAATTCCGTCGACTTCCTGATGGCAGGTTCCTCGATCATAAATACACCTCCTCAACATGAAAGAGCTGTGCAAAGGGGCCAAGGTCGACGCCGTCACACCCGCAGCGCAAAAAGATCACGTCATGTCGCATCTTCGAACCTGCTCTATCTCTCACTTTGCAGGCAATGGCAGCACAAACCCCATGGATCCTTCGCAAGGTTCTCTCCTACTGCGAGACTGGGAGACGGACTAGCTAACGGTGGCTACTCTTCTGGAACTAAATATTCGCCAACGTCATCCGTGTCTGGTGTATCACTCGGCTTGCGGGACAGGCGAAATCAAAGACGACCGGTTTATCGATGAAAGCATCCACCTGACAGGGTTTCCGCACGTCATTGGCACACTTTGGGGGGTAGCGGATGAAATATGCGTCTATATGTCGAGAATCGCGTATGAAGAAATCTTGAGAAGCGGCATGTCAAACGAGTCGGTATGCTTCAGATTGCATCTCGCTTCCAGAGAGCTTCGGCATCGCTGGTTGAGCCAGCCTGTATCGATCAGGGGCACCGGGCTATCCAGGAGGGATGCCCATCACAGACGCTTACACTCTCGGACAAGGGCCAAAGAAAAGTTGAGGAGTACGAGGGGCAAAAGGTCGAGAGGTAAGGGGTCGAGGGACGTGATTCTTTTGGATTCGCACAGATCGGGCTTATTTTCGGAACGTTGGGTTCTGTAGGTTCATTTCGGGGTGTAGGGTCATTATTTGTTGATTAGAGTACTACGGTCGAAACCACGTATTTTAGAGGATTTTAGCATCTGAGGTATCCCCGTTTACAACATCGCCCTGAGAAGTATCGAGGCAAGCAGCGATGAAGCAGCTCTATGAATCCTCGGTCATAATCTCTCACTTATCAACAACACCAGTTAAATCAGCTGGCAGGCTGCAGTAAACAGATAGAGTTGCCCTCTTGTAGCATCCCACCCTCTACCCAATTGCTCTGTCCCTCATTCAAAAGTTTTCTCAACATTTTTGGCGCCCCTAGAAATTCTTCATCACCAGAGACAGACTATTAAGATCTCGTCATGGGGCCGACCCTAGTTTTACTGAAGGAGGCGACTGAAAGGTACGTGACGAGGTATAGAGTAGGTCCATCAGTCGGGGGCTTGAACCAAGTGAATCAGGATATGTGTATGAGTAAAATAGGGTATCTGTTATATCAAGTGACAGCAGGTAAGGGATTTATATACCCAAGGCGCATTGGTAGCTCGGCAGTGTAGGTCTAAGGAAACGGGTGCGCACCTTATCAACCCACTCTATCGGTACAGTGGGATATTGCGAGACTTTAGGTTCTAACACCTAATAATGGATTTACCAATTAGAATTTATACAATGAGAACAATAACATTTCTATTGGTGGAAACAATAAGCCCTCAATTACGAGCCCGTAGTTCAATCCCCTTTTTTCGCCGAACCAAGATTTCAATTGCGTATATCCCACTGGCTTTTGCGCCAGCCCGGTATCGGGATTATAGCATGATATGTCTTCTGACAAAGACGAATAACAACATTGCCCGCGTCTTGCAGCGGGGTAATAGCACACCACATGCCTCCATTCTCCACAATGGATGTTACTTGGTAGCAAAAATGGGCTAGATCCGGGATGTTTACCTTGTTCCCGACATTTGAGCAACCCGGAAGAGTGCTTTGTTCCATTTGTTTACCGTAATTTAAGCGGGCAGTGGACAGTCTAAGTGGGTTTTCCGATAGCGGGACTGAGAGATCATCACTTGATGGAACTTTGCTTCCCTAACCGAGGTTCAAAGGTTCACGCAAGAGTTGAGGGATGTATTTACATAGGATTTGGGTGTTTGGCGTAATAAGTGTCACAATAACGAAGACAGACATAAATATAGCCCTTGAATCTCTTCTCGATCCCCGAACCGTCACAAGTTCTCCCTTCAGTATCGTACTACCCTACTCCTCCAATATCTCATCACTACATACCACATTCTCACTATACCCTTCCCCGCAGTTCCATATGACGCCATGGACCCATAACTCTAACATTATTCCAAGCCTTGTTGAGGTCAAGTGCAAGCTGGCCGGGGTCATGTTGCATTGGCTCATGCGCTTGCCTGACGATGCGCTACCAACTTCCGCGCCTGGATGTCTCGGGAACCTCTATACCGCCTCTGGAGATGAATACTCGGGTGTCCAACCAAATTGAAGGGCCGAATTAATCCTTGATCGGTCCGAATGCTACTGTAGATAGTAATGATTTTGCCATGCGGCCGACCATATGTTGACCCGCAGACGCTAAGAGCGCACGATTATAACCAAGGCCGAGAACTATGTCCCACGGCGATGCTTGAACTTCACCTGTCAAGGCTACCGTAGAGAACAGACAATTTACAATGAGAGCTCTTACTTCTATTGTTCTCCTCGGCCTCTGCGCCGCCGGATCCATTGCGGACAGCAGCTCCAACTCGTCGCACCCCTCCGAGGTGTCGTACTACGGCCTCAGCCCGCCAGTATACCCGAGTCGTGAGTCTTCTCCCTCCGACTAGATTCAGGTTCCAGTTGGCTCATGTCGAATATGCGTAGCGATCGGAAATGGCACTACTAACCGTCAATGGAGCGAGGCCTACCGCCGAGCCAAGGCGCTCGTAAAACAGTTCACCCTCGAGGAAAAGGCAAACATTACTCGCGGCTGGACTGGCACCTGCACTGGCAACTCTGGTGAAATTCCACGACTGGGAATCCCGGCATTGTGTTTCTCTGATGCCCCTGACGGTGTCCGAGGCCAAGAGTTTGTCTCTGCCTTTCCGGCCGGCCTTCACCTCGCTGCCACCTTTGACAAGGACCTCATGTACGAGTACGGCAAGGCCCTCGGAGAGGAGTACTTTGGCAAGGGAGTCAATGTTGCTCTGGGTCCCACTGCCGGCCCCATGGGACGCATCGTTCGTGGTGGTCGCAACTGGGAGGGTCTCTCAAGCGACCCTTACCTCGCTGCCATTGGCATGGGCGCTGTTGTTCGCGGTATGCAGGATGCCGGCGTTATTGCGACGCCAAAGCACTTCCTTCTCAATGAGCAAGAGTTCCGTCGCCGTAATGCTGAACACGGCAACGGAACCCTCGAGTCCAGAAACCCTCCGGGCGAGTCCATCAGCTCCAATGTAGACGACCGTACTCTCCATGAGCTCTACGCCTTCCCTTTCATGGACGCGCTCCGTGAGGGTGCTGGGAGTGTCATGTGTTCATACCAGCGCGCCAACCACTCGTACGGCTGCCAAAACTCCAAGCTGATGAATGGCATTCTCAAGACCGAGCTTGGCTTCGAGGGCTTCGTCGTTAGCGACTGGGGGGCACAGCTATCAGGCGTGGCCTCTGCCAATGCCGGACTGGACGTTGTCATGCCCAACGATGGCTTCTGGGGAGATTCTCTCATCGAGGCCGTCAAGAATGGCTCTGTCAGCGAGGAACGTATCGACGACATGGCCACCCGCTTGCTTGCCTCGTGGTACCATCTCGACCAGGAGAACAAGATGCCCCCTGCCATGATTCACAACTACAACCAGAAGGGCGACGTGGTCAACGTGCAGGCCGACCACGGTGAGCTGATCAGAAAGATCGGGGCTGCCGGTACCGTTCTCGTCAAGAACGTGAAGAGTGCGCTGCCTCTTAAGAACCCCAAGATGCTCGTCATTTACGGCTACGATGCCACTGTCAGTGCTGCCCCGTGGCGCAACCCCAACCGCTATGGTGGCGACTACACCGTCAACTATGGTTGGAACACTTTCAATGGAACTCTTGTGACGGGCGGTGGATCGGGCATCAGCACGCCTCCATACGTCGTCTCACCCTTCCAGGCCATCCAGGACCGCATTATCAAGAACAAGGGAACTCTTCGATGGGACTTTTACGCCGAAAACCCCGTTGGTCCTTTTGTAAATTCTGATGCTTGTCTGGTCTTTATCAATGCCTACGGCTCTGAAAGCTACGACCGTGTTAGCCTAACTGACGAGTTCAGCGACAATCTTGTGAAGAATGTTGCTGCCAATTGCTCCAACACCATTGTCACCATCCACCACACTGGTAAGTACATACATATTCTTACTCAATTGAGCCACGTGGGTAGAAGTGAGTGCGAATCGCAAGCTGACCCGACTTTGTCTAGGCGTTCGCACCGTTGATGCTTGGATTGACCACCCCAACGTCACGGCCGTCATTTATGCCGGTCTTCCTGGCCAGGAATCAGGAAACAGTCTCGCCGATGTCTTATTCGGTGACGTTAGCCCCTCTGGAAAGCTTCCGTTCACCGTTGCCAAGAAGGAGGAGGACTATGGCCACCTTCTCAACTCGAGTGTTTCCTTTGACTACTTCCCCGAGGACAACTTTACTGAGGGTGTTTACATCGACTACCGATATTTTGACGCCAATAAGATTGAGCCTTTGTATGAATTCGGCTTTGGCCTTTCGTACACCACTTTCGAGTTCTCAAACCTCGAGGCGGCTGTCAGGACTGATGTCAGCACCGAAGAGCTCCCTGATCCTAGAATTGAGATCGTCCAGGGCGGCCACCCTGAGCTGTGGGACGTTGTGGCTTTGGTCAAGGCCACTGTCAAGAACACGGGCGAGGTAGACGGCGCAGAGGCTGCGCAACTCTACGTCCACATTCCGGGAGGTGACACTCCTGTGCGACAGCTACGCGGCTTCCAGCAGGTCGGACCCCTCGTTCCGGGTCAGTCTAGACTGGCCAAGTTCCCTTTGACGCGAAGAGACCTTAGTATCTGGGACGTCACGGCCCAGGAGTGGCGTTTGAGAAAAGGAACCTACAAGTTGTATGTTGGTTCAAGCAGCAGAAAGCTTCCACTTACAGGCAGTATTGAAATAGCCTGAAGATGTTAGTCAGGTCAGGGGATACTGAATTGAAGGAATCATTTAGAAATTAAAAAAACAAAAACAAATTAATAAACACTATTTTAATGTTTGGTGTATTCCTTTTATCTTCTCTTAGCTTTACTCCACATCAACAGACATATCAACGCCGTGCAGAATTTTCAAACCGTAGAGATAGACAATAAGTGCTGCACCTAGAACCAGAAGGAATAGTAGCTGAACAATAAGGCCGTTGTACACATATCTTTTTCTCAAGCTTCAATTCAACCCTTCTGACTTCAACCCTGCAAAAGTAGCGTATTTACACATCAAATAGCCAGTATTTCTATAATTACATTTTTTTTCTTCTCGCAATAACCAATATTCAACTCAATCGCCGTCTCTTATGTTCAAAACCTTCCAACATATCGAGGAGATCATCAACATCCTCATCGTTTTCTTCGCCAACAAGCACTGCCAACTCCAGCGGCGTGTTCCCATCGTTGTCTTTCACGTCTAGTAGACCAACCCCTCGTGGTGCGAACTCCAGAATGGTATTCAGTACCTTCTTCTTAACAGCAAGGCACTGTTCACTTGCCACGGCGAAATGCACGGCAGTCCAACCTTGACTCTTGCTAGAACGATTTCCAGGATATCTTTTGCGAAGTCTGAGTAATTCTTCGGTTTTGGCATCTCGCGTATGTAACAACATGGCAATGAGCTTAGTGTATCCCTTCGCGATGGCGGCGTGTAGGGGATATTCGTAGGGGCTCGAAGAATGCAAGGAAGCATCCGCACCACGAGCCAGCAGAAACTCGACGATTTCTTCGTGTTTGAAGTAGCAAGCAGTGTACAGGGGCGTTTTACCAACATCGGAGCGGCGGTTGACGTCGTCTTGGCAGTGCTCACGTATCAGGTAAGTTGCCGTGTCAGTCCATCTCATGATGAGAGCGTTGCCCAAAGCGGTCCCATAGTGGTCGGCCTTGGTATTGTAATTAGCGCAAGCGCTTTTACAATCGGGACAGTCCTGCAGGTGACTTCGGAGCAGGGCAGTACACCCCATCGTGGCTAGCAGAACCAACATGGTGGTACCTTGACCTTGGAGTAAGATGGCCTCTTTTGCTTGAGAAGAAGCGAGATATTTGACTTGCTGGTCAATGAGGCCCTTGGCCTTCCTTGATTTGCAGTTTTGCATGAACAGAGGCAAGCTCGTCTTTTCTACTAGCAAGCCGTCAGCTTCTCGGGCATGCTGGAGCCAGAACTCGCTGGCATAATCGAGGAACTTGGATTCGGTCTTGCTCAGACTGCAAGCGTCAAGAGCGCGAGTGCAACACTCGAACAGGAACAAATGGCAGCTCTCCTTTAGATTGTTGAAGTCTGGGCCAAGGCCCCTCTGTTGGAAGAAAGGGCCTACAGAGTCATGAATGAAGCGGACCTGTTCTTCCGTCTCATATTGTTGTTGTTTCAAAGGACTCGAGCCAGAAACAGCAATTCGCTTTCTCAGCTTTACTATGTTGATGAGGCCGTGGGAATGGTGATGTAGTCGTGTCTTGAACTTTGCACCTTCTGGTAGTTTTTCATCCGAGTTTTCCCAATGTGTGATGCTATTGTAGGTAAATTCCTTTGCGAATGCCAACGCGTGTCTGAGCTGGTTTGGGGTCATTGGCTTGTAGGATCCTAGGACCAGCTGGAACAGCTGGAGTGTGTGGTGCTCCTTGGTGAAGTCGATACGACTAATAGTCTGTTCGTACATTTCACCAAAGGTGGCAGGGACTGCATCTACCAGGTTCATGAGCTCTTTTGGGCTTGATCGTTCACCTGCATCGAGAATGTCCGTGGTAACAAGGTTGGCCCATTGAAACCCATCACCACTGCGATGGATCAATCTCTGCAGCAACTTGAATTCAAGCTCTGGGTTCTTCAACAACTCCAGCCGTCGCGCAATAAATCTCTCCACCAAGCCCCGCTTTGGCTCATCCAATTCGATTGTCTCAGTTTCGAATTCTGAGGCGCCGTAGTCTGGGAAATATCTCCTAGAGACACAGATGCCAATGTCCACTCCGGCGCCAAGTGCCTTATTGAGCAGCTCCGAAGCGAAGCGGAGTATTGGGCGAAACCCATCGTCACCCCTGCTAGCTTGAGGACCCGAACACTCATTTAGGGCGTCAATGAAGATGCGTAACCGGGGGGATTCGGATCCGCCAGTGGGGTTGCTGTTGAGGATGACGCTCATGATATCTTCTCTGAGGTCTTTATCCGTCCTCAAATCCACGTCCCACTCTCCCGCCAACGCATCGGTGCATATTTTGGCGTGAGTCCAAGGCTTCCCTGGTACTTTGGCAATGAGTTGACCCAATAGAGATCGAAAGCAGGCGGTGCTGGAACTCATCCATGAATCAACGTCTTTGGCCTCAGATGTGCGTTCGAAAAAGTGATACAAAGTGATGGTTGAAGAGTCGCTGTCGAAACTGGAGACTGCCTCCTTCATCAAGACTGATTTGCCAGCACCACATTTACCTTTCAATGTGATAAGTGCGGCTGCTTTGTTCGTCGGTCGAGAACTAGCCCACTTGGCGTACGTTTCGTGCTCAAGGAGCCATTTCGAAGAATCGAAGGCCAAGATTTCATCGAACCGATTTCGTGGGCGCTTGGGATTAAGTTTCTTTTCGCAAACTATGCAAGTCCGTGTTAATAGCTATTGACGGCTTATATATGGTTCACTTACTCTCGCGGGATTCATCGTCAGTCCTAGAATGTGCCAAGACCAGTTCTCCTTGTCTTCCGGGAGCAGGCCGATGATGAATCGTCGACAACACGCTCTTTGCATACGCGGCCGCCATTGCAGCAGCATAGGGCTGCCATTGCTTGTTCTTCCGCTCATCTCCATAGTCACAAACGCCTCGGATCACACCTACAGCAATGCGGTTCATAGTACCAGCTGCCTCCATCTCCAGTCCAATGACGTTAAACCTGTCCCTCAGCTCGTTCCTCTTCTGACGATTCTTCATCAGCTTTTCCCCGGAGCCTATCGGGCCGTACCACACTCGCGTGCGCTCCACATCGGGCCGTGGCTCACGCTCGACTTCCTTTTCCCCCGTCTCATCCGTCTCATATAGTCTGTCATGGTCCTGGCCGGGGTCGGCAAAAGTGCCGGTTGTGTGCCTTTTGTCTCTTATACGTTCGTAGTGCGAGAGAAAAAGATTGCCTTCTTCCGTGGGCGCGGTTGTTTTGATATAACCAATCGCAGCTCTGACAATAGTTTCAGTGATATTTAGAACATGTCCCGAATGAAGCAGCTGGAAGCCGTCTTTCGCCGTCTCTTTGCCTAAGTCGTATGCGACAAGTCCGGGAGTGTCGCCTTCGGGGAGCGCCACTAGAACGTCACCTAGGCGGATATCGCGCGGCGGAGTTGTAGTGAGGTTAGGCAGGCCAGCTGCGACGCCGACGAGAAGTCCAAACCACAGATTAGGGAAGCATGTCTTGACCTGACTGGCGAGAGCGGCTGCGGAGCCGGTACCGTACTCCTGGCCTGCGGGAAGGGTCGCGATGACTGTATAGTGGTTGCACATAATACCAGCGTGGAACACGTAGTCGTCTCCGCGATTGACGGGGAATTTGCCGTCATGTCGCGTATCCAACATGTGTAAGGCTGCTTGAGCTTCGATCTCGAGAGGAGCGATCCACGCCACCGTGTAGAGGTTGGGATCTAGTTCGGACATTGTTTGAGGTAGAATGATGAATTAAGTGTTGCTTGCGCGGGGGTGAGAACACACGAGTGGCTATGATGGCAAAGTTGTCTCAAAGACAGTCTCCAATGAGTTTTGACCAGGCTGTCTATCGATAAATGCCCAGCCATCAACCAACATCTGCACATGATACGTATCCTTCTATTCCCACACGTATCAACCAACCTCTCATAGCCATAGGCTGTCCGCGCTTCTTAGCAGGCGGCACTCCATGCAGTGCAGGGGTATGTGACTTTCCACGACGACTTCCAAACAATGAGCCCCCTGAAACCAGCGTGTAAGGAGCTGACTACCAACCCTGCAACGATGTTGGCGGAGCGTCTCAAAATCTTCGGTCCCGAAAAGATTCCCCCCCCCCGAAAAGATTTCGCCCCCAAAACCACCCACTACTTAGACAAAATACAAAGCTCTGGCTTACTTGCCTTGCTAGCGGCACGTCAATGTGCAGTCTCACAAGGGTTTGAAAGGCTGGTTTCAGTTTCACGTACCTACATGAAGTCTCCTTCAGAAAGCCCTCATAGGTTGAGTGGCCCGTTCCCTTTCAGCGGCTGATTTCCAGATCCGGTGTTCTGATCCGCGACTACCAAAACATTAGCCGACAGTATACTTTGCTGCCGAGCGCAAACTCAGGGGTGTTCAGCCGCAGTCTTGGCTTGCAGGCATCTCATCCTACAGCCTTATCCTTATTTTCGCCCGGCTCATATGCCTCTTGTCCCATACTTTTTTAAGGAGCTGCAGGCGTGCTACAGCCTTATTCTTATTTTCCCCCCTCTTGTCTCAAAAAAACTTTCTAGGGGCCGAAGGCGTGCCATTGATTCAGTCTGCGTATTGGGTCATTCATTATATTAGGTACTCTTTCGCTGTCCATCTGTCTTGACCTGGTGACACTTCAATCGACCTCTTCATTGTCCCAAGAACAGCAGAATTCAATTGACTCTTAATCTCAACCCAACCACCGTCTTTTTTCCTCACCCTTCATTCAATCATGCCGCAACACATCTTTTGTCCAGGCTTCCTGGCATTGCTCCTTTGTCTCATGAACTCTCCACTGGCTCAAGCCGTTTTCCACGGCTGTATGCCATTCCGTGACCCCGTGGCCTGCCCAGCGAAAACATGGGCTCAAGAATACGATTGTCTCATGAGGCAAAACTCCCTACCATATCTAATGAATTGCGTCAGCACCTTCCCTGGCGGGAGTGACAGCAAGCTGTGTCAAGACACCACCGACGACGTACCAAACAACGGGGACAGCAGATACTGGAGCGTAAGGCCACCGAACGGAGCTCAGTGTAATAGTGCTCGCCAAGTGTTGCTTGCGGGGAGTGATTATCCCCAATGCCAGCGCTGCGCCATGCGAGGGTTGATCGAGGCCTGTCCACAGGACGACCCAAACTTTCTGAACTGCCTTTGCGAGTACAGCGTGCAAAGGATTCACTTGGAGTGTCTATCATTTTGCTTCGGAGACGGGTCTATGGGAGATTTCTACTGCCCGCATTGGACGAATCGGCGTGATGAAGCTTCTAGTCACGGTGCTGTCGAACCGCTGTTCAAAAGGTCGTCAGAGAGCGACGACTTTTTACTGGTATGTACCCGCATCAATTCTATCATCCCTCACTAGCAGAAGGGGGAAGGAAAAAACTGACTTGTACCGCCTAAATAGCGATGGGATGAATACATTTCAATCAACGCCGACGGGCGGCCTTGCTTCATTAATCGCGACACCGGAGGGTGCACGTTGGGTCCCTATATTTTGCCTCACTTTGATTTACCCAATGCCGTCGGTAATTGGGACTACCGATGCTTTGTGCATCCAAAAAACGCGGAAAAACGATGCTATGCCTTGAAGTATGACTTGTACGAGAGGTCAGCAAACGTCCCTAGAGACTATGCAACATTCACTTCGGAAAAGACCATCGACCAACCCTATTCGCGTTCCACTCGAAATCCTGCCCAGTCGGGCTTGCCGTACCAGCTGGAGTTTTTTGAGACAGATGTGGAGTCTATGTCCATTTCTACAGCGACACCATGGGACGTCACGCAAGGGAGCACACGCAGCCTGATACAGCCGACCGCTGTCACCGCGCCACAAGGTCAGACCTCCGCTGTTTCTCCTACAGAAAGACCCTCTTCTACCGGATCTCGCAGGGTTACGGGTTGGTTGGTGGGCTGTCTAGAAGTGCCTACTGCTGTAATGTCGGGATTGACGACTGTAATCATGATTACGCTGCTGTGAAGAATGGGCTCCGCAGTGCGCCGTACTTAGTGACATAGAGGAATGTGGACTCCTCTTGGTTATTTATTATTTATTATAGATTTACCTAGACACAGAAAATGAGAATTGCTATTCGCATACATGCCTATCGCTAGTTGTATATATGGGTGTGTTCTTAATCCTACTGACACTTATTTAATATCTTTTTAGAGTAGTAATATTTTTAAGACTGATATTAAGTATTTATTTTTATAGTAATAATGTTTTATTTCATTTATTAGGCATAATTTAAGAAGAAAGATAAAGTAGGGACGACGGAATCGTTTGCCATTATCCACACTCACATCAAAAACCGAAAGGTCCAAAGTCTGGCAGCTTGCTGATTAGGCAGCAGTTGATACAGGAGAGAATGGAAGGATTTCGCGCACAATCGATCAAACAAGGCCGTGCATACATCTGAGACTCACCACCCACTCTCATTGAATAGCTGAGTGCAGCAGTAAGCGCCAAGACACACCTCCTGGGAGGTCCACCAATTATAAGTTCCTTATTGGTGACTGTGCTCAATCTGAGATGATATGACATGCGTGACTTAGGCGTAGCTACGAGTCAGAGCAATGTTGATAAGGGGTTTGAAACAGCGACACTCTCGCGCTTACCGGCCTGTAAGATCCCTTGCACTTTTGCTGCATTGGTGTTGTGATTTTGGCACAACTACCTATATGTATGGGGAGTATACTTGGGGGCTGTAACATCTCCCTACAGTCCAAAGCGCGCGTCATCCCTCGCGAGGCTAGAAGGATCTTTGTGTTGCAGTCTCGTCTGTAATATCACGCAGCTAGCCAATAGAAAGTAGCAAACGAAATGACTTTCTCGCGCGTTTCACCTCGATTACGGCCGCCTCGTCGCCGCCTTCAGTTGCCTAGAATGAGGCAGGGATTATGTACGTTAAACCACTGTGCCTTATTCTTTGAAACAATCATGCGCAAGGATTAAGGCTCCACGGGTACTCACACATTCATTACACCAGCTTCGGCGAGCACGACGTCGACATGCAAGTGTTCGGCTGGGAAATAGAAGCACCAAAAAAAAAAAAAAAAGGCAAGAAGAAAGGATGCTGGTATCTGGAGGATGGGTGTATTTTTTTTCGTCAAAAACAATTCCGTATCATCATTGAGGTTTATTTCTATTCAAGCTATTTGTGTACCAGCCCTAATAGAAAAGACTCGATTCTGCCTTGCGGGCCGATGACCTGAATGTGTTCAGGGTAGGAAGATCATTCTTGACACCCTGAATACTTATTCGTAGTATATCCCATTGGTTAATGTACCGAGCCGTCGAAGCCTTTCGAAAAGCTGCATTGAATGTTTTTGAATTGCCAGTTCCTCGCACTGGTGTCATTGTTGTACGCGTAGTCTAAAATGTTCTGCTCTGCCTCGGCGACGGGAATTTCTCTACCGTCCCGGGATATGATGATGGCGAGCTCCGCCTCGTAGTCACTTGAGCCGTCCTGTGTAATCTTGGGGATGTTTACCTTCTCCGACCAAGAACCACAGACCGCGGTTCGATGAAGAGCGGAGGTGTGTCGAGTATTGACATCTTGGCCTCGGCGGCGTGGCCCTTATAGTCGAGGCCCATGCAGCGCATCGGAAGCATTCGGTGAGTTGCAATGGGAGAAAGCAGCGTGATGCGGCATGTCATCCCTGCGGTGTCCTTGAGTTTTCAAGCCCAAAAGATGGCTTCGGGATTGTGCGACTGTCGGTGCGTGAAGGACATTGTGCACCACCGTGTCATCAGAAATGGTTTCGGTCACGACTTTGGCCTGCAACGGTTTGCCCTCGTACCCTGGCCAGCCAGATCTTCAATTACTGGTTTGATTCATCGGGCTTCGTTGTCGAGTACTATGCCGATGGAAATGTCTGCGACAGTCCGGAGCCAACACACCGCACGTTGGCGGCTCTCGACAATCTCCATGTCTGGGGTGAGAGTGAATTCCCCGTTTAATATTTTTCCCTTTGTCCATCTATTCACCCATCCCTTTTTGGCATCGCTCAGCCAGTGCCCAAACATGCGCCACGAGCTTCATCTCACGCTGCAGATCTAGATCTCCCGCCTGCTTTTCCATGTTGCCAGTATAGCGACTAGGACTGCGTGAACTGAGGTGCTCCGGGTGTTTAGCGATACTGACTAGCTGAGAAGACTTATCTCAAAGTATTAGGGGAATGATAATGGAGATACACATGGAGAAGCTGAGCTAAAAGAGTTTTGATTTTTATTATTTATATCTATTACCCAAGTTATATCTTTGCGTTGTTCAGTTCATGCTTTATTACCCTTTTACTTAGGTATTTCGGATAAGTGTTTGATGGTAAATAAAATTTCAGGTAACTAATAGAATGCAGAACCTTATGGAAACGGGTAATACTTTAACACTCTCAGGTTGAGAATATCTTTATATACATCCACACAGTCCCTTGATATCTAGAAACCACGACTTAACAACCCGGATAGCGCAGAAGCACAATTTACCACAACAGTACATCTCAGTTCATCATGAGGGGATTGGCCCCTATCGTGGTAATGTCCAAACGGCGTCAGTACGCTACATTGTACCCAAGAACCCACGCCTTTGTCTTGCTGGTAATCTTAGTGCCCCAGATCCATAGCGGCAGCGCACCAAGGAAGATGGCAAAGATCACAGTGGCCAATGTCACGAACATTAAGTGCTTGTCGTGCGTCCACCACTCCACTGTAGAGTAGGAGACCCCAAAACCAATAGCGTTCTTAATGATGTTGACCACGACGCCAATGTCAATGGCCTTCTCTGGGTAGCTGTCGGTTGAGTAAGCGATCATGATATTACTACCACCAGTAAGATTCGCATTGACAATTGCCCAAAGCAACCCAACAATAGCCCAGTGCCAACCCCGCTGAAGGCCAACACCTACAAGTGTAGTAGCTGTAGGCGTCGTAATTGAGAAGAGTATCAGGATAGGCAGAATCGATTCCGGCTTGAAATAGCCGTGGCGCCTCAAGTATCTCGCTGCGAGCCAATCTGCCAAGATACCGCCAATAGGCACCCCAGCTAGCAAGCCGAGAAGAACAGCGATATTGTAAAGGCCTAATTGGCCTGGCGACCACAATAAGGGCGGCGCTGAGTAGGTGAGTGAAACGAGGACGGAAATGCCAATGGTTATTGCAATTGTAACGCCAAAGAGTAGGACGGTGACAATGACAGATGGAAGAGCGAGAACTTTGAAGGGCATCGCCATGAGTAGTAGGTAGTTTGACACAGGCTGGTTGTGCTTGAGGGTCAAAAAGAAAGACCGCCGAAACCAGACAGCGGAGGGCTTGTATGGGCCAACCATTTTGAGTGAAAGCGGCGGCTGTATCTCGTGCTGTTCTGCCCGTCCTGCCTCTTCTGATGCAGCCTTGGGCTCGATGATTTGGTTCTCGTCAAGGGCAAGACTGCCGTCTTGGGAAGTCGGCACCTCCGGGTCTCCAGGAACTCGAATATTCATGATAGGCTCCGGGAACATCAATATTGTGGCAATGAGATTGAGACCCGAAATTCCACCGAAGAGATAGTTGGGATATCTCCAACTGCCCAGATTTTCAACCATGTATCCGGCGATAAGAGGTCCAAAGACAGTGCCAGCTCCCAAGGCGAAGGTGTATACGCTCATGGCGCGGGCAACGTACTCTCGAGGAAACAGAAGTACCACCATGACTGGGCCAAGTGACTCGACTACACCACCGCCGAGACCACCGACAATGCGGGCCGCCAGGAGGGAGTCGTATGTTTGAGAGGCGCCTTGCCAGAAGAAGCATGCTGTGAAAATAACGAGACCGATCAGGATGGTATATCGACTACCGATGTATGCGACGGTGGGGACAGCCCAGATATTCTAAAAGGGAACTTGAAAGTCAGCGTCGATGGGAACGCGGAAGAGAAAATAAGTTGCCAAGTCAACTCGAGAGAGTATCAAACTTACCCCGAGGCCAACAGCGAGCGTGGCCCAGCTGGCCAGCTGAGAAACCTGACTACTATCCACCTGCAGATCCATCATGATGGGAACAATCATTGGTGGAATAGACGCGCTGAGGAACTGGCCCATCATGACAAAAAAGCAGAGCGAGCCTAGCATTACCACTCGCCACCAGAGCGGCCATGTCTATGCATCACCAGCTAGCATTAGCCGCACGGGTCTGCTTGAGGGGAGTACAGATGATCCAACATTGGCAGAGGGCGGATGGTGGAGGGCAGACTAACCATAGGCCTCTCCGGCCCAAGATGGGTGCCTGACGGGACGAGAGGCATCGAGTGCTAGCAAGCCGGTGCCTAGTTTGCTTGTTCAAATGGACGGCAAGTAGTAGCAAATTTCGAGAAGGTTCTTCAGCGATAACACCTCACGACTTTGAGGATGATGCGCTGGATTGAAGACAGATACCAAGAGACGCAGATGAGACCCTTTGGTAGAAGCAATAGTAGACATGTATTGAGACCAAAGAGAGAAGGAGTATGAAGTTCATCTTATATCCCCACTTCTCAGAGGCTATCGGATCTTACCCAAGCTGGGGTAATGTGACCAAATCGCGGGGACGGAAAGCCAGGAACCGGCCTTCCCGGGCAGTCTGAAAGCTAGAATGGCGTATGGTGAATTAAAAAGACAAACTAAGAGGGGCTTGACAAAAGGCCCGGCTGCAGTTCTAGTCAAGCTGTGCACCGTTTCTCCGAGTCTTGCTAGGTCAGCTATTTTCCCGAAACCTTTATTCCGGAAGTTCCGCAATGTGATGGATTCTCTTAGCGTATATCAAAACTTGGATTAGTAAATTCTTTCATGGAATCTCTACGAACAGGTATCCCACGGCGTGTGTGCCACCATCTCGGATCTTCCGACGTGGCATGCGGATCAACCTTATTAATTCGTGGACAATCCGAAGACAGTCGGAGACTCTCCCTCCGGCAATTCATCCCGGTCTCTGAAGCTGCCCACCGTTAACCTCCAGGGTACTCGGGTATCATCCATTGATCTTAAGAAGGATTGCTCCCGGATGCTATTCCGGCCCGTCCTCGTTTTGTCTCACCTCACCTGTGCGCCAAGTCTCAGACTTCATGCTCAAAGAACACCAAGGACAAGAAGACTTCCTGCAAAAATGGCTCCAGCAAACCTAGACTTCTCAGGTGGGAATTATCCCTTTACCGCTATCGTGCTATGTGTTGTTGGGCTGATGCAACCTTTTCGAACCAGACTATCTCGCGCTATCAAACCTGACTTGTGACTATTTTCATAGCCTGGATACCAAAGTGAGTGCCTCGCAAGGGCTTCTTTCATCATTTTGCCTCGCTACAACAAGGACCATATGTGGACTGACTGGCACTCAATCGTAACAACAGGATTGGGACTTATTAAGGTCACTCGTGGCACCACTTCTACGTGTTAGTCCGACATGTCAAAGCCTTCACACATGAACTGATATGAACCCGCCTCCCTCAGACTGACTATACCGATCTTGGTGGACCAGTTCACGAGGCTTTGACGGCAGACGAATTTGTTGCCAAAACTAGCGGCGCAATGTTTAGCAACCCTTTACTACGCACCCAGCATCTCCTTGGGGGGTCCAAGTGGGTGGTTAATGAAGCTCACATTATTGCTCGTCATCAGGTGCGATCTGAGTGGAAGATTTTATCTAGTGAGCAGTCAAAGGAGGTTGTTGAAGAGTCACATCGATGGGTTGTCGTCACGGCGACTTACGCCAAGATAGATGGACAATGGAAATTGTCTGGCATTGCGCCAAAGAGTCTGTAGAGTATAGAAGAACTTAGTGTTCTCTTCACGGTTTATTGACACTCCTCTGCTGTTGTTTCTCCCAACCTACTTAAGTATGCTCCTTAGCCCTAACCGTAAGGTCAACCCCCCTATTTTCTCCAGGACCTCAAAGCATTCGTCCTGAATGTTCAACCGAGTCATCCCTGTCCTGGGGCTGAACGGAAAGTGGGGGAGAGGGGAAGCATGTCCAGGGGCTTTAAGCTATCTCAGAGAAAGTGCCGCTTAGTCAACCCAACCGGCCTATCATCTAGAGGAACCCTTCTCCAGAAACAGATGACTCTTGGACTAACCGAGTCTCTAAAGTATAATGTGAGTGACCTGAGACTTACCAATAACACGGGTTTCCCGGTTCCGTATTGTTTCCCCTTCACTGCTCTGCTTAGTATCGGCCCAGGGTCTGTCAAGATGAAGCCCATAGATGCCAGTCGTTCCTAAGCCGGTCATAACGACCCTAAACTCCGCACCGGGACTACCAACCTTGGTCAAGGGCCTCAAGAGCCTCCCGAGCTTGGCTAACCCTCGGGGAATCCGAAAGGCTCCTTCACTCGGATGCTTCCGACTCTGAGCTTTGCATCCGGATATCCTACAGGCTGACCATGGGATTCCCAACCTTGTAAACGGCGCGGGAAATCCGAAAGGTTTCTTCTTTCCGATCTTTCCGCCCAGACTAGACTGCAATAAATGCACCGCCTTGCTGTGTTTGCTAATCCAGGAGCGGGGAAAACCTGGGGTGCTCAAAGCAGTCCCAAATGATAAATAGCATAGGTCCAAGTTTATCCACCACATCATTCGTACAGTGTCGTGATACCTCTTAGTTACCATGCCTTTCAAAGTCATCATCATTGGCGGAGGGTTAGCAGGCAACTTGCTGGCTCTTGGACTCACCCGCAACAACATCGATGTTCAAGTCTATGAACGCTCTGAGCGCCACTCCACACGAGAGGGGCTACAAATTCGCCTCACAGCTCCGGCACTGGAAGGGATGAGAACCTGTCTCTCGAAGGAGCAGCTCATGACCATCGTCAGGAAATTTGGTCCCGCCAGCGAAGCTAAGGCCGAGGCCCCGCGCGTCTTCCACAAAGACGGTAAGCTGTTGATTGACCTCAGCCAGTTTCCTGCGTATGACAAGAACGCTCCCATCAATCGAGGGCTCTTGCGAGACTTGATGGCCGATCCTCTGTATGATGCCGGCAAGCTCAAATACGAAGCAGGTTTCGATCGGTATGAAGTGTTGAACGCTGCTACCGACAACGAGATGATAAGGGTCTGGCTAGCCGATGGAACTCACGATGACTGCGACCTTCTCATCGGCGCCGATGGAAGCTACTCCAAGGTAAACATAAAAACAACCGCTAGCATGGGACACCTTTATGTTACACCAATACATAGCGCTAACATTAGATTCTCAGGTTAACGAACAAGTTGGGCTGAATTCCATCGACTACATCCCTAAACATGTTGCCATCACAGCCAAATGCGATCTTCCCACTTCAAGATTTGTGAAGATGTCGAAAAACCTTGTTGGCGGGCCAATTATGACCTGGGCTGACCAGAAGTCTTTCTTCTTTGGAGGTATGTAAAGCGCTCTAACAAGAAACTAGCATTTTTGCTGTGCTCGCCCTGCAAAGCTTTGCATGGTTTGTCAACTTAATTTGATGGGTTGATGCTAACAATGAGTCCGGTTGTCAAAGTTTACCGCCCGAAAAAGCATGAAAATGACAGCAGCTCCAAGACAGACAACGCAAATGTTCAACAAGTTGCATTCGACGAAGATCTGTCTTCGTGCATGGTCAGTTTGAATGTCGAGCGTCACTTGCTACCACCGGACCTCGACAAGCAGAGCCTCGATATCCAGTACGATTACATGGCGAATTGTGTCAAAGATTGGTCTCCTCTGTAGTACGTTGTCGTTGCCCCTCCCCTTCGATCCGTATCATATGAAGATGATTTGTCGAGTTTGGCCACTAATTGGACCTGGGACAGTCAAGAGATGATCGGGGTTATGAGAGGCGCCCCGTTACACATTTACAGACCCAGGACGGCAAAGAGGCCACCCAAAAGCTGGCGGAAGAAGGTTCAGAACAAGGATACCCCAGAGCTAGGTCATCTTCGAGTTTGGGTGTTAGGCGACGCTATGCACGCCATGCTCCCTCCCAGGTTAGTAACTCAAAGCGCTTGGTGCATTACAGGGTGTTGCCTTGTCAAATAGCACTGGCCCTCTCACACCCTCTACTTTAAAGGAGCTCAAAAGGCTGATCATGATAACACAGAGGCATGGGTGGTAATATGGCAATGTTGGACGCTGGTCAAGCTCTCCCATTGATAGTTGATCTGGCCGCCAAGAACAAGCAAGAGAAGCGCGTGGCTAATGCTGAGATTGGAAAGGCACTTTCTACATTTGAAAATGAGATGATACCTCGGTCATTTGAGTGGGTGAAGAAGAGCGGCGGAGACAATTTTGTGGTGAGCATCACTTCCCTATCTACCAACTTACTCGTGTACCGAAACTTACAAATATTATGCAGCCTATAGATACTAGCACGCTTACGGGAAGACTATTTTTTATTGTCATGGGATATTGGCTCAATGTCGTTTGCGCATGGACGAATATTAAACAGCTGTTCAGCAACGGGCTACCGGAGGACAAGACGCCCGAGTTCAACATGTACTAGAACACTAAAGTTATGGGAAAGTGGCTCAGTCTTGTGTCTGGAGGCGTAATTTTGTATTAATATGCCTACATGTTTGATGTTGTTCCCGACATTGTTACTTTCGGTTCCTTATTGTGCAGGGGTCGTAAATGGTCGAAAGATACGCAAGACAGCATCAATCAGTAGTTCGTGTAAAATTGTTTCCTTCTCTCATTCTAAAACGAGATCAACGCCTATTTATACGAAGAATCTCGTCTCATCTATACACAGAATCCCTCAACACGTCATATACCACGGTTTCATATCAGGTCAATGATGTCTTGGTGTAGTGTAATACCCGAGGGATGGTGCTTATGTGGACAGAGCAATTTATTTGCCGTGGTGTGGTGCCATAGTCCTTCGAGTAAACATGACTTGCTTCCACTCCACGGTGCGTGTCGCTTCCTCTGCATATCTCTGCAACTTATCTGGAATCAACTCGAGTCGGTTCACGTCGCGCATCCGCGCTATAAACACGATCAAATGGGCGTCAAGTGCCGTTGGCTGCTGAAGGCCGAAGAGCCAAGGGCCAGCTTGGCCATCGATGCCCTTCTCTGGGAGCAGTGCATCGATCTCGTGCATGAGCGCTGTGGCGCGCTCCGACATCTGCATGGTTATTTCTGGGCGGAGGCCACCTACCTTGTTGCGATTGACCCTAAAATACGTATTAGCACAGATCTTGAAGGCGCGGGGAGTGAAATACTCACATGTCCAATTTGGATTCCAGCGCCTTGCGATACCTCTCGGAGTTATCAGTCTGCTGGAGCCTCTTCTCGACGCCAGCCACAATCGAAGCGGCGACAATCGGCCGTCCGGCGAACGACAGCGAAAAGTAGTTCATGTCATGGAGCTTGAAGAGAAGCCTAGTGATTTGCTCCGAGTGTGTCGCGGGTATCAGGCTCGGATAGGATTTGGCTATGAAGTGGGTTATGTCGAGGCTATCTTTGATGTTCTCGGGCAGGTTCGAAGAGGCCAGGACGGGCACCTAGGTTGGGGTTTGATACGAGTCAAATTCCTATCTCGGGGAATGCGCTTGAACAGTTACTCACTTGTCCCAGCTCGTTGACAGTGCACAAAAATTCCTCTGACAGCTGCTCCTCGTGGAAGATGTCAACGATCCGTTCCTCGACGTCCATGGCCGAGGCGTCATCTTTCGGGGCTCCGCGGAAAGCCAACGTCATGCGGACCATGATGGAGCACACGGAGTAGGTGTTATGGTAGAGCGTGAACTTAGTGAGTGCCATTTGGTCGGCTGGATTCTTAGATCGATCGAGGTGATGGATTCTTAGACATACGACGAAAGGGGAAATATATGAGAACTACCGCTTCAACCTGGACCGCCGTCTCCGGGGTCATACAGCAAGAAGAAGCGTTCAATCCGTTAGATCACGGGGATCTACATGATAGGAGTCTACCCGACCAGTGGGTCCTCGGCACAACCCAAGATCGGCAGACGGCTGATGTAAATATGACGCTACCATTCAGGATGGGGCGATATTCAGATCCACTTCAAACGAACTTTGCCACAATAACCAGCATTCGCAATCTGCCGAAACTCACACTTTAAGTTATGGCGATTGTGCCGTGGTCTGCCTCGCTTACAATCCAGATGCAAACAGACGGATAATTACTTTCCGGTCGCTACTAGGTTAAAGCAGTTATAAACCATCTTCGAGGCCGTTCTTTTTCATGCTGCGTCGCCTTTCTGATGTCGTTGCGTCCAACCCATAAACCCGATCTATAAACCCGTCTTGCAAAGTCATTGCGGCACGTTCTGCTGTTATTCGCAGTACAGCGTTCGTATCATTCTCGCCGTGCCGGAACGCACGCTCTCCTCCATTCCCAACATTTAATTTAAACTCACGTCCTTAATGAAGTAAATATTATTCAAATTGAGATATCTTTATCATTTTCATCTTATTAACTGTAGGGTAGCCAGATTACCACGCCTATATTCAGTACAACACTTCAGCTACCCACCGCCCCATAATTGGGGCCTCAGCGGCTACGCAATAGCGCTTTAGCAACTGTACGAAATATGACGAATTCCATCACCTCACGACCTCCTGAAGCAACTGGGCATAGAGAACACGTTGTCACATTCTCCACGGCTGTCTGACTAGTGAAATACAGTAATTTAATCAATTCAAGTCGGAACAGTCCCCATTCAAGCCCAACGACGTTGAATCTAATTTACCTAGGAAAGCAGATTAACATGAATTGTTGAGAGCCTTGCGATTTACCAGCTTTAATTTCAAGGGTCAACCGTCCATGGTTTATCAGTGTCTCGGATAAACGGTGCAAGATCCACATCAACTCCCTCCTCAGATAACTCCTCGAGTCGGGTGCGGCCATTGCCTAGAAATGTCCACCTGTTGTAGTGATACGTAATATCAAAATCCTCAAACCTTGGCGTCTTCATTGTTTTCAGAAGATGGAGCATACTTCCAGGCCAGATATATACCCGGCCGTTAGGCTTATTTGCTTTGTACCAAGAGTTACAGTTCTCCGCCCACACAGAGTACTTGGCGTGCCAGTTGTCGAGGTGTTGATTCCATTCTGTCGTGGGTAGTTGTTTCACCTCCAAAGCTTTAATATCTTCGTCCTGAAACTTCTTGCAGCATTGCAAGGCGTACTCAATCTGGACTTCATGCTATTCATCAAAACGTTAGTTGCTGGAAGCAGCATGGTTTGGGCGGTTCATTTACCGAAGGAAGAACGCAGCCCTGGCCCCAGTTTCCAGTTGGCCCATTTATAACAAAATAGTTAGGGAATTTCGGGCCACTTATGCCGAGATAGATATTCGGATTCTAAGCCCAATCAGGAGATTAGCTATCGACACTCAATCGTAAGGTTGTGAAATCAGTGGGCTAGCACTACCTCAGACCACTCGTTCCTCATCGTCACTCCGTCGACACCAGTGATTTCGCTGTTAAAATTAGTTTGATAATCGAGAGCATTCATAATCCAAGGCTGATGTACTCACAAATGCGGAATGTAAGATACGTAGAACCCCGTGGCGCAGGCAATTAGGTCAAACTCGAACTCTTTGCCTCCAGCTGTCACGAGCCCCGTGGGAGTGAATCTAGCGACGCCTTCAAAAACCGGGTGCACGTCTGCCCTTTGTTAGACTCAATACCCAAGGCGGGAATGTTAATACTGACGATCTTCAATCATTGTCTCAAGATAATTTTCTCCTGGCTTGTGATACTGTTAGTCTTTCACCATCTAAGCCCCAAGTATACTCACTGTAAGACGACGGCATCCGGGAGACCAGGATGGTATTAATTTCTCTTTCATCTCCTTGTTGCCTGGACCGAGCTTTTGGAGCATATTCTCACGCAACGCGGCGCTGGCCCACTGGCTTAGAGGAGAGTCTCGGAGGAAAAAAGGGAAGTTGCTTGCAAGAGTTGCTTCGAGGCTTTTCCGATAACTTAAGAAGTATGCGGGGTCCATGCGAAATCTTTGCCTTTCTGCCTCATCATATTGGTGCTTGGGAAGCGGAGAAGAGCTAATGCCCTCATTGTTGGTCTTGGTGATGTCCGTACCCAACGGCGGAACTATCCAGGTAGGGGTTCTTGCAAAGACGTGAACGCTTTTGGAGTCTTGCTTAGATGGTTAGACTGTAAACTAGAAGAAACAACACACATAGAATAAAACTATACGCACCTTCGGCCAGATATGGTAACATCTGGACCGAGCTGGAGCCAGCCCCAATGAGCGCAACACGCTTGCCTGTCCAACTTATTTCGGGGTCCCAAGTCGCACTATGCGCAGCGACACCTCGGAATGAATCCAGGCCAGGGATTTCCGGCCCTTTTCACAATGTTAGTAAGGGTCAACTCTTGCAGCGTAACAGAAAAGTACGCACACTTGGGCTTGTTCACCACTCCCGAGCCGTTCAGCAACACATCGCAGGAGTCAAATATCCGGTTCCCATCTTTGTCCAACTCCAAGATCCCTGACACTTATTGTTAGTAATATACACATGTAGCCGATTTATATCTTACATTTCCCCTTGTCCGCATTCCACACCGCACCAAGAACTCTGGTTCGCAGCTGGACGTATTTCTCTAGATCATACTTGCGCGCGAATCTGATAAAATAATCATGAATTTCGCTTGAGCCTGCATAGTAGCTAGACCACTCTGTGTTGGGTTCAAACGAGTACGTATAAATATGCGCCGGCACGTCGCAGGCACATCCTAGAATGTCATCAGATATCGGCTTCACGAGAGCGACTTTTGCTAGCATACCAGGATAGCGATTCTCGTACCACGTGCCGCCTATTATAGGATTCCTAAGTTAGGTGTCAACATCAAGTAATCTCTAAATGAGAACAACTAAACCGACTTGTCGTAGCAGATTAGTTCATAATTCACCAGCATGCGCTCTGCCTTGTAGGCCGCAAGGAGGCCCGAGGCTCCCGCACCGACATGTATGATCTTTAGCTTGCGGGGCTGAGAGTGAGACTGGTGTAATATGTGTAACTCGGAAGTAGGCGAGAGTGAAGCCATTTTCGATCGATTGTATTGTATCCGTATACAAGGCTGATTGCACCAAAACAAGAAATTGTTCTATTATCAGACGCAATAGAATATCCCCAGCCCGGAACTCAGAGCTTTTAAGACATCACGGAGAAGGAGACAATTATTTTTTACCAACGTCGAGTGCCACATTGGTAAGTCTAGGAAAGGAATGTACCCCGATTGGTTCAAGACAAATTTGGGGTAATTTTAGCGGTCACGTTCGAGAGGTTGATACTAATTCCTCGCGCCAAGGAGCCCGCGGGTTGAAGGAGCCCGCGGAATTTGGGAGCCGCGGAATGCAAAAGTCCTCGGGTGCCGAGGTCGTGTCGGCCAGGCCGTCTTACTCAATGCGGATAGTAAATATGATCGAGATGTCTAATTGCGATTGCACAAATCATGCTAACGGAGTGTTAATATATTATTTTTGCTGTTACTTAAAGCTCTCTTGTAGTACATCTTGACTTTCGAGATTCCTGCGGGCTTGGAAGTACCTGCCCTTTTATTCTTACCAAAAAAACATCGAATAAAGCACTTGAAATGCGGGCGATTGTGTTTCACGGCAAAGGTGATATTCGACTTGAAGAAGTGAAAGTGCCTAAGTGTGGCCCTACAGATGTTCAGGTCAGTGTTTCTGAAAGTTCTTTTATTGCAAGAGCAGTAATAATTCTAGAATAGCTGAAACCTGCATTCGTTGGAATATGTGGAACAGGTAAAAAGTAAACAAGTTCTCCAAAGACCTGTGAGCTCATGTACAAACCAGATCTCCACGAATACCTTGAAGGGGCCTACCTCATTCCAACTACCCCTCATCCCGTAACTGGCAAGAAGTTGCCGGTAATCATTGGCCATGAATATAGCGGCACTGTTTCAGAGGTCGGGAATGAGGTCAACGATCTCAAAGCAGGAGACAGAGTTGTTGTCCAACCCATCATTTTCGATGGAACCTGCAGTTCCTGCCAGAAAGGTCTCATTAATTGCTGCCCTAATTCTGGGTTCATAGGGTTGAGTGGTAAGTCCCGCTGCAAAGATCTTGTCGAGGTTTCTAGGGCTGATATCTACTTAGGCATTGGAGGTGGGTTGGCAGAGTACACCACTGTACCCCGGTATGCCGTTTACAAGATCCCTGACAATGTATCTTTAAAGATTGCTGGTAAGTTGAGTCATCATCTAGCTATTTTACAGGTATCGCTGACAGAGTTAGCTCTCGTGGAACCTCTCGCAGTTGCGTGGCACGCCGTGAAATTAAGCGGGTTTCAACCCAACGACGCCGCCCTCATCCTCGGCGCGGGGCCAATTGGCCTAGCTATTCTTCACATTCTTAAAAGTCAAGGCGGCAGCCAGATGATTGTTTCTGAGACTGCAGAGAAAAGGAGACAATTCGCGACGAACTTTGGGGCAAGCTCATTGATCGATCCGACCACAGAAGAGGTGGGTGAACGCTGCAAGACGCTTTGCGCAGGAGAAGGAGTTCAGGTCGTGTTTGATTGTGCTGGTGTTCAGAGTACGCTGGAAGCTGCGCTTGAGGCTTCCAGGCCCCGAGCCGTCATTGTCAACGTGGCCGTTTGGGCTGGCGAGGCGGTCCTCTCGCCGAACCATTTCATGTTAAATGAAAGAACCTACCGAGGATCTGCGACATACTCGGCAACAGACTTTCCAGAAGTTATCGCTGCTCTTGCCCAAGGTAAGATCTCTGCTCTATTGTCGATGAAGCGACATCTGACGAGATCAGGAAAACTTGACCCAGAACCTATGATTACCAGTTTGATTGAGATGGATGAAATAGAGGAGAAAGGGTTCAAGGCATTGGTTACTTCCAAAGACAGTCAAGTCAAGATCTTAGTCAAGATCTGATGGGTATAATTTTCAAGAGCCAGAGTAGTCCGTGGACAGCTGTGAGATACTTTAGCTTTTGTCGAGTCAATTTGACGCTGCGTACGATTTCTGAATTACGACGTTGATACCTTGTAACGCATACGTCCGAGTAATAGATGGACTAACGGGATTTCGTTGTCGTATAACCATACCTAGCATCCAGAAGACTTGCGCGAAAATTGGGAGTCAAGGTTAAAAGACCTGGCTACGCATCGCGAAACGGGGGTGGCACCGAACGCGCAAGCGAGGAGAGACAGCTAGGATTCGTGGCTTCGTAGGCGTCAGGTATCCTCCAAGTCAATCTTCTAGACGGACGTACAATTATGGAGGTTACATCGGCAGTTGCTCAGTCACACGCGGAGATAACAGAGCTTGCTAACCCGCGGCGAGCGCGGTCACCACGGCGCCCGCGGCCGCCGCGCCCCCGCAGTCACAATGAATGCCGATTTGTTGTCGTATCGGCTCTGAGATTCAAGCCTCCAATTCCCTCTACGGTAAATCTATGCGTGGTAAGCCTGGATCATATTGTAGACTTTTCCTCGGTGTCAGATTCCCTCTCACGATTCGATTCATCTCCACAGGGACGATGCCATCCAACGAACCAACCACCGTAGTGGCCTCCCAACCCACGATACCCGTCGAGGCCTTCATTATCGAAACATTTGCCTACAAGGTTATTCAAGGGCAACCTATCCTCTTGGATTTATGGGTTCCCAAGAATCTTCCCTCTGGTGAACGCCCGGTCATTCTGCGATTCCACGGCGGGTATCTTGTCTGTGGCAGTCGCGACAATCTGCAGCTGACTCCTCCCCGAATTATTCAATATGCTCTTGATAACAAATTGATTTTGGTGTCGTGTGATTACCGATTGCTTCCAGAGAGTAGCGGAAAGGGCATTCTTGAGGATATTGAGGACCTCTGGTCCTGGGTTCATGGACGCCTGCAACAGGCTCTCGAGGTCATGACAAATGGCCGAAATACTGCGGATCTACAGAGAGTATTGCTCGCAGGTGAAAGCGCAGGTATGTGGTTCACGTTTATCCCGATGAGAAGCAACTAATTGACGACACCAACCACTTGCAGGCGGTTACCTAGCGTTGCAGCTGGCCTTATCTCATCCCACTGCCATTCGGGCTGTCATCGCGAGCTACCCGATGATTGACATGCAGAACCGTCACTTTAGTGAAGCCTACCCAAAGCAGATGGGGCAGTATCCGCAAATAGAATACGGAGTTGTGGCTCAGCATCTTAGTCAACTTCCAGATGGGATCCATCCGACGACAAGGGCAGTCTCGAATCTGCCCATTGCCATTATCCAGCACGGTTTGTATCAAAGGTTTTTGGGGGACCATCGAAGCCTCTACCCCATCGCAAGGCTGGAGGATGACCCTGAGTTGGCGCACAAGCTTCCCTTCATTTGGCTGCATCACGGTACCAATGATAGTGAGGTTCCCATTGATGGTAGCAGGAGATTCGTGGAAAAGCTACGAGGGCTGAACCCCAAGGCTCAGCTTAGATATAAGGAACTAGAGGGTATGGAGCATGGTGTCTCGAGCGAGATATATCTGATTCAATCCGGAGAGTGGGACGAGGGGGCAAAGTGTGTTAACGGATTACTTTTTGATTGAGATTCGGGGAACTGTAGAACTGTAATTTTGTTTCTCATATTTTGTTAAGGTCAACGGGATCTACGGCGTGCCTTGCTAGAGTAGATAAATTTGCCTTTAAGCAACCGGCTGTAAAAGATTTAGTCTGCGTCTGTCTCAATTATGGTCAGAAACCAACAGCTTCAACTTTACCCTCAAGTGTGATAGAGAGACATCGACGATTCTTCTACCCTCCTATTGAATAGAAAGAGACAATTGGACCACCGCCGGCCATCTTGAAGGGATGGTTTGGTACCACCCACGCTAAGACCATGCCCTGACGGATGCGCGGGCCCCGAGACCGGTATTCACGGACATATAAGAGGAGGATTGCCTGCTCCCAAATCATCACGTAGGCCGTACCAACATCACTCTTCGGCAATGGCTTTCACTCCGCAATCGCTCCCCGATCTTTCGAGGAGAGTGTATCTCGTAACGGGAGGTAATACTGGAATGTAGGTCCCAGACTTCCTTGCCTCCATCCTATGCCTATAACATAATCTCACGCTCACGGCTGAGGCCAGCGGTTTCAATACTGTCCTCGAGCTTGCAGCCCACAATGCAAAGGTGTACTTGGGCGCAAGATCTGAGGCCAAAGCCAACGCTGCCATTGAGGAGATCAAGTCCAGTCACCCTGATGTAAACATCTCTGTGTTGATCATGGACATGATGGACCTCCGGAGTGTGCGGGCGGCGGCAGAAGAATTTGCAAGGTTTTAACATTCCATTATTGGTCTCGTGAATCTTTGTTCTAACCAATATCTTGACGCAAAGAAAAGAGTCGACGCTTCACGGTTTGGTTAACAATGCCGGAATCATGGCAACTCCTTATGAGGAGTCTAAAAATCATTACGAAGCTCAATTTCAAGTGCGCCTTGTATGCTTTGGCGAAACGGAGGCTCAACTGATATGTGTTCAGACGAATTACCTTGCGCACTGGCTCTTAACCTACCTTCTTTTGCCTATCCTTACCAAGTCTGCTCGGTCAAGCGATCCCGGCACTGTCCGGATTACTAATGTCAGTTCTGATGGCCATCTTTTATTTGCCCCATCGACAGGAATCGATTTTGAAGACATCAATCAGACCAAGGGCAGCGCGTGGTCACGATACGGAATGTCTAAACTAGCCAACATTCTACATGCGAAAGAGCTAAGCCGAAGATACGGTCCACTATCTACATCTCGCGGACACGGAGAGATCTGGACAGCAAGTGTGCACCCAGGGACCATAGACACGTGAGTGGTCCCGTTCGTAGGCAAGCTATCTAATGCATCCCTCTAATCTGAGATGACTAGGAACCTGGGCCATCATGCCACCGGTTCATGGCTATTCCAAATGATCCGCCCTGTCGTACGGCTTTTTGGACTGTACAGCCCAGTTGAGACATGTGCGTACACAAGCCTCTATGTCATCGCAGGAAACGATTTCGAAAGAGACCAGAGTGGCGAGTACTTTAAGCCTGTGGGAATTGTTGGCAAAACTTCTCAGCACGGGGAAGACATGAGGCTTGCGGAAAAGCTCTGGGATTGGACAGAGCGTGAGATGAAGGGTGCTGGCCTAATTGACTCGTAACTGCGCTACAAGAGATCTATGATGAGACTGCCGCGGCCTTCAAGGCGTGACTTCTACTTGGATTTATCTAAGGCACGCTGTTGCCTATAGGGCATCACCGTCTCTGCGTCTTCGGTAGTCTTTGCCTTCATTTGACCTACGGACGTGTATTTTCTTTCATTACTTTTCCACGTTTCAACCAAATAAAAGAAGGTTTCACTCAATTATTACCATTTGCATGATGAACATGTCGAAAAACATGATCGTAGTGACTAACTGTCTTTATCTTGCGATGCTGGATTTAGTCTTGTTCTGCTCAAAGTTGCTTCTTGTCACGAGTTAAGCAACCAAGGTACATTTTGCACAAATCGGGTGGCTTCAAAATTACCCATGTAACACACTTACTGACAGTGAGTATGTAAAATCCCATAGGTTTATTGCCAGACGGGTTGAATGCGCGGAGACTATGAAGCTTGATAGCGCTGTTCACCGGGCGGAACTACGACGCTGAACTGGTCTAGCTCGGCCCGTCAAGATAACAGCCCTTATTAATCATGTTTCTTTTACACCCATCTCGGAGCATAATGGAAGTAAGATAGGAAATCGGCTGCCCGCGGAACGCGACGCCCGAGAGGCGCCCGCGGCGTGCGAAGCTCGCAAAAAGGAGCCCGCGGTGTGCGACGCCTGCAAGATGCTGTAAGTTGTCCAAGTCTACGATGCGTTGGACGAAATGCCGCGATAACGGTAAAGAAGCAGAAAGAGGCAACGGCATCTATAATTAGCAAGCAATGTGACTACACCTTCCGTTCAATAACAGCATTCTCTCTATTCAGAAAGTTACTCAATAACAAAACTGCAAATCCAAGACACAAATCACCATGACACCTCAAGTTGAGCGCGTGCATCCCCTGCGTGCATTGAGCGAGAATGAAATCCTCAAGGCTTCCGCCATTGCCAAGCGAATCTTTCAAGAAAAGATCAATGACGCACAAAAGGAGATTCGGTTCAAGCACATTACACTCTCTGAGCCTCCCAAGTCCTTCCTGATGCCATATTTGGATGCTGAAAGTGATGGGGTCTCTGTATCTGAGCGATCCTTCGTGCCTAGATGCGCTCATGTTATTTATTCAGTGCCCGGTGAACCCGGGTTCACTGACAGCATCATCAGCCTGGACACGGAGAGCGAGGTGACCTCGGTGGTATCAAAAGAAGGAGATCATACCGGTTTCGACAGGTACGTTCATAAGTCTTCTTCATGAGTACAAGACTAAGTGCGCTCAAATAGGGACGAAGTCATCAAGTTCAACCACGTCATCTTATCCCACCCTGAGGTTTTGGCTGCCATCAGCAAGTTGGGATTACACCCTGACATGACCGTTCAATGCGACACTTGGCCGTTTGGAGCAGATAAAGACTGCAGCTCGAGTACTCCGCGTCTGGTCCAGGCTATGCTTTACGCTCGCGCCTCGCACAACCATCCGGAGAGTAATCAGTATTCGTTTCCTCTTCCGATTTCGCCTGTCATCGATTCGGCTGATTTCAGACTCATTCGTATCGATCCTCTTCCTACCGGCGGCATTGAAGATGGGGCAGCCTGTTTCACAGCACCAGACGCTCCTCTCGCCCATTGTGTTGAGAATGAATATCATCCAGATCTCTTGAATGTCAAGCTTCGTGACGATCTCAAACCATTGATAATTCAACAGCCCGAGGGGCCTAGCTACAAAGTCGAAGACGGGAATTGCGTATCTTGGCAGAAATGGAAACTCCGCGTCGGCTTCAACTGGCGCGAGGGTATGACCATTCATGATGTGAGATACGACGGGCGAAAACTGTTTTACCGACTCAGCATGAGTGAGATGACTGTGCCGTACGGCGGTAAGTATGGGAAAAGCCTTGCCGCGCAATCAGCTAACATTGTCATAGACCCGAGATTTCCCTACCATCGCAGACAGGCATTCGATCTTGGTGATGCTGGTGCGGGCCTGACAGCAAATAACTTGAGCCTTGGCTGCGACTGCTTGGGATCTATTACCTACTTCGATGCATTACTGACCGATTCGGCTGGAGAGCCCTACGCAGCTCCCAATGTCATTTGTCTACACGAGGAGGTACGGTGATACCCAAATATCGATGACACACTTGTTTACTAACCTTTGAGCTAGGACGGAGGCATTGGATGGAAGCATACCAATGCTAGGACGGACGTCGCTGCAGTCACGCGCGCTCGCATTCTCGTTCTCCAGAGTATCATCACGGTTGGGAATTATGAATATGCGTTTTCTTGGCACTTTTGGCAGAACGGGAATATCGAATTTGAGACCAGAGCAACTGGAATTCTTGCTACAAGTCTCATCGACGAAGGAAAGACAAGCCACTGGGGCAATGTTGTTTCTCCAGGCGTCTTGGCAGCTAACCACCAGCACCTTTTCTGCCTGCGCGTCGATCCCATGATTGATGGTCTCGAGAATACTGTCGTCCAAGAGGAGTCTATCCTATGTGCTGACGCCGAGGAGAACCCATATGGCAATGCATGGAAATTGAGCAAGACCTACGTGGAGAAGAGTGGTTTCATGGATGCTGCTCCCGAGAAGAACCGAGTCTTCAAGATCGTCAACGAGAAGAAGCTCAATCCGATTTCCAAAAACCCCGTCGGCTTCAAGATTGTGCCGCAGCCGGCACAGCTGCTCATAGCTCACAAGGATTCAGTTGTTCGCAAGCGCGCCCGCTTCGCAGAACACCATGCCTGGGTGACTAGATATCGGGATGGCGACCTCTGGGCTGGTGGCAAATGGACAAACCAAAGCATGATAGAAAAGAATGGTGTTGCCGACTACGCGGCGAGGAATGAGAATGTCCGCGGCGAGGATTTGGTCTTCTGGACTATTTACGGACTGACGCATAACCCTCGCGTCGAGGATTACCCTGTCATGCCGGTCGAGATCGTCACCGTTACACTCAAGCCGGCGGATTTCTTCGATCGCAATCCTGCTCTTGACGTTCCGCCTAGCACTCAAGCTGTTAACAAAAGTGTTTTGGTGGCCCCAGGCGGCCCTCCAAGGGCGGATGAACAAGTCGTCTGTTGTCGATAAAGGGCTTTTTCAAGCCCCCGCCCTCATAGTAGAACAAGATGAACAATTATTTGAGATTAAAACCAGTTTAGGAATGCAATATACAGTTCATGAACATCTCGTACGGTCACGGTCACGATCGATGGCCTCGACATACACCGTGTTAAAATAACCAGCCTTTACACCAATCGATCTTTCCCTGATGACTAAAGTAAGTGAGGAATGAGAACTTGCCGACTTAGCCTTGTAAAATCAACATCCCACTCACAGGTAAGTGGAAGCAGCAGCTTTGTGGAAAGCGATATGTGGCAAAAGTATTTAACCACGGTTTCGGCGTCGCGGCTCCCATTGTGGCGACGGAGAGGAAAGACATTGAATTGTTGAATTGCCTGATTTGAAGAAGGGCTGGAATATATAATTAAAATATGTTTCCAACAAGGGGTCAAAATGGCTACGTTTTAGCTGCCATAGGCAGTTGCAACGCGTTGGGTTTTACTCGCACTCGTACTTGTACAGTTTCTAACTTGCTTGGTAGTAATTTTGGGTAGACATTACGTGCGAAGAGCCAAATTTCGGAAATGTATGATTTGGGATGCATGACGTCTTACAGGTGTCCTCGCCATACCAGTCATCTCCAGTATAGTACTCCAGCTTATCTCAGTTGTGCTAGAAACTCAGACAAATCTTCTTCTGAGATGCCCATCATTTGCGTATTCCCTGGTATCCAACCCCGTAGTTGCGAAGCATGGTTTTCTGTGTGAGACATAAGGTCCTCGAGCGTAGTTAAAGAAGCAACGCAATGACTCCCGTCTACTTGGAGAGCCCCTCGCGCAATATCAAGGTACGCACCAAACCCATTCTCAACGGGAACCTCATGGTCCTGGGGGTTCTGAGCTTTGGCTTCGACGTATATGACTGCCACATTGTACAGAACCTGACAAAGATCGTGCAGCTTCTGGACAGCCTCTGACGTATCGCACATTGGCTTTAGCGATTCACTGAATTCGCCCAGTATGCGTATATCGTCAGGGTTAGAGGTCTCAATGACATTGCAAAAGATGACGATGAACGGCACAAATGGTGTGTAGATGATGGTCCTGTGGACACGACTCTGTTAGCCAATCCACTCAGACCCCAACATATCAAAAGGAAATTCGAGGTACGGTACACGGTACATACCATAACAAGTATGCCGTCTTCATATTAGAGCTCCACCCTGTCATTTGCATGCACTCCCGATGTGCCCCAAAGGCCATCCTGGCAGACTGAAGACACGCAACACTAAAACCTTGGTAGCCGCCTTCTGTTGGCGGAACGGCCCGGTGTATCAATGTCATGGTGGTCCAGTACCATACCTCATCGGCCTTTAAAACCATTGCGAGGAGGTTATTGGGGACGGATCCGAAGTCTGGCCCGGTTTCCATCGCATGTGCCTGCCTCAGCGGCACCGAGAACTCATCCCTGATTCGCCTCATCGCGGCACCAAGATTGTTCGCGCGCTCAAAGCGCTCCTGAATCGATTGACGGAGTGCTGCGGGGCTGTACAAGTCTTGGTAGGCCTTGCCAGCAATCTCTGAATGGCGTATCCATTGGCCGAGCAAGTCTTGCCAACCTTTTGGCACACTGGGCTTGTCGAGTCGTTTGGGCAAGGTAATTTCATGGTCATGTATGTTTGCGGACCGACCCAGGCGAAGCGCAAGGCCTTTGTCAAGCAAGTATGTGAGCCAGAAGAGAGATGTCTTCCGCTCAGTCGCACTGTCTCCGTTCAAGTCGAGGCGATGCCAGCCAAGCGTTTGACACATGCCGGCCGCGCCTGAGACTAGTTGCCATGCGAGTAATGGTTTCGACGCCTCAACGGCATAGGCACACTACCTCAAAGTTCTTTAGTCCCGTTCTCGAATTTCTGCCAGTCTAGGGAGAGGGTAGCTGACCCCTAGAAGAAGAGCTTCAATGTTCTCCGAGTTCGAGGGTAGGATAAAATCGAGGTTAGCTAACGCCGTCTCGAGGTTATCTCGGCACAGGCGGTAAAAGATTCGATACTCGTCGGCGGAATTCGTATCTACGGCTGCAAATGCCTTTTCCTGGAAGAGATAGCGTAAACCTGCGTTGGCAATTAGAAAGCTTGAAAGTGAGTAGTCTTCCATTGCAAAATAGATTTCCCGACAGCATTCGACGAGTCTCTCCTTGGGAATGAAGAAAGAGATGACCGTCAGAGAAATGGGTGATAGCTCTATAATTGATTCAGTTGATATTAGATGCATTCAGTGCAAATGCTAGCTTAGGACTTGAGGAATAATCCTACCGTTAATTTCGCGCAGTATTGAAAGGACCGACTGCACCGGGGGCATTGCTAGTCCTTTTAGGCCACCTTTCAGCGTCCCCTTTTTGTTTGGGAGCAGGACTTCGAACGACTGGCAGTTTTCCATTACCGTAATTTGCTTCAGCGATGATAACGCCGCCTTGACAGGTGGGTTCGAGTTGCAAATGGGTCTTCGCTCGACAGCACTTTCGACAAACTCGCTTGCGAAGATAGTTGCAGCTGCCATGGAGCTGTCGCCCTCAAAAGCTATCTCCGAGTCCCCTTGATTTGAGACGCTATTCGTACTTTCTGCCGTGTCGACCGGAGGCGTGAACGTCGTCATAGTCGACGGCTCAAGAGCCTCCTGGCCACTTCGGGCGCCCGGTGCCGAGGTGTCGCTCCGCAGGAGCTGCTCTATGCGTTCAAGGCGTGACTCGATACGGTCTATCTTCTGCTCACTGTGTTCAAACTTGGATAAGCATGCATCGAAGCGACGAACAAATGATGGAAGCTCTTACTATTGTGAGGATATCAGAACTCTTTGCTTCGATTCTCTTCCCCTTTGGCTTGCCCCGATCGAGCTGCAGCTCTTTTGGACAGCTTGGCAGTTGGAACATGGGTACAGCCTGTCGCAGCGGATCTCGGTTGTTGGATCAGGATTAGTTGCTAGTTTGAGACTGGTTCACGGCAAGAATGAACTCACTTTCCGAAGACGACATCGATCACACTATGTCAACAATTCCAAGTTAGAAAATCATCGACAGAAAATGGTCCCAGTCTAAGGGAAATGGACAAGTCATACAACTCGACCAATGGCCGTTTCTGGCATCTGTTCATTGGTTCTCACATCTCCGTCTGTAGGCGGGGCCATGGTCAATAATCGACAGATTCCCACCCTAGAAAAATCCGAGTAAGGGGGTATGATGCATTGTGAGGGTTGAATTGTTGTCCTGCTTTGAGGAAATGGACGGGCCGAATTCCGCGCGTCTCGCGTCCGCGCAACCCGCTCAGCTCGCCCGCGGACGCCGAAGCCGAGCCTCCTTTCTCACCGGGGAATAGCGCGAGATAAGAAGAGTACGACAACGGTGTTAGTGGCTATAGCTCAACTCCATACGTCATGTCGGTTTCATAATTCAATTGGGAGGCCAACTGCCGGAGGATATACCGGTAGACTACGTTGACCAGCCTGTAGCCATACAATATATATCGATTGTGCTCCTACGTTAAGCGCATCTCTCTGCCTAACCGCTCATCCGAGAGTCTAGTACCGTCTCATCCCAGGTGTCTAATATTATCTACCTGGCAAAACACACACCCCGCCGTGATATCCTGCAAACACGCCCAAACATGACTCAGGACGCCCCCCAGCATGCCGAACTCCAAGTTGGTGCAGTCAGTACGGACGCTACTACAGACATGACCAAAAGCGCCACCTCCAAGAGCTATGTGACATTCACCCCGCGTCTCGGGCAAGACTCGGGCGCGTCTATCGACCAAGGCAGTGTCCAAGAGCAGTATAGGACATATAAGATGCGTTGGCTCGGGCTTGGGGTATTGACACTGCTAAACATGATGGTTAGCTGGGCGGTATGTTTCTTCTTGCGAGCATGGTGAGCAACATCATCTCTAGGGGCGTGGAGTACCTTCACCGGCCGGAATTTGATATTTTTCCAAATAAACTTGACTATGGGTCATGACTGACCGCTGGTTACACCTCTAGTGGCTCACATTTTCACCCGTCGTCTCAGATGCAGCTGAATTCTATCGCGTTGACGAATCTACCATAAACTGGCTAAGCAGCATCTTTGTCTTCGCCAACTTTGCCATGACATTTGTTACGATACGCTTACTGGATTGGGGGCTACGTCCGACCATCATCACCGGCAGCAGCTTGCTCATAATCGGCAACTGGATTCGATATGCCGGATCCTCCTCCTCAACCAGCAACAAAGTCGCTGTCGTCGCCGTCGGCCAGGCTCTACTCGGTATGGCGCAATCGCTCGTTCTGAGCGCTCCGACGCGATTTTCAGAAACCTGGTTCACAACCTCGGGGCGAGTAACAGCTACGGCGGTTATGAGCTTGGCTAATCCGATGGGAGCAGCAGTTGGCCAAGTTGTTAATCCCTTCTGGGTGAGCAAGTCCGCCGACGTTGCTTCCATGGTCTTATATGTGTCCATTATTGTGCGTTAACCCTCGTCTTCGCATCTTACGTGTCTCGTCAATTATTCAACCTCAAAGGATCTAACTATTTCAGTCGTCAGCAGTCGCACTCCCCGGCTTCTTCATACCAGAGGCGCCCCCCACTCCTCCAGCTCCATCTGGTGTCACAATGCGACTCCCAATTCTAGAGTCTTTGCGCAGATTGATCACCTCGCTCGAGTTCTTCCTCATCATTATCCCTTTCTGGGTCTTCACTGGCTTCTTCGTCGCCACAACCACTCTCATCAACCAGATCGTCAAGCCGTATGGCTTTTCTGACACCGAGGCCGGCATCGGCGGGGGTTTGCTTATCGTTTTAGGGTTGATAGCCTCTGGTATTGTGGCACCCATCGTCGACCGAAACAAGAAGTATCTGCTCGTAGTCAAATGTGGCGTGGTTCTTGGAGCGCTTTGCTACTTGGCCTTGATATGGGTGCCAACGTCTAGAGAGGTCGGTGCATTATACGCTCTTCTTGGTGTCTTGGGTGTTGCATCACTTGCCATTGTCCCCGTCGTCCTCGAGGTTCTGACGGAGCTTTCCTATCCCGTCGGTCCCGAGATCACAAGCACTATTGCCTGGGCCGTTGGACAGCTACTTGGTGGCTGCTTCATCCTACTTGGCAACGCGATGAAAGCAGGACAGGACGCCCATATACCTCGGAATCTGACAAACTTCGTCATCTTCCAGGCTGTTTTTGCGTTGGCATTGGTGCCCCTGCCTTTGTCACTAGGATTGTTTGGGCGGGCTGACAAAGTTCTCCTCAAGCGTACGCGAATAGATTAGACCTCAATAAGTTAGCAGGACCTGAAAGTTGAGCAATTATGTATACTGACATGCTTGTCGAGGTCTACCTTTTAACTAAAAACGGAGAGCGAAGCAAATCGCTTCACGTAAAAATGCTCTACCTTGCGAGGTGAAACGGGGGGTGATTGTGTTGGTATATGAAGGCCTTTCACATGTTTTAGTTGGCAGGTGCAGAAAAGGATTTTTCTCATCCCTAGCGGGAGAGTTCCGTTAGAGGAGGTTAGGATTAACTGCCAGCTTGTGACTGATACTCTCCTATCCTGACCCTTAAGGTACGGTCGAGTGCACTCCCTGCGTGGCTAGCGAAGTGCGGTGGTGCTCGTGTTGTAATCATCGATAATGCTGTCGTCCTAAGACAGACTCATATCCTCTTTCGACCGCACCGTAGTATATCTAGGGCTCAAGAGGTAGTAAACCAAGATATACACGCCTTCTTGACCAGATCACGATTATGCTCGAGATTCTGCCTGACGCTTGATAGACCGATAAATGAAGCTAATTTACGGGAGGGCATCAATTTGCTAGAGGTTGTTGGCTACCGGTGGACCCACGCGATCTGATAGTTATGCGCCTCGGCCTTGCTACTTAACGCTCGGAATTAAGGACTTTAACTCCATGGGTGCCGAGAATGGGAAGCAGAAACTCGCGTCCGATGTAGAGCTTTCCTCCGTACCTTCTTAAAGTTTGACCTAATCAAATCAACCTCCTCGCCGAGTACTGCCCGCCGGCCGCAACAATACGGCCAGACATGTTAAACCCAATTTCGAACATTCGGTCCTCGCGTTTACAAGACAGTCCGGAGCTATGCATTATCTCCATCCGACGGTATTGTTCTCTCAGGGTCGGGTAGTGCCTATAACGGCAAGCTATAGGAAAGAATATCCATCCATTACCAAATATAAATTGATGCCGCTCCTTTCTCATAAGCGGACAAATCAACCAGCCTCCCCTCTCTCCATACAATACCATCCAGACATTAGTATTCACACATCCCTCATGGCTACTCCTTCTGTTGCCATTGCCGGGGTAGGTTTTCTGTTCCTTTGCTTCATCCATACTATGCTAATATGGCGTAGGCCACCGGCAATCTTGGCCCTGCCATCCTTGATGCGCTTGTCAAAGCGCAGCCACCAATGCGAGTCACCGTTTTGACTCGTGAAAGGTCCAGTGTCCCTCAGAACGTGCTTGAGGCTCCGAATGTCGTCGTCAAGGTAGTCGACTACTCTTCAGCATCGTCAATTGCATCCGCACTTACGGCAATCACGCATTGTATATCGACTCTTCCGTCTCATGCACTTGGCATACAAAAAAGCCTCATTGACGGATGTGTCGCTGGTGGCGTGGGCCATTTCATACCCTCGGAGTTCGGAGCGAACTTCCTCGATCCAGTGTTGAGAACCATACCAACCTTTGGGCCTAAGGCAGAGGTGGATGAGTATGTCGAACAGCTCCGCTTGAGTGGGAAGATCGAGTACACTTTGATTCGAGTCGGTGCATTCTTGGACTGGGGCTTGAATGGATGGCTAATCGACCCAAGAAATAAGAAGGCAGAGCTCTGGGACGGGGGTGATGCAGTGATGAGTCTGACCACTTTGTCGACAATCGCAAAGGTTGTGATCCAGGTCGTCCGAGGCCAGACAGTTGGCAAGAATATCATACAGATTAGTGACACCAATTTGTCACAGAAGCAACTGTTGAAGCTCTGTCAGGAGGTAGTAGGTGCTGACGGTTGGCAAATCACGACTTTGGACGTGGAGTCCAGAGTCCAGCTGGCGACGGACAGGCTCTACAAGGGAGAGGCGGAGTTGGACGATTATGTTGCCTTTATTAAGAAGGCCCTCACACGTCCGGGGAATGCAGCACATTGGGACAAGGATGACAACGACCTTTTGGGCATCCAGACCTTGACCGATGCCGAATTGAAGGATATCATTGAGGGGATTATCAGCTAGATTAGAGCATAGTAAGGAATACTGTACTGTGGCTTATTCAATGCAATTTCTTTATGGAACTACGAGACAACGACATGGCATTGCGCTCGGAAGTGAGTGGTGAGAAACACGGTGCATGGTATACACGCATGCGTTGACACACCAAGATGAAATGCACGCAACGTAAATACACAATACTTTACCGGAAATGCACTATACATCCACAACATGTCTCAGCACTGCGGGCCAACACATTAACGCCAGAAGCAAAAAATGCAACGAGGCAACCAAAACACCGTGGTGCATCATGCAGCTCTGCGGGGCCTTGCTGCCTGGGAAGAAACATTGGCTTACAGCGGGGGCCATAAGAGTCATTCATCGTGCAGATATTCACGATGCACCAACAGCTCAAAACCGGCCAATACATGATGCCTGGGTTGCTTGGGCGCCCATGCCTTGTGGCTTGACTGTTTCTCCGGCTTTGTGTGACGTTCCTGACATGCATACAGACATATAAGGAACTGGGCGCCTGGCCTGTGTGATTTCCATCTTCATTACCAAGAGGTTATGGTGCCCTAATACCAAGAGGTTAGGGTGCCCTAATACACATACCCGGAGGGGGGACTAGAAGCTCAACAGTAAAAAGAAAAACCCAACAATAACAATACAGATCATATACCCAGTCCATTCAAAGATCAACAGTACACTCAGACAGACTAAGGTTTCTAGTGCAACTGGTTACCTTTCCCAATACCTCAATGAGCTTCAGGTAACAACTGCGTCTTGAAAAAGCTAGATCTGCTGGAAAAGCTAGATCTTGGAAAAGGCAAAATCCTGATGGATATAACAGCTCTGCAGGCCTCGCCATCTTTATTACTATTTCACAGTTCAGACTGTTCTAGTCCATTAGCTTCCATCAAATCAATTCCGTCCATCAGCCGTCGAGAACACACCTCCACGCCGCTCTCACGTACCCATCATCCCAATGGCCAGAAGCAGATCTACATGTTCGTTCTACCAATCCCCTCCTTAGATAACCAATGGTAATCACGCTTGGCCTCGCACACTTCCATGCTAAACATACTTACAGCCCGCAGCTCTCGTGCGGACAACAGAGGCTACGGGACAAACTCGGATTCCGATGACGGTCAAATCATACTCGTGGGCTCAGACGAGGAGTTCACCCAGGTGCTCCAAGGTGTCGACATCAAGCCACTGGCCATGAACAGCACCGGTGCCGATGAGGCCTCTAAGCTGGGATACTCTTCGTCGACCCTCATCAGCAACTGGTATAAGCACCAGTGCGGGTTCAATTCCTGCCAAATCCGTTGGAGCGAATTCGACAATGTCGACGATGAAGAGTCGGCTTTGGCCAAGCGATGCGCCTCCATCCCAATCATCCATCGGCACGCCTTGGTAAAAAATCGCTGGGTCACTGATTCCATCATTGTGCACGATCCTGCCATGCGGGACGTTCTTAGCGCAGTGCTTGCCAAGTATCAAGATCTCGACCTAGAGCTCCAGGACTGGACCTTTGAGCCTCCATTTATGCCCTTGGTTCATCGTTGGCAGACTTTCAAGGATTACCACGGCACGGCGACCCCAGGACCCATGAAGAACGCGTCCTCAGCATTGTTGGCGTTCCTGACACCCATCCTGGCTTCCTCTGTCCTCTCGCTCGCCCAGACTAAGAAGACCGGCCAGATCAGTTTCAACAACATTTGGCAGATCTTCTCCCCAAGTTCCATCGTCGTCACCAAGTTTTACGGCATAGACACCATCTGCAGGGTAGTCAAATACAAGAAGCGACGTGCGGACCCCGGCGCTCCCCAGCGGTGGGCTATCGACATGGAATACGTGGACTGGAACGGCGAGACGTGTGGTTGGGCGACGACCACTCTCACCATATGGGAGTTTGAGGGCTTCAGGCGAGTCACCGGGCTCCCCGTCTACCCACTCTCGTTCTCCAATGACGCTGCCAAGATCAAGGCCGAGATGATTGAGAGAGGACGCAAGTTTGAGAGCATTCGTGGCTACCATTTGATGGCGGCGAATGGAACCAAGATCTTGCTCGAGGGGGAGGAGTCTCAGCAGCGACCAGTAAGTGGTCTTCACCATGCTAAATCTACTCGTCTAACGCACTTCTAGGTGGCTGGAAAAGTATGCGTCGACGCATATGCATACTACCACATCTGCAACATGGTCAAGCCGAAGCTGCGACCCCTCAGCAACAAAGTCGACGATGATTCAGATGAGCCCCAGACTAGAGAAAACGACGCATGTATGACCTGGGCGGGGTACCAATCCAGGTTCACCGTCACATCCGTCGAAACTGTCACAGCTGCGAAGGGTCCAGCGGAACGGACAGAGGATCTGACGCCGCTGACCGAAGAGGAGATGCTCATGACTACACCCTGGGTCAAGGGATTCGACCTCAAATCGAAGGAATTCTGCGAGCTGCACATCGCGGACTTGAAGGAGATGATGTGGAACGATGAGGCATTCGAGAAGCTTGTCCTTCCTGGTGGAGAGAAGGAGCTTGCTTGGGCGTTTGTCGAGAACAAGAGCCCGTCTACGTCGGACTTTGATGACTTCATCCCCGACAAGGGCCGCGGGCTGATTATTCTGATGTTTGGGCCGCCTGGAGTTGGCAAGACGTTCACGGCCGAGGCTGTGGCGGAGAGATCGCGAGTGCCGTTGTACTCTATGGGTGCGGGCGACCTGGGCATCCAGCCGGCCGAGGTAGAAGCTGCTCTTGAACGCGCCCTGGAGCTTTGTCGAATGTGGAACGCCATGCTCCTCCTCGACGAAGCCGATGTATTTCTCGGCGAGCGTACCAGCGAGTCCCTAGCGCGTAACGAGCTGGTATCCATCTTCCTCACCAAACTAGAGTACTACCAGGGCATTCTCTTCCTCACCACCAACCGCATCTCCAGTATCGACCACGCCTTCCAGTCACGCGTGGACCTCTTCCTCCCGTACCACAACCTCACCAGTGCGGCGCGTCGCCAGGTGTGGGAGAATTTTATTGAGCGCGCGGGACGGCACAAGTTTGACGTGTCGGATGCGTCGCTGGAGAAGCTGGCCGAGTTGAAGCTGAATGGGCGCGAGATCAAGAATCTGATCAAGTCGGCGCAGTTGCTCTCGCTGAAGGACGGTGGCAAGGTTCCGATCGAGAGGCTGTTGTTGCTTGCTGATAAGCGGATGCAGGCGCTGAAGTGTCTTGAGGTCTGAGTAGGTAGTCAGTATACGCTGGTGCGGATCAGCTTCACCTGTCCTTTTTATCAGTAATTCAAGCCATCTATCTCAATTTTTTGACCTTTCGAGCGTAGAGAGGATGGTGGGAATTGTGAGTTATGTTAGATTATGGACCCAATTAACCCTGGCTATAGTAATATCTGGTATATGCTATACTTTTAGCTCAGCGGTTAATTGAACAAGTTACTATTCTCGCTATTTCCCAAGTGATGCATTGTACACCGTCATGGAGACATGTTTCGATGTGATTGATGTCATCTCAGAGGCAGCGGAAACCGGAGCTAGCATGTGGCTGAGAGCTCCCCGCAGATGATCAAGTATGACGATCACTCCTCCTCCAAGCCCGAATAGGAAGCACTGTGGCGTAGCATCTCAAGTCTTGATTCTCAATTGTCTGCAGATGTGGCGGTACAATGACCTCATCAGCGTCATAGGATTGCGTTGACAAGGAGCATAGCTTTCTACGGTGATCCTCCGTCTCTACCGGTTATCCTCTCCACCTGTGAAACCGTCAATTGCTCCAACTTCGCCAGTGACGATATTCCATTGTCCTTCAGGACTCCCACACTACGCCCATGTCGCTACCAGACCACCCGAGTAAGGACGAGGAGAAGCGCTCCAAATGGAAGATATTCGGCTCCCACAAGGACAAGCGCAAAAGCGGAGAAGCGCCAGTGCCCGAGAGCTCGTCTTTGGATTCTACGTACGGAACAAACGAGCCGAACAACTCGTTGAAGACGGAGGCCGACAGCAGCACGTCGACGTCCAAGAGTCCCAATGTATTTGACAAGGAACGCAGCAGCGACACAGAGAACCAGTCCAGGTCGGATGATCCTCTGTCGCACACGAGTCCTCCCATCAAGCAGGAGACTGTCACAAATCCCAATACGGGCCAAACCATTACAACCACGACGACGACTACTACGACTACGACAACCGTCACCAATTCCAATGGCACGACAGCGACCGTTGAAGAGCCGCGACAGCCCGCCGAGCTACCGACGACGAGCAATCAGAAAGATACAATCACGCCTCCACCTGCTACTCCGCCCAATGAGTCAATGGGAGATGACCAGCTACCTGTATCTCCGACAGACCAGACCACAGACACTCATTATCCACCGGTTCGTCGACAGAGTGTAGAAACTCCGGGAAATCGAATCATCCCTCCGCGCGATCCAAACTCCCTACCGAGTCCAGTCAATCCAGTGACGAATTCCAATGTTCCTGCGATTCCTGAACGCAACGCCAATCGGAATTCCCTCGATGGTTCCATGGTCCATCCCCTCGCACGACAGCCCAGGGCGGTTGACACGAATCACGATACGTCTACAGCGAACATTTCGCAACCATCAAACGTACCAGCACAGACAACTGCGACAGGTTTTCCGCAAAATCACACCTACGTTAACCCTCCGAAGCAGCAGCAGAAGACGCAGCCTAGTGGCGGCCTGAGACAGCAATCCACGATTCATAATTTGAAGCAGGCCGCAGCTGGCATCCATGTGAGTTCCCGCAACAACGTAAGAAAGACCCTCGATACTAATTTCTCTTACTCAGGGCGCTGGTGAGACTCTTCGTGGAACTCTCAACTCGACCGTCGACCGACGTTTTGGCAATCAACAAGCCATGGAAAAGAACCAACGAACCATCGACGCGGGCCGATACGAGATTGAAAACCAACGGTTTTACCATCCGGACGAACACCCTCCTCAAAAACAACCGGAACAACAACAACCAAACCCCTGGCACCAAGGCGGTGGACCACTAACGCCTCCGTTGTATCAAGTTCCATTCGACGATACCTCAGGATCGAGCTGGAGCGTAAGTGGTGGTGCAAATACAAACGAGAGAGGGAGACAGTCAAGTCGCAGCAAACTAGGAAATTTCCTCAGCAAGGCGACAGGACGACCTATCAATCTCGGTGGTGCGGATGGTGAAGCGGAACCCACGCCGGTCCCACAGAGAGCAAAGCTGCAGAAGCGGAGTAGCTCGAGACTGAGTGGATCGAGATTGAGTGTCGTTGGAGAGTGAGTCGTCCTTTATTGATTCGTAAACACTTGAAATTTAACTGGGCGAATAACAGGGAATCAATACATTCTAATAACTCCTATCGAGCATGAAGGATTCAAGGCACAAGGTAATGTTTCAATTGGGACAAATCATATCTGGCCGCACGAAGGGATCATTAGAAGCATGAGTACGGCGGACGGACAAGCCCAGCAATGTTGCTCGGTTCGATCTATGTCCAAATTATGGCTAATGAAATATCGAAGGGCTGGTTCGGAGAATAGGCAAGTTTTGTGGTACTGTATTTAAAGGCTATTTGTATATCCGCCTAACTTACACAATACCTTGATCATTCCTCCGACTTGAACGTCTACATTCAGTTGAGGCTGCTGGGAATCGCACGCAACTGCTCTTAAGCTGATTATTTTCTGCCGCATTCCACAATCACCAGTGATTACTCGCTGAGAGATCAGTTGGTTCCGTGGTCTAGCTGGTTATGGCATCTCGTTAACACCGAGAAGGTCCCCGGTTCGAGCCCGGGCGGAATCACTTTTTTGCCAATAATCCTGTTTTTTTTACCATCAGTGCGCTCCAGTTGTCCAATTGAAGTGTAAACCGACGGATCAATTGGCATTGCGACAGGCTGAAGCTGAAATTTTATCCTCGGCACGTCTGACGAGTTAGTCTGATAACTAGCGCCATCTTGTTCTTGCTTATGTCTCCTAGCGCCGATCTGGACAAGGCACGCAGAGATCAATATCGCCTCGTATTGGGTAAATCGGTATTTTTACTATCATGGCCTCAAAACTAGATGCCCTTTGATTTTTGCCATCCCTTTTTCTCGCCCGCTTTGACAGCAGTCTTGAACCCAGCGGTGCAATTAATTCCGCAGTCGATTATTGGGCTAAGACTCCTGACAGGACTCTAAACCATATATCACATCTCCTTCCTAAAATTTCCTACACTTGAGGAGAAGCTAGAAATCCACTCAAGGCTCTTTTATACGGGTTTTACTGCCCTGGAATATTATCAAACAATTATTCGGGACGGATATGGCACTACGCTAAGATCTCCAGTCACTTTCCACCCAAGTTTATAAGCAACGCGGATGTGAGCAGAGTAACCTTACACCAGTAACTTGGAGTCTCAATTTTTGCAACACCTGGATATATGGCTCTAGGCAGGCTTATTTTAGTTCAGAATTGCTTTTCTAGAACGTCGCGTGATGTTGTTTGTGTTGGAATCGAAAAATAAAACCTCCGCTACCCTGTACCAACCGCATCAATATCCATAATCTAGCCTAGTCCGAATTGGCAGGCCCGTAGACAATCAGGTTTAATCGACCCACGGACTGATCCCTGTAGTCGTCAACGTCATCAGCCCTCCCTCACATGGGTAAAGGGCTGCTGCTTTGCCTTTGACACAATCAAACGCCTCACCACGCTTCTCTCGCCACCAAAGCGGCGGGAGAATGGACTATGGAGTCTCTGATTGCGGGCGTTTTGAGTACGATTAACATCACAGACGTTCTCGATGCAGATTCTCGTCCCACCTTTATTGTTGATCTCGACCCTGATGAGGAATTGCCGCAAGGTCTCAAAGCCATTCGCCCAGTCTTTTGCAATGTTGCTCTCCGACTGCACGAGCGTTTGCTTGACGCTGTTTGTGGCAACGAAGGGACAGATCCAATAGACGACGAGGCGGATTCCGTTCCGTACGGGGCTTTCCAGAGCTGGGCCACAGGAATAACTACGCAGGACGACTCAAAGGACATATTCCCCCTCTCGTGTTTGTACAAGGATCTTCTCTGGACCGGCTCCACCGTCTCTAAAAGATGGAGGCTGATCAGCGGCAATCGAGCGTGGAGGGCTGATATCCCTCGTCACAATCTGTCGCCCAGCGCACTCCACGAAGCGACAAGGGAACCTCGCAAGTCCCGCCGTCGCAAGTCGAATAGTGCAGAGCCGGGGCAGACGAGGGTTGGTACAATTGCCGAGTCAAATTTGGCCGAACCGATTGTCGAGGGGAGCAGCGCAACTGGCACAACACTGGCTGTGTCCTACAGGCAGCCCCCATCAACCAGGACAACATGGGGTCGGCAGATATCCAAGACAAGTTCTTCAGATATTGGGCGAAGCTCGTCGAGCGGATCAGTTGTCCTTGGAAGACCTGAAAAGGCTGTTGTTGACTGGACCGTCACCAGGCCCAGAGGAATACTATCACCTCACATCGAGATTGCTCGGAGTGTTGACTGGGCATCAACTCCGCTGGGTCCGATGGAGAAATGGACGCCAGAACTACGCCAGGTCGCAAACCTCTGCATGAACAATCCTCACCCGGCCAGCATCTTCTGGGGCAGCGAGCTGACGATGCTCTACAACGAGGCCTACGCTCGTGACATTGCTGGCAACAAACACCCGACCATGATGGGAACGGGGGCTTCAGGCCCATGGGCGGAACTTTGGGACGGACTTGGGCCGACGTTTGCTGAAGTAGCTCGCACGGGAGTCTCCTTTCAGATACAGCACGACAACATTTCCTTCTTCAGGCGCGGGTTCCTGGAAGAAGTGACCGTCACCTGGTCATTGACTCCTCTATACGGCGGGACTGAGCATATTGTTGGCTTCTACAACGCACCGTTTGAGACGACTGAAATGGTGCTGAGCCAGCGACGCATGAAGACCATCAACAAGCTCGGCGATTCGCTCACCAAGGCGACTACGGTTGCGAGCTTTTGGCAACTGGTCCTGCAAGGCCTGGAGGAAAACCACCGCGATGTTCCCTTCGCCCTCCTCTACTCGGTGGGAGATGCAGAAGATGGGGATCTCTCATCGACTTCCTCCCGGAGTTCAATCTCCAACAAGTCATGCCGTCTCGAGGGAACCCTGGGTGTGCCCGAAGGCCATGCCGCTGCTCCGACACAAATCGATCTGAAGCGAAGCTACGAAGGCTTTGTGCCGTCATTCCGAGAAGCCATGCGGACCCGAGAGCCCACCCTTCTGCATGCGAGAGACGGCACATTGCCCCAGGAGTTGCTCGATGGCATCAACTGGCGGGGATTCGGAGATCCTTGTCGCGAAGCCGTTATTTTCCCAGTTCGACCGACCAACGGAGATGCGGTCCTGGCGTTTCTTGTGCTGGGAGTCAATCCCCGCAGGCAATACGACGAGCAAGACAAGTCTTTTGCCACTCTCGTCAACCGCCAGCTAGCGACATCGTTGGCATCCACCATCCTCTTTGAAGAAGAGACTCGACGGAGTAGAGATGCTGTAGAAGCAGCGGCTTTGGAAAACGAAGAGTTGACTCAGAAATTGAACTTGCAGGCAAGTCGTCTGCGGCGAATGACGGAGCTGTCGCCGTTGGGCATGTTTCTCATCAATCCCGAGGGTGTCCTGCGCGAGGCCAACGACCGCTTTTACGAAATGACGGGCCACACGAGGGACACGCAGTCCGAAATGTCCTGGGTCGACTTTATCTCGGAAACCAGTGCGAAAACAATGGAAGACGGCTGGCAGCGCTTGACAACAGAACTTCTCCCGTGGTCGGGCGAGCTGCGACTCAAGAAGGGAGCCGAAAGCCATTTCAACTCACACGACGAGTCCATTGACGCGTGGGTTTTATTCACGGCACATGTTGAACTTTCGACGACGGGCGCCGTGAGATCTGTCATGGGCTCCATCACGGATATCTCACACTTGAAGTGGGCTCAAGGGTTGCAAAAGCGGCAACTGCTCGAAGCCGAAGAGACACGACGCCAGCAAAACGAGTTCATCGACATCACCTCGCACGAGATGAGGAACCCCCTCAGCGCAATCTTGCAGTGCGCAGATGACATCTCGTTGTCGCTGGGGCCTTGTAGCAGCAGCGGCGCATCTCCCTCACAAGCGGTCATCGAAGCTTGTGTGGATGCTGCGCAGACGATTGTGCTCTGCGTCCAGCACCAAAAGTCCATCGTGGACGACATTCTGACCATCTCAAAACTCGACTCCAACCTACTCCTAATTACCCCGGTGGCCTGTCAGCCCGAGGTCATACTGCAGCGCGTCCTGAAGATGTTCGAGTCCGAGGTACAAGCCAGGGATATCAAACTGACGCTTGAAATAGACCCAGAATTCGAGCAAATGGGGGTGGATTGGGTGAACATGGACCCCAGCCGGGTTCTACAGATCCTCATCAACCTCATGACGAATGCAATCAAGTTCACAGCTTCGTCAGATACGCGTAATATCACCGTCCTGGTAGGCGCATCTGGGGAACCCCCCGATGGCACGATAATTCCAGGGTTTCAATATATCCCTACCAAGTCAGGCACGAGCAATGTTATTGCTTCAGAAGACTGGGGATCTGGAGAAGTTCTATATATGCGCTTCAGTGTTAAAGATACTGGGTGTGGTTTATCAGAGGAAGAAAGGCAGCTCCTGTTCCAACGTTTCAAACAAGCTTCTCCGCGAACCCACGCCAAGTACGGAGGCAGTGGCCTCGGCCTCTTCATTTCTAAGCGCCTGGCGGAACTGCACGGCGGCAAAATTGGCGTGGCATCTGTCGCTGGCCAAGGGAGTCACTTTGGTTTCTATGTCCAGGCTCGGCGGTCAAGTGAACCAATGCAGGAGGGTCCTTCTCAGTTACTACTGATTGAGGTCCCTCCAGCTGTACCGGCTCCTGCAACCAAAGCGGCCAGTCTGCGGCCGCCAATTTCTCGGGCACCAACTGAAGAACAACCGGTTTTTGAGACAAAAGCAAGCCGAGGATTCAATCCTCGCGACTTGATCGTCCACGTGGTGGAAGACAACCTCATCAACCAGAAAGTCTTGGTCAACCAACTCAAAAAGGCCGGATGCTCCGTCAGCGCTACCAACGACGGCATCGAAGCACTGGAATTTCTCAAGCAGACGCATTTCTGCCAGAAGAATGGCTCTGGCTTATCTGTAATTCTGATGGATCTTGAGATGCCCAACATGGACGGCTTGACGTGTGTCCGTGAGATAAGGAAGATGCAGAGCTCTGGCGCCATTTTAAAGCATGTTCCCGTCATTGCTGCGACAGCTAATGTGAGGGATGAGCAGGTTCAGACTGCTTTGCAAAGTGGGATGGATGATGTATTGTCAAAGCCATTTCGACTAGATGATGTGTTGCGAAAGATAGAGACGTTATTAGAGACGCTATTAGAACCAGTGGAACCACTGGAGAGTCCTAGAGAGGAACAGGTAGATAAATTAGCTAGACATCCCTTATAATACATATTTTTTCGGGGGCGAATTTGTGTGGAGACGGTTCGCGGAGTATTAGGACTCATATCTGTCAGATTTTTGCTGTCAGGCTAAAAGCATAGTACATTGCATATCTGGGTCTATACTGCACTCTGGCAATATCGGATGATTTATCTAGCAGAAAGCACCAATCACATTCGAGAGATTTTCCTCACACGCAAACCCTAAGTGGGCTCAGGATTTCCCAGCTACTGTTAGGAGCGCGAGTTGTTGAACGCCTTGTCAGAATCTACGGAGCCCCCGGCGCTTAAAGGAACACGACGATAGAATGATAAAACTTAACTTATCTATCGTTGATCTTATTCCTTTATAGTCCATGTCCCGATTGGTCATGTTCAATTCCCGGAGACCCTACTGTCAATCGTCTCTTTCATTGGCGGACCCCTTGACGATTTGCGGAACTGAAACAATTGCCAAGACGAAAAAACGAATCCGGCTGCCTCTTTTAGAATGACCGCGAACTTTTGTTATCACTGCAGCGCCATTCTGCCCACTCCGCATACAACGGCGTTATTACCACCTACCTAAAGGTAGCTTGATACGTAGAAATGAAGCCACCAGGTTGTTACCACCTACCTAAAGGCAACTAGATGTATAAAAATAAAGCCACCAACCATGTCCCAGATCACGAATTGCTACTGCATTCTTGTAGTCATTATATAACATGCGCCCCCACGACTAATTAAGCATATCCGTATGCTTCTTGCTAGCAGTTCCTTAGCCAATTGTATCAATTGCAGTCATGGTCAAGCTTGAAACTCTTGCGCTCCTCTTGGGCGCCGGCTATGCTATTGCTGGTGCCATCGAGTCGCACCCCGGCTCGCTACCGACTCGCCGAGACACGCTAAAGGCTCGCGAAAAGGGCCTGCGCCTGGTCAAGACAAGCGAGGAGGACCCGGGAGTTTGGTTAACGGAGGAGGAGAAGTTTGACCAGCTGATCTCCAAGAAGATCGGCTTTGTCGACATCACCGATACCCTTGTAAGAACCACCGCAGTTCAACCTCTGCAGAAACATGGCTGATAAAACGTCCAGGAGCTTGAGAACTTCCGCCTCAACAGCCAAGGCCGCCTGGCTGACGACACAGTCACGCTGCAAGCGATTCCTTCGGCTCCCTCGCACCAATCTGTGGCAAACCCCCTGATCGCCAAGGCGAACATTGCCAATCTCAGAACCTGGGCCAATGCCATGGCCGACTTCTACAACCGCTACTATCGGGGCTCCTATGCTGCTACTAGTGCGACGTGGATGTACAACACTGTCGTGAGCGTCAGCTCGTCCAATTCCGCCATCACGGTGTCGCGCTTTACGCATAGTTACAACCAGCCTAGTGTTATTGCCAAGATCCCAGGAACTTCGAGTGGCGTGGTTATTGTCAGCGCCCATTATGATAGCATTGGTAGCACGACAAGCGGGCGCGCTCCTGGAGCTGACGACAACGCTTCTGTATGTGCACTTCTCTCCGGAATACTCGCGATGACCAGCTAACGCATCCTAGGGAGTGGTGGTGATCCTCGAGGCCCTGCGAATCCTCGCTGAGGCAAAGTACGCGCCAAAGAACACCCTGGAATTCCACTTCTACAGCGGTGAAGAGGGCGGTCTGCTCGGTAGCCGCGACGTCATGCAGTCATATGTTTCCTCTGGTGTGAATGTTCTTGCTGTCGTCAACCAAGACATGACTGGTTACTCGCCGAACAATGTGATTGCTGTGTATACTGACTATGTCGATTCGACTTTGACAAACTTTGTCATGAAGCTGGTTCCTGTCTACTCTGACCTGCCGCTTTTGACTGATGAGTGTGGATACGGATGCAGTGACCAGTAAGTCTACCTCCGGTACGATTCTTAACCTTTGGTAATGGCTGACCATTCGGATCTAGTGCATCTGCAAACTCGGCTGGATTCCCTGCTGCCTACGTGTGTGACGAGAACATGCCAGATTCGAGCCCGTATATCCACTCGGCTCAGGATACTATTGCCACGTTGAGCTTTGAGCATATTCTCCAACATGTCAAGGTAAGAACTCCCAACCATTTGCATTAAACACGAAAGCACGCTAAAAGACCTAGTTCACCGTTGGTTTCTTGGTTGAGGGATCGTACTTCTAGTATGTTGACACTTCTTTGATGCAAGAGTGCGTTCGTCACTGTGCAGAGTCCTAGAAAATTGTATAGTTTAGGAGGAATAAAAACAATCACTTCAAACATTAGACTGTCCGGGCCATTATCCAAGTACCGGAGCTGGGCAATCTCTCTATTTCATGTAACCACTTCAATACCCTCGAAAGTCAATATAATCGAGGCATCGGATCTACGAACAACGTTTTGAGGTGATTAAGTTGACCAGGGCTTGCTTTTTTAGTGATGGCCGTCATTTAGCTGCCCTGTTTTTGATTCAGAGACTACCTACGCCGGAGGCAACAAGGTGGGTGGATGACAACACATGTCTATGAGTGATGCAACGCAATGCAAGAAATGAGCGAAATTGCTCATAAAAAGGGATTTTGATCATGCGCTGTCGCCTATAAATATCTTTATAGATCTAGAAGGATCCGCTTTCTCCAGGCAGGCCGACTAAGCTCACGAAAGCAGTATCCGTCATAACCCAACTACCAGTCGTTTCCCTATCAGCAAGTATCTGGCTGACTACTACACCATGTGCTCCTGGGTCTGGTTCCAATGCAGATACTGCACATACAAGGTCCCCATCGACATAAAGGAATGCGCCCGGTACAAGTTGAGACAGGAGCTACGAGACGCTCGGGGCTTCGAGTACAAGCTAAGTGCAGAATGCGTCGAACTGAGGGAGAAGAAGAAAATCGGGGGCGAGCTGAAGACCTCCGAATGCAAAAACAAGAATTGTCCTTCAAAGAAGCCTGTGAAGGAGAAGGAGGATAAGGAAGGATAAAATAAGGATAATAAAGAGGAAACAAAGTAGTTTCTTCTACACTAGGAATGCTATCTTCCTACCGCCTACTTATTGGCTTATTGACGCGAGCTACCTTTACTTGGCTGTAATCAGATATCATCAACGAGTTAGGGTAAAACCTTTTCTGCCCAACAAACTGAGGACCTGGAGGATCAAAGGGCATAGCTCGCTACAACACAGAACCAAGTTTCATTAATCTTCCAGACTAGGCGCCGCTCGTTGATTGTAGGTGCTGTAAGATGCAAGTCATTGTGCTAGAATTAGGAATTATTGCAACCTTACTCGATGTGTATGTAGCTAATACCACAATTAAAATTGGTTGACATCAATGCAAACTTGAATGAGCAAAAAAATGTTCATGTTTAGTGACGAGAAGAATCCAATGGGACAAACAAATGTATAACCTATCCGAACACCTCAATCATAAAGTGATACTCAATCTTACTCCCGTCATGCCGACCTCTTGTCGTCAGCTCTCTACACTTATCCGCCAAGATCTCGCCCACAACAGGCGCACCGCAGTAGAAGACGCCGACTTTCAATTCCTCGTCATCGTCTCTGCTATTCTCAACCCGTGAATCCTGCGTTTTCGTCGTCGATCGCCTCTTACTTGCTCGAAATTTGAGCATCTCCTCGTAATGTTCATCAAGGACCAGATCAAAATCCGGCCGCCCAAAATGCGTGGGGTTCAGCAATCCCGTAAGTGGAGAGGCCGGGTGCTCCTCAGTGCGGTGCATCTCAAGCAGCCAACGGTAGACGTGCGTAGAAATCTCCTTCTTTTTAGCAGTGACGTGTGTGTTGATGCGGATGTCGAGGCATGGGTGTTCTTCGTGTGTCCGGTGCCACTCTTGACTGAGAGAGACTTCGTTGAGAAGGTCGGACAGCCATTGGAGATAGTTGCGGTCGCGGACCATCCAGTGGAAGTCAACGCGGCGATAGTTTTCGGCGAAGGTGTGGAAGTCGTCGGCTTGAGGCTTTCGCTGCTCGTTGATGAGGTCCGGACCGACAGCATCGAATTTGCTGGGTTGTCTTTGGCCGTTTACGTTCTTGCTTCCTTTCTGAATGTCTTTGCTCTCTTTGTTCGTCTTCTCATCGCTGTCGCTTCTCTGTTGGTCTTCGACTTTAGTTTGGTTGTTGGTGTTGGATGTATAGTGTGAAGCCGCGGCCGTAGCATCCGAGTCGCAGCGATGGACCTGACTTCTATGCCCAGGACCACCACGATCTAGATCATCATTGTACTGTAGATCCGCAAGAATGCCCGAGAATGGGGTCACACCAATGCCTCCACCGATAATAACCGTGTGATTGAAGTCGTAGAAGCGCTGCGCCGGGGCACCAAAAGGCCCGTTGATGCCGACATCAATCTGACACTCTCCGGATTCTCCTCCCAGTTTACGCAACCTGCCAGTCCAGTCGCCGTCGGTCTTGATGTGCACCATCATTCTGTTTCCACGGCAGAAAGATACAGTAAATGGGTGCCATTGGAAGAAGCTGATTTTGGGGACTTGGAGGAAGATGTACTGGCCAGCTTTGTATTTCCAGAGACGTTCGCTAGGTATCGTGGCCGTGATCTCGACCGTGTCTGCGTCCAACACCTTCATGCTAGCTTTGATGGGATGGAAGCCAAGAAAAATGCGAACTACTCGCTCAACCAATACCAACAGAGTCGGAAAGGAGAGGAAATAGCCAAACATGGGCCACTGGAGCAGTGCAGCAGTGCCATGAGCCATCATCAGGCCAATGATGGGAAACATGAGTAGATGCCCAAGCTGGAAGACCTCGTAGTTCCACCTACGCACTTGAGGCATGCTCAGCAAGCACAGCAGGTAGAAAAGTCCGAGAGCAGTAATTCCAGTAAAACCGGGAAGTGATCGTACGTATTCGATATAAGGACGGGGAACCATATCTGGACCGAGCATGCTGGCAACGGCGTCTTGGTTGGCAGGGTCACTGCCGTGGACGAAAGAACCCGTGAGGTGGCCAAGAGCATGCAGCGTAGCGAGGAGAATGGCAACGCAAGAGATGCGAATATGAAACCCCTGTGACAGATCCCAGTTGAAGAAACGTGAGATATGATACGACCTGCGCAGCCAAGTGGAAAAGTAGCGCGACATGCTGAGGATGAGAAAGAAGAAGGTCGGATATAGAGCACCCGCACACGTCTTGGCCATGACAACGCCCCAGCCAAAAGCAGCGCGATACTGCCCCGTGGTCTGATACTTGACGAGCTGCCAGATGCCAAAGGCCAACTGCATCGAGACGACGAGACCTATGAAGCCAACTTCGGCCGCGTGGACGGCCCAGTAGGCGCGGATTCTTCGCCAGCCGGGGAGATGTTTGAAGTATCTCCTTTCTTCCTTCTCCGCCTTGGTGGCTTGTTGAAGCGAAGGGATCTTCCAGCTGCGCACAAGGAGTGCGAACTCGTCTCGGGGAACTTGTTGGGCGTTGGATCCCATCATGCTACGTAAGAAGGAGTGTCGGGCTTGGTCATCGTTAGGGTGGGAGTTATTATTGACAGCCAGCTCATGGTGCGCGTGGTCGAGTTTTCGTTCCAATTCGCTGTAGTCTATGTTCCCATCACCATTGTGGTCAAGGTCGTCGATGAACTTGTTGATTTCGTCATCGTCGAGGTATTGCACGTTTTTGGAGGAGCGGACGGGGTGTTCTGCTATGAACGATTGGCGACGGTCTTGCGCCATGACGACGTAAAAAGGGATGAAAGAGCAACCAAGAGAGGATGCGGGTAGAGTTTGCTCGAGATATGAAGAGAAACAGCCATGGTGCCTGTCTGCCTTTTGGCTACTCTTTTGTCCGCGCGATACCAAGACTTGGATACGTCAGCACTTGTACGCCAAGGTCTTGACTAAATTCAGCTACGAGTAATGAAAGATGACTTTCAGGCAGGATTTAATTGCTGCAGAACGAAAAATATGCGGGTCTTCATTGTCCCAGCCGCTATGACCTTGATTACTCTACAAGAAAATGACGATGCCTAGGAGAATTCGGTGCTTGGCATGCTTGGTGTTCTTGGCTTGAGATGCTAGACTATCCAATGATGTTTACAGAGGAGCGTTGGCTCCTAGGCTAAGCTTCTCGGCGAAGCTTGGCAACGCTAGCTTAGAGATAACGTCCGATGATGACGCGTGGAGTTGCAACAGAGGTTGAAGTTGCATTATGCTTACAGAGAGGATATCAACAAGCTGTAGGTTGTAGAGGGTGAAAATGGAGGTTGCAAATCAACACCTACTCAATATCTCTCACAAGTCGAAATGTTACCCATGGCCAGGCATACCCCCTTTGCCACCAGTTCAAGCTGGGAATAAGCGTTAGTAGGCGACATACGGGGAAATATAAAAGACAGACTCACAAGCTCTTTTGTCCCGCAAGACGAGGATGCAAGGCCCAGCTTCCCCCAACGATGGCGATGTGTTTGCCATCCATAAAATCCGCTGAGTGTGCTACGTTAGTGAGGACTGAATACGGATGGGTGTACAGCCACTCATTACAGAGCTGGAGACTCACCACTGTAGCCAGGGTAGATATCCATCGGCTTGAACCCAGGTTGCGACTGGAAAAGATTACTCGTCCACTCCGCCGCGCCTCCCGTGTTGCCCAATCCACAAACTGCCTTGATGTGCGTAATTGAAACCGGGTGGAAGTTTCTGAACCCCGAGCTCGTTCCCATAAGATCAACGAACAACGCGCGAGGATCCGTATGAGGTGTTTTGTCGACTTTGCTGTTGGGACGGCCCTTGCCCCGTTGCTCAGCGTATTCGTGAATGCTTCGAAGTTCGTGCAGAGACGGAAGACGAGCACCAGCCCACCGCGCATATCCCTGTACCAGGTTGAACGACGCCATAACAGGCCAGTCTAACGCCTGACCTAAAGGTATATGGCCCCAGACAGTCTTGACGCTGTGACCAGAGATGAAGCTGCCATAATCATCACCGCGATGTCTCGAGTTCGCTGTTCGGCTCCAGGTAGCTGGGATCTCCGACTGCTTAGTAGTGATTAAATAGTCTGCATACTCACCGTTGCTGACTGGTCTACCTTGTGTCTCGAAGCGATGCACCTGTGTGTCGTAAGGCTCACGTTCATTATCCCAAGCAAAGAAACGATCAGGCCCTGTGTCTGTCTCGGGATCATGAAATCCAATGGTCAAGGTCTGCCGTGGGATGCGGAACCATTCATTTTTAACGCGGTGCCTGGCGGCTTTTTCCGCGAGCATATCAAAATCAGGCTTGGGGATTTCAGGAGGGGGTCGAATGTTGGGACTTTGTATGGTCATGAAGAGAAAGGTTTCGACGTGAAGGGCTTTTATTCCGTCAGCGTCACGCCCTCCCTCAATCCGCATCATGCAGGCCTACCCTCGTGCTCGAAACCAATCCAAAGTGCCCGGCCAGCGCAGCGATTTACACACGCCTTTCCTGTCTCGTGGAGACTTCTGATGCGCATTCTGACTCGCTCACAATACATCAGAATCTCTTCCAACGGTGGAAATACGTCTGGAAGCTCGCTGTGATCATGGCATATCGAGGGGTTATCAATATCTGGGTCAATCCCCCGTTCAAACATAGTATGATAGTACGCTGGCTCAGTGGGCGCGCTGTCAGTCGCCCTGGCTAGATGAATGTCCTCGCTGGGAACTTTGTTCAGTGTCCTACGTTCACCAAGGCTATCAAATACTCACAAGGTCGGGATGTGTCCGATATAGAAGAGGAGAGGGTTGCGTAATGGAATCGGCTGCTCCATCAGGACATCAGGTGGGATCATCTTGGTAGTGACGAGATCCCAGACTTTCCACAGGTGTTGCCATTCTGACAAGGAAGGGCCACTGGCGCAGGCGCATAGTCGTTGGGTGCCAGTGGGAAGGTGAATTCGTTCTTGGGAATTAAGGACCCCATCGTAGTTGAGGAGAATGAATAAGCATTGGTCGACGTAAGTGTCGAGGCAGCAAGGTATTTAAGCTATCAAATATTGAATGACGTCAAATCCTGATCTTCTGAATGTCAACTGAGACATTGGCTTTCCGCCGGCAGTAGTGCGCACTCGCGGGCCATTGAGAAGGCGGCATATCGTCGATAGTATCCGCAGGCAATTTTATATGTAGTTTAGTCCCCTAAATCATTCCTAAAGCCGAAGCTCCGAAGATAGAATCCAGCCTTGAACTGGCTAGTGGAAACCGCGTGTCCCCTAGCCCAAATATCCATGGTGCCGTAAAGGGAGATGATCAGGCCATTGACTCTTGGAAGGTTTTAACTCACTTACACTTCCTATTCTGAATCTAATTACATATTTTTGGCGGTTCATTTCGCATTCGTTTTTGAGCTTATTCAAGGAGAATTGAACATTTAACCATCTCCCCAGGTACCTTTCGAGGTCCTTGCCCGTGACAAATGAAGGCTGTCGTTCGCCTTCAGCCAAGCTACTCCCTTATCAGAAACGCACGAGCAGCAAGTGCCATTGCATCTGTCCCGACTTGTAGAGTGGGCTGGATGATAAGGGGCGAAGTTTGGCGAATGATTGACGGCCAGGGGCTCCCCTGCATTGCGCGGAGCCCCCCCCCCCCGAAATCCCAGAAGGCGTAGGGCACATCGTGAGAGGCTCCAAGGGTAGAGAAGTCCTCGTAGCTTCTGGTACAGTTTTGATGTCGAGGAGCATATCGGCATACGCAACGTAGTCATTGCCCGGCTCGCTCGCATGGAACCCCCATCAAGCCACTGTTACATCTTCATCTGCGCCGACCTCGTTTGCAACATACTCGTGGACACTCAAGGGGCCAGTGTGAGTACCCTCACTATTAAGTAGATCTTGGCCATATTCTACTAAAATAGCTGCATTGGTCATGTATTCTTTCTTGATTCAACGATGTGATTTTTGTTTACTCTAATGTTATCCAGATCGCTGCTATATGATCTATGTTTGAGAGAGTAGAGCCTTCAAATCTCCTGCGCAAGCTTGCTGCGAGCCCTGAGCTTGTGCCCATACTTGAACATGACAAATGGAATCAGACTCAACCCCGTACCCAGCAATGCCAGAATCAATCCAGCATACTGGCTCCCGACATTATGAAAGAAAGCATTTGCAAACAAGGGCGTGACAGCACCCAACGTGTTCCTCATCAATCCCTGGCCAGCAATGGCCGAGGAAGCGCTCTCGCCATAACAGTCCGCCGTGTAGCTATACGTGCTCTCAAACACAAAGTAGACTCCAAACGCAATGGGCGCGAGTCCAATGACGGGGCCGACCCACGACAGGAACGAGTACTGTGTGAAACTGTATATGAAGAGGCCGATGGGAAGGAAAACGGCACCGTACATGGCTCCGTAAAGACGGGCCTCGGGAGTTACCTTGACGTTGGGATCCGCGACCAGGCGATCGAACTTGCGCATTTGGAGATGATGAGCCATCCATCCCAGTGTGGTGCCCACGCACAGCGAGATATACGGAAGACCGCTGACGCCTTCAGACCATCCGTGGTTCTCGGTGAATGTGATGGGAATCACTGAGAGAAAGAGGAAGACAACAGCCCAGCAGAAGGCGATCCAAAGGCCAAAGGCAAAGACAACTGGCTCCGTCACCAACATGTGAATAGCCTTGACTGAACTAGCCTTCAACATGGACTCGAGACTCGGCGTCAGAATATCGCCAGCCGAAACATACCGCTCGTCGCCCGTAGCCTTTCGCAGAGCTTTAGCCCGCTTATGGAGTGCAACGCCGCCGCGCGTCTCGGGGAAGTAGAAGATGATGAGGAGGAGGAGGGGAACGTTGGCGAGGCCTTGGATGCCCTCGATCCAGCGCCACCCGAGGGCTTGGTCGATGAAGCCGGCGTAGATGGGCGCAGCAACTGTGCCGAAGATGGCGACGTAGCTGAACATGGCCATGGGACGACCGCGGTGGTGAGGCTCGTACATGTCGTCGAATGTACCTCCGACGAGGATCGTGCCGACACAGCCAAAAAGACCAAGCAGAAGTCGAAGGCCGATGATGGTTTGAATGTTCTGGGCGAGTGCCAAGCCGATGAATAATAGCGAGAAGCAGAAGAAGGAGGTTGCGTAGACGACTTTGCGGCCAACCAGCTCGCAGAAGGGGGCTAGAACCATGGGCGCTACGGCGCAGCTGATGTTGAAGGTGAAGAGACCCAGTTGGCCTTGGATGTTTGATGCTTCGAGATCCTCAACCATGCTTCTGATGCCAGAGCTGTACGCTGTGGTTGCGAGGCCGATGAATAGGGTCATCAGATTGAGAATGGTCGAGATGGACCGCTTGTACCATGGGTTCCAGTTGAATGGGTTCTCCTTGTCGCCCGTGGCAAACCCTAGAACAATGTATTCCTTCCCACCTTCATGTACCACCTCTGTTAGTGTGAGAGGCATATCGATATCGACCGTCGTGATGGGGCCGCAGTCGGAGTCGACGTCTTCGTTGCTGCTGTCGACATGTTTCCCGCCCACGATCCGTCCAGCACTGGGCTGAGCTTTTTCCCTGTTATTATTGACGACGCCCTCCACGTCCGTCGTCTCAGGGTCAGAATGTTCCTTGCTCCATGTACTATTCGCTCTCGAGGGGACGACTGAAGGGACAGCAGTCGAGTTCTTCCGGGACGGACCGCCAACCCACGAGTTAGCCCGTGAGCCAGCAAAGAAGCTTGTGGGTCGAGAAGCAAATGGTGAGCCCGGTGCGCCTAGAGGCGACGTAGGCCTTGAGGATGGCGCTGAAAAGGATGGAAGATAGTTCGACATGGTGGTTGTTTGAGTTACAGGAGATAAACAGGAGCAGGCTGGGTGAGAAACTTGTACTTATCAGTTACGAGTTTTCCGATACCATGACTTGCCTTAGCACCCCCATTCTCTTATCATAGCACGTTCTGTGCTGTTGGACATGTTTGGTTGTTGCAGTGGAGCTGAGCCGTGTGGTCCACTATACGACCATGGAGCCGCCGAGGTCTGTGGGTTGAAGTTCGCCTTTACGAAGAGCTGGCGACGCGACGACATGTTATTTGTTACGCTAAATTCATAGTTCCACTGACCTTTTGAATGAGCCTTTTTCTGGGAGATCCAGGATCAATTTATTCACTTTTTCAAACTTGAACCTGGGGAGTCTACTATCAACAACATTCCCAACTCCTCGGTAAGGCCACTCTCGGTGAGCGGTGGCATCTCGGTCCATTCGATTCAGCTAAACTGGGCCTAGGCTGCGGAAGCGGCGGGGCGGGTCCCGGACCGACAGATCATACCCAGTATGACGTCGTAGGTCGAGATAAAAGTCATCTAGCGTCAACAACGAGCTGGCTGAAAATTTTGAGGATATGACGTCCTTCTTAATGCCTCTGGTAACGTCATATATCGCCAATTCGCCATGGCTGGGGACGCGGCATTGTTCCGGACCGTTAGCTTCCCGGTCTGATACCGGGGGTTATTCAGCATGACCAGGGGTACAAGGAGCTGCTCCAGCATCTTTCCAAGTTTATTTTCATCGCTGTTAAGGGATATGGCCATGAAATTACAAGCCGTTTTACCCTAGACGCCGCCATTACTTTTGTTGTAGCCAATCCACTCATATTCGGGTCATGTCAAGTTACCACTTGCAGTTGTTTTGCTGATATTATTGTATATAAGATGGATTATTTTGACGATATAGGAGGTCAATATTCCGGACGTAATTAGTCTCCCCGTGTCGTTGGTATTACACATATGGTCGTTCAATGAGCAACTCCACTACACCAGCATTAGCTCTTGAAAATGGCAGCAAAAAAAGAGAAAAAATGTCAAAAAGGTAACATACAACAGCGAGGATTCCCCGGTCGTCACCGACCCGAGTACTAATTCGCCGCTTCTCAGCTTGACTAAGGGAGAGCGGACGGGATCCCATATTTTCTAAGAGCTATGGTCGTATGTGTTTGCTTCCATCGCAATCGGGACTCAATTCCGCCGGCGTGGAGAATGAACGAAGATTTATTGCAGAGCCGAGATGTACATTGTTTCAACATTAGGTCAGAGCATCAGTAATAGACATGAGGTTTTTATTGAAACCCGTTCGGTGTTTGGCTTGGTCCTCTCTGTCGACCGATTGGCCACGTCAGGAGCCGTAGAATGGACAAGGAGATCTGCAGCCTCGATCTCTGCCCGCTCCTCATCGATGAAGAATGAAAATGCCTTTCAGCATCAAGTATTAGATGTAGTTCCTCATCGGTAGGAGTAACGATCAGGATATCCGCAGCAGATTCATGGGTCTGAACATGGAGATCTATAAGGCCACGTTCTCTGTCCGAGAGCTTGATCCGTGACTCGTTGTCAGCTGATAGCATCATGTCGTCCTTCGCTGGGCGTCTAGGTCCATTAAAAATGGTAATGACACGCTGCTTCGTTTTTGACATTTATCAAAGCCCCAAGACAATGGGTAATGGCGTCGATTTACGCGACCTCGTGTCTTCCCTGACAACCGAGGTGCCTATCGCAACACACAGCCTCCAAGGCTCCGGAGCGTGAATACGAATACGAAGCACTTGGTAGTAGGGACAAATACTTCGTACTCGGGGAAATAGATCCAAATCCACCTTCAGTTTTATCAGACAGAATAGAATAGTTGAGACAGGTTGGTGACGATGGAAGATTGTGTCCATTTTTGTGTCTAGGGGGGAAGGAAGCTAGCTGTTATCCCTGGGAATCCTGCTGCCCCGGATACCCCGGATACCCTTGGACCGGTGAAGCCGTCACAAGCGGTCTACCTAGACTGTCGGGGTGATCTAGGTTGTTAAGGTTTAGGTTTGTCTAGGTTGTTGACAGTGGACTAGGTTTAAAGTCTCCCTCCAGGTTTAAAGAAAACACGCCATAGATCTGGTCCTAACACAGGTAGCTTTTCTATCGGTCTGCCTGACAAGTTTACTATACTAGGAAAGGAACTTCGTAGGTTGGGTAATACAGGTTGATACGCAGGCCGTTGAAAACGAGGCACTTTCTTTAAAAAGGTGTTAGATTGACCCTCGTGTGACGGCATAGGGGCCGGATAGGCGCAATTCTCTGATAGATCAATATCCTGATCACTGCTATCGGTGGCGAGATTGACATTATGGGTGACGAGAAGCCCCCATAGAGAAGATGGGGCCAGGGGCTCCCAGATTCATAAAAATCATGATCAATAAATATAATTATCGTATTAAAATAGTATTGTCCTAATTGAATTGCCTGTGATGGATCCATCAAAAGGTAATCATACGAGGAAACCTTCAGGGTGTGTGTGGGCCTTGTCGGTCGAGACCTCTATTACAAGGTTATCCTTTGTGTTGGATCATAGACCTAATTAACCCTGGCCACAGTAATATTAGGTGTTCGCCTTATCTTCTAGCTCAGCTAGTTAAGACTAGGTAGCTAGAGGATTTCCCTTCAGAAGGGAATAGGGTGGTGTCTAGGATTCAAACCTCAGGTCTTCCCAGGATTTACGCGAGCGCGGATCTAACTGTTAATTGTTAGATAACGACAATTCGCCACGAAGCAAAATAGGGGTAGGACTCAGCTTAAAGGCAAAGATATCTTCAAGCTGGGGGGGTCTGTTGCATTATGGACCTAATTAACCCTGACTACAGTAATATTGGGTGTACATCTTATCTTTTAGCTCAGCTGGTTAATCCAACACTTTTAGTCATCACCGGCACATTCCTGTACGCATTCCAAAAGATTCTACAGTCTACACCTATTTCGATCTAGTAAGCACAGGCCGTAAGAGTATATAATCCTAGCGAGGTCCGGGGTCTCACATCCCTGTTACAAACAATTCCCTCTCTTTCATGTATATCCTCCTTTGGAAGCTGCTGCAATAGAAACCCAGTGGTTCGATTGGCCCAAGCTTTAGAAGGTCTAGAATCAAATTAAGCTTTAATTCCTCGAATACGAAGTAGAACAAAACCACAGACACACAATTTAGCGTACTTGATGTAAACCCAGCTTAGAACTGCCCCGGCGACTTCCTAAACCTTCAGGGATAATTGACCAAATGCCGAGGCGCATTCTTTCGCCTCGTTGCTGAGTATAATATGAAGCGGTGAAGAAAATTGGACAACTTAACGTTGCAATCAAATGTTGAGCTGTGATAAGCTACCATTCGCCTCACTCGGCTGCTTAGAGCCTCCAGATGGCAAGAATGACCTGGCGCTAAGGTTCTAACTTTCGACGTTCTCAAAGGCTGTGGGCTTCTGAAAACGGAGGTATTAGCTTCGTACATTTGGCTGAACAAGTAGAGCCTTTTCAAGTTACTCGGTAGTCCTTATGCAGTATAGTGGCGTGCAAAAAGTATGTGTCTGAATCGAGTTAGGAACGATACGAAGACGATTCAAAGCAGCGACTAAACACTAGCCCAAGAAGATAAGTCCAAGCTTAGGAAATTCAATTTCGATACAAACTTCCGTTTATCCGGGGGAAACAGGGGACTGAGGACATCCCACTTGGTTACTAGTTTGCCTCGTGTTCCAGATCCCAGATCCTGGTATGCAGGACTCCTTGCTCCCGCGCCCGGCAGTGGACATGCTGCAGCCGAGCTTCCTTTTATCTAAGTAGCTTATGATAAATTTCGCTGGCTAGTTCTCGTTTACGTCGGCACATATTACCTCCTCTATACAGTCCTTGACCATTTGGGTTATTAGAGGCATTCCCTGATCAGAGTATGGGGAAGCAAGAATGCCAATAGTGCATACATTATTATGGAAAATAAGAAGACTAAGGAAAACAAAAAGAGTTAGGTACGTATGCCTTCGAACCTTATTTGAGTACGGTGATATTTCAGGGATAAGGAAAGCTTTACCAGATTTGTTTAGTTTACAAACTGCTCGTTCGACTTTTAAGTTTATCTCTCATATACGTGCTCATACTAGTGCGGTAGGTCACTCTCGTGACTAGAGAGTAAGAGAGGGATCCGAAGACGGACAGGACTCAGAATGTTACAAGCTTTGTATTATTGCTTAGTATCGGTTTCTTTCTTGTGCCCTATTCTTCGATTTTTCCTATAAAGAGACCGACACTTCCCACGAGAATAAACCTCTCTTCATCATCAACCTCCAAACCTCTTCTCCATTAGCCTACAAGACTTCTTTACCATCAATTTACACGGCGAACTTCCAATCACCAAGGTCCAAGTACCAAAGATCAATCAGGCAAAATGCGTCTACACTTAATCGCAAGCATGCTGGTAGGACTCCTCCTCTCTGGATCAGTCTCGTCAGCTGTTATCTCGAATCCTGAAGAGGGCATCATCACCAGGCGGCAAGCAGTCAACAGCAGTGAACTGTCGCTCGTTACTTTCGAGCTCGACGAGATTTCAGTTGTATCTACGGGCCAGAGTCTGTACTCCTGCGACCCAGACACAGAAGGGTGCGAGGAGGAGTTAAGACCAGATGATACCACTGGAACCTACAACATTTGTTCAGCGGGTCGGACCTACACAAAATCTGAGTGTTTCAAGGCAAACATCCTCAAGGTCTCCTGCCGAGATATAAATGGTCGGGTTTGGCCTCAATGGGTTCGTTGCGAGAAAACAGAAATCTGCATTCAAAACAGCCTCGAGCCTCCATATGCCCGCTGCAAGCCGATTGTCGACCTTGTGCTCTGGTACACTGCCCCGTCTGGCGGAAGTACAAAGAGTGAGAAATATGTACATTCGACCAACAAGGCATCCAGGACCAGAATGGGAAACATGTACTACGACAGCAACTTGAACGCCATCAAGCTCTTCAAGACAGAGTTCTTCCATGAACCAGGATCCCAAGCTGTTGGCATGGTTGAGGACGCGAACAGGGCCTATTCCGACATCGTCAATTGGGCGACGACCGACAATATCAAGGTGGATATTGAGACTGGTGGAGCCGGGAGTATTTCTGTCTACTCCTTCATCGCCTAAGTAGGGAAAGAAATCCCGTAAGAACTCTGTCAACTCTGTCAACTCTCGCAGCTTGGCGTCTCCAATTTCCACTGCCAACCGCCAAAACATCACAAACAGCTTGATGTATTGGTTCTTCTTTCTTTGGTGAAGAAGATGTGGAGAAGCTAGGCTGTGCCAGTTGACAGAGTTTTTACAGTAGGTATCTTTCTGCCAAGTCGATAAGTCCAAGTGGAAGAAGACAGTAGGGGAAACATGATCAGTTTGGTGTGTTTGGGGTAGAGAATTGTTGTTTTATTCATTGCACTGTTGGAAATTTCCCTGGTGCTGGCTATAGAATTACCATAACCAAGTGTAATATAAATCTAAAGCATTACAAAAAGTTCCTGTACGCATATACTTCCATGTGACTCTCTATAGTCTATATGACTGTCTTACTTGTTACAGTTACATAATGTCGTTATTAGCTTTCACACGAGTGAGTCACAAGGCCATCTTAGACACGAGATTTAAAATTTATGATCTGCTCTTCGCATCAAACCGACACTAATCCTTCTCATTGGCGAGATCAGACGCAGAATTACGTTCAAGAGACCCGTAACCAGAGTCAATCTGGCCAAAGCCTTCCCCTGAAAAACGAAAGAGCTCCTCAAAATCATACTGGGTAGTCCCCAACGAGTCAATCATCGTGTTCTGAATGATGTCGAAGAGGCTTTGCGGGACACATGGCATTGGGCCACCATTTGCAAAAGACGAGTTCGCCTCGCTCCCCACGCAAGTTGCTATCAACACAACCCGAAAGGTCTTTCTCATCTAGCTGGAATTGGATGTCGTGATCTATGTAGTCACGCGTTAGTTACCTATCCAGCGGGGAGGTTGACTGAACTTACAAGGAGACGGAATAAGTTCATCATCAGGGAATATGATCTTGTACATTTTAGTCCATTTCTCTGACTCGGGGGTATTTCCCTTGGACTTTTTCCGAGATCGAAGCGCCAAGATTTGCTCCTCGTTGACACCATCTTGTTGCCCTTGGAGCCGAATGTTGCAAGGAACCTCCAAGCGTTGATGGTCTGCTAACTGGGTCGAGTTTTGGAACTCGCAGCAGCATCTGTTACACTTAAATTGAGGCAGTCGATGTTTTCGGTACACGTGTTCTCTGGACTCCGAGTCAGTCCCCCTCCAAGCTAGCATTATAATGAAGCTGAACATACTTAACTCGATGTACCGTCTTCCAGCCCGACCATGCGCAGCACCGCTTCGTCTGGTACTTCCTCACGTTGTGTTTAAGGAAAGGGCATGCAAAATCTTGGCCATCTTCCTGGTCCGTCTTCACCCGGTTCGGTTCGCGGCTGCCATTGCGGTCTTTATCACCTTTACCATCGTCAGACCCGTCTTGGTTATCGTCATCTCGACCTCTTTTTTCTCCGCGTGCAGTCTGTCCAGGATGTGCTGCAGTCTGGTCCAGTATTGCTGAATTCTCATTCAATCCGAAGGATGGACCGCCACCATCAAGTTGATATGCCAGCAGAGTTAATCTTGAGTCCAGCCAAGTCTTGAATCGGCCCAAGATCCGCTTGATTATTGCTTCCTTTTTCAAACTCGCGATTTTTCCTGGAGAAGGGCTGTCCTCGGGGCTTGAGCAACTTGTAAAACTCTCTGAGCCGTCAGTTGTGCAGCCACTTGTCTCAGCTGCATGAAGCGCCGGAAAGGACATCCCATATGTACCCGGCATGCCAACCTGGACAATATCATCCTCAACTTTATGTTGGAGGCTGCCTTTGAAAACCTCTGGTCCAGTCGAGTCTTCTGGATTTGCTGGTTGTTCATTGTTGTTACCAATAATAATTGAATCGGGAGTTTTTGTTGACAGCCGTTCTGAGGTAGCTTTTGGCTCGGTTCTTTCTGTCGACTGATTGGTCATATCAGGAGCGGTAGAGTGCACAAGGGGATCTGCGACCTCGATTGTTGACTGCACCTCCTCATGGAGTATGACATGCAGTTCCTCGTCAGTAGTAGTAGCGATCGGAATACCCTCAGCAGCTTCATGGTTTAAACACGGGGATCTATAAGCTGAGACTTTTCATACAAGAGCTTGATCCGTAACTCGTGGTCAGTTGAGAGCTTCATGTCGTCCACAGGCGCATCCAGCCGTTTAGCATTGATCGCTTCCGTGGGATTCTCTTTCAGCACAGTGAGTAGAAGGCAGTCGTCCAGGTGCTCATAGAAGTCTTGGGCATTTGAAAATGTCACTGAGCAAGTACTGCATATCCCAGTAGCATCTGGGACAGAGCCAGTGGGCTTTTTAGCACCACAAATTGCCCTCCATCGGCTGGCTAGCGGTGTTTGCTCAACACCATGCTCCACTGTTAGGTGTCGTTTGAAGACATCAACGGGATTGAACGACCTCTGCGCGGCTGATCCGCTCTTTGGGCAAAATCCACAAACTATAGTGCCCTTATAATGGGTTAGAGTGTGGTTAGTCCAGTCATCCTTCCACGCAAAGCATCTGATATGAAATCTGCAGGTTGGGATCGGACATTTCCCCAATCTCCCTATTTGGTGGGTGGGTATGTAGGTTGTCTGGTGGATGGGATTCCTTAGGGGTGAAAAACTGCTACGAGATCCCGACATTACCGTGGGGCGGTAAGCTTCGGGGTGAATAAGTGATGGAACTATCGATATCAGTAGAGAGCTCTAAGAAGGTATGAATTACCGTCGTTATATGCTAGGGAAGGGAAGCAAAAGGTCTCACCAAGCTCCGATACGGATTGAATCCCAGTTAAGGGCGCCCATTTTGATGCTGACGCAAATTGATTGCGATCTGAAAGCGTTGACCTCGCTGAACTACCGAAAGGCAACGGTATAGATTGTTCGGGCAGGATCGTTCTTGTTGGGTGGCCCCGGCCCCCATCTTCAAAGAATCTGCGCAATTTTCCGTATTTGCTATCGAGTATGGGAGTTGCTACACCATGACAAGAGTTTTCTGAAGTAGAATGCCGCTTTCCGTCGTTTGGGAGATTGGGACGGATAATGCAAGGTGCTTCCAACGAGGGAATTTGCCTTCCGAGGGGCACAGCCAGGTGCTCGGATTCGATCGTTTCGTTTTCCATGGTTTCGAGAACAATGATGTTTGAAAGTTGAATGTCAGATGTTCCGGCATGTGCGAATGACTAGGCCACCGAGTCCCACCAGTTTTGGGACTGTTGGGTGAGAATAACGGATACATAACTGATGAAACCACCCGTCCATGAGGTGTTTGAACCGCCTCGGAGTTTTGCGCCATTGCGCATAAATCGCCGCCGGTTGTTGCTCAACATGGTGGCTAATAAGCTGCAAGCGCCAAATATGGCTGGACGATGGTCCAATCAAAGCTGCAGGAAGGCACACAATTGCTCTTACGATCCTTGTCATGACCCGGCGGCCAGACCAGGCAGAACTGGGAGTCGTCATGGTTCTCTGGGAGAAATGAGCCAATACCGAATGAGCCTGAGCCGAGCAGGATCGCGATGATCCCGAAGTCCTCACGATTCTGGGACTAGACGCAGGTATACTCCAACTCTCCCTGTAGACTATTTACCAGCTCCTTAGCCATCAATAAACCTGATTACATCAATCAACCTGATCACCCTGCATCAGCTTGATTAACTGTAATCAGAAGTAACACCCAACGTCTCAACTGACGCCTGACCCGAATCGCAAGGCGCAGTCCAGGGCGCCTTCAGCTTCTAAACGTGCGAGACGTCACTCTACACGAGACGCTAACACAATGCAAACCGGAGGTCCAACAAACGAACTCAATTAATGGCTAAAATAAGTGCCATCCCAAAGGAGATATCGCTACTGCTACTAAGCTGCTGGCAGATCCTTCTTCGCAAATCCTATCTGCGAGTTCGCTCCATCAAAAACCACAAAGGCAGACTTCAAAGCAATATCTCCAAAGATGTTGGTGCCCACAGCGTCGCTTGATTGCATACCACCGAAACACGTGCCCGCATCGGCCGCCTGGGCTGTAAAAGCCTTGGAGGGATGGAATTTCCTACCCCTTTTGCCCATTCTGGACGAGGCTGTGCTTTGAAGAGCAGCAAAGTTCATGAACGAACCAGGGATTGTGACGGTTCCGTTGCCAACTCCAAAGGTAAAGTCAGGGAGCTTCGCATCGCAAGGAAATGTGAAGCCACCCGCCGTCTGATCCAGCTGCGCTCCTTGGACCTGGGAGTAATACGCGTCGTTGACCGACCCAGGTAGGAGGAGAAGAGTGGTGCCGGTATCGGCAATACCGGAGATGGGTGTTGAAGAGATTGAAGTGTTGCCATCGCCCACGGCAAATCCGGGGGAAGTAAAGTTCCAAAAGCCGGCCGAGGAGTCGATGGCAGTAAAGGCAATGTCACCGGTGAAAGCCGACTGATTGACGAATCCGAAGTTGTATGTGCCAGGGGCATCTTGCTGTAGGTCGGCGGTGAACAGCCCGACACCACTCTCAGAGTTGGCATTTGCAAAGAAGGTGCTCTGCTGCTGAGGCTGAACGGTGTTGATGGAGCTGAAAGCCAACCCAACCAACCCATCCAGGTCCGCCTGTTGGGAGAAAGATGCAGTGACTTGATCGGCAACCTCGACGGCTTGCGAGTTGACTGCGAGGCCTCCGATGGAAACCAGTTCCTTGACAACATGGCCCGCAGCGGCGCTTCCGTCGCCATACGAGATTTCAAAAGAGGCGCCGTTCAACGCCTTCGAGGTGCTGCTGTCCGCGGCGACATAGTCGGTCTGGCCGCCAGCGGCTGCAGCTTGGGAACTGTATACCCAGAGATCCGAGGACCCAGTATCGAAGTCCATCTGGAACGTCTTCGGGGGGGTTCCAATTTGGACAGGCGTCAACCACTCCGCATCGTTCTCAACTGGAGTGTTCACTGCGCTGCCCGTGGCGTTGCGGCGGCGGCGCAAAGTCTTTCCGTTACGCACGGCAGCGGCGAGAGACTTGGGAAGTGTAGCGCCATATTTCATGTATGCCTTGGCCAGCGCTTGGGGCCCGTCTCTTGTGAACTTGTGATTCTTGACCTGCCGCACGGAAAATTCGTTGCCGCTCGGGGCAGTAGGGTGACCGGAAACGAGGGTGAGATGAGCCAGCATACTCGCGGAGAAAAGAGAAAGAAGCATCATGTTGCCGGACACGCTTGTTCTTGTTGATGAAATAATAGGTTTAATTGAAAGGAAAACGCTCTGAAGAGAAAGAAAGAATGGATGAAAGAGAAAAGGACGATGCTGGTTGTACAGATTCTTGGCAACAGTCTTGGCAATGAGAGAGCGTTTATATGTGTGTTCTCGATGCCAGGACAGCATATTCAAACGACACGCGTCTCCACGATTCGGAACGAAGCGACAGAATGAAACTGATCAGGTACACTCCTGTAGCAGATCCAAGGGCCGCCATGAGCCGACCCCTGAGGCCGCCAGAGCAAACATGAGTGCTCGAGGAAGCGGTTGGCGGCGAGCTTTCACTGTCCAGTTTCAAGCAACTATTTCCCATTCCGCTTCAAACACGGTCGGAAAAGCGGCACCTTCGAGACGAACAAGCTGGAGCCGCGAGGACGAATAGAATCGGGGGTGGCGCCATTCCCATTATCCACTCAAGGAGCTTCGCGAACGTGTGGGCGGCTAAAACGGCAAGGCGGAGGAAGAGCGATTGGTGTCTGGCGGGTAGAACGGAACGATGAGACGGACTAGCTGTCGCACATTTCGCTTGAAATGTTGCATGCTGGGCCGGTTGTTCGGTTTCGTTTCAGATGTTGCACTTCAGCCGCCGTAGGCTAATTCTCATTGGGTTACGGTCGATACAACGCTACGGGGAAAAGAAGCAGGAAAAAAGAAGCATGATATTTCGCCGTCTATGGAATGTCTATTTCATTGACCCTCTATCCGCACCATCACATCAAATACACAGCCATTACTCAGTTGCAGGTTGCTGGTTGGCCGTGAGTACTCAGTCGCTGGCTGACCTCGCTGGCTCACCTTGGCTCACCTTGGCTCACCTTGACTACTCAGTCGCTCACCTTGAGCACATATCGTCCCACAATCTGGTTCGCCTTCATCATATCGAATACACTCTGCAGGTCCTTCAGCTCGGCCACCTTGAACGGCGCCTTGACCATGCCCTGCGCGAAGAAGTCAATCGCCTCTTGCGTGTCCTGTCGGTTGCCCACATAAGAGCCCTTGACGTTGATGCATCGCACCACGGCGTCGAACACGGGCACCTGGTAGTTTCCGCCCGCGGGCATGCCGATGCACACGATTGTGCCGTTGGACCGCACGTACTGGATGGCCTGCTGGAACGGCCGGTCCGAGGCGGCGAGGAGGAGCACCGCGTGAGGGCCGCGGCCTTCTGATGTGGCGGCCTTGACGTCGGTGACGATGTTGCTTGATGTCATGAAGTCGATGTATGTCGTCGCACCAAGATCCAGGCATGCTTGGCCCTTCTCTGCGCCGCCGTCGATGGCAATGGGATGCATACCCATGGCCTTGGCGTACTGGATCGCGAGGTTGCCGAGGCCACCGCCAGCGCCTACAATGGCAACCGAGCCGCCTGGCTGGACGCCCGAGACCCTGAGGCCCTTGTATACGGTCAGGCCGGCGCAGAGAATGGGCGCCACGGCGGCCAAGTCGCAGTGCTTGGGAATGCGGGCGACATGCGCCGCCTTGGCTACGGCGTATTGCTGGAACGACCCGTCGACGGTGTATCCCGAGAGCTGGGCATGGTCGCACAGCGGCTCAAGCGACTGGATGCAGAACGAGCATGCCAGGCACGACGAGTGAAGCCACTTGATGCCAGCGTAGTCGCCGATTTCAATGTCCGTCACGTAGTCTCCCTTGGCGACGACGACGCCGGCGCCTTCGTGGCCGCCGATGACGGGCGTCTTTCGCTCGAGCGGCCAGTCGCCGTTGAGGGCGTGCAGGTCGGTGTGGCAGACGCCGGAATATTTGATGTTGATGAGGACTTCGTCGGGGCCAGGTTGCCTGACGGGGATCTTCTTGTAGGTTGTGACTGCAGTAATTGTGAGTATGAGACGTGCGTGAAGAGTTCAATGTGCAGCTTACCACCGGTTTGTTCAATGACTTGGGCCCATTGTTCGGTGGGAATCTCAAACTCGGCCATGGTGATGATGCTGTGCGTCTGGTTCGTGTGTGTGTGTGTGCTATAAACAGATGATACTGCTTGGTGTCGAGAATAATTCCCATCATTTTCCCGATTTCCCATACACTTATATATCTCCTCTCCATCCCTCTCTGCTGCGTCTTCATCCTCGCGTCACGTCAACTGGTGACGCATTCGGTCCATTTCCTCAGCAGTCACACCACATCGTGGGCCCAGTGTGGATGCGTAGGATAAACGAGCCACGCTACACGGGGGCGCAAACACGTTACTTTAACATTCTGGGCCGGACCGAAAAGACGGTGATTCTTATCAACTTGAGCCTCATGTTTGGGTTGGACCCCTGCCGAGCCAAGTGGCCTTATTGCGTACTGTGCCGATGCGTCATTTCCTGCGATGCGGCGAGCCATCTCCGTCGGACAGGGATGCAACCCATGCAGGAACATGATAGCGATGGCGGTAGCGACGGATAGATCACATCAGGATATCAACCCATTGAATTCCACCGCCCCGTCGAAAACTCGGCCCGTAAAGATTGGTTGCCGTCTACAGGCTGCCTGTGGCTGATCTGATGGATATTCCCGAGATATCTCCTGCGATACCGACATTCTGCGCCATGTTCCTCGCAAAAACGAGTCTTGGTGCTCCCCTGTCTTGCAATATCGGCTCCACCTTTACTGGTCTGATGTAGACGGCGCATTTGCCAAGAGTTCTCTTGTTTGGATCTGCAAGATGTTGGGGGTCATTCGCGGAACGCCAAGGACAATCAACCGCGACGTGAGAATATGGAGTGACACAATTTTTTTTTTTACTTTCCCAATGCTCTTCTCCCTTTCACTAAAAAAAATGCCATCACGGTGGATCAACCAACAATTGATTGAAACACGTCCAAGAAATAATGCTCAGTTCTTCAGATGACGGGTACAGGGTAGCCACACCAAACACCATCGCTCGACTCTTGATGGACTCCAGCCACTGAGAATTGATTATATCACCACCGTTGCAATGCATGTCCCAATTTGGTTGCCCGGCTTACCCGCGATCAGACGATGGAGATTCCATCATCGTCAAGCTTCACCTGCGTGGTAAAGGTGAGAACGACGACATCTTCATCGAGGCCTCAGCCACATCCATCTGAAAATGACAGTCGAGTACATCGAGGCGGACGGCGGCAAGCTTGCGTTTGAAGTTGTAGGCACTGGTCCTCTCATCATCTGCTCGCCGGGCTTGGGAGACACGCGCGATGCATACGATCCCCTCGTTGGAGAACTCGTGGCCTCCGGATATCGCGTCGCCCGCGTCGATCTACGCGGACACGGCGACAGCACAGCCACATTCAACGGCTACGGAGACGAAGCAACGGCCGAGGACTTCCTCGCCGTGGTCCAGAAGCTCGGAGGCGGCCCGGCAGTTCTCATCGGCGCCTCCTTGTCCTCCGCCGCCGCCGTCATCGCCGCGGGACGCCGGCCGGACCAAGTCGCCGGCCTGGTCCTCATCGCGCCGTTCCTCCGCAACGGGATGGGGGCCGTGATGCGACGCGTCTTGCACCTGGTGTTGATGAAGCCGTGGGGTCCGTTTGCCTGGCGCATGTACGCGGCCAAGCTGTGGCCCGGTCTGGCTGTTGACAAGGCCAAAGAACGAGCAGCCAGCTCGACGGCCTTGCTGCAACGTCCCGGGCGGTGGCCAGCCTTCCACGCCTCATCGAATGCTGATCATCGCGTTGTTCAGCCGTGGATCGCCCGTGTCCAGGCTCCGGTTCTCATCGTCATAGGCGATGCTGATCCGGACTGGAAGGACCCGGTGGGCGAGGCGCAATGGGTTGCATCCAACTTCAGCCAGGTCGAGACCATCACCGTTCCTGGTGCCGGACATGCACCCATGTTTGAGCTTCCTCATCTCGTTAGTCCAGGAGTGCTTCAGTTTCTTGAGAAGACCCGCACAGCTGGGGCTTTCAATCCTCCCAGTACAGCCTAGCGTTTTATGAAACTTGACAGTATGGAGTCGTCCCCCTGTATGGGAATCGTGGCGGGTGAGGGCAGTTGTCGTGGTAATGGCTTTACGGTAAAATTGAATTGATCCTGTGGGAACTCGCCTTTTTGTTTGCTTTTAGCTTTACTCAATATCAACAGATGGATCAAAGTAATGCAGTAGGAATTCGCCGATTTTTGTCTATTTTCTCATCAAGCACACCGCCTAAAACTGTGGACTTTGAAGCGAATCTCGTACAGAAAAGTGCAAAGACTTTTTGTGTTGCCACAATAGTTCGCTGTCTTGCTGGGCCTAACTCCCATTTGCGATACTGGCTAGTGAACTTGGTCGCGATGAACAAGATTAGAATTTCCTCGGCGGCCATCCACTTCCCAACGTACTCATCAGATCGCTCGTCCTGGTAATTGTCGGCCGTATCGATGAAGTTCCCACCAGCATCTGCATAAGCATCAACAAGTTGAAAGGACTTTTCTTCCTCCACGAAGCCCATGAAATCTGGCCAGGCCGAACCGAGAGACATAGCACCCAGGGCGAGGGGGAAAGGCGAACACCAGCCGTATTAGAAAGTACGCAGTGGCGGCTAATAAGCTCCGTTTCAGGCTCGGGAGCTTGTGCGAGCACGTTATTGATCTTAGCCATGGCGCCTGTTGTTGGTATTGGTGAGATGGATGTAGTTCGGAGCAGATTCTGCTTCACGACTAAGAGAAACCTGAAAAAATGTGTGCGCATAAAGTCGGATGATGTACGTTACGTAGGTAGAAGAACGCATCAGCAAATATTCACGAAGTGGTGTGTAATGAAATTTACGTCTTTCTAGAGCGAAGGTTCTACAACGCTGAACGCCCCGGCTCATGAGCCCGGAAATACCATTGCCTGGCTTGAGAACTAGAGATAAGCTTAACCACGAACCCATGTGACTTTGTTCTTTGAAGTGAAATTATAGGGAGCGGAGATTATGCAGTGCGGACATGATATGGAGCGGACATGATGCGGAGCGGCCTCAATACGAATCGGACTTGATACGACGCGGACCCCAATCAATTACTGATACCCTGATCTATCATGCGTGGGCTGCCTCTTACATCTACCCGGCCATCTAGGGAGGAAGGACTCAAAGGCTATCACCACGAAGCCCTTGGCATTTATATTCAGCATCCCTGAGTGACATGGCCAATCTGAACGGACTTAACCGGTGACCATTATAGACGATGATGCGTAGTCCCGCTCTCCGCTCAGCCGATCGGCAAGCCATCGAACACGGGGGACCCTGCCGAGCGGCTCTGCACTGCTCATCGTAACAGCTTGTCTCTCAAAGAGATCTGCATAGTTCCTTAAAGTGGTATTGTATCCACTTTGCCAATGTCAGCAGGCTGCATTAGTGCCAAACTCTGGATCTGATCACGATCCCTGTTCCCGTTCAAGCTTAATTAATCCAGACGTCATCACAAGCCAGCTGTACCGAGGTGCTTTCCACCGGGCCGTTGATGGCGTCTCCATTCCCCAAGAAAACACTCGGATGCTCTTCAGCGGGAATTTTGACTGCGCGGGAGGCCTCATTGGGACTAATGCGGATGAAGGTATACTGTTCAGTTACCCTAGAATCAACACATCAAGCGATTACGCAGCCTACATCCGCACCATGGTGTCCGGCATTACTGGATGCCAGTGTCGCATTCATGCAACAAAAGTTCTATCCACCCGTCTTCGGTGGCTGTCAGGGCTATACTAGCTACTTCTAATGTGTTTTGTAGCCTTCAAGGAATTTGAATTTACCTACAGCCAGCCGTTCCTTTCCAGAGGATTGCCGAATATCACGAACAACTACCTGTTCTCAGTCAACCCCGGTATATACTTGCAAGGTCTCGGGTTTACCTTCCATCATGACGCCCTGATTGACCGGGTACTGTTCCCTCCCTCGTTAGAGCCCACTATTGCGATCGCGAGACAGCTCCTGCATTTGGAACTTACGGCTCCGAGGGCAACTTTATGATGTTGGGAGAACGTAACAATTCGATAGATGTAGCGAGTAGTGTTGACTCAGCTATCGTCCCCTGCAGGTGCAGCCAGCTAGCCCAAGCTATTCAAGATCGGACCCTCGTCGAGGTTGACTAAGGATGAATAGCTAGTGCAGCAATTCTAGGGATATTGTCAATCAAAAGAAAACTCCTTGGTATTGCTCAGTCTCGTACTTAAACTTCACCTCAGCATTCGATCCAATTTTAGCTCCTAGTATACGGACTTTAGGAAGCAATAGTCCTTAAGCAGTGAGTCGCATTTTCAACCCCCTCGTCCGGACTCCATTTCATCCGAGACCTCGAAAGGGCATCAGGTCCGGCTTCGGCAACTGGCCAAGTTAGGAAGTTCATCATTCGCCATTGGGGATTATCATTTCGTCCCGCGAAAACTCTTCCCTATCCTTGAACAACACCGCGGCGACTGGAAACTTGGATGAATGAGAGCCAACGTGGGGCCTCGCTGACAAGTCCAAGTTGGCATGTCCTTAGCCGTCTGCGGACTAAGTGATTCACTATGAGACACTTGCACTTTGACCCGACACTAAAAGGCAGGCGAATGTCTAATACACTTTGCCAAGGTTGGCGAGCCACGAGTTGAAATGATTAGCTGTCAGCAGCTTGCATGACACTGCCACGCTGTGTGGAGCTATTTCGGCTCTATTTGAGCCAATCGCTAGGGATCCATGATTCGATCGGGCTCAAATTAACCTTAGTCTGGCGCCGGTATGTCCGGACTGGGAGCCCTTGTTGTATTCTTGCGGCTCGTTCCTTGACCCTGAACATGGAACGAGCCAACTTCGATCCAACCGTCCATCATCGCACGTCTTGGCATGATATAAACTTCCTGTCTGAGGGTATTGATCGACGCGCGGCCTCGGTGCTACAGAGCATGTCCTCTATATCACAGGGTAGCATGACGTAGACAAGTAGGATCGCAGTAGCTATAAGACGGCCGACATGCCGCCTGGTACAGCGACATCCCGTCAGGTTCACAACACTAGCTCTTACAAGTCGAAGCCATTTGTGTGTCCAGACATCTCTGTGTCCAGCCAATACCAACACCAACAGCACAGCACAGCACAGCACAGCACAACACACCACCATCAACATGTTTGGAAGTCGAGGCGTTACCCTCGGCGTCATGACACTCATCAACGCCATGGCCGCTACAGCCCAAAACATGTCGTTCGGAGCCGACAACTTCTACCGCAGCGAGAGTGTCCAGGTCCAGCCCGTCATGTTCCCAACCCAGTACCGCACCAACGTCACGGGCAATCTCTTCTACCCGCGCAACTTGAGCCGTAGCGAGGAGACGCCCGCCATTATCGTCGGCCACCCGATGGGCGCCGTCAAGGAGCAGAGCGCCAACCTCTACGCTACTAAGCTCGCCGAGCAAGGCTTCGTTACCCTCTCCATCGACCTCCCTCACTGGGGCGGCAGTGATGGTGAGCCCCGTAACGCTGTCTCAGCCGAATACTACGCGGAGGCATTCAGCGCCGCCGTCGACTACCTCGGCACCCGCGGCTATGTCGACCGTGAGCGCATCGGCGGTGTTGGCATCTGTGGCAGCGGCTCGTTCCTCATCAGCGCCGCAAAGATCGACTCTCGTATCAAGGCCATTGCCACTGCGAGCATGTATGACATGGGCACCGTCACCCGCAGCGGCCTCCAACGATCACAGACGCTCGCCCAGCGCAAGGAGCTCATTGACGCGGCCGTCGAGCAGCGCTGGAACGAGACCGACGGCGCAGAGCCCGAGTTGATCGGCGGCACTGTAGACAGGCGCGAGGACGCTACGGATCCTATTCAACAAGAGTTCTACGACTACTACCGCACCACCCGCGGCGAGTTTACGCCCCCCGGTGCTCTGCCCAACACCACGACTCACCCGACGCGAACGAGCCAAGTCAAGTTCCTCAACTTCTACCCCTTCAACGATATCGACACCATCTCGCCCCGTCCCATGCTCTTCATCTCAGGCGACCAAGCTCACTCGCGCGAGTTCAGCCAGGATGCCTACACGCGTGCTGCCGAGCCCAAGGAGCTGATCTGGATCCCGGGTGCCGGCCACGTCGATCTCTACGACCGTGTGGAGCTCATTCCCTTTGCTAGACTTACTGCCTTCTTCAAGAGAAACTTGTAAAATGGCCGTGTGAGGAAGCTTGGTGGCAGAGGCTTGTCTGGTTATGCATAGCTTGTGGCTTCTACACGCGTTAGTTTCAACACTACTACATCTTACTTGACTTAAATATCACGTCCCAGCCTGAATTGTTTTTGGGTGTTTGTTCATCCTAGATGTGGAAAGTCAGTTAGCACAATACATGGACATGGTTGATTATCTTGGGAATTTCGAAACTAGATCGATGGGTTACTTCTTCTTCAAAAATGACATTGGTAATTAGAAAAGGGTAGTTAGCGCTCTCTGTTGTATCTTACGCCAATTTTATATATAGAAACACATCCTAACTACAGGAATACGCAGTACCTATCCGTGATAAGATGATCTTGTATGCGGGGGATCCTATATTGTTCCCCACTCTCCCCAGGTGGGATTGCCAAATGTCTGTCTTAGCTCGCCCTTTGTTTTGTTTTGCGGAGAAAGATATAGCTTCTCGAACAGTTCTGCACTGATGGTGACGCTTCCGGTGGTCAAGGTCTCCCTTAGTGCATCGGTTTGATCCTTTTCGAGGTCAGACTGATTCTGGGTGCGAATGGACTCAAGCTCGGCCATGGTGAAAGTCTGATGGGGTGGCGAAAGACCAAAAAAAGCGAGAGGTCTGTCGTCTCGGTTAGCGATTGCTATGACCTGGACCAAGAGCAAGAAATAGGGGATATTCTCAACAGTTATATAAAGAAGAGTCGAAGGCGTGACATTGGTTTGCCTGACTCGTCAGTCGGTTAATATGACATACACGGTGGAGAATAGTGTCGACTGAACAATTACACAGCTTGTCTTGACACGCACTAGCATCATTATGAGTACAACCTTGTCTTCAGGATAGGCCATGGACGATCACCTTGTTCCGTACTAACACGGCTAAGATTGTGCTCGGACAGGTGCACAGCTTCTGTTAGCGCCCAGAGGTTTCATCATCCGTGTAGCCGTGATTTCCGAGGGATCAAGTTTTACACTGATCCCGTTCCATATCAACACGGCTAAGCTAAGACTGATCCCATACATCTTATTAGGAATGCGGGGGGAGCTTCAGTGGCCTGAGACTTACTCAGGAGTGCACGGAGAGCTTCCGAAGCTCATTTACCGAGATAGAGCGCCTGGAACTACGCCAGGCCTGAAGCGAGCATATTTACAGTTTCACTAGGCTAGAAAGTAGAAAAGGAAACTATTTCAGGCCGAGGGAGCCGTTGGTGTTTGCCGATTCCGTGGCACACTAATTGATTCCGAAAGGAACATACTTCTAGCCGTCTACTCATTCGGGTAGTAAAACATATCTGTGTCTGGGAGTCAGTTTGGTAAGCTCCAGCCACGAGGATCGAGTATGCGTCGAAGGAAGCCTGAACTATACCACGGCCAAGAGCAATATCTGGCATCTGGTGTCACGCGATGACGTCGTTGACGAGTGGCTCTCAGACTGGACACGATCTTCCATTGGAATAAAACCCACTGCATTGAAGTAAATCTGGACTTGAAACCCCGTAGCTGGATCTGTGGTGGACTCAAAGCACGGCAATAGGAACTTACCAAAGGCCGGGCACGTCTAGAAACGCCAGAGCAAAAGCCTACCATGCACACCCCAGCTCTATATTCCGGTGAAGCAGCCTGTATGATGTCGATGTATTCTCTAGCGGCCAGTCGTGTTGGAAATGGATCTAGCAATCATCGTCGGGGATTAGGGTGGACGGCCGTATCGGCATGATGCCAGCTTGTCCAACGAATCGAAGAGAAAGCAAGAAGATGGCGTATTTGATATCTCTGTGGAGAGAAGGACGCGCGGGGTAGAACTATCTGTGAGTCCGGCTTGTATACTAATCCGTTGTTGGATACGATCTGCACATTTCAAGTCAGGGGATAATGAATCGTAGCGTCAAACAGATTCCGAAGTTGCCGGGCCAAGGAAACTAACATCTTCCCACAGCTAGATGCCACCAGGTGAACTCTGACGCACAACATGAGGACGGTTTGACTGAGATTGGTTGTGGCATTGCTTTTACCGATTGTAACAAAGATCAATTTTTGGGATAACACATGTCTGGACTTTCGCGGCATGGTTTTCATACATATACGCGATGATACGTAGCAATCTCGGCGTGAGATCTAGGTCTCGAGGTCGACATTCCAATGGTCGGTTGGGTTAGTGCCGCCACATTTTCGACAGTGGGTTTCCAGTCGTAACTGTAGCAGGACAGAGAGGCGACGCTGCAGTAGAAGTAGATGACTTGAAGCACGGCGCTCGCGGCACCGAAAGCTTCGAGGCTGGTGGCCATGGTGGGCGTGCCCTATGATGTGTAACCTACTTGGCATATGGACCCAACACATCCATAAATTATTCTGGAAATCTATCGAGGCTGACTCATTGCATTCACCTTTCATTTCCGGACAAAGATTGAACTGGTATTATGTCCATTGCCTCAAGGTAAATATAGTGTCTTATTGAACACTAGGTGTGAGGACATCAAGATCTCAACGACACGACCAAAAACTCCCACTTGTCTCCACTTATGCCATAGTTAAGACTAAGCTGGGGTGGATTCAGCCAAGGGCATGACTCCTACCTCTGCAATGATGACTGCCGAAGAGTAATAAGCATCGAGACCGGGTGAATTTCCATACTGCAAACGATGTTAGTTCGATATCCTCATACATAAGAAACCGTGTTCGCGTACCGTGATGAATGCCACAGCAAGTTCCTTGTGAGTCCGTGAAAGTGGGATATGGTTCAGCCATGTGACCCCTCGACGAGAATATATCGGGTCTCTATCTCTATACCCAGATCCGATTGTTGCAGGATCTTCTGGGCCTCCTTCAATGTCGAAGTCATCCCAAAGATATACTGGACCGAGAGAATTCGAGAGTAGTTCACGACTTCCCGTGACGCTAGACCCCCGGCTTGCATCATCTTCGGGAGAGTAATTGCGATCACGCATTTGGTCCTGGTATTCTTCGTCATCCAGAACGGTGACCACCCTAGCATTGCCAACTAGTTGGTGAAGGGCTTGATACACCATCATGTCAAGGCCCTTTAGCGTGTGATGCAAGTTGCGAATCGATGAGTCGGAAGTGTGAGGGTATGCATGGGTGCACGTGAAGCCCAACTTGCCGCCTACCCCAGTTAGTAAACTCCTATAGTGAGTTGAAATAGTTGAGCGGTGAGTTACCTCGACGCAGAAATGTGGGACAATCGAGGAGTGCTTTGAGGGACTTGAAGAAGTGGAACGATTCCTGCTCCAAAGCACCAAGGCAATTTGCCATCAATGCCGGTCCGTATGAGGTCCAGAATAGGTTGTAGGTCAATGTCAGTCGGTGGCCTTGTGTCACTTCGAGAACTTCATGCTCGCAGTCAGAGAAGAACGCAGCCCACTGGATCGAGGGGGGATTCGCCTCTGCCCAGTCGAAAACAATCTCGCGGCCGGCGTGCCGGACTGCCAGTTGGCCACCTGATAGTGTCAGTCAAATAAGACATGATTGATACGTGGTCCTAGGCGATGGTCTAGAGGCTTACCTTGATGTGGGTGCGGAAGACAGACTACGAGGGAGCCCATCTGCTCGGTCGAACGTGGTGTATCAACATGGGGCTTGAACTTTCCCGACGGTCCGGAATAGACCTATGTATCACGTTAGAGTTATCGAAAGATGGTTGATCACTTACGTTGAGCTTGTACAACTCGGCTCGAACTCCAAGATTGCTAGGCTTGGAGGTGTGATCGCCGTGGGCGAGAGCCTGCACAATCGTGTCCATAATGCCATGCTCATGGGGGTGGAAGTCGGTGCTAAACTTGTCGGTATCCATCTTGCTTGCCTTTCGGTATGTCTCATCGAGGACTTCCGTCTTGTTGATTCCGAACGTGGCTGGTTCACAGTCGGCCAGAAGCCGCGCAAAGGCACCTTGCGAGACGGTGTCGTCGCTGACGGGCAGTCGGACGTTCCGGCTCTGACTCAACTCGCCTGAGTCCCATCGGACGACGACAGAAGCCTCGGCAGTGCCTTCACTGGACGAGCCAGGAGAGACGTCGATTTTCCCACCGATGGCGAAGACATCTTTGCCTGCGTGGTCTCTGAGAGCCGAGGAGACGTCGTGGAGGAGAGCGTAAAGCTCGGTTTCGTATTGTCTTCGGGAGAACTCTGAGCCGAAGCGCTCTGGGAAGACGCACAGTCAGACGCATGATCGGGGTTTCCCATGGCTGCAAGAGTGGAAAAAATGTCAGGCATCAAGGATTTGTGGAATGAAAAGATGAGTTGGAAGTGGTGTCTTTGCTGAGATTCACGGGACCATACGAGCCTTTTAAACCGACTCATTTCCATGGTCCTTGCGTTGCGCACTCAGAGATGTATTTCTGTGAGGCAGGTGACGACGACGCCAAACAAAGCGAGTGAGCAGGTACATGCTCCAGCTAGAAGATACCTCAGCAGAAGCTGGACTCCTCGCTGATAGTTTGGTACCTTTCACCTGGAGAAGTTCCCGGGTGGAGATGATGCTTTCTTTGTCTCCGGGACTGTGCGACAGTGTCACCAATACGCCCAATAAGCAGCCTTGCGTGGAAACGCCAAGGCCCAGTGCTCGCCTAAAGGCCAATGAATAGCTGCAGTTTGCCTGCAATTACCTGGAGAGCTCGGGACAAACATGTTGAGGGGGTGTTGGGGAGATGTCACTCTGTTCATCACACTATCAAACGGCTTGGCGCCGCCTAACTGCATGCATTTTCCATTTGGAATACAACTGCTTGCTGCTCCTTGTGAACAATCAGTCGCTCATCGTCACGATTCTATGACCCGCCCGCGGATGTGATCTAATAAGACGGTGGGAGAAGTCAGAACTGTGTCACAGAGTAAATGCTTCCTTCCCCAATAATTTTGTCTTAACCGCTATACACTATTTGTTGGCTACACGCAACCCTCCTAGCTCCGTACTATCCAAAGCCAGCTGGTACGTCGGGAATGTGGTGGTACGAATTGTGGATGGGACTGACTCAGTGACAAAGATTTGTCACAATTTGGTCGTTTCAACTTCGGCCTGGATGACGTTGATTGCATGTTAATAGATCCGCGGTTTGCCATTCCACAACTATCTGCAGCATTCGATTGCAACGTCATCCTTCTACCGCATTCGCGTAGGCCAACTCGTTATCGCTCTTATGTATCTTCGCGACTGACTAGACTCATCATATGCCCACTCACACAATGTCTGCTCGATTTTTGTAGATGCGCCTCTGGTATACCGTTTCCGCCCAGGGCACAAGCTTGAAGTTATGGAGATACGTATTGTCCGAGATTGATGCCCACGACTGGGACGAAAATTCGGGTAATTGGTCATGAGTTGGGCTGCCAACATCTTGGAAGGTTGTCGGGAAACCATTGACAAGCCAATCAAACACTCTACGGCAGATAAATTGAGAATTGCCATGGTTTCTTTCATCATTGTCTCGATATTTCTCAACATCATCTCGATCATTGTAGCCGCGGCCACCGATAACCCCTTCGGGCTTCTGACCTCCAGCGTTCTTGCCATAGATGCGCTGTTCATTTTCACCGCACTCGTCTTGTGTATCGCAATGATGAACTATGAGGGTGGTGGCTACCTCAAGGGCGTACGCGGAGGGGACTATTCGGATAAGGAAATGATAGGAATCGCCATCTGGATTCTGCTCGGGATGCTGATCGGACGCGTACTTTCCAGTCCCTGGCTTTTTAGGGCGGCCATTGCCATCTTACTTCCCATTGCCCTTATCTTTGTGCTATTTCTTGTGCGAACACGTGGGTTTTTCGCTATAGTTCGGTATGCTGCGGCGAGTGGATACATGGACGTGAATGCACACTGAAGCGAATCACATAAATCAGCTGCGTTTGCACTTGGCTTAGGAAGCTCCGTATATCTAATAAATTCGCGCATGTCTAAGTCTTGCATGCAAACACAAACAGCTGTTTAAAGACTTCACTATGCCCGACTATAGAAAGAGGAAGACCACCATATCCAATAAGATGATTTTATTTCGTGTCATGTTTATTTGATCGATTGAGCGCTCAAAGTATTTCTTTAACGAGGAGCCGCGATTTCTGGCCAGTGGATGGCGTTGCTAAGTGTAACGACCTCCCAGTTCGTATACAACTTCAGGCTGGTCTGGCGAAGACGGAGGTAATGGAGCCGTGATTGGCCTGATAGCAACGTATGACATGCTTGTTCGCGCGGGCGAGAGATCGGGAGAAATTGGGCTCCTCTCCCGGACCACCTGTGGTGCCTGGTCCTTTGAAGACTCATGCTCAAAGGGCTGCCGAGGAGGTGAAGCGGGAGTGTCCATGTTGTCTGGACTACGAGGTCGCCGAAATCGAAACCAATACACCATGCCCAAGGCAAATACGCCCACAAAGAAACCTCCAATCGTACCTCCAGCGATGGCACCAACATTCGTAGAGTTTTTGCCATCATCTTTTGGTTTCCTGGTGGACGAGCTCGTCACTACTGATCCCGCGTCCTTTGTCGTCGTTGCTATTGAGAGGCTTTCGGAAGGTTCCCGGGTGGTGCCATCGACGTCAACGAACGTGGATACGGTGAAATCCGGATACTGTTCGCCGTTATATGTAAAGTCTACGCTGGATACTCTCGTAGCTGGAGTGGCAGCGCATCGATAGTCTCGAACGCCTTTCGGATAGGCATAGGTACGGCAATATGGTTCGGTTTCGTTCGTGCTGGAACAGTCGGGTTAAAACTTGAATGACACCGAAGGATGGGTTACACTGTGGAGCGACACTCACCAAAAAAGGTTGTACGTGTTGCTTACGCAAACATCATCTCAGAGAACAGGGTCGAGAGCCTCGTCCCTCTGCAGGCATTTTGTACGCGCGAGCCCAGTGTCTTTGTCGATCTCGCAGGCAATGAACCGGAAGTACTCCAACTCCCACAGGCAGATGCCTTTGTTTTCACAAGTGATGGGAATTTGAACAGATCCCGACAGATAGCCGCACGTCGAGTTTGGGGCGTATGTGACTGTGTACGTGGATAGATTGTCTGCTTCGTCCCTGGGATACTGTCGTGGGTGTGTCGGAGTTGGAGTCGGAGTCTCGACAGCCTGTCTAGCTTCAATCACAGCCGAGGTCAAAATAGGATCTAGAAAATGGGCAAATGTGGGTATCGTAAATGCGAGGACTATCGCATACGATATCCGTCGTGAGGAGTCCATAGTTGAGGCAGAGAGGTAGAGTGAGCTGGGGAATCCTGGTAAAGCCCACGAGGGCGCGACAGCTCTGGAACTATCATTAGGTACTCGGGCTCGGCAGTCTGCCTATGAATGGGCATCGGGTACGAAAGACAGCCTTGAAAATACGGGCTGTGCAGAGCGAATGATTGTCCGCGGGGCTTGCAGGAGCTGAAGATAGCGAGACATAACATCTACGCCACGAGGCAACCAATATTAGTGCAGTTTGACTATTTGGCGAGGCTTTGCGATATTGCATCCGTGCCAAGGTTGTGAGAGAGAGCCTCTCGACTGTAGCACACTTTGCAAGAACAACAGTCGCGACGGGATTCAATCTTGGCATGGATCTATCGAGATCCATTGGACATCGCGAACAAATCACCCCATTGTACAACCCACGGTTTAATCGATGCCACCCCACTGCACTACTGCCTGCCGATACCCTTGCATATTGGCGTTCTAGGCCCAACCTTGGTGGAGTTCTCGCCAAGACCTGTGCAGGTCTAGCGATTGCGAACCAATGCCAACAAATCGAGTCTGCCTCGTCTCACAAGGTGGTGTAGTCATTGTGCAAACTCATTGGCTACGCAACCGCTGGCCCTCTTCACCCCAGTATGTATCACAATTTTTGGATCAGATAACAAAACCACCGTTTTTGGACTAGATCAATTCTACTTCCGGAGCTGGCCTCGCCGCCTGAGCTGACGAGACCAAACTCGCTACCCACGAAAGAGTTCGTCACGAAGTGACTATGACAGCAAAAGGAATGGTGGAGTAGAGATCATAACATTGTCAGCTTCCTAGTCTGTGGTGCATAGGTGCATCGGCTGGTCTTGGTGGTGCTAACGATCGGTGTCACGTAGCTGGAAGGAGTAAGATCCAAAGAATATTCAAGATAGAGAAAATGGGCTAGTTGCTCCTGGGTAGCCGAATGACTCAACCATGAACATTCCACATTTATTGCCACAAGGTGAATAGTCGAATAGATTGTGATAATGACGCTTCTAACGGAAACAAAGCGCTGACGCTGCTTAATATGTGCCGTATGTGTAGAACACGACCTTAACCTGCGATCCTAAACATGGGAGCGATTAGTTTCGCAATTGGTGTGGCCTCCGTCATCTCAACACTGCAATCCTGTCTTGATCTCACTATATCAACTCCATGGCACCGGATGGATCAACCGAGAGATATCAAGCTACCTTAGAGACTCGATGAATTGAAAAAGCCTAACCCCGCATTTCCTACTGTCTTGGCAACTGCATCAGGCTTAACCGTGGGCCCGACCGAACTCCCACCCTATAGGGCCAGGCAACAGGTGCGCCGGCTCGCGCTAGGCTTTCTCAATTTATCGAGTATTTACAGTAAAATATCCTACTATTCGAGGACAAGAAAAGGGAAAAATCAACATGCCCCAGCCGTATTTATGCGGATGGCAATATGCGCGGTCAGACTCCCGTACGTCTGGCTATAAAACGAACAACAGGCTACTGACACTTCAGTAGTTGGTTGCTTCGGACCAAGGGAGAACCCATTGCAAGATCTAAGTTGAGTAGTGCTGCAATAATGACCAAGACTAGATTCACCTATTTTATAAAATCAAGAGACGGATATATGGTGTGTAATGAGTACCGTAATACTTTAGCTAGTTGGCAAATATACTCCATACAGTTGACCGCAAAACGTGGTTGCAGGGATCCCCCAGACGCAGTCACATGGCTGCTAAGAGATGAAGCCCCCACAAATAATGATATTCGACCCGCAGCGTGCAGATGACTCGTATGATGACACATTCCTTACACTCCGGCTGCATCCTTCGTAAGCAGCTTGTGGGACAAACAAGCTAGATCAACGCCTCTGTAGTCGTACCTCGATACAATCGCTGTTTAGTTTCTTATTGTCCGTTTTACTCTGCTGAAAGAGCCGGGTAAACTGGCCTAAAGCCCTACCGCCACGGGCTGTCAGCCACCGAGTTAAATCCCGCAAAGAAAAGCAACAATAAAGCGCCACCTCCAACACAAGCTGGTATGTTGGTACTCCATACGCCCCTGTACAACTTGGATCAAGTTGGCTTATCCAATGCTCTTAGCTGATTACAAATTACCAGGGTACCAAACTAGCGATGCGGTCACAGAACCGCACAGCTATCACACTACCCATTCCCAGCGATGTGCCGCCGAGAGTCGTCCTAGACTATATCCAGACCTTTGAGCCAACCTTGCGTCATAATCCGGGCATGGTTGCATACAGTGAAATTCCTTTTGACCCTGGTCAGATCGGTCCCGACCCTTTCTTTGAGTTTGGGTGCGAAGAAAACCCCATCCGCTGCTTCCAGATCCAGGAGGTTTTTTGGCTTGGCCCAGGCCTTACCAAGGAAATGAAGTCGCCCTTTTTCTTCCAACGCAGCCCATCTGGCATGCGGTGTCGCTGCAATGCTTACGCTGGCGTTATCAGTTGGACTGAGTGGCAGGTGCTGCCACTCCACGACGTGTCTCCTACAGGCTCCGGGAGCACGTCCAGCAAACCTCATCCACTGAAGAGCAATGTGGAACAATGGGGACTGTATGGGGTGGTAATAATTGAAGCTAACAGGCTAATGTTGCCTTTTTGTGTTCTAAACACTGAGAGGTACTTGAATACGATTGGTCAAGCCCTGATCAAGGAAGTATGTGGGATTTACCTAACTGGGACGATTTAGGATATTATGATGATTACAAGTAGCAAGCAAATCGCAAAGAAATAGATCTATTACATATAATTCACTCCTAAACGCGTTGTGGTGGGCAAACTACTCTGTAGACCATCAGGACACAGGCACACAAACAGCCAAGCGACCAGCCAACCAGGAGACTATCACCAAGGAATTGATAAGCCGAGCAGGTGATGCAGGCACGACAGGGGCATGGTTGGTCAGCATTCAGGCAGAAGGTACAGTAAAAAGTGTGGAAGCGGAGTGGCCAGGGGTCTGTAATAATGGACCGCGACAATAGGCTATAACTACGAGAAACGAGCTAAGAGGTAGATATAGGCTACGACGACGGATCTACCGACTGTAACTATTTGCCTAGCGTATAGTGACTAATCCTTCCCTCTTTTTGTTCGGGATCGACTTGTCAACGTAAACCCCCACGATCTTGTACGGACCCATAGGATGGTATTTCATTGCCATCATTTAATCTCAGCATCTGCATACGCTCTGGGGGCCAGGGCCCAGTTTCCGAGCAGTGTTGCGAGGTGGTCGGTTCGCGTGAGTTCATGGTGGCAATGAAACAAGCAGCATGAAGTTGTCCAGTGAGGATGACGGCGTGCGAGAGTTTCAAATGTTAAGAATACGCAAGTTTTGTATTTTTTTTATCCCCACCTCACGCCTAGGTATTCGATGTTGAAGCTTACGAATGCATTTTTATTATTGTTCTTTCACTTGTACTCCCTTCCCGCCTCTGTACCTTGGAGTTTCAATAACCCCGGAGATGACGACTACTTAGAAACGCTAGGATGCTTCACTACGCACACTCTAGGCTAATCTAATAATAGTGGTAAAGGTATACCGACGGCAGACCGAGTTGACTGAAACGGCATCCTGTTGTACCGTAATACCTCGACAAACTAGAACGAAGGGCCGTCCCTCAATGTCCCGTAAGCCGGGTTGGTTTCCGCCATGTCCACATGTACACCAGCTGATTGGTTGACTTATGTCTTGATGCAGCGCTAGGGTGTCTTGATTTATCATTGTTGGTCCGTCTTTTTTTAGGCGGAGTAATTAATTGCGTACATCGCATCAACCTTACTCCATAATTGTGTAACTAGTTAGTTGGTGAATTTAATATTTCGCCATCCCGAGACGCTTTCGGTGGGATAATAAGCAAGCAAGTTGAAAGCACATGTGCCCATTGTCAAATGCTATATCTAATTACCCATTTTATGAAGGTCACATTAGCGTGTAGACAAATTGTCGCTTTTTGATTCTCTTTTAAGATCAGTCACAATCTCGTTGGTGTTGCCATTGAATAACTCGCTGCCTGGAACATTGCGCATGAGATCGAGTATTCAAGATGGGATGCATACGTACAACGCTAGCGTTTTGCCATATCAAAACGAAAGCTCACCAGTCTCGGAAGGGGAGAATGACGGACGAGGTGATTGCTGCGCGGAGTGCGGACGAATCTCGAATCAAAGCCGAGGTTGCGGTAGGCAAGACGTTGGAGACAAACTTTCAGGATGCTTTTCGACAGGTAGCATTGATGTAAGAAGAGCCGTGCATTGGATGATAAGTGAGTACTGACGCAGCATCTTCTAGGGCTCCTACAATGCCTATTTTCTGAGAAGTGCCTTGGTTATATTTCAGAGTCTCAAAATCACACAACACGGGAATGCCTCACCCGAAATCGAACATATGCATGGTTGGCTGTCTACGCTGCGGGTCTCAGTATCCCTCTAAAACCCAGGTATCATCCGTGCAAAACTGGCTATAGGGGTCGGGCATGACAGCTGACTTGACATAGTTTCCTAATGTTAAAATATAGTAGCTGCCCACGGGGACTTATATACGAGGACTGCTGCCGCGGGAAGTACAAGAGAGATAGAGTATGACTCTACGGTGGGGGATGTTATGAGGTTATTTAGCACAGACATAATTTTGTTAAAGAAAGGACTAAGCGTGGATTAGAGATGCAAGTTACAGCAGGGCACCCTTTTATCTAGCCGCGAGATAATCGAGTTAACCGCAAGGATGTCATTGTGGTTCGCCGAAAAATCGATGTTACAGGGATGTAGTTACAGTCTCTGCACCTAGTAGCTTTGCTAGGTTGTTGCGGTAAGAGACACACAGGTAAAAGACACACGGTCTCCTTACTCGTGGGACCCTGTTTCCGACGACTCACCCTCTATCTCCATTCTCTCCTTTTCTTTCCTCTCTGTATTTGTCTGTTTTTCCCACATGGCATGATACCGCCCCTTAAGCGATAGTAGCTCACCATGCGTGCCACGCTCCACTACCTTACCCTTGTGAAGAACAACAATCTGGTCAGACGTCGTGATGGTGGAAAGGCGATGTCTGTCATAAATTAAGCCGGTGAGCAAATGCCTAGCAGAAAAGAAATAATAATATTCCGGGAATATTCTTTACTCACGCGATGGTAATTGTTGTTCGCCCGGCTGTGACATTCTCAAGAGCATCCTGAATTTGTCTCTCGGTGTGGGAATCTAGAGATGAAGTAGCCTCATCCAAGAGTAAAATACGAGCGTCTTTGAGAATCGCCCGCGCGATAGCAATCTACATCATCTTGGTCAGTCGACTCGCAGGCAAGGTAGATTAGGGAGGGGCAACACAGGGCAACGTACGCGCTGGCGTTCACCTCCTGACAACTTGAGACCCCGTTCTCCAACCCTAGTTTGATAGCCATCTGGGAAACCAAGGATGTGATCGTGAATGTTGGCCGCCTTGCATGCCTCAACGACGTCGGTCTCGGAAGCCTGAGGTTTGGCGTAGAGCAGGTTGTACATGATAGTATCGTTGAACAGCACTGTATCCTGTGGCACCACGCCAATGTTGCTGCGGACGCTGTCCAGCTTCAAGTCTTTGAGATCTTGACCATCGATGGTGATGGAACCGCCAGAGACATCGTAGAAACGGAAGAGAAGTTTCAGGCACGTCGATTTGCCACTGCCGGACTCGCCTACGATTGCCGTCTTCGTGCCCGGTGCAACAGTAAAGCTGATGCCGTTGATAACGGGCTTGCCTATGTTGCTTTGGTAGGAGAAATTGACATCATTGAAGGTGACTTCTCCTCGTGGCGAGGATAACCCGACAGCATCCGGCTTTTCTACTACTCCAGACGTCTCTTGAAACTAGGCTTGGTCAGCATTCGTGGAAATGGATACTCCACAAGGGGAGCCAGTAAGGCCTTACTAGGTCAAGTATTCGTTCAGCTTCTATAAGGTTGTTTTGAAGCATGGTGTAGTAAGTTCCAAAGAAATTGAGAGGACCCTGAAGCTGGGTAAAGTAGTTGATTAGAGTGACAAATTCGCCAACCGTTTGCTCGCCAATGGAAATCTTGTAGGCAGAAACAGCGACCAGGAGGGCGGTTCCAAGAGTAAATATCGAGCTCTGTGTGAGATTGAGACCGTTGAGTGACCACTGAACCAGGCGCTCCGCATTTTGAAGAACAGTGACGTGGTCCTTGAATCGTTCGGCTTCGCGGGGGATTGCGCAATTGTGCTGCACCGTCTCGTATGCGAGGAGGGCATCTGTCTTTATGGCCTCCATCTCGCGGGTCTTGATCGTCATGTCCCTTCTTAGGTTACCACGGTATTTGGCCACGTAGATGGTAAGGAAGATGTAAGACCACATGATGAAGAATACGATGATGGTGTAAAAAGGGTCGAAGTTGATGAACAAGACGACTCCTGCAACAAAGATGTCGAATACCATGGGGAACACTTGGAAGCAAAAGCTCTCCAGAAACGTGTTGATTGACGAGCCTCGACTCAGCGCACTTGTCACCTCGCCGATCTTCTTGTTCAGGTGGAATTCCAGGGAGAGCCCCAGCACATGCTCGAATGCCGCAGTGGACAGTCTCCGGAAGAGTGATTGAGAAACCGGGATCCATAGGACAGCCCTCGCGGCGCCAAGGATTCCTTGATTACCCTGAAGGGCGCGGTAAACAACATAAAGAATGGTCTCCTTGTATGGTAGACGTCCCTTGCCGAGGGCATCAACAAGTTCTCCAAGCTGCATGGGAGCCAGGACGTTCACGCTGCGTTGGAACACCATGATGATCAAACAAACAACGACAATAATCTGGTAGAGACGGGAGTCTTTGGGCCTGATGAAAGTTAGCTTTGAGAGGGTCAATCCTAGTTCGCGTGCTCATACCATAGGTAGGGAACCAGAACTCGAAATCCAGCCAAGTAGTCAAGCCAACCCGTACCCGAAACCTGGGTCCTCGCAACTCGATTCACTGGCGGGTGAGCCTTGACGCTACCGTAGTTACTTGATGAGCCATTCCCGCTCTCCAGAAGTGATTGTCGTTCTTCCGGGGCTGGCTTGAGCTTGGTGGGTCTCAGTTTGTACTCTCTCAGGACGAGTGTAACTGTCATGAGTGCGAATACCGCGATTCTGGACAGGCCAAGAATGTTGAGGGCGTCAACGAATCCGTTAGACACCTGCAGGGAGGGTTTAACAGAAGAAAGGACGGCTGTTATGACGGCTTCAACGAGTGCGCCAATGACCCACGCGCAGCAATGGGCGACATTCGGAGACCACGGTCCTTCCGGGTCAGGTAGTAAACCAGCGAGGAAGTAGAGCAAGACTCCAACGTAAGCCGCCTACATCTCATGTAAGTGGATAGATCTGTTCAGTGTTGAAAGCGAAAAGGGACGTACCAGATACGCGCTGAAGGTGAATTCGATTGTGCCGACCACCTCATGTTGGCGAGCGACGGCCTCGCGTACGGCAATAACAATACTAACGACCAACAAGGTAGAAAGAACAAGTTGGAATGACCATATCAGCCTCGCATAAATCTTCCGCACGCTGCCGGCGTTCTGCGGTGGCTCGTCATTTGACGCGTCGTGACGCGCATTTCTACGGCGACTGCGGTAGAACTGGTAGGATTGAACCCCGAATAACGTGAGAAATAGAAGACAGGGATACGTATAAAAAGCAATCTTCAGTCCTAGCTGTGTGCTCGCCATGGCTGGAATACAATGGCTTTCCCTGAGATGGGTAGAATGGCCTCGGTTTTTTGGTAGCAGGTGGGATGATGTCAATGTTCTTGTCGGCGCTTAGATTATCCGAGCCCGTGCACCAAATCGCGAACATCATGGTCCGTGCTTGCTACCCTACAACAATTAATTTACGCAAGAGATTTATTCCACGCTCGTAAGGCATAGAGCAGATGCCTCGTTAATCGTTTAGTAAAACACAGGGCACTTAGGCTTGTGCCGTAGTGTGATTACTCTTGCTGGTCCGTCAATAGCTTGTTTACCAAATATCTTCGGTATCTTCGGCTATCGACGCAACATATCTGACTAGCTCCGTGGAGTCTACCAAAAAGTGGCACATTTTTTTATTACCAACCGCCAAGAATCCATCATATTTCTCTCCTAAAGAAGGAAATTTATGTTTATCCTATTAGACCTATTTCTAATGCCACTAGTGCCAATATCAAATTGTTTCCAGTTACTTGCAGCTTTGCCTCTGAGACTGTATATTGATGTTGTAAGCATGCATCACCAGAACCGAGTACCAATTATTAGATGGTAAGTGTACGGCAAGTAAGCTATATTATTCCCCTTGTATTCGGACCATTCTACAGTATTGATGTGAAGGTTTATACATCCTGTTCTGACGGTGCCTTTGGTGCACCCGGTTTCTTTGCATACACATTTGTCCTACAGTATGTTAGCGACGTACTGGAAAGTATCCCATGGCAAGATGGTAACGAGAAAGAAGGAAAGGCGAGTTACTCACACAAGGTAATACGGCCGGGACTTGGCGTTCCGAATGGCCTTGCGCATCCTGGCCACCAGGACCTGAATCTCAGTATACTCCCACCCCATCACTTCCTTCAGTAGAAACAAGGCGAATCCTTCCAGGCTCTCGTCGAGGAATGTAAAGTTGAAGATGCCAATCTCCTTCATCTTGGGATCGCTACTCCATCCGCCGCATGGCACTTGATAGGTCTTCTCGACGATGTCCACAAAGCCAACCTCATCCATGTGCTTGCGCATGTTTCCATCCATGCCGATGCGCCCCGTCTTGCCGATGCGGTCCATTGCCTCGAAGAAGACGTTGGCCCACTGCTTGAAGATGTGCTCCGGGTCGTCCCTGATCTCGGGCGTGTCGCTGTGCAGAGTGATGTTCATCTCAAAGTCCTCGAGCCAGCCTCCGGGCACCAGGGCTTTGTAGGCCTGGCGGTATAGCTCGGTCCAGTCGCCGATACTGCCGTAAAGGGCGCGGATGTGCACAAAGTCGAAGGATGCCGGGGGAAAGGTCCAGTCCAGCTGCGCATCATCGATGTAGAATTTGCAGTTCGGGGGCACCCAACCCGGCTGGATTGGGCTAAGATCTGTGCCAATGACCTCGGCGGAAGGATACGCGTCTGCCATATCAATGGCCCAGATGCCGGTGCCGGTGCCCACGTCTAGGACCTTGGACGGGGCGCCTTTGATCGGGGCCTCGAAGAGTCGGTCGCCCTTGAGCCGTGTGATGAAGTGGTGCGCGATATCCAAGCCGTTGTTCTGCTTGTCGTCGTTGGGGCCCCAGTACTCGGTTGTCTGAGAGCTCTGGAAAGTCCTCCCGTGGATTTTGCGATAGTCTAGAATGCTCTCGGAGAGAGAGGCCGAGGACGAGGCGATGCTGAGACCTGGGTTGAGCGAAATAATCTGGGCATGATGGAGGCAACTCACCTGTCGTTGTCGCCAATGGCAGAGTCGGCGTCATCGTCTGCTTCGTTCTGGAGAGGCTAAAGTCAATAGGCTGATTTGATACGGCACCGGACCGGATGGGCAACCATACATAAGGGATCTGCGTATTCGTGGGATGAACACCCGGCTCGACCGGCTCATCCGGCGTGTCCAACTGCTCAGCCGGAGATCGCGTGCGCGACCTTGCATTACTCGAACCGCTCTTGGGGCTCGACATGTTACATACACCCGCCGGCCTCTTGGTGTTGCGGCCCGTGAGTCTTAGTGTCTGAGGTGATCGCCGTCGACGGAACCAAGTGGAGTTCCGGGGTGGAAGACGAACACAGACGAACACGGACGTGACACATGGCGCAATGAAAACCGTCTCGCCATGAACGCTTGTCTTTTCATTATCTCGTAATTACACCAATCAAGCCGGAGCGTGCTAAGCCTGATAGGGACTCTTTGTTAATCAGCAAAGTGGTTCCACGCCGTTTATCTCAACTGGTTTCACTCCGTAATTATTAACTCCGATAGTGGGCCGATTTCTGGTGTCTAATTATTGCCTTCCCGGCCGCTAATGTAGGTCCACTCGCAAAGGATTCTTGATAATACGTGCCTGACTCGCCCATAATATCGTTCTGATGGATCCGATACGGTCAATTCAATCGTTGTATTATTGTTCAAATTGATGATGATTGTCATGATCGATCCGGGTCATCCGGATCAGCCGGATGAGGGGCCTTTTGGTCTCGTCATCATGACTAAAGACCAGATATCAATCTACTGAAGGTTTCCTTGTACAGGGTCTCTCTCCAACACGTTCTTAATTAAGCACTGAAAAGACAATGGAACCGCGACCCGCTATGACCGGCATGATGTTATCTCCAGCTCGCTACAACTGGACATATTACCTTCATTCCTGATGTGATTGGACAGAGATACGATTATGTAATGTGTCTCGCCCCGGAAAGGGTAAAACTGCGGGGTATAAAGTGAGTAGCTTCCACATCAAACCGGAATCTCACCTACATTGAGGCCTCACTTACTTTGCTTTTTTTGGGCATTTTCATGTGCCATGGGGATTCTGGCGGCCCGAGCGGAGCAGTGGTTCGTGCCACTGCTTGGCTTCCTTGTCGTTGTCTACTTCATCAATAAGCTTGTTGTATACGCCAGACTAAGACAATTTAGAGGCCCGCGATGGACTGGTTTGACCGACTTGCCGCACAGCAAGGCAATGCTGCACAATTGCCACGAGTGGTACGCAGATATCAGTGACAAATACGGTGTTATAACCTCAATTCTTTAACCTCTGTCGCAAACTCGCCTAAACTGTATTGCTGCATGCTACCACACTCAAACTAACACGTCATCTAGGACCTATTGCTCGCGTCGCCCCCAATCTTCTCGTCACTTCTTCACCTACAATCTGGGCTCACGTCAACAATAAACCCGGATATAAACGCTCTGATTGGTACTATCACGCCTGCCGCGTGGAATATCGGCGGGACAATGTCTTCACCCAGACGGATAACGTAAAGCACGAGCAGAGGAGGAAGCAGATGGCTCCAGGAGTACGTTTGATTCCCATGCGTGTCAAGGCTTTGCAAGCACACGGCTAATATCTCGTCAAAGTACTCGGGCAGAGAAAACCTCGACCTCGAGGCGTCCGTTGATAAGCGACTCCAAGAATTCATCAATCTTATCCGATCCAAGTACATCTCATCTGATGACCAGATCCTGCCCATGGATCTGGCCAAAAAGGTCCAGTACTTCACCCTTGATGTCATCAGTACTGTTGGCCTGGGTAAGCCTTTTGGAATGCTTCCCAGCGACCGGGACGTCGATGACTACGTCAAATCAAGCGAAGAAGGCCTCGTGGCCGCCTCGTTTGCCCTGGCTCTGGGCATGAGCTGGGTGGCCCAGGCTCCTCTCATCGGCAGGTTCATTGCCCCATCGCCAAATGACAACAACGGCTTTGGCAAAATGATGGCTACTTGCTTCCGCTTTGTTGACGAGCGTACGGCAAACCCCGTTGACAAGCGATCCGACATGCTGGCTTCGTTCATCCGCCATGGGCTGACGGGCGACGAACTGCGCTCCGAGGCGCTCGAGCAGATCATTGCAGGCTCTGACACCACAGCCGGTGCCATCCGTGGCACTCTCCTCCAAATCATGGCAAATCCTCGCGTATACTTCAAGTTGCAGCGCGAAGTCGACGATGCCGTGCGTGACGGCAAGGCTCCGAGCGCGGCAGATGGCCTCATCACCATGGAACAGACAAAACGACTCCCGTACATGCGGGCCGTAATCCGCGAGTCACTCCGAATCTGGCCGCCTGTTGCAAACATCTTCTCGCGTGATGTTCCGCCTGGGGGGGACACTGTCAACGTCAACGGGGAGGACGTCTTCCTGCCAGGCGGGACTTGCATCGGACACTCATCATGGGCGATGCACCATAGCAAGGAAACGTATGGCCAGGACGCCAAGATGTTCCGCCCAGAGCGGTGGTTTGAGTCGGATCCTGATAAGCTGGCGGAAATGACTCGAACCAATGATTTGGTTTTTGGCCATGGCAAGTTCCAGTGCTTAGGGAAGCCAGTTGCACAGCTTGAGATTGGGAAGCTGGTATTCGAGGTACGTCGCATGCCGTTGTGTCGTTTATGCCAGACTTGATGCTGACTCACGATGAAATTCTAGCTGATGCGCAATTTCGAACTGTCACTCCTGAACCCGATGCGTCCATGGGTTACTCGAAACGTGCTTGGCCTGTTCGCAATTTCGGACATGTGGATTCAAGTGAGAGAGCGAACAGACTTATCGTAACGAACTAATAATGTCGAGTTGATGATAACGTGTACTCTATGCACGGTAGTATGGCTAAGTAGAATGTTTGGAGGTTCAGGTCCTAGCAGAGATCAGGATGGTTACGTTAAGCAACGCGATGACTGAATGGGAGTTTGACCAAGAACGACATCCATGGTATTACTTGTTAGATTAGGCTTACTGCGCACATGTTTCCAGTAATTGCTCCCCACCTCACCTTTATTTTCATCAAAGTTTTGTTTTAGCTCTTCACTAACCGCGAAGCATTCCGCGATATCAAACTGTATAAACTAAAAACCCTTAATGAGCTACGAGTCCTTATCCCCTCTATGGACTGCCAATGAGGTGGCTTCATCCAAGTCCTCATTCGGCAATCCCAGGTCATCATTGACAGTTTCGAAGGTGCCATCGCCATTTCGATAGAAGGTGCGGGCATACATCGCCTTGTAGAAGCCCAATTGGTTGCCTTGTTCAAGTTCCGCAAGACCTTCTTGATAACGCTCCTTGGCTGGCTGATATGCAACTTGCCAGTCCTCTTCACTCGTCCCTGTCACTCTCTTCACACTATCAAATATGTCCCTCTGAGACACCAAGAAGCTTGAAATGTACAAGGGCTTGTTGGCGAACCGCGAGATGGTCACCGACTGATCATTCTCGTCGATGGGAAGCTTCTTGAGACTTAGCAGCGAAGCCACCGCGCGGCCACATTGCTTCATGGTGGATGTATTGATATGGGTACAGCCGTCGTCGTAGAGCGTAACCTTGCGGTTCTTGACATCAACCCCAAACAACTCAGGCCCGAGACCCAGGCTGTATTCGTACCAGAAGCCATTTGTGAGTGCGACCCAGGTCATACCCAGTTCCTCCACTTGTGCGGTATTGTCAAGGATTTTGCTCCCGATAGGGATGTCCTTTCGTAGCCCCTCTTTGCCGTAGAAGTCGATGCCATACGCATTCGGCATAACGTAGGGGACGCCTGCCTTGGCAGCTGCTTTGACCAACTTTCCGTGTGTGTCAGGTGGAGCGCTCAAGGACAAGCAGATGATCAAGAATTCCTGGCCCTTCAAGGCAGCAACAAGAGAAGACTCGTCATTGTAGTCGACATGCGCGACCAAAACACCGCTTGGTGGCTGACTGGTACTCCCAACACGTGTAATGGCTGTCACGACGTGCTTCTCGGTTCCAATCAGACTCTCGGTGATGTTTTTGCCGATATTTCCAGTAGCCTGTATATTGTTAGCTCCACGTCATCTTTCAAGACGGTTAATTCGTACCCCGACAACAACAACATTCTTGATGTAGTTGCTAAAGTTTTCCGACTGGGCTTTGGCGTACTGTTGTGCCATGGTGAATTGACAATAGTGAATCAGATGCCGTTGTTTTTTGGGGGAGGGGGATTCTTATATTGTACGATAAATTGGCGTCAAAAAGGAACAGGTGTGTCAAATTGTGTCGCGGCTTGACTTTGTAAGGTAGTAAAAGGACCATTTATTGGGTGCGACTGTGGCTCCTATCAATCGAAATTCCCCACGTCCACCATAATACGTCACAGCCCTTGGTTCATGATGGGAATGTGCATTGCATGGCTTGCTTTGTAATAGCCCGTCATTAATAAACTTCAAACATGCCTTGTTATCGGCCCGCCGCGCGAACATCGTCAGACAAGGGGTTTCTTGTGGCCTTTATACCGGAACGCTAGCTCATCTGGGAAGCTTAGCTCTCCCCACCTTCTCCCAAGCTCAGAATGTGGGACTCCTAACACCGAAAACTCGTTTAGCTATCTCCGATGGCGTATTGAACTGAAAGTGAGAATCACGCCACACGATCTAGAGCTAGCTCTATCAATTACGTCACAAAAGACCGATAGATAGAGTATTTAAATTGAAGGCATGTCGACGAAAGAGCCAGCACGGTACCGTGTCCATCAAATTTCTTTCTACCCAGGTCGACCATATTGATACAACATGCCCAAGATTCTTGTCACAGGTATTACACCCCATTATACTCCTTGCATGGCTTATAGTGTCTGACCTGCAGCTAGGTGGCACGGGCTTCGTTGCTGGGCATGTCATTGACGTGCTCCTCAAGCGTGGCCATAGTGTTGTAACGACAGTCCGCTCGCAAGAGAAAGTACAGTTGATTCGTAGTGCGTTCCAAGAAGTCGATCAAGAGAGGCTTGCTATCGCTATCGTCCCCGATATAGCATCGAATGACGCCTTCCAAGATTTGGGAGTTCATGGGTTAGAAGCCGCCATCCACGTTGCTAGTCCCGTATGTCGAACAAGTCCGTGATCTCGTTTACTCAGACATTTAACCATACCATCAGTTCCACTACGACGTCAAGGACCCAAAGAAAGATCTGATTGACCCAGCGGTTCTTGGTACAACTGGAGTCCTCGGAGCTCTGAAGAACCTTTGTCCAACCGTCACACGCGTCGTCGTCACATCTTCCTTTGCCGCGATTCTAAACCCGGGACTGGCATCACTTGGAGCGAAGAAAACTTATTCGGAGGCCGACTGGAGTCCTCTTACCCTTGAAGATGCCAACAAGAGCGGGGGCATTGCCTACGTAGTATCGAAGGTAATGGCTGAAAAGGCAGCGTGGGATTTTATTGCCACGGAAAACCCGGCATTCTCTCTCACTACCATCAACCCTCCAATGATATACGGTCCGATCAAGTATCCCGTCAAGTCCTTAGCCTCGGTCAACACTTCAAGCCAGCTACTTGCGGATGTTATTTCTGGAAAGCACAAGGATGGCTTGCCTCCGACCGCGCTCCCACTCTGGGTCGACGTTCGCGATGTGGCGCTGGCCCACGTCAAGGCCGTGGAAGAACCAGATGCCGCTGGTAAACGCTTTCTAGTCACTGCTGGCCATTATAGCAATGCTGAAATGGGGAAAATTCTCTACGAGAGCCTCCCCGAACTGCGGGATAGATTGCCTGATGAGGAGAACATGGGAGGAGCCCCAAATCCAAACCTGCAGTCCTTTGGATACGACAATTCTCAAGCGACAAAGATTTTAGGACTGGAATGGATACCACATGAGAAGACGGTGATTGATTCAGCCAAGGCGATGCTGGCAACTAAGTTATAACCAGGGAGCTTCTGTTGCAGCGTTCTGTACACCATCACCCAAGTTCGAGGGTATTGTCCATAGCGTATGTAGAAATGAATCGCCGGAATATTCTAAGAAGAAATGGAACTTCACATTTAATTCTACACTAATTTTCTCAAGTCCACCAATCATATCATCTCCTCAACTGATGAGGAGTCAAGTCCCATTTATCCAGCTTCCGAGACACATTGTGTGAGAGGGCTGTGCGGGCACCCCGGTTAAGATTGGGAGATTCTTCTGGTTGAACGAATTTGGCTGAGCAAACAAGCAGGATGGAATCTGCAGAGTTCAACCCAAAGATACATTGTTGAGCCTCGGCTCTCGACTCTTGAGGACCTTGAGCATGTCGGTTCCCTGCTCATTTTGGATCCCGCCAACCTCTCAAACTGCTCATTTCGATAGGAATAAAAAAGATTGTACTTCTAGTCCCTCCTCTAGGTGTGTATATACACTACTAGAGTCCGCTTCATGCATGTAAAATCATTTTATTAAGTTCTTTTCGAACCAGGCCTTGAGCTTTCTCAGGCCAACTTCATCGTGTTCAATAGCAGACACAGTAAAGTCTCCATCAACCCAGCCTACAGTGCCAGCTGTTACGAGGCCTTTGCCAAAGGGGCGGCAGGATCCCAAGTCGATCAGGTAGGGAACGTCGGAATTGTCGAGCATGATGTTGTTCGGGTTGAGGTCGTTATGCGCGAGGCCTAGCTTGTGGAGGTGCTTGATGGCGGACTCGATTCTCTGCAAGCAATTTTCCCAGGGGAAGGCGTCCGAACCTTCCTCGATGATCCTGTCGGCCAGCGTGATGGGATAGCGGTCTATGACGACGCCTACAACACGTTCTCCTCTGACGATGCATCCGTGATACTTTGCAATGTTGGGGTGTGTGTGGTGGTGCCGCTCTAGCCGCTCGAGCTGCTCGAAGGCGTTGACTTCGTGCAGACACAGCCTGGCCATCAAGTTGGTGCCAGCCAACTCCTCATAGCGAAGGATGTTGGGCAACTTGAGATAGACATGCTCGTCGATGGCGGCGTGAGGGTACACTTTGATACGCGAGGGTGCCCTGGGGTAGATTTCGGGGGCGGGGATTCTCTTCAATGCGTCGGATATGAGCTGCAGAGTAAGCTCCTTCTTTGTCTTTGGCGACTGTCCAAAGTAAAATGTGTAGTTGGGGCCCAGGTAGCTGAATGTGCAATGGGAAAAAAACCCGTCGTCCACATTGAAGGATTCAGCCAAAGAATGGAGGTTTTGGAAACTTGAGATATATGGCCGCCGTCGACTGTCGATGGCAACGGCTTCGACGTCCGAGTCGTCGCTGGACAGCACGGCGTCCATGTCCGAGTCATCACTGACCGACATGGGCACCGCGTTAGGGTCCCAGTCTTCGGTGCCCGACATGGCATGTAGTGTAGTCCTCGGAGGATCGACTAAATGTGCAGTTTCGTACTGTGGGAGGCGGCTCTGTAGGCTAGGCCAGTTGCGGAGGGAGGGTTGGGGTTAAGCGTATTCTCTGCTCTCTGCCACTCGAGATGTTCCCGCGGGAGTAGAGAGTAGCAGAGGAAAGGCCGTCTATGGTGAAGCGGGGTAGTCGTGTTTGCCTTGTCGAGCAGGCATCTGGATCATCTGACTTGAGCACAATTGCCGTGTAACAGAAAATTCGGCTGGTTGAAACAAGGCCACCAATGACGTTGCAATGTCTGGCATGCATTCGCGATATTATGTCACACGCATAACGCCAACATTCCGGTTGTCGAGACGAGGCCACCAATCCTTGTTTGCCATGTTTTCATTCCTCAAATGACTGTGACCTTCTTCGCTCTTGGCCGTCTGATATGCATCTGCAATGGTACGCAGACCAGCCAGCTTTGCAACCCACTCGTTCAAATTACCACTGCTGAATGTGCTGACCGCCTCTGCCTGTGTAACGTGTTATGTGTGCCCAAGTCCGACACCAGCGACACCAGACAGCCCAACTCCTGGCCAAGTGACATGTGAGGTCAAGATTGGACGACTTGCATGAAGCAGAATGCGCCAGATGCCGGCTTCACCCGAATCCTTTCTCATCCCTCGTAAATGGTAGGTTGCGCATTCTGAACTCCATTTCTATATAAGCCTCCAACGCCGCTGTTGAGGAGGACTACGCGTACACACTACCAGCCCCAAATCCTCCACGCCCTTGGACGTCAATTACGCAACTCTCAGGTCGCTACGCCATCATTGAATCCCGCCATCAGTTCTCCAAATTTCAATACATCTTCATCCCCTCACTCTCTCCCGCTGTCATGTATGTATATGGTCTGACCGTAGAATACAGTTTTACAGTAGCTGATATTACATGCCAGGTGTACTACCGAGGTTACTAAGACCACCGCTGTGAGGAACGGTAAATTAGTCATAGTAGACAAGATCAAGACAATTGATGGGATGCAACCCTGGTGCCAGACGTCTGCTGCTTTCATACCTGGGACTCCTAAGCCGCCGAAAGGCAAGTGTGGCTAAGCTGGAGGCTTGTCTAGAATAGCCCGCTGTTGCTGAGTTGGAGGCATGGAACACCAGGGCTCCAAGATGTCGTGTGTAAGAATATGGGCGGCAGTAATGTCCTTTCCCGGTCACCTAAGCTATCCAACACAATCGTACTCCTATCGCTAAATAATGCCCCTCGTTATGCAGGTGATGGCGCCGCCTGGAATAGGCGACCATGTTTGAATATGTTTTAAGATCTGGAATATTCTATGCCTAGGTAATTGTGGTCCGGTATCCGCAATCTTAACATAGATTTTCTTACTCACCGTCCGGACGACGGTAAAAGACTTCATCGCCCTTTGTCGGACTATGCTTCAGTTTACCACCGACTATTGTATAGAGAGGGAGCAGATCCCGCAAGTCACTCGGATCTTGTGCAGTCAGGGGATTCCAAGGCCAAATGGTCAAATCAGCAAAGCGGCCCGGAGCGATTGTCCCCCTTGTATCGGACTCTCCCAGCAGGGTAGTGGCAAGCGTTGTGTGCATGGCGATGGCCTCTTCGACGGGTATGGCATGCTCGGGTCCCATGATGCCTGCAACGGTTTGACGCGTCGTCATTCCCCAGACGGAGCGCATGGGGCCGTAGACGCCTACGGGATAGTCAGAGCCGCCGGCCACAAGGCCACCGGCATCCAGCCAGCCTCGTGCCGGGAAGCAGCGGGCGACCCTCTCTTTGCCAAGATACAGCGTCTCGAAAGCCGCAGCTTCATGGATCAACGGATGCTGGATTGTGCAGGGGATTCCCAGGCTAATGGCTCGAGAGCGCTGTTCAGGCGTCGCGAGGCCACCGTGCTCCATGACAAGAGTATTGGGAGGGAGATGCGGGTGATGGCGTAGCAACCGCTCGTAGACATCAAGCAATACCCGGACGGCACGATCTCCAAAGGCATGGGTTCCGATGCGCCAGCCGCTCCGGACGACTATGTCCATGGCCTGAAAGAGCTCATCTGGGTCCCAGATCAGCGTGCCGCGATAGTTGCCCACATCGCCACCGCAGCATCCCACGTCCGGACGGCCAATGTAGGGCTCCTCGGTGGCGTTGGCTTCAAGTCCACCGTCCAAGATGAACTTGACGCCCCAGACGGAGAGCCATGGATCAAACTGCAGATGGCGCCACGCCTCCATCTTGTCCAGCAGCTTCGTCACCTGGGCCGCCGAGTTCATGCCCATAGTAGACACGAGGGCACGCATACGTACATGCAACTTGCCAGCATCGTGGGTGCGCTTCAGCATGTCAAGATCCTCGACGGGCACCGCGCAATCGCGCACGCAGCCGATGCCCGTTGCAGCATATGAAGCTGAGGCTTGCTCGATGCCGGCCATGCGCTTGCTCAGGCTCGGAGCTGGCATGATGCTCATGATACCGGCCATGGCGGCATCCTGGAGATGGCCATCCAACCGGCCGTCGTCGTCTCGTCCGATCTTGCCACCAGCTGGACTGGCCATGTCGGCCGTGATGCCGCCAAGCTTGAGCGCGAGCGAGTTCGCAACGAGGTTGTGCCCGCCTCGCCGCACCGCAATGGGATGAGCCACGCTGACCTTATCCAGCTCCTGTGCCGTCGGGAGGCGCTGTTCCTCGAGGTTGTATTCCAGCCAGTTCCACGTCGTCGTGATCCAGCTGCCGGCTTCGACCTCGGCCGCACGCTTGCCGAGCATGGTGAGCATCTCGTCGACGCTGCGGGCCGTGTGCACAGGGACGTCTAACTGGCTAAGCCCAGCAACCATGAGATGCGTATGCGTATCGTCGAGGGCTGGGAGCACAGTACTGTCACGCTCATCAATGACGAGCGTGTTCGGCCCCACGCAATCATCGAGGCCATGTGCATCTCCAGACACGGCGGCGATGTAGCCGTTGCGGATGGAGATGGCCTGGAGCTCCGAGTCTTCAGGATAAAGTGTCACCACGCATTTGGCTCGGATGAGAATATCGGCGTCCATTTCTTCCTGGTGTGGGTTGATTTTTGCTCTGGTCTTCTGTCTAGGCAGATAGAACTGTAGGATTCATACGTTGCCACGTCACTTTCCGAACCAACTGAAACGCCTGCTCTTGGCGACGCAACAGAACCTCAAAGATAGCCCTCAGAAATAGCCTTGTGCGGCAAATGCACCAGAAGTAACTTACCCGCTCTGTGCGCGGGCCGCAAGTGCGCATCCGACGGATAGAACGGCATGTTCGGAAGACCCGGGTACGGTCAGTCGAAACTCCTAGGTCGGGAAATTCTTGCATCCAATACCCGTAGAACTCGGACTGCAAGCCATGCATCTGTGTAATCTGTAAACACTATTAAGACCTTGGTCCAATCTGCTGGAGAGGCTTGGGTCACGGCGCCCAATGCTCGGTGCTATCGGTGAAGTGGCTCTTCTAAACCGTCGCATGTTTATGATGCTCTGTCTGAAGACTTTGTGCATCATCGACAAGCCATCTTGAATTATACGACTACAAATAATAGGTAGACGTTGGGGCAGTGGGTATGTAACGGTTAGAGATTGGTCTAGACAATCGCCAAGATATATACGAGCGATGACGAGCCAACACTACTTAACGCCGCTCCATGATCACCTTTGGTTCTTGCTTCTACAAATAGCATAACGGCCGGGATTGGGCGGTGATAGTACTCCATTTGGGCGATGAAGGCGCTATAGTAGAATCAAAGACTAAATGACATAAAATCCAGATGTTGGACCAAGCACGCTCGAACCATCGAGGATGAGTAACTGTGAGGAGCCACCTTCTCAGTTCCAACAAAAGCGAAGTCAAATAATGCAGGACTTGTTCAAGGCCACTGCAACCAACTCGTTTCGTCGCACATGGGTCCAGGCAGACTTTCTGAAAGTTAGTGACGAAGGTCGAAGGAGGAAACAGCCGCTTTAACTATACCTCGCTCCGTATCAGTCCTTCATTTCCCACAATTGTGGGACTCGTTCTGGCCGTAGGAAAGACCGCATTTAGAGCACTTGTTGGAAGAAGGCATGTTTGTTGCTGAGAATCTTCGAGGGGATATCCAAGGGGGATGCTTGGGGTAGATTGGATGAAAAATAATAAAAATCTGATTGTCCAAAGCTATGGAAGAGAGGCTATGGAAGAGAGGCTTACATCTTGAGGGAACTTGGAAGGCGTGGCTTTATACCTGGATGAGTCTCTTCTTGGCCTGTTGAAGATTGCTGCCCAAGTCGGACCACCGGAAGTTGGGCACCATCCCCGCTCGCTCTGGAATAGCAATTGAGTCGGCCTAGCCTGAAAAAGGAGGTGGTAACGTATTGGGGGTGCCCAACCAACCTCTGTTGGTCCGACTTCTGTTGGTCCGACTTAGAACACAACCCTTGTCAAGTCAGCCAGTAAAACTGAGCGATCCACCATGCAGCGCTGATAATGGAAATGATGTACTCTGTACTTACCTTGAAAACCATTGTTCGGATTGGTGGCAAGAAACAAGACGATAAGGGAGTGTGATGGCAGTTAGATATGAGTGCTCATGAAAGTGTGATCCCCCCTGCGAAATTCGTTGCTGCATTTGAGCACCCACTAAATGGCATCGACTATGTTTGTACTGAACACCGTAGCCAAAGCCATCACAGACAATGGCCTTTAGTATATATAAGGCCCGCGGTAGGTCAGCGCATTTTGGAGATGGAGAGTAATAAGGATCAATTTTCAACCACCTCCACAGCCGGCATGGAATTCTATCGTGTCACAAGAGACTCAGCGCAACCTCGTCGCACTACTCAACTTCTCCTTATAGCTTCAGCCAACCGCGGTCAATGTTTACGAGAAGTCATAAATGCTTGTACTCTAACCCAGCGCTTGAACTCGCTCCTTTAGACGCTGAAGTTCTATGACCACGTCAAGTAGGAATACGTCTTGCAGCTCTTCGCTGGCCTCCAAGTCGTCCTGCGGCTCGTCGAGCCCAAAATCGCACCCGATGCATTTGCGGATGATCCGCGGATATCTCGCGCCCATCTGGTTCATCAAAATGGCACATAATTTCTCTGCAACATGGTAATCCGTCCGCCGATTAGTGGGCAGCTTCTTCAAGTTGAGAATCTCTTCGCGTAGACTGTGCCATGGGCGCGAGAACCCAACCTCAAGAAGGACAATGCCGAGCCGGAAGAGAATCTCGTTTCTGGCGCCAGACAGCGATACCTCCTCACTGTTGACCAAAGTGAGATCTGACGTCTTGGAGTACTGTGACATGCTCTTTTTGATGTGGTTGGAGAATTGGACCTGAAAGTGAGGATGTGAAAGTTGTATCTCATCCTCTACAGATAGTTCAGTACTGAAGAAGCTGATGTCTTGGCTACGCCATGTTTCGGGTAACCATGGCGTGGAATGAAACTGTAACACAGATGCCGCGAGAGAGCCGGCAATTTGTAATGCCACAGGCAACGGTAGACATCGGTGCATAGAATTTGCGCCGATCCATGCGATTATTGCCTCGAGAGACTTGGGTTCGTCGCAGACTCGCCTGTCTGCTGGCGGGATGTAGAATCTTTGAAGGTGTTTGCCACCTAGACATCCTAGAAAGCATTGCTGCGATGGACAAAGTCGATATTGAGAGCGAAGGTGCTCACAAAAGTCCGAGACCAACATCAAGTCAATGATTTGCATCTCTGATGCTGTCTCTGGAGGGACCGGGCCACTATTGTTGTTGTTGTGCTCCGAAGAGGGCTTCCCTCCGGGTGATGTCCCAGGATCATTCCCTGGAATTAGTTGACTCGTGACGGCGTCAAAGTGGACCTTGCGCGGGACCTTTGAGACATTTTGTGAGGATGGAGGCGCAACAAGAAGCGCTTTTGTTGACAACTTTGTGAGAGCCGTGCTCAGCTCTTCAAGAGTTTGGTGATCTCCGTGTGTTTTGACGATGGCAACCTGGTCCTGACCGCTGCCATCCACGTACTCAACCTCTAGCCAGAGAGGCCCAGAAAGAGTGTCATCCTGTTTGCTGCTTGCATCGATTGTGTCCTCTTGTACAGTCAAGGCAACCTCAAACTTGACCGGCTGAGCTATTCTGACTTGCTCTGGCTCGATGCAGGAGACGCTGGCAGCATGGCTCTTATGCTCGCGTGACAAGCAGGTCCAGTCCTTTGCCAGTGTGTCGTATAGTAGGTTTGACGCTTGCCGAATTCGCTGGTAGGCTTCGATGTGATTAATGTTGGTAGCTGTTCTCTTCGGCTTCTTTCGCTCCATTACAGTCTTCTCGCCAGTATTCCGCAGATCTGCGTTTCTGATTTCACGCAGGGTGTTGACAATCTGGTTTGTCATGACACTGAAATCCGAGTTGAGATTCCGCAGATCCTCGATGGATGCCGAAAGGTGAGATTTGCCCAAGGCCAACTTGAGACGACCGCCCATCCGACTCATCCACTCTTTGCCGCTCGTAGATGGACTCATGTTGGGCTTCAAGCATTTGAAAAATTAGTGATACCCTCGATAGACGCTTTCTTCTGGGGCTCAAGAGCAAGAGCTTACCACTGACGATTTCCCCATGACGTTTGCTATGCTTGATAACTCGTCGGAAATTTTCTCCAGTGTCAACATAATCTCATCCAGCGTACTTTTGCAGCTCGAAAATGTATCTTTTAAAGAATCGATGCGGCTTCGGTAGATATCTGCCAACGTCAAGTTTATGTCGGCCGTTGGTGAACTGGCATTATTGTTCGATTCCGTCAGCCCAGATATCCACGTGTGGATCAATTCTCGGTCATCCGTGACAGAAGATAGGAGGTTGATGGCGTTGTTTCTGAAGATTGTTCGCTGAGAGCCGACTTTTGATTGCATACGAACGATTTCCCTGGGGTTGCGAAACGTCGACAACACGGTTGAGAGCGTCTGGTATTTCTCAAAGGCCAAGACAGCGATGGGCACACCGCCGAGGACGGTGCCGACGATGAACTCGACGCCGCTCATCTTCACTCACAGTGGCCGTCCAGTCAACCCGAGGTGCAGACTGTTGTGAGGTCTTCAAGCGTGAGCTTCATTCTACCACGCAGGCAGATTGGAAGTTCAGGTGAGGGGTTAACCACCATCCTAGATGAAATCATGCAGTGGAACAGATGCAAAGTACAAGGATCTTCCAGTTTCATCCTATCAGCATCGAGGTCCGCAGCCAGTGTCGTCAGCCGCATTTGCGGATTAAAAACCCCGCTCAACCTAGGCGGCGACATCATCATCGGCTTTCTGAGCGGAAATCATCACGAAATTTTATATAATTTCGCCATTCGGACCGGAGTCCTCCATGTGAGCAACATGCCACTGAGACAAGACGAGGCCGTCGATGTACACAGTTGGCTCTCGGAGCCTGGCGACTATGCTTGCAGCCTTGGGATCGTTGGGTCATTCTACGGGGCCATCTTCGACCTCTTTGGCAAACTGGTAAAGGCTGTTCAACTCTGCGAGAAGTCACGAAATTTGGCTTCAGAGACTGCTAGACCATATAGCCATGAGCTGCGCCGGCTGTATCTCTGGGGCGACGGGTTCTCCGTGGAAGAAGGCCATCTTGATGAGATCCTGACCAACGCCTCCGAACTTCGTCACAATGTCCTGTCACTCTTGTTTCAGCTAAGTCGGGTACTGTCGTCAGAATTTGATCGTGTTGTGGGGTTGGACAAAAGTCAACTTCAAGGTCTCTCCGAAGACATGGCGGATCTGGGGCGAATGCAGGAACAAGTCGGCCTCACCTTGCAGGACTCGAGCGCAACCCAGATGAATCCTTCAGCGGACTGGGACTCAGTTTCTGATTCGCGATCCTCAGATACAGGCCAGGAAAACCTCGAAGATATTTCCACGTACATCGACTGCTTGATGGATCTCAGCCAGGCAGTGGAGCACCCGGCAATGGACCTCTTTGACGACCCAGACGAGGAGTCGCAACAGGAAGCCGAATTATTTGACGTTTCTACCCCTCAAGCCCTTAGCTATTGTCGGAAGATAAGGGACCGATTTCCTAATCTTCCGAGATACTTGGTGGAAAGACTTGGAGAATTAAACGCGGAACGGGCTCTTTGTATATCGCGCGCAGAAGCGGCGAGAGACCTGGAGCCAGGCACCGTCAGGATCTCAGATAAAGCCGAAGGGGGTCTTGATAACAAGTCTATTACTAATCCACCAACCGAGTCGCTCTTTTCGAGCACAAATCCTCGTCTAACTGAAACAACAAAGTCGACAATGCCAACCGAGTCAAGCCTTAGTGCCTCTCCCTACCATCCTGAGGGCGTGAAAGGTCATTTGGCACCTTCGGCAGCGGCGATGATTGCCAGGAGCAAAAAACCAGCTATGAAACCGCTATTGTCTCTGGATTTTGACGACACAGCGTCAGTGGCTACCTTTGCCTCATACTCTACCACAGCATCGGCACTCAGTCAGGGACGACCCAGGATACCGCCTTTGCCCGAAGCCGCCGAGACCAGTGGCACGTTTGACTGCCCAGCCTGCTGGCGGGGACTACGAGGACCTATGACCCGTACTCAGTGGAAGTAAGTTGCGCCCGCTGGTTGACCAGTTATGCTGTCAAATGGCGCCATGGATGGCTACAGCCCAGGAGAGTCATGATGAGTTTGTGCTAATAAGATGGTGATAGACAACATATCTTCGACGATCTCATGCCGTATTGTTGCATTCATGAGGAATGCCAGGACGTTTGTCAACCATTTCAAAGGACAAAGCCCTGGGCAATGCATCTGCAATTCCACATGGGACTAATCGCTTGGCCGTCAACTTGCCCATTCTGTGGCCCCGAATCAAAGCGTCTTGACCGCGAGGCGTTCTTGAAACATGTCAGCAGCCACCTTCGTGAGGTGTCATTAGCGGTTCTTCCTCATGCAGCTCGTGAAAGCGATGATGAAGACAACATTCGCGATGACGATTCGTCACTCCTTAGCTTAACTAGCCACCGAGCCGCCAAGATCGCGGGAACCCCAGGGAAGGTTGAGAGTGATAACGGCGATTACAGCAGAATACCAAGCCCCGACCTTCCCCGTTCAGACTCTATACTCCTTTTAGAACATGGGAGTCCACGTGATGCCCGATTGGATAAGGAAGACGGGGATAATGGGGATGATCCCGAGAGTTTGTCTACAGTGATATTTACTTGCGAACTCTCCATCTATTCGAGATGCAACTTTGCCTCAACAAACAGGGAGTTTTGGAAGACTCATGTGCGAAGTCATTTCGAAGGAAGAATCCCTTGGGAGGGGCCGTGGGAATGCTGGTTCTGTGACAAAGAATTCGACCAAGTGGTCGACTCGCAGGAATATGAGCAGGACATGGATGTCAGGGAGCCGCCGTACCTAAACATCCCTCAATTCTACGAAAGACTAGATCACATTGCCGATCATTTCGTCAACGAGGGTCGCGAAATCGAGAACGCCCGGCCAAGCAGCGGTCTACTCGAATGGCTCGGCCCAGAACCACAAGCGCCCTTGAAGCTGACTATGACTCGCCTATGCACTCGTTGTGGTACAACATCAATATGGGACCCAGAAGTGGTAAAGGGCTGGACGGAAACGTGTGATGAATGCGACTTTCGCTCGAAGCCGCAACTGATGGTAAGCTCGCCACCAAATGACTGAATGACCTGTTACTCACAAGGATTTTAGTATCAATATTCAGGCGAAATACCTAAAGGCTCGAGATGCGCGACAGAGCCATTCGGCGGTCCAAAGTGCGACCACAAGTGGGCGCAGGCTGGGCACAAGCGCTATTGCCTCATTTGCGAGGTTGCGATTGACCCGAATTCCTGGGATCATATGTATGTACAAAATGCCAGAGGCGGTTGGACGGCGTGTTGCTACTGTGGGATTATGTTGGCAGAATCCTCTTCAGTCAACAACAACCGGCCTCTGACTCCCGAATCAGTTGATATGGAGGAGGTTAGATCAGAGACAGAGGTTAGATCAGGAACACCAGAGTTCAAGGACACGAAGAAAAAGGGAGCATTTGCTCGATTCGGCGAGCGGTTCAAGCGGCGTTAAAACCCAAGGCATTGCATACATCAGAGAAGACGAGACAAGCTTGGAAGCCCGAGACAAGATTGAATAGCAGTTCCTAAGCTCCGGTGTCTGGGCATCGATCCAGCAGGCGACGTGGCATCGCAAGCCTTAGGAATAAATCCAGCAGAGACTTGTACAATAAGACTCTACATAGCCTGCTTGGCGTCATTGAAGATGATGGGGAAAGCCCTAGGGAGAGGCAGGAAGAACTTGGTCGCCCTGGGAAGCTAAGAATCAGCCCAAAAGACCTCCCACAGGACTTGGAGAGTTTCCTTGAAGGGTATCATACGACTTTCCAGACCCCGAAATAATCACAGCGCCACGTCTTGACTCACGGCTCCAGGCCATGATTTTCTGGACTGACCAAACCGAGACCTGAGAATTGAGCTATTCCAGAAGCAAGCGGCGCAATGGAAGCAGAAATATATAAATTTGACAAGCTTCCCAAAGAGGCTATCAGCCGATCTCTATAAGAGTAGTATTGAAGAAGAGAAATCTAAATTCTAGTTTTAAAGAGACAGGAAAATCTAAGCTAGATAGAGAGGAGGGAGTAGAAATAAGAAGCAATTAAAGACAGAAAAAAGAAGAGAAGGAAAGAGCTACAGAAAAAAGGAAAACAAATAACTCTAACCAGGTCTAACAGCAAACCTCAATCTTTACACCACAACTTATTAGCCTAAGACTCAGCTTTCTTCGTAGCCTTTGTCCTCAGCTTCATCATTAGAAACACCAGTCCGTAAATGCCAAAGACAAAAGCCACAACAATACCGGCATTTCTCCATCCATAGTACTCTTCTTTGAGATTGATTGTTTTAAGGAAGTCTCCACCTTCAGTATACTGGCACACGCGGCAGTCAGCGATTGCGTCCGGGTTGAGGAGATTTGTCCCCGCCCCCATGCCCTGCTGGTATGCAGTGAGGTATTCGCCACAGGTTTGGTTGGAGGGCGGGTCGAATATAGCGAGTTCGCGGGTATCGCATTCGACAGTCTTGGACCAAGTCGTGAAGACAAGCAGGGAGCTCATGAGATAGTTGAATGGGTCAATGTAGTACATCCTGTAGTCGCGCTGTTAGTTTCTGAAAGATACAATCTTTTAGGCGTGGAGGGAAGTAGAATGTGCTTACCAGTATTTCCAGAATGGTTCAAGTTGGCTGTACGGCACCATAACGCCACAGAATGATACCAGGGTCGTGATGACGAGCGGATTGACGAGCGCGGCGAATACTGCATTGGGGGCATAGGCGGCGATCATCTGGCCAATGCCAGTGTAAAGAAACTCGTACATCACCTATGACTCCGATTCAGTATGCGTGTTGCTAATTGCCAAGCTCATTAACAAGGGGAAAGACTTACCACCACGAAGAAAACGCTGCCAGCGTGCTCCGGTGCCGTTGGGAGCCCGCAGGTAAAATACCAACAGACATAATACAACAATGCGCAGATAATCAAGTAAGGGATCTCTGAGAGAATAAGGCCAGCAACGAAAGGACCCCAGTGGTACATCTTGCTCTTCTTCTCACGCGTCTCGTAAATATCGCGACGATCGATAAAGAGGGGCTGTAGCTGGGAAATAACTCCTGGTGCGACGAAAATAAAGTTGAAGACGGTGAAAAGGTTTTGCTGAAGGTCTGTGAGGCTGTCGCCGATCATCCAGAATGAGAAGCCATTCAAGAGTGCCAGGCTGATATGAAGGACGAACTTGTTGTCGACATACTCAGTGTTTCGGAATAGCGAGACATTCATGCGGTGAGTTACAAGCTTGACCTGGGTCCATGTGGTAGCGGCGAACTCGAATCCGTCATCAATGGTTTTAGAAGGTTGAGCGGAAGCTTCGTCAACCATATAATCCAGGTCTTTGATAAGCTGTTCGTGTTCTGGCGATTCTAACCAAACCTTGTTCCAATCCCGATGATGGGCACTTCCTGATACCACGTCGATCATGTGCTCAGCTGGGTTGGCTTCAGGCGGACAGGGCGCTCCATGACGGGCAAAATAGGCCTTCAGAGTGTGTGCTTTATCGCCAATGTCGCCAAAGTAGACTGTTTTTCCACCACGGGCGAGCAAGAGCAAGGTATCGAACTGCGAGAATAACACGGCTGATGGTTGATGGATAGTGACCAAAATAGCCTGTCCGGCATCGGCGAGTTTGCGAAGGAAGCGAACGGTATTAAAGGCCGCCTGGCCGTCAAGACCAGATGTAGGTTCATCCAAGAAGATAAGAATACTGGGCTTTGCGACTAGCTCGACGGCGATGGTAAGACGCTTGCGCTGCTCAACCGAAAGGCCAGCGCCAGGACGACCGACGAGTGTGTGCTCAAGGTCATTGAGTTCCAGGAGGTCAATGATAGTATCCACATAGCGTAGCTTTTCCTCGTCTGGTGTATCGCGGGACTGGCGCAAGAGAGCTGAGAATTCAAGAGCCTCGCGGACAGTTGCGAGGGATTCATGTACATCCAGCTGTTCGACATAGCCGGCGGAGCGTTGGAAGGAGATAGGGATAGGATGGCCATCAACTAGAACAGATCCATGGATAGTGCCTTCGGTCTTACGCTGGGCAAGAACGTCGAGGAGAGTTGTCTTGCCGGCGCCAGAAGATCCCATAAGAGCCCCGAGTGTGCCGGGCTTGATGTAGCCTTGCACGTCGTCGAGCAGAACTCGGTCGCCTGAAGGGGTCTTGACGGTATACGTCAAGTTTTTCCATGTAAAAATGCTCTTGTTGCGGATAAGGTCGCTGCTGAGGCTCCCACCCGCAGTGTCAGACGCGGATCCAGCTGAGGGCTTCTCGGTTACCTGCGACTCCTCGTCTTGGAGTAGATGTTTCGACCTGTGCTTCAGCTCCCGGGGAATGAGCAGGCTCCGGCCGCCTTCGCCCAGTAGCTTCCATCGGCTGGTGAAGAAGATGGTGAGACTAACGAACAATACCCACCATGCGATGATGATGCCGAGATTGCGCCAGATGTGGCTGTGGTGGAACGACATTGATGCGAGATAGGCGTCGCCGGTGAAGCTCGTCGCACCAGGCATCGCGCCGCCGACACCAGCACAAGATTGCCCGCCTTGGCCAGCGGTATAGCCGGGACCGTTTGGTATGATGTTTGGGCCAACACAGGGGATGTCCTGAGCGTGGAACTCGTTGCCAAGAAGAGATTCGAAGCCGTACGCCATCGGGTTAATCCAGAAGATCCATACAAACCACGGATGCATCTCTGGTTTGATGATCATGTAGCCCATGTAAACGAAAAACGAGACAATCGTGAGGCCCGAGACTTTGGTTGCGGCGTCGAAGGAAGGAAACGCGGCGCCAATCAGTCGGAACAGGGCCGTCATGGACATGGCGGTACAGAAGTTGGTGATCAAGTAAGTGAAGAAGGCTGCGGCGGTGGTCTTCAGGCCGACCATGAAATAGAAGACGAGACCAAAGTGCGTAACCTGGAATAGCATAATGGGGAAGTCTGCGGCGATCTGGGCAATGCAGATCGCCGCTGGGCGGTACAGGGCAAAGGCGCGATGCTTGGCAAGAATAGGCCTGCCAGTAAACGAGTCGTTGACTTCCGAAAGGGCGATGAGAGCGTTATATAAGATGGAGAAGAACAGGGCGCCGCCCTTGAGGAAGAGGCCGGTAGAAGTGGCGGGAGCATTGTAGAAGAGGGAGCCGCCGATGAGAGCCTGCACGAGCGTGGCAGCTTGCTTTATGATGAGTGTCGACTTGTCACCCCACATGATCTGGTATTGCCGAGTGACGGAGGCTTTAACCTGGGAAAAGAAGTCGGTGGTGACAGCTGAGTTCTTAGACACGCCCTTGTGTTTTTCCCAGGCCACCATTTCCTGAAATACGGCCGTATTCTCCGCTGCCTCTTCGCTTTCTGGATAGGTACACTCGGCCAACATCCTGGGCTTGATAGAGGACCGGTCATAGGCTGCCCGGATCTCGTCGGCAGTCCGGGGGAATTTGTTCTCATAGCCTGGGGCAATAATGCGCTCGGTTGGGACCGTCACGCCAGTGAGGAAGTCTCCTCGGTTGGAACCACCGTCGCGCATAAAGCCAAGACCTTCGATAAAGGGCACAGCCTCCGTCTGGGGACCATAGTAGGTCTGCTTTCCACCATCGAGGACGAGCACCTTGTCGAAATGCTCGTAGATGCCATTGCCTGCTTGATAGAGAGTGACGATAGTAGTGAGGCCGAGGACGTCGGTCATGACCCGAATTGCCTTGATCCATTCAAGAGCTGTGCTGGCGTCGAGGCCTCGCGTGGAGTTGTCCCAGCAGAAAACGCTCGCTCGAGTGGTCAGGCACTCCAAGATGGAAACACGCTTCCTCTCTCCTCCAGAGACACCCCTGATGAACGCGTCTCCCACCTTGGTGGAGGCAGTGTGGGAGATGCCCACTGATCTCAACAGGAAGTCTTTGTTGAACTGGGCGTACTCCTCGGCAGTCTTGATTCCCGGCGGTAGGTGATAGGGGACCTTCATGCGGGCCGCGAAATCGATGGTATCCCCGACAGACAGTGTTGGGAAGAAGATTTCCTCCTCCGTGTTCATGATGATCTGGCCTCGATATTGCTTGGCTTCCTGAGCGGACATGCTCCCGAACTTGACGTCGCCCGTAACCTCGGCGTACCCAAGCCGGTTGTTTGCGAGCATGTTCAGCAGTGTCGTGCATCCCGATCCCGGGCGTCCAAGAACGAGCAGCATCTCCCCGGGCTTAACGCAGCCGTACGAATTGTCAATGATGGTCTTCATGGGCACGTCTTTGCCGCTCTTTCCAAAGGGATTGAATTGCGAGAGGACGTTCTCATTGAATGTAGCGTCGCTGCTGATGCCCTTGACAGTGAGGTTCTGCCAGGTCACGCCGAGCTTTCTGGGCTTCTCTCCACCTTCCGCGTCTCTGTCTTTCATCGCTTGCACTTCCGAGGCCATGTGCCATGGTTCTCTGTATTGAGGTTCGAGTTCGGGTCTTTCCACAGATTTGGGCTCGGCATCGACGTCTTGCGCCTGGCACGGCGGCTCCTCCGAGAACGTGAGGTCCTGGGACACATCGTCGTCGTTGAGGGTCGGCGGATCGATGGCCATTTCGAGGTATGCGCGGATGATGTCAAAAGGGAGAAGTTGAAAGTAAAAAAGAATGGGAAAAATTAGTTAATTGAGTGATCAAATCACAGCTCTACCTCGAGAAAGCGTGGAAATTAAGTACGACCGAGATGAGGCTGAGAGCAGGCATGTTAAGCAAGATCAATTCACGCGAATCTGTCAGGAATCTTCAATGAATGTAATATAGCCGTCATAGAGGCAATGTGAAACCCTCCGTAGCCCAAAAAACAATACACGAAGCTGCCATCTTAATTACTCAGCCCGAAAAGCTTCCGCAGAAGAAATGGGAGTGGCTATGATTCGCGTCAAGCAACTTGATGCACCCCGTATCTCGACGTAGGAGTTCTCGGCGGAGGGTTTTGACATCAGTGGAGGTCCTGTAGGCGCGCTATCTTTACCTGTCTCGTATCTCCTGAATCGATCCGGATCTGACAGGAGGGTTTTACTCGCTAATCGGCCGGATTCAGGTTGGCTGGTGCCCGATGACAAATTACGGAATTGCACCGGAGGGTTTACATAACATCCATTTTTCCATCCTTCAAGATCACTAATCAGCCACTCTGGTCTTTATTGATAGCCACTCACCTGCGGAAACCAAATCAATCTCCCTTGCAGAATTGCACCATCTGGACTAGCATAAAGCTTCAGCTGGGCCTCGACAAGGGCCTCGGGCCAATTACACCATGACGGGGGAGCGGCACAGAGCATTCTACGTACTACGGAGTATGTGAGGCGATAACAGAGATCTCCACAATCGGAGAGTTACAAATTGCAATGCCGCATTTCTCACACCCACACCTTGACTGCCGCTGCGGCTTATTATCCCTTGTATTCCCACTTGTCTCAGCTCAATGCTGCCCCTCCGGTTGGGGCGGGGAGTTTGGTGTCCGCCTTCGTCAGCTTCAGCAGATACACCTTCAATTGGATGCTCGTCTTTGCGCTACGCACTGGTGCCACCGCAGTGCTGGAAGCTTGAATTTCTCATCTAAATCTACCTAAGATGGCGTACAGGGGGCATTAGAAGGTTTGACTACGTACGTCGGCGACCTCCGAGCGATCCCCGGTAGCTGATTCATTTCCAGGCTTCTGAGACTTAAAAGAAAACCCTCCGGGCCTTGCGGTTAGACTGGCGCTTCTCCGTTCCTCCCTTCCGCTCCTCCGACGAATTTTGGCATTTTGATCTGGACTCTCCAACCCGTGGGCCCGGCAGAACAGAACACCATGGGCGCAACCATTCACCCAACGCAGAGGCGGCTCTCTTGTGAGATCTGCAGGAAACACAAGTCAAGATGTCGCCGCTTGCATCCAAACGACCCTAAATGCACGCGATGCACGATCCACGGTATAGAATGCACCTCAGGGCAGCAGAAGAAGGTCGGAAGGCCGCGGCGAGCGGAGACTCCTGGCAGTGAAGTGACCAAGGACTCGAAAGACACGCCCTCAAGCGTCCCCGACCCTCAAGCTTCATGGACCGGAGAGCTGATTTCGTCACAACTTGCGACCAGACTTCGTGAAGCAGCTGCTAACGAACTGAGTTGGAGCAATGTCCTGTCTCCCGAGCTCACCCCAGTACCCACACAGGTCACGCCATCACAAGATGGATTTTCCACAATCGAAATGGACGCACTGGATCGCCTGTTGCAAATACCCGGCAAAGATCCCTCCTGGGATGCTCCCAACGACCCTATCGAGACCTCTACATCATCCACAACAACACCCAGTCACTGGTTCAACACCCCGCTGACGGGAACCACAGCGTCATCGCCTGCTGACAGCGTCTACCTTCAGGCGGAGACTCACATGCCTCCAAGAACAACCCAGCTCGCGACAGACGGCATCGCTGCGACCGAAGCCATAGAAAAACTCTCCAAGATCAACCTAAACTTCCACATTCGCGTGGCGGCGGCCGAGGCCAACAGGGACACTCTTGACCTCAACAGCCTTATTTACAAGGAGAGTCCATTATACATTGACAACTTAACGCTGAGCGAGTTCGTACTGGAAGCAACACAAAAGTTCCTGACGATTCTGTCACGGCTCCGCGCCAGCCGTCCCACTCGAGGACTATCAGGTGCTCTGCAATTGACACGATCAACATTCCCAAGATTATTACCGCTTTCGTCCCAGATGGACGCCTTCGCCAAAGACGACTATGTGCCGCGTCTCTCAAGCTCCCCCCGGTTCTCAGAGTCTCAGTCCTTTCAAGGCAGCCACTACAATCCAACCTCAGTGCCCTCAAGTTATCCCCTCGCCGCATCGGAACCGCTGTTGGCTCCTCTCGCGCTGACGATCACGAGCATCTTCATCCAGCTCATATCCCTCTGCGAATTAAGTGTAAAGCATATGACTGCACGTGTCGAGCGAATCGCGGTCGACCCAATCACGGCTATCCCAGGCATGACATTCGGAGGCTTGCCGCTGGCAGAACCCTGCACTCAAGGGATGCTGTTCTGCACTGTTGCTGTCCATTTGCTAGAGAGGATAGAACGATCATTGGGGATTGCCATGGTGCCCGAAGGCGGCGAAGCGGGCTTGCTATCTCCGAAACAGATGGATGCTCTCTGGGGCGAGCTGGACGAGGGATTCAGTACCGATCATGGTCGCGGCGCGATGAGGCCAGCGAATCTAAGGGAAGCATTTGAAGAATTAGGCCAAGTCTTTAAGCAGCTTTCCTTGGGTTAGGGCTTCACGTACAAGTAAGTAATGAATATTTGTAGCGGACTCTCTGAGATGGTCACAGGTCCGATGAGATTAAGCCAAGAGGCAATGTCTATCCGATTGTATTTTATATACAGCAGACTAGATCATCCCCCATTCCCTGAATCCTGTTCAACATTTCACAAACCCATGCCTGCTCTCGATCCCAGTTCTCCGGAGCAAGAGAGAAGATTGCACGCACCACTACCAAGGGAGATAATATCGTGTTAGGCCCAAGGGATCGGTGCCTTGCATGACAAAAGTATTCAACGGACTGACAGATATTACGAGCCGATGTTTGTAACAACTCCTCTTGATGCCTCAAGCGTGGAAGTGTCTCTTCGAATGGGAATTTTCCAGTGACTTTGTTGTCAACGAGAGAATGGGACGCATCTGCTATATGTGGAGGATAACATGGCTCGGTGTGATCTGCACCCACGTTGGCTTGAACCGCGAGTAATTTCCGATAAATATTGCACAAACAGGAACTCAACAGAGCTCGCAGAGTCCAATATAATACCATGGTTTCAGCCACTCTGAAACTGGGGAAGCGCAGTGATACAGCAAATAGTCTCCCCAGCTCCGGGGTATCACTTTCACTGGCCATATTCGACAACTCGGGCCAATACAAAGGGCCAGCTTCGGCTTTGTGGAATCCAGAAAACCAGCTCCCAAGGTCTGCTTCAAATTGGAGGCACTCTCGGATTAGTACCACACACTTTGCGGTCACTTCCTTGGGCTTGGTCTTGTCATTCGAGGCATCCATCTTATTCATAATACCGGGTACCCGTAGGAAAAGATCCAGAAGGATATCGTGAGAATCCTTCGGTATAATGTTCCATGGCTTTTCGATCCACTCGGGTTGGGCTAGGAATGAGGTTCGACGTTGTTGCAGGCCATGGAAAATCTAGAGCCGGTCAGGGTTTTAAGGCCAATTTGGACACACTCTGAGCCAAGTGGTGGCTTCTTGTGCTCGACTTACTGTGTGCATCCTCAGAGCTTGAAAGACACCATGGGATAGACCCTGGGTATGAGCTTTTGCTCCTCTTAGCCGCAGGAGTTCCATAGCGCCGGAATAGTGGTTCATATACGCCGCGACTGTTTGCCCGGGACACTCTGTAAATTCGTACATACAAAGTACCATGCAAGCAGTGAGTGTTTGCTCATCGTATCGTGTGATGGGACTGTCGATGGCGCACTGCAACTTGCACAGGCCCGTCGTGTACAGGGTAAGACTTTTGTGCTGAAGATCTTCGTGCTTATCCCGGCGTCCAAGCCCTGCTGTACAGACGGCCAAAATTGTATACTCGAGAGCAGGCGATAGCGAAGGAAGACTGCCTAGCCGAAGGAGCCATTTGCGGTGGGGATTGGGAAGAGCGTGGTTGATAATGTCTGACGGGTATTGGTCGTTGATGAATATAGTAATGAGCTGATCTCGGAAGACATTGCGTGGAGATATGGAGACGAAAAGAGAAGGGTTGGAGACACTTGGGTTGACATTGCGCTTCTTAGACGGAACGGCGAGGCTTTTGGCGCGAGTGGTTTTCTTCCAGCGTGACCAGAGTACTGGGGAAGGGTCATATTCATCAGTTGGCTGACTTGTACTCTCAGACAATTCAGTGCTATTAGAAACCGTATATTGAGACAGGATGAACGCGTGGCTTCGCTGATAACCTGCGCATGAGCGGCCCGACTTGGTGCAATTACTGCAGGCGGGCTTTTCCCCAGCGCACTATAAGATAATGCCAAATGAGTACAAGCAATATTCACTTGGAGGTGGATAATAATGGAGAAGCATACCCTGATTTTTCTTTGCTTGCATGTATGACATGCGATGGATCGTCCAGCCACTCCCACCATAATATCGCGTGAGCGGCTGAGTCGAGCCGGGGTGCCACAAATGACGAAAAGAACTGGGGATTTGAGAAGAGCAGCAAGATCGTTTTATTGTCCGGTTTAGCAGCAGGAAGGGACGGAAAACAACACCCAACTCATTAACTTGCCCTAGGGGAAATGCACAGAGAGTCGTCGCACAGGCGTCTTGGCCGGTCAGCCCGAAGCTGCACCAGATTACGCGTATGGGGTCGGATCAATCTGAGGCTTATGTCTCCTGATAGGGAAGCATCTCATGAGATAGAATATCGGGTCGGTCGCAGGAAAGTTCGCTGGCAAGGCATCAATGGGGCCTGCGGCAGACCGATATCTGAGGGAGGTTGAAGACGGAGGTTGGACAGGGAACGTAGTAACGGCAAGAAGGCTCAAATAAATCTCTCAAAAATGAAGGCAATCAATTAATAGACTCCCTAGCAGCCTCGAGCCCTTCCGGCCTCTCTGACTTCTAGGAAGAATCTCTGATGAAAGAAAAGACGATGATTTTTCCCAATGACGGCACTGACCTCCCCTTTTAACCCCATCTGGGTCACCCTAGAGACATCCCCGCTAGCGACCAGCTAGCCCAAGTGTCCCTAACCGCCTGTCACACCGGTTCTACCGCCTGTCGCCTGCTGTCTGCTGCTTGTGTGCATTACAGAAGCAAGTTTGCGTGCGTCGCCTCCATCTCAACACTGTCAGCCACAGCAATTAGACCGCCAAGAATCTAGCGCATAGTCGGCATGAAACATCCGATTATCTACATTAAGCCAATGATCTGCCGTCATCGCCACAGACGAACCCACACCGAGATGGTGCTAAGCCTGATATAGTCGGATTCTGCGAGACGGTCAAGTTCGGCCGAGAGATCTGTGCCGTCTGCCGTATTTGTGGCTTAGACTCGTACTAATCGTTCAGCTGCCGTCCGCAGACGTGGGGCGCTACTCCGTTTTGGTTCTGATTGTGCGAATTCGAATGTACAAGTTGAAGCGAACGAACATCTCTGCTCAGGCCTCTGGCTCAGGCCGAATTATAAAACCTCGCCCTTTCCCTGGCCTCCATCATGTAGCATCTGATTAATAGTCACATCTTTACCGCCGACTTCGACGCTTTCTGTCTCACATCTATAGTGATACAATTTATTTCTCAACACTTTGGGCGCAAAATGCTCAACCCTCACACTGCTGTTGCCGTTGCGCAGATCATCTTTTATGTCCCGATTCTACCTCTTTCAGTATTCATTCTCATCAGAAATTGGAAAAACAGACCTCGACTAGCATGGTATCCTCTGGTCACCTTCTCTCTCGGTATGTATTTTCCTTCATGTCCCCATGGCTGTGGCTAATTATCGTCAAGTCCGGCTTGTTGGTGGAATTATTACTATTGTCCTCGAGTCTAACCGTAGCAATATTGGCTTAATAATTGCCACCACTGTTCTTCTCAATGTTGGAATCATTCCTCTCCTGCTCTCCCTTATCGGCATCGTTCGCATCGTGTAAGATCAATTCCCTCCAGCAGTCATTTTTCACGCTACTAAGCTTTTGCTGCAGTTTGAAGTCAAGCATGGATGATAATCAGCGCGCAAAAAGATGTCTCAAAGCTATTCGAATCGCGTTTATAGCCGCAATCGTCCTCATTATTCTCAGCGGCGGCCTGAGTGGAACTAGCTCGAATGCCGCAACCTCAAGGCGTCTAGCTCAAGCTGGCTACATTGTTCTTACTGCCGTTCTCGCTTTCACTACTTTGGAATTGCTTTATCTTTCGACTCAAAAACATCGCATCTCTCCAAATGGATTCATTGTAAGTGTTTACACTACCAGACTTGGCCGTTGTATTAATGACAAATACAGTATGTGGAATTTGGACTGCTCAGTGTCTTGGCGCTGGGTCTTCGAACTGCTTACGGACTTCTTTACGAGTTTTCTATACAGAATCCCTCTACCATTTGGAACCCACTATATGGATCACCTGTTGCATTCGCTTTAATGTGCTTGGTAGCGGAATATCTTGCACTTCTTATATTTACTTACCTTGGGATCCATTACATGAACCACAACGTTCAATGTATGTCAAAGATTGGCACTGGCTCGGAGCTGGCATAGGCATGCTATGCCTTCGAGCATGTTGTGGACGCCAAAAGCGTGCGCCAGTTATATGTCGAACCTCCTTACTCAAAGTAGCTTCTATCTCTCCTAGCCTCTAGCTTGCCGCAACTGTGGCCATTGGATCTAGTCATGGGAACGGAGTGGGTATACCGAAATCGGACAGACGTCAACAATCTTTAATACTATTCAGTGTCACAACCCTCTCGGTACCCTGGTCGTGTGTGTGGAGAACCCATAGCTGCGCTTCATAAACCTGTCTTGAGAACGTGCAATTAAGCTACCCTACTTGACAATGCTGAAATCATATGACACTCGACGGATTTAACTTGCCACTCCTGTGCAAAACCTCTACGACATACGCGAAGCCCGAGGCATGTTCACCCCAGATCATTATTTGTAAATGACATAGCGCTGTAAATACATAATAGATATGAGTGGGATCTTAGGCATACGGCATTTTAGAGTGCAGGCCCCGAGGGTCTTTTGCATTATATGAACTCCGACCATCATCCGAAAATCATTCAAGATACTCTCAAGTACGTCCCATCTCTTGCTGTCTACATTATTTCCAACCGCCATTTCCTACCGACCAAGTTAAAAAAGGAGAAAGCAGATCACTAAAATAAAACAAATGATAAAAAAGACTGAAGGACAGTCACAACCCGCATCCGTGTTGTTCACCACACGCTCCTCGTCTTGTACGGGCAAAGGTAAATGACCTGTACTCCTCCTAGTCTCTGGCATTGTATTCCGGGCCGTATTGGGCGGTATCATTGTGCCATAGCTTCTAGCGTGAGCTGCAGTAATGGCTCTCATTTGGCGCTCAAGCTCGACATTACTATATGGGTTTGCTTGGACCGCGCTGGGTGAGCTGCGAGCTGGAAGGTGTGGTGGATAAAGCGCGACTCTGGTGTACTGCGATGGTAGGGTTGCCGCAGCTTGGGCGTAAGTGGAAGCAATAGGAACTGGATAGACGCGATGTGCGTGTTGGACCTGGTAACCTTGCCCCGGTGAAGTGAATGCAGGACGATTGGTGGGAGGGAGTGGAGGAGAGTTGGTGGGATCCAGTCCAGAACCGTTTGACCAACTGAGCTCAGGACTGGCCGGATGGTTGAGCGTAGCTTGGCTTGGTGATGGCAAGGGCGGTTGAAACTGCGCACTCTCAAGCAGTTCCTTATACGAAGCAGCCGTGAAGATGCAGTAGAGCGCATGGCGCCCATGATAGCCTCGTAAGCAGTCGAGCGGGACCTGTATCTTCCTCATCGTCTTGACATACGACTTCTTTCTAAGCTCCATGTCCGATTTCAAGCGCAGAAGCTTCCCACTGTCTGGATGAGGGTCGCAAGGGTGAACTGGCAAATGGCCAGCTCTGACATCTTGAGTCCAGCGGCAGTCTTGGAGCGCTCTGCCGTTCAACGATGTTATCTGGGCCACGTCAGCGATGGAGAATTAGCCTTGGCTTGATGTTGGACTCACCAATAACACAACGACTTTTTCGCTCTCTGGAAACGGCGAAAGAACTACTACAGGATGATTGTAGCAGCCGTCGTCAATACCAAGGTCGCACTGCAGTTCGCCTTGCTTGGGCAGCCACATGATCTTGCCGGCGAGGAGGCATGATTTCTGGGGTCGGTCGGCTGGGTGAGTCCGGTCCGGATATTTACGACGGGCCTTTGGCATGATGGCACTCAAGAGGGTTCCTGCAAACAAGGGACAGTCTTAATGCTGAATGTGACGATGAGTTGCCGGCGACGCGTTCAATGTCATGAGATTAGGCTGCGAGCGGGGTAAATGGTATCAGATATCAACAGCGCCTAATAAAGACGTTTGAATGGTGGCCAACGGCTGCCAATAAGGCGTGCAGGTTGGCGCAGTCGATGAGGCCTCCGAACCATCCTGAATGGTGCGTTGGTCGTGTTGTGTTGGTCGTGATGTGTTGGTCCGGCCTGCGGAAGGCCGACCACCTCTGAGACCAAATCAATCTTAGAGGAGCGACCAGCACACCAAGGCAGATTCATGCCACGGAGGTGCACGCGCTTTCCCCTTTTCTCCATGATTGTCGTCCAACTTGGCGTTGCGGGCGCTTAATTCGGTGCAGCACAGCCCCCATGATATGACTCGGAAAAAGCCTTAAACCACAATTCGCCCCTTCGCATCCCGTTTGGCTCCGATCATCCAAGTCTCTTGCGGAAGAGAATTATATTTTCTTGCATATATCGACATCATTACTGGTCACTTTGCCACTCCATTGTTGGATTGTCCGCCTCAACCATGTCTTCAAGCAATGATGAGAAGGCTGAGAAGGCCCACATGGCTAACAACCTAAGCGATTTTCCGGAGCCTCAGAAATCGAACTCCAAGTTCGTTCCGTATCCAAGTCCTCCGAATTCACCACCTCAAACGAAAGCACCTATACCCCGAGCCCCGAGAATATCCGGAGACAGAGCTCTTCCGGCTGGAGCCGTCTCCTCTGCTCCTCTCAGTCCTCCAGCAACCTCTCCTCGGCGTTCGTCAGCGTTGACGGTCCATCAACAGCCGAAAGAAGGAGAGATCAATGCTGCAACACTGAGGACTCGCCTGGGTCTCGGCAATGGGCGGTGCGGGGGAATGGCAAAAACAGGACGGCCTTGTGGGAGTTGGTCACCAGCAGCGAACAAAGCTGGGGTCACTTCACAGCTCGAGTCGATGATAAACCTCACGCAGTCATCTCTAGAACTCAAAGCTGAGCTGGATAAGCTTGTCATGCTTGTGCATTGCAAAAATCACGACAGTGGTCTCCCGAAAAAGTCTCGAATCGAAGCCTGGATAATGGAATTTCCCATCGGAGAAGCTGGTATAACCAACCCTGCCACGTCGGTTGAAAAGCGAATCCGAGAGGCTTTGAATCTTAAGTCTACCCAGTGCATAGGAGTAGTGGGTCCGGACTTGGGCTGTCTGCGCGGAATTGGCGGGCAACGGGTGAATAATTGCGCGGTGACGATTGATGAGATTGTCAATCCGGACGTTTATCAGGATGACGTCTATCTTGAAGGTCTACTAAAAGTTCTCGAGACAAATATGTATTGTCCCTTGCACATAAACAAGCAACCCCTTCAAATGGTGGCATCGTGGAAGGAGAGCATTCTGGAGATCCTCGAGGAGCACCTGGCCAAGCCGGCTGAAAGCAGTGCACCCGAGCAGACCGGAGGCCCCTCCGGAGACTCAAACGCTCAAGGGTCTGAGAGCCCCTCGGCCAAAAGGAGCGATGGGCTTGTCTTGGGAAGTGGAAACCTGTCGATCCCCAACTTCGATGGAGATTTGAGCAAGTACTGGCCAGCCGCATACGACACCTCCCCGTTTGAGATAATCGTGAGAAGTGCCAGACTTGCCGACTACAAGTCTTCATATGCCATGGTCAAACGCGAAATGATGAGAGAACTGGGTGAGAAGGACCGGATAAAAGGACATGTTTATATGTATGAGGTTGAAGGAAACAAAGGGTTTGTGAAAATTGGGTACACGGCTCGTACCGTGGAGGGTCGCCATCGGGAGTGGGATTTCGATTGCAACAGGGCCACCAAAGCCCTATACCCCATTCCTTCAACCACTTCCGCCGAAGTTCTGAATGTCCGTCGAGTCGAGGCATTGTGTCACGCGGAGCTGAACCATCGCAGGATCAGAATATATTGCAAGGCTTGCCTGAAGCCGCATCTAGAATGGTTCGAGATCTCGGCTGCGGAGGGCATTGCGGTGATCCAAAAGTGGTCCAATTGGATGGAAACCTGGCCGTACAAGTCCACGGAGTTGAGATCTGGGGCGAAATGGACGGTCAGGGAGGAGGAGAGGAAGAGGGCGCAGGATATGGACCGCTTCCTAAGGGAAATATAAGGAGCCCGCGGATGGGAAAATGAGGACCGGTGAGATGGGCAGGCCATTCACAATGTATTTTCCTTGGGAGCCTATCGATTTGTACAATAGAACGAGGGGAATAGCCAGTTTGATTCATCTCTTCCTCATTAAAGTCATCCTGAATCTCGGCGAAACGGTCACCCCAGTTCTGGATCCGACCGTCACAACATTCATAAATTAGGCACAAATAATGCAAATAAGGCGTAGACGCACCATGTCACCGACATTTTCAATCTATATTTTCCTAGCCTCTTTAGCGTATGCGAGATGCATTCCCTCACTGTGTCCGCTTTCTAGTTATTATTTTTGGTGGAAGATTGGGTTCTCGTCGCTTTCGCTTTGAGCGTAGAACCGATCTTCTGATCCACCACCGTCCCACCAAGCCCACAGCAATTAGCTTACCCTAGAGCCCTAGGATGAGCTCGACGAATGCTACGCTAGGCGATAGAATTCTTAGTCAAGGATGTGTTAATTTTGTATCCGAGTTTAAAATAAAAGTTAGAGATCGCAAATCGTTTAATTTAACATACCCATTAGTTTATTGCACACTGTTACGTCGAATCCAGACAGATCTGAAACTGAAACGCAAACATTGCATTTGGCAACTCTCGCAATGAAACCGTGTGACACACAGTTTGGGTTCCATCATCGATGATTTTTGCTAATTATACTATTAGGAGTGAATCCCTAGAATCTCCTCTTCACTCTGATTATCTCCTGGAAACCCCCCTCTAATAGCAGATGACTTTATGTTGGAGTTGTGAAGGTCCAGGTCCTTATCCACCCTAACGATGTGCTGCCCATCCTTGGCGCAGGAATCTACAGACTCTGCGCGGATTTCGTCGTGCATCTCGTTGGTTCCAATTGTGCGTAGTCGATACCCTCCTGCCGTATTTGCATTGTACTTGCTCCCGTCTTTGGAACTCCATTTCCCGAGATACTTCTTATACAAGGGGCGACAAACAGGAATGCCGATGCAGACCATAGTCACGGCCATTTCGGCGGCTGACCAAACGATGATTCCAACAGAGTCCTCTGCGTCAAGAAAAATTGTTATTATTGAAGAATGATAAGGAAGGATTGAGGAGAGGAAAATGGCATACTCAGGTAGTTCTTGCTCAGAAGACCGGGAATCTCGGTTGCTCGCTTGATGCCACAGACTCCAGCGCTGCCACCGGTCAGTTATCCATCTTGTCTTGGGTTGGAGAGAAATTAATGACAATTCCACTTACATACTGCCTAAGCTCATGCTACCAAGAATGACAAGTTTCTCTCGTTGATTCATTTGGAGCTTCCACATGAAGATCCATGGGAAGATGGCAAAGAAGAAGTCAACAAGGATGCAAGTCGCTGGTAGTAAACTCTTTAGCATGCTTGCCTATGCCGAACTATACTGCCGCCGAAGGGATAGGAAATAGGGATATCCGCCGGGGGGACTCACCTCCTAGAATGATGGAAACTGGCAGAATATTGAGTTCACACTTTCCACCAAGCAATGTCCGATCCCAGAGATATGCAGGCGGCGAGCATTGGAACCAGAAACACAACAGGCAAGAAATGGAAGCGCCCATGAGAAACCAAAGGGCGGCCCAGATGGCGACTTTGTGCCAGGTCTGCTGCACGAGTCGCAAAAGGAAGAGGCCAAGTGACCACTTGGCGAGAGCCATTCCCAAAACGTTGAACGTCTGACTTATACACTCGAAGAGGACCGCCTTGGATATGTTGTGGGCGTTGTGGATATCGAATGTGTTCTGGCCGAATCCATACATGGCAGAGATGTTGATAAAAATGGTGAAGAGGAGCAGGCAGACCTAGAAATCTGACCGGTTAGAGGGCACTCGGAGAACTGCGATACTCTTGGGAGGCTTGCCCCGAACAGAGGCAGATTGAGTTCACATCGTCCAGGGTTTACCTACAAATGCCAGGATGAAGACAAAATCGTCCGTTCCAAACGCCTTGACCAGTATCATGCGGGCGTAGATGCGGAGGATGACGAAGATTAGGACCATGACGGTCAATGACCACATCACGGCGACGGCCCAAGGGCCATCGCCCGCCATAGCCATTTTATCGAACTGATGAGGTGGGGATATCAGAACTGAACCAGAGTTTGCTCGAAGGCTGTTGGATAGAATAGACAGTCTAGAGGCAGAGGTGGAGATGGAGAACTGGGCTGGGAGCAGATCGGCGATGTAGAGAGGGTGTCAGACCTCCAATTTTCAAGGGCCCACGCGTGGAGAGGTAGGAGTGCCTATATAGTTGCAGCCAGATCAGCCACGTCTAATCATGACTAGACAGTGGGAGATGGGCCCCCCTGACTCAAGCAGTAAGTGCCCCGAATGCCACCAGCCTGGTGTGGAAGTTCTCGTATGTGAGACAGCATGACTCGTATCTCCTTAGACGGCCCCCCGATGAGATTTCTTCCCCTACGCGGCTTAATGTTACCTGTCCTGAAGGTAGCATTCTCGCATACAACGGCCTTGTGCGACAGAAACTTCTCAACTGTCCAGACACCAGTGTTGTGCGACATTGAGGGGAGACAACGGGCTAGAAATAAAGCAATCCTCCTTCACCAAGAGGTCGACGGCCACCCCTGAGACCACCGGTTGCATCATTTAGCAACTAACGAAGTCAAATGTGTGGAGATGAACGGAAGCTAGCATGACAAGAGCAGCCAAACTCCCTAAATCCGGAGCAAATTCCGGCGGCCCATTCCGGATCCATTCCGGAGCAACACCAAAACGCGGGGCCCCGGATTGTCGCGAAAGTCAACTGGTGTGTCTGTCACCTAGCTTAACGAGTCTAGTTGCAACAGGTGCAAAGGCCCGCTCCACAATGTAGAGCCGATAATACACATTATGTACCACAAAGTCATTATCCGTCGAGTTTATGGCTTTGTAGCATCAACGCTAGCAAATGAATTCTCAAGGGAACATCCTGGCATGGAATGCAAATCACGGATTGCGATTATCGTCAAAAGTCTACACTTAGGGTGAGTCGTGTAGCTGATACCGACTTTCGACTACGGAGACACTGTGGCCGGGTGTGTCATTACGACGAACCATACCACATCTACTCATCTTTGCATTTTTCAAAGCGTTGCTGAGCATAACAGCACTACCTACACAGCACTGGCCACTGATGCATTCAGGGCCAGGCCACAATCGACGCAACAATTGGGATGCTATGACGCTACATATGAAAGACGACCTGGACATCTAAGATAAGACATATAAAAATTAGTATAAACCATTGTCAGACCTGGACCGACCGGACCTATCTTTCTTTAAAACATGCGCTACGTCAAAATTAGCGGATTCATCGCCTCAGATTTACAAGTCGCCCCAATTGGTATTTTCCCAGGGTCTGAACATTTCGTCCAAGAACTAACAGGAGCTAAATCAAGCTCAAATGCCCTATAAAGTTACAAGCTACTCCTAGCCCCGAGGCCCGGCGAGCTGTTAACCTCCCGCAACAGGCAGTCCATCTGATTGCCTTCCTCACACTTATAGAAGCCTTTGCACAGCCTAGGAATGGAACCCCAGGTTGTCGAGCTTGGTCCACTGCTTGCGATGGTCTCTAAAACTAGGACAGAAATAAGTATCACATTATGGTTCGCCTGGGGCCTTCCGGCTTTTCAGTTAATTACATTTCAACGACACCCACATCCCGTCATCAGAAACCGCCGGCCGCAGCTCAAACTCTCCACACAAGACGTATAGCCTTCATGATGTCAGGCCGAAAATCAGGGTCATGGCTCCTGCTGCAAGCGCAAGACTCAGCGAAGGCGTGGTCACTCCTGCTCCAGAATAAGGATCTCTGAGATAGGGATATCCCTCAACCTCGAATTTATCCGTCGCCACCAGATTTGAGCTCCAGCTCTGGTTGGAGTATGGGAGCCTCGAAAGAGATGCTTCGAACCAGTTGTTCTTGCCCTTAACAAGAAGCTGCTCGAAGCCGTCCGCGGTCACATTCGCTATCCATTCAGGGGCGTCCCATGTCCACGTACTAGTGTTTCTGGTGTCGAGTCGTTCGAAGTTGATCCCCCACCGACCCGACCCGGAGGAGTCGCCCGTAGCGAATATAAGCTGAAGCCAGGGTTGCAGGGGGTTTCCTCCAACAATTGGCCATTCAAATACGACAGGCTCAGAGAAGTTGATTGGTTTGGTGGTATCGGGCGCGGTAAACTCGAATGTACGAGCGACCGGCGTCAAGGTGGAGATGAAGAAGAGGGCGGGTAGGACTCTCATTGTTAAAGGTGAGGACGTAGGTAGTCGCACAAAAATTAGTTTGAAGAATAGAGGTAGAGATTTAGACGTTTGCTGGCCAAGTTGAAGTGTTGACGAGGAAAACCAGAGTTGCGTGGAGCGCCTTGGACGCTTTTATTATTAGCCGCTGGTCCGCTAAGAAGAGAAAAAACATTGACGCCAACAGCTCCGCTGCAAAATCGCATTCTTCCAAGGATGCCTGGTCGTTCAGCGCTCAGCCCTACGGCACAGCAGCCCTATAAGGAAGGTCGGTATGGAATCGATTGTTCCAGATCCCCAGAGGATGCGCTTGTGAGGACTCGTATAGCTGGGCGACGATGCGGTCCAACGGCGGAGGAGATCTGGTCCTCTCGTTGGACTTTGCTGGTGGTCAGCATTTAGACAGGCTTAGTGCAATGCCGTCAGCAGATCAACCTTGCAGGGGGCTGGGCAGGGAAGCAACTTGAGGGAGGCCGCCTGGGCGCCTAAATGCCATTGAGCGAGAGATCGAGTATCTCGCGATCTGACGACGGGATAGCAGTTGTTGTCTTTCGAAGATGACTACAGGCTCCCTTGCTCCCTGCTTTCATCCGATGCGCAATGGTGCTTACACTTACTTTTCCTCGGTTCATGGCAACGGTCACAGAGCGACTGCACCGCATTAGAGAAGGTTTAGGCATAATTCAGACTGCATTAAGCTTAAGGCTCCCGGGGTAAGTAAGTAGTGTAACAGGGGTACCGCCGGTTTCGTAACCGAGCTGGAGGAGCTACTTAGCCCTACGAAAGATCATGATCTGGCTATTGGTGGATATTCCTACGTGCAAGTTTTTAGACGAGCCAAGTCGGGAAATCGATCGGCAATCACAAATACCTCGAGAACTTTGAGGGATCACCACCGGTTTTTACGCCACTGATGGATCCGATACCGTCAATTCAATGGTTGTAGTCTTGTTCAAATTGTTGATGATGATCGCAATCACCTTCCGGTCATCCGGACCGGCCGGAAGAGGGGTTATCTGACCCCCTTCATGACTAATGTCCGGATATCAATCTACTGAATGTTTCCTAGTACAGAGTCTCTCTCCAACAGCCACCTCAAGGGAGGGCGCACACTGATTCCTACAAATACACCAACTGCTGCTTATGTCACTCTCAAACCACCGAGTAACCTCTTCAATCCTCGTTAACGTCGTCAGGCCAGACCCTAGCTATGCATAGGATGGGAGGGTCCGATTAGAGCTTATCACCGTGTTCATCAAGCCAAAGTAGTTGACCAGCAATTCGCCGTCCGCATAAAGATCCTGCTGCACCCAAACTGACTTAATCTCAGCCTGCAACCCTTTCATACTGCGAACCTGGACCTTCTTCTCGGTCCTGTCGATAAGCTCAAGGATAAGAGCTCTTTGCTGGTCTGTCCGCGCCTCGCACGCCAGGATGAACAAGGGAAAGAAGTGGTCACAAGAAGGTGCCCGAACTGGCACCGCGAATGCCCTTTCTATGAGATGCTCCAGCACTGGGGGTGGTTCTCGTGGACTCTGTGAAGCACGCACGAGGTAGATAAGCGTAGCCATCTGGTACAACTCAATCGGTATGTGTGGTTCATCACCCGTATCGCCAAAAGCCGGCGTGGTAGATAGGTTTGTTACCTTCTCTTCAAGAGCTTTAAGGCGGTTTTGGTATTCCCTATCGTGGCTTTCGGGTTTCAGTGGGTCGAGCACGGTGTCGCATGTCTCCGAAAGCAGGTTTAATATTTCGTGAGCAGGGTTTGACGAACGAATGGCCTACAAGTAGGTGTAAGCGGGTGATGATGGGAAAGGTGGTTAATGCTGCCATAGGACGTACGCGTCTGTCTTTTACCAACGGCAGATACTGGGCGTTTGTGGTGTCCAATCTGATCGCGTCCGTGGCCTCTAAATCCACTGATTTGTGGCACCAATGATGCATGGCAAACCGAGAGAGTGCGTTGTGATAGTAGACCCAATCAAGAAGGTGTCCAATCTCGCTTTGGTCCGATTGTTGTTCGAGGCCAGCCCCTTGGATGATGTCCATGGCTCCCCGAACATACCAAAGCCACTCACCAGAACCTTCTGATGGTAACAGGATCTACACAAGTTGTTAATTTCACTGGGTTATTCCTCATGTACGGTTCTGTAACTCACGTCATAGGTTCCAAGGAGCATGCACGTGGCCACGTGCTGAGCAGCTTCGGCCGAGCTGAGGACTCCGCCTCTCATGGAAGCAGATAGACCATGAAGCGCGGACACCTTGAATTGAACAGCCTCCAGATGAAGTCCGCCACGGTGGAGGGAAGACACGGCAAGCAGCGCGTAGAAAAGAGCGCGGCCAGAAATAGTATCATTTGCGAGGGCCATGCGTGTAAGCGAATCTCGAATGTGCATTGTCGTTGAATTGAACGCAGCCAACGACCGATAGGCTGTACTGCAGACTAGTGCGTATAACTCGTGAGCTGGTCCTGATATTATCCAAAAGCACATGTTGTAACTTACAGTGATGCACCAGGTCCATGTGCTTCAGTCCTGGCTGCGGTTGTCTCCACAGCTTCGGAGGAAGATGGACCAGGTGTGGAGGTTGTATCTCCCTGAGGGCCTGTAGGGATAGATGACGATGCAATTCAATGTCCTGCAACGTCGTGTTGATGAATCGGATCTTGGTCCATTCGTGCAAAAATGCGCTGTCTGACGGTGCTGACGACGCCTGCGTAACCGCACGCTTTTTGTCGTTGTCCCTAGGCCACGATAACCGCAGTCCATACCCTTGACATTCTCGTTGGGCTCGGGCACATTTCTGGCAACTAGGCAGAGTCCGGTCACATTGGATCTTTCGGGCTGAGGGATCCGAGTTAGATACTGTTGACTATGTCCACAGCCACATGATGCAGGCAACGTCACCAACCTTTACAAGTCCAGCAGGCTTTCTTAGCCTTGAGGGTGTCGATGGACATGGCAGATCGGACGTAAGAAGTAAGTCCGCGCGAGTGTTGCCTGGAGTGTTACCTGAGAGTGAATAATCAAATAGATGACGAAGCTCCATGAGAGAGTAACAACCGACGTTCGCAAAAAGTTGCTTGACGTGGGGTCGTCCTTTTTATCTCTTGTTGGCTCATGCCATTCCCCTCCGACTAAGCCGATCAGACCCACCAGGTGCAACTTTCTCCGAGCATTTAAAGTAGGCATTTGTCATCAGTCGACGTGGATCGGATCAAGATGCCCCGCCAAACAAAGAGAGGACAAATTAATTCACACATAAGTCAGTCTAAATTATAGGGGAATCTGGTTGTCCTTTTTTTACCATACTACGTAGTGGCTGCACCCACAATCTTGCGGGGTGGCAAAATGGATCGGTCCTGGCGCTATGATGGACGACGACGAGGCCCCCAGTAAGCACTGTCATACACCAAGCCACCAGAGGAATACTTGTGAATTCGCAATGCGAGGAAATCATGGTTCGGGTTAATTGCTCGAGCACCGTATCCTGCCTCCATGGGTATAAATGTAGCCGGTTTCCCTCCTCAACCCAGCAGATCTCCAGACTCACACCACAGCATATCTCTCACAGAATCACTCTCATCTTTTTCATATTTCCCAACACACTTGTCATCATGGCTACCTATCTCGTCACACAGGCAACTGGCCAACAAGGCCAAGCCGTCACCAAGCACCTCCTGGCAGCGGGTGCCAAAGTCCACGCAGTTGTGCGTGACCCCCAGAGAATCCCGCCCATCTTGGAGGATCCAGCTGTCACCGTGTTCAAAGGGGAAAGTGTCAACTTCGACCAAATCTTCCAAGCCGCGCAGGGTTGCAAGGGAGTGTACTTGAACACTTTTCCCATCCCGGGGCTAGAGGCCCAACAGGCAAAGACCATCATTGAGGCAAGCAAGAAGGCAGGAATCAAGACCATTGTTGCATGCACGACCATGTACACTGGCAACAAGGCCGTGTGGGACACTCCAGCCGCAGAAGAAATCGAACTGCGCGGATATTTCCTTTCCAAAGCCGAGGTTGAAGATGCCGTGCGCGGAGGCGGTTTCGAAGCCTACACCATACTTCGGCCAGCATTCATTCATGTCGACTTCATGTTGCCAAACGCCTATGGTAACTTTCCCAAACTTGCCACAGAAGGACAGTTGGATCACGCCTACAACGATGGAGCCAGGATGCTCTATACGGATGCAAACGACATTGGCAAGTATGTCACGGCGGCCTTCCTGGATCCCGCCAAATTCGCCGGTCATGAGATTGAGCTCGGCAACGAAAACTTGACCATTGAAGAGGTCCGCGACATCGTTGCTCGAGTCAGCGGTAGAAACGTCCAGGCGAAAAAGCGGACTCCAGCGGAAATTGAAGCGATCAAACCCACGCTCTTTGGCCAACGATTTCACCTTTGGGCAAACGTCAATGATTTCAGCGCTGCCTCAGAGGCTGCCAAGGAAGTTCAGGCCAAGTACGGTATTCCCTTTACTTCTCTCGAAGAGGCTTTGCAGAGGGACAAAGCCCGCCTTCTCGAGTGTGTGCCAGCTTAGTGTTACAACGAATGACAAGCGCCGTCGACTATGGTAGAATGAATGCCTGACTCCGTGTCTTTCACTTTTACCAATAGCAGTAGGAGGGATAGTCACAGAAGCGGCACGCTCGCAAGACCTGTCGGTTCAACAATTATTTACGCGCATTACCTGCACTTCAGACGAGCCTTGTGCTCCTAGCTATCAATACAACTGGGTTACTTAGATCTACAATCCACCATCACTGGACGTGAAGACACAATATTTGAATCAGACTGACGTCTGGACCGAATTAGCTCCAGCCCCCACATGAATAATGCCTCTTAAAATGGGGACTCTGTCTGCCTGATTTGGTAGCTTCCACAGTGCTTCCTGGTTTCAATGGGAAAATTCAAACCCTGCATTTTAATCTTATTTAACTAGATCCTTTTGCCTCCAACCTTATCTCTTAAAGCCTCTTACAACTCAAAGCTTCCTTGTACAAACAGCAGCCAGTTTGCCCCTTCTGTCACACTAGCTCCCCGACGGCTCTTCGACCCACAAACTCCCTCTTGATTTGCCCAAGTCGAATACAGAAGTCAACGGTCGATTCATCCCAACGGTGCTGCTGCCAGCTCCTCAACACCACCCTGATGGCTCTTATTCCACTCCATGGTATAACAGTAGCTTCATCGCTGGAGGCGGCGTTTGTCAGCTTGTTTTGGTCTTGGAATCTTCCAACCAGCAGCCACTTGGTAACCTTTGGGTGCGGCAGACTTGCAAGAAGTCCGCTTCTGTAAGTTCCATTCTCATCAGTGTACTCCAAATTGGCTCCTCTCCTGACCAGCAACTTGACCATTTCCAGTTTCCCACAAGCAATGGCACACATGAGGGGTGTGCCAAATGATGAGCCATCCTGCTCGATGTTTGCATGGAGGACAAGTAGCAACTCCGCCACTTGAGTGTAATTCCCGGCTGCTGCCTCGCATAGTAGACTGCCATACCACCAGCCATCCATGTCGAGGAGTATCTGCGCCTCTACTCGCGGTAAAGACAGATAAATCCTCTTCAAGAAATTGATTTGATTTTTAGCAGCAGCTTCGGAAAACAAATTGTACGTCTTGCAAACGCTTGGGCGCGGTCGTAAGGCTACCATCGAACGGGACTGGACAATATAGTCCCTGATGTCCGAGTGGTTGAGGGCCAGCCTTAGTGCGCAAGAACCATCTCGGTCGTACTGCTGCGGGTCAACTCCTCGAGCTATGAGATACTTGAAGGTGTCTACAGGCCAATCACCAAGCCTGGCGAGTGATGCCAAGTTCTCTCCTATCACATCCATGAAATGTTGAGAGAAACCGCTTTTCAGATCCAACAGCTGAACAATGTCGAGGTGACCTTTCTGAACTGCCCATGCCATTGCGGTATAGCCTTTGAAACCTCTACACTCCATTGCGGCGCCATTGGCGAGGATTTCTCTGACGATATCAAGTTGATTGTTCATGGAAGCAACTATTAGAGGGGTATCCTGATCCATGTCGATGGCGTTCACATCGGCGCCATTCTGGATGAGGAGGTTTAACGCATCGAGATTTCCGACAGAAGCCGCATGGTGGAGTGGTGTATCCCAGCACTCGCCATTATCTGGTTTGTCCGGCTGATTGATCAATGCCGATATTAATGCATGATCTGAGTTCCCCCGCAGCTCTTCTTCAAGGTGTGGTTTGAAGACACGACTGACCAGTCAGGACCAAGGCTGCAAGGGGATTCATCCGGTTGTACTTACCGATACATCGCAGTATTTCTTTTGACATGCGAGATGATTGCTTGTAGGATTTCGACCTCGTCCATGTTGACAGCCAAGTAGATGGGGCTTGTGAGTGCAGGGTACCAGCAAATCCCATGCCGGAGAGCAGCAGAAAGCACCTTATCCATGCACCTCCCAGAAAGCAGATTGAGTGCAGCGTGTTGAGTTACTTCCGGGTAGACGTTATGGTGACAGAAGACACCATGTGGGCTCGCTCTCTGCTTGAGTAGCCACTCGACAATGTTTTCTCTTTGAGCACCGATTGCGACAAACAGAGGCGTACATCTGTGGCAACTAGGAGTGGAAAGCCGAGAGGAGTAACAGCTGAAAGCTTAAACCTTGAATATAAAGGGGTGGACTGTAGGAGTGGTCTGAGTGACAGGGTTGAGAGTTTGGGGGCCAGAATTAGTTACTGCACGGCACTTTAATGGTCACAGGGGTAAGTTAAGGCCTAAATTTAGCGCCGACGGAGGGTGGCAATGGGGGCTGAGCACTTCAGGCAGCATTGAAAAAGGGCGGCTTCCTCCACCAACAATACAACCAACATAGAGTACCATCCATAGCACACGGAACACCTCAGCCCACGAAAATGACTGACACATCTCCAGGTCCCCAGCTCCAGTGCGCCTTCATTATGCGCCTCTCTCGCGAAGTACGCGACGCTGTATACCTCGAGCTGTGGCGTTCCTGTGGCCTACGCCAACACATCGTCTGGCACGACGACAAGGGCGACAGAACCAAGTCCCATTTCTGCCGCTGGCAATGCACCACGCCATTCCAGGTCGAGGACAAGCTCCAAGAAGCCGTCGATGCCTCAAGAATCCAGCTCGGGGTCCCTCTGGGGGATAAATTCAGTAACAGAACCTATGCCCTGCGGCTTTATTCTCCCTGGAAGAACCACTGGGCATGTGGCGAACGTGTCACAGACGTGCATGGCTACGACTACGCTATTAATCTCAGCACTTCTCGAAAGCCCTGCTGGAGTAGCCGTGATCTGGATTCAGAGGGCTCGTCGACGTGGAGTCCGTATCTCAGCATGCTGCTGTCGTGCAAGATCATGTAAGAGCAGAACCAGCAGCTCATTCCGCCTGCACGCTGACTTCCATGCTGTAGATCCTCAGAATGCCTCAAGTCAATCTATGAGGCGACCACCTTCATATTCACCGATACGACTGCTCTGAACATGTTTGTTGGCTTCTGCAAATTACCACCGGTCATGCAGAACTGGCCCAAGATGGGGATTCCGCCGCCAGCCTTTCGCACTCATGGCAAACACTTGGAGCTATCGTTGGAGCCAGTGTTCCCCATGCTGCTGGCCTGCTTAAACCCTAGATTGACACCACTGCCAGAGGAGCGTCACAATTCTCTGGATTTCCATGGGCTGCGCCTTGACCGCTTGGAAAGTCTCACGACTCTTGACATCTGGGTAGCCGCCCGCTGCACGGCCTTCCTGATTGACGAGCAAGCAAAAAACATGGACCAGAGCCCATACAATATCACTCAGTTGGATATTGAGTCGCTTAGAAAGGTCTTGTCGCACTTGGAAAGAGTAGGCAATGTCACTCTGAGCATGCCTCTGGCCCAATGTGCTGAGCCTGAAGATGGCCACATCGATGATGCTACGCTGCCCTCAAGCCTTCGTATATGGCGACGAGGGGCTGGAGATCGTTTTCATCCAGCTCTTTACCCACTCATTGACAAAGAGAGATTTGATAGTAACATCTATTCGAGCAAAGACAGGTATGTCAGAGCAGAATGTCAATGTTGCCATTGGTGCTGATATATACTACTAGGGTGATACGGCTGGCTTATAATCCAGCAAACGTTGAGCATGTTCACTATTCTCACCTTGTGCCCTCTTCTCTCATACACGAGAGACAACAGCCCAAGCCAACTAGTGGGCGAATAGCTCGACTCATGGAATCTATCCGGTCTAAAGGGAAACGGTTGAGGAGAGATGGCTGAGGACGCAATAGCAGACAAAGATCATAGAAGAAACACTAGTCGGGCCTGGCCAATTGCTCTGGACAAGAAAACTGAGGAGGAGTTAGATTGTGAAGGCGAGATATGTTAGGAACACTCGGAATATAGTGGGCTCATTCAACCTCTTGTTATAGTCATTATTCTCAATGATTGTCTTTCCGCAAACGGGGAGGTAGGCACAAGATCAGAGAACACATTGTTCCACACATCATTCAATGATTAGTACGATGATAAAAGGGATAAACAAGATGAACCCCTACTTTGGGTGGCGAGGCAGTGCCAAAGCTACGTATCGGCGAAGATCCTGCAGACATTCGTATTGTCTGTAGGTATCCATGCCCTGAGAATAGCGTCGCTAGTCTAGAAATGCCGACGAGGAGCTTGAAGGGAATACGGAGACCTTTCGCACGCGAGGAAAGTTCGATTTGCTAAAGAGCAATTTCTCATTGAATGATGTTATAGGTTAAAGTCAAAATAGATGGTGTAAGAATGCTTTGCTTTACGACCAACACAAACCATATACAGTTAAAGACTATCAAACAGAAAATCTCCCACTACAACATGATTTCGGCGACCCCTTCCCCCGTGCTGGTGGAGGTGTTCCTTGGCTCTATTTTAGCCAAAATCATTGCTCAAATTCTCCAGTCTCTGTAACAACAGCCTTGTAGTTGTTTCTCAAGTCAAAAATCAGGGCCAGGAGAGCCATGAGTTCCGGGTTGTCGATGAGCTTCCTTTCAATATTCTCTACGACGATTACGCGCTTGGGAAAGATGGGTGCAAGAAGGTCGAAGAACGGGCAGTATGTTACTAACATTGACGATTTACGTGCCTCGGGGCTATTTCGATTTTTCTTATTTATGTGTCTAGGGTTTTTCACCCGACTAGACAGAAGTCTAGCACGGTTTTCCCTAAGGAACTAGGAGGTGTAGTGCATGATCTTATTATAGGTTCAATCAGGGTAATAATAAATAAATAAAAATATTCATGTGTCTGCACGGGGAGGACGGCTGTGGCCCACGCTGCAATGTCCAGCAATATCGCAGCTTGAAAGTCCTAACTAATCGATTATGGAGAGGTTGTCCCACCCCGACCTTTGGACTCTGGATATAGCGCAGGCGGGAAGCGCTAACCCTACTACTTTCGGGGGATCCGTCAGCCTATAGTTAGGCGCCTCAGCCACGCTGTGGAGTCAGACTAGCGCATTGAAGGGTACACGACAAAAAGCTCACTACCCGTTGGCCCAATACATATCCCAGTGGTAACGGCCAAGCACTTGGATAAAGCTGGAGCCTATGCCGAGCAACCCTTCATGACCGGTACCCGAAGTTTCCATCCCACAGTAACTACCACACCTACGCCAAATGGACTGGGACATTGGTCATGGTTGCTTCGTTCCCAGACTGCAACTTCGGATCAACCTCCGCCGACTCCTGATCGCAGGTGGCCAAAAAAAACACACCCATCTCCACGTCATGTTACTCCACTGCATACGGTGGGCGATAGGGGGCACTGTTGCAAAACCCCGGGTCGTTTCCTTTTGGGTTTAGGTGCTTAACTCCTTAGTTATCTGAATACTTTGGATCGAGATGGAATATATACCGCGGACTAGCAGCGGGCTCGTGCGGTAGCTCTCGGTCAGTATATTGCATGCTTACTATATCCGTTGAAAAATAGTGGATATATTGCTACCACATAAATACTCACAATAATACTATATCCAGATGATGGTTATTACAATCTGAGTTGACTGTTACTCTAATATCCTTTGCTATTTTCGCAATCAAAATACACCTATTCCAGAATTCGCAAATGCTTAGCTGCCCATTTATCTTCTCCATGCGATAAGGAGCAGCTTGGTAAGCCCACAAGGGGTCACCGCAGTAATCCCGCTCCTGGTCCGCAGCGGACTAGCGCAGAAACCTCCTGCTTAAATGAGCCTAGCGACTTCATCCATCATAGGGAAGGGCGATATTATTTGTTCTTATTAAATTAAAACCTCAGAGGAACCCAGAGCCCCCCCTTCTTCCCTTTCCGACTTTCACCTCCTCTTTTTATTCAAAATGGGCCCTCTAAAGATCCCCCCCGAACATATCTATTGCGTCTAAGCCGGAAAGAAATACCATAAACTCTTCACCACTATGTATATTATCACGAATTATTATAGCCGTTGCAGCTTAGCCAACCCCTTTCGGCCCCAGTATCAAGCCAGGTCCAAAACTCCGGCACTTCCGGGCCTATATGATAAAGTGGTAGGTTAAGGACTTACCGCCACGGCCAGTCAGTCTAGCAAGCTAGCTGCTGCAGGACAGACTGAAACCCGTACTATTTATCAGCATTAGATATACAGCTTAACTGCTCCTTAATAAAATATCTGCTCCCGGTATAGTAAATACACAAGTATATATACCTCCTCCTAATATACCAGGCAATCCCCAGTTTATAACAGTTATACCAGCGGCCAGTCGGGCTATATAGAATTTAAAAGCCAGTATCAGAAAGCCTATGAGGCAGCGAATGGAATACCAGTAGGTATATATAAGTCTCCTGCTTATAAGCTTGGAGATTAGGTACTTTAACGGGCTTGCAGTAGAGGTTCCGGAGATGGTACTGCCTCTAAAAGATACAGTAATCAAGTTTTCCTCGGCAGATTTACTAACTTAGCCCTTATTTACTACGATTTTATTCGACTATCTCCGTTCACTCCCGCCTATAATCGATCTTATAAATAGAAACTTCTGGAACCTTTCTTATATTTTAAGTTTCTCTGGTAAGAAGATTGTTACTATTTCTAATACTGATAAGTATATAACTCTATTAAGTATACTTATCTCAGGGCAATTTAATAATAACCAAGCAGGATAGTTAAAGGTACTAGTTATTCTTATATCTATAGATATAGTTAATAAGTAGAAGCTAGTTATACTACTTAGGCTAGATAAATATTCTATATCAATTAAGAAAAAAAAAGAAATAGAAAGTTAAGTAAGAAGATATAAGTCCTGCTTTATAGTATAAGAAGTATATTAAGCAGGAGGAATATATTAAGAAGGAGATTAATACCAGCAGTATAAACTAGATTAAGCAGGAGGTATATATTAAGATAAGGCTAGATGTAATGAGGTCAACGAAGAGGTACGAAGTAGCCAGGCGAGAGTAAGGTAGTAGTCAATTGAGACAGAGACTAAAGCTTGCCTTGCTTCAGTCTCTGGTCGGCAGGCCGAGATTATATAGATACTACGGCGAAACCCTGAGGGCTGGCCCCAGGCTCGTTGAGGTAGGCCGCGCGGTTGGGTTTTGCAGAGGGCCGCGTGTCTAGGTTAGCATTCTAGTGTACCAAGGCAAGGCAGGGCTAACCCCTCCTTGTACCGGATATGGGTGTGTGACAGGGTGTCGGCCGTGAGGCTCGGTATCCTTGTTACACTAGAAGAGCCTATTTTAACTGCCTCTTACTAGAGCCTAATAGATAATAAGCTTAAAGGTATTATTAAGAAGATTATTATATATAAAAATATAGTAAATCTCTATAAAGAAAAAGATTTATTTTATAATCTAATATTTAATAATATTCCTAGTAATAAGAAAAATAGAGGTATAGTAGAAAATAGAGATAAAATAGATAAAAATAATAGTAAGGAAATTTTAATCCTGGAGTTTATAAAAAACCAAGTTACTCTATTATAGAGTTTAATATTAATATTACTAGGTAACTTAGTTACTAATAACTTTTAGCCTAAAAGTAAAGTACTTCTTAAGTTCTCTATGCATGCGTCAGCACTTCCTCCGCCGAGGCAAATCAGCTGCAAACCCAACTGTCAGCCGCTTGAAATCAGCCCAGCTTCCGCCGGGACAGAGCGAGGGATAGTAGCTAGGTATTGGGCTGAGCATTGGCTCGCCTGTGATATTGATAAGTCAAATGCGTGTTCACAAACAATCCCGATTATTTACAAAGCTAACAACTACATATTTGGTATACTCGCTAGATCTGGTTGGACTTCTAGTACGTACTATCAATTTGCGCAATATCGATCCTTTAGTCGCAGCCCGTTTCCTTTACGTTACTACCAGTCCAACACCACCTCTCCGATTGCTGCTTGATGACTTTATATAGATAGCTCCTGCGATTGGAGTGGTCTGATATTTAGAGAGATAGAAGTTTAATTTACCATCGCCTGGTATGACCCCCAGTTTATCGAAGAAGAGGTCGTTGTGGTAAGTTGTCAAGGCATTGAAACCGTCGGCCCGCTTCTACATGATACCAAGGTCGTCAGTCTCTTTTCAACCCTTCTGACACCAGATGATAGTTAGAAATTTTGCGAGAATAAGCGCGTCATTAATATGGGCTATCAATGTTTCTTTTTGATCTGACGCTCCATGCCTAAAGGCTATTTCCAAGGCAAAATAATTGAGGTTGGCGATTTTTATACATTTGTGCTTTTAGTTCTTCAGCACCAATACGTCTATAAAAAAAGGACACAAAGTCTGCAATAGCAAGTGTACTGGCGTCTTCGATAACATAGGTCCAGAGGATCTTGTTGACAGGTGAATCAGCCGTATGTATCAGCTAATGCTGCACCTCTTGATGTGAGGTCCTCAGGGCAAGGTCGAACCACGTTAAGTACCGGCAAAGGAGATCATGTACGCGCGGTACATCTTTCACGGTCATGGGACGTATTCCTTCAAGCCTGGGTGCTGCTGGGAGGGACAGTCTCTGTATTTCCGCGTCCTGGGTCGAATCGGGAGGTAAACTCTGAAAGCCAACTTCGTACAATTGAAGCCATTCGATTGCTCGGTGGTAATAGCAGCTTGTTGCGACCAGTTTGGGAAGAAAAACATCGCCATGGCCAAATTGCTACTCGGAGGCGGGGCAGTCGAGATTACTGGCCAAAACGGAGGCACACCTCTGCATAGTGCTGCATCTGATTGCCAAACCGATATGATCTGTCTGCTGAAGGAATATGGGGCTGATGTTTTGGAAAGGGATTGCCATGGCTTGATAGTATGGGACTAGGCAAACAATGGCAGGCGTTACGATGTTTTGGACCTGCTTGCTGCTGGTCGTTGTGGTAGCGTTGGGTAGAAAATGCTTGAATTGTGGATAAAACTGTGTTGTTTTGACCTTGTGCCAGAAACTTGCTCACCTTGAGGGAGCAGACGGAAGTTAGATTAGTTGCTGCTGAGTCTCAGGTTCTAGGTAATTGTGTAAGATAGAGGCCCTCGATTCTGTAGGACGTGCGTTTGGCAGGGGCTTTTTCCTATTGAGCTGATGCTAGCTAACCAACTGGATAGACTCTCCAACGTGGGCACTCCTCAGTAACTGCTTTATAAATCAAGTCTATAGTAAACCAATTTAACCCTACACAGCTTGCAAGTTTAAGTCTATGGCAGTGGCTCCACTATAATCACCACTGCCCATGTATAGAATGTACCCCAGGCCACCTGCATCCGCAACATAGAATTGTGTGTAAGTGCCAACGTCAGTCTGAGAACAGGTATAGTGAGGGCCAAAGATTTCGCTCTGAACTAAGGTACATTGACCAGTTGGCGCAGTGCACACAAGCTTGAGATCAGCAGTTTGATGACAAGTGACATATGATTTGGAAAAGGTATCATCGGTGCAGGTCGTAACAGCGAAAAGTCCATCGATGGTGTCTGGTCCTCGGTTGGCCCAATTCGAGTTGTAGATTATGCACATCTTTGTGCCGCTGGTAGTTTCGGTAACAGTGTTGGTCTCGTCGTCGTAGGCCCAGGTAAGAGTCTGTTGAAAGCGTATGGTGGGCTCGAAAAGCATCCAGGCCCCAGCTCCTGCTTGAGCTTGAAGTGGGTCGTTGGCCACAGGAGCACTGCCAACAATATTGAATCGAGGAATAGGCGTGAAGGTTGCGACTTCTGAGGTAGTCGAGGATGCTGATGTAGCAGAGGTTTCCGAAGTAGCAGACGTTTCTGATGTGGTGGATGATTCTGATACGGTAGTTGATTCAGACGTGACAGAGGATTCCGATACAGTCGAGAATTCCGATGTGGAGGAGAACGATGCGGTAGAGGAGGATGAATCAGCAGATACAGGTGTTGAGGGCAAGATGACCGACACCGAAGATGATGAGCCTGTATAGATAAGGTTAGAAAGACAGACCAAAAGTCTCCTGGACAAAGCTTTAAATGTTGAGGACTCACTGGAAGGATGACATAGACCCGCAGCTGCAAAATCAATGGCTAAGAGGCCAGCCGCGACAGAGAGGGGGGTTCTGCAACGCATCGTGAGATAAATCGCGAGAAGTAATCGGACTGGAGTTAAGAGAATAAAGATAAAGCGATGTACTGTACACAGCGTCCAAACGGCTCAATGCGACCTTTAAATCTTCAATTGAAAAAAATGGGTATCGTGGGAGACTAGAACTAACAGAATTAGCGTAGACACTACCGTCAATAGTTATCAATGGTTTCAACACTACTCGTATATTATTATTAAAAGAACAAAGCCTGTCCAATGCCAGGCTGGTATTCCCTTGACCCACACATGTAAGTGGGTTAGAGCTGTCACTTGTACGGAGGTTGACGCTGGAAATATTGTTAGCTCGCCCTGCCCAGGGTATGAATCCAAAATGACACAGTCGGCTTTGCCGGCTAGGCCTTTGAGCCGCATCGTTAATGCTGCTTTCCCCCCCCTTTCTCTTCTCATTGTTATCATCATCATCAGAGCCAACGCGGCGCGGCCATGAGTTATCCCCTCAATTGAGGTCTCGAATTTGCGATGTTCAAACACTTAGTTATCCTGAGGCACAAATAAAGAAGCTACATCCAAAAATCCCTCTCGGCACAATGAAAACAACACCACGTCGAGAAGCCTAACGCATTGTCAAATAAAGTCAGCCAGGGTCAGGGCGACCAGGAGTGATTACGGAGGAGATTCCCAATATGATTTACGATACGGTCAAGCATATGAACCCTACTCCTGATACAGTACGTGCAACAATGGCCTGTCATTACCTGGCATTTTTTTGGGAGGAAGATTTGCGCCGGAAAAGTTTTCAGAACATTCTTCTGGTGATTATGGATACGGATTGGAAAGGGACGTCGCGCACAGTTCTTCAAATACACTAGAAGGTCCTGAAAGTCTCAATGCATTGCAGTATAAATTGTCTTGTGATTCATCATGTTACATTCTTTCTTCGCGGGCCACTCGGCTTCCGCATCGAAATTCTGGTCAAATAATGCAAAACTCTCGTACCGTATTGTCATTGACGCACGCAATCGTGTGATTTAGACCTCGCATATATCCCTAAATGGCTCTCACTAAAACCCCAGGTTTCTCTCATACATTTCCCAGCGTGTTCCAATAGGTTGAATCAACGTGTAGCTCTTAGAAGTGATATTCATATCCTGTACGCCATTGATCAAGTACAAAGGAGTCATATCATCGTCAAAGAATATCTTTGGTCTCTCACGCCTGTTCAAGGTCTGGAAAGTACCATCGGTGAAGTTGACTGTTGAGTTGAAAGCTTCTTGCAACTTAAAGTGCCACGGACCGGTTATTGATCGCGCATACATATGCGCTCCAACACGAGAGTACTTTATACCGCTCTCTACAATGTCAATCATCCAGTGGTTAAGCGCGTGCCAATTTCCGCGCTTGTCGCGCCATAGGAACGGGTCCTCGGTCCAATAGGGCTGATAATCAGATGTATTCCATGGTGGAGTGCTGATAAGTTCATAATCTCCATCATATCGATCAGCAATGCGGATCTTAAGGTCCTCGGAGGCAAGAATGATTTCAGAGGAGCGATCCCATGGACTCCATAGTGGCCAAGGTGCTGGATTTGTTCCATTGACAAGAACTTCGAATGGGCTCCATGGCCCTCGAATGTCATCGGCAGCAGAGACGGAAATATTATTCGGCCAATTGTCCCTTGAAGATTGTTAGTCGACGTTTAATTAAACTAACCTAATAACATGTTTTCAAGCATATTTTAAGTCAAAGATATGCCTGTTTGGCCAAACAGTTCTGTTGAAGGCTACGTCTCAACTGGGAAGCCTGGGCAAAGAACTTACTTCGACACCGACTTGCAAGAGGATAGGGTAGCCTCTGGGGCATCAACTCCTATCGTGTAGAGAAGATACTTTTGGTCGGCAGGACTCCAAACAACGTATGGGTTGTGACGAAAGCTCCCTGTAAGGTTCTGTGCGTAATGATAAGGACCCTGAGGTCCTGTTCGCGACTCGGCGCGTATGACGAAGCTGTGCGGTCGCCAACCGCTCAGGCCGCAGCCATTAGCAAATTGGGAGATGACAAGATGAAAGAGTTTTTGTTCGTTCCGATCTTGGATTATTGTACCACCCCAAGACGAGTTGCCATAGGCGCGATAATAAGACGGGTTTGTGATATTGGTGTAATTGTAACCAGTCCATCTGGTCGCCGGAGCGAGATCAAGCCTGCCACAGTCGTCTCCCCACCAACCATGGTCACATTTACAGAAGCGTTTCGATCCAGACTTCGTGCAGACGCCGTTGAGGCTACAGTTATCGTCGGTATCGCATGACAGGACGAGCAAAGAGAAATTGAGAAGGGCTAAGAAAGCGAGCCATATCACGCCGACCCTTGTCATTGTTGAATTCTACTTGCAAGGGATACTTTTCATATGCCGAAGCGAGGATAGGAGAAAATAGAAGGGCTGCTCTTCGTAGAATTAGTGAATATATTCGCCATGTTTATTCCTTCTGCAGTCAGGCGTCATTATGTACTAAAAATATTACAATCGAGCCACGGGACGTTTCACCCCGAACCCTGTCAGGATCACGCCATGAACGTTTGTGGTTGGGTAGGATCATCACTCTTTTCGTCCATGGATCCTTATTTCAGCGTTTTCCGAATTCTTCCCCTCTTCCCCCGCACCATGTGCCAAGTCCCCGCAAGTTGGATGGCCAATTAGGCTAATTAGTATATGTTATCTCCGCCCTTTGTCTTCAAGCCTTACGGATACCCCGTGGTGGTGATAGCCTTCGAAATAATGGAATACCCGACAGCAAAGTTGCGAACTACCTGACGATTGATATGACTATTAGTCCCTTCATGATCATGTTGGAGGTTGGTCTCGTGAAGTTCCGTCACGGAAACAGGAATGTGCTCAATCTTGGTGAAATCGCCCTTTGTACTTTGCAAATGAAGCCCGACACATGTGACTTGGTCAATTGCCTGGGCGAATGATTGTACCTCACAATATCAGGGCCGTGATTTGTGGAAATTAGGAGTTCGGAATTCACCTTACTAATTGTCCAACAGAACGCCGCAGTCACCAGGCGCCAGATTTAACCCATTATAACATTTCCTTACAAGAAACACTCAAACATGGTCGCCCATCAATCGACTATTCTAGCCTTACCTCGTTTCCGCTCTCACCACTGACTCTGCCTCCTCTTCACCCTGCGACGAACTCTTACTCTCCTTTCACTCATGCTCTTCGATCCCTCACTCCGTTCTCCCAATCACCGATCCGTTCTATACGGTCGCCCAAACACATTCCCTCTAGCTGACTCCCAACAGTGATCTCCTATCTGGTTCGACTTACTGCAATCAACCTTTGCCAAACTCATTGACCCTGCTTCTGCATCTCCGTTTTTCCTTGTCACGCGCCCTCTGAACTACCACCCATCCTCCCAATTCTCTCTCCCACCCTGTACTTGACAGTATATTCCACACTCCGCCAGCCTGGCAAGTGGCAAGTGATGCCCTTCTTAACAAATATGCTACTGAACAGTGATACACCTCGATTCATACTACACCTCAAGTCTAAGAACCGGCCCAGCTATTCTATGGATTATAGTACACTCGTTTATTGACAATGCGGCTAACCTTTTGAATGTAATCTTGAAGTCTATACACTATGCCATTTAAATTGAAGCAGATACCCCTCGCATATCCCCAAGTTTCTCCGTAATCGCCTGACCATCTACTACTAATGATGCATCCAGCAAGACGTATAGCATTCTCGCCCAGGACTCAGTATAGTTGACCCACTGATGCATGGTGCCTCGCTGGACTAAAATGTCTCCAGGCTTAAGAAGTCGTTTTTCGCCCGAATCCAAGAGGCATTCCATCTCGCCAATAAGGACTATCGCATAGTCACAGCTCACAGTGCGATGCATTGGGGAGCTGGCCTTGGGCGGGTAGTCGACGTATCGCACGACGCTGCCCCCCTTCTTGACAAGGCCGCTTTGTTTGCGTTTATTGTAGTTTGACGTCATTTCGGTGAGATCTTGGTCGTTTGTCAGGCGTACTGGGACCGACGAAGTGGTGTAACCGAGGCCGAAGCCAGCAGGCTCATTTTCGGGGCCGACAGGCCAGAACTCCACAGGTCCCGGGAGCCGTTTTGAGTAAACCGACTGGCCCTCCGAGTTATTTGTCGTGACAAACCGATTTGGCTTGGGCAGAGGGTTGGTGAATTGAGTGCGTTCTGGTGCTGTCATTGCGGCAGTCGATGGGAATTGATAGGCAAATTGGGATTGTGAGAACTTGAATTATGCAGAATGGAGTATGGAGAATGTTTCAAGTGAATCGCACAGGAATGAGTGGACTAGCTTTGTAGTTTTGCATTGCTAGCTGATTAACTCCTGCTGGGTGCCTTGGACCGAACTGGCTCGCCCCGACTGGGTCGGGCCGAACCAGATCAACCACGACCGGGTCGCTCAGCTTCGGACTTTACTACCTAGACCAGGGTAATATAATAGCCTTTAAACGATCGCGATAGCTCGGGGCTAACGGGGCGGCATCAGGCGAAGGACGGTCCGACTGGCATTCGTTATAATGAAATGAGTAAGTGCTTTAATCGCTAATCAGGGTGTTCACCGGTTCCTCCTACAAGCAGGCGGTTATCTAAAGCGCACAAATATCTTAAGGCTCGTAAGTATGGGTCCCTGGCCAATTGAAATACCGCAGGGGAGTCCATTTACGCGGGACAACATACCCTTTGGGGTATTTAGTACGCTGCAACAGGTACGCCTATTGACTCTCAACTTGTTACTGTACGTCCATCAGGAACTAATTCTTCCATCTCATACAGCCCCGTAGGCGCGTTGGAGTCGCCATCGGTGAAGTCATCCTTGACCTCTCTATTCTTGAGCGATCAGGTCGCCTTGACGGCTGCCTGCCCAATGGTCAGAGTAGCCATGATTCTGGTTCTATATTCGGACAGGACAGCCTCAACAAATTTGCCAGCTTTCCCGCGCTGGCTCGTCGGCATTTACGCGAGACCATTATCGAATGGCTTGGATATCCAGACTCGCCGCTGTTCCAGGATACTTCCAGTGATGGGCAGGTCGTTGTCCCCATGAAGGACGCGCAAATGCACCTACCCTTCAGAATAGGCGGGTTCACCGACTTTATGTGCGCTGATGTTCACGTCGAGAACGCATGTAGCTTCCCGGTCAGACTTGTGGGCCAAGGAAATGTAACTGACTCGATAATAGTGCAGCAGGCTTGCTGGGGCAACGAAGCCTCCAGGTCATTATGCGATGCCACTGGGCTATAATAGTCGAGCATCGTCTGTCATTATTGGTGGCGAGCCTATTCACCGCCCGCGAGCAATCATCCCTACTGGGGAAGCGAACACGTACACATTCGCCCCTAGTCGCCGGATGGATTATGAAGCAGAAATTGGCGTTTTCATCTCTGAGGCTGTTCCTCGAGGCCAGACTATTACAGCTGACCAAGCGGAGGATCACATTTTTGGCTTTGTGATACTCAACGACTGGTCGGCAAGAGATGTGCAATTTGCCGAGATGACGCCCCTTGGGCCGTTCAACGGCAAGGCTTTTGCCACCAGTATATCGCCTTGGGTGGTTACTCTGGATGCCCTGCGAAACGCCCGGTGTACATCCTCGGCAGTTGATCTGACTACAGGAGGCTCTACTCAAGCTTTGCACCTACGCCATGAAGACTCCAAATCCACCTGGAATATGCAAATAGAGGTTTCTGTGTACCGTGAGTCTGTAGGACAACTTAGAAACCAAGATCAACTGCTGACAGCTGCTAGGATCGAGATCTGGAGGCAAACCAATACTGACATCAACGTCAAATCTGCGTGATCTTCGCTGGTCACCTGGCCAAATGCTCGCGCATCTCGCATCATCTGGCTGCGGATTGTGCACGGGTGACCTCATTGGGACAGGAACAATATCATCCCCCGTATTTTGTCTCGCCTCCCTCTTTACAAATTCCACGTTCACTAAGTATTTCTAGGGCGACGCCAACGACCTTCGTACCCTGGGCTGTCTGTTTGAGTTGACTGAAGGCGGAAAAATTGCCATACAAGGGAGTGAGGGAGAACAGCTAACCTGGTTGGAGGATGGAGACGAAGTATCAATGACGGTGAAGGCGGGTGACGATGGAATTGGACTAGGAACCCTGCGAAGTCGACTTGTAGGCCCTCGGTCGGCCTGACGACTCGATGAGCTGGCTCCTGGGCCGTGTATATAGGACAATGAGTTTGGTGATGTTCGTTCGAAAGTCGTTGAGGCCCAAACTCGAAAATTGAAGAGATTGTAAATGTTACCGACATTTAACTGCTGTTGAAAGTGACTTGCCTCTGGAAACATGGGTCAAATAGGCAGAATGAGCAGAGAATAATGCCCATGCGTATCCTCAGCACCATACTACGTAGGAGGGGCCAGGTACGCCATACCTGAACTGAAATTTTATGTCGCATGCACTCTATTCAGGCGGAATTGCGCCAACAGCCAGTGAAGGTTTGAAGTTTATAATTACAACGTGTCCTCAAGCAGAGAGGGAAAGTCTTAGCATTCAATACGATGATGAGTTTGTAGGTAGGGGAGACAAGGGCTACTTGTGTGGCCAAATGTAAGCTTCAAGGACCGTTTGGCCAGTGTTGCTGGACCATCGCTGAGAGAAGAGTAGACCAGAGTAGTCGCGAAAAAAATCCTTGCAGTTCATCAGGCTGAGGTGGAATCAATTTGATGGTATGGATAATACGCGTGAAGCTAATCCTAATAAAATATGCCTGATAAGGAAAAAAACAGTCCAGACTGGTTCCAACATGAAATTGACATTCTGAACAATATTCCGAATTGCAAAATCACTTCAACCAGCGTAGTGACGCCATGGCCTTCCGAATCCTCCTGTTGAAAAAGTAAAGTGGAAACAAAAAGCATGCAAGGAGTAAGAGAATTCCACCCATCATGACGTGGGTCTCGAAAAACCCAATGTCGGCTATCCATCCATGGAGCGAGTCACCGAAGCCAAAAGCCACTGCATTCCTCCCTCCACATGCCAAGACAATAGCTGGACCGGACATTGTTGGGAGAAGTTCTCCAAGCCACATACCAGTCATGGCAGAAATGGCACAAAACCCACAGTAGAACAAGGCAAATGCAGCGTGAATCCCAACCCAGCTGTACTTCTCCGGATGCGCACCAACGACGCCATACAGAGTCAGGCCGGCAAATACCAAAATGCTCGGGAGGATAAAGTTGGGTAGGATGTGCTCAGGCTCGCGGATGCCCTTGTTACGGCGCGTAAAGTAACCGCTGATGGGTTCCGCGAAGGAGCCGATCAAGAGAGCAGCCAGTGACCCGATGGCGGAGCCGACCTGCACCGTACCGACACTTGAAGGAGAGAAGTGCCACGGCGCCATCTCAAGCTGCTGGCTGTATGTAAGACTGAGGACGACGATTCCGCCAAACAATATACTGTTGAGGGCCAAGACCCATAGCGTGCCGGGAATGATGAGGCAGAGGAAAATCTCCCTGTAGGCGCGGACAAAGCGGCCAAACGGCCCTGGCCGCTGAAGATGGATGGGAGCAAACTGGCGGCGGTAAGACTTTTCAGCAGTCACTTGCGGATCGCCATTACTGCCGTCATCAATAACGAAACCGGCGGCCGTTGCGTCCTCTGCAGTGTAAAAAACCCGATGTGTTCCGTACGTGTCCGTGGCGTGGATTTGGCCTCTGAACGACGTGGCACGGCGGTGGAATAGCGTCTCCGGAAGGCAGAAAGTAACGAGGATAAGTGAGAGAGCGACGAACGCGGTCCAGAACCAATATGACACGCGCCAGTCCCCATCAGCATGGTCGACGATGAAGGGCACAGCTACCAGAAGCAAGGATGAGCCGACAGCTGTGGATGTCCAGTAAACCACGAGACGGGCGCCACGTCGGTGGAGGAAGGAAATATCCAATACAATGATTGGTAGCTAGAGATTACTCGGTCAGCTTCTGCCGTTATTACCACACAATACAAGCACGCTGAGATTGATGGACCGATTGATGGATTAAATGAAGCCCGAGAGAAGAGTTTCAAGGCAGAAGATTAAGTCTGCCTCTGAGATTAAAAAAAGAATGAGTCACTCACTAGACAGTCTGCAACGCCAGCCGTCAATCCTTGTAGACATCGGGCTCCAAGGTGAGATTCAAACGAGGTGGACTTGGCTGCCCAGATGACGGCGCCGAGAAGAATGGTGTTGCTCAAGAGCAATGCCCCACGACGTCCCAAAGCCATGGATAGCGGGACGAACAAGAAATTACCGAGACCCATGCAGAGCGACGGATAGCTCGCAAGGTCAGCGATACGAGCAGGATCGAAGGTCTTTGTGTGCAGGTCAGTAGCTGCTAGTGAAGGTTAGGGACTGGCAGAGAAGAGCTTACGCCGTGTGTTTGAGCCATGTACTCGGGGATAAGTTTTCCAAAGAACAGAGGCGTGCTCTGAACAAGGCCAAATGCAGCTATGCCGTAGATGGTGACTGCCGCGAGGATCAGGCGATGGCGCCAGACGGTGAAATTGAGCGGGTCATTGGGGTCCGACGATGGGATTGGGAGTTTGCGCAAGTGGCCATCTTCGTCGTAGAGCAGCGTGTCGAGGTTGTCCTCAACCAAGACGGCGTCGCCCAAAGACTCGCTCTTCTTTTCCACGTCTGCCATTTTGGGTTGGTGGTGCGTGGATGCGTTGGCTTTAGTACGTTTGGGGATTAGGCCGAGACTCCCGAGAGCTCTTCTCTTTCAAGCGGTGAGAGAAGGAGAGGTGTACTGTTTAGTGGAGAGAGAGAATAGGAGATAGGTGATGATGGACTGCGCATCTATATACCGGCCGAGATGCTAAACTTCAACACAAAGAGAGGCGTGTGAGGAAGCTAAGATTGCGGGGAGAGCCAGAACTGGCTTGAATGCTCTGCCGACAGATCTCGATGCCAACTACCCCATGGGGAAAGACGACAAGCATGTCAAGGTGACCTCAGCCCCTATCTGCATCACGGTGTTTGGAGTATGTAGCAGACACCATCTTTCTCAGCGAGCCAAGCATCGCCAGGGGAAATTGAAATTGCCATGATCCCCGAGATGGTCGGCCCGACCCCTGCTCCGCCGACGATGCAGTCGGCCCGACCTCTTCACCATCTCCGTGACAATTTCTCCTCGCATCTGACAAGACCCCGAACATTTCCTCTTCCCACATCGCATTCGCTGGACCGAACGCCGAACAAGCGCCCAACGGCCATGAACCGAGGCACTCCATCCGTTGCGTGCCTGCGATGCCGCAAGCAAAAGGTTCGGCCAAGCCCCTCCTCGGCTCCATCCTGGCCTCCTCGCTGATATCCACTCAAGCTCAGATGCACTCGCGAGCATCCAATCTGCCGCCGCTGTGAGCGCGCAAAGGGCGAGTGCGTCTATCCTTCTCCTCCCGACCGCAGGAGACTGGCGCTAGAGCGCGCTCTGGAACGGACAGGTTCCGTACCTAGATCCAACCTCTCGCCATCCCGCGAGCATATGCCACAAACCCTCGAGACCTCAGCTCAAACTTCCTCCTACACCCGCCATGTGGGTGAAAGCGCTATCATTCACTCTCAGAGCGCCAACGTGCCGCCTTCGGGTGGACTGGATCCAGCGCTCGACAGTAATCTTGCCACACGCACTCGTCCTTCGCCGCGACCCACACAATCAGCACTTGACTCGTCGGTGAACTCGGGGCAAGGAGTGAGCCTCTCCAGTGAAGTTGCTCTATTTCTCACCGAGATATATTTCGAGAGGCACTACGAGGCTGAGTTTCTATTCTGCAAGCAGCGCTTCATTCGAGACTACATCGGAGGAACGCTTCCGAGCTATGTCTCCTTGGCCGTATTTGCTTTCGCATCCTTGTAGGGCTCTTGCTGATCTTGGACTGCATCACCCCACTAATATGCATCTTAGATTCCTCGCCCATGTCCCTGGTGGATTGACGCAAGGAGAAATTGGCGTTGCTGAAATTACCCGAGCAGATTGGTCTGTCATAGGGGGACGATGGGCTGAGCAAGCCAGCCAGGGCGCCTTGATGCACGCCGACAAGCCATGCATTCAGCACGTTCAAGCCTGTCAAACCTTGGCTTTGTTCTGGTTTGCCAGATCTGAAACCATTCGGACGAATATGCACACAGGTAGTTTGCCCGTCGCCACTATCGCGATGCTAAATTACCAAGCTGACACATACTGTCGCTGTTCACCGCAGGCATTGCTCATCGAACTTGCCGATTGTTGCAATTCGGTCGAATGAACCAGCACGAGCTGGAAAACAGCAGCCTCGATCGACACCTCAAACTCGGGTGCTTTTGGGCCTGCTGGCTTACCAAGTGTGCGAGCCACCAAAACGCTCGTTTCCAGACGAATTGCTGGGCCGACGTAGCTGGCTGTCCCTTACCAGTCGACAACGCCGAGGATTCTTCGCTTCGCCTCACTCATTATCTAGACCAGGGTGGTTCAATCCTCGAGATCGGAGGTACTAGCCGTGGTCTCAAATTAGGCTTCAATGCAACCCTGGTCGTCACTCAGGGACTCTGGTAGGTCGTCCAACCCAGCGTCCAGATACAATGAAACTCACCCGAGACAGGTGGGAAGTACAGCAGTTCGTTCCATCCCTTCAACAGGGCAACCGCAGCCCGTCCAACTGGGGTTCCGAATTGTTATTGCTGGACCAGAAACTAGAAAGCCTCTACGACCAGATGAATGCATCGCTCAAGTATGATCAGAGCCGTGCCGGCACCAGAAACAACCCTAGATACCTGGGCCGGTTGTTCTCCTTAAATTACCTTTACCACCTCTGTGTCTCCTACTTGCACTCTTCATTGGTACCGGTTCTTTCCTGCAGTATGCGGACACCAAATGTTTCACGCAGCATGCTGCGACTCGCTGCTGAGCAAGCACTCAAACACTCTACTATCATGACGAACATGACGGAACACTTTCTAACACAACGAACGGCAATTTCCAAGTTGTGGCCTATCGTTGGATATGGCGCGTATGTGTGCGCGGCCATCCAATTGCGCTATTTCCTTGCCTTGGGCATTCTGACCGAAGAGCGACTTGAGCGCACCAGGGTACACCTCAAGATCGTTGACGAGCTAAGAAAGTACTGGAAGACTCTACAGCCACTTGTATGATTTCCTAATCGCTCTTTATGACTCTCCCCTAACTCGTGGTAGCATGCCGATATGGAACAACAGTTTTCTCAAGCTCAGACTATCGCATCGAAGCGGGAAACCGGCGATGTCAGAAATCACAACTCTGATGACGAAGTTGTGTGTCTTACCAACACACTCAATGCGCCACTATCCCCTAATTATATTTCCACATATGTGAGCGACGATAGCAAAGGACAATTGCAGGATCAAGACATTCCGTTAGAACCTGCAGCTGTGAACCCCACGGACATTCCCGACCCTTTAGAAACTGCACCTGCTTCTGAGGTCCAGCTTACCCCCGCTCGCTTCCAAATGCCAGATTTCTCTAGTGCTGCAGAAGTATCAATGATTAGTAACGATTGCGTTGGGTCTGAGCCTGCAGAGGGGGCCTTCAAAGCCAGCGTTTCAACAGAGAGAGAAGACAGCATATGGTGGAGCCAAGATCCAGATTCATTAGGTGAGGTATTTAGTCATGGCTTTTGCTTTTTGAACGAACTTGGGTTTGAAATGGATACGTATTAAGTACCTATGCATTTGGTTTGACCAGTTTCGCCTTGTGGAATCTTGAATGCAAATCTCTATTGTACCGAATAATATAAGGGAAATACAAGCAGAGTCCCTTCTGTTGAGAGAAAGAGTCTCCAAGTCTCAATACCTACATGGTAAGAACCTACCATGCATTGAAGTCTACCACCGCCTTGGAGAGGTGCTGCGCAGATATCATGCTTCTACCACTACGTGTCGCTTGTTAAATTACAAACAGGATACATTTATCTCCTAACGAGTTGGTAAAGGTAGAATTTAAAAGGAACTGGAGGCCAGAAAGGGACTAGGTGCAAATTCTAAGGACCCCGGGCAAGTATGCAGTGCCGTGCATAGAATCTCCAAGCTCTTATTTCATACGTGATATGCTGCCGAAACCAAAACACAAGGTAGGAAGTGTATATAGTGGTACCATTTAGATTAGTTTCGCCAGGACACTGTCTATTTCGACAAGAGAACCACCAACGAGCTAATGAGCTTTCTAGCCGCTGACGCAGCCGACATTGCCGGGTTCAGCAATACCACTCTGGGCACAATTTCAACATACTATGTTCTAGACCCCAGAGGCTTTCTATCGCAGCGGGTGGTTAAGAGTCTAGATCCCGGCGGCTCACTTCGGCCACTAGAGTTAGTAGAAGCAGACCATATCAGGAATGGTTTCCCAAGCCACAACTGGAGCGGCACGTTGTTATTGGTAAAGTCGCTAGCTAGGGCTGGCACCTCGGCATCTATGGCTTCGCCTTCCAACCCGTTTCAGCTATAGTGAATTATGGGATTCGGATACCGGCAACTCAGCTGAAAATAATATGGGACATATCCGCCATATTTAAGATCCAACTTTCCCCCTGGCATCAGTGCCTCTCCCCTACGTTCAATAGCTCTAGTACCTCCCTGATTGTGCATTCGAACTGCCATGGCAAAACCTCTCATCACGTCAGCCCCCAAGGGAGCAGACCGGGTTTTCGACAACCGTGATCTGGAGCCTAATTCCTATTGCGCCCTTTGGTCGGGTGAATTGGGAAGCAGTAAGACCACCTTCGCTGCCAGGAACAATATGGTACCGTTTTAATAGGCTGATAGCATGGCAGTACATCTGCTCCGAGGGTCCCTGCGCCATCGCGACACAGTTTACACCAGCAGTTGCATTTTGTGACGGTATTCCTACAACTGCTATATATGGCTACGGCAGCTGGCCCGTGGCGTCCGGACAAACCTGTGGCCCCTCCACAAGGTGCTGGTGAGTCGAGAGGATAATTGCGTGAATGTAGGTAGCATTGATTCTGATAGAAATGTAGTCCGAGCCCATATACTACAACCAGGCAGTACATCTATGATGGAGGGAGCACTGTCCTATACGATTGTGACACTGAACCATCAACTTTGGCAGTTTCAACAGTTCTGGGCACACTGAGTCTATCTCTCTCTGTTTACGACGGGCCAGTGGATACTTCTGTGATGACGTCGATCTTGACAAAAATATCATCCTCATACTCGTCCTCGTCCCTTCAGCCATCATCTACACAGTCATCACTCTCAGTTACTACACAGTCATCACTCTCAGTTACTACCAGCCAACACTCTAGTGGACATGGAGCCTCAACTGGCGCTATCATTGGCGGTGTGATCGGTGGCCTTTGTGTTGTTGGGCTCATTATTCTTGGGGTCATTATTATCCTGCGACGCAACCCTAAGGGGGTTATAGCAGCTGCCAACCCAAGTCCATTGTCCCCCCAGCATGATTCAGGCCCAAGAGAGACTTGGTACCCTGAATTACAGCAAGAAGGGGTCCCCAGGCCCTTGGCTGAGCTTGAGGCTCAGCAAGGTGTTATTAAGGTTGATAACTATGCTGCAAAATAGGCATCAGACCATACGTATGTCACGGTAGGCTCCGAGTTCTGAGTATTAACTGTCGACTTTATTAGTTCTGTTGAACTTTTGTTGCTTTCTGCTCTCTTAATAATGTTAATTTAGCTCGTTCTTGAGTTATTTCGTTATCACGCTCGAAGGGAAAATTTTCTCCCATGCTGCTATATTATCATATGCTGTGTGAAGTTAGGCCTGTTCAACAATCCCATCTATTTGAACGTCGCTCCTGGTTTAGTTGGTTCCCAATAGGATGGCGAGGCTGAGGAGCAGAAGAGGGAGCTTGTCAAAGAAGCCTTCGCTGATGAGTTTATTGCCAAACTTCCCGAAGTGGGCATACCAATCTGACGGTATCGGCGAGGGCTCATGATTAATTATAGGGCTATGATACGAGTGTTGGTGACAGCGGTGCTAGACTCTCTGGTGGCCACCGCCAACGAATTACCATCGCCCGATCGCATTATTACTTTAATGAAGGGGCAAGTCGTCAAGTCAAGCACACACGACAGATTGATGGCTATAGACGGTGGTGTTTCCGCCGGACTTGTCAACGCCCAGGCTCTTTCTCAGCGATCCGGCCGAAACGATGGCGCTGATATACTAATTGACAAACTACGCCACAAGATCCGAGACTCCTTACATTCAGTTTCTAGTTACATCACACAACACTGATCTCCCTCGTCCTTCCAGAGATCCTCATCCTTCAGGTCCTTGGTCACCTCAGAAAGGGGATCTCCAGCAGCGACAAGGCAGTCAACACACTGCTGGCCGCCACGGATGATCCGGGCAAGGTCGGCAGCTGTGAAACCGCTGATATCAAACTCCTCGCCATCCACACGCTTTGGCTGTGGACCTCCAACTACCTTCTTGCCCACTTCGGCGCCGCTGTCGAGAAGCAGACGGATGACGTCCAGGTGGTGGTATCGAGCAGCAAAGTGCAGCGGGGTCCATCCGGCGCCATCAAGAGCTTCTCTGTCGGCGCCTAAAGTAAGGAGTTCCTTGGCGCAGGCTGTCTGACCCTTGAAGGCAGCAAAGTGCAGAGGTCTTCGGCCGTCGTAGATGGACGCCTCGATGTTAGCACCCAGGGTGGAAACAAGCATGCGTATCGTCTCAGGGGAGTTACCGTAGCCCGAGGCATTGATAAGAGCCGTGTACCCCTGGTTGTCGTGCCCGTCTACAGCGATGCCTGCCTCCTCCACGAGCCAACGGCACAAATCTGCTGCCCCAGCCGCCCCTGCAAGGTGGAGAGCGTTGACGTCTTCAAAGGGACCAACGGCCGCCTTGACATCGGCCCCATGGCTCGCAAGGAGCTTGGCCGCCTCGACGTTATGGGCCAAGACAGAGAGCAACAGCGGAGTCTTTCCTTGGCCAGTGGCTCTAGTCGCGTCGGCGCCATGGTCCAACAGATACTCAATGACATCGAGCTTCCCATCATCGTCGGCATTCTTGCAAGCGAACAGCAATGGTGTAAACCCTTTCTCGTAGTCTGGCACGACCTCGCCCTCGAGGACAGGATCCACTAGAGAGCCCGCCTCGACCAGCGCTGCCACGAGATTCCGGCGGCCTCGCTCAGCGGCATGATGGATTGGCAGCCGACCGACCTTGTCACGCATCGACAGACAGGCGGTCCCGCCTGGTTTGCTGAGCAACAGCTTGCAAATCTCTTCCTTTCCACCTTGGACAGCGACAAGGAGCGGCGTGCCTGCCACTGCATCATTAATATCAATACGGGCGCCGCTTTCGAGGAGCAGCACGGCCACTGGCATATTATCGCCGTATCCGCAGGCGTGGTGAAGGGGCGTGACGTCCAACTCCTTGTCTTGCTTCTTGAGATCTAATTCTTGGCTGGTTGCAAGTTTGTATGTGGTGCCGAGAACCGCTCCAATGTTCTGGCCACATGTGCAGCCATCATCGTGATCATGGGCATGCTCATGGTCGTGAGGCTCTCCAGTTGCGTCTGGTTGTCTCTTTGTGATGGGCCTTTGGTCTGCACTTGGATTGGTACCAAGCTCAATGAGAACTTTGGCAATTTCGAGAGAAATGGCGTTGTTCCACCTCGCACATTGATGCAGGCCGGTCCATCCATTCTCAGCCTTAGCATTCACATCGGCGCCATGTGTGGCGAGCAATCGAACGCATTCGGGGGCTTGCTTCGCTTCCTCATCCACGGCCGCCACGGAGATGAGTTCGAGGAGCGGCGTGTAACCTTGATCGGGGTCGCTGATGTTGAGATTGAGTCCGGGGTTTTGGTTGAGGATGTCACGAATTTGGGCTATGTTGATGTCCCTACAGGCTTCCCGAAGCTGCACGTAACACTCCGGCTCGGAAGCTTCGTTGGTCTCTTCCGTTGTCGGAACATCATCGCTCAAAGTCTCCCGAACTGTAGATGCCCGTGTGTCATGGATGACAGCAGTCTGCTGATCCTGTTTCTCGGACATATTGACGTGGTCGGAAATGCAAAATGTTGCGAAAAAAGGGTCGAGTAGGTCTGAAAATGGAGGATAAAGCAACAGTGTGGATTTGTCAAGAATCTTTATTTCTCATCAGCGACAAGTTCCAAGTATATGTATTGCCGCCTATCAGCTGGTGTGGTGCTACTTGTATTTCATTTTTCGGGTTTGCGACAGCTGCCTAGAGCTGAAGCCAGCAGATACACTAGGGGTCTGTTAGTTAGTTCGCAAATAGAACGCCATACTGCTGGCTTAACATCAACCAGTCGTTTGGCATATTTAGAGCTGTGCACTGGTTATAATTAGCCACCGTCGCCAAGCTGATGGTGGAGAGGGCTGCAATGAGTTCAGCCACATAATTAACACAGCATTTGGTTGGGTCGATGCCTAACCAACGTGCTGAGACATTTTCGCCTTGACCCAATTGTGGCAGTTCAGGATGGCTGCTGTACCCCCCGAATTGGACTTGTTGGCTGGGGGGCTTGGGTCCGGCGTTTCCATTAAAGCCACTTATTCTGCTTTGATTCCTCTCTGTCGTCGTCCATTCCGATCTCCTCAAAATGCCCTGTGTCCTGAATTCCAGTGCGTTTGAAGCCGACGAGCCTACTCTACGTCGAAAGTGTTTACGGCCTCGGGCAGTATGAACGTGTAGTCTTCCATTTCGAATTGCATCATCCGAACTAAGTTTAAGGGTCTGTTCGAGCTGAATGAGTTCCCGAAAGTCGGCTTGCTTAGCGGCTCAGCCGCAAATGGGCCAAACTAGATACTGATTGATGTACGTACTTCTTATTTTCTCAGCCTTCAAATTCTGGAACATCCGTGAAATCGGGATATTGTCAGGCCGATAACAGGCTCAGCTTACGCCCAAGGCTGACCACTCATTACAGTCGGAACCAGTAATCGTAACAACTTCGGGTCCATCTTCTCCATCCAGCAAACCACTGATTGTGGCGCCGAGTTTTACTGTTTACCGGCAGTAGATGATTAATAATTCCATCATAACCAAATTACAAGCTGTCGACGCACCTACTAACAGACAGATAGCCAAACTGGCTCTCCCACTAGCCGCACGGTACGTCACCACCGATTGAACCTGATCAACCTCGAAAAAACCCACGCGTTATCGAACGGTGTCAAACGACGGAAGACAAGAACTCCCTCCCAATATTTTATCCCCGCTTTGCGATAAACTTGCGCGGGATCCATGCCTACTACAAGAGGAAATGATTGCCTTCATTCGTAGGGAGTTCGGCGCACGAGTACCCGTTTTGGCATAAGCAGGGCGTTCTGAAGGGAACTCCACATGGAGAATATGACACGAAATGTTGCCGAGCAGCGCAATTCAGACATTCGAGACGACCACATACATGGCGGATGGTTTCTTGATTCTCCCCAACTAATTTACGTCGACAAAAGCGGGTGCGACAGGAGCATTAGCAATAAGAATAATGGGTGGGATAAGAAATTTGTTACACCGGTTCAAATGAAGCGAATAAACTGTTGCTCAAGGCTCCGAATCCTCCGCATCGCTGCTACTTGACCGAGCCGCCGCCAGTACCTAGACCTGGGGCCAGTTGAACCTGAATATGGAAGCTGGCTCTACCCTAGAATTTTCGACCTATCCGACTATCGCCACTATCCAGTCTGAAATGCTTGGTCAAAATTGTGTTGTTGGCTCGTTCCAGCCTCCCTCGCTTCCGCTCCTCCTCCTTGTGCTGTGCTCGATCACCGGCGATTCTCAACTTGGACAGTTGCGCGGCAAGTATGGCCACACTGCTGTGCACGATTTCGCCGCTTCCGTTCCCTCCCCGTTGGGCGACTTCGAGACCAGGAGTCGAGGAGGTCTTTGGGTGTTCGTTGAACGAGTGTGCATCCCGGTCTGGTGTTGCTCGGCGAGCGGCTCGAGGTTCTTGGATGTCGAGATTCTTCCGATTTGAGATGAGCTTGCCTGACGGTAGGCGCACCAGCATGCTGTCGTCACGTTGCGCTTGCTCAATCACGACATTTTCAGATTGTGGCAGTTCGTAGAATTCCTCGGTGTCTGGGGAAATGTCGAACCGACAATGCCCCTTGGCCACCATGTGCTGCTGGACGCCCTCGACGGTGCTCCGCCGCGTGCCGCAGCATATGCATTCTTGATAGCCGTAGATGACAAAGTGTAGGTACCACACGACCGTCTCGAGGTCAACGGCTAGGCAATCTTGAAACGGCACGCTGAAGCCGTGTACCGCGGCCATGTGCGTCATGCTGTCGTCCAACATGCCAGATTCTTGCGGGCAGAAGAGGCATTTGCCAGGAACAAAATCCGGTGCTGATGGTCCGTCTTCCGGGTCGCTGTCGACGTATTGGTCTTGGTCAGAACCAACATCAGGTTCACTCCTCCGAGCGCGTGACGGTGCTGCGCTTTTTGTTTCCTCTGCATCTGTTGAGGGAGGTGGTGGCGCCAATGTGACACTTCCGGGCTCCGCGACCTTCAATTGGAGCTTGTAAACGCTGCGATCAACCATCAGCTTGAAATGCATCTCGGCCCAGGGGCAAAAAAAGACTTACTGCCCATCGCTTTTGACATGCGCTCGCCACGTTTGTAGGCCACGCAATTCCACGTTGCAGAGTCTGCAGAAGGAAGGGGCTTGCGCGATACTCAGGGACGGCTGGTCCACGATGACGCCCGTGTCCGTCACTGTGTCCGACATGGTGGCTGTAAGTGCTGGTATGGGCGTGGTGTTGTGAGTCTCGAGGCTTTTCAGATTGGGTATCGTTACTGGAGAAGTTATTATGTTAGTGTTTAAGTCAAACATATCACGGGCGAGTGCGACAGATGATTAAATAAGTCGATAAATTCACAGCCGTCCTTTCAGCGTGGTATTCTACGTGTCGCCACAGTGAGGCGGCTGATGAATCTGGTCTAGTCCCAGTCTCACAGGCGCACAATCTCCGCTGTGGCTGGACAATGTGACTCAGCTCAAGTGTGTGACGAGCCCCTGAAGTCATTTTCCTTCTGCTGCGGGGTAACAATCGATTGGCTTGTCTGGCTGTGAAGCGTGATACGCACTGCACTATTATATGGGTCGAAATGAGTCGAAATGAGCCAGCACCGTCACAGAAAGTTGACTCACCGAGGTGTACTCCGTACTGTACAGCAACATGCCAAAGGTTTCCCGCATTTCAGCCCCCATACTTTCCCCTCATTACTGTAGATCTTCCTTTTCTGGGTGGGCCTGACGGGCACCCAGTGGGGCGCTATGGGTGCCTATGGGTACTAAAAGATAAGCTCACTAGGTACTGAAAGATAAGAAAGATTACCCTATAGCTACTTTATCAGACTATTCTGCACTACCCAGAAATAATAAGAATTTTAATTTTTTTAATTTTAAAAGAAGATATATAAAATCAACATATAATAGAAAATTTTATTATTTTCAAATTGCATTATATAATTAATTGCTTTTTCTGCTCAATTATTAATTATATTTTTATTATTCAGTATTGTCTATTTTTAGTTTTAGCTTTTTACCTATGCATATTTTACACCTCATACATAGACACGAGGCGACACCAGCTAGGTAGCCTATTTGAATTATAGCGTTAAATTTGGACTTTGAGAAAGACGCATCTCCGGGATACAGGTTACCAAAGGGCTCAAAAGGAATCAGGAAGCCGTGCATACGGTCGCCAATGCCACCAAGGGAATCCAGTGGTATGACCGCCCAGCTTGGGGAATTGATAAGAGGACTTTGATCTTGTGGTAGATTTTGCGACTGTCCCTGTGACTGTCCTTGTTCGACTTAATAGCGACAAACCCGAGGACCGGGATGGGAAATGAGTATAACATCCAAACTGATACAGTCGATATACCGAAGTTGGTCCATTTGGTTTAGTGAAGGCACCGAGACGTGGTCTGCTTGCAGTATGGCCCAGAGCTGGGGAGCGGACAAGGTCTCGGGGCCTGCTAAGTGGCTGCGACAGATAGCGGAAATTCCTATCCATGGCAGACATGAGCATCTTCGCCTCCAACGCTTTCCCAGACAATTAACACCATATTGTAGCTCAACTAAGCCGCAATGTCGTTGTTGATGCTAATTGGAGTGCGTTTGGTATAGCATCCTGGATCGGAGCAGGGAGCAAAGCAGAGTGAAGGTCGCTTTCGAGCCCGTCTCCCAGGCCAAGTCTACAAATTTTTGCTCTGTGTGGGATCAAAAGCACTCTTGGCATTTCCCCGCCCCAAAGTGTTCATCTGTCAGCCCCAAATCGGTACGAACTAGAATCTCTCCGTCATGCCGTAGAAGCCAACGGTGACTTCAATGACCCCTATTGGCAGGACGTCCACGATAACTTTAGTCGCGACGAAGCCAGTGACTGCCTATCTGGACTGGCAGCTTAACATATAGGTAGTCTAAATATCACCGCTCTCTAGTAGATCGCCGAGCTCCGTATATACCATGCTGATTACCAAGCTTGGCCCAAAGGGGCTGTCTTGATGCATATTCTTTTCAAAAATGGCCCCACCGTTGTCTGATCCTGCTGCAACGCCTTCCATCATCAAGTCTTCAACTCAGTCTCCTTGGGCAGTTTCTGACACCAGGTTGGAAACTTGGTAAGCTTCCCTGACCGCTTCTTTAATTCTCGGATTTCGTGTTACCAATCGATTGAGCGTGTGGATAACCGGTGACAGCGAGTAAGCAATAGCAGATATGCCACCGCTTGTCTTTTCCCCAACCTGCGCTTTGTTGTTCTTCTAAACCCACGGCTACATCGGCTTCTCATCGGGAGGGTCGCCGAATCTTATTCAGTGGCAAGATCACACTGAAGCTAAAAGAGAATAAGAATGTTGAGGACGGTGCCGGATTGAGACAGGCTTCCCATATTAGCCTAATTAACATCCACAATCTCACCTCTCAATTCCTCCCTCATGAATCTCCGCAAATCTCTAACTGTAACCGGAGTTAATGACGACAGAAGTGGAGTACCGGCAGTCTGGCTTACTTCGTATCCCCCCCGCTCTATACCAATAATAACCAAAGTGCCGATTGAATACGAGCTGACTTGAATCAATACGTAAGGGAGAAAGCATGGTCTCACGATGCACGGGCGGTCGGGTGGGCGGTCGGATATCATGGGGCTTGAAAGAAAGGACGGTCGGGCTGGATACGCGGTCGATTCTTCACCGACTTGCTCAGAAAGTAAACATTAGCGTCGATGGGTTACGCATTCGGCATAGCACCTTTCCCTTTTCCATCCCCTAATCCAGCAAATGTCACGAGACAAAGCTTCTCTAGAGAATACGAACAGGTCATACTCGTATAGGCAATAACATGGTGCGACTAGTGCAGCGGGGCTCGTATTCACTTCAACCATGTCATAGCGGGTCGCCGGACTTGTTGAGAGGTTGATCTGCAAACCTCGTATGTTATAAGGCAGCTCTTACCCAGCTGTACTCTTCACTCCAGCACATCTTACTACTTCCCTCTCAAGCAGTACAACAGTAAAATCATCACCATGAAGTTCAGCGTTCTCACCACCCTCACCGCCATGCTCGGTAGCGCCGCTGCGGCCAACCAGGCTATTGTCATCAACGACTGCTCTACCGCCATCTATGTCCAGTCTTATCCCTACAACGGCGCAGCGCCAGGCCCCTTGACTACCGTCAAGCCTGGTCAGCGATTCTCCGAAAACTTGCTCGCCAGTGGCTCGGTTCGTTGATTTCTTACCGCTGCTTTGAGATCTTTTTACTCTTAGCACACAAGTTGGAACGACGGTTAACCCGTTATTTTTACAATTTAGACTGTTAAGATCGCCACCACCAAGACCCTTACCAACCCGCTCTTCTTTGGTTATTCGTCTACCTCTAAGCCCGACTATGTTTACTGTAAGTTCACTCCCCTGCTCACGTTTATGTGCCGATTCTGACATTCCTCTCTAGATGAGTTCAGCACGTAAGTTGATATTCTTACTGTTCGGTTGAACGCCCCTTGGCGTATGATGCTAACTTGCTAGTCAATTCGGCAACCCCTTCGCTAACCAGCACAACATCCTGAGCCCTGGTGCCGGCTGCGAGAAGTTCGACTGCGCTGCGAACGACGCCAAGTGCTACAGCACTCCCAGCATGAAGAAGGTCTACGGTTGCCCCAGCCCTGTCAATGTGTACGCCAAGGTCTGCGCCAAGTAAAGGGCGAGTCCCAAAAATGCAGCTGCTCTGGGTGCAGTTAATTATGCCGTTCGCACGACTGGCACCTCAGGATCATGGGGTGAGTCCATTGGAGAAGAAACAATTATTTTCAAAAGACTTGTGTGGAGCACTCGTGCCGATAGCAACGTATATATTCACAAACGTATATTATTCTGGATTGTCCCATTCGCCTTTTTGACACTGTGCCGCAGTGGAACGTGTTGTCTTATGAGATGACGAATTTTCCAAACTCACCAACAGTTGGTGAAGTGATACGCCACCAGAACGACCCTTCCTAGTTTGTCTCAAGTCCGTGAGGGTGTAAAAAAGGTTGACCAATATGCAGCAGCGTCGCGTCCATGTTGGCTAAGGGACATCCTCACGAGGCGTGGATCTGATACTGTATCGGGTTGATCGAGCGGGGCTCGCCAGAATGACGCACACCGCGGTTGTGTGGTTATTTCTAATTGAGGCTTTACTGACAGTTGCAAAGAATTTAGGAAATGGTAAACCCCAATAGACTGTGAGCAGTGTGCGTTAAACTACTGTATCAGGTGTCTCTAACGTGGTGTAATGCCTTCCGGAGGGCCTGAGCCCACAACTTTTAAATCTGTATGGGAATAATATTTCGTCACCGTGAATACACCTATGTACAAGGCTGCGTATTATTGAGAACGTGCCACGCCGCCCTCCTCTGAACGACGCCGCGATCCAACACCCTGCCAATCTTCATGCAGGCTGCCCTGCTTCTCGGGACAGAATATTGATAGTAAGCATTTTTTTCATTAACGTGAATCTATGAAAAATAAATCTATATAAAAACGTTTTCAATAAGCCTTAACGCTTCTTAGTATAGATTCTCAAAGGTATGGCTTTTTCTCTGTGTGTGAGATAAAGACGCCTGCATAACCACCGTCAACAGTAGCCTTATTCACGAGAGCCAAGACCGACTCGACGCTGACGTCTAGCTTGGCAGGTCCTTGGAAGGTGGGTGAATAGTCCTTGAACTTTTGAAACATAGCCATAGCCAACTTTCCTTCCTCCTCGGTTTCTATCTAAACGTCAGCAAAAAGCACACCATTTTAGTTGTTCAGACGACTACATACCGATCTGCAGACTGCCGGTGTCTACCGCACCAGGGCAAATTGCCATGACAAGGACGCCCTTCTCACGGTAGACGGCACTGAACTTGGCAACGGCCATATTCAGAGCTGCCTTACTCATTGAATAAGCCACGGCTTGATATATATCGGCCTTGAGTGTCATCTCAGTGTCCGAGATACCGGTGGAGATGGCAATCACTTTCTTTGCACGACCCTTCAAAATCAGGGGCATGAAAATACTGAATAGGTGGACGGGGCCGATGGTGTTGACTCGGAAGTGTTCGATCAAATCTTCTTCCAGTGCCTTTGGATCCTGGATCCTGTGGAAGAATTAGTCTCAAATAACTATACCAGGGACTTTTATCCTCCCACCGAGAACCTACAGAGTATCAAGGCCGACCAAGGCAGTCTTAGCTTGAAGCGCGGCACAGGCGATGATATAATCAAGGGTGCCGTTTGTTTTCTCCGAAACAACTTGGGCTGCTTTCTAGAAAACCTTTGAGTCAGTTTCCACCTCAGTATGACGGACCACTCGCTCGCTTACCTTCAATGCATCCGGGTCCGTAGTGTCGGCCTGAATAATGTAGATATTGCTCCGTCCGATTTCAGCGGCAACCTTGGCCTCGACGGCGGCTTTGTTGCGGACGAGCCCGAAGACGGAGTTGGCTGGGTTTTCAGAGAGCTGGCGGAGAAGCTCGAACTACATGACGGATTCTTTGTATTAGTGATGAGTCTTGTCCATGAAGCAGGATGAGAGCGTACGCCAATGCCACGAGAGACTCCCGAAATCACGTAGGAGGACATTGTAACTGAAATTTTATCGTGTATAAAAGTGAGATTGATTGACTGTAGGATGATTCTAAGACGTCGTTCTAAGTGTTGACGAACCTGAAAGAGGAGCAATCGTGCGTGTACTTATATAGATTTGGACTCATCCTTGGATCCTTGTATGCTCGCTTTTCGACTTCAAATCTACCCCGCTCTTTGTTGGTATAATGTCAGCGGATGTGTGACCAGGGGTCCGCTGTAAACTACACGAAAGTTGCCGTTCTTCTGAATGCAGACGATGCGCGGGCATTAATAAGCCGAGGTGCGGGAGTAGTGCGGGCTTTATAAGCGGTTTCAGCCGCCCCTTGGAATCCCCCGGCCGGCGCATTTGTCATCTCGGTGCCAAAGGAGAAAACTGGCAACTTTTTGTGTGAAATGCTGAACAATTCTCAGCTTACACACTCAAGACGTTGGAGGGAACTTCACTTGGGACGTCATGCATGTGAATCAGTGCTGGGCTTGCAGAGGTATGCTATTGGTTCCGGTCCAAGTGACATGTATCGAGGGGGCCAGTTACTGACGCGCGACAGACTCCAGAGCAGTGTGCAATCGCGTCCGCCCCCGTTGTGCCAGGTGCGCTCGGTCGAATAGGCCATGTCATTATGGGTTGCGGCTGTCGTGGCCAAAGGGTATCAACAAGAAGCGGAGCTTGACCCATTCCGTGCACGATGTAGTTGGCACTGCAAAACGTTTCTCCCAGACGAGCTTTGTCAATGCGACATCATAAGATATCCAGCTCCATGACTACCTGCAGATGAATCAAGGTTTTACTCCCTCACAGACTTTGCCTGTCACTAAGCTAATACTCCAGCGAATAGGATTTGTTAGTCATACGGGATATGTCTTTCAAAGACTCGATCCGTCGATGGCCCTATCATGGCTCCCAACCAACCTAGGTTATGAGGACCGAGAACTTATTGATCACTGTAAATATAATACTAGTTGTAAAATCTTGCCAAGCTAACACGTGCAGTTATTTGTACGGCGTCGTCCACCCTGGCCATTTTCGAATCGGACAAGAACGAGTTCTTGAGCCTTTTGTTGCGTCTAGCTCTGTCAGATAGTTCACCGTCTTCTGTGGCGGTGTTACAATCGGCGTTGGCGCTTTCGTCGTTCCACCGGCATGGTCTGCAAGCATCGGTTTTTCGGTTCAAGGCGCGCGCTCTACGCACACTGATCATATCTAGCAAACACTGTGTTGAAAGTCCCACGGTCTTCCAACATATTGCGGCGAATATGATACTGTGCCACCTTGAGGTATGTTCAAGCATGGGTCTATGTCTTCTTTCGAACAACCACTCACCAGCGCTTCAGATGCTCGGAATGCCAAATACATTATCCCTATGGTTCTGTAAGTGACGTTTGGTCTATTTATTTCTACTTGCCCCGCCTAGAACGATAAATCTGGTCTACGGTGTTAGTTCTTCTGCTGCCTTTTCATGGGAATGGGTGGCCTGATTCTTCAAGGGCATTGCTAAACTGGATTCTAAATTCTAGGCCATTTGAGTGAAGCTAGAACTTTGATCGACAATGCAGGCCTTGACAGCCAAAGTTTTCAAGGCGAAGTTTCCAGACTTCTAGACTGGGTAGAGTATCATATGGTCATGAGCCGGTTTAGCCACCGACATTGGTATCTAAATGGAGAGTCTACCAGAGGAGTCAGAAATTTCGCATCTGTGGACCAGGAAACCTGCCACTCACGAAAGGTTAGGCTGAAGAATAGCAAGTTCATACGTGCACGGAATCATTTATCTAATATGAGACAGGTCAAAACAGCATCGCACTGTTCACATGAACTTCTTCGGCATTTATATAATATGTTCGACATGATTCGAAAACCAACAGACTCACTATACCACAGCGACGAATACGAAAATTCCTTGCGTTGCCTCGAAAACAAAATAACCAGTGTTGTCCCGTTAACACCAAAAGGTATACCTGATACTATGTCCGACTTGAGCACAGCCTGGGTGGCTACAATGGATCTTTTGAAGCTAGCCGCTCTAATTTACCTCAAAAGAGCATCGCGGAACTTTTCAGGAACCTCCCCTCAAATTGATGCCATGGTTGAGAAGGCCCATGTACTTCTTGACGATCTGGGGACCTTCAATCTGGCCTTTCCATTGCTGATTATTGGATGCGAGGCTCGGACAGATGAGCAGAGAATGAGGATTCTCGAGCATATTGAAAGAGCAATGAGAACCTCGACTTTGAGGAGTTTGCATGGACTGCAGAATATTCTCCAGCACATTTGGGTTCAGGACGACCTTGCGGTTGATTATGAGCTCGACTATTTAAAGAAGTTGGACGCTATAATATCTTCTTACCAGATTATGCCAAGTTATGTCTAATATAGGAAACTCTCAGATTTGGAATATGATAGATAATATGAGACCCGTTCTATGTGAAATTTTTTTTCTTTTGGATTCGGCTATACTTTGCGCCAGATCTCTATAAGACTCTTATTTGCTCGTGATATCATCTAAGTGTTTTATATTTATTTCCACATTTAGCATTACACCGCGTAGATTCGTCGACAAAGGGACCGTTCGATTTCTTTGGTCCGCTTTCGATTTCGTCAAAAAGCTCTTTGAGAGCTCGCTCCTGCTCCGCTGACTGAGGAGACATCTTGTAGAGCCAACCACATTGAGCAGGATAGCTAGCCATCTCCTTAGTGTCGTTCGGGTTGAGACGAGTATGGGAAGAAGAACTGCGTCGTGACTTTGCCGTGGCCTCAAAGTGAATCGCAGAACAAGGCAAGAGGGGAAGATTGGTATACCTGTAATGTCCCTAGGTACCTTGGGCCTATTCGGTGGTTGACTTGGTCATCACGGAGCGGACCCTTCGGAAGGTCCGAAATCGGATACATAATGTCCATTCTCGTTCGTGGCCATCGAGTGGCGGGGCTTTCTATTCGCTGCAATTGCGCCCCTATCTCTCGCCATGAATAATTATCTGCGCTAGTACTCCGTATTGCGACTGCCTTCAACTACTCGAAGCTGCTCGTTTCACTCTACTAAGGACGAGAGGAAATTCGGAGCAGGACGTGCTACCGGGGATTATCAAGCTACAAGATGGTTTCGGATCAACCTTGTTCTGTCGACGAGTCTTCCGCTCCGGCTGACTTTCTTGCCTTGTGGATGCTCAAGCTTGGACGTTCACTGCCCCTTGACTGCTAACTCGGATATGTTGAGTTGTGATTCCATCCTGCGGGAAACTTAAAGGAAGAACCTGGAGTGTTGCCCAGCAAGGGGGTTGGTCTTCATGGCTGACGACCCCCAAAAGCCCCCGACAGCTAGTGGCAATTGCCCTGGATGGTCCTGGACCCAGGAGCCTGATTGCTGGCTGGTTGCTCTTTTGGGCGCTGACGACCTGGCAGCGGGGCACAATTCTCTGGCGGGCACCGACGTAGGGCTTGTAGTCGGCTGGGAGTTTGACGTTGGCTGGGCGACAAAATAACCCGGGAATTCGCGACATGGGCTATGATGGCCAAGCCAGGCTCCCCGCATATCTGGAATGTCGTGGAAGACACTCTAGCCTTCTTCCAAGACACCATGACCAAGAACAAAGTCCTGGTCCAGGGTGTGACCCTCGCGATGGTAGGGGATGTGGTGGATGCCACGGGACCGAGGCGATTCACCAGGGGCATCATGAAGAGCATGGGGGAATCTTTCCATGTCAAGATGGAGGATTTCCACATCCTCTTGGAGCCAAAGCTCGTTGGAGACGTTCTCGTTGTACCGGGATACCTATGGGCTGCAGCTGCGAACAGCTATTGCGGCGTCTTAGACACCGCGCCTCCACCCTTGCTATCTCACCACTATGCTGGCTCATGGAAGAATGACAAGGGTGGCGGGACAGCGGAAGGTTGAAAGGGTCCGATCCCGAACATGTAGATGAATAATTCTCTTTTTTCCGTTCATACTAAAAATAATTACAAATCATGTAAAAGCTGAAGAACTATTCCCTATCGATCCCACCACTCCATCATCCTCCGCTCAGTTCAAAGCAGCGACAGCCCGAACTCCGCACCAGACACGGCTTGGGACTGCAAGCATTCAGGGACTACTAGATACTGTATATATGATGCAATTCATCCCCATCACTCACCTCACAGTTGCTTCCCAATCACAACAGCCGTCTCAATCTCATCCCCATCTCCCTATTTTTCAAAAGAAGAGAAAAAATACACTCCAAATCACTCCCACGAAATGGCGCCCTTCTACGCCATCATCTGCGGCGCAGGCCCCGGCCTTGGCCGCTCTGTCGCTCTCCGCTTCGCCCAAGCCTACCCCTTCGTCATCCTCCTCTCCCGCTCCCAGTCGTCCTATCAGCCCATCGTCGACGAGATCAACTCCAAGTCCATCACCCCCTCCGCAGACTCGGGTTCCAAAGCCACAACCACCCGTGCCATCGGCTTCTCGTCCGACGCATCCGACCCAGAGGCTGTGGCATCCGTGTTCGACAAGGTCAGAGCCGGCGCCGATGGCTTCCTGCCCCAGGATGCGAAGCTGGCCGTCGCCTTGTTCAATGTAAATGCGGGACTCGTCATGAAGCCGTTCCTTGAGACCAAGGTGGAGGACCTAGACTTTGGCCTGGCCATACCCGCGTGAGTTTCACTCCCACCTCCAGCAATCGACTTCCAACAAACGCCTCCCCCCTTCTATCGCCATCAGCATTGCCTCACAGCTTCAACTACTTACTCACCACCCCTGACATCCAGCCGCGGCCTCTACCTCTTCGCCCAGCAAGCCCTCCCCCTCCTCCAGACCTCCATCTCCGCCTCCCCTGTAAACCCGCCAACCCTCCTCATCACCGGCGCAACCGCCTCCCTCCGCGGCTCCGCCAAATTCGGCACCTTCGCCGCCGGAATGTTCGCCCAGCGAGCCCTCGGGCAGTCTCTGGCGCGCGAGTTCGGCCCAAAGGGCGTGCACGTCGCCCTGGCCGTCATCGACAGCGGCATCGACGGGCCTCGGATGCGCGCCATGCTCGGCGAGGACGCCAAGAAGGCGGTGGAAGAGGACAAAGTGATGAGTCCAGACGCTGTAGGTCCCACTCCTGTGAAGCTGGCGAGGAATGTTGAAGGGGTGGGAGATGTTGAGGAATCCTGTGCTGACGTGAGGATAGATTGCGGAGAGCCACTGGCACTTACACGCACAGCATCGGTCCTCCTGGACGCAGGAGCTCGACCTTCGCCCTTGGCAAGAGAAGTTCTGATCTCGCGAGCCGGTTCCAACACTGAGTTTGAGATTAAACCGATAAGTATAAGTAATGGGAAAGTCATATTCAAGTGCTGCCGTGCCAAACTGTCCGTTTTCCTTGTGATCCAACTCGATAAGCACCAACGCCAACATTGCCTGACCCCTTGGTGAACCCGCCGATACGAAAGATACAGGTAGGGAAGACAGAAAGAAAGCAAAATAATACTCTTTATGCAGGATCAAAACTACAAGCCACAGAAGTACATTACACCTCCGTCTCCACATCCGGCTTCCGCCCATCCAGCGACCCAAGGGTCCTCACCTTCCTCAGCGCATACTTGGCCTCGTCCTTCGCGAATTGCGCATTTTGCATCGGTCGCCACTGCACGTGTTTCGTAATGCCGTACATGTTGCTTCCATGTTCTGTCGGCCTTACGTATTCTGCATTCTTCATAGGGGCAAAAGTATACGCCGCTGTCTTCACAACGACTTCCGTTGATACCAGTGTCCTCATATGTTACTGACGAAGGCGTGAATGCGCAGTGACTGACCGAGGGTCTTGGGTTTCTGGGTTAGCGGCGGCAGCGGCTTCGGTGGAGTGACGATCTTTTGCTCCGCGATAAGCGATAAGCGACCAGGATTATCTTTCCGCCGCACACCGAAGATGAGACATTGTGCGCATCGGGAAATGGACTAATCGCCGAGCTCGCATACAAACCATTCGAGATCGGCAGGAGATTTTGGGGTGTCGCCGGCTTGACCGCAATTCAATTCCTCGCCATCACGATCAATCCTTCGAAGGCGCCCGCATCGCTTCTGCGTGTCGGCGTTGCGGTGGAGGGACAATGAGTCCTCTTGTCTGGTAAGCTCAGACTTCGACCCGCAAGCTCGATCGGCGCAAGACACACGGGCCTCACTTCCCAGCACCTAAACAACCTCACTACGAAACCCACGACCACCACTGCCATCATGCCGCCGCACCTCCACCCTCGCTCGCGAACCACCTCCACGCTCTTCGTCACGACCGTTCTCGCGAGTTTCCTTGTCGTCGGCCTCCCACACATCATGCCCTGCCCCGTCCCCACCGCGCGGCTCGCGGACGGAGAGGTCGTAGACGAGAACGGACGGAGGCGGCGGTGGAGGTCAAGGATGGGATTGTACAGTTCGGAGCAGGCGGTGAGGACGAGCGTGTACGAGGGAGGATAGTTTCGGAGAAGTGGAAGTGCCCTAGGCTTTATTGGAAGGATGTTAGACTTCAAAACTTGGTGTATACAGGGATCATATAGTCCGAGCTTTGAAGCCTGATTCCTTGAAGCCAGGCGCAAATGCTGATTGGTTATGGTTTAGGGTTTTCATATGGTGGTGATATGGGGGTTAGGGATGACGGGTGAGTTTCGAAAACAAAAGTTGTTCGGAACAGAGCAAAAATGATATAGATAATATAGCAAGAAAAATACAATTAAATAAACCTAATTCTATATTTTTTTCTATTCTGTAGAATAAGTTATTATAATTTAGAATATTTAATAGATTAAAGTTTAATAAGTTAGTTACTGATATAAGAAAAGTCTTAGTTTATATTTAATTTAATTAGGTAGAGTGTAATTCTACTTTAAAAGTCTTAGCTTATAATTAATTTAATTAAATATAGCATAGAGATAGAGTAACTTAGCTAAGTAGCTTTTTCCAATGAGTTGAAGCCTGTACTATAGAAATAAAAGAGTATCTTAGCTGAAAGAGGACAACGTTACTACCACCCTATAGCTAGTTAAAATATTACCATCGGGTCCGAAGTCAAATAACAGAAGAATAGACTCCTAGAGTTATCTTATACAGGAAGTGTCTCTATTAAGCTGTAAAGCTCCTAGAAGTAGTATTTTTCGTAGAACTTATGGTGAAGGTGTTTTCTAATGGGCGGTTAGGTTGATACTTAGGGTTAGAACTTATTACAATACAACGATAGTTAATTGCTCGGCTTACATTTGCTGCTACAGTGAGTATAAGCTTCTAGACATTATAATCGGGTCAGTGTAATACATTTGCAAGACTACCCTTTCTATAAAAGGAAACTCAAAGAAAAGAGAAAAGAAAGTCTATATTGAATAACTTTAAATAAAAATACTATTAAATACAGGCATCCTAAAAGGAAGCTATAGTTTTCTGCTTTTTCCTTCTATTATATAATCTGTAAGTCTAGCTGGGGTATGCATTCTGTATCTCTTATTATTATAAACCCCTTTTTTAGTGCAATTATAGTAGAGATTAAGTAAGATAATATCTCAATTAGTTCTGAGATATTATAGTTAACTTAAAAAAGCAGCATCTAAAAAGGAGTAAGTAATCTAGGAATATATATTATAGTATATACAATTATAATAATATTACTAATAATAATACTAGTAAGCTATCTACTTTTATAGTATATTAATTAAGTTATAATAAGTAGAATTTATATATTATTATTATTATCTACCTTATCTACCTACTATATTATTAATTATAAATCTAGTTATTAGCCTCTACTTAGAGTTTTATTTTTAAATTTCTATATTATTTAAGAATCTACTAGTAGCTAAGCTTATTTATAACTGTAATTATAATAATAATAAATTAAATAAGGCTAAAATAGGCTTAGCTAGAATATTATATAGCCTACTACTTATAAAAGATAATAAGCTATATAATATATTATTTTAGTATTATCTAGCTAAAGAAAAATAAAGTTAATATAGCTAGAAGATATAAAATCTTTTATAATTAATTAAGAAAAGTCTTTATATTTTAATATTATTAATTTAAGGTATTTATTTTAATTTTCTTAAAGTAGTATTTTAAATTGCAATTTAAGCCTACTTAGTTAATTTTAAATTATAATTAATAATTATAATAATAATAATAATAATAATAATAATAATAATAATAATAATAATAATAATAATAATAATAATAATAATAATAATAATAATAATAATAATAATAATAATAATAATAATAATAATAATAATAATAATAATAATAATAATAATAATAATAATAATAATAATAATAATAATAATAATAATAAAAAAGTATCTTATTTAAAAATAAATAATATATTTAAGCTATTTAAGTAAAAAATATAAAGTAAATTATAATAACTTAATTAATATTAAATATTATTATTTTTATAATTCTTTAAAAGATATTATTATTTAGCTAGATAAATTAATTAATAATAATTATAATTATTATTTACCTTTATATATTATTAATTTTTTTTTTAATTTTCTTAATTTACTTTTTAAATTAAGAATTTTTATAATTATAACTCTTCTTCTAATATAAAATAGCTTATATATTTATATTAATATAATTTCTAAATAACTTATTAAATTACTCTTAAAGAATTTTTAAATAATAATATAATATTTAATTTTTACTTTCTAATTAGATATTATCTTATTTAGCTTTTTATAGATAATTTTATTTAGAAAACTTATAATATTAATAATATTTATAATTTTCTCTTTTTTTTAGTTATTATTAAATTAAATATCTTATAATATTTATAATTATATATTATTTTTAATTATATTAATAATATATTATTTTTAATTATATTAATAATATATATTTTAATATTAATATTTTAAGTAATACTTTTTATTAAAATAACTTTTATTTTTAAAAAATCTAGTAGTAATTATGAGTTTTATATTATATTTCTAATTATTATTTTAAATAGATTTAAGATTTAATTAATATATTTATTTAAATATTCTTTCTAATTTTATACTCTTATTATATATATAATAATTTATATATTTAGATTTTATTTATTATAACTTATATTAAATTAAGCTTTAACTTTATTATATATATTAATAATATACTTACTTATTTTATTTTATTATATATAAATTACCTTAATTATTAAATAAATATAGTAATTTAAAGATATATAAATTATTTAAATTATTAAATAATTCTTATAATTTAATATCTTATTATAATTATATAATTAATTAAATAATATATATTTACTATTTGAGTTTTTTTTTTTAACTTTACTTAATATTATTAAATAAATTAAAGTTATATAATAATCTTAAATAGTAAAAATAAACAATAAGTACTATACCTAGTATTAAAAGAAATAATAGCTAAATAATAAAATTATTACCTATTAATTTCTACTTAAAGCTTTTATTTAACTTTTCTAACTTTAATTTTATTATTTATAATTAACAACCTTATTATTTATAATTAACAACCTTAAAATAATAACCTTATTTTAAGTAATAAAATATAAGAAAGATATCTTCTATTATTAAGAAACTAACTTTTCTTTTAATATTTATTCTATCTTAATAAATTTTATCTAAATAACTTATTACTATATTAACTACTATTTATAAGAGGCAAGTTCTAAATTTGTTTAATAATAGAATTCTTATATTAAGAAGTATCTTAAGTTAAAAAAAAAGAGAGAGAGAGAGAGAGAAGATCTTACTAGAAGGTTATAATAAAAACTCTACTTATTAGTAGCACCCTTAAGTTATTATACTCCTAGTCCAGGCTTATATCCAGGCCTTTACTTTAAGCTTAGCCTGTAATATATCCCCCCTTCTTTAAGCTCTTAATTATCTTAAATAGGCTGGGTAAATACTGCTTGCTAGTAGTAGATTCCTCTAATAGCCCAATTAGATAAGATAGTAAGCTACTCTTTTTAATTGGAAAACTTAAATCTTACCTCTAATAGCTATATAACTTAATTATAGTAGGTATTATATATATTATTCTAGTATATTTAAAGTATATTATAATATA